GGGTACACTATTGCCGAGCATGTTGTAGCGCGATCGAGAAGAGCAAGCAAGACCCATGAAGCGATCCTGCTCCATAACTTTGCTGGCCATTATTCTCTTGACTCTTAACCGTTTCATCGAGATCCCGTCCTGGAAAAGTGGCGACGAACCGTCCTTCCTAAAGGATAGTGAGTGTAGTATACAAGCCATACGTATAGTTGACCAAGAGTAAGTTGTATCTTCTTGTCAAGTCGAGCCATGTGTGACAGGGTATTTGATAGAGGTAGGGTTGAGGATGCACACATACTGCCACCATAATCTTGACCTTGATATACAAGTCTGCGTGTGGTGACTTCTCCGAACACTGTATGACGCGTGAGCACAACCCGCTGTGTCTAGGGATGGGTTAGGAACTTACAATAGAGGATAGCAGTGCTTTTAATGCGGTGATAGCAATCCGTCACCTCCCAGGTCTGCGGGGCTTGACCTTCTTACAGTCCTCGCATCGTTCGTGCTCACACTTCATGCACTTCCTGTAAAGCGTCCAGAGATATGGGGTCTTCCCCAGCATCGCGTCGGGCTCACAGTTACAGCACTGCCAGATGGTTGCGGGTGCGAGGCGTTGTCCTCTTTCTGCTTCCATGTTGGAGAACTAAGTTGCGTTAGACTATGTTTGTTGAGATTCCGATCGTGCTGCTTGAAAGAGATATCGAACATCTGAGAGCTTCGCACTAGGAACGTCCACCCTAAGTACTTGAAGTAGGATGAATACGTTCCCAGTTCTGCAAGTTGTCACTGCCCCATCTGTTTCCGCCGAGCGACACATATTACGCCTGGCTCCGTGAACATCAAACGCAATGAACGAGGATCGCTCCCTTGAAGGGCGTAACGTGGCTGATGGCGAGATGAGCCATGTTAGGCGGTTTGAGAGGCAAACAGCAAGTATGATGAAGGGCAATATTATTGGAAAACAGGCTACTGGGTGTCTTAAGGGGTGAAATTGCAATGACTGTGGGGCCTGGACGACTCCAGGGGCTGAGAGCCGGAGGGATCGCTGTATAGGAGGGAGGCATGAATGTGGCATCCACTCCTCCGTCCCCTCTAGATAATGACTGCCTTGAAAGGCCCAGCCTTGTAGTACTACTAGAAGTAAGGTAAAGCGGAGGAAGGGGCGGCGGCGTTGCATGGGATAGAGCAATTCAGTAATGTGAGGTCCAGCCTTGCAGCGCTTCTCGCGGAGAAAGACCGATCTAACCATCAGCACCCTGACGCCACTAAGTTTTAGGACGTGCCATTCGCTGTTGTGCTCCTGAATTCGATGTGAGCTGTCTCTGGGATCCGGATCTGCTCAACCGGCTGAAAAGTAACACCGCAACCTAAGCTCCCTGAGCGAACCAGGTTTGGTCAGGGTGGTCCGTAACGGGGTTTGTTTGCCTCGTTGCCTTAGGGGCGCCCTTGTAAGATCCTTGCACAAAAGTCTAAGGAGTATTTCTGTCCCCTGTACTCTCAAACTTGTGTTTCAACATCTTAGCATTGTAGAGCACGGTGTGGTGTGGCTGGGTGTTCGTGGTTGGGCTCGATTGACCAAGCTATCATCCTTGCAAGTGGGCCCTTGAACATTCTTGTGCCACGTGAAGTTCTACCATGGCAGGCCTTGTTGACATGCATCCAGCCTCGATCATCTGACGATACCTAGGGCTGACTGAAGATTTTGGGGATTTTGGGACTGTGGGTGATTGAGATTGGCAAAGTAGCTAGTCCAAAGTTGGATACTTGGGGTTCCCAGAATGGGGATAAGACACCATGTCGGCCGTTACGAAGTGGAATCAATCAAACAGCTGTTGGTTCAGGCTCTATCTGCCATGGCTGCCAACACAACAAAGCCTTTCACTCTGGCACTGGCGACTGACGTTGGAGATGGAAGCTGTTCCACGCTAGATCACGAAGATTGACGTGGAAGGAAGATGTGTGGCCCCTCCCCATGATTTGTGCCGCTGGCCATTGGGAAGTTTGCACTGGAGGATGATTGGATGAAGTGGCTGACCAGAACCCGAGTAGCATATTTACCCGCCTGCCGAACAATTGTCAATCCGTAGAACAAAGGACATCGATTACCTTGGTTCAAAAGAGGGTTTGATTGAATACATGGTGTCAGAATGAACAACTCAAGACCTCCACTATTTTTCGGTTTTAACTCTGATCCCTCCATCTTAGCGGGCACATATTCAGTCGATCAAGCTCTCACAGCCTAGGACACTAACTCCCTCTCATACAATAGCATCATGAGTCCATGATAGTCCAGTGGCACCCGTACTCGTACATTTCCAATCCATCAATCAGAACAAGGCCCCTATCCCGCTTAACCTTTAGGCACTCCATCCAACGCCAGCCAAATGGGTATAAGCGATTGAGTTTGGGGCGTCTATACCGGTCTTAGTCTCTGAGTTGCCGGGCTTCAATTGTTTACATACCACCATAGGGCCCGCTGAATAGTGTCAATGGCCTCTAGGAGGACGTCTATCCTCTTTACTTGACGAAGAACGTTGTTTCAGATAGATGTAATAGCAACCCTGGTCTTTTTGGTCTCGGTCGCAGAGTGGGCATTTGGAGGTATGAAGGAGATTGACTTCATTGCAAGCACACCGCCATGCATTTGCTTCTCTCATCCTGACGCGTTTTGGATCGGTGGACGGCATGGTCGCGGATTCGCTGGAAAGACTGTTCTCAATGATATGGAGAAAGGAATTGAATTTCGTTGGAGAATGAAAAACATTTCGAGAAAGGATGGTGGCAGGTACTCGGCGCCTTTTAAGCAGTCCTTCAGGAGTACTGAGAGCCATCTCAAGGGTTGATGACACTCCGCCACGAAGAGTACCACAGACGGAAGACACGATGATTCTGGGAGATCCATTCCAATTGTCCAGAACCTCGACCAGGATCTCAATTGAAGGTTCTCTCATGCGGAGATCCTTCGCCACAAAAGGCATCGTTGTGGATACTAACTAATCCATTGTAGCCAGAGGAATACTGCGGTATTTGCGCATATCGTGAAGGTGACAAAGAAAGGGAAGGCGTTTCGAGGGATCGTCGTAATCAGTAACATAGAACAAGCAACTGCCCAGGTGATAATGCATGGCTTGATCAAGGCACATATTACTGTGTCAGCCTCCCGTGGCAGTCACGTATTATGAGGCTGTGTTTTTGTTTATCAGGAAACTCCTTGAGCTAATCATCCAGCACAGTTTGATTTTGAGGCGATTTGTGGAAAAGAAGCAGGACAGCGCTTCCAGCCGGACTCCCAGTTCGAGGCAGGACGCTGACCGCCCCCGTGCGTTGGGACCGATGGCCTGGCTGTCTTCGGTGCAGCACGTTATTTTCCAGGCACCTCTAGTGGTCCGAACTTCTTGATTGGAGGCATTCCAGGTGAAGGCGTCCGAAAGATGTTGACGAGCCGTTGTCAATAGAAGCTATTGCGAACCTTTCAATGTATCGAGATCCAGAGAGGAGGAGGACCAGGTGCTTAGCCACCTTATTGCTGAGATGGGAAATCTTCCAGATGTCTAGGAGGTGTTCGACCTCACCGCAATAGTGTCTACGGAGAGGTTTGTGGTTTCCCTAGGACCTGCAAACACCCCAGATAGGTAGGCGTGGATTCCAGACATGGCGGGCCGCAAATGTGACAATTGCATTTTCAAGAGAATCTGACTATTGGCTAATCAGTTTTCTGTAGGCTATAATTTCTCTGCCAGCCGGAAAATAGCTTGCGTGACATAATGGATCGCAAAGAAGAATTGAGATTATTCAATCAGGCCGTTTTTTTGGGTAATCCCAGGTGATCCCAAAAGATCCTGAGAAAAAGAAGTCGCCAAGCATTAGGATTAGCAAAAGGCAACCTGGGTTGCCTTTTCATGTCTAGCACAATTCGGACAACTTGTGCTGTAACTATCCGAAACCTGCTAGTATTGCTAGATAAAATGTCTCAAATAATTGTTTTTTCACGACCGTACTTCTTATTGATCAAAGCGAGGTAGAGGTCGGGGTTTCGGATAATATCCAGGCTCAGCCTTGCAGAGTACTAAGAAAACCCCTTTCTGTGACTTTAATCAACAAATTTCAGCCTGGTCGTGCTTTGATGCCATTTGGCCTGTTTTGGATGCCTGTTGGATGATCTGGACTGTTGCATATTTCTCTACTTTTTGCCTTAGCCAGGCTTTTGTACGCCGTCGGCCGCCTTGGGGAAAAACCCCTCAATTAATGAGAAGCTCTGGGTTCATCTGCTATGAGGCAGTGCAAACCTGAACACAAACATCCAGTCTCGTACTCGTGGAAACTCGTAGAGCCAAAAGTGCCAAAAAAGAAGAGTCTTTGAGTCGGTTTGCAATCTCTGGGGATTTACTGCGGCAGATGAAGGGATTTCGATTCACCATGTGTGGAGAGGAGGAAAGTAGGAGTTTAAGAGTGCTGGATCGTTATTGACGGGAAGCTGGGCGACAACCCCGCCATTTGACGGGCAAGTGGTCCGAATTTAAAGCGGCCGAACATCACCCGGCCTAGCACAAGGCTGAAGATAAGCTTTCAGTTCGTCTCGTTCTCGTTGGTAGCAGGCTGTCTTCTCAGCAGCGGAACTACTTGGGCCATAGTTCAACTCTACATGTCGTTTGTATGGTCGCTGCTGCGGAATATTATTGCATTTGAAACAATGAAGATACCTACCTGAACGGCATTTGGAGGCAATTCCGGCACAAGGCTGTGATCGGGCCAACTCTCGCCAGATGGACTTATCATTGATCTTCACGGATATCTATAGATTAAATCGAGTCGTGAAAGAGAACTGGTTGATTTGAATGAGTTATAGTAATCTTTATTCAAAAGGGGTTTTCTGGTCAAGGATTTTCCACCCAGGCTGAGGAAGTCCCAGTCTCTAATCGCCCTCATCTGATCGTAAATATCACTTCACGCCTCCCGCCCGTCTACACTCATCCATTTCCTTTACTGAAGGTGAAACCTAAGGGCAGATTACTATGGCTGTTTCAGGATTCTCTATCCAACACGACTATGAAGTGCAAGAGTACAACAAGCTGCGTCGTGCGTATCTAGCCTCTGAGAAACGAAGAAAGGCCAAAGCCAGGGCGATGGAGAAAGCATTTCTCAAAGATCGGAGAATGAGCTTGCAGAGTAAAATGCGTATGTTGATGACTAGGCCATGAACATATCCAGAGCTGAATTTTCTAATCCTTCAGCAGGAAATACTCCCTGGTCGAGAAATACCTGCCTTGAGGCAGCTAAGGCTACTTGGAGTGCAGGGATGTCGACACTTCTTACAATCCTGCCAGTAAGAAGTAGACATCCGGGAAATCGAGAGACTATATACAAAAGGCTACTGGATTGAATCCTGTTTGGAAAGAGCAGTTGTGATTTGGAGACGAGAATGTGTTTACTGCCTGGCGTTTTGAAAGCAGTAAATGCATACCACAGGGCACAGGGCAGCTTTATCTGTAGTCATTACTCATACATCGCAATACAATTTAAAATTGAATAGAAGCGCTGGCTTCGTGATGATGATCATGATATTTTGTCTGGCGACATCGGTGTGGGGGTCATCTCAAGGCGTCCGCGATATTGGTAATCTCGGCCTCGGTCGTAAAATGGATAATTACCCGGTCTGTCATTAGATGGAGTAGCCATGAGCAAGGCTGATGCGGTAAACATATAACTCAGACGCCCTACCAAGATTCCGAATTCTGTTGTCTGACTAAAAGATTTCAACCTCGATAGGCGAAGTGGTACATTCACCCTTCTCTATCGACCGTACTGACATCTTGTTGCACCGTCCTCATGCGTACAAAGATCTTGACCAACATTTTCTTCGTTGTAAGCGCCTATGACTAAGAAAGATGCAGAATTTCGAGAATTAAGATCTATCGACGGTTTGAGCCCCGATGGAGTCAATTCAGGAAAAGCCAGCGAGCAGCCGCTCATGCTTTGCGTGCAACCGCAAAAAGGTTCGGTGTGACAAGAAGAAACCATGCACGCCATGCACACGGTCCGGAAAATCGTGTAACTACCCACCAATAGGACCCCGTACCCGGCGGTCTAAGCAGACAATCATGGAGGAGATGGCCTCTCGGATTCACAACCTTGAAAACGCCCTGGTTCAGGCAACTAGCACGAACGGTGTCCCTGCTGAGTCTCATTCCGGAGGTCGTGCCGAGGCAACGATGGCTAATTTGCCATCGCCGCAACGAAGCCCAAATCATCCTCATTACCTGAATGAGGCAGGGGTTCTCGTGCAAAAGGGGACTTTGAGTCACTATTTCAACGATGTACTTCTGTCTAGAGCCTTGGCTGAGGTCAGTCTGCTGGGTTTGCGTTCGGGATCCAAGTGGAAGTTTGCTAAGCCCGAGCACAGGAAGAAAGCATCGCGTCGGTCGTGACGACACCACCATCAGCGATCGTGGATGGGTCGACCTCACCTTTTAGTGCTTCGGGGATTCTTTCCGCTCCAGCTTTCTCACTGGCCCCAGCGGACCTCCACCCGCCCAAACGAGTGGCTGTGAGGCTGTGGAACATCTACGTGAACAATGTGGATGGTTGTACAGGGCTCAAGCTGTTACACCTTCCCACCGACGAGGTCAAGGTATATTCGACCATTGAGCAACCCGTGGGTGCCCCATTAGATCATCACGCCTTATGCTTAGCTATTTTCTATGCCACGACGATAACTCTCGACGATGAAGAAGCACTTGAAGTTCTAGGACAGGAGAGATATACTCAACTGCTCAAATTCAAGGTAGGACTGGAGCAAGCCTTCGCTCAAGGAGACTTTCTGGACCGTCCCACTTTGACCGGACTTCACGCACTGGCAATCTATTTGGTATGCCTTTCATCCTATATCATTAAAGACTGCACAGTAATCTGACCCATTCACAGTCTGCAATGCGTGTCCACAACCGTGGAAGCGGTATCTGGGTTTTGAACGGGCTCGCTATTCGTATGGCAGAATCCATGGGACTTCATCGTGATGGAGGACAGCTCGCTCTTTCCCCGTTTCAAGCCGAGATTCGACGCCGCTTGTGGTGGCACTTGATCACTCGAGACAGTCGAGCGGGAGAGGACTATGGCTTGGAAAGTACCAACAGTCTCTTGCTTACCTCTAAGGTTGCTGCTCCCCTCAACGTCGACGACGTCGACCTCTCGCCAGACATGCTAGAGCTCCCCACTGCCAAGAAAGGCTGGACCGCAATGACATTCTCACTCATCCACATTGAAATAGCCAAGGCAGGACAGAGACTAGCGGAGATCAGTGCATCGAGTCGCCTTTCATCGCTCGAAAGTGAGAATCAAAGATCAAAGATCATCGGGGAGATTCGGGGCCTGGTGGAGCAAAGGGTGCTGCTATTTAATGTAGTGGTGCCCCAACACCGGATGGCAGTCTCTTGCGCACGTTGGTTGGTCCAAAAGCTCGACTTTATCACACGACAGCAGTGGCTGATGCTGAAACATCCCGGGTCCCGTGAGTACCTTGCAACCGACGAAAATCTTCTGGAAGCACTCGAGATCTTGGAGCCCAGGTTCGCGGCGATGACTGAAGATGAGTTGCTGAAGCAATTTGCGTGGGTGAGGAAAGTCTTCCCACAGTATTATGTCACGATGTACATTCTTTGGCATCTTTGTGTCAAGCCCGAAGGGCCACATGTCCCCAGGGCATGGGAAACGGTGGACATGGTCTTTTCAGGCGAGCTATGGGATGAGTACACCTCCGGCTTCGGAGCCAAGTCGGCCGTGCTGGCAGCTCTGAGAGTGAAAGCCGTTGCACTGAGAGAAAAATTTCAAAAGAAGCGATCCTCCAATTTGAATGAGAAGGCTGGCGGTGATAATGAGTCCAGCGTCAGAGAGCTGGAAGCCACCTCATCCCTGGACGAAATACAGACTGATACGTTGCTTGGAGATGTCTACGGGAGCGACTTCAACTTTGACATTGGCAGCGACACATGGCCAGACTGGGGTATTTTAGCCCAAGAATTTCAAGCTGACGGTCAGACCTTTGCTGCCAGCTTCTAGGGAAGTAATTCTTCTGTATATTAACCCCCGAAATTCAAGTTAACGACCCCTTAATCAACATGTTACTCAAAACATGTCCTAGTACGCACTTCTCAAGTCGCGTTACATATGCCATATGGCCTTTGAATGACGTCATCAAAAGGGGCCTCAGCACATATCTAATGCCAAGAGCCCACATTAAGGAGCCAATCAGCCAGTATTCATCAGTGCTTCAATTCTTTCACAGCCTTGCTCCCGCTAAATGCCGTGAGGGCCGGGGAAAGAGGTAAAGGCAATGGCGCACTAAAGCGAGCAGCCCAAGCCTTACCAAATCTATCAAAGCCCACCCACATACAGTCGATCGGTTCCTTTAAAAAGTGATGCGATTCTGGATTGTCAGCCCTCATTCCTTCACCAGCAAAGCAACCCAACGTCTCGGGAGGGTAGTCTGAAGGGGTGTCACACGAACATCTCACCCCAAGGGAATGGAAGCTGTAGATCAGAAACTTTAAACATGACAAGGACTCGACCACCGCCGTCGCGGCGCGTTAAAAGATTGAGCCTCAAATCGGGACGCCCACCGCTACTGTCCAACAGCAGAGCGACATCAATATCTGCACCATTGCAACAGCGGCAGCAGCAGCAGGGCCAGCATCGATCCCAATCACACTCGCAGTCATCGAAACACACACGAAGCATCATCCGGACGCACCATGTGCTCCAGAAGCGACTCACGCGCGCGCGGGCTGCCAACGACACGGCACAGATCCAAGCGCTCGAGGCGCAACTGGCGGAGGCAGGGGGCTTGAAGACCTACCAGCTGGCCAGCACGGTGGGCCAGAGCTCGAGCCGCGGCGGCGACTCGAGTCGCGTGCTCGTCGAGTGGCTCCATGACGAGATTGAGCCGCGTAGACGCGCTCCGAGAGTGATGGCGAAGCTGGACAAGAAGCAGGGCCAGCAGCAGGCGAGGAAACTGCATGCAGAGCCTGGCACTTCTTCGTCTTTGCCTTCGCCGAACCGTGCTGCATCACCGCTTCCTGGACAACTACGCCCGTCAATATCGCCCCAAGCGCCGCCTCACGAACACCTCCTCCTCCCGCTCCACGTCCTCGAGATCGGCGCCCTCAGCACGCAGAACGCGCTGAACGTAGCGGGCGCGACGAGTGTGCGCCGCATCGACCTCCGGTCGTCCGGGCAGGGGATCGAGGAGTGTGACTTCATGGCGTTCCCGCTGCCCAGCGCGGTGGATGGGTCCGGCGAGTGGCACGGCCGTCGCGGGTACGATGTGCTCAGTCTCAGCCTCGTGCTGAACTATGTTCCAGACGCGGACGGGAGGGGGGAGATGCTGAGGCGGACGACGCAGTTCTTCGCTGCCCGCGGGGATGCGGATGGGGAGCATGTTGAGGTCGAGGCTGAAGTCGCTGAGGCTGGTGAACGACGACGCTGTCCTCGTCCTCTGCTTCCATGCCTCTTCCTCGTCCTACCCGCGCCGTGCTTGCATAATTCGCGCTATCTGGACCCGCGACACCTGACATCGCTCATGTCGACTTTAGGCTATAGTCTTCTCAATAGCAAAACCACTCAGAAACTGTACTATAGCCTGTGGCACTACGACATCTCGAAGCAGGAAGAGTGGCTAGCCCAGGGGCAACCGACTCGATTTCCAAAGAAAGAGATCAATCCGGGGGGAGGCAGAAATAATTTCTGTATTGCCCTTCCCTGAGCCAGTGAGTGTTAGTATGACTCTCATGGTGTGCAACTTCGGGTGTACCAATGAATAACGAAAGCATAGAACAAGATTGGGTCCTTATATCTTCATTGGTCCTACTGGGCTCTGCGCAAGCCTGCCTTACTGGTTTCATAATTCACACACGTGGCTAACTACAGTAGAACGCTAGCCCACAAGCACTACCTTTGCTTCACCTCGCTCTCGTCCATCTCCATCTCACTATCTTATTTATGCCGTTATCTAAGCAAAATTCATTGGGGCCGCTCGTAAGAAAGCTCTTGCATCCCACCGAACCGATCCAAAGCCCAAAAACACCTCCCAAGTGATGCCTTCCATTTCCTGTCGCTGTCCACTCCGTTTATCGATCGATATGGTCGTTTGACTCCCCAAAATAGCTTGCTGGGTAGGAAAAAAGACACCTTCGTTTGATCATATAAATCGCCGCTGGTAATGAGACAAGTGTATGAAACTTTAGCTTGATCGTGGATCGTTGACCAAAGCTCTGCCACGGTCGGGACCCGCAGGTGATCCGCAATGGAGGTGCAGTACTGTTGTGACAATAGCCATGTATTAAATTGCCACATTCTTCATTTCATCCTCGATTCCATTAACGCCAAGCCCCTTGACTTCTCCTTCTGCAGTTGGGTTCTTTGTTTGATTTTCCTTGTTCTCACTCTCTGTCGAGACTCTAGAAAGTCGGGGCACGGGATATTCTCGGGCCTCTGCACTTTTTAAGGACGCCGGAGTTGGTGCATCAATCAGCTTTTCGGGCTTCTTGTTGTTGGCAACGGCAGAGTCGATGGGAGTTGGACCCTCCACGAGTCTCTTCTTGCCCTCACTCTTCTCGGCGACCTGTGCAAAGTCTCTCACAACATCACCTCCAGGACGAACAGCTTGCGGCTGAGCGATCTCTTCTTGGACGCGGGCAAGAGGGCTCCCAACGGCGTGTCGAGGACTGCTCGATGGTCCCCTTGAGAACCTCTGCGGAGATCGTCCTCGGTCTTCGTTGCCGAGGACGGGACTGCCGTAGGGCGAATGCCGGCCATTTTGGCTGACAGAGTTAGTATTGAGTCCACTGGGTTGTGGCCTCCGTTTTGGCCCTCTTCGGCCATATTTTTGATCGGCTCTCCATCGAAGGATATCCATGTACGCAGGCTCCACGGTTTCGGTCTTGAACTCTTTCAGTTTGAGCTCTCCCGTCTCTTCATCGACAAAAACCTTTTCAGTATTCAAGTCATCAGCAACAGTGGCTAAGAAATGAGCCCATGATCGTGCAATGACATATTTGCAATCGTAGTCTCGACCGAAAAGGATGACTTGACCCCATCTGCCGGTGGGTCCAGGGGCGAGATCGATAGCAATGTTGTTTCCACCCCAGTCTCGGGCAAGAGAGATCCAGCTGGGATGGGCGTAGGCTCTCTGAATTGCCTTGGGGGGTTGTGACTCTTGTCGATCTAGCAACTCTTGTCGCCAATAACGATTGTTGTTCTGAGTCTGAGCGGAGGACGAGGAAGAAGCACCGTTGCTGAGACCCTTGGAGATGTAGGATTGCTTTCGGGATGCGCCACTCAAATATTCTTCATTAACAACCTTCCAATTCTTCCACTCATGAACGATCTCTTCACAATCGAGTAACATGCAACCAAAGATGATACCAGTGGGCCGGCCACCTCGTTCTTGGCCATCATGGACACCGAGTGATTCCCGGACGTCCTGGGGGAGCGACATATCGAGTTCATGTTCCAGTTCGTTGATGTCATTCTGAGTGCAGCCTTCACAAAGTTGATCCCAGAGCTCGGGGTAATTCTTCTCTGCCCAGCGATCAATCTTTTTCCAGGAGTGAGAGACAGGTGGAGGAGGTGGGCCGCCGTCTGCGAAACTCTGCATTTGGATTTCGCCAGGAGAGAGGGTCTCTTCGATGGACATGGTTGCGGTCTTGGGGGAGGATAGAGACCGCATCCCAGGCGAGTATGGCCTGGCCGGCGATTGCGGTAGTTGAGAAGAGGAAACTGAGGGTCGTTTAGAGTCATCATGGTAGGTGGACGGTAGGTCTTGGTGCGAGTCTCCTGCAGTTGTGGCAACCGAAGTCAGGGGAGCATGTCGGTCCTGGCCAACAGGCATATGCTGACCCGTCCGATAGGGAGAGTCATGGGAGGCATGGCGGTCGTTGGAGGTCATGGTATGCCAGAAGGAGCGCCATGCTGAAGCAAGACTTGCAAGGGTTAGTTGAGAATGAGCAGGCTGAAGGGGTAGAACTGACGGGTTTGCCATGGCAGGCTCGAGAGTGGTGGTGGTAGTGGGTGCCACTTTGACGGATTCCCAAGAGAGCGTTGGTGGATTAAAACGACATGTGTGTATGTAGAGAGTGTGGGATGGCTGTATGCGTTTGCTGTAGGCCGAACAAAGAGGTGGGTGTAGCCGCAAACAAAGAGAGGACGAACGCGGGAAACAAAGAGGTTCCCAGTTGGAGTGCAAGTTGAAGTTTGAATATCGACTGCACGAGAAAGAGAGACCAGGGTGTGCAAGTAGCGGATGGCAGGTAAAAGGACGGGGAGGGGAATGGGAGGTTAAAAGGAGGAAGTCAAGAGAAGGTGAGGTGGTGGATTGGAATTGAGATTGTTTGACTGGGATGAAGGATGAAGGCGAGGGTTTTTTGGGTGGAGAATCGGGATGGTGAGGTTGAGGGTGAGTGGAAGTGAGCGAGACGCTGTCACGTTGGAGACCGCAGGCAGGCAGAGCGCAGGAGGACGAGAACGAGGAAGGGAGCAGGTGGAGGAAACGCGGTCAGGACTCAGGAGAGGCAGAGGTAATTACAGGTTCTCGTCGTGGACTCGTGGGACGGCGTCCTAAGTAGTCGTTGGTTACAGTGCAGGTGCCGATAGACAACCTTCCCACGCCTAATCCCTCCCCTAACGATCCCCTGGGGGAAACTTCTTGGCGGTTTGATGGCGCCCGAGGAGCACGGAGGACGGAGTCTACTCGGCACTAGTTCATGCCTATGTACGAAGCTCAACAGCCACCTTCCGGGTAAGCTGGCCCTTTTTATTACGATTATTATTACCACCGGCGGTATAAGGTAGAGTCTACAGAGGGCCTGGCCTGTCTCAGGTAATTAATGACCACATCTCTAGGCACCCCGTCCGTATTTGCAGTGTCTACACGAGGCCCTCGCACTGTACGGAATACCTGGGCATATAATCATCATCATAATCATGATACTCGTCTTGGCTTGTTTATGATAACCGCCCTCGTCTTCGTCCAGACTGCGCCTCTCCCCCAGCTGAACTGCATTGACACGCGTCAGTCTTGACTCAGATGCATATACTAAGACAGGACGATCTCACCAACAATACCTTCGTGTTTCTATACTAGTCCTTGCTACCCCGGTCACCCACCGTCACTCTCGAGTCTCAACCTCCCGTAAATACCAAACGTGGGCAGGATTCTTATCAAGTGCGCCATCCTCGCTTGCCCATCAACCATGGAAACTTTGTTATCACTTGTCGCGCTTCGAGGACGAGGACGAGAACGCGTTGCATTTCGTGGCTTGCGAACAAGCTTCTAAGCGCCTCCCGCTAGCCGATAGGCTGACTGTGCCTTGCCGAGACTGGCAAATGAGAGCCCCGCCCGCAATGTTAAGGGATGGCCACAGCGAGCGGAATATCCCTAGTCCGCTCAAGTGGCAAGAGCTACCATGAATGAATCAAGGAAGGAGATAAAAGGGGGCCTCGAACGATGGGAGCGGGTCGCTCGTGCCTCTCTGAGTCTCCTCCCTTCTTGCCGTGTGCCTGCTGTTTGACGAGTCAATGAACAGAACACCTGGTTCATTCCTCTATCGCCATTCGCCATGTCCTAGATCATGTTATAGTCATTGTCGATCTCGTGGATCGTCAAACATTGTTTTGCTATTTGTACTAGGGTCCAGCGAGCACCCCCAGTCATTTCCATCTCCCGAGTCCTGAGCCACATTTCACAAGCAGGGCCTGACTGATCTAAGTATTGAATTTCTTAAGCCACGCCTGGCCACATAGCCACCCATAGCTGTGCAGAAAAACCCTCCGTGAAACTTGGTTTTCTGTGCAACATCATGGTTCTTGTTCCCTATGCGAGAGACATGGCCGTTGATCCTGACTTACCACCCTATATGTATATTTACAACGTCCTTGGTCCTTGGTTCTGTGTGCCTCAACATGCCACGCTTAGTTCAACGCTACCAAGACCTCAAGAATCGAACATTCTAGATTGCTGATAAGCGAGTCTCTTCATCTTCCAAGCTTTCACTTCTGGAGCTTAGCCGGCTGATGGTCGACATCGACCATCAAATATGAGACCCCAATGAATTCTGACAGAAGTGACGCCTTCGTCGTCTCTTCTTTGCGTCAAAGTCTAAGAACAGTTGTGCCCTGCATCGACAACAAGCCGCGTAATCACATGTCGGTCCAAATACAGAGAACATGAACTCGTATTCGACATTCCTCATCAGCACCAGCATTCTGCTCCGGAAGGATTTCTGATAACATGCCGTGCATCGGTGAGTCGGACATTCAAGAAGGAATCACCACAATAAAAGGTATCATTTCGCCACCCTTTAATGCAGGTACACAAGACTTCTCCGTGGTTCGACGTTGAAGCCTGCATCATGCAACCACGGGTTGGTTGTTGATAAGTATAGAATTTCAACCAGTGATACTTCTGGGTGCTCATCCCGCCCCGTCCCTTGGCAGTCATCACTGATCAGCGTTGCCTATTGCGCCCACAAGCAGACCGGCCGAGCATTACTGCCCAGCTACCTGAATTCTTGTTCCTCGACAATGCCGTAGATCAGAGAGGCGGCTCAGCCCTTGTTGTGTATTCCCGGAAGAACAGATCGGATGTGATGTGGGGCGGAGTTGCAACCTCCCTGCACTTTCAAGTTGGTGCAAATCACTAGACAGGCGCCGACCTCTTCAATCAACCGCGAAAGGATTTTTTGACTCTGCTTGTCCGTAGCGGTCTATCTTGCTCGGACATCTCTATTTTCGATACCGTCAACCTCTTTTGGGCGAAGGAGTCCCTCCCCAAATCATATCCACTTCTAAAGCCTTTGGCCGCTTATTAATAAGGAGGGTAGAGCGAAAGAATACCCTCCCTTTAAGGGTGCTCTATCACCCTATAGGACTGTAATCATCCCTGTATGATTTACTAGACGAGACCAAATAGGAGTGATAGCATTACCACGACGGGAAAAGGCAATGGTCGTAAGTACGTTCGTGGCTCATTCAAAAGGCAGCGAGGAAAATGGTGAGACACGTCTTCATGTTCAAACAATACTTGTATTTAACATTGAATCAACCACGCTGTATGAAATCTATAGGATGCATATCCTGCTCCCACACCATCAACATGAACATCCACGACCAAAGCAATATCCACAAGTGTGACATGAACCAAAGACTTGAAACATCATCAAAGACATGGTGCGAAGACAAAATCTCGTCTATTTAGTTGAAATCATCAAAACGAAAAACATTCGACAAGCTTGAATCCCCCGCCTCACCCTGTTCATGCTTTCACGTTTGAGTCGTGGCATCGTGCCACATTCAAATGGCCTTGAACTTCCTCGCAAGGATTAAACTGGTGGTGACGATGGCGATGATCACACCAACAATGCCAAAAAACCAACCAAGATCACTTCCTCCTTCCCCGGGAACATGAACGTTCATGCCAAAAAGACCGGTGATTAAGTTCAGGGGGACGAGCATGGTCGCTAGCACTGTGATTCGGGCTAACGTCTTGTTCGTGTGGTTCCCCTTGAGAAGGTTGTCGACATTCAAATGGGCTAAGTAGTTAGCATGTGACCGAGAGAGCATTTTCTCCACATGACCCAAGTTGGACATCATGGTGACAACGTGGTCCTGGATATCGCCCAGATACAGTCCAATGTCACCACGAGGCGTCATCTGGTACTGATCAGTGCACCGCTTTGCAAATCCCTTGATGACATCGGCCTTGCCACCCAGCAGGCGCATCATGTTAAGGACGCGCTTGCGACACTCGCCAATCTGGCGAAGGAGCGCAGAGTAATCGTTCTCGCGAGCGATAAACACCTGGTCTTCAATTTCCTCGGATTCACGTTCCGCATCGCGAATGATAGGTGCGAAAGAATCGACAATGTCATCGATCATAGCGTAGCAGATGTAATCCGGCCCGATAGACAGAAAATCGCCTTGTTTGGAGATACGCCGGCGGACATTGCGGGCATGCGGGTTTGCTGTGTAACTGAAGCTCAAAACACCGTCACTGCATACAACAATATAAACATGGATCGGATCAAGAAAATCCTCGCTCCTGACATTCGGGTTGAAAGTGCGGAAACAGACAAAGTAATACTGTGAGAAGAGCTCGACTTTCTCACGAGCTTCTTGGGTTTCGATATCTTCACGAGTGAGGCGATGGATTTTGAATGCCTTTGCAATGACCTCGAGCTCGGATTTTGTGGGGTTGAGAATGTCAAGCCACCAGACGCCCGCACCATCTGGTCCAACATCGAACAGATCGCGGAAGGTGGTCCCATCGGCTGTAAAGTCTCCTAGCTTGTTTGCACTCTTTCCATGAAGGAACTCGGATGAAAATAAGAAGAATCGATCGGTGGATTTGCTGGGTCCTAGTTTGTCTTTCTGCGTAACCTTTTCGTCTGACGAAGTCCCGGTCGTGGTTGTATCATAACAGTTCAGGGGCTGTTCGTAAAAAGCCTCGCCGTTCAGAGCCACATTTGGCGCACTGTGGCTTGTTTCAACCTTTCGAAGGTCATCAAAAACAACGTTGCTCCCGCCAGATCGATCTGGGATGCTATCCGGGATCTGGCCCTGGGCACATAGAGCAACATATTCCTCGAGCTCTTCAAAATCAATCTTGTAGGTCTTTCCCGGCTCCTCGTCAGTAGGAAAGATAATGGCATCGTCGTCGTCGTCACGATCGGTTCGCGCGGTTCGCGAAGTGAGTGCAGCTGGCACGCTAATATTGGTCAAGGTTGGGCGTCGCTGGCTTGTGGCACCCGAGTGAGTTCGTCGGAGAACATGCTCAACAAATGAAGAAGAATGACTCTCGGCAGTGTTTGCGCGCTGCCGTCGACGTGGTTCAGCGAAGGCCTCAACAGAGTTGGCAGGTGAAGTTGAACGAGAGGAGGATGTGTCCCGGGAGCGATCCTGGCGGGGTACTCGAGGGCGCCCTTCTCTGTTTGTGGTTCTGCGATGATGGTTGGACACTTTTTTGGCGCTACCAGGTTGCCCATCATCGTCATCAGACAGCTCATCGTCTAAAATTGCCTGCTCAAAGTCGCGGGCGATGGGGTTCTGTTCCAAGCTGTGCAGGAGGCTGGCATCGATCCGTTGCAGGTCCTTCTCATCGATACCACTGGGCGCCGGAGTAGGGTGCTCAACCTCAACAGAAGGAACAACCAAATGATGATGGGGCTGGACTACTCTGCGGCGATGGTCATCGAGCTCGGGGGCTGGAGTACTGAAGCGAGTGTCCAGATTCTGTGAGTGGACTGAGTCAGAGGACGACATGGTGTATCGGGTCTGCTGCGAGAACTTGTCCTAATTTGACCGAGCAGCGCGCGGTAATCAGCGCACGGAATTTGCTGGATGGGCCAGCTTGAAAGAAAGTTCGGAGTCAAAGATCCGCCAAGAGGATCGATCGCTGTTCAAACCAATGAATTTTTCTATTAATGAGTTCCGGTAGACTTCCTAGGCCATGCCAGGCCTAGGGAATTTTCAAAGTGCCTTAGATCAAATTATGGAGGACGAGTGGTAGCGCCACAGAAGATCATGGGTGCAGTGCCGAGCAATGGGCGGATGGGGGAGGAGATGAAGACGTTTGAGCCCGCCAACTTGAAGGCTAGGGGAGGGAACGAGGCGTTATCGAGAGCCAGATTGAGAGTGGGCCTTTGTGGACAAGAAAGACTGGTAGCAGTCTTCCTTAAAGCCAAATTTGCGTAGTGATGATGCGCAGGGGATAGAGTCGATGTCTAATTCAAGACAAGGACTCGGAAACGGGAGACAGAACTGAATCAAGTCTGTCAAGGGGCTTAAAAATCCTTGAATTGGGGCGTTGGGAATGAAGTGTCAAAAAGTGAGAACTCTTGGAGTTGTGAGAAGAAGAGAGAAACACGTCCGGGGAGGCAGCGAAGAGGTTGCATTATAACAAATTGTCACTGGTCAGCTGTTCCTGGCCGCAGGAACCCAGTTTTTGGCGCCGAGGAAAAAAAAAGTTGGAGCAAGCAAAGGAAGCGAGGGGCCATTTGGCCCATGAGCAAACAGCTGTCATAGTATACCAAGATATGGCATTAGTGGCTTAGCGGGGCTGCAAGCTGTGACTAGCAGTCATTTTTACTGTTTGGACTTTTTCGTAGTCTCGATCTAGCGCCACGCTATCTCACTATTATGCCGATGACTCAGTCGCAATGCAAGCCGCCCCACCAATAAAGCCAAACTTCAAGTTTGAGGACCTACGAGTAGGAGTGATACTTCTTGGGGCGATGAGTCACGTGGAGCTCGCGCTAAGGCCACCGCCAGCGAGTCAGAGTGTAAAAGGCCACCCTGTTGCACGATCCATCAAACCCACGAGAACATGCACATGCCTGTGTCCACCCTAAGGAAGCAGTCACAACGATCTGGTTATTGGAGCCATCGACCTCAAAGCACCGGCACGGTCAATGCCTATTTGAAAGTCGATCCTTTATCCCACTCCTAGTCATCGCGCCTCTTTTCGCTCAAGGGGGAATTTCCTCGATCCCGGCCACCGACTAGTACCAAGTCCTCATTTCACCCAACACACGTACACCGGCACCATGGATGCCCTCGTCAGCCAGATTCAGGATCTGTTTGAAGGCCAAATAGTACGCATGCAATTCCATCTCAATCATCATACCCTAACAACATGTTCCTCCAGGATTTCAAGGGCCAACGAATCGCCGAGAGCATTTCTACCGTGTTGTTGACCATCACTTCGGTATTGTTCTGTGCCTATCAAAGACCTCGGGCCAGCTGGACTAACACCTCCCAAGGTCATCGCACTCATTATTGGATTCGTTCAACAAGATATCTATTTGACTTTGTGGGTCGGACTACTAGGCACATTGCTTGCCATGCTTGTAGTGGTCCCAGCCTGGCCTTTCTATAACCAGAATCCCCAACCCTGGGTCGGCTCCAATGCTGCATTACTGTCTGGGGGAATCGTGGTGGGAGGAGGGAAAGCACCACGGTGACGAGCTTGTTTCATTTCCAGCCAAATTCTATCTGCAGCATCTCTCCACAGTCAATTCATCCCTTATGGTTCCCAGCTTCGACCATTCATGCGATCTTCGCTTTACTTGGTCTCCATACATCTGGCTGCCTTGTAATTTGGCAAATGCCAACTGGTGTCAGGTTGTGGACGACCGTGTCCCATTGCAGATCCTGTTGTGATTTGCCCATCTCTTGGGATTCTCATATGGCCGTCGTGGCTTTGAGCGGCTTGCATCGGCAGTAGCCTCCCACAATTTATGCATAGTCACCAATCGCAGCTATTTTCTATCGACCGTATTTCTGGAACTCCCAATCTCGATTGTCAAGGGGACAGACTTGTCGGGTCTTAAGCCATCTCGAAATGCAATGGAAGTGGAAGGCGTGCTGTGATTGGAATTAGCAACGGTCAACATAGGAAAGGTAGCCTTAGACGTACATTGCAAATGCCCCAGGCAACGGTACATTCTTCAGTGATGGCGGCGCCCTGGTTTGCTTGACACTCGATACCTAGAATTCCTGTCAGATAATCTGACCATCGAGGACAGGAACTGAGAGCACTGCATACATAGATCCATGATATGATTCCGGCAAATGGCGCAGTTGTCGACTACAATATCCCAAGCCCATAGTGCAACGGCATTCCACTATAAGAGAAGTATTAGAACCATCCAATTGTGGATCAGTCCGTGGTATAGGTGTACCTTCTTGACTTCGAATCTTTTCTTGCTATCGCCACCTTCCACAGCACCGCCTTTGGAGGCCTTGACAACTGCCTTGGGCTTTTCGGTGGATGAACTGGCGTCAGCCATTTCAACGTCAGCCATGGTAGATCGGTGGCCTGGGTGAAGTCGAGGTGAATGCGGGGTCAACGGCAGAGAGGCCAGATAGAGATGGACTTCGGAGGATGCGTGCTGTGTGTTTCAGAGATTCGGATCTTGGATCAAGTGATAGGGTGAGAGACAGTGCAGGGCTTGGAACGGAGAGGCAAGGCTGAAACGGAAATGAATGAGCAATGCCGCCCGTATACCACTCGTACTGGGGCGAGGAGTGCAGTTGGGGAACTATGTACAGTACTTACTGTAAGGCGCCCGCAGGCAGTATCACACGTGACCTTCGTTTTTGCTTCGTCAGAGTCACGAAGCACTCGTAATTGCAGCACGTGACCTTGGTTTGTTGTCAGAGTCACCACTTGCAAATTGCCACCATGAAACCAACCCTCCAGCCTACCGCCTGCAGGTGGCCACTGCCAATCGACCACTTACGCTCTTGGCATCTTTGTCTCTCCCCTTCTTGTTCTCCCCTGCGTCACTAATTATCGCCCGAGTCATTCCTCCTCCATCGTCCCATCGTTACTCCATCCTCTGTACCATCTTCCCACAAGGCCACCCCTCTTCCAACTTCCCTGTCAGTTACAAGTAGTCCGCACCACGGATCACCAGACTGCTCGCCCTCTCAAAGACATCTACCATTTGCTGCCCTCACCACAGCACCATATCCTCTTGCAAACTTCTTCTTCGCCATTCTAGCCTTTGTTGACCTGGCTGCCGTCTTTTTCTGACTAGCTCAGGCCGCAGAACCTCATCTCCTCAACTACCATAACCTATACCCTTCACCCTCCGAAATGCAACATATTACTTCTACCACCAGACTCATCTCACATCCACCACGATTACAGTATCCAAGCCTATTCGCCCTCCCCCTCCACAAACCCACAAGATAGACATTCACTCTACTTGTCGTCTTTTGTCAATCTATTGAGCATCTGAGCGTTCTGCATTTCCATTACATCTCTCTGTCAAGGTCTGCTGGCTGCCAATTCATCAAGCCTGCTTATGAACATTATGAACACAATGTCTACTCCACAACAGCAGTCTACAAAGGCTGCCAGACGATCGGGCAAGAAGCCACGTCCATCGGAACCTCAGGATGCCGCCCTACCTGTTTCTGCACCCGAAACGCACAACACCCCGCCAAAACAAACAAAGAACAATCCCAAAGGCCAACCTCGTAGGTCTTCACATGCCCAGAACTTCAAAAATCACATTGATGGCAACCTCTCGGACCGGGGCAAATACAACAATCCTCATCTAGAGAAGAACAAAGCTACTCCGGTGAAACAGCCTGCCTATGCCGGTTCTACCTTTCAACAGTCGCCTGCAGCATCAGCTCTACCAATGCCCAGCTTCTACTCCAAGTCACTCCCTACCGCTGGCTTTATTCCACCCCAACCCACCAAAGAACCTTCTCCTCCACTTCCAAGCTCAGCTACGCCTCCGCATGACTCACCAAGCAAGCGCGAGTCAACTCCTTGCGATTTCCTTTTCGAAGCAGCCAGACAGGCAAAGGCTACCCCTCGTGGAGACAGTCCTGCAAACTTCCCCGGAAATCTGTCGGTCCCGACTGGCAGTCCTGCTTCAAGGTCTCCAGGCCCCAAAGAAGGCGATCAAATGTTTCCATTTGAGCTGGATGGTGCAGCCGCTCCCGGGGAGGATGGGTTGTCCTTTGCCACTCCGTACAAAGATCGCATGGCTGCCCTGAGATCGACAAGATCTACTTCTCAAGGCGTCAAGAATATGGATGAGACTGAACGGAAAGCGAAGACCGAAGCACTCAAGAAACTTTTGATGAAGTCGAGCGGTCAAAATGGAAACCCAGTGATATCTCCTCAATCCGATCCCCACAACCCATTCAACGCAAAGGCTCCACACCCACAGAACAATTACTCGTTTCAAGGCGCTTCTCTAGTGCGTCCCAATTCGAATCCATCTACTCCTGTTTTCATGCAGGAACGTAAGGATTACCATTCTCAACCGTCATTTTCTCAAATTCCTTATTATCATGCTTCCATCCCAGTACAAACCCCCAAACGCCCTGCTTCTTCCGGATTGAGGAACGTCTATGGGGCTCAGAACGAGCCCGAGTATGCGGAACTGTCCTCGGATAGCGCTATTACCCCACCAGCTACTACAACGTGGAAAAAAGCACCTCGATCAACTCAACAATTTGGCGCTTTTGTCGGACAACCCTACGCTCCACAGCCACAAATGCCTACACACCGAAGCAAACCCAGCGCGCAGCAACTGGAGGACGATTTGAGACGTGTTTTGAAATTAGATCTAACATCTCGAGGATGAGCCTTTAAGCAGGCAAGCTAACGGAAAGCAACAACTGGAATGGGGATCTACAGGCAGGGAGCTCTTGAGCTTTTTGGTCGGTACTGGAATGAGAGGAGACTTTATGAGACAGAATAGGCAACTTATGAGATAACATGTCTGAAAGAGGGTATGACATTTATTGATGATACCTTTGCTTTGGAAAGCTTGTTGGGACTCTTTTGGGGCTGGGCTTAGTCGGGGACGCTCGCTTGAAATGTATTTCTTTTGTTAGTTGGAATCCTATAAGACGGATCAAGTATCATGCCACTGCCTGCTGCTGGAAAGCAGAGTAGGGGCAATCTCTTTGCTAGCGTATCGAGATACTATCATAATGACACATTCATTAATATTCAACTCCGAGTCGTCTTGTCGTGCAGTGACGAGAAGCCCCTGGCTCTCCTGCTGTTTGATCCTTCCTTCAACCTTAAGACTTGTACTGTGACATCCCCCGATCCTGATGTGTAGGTAACTGAGGCCTTGGTCTTCCCATATCTTACATGGCATAGACATTTAAACGCTCAGATCAAAGTCGAGATTGGCGTTCGAGTTGATCCAGACATGCTAAACTGCACCGATCCCAGCAACCACCACGTGGCACGCATAACCTTCAATGCAAAATGGTGTCTTCTGTGATAGAGATAACTTGTATAAACCATGGGTGGCCCATGCAGCTCTCGGGTTCCAAGTTGGAAATACATTAGCATTACTCATTAAGCAGAGACGATTGTGCTGTCCGTCCCAGATGCTTTGCTGTAACTTCACAACTCATCCGCTTGGTGGGGAGTATGGACCACGGAACATCGGTTGTGCTTTTCAGAAGTTGTGGCGTCTCGGAGTAGTAGTGGTAGTTCGCGACGTGAATTCACCAGGTCATATCGTCGTATATAGATAGTTGTGCCATTTGGAGAACACGATCCCTTGGGGTTCTGCTTTTCCTTCCAAAGCGAAAAACATCCGCAGGCCCGTCCTTCTCAATCACTGCTCGCACAACCTCTGCACCCACAGTTGACGCATTGAATTCCCGCGCCGCCACCACCTCCACCAGCATCACCACCGCCATCCTCCCTCTTCAGCCCCGCTTTCGGCACGCGGCAAATACACGTCCCCGCAAAATTCGTCTCTTTGGTCTGCACACACCGCAGACAACACAGCTTCTCGTAGCCTTGCTTCTTCCACTTGGCGATCAGATTCATGTCGGCGTAGTTGTTCTTCAGCAGCCAGTCGTACAGCTGCTTGGAGATGGCTTCACGCTCGTAGTACAGGTCGTAGATGTAGCGCGAGCGCGCGTGCGAGATCTGGAAGATCGGCCACAGCGTCTCGTGCTTCTTCTTGCCCTCATGCGACGCGTTCTGTGCGTCCCGCATCTTGTTGCTGTATTCCAGGAGTGTGTCTTCGATGTCGTCGAACCCCGCTGGTGGCGGTTTCCGCGAGTTGCGCGAGCGGATTGGTGGCATGCTGGGGCGGAGGGTTTGGGGGATTCTGTGGTTAGGCTGTTTTATATTGTCTGCATGCAACGGTGCTTCGATGGTCGTAGTGAGTCGGTAAGCGGTGAAGTTGAGCGTCGAGGTGGGTGAGAGGTAAGTGGTGACTGATGTTGCTAAAGTACTCAGTCTCAGTTGGAGTGGAAATGCAAGGCTGCGAACTCTCGGATCGACTAAGGGCAAGAAAAGATCGCTAAGATGACTAGCTCCCCAGTCATCCCTCTTTAGGGCAAGTCTCGCGCCGCCCTGTCCTCGGCCTGATAGTGACCTCATCCCAATTTCCTGAAGAATCTCTGGCGACATTCAGGGCTTAGATTTCTTGCTGAGAAGCGTAACATTTCTCGTTTACTCGTACGAGAGGAATGGCAGTTCTTGTGTGACATTTTCATGTGCATCCGGGATGTTGTAGTCGCCGCACTACCCTCCACGTTGTTGAGAAAATATGTGCCAGCGAAGGCATAAAATTGATGGAATTCTTCCGCCCGCGAACACCACTTTCTGACTGTGCTTAGCAAGCTTGCATCGAGCAACTCACCGCAGACCTAGAATCTACTGCAATTTATGCATTACCAAAAACTGCTCTCCCTTCAAGGCTGAACAACCAGTCATCGAAGCCAATTTCACTTGGCCAGCGCATTATGGAGATCCGAACCAGATAGTTCTGGTGAAATGGAGTTTCCGCATCTGATAGATGTGCTCTATCCAGGTGGATCTCTTACTAATATACCAAACTGTTGGGGCCGATGGCTTCAAGGTTCGCATGGCCAGTTTTGCCAGAATGGTGACGGATATTCTGGTCGTGACGAGCAACGAGCTGATATTCATGGAAGCACCATATCTGTCCATCCAGCCAAGAATTGACTTATAATGTACTGCGAATACTTCGACCGATGGTCCTTTGAATCAGATTTTATTTCACTCCTTGACTAACACTGAATCAAGAGTATTGTAGTCGAGCCATAAAACTGTCGTATGGACACCAGGATGACTTTCAAGCTCATCATCCCTATAGTTCTGTTGTTTAGTACAAGGCTTGTATTTGGAATCTGTCCACCATTTTCTGGATCTTTCTTTATTGAACAGCAAGGCCTGTATCCTGAGGGTGCTGACTGGGATCCCAATACTTGCACACTATATCTTGGGTATGTGCTGATGAGATTAACGCACGAAGATAGCAAAACTAATCAGTTACGAAAGATCTTTGTTCAATTGTTCAGTCATAGCATACAATCCGTACAACAAGACATCGGAAATTATCAACATCCCAGGTATCTCACATCCTGGAAGTGACAATTACACCGAGTACCATCTCAATGGCATCGAATATAACCCGAAAACCGGTCACATACTGGTCTCGGTCTCGTCCGCAGAGTCATTCGTGAGTGTAATAGCTCCAGGCCCAGACAATACAATTGCTGTCAATTATTCGAACGCGAACTACACTGGACCCAACCACCTTCTCGTGTATGACCCAAAATCCAAGCGGGTGATTGCAGATCTGAGTCTCGACGTGGCTCAGGCCGAATATGAGGCAGCCACTGGTAATTTAACCAATGGATTTCAAGATGTGGCCGCCGTCAATACAACTGGAGATTCCTATCTCATTGGGACCTTTGGAAATTCGATCGTTAAGCTCATTCGCGACACAACCATCCCGCATGTCTGGTATGCGCCCAGGAACTACAGTTACCAGTATGGTTTCGGCGGTATCGCGTCTCTGGGTGACAAGCTTATTGTGTCTGATGCCATCTCAGGTGGTTTCGTGACGTTTGATACTCGAGAGACGGAGCCTCAGCCAACCTATGTGAAACTTCAAGACTTGCCATCCAACTATAGACCACTCAACGCGGATGGGGTCTACCTGCCTAAGCGGTATGATGGCAAGGTTGTTCTGTGGTCCGATGACTACAATGGAACTTCTGTCTACGGGAGTGACAACGATTGGGCCACCGCTCATTTCATAGGTCTCATCGTCAACGATGATCCGGGCCGAATTCAGGGTTCGATGACCACTGCCTGCTTCGAAATCAATGATAGAGTCTATGTGCTCAATCAAATATTCCAATTCGCGCTCCCTGTCAAACCGCGGAAGAACTTTCCCTTTTTTGATATAACCGTGCAACTGGATGCTCTCGTTGCGAACAGCTTCCTAGCAAACTCGACAAAGCCATGACACCCGGCTAGGGCAGAGAAAATTCCTTGACATTGGGCCTTGGCTCCCATATGCTCGATAAAAACAGGATCAAGGCGTATATAAATTGAATGTTGAATATAATACTGAATGCATCGTTCAATATCCTTGAGATGTCACCGTCAATGCTTCTTCTTCACAGAGGGTGTGCAAAGTGTACTAAGAAGTTGTTCTACGTTCTCTCTAAGTAAGAAGTTTCTGCCTCGGCGACACGATTTGACCAATCCTGTAGATGACTAGTCCATGAACGACCCGTAAATTGTACTATAGGTTTTGCTAAGCTACAAAGATGTTGAACTTTGTCAACCCTGCCTGCATTCTCAAGCTCCCTGTGCACAACTACTGTAATTAGGTCAGATCTGGAATCAATTGTGTTGCCCACAATGCCGTGTGACCCCCCTGACCGCATTTGCACAAGGGGTTGGGAAACTGGCTTTGACTGGCATTCAGCAAATGGTGGTTTTCACAACTGGAGCCGAATGGAGCCGATGAGAGGAAACGGTTAGACGATTTCTCTTTCAGGGTATTCAATCGTTGGTCGGGGGGTGCTGTTGGTCCTCGGATGGCGACCAGGGCTTCCTTGTGTCTTGGTAATCTGGGCGATAATCCCCTACTAAATCTTGCGGAACATATCCCGTCCGAACGATTCCCCGCCTTATGAGCACACAGTAGCTCATCCTGGGGACATTGGGTCCGGGGAAGAATAAGCTCATGAGCGGGTCCATTTGATCAATTCTTCAGATCCAAGGCCTGTCGCCGTGCATGATTTACTTGTGTATACGAGATCATTTCACACGAATCAATCATTGAGCAGTGAGTCAAACTGCGGTGTAGCCCCTTTTTAGCTCTTAGTGTTGTGCAGGGGTGTCTTACACCAATCTTTTTGGTTCAGACATCTTGCAATCTTTGGAGCTTCCGTGGGCCCAAAGCTGGCAAGAATAGCCCAGAGATGCGGCAGGTGCTTATCCCAGATTCATTAATCTTAACCATTTGAGTGTTTATAAAGATTGGAATCCCGGTGGAGGTCCTTCAAAAGAATCTTCAGATTTCAGAGACTCTCTTCTCGGTCACCGTGGGTGAGCTCGCAGTGAAACATGGGTGGTCTCTGTTGATGTTATCCATTACTCATAGCACTGCTCTGATACTTAAGGTCGTGCTCATTTTCTCAGATCTCAGCGGTTTTTCAGGGTAGCTGATACTCTCACCTCCGGTATTGCATGGTGAGGACGCAGGATGATCGGGTTCTTCGCAATCACTGGACTTGCCTTCCTCTTGCCCAGCCTTGCATCAGTTGTGCCACCAAAGGCACAAGCACCTTCCCAGGTACAGAAGCGAAACCAAGGCCATCGGCATGACTGTCTTAATAGTCCAACGACGCGCGGGTGTTGGAAGGACGGGTTCAGTATTTATACTGATTTCGACTTGGAAGTCCCTTATACTGGAAGCACAATCACCTACAACTGGGAGGTTACAAATTCTACGTGCGATCCTGATGGTGCTGGGCCCAGGACCTGCTTTCGTGTAAATGGCGAATACCCTGGCCCAGTACTCCGAGCCACCTGGGGGACACTGTGGTCGTAAATGTTAAGAACTCGATGCAGGATAATGGTACATCGGTGCACTGGCATGGCGTCCGTCAGTGGCATAGTGCTGATCAAGATGGTACAAATGGCATCACGGAATGCCCAATTGCGCCTGGAGATACGCGGACGTATAAGTTTCAAGTTACGCAATACGGCAGTTCCCTCTATCACTCGCATTTTAGTGCACAGTATGGAGATGGAATTGTTGGGCCCATTGTTTTTGAAGGGCCCGCTTCAGCCAACTATGATGTCGACCTGGGCCCATACACGATCAACGAGTGGTACTATTTGACGTCATGGCAAGTCGCCTCACTTTCCACTGCAGCGTTACAAGGAAAAGGTCTACCACCTCAGGCAGATACTATGATTATAAATGGAACTGGCACCAACGCGGACGGAGACGGAACACACAACAAAGTAAAAATTCAGAAAGGAAAAAGATACCTCCTTCGACTGATTAACATCGGAGTCGACAACTACATTCGAGTTTCCCTAGACAGCCATCAACTTCAAGTCATCGCAGCTGATTTTGTTCCAATCGTCCCTTATTACACAGAAACATTGCTTATAGGTGCTGGACAGCGATACGACGTCATCATCGATGCCAATCAAATTAGAGGCAACTATTGGTTTCGGGCTGATGTTGCGACCGCATGTTTCAGTACGAACCACCACAATGCGACGGCTATTTGGACGTATGAAGGAGCGGGAGAGGATTTGCCAACAACAAGTCCCTATCATTTCCCCTTCGACTGCTCCGAGCCGCAGGCCATGATGCCAATAGTGTATCAGCCGGTCCCCTCGGAGAATCTTTATTCTGGTTTCAAAGAACTAGATGTTAACTTTACTAATCAAGTCATTGTACCAGGAGGCGATTCAATCACGGTATGGGCGATTAATAGTGTCGCCATTAATGTGGACTGGGACAAGCCAACGCTGCAATATGTGATGGAAGGTAATACAAGCTATCCTGACGACCTGACCATCTTCCCAACGATAAGTGAAGGAGGTTGGAATTATTGGTTGATCCAGCAGTCGGCCGCCGTGCCCAAAGTGCCCCACCCAATACATTTGCATGGTCATGATTTCTTTATCCTAGGGCAAGGCTACGGCCTATTCAATGTAAATAACGTTAGTCTCAATTACGACACTCCTGCTCGCCGAGATACGGCCAGCGTATACGGAGGTGGTGGAGGCGGTTGGCTAGCTCTCGCATTTGAGTCGAACAATCCGGGTAAGCAGTATGATACTGAGTGAAGCCTGCTTGTACTGACGCTTTGACAGGCGCATGGCTCATGCACTGCCATATTGCTCGCCACATCTCTGCCAGTCTGGGAGTCCAATTTTTGGAGTCTCCTTCTCTGATTCCCTTACCGAACCAGAGTTCATTTGAGCAGGCCTGTGCAAGTTGGAAAGCTTACTCGAAGACCGCCTATTGGAAAAAGGAAGACTCCGGCCTTTAGAAACCCACCAGCGTATGTAGGTGCATGCAATACGATATGTAAAGCACACATGATGGACATAGTAGCTTGGCTTTGATATGTGAGAATGAATGCTGTAACGTAGGGTCTCTAGTGGTATGACTTCGTGATTACTGGCACCGAGCCGTTCTACAAGGGAACGACTCTCATCTCAAGTCAATAATTTCCAGAGGAACACGAAAGTATTATACTGGAACTGCTATTTTGGTATTGGAGAAACCACAAAGATTGATGTCATCCAAGAGACGAGCGTCTAACGCCGTGGGTACGGAATAAGAGCGCGCCTATCCATCTTGGGGAGATGCAATGAGGAGAAGAGAGGCACTGGGGTGTATGTTTTGTAATCGTCTTGGGGCCATCCGAGGCAGCTTGGCCAATGTCATTCGCGAAGATATGGAGTACTCTGAGAACAAACCGCGTACTTCCTGGTTCATCATAAATTGCAATGTCTACCAGATACCAGAAAGTCACGTTAGGCAACTAAAGTGGCTGGTATCATCATCCAGAAATTATCCGGGTATGGCGCAAGAACCAAATGTCAAAATTGGCGATGTCCCCATTCTGTTCCGACCCCTCAAGCATCCTGAGCTTGGAGTCAGCGGATATGATGGGCCAGAGCATTCAGTGACCATCCTCAAGGCGGGACATCAAAGAGAAGAAGGAGTCAAGGCTTTTGAGGTTGACACTATTTATGAGAAAGATGTCGAGGTTCCAATGCGCGACGGTGTCATCCTCAAAGGAGATATCTTTCGTCCAGCGAATTCTGATTCTTTGAAAGTACCCGCTATCATCCCATGGAGCCCGTATGGGAAAACTGGCAGAGGTAAGAAGGCCTAGGAAGGCAGAATTAAGCTAATTCGGGAAAATAGGCTTGTCTTTGAACATAATGCCCGGAAGGATGGGCGTTCCAAGGGCCAACACATCGGGCTATGAGAAATTTGAAGCTCCTGACCCCGCAGAGTGGACTGCTCGCGGCTATGCCATTGTCAGTATCGACTCTCGAGGGTCCTGGGACTCGCAAGGGTATCTCTGGTTCGTCTGCTCTAAACCTCTGTGTCTGATCAATGTCTGATCACGGCCAAATAGCTGGGCTGGCACCCAAGAAGGAAGAGATGGGCACGATGCCATCGAATGGGTTGCCAAACTTCCCTGGTGTACTGGAACCGTGGCCACAGCAGGCAATTCATGGCTGGGTCGATCACAGTGGTACATTGCGGCTGAGCGGCCTCCGTCATTGAAGTGTATAGCTCCCCTTGAAGGCTCAGGTGATCTTTACAGGGAGATTCATGTTCGGGGAGGAATCGCTTGCAAACCTTTTTTAGAATGGATGATGACGAATTTCAGAGGTATTGCTATTCGGACCATGACCTAGGGAAAAAGACTGACCTATAGCGCAGGAAGAGGCTACATGGAGGATCCCGTAGCTATGCTGAAGAAATACCCTCTCATGAACGACTACTGGAAAGACAAACGTGCACTAGTGTCCAGCATAGAGGTTCCAGCATATGTCCTCGCCAGTTACTCTACATTCCTCCATTTGCCTGGGAGCTTACGGGGCTTTGAAGAGATTCCACACAACAAGAAATGGTATGCAACATACGTGTTTCACGCAATGACACATTTACGAGAATCGATCTAATACCTTGACAGGCTGCGGATACACGAAAGTCAGGAATGGCATGACTTGTATCAGAAAAGAACCAGTGATGAGCTCCAGGTCTTCTTCGATCGCTACCTCAAAGGTGTTGACAATGGGTGGGAGTCCACCCCTCAGGTCCGTGTTTCATTATTGGGCTATAACCAGTGCAATATTCGAAATCAGGTTTACAAGGCATGGCCTCCACCGGAGACGAATTATACAACGCTTTATGCAGGGGCCCATGGAAAATTGCTTGGAGATGCTGGAAAGTCCCATGGGGTTGTCTCTTACCAAGCTGATGCCGACGCTCAACAGGTAGACAATGATTCCCATGAGCTTCACTTCAAATGGAAGATACCCGAGAGAACGTTTCTTATCGGCTCTGTACGGGCGGTTCTCTACTTATCTTGCAATGACCTAGACGATATGGACATATTCCTTCAGGTCCGCAAGGCTGATAAGAATGGAAGCATACTTCGAAGCTACAATGTGCCCGACGACGAAATGGCCGCCATGGGAATCTCGCGAGAAAAGGTTCCATTGACAAATCCGGTGGTATACCTTGGTCCTCATGGCCAAATCCGAGCAAGTCACCGTGCTATCGACACTCGCATCTCAAAACCGCACTACATTTCACACAGTCACTTGATGGAGGAGCGTATTCCAAATGGAAAAGTTGTGAAGGTTGAGACTAGCATCTGGCCGGGAGGGATCATTTTTGAGAAAGATGAATGCCTGGTGATAAAGATCAGCGGTCATCCAATGTACTTGGCAGAGTTTCCAACCTTGAGGGGAGCGTTCAAGGCAAACAACAAAGGTCTACACAAGTTATACATTGGTGGAGAGGAGGCATCCCACTTCGTGGTTCCATTTGTCCAGCCATCATCATGAGCGGAGACTACGACTGCTTTTTAAGCAATGCAATTTTGAACTATCTACGACTGGCACCCATCCTCTAGACTCGCAACATTTATATTCGGTTGACGCATACTCACAGACAATTTGACCGTTTTAATAATCAGCGGGTTGCGTGTAGCCAATATACATACATTTTAGCCACAAAAGAACTTGCGTGTCAATGAACGGGGTCTAGTATTCAATCACATATTTCTATAGAAATTGCCTCTATTCGACATGAAATGTCATGTGCTGTTTCAATTCAACCCCGTTGACGACTGGGTTGTTTGAAGGTGTTAGAACACACAAAATCCTTGTCCACTCGTTTGTATCGTTATCCCACCCGTGCATGGTAGCTCGCTGAACAACAACCCCGCCTTCTGCAACCGGTGTTTTGGATCCATCATCCAGCGTCAACGATACTATACCCTTGAGCACCACGATATAGTCCTGAGAGATTGTTCGGTGGAAGCGCCCGGTGGAATGGGGAGGAAAGTCGACGATACGCATTACTGAACCACCGTTCACGATCCCAGTCTTGACTTTTGCTCGATCATCCGTGACATTGACGTCCGCAGGAATGGAGTCACTTGACCATAGTAACTGAGCAGCATTGCCGTGGTCCATAACCTCGGCGTTGATCAAGTCGTCGCGCTCGACGTAAGCTTTGGCATCAGCATTATGGCCGGTGACGACTCGTCTGATTGGAGGTAAGGGTGAATATGATGCCATTCCTTGTAGGTTGCGCTGTTGACAAATCCTTTATTGAGGACTGCGTTGGATATAATTTTTGGCTTCACAGTACCATTTCAAGAAGAACTGCTTCGAATCGTTTTCTTGTGTCTCAGCTTGACTTACAGCAGGTAGTGTTGAGCGAGGACTACGGACGATATTAGAGTATCACGGAACCTGGAGCAACTGTTCAACCATTACGTAGTACTTCAAAAAAATGAAAAGCACACGTGATGATTCTACGTGAACATCTGGAGCCGGGGTTAGAGGGTCGGATGTTGAGCACTGCGTTGCACCCCTTCCTCAAGATTTGTCCCACATCACAACGCCCACCAGCTGAATCTCCACCAGCGCATCCGCAGGCTCCTTGACCTTCATCCGGCTCCAGAATGTAGTAAGTCCTCACTATTCTGGCGGTGGACCCACTGGTTGGGATAATGGACGACTCCAAGGTTATTGGTCGATCAAAGCTCCTTCAAGAGCATTTTGGAGTTACCCGGTGCGCCACAATTTTGCCAATCTGCACTGGTATATTCACGTGAAATTCAAAGGACACAAAGGATTGAGAGCGCACATCCACAGACGAAATGTTTACGAGGGTACATTGGTAGGGCTGTGAATGCTTTAGCGATGTTGTATATGCGGAGCCAAATAGTATTCGCTGATCCCCTAGCAGCTGCTTATGTCAAAATCCTGATTATCACCTGACACGATACTGCCGGAGCACAAGGTATAGACCTCCAATACTAACACCAATGATGCTTGTAACCGCCATACCAAAGCCCAGAAAGATGGCTTGGCCAAAAAAATTGAGTTGGTGGCCGCTCTTTCGCACGATGGGCAACAATGGCTGCATGGCCGTGTCTCTGAGCTTGCGGAGAAGCTCCTGGTCCTTCAGATTGGTCAAGGACTGTGCAGAGTGGGGTTTTGGTAGATATTGTGGAGCTGGCATAGTGAACATGGCTGACGCATAACGGGGAGACGAGGTAGAAGGCAAACTAGGATGTCTGGGAGCGACAGGCCCAACGAGCAATTCCATTGGAATGTGATTTATCGTGCAAAGATCAGCATTGATGAACCGCGAAAGATAGTTCGCCTGGGGTAGGCCCGCGAAGAGAAAAATGGCAGCCAGCTGTTGGCTTGTGGCAGAGTTGTCAGTCAACTTTGAGAAATCATCATCATTTGAGTGAACTTACCTTTTCAAAACGTTAAGTGCATCATCAAGACTGCTGATACGATGAACCAATATCGTTCGTTCAGGAGTTTTCCTTTCAAAGAAAGGAGTACACCTACCGGAATGTCAGTCCCATCAAGTTAGCTGTGCAAGCATGAATAAGTAGCTCTTACCGATCCAGTATTTCAACAATGTCACCCTTAGATCCAGAGACCACAGTTTTCAAGTTATCGAATTTCGATGACTCTTTTGGAGCTTCCTGTAGCCTGCTCATATGACCATTTGGCTTCTGGTACGTTGTGCCCAGGTCGCGTGCGAACTTTGACACAAGCTCTGACAGAAATGGCTCCGCCACAAACTCATTCACGAGAACAAGCTGAGGTGCGTAAGCAGACCCGCCGCTGAAACCAAAGGTCGCCTCAGCAACAGCTTGCGTAGCTTCTGAGAGATTAGCCGTGCGGTCTACCACTGCCACCGTCCCTGCGACAGATGGGGAGGAAAGGACCTGTGCCCATTCTAACGGATTGATCACCTCCTCTGTCTGATTGACAAGAAGACACTTTCTGGTAAAATCAGACGTTGGTCTAGAACTTGAGAGAGCGAACGTGTCATAGTCCAGAGAATCAGTCAAAATCTTCCTCAATGCCGCAGAAGTTTGTGTCAGCGTCTGGGGTAGCTGCGCCAATTCCGAATTAGTATTATCTATCAGGTCGAAGGGGTTCTGGTAACTCACCTCTACAATAGCACAAGCGCCTGCAGCTATTGCAGCACCCAAGGCCGAGAGAACCGAGAAGGCCAGACTCGATTTTGACGGAATGATGTAGACAATGCCGACTGGCCGTGTTCTCTCGATATTGTCGAGGCCCAATTCCACTTTTCGCGCCGCCCTTAGGTCTTTCTCTAGATCAAGAGAGTCGTAATGAGTGCGAAGCTCTAAGAGCGTGCTGGCAAATTCGAAATCAGCTTCCATTGAGGTCAATACAGAGTCAGCTTGTATTGCCAGCTTCAGCGTGCTTGATGATTTAGTCAAAATATCATATAGGCGGTGGAACTGTGCTTGCTTATAGCGGTATGAGTGCGCGCGGCTGTCAAGATGGGATATCTGTATGTTGGGGAATTCCTTAGAAATTGTAGCCATGGTAGTCGTGTTCGTCGAACTGTAGCTACCACTCGTCCTGATGATATGGAGAAGCTGCTGTTTGAAGATTCCACCATTGCCTTTCCTTTGTACACGGGAGTTACAATTGTGTAGGGGCACACACCCTCCAAGGAAAACATTGGGGTCCACAATCCATAGGCGGCCAGAATTGAGTCCGAGCCTGGGGGGTTGCTCTCGGAACTCCAGCTTCACGGGTACCAAGGCCCTCTCCTCACTGGGATGTCTATGTAGCCCAGGAGATGCCAGAATTTCATTTTTGGTGGTCATCATAAATGAATTGCGGTCAGTCTGACGCCTGTTATTCTCATTAACCATTCCGACTCATAAAGCAGCTGCGTTGAAGCTTGTACAATGTCGCAAACCCAGACGACTACAGTTACAACATACGAACCAACATCCCTGCGCGAAATCTTACAGGTCTATGACATTCATCGAACTGGAGGAGAAACAGCACCAGCAGACACATCAGGATGGAGCATCGACACAGATTTTCCTGAAAATTCCCATGCTCAAAATTGGCTTTCAACCTACCATAGAGTCCCACCCTTTCGCGAACCTGGCCGGACTCACAGATACTTCAGCCGCCCAGCGGGTCGCGATATTGGGGAGGGAAGCTTTGTTGTCATGATGTTCTCTGGTGTTTTTGTAGTCTCAGTAAGCCCTTGACACTTTCGCTGCGAGCGCTCCTGAAGCACAGCTGGTAATTGACTAACGCCCAAAAGGCTGTCAGTAAGGCCTGGAGATTTACACTTGGTCGTTGGAGAGAGTGGCCTTGGGGATATCCAATAGGTGGGGAATGGTAGGCCATTAAAGTACGGCTTGTGGACGCCTCACGTGCTTTAAGACAGAAAAGGGAGGAAAAGCTCATGGATAATTCGAGTGGCAATGTCTCCCAGTTTTGAAGCCCATTCAGACATCCTGTGACTATTCTGCCATTGATCTCTATCGATCGTTTGTCAAATAAAAGTCTACTCTGCTGGAATGACAGGTAGTAGGATATAGTTCTCCAGCCCATCACCAAAATGGATGTGGTTGAACCCTTGGAGCCTCTCCAGAGGACGGTCAATAGAAGAGTTGTGTTCAAACCTTCCAGCGCCTTGGGTGTCTCCCGATGATACCTCAAATACGAGCACTTCACCTCGGGTCAGGACCACACTCGTTGGCCAGAGTTCCACATCGACAGTATAGACGTCTCCAGGAACGACCGGCAGCACGTCAATTGACCGATACTCGCGATAAGGGTGCCAAAATTTGTGTTGACTGTTCTGGTCGTTTGTTTTTCGCAGGCTGACACGAAGCCATCCTTTGCAGACTGGAACAGAATCACCATCTGCACCAGTATAAAAAACTTCGTTGCCATTAGCATCGAGATGACGTAGAGTGAGGAATAAATCTATCTCGCTAGGTGGCGAACTTGTAGGCTTTAGAGCGCTGGCCGAGACGTTGAGGTGGGCGACAACATGTCCGGTAAATTCAACCTCTCGTTCGGTGGGACTTGTCTTGAATTGTAGTGTGTACTGCTCTTTGATCCCAGACGGTGCCTGATAAGCAAGATTTCCAATGCCTTGGTGTGAAGGCTGGCCTGCACTTAATGAGTGATCTTGTCCTAGATAGTACTTAGTGTATGTAGTACGAGGGAGGGGCCACTCCTCCTCGAGCCTCGTTGGGAATGCCTTCTCAGCTTCAGGGTTGTTGACACCTGGATTGCCCTTCCTAACAACCAGCTCAACCCGAGGTGCTTTCCCTGTGGACCACCCAACAGAATCACAGCCCTTGAGGAAGGCGTCAAGGAAACTTTTCTGAAGGTCCACAGATTTCTTCGTATAGAACGGCAGATCGTGTCGTCCTGTAGCAAAGCGTAGGTATTTGAGTTCTGACCCGGCATACATAAACCCTAATTTCCAAACTTGTTAGAGTCAAGTATTCCTCGCAACCCACGATATCACTTCACCAAATACATGGTGTAGTAGTATATTATAACTTACCTTCAATGTTTCCTCGTAAATGGAGATGAATTCCACCCCAGTTAGCTACAGAAAGGATTGGCACTCGAATATCCTTCAGATTAAAGTCCTTAGAGGCATAGTAGTCATCGTCGAGGAAGCGATTGTTTGCGTTATCGACGGTCTGGTCTCGACAGTTCTTCTTGAGCTCTTCTAGTGATAGATCACCCTCAAGGGTATCCGGACCCCAATTGCTAGCTGCTCTCCCTGGCCTACCATATTGATTCGTAATAACCTGAATAAAGTGAGAAATACGATCCTCGGGAGGGGAGGGTGCACAAAATCGGTAAATGTACCTGGCGATTCCACCAAAAATCGATAAAAGCGTTGGATAGTATACCGCCGTGTCGGCATCGGTCTCGATAATAGTCCGACATCCCCTCCCAGGGGATGATGCATTTGAGACCTTTGGGCTGTCTTGCCGCCACTCGCCATTGACTTCCAGCATAATAGCTTACCCCCAGTAAACCGACCTTGCCAGTTGACCAATGCTGATCAGCTGACCATTCTATCACATCTTTAAATGCTAAACTTGTATCACGCGACATAGTATTGAGCTCTCCGGGTGACTGGCCAAGGCCAACCTCGTCGCCCCGCACAATTGCGTAGCCATGCTTTGTCCAGAAACCTGGGTCTGGCGTTTCCCACGCGGAATGTGCAGAGTGGTGTTCGTCCGGAACCTCGCTGAATGACTTGGCGTGGAAACTATAGACAGTGAGCATGATCATGGCATTATCGAGCACGAAAATCGAGACAGCAATCAGGCTTACTCTGCATAATGAATGTCCTTCCCGTAAGGGCCATAGGTGACCAGCACAGGGAACTTTTCTTCTATCGATTTTGGCCGGTACACATTGACCCTGACAACACCACGGTCGTCTTTCAATTGAATGGTGACGTTCTGTTCAAAAATATAGCCAAATGACTTCTCGTCAACGAGGTGAATATCTTTTCGAATGATGTTGGGCATCGTGGGAAAATTCGCAGTAAGCCTAAATTGAAGGAACCTTCCACGGTGAGGTTGATGGAATTATTTCATGCTGATATCTCACGCGCGCAACATGTCATACATAGCTTCAAAGTGCCGGTCGCGTCAACCTGGTGGTCCGTAAACAATGGTTGTAGACTCTTAGCACTGGGGTTCGTGTGTGGTCGCACTTTGTGGCGGGACCCAATCGACCACCATCGGTGGAATGATAGCTCCGGATCTCCATGGCTACCACTCGGATGAACCATTCTGGTAACGGTCATACCTGATCAGGCAGGCAGTCGATGATTCAAAATCACACGTAGAGAAATTCTTCAAAACAGACGATGAAAATTCGATGGTCGTACTTGGTTTAGAACAATCTGACGCGTGAGACTCATCATTTTTTGGAAATGGGCAGCACAGATTACAGTGAAGCACAAGCCGCAAACGGAGTGCATGCACAAGAAAATGCAACGAATGTCTCTCCCATCAAGGTCATAATTGTTGGCGCTGGTATTGCTGGGCTTACGGCGGCTGTCGGTCTTAGGCAACAGGGCCACCATGTACACGTATGGAGACATGATGCTTGCGGTTCCACTTCGTTGGACCTGACCAAAAATAGATCCTCGAGCAATCACAACTTGCAGATGAGATCGGTGCAGCGATTCATATGAGTCCTAATGCGAATGGAGTCCTGCTCAAACTCGGAGTTGATGTCTCCGAGCGGGGAGCAACTAGGTTACTTCAGGTACGTGAAAGTGATATTGTTAAGGATAGATCCGAGGATGGGAGAAAATTGCTCATCAGTGTGCAGACGAGGTACCACAACTCAGCCGGGAGCTTATTGTCGCGTGACGACAACGAGGCAAACAGTTTCAGATGGCAGGATGCAAGCTCCCAACAAACTGGACGTGTAGCTCATGGTACTGACTTTAGTTAGAGCTGGCTTCAAGCACATCGGGGTCATCTCCACGCCCAGCTGAAAGACAAAGCCATATCCTCCCAGTACGAAGGACCGCCTGCTCAACTCCAGATTTCATCTCGCATCGTCGAAGTCGACGCACAGAATGCGAAGGTCACCCTTGAGAATGGTGATATTGTCCATGGAGATGTCCTTATCGGTGCCGATGGTGTCCGCTCTATCACTCGTCGAGCCATCGCTGGAGTCGATTACGACAGCTTCCCAATTGGCAAAAGTGCGTTCCGATTCATGGTACCTCGAGAAGCTATTCTTGCAGACCCGGAAACGAGCACGTTGGGGAAAGACTTGGGTTCGATGGACATGTACTTCACCCAGGAGCATAGGGTCATCATTTACCCATGTGTCAACAACACACTTCTCAACATCGTCTGCATACACCCTTCACACCAATCTAATGCTTCGACTGAAACCTACAACACCAGCGTGTCCAAGGAGAAAGTAATCGAAATTTTTCAGGAGTTTAATCCGACGCTGCTCAAAGTCTTCAAAAAATGTGATAGTGACTCGCTTAAGGTGTATCCACTCTTCGATGCTTTGACTATGCCCACTTTCATCAAAGATCGTCTAGCACTCATTGGCGATGCCGCACATGCATTCACACCATTTATTGGCCAGGGCGGGGCTACAGCAATCGAGGACTCTGTCTCATTGAGCGTCGTTCTATCCAGGGAAATCACTGCGGCAGAAGTTCCAGAAAGATTGGAGTTGTACAACAAAATCCGCTATGAACGTGCAACCAGGATACAAGGCTACAGTCGTGATTCAACAGGCGATGGGGTGAAGCCTGGAGAGGAGAAAGAGGCCAGGATGAAGGGTACGAAACATCACCATGACTTCAATTTCCTTCAAGCTTTCGCTTTAGCTAACTTGAACACAGGGCGAGAACGGGCCTTCTATGCGCTCAGCCATAACGAATACCATAATACTACACAGGCGCTTCGCGAGTATAGGTGGTCGAAAACCAAAGGAGCAATCTGGCGGCAGCCTACTGTCTTTGGTCCCATGCCGGGAATTTTACGACTTGAATCAGTTTGCACAAGCCAAAAAGCTAAGACTATGACTTTCAGCATCACATTCAAAACTAGCGGGACTTTGTTGCGGAGTCTCCTTCCCAACAAGTCCTACAGTTTTTCAACTAGAGATACTGTCGCTCTCGCAAGTTTCAAAATCCAAACTCGGCGGGAGGTGGAGCTTTTTGGGAACAAGCCTTTCGAACGAGTTCTTTTTGAGATTCACGGTCTTAATTATACGAAACCAGATGGCACAGTCCTGCCTGTCAATTTTGTACCTATCGTGTTCGAAAACTCAGCCGATGTTATTACCGCCAGCCGTGAGGAATTTGGGCTTCCGAGTGTCTTTTCCGATATTATGCTAGAAGACGGCCCGAACGGATCACTGAGTGCCATACTCTCCTGGGGAGGTGTCCAATGGGCAAAATTCTGGGTCAAAGATCTTGTTGCAACTCCTGAAAAATGGCAAACAAGCGAGTGTCTCTTGGTTCATAGATATCTCTCGAAAATTACGGACAAACCTGTCAGAGGTGAATCTGAGATCGAAGAAGATATTCTGATCGTGGAACAGCCGACTACTGCTAGTCATCTCCCAAATGGCGATAATACTTCTAACGGCGAAGCCAAAGCAGATATGCGTGTTAACTTCAAGGAGTCTTCGCAAGCCGGTATTGAGATCACGCCTCATAACCAGCAAGAGCTACCTACACTCCACCATATTGTGAGTCGTCTCGCTGAGCTTCCTGTATTCGGCATTGTGAGCGCAAAAATGTGGGTGGAGGAGAGCTCGAAAACTGTCTCGAAGGCTTTTAAAATTAGCTGAAAGTTATCATAGCAAGAGCCTCTTATCCACATCTTGATCAGCTCACGTGGCACATTACCCTTACGGAGGCTAAAAATCAAACGAAAATGAATCATTAGAAGCGAAAGAGCTCGGCAATTCCTGTTCGCACTTATGCACGTTCAATGAGAATATTGACACCAATAAGTATCTAAAAAAAAGTCTCGCGATACATCTCTCGTCAACCTCTTAACATCACACAGTTCCGCTTGCAAGATGGCTTTGTTGGCTATTCTTGTTTATAGACTTGCCCATCAATCGATCAAGTGTTTGACACATGTCAATGCAGCAAGGCCAGGGCAAGAAACTCAACTCGTCCTTGAACATGTTCAAAGTCCTTAAACTCCCGGTCTTGAGGCTTGTAGACGAGTTTTGTTGTTCTAGATGAGACCACATAGCTAATGCGGCAAAGAAAAGAACGAACGGAACCCATATAGCAATGTTGGCGTCCCGCGCATTTGCACGGGCGTTTGAGGTTTCCAAGATCTGCCAGGAAAAGTTCAAAGCTTCATCTGAGACCTTCGATATCGCTGTGGGAGACAGTTGTTGGGCTATTGAAGTTCTCCTACTATCTGGTGGATAGCCTGCGACCTCAGAGAGCCTCAAAAGCTCTGGCAGAGCTAGAAGTAATCTACAGAAATAGAACATCAGAAGTACATCACTACCGGCAAGCTCTCCAAAGTATTGGTACCACCGCGTCAGGGCCGCGTCGAGGCCAAACTGATGGCGAAGTGCCTCGGCACCAGGAGAGAGCGGAGCGTAAGGATTATGGTCGGGCTGGCCAGACCTGTCCAATGATGGTGCCAGATTCGAAAAAGACTGCTGAAGGTATAGTATGTCTGCACAGATGCCAGTCAGAAGTAGCATACTATCTTCGCCCGCCCTTAGGTCAGATGGCAAGGTTCCAACACCCGACAAAAGACATCCATACATTTGGCTGAAATTGTGTGGTGAAGATGGCATTCGCATGAAGAGCTCTTGGGTCGAGATGCAAGGAACTCTCCCACAATGGATGGCGCAAGTGACATCCGTCAGAAACAAGTAGGACATCAGAGTACTATGCGTTTATTGGTACAACAGAGTCAGGAGGGGCACAGTATTGGTACGTACCTGCTCGTACTCGCGCTCTGCTGTAAGTAAGGTTTCTCAATCACTGCAAATGAGTCTTCGTAGTGCATGCGCGTACGCCGGGCCATTGTTGCGGTTCCTGCGAGTGTCGAGGATGACATATCCCAAAATTCTTTCTGCGCGCTAAGCATACCATATGTAGCAAAAAGGGATCCCTGAAATCGGGTTAACTTAGTGAAATGCTATCAAGGATTTCTGTTCTAGCCTGGGTGGGGTGTTCTCACGGCCAATACTGATTCAAGGAGTCGAGCTTCGCGGTTGTCGACTTCCATCATCACACCCCACAAGCCGTCACCAGCGAGGAAAAGATCCGAGGCTGAGACATTGGAAGAAACTGATGGCTGACGCCGCGCTCCTTCACCATTTAGTGTGATCTTCGAAGCTGCAGTGCCCAGGCAGGCGAGTGCAATTGTAAGATATGGGGGGATTGAGACATTAGAAGAAGCCGGGAAAGTAACGGAGCTTAAAAACACGTGATTGCTAAAGCTAGTGAAGAACTGTGCTTGCATCCTAGTAAGGACATCGCGTTCGGGGAGTACTGGCAGTTCTGCAAGAATAGCCATTGGATAAGTATACTGTCGTCCTATTCCCTGTTCAGAGAAATTAGTTCTCCTACATTTGGCAACAACAATGATATTGGCGGTGATTCCTACCGAAGCGGTATCATCCACAGCACGGACAGAACCCTCGACACTCGCTGTCTCGGTGAAATATTGACGACAACCAATCGCATCTTCGCTCAAAAGCAGGGCGGCTTTAAAGCGGCGGAGAAAGGAGACTTCCGGTACCTGATGGGCATCGTGAACGTCCCATTGATTTGGATTACGCTCTGCTGGCCAGTCGTGCGGCTGGGTGCTTCTTGAGTCACTTGTGGCGTGGTCTGCTTCTGGGGAAGCGGTGGACATTGGTGTCTGGGCAAGCATGGAGGCAAGCAATACAGTCCTGAGACGATTGTTGGTTATGCAGATTGTGAGACTTCACCTCGTACGATATGAGCGCAGGTCTGGGTAAGGTCCCACAACTTGCCCAGGTTATCAGACAGCACTCCACTGCGTTTCGTTGATGAAAGAGACCGGGGTTAGCCGAGGTCGTTTGGCCGAGATTGTGGAGGCTTCCGAAGGAGCGGGACGGCTTTAGACCTCGGACTCTGTTAAATCACCCTAGCGGGGTAGTGGGGGAGCCACATCAATTATTTTAGATCCCAGCTCGCGGGGAAGATCTGGGGCCCTTGTTTGATCTTGATAGCAAAACGTCCCAGATACCGGAGAGACTGGGCAAATGTGGGGAGGAGTTATATGCTTGTTCGGCTCATAAGCTGCGGAAGCCTCCATCATTCTCACGACAGTCTTGCGTCCATGGCATTCTACACTCCGTCCATGCTCTAGAGAGGTGACACTCGCGAAGCTAAACGCCAGAGAGAACTGGGAGGACCGTTCACAGACTGGGCTTTCTCCGTTCCACGGAATCCGTGATCCAGTGACATAGATGGCCACGAAGACTGATTCACAGCAAGTCACGCCTTCCCGCAGGGTAAGAGCAAATTAATTGCTCCGGTCATTGCGCAAGGCATCACCAAGCATGAATAGCCCCTTTTCATTTTTCTTATGCAGGCATTACCAACTAATCGATTTCAGTGCGAGATTTGCAACAAGACCTTCGTGAGGACTGAGCACCTTGACAGACACAAGAGGATACGTAAGTCCAACAGGTTCACTGGCATGTACCAGGCAGCCCTTCCATGCCTAACCAGGATTGCACTAGACACGAATGAGAAGCCCTTTCCCTGCCCCCTGTGTGAGCAGTCATTCCAACGCTCCGACGTACGAGCTTTGCATGTCAAAAAGGCGCATGGAATAGAATTTACTGCCGTTAATCTCCCCGATCATGAGAACGCCGAACCGAAACGGAAACGAGTAAAAACGGCTTGTGATCTCTGCCGTAGACGTAAGTTGCGTTGCGACGGCGAGAATCCTTGTCGGCAATGCCGTACGGGAAATTCGGGTTGTCAGTACAGTTCGGCGATGTCTGTCGATACATCACAGGGTCTGGTATTCGATGATTCAAGCCGTAACTCAACTCTCCAAGATGAGTTAGATTTTCAAGAAATGCCGCAAGAACCTCTCCCACCTTCGAATTCCACATCTTGGAGGGAAGCAACTTTCATGACTTCAAACTTTTTGCGAAGCTCGGTGCCCGCGCCTTTATTGTTCAATGACGCACAGGGCGATGACAACAGACCAACAAACGAAAGAGGGTCCGTAATACCAGATGCTGCACCGGGGCTAGAAACCGCGATACTTTTGCAGACGGACTTTGATAACGACATAGTTCCAGACTTCTGGCAGGTCCCTCTCCTTGTAAGCCAAGCCTTCTATAATCTTATTGATGAGTACTAATCGACGTTCTAGAATGGTGAAGCATGGTGGGACGATATCGACTTTGAGGACAATATTTTCACTGGGGCCATGCCTGATTTTACTGCAGACTCCTTGCCTCTGCCCACACAACGCTACTCTCAGCTGATGCAAGACTATTTTGATCAGAGATCCCGCGCAATTTGTCCATCTCCTAACAAAGCAGCCTCCATGTGGTATTCGGCTCCATCAGGCCTTTGGAACCACGACCTTGAGATTGTCAATGTCTTTTTGAATCTCTACTCTCGCAATGTGCCAAGATTTTTCAGACTTTTCCATGATCTCGTTGTGACCCCTGTGATTAGGCCGGACTACGTCCTTGCGGCGGCAGCTGTGGGAGGTTTATACTGTTCAACTGCCGGCAGTTTTGAGTTTTCAAAGGCTATGTACAATGACTCAAGGAGATTGCTTCTGGCTTCGGTGAGAGGAAAGGTTCCGCGGTATTTGCCGTAAACTAATAGATGAAGACGAAATCTACGGGATGGTACAGCAGAGCTTGCCCCGACTACGACGAAGTCGTGACCATTATCAAGACGGTAACCATTATCGGGATCCCCAGCATATCACAGGCTCTGATATGGCTTAGTACTTCTTGAACGAGTTGTACGGGCTTAGTAGTGGGGACAAGAGAAGCTATGAATTCGTTGAAGTCTTTCACCAAGATATTGCAAAGGTATACCCACAAAGCGAGGTCATTTACAGGCAGGCTGATTTGGGCTCTCTACAGGCCCTCCAAATTCTCACTACCTTCAGCAGTACAGATTCTCCCCCTTCGAGGAAATCTGAAATTGATGAGTAAGTCTAACTCTAGGCGGTGTGGAAACATGAACTGACTCCTTCCTCTTTCAAATAGTCTGCTTGAGTGTCTGCACATATTCGATTGCTATAGGATATGTATTCTACAAAGGCCTCCTTCATTCCTCTGGAGACACCTTGATACACAGCCTCTGCCAGGTTCCAAAAATGGAGCTCCGGACGATATTCGTAATCTTGTAACATCCATCAGCCACCCAGGCCTTCCCGTTGACCCAATAGCTCTCAAGCGGTTCAGCCTGGCGGCTTTGTCGGCACTGTCTCCTTTCTTGTGGCGTGCAATGTCGCTAGCGCCGGCAGACGTTGAGTTCGCCAAAGCACTCTCAAGACTCGATTTTGTGGAACTGGCTACCGATAAATGGCTGAGATCGCACGAAGATGTGCCAGAGCCTGCAGCTCTCGTCCTTTACCACTTCATGAACATTTCTATGCATACCAACCTGCTCGTTATTCAAAATTACGCACATCTGCCGCTCAGTCGTGAGACCTCACAGAAAGAGAGAGACCCTTACGAGTCTTCCATATTATGCTGGGTAAGTGGACGACACTACAAAATAGCCAAGTGGCATGCGGAAGCTGCGTTTGCATGTGTAGAAAAGAGTAGCACTTTTGGCCCAAAGAGAGATGCAGACTCGAGTCGACTTAGGGAAGCTGAACGAACAACTTCGTCTGCGAACGCTCCGACGGCGGTTATCAATGTAGCTCACGTTCCATACGCGATCTACTATGCCACACTAGTGCTATGGTGTGGTGCTGCAGCACTTGAGAAAGGGAACGACTTGGGAAGACTGTCTTACCTGACGCGAGGTAGAAATATGCTTGCACAACAGAAATTGCACATAGCAACCCTTCTGGAACGTATTCTCAGCCAAGTGAGGAGATAACATCAATTAAGTCTTCAAAGTACATAGTATTTGCCTTCAAGGTTGTTTGATCTTTCTGCAGACTTCTTTGATATGAGATTGTTTAATGTCAATCAGTTTACATGTTTGGTACGGTAAAATGTGACAGCCAGTAGCTTACTACCAAGTATCCCATTCAAGCACGGGGCTGTACTTTCTCTCCGTAGAGGGCCTGTTCCGTCTCTGCAGGCGCATCAATATGAGTATTGAATTCCTTTTTGGTATCAAGGAGGAACCAGGCTGCGATCATGGCCACAAAAGAAAAGCTTGCACCAGTGATCCAAACGTATCGGAATGCAATAACAAACGATTGAAGGACTGCATTTCCCCCTGTTCCAATAACCTCGCTCGTGACTCCTGGGATCTGTGTGAGTCCATCAGTCTGACCAGAAGTCATTGCTCCAATGAATAGGCCGATAGAACTCGGTGGTAGTCCAAGAGGCAGAACAGCGGCAGGCACCCTTGAATTAAGGTTGGACGACAGCGTGTGTGTGAATATCGCGTTGTAGATAGCCAGAGCGATACTACCGCCCACGCTTCTTGTGCTGATCATCAGACCCGACGCCGAAGCAATAAGGTCAGGCGGGGTCCCAAGTTGAGCGGCAGTCATCAAAGTATTCAAAAGAATACCTAGCCCACTACCGAAAAATACCGTGTAGCCCCATACAGCGGCACTACTGCCAACCTTGGCGGTAGACATGACTACCATGAATATGGTAAAGAAGCCAAATCCAACAAGCACTGGGAAACGTACGGCCTTCGTCCAGGTACAGTAGAGACCGGTAAGAGCAGTCGAGACGGCGAAGGTGAAGAAACAAATGCTGAATCTCAATGAGACATAAAGCGAGTCGTGCTCATAAAGTGTGCTGACCTCGAACGCAAAGTAATTGTTTACAGCAAAGAAGACCAAGCCTTCCACGAAGATGCAAACAATGGACAGGCTGAAGTTCCGGCCACGTTTGAACAGCTCGTGGTGGAACATGCCGTCTTTCCTTCCTTTTGTCTCGTATGCACCAAGAGCCAAGAGCAGGACGCATCCGATCACGAACGGTGCAAGAATGTGCACATCTTTCCATGAGTATGGATTTTGCGACCATACCAGAGCCATGCAGAAGAGTGTGAGCCCGCCGGACAGGAGAGCGATACCGATCCAATCGAGCCTAGCCAGCTTCTGTCGTTGCGTATACGCAGTCTGCAACTCCCTCAGAGGAGGATTGTACAACACAGCAACAGCCACTGCCCCAATACCGAATAGCCCTGCATTGATATAGAACAAGACTCTGAAGCCGGCGTGATTACCATTTCGTGTAAGTGCTCCACCAGCAAGCAGTACGATTACAGCAGCGAGCGCGATAGATATATTCACGCCTGCCTGGGCGATCGCCCTGTATCGGCGTGGGATGACTTCTGATGGAATGGCATGCACTAGCGGTTGGGACGAACAAGCAATCCCTGAGAGGACCTGACCTCCCAGGGCCATGGCCATGGAACTAGCGGCGCCAGTGATCACACATCCAACCTATGACATGTCAGTCAACTCACGGATTCAACAGATTCGGCATAAAAGTACTTACGACACCTAAAGCTGTTAAAGTAACAAGAAACCATTTCCGACCCCATAGGTCTGCAGCCTCACTGATCGGTGGACTGAGGACCGCAATAATGATCGTTACAATCTGAACCAGCCAGGTTGACTGGGATTCTCCCCCTAGCTCGATACCTATGTCGCGGCCGTATGCTCCGGCGACGACAATGTTGTATCCGCCGGCCAGGTAAGCCAGGTATACCGACTATTCAAGTTCAGCACTCTGCAACAATGACGAAGGTGTGCCACTGACAAACACAAGGATGACGGTCTTTGCATGAATATGGGCAACGCGGTCTTCAATGTCGATTCCATTTGGAGAAGAACCCAAGCGAGTTTCATTCTCCTCAACGTCAGCCTCGTGGACTTTCTCTTCATATCTTTCGTTGGCTGCCATCTTCACACAACTGCCCAAAATAATCGATAATTACTTCCTTCGATGCTGTGTAGTACAAAGGATACTCAGATGGATAAGATATAAAATGTGTCAAGCTGAGATGATAGATCTTTAGTCCGAACTCACACTTGTCTCTCGGTCGTGAAAGCCATTATATTAGCGAGAACCCTCTCCAGCCTTTTCAAGTTCCCCAGACTCTATTTGCACGGAGCAATCCAATATCTAGGCAGTTTTGTGGGACTTTAGAGGTTCGCAAGCGGGGTTGAACAGGTGGTCTTGGTATGGAGTTAGTGCTGCGATTATGAGATGGAAGCGATTGATGCATCACTGGGCCCCAGATCTATTCCCGAGGGAGGATCAACATCCTTTCTGAAGGAAGAATAGGAAATCCCCGAAGCTTATTGCTTCCTTTTTGGGAGCACAGCAGCCTTGGGGGCATCCGAGAGTCTATCCGATGGGTGGTGGCCTCGCCAGAATAATGTTTGTCGTATTCGCTTAGGACAGCCTTAGTTAAACCTGAGTGGAGTCGAATAGATGAGACTGGCGCTATTTGACAGCCAGAGACAACTTTCGTCAGAGACCCTCCTGGTTTTCTACACGTATAGGTAGACTTGTAGCCCGAGACACCATACCTATCGGCTAACTCCACTGGGTTCAAATGACTATTATCTAGACTGGCGTTCTTGACATTGTATATCTGGCCCTGATTGTCGCCTCGGACTATGAAAATAGGCAGTGGTAGACACTTGAGGGTCGAACGCAAAGAAAATCTGTTCACACGCCATGGGTCTGTGCTCACCTAGCCTTCTCAATGTCATCTGTACACTGACAAACTCCAGGTTTGACACCAGTCCATTTCTTTTCACACGGATCCACGCGAATGTTGTCAGCGAATACGACTTCAGGCAAATACTGGAGAAAATGCGGTGAAGAGGCTCTTAAGAACAAAGTGAAAGGAATCATCATCATAGGCGCTCACTGGGAATGTCTTGGGGATCAGATCCAGGTCGCAACTAATCCGAAGCCCGACAAAACTCCTTGTCCATTTTCTAATCAAGCGGATTGGGTGAATTGGAAGCCTAATCCAGACGTTGAAGGCGCAAACCGCTGTATCAAACTGCTGGCTGCCGAAGGGTACAATGTGTCCGGAAACTCGACTACACCATGGCATCATGATGTGTTCATGGTGTTGATTCGCATGTTTCCAGACGCTTTGACTTGTCCACCTACGGTGATATTGTCATCGAATGCACGCTATGATCCACACTATCACATGAAGATGGGTGCTACTCTGCGCAAGCTTCGTCACGAAGGCTATCTATTCATTGGTACGGGAGGCGCTGTTCACAACCTCTACCGCAACGTCTGGTCCGATATGCTTCTGTATCGAGAGTCCCTTGGTCAAGAAAGGCCACCCGAGGAATGGGCTCTCGAGTTTCGTCAAGCTACTGAAGACGCGATCACACAAAACTCCGGTCCAGAACTCAGGGCTGCACTCGTACGGTTGATGAAACATCCAGCTTACCGTGATGCACATGCGACGGATGAGCACTTCATCCCAGCTCTTTTCTGCGCCGGTGCTGCTGGAGATTGGGAGGACGCTGGCAGCAAAAATATACTTGGTGCCGAGTCTTGGGAGTTGACCAACATGTGCAATTCGCAATATACCCTAGGTGACTATGGCTATAGTGGGCCACAGGCACGAGCCTCGGGAATTGTAGCTGCTTGAGCTAAATAGGTGTAATGTCCTATAGGTATGTTCCAGATAAGCAAGTCTCACACTAGCTGCGCGTTCTGATTTTTCGGAATATGGGAATTTTCGGCTCTGATCTAGTATTAGAACCAGTGAATAAGCAGAGGATCCAATTGTGGTCCATGCCCTGGGCACTGGATTCGAAAAAGGCAATACCTAACCCCTTCGTCCACAAATTCAGCTTTTCCTTCAAGTCAATCGTTGGCGCGTAGATCAAGAAGGGTCGCTAACGTGCGGGTGTATTGGCAAAGGCAATCAATTCAGTCCGTATGATTATATACTTAAAGTGACTGGACCAGGCCTTGTCTTTTCGGAATTCAATTATTCATCAGCGAGCCCTGCCCCACAATTCTACACCTGAGTTGATTGTAGAACAAGATATGCTGGCAATTGCTGACATAGGAACGTCTTCCCCACATGGTTAGGAGACACGAACTTGTTGAGTCTACAAGGTGGTGAGCCCATTCTATTTGTTGTCACACTCTACTTAAATGGAAGATGGGGAAATGCTATTCAGACTCCATACCAGTTGAACAGCGCGCGGGCCAGATGAGTTCGTCCTCCACGATTAGCTCGGGTACCTCCACTTTGGCCACGGGGCTAGCGGAGTTAGCGTTCCAGCCGCTTTGTAAATTGTGAGCGTGATAGCAGCATGTCCTGCCTCTTTATATAGCACTACGTAGAGGAGCCAGGATAAACCAGAAGCCAAGCTGCACCAGATATTGTCACAATGTCATTATACATGTTAGGCCTGATAGCTCTAGCGACTGCTTGGGTCACTTGGAAGGTCAGTCAAGTTAATCAGTCAAATCTGCGCCTACTAAATAAACTAGGTGGTCTACAATGTCTTCTTCTCGCCATTACGCTCAATACCAGGTCCCTTTTTGGCCAAGATCACGCCTCAATGGCTAACTATCATTGACATGGCTGGATATCGGACTATCACAATCCACCGTCTGCACCAAAAATATGGCTCATCAGTGCGCATTGGACCTAATGAGGTCTCATACTCAAATCCGGACATCGTCAAGGAGCTTTATAGCCAGCAGACGCAATTCATGAAGGCTCCTTCATATGAGACTTTCGTCGTTCCCCCAGTCGGCATCTTCAGCATGAGGGACAAAGCTGCCCACAGCCAGCGGCGTCGTCTGCTCAGCCACGCATTCTCGCAGTCGAACTTGTATGATACTGAGCCCATTATCGGACAGATTATCTCCAAACTGGTGGCACATCTTGAAGGAAGATTGGGAAAGTCTACGGATATGCTGTTGTGGTTCCGCCTGACCGCATTCGACATTGTCGGTATTGCTGTCCCCGAATTATCATTGATCAATGTTGAGGCAATGGCTGACAATTCTGATAGGCGAGTTGTTCCTCGGACAATCTTCTGGTGGTTTGGAAAAACTTGAGCCCCCACGTCTACTCGAGGATATAGATCGTTTCTTCATCATTGGGGGTATCGCAGGCTCCTTCCCATGGCTGGTGAGGCTCTTGCACCTCCTACCCATTCCTGCTGTATGGGATTTTCTCGGCGCAAAAGATAGGATTGTGCAGGTCAGACTCCATCAATTGTTGTTGTTAAATCTCCGCACTGACCCATGCATAGTATGGCCGAAGCTCTTTCAATAACTATATCGACCGTTATGGGCGAGATTCGGGGCGCCGAGACTTGTTGACGAAAATTGTAGCCAACAAAACGGCGGAGGAGGCTCCCATGACCGATGATGAGACGTATATTGAGATTTCAAACCTCGTCTTTGCGGGCAGTGGTATGGAATTGGTCTTCAGATCCTGAAAGCCTAGGCTGACTGAGCAACATTTTGTCCAGACACCACCAGCACAACATTGACATACCTTTTTTGGGAACTTGCTCGTTTTCCAGAGTGGCAGATGAAATTGCACTCTGAGATATCTCATAACATAGGTTGGACTAGCGGTCTTCCGAACTTCAAGGATATCAGCGAACTTCCAATACTGGATGCAGTAATCAATGAGGCACTTCGTTTGCATCCTGCAGCACCAGCCAGTCTTCCCAGAGAAACACCAGTAGGAGGGCGAATGCTCAATAATGTCTTCATCCCAGAGAAGGTAAGCGGCTAATAGGCTCTGCACACTAACATCCCGTATCTGACCATCTCATTTCTAGACCATTGTTTCGATGCAATGCTACACCACACAACGCGATCCTAGGGTATTTTCAAACGCCGGCACTTTCCTCCCGGAGCGTTGGCTTGGGCCAGAGGTCATTTCTCCTGAAGCTAAGGCGCTTTACATGCCATTCTCATCAGGCACTCGTGCATGTCTGGGCAAGAACTTGGCCATGATGGAACTCAAATTGATCACTTCGACGCTTATCAAACAATTTGATGTCAGTCTTGCTCCAGACACCACTGAAGGTAGTATGTTTGTGCTTGATCACTTCCTGGCTATTCCAAAATCTGGAAAATGTAATTTAATCTTTACCAAGCATATTGAGCAGCAGTAGACCAGCGTCTTTGATATGACAGGCAATGAGCTCAGGCACTATGTGATCGAAATTGTCCAGTGTCAAGAGCAGCTTAATCCGTGCTCACCGATAATTTGCTCAATGGCAGGTGGGATTCAAGCGGAACACGCCTTCCGAGGTAAAGTAGGACGAAGTGGGTTTTTCAGGTGCGTTCTCTCGTGTGGAGGTTTCAAGCCATCTTTTTCCTTGTCTTGACAGAAAGCGAATGTCAAAATGTACGGAAAAGGCGATGCACGGAAGAGAATGATGAATCTCACGAGTTTGGCCCGAAATCAGATTAGACCATCACAAGTTCTAATAGTGCTACACCTCCTCGAACTATCACTCTATGCATAAGGGCAACCTTGTACCATTGATACCGTGCAAGTTTCCACGCGTGGTGATATCGGGCGCAAAAGTTGAACCTCCATCACACTCCCTATCGATGCTGGGCCTATGCAAATGAATTAGTTGAAATTCATTCCCCGCTCACTTAGATACCCAATACCATACCACCTCATGCAGCCAGCATCGCAATTTGCATCGCATTGCCCCAATGGACGTATGCCCGGTTCATGATATCCTAGGCGTCGGTCTCCAGCATCAAATTCACTGACTCATCCCTCTACAACTCCGAGTTCAGTTGGAAGCGGCCCGGTCCTTCCGGATCATACCAGTCGTAGCTCAAGCCCAAGACCGTTCCATTAGTATCGGCGTCGAAGAGATTCCAAGCGGGCAGGTTGTTGATGAAGTAGGAGAATTCTGCATCATTCCCCGGTCTCCACTTCCTGCAAATCTTGTCCTTGGTATTGTACTGGTCCCAATCTGGACGAATCACCTGCTCCATATCCATGTTCTTCCGATGCTCTCTGACTGGTGTAAACACCCAATACTCCAAGCCTCCTATGACCTCTTTGTGCTTCTTCATCAGGGGTGCGTAGGGGGATTTCCCTTGTTCATACCATGCACCACAGCACCGCTTGATGGACGGCGCGCGAGTCCAACACTCTGGTCTTTCGTGTTTATGGTTAACGTCGCAGAACATACGCCAATACGCGAGAGCCGCAAGTGAGTCGCGAACGCATGAATGCGCGGGCACCGGATTGCTCATGTCTACCATTCTCGTTCCGTCCCATTTCTTACAACTGCCACGGCAGTCTAATTTCATCTTGTGCACCTGATCAGGAGGTGTTTCTTTTGGGATTGGAAATCTACCATCCCAATTGAGGAGGGAAATGTCAAGATCAAGATTTCGTACCCCTACGAGCGGCCCGACGATGGCTCCAGGGTTCTCATGCTCATATTTCTCCTCCCAAGTCCAATTCGATGTATCACGCTGCTGGATTGTCCTCAATGGCGACGGTGCGGCAGCACCAAGGCCGATGAGCGTATCAACGACCACCAGGAGAAGGGAACCGTTTCCAATTAGTACAGATTTCATCTTTTTGGTTATCCCGGTTGTCGATGGGCTATTGCCGAAAGTGCAAAATGGAGATGAAATGGAGGGAGGTGCCTTGGCAGGAAGCAGATTTTCGGCGATGGTCCGGACTTGCTGCTTGGTGAACGTTTGTGTCAAGGGCAAGGACTCAGTTATGTGCAGTTAGACTTGTATCAGGGACAATCTGGAAATAGACCTGAAAGTTCTTCTTGAAGGGGTGGCCGCTCACTTTATCCCCACCTGATGAGGACCTAGCAAGATAGGGCTTTCCATCTCGCCTAGCATCTTAAATTGAGCATCCTCGTACATTTGAGTTCCTGCCAGAGGCTAGTTCAAAGGAGATAGTTGCTCTTCTTTGAAAAATTTTTGAATGAGGGATAGAGAAGCAGTCTCTCAGCCAATGAATTCAGATGAGATAGAGGCCAATTCCTCAGACAGGGTTGAATGCAGACCAGAAGAAGGACGAGGCAACCATATTGTGGAGTCCAGAAACCTTAAAGTTGGGCATTAGTATTGCTCCCACCGCCAAAATCGTCGTCTTGCACAATCACGGCTCCCTGCTGCTCTTCTGATTGCCTCATTGTTCGGTGACGGCCTTTCTTGAAGTAGACGCGAAACGCCATCGTTCCTGTCCTTTTATTAAGCCGGAGTGGTCTGAGTTTCGCCGCTAGCATTCTTGTCAATTTGGGAGTCTGTCCGCACAAGAATTACAGCAGTCTTGCAAACCTCGCTCGCGTCCGAACATAACCTCGGTGGATGTACACAAGAACATGGTCGGACGTCCAGCGGCTAGGATCAAATCAAGCCCTATTTCCATCCTATATCAGGCCGACAAGAAGGCAATATGCCCGTTAGGTCCTCAGTCTTGCATTTGGCTTCCCGGGAAGGGGCTCATCGGGGAAAGTCAAATGTCCACTTGTCAAACGGTGAATCTCGAATGCATCACCCAGTTTTGGGGCTTCTCACTAGCACAAGGCATCAAGGTTCCAGATCCTATAGGTTAGGACATGGGGGACTGAAATCGCAGATGAATAGACGTTCAAGTAATTTAGGACCTCAAGCAGGACAATCAATGCGAGAAAGAATTGTAGTGCGTGGGGGTGACGCTACGCCTGACATTTCCACATTGCTTTTCCAATTCTTTGTTGCAGGATTCTACTTCATCCAGCTGCCCAGTCGACCACCGAAAGAACAAGTAAGTTCTGAGCTTTGGTGAGGTGGGTCTTCATTGTGGTGGGGAACTGACATGGTCAGCTAGATCTGGTCAGCGAATAAAACATCTAAGGTCCACTCTTGCATTCAAAGCGACGACCCGAGCGATGAAGGCGTTCTGAGGAACGCCTATGAATGATATTAGAATGATAGATGGAAGGTTCACTTGACTTGATGATATCTGTAAGATTACGCATTGTCCTGGCTATTCAAATAGCTCAGTCCTTCCCGTGATCTTAGATTGAGCTTTCATGATGGGCTGTGAGGAAACAATAGCAACTGTCCGTAAAAGCTGCTGCGTGAAGCTGGCTCCAAGTTGAGGACCCACCCGAGTAGATGAAAAGTCTGGTGATTAATCATGCAGTTACACTCCGCCGTACAATAGAGCACTCTCGTCGCACACGTGAGTCAAGGTATCTAAGTCTTGGCGCTCCGCCTTGCCAAGCGCACAGAACCCACTGGTCATGATCGAAGTCTGAACATTGAAGGAACAACTGCGCTTTGAATCCCACCTCCCAAACATACCCATCGAAGCAAGGTACAGCATCACAGAACTTCCAAGATGCGTACCTACGACGATACTTTCAGTGCTACAAAAATCTACCCGGGCAAGGTCAGTCCATCGATCCCACAACAACGAGGAAACCCCAACCCGATCATTTCCACGGCTTTCCACAAGATAAGAATCAGTTTGAAGGCAAATATAGAACGGCTGACATGTGGTGAAATCTACAGGGCAAACTCTACGTCCGCGGTGACAGCAAGATCTTCCGATTCCAAAATGGCAAGACCGAATCCCTCTTCCTCCAGCGCAAGAACCCTCGAAGAATAGCCTGGACCATGCTTTACCGAAGACAACACAAGAAGGGAATTTCAGAGGTCAGTCCCCCGAAATTGTTGGCACGAAATACCCCTCCCTTAAGATGGTGTGAGAGTGTACGCCGGAGTTCGGGTTCGAATGAACAGAAAAGAGGAAGGCTGCTTATTACTCTGAAAAAGACCCCATATTACTACCCACCGTCCAATCGATCTAGCTATTCATTCTCAGGGGACATTAGACTGACATTTCCGGAATCGTAGGAAGTCGCCAAGAAACGCAGTCGCCGCACTGTCAAGCACCAGCGCGCAATTGTGGGAGCTTCGCTCGACGTGATCAAGGAACGCCGCGCCCAACGACCTGAAGCCCGTGCCGCCGCCCGTCAAGCCGCTATCAAGGAAGGCAAGGAGAAGAAGGCTGCCTCAGAGTCAAAGAAGAAGGCCGAAAAAGCAAAGACCGCTTCCAGTGCCGCTCGCGGTCAGGCCCGTGGTGGTATTGCCTCGAAGCAGCAGGCCAAGGGCGCACCCAGCAAAGTTCAAGCCAAGAGCAGATAAGTAAACGCCATCGAGGGCTTTGGTCGGTTGAGGATGTTCTGATGCAGGTTTGCGGGGAATACTCATGGTGTCAGGGGTGGATGGAAGTGTTTTACAGAACTCTATTCATTCTCACTTCACGATGGATATGAAAGGCTTGCTGATTGACGGTGTGCATGAAAAGCAACGGGGATGAAACCAAAATCTTACGGAGGTGTGCTTGCTCACTGCATGGCAAATCCCCTGGGTCATTCTATTACGGCCAAGCATGGTAGAGATAAGCCAATTCGACACAAATGACAAAACTCCAAAATCTTGAACACGTCAATAGAATTTTCACAGTCAAATGTGTACAAGGTATTTGACTAGCCTGGTCTTGCACACATACGCAATGTGAACGCGTTAAAGTAGTCTCTGTCGACTTTTCGACAGCATGCCGTGATCATTCACGTCGAGTCTTCAGCACCCCGACACGCTAAACTAATATATGTTGCGCTTTGCATGATCGTGCGTTTCACTGGTACTTCGCCACTTCCACTTCTGCTCTCGGCAGCTTGTCTGCTTCAAAGCTGTTCTGGCTGAGAGCATTCGGTATCGGCGAGCTAATGTCACGCCGAGGATACTCGAGGCTGGTTAAGAGCACGCCGCGGAGGTGTGATCTATTCATGACAGTTGCCACTTGGGGCAATCGACATAGCAGCTCGCTAGTCCATTTACCTCTTCACTATCGTCCACAAGAGATAACCGTGGTCTGAGCCGGGCGGCGAGGGGCGATGAAGCTAGGGGTTGCCCGTCGAGCGAATGGCGACAGCAATTTCAAGCCGGGACATCTGAGCCGTGATGTATTTGGGGATAATACCAAGACAATTTCGTCCAGAGCTCCTCAATCGCCCAACGCAGTACCGAAACGATCAACAAAGAAGCCCTCAGCCTTCTTCAGCACCTTCGCATCTTTCCGATGGTCTGCTTCACTAGGAACTCTCCAATTGTTCACCCGCCACCACCAATTTCTGACCCTCGCACCCAAACCCTGCCCTCGGAACTGGGTTCCACGATTCCAATGGCGCCAGCCAAACATGGCAAGGTTCCAGAGAATGCCCTGGGTCAGTGGCAGAAACACTTGATCGCGGATCGTGATAAAGGCGACCCTCCAGTTTGAGTCGGCGTCCTTGATACTGGCGAGGTAGGACTGCTCGAAGCGGAAGTCCGGAATCGGTGGCAGATCCCTTCGGCGGGGACGTGGGTGGATGATCTCACTCGGGATGGTCGATGTGGATGACGACGCGGTGCTGGCTGAGGCGAAGGAATGTGATCGCGAGCGTGGAGGTGAATCTCCTTCGGGGAACTCAGCTGTCGCGGGGATCTTCTTAGAGGCGGCAGTGGATGGATTCACATCATGTAATTGAGACGGGTGTCGGTTGATGGAGACGGATTGGATGGCCGAGGCCAGCTCTGAGGCGGGGTTGCTCGCCATTCTGGCAAGATGCAAGAATGGCACGGCGGACACCACCGAGGGATATATGGACCAGAAGGATGCAAGAGGTGGCTGCTAGGGGAAGTTGATAGAGCAAGCCAGTGGGCCGGTCGTCGGGCAAACAAAGATGCAGGAAGCTCTCAACGCCTAAAGTAGAAAAGCGCGGCCTTGCACGTGCAACTCGAAGGCGGTGAAGGGGAAAGAAGGCAGGAACAAAAGCGTAAGGCGCTGCAATATTTTGCAGTGCAAAACTGCTAAGATATCTGCTCTCCAGGCACGCGTTGGGCTAGAAACTATTAAATAGACTCAGCAGCGAGCCCATGTTATCTTGGCCAGGCCCATGTGTTATTACTTATATGCCCTCATTACCCCCATTAGCCTCTATAGATTATTGGCGTCTGCCTCGTAGCGTTGCATATACATAGTTCATAACTTCAAGGATTCTGTCTCTAGACGGACTCGATCGCGGTGGAGGTGAGCAAAATGACCGGGACCTGTCTTCGCTAAGGTCTGAGGCCCAGTACGATGTTGGCCATTCGCGCAACACGAAAGCTTGGGAGAAGACTGTTTTCTCATCCAAGTTGACTCAAGAAAGCCAGGATGCATTCCTGGGTCAGGTTCACATAGTTTCCGCCGACTGAGATCGCCCGTCCCGTTGCTTAGCACTGGCGCGTCGCCGGCAGAATAAGGATAGGATTGGCTTGCAAAACTCACTGCTCGGTTGAAAGCTCGTTGCCAAACCCTGGCGTCTTGATCTGTTACAAAAAACTCTTCTCCATCGAAAGCAGCGAGGCATAAAGACGCTAGCATATCAGTCTGTAACCCAACCGGCACGCTGAGCGGTCTGATCACCTCAGGATCGACAATAAGGGTGGCGTTGAAGAGGGGTTCAATCGAGGGCGGAGGTCGTATCTAAACCCTGACGCCAACAAGGACGACAGCCACAAATGCGAATGGTTTCATAGTTGCTACAGCAGATATTGAAGGTGCTGGCAATCCTAAGTTGAAGTGATAGACATCTGCAATGTCTTTAACTTATCGAGCGGTCCAATTTCCAGTCCCCACAACTGAATCATCTATGTAGGTTTACCCTCCGAGTGTCGATAGACCGTCTATTTCCAAGGACTCGGCTCCGCCGACTGAGCTCAGTCTCGTTATACCGCCGATGTTGTCCTGTAGAGGTTATCGTGATCTGTTAGGGCCAAGCTCTTCAATACGTCCACACTCCGGGCATACTTCTGTGATTATCGGGGCGCCAGCGGATGTCAAGACGTTGTCTTAGTGCTAAGTAGCTTCTTTCGTGATAGCTGCGAAGAGCTAGACGGACGCTATACGATGCTAGTGCTAGGCGCTAAGTACATAGTAGATACTAGTCTGGACGAGCCCTCCTGGCTCTCATTGCAATGCTCATGCTCATGTCCTCCAAATAATCACACTTCCTCAAGCTTATGTGAATTCTCTTGGATAATGGATATTCATATCGAGCGATGGCTAACTGCAGTCTGACGAGTCTGAACCAGAACTTGAGACTGGCAACCCACAGAGACCAGCAATACCACCACATGACCCGGTCGTTTTGGTGAAGTCCTCAATACCTAAGCAGATTCTGGCCATGGAACCTAGGGTCCAAAGGCAACTTGATCCTAGCCTAAGTCCTCGATCGTCCTAAGTCGCAGTTGCAGGGTACTGGAAGTTGGGCAAGGCTGACGGGTGCAAGGTGGCATCACACTTGTGGGAACATTGCAGAGGGACCCTCGGTTGCCGACATCCCCACAACCCAGCCAACGCTCGCCCCCCCCACCCCACGAGCGTCACAGCCGGAGCAGAATGTTCTCGGTTCTCCACCACCGCTTCTCTCAGAGACCTTCTTCCATCTGCATATCTGCATCATGAGCACAAAAACAGCCGGACTTCAATGTGGCTTCTGCGGCCGACAATTCTCTCGGAGGGAGCATCTCGACAGACATTGCCGAATTCGTAAGTCTCGCCAAATGCTGCAAAGTTTCATCAATTGTTGCCCACACATTCTTCTGCAGATACCAATCAAAAGCCTTATAAATGTGCCCATTGTGCAAGAAGCTTTTCACGTCAAGACAGCTACTTGCGCCACGTCAAATCTCATCATCAACATGCAGGTTCCGTTGAATCTAAACGGCAGAGATCCGAAGTGGCCTGTGATGCGTGCCATTTCGACAAAGTCAAATGCAGTAGTGAGCAATCGCCCTGTTCACGATGCAAAATCAAAGGGGTCATATGTACCTACGATCGCGGTTCGCGAATGACCAGACCCATTCAGCCCACGACTTTGGACAGCTCGGCGTCTTCACAACAATACTCGCTTCCTCGAGCGGATGCCGAGGTCGACGTCAACTTGAACAACTCGAATGATCAGATATCCAGCTTGACGGAGGAAAGCTTGGCTGCCGGTACGTCCTCCTTCCTGCCTCCATCTGCCGATCACGATCGAATGCGCGTAGCGCCTCAGTCGAGACATCTCAGCCCTCTGGAGCGATTGGACTCACACGTGCCACGAATCATCGCGGTGGATGAATCAAGCCGTCAGCCTCACATTGCGACCCATAGTGTCGCACTTCCCATGGATTATACTCACACTCCATATACTGTTGATGACCTTTTAGAATGGCAGTCTGCCTGGGTCGGGAATACCTTCCCATTTCAGAACGAGGCTTTCTTTGAAGTAAGTCTTATTTCATGCGATCTTGGTCCATTTCGAACTTTCAGCCTCTTCCAGCGAGCAGTCGAAACAACATCAAGTTTTACAGTCTAAGCATCGGCAGTGTTGTCTACAAAACTGCTCGCTTATCCGTTACATACAAACTCGGAGGTTAACGTCTGAGCTAGAACCCTGTAGTCAATCTCTGGGATTCAAATTTCAATTTGCTTCCCGACGATTTCTACCGCCTTCACGATTTTCAGAGGCCCTACGACGAGCAGAACCCAATCGAATCTCGCCAACCGAACCCTAGCACGCCTAGTGGTGGCGATTCTCCTCTAAATCACACTTCTAATACACGACCTCGCCGAATCGCTACAGCCTATGAGAAGCTACGCCAATTTTCAACCGCGGAGTTTATCTCCCGCCCATCGTCACCAAGTGCCCAGTCTCAGCATCAGCGATGGTTGGCGAACTTGGCCTCTGTACAATCTCCCAAGGTCGATAGAGCCATTATCAACGTATTCCTGGGTCTGTTCCAAAGTAGACTCTCGGAAACGTTCCAACACTTCCGTGGGTTTTACATTCGTAAAGACACCCCAACGGAACTATATCTTGCAATGGCCGCTGTTGGAGGCCTGTACTGCAGCATAGCTGGTTCCGCCGATGTGGCAAGGTGGCTTTACTACAGTGCTCAACACAAATTACTGACAAAGGTATGCTATCCAAGAAATGCCAAAAATGTACCCCCGAAATCGTCTGTTCAACTCGGGTTGTGCCCCGCTTCCATGGATCTTTGCACCACTATTCTTCCTGCGCTGATATTGACTTAGGTCTGTGCCCCACGACCTGCGAATCCGAATGAGGGAAGTTCAATTGTGTCAACTGTAAGCATACAACCCTTCGTTGCCGCCAACCTATCATGGCGTTGTCGCCGTGGTTGTGACTGACGAGACGACTTCAGTACATCTTGCTGGAACTCTTTGGGTATCTTAGTGGTGACAGAAGGATTGTCGAATTGATCGAGGTGTATCATTTTGAGATGTTGCAGGTACGAAATCCGACTTGTCTACATTGGGCCAATTTCTGCGCTAGAATGTCCTTCTGACAGCATTCGCAGGCTGCACGTGATTTCGGACTGTGGCGTCAAAGACAGGGCTTACAAGAAGACGAACGCAAGAGGTGAGCAATCTGACGGGCCAGTCCTGATCGTTTCTTCACTGAACCACGGTCTTCCCGAATTCATAGTCTCATTCAGTCACTATTCGTGCTCGAATGCTATCGGGTCGTCCTCCTTCAAAAGCCGCCGATGTTTTATCCATGTTCAACACCACGTTACATATTAGATGTGGTTCAGGGCTCCGGCTACGGCCCCGGTCCCGGTCCCGAAGATGAGGCTCTTTCTGAGTACCTTCGGTCAATTGCGGCCCTTGAAAATTCAGGGCGCAGGATTGACACCCCCTCAATGAGTGTGCACACCCTCTATGCCATGTCACTCTTGACAACACATGTCACCTACAGGGCTGCCACTACCACCATAAATGAGCAAGACGCAGGTCGCTCCGAGCAAGCTTCTGGCAGATCGTCAAAGTCTCTCTGGCAAATGGCGTTCTTCGAGCTTGTGCTTAACAACTGGCGCTGTGTACACTCAACCGCACCTTCGGCTAATACTATGATGTTATTCCATACTATACATCTCAACATGTACGCTAGCCTGCCCACAATCCAAGAGCTTACACAAAAGATTCTCTATCAAGCTGCCCGAAATCCGACGACAGGTCAAGCTTCAAGCGTGCCAAGCAACACGACAACTCTTACCACAGGAATTTCCGAACGCTTGCAGCGATGTTTTCGTACCGAGGATGACTGCGAAAAGGCTCTGTGGCACGCCAACCAAATTCTACGCCTAGCACAGCAGGTGACCGCCAGGGAGCATGAGTTTCGAGGTAACACAGCCTTGTGTCATACAGCCCATCATTCGAAGGACGATGGACAAGAGGATATTGCTCGAAGTCCCCATTTTATGTGGGCCGTGTATTTTGCAACGTTATGTTTCTGGTTCGCGAACAGCGATCTTGCTCCTAGAACGCATCAGGGCAGTACTGGTGACTACCGCTCTCGGAGCAACCTTAGCCTTGCAAGAGAGCGGCATCTGGGACAGGCTATCATGGCACAATCAGAATGTGGAATCGCGAGACTTTTCCACAGCATCCTGGAGCATTTGGGGTCTACTCTGTGAACAAGGTATCCTACCGCCTGGAATAGTGATGCTCCATTGCACCCCAAATGCTAGTGGACACAGTGTGAATGGTGTATCGATCCATTCTGGACCTTGGGTTACATCCTGCCTCGGCCTTTAACAGCGGCTTGCAACCTTGGACTTCGCTACCAGTTAGAATGGGAAATTGCTGCACCGATGCTTAATATAAATTAGTAAATTCACGTGGGAACCCCCGATTTTGTAGCACATATTTGCCTACAGGTATTACGAGCTTGCTGTAACATTCGCTTTCCACACATCTGAAGTCTGCTACAAAGGTCTGATGGAGACCCACTACCAGATTAATAATTGAGCTTCGCCTCGTTGTCAACTCCCACGTCACGTGGTTTGAAGTCTTACGGATCCGATCCATCAGCCTTGGCGTCATGTCGCAAATGGAGTAACACCAAGGCTCTCCATACGGCTGGGGTTACTTTTCTTCCTCTACTATATCTACCTCGAAACTCAGCTACTGGAGCTCTCTATTCGGTCGCTCCACATAAGTCTGAAGCCATCGCTGAGGGCGCAGCGATATCACATCAAGTCACTGAGGACTCGCTGTCATGCCAGCATGGAGAACCTCTTCGTACGTAAGTACAGCTTTTTTTGTCAACTCTCTGGAAGCGCTGTTGCACTTGTCATGCTCCTAAATCGTGGTTGCAGCCTCTTTGGCATAACCAAAATATTAATGATGCCGATCCGCTAGATGCACACCAACCTCGTATCAGCGACGCGGCTAGAGCTGCCACCGCTCCTGACTCCGCATTCATGGAAAACTATAGGCAGGCTCTTTTAGCCAGTCCCAAGTATTGCACCCGTGCCGACTGTTGCTCCTTCTTCACATTCGAAGAAGATGAAGTGTCGGGATCTTCGTCGGCTGACGCGCTGCCCGCGGCCAACGATGTCCTCCGCCGGGATCTTGAAGCTGGTGCTGCCGACCTCCGCATCCCTAGAGATACTGAGCCACGACTGTCAGGCCTCGAATACCCCTTGTTGCTTTTTGCAGATCTTCCGCCCTTGCCCGATAACGAGACTTTGAGTTGCCTTTTGGAAGAATTTCACCATGTTTTTGTGTCTTCTTCACCATTCCTCCAATCCATGTCACTCCCTAGGTCTGGGGCACCTCCTTATTTGATTCTACCCATGGCACTCTTGGGTGCCGCTATTTCTACAAATCCTGAGCACTCTCAGTGGGTCAAGAAGCTCTGGCGCGCCACAGAGGCTCTTCTTGTTGGAGTCCTTGAAGTTGACAACTCCCTGGCACGGAGTTCTGATTACCTTCATGCGGTAAGCATAGGAATGCTCCGAAAGTTGCCTACTAATGTTGATTACAGGCAACGTTGCTGATGGCATATGGAGTATTGCAGGCCCACGGGCAAGTGTGGCGCAAGACTCAGGCATACAGCGGGTACCTGGCAGCGGTAGGTAGAATCGATTTTGCCCAAATGATGATGAACTCGCAACTGACGGCTGTGGGTATGGATTCAGCCGCTACACAAAATGAGACTCAAAGATATTGGGTCAAACACAGGCAGCGCGGCACAAAGACTTGTCGATTTGCATGGTAGAGGAAACATTGGGTAAGTCTGCTTTGGTGAATTTCCCTGACATACCACTCTCTTGCATCGACCTGCAGAGGGCGCGAAATGGCTGATGTTGAACTCAAGAACTCTCGGGTTCTATTTCTTAGTTGATGTTCTACGCGCTATCCATTTCAACACGCCGCCATCTCTTACAGCAGCCGAGCTGTCTCTACCAATTAGCCGAGGTCACGACTTCAGGCCACTCTACAAGACTCTCGTAGTGGACCATAAGCCCCTGCCGGTGGCGCTTTCCTCTGACGGATATTTGTTACTGCTCATCGCCCTGTTATCAGACATTGTCTCGGCCTCTCACGGTTTTGGGAGTCTGACGGTGCACCCGTCGTTGTCACACCAACAAACTTGTCCAGATCAACAATCCTTCCCGACCCGCCCACCAGGTGCGGACGAACCTCTGTTTTGGAGTGACGAGCCCACTGGTGGCTCACGGAATCCACGTGAATCTCTTCGCCAGGAGAGCCTCAATTCGGCCTACTGCAATCCACTGCTTCCTTTCTCTGCAACACAGGAGTACTTCCGCATCAAAAAGAATTTGGAAAAGGCTCTAGACGCCTGGTCAGTCTCAGTTGGCCTTTCAGGCGGCGGAGATGTCGCCGACAAACCTACCGTCGTTGACAGCACCATCATCCCAATTCTGCACTTCTGCCGCATGCTGTTGGAGGCCGGTCCGTCCATTTATCTCCTTCCAGCGGTGGTGGGTTATACGCCAATCGGTGTTTCCTCAGATTCACAGGATCCTGGTGCGAGCTTCCAGAGGAACTTGAGGTCACTCGATGTACAAAGGGCAGGGTTTTCCTTCAACAATGCCGTATTGTCCAGCGCATGGCAAATCCTGGAAAGCATCGAAGCAGACCATCACCATACCGGTGTCGATTCTGGTCAGTCAACTAGTGTAGGTGGCAGTGGTGGTGTTGATGGTGGTTTCGACCCAATGTCTCGTTCTGATTCTTCGTCGATCACTCCTATTTGGTATCCTCTGATTGTTTTCTATGCAGCACTTGTGGTATGGGCACGGCTGCTGGAAGATAGCAGTAGAAAAAGTAGCGGTGGTGACGTTATTTTTATTGCTAGAAAGAAGGTCTTGGGCACTTTCCAGATCGAGCTCGAACAGATGAAGCCAACTTGGGGATGCACGGAGAGAATGGTGGCGATCATCAAATCACTTAAATAGTAGGCTTCCACGTGCCTGAGCCGGGCGTCTGAGCAGAGACCCTTGTGCGGACCGGGAGCTTGCCCTGCCAGAGGCCAACATCCCCTTTCTTTTTATTTAGGACTAGACCTGTCGATAGCTACGAGTTGATTTGGACTTTCCATTACAGATCCTCGTTCATCAGATTTGCCCATTTTGCCCTTGCCTTGTAAAACCCCCCCACGTCTGCCCTGCAGGATCCCAATATCAGCTGAGACGGTCTTGACTTTTCCTAGTAGAAGTGGCTGAGCTTGCATTCTAGGGCTCCCTGTTCTACTCCGAGGACCAAATTTTTGTCTCGCCGGTGCCTGTTTTGGACCCGCAGACCCGGTAACGGATGCTAGTTGTAAGGTTGATTATATTCTACCAGGTGAGAAGCCCAGGTAGATGTCATAGAATGACAAGATTCTGGTCTCTTTGGGCGTTCGTCTTATTCTGGCTAGCAATAGCAATCTTGTCCACTGGAATGATGAGCCACTCAGATATCCTCCAGGATGCCCTTTTGCAGCCATACTCGTCGCTGATACCAATGGAAATGCGACAACGCATGACGAAATTACTGCTACGATATGCTCGCAAAGCTGCAACAGGTCAGTGTCAAGATATGATTTTATGGCAATGATGAAATCCAACCCAGTAATCAACCACAGCATAACGCCGATACCAAATGAGCCTGAAGCACGGTATCTCGCTAACGGCACTGACGGTGTTGAAACTTTCCAATATAGTGTCTACTTTTTGCTTTCCAGATTTGGTGAAACAAATCTTACAGTACCGAGGGCTTGGATTCTTTCTTCAATCACATTAAATGTAGGCCTGACGGTATTCCTCTAAAGACCATTCTGGGCGCAAGAACCGGGACCGGCTTTTAAAAGCGTACAAAACCTCTATACGAAGTACATGGTTTTGGTGTTTGACTTGCAATTTCGACGGTCAACTACATTGGATAGCACCGAACTCGTATTCCAGGCACGGCGCGCACGATAGCAGCGTCGCTACAGGTTAACTTCACTTCGAAACTTGCATTGCAAATTACGCCGGCGCTGCTTGGTGCAGCGCATTTTGGCTGAGCGATCTACCGGGGGCGCCACCGAGTCCGTATTCTACTGCTAGCACCATGGGATTTCTTGTCGGGTCTGACCTGTGCAGTCCGGCGAAGCCGAAGCTGCCCAAGAGAACGAAGTGGCTGGAGCGGTGAGAGGTGGAGAAGGTGTTGGATGGTTGACTGTTCAGCTTAGGGTAGTGGCATTCCAAGCGTCCCTTTCAGGAGGAGGAGGATAGGGAAATCAAGGAATGCGTGAGCGTTATGCAGCCTCTTGTGCCCGTAAGAAAAGAAGAGAAGAGCGTTATGAGCTTTGGTAGTGATGTAGGTACGCCAGAACAGTTAGGCTTTCGAGAGTCGAGGGAGTCGGTACTCAGAAGGCGGTTGAGGAGAGCAGGTCGTGATGGGGCAATGGGAAATAATTCTTAGACCGATTGTTGGAACTTTCTAGTAAATGTGAGAGTAACACTACTTGTATAGTCCAGACTGTGTTATCCCCCACAGAAATGCTAATCGCGCGTAGGTAACGACCGTACCCTAGAGACGCTTTGTGAGTCTGTGTCGAGTGTAGAGAGAGTAGGTCATATTGTGAAACTGAAATTTATGAGATATTGCATTTCGAGAATCAACAGATGTACGACTAAAACACAGTTGGCCGAGGATTTTACCAGCACATGTTGCCTCACAACCTGTTACACAGCTATTGAGGGCTATTCTCATGGGGGCTAGCTTTCAGCCTTTTGATCACTGATTTCCTCATGATGCACAACAACGATATTTTCGACTGGTGCGTCGATGTGAGCGTTGAAATCCTTTTTTGGATCGAAAATGAAGAAGGACACTAGAAGTAAGGGTTATCAGCTCCGGGAAGTGATGAAGGGCGAGAGAAAGATAGAGTGAAAGGACTTACGTATGACACCGACAGATGTGAAACAAGCAGCAGCCACCCAAACATATCTGAAAGCGAGGACATATGTCTCGGTCAGACCACCTACTGCAGCGCCAATAATTTCTGGAGTAACACCAGAGATCTCCGCAAGGGCAGCGTTGTCTTGGGTAAGGACAGCGTCAATCAATGGTCCAAGGGACGCCGTGGGCAGGCCAAGTGGGAGGGTAGCCGTAGCAATCTTTGAAGCTAGATTTGCAGAAAAGGTGTGGTTGAAGATAGCGTTGTAGACTGCCAGGCCAATGGTTCCACCAAAGGAGCGAACGGCGACCATCAAGCCGGACGCGATGGCAATCAGCTCGGGAGGCGTCGACAACTGCGCCACAACGAGTAATGCAATCAGACAACTTCCTAGGCCCAGACCCAGGATCACTGGATAGCCCCAAAGCACCGCCCGAGGGCTGTCGACCTTTATCGTCGCCATGAGGACGTTGAAGACCATCAAACAGGTGAGTGAAAAGACCGCTGGCCATCGAACTGATTTGAATCGTGAACAGTAAGTGCCAGCGCCCATGGCACTGAGTCCAAGTAGAAGAAACATTACACAATAATGCAAGCCGCCAACGATTGGGTCTTGGGTACTGAGAACGCTCACTTCGAATGCATAGTAGTTGTTGGCTGCCAGGAAAACTAGACCTTCAATGAAGATGCACATGAGTGCCAGTGTGTAATTTCGATTGAGGAACAAGCCGTGGTGAAACATACCATCCTTTCTGCCTAGCTTCTCGTAGGAGGCGAAGACGAGGAGAAGGACGGAGCCGACCAAAAAGGTAGCCAGCACGTGTGCATCTGTCCAAGGGTAAGGGTTCTGTGACCAGGAAAGAGCAATGGAAAACAGGATCAGCCCAATGCTTAGGAGAGGGTAGCCAATCCAGTCGAGACGGTGTAGCTTCTCTTCAGTCGACAAGCTAGTTTGAAGCTCACGTGTTGGTGGGTTGTATAGAAGCGCGCATGTGATAGAGGCTGCGGCGTTGATTGCGGCGACCATGTAGAAGTATGCACGAAACCCCTCTGAACGTCCGTGTCTGGTGAGAGCACCGCCAACCAAGAGACCAAGGATGCCTCCCATGGAAGCCGAGATGTTGATGCTTGCCTGTGCCCAAGGTCTCTGTTTTCGAGGAAGAACCTCTGACACGACAGCGTGCAATAGTGGCTGGGCTGCAAAAGAGAGACCTGTAATCGAGAGGCCGGCGATGACCATGCCGATCGTGTTGGCACGGGAAACAATGATCGCTCCAGGGACACCGAGGGCTGTGAGAGGAACTAGAAACCATTTCCGACCCCAATAGTCAGCAGCTTGGGCTACGACTGGGCTTAGCGATGTCGTGCCGATCACCAGGACCTGGCTCAACCAGACGGTCTGGGTTGACCCTCCGACAACGGCCGCAATGTCGCGTGCATATGCACCAGCGCCGACGAGAATGACCAGCTGTGCCAGGTAGATGAAATCTATGGCCTGTAAGACCACAAGTCAGCTATCAGGTGTTGCCGAGCTTGGAGGAGCTTGGGATGGTCGCCACCTACCAAGACAATGACAATAGTCTTCATGGAAATACGGCCATTCTTCTCGTCATCCGTAACCATTTCATGTCGGTGACAATGACGGATAATGGGTTCATCGTGAGTCGTGGTTTCATGGTGAACCACAGTAGACGAGCCCATGATGCGGAGGAGGTGGGTGAAAGTAGCCTGCCACGCGATCGATGAGAGTTGCAGTGCCCCGATATTTTAATAGTAAAGTCGAGCGAGGGCTTCTGAGAGTGTCCATTTTTGAGCCTGAGGAGGGTCACTGTGAACTTATATCCTCCCAAGGGCAGGAGCACTGGGGCAAGGCTTTGGACGAAGATGTAAAATCGGGACAGAACCGCGAGCCGCGAGTCGAGATTGTCCGTGGAGCGACAAAAACATCAGCTTCAAAAAGTCTTAATACAAGCCACTAGCAGAATTTAGTTCACAAATGTCTAAAGAATGCATCGAGAATGACGACCATGGCAGCCACATCTTACATGAGGGCGTCGTAGGGGATGCGTGTCCCGAAGAGATGGTCGGTCGGTGTGGGGACGCCACTGGCGCGCCAAGTTGGCCCTTCACCCCATCGGTTTCTTCTCCACAAACTCTGTACCTCCGCAGAGTATCCCTTGCTAATCTCAGAGGATCGACTCCAGGAGACTTCGTGGGTGCCTTGTCGGACTGCAAACCGCCCGAACGAGACCTAGGCAAACCCATTCGGAGCCGCTGCCGGCTTGACTTCCTCGCTGGACTTGTGGACTATCCAGCCTACTAGACTGCGCAGCTAACTTCCTTTCGTAATTCGTTGATGTTCTTGGAACCTTGATATGTGCAGTGGGAGTGGCATTGAAATGTTACCCAAGTCCCTATTCAACAATTATAAGAACGTCGTGTCGATGAACCTGAGGATGTGATCGAAGCTGAAAGGGAAAACACAAAGAAGACGTGATAGGTTTGACGATGTTATCAGCCACTTTAGCGTACTATGTACGTTTCGATATCATCTTTCTAAGCAGGACGGACCTCCATACTTCTCCCCATACCAACCCTTGGGATCATAGCCATCAATAACAATGCTGCGATCGTAAATAAGCCAAGCTCCATTCTCATCGCGTGTAAAGATGTCCTCCCAGCAGCCCCAGTGGTCGGTGAAGGTTACATTGGTGGCGGCAAAGAATTGCGACTTCGTTCGGGCTTCGGTGTCGCTGGTAAAGTGTATGTCGATGCTGGTGATGTGGTGCCGAATGTATTTTGCTTCCTCTCCCTGTACAACAGTGCTGATCTCTGATGGCTTTACTGCAACTCCATTTGGGAGGCGAAAAAGGCCGTCCGGTCGAAAGAGGGGTTCCATATCTTTGAAATCTACCTTGTCCCTTGCCATGACCGCATAGCGATGACAGATGGCACGGATCTCGGCTTGTGCGATGGCCCGCTCCTCGGAGCCTGGCTTATTGAGATCTGTCATGATGCGATGGTACTCGATATGTGCAATATGTTGAAGTGAAGGTTGAATGAGCAGAACGGGAGTAAATTGTTGGGGTAGAAGACCGGGCTGCGGTAGATACTCTTGCTCTGATCGAATTCAGCTTATCAGATATAACTTGCACACCTAGAGAGGTCATGAAGCTTTGGAGTACTGGAAGTTTAATCCCTCTTCTAGGGTTTAAGAACGTGGCTTCATCTATTCCCCACCCCCACCGGCAGCGCCTGTGTCAGGTTTTGAGCCATCTTCGAGCCGAGCTGAGGTGGAGGTTGAGTTTAATTTCCCAGGGAGCAGGAAGTCCTTGCAAATCTCTGCTGCCAACTGCGCCGATCTTTCAACTGCGCACTTCACTAACCCTTGTGACCGATGGCTAACAATTGGGCAGTCGAACGACGATGTTAATGTGAAAATATCGGAAGATAAGGTTGTGATTCTAAAGGAGGGGTTGCTTGACACTTGGGAAGCATGATAAAGCATTCTTTTCTAGAGGAGGAACGCATTATAAACTGTAGGCCAACGACTATTTGTAAACCTCTTTGAAATTGAAGATCACTAGTACCCTTTTGCCTTTGCCAACTTTCTGATGTTCGTCCGCCAAGTATCATAGTACATTTTGGTTGCTTCCATCCGATCCACCATGGATCCTTCTCGCAATAGTCGGAAGAAATCATCATCTGTTGCGGCAGTCTCTTGGCTGTTGAACTGGACACGAAGCTTGTTGTGCGTTGACGTTGGATCGACAAAATATTGGAATACCTTCCGTCGTTCATCAGAGTAGAGGTCCAGAACTGATAGGGGCTTGGATTCGTTCAGGATCATTATAAGAGCGTCGCTGAGAGCATCGGCGTCCAGAAGACCAGAATTGAGACCCAGAGCTCCGAACGGCTAAATCCAATTAGACATATACTTGAGCATCAAGAATTCGAAAGAAGTTGGAAAAAGACAACAAGGAGAGTGTTCCTTACGTTGCACACGTGAGCTGCATCGCCGGCCAATAAGCTTCGACCTCGTCGTAAAGTAGTCGCCAGCCGTTGATGTATTTTGTAAATGGCCCGTCGTCCGATTCGAACCTTCAATGGCCTGGGACCAACCATGACATCTTCATACAAGCTTTCAATATGCTCGTCGCTTAGAAGCTCCTCATCGGATCGATTCTCGTTAGGATCTAAAGCTACTGCATATCGCCACAGGGATTCTTTCCCATCCAACGGCTCCGTTAGAGGCGTAGCCAATCCGTAATGAAGCTTATGAAATTGATAATAGCAAGCATAAGTCGGGACATTTTCGTTCTTGATTGTTACGTCCGTGGCGAGCAGTCGCTCAGGCCAGGTGTGACCAGGGAATGATATTCCTAGCAGCTTTCGCGAAGTGGACCTGCCACCATCAGTGGCGACTAGAAAGGATGCGGTCATCTGAGATGAAACCTTTGTGTCGGTGCCTTTAGTAGTAGCTGTAACATTCCCGCCATGATCTTCAATGCCGGTCAACTCGCGATTGAAAAGTATCGTCACTTTTCCAGTGGCAAGGGCCTCACGAAGAAACAGTTTCGTGAGCAGCGCTTGCTGGAGACAGAGAAGTCCAGCAGGCGGTTCCATAAGGTCATCATCTGGTGCAGCCAATGGCATAACAGCAATTTCTTCTCCCAGCTGCTTTCCACCTTCGCCATCACCAACTGGTTGCTTTCTCCAAGCAAGGCCTCTGACCATAAAGCCTTCCTCGCGAATCTTGTCGTATAATCCGGCATCCACCAGGGCTTGCATTGATGCAGCATAGTATCCAACGGCCCTGGGTGCTTCGCTAGTCTGCGACTCTTTCTCAATCACTGTGACATTGATCCCTTCTTTGGCCAACCTGTAGGCCAGGAATGTTCCCACAGGGCCTGCACCGACAATGATGACAGTATTTGTTTGGTTGTTCGAATTGTGCTTGGTGTGAATACCTTTCAGGCTGAGACGGTTCTTGAGAACGCCATTGGTACCGTCGTGGTAATCGACTTTGTCCTCACCAATAGACATTTTGGACTGTTCCAGCAGGCTGCCAGCTGATCGGGATTACTTAGCAGGTCTTGCTGGAGGGATGGCAGTAACTAACGACAGGAGTGAATGCTGTTGCTGGTTGACCAGAAAATCAGTTGATAATCCAGGATCAAACGCATGAGATAAATGGATGGCTCGCCCCCATTCAAACGTGGGTTGTTCTTTCCTAATGCAGTTTACCCCACACTCCCGGGTGGCCAATTGAAAGGCATGGCAGAGAGAGACTGTGAGCTGTGTATAAGGCCCCAAATGACTAGACCTTGCCCAAACCGCCAGGGCCTTCGCAAGCTTACACTTTTAAGAGGTGGCCAAAGCGGAAGTGTGATAGGTGCTTGAGATAGCAACAAAGCCCATCGCTGTTTACACAGGAACTAGCGTTAGGTGATTAAGGTGTGGTAGATGTTGGAAAATACCACATGTACATTCAAAAACAGCTAGAATCGATCCGAATTTCCTCCATGGACTTTTGCGTTCCTCATTGCCCCTTCCAATGGCGATCAGTACTGTCCGACTTTTGGCTTCGATCGAGGTTTCTACGACGAAAGGAACAAGTCAGGATTACCTTCTTTCAGCACTAAACCGGAGATGAAGTGGGAGTGGTGAATAATCCAGACCTCTCAACAGCCCGGCCCTTCCTAGCGAAACTGCCGGTAACGCCGGTGGAGGTGTTGATGGTGGTTGAACTACCAACAAGCCCAAATTCGTGGGCCTTTCGGCTCCCCACAGCCCCACTACGTAGGAATTGGTACTTCTGCCACAATTCGCCGTTGCTGGTCAATGGTACGCTGTTGAGGTCTTGAACACCTATCTTCCAGGGGAAAAAAATTATTGCAGACCTAGTGTATGATATGGATTTCGGAAGGTTTTCGGATACTTACGTTAGAACCAATATGCCGCCTAGTGCAGTCTCGTATGACCAGCAGTTTTTGGAAGGTTTAGTGCTAGACTTGGCCGCAATCGACGAAGGAATCTCCACCGAACTGGGCTTGCAGATACTTGTGAGTGTCATCAAGGGCATGTCTGTGGAATCAACCATGCGACTAAAGAAAACTTTCCGTTAGGTAGCGATGTGTTGTGCGAGCAAGCGTGCAGATCTGGTGCCCTCACTATTCCAGAACGCCCTTGAAAAAGCGGACAGGTCGAAGGACTCAATACTTGAGCTGTTTGACAGTTTCCGTGAGACTATCAATATGATTTGGCCCTTTGTATGTGTACCGCAAGTCATACCAGCTGCTCTTGGTCTTGCCGGTTATTTGCAGTCCAAAGGTATCACCACCCTAGACCAAAACAAAAACAGGAACAGGTGAGTCTCCGTCTTCTCTCAGGGAATACTCGAAGTCACATTGTGGCTCTAGATTGCACTCTTTCTACCTGGTTATTAAGACGCTGACTGAAGTCCACAACATTTCTAGACCGGATTTCACTCAGGAAGACACTGAACTAGGAAAGGCTACGCGTCGTTCGATATACAAAGCATCGGCCAACAATGAGGTCTTCGAGATGTTAAGTACTTTTTATGGAGATTTCGCCTACGCACTGAACACAGTTGGATTCGGGTAAGAGCCTCTAATATGTCGAAACTTGCGTAGCCCATGAGATATTGCTGCCGCTTCGACGACATATTACATGACATTTGATCACAACACCACTGACGTTTGTACAGTTATAATCTAGGGTGTACTAACGACTATAAACTTCCTTTGCCAGCAGCAGAGCTGATAGTAACCTCTGCTCTCATTGCACTTCCCGCAACCAGACAAGCAGGGAGCCATGTGAAAGCATGTATAGCATTTGGATATTCTGACGCCGATATTACTAGGGTCGCCAAAATGGCGGAGAAGTTGGCTGCGTGGCAAGGATACAATCTCACGCCTATCAATGTCATGCTCCTTGCTCAGCAGGCTCGAAGCAATCTGAAAGTTGCATAGAGATGTTAGGCACGTGCATTGTGGGAGTCTAGTGAGCGCGAGCTTTCTCGATTCCTATGATTTGCATTGCCAATTCGGATGCTTTCATTGATTTTGGACCCTAGAACAGCTTCTTCTTTACTTGCTCAAAAGATCGCCGGCTGCAGTTTACATGGAGGTCGCAGATCTTGCCCTCGTTGAATCTCCCTGTACTGAGGTCGCAGACTTTTAGGACAAAGCGAATAGGTTCTTGGTTTGCGCCCAACGGAGGAAGTATACTATAGGCAAGTCATAAGATCATCTTGATCAAACTACCTCAGATACTAGAAGAATCTAGTTCAAGCTCAGTAGAGAAGCCAGACAATTGTGGAAATCTCCATGGTCAATATCAAGATCACTATGTCCTAGGTGTGACGTGCATCCATAGCTGTTTGCCGCTTGGAGTCATGAGTCCAACATCCCGCATGTACATCATGTCCTCCGTCATAAGGGAATCCAGCCGCAAATCGAACCTTTGGTAAAGGGCACAAACAGTGAGAAGCATCTGGACGCGCGCAAGATGCATTCCAATGCAGTTTCTTGCGCCAATGCTGAAGGGTCTGTGCATCGTCTTCATGGAGGGAGTGGGATTCTCCCACCTCTCAGGAAGGAATTCTAAGGGGCGGGAATATATGTCGGGATCGCGCTGAGTTGAGTAAGCCAAATTGGCTACGACGACGCCAGCGGGGACGTAGACACCTCCAATGACCTTTCCCGGAGATATCCTGGGCGCGATTGTAGCTAGAGGTCCCCGAAGGCGTAAAGTTTCCTGTAGAACACAGTTGAGATAAGGCTGTTGGTACCAGAGTCAGTGCCTGCAGGCAAATCCTGTGCATCGTGAACTGGGGAGCACTTACTAGTGTCAATGCGGTTTCGAAGTCAGGAAGCACTGTAGGGTTAGGAAAAGCTTGTTGAATTTCCTCGCGGAGTCGATTCTGCATAGCGGGTCTTTTGGCTAGTTCAAAGAGAAGGTATAACACAGTCGATGCTGAGGTGCCGCTCCCAGCAATGATGAATATCACACTGTTTTCTATTGTCTCTGCATCTGAAAACTTTGTATGTTCTCCATCCTTCCTTTCTTCCACCATATAGCAAAGGAGACCGTGCTCGCTGGTTCCTCCTCGGATTCGGTGGCGGAAATCGTCTATGAAGGACTGTATCCCCCTCACAATTCGCGGTCCGGCTTGTTGTGCTGCGTGAAACTCACCAAATGGTAAATATCGAGCGATTGGCATTATGCCATATATAGGGGCGATACCGAAGTATGTCTCGATGTCTTTTGCGCATTGGTGTTTATCTCCACTGAGGGTGTCGAAATTCTTGACGAATGCCAGTTGGCTGGTGATATCTGTGAATAGATTATGTGTTGTCTCGTACAGGTTGTGTGGTTGCTGAGATTTTTGAATGACATTTAGATATTTTTGGACGATTTGAGCTATCTCGGCCTCGAATTGTAGAACGCCTTTCTGTGAGAATCCATGCGATAATGTGCGGCGCATTTGGCTATGGGCCTTGCGATCGACAGTACTAAACACTGATTCCGTGCCCGTTAGTGTGAATCCCTTTGTAGAAAACCGAAGCTTTGACGCAGGCTTCAGCTGTTTGCCCATATATATCCTTAATTGATTCTTCATCGGCAAAGCAAAGTTCGTTCGGACCGGTGCGGACAATCTTGCCAAACTTGACGTGCAAGTCGTTGCGCACATACGTGTTCCTGCCCATAGCAGCCGTGGCAACCATGTACAGGCTCGTAAGCTTTGCAACAAGCGGTCCAGGGTATTTAGCCAATGGATGAAAGAAAACACGATAGACGGCAAGACAAACCCGATAAACGACAAAGGAAGCCAGCAACATCGAGTACAGGGTTCTGATCTCCATATTACTTGCCCTTCCTGTACGAGCTGTCGGTTTTGCAGGAGGTATGTGGAATGAGATTCGCGGACCAGTGATTCTGAATGTAATTTCATCACCAGGAACTGCTTTGTAAGTTTGCAATGAAACCTGGATATAAGTCGGCCACCAGAAGTTTCTCCAGGCTTCACTGTCGAGAAATAATTAGATGTTCGCGAACATTCGGCTTTTTGGGGAAGTGGGGAAAGCTCAGGAATTGGATTTTCCAGCTCAGAGTGTAAGCAACTCTCCAACTTACCGGTCTGCATTCCATGCCAGGTTCAAGGCAGAAAAAGAGAGGACTGGCTCCGAACAAGGATCAGAGCGAATGAAACCAGCACCCCGCAGAACCGATCAATTGGGTAGCCGTACATTTTTTCTACCCCGGTGCAGCCTCGATGTGCTTTACACAGAATTTGCGTTCGGGTTGCGAGGCTAGTCTAAGAGTGCTGGCGTCCAGAATGTGGAACTGCAGCTGGAGCCTGTTCGTCTGTGCTCGGAGACTGGTGAAGCTGCCGATCACAATGCGTGTATTTACTTTGTCAAGAAAGAGTGCGTGGCAGACAGGTGGGACGTGTATTTACCTGCCAGCCCTCCAAATGATCGATCCGATCTCAAAAACAAGTTCGCTCGCCTTCCAGCACTTTATCATCTCTTCCAACCGGGGTTTTGCATTGCTACTACACTTTAAGTAGTCGCGCTATTTGTTGGCCCAAGGACTCTAAGCTGGCGCACAGTTCCCTTCAATCCGTATTCAATGCATGATCTACAAACCGTATGGTATGCATATTGACTTCCCAAACCTCTTTTGAGTCTGGCTTTTGAGAAGAGTGACCCAACATGACTGCCATCCTTAGGCATCCGAATATCGGCACATCCATGGCAAAGCAGGAGACAACATAGTGCAATTTCTCGGATTGAAATACGCATCGTTGAAGGACCGATTGGCGGAGCCTGAGCTCCTGGCTGGCTATGGGAATGGACAAATCGAGGCCACGACAATTGGGTTATCCGCAACCAAACAATAATTGAAGCTCATGTACTGACGCACATTAAAGACCACAACTGTTGTCCACACCACTAGCTTGCGATTTCGAACACAGCCTGATGCAAAATACCCTTCCCCATGGGGACTTTGACATCTCCGACTTGGACGGTCTACATCTCAATATCACTGTCCCGAGCGGTGCTAAGGGACTCCCAGTCCTAGTCTTCATTCACGGAGGAGGTTTTACAGTAGGATCTAACGCGTGGCCGCAGTATGACCAATCGAGACTTGTAAAGTTGTCTATCGACTTGGGAATGCCCTTCATTGGTGTCTCTGTGAAGTAAGTCACCCTCATGGGAGATAGCACTATTGTAAGACCTTGACTCAATTGCTTAATTAGCTATCGTATTGGAGCTCCGGGCTTTCTTACGTCGAAAGAGCTGCAAGCAGCTGGATGCAAATGCAATAACGGCATTCGTGACCAGCGAACTGCGCTTTTGTGGATAAAACAACAAATTGGTGGTTTCGGTGGGGATCCGGGTAAGGTGACGCTCATGGGACAAAGTGCTGGATCTGGTATGCAAACCGAACAAGTCTTCAATGCGTAGACTCGCTGACTCTAGCTATCTTCTTCAGTGGCTTGTATGATCCATCTTCAGTCCAAGGAGGCGCTGTTTCAACAGCTCATCTTGATGTCTGGGTCTACATTGCTGCTTCCACCGCTGCCACCGCCAGTTAGTGAGATTGCATATTCTTTGTCTATGAAAGCACTGGACCTTGAAGGGCTGACAGTAGATGAACGGGTTGCAAAACTCATCCACGGCCCCAAGTCAGACCTTTACGAAAAAATCACGCCCGCAATTCCGCTTCTGCCAGTGATTGACAACGAGGTAGTCCATCCAGGCCCGAGCTACGAAGAACTTTTCGGCGGCGCGACCAGGGTCGAAAATGTACTTCCAGGTACCAAATGGTGTCAGCGGATTCTGGTTGGGGATTGTGAATTTGACGTAAGCAGCGCCGTCAATTCCACAGACGGCGCCAACATGACTGACCACCCTCATCTGCATTTAGGCCTCAATCTACAGAGGCATGCTTGAGCCTCACAAGAATGAAATTGCCAAACGTTTCCACAATTTTGCTAGCCGCACTTTGTGTGGCTTCCCGTCCGTAGTCGAAGAGTTGGAGCGGGTCTACAATATCACGACGGAGACAGCCGATGATGCAGCCCTGGACAATATCCTGGAATGGACAACGGATATTGGTTTCTACTTACCAGCCATAACCATTGCACACACATGGCCCGGAAAGAGCTACCTCTACCATCTCAATGAGGTAAATCCGTGGGAAGGCCCCAAAAGGGGAAAAGCAGCTCACATTATGGACGTGATTCTCCTATTCCAGAACTTCCAGGAGAGCCTTTCCCAAGATCAGCAGGCACAGGGAAAGAGGTTCGCGGAGAACACCATTTGTTTCATTGCCGGATCAGACCCATTTCCATCCTGCCAAGCGGAATCCAACGGTGCGATGGTATACGGACCACCAGCTAGTCCAGCGGGATTTATCAAAAGCAGTGAACCTAGTGATTTTGGAAGAAGAGCGGTGATCCATAAGCTTTCCGGAGAAGTGGGATACGACACGCTCCAACGCATGCTGGGCAATATCCTTGCCGGTCAGTGGTGATACAGGCAATCACCATTGTTGAACGACTGCCCTTATTTAGATGAAAGGTGTTGAATATATCAGTTTATATAAAAGCTTGGTTCATTTCAAAACTTGTTCAGCATAACAACACCAAGGCTTTCCGCGCCTTCTCCGACTGGTAGCATGAACTCTCTGAGTGTGCTTTCGCACAAGATTGTTTTCAGAAACAGCACCAGCTGTCTGATAAATTGGAAGCGGTCTGCTAGCCCAATATTGCCGGCTACCGTAGTGACAAAATAACAGAGCCTGGACATCCTGAATATACTTGTGTATGATGAGAGATGCAATGAGAAGGTGTGTTCGTCGTCGATAAGTACAATCCCTTTCTGCCTGGTGAGGTAGACAAAGGCAACATCGATCCAGCACGCAGCCGATTCCAACCTCGTATAGCGTTAAGTGTGGTCGTTTCTCTTCTATCTTGACCTTATACAGAGTTAGCCCTACGTTGGCCCGACGTCAGGTTTAGCGAACATTTGAAGTACTCGTACGGATTCATACCTCAGTGATATCTGCCGTGATGTGGAAAGTGTTACTATCAGATCTCCCAGGCGTTGTGTGGCTGCTTGCTCCGACATGTTCATTGGTTAACTCATCCGATCCAATCGGCGCGATCCGAGACACTAACTGTAGATGTGACGCAGTGTGGCGCAGCGGGTGGCGAAGTGCCTTATCGCCCTCTTGGTCGCTCGGGTTCCAACTTGAAGGTATGCCCTGCCACCAGCACAAACAGTTATTCCTCCCTTCCCTTCCAACACGCGCTTTTATTTGACGACATTGATATCATCTTGGATAAAACACAACACAAGTCTGGAAACATGGATGAGGAGCTTATATTCTGGTTCTTCGTCTCCCTCTTCTTCGTCTCCGTCTTTACCCTACCACTGTCCATCACTGCCTGTGTTGCCGCTTCTGCAACCCGGAGATGGGCGAAAGACAAATCTAAAGCCAAGGCTCGGTTCTACAGCGCTACGGATGCTGATGCTGAGAGTAACCCTCTCGTCGAAGAATCCGACTCTGAGGCTGAAGACGAAATCGAATATCTTGATTCAGAAGACGAAGAATACCACCTGGCGAAACGCGAGCAGAAGCTCATGGCACGTGAGGCAAAGGAAGCGGAACTTCTACTGAGCACACAAGCGAAATTCCTCAAGGAGTGGAAGCAATGTTGGACCGGACCTACTCGTACGGAACAGCAACGGATGAAGGAGCGTGAACTCAAGGAAGAAGAGGACAGGCGCAAGCTTGCAAGGGAGGCTGTGAGGGAATACTTGAGGATGGAGAGGAAGAAGGCCAGCAAGGCGCAGAAGCAAGAGCAAGCACAAGAGGAGGTATCGGCAGGATTGCCGACTTATGGCAACGCCGTGGGAGAGAAAGCAAAGGAATGATTGATTCATTCGGCAATCGGACTACTGTCAAGCCTTTTGCACGCCAGACCCCAATGCGCTGATCTCACGAAGTATACACGACTAGTAAATGAAAGAAAACATGTTTACAGAAGTTCCGGCGCGGTGTATTTTTAAGTCGACTATTGTATATCTATACTACTATTAGCATTTCAAGGCTATAACTATTTCCTAATAATTCTCTAGGCATTTGCTCATTGAGTATTTACCTCGGTAATAATTTTCTTAAAAAGACCCGACCACTATCATTAAGTTAATATATAGTACTTCAAGGTAACGTACCGGGTAAATTGCTCAATAACTTTAACATTAGTACGTATGAGCTTACGGTACTAGAAATGAGCGCTACTAGAAGTTAGTACTCCACTACTCGGCTGGGCAAAACTTTGCAATCTTCGCAGTCTTGCACGGGCAGAATGCCCCACCTCGTCCACCTTCAAGTTTGTCCGCATTGTACAGATACTTCCGAATCCCACTACTAGGAGGGTCTTGTATGCCAGACAATTAAACTCCCAACCCCAATGCTTCTACCATAAGGAGGGGGAAATAGATTTTCTGCTCAAACATCGCCTGTCTCTTGAGTCTCTCTCTCTCTCCTCCACTTCCAGTCTCCCATCCGCCACCAGCACTAGCAGGGACAGAACATTACCATGGCCACCAAACCCTTCAAGCTTCTCTGTCTGGAGAATCCTCTCCTCGACATCCAGGGCCAAGGGTAGGTACCATATTTCTATCTGCTCTCCGGGGTACAAATTAGAGGCTGACCTTTCATAACAGCGACCCAGCCATGCTCGAGCAATACGGCCTGAAGCTCGATGACACTCTCCTGGCGGAACCCCACCAGATGGGGCTGTACGACGACCTGATCAAGAACCGCGGCGCGAAGTTGATCCCCGGCGGCGCGGCCCAGAACACTGCCCGAGGCGCCCAGTACATGCTGTCGCCAGACTCGGTCTGGTACATCGGCTGTGTGGGTGACGACGAGTATGCAAGAATCTTGAGAGAGAAGTGCGCTGAGCAAGGTACGGAGCAGACGCAGGGCCTTGTCTGGAGGCATATAAAATTGACTCGTGTGTGAAATCACTCAGGTCTCCACGTCGAGTACCGTGTCGACCCCGACACGCCCACCGGGAAATGCGGTGTCATCATCACCGACCACCATCGAACTATGTGCACTCATCTTGCCGCCGCCAATGAATACAAGATCGAGCATCTACAACAACCGAAAATATGGTCCATGATCGAATCCACTGAGGTCTTCTACGTTGGTGGTTACCACCTGACCGTGTGCGTCCCGGCCGCGCTTGCGCTCGGCGAACATGCCGCGAAGACCAACAAGGTCTACATGCTCTCCCTATCTGCCGGCTTCATCCCGCAGTTCTTCAAAGATCAGCTCGCTGAAGTCCTCCCGTACACTGATTACGTCTTCGGCAACGAGAACGAGGCCAAGACTTGGGCCGAGTCGCAGGGACACAAAGACATTTCCATCCCTGAAGCTGCGAAGCTCCTGGCACTGACCCCTAAAGCGAATTCCAAGAGACCCAGAGTCGTCATCATAACTCAAGGCACTGATCCCACCATCGTCGCAGTGGCAGAGCAAGGCAAAGACGTCCAAGTCCAAGAATACCCTGTAGCTGCTATTGAGAACAGTGCAATCAATGACACAAACGGTGCTGGCGATGCCTTCGCTGGCGGCTTTTGTGCAGGTGTCGTTGAAGGGGATTCGCTTGCGTCCTGCATCAAGAAGGGCCATTGGTTGGCAAGACTCGGGTTGCAAGAACTTGGTCCTTCGTATGTCCGCTTCTCATCATTTCATGTCTCCTTTCTATGCTATTCACCAATGCCCTCAACCTAACATCGCGATTCGAAGCGTCAACTGACATTCCGTTCCCAGATACCCATGGCCTAAGCAGATATACAAGGCATAATTGTCTTGCTGTTGTTCTTTTCATTGTTTCTTCGGGTCTTGCGCGGCGTTGCAGACCAGAGATTTGCAACATTGCTCATAACGATTTGATAGAACACAAGTTTTAATGCGGTCTATTTCAACAAGACCCATGCATTAGGCCATGATACCACGTCTTCCACGACTTCATGAGGAAAACGGATGCCAACAGGAGTTGGCGGCGAGTGAAACAAGAGGCATCCTCTCTTTATCGAAAAAGTAGACCAGGAATAGAAAATCCCAAACACCACACAGCAGAACTTTCTCATTGTCCTTACCCTAGCTAGAGCCGCCTCTTCAAGATGTGGTCTGCGGCCGGCGGTGTCGCTTGGTCAGATGCAGTATTTCACTGTCGGCTCACCCTGATTGTTCGTTGCTGATTATCTAGATTGAAGTTGCCTTTACACTCCTGTTGATTTGGAATCACCCAAGCTGACCACTGGTCGGACCTCCGCTGCTCTTTGGTCGAGGATCACCGATAGCCCCAAAGGGCGCTGGCTGAGGTGCTCGCTTAGGCACGACCGACTCCGAAATGACTGGTTGGTAAGGTGGGTCTTGCCACGGAGACAACACAGATTGCGATTGATCAGCAGCACGCATCCTTACTGTCATCTTTGATGGTGTCTCGAAGAGGCTCGACATTGTAGGCTGTGGCGATTCGAGTGGAGACGAACGCAGTTGAACTTGCTGCTGTTGGTGTAGCAGGTTTACCTGGAACTGGCGGGTTTGAGGAGAAATCACGAATGGAGCATGCAACCGTTGAACTGTACTTGAGCGAGGTGACGATCCGGGTGTCTCTCCTGGGAGAGGTGCAAAAGGTGAGTTCATGATGCTTGGTAGCATGGGACGATTGGTCGCGGAATCTCCCAACAAGGGAAACGAAGATCTAGGCGATCGTTGGATTTGCTGCACAAGATCATGAGCTGTAAAGGTTTGCTGCTGCAATTGAGATTGAGAGGCACCACGTTCTGCAAACGACTGTGCCGTCGGCGTCTTCAATGCCGACGGCAGAGACTCGTCATGAAGATGATTTGAATGTGCCGTTCGTCGTGGTGGTTCAGGCTGTGTCAGATTATTGACCATGTTTTCCATGGTCGATGTTGCCGAGGCTGACACTCCAGCATCAGAGGCATCCTCGTGATGGCCTAAGGCTTTTTCTACGGTGTTTCTCGATTGCTTGGCAGCTTCGATGTCTTCTCGACTGATGCTGTTGATCGAGCTCGTGTGAGTCTCATGCGGTGACACCAGCCCCTTTCCAATTGACGGTCCCCCGTCCTCATCAAGGAAAACGAAACACATGCCCGCGAACTTGAGAGGAATTGGCATTATGCCACACTGAGATCATCACGTTAGAAATGTCCTGGAGCGCGAGGAAAGAAACTCACTTTTCCCCGGCACAGAATGACCCCGTCCTTGACCAAGCATTTGATCCGGTACAACATCTCAACTTCAGGGGAACGGGGACCAAACTGAAGCTCATCATAGGCTGGCTTCGCTTGATCTTGCAAATAAAATAGGGTTTTTCGTACAAGATCGGAGAACGGACTGAAACCCAATGTGTCAAGATCCTCGTCTAAAAGGTATGGGATCTCTGGAATGTCGACAAGGGAATATGTCGCAGCCAACGAGCTGAGTGCTTCCGCGTATACCAGCCAAAACTCGCGCATCTGAACCTTCAAGGTCTCGCTTGCAAGCAGATAATCGGCCTTACTCAACAGCCAGCTGCTGTACAAGCGCAGATGGGGAAGAATTCTGCGAGTGACTGGCGTCACGTTTATGCTCTTGTCATCGTCAGTTGTTGTCCCTGTATTCGGGCTCTTGGCCAAGCGCTGAAGCTCGTCGAGCATGAGCTTCATGAGTAAGAAGAAAGTGCCAACGTTAAGCTGCTGAAACACCTGATATGTGCGCAAGAGGGAACCGTCTTCTAGACTGAAAATTAATACAGGATGGTGGAACGAGAACCGGAAGAGACTTGCCGCGAGCTTTTTGAGCTGTTACATCCTCTGCCGCAATATTGATCAAACAGAACTTTCGGACTCTAGTGTCAAATGGCTTCTCCCGTAGATCATCTGCTAGCCGACGAAAGATCTCGTTCTGTTGATCGTCACCAGGCACAAATCCTCTTTCAGCGCAACGAGAGTGGTAAATGATAAAATGGTCAGAAAGGGCGTTATCTTCTTCAGTAGCAGTGGACGAAATTGGCATCCCTTGGGATGCTCGGGTTCTAATTTTCTTGAATTCGAGTTCAAGATTTCCAGGAGCTTGCGGCGCAAAATTACGCACTGTGATGGCTCGGTAGAGATAGTAGACGGCCCGAAGGTGGTCTTGGTCAGTGAGTGCAATAACAGCAAGCTGATTGTATGCGACACCAGAATGAGGGTCCAACTTGATTGCAAGCTGGTAATAGCCTTTCGCCGGACCCCAGTCTCGCTCTTTGGTCTGCAGCTCGGTCTCTCTGTACCTTGAGAGGTCACCGAGCTGCACCAAACTCAGATAGCAGGAACGGACGATTTGCTTCTTGCGCAAGTCGTCGATAGATACTACGGGTTCAACGCTAAGAGCTTCTTAAATCAGTGAATGCCTGTTGTTATGGTTGGCTAAAACTCACTCTCCAGGCTGAACTTCTTCGCAACCTCAAGGATTTCAGGGATACCTCTGAAGTGTGAGGCAAGGCGTTGGATATAGCCACGGTAGAATCTCATGCTGGATTTGATAAACTCAAGATAGAGTTTCTCGGCCTTTCGGCGTTCAACATGCTTCTTTTTGCCATCAACATCTCGAAATTTCGCAAGAAACGACCTGAACTTCTGGTTGACTTTGGCATGAGCATCCCATAGGCGTGTTTCGGCTCGGGCTTCAGTGGCGCTGTCGAAATCAACAAAGACGAAATCCTGACATGTTTTCCGCAACCTGATATAGTTAGACGGGTTCTCAAGGGGTCTAGGGTCTGGAGGAGGCAATTACCTTGCAAGTTGGGGTTCTAATTTTGCATAAATAGGCTCCTTATGAGCCACGAGGACGGCTAAGTCCTTTTCTGCGCAATCTACGTTTCTGTGGTACAAGCTGTCAGCCGGGGAGCTTGATTGAGTGGTTGAGATTCATAACGAACTTGGACGCCTTTTCGGCGACCTCTTCCATGACGATTTTAGGACAAGAAAATAGGTCATCGCGACCGGATCGCAGGTCAGGAAGAGTGTGTTGCGGAGATGGGCCAAAAGTGTAGGGTGCGTTCCATGAGGACAAGAAATTACCACCCGGCTCTCCGTGATGGGCGAGAACCTGCGAAGGAATATGAATCCAGAAGGGGGTTGAAGGAAGGAGTGAGCACGGCTTCCCACTGTTATGCTATCAAAAAGGAAGACACATTGGCAGCTGGCTAAGTTGCAGAGTGCGCGGAAGAACGAAGGCGTGCCTGCGCTGATGAACAGGTGGGGAAGGAGGAACGATATGGTCACGTGGAAGGCTATCGAGCAAGTCTCCACATATACTCCGCGGTAGTTTCAGCCTTGTGGGTACGGCGGAACATTAATACATACGCGCAGTCTGGAAATTTCCCTTTTGCTTGCGTTGGTCGAGCTCCTCACAGGCTCCAAAGAAGCACTGCTTTCCATGTAGTAACTCTTCACCACGGTAACTCTCTACCAAGGTTTTATCTTCAGTGACCGGCAGCATGTCGAACGCTGCACAGCCCTTGCGGCTCGTCCAGACATTGCGGTCGATGAACAACTCAACTTTCCGCAGCCGTCGCATGCGATCTCGCCGTACACTCGCAACTCAAGCCAATCGTCCGTCTACTTCGTTGGATCCGGAACTAGAAGAAGCATCATCTTTGAGGACGATATCGTCCTCTGGATCTACCTTACCAAAGTTTGATCCGCTCAAGTCTGCAAGGTCGCGAAAGCATCAATTACCACGTAGCAGGTATGTTCTACAGAGCACCCCAACAATACCCCCAGCGCATCTTAGTCCCAAACTCACGATTTTCTCAGGTATCAATTTCGTGATCCTAAATATGATCGCGGGCCTCTAAACCCTCATCAACCTCTTCCTCCGTCCAATCCTGGCAGTCGAGAATTCATTCCCGGGCCGTTCTCATCTCCTAGAGTTGAGCAATTCTACCACAACATTATTGCCCCCGATTTCATGACAATGTGTTACCAACATACACCTCCCGGCTTTAGAGCGGTCGAGAAAGGGCCGCGCCTGAGATCTTGGGTCGGAGACTCTCCCTATTTCAGAAATAGATCACTGCGTGGACCCCGTGGTGGAGACGTGCTCCGTCTTTTACGGAAGCCTGTTACCTTTCGAAATGTCCCAATGATTGAGAGAATCACAGTGCATAGCATGATCTCGGGTGCTCTCAAAAATGGATCTGGATATCTTCATGTCGCGGGAATGGTCTTGCAAGCCATAACAAATCAGAGAGTCACTCTGCATAAGGCGAGGATAAGTGAGTCGAAATTCTCACTTATCAGAGGAAGGAGTGTCAGTATGACATGCGATCTTAAGGGCGAGAATATGTATCATTTCCTTGGAAAGCTGATCAACATTGTTCTTCCACGAATCAAGGATTGGAATGGTGTTCGAGCGACAACAGGAGATGGTAGCGGAAATCTGATGTTTGGATTTGAGCCTGATGTTGTCAGCAATTTTCCTGAGATGGAGGGTAATTACGATGCTTATCCTCCCAAACTCATTCCGGTAAAAAAGGATGGCCTTCTCATTGAGCTATCCCGTGCTAATTTGTCTCCTAGGGCATGCACATTACAATCCATACGACTGCCAATTGTGATAAAGATGCTAGACTGCTACTGCAGCAGCTCGGTGTTCCTTTCTATGGCAAGATCGTGAACTGATTTGATCACGCTGTCTTTATTTGGATGAGACTGCACAACGCTCTGATGGACCGCCCCTCCGACAAGCCGGTAGGCAGATATGACCAGCACTCATACTTTTCGAACAATGCTTTTGATCCCGCTCGATTGCGAGCTACCGTCCGCATTGAGCAATGCATTTCTCCTTCTGTAACCAGCGCAGGAGCAGACAGAGCAGATTGGCATGGTAGATGCATGGTATATGGTATCTCTACAACCGAGGCCTAGAATTTGTACAATATCAATATACCCAGACGCAGTCGACTATGCGTCGATTTTTATGGCATAGAATGAATAAGAGGTTTACATTATCAGTTACAAATTTGAGTGGGCAAATATGGTACTTTGTTCCAAACATACTGTCGACTACTCAGTTCAGCCCTACTTAAGTCCCACAATTTCAATCGCTATTGCCACCCCCTTCGTCCATTATGCAGCCAGCGTCAACCATCACAGCTTCGACTCACTCGACCTATCGGAACATTCCAAAAGCAGAATTTCTCAGTTTCTTGCGAACTTTTCTCGCATACCAAGACATGGAAGGGAGCCGATGCTCGTCTGGGAAACTCACTCACTGCTGCAGATTCTGAAGGATTCCGGCCTCGAGCTGGCCCCACAGGCCCATGATTTTGAGATCGCCTGTTCGCACGGATTGTGTCATGATCAGTCTCCCTTCAATTTCGTACAGTCACAGTATGTGCTTGGGAGTGAACTTACCGAAGGGGATGATCTGCGATGCAATCATACCACCAATACCCTGGACGTGAGGAGGAAGTTAGCTTATCTGCATTTTCTCCGGTGTCTCGTGGAGTGGAAACGATGAGTGAGCGGTACGCACCCTTTTCCGGTCGGCCCACCAGAACAAGTTTGGCAATCCAGCCCACCATCCCGTGCCTTCACTGTGCACGGCCGAGTCTTTGAGATGCAAGAAGAACGTCAAGCCCCAGCCTTGCGGGATGTCGTGTGGCTCGGGATAGAGCTCCGGCAGGGGGTTCGAGAGTAATCTCTTTGGCGGATCGATGGCCTAGAATCAATGAAAGCCACGGTCAACCTCCCTTACCTCCAACACCAAGGATATTGATGTAGTCTCAGACTTACCTGGCGAGCAAAATTGGGGAACTCGGGAATCTGCAAGTCCAATGTCAGCTCCCACGTTTTCAAACTGACCCGCTCACCCGTTCCTTGAGCTTACCTGGTTCGAAAACATCAAATCGACCGTCTCCTTCTTCAAGATCCTATTTCCAGTACCGGCATGGACACCGTCGTTCAACAATGCCGCAATGATCTGGACGTATTCGGTGGGCTTCGCGAAACAGCCGGCGCCACCCTGTTGGAAGACTCCGTCGATCTCTTCTTTGCCCTTAGCATATAGCGGCCTTCGATTCAAATGGCCGTCTGGGTTCAGTGACAGGCTTCCATCCGGGGCGCGAGCATTCATGAACGCCAGGTTTCGCTTCATCTCGTCATGTGGGAACATGTTGATATTCTTCAGGCCAAGGGGTTTGAAGATGTGTTCCTGGAAGTAATCGTTGAGTTTGAGTCCGGAAGCGCGCTCGACTAGTTGACCCGCCCAGTCGATGTTGATGCCGTACTCCCACGCTTCACCGGGCTGGTTGACTAGGGGCTGCGAGAGATAGTCGTGGAATGAGCCAGAGAATTCATCGAGACCCTGCGCTCCAGCCCAGTCGACGAGGCGCTGGTCGAAAAAGGAGTAGCCGAAGCCAGCTGCGTTTGGGAACGTCAATCAGTCTTACTGAACTCATGTCTTGCCTTCTCGGGATCAGATGGACGACATTACGTACCAGTGTGGGACAACAGCATCCTCAACGTAATACCACGTTTCTTCGGTACGAGCTTGCCGTTCTCGAAAACTTGTACCGCCTTCAACTCCTATCAAACGGAAAGAAAATGAAACACGTCAGCATTCAAACCTGGAGACCATCAACCCATTATTCCCGCTCTCCATCCATTTCCAAACAAGTGCCAACTTGAAGAGAAGGGAAAGAAATGGTTGGAGCAAACTCACAGGCGCCAACTTTTCCACCAAATCGATATCATCAAGGGCCAGCTTGCCCTGCTCGACGAGCTGCATGGCGGAGATTCCCGTGATCATCTTGGTGCAACTGGCAATCCAGAAAACGCTGTCGAGGCTCATATCTTCGGATCTGCCTGCACCGACCTTGCCGGAGGCGTGCTCGAACATGATGTCGCCATTCTTATTCACGGCCGCGAACACCACCCCGGGAGCCCCGTTGGGATCCGCCGTCAGGGCATCGATCTGGGACTTGAGCTCCGACTGTGCGGAGGCGGCGATTTTGGCCATCTTTTCTTGTTCTTTACTCTCGCTCCAGTTAGGTGTCTAGCCCTTTCTTCCGACTGTTGAAAAGATCAACAATGTGCTTTCTCGTGATGCTTGATAGCCTACGAAGACGTAAGACAGTGCTCCCAGTCAAATTATATATGCACAATAAAGTTAGTAACAAACGGAAGACCCACGTTCGACTGGGTAGCGGGATATATAGCTCGTTGGTTACTTGCTTTGCCTGGGGCTAATGTAAGGGTAATACCGTTACGATATGAAAGATGAACAGTCGCGATCAACACAAGACACATCAATCAGGGAGTCTGGAATGCCTCTTGCCAACCCTGCAGACGAGAGCGGGGAGATCTACCTATTATAAATACACACACGGTGCCGATTTCAATTTAGCTTCCATCCGCACGTATCGTTCGGCTAAGCAAGAAGATGGGCTGCGGATGCCATAGAAGGGAGGAGGGTGAGGAGTCCACACAGGGGAGCAAATCCGCAATTCGGACTCCCTCCAGGGGTCAAGAAAAGCTCACGAAAACCCCCAAGAAAGTTTCTCACTTCCCTCTCGCCTCGGACAACATCATTGCAGAACGACTGGCGGACGCTCACGCTCACGCAAGACCATAAGCAAACGATTCGCGGATCCGCACACAGGGCTTCTCCTCCGCAGGACTTCGGCATTCCCCAGACGGAGGTGGAGTGTGGTAATCTTAGGTCAAAGCCACGGCCAAGGTACCTCATGTATGGATCGCTTCGGTCGCAAGGCTCATATCCAAATCCAAAGACAACTGGTTCCCAAGTTCAAGAAGAGGGGCAATGCCGCAACACCCCCGCATTTCCAGCGGCTGGTTCGGCTGCGAGTTGGTTGATAGCAAGATGAAAAGAGAGCGAGCTCGGCCCTGAAGCCCATCTGCGTTCGGGAGAGTCGCGTGGGCGGTTAGACTAGGTTCTCTCAACTTCGTATCCTCACTCTTGCTAAGTCTGTGTGACGATTCCCACTATTTCCCGCTTCTCGATGCAGGACTGGCGGAGGAGGGAATGCCAAGCCTTTTTCCCAATGTGGTCTCGAGAACAAGTCAGCCTTGTCGAGTCGCCGGGCTTAAGTCTACTGCCCTAAGGTCACAAGCCTAACATCGATCTACCCCTTGTTATTGTTCGACTTGGCTAGGCTTTGGTCCGCCTTTGAACCTGAAATTCCTGTGGCCTGCACACTCTTTGCATAATAGCTGGCTCAAAACTGTGTGCCCCAGACAAGGCTGCCTCCCTACAGGGGGACCGATCCCAATATCAAGGTGTATATGCTCCCTTTCACCGATCTGTACTATAGCACGGCTAAAAGTGAGAACGCCTCGGGTTGGGCGAGCGAGCCATAGATGTGGAGAATGACAAGATACATATAGTTTATTGGGTAGGAGAATGATGAGTGCCACTTGCAGATACTAGCCTGGGAAAGACAGTAATGATATCAGTTACTCAGCAACGTACTGTCGCTGAAGACGAACGGTAAAAAGTTTGCTGCCAGTGCATAAGTCGCAACCAACTGTAACTTGTGGGCACAAACAAGTCCCGTCACTTCACATCAAGACACACTCCCTATCAGGCTTATCCCCAGTCCTGACTTTGCTTCTGGTCAGCCGGCTCCGGCTCTTTTCTCGTTTATGACCTTTCTGTAAATCTGTAGATTGGCTCGCAAGGGGTGGCTGATAAGTGCTCTGTCTTTCAGGTTTTGTTCCATCACCTATCTCTGTCACATGGATCTCGGTCTTGGGGACAGTGTCAGGTAAAATCTCTCGACTCCTCCTGGCCAACTTGCTAAGTTTCCGTCCAAGCCCATCGCTGACTTTGCTCGGCGTTCGAGATAGAGACTGAGCGTTGGATGCAGGCGAAGATCCTGCAGCACCATTCGTCGGTACACTCAGCCTATCATTGGATTGCCCTGATGGTAGACCTGAGAAGGATATAACGCTTGCTCTCCTTGTTTCTGGTGGCGATCGTCCTCTGTGATCATCAGGAGCAGCAATTTCAAAGCTCGGTCTCCCTGATGCCGACTGGCCTTGATTTACAGTGTTCGTTGCTGCAGAGGCCATGGACAATTCGCTCACGGAGTGGTTGCGGTCCATGACGGGCTCCAAGGTGTCTTCTCCGGACGTGATGCGGCCAGGGTCTCCAGTAATGGGGGCAATCTGGTAGAAGAGTAGGTAGGGAGTTTCTTCTTTCAGCGCTTTCTCGATGTCGACGACGGTGATACGATGTGGGGCGAGGTCATCGAATCGCATCCAAGTCTTGCTGCTGTCAAAACTATGGTTACTTTCAGCTGTCCCTGGGGGGGCTGTTCCACGGACGAGTGCGATATAATGACCAGAGTCCACTGAATTGCCCCTATGGCAGACGACTGACTGCAAGGAAAGTTTGAAGTTGCCATGCAAGGCCCCAGCCTCCTCCAATTGATCGTCCTGAATAAAATGAGGCACTCCAATCTCGACGGGAATATCGATCTGGGTGTTGAGACGGATCGCATTTCCTGCAGGAGACATGGAGTATCGCTTGAGGCAAAGGCCGAGAATTGGTCGCTTCGATGAGAAGTGGGCAGCAACTTGCGCATCGTTCTTGGGGGCGTTATCGGTATACCAAGCTAGAGAGTGTCAGGAGGATTCCCAACCAGGAAAATACACATGATCTTACGAATAAGGCTGAAAAATTGCCAAGCAGGCATCATTACCTCTTTTCGCACACTTCCTGCCCGTGTTCTGCCTGTAGAGTCTAGGGACTCTACAGTTGTCAAAGACGTGAAGCCGCTCTCATTTCGAGGTGGAATGTACCGCTCTTGTATGATGCTAGGTGTGCGGAGTCGATTTGATGGTCGTATTGGGGAGGCTAGGAGAGGTGAGGAGGATATCGGGGTAATTGGTGACGAATCTCCATCCAATTCCACGGTCTCCACGTGTATAGCGTTGGATTTTCGTATTGAATTTAGCGTCGAGCGGCGGGTCATGTACCTCCGAACCTCTATCCGATTGTTGAAATAGTCTTCAAGACACTCCTCCAATGTGATCTCATCCCTCTCTCCGATGAGGTCAGGGGGGATCGCTACCTCTAGCAGTCTCTCATTGATGAACTTGTGGTCATCTGCAGTATCTTCTCTCCCCGTGTGATAGATGTCCATTTTCAAAGTCAACAGAGGCAACTCTAGCTTTCCAGTTATAAATGTGAAGGCTTCGGAAGCATCCTGCTGATGCAATTCTGCGGCTTCTTCCCATCCACACTCAGCCAGTGTCTCTTGCATAACCTTCGTGATATCTGTGGTGATGAGCTTTCCTGATCTCAGCAAATTCACCCAAAGCCGTAGCATAAATCCCAGCTTATTGAGAGAGACGTCTTCGAAGGTGTTGTACAGCATGGCCTCAAAACTATCAAGACGAGAAAACATGGAAAACAGGGTTGAGTCGAGGTAGCATGTTACTCCTTGCCTATTCTGCGCGCCTAGGAGTTTGGTTCTGGGATCATAACTCGTCACAATTCCCTCCGAAGCATCGGACATGGTGAGAAGGAGGTCATAGGCAGGGTCGACCTCGCCCGTAGCAAAAAGCGATCGCAAAGCCCATAAGATCTGGGCATCGCGTAGCATGACTCCCTTGCCATTAAGAATGCGTTGGCGCAAGGTCTTGACCTGTGGACAATTTGTCAGAAGAAAAGAGTCAGGTCATCCGAACCGGGCGCTAACCTTCTGTTCTTCAGCCTGATTATGAGGTGGGCCATGAGCGTCAAACAAGCCGTAGAAGTCGGCCGATGAAGTCGGGTCGACCGGTCTGGCAACTATTTCTGGGTTCGACTGGGGAGAAAAACAAGTTAGTGTTGCCTCGCGAATGCCAAATAGCAGATGCATGAAGGGGCGTGAGGAGTACGGGAAACTCATCGCTATGTAAACTTGGAGAACACATCGACAGGCAGAAGTTTTGTAGATTCGACATCATCGAGTATGACAGCAAGGCAATATGATATGGTGCTTGCGCATCATACAGAGATTAAACTTACAGTAGAAGGACCCGGATTCCTTTCTGGCTGAGGCTGGTGGTGGTGATGACGATTGTGGCCGTCGGTCTGTCGGTGGCGCTTGCCTTCGCGTTTGGAAAGAAACCTATTGATTCCACTCATCGCGACCGTTGTTTGCACGTCCAATCTTGAAGGAGACCTTGCTCACAACACTCAAGATATAACAACCGATGAGCCTAGATCGGTCTCTAATACTAGGGTTCGGATTCTCTGGCCCAATGTTTGAAGTGGTTCGCCTGATGCGGCAATTTATACCATCGCCTCTTGTCGCATCCGGGGCCGCAGCCAGTCCTATGAGTTCATTGTGGGAATGCCGAAACTTATATAAAGGGTCAGAAGCCCGTTGCCTATGTAGACGGCGATCAGATATTCACTCGTTTATCGCAGGGGCCTGACTGGCAGTCTCAGCTCAGCAAGACCACCAAGTGCTTGATGTTGGGCCGTCTTGGGCCATTTCTGCCCCACGCGCCACGACTGCCGCGACTCATTCGATTTTCGGAGCAACCGCCACTATTTATCCGAGGTATCACCCGATTGGCTGGACCACGACTGCACGCCAAGACACGTCTGAACTGAGGGAGCTTCAACTCCCCGGAGCGACACGCAAGAAATAGGGCAGCCCCAGACGCCGCTGACTGCGGATTCACCACCAGTATTCCTCGTTTTGTCGACGCTCGTAGAGGCCGAGCTTGAGAGCCTTTCCCCCTTCGCGTCAAGATGTCGACCCTCACTCGAACGTTCCGAAATCTTTGGAAGATTGGCATCAAGGACTATGGCCACCAGATGCAGTATATCGTACGTCCTTCTCCTCCCACCCTAGCTTTGCAGCTTTAGTCAAGCCCGCTTCTGACCTCCGCGCAGGGTGATACCAAATTTGGCGTGCTGATAGGCACCGATAGATGGGGAAACAAATATTACGAGAACTTGGAAGAGGAACTTCCTCTGCGAACACGATGGGTGCAGAGCTCTAGCAGTGCCTGATCCTGAGACCAAACACTAAGAGCAGCAGGTTGATTACAAGGATTACGAGTTAGATGCCAGCCAGATCGACCCAGGATGGCATGCCTGGATGAGCTATAACGTCGACAAGCCTCCTACGGAAGACAAAATCATGGCTCTTGGAATTCGACCGTGGGAGAGTAAAGTCCCTGTCGTGAACAACACAGCTAGCAGAGCGGCATACCGACCTTATTCAACGTATGTTTTTTTGCTGCGAACGAGTGCGGCTTGGAGACGACTGACCACTGAACAGGACCAAGCCAAAATACGAAGCATGGCAGCCCGTTGCCAAAGCACGAACAGGCGCATAAGCCCCCTCGGATATTTGTCCTCGGCTATAGAACGATGGTATATCATCTACGGTCTGTACAGATGCATGTATGAGGAGTTGGGACGTTTTTACATCAGGGAAGCAAACTCAGATTTCATCAATTGCAAAAATGGGTATCTTTTGATCTTTCATGGCAACGTATTCATGTCCCTCCGAAGCGCCGCCCAGCCTAGTGCATCCAATTCATCCCTCGGTCAGTTTTTTTGCGTGGGCTTATGTATCCTTGCGGGACCCAATTCAGCACGAACCTCATCCAACTGCTGCAGCCCATACTTCTCATTACCATGTTTCCCACGTTTACCCTTAACGCCTTTCCGTTTCCCACCAGGATTGGCTTTATTCCAATCGCCAAGGAAGTCGTCCATCATGCCATTGAAGTCCTGTCTTACCGCACCCTCGTCGGCGAAACTGGTGGTGGAAAGCTGTGACATTTTCGAGCGACCCGTCATTCCCGACATGAGAGAAATGCCACCGTCCATATCTTCGTACTCGTCGCCCTCGTCTAAGGCATACATCTTCTCCACCTGGTCGAAACGAGCGTCCAATAGTTGCTGGCCAGCGGTTCGGGCGAGAGATGAGGATGTCATAGAGTAAGCACTCGGGTTCGTCAGAGCGCCTTTCCGCTTCTTCTGCCGTAGTGGCGTGCCATTCAGTGTGTATAAAGAGGGTGCTTTATCCTGAACAGCAGACGCTGCAACGATAGACGCTGCAGCGGCGGGTGGCTTTTTTGTATGATCTCGTTTGAACTTGGCAAAGTCTCGCAACCAGTCGCCATCCTCTGCTGCAGCCGTCTCAGCATCTAAACCATCTGTTGCGTCGCTGGCCGTGTCTGAGGCGGCCGTTGGTAGCTTGAGTTCGGAAGTCTGCTCGAGTGCCTTTTCTGTTGCATCAGAATCCCAGCCATCGTCATATTCGTCAAGATTGGCCTCGAATTCGCCCAATTCAAGTTCCCCGTGACGACCTTCCTTGGCCAGAGCGCCAAAGATGTCTTGGTCGTCCTCGTTATCTACATAGGCTTCATCTTCAAGGGCCTCAAGAACCTCACGCAATCTAGGGTCCATATCGGGCTGGAATCCTGCGATCTCGTCTGGTACGTCCTGTTGATTTTGATACGTTCGGGGCCTGGAAACTGTGGAGAATGTGGAAAACAAGTCGCTGCCAGCCACGCTCTGACCATCATCCAGTGAGACTTCTCGTAAAGCGTCTTCGAGTTTCACTGTTCGAGCGTTCCCTTTCCCCTTGGCCTGTCCCGCCACAGGCGCAGCATCGATGAAATAAGCCTCTCCACCACCCTCGCCGACATCACGCAGATGCTGCATGTAGTCATAGGTCGTGTCGTCGAAGTAGATTCCATGTTCAGCCGCCTCTCCCTCGTTTTCACGCATTTGTTCAAAATCCACATCGCTTTCTAAGTCTTCCAAGTGCAGGCCTGGGCCAGCACGCGCTTTCTCGGAAGAGGAACTCTGGCCCGAAGTCTGATAAAGGGCACGCTCACCAGCGGATTCGTCGTGCAGGGCAGGATCATTTTGTGGGCGGTAGAGCAGTTGGAAGGTCTGCGCCTGTTTCTTGTCACTGTATCTAGATTAGCTGACAGATCGGTATGAGTCATGCTTCCTACGTACATCCAGCGTTTTCGAGGCATCTTGATCTTTGATTGGTAACAGTATAAGACGTTGAAACCAAAGGCACAGGTGCAGGCGCAGGCGCAGGCGGAGGGAGATTGAATCTGTGGTGGGGAAAATTGTTTGCGATTTAGAAAAATTGCCCCCGCCCCCCCAAGCGATTTCCAATTTATGACGTCCGCTTCCATTTCCAACTTCTGCCATCAGTCTTGTGTCCCTTGCTTCATTCACCACCCGCACAACCACATACGATACACTCAGTTCCTAGTATAGAGGGCCTTGTAATTCATCATCTATCGCTTGTTGGCCACCAAACACCCCATTCCGATTTCGCCCAAGATGGTGCTCCCAAAGAGCAAGAATAGCGTGGGCCTGGGCAACAGTTTAATGAACGACCGCTTTGGCAAAGGCAAAGGTGCAGACAGGAAGAAAGTGTCGTCCCAGCAGGGAGTTATCCGAACAGATCATACGACTGGTCAGACCTATGTGACAAACGCAGCCAAAGAAGCCTCCTGGGTCAAAATGCGCAGTGTCACCGAACAGGGCGCGCTCGATGAATTCCTCTCCACCGCCGAACTGGCAGGCACAGATTTCACCGCTGAGAAGATGAATAATGTCAAGATCATCCATACCAACCAAACAAATCCTTACTTGCTTAGTGCAGCCGAAGAGAGAGGCGCGAGGAGAAAACATGCTCAAAATAAATCGCGACTCACCGTTCCCAGAAGGCCTGCTTGGGACGAGTCCACCACACCACAACAGTTGGACGAGCAAGAGAAAGAGAGTCTGTTGGACTGGAGACGGGGGCTCGCCGAATTACAAGAAAATGACGACCTTCTCATGACCCCATTCGAGAGAAATATTGAAGTCTGGAGGCAATTGTGGCGCGTCATCGAGAGATCGGATCTGATTGTGCAAATCGTTGATGCTCGAAATCCATTGCTATTCAGAAGTGAAGATCTGGAGAGATATGTGAAAGATGTCGACCCGAAGAAACGCAATCTGCTTCTTGTCAACAAAGCCGACATGATGACTGAGGAACAGAGGCTCTCCTGGGCTGATTACTTCCAGGCGCAGGGCATTAATTACAAGTTCTTCTCTGCCCACCTCGCCAAGGAAATGAATGAGGACCGTGATGCCATGGAAGAACTTGATGCACGACAACTGCAGCAGCAGATGGACCGCAACCAGCCGGAAAAGACCATGGTTCAAAACGTTCAAGATCTCAACCTAAAGGAAGTTGAGGAAGATGGGTTGTCGGGTAAGGATGAGGATGACGAAGGCTCAGAGCAACCGCAAAGTGCCAGCAATGAGAGATCAACGGAAAAAACTCAAATCCTGACTGTGGACGAACTCGAGGCCCTCTTCCTGGAAAACATCCAGACGGACAGTGCCATAGATCGAAAGACCACAATCGGCCTAGTTGGCTATCCAAACGTCGGAAAGTCATCCACTATTAATGCTCTAATCGGTGCCAAGAAGGTCAGTGTATCGTCCACACCAGGCAAAACGAAACATTTCCAGACAATTCATCTTTCGGATCGTGTAATCCTCTGTGATTGCCCAGGTCTGGTCTTTCCCAATTTTGCAACCACAAAGGCAGAGCTAGTCTGCAACGGCATCCTACCTATTGATCAACTACGTGAATTCAGTGGCCCTGCAGCACTTGTTGCACAGAGAATTCCCCAGACATTTTTGGAGAATGTCTATGGCATGAAAATTGCCACTCGGCCAGCGGAGGAAGGCGGCACTGGGGAACCCACAGCCTCTGAGGTTCTCCGGTCCTACGCAAAAGCACGAGGCTTTGCAACAACCGGTCACGGCGGGCAGCCAGATGAATCCAGAGCCGCAAGATATGTGCTTAAAGACTATGTAAATGGCAAGCTTCTATACTGCCACCCGCCGCCTCATGATCCAGAGATCGACGGGAACGAGTTTAACGCCCCATTATACGATTTTGCTCATCTACCAGCAAAAAGACAAGCCTGGCTGATTGCTCACAATGACGAAGCGAATTTCGCGGACGACTTGGAATCACAAGCCTCAATGCCTGTGCGGCCGCAAGAAACTGGGTCGCGCTCCAAAAATCTTGATAAGGGGTTTTTCGGCCCAGGGTCACGAAATGCCGGACACTTAATTCGACCGTTCAACCATCAATATACCGAGCAAGGTCAACAGCAGAAAGAACTCCATGGTCGGAAAGCAAGGACAATGACGGCCCTTGAACACAATGTCGATCCCGCTGATCTTAAGCTGAACAACAAAAAACATTTCAAAGGCGCGAAGAAGAAGACTCGAACAGTAAGAGCTGAGTATAACGATGATGGTTAGGCCTCTCAGGGGTCAGAGTCTCTACTCGGCACATCTATAATGACCTAATCGCATGTCCATACCTTCGATGTCTGCTAAACCTTGATCGAGGTTACATTGTCAATACACTCGGCTCAGAAGGCACGCCTGTCAACAAAGTCAGTCACGCTAAAGGATTGACTAGTATTTCCGCCGCAAAGTCTCACTCTATAAGGGGACCAATCGAGACACTACTTGTTGAAATAGCTCCTCGTCCGTCCCTATCAAAAAGCCGACATCCTTCATCCAGATTGAGGACATTCAATCACTGCAGTCGAGGGCGCCTGCAGGGTGAGGGCCTTTGAGCACCCTTATTCTATAGTATTAGAACCTAAGGCGCTAGTAATGGAGCCGAACTTATCTTGGGTCATTGATCAATCGTCAATGTGGTTCATTTGCTCCCAAACTTCACAGTACTCTCCCATGCCAGCAAAGGGCGAACGCTGTCACCGAGCATCGCCAGTCGTAGTTGAAAACTTGCAAATGCCTCTGTACTCAATATTGAAATGCCCCGGGCGAACAAGAACTGATATGGGCGATGTTGTTCTTCTTATTGCTGAATCCTTTTATGAAGGGATCTCGCCCAGAATACAACTTTCCAGTTCTTTGCCATCAAAAGGTTTCCAGCAGTGGATCGCACTCTTACTGGCCAGTATAGGTTTTCGGAGATTGTTTAGCGGAGCGATCAAAAGCCGAAGGTCTGCAGCAATTTTTTGTCGGAATATTCAACAACACAATCAATGCTGCCTGTGCCCCGCCAGCAGTGATCTTGATTTGGACCTGGGCCATTCCGAGGCTCGCAAATCTCATCTAGACCGCATACTTCCATTATACTGATAAACACTTCGACGCGAATCATGCTCCTGCGCAAGCCAATAGAAGACGTAGTTCTTACAGCTAATACCTTAACAGCACGGTTTCGTTTAGGATCTGGAGGCCCCACTATCGGAAAGTCATCTCATGAGCTTCGTTCGAGGAATATCACGCGTTTCGGGCGCTCAGGCGTCTGGATGACAGTCCGTTATTTGTAATAAAGTGGATGAAAACATGCTTAGCTAGTTGGTACTGACCCGAGTGATACGAAGCCAACTTAATTCTTGTTCTGCGTTGCCTCGGAGGTTATCCACGAAATTGTATGATATTGACTATGTTAACGTTTTATACTCACATTCAAACAAGAACCATCTCCACTCAGTGAAATCAGCCTATGTCTTGCACAAGCCGGGATGAGACCATGAGATGGGCGAAATTACTCCGCTTATCATTTGGAAGCAGGGGCATAGTTCTCAGGTACATCCGAGCTGGTGCTGCTGCCAGATAAGTCCCGCTTCGCAGGAAACACTGCTCTTTGACTCTTAAATAGCTGTTGGATTTTTAGGGAGTATTGTCAACGTGCCATCACCACAATCGTCGATGCAAACCATTCCTGCTGACCGACTGCTCCGCATCTTGCAATGGCATCCACAAAACGCCATTTGAATGCGCTCGGATCTCTTGATTCGCCTATCACGTGAACGTGCATGCCAAAGCTAAGTGCTTTGACCAGCCAAATTATGATGGCTTAGTTGACTCGCTTACAGAATATTTGGTTAGGCTTTTTAAGCCATCTTATCTGTTCATGGACGAATCGTAACGCAAGGGATAGAATCCCATCAATTCGTCGCGATCGACAACGAAAAAACAGCTTCGCTCATATAGCCAGCCTGGAGGCTGTAGCACATTTAAGAGATGTTGGAGGATTTGGACTATACAATTGTACGGGCCAATCGATACAGGCAAGTCAGCGTAGTTGAGATTTCTGTCTTCTTCTACTCTATGGTCACCGTTCTGGTTTATATAGAAAATTACTACGCAAATGACCTCCTGGAGCCTATTTTCCATGATTCCAAAGCATTCCAAAGGCTGTAGCACTGACTCATTGATCGTCATCACAAGGTTGCCTGCCAGCTTGTTTCATCGATAGTCATTTAGGCGCCAACAAGAGATCATCACTACGTCGTTCATAGTCTGAGTTTTCTTCATTCTTTCCTCAGAGTTTGCCGGACTTGATTAAACTTCTCTATCCATCTTGGACCCTCAGCTCGACCCAATGTGTAGGACTTAATTGCAGAACCAATTGAGAGTGTGGTTTCGAGTTGGACATGTGATCGCTAGAGCGGGTGTAGTCATGTATTAGCTCATGACTGAAATCATTGACTCAGTTTCTCTGTATGTCCAGTTTAGACCAGATATTAATTAGTTCCCTCAGTCGCCCTCTACCCATTCAGCCCAATAGCAGCCAAAGGTCACCAAAGATCACACGATTTGCCACCGCTGCAACGTATCTACCCCGACGTGGGGGGACATCCTCTACCCCCTCAGCCTGACCGCTATGTCGTAGGCCCTCGACATACTTCTCCTTCCCTCCGCTAATTGAGCATCTCGGTGCAGCCTCGTATGGGCCTGTCTGTAGTTATATCTTTTTCGTGTTGTCCAATTTCTCTAATATAGTCGTGGCACCGTCGTCTAACTGACCGACGTAGCGTGTACCTCGTTCTTACCATGCTGCATTTCCTCTTTCTCTTCTCACATTTGCTCTCCTCAATATCCACGGGAGTCTTTTCCTCTTATCCAATGGTTTCACTGCACATAGCGAACAAAGACGGACCGAGACCCGAGTCAATACCAGACTCGACGCAATCGAGGTGACAGATTCGCTCTCTTCTCACAGCTTAGACATTTGATTTTGCCGCACACTTCGGGTTCCCAAAAATGGAGACATGCATACTCTGCCACCTTATTTTGGTTCTCTCTCTTAATAGATTTATCATAATGTGAGGACAAGAACATTCCTCCATGTATAAAGTAGGAAAGGAGGTTAGTCTTGCCAATGCTGCAATGGGAAGCATTGTTACTTGCCTTCTAGACAACTACCGGCGGATTGGGCAAAATCAGACCAGCTAAAGATTGCCAGTTTGCAGTAAAACTCTCAGACGGCGGCTTGAACACTATTACTAGTAATATTTCGCCTTCAAAAGGTAATAAAGGACAGGATCAGTACGTTGTTCTCCGCCAAAAGGAATTGATGGATTTGGAGGATTTATAGCCTTAGGTGAAAACAGTTCTCCGCCTCTGGAAAATTTTGCTCGAAGCATCCTGCTCCGCAGACATAGACCATTTCCTTGGAGTGCTTTATATCACTCCTCAACCCTTAAGTCACCGTGCTTTGGGTTTGCTTAGTACAACACTTATCCCTTTCATGCAGTATCAGTCCGAGCAATCATCTTCCGCTGCGATAAAGATGCTAAGTCTTCACGAAGCTCCCGGCATAGTATCCTGTAGTGCAGTGTTCCCCCGGATCCCAGCTGTGACTTCTTGTATAAAAGTTGTCGGGATTTTCGAGAAATCTGGGGATTAGTACTATTTACCCTTTCGGCCTAGTCACTGGGTGTGTGTGTGCACCGCACTGTTCCTACAATTTAAATTCTAGTGATGCCAGTCTCAAGCATTGCTTAGAGTCTTGTTCAGCCAGGCAAACATGGCTCTTGCTAGCTCCTGTCCAGCAGCAGTCTGACAGTGATAGCCAGCAACCCCGTTGAAATGATGCAAAGTAGCCTTCTCACCCAGAGCATCTTTGACCTGCTGCGGCTGCCCAGGGTAAAGCGAATCATACTCGCCATCGCCGACGAACACGGGAATCTTGATTTTATCGACGAAATCCTGAATTCGATACTGCTTGACCTTGGTGAACAAATCAGATGGTGAGTGTGTATAGTACGCCCACAAGCCTTGGTCCAGGCCCCAGCCGGCGATGGTTGACAGTTTTCCAGATTCCCGGGACTCAAAGATCGTCTGGTCGAATTCTGTGAAGTTGCCTGCCTCGAACATGCCCAAAAGCTCAGCCGGTATGGCGTTCGCGTAAGAAGGAAAATAGTCCCACATACCGTCAATGAGAACCAACGCTGAAAATCGGTGCTCGAAGGCCGCCGCACGAGAAGCAAGGTAGGAGCCCAAAGAATTGCCGACAAGTGCGAGCCGATCCGTATCTATGACATGCAACTTTTCTCGAAAGAGATAATCCACTACCGGGGTAACGACAAGTTCCCACTCCGGGATGAAACCGAGGTTCTGATCTCGGCGCACGGTAGGTTGTCCTGGGCCTTCATACGTTATGCAGTTCCACCCTCGAGCCAGCGCTGGCGCGACGTAGTTGTGATAAGAATCCTCTTGCGCAGCGTCGAAGCCATTCCCGATAACCAAAGTAGGCAATTTAGCGTTCTTATTGTCAGATGCGGCGTACCAAATGGCATCAACAGTGAAGTTTCCTTTGGTGGCTGGAATGCGGACACGCTCGCCAGGGATAGGCAATGCAGCTATCCCCTTGTCAAACGCTGCAGTCTGCTCCGCCCACAGGCTATTGACAAGGGGTTCGCTCCAGTTGCCGTGGAGGTAATTATCGGCTTTGCGGAAGTAGTTCGCGGCAGAGAACCAGGTGTCTCGAACATTTATAGGGTCATAAGCGTTGTCGGGGTTTTCGGCCTGGGCCTTGGTATAGTTGGCGAGGGCATAAAATTCTTGGGTAAAAGATGTCATGTCTCCAGCAATGATGTTTTTGGCAACACCTAGAATAGGACCGATATCTGCCCCTCCAGTGATAGCCATTCCGAGGGGAGTCAGTATATCAAAATTCATAGTTGTATCTGAACTTAACGGCAGTGTTGGGTCTTCGACGGTATTATTGGCCCCGACTGCCATACGGCAATGCAGCAATGCACCCAAAAGAGAGCTGGCTTTGATGGAAGGAGAGAGTCTCATGGTGGAAAAGAAGTGACAAAGACGTAGCTTGGAATGCCCTAGATCTTCTTGAATGTCCTTCATGTTTGCCTCTTCTCTCTACTTATAGTTGAAGCTTTTGCTCAGATGTATGCCACGATCAAAGTGAAAGTGCATACGAGCCAGATCAAGCTAGGCTGCATTTAGTCCATGTTTTGCGATGGGGCACGATCATTGGTGGCGAGGACCAGTATACTAATTATCGTTCAACCTGTTCGATATTAGCTAGAATTGGCACCCGGAAAATCGGAAAGTCAGTAATTAGATGCCTTACGTACTTGGCTCTGATGAGCTACGGCACTGTACTTGACGACGGAGCTCAGAGCAAATTAATTGATAGTAATAATAAGAGATGGCGCTCATCTTCAACTAGTCGCAACAAATCACCGCTTTTGGAATCCTCCCTATCGCCATGGTCAACCGCGGGCGCTCGGGAGGTTGTGTTACGTGCAAACAACGTCGCGTCAAATGCGACGAAGCGAAACCAGATTGCTGGCTGTGTCGGAACCTAAGACTTCGCTGCGGAGGCTACAAGACGAACTTTGCCAGCTTGAAGTTCAAAGACCAAAATCACAAGTTTTACGGCGCTTTTGCTCTGAACCAAACTCGAGAAAATCAAGACCAGACTGCTGTGTCTATCCCGCCTTTGCCGTCCGAACCCGACTCTGCTGTGTCGTTCTTTCTTGGGCACTATGCCAACATAGGCCGCCACGTGGAATCGGCACGCGGATTCTATGAGGTGCTGGTTCCGGTCTATTGTTCACAGAAGCAGGGCTCGGCGCTCTCACTCGCCGTGTCTGCTTTAGCTTCACGAATACTTTCCCTTTGGCGGCACATTCCCGGTGATTCCGGATCACCACAAGAGCCTTACGCCCAAGCCATTGCTAGTCTTCGGAGTGCACTACAGAATCGCGATGAAGTTGGCAAGCCACAAACCTTATTAGCCGTGTTGACGTTGCAGTTGTACGAGAATATCATTGCTATATATGGCTTTCGTGTAGCCAACGGTATTCACCATAATGGCGCAGTGTCCTTACTCCGATTCGCAGAATCGGGCGTTACTGATGAAACAATTAACGGATATCTTTGCAGATTCGTGCTTCACACTGAGATTTCATCGGCGAAGCGCCAGAAAAGGCCACTACAGAGCCTCGCATATTCCTGGTTTAGGAGCAAAAGCTTGAAGGCTACGCCTAATAATCCAAGCTCAGCACTTGACGTTATCGGGGCGTCCATTGCCGAGTTGCATGACAGTTATTCAAAGTTATCAAAGAAAGACGGTTCCGCGACCTCGTCGTCACTACGAGACGTGAGAAATTTTAAGGCTGAGGCAAAGAGCATTGATCAGCAGCTTCTGGCTTGGGCACGAAGCGTGCCAGGTCACTGGCTGCCGCAGAGGCTCACAAGTGGGCATGACATCGACTCATCGATTCCGACCTATCGATCTGTCTGCGAAATCTATCTTTCTTGTCAAATTGCAAATATTTGGAACCTATGGCGACTCCAGCGCCTCTTACTCGTCAAAATCTACCTTGGATTGCTTGATACAATCTATTGCCACAGATTTTCTGAGTCTGCGAGGGAACAAACCTCGGGCAGGATCGATGATTATGTTGAATGTAAACAAATCACTCAAGAGTTGGTAGACTCTGTGTGCCATAGCATACCTTTTTACCTTGGCAATTTAACCAAACCATTAAGTATGAACGACTTTACCGACCCGACGATCTTGCTTCCCAGCTACAATTCAGTGGCCCAGTCGGACAAGACACATTTCAGTAAGCAAAAACACGGCCATGGGATGTCAAAAGATGAGTACAAGCGTCAGATTATAGCCCAAGGGCCGTGGCACGCCATGAGCCCGCTGAGCCGACTGTTGACGCACTTCTCGGAGGACCTTCTGATGTCTGGCTTTCTCAGACCAGGACAGTACGCGTGGATCCAAGAACAGTTCCTGCGTGTTATTACATTACTTCGTCTCTTCCCAACAGAGTCTGGTGATGGCAGGAAAGGATACTGCGTTTCGAACTCGCTGACTCAAAGATCTGTAGACACCACGGCTGAGTATCTCGCGACGGAAGTCAGAAAAGGCGCAATTTTCATGAGTGGGCCATAGGACTCGGCACTTTTGATTCAAGGAAAAGAATATGCATTCATAACTACGGGGTGGGCTTAGAGCACCATCCTCTCCAGCCTGAACCCAAAACAGCGCAGCCTTGATTGTTCTTTCTGTCGAGTTCTTTGCACTTATTGATTTTGTCAAAGTTAGGCTGCAGCTGATGAGTGCCCGTATGTTTTAAGTCGATCGGTGCGAAAGAGGAAAGCTCACTTTCCCAGAGGCACACGGAACTGGCCGTATAGGCTGCCGCTGCGATGGAACTCTGATGGGACTGCCCACCAATCAAAGAGGGGTCTGATCCTATGGCTTGGGCTCCACATGGCTAAGTAGAGGGTTCCGAAAAGAATAGCTTTCGGGAAGAAAGTCTCGCTCTTGAAAACCCCTGCTGTAGTTTTCTACGGTAGAATGGAGAGCAACTTTAGCCCTAATATCATCCGGCCACGAGAAGTTCCATTGATGCCAAGCATTTGTTTAGCGCAAAATTATTGTATATTAGAAGGGTGAAAGAGCCAAGATTCTCTGCTCGAAAAACGAAGGATTCGACGTTAAATATGAAGCTTTTTTCCGTAGTTAGAAGGACTGTATAGAAGCTATTACTAGACAGGTAATATATATTAGCATATTATGTTTGTGGTATTACTCAGGTCTTGCTGGGAGCTGTATCAGAAGAAAACAGTACTCCCTGTTTGACTTAGTGTCCAAACATCAACGGCCGCGACCAAATTGCTACCTGGAGTAGTTGAAAGGTATATTTCATGCTAAGAAATCAACAGCGCATCATCTGCCAGAGCGAATGACATAGGCCTAGCGATTGAACTAAGAAGACGTAGAGTATCGACACGAAGTGTCGACAATTTATAAATATTAGGCAACTGGTCCGCGAGGTCCTAAGGATCGCTTAAAATCTGGCACAAAAGTACGAGGATATCTCGGACCTATCAGCTTTACGGTTGCTAGAAAAGGTGTTCCTGATTATCCTCTATATTATTTTCATAGCTATAAATTAGGATTTCTAGATATCTAGAATACTATGTCCTTATATGAGTAATTAGAATTCTTGCCGAAGTCCACCGATCTAACAAATATGTGCAAAATCATCAATGATAAGTGAATCATCAAAGCTTGTATGGTCAGTAAGGCTGTGGCTAGTTGAGAAACGCTTGAGAAAGATGAGAATCGGAATGGTTCAATTATGACAGGGAGCCATCATTAGGATCAGGAGGTCGTCTGGGTTTAAATTCCAGGCAACCCCGATTTGAGATCTAATTAGGCCGTATCTTAAAATGCTTCTCCTTTTTGAAATGACCTTACATCCTCCGTCATATGTCGTTAGGGCATATCATGTGACGAGGGTTCGGCACCAAGAGGAGATCAATATCCGGTGGCAGGGGCGCCACACCGAGGAAAAGAGAGGTGATGGAGCGGCGTGCTGGAATTTCAGGTCCGTCTGCGGGATGATCATTCCGCCCAAGGAGTACGGAGTAGCACATATCTTTTCATAATTCCAAGATTTAGCGAATGTAAGATATTTACTCATCCCATTAAGCAGATTTTCAAGCGAAGATAATCAGGTCCGGATATCCGCTAACTTCACCTTTTGAGAGCTATGACGAAGGAGGCGATGGCATTATGAATGAAGGCCATGGGTCATCCAGACGAACTCAGCTCTATCTCTTACCTCGGTAGATAGTGTCGTTGAGGTTCTCGGCTGTGCGAGTCGGGATTGGGTTCTCCCCAGCGGGGAACTCCATCCCGCACGCTTTTTCTGTCATTGGCACAGTACCTTGTGGGGAAGAAGGGACGGGGTCTGAGGATCTCGGTGGGGAAAGCTGGGATCGTGATCCCTCAAGACTCCACCTTTGGTGGGGGTGTGCCATAGGAATTCTTCCAAACTACCGGCTTCCTGACAAACGCTTTGATCCTCACCCTTCCTCTCTCTCCTAAGACCCGTGTTTCTCTCACCAGCCATCTTATTCTCATCCTATAAAGAATGGAGACAGAATTCAAGTTGTGAAGTGATCGGTTATGTCCCCTTCGGCTCCAGCCGTCGTCTCTCGTAGTGGTGTGCCAACGCTTGCGGCAATTGCAAACGACGTAAAGAACGATGTGATGGTGTTCAGCGTTGCCAGAGGTGTCGTGCCAGAGGTGTCGTGCCAGAGGAGTCAAACATGAGTGTCGCTTAATTGCACCAGCGGTGCTTCGAGGGGTCCTGTACCCGGATACTGAGGTCTCGAAACTCAGGAAACAGATCCGTCGGATTGGAATAGAATGGATGTCCTTCGTGAAAGTTATGTGAAAAAGATTTTGACAAGCACCAACAGACCTGGGTCCCATCAGAATAAAACTTCGTTGCAGCCTCTTCCAAGACTTATTGAACGAGGGGGCGGTGAATTCACATTCCTCTGAGATTTTTCAGTTTCTGCGCTACTTCAAAGCGTCCGTCAACTTGCAAAAATAGCTGTGGGTGATTGTCCTTTGTCAGCTTTTCACCGGACTTATCAGAAGCGCCTCCTTTCAATGAACGGCGGCTCCAGAATGTCCCTGGTGGTCTAAATGCCCCTCCGAAACCTGGCATTGTTGAGTCTCAATATCTTGTGGAATGGTACCTGTATAGCACTGTCTGTTTAGGTGATCTGTTCAACAAATGTCTTTTGATGGACGAGCTTTGTGCTTGGTTGTCGGACCCTGAGGAACGACACGATTGGGCAAGCTCCATGTTCTTCCTTATCCTCGCCCTGGGTGCACAAACTTGTCCAAAGAGAAAGATCTTATTGCCCAGCAATACTACACTTATGGCCGAACCCTGACTGTGTTTGACACAATGGAGGACTCGAGCGCTGGCCTGGTAGCTGCGCAGTGCTACACACTGATTGAGATGTACCTGGTGAATGTATCGCGCCTGAATGCTGCTTTCATGCATCTTGGGCAAGCTGTCCGCGCTGCATACGGTCTAGGGTTGCATCGCACTGATCTGGTAGCGAATTTCACGCCCTTGGAGCGCAGAATACGAGAACGCTTCTGCAAAGCCGTTAGAGTTCTTGATGTTTATCTCAGCGCCACCCTTGGGAGACCGCTGATGACTTGTCAGTCCCGAAACACGGTCACGGTCACGAATTATTCTCCAACAGTCGACATGTGCATAATATAGAAGTCACTGCTTGCCGAAGCATACATAAAACCTGCGATAGGCATGGGATGCTGCAACAAATCATCGACTGCAATCGAGAATGGGCTGCTCGATTTCTATCCGGTCTTCAAAAGGATGGAGCCCATCCATTCGGAAACATTAAATGGGGAGATCATTGACTGCCCAACATCGGCCTGTTTCACCTCAAGCAGGCGTTCTAAGGCGTCACGATGCGATTGACTGAACGATACTTGGCGGGAAGCGTCTCGGCGAGTACGGGGAGTTCTACATGTGCTTCTGACACCTGCCTTAACCAGGAACGACTCTCTCAATGGACTCTCTCATCACAGCTGCTTGGGCTCGCTTGCGCTCAGTCGGCCATCGATTTCAATGAACTCTTTCGAGAACTGCTTGTCGTTGAGCAGGTACCTCATAGGCTCCCGCTGGTTGTAAACTCGGTCTTTTACGCTGTACTTGTGCTGGGCTCTGCAAACTTTAGTGACCTTTATTCCACGTTTCCTCTCGAAGAGTATCTTGAAACCGCCTGCAAGCTTCTATCTATATTCTATAAGCATGATTGGCTTGCCAGGCAATACCTTGGGATCTCAGAGAAATTGAGCGCAGCCTGCGAAAATTATATCAAGAAGAAGTCGCGTGGCAAACTGAACTCAAGAGCGGCGAGCCCTAGTCGACGAGCTTTTTGGAGATGTTGATAGACATCACTACACACGACCAACCCGACCCAATCTAGATCTTGACTCGATCGAGCACAGGGGACAATCGCCGGACGGTCATGAGAGAGTTGGCCAAGATGACTGGCCAGCAACTACTTCTCCCGATCAGATTCATCCCACTCGGGACTTGGAAATCGGGACTGCAACCACGGACTCCTTGGACTTTCCAGATTTTCTTGATGACCTAATTCTGAGTCACAGGCAGAGTCATTTCCTTTCAACTGCTCTCGATCCTCTCCGCGAGCCAATATATATGCCAAAGCTAGATTCAGAGTCCATCTGGTCCGATCCTTTTATTCATCGAGTATTTCAAATTCCACCAGTGGACGCAACCCACGGATAAAGCTATTCAGTCTTTTTCTTTTGTCATTGAAAGGTCTCGACAAGACCACCGTTTTTTGTGAGAAACTAAGGTTATCGGAGTTTGTATCAATCTCTGCTAGGCTGATGGGGTTTATTCATGAGTAGTGAGCCTTCACCCTGTTCTGACATCTTACAGGCAGGCCCAGTATACTTCATCTAAAACGTGATCCAAAGAGAAGCAAGAATCGCGATAACGCTCCTGGAACACTATGAACTGGTCATAAATAGCCTCTTGATGAAGACCTGGTGGTTTCTCTTCCTGGAGGTCCAGATACAGCTGCATCACCCACCCCGCGTCTCTTGGACAGGCATTAGGCTAGGATTTGACGGAGAACATGTGCTCCCATGCTTTCACTAGCCACATCCCTACAACTTTACTGGCTGCTTCCACTGGCTCAAAAACAATCCCACCAGATGAGCTCAAGGATGCTCGGGCTGTTCAAATGTTGACTTTTCCTTCCCACAAAGCTGGCTAAGAGAGCCTGCCTTGTGCTCTCAAACCGTGTTGAATATTCCTCTTTATGACAGACTCCACCCACTCCCTCATGTTTTCGGTCTGTTGCAATTCGCTCATGCTCGGAGCTTCAATTTCAACACAATTTCGGTAGTACAGTCCTTCAGCGCAGGCTTCAACGGCTTGCCCGGTGTGCCCCAGACTTTCGTCTGTCAGCTCATCAAAAGCTTTCATCACGACGGACATATCCGTCCGGAGCCTTTCTGGGAACCGCTGAGAAATGCTCGGGTCGATGTTAGTGACGACCATAGCTGGACAAATAGAATTGATGGTGATGTTGTGGGGGGCCGCTATGGGCGCCAACGACCGCACCAAACCGACCACTCCATGTTTCGCTGCTGCATACTGAGGCAGCCATGGGGCGGGATAAAGGCTTGCTGCACTGGCCGTCGCAACAATCTTGCCTCCTGGGACCGGGTTTTGGGCAGCGTAGTGCGCAAAGAGCTTTATCCCATAATACACTGCCAACAAGTCGACCTCGAAAGTTGACATATCCGGCTTGCTTGGTGGTGTTGAAGGGTCAATGGTACCGAAAATGTCATCTCTATCCTCAATACCAGCGTTGAGGGCGGCAAAATCTAATCGCCCATGCCATTTGAAGGCTTTGGCGAAGAGCTCTGCCTGCTCGTCGAAACTGCTGACATCTGTCCTGACATAGAGTGTGCGTTCAGCAGGAAGATCTGCGTCCTGCTTGGGAGGTGCAATGTCGGCGATCACCACATTCCACGCCTTGGCCAGTAGGTGCTTGACCAAGGCGAGACCAATACCTGAGCAACCGCCGGTTACTAATGCAACTCTGGACATTTTCGTAGATACAGCAATTTGACTCGTAAGATTGAACACTAGACTGGTATGAGGGTTGGAAGAAGGAAATTTTTAGCAAGATCTGCTGACTTTTGTTGTCTATATACGGTTGTATTGAGCTGGAGGCCTCGAAGGGCTGTGAGTCCCCCACCTCTATCATGAGAAACAGGTGTCTTGAGCTAGAGGCCTCGAAGGGCTATGACTCCCCCACCTCTATCTGTGACTATTCTGTCCTTTGAGCAACTGATCGGATGGCCATCAATATCATCCATCCCCTTTGCCTTGGTTTCTGTTTGATACAACCCCACTGCCTTAAGTCCTCAATTAGTCTGAATGGCCCATTTTTGCTAGAAGCATTCGCTGAACGGAAACTCGTATGTGGAAAAACCTGGCCATTGGGAACCGCCATGGAAGCCAATAGGATCTTGCATCGGATCTCATCCGAAAGCTGATGAGAAAATCAGCCTCTGGGTGTGTTTGGTTTCGGTTGGGCCCACCGGGCATCGACGCCCAGCCAAAGCACCATATGTGTTTGCGAATTTGACTACGCCCTTTTTTGGCAAGCACTCGAGCATGTATGAGATCTCTGTCTCTTTCAATCCTACGGACTCTATTCTTGTTTATATACAAATTTATGAGGCATTTGATCTCCGTCTTCTCAGATGAAGCAGACGTAATAGTCGCTGCGCGTGGCGGTCTGAACGACTACATCTGGCCGAAGATCGATGGACTATAGTCGTTTAAGGGAAAGACTGTGTACTCTGCAACTTGGGATACATCGTCTAGAACCCCAATCCCTAGAATAATTGACAAAAGTCCTCTCAGCTGACCATCAATCTAGGTTTGACTATTCCAACAAGAGAATCGGTGTTATTGGAGGTGGCAGCAGTGCCATTCAAATAGTGCAACAGCTACAGGAACTTGCTGGAGCACAGTTGAGCTGTTTGATCCGGAGTAAAACGTGGATTTCTACCACTTTCGGTACCTCTGCTATGCAGAAACTGGGTCTTGATCATGAATAATGTATAGCTAGCTCATCACCTTTGCTCATGCATTCTTATTTTATGGGCTGGGGGAACTAACAAACGGTGATAGTTACGCAAGAAGAGTAGGACAGGTACATGTCCGACCCCGAAAAATATCATGCTTTCCGCAAAATAATCGAGACTGAAGGCAACGCGATACATCCATTTTCTCTCAAGGGCTCGGCCACGTCAGATTTTGCCCGTGATGCTTTTACCCAGCTCATGAAGAGTCACCTAGCCAAGAAAACGGAGCTAGGAGACGTCCTCATCCCCAGCTTTGCACCTGGTTGCCGGCGTCTGACGCCGCGACAGGGATTCCTTGAAGCTTTGACGGAAGGTAATGTCCGGGTTATCAACACACCCATCCAAGCGGTGACAGAAGATGGTGTGGTCATTGAGGGCGGGCGGCTGTTTGAACTTGACGTCCTCGTCTGTGCGACCGGGTTCAATGTCATCGGCGCACCCCTGTTCTCCGTCGTTGGTGTTGATGGGAATACCTTGACCGATCGCTGGGGATCATATCCGGAATCCTATACGTCTGTGGCAGTGGATGGGTTTCCCAACTACTTTACTATATTAGGCCCAAACTCCGGCGTTACAAGTGGCAGCCTCACCAAGATCATCGAGGGCGTCGGCGACTACACCATCAAATGCATCCGCAAGCTGCAGAAAGAAGACATCAAATCCATGCGAATCTCTTCACGTGCGATAAGCAGCTGGGTCAAATATGTGGAGGTCTATTTTCAGAAGACCGTCTTCCTCGACGACTGCCGCACGTGGTACAGGAAGAACAATCGGATCATTGGCCTCTGGCCTGGCAGTACCTTTCACGCTGTCGAGTCTTTACGATCCCCCAGATGGGAAGACTTCGATTACGACTGCGGCGAGAACGCTTCCGATGACCGGCTCCTGAGATGGCTGGGTAATGGGTGGTCGGAGCTTCAGCCCAACGGTGGTGACATCTCATTTTACATCGAGCCCGACTACGTGGATAAGCCGTCTGCGCCGTTCCCGGAGAAGATAGAGAAATGGAATTATCGTTCTTTCTCCCACTAAGTAATGGATAAATATGCTTGTTGGAAGGAGATTCTCTGGCTGTGTGATAGAGGAAGGCGGAAGGCTTTGTGAATCCAATCCCCAGCATATCACTATCTCCAAGGACACCAGATGCTCTCGTCAATATTTCTACCTTCCATTTTCAGACCATTTCTGCTTCCGTTGAGCCGGTTAATGTTACAAAGTGTTAGACAATCGCGTCCGGACGTAGGTCATATCCCTTTGTATTCAACATCGAAGCCCTCCTAAGCTCCTTCTCCGTCAAGTTTGGAGTCTTTTGGTATGCTTTCTCACGCTTAGCACAGGACTTTGGGACTTTAATACATGTTAGCCAAGCGTACAACCAAGGGATGGATTCAGAAACCTTGTTTTCCGACACCTTCTAGAGACACGTTTTCTCACTCCTCATATCCACTCCAGAGAAGGAGGCTGCCTTGTTCGTTACTCGGGCCTTATCAAGGGAAATGACGCAGTGCAGGAGTACCTTAGTGGATTAGTCATAGAATGACCCACTATTGGGACATAAAATGACATCAAACACTTCTATGTCAATGTTGATGGGTATCAAGCCTGAATCATTCATCTTAGTGGGCTCGTGGGTAGTAAAAGTAAATGGCTCGCGACAAGCCCGAAAAACGCGGGGGAGGCCAGCTCTTGGGCGCTTCAACGCTGGTCGCGCACCAGTGGGCTGAATACCTGGGTGCCTGCCTCCCACATATTTAATTGCCGACGTCTTTAGTCAAAGATAGTATGGCCACGCATGAGGGCTCCTACGACCGGTTTTTGGGACGGATAACAGGTTAGCGCCAGCGAGGTCAACGTCTACGCCGCCTACATACTGCCTCCGCATGTGGACCTTGAGAGTGGCCGCCATGATTGTCATTGCGCTGGGGGGTTCAACTTGTCCCCGTTGCGACACAAGCTGTTGTATCTCGGACCCAGCCTCAACATCTGAGATCGCATGCATGTTCCAGTCAAAGTCATTGTCGTACGCGAATGGGTGTCTATTCGCGACTCGACCAAGCCCAAAGTAATTCTAGCCGCCTATCCTAGGATTTGGTATTCCTTCCCATGGAATGGTTGGATATTGGCGATTAAGAACAGCCAGCCTCCAGTTCGTCAAAGATACCAATGCGTGGGATGTGGCAACCAGCATTTCAAAATACGTGTCAGCCATCGCTGAAATGTCTAGAGTATCTAGAATCCCTATTGACTCATTGAGTATCGTTCCGTCTTCCATCCCTTCGTATCTTGGCTCCACAATATGTCTCCATGCTCTCCTCTTCTCGTCTGCCGTCCACAGTAATAGATGGCAGCGGCTCTAGGGCAACAACCTCAAGTCTGAAATTTTCATATCACTCCGAGGTTCGGCTGTGTACAAGCAAGCAGAAGTCAGCCAGCGCGGCGCAGGGCATAGGAAGCGAGTGACATATGGCCTACATCGAACACTTTGCACCAATAACCAATTATTTCAAGGGACACGGCTTAACTGGAATTGAATTCCTCACCGGCTGACAGTCGACGCTTGTCGAGCCGGCCATACCAGCTATCAAATTTCATGTGTAAAGTAGCAATAAAACTTTGCAAAAAGTCATCGTCGTATGGGAACGTGACACTTGAACCATATGGGTCTGGAGTCGAGTGTGCACCTTGTCTGACTTTGCTGAGCATTTGTCCTCGCTTCCATCTAAGGTTGACGGACTCGGCGACAAAGATCACCCCCACCGCCAAACGCAGGACGTGCGCAAGCTTCGCCTCGCTCGCCTAGGCCTTTGCAATTTTTTTCATCTCCTACCTTGCGGGTAAGAATTTAGAAAGTCGGCACCCAAGGAGACTTCTCGGCGTACATCAACAATTACTTCCGCTGCCGGCGAGGGCATCGGCAAGCGCGCCTATCTTCATGCCTTCGCCAGTGTATTTTAGGTATGACGTTTTGTGCGTTGGTCGGCGGATAGTAAACGCCGCGTAAGCAGGAGGCATACTAATTGCCAGTTATCGAGTGGACTATTACTTTGGCTTAGTTGCCTCGGGTGTGCGGACCGTGGGCACTATACACCTCAAATCTAACGAAAGTAGTTAACATGATAAGTGGGTCTTGGTGAAGTATAGGACTGAGAAGACGGGAGGGAAATAGGTATAGAAGTGTTAACGAAATCAACTATAACTAGTCCTAGTTAATATCATGAGCGTTTATACATAATGCTCTAATACCCTGTGTTACTCCATTAGCGTATAAGTGTTTATACATCGTTGTATCGATGCAATACATTACTATTTAATGCATCACGTGACTCTTCGTTTAGCTTGGTCGTAAGGCTGACTTCCTTGCCCGGCCCGCCTACCGTGGGGAAGGTGGCCGCCTGGTAGGTCAAGCCGTAATAGCATACAGCAGAGGAAGCAGACGTAGTGTTCGGGAGCTTACCGGATAGATCTATGATATAGAAGAGGAGCTCAATTATATGGATAGCTCATAATCGTCACACAAGGTGTTGCTTGGCGTTAGTTACATACTTCTAAGATCTACTCAGCTCTGGACCCTCCAGTTGGACAAGGTCAAAGCGCTGATGAAGCGTAGGAAAGCCGAACACAAGGTTGAATCATGCACTCTCCGAATTTCCAAAAATCGACGAGCCCAGAAAACAGCACCTATCCTGCATCTTCATCCTGTCGGCCAAGTCTGATCAAATCACTACATGGCGAACGCGGTGACCCTGATCATTGTTCGAACTAAGTTTCCCTCCTCTCAGTGGCTTGGTGCCAAAAATATCCCGCTCGAGTTTAGAGTTTCGAGAGCGGGATACGAGATACGAGCGTGACGTTGGCCCTTGCATTGACCACAGGTTACCTCTATCAATTTTGCCTGGAAGTTCGGTGGTGGCACTGCTCAAAGCTACGTCAACAGTAACGAGAGGAATAGTCTCGCAATAATCACTGCGTTCGCGGGACGTGTTGTAGTAGATATATATGATACAAAGTGGCCACGATGGGCACCATGCAAGATCGTCAGACGAGCAATAACAAGACATTGCAACATTTCTCGCTGCCGATCCTTAACCGAACACCTCCTAGCAACACCCATTCCTCGACAGATCGGAAAAATGGTGTTCATCACGCACTTCAACCTCATCTTGTCATCTCTTTTCTCGGCATTCAGCAGCACTTCGCCCCAAGCGGCCGCTGTCGCGCCCAGGGTACTTCGTAATCAGCATAATCAGCGTAATCAGCATAGTCAGCAAACAACCTCCTTCCAACCCGAAAACGACAGTATCGTTCAGAAACTCGACGATGTCCCTAGTTATACGTCGGGTCCGCAGCCATTTTATCTCATCGCCCACCGTGTGCTAACCACTCAAGGTGTCCACGATGCGCTCTTACACGGCGCCAACGCCATTGAGTTAGACGTATCTGCGACGAAACAGGAGTGGTATGCTGACCACGACGACACGCCTTTCACTCGCGGAGACACTGTCAGAACAATCTTTGAGACCGTCGCTGAACGGCGACAAGCAGGCTGCACAATCACGTTTGTGTGGTTGGACATCAAGACCCCTGATCGATGCGATCCGTTAATATCAGAGACAAGGCAATGCTCCATTGCGGGACTACAGAACCTCGCACGAGAAATTCTCGAGCCGCAAGGAATCAGGGTGCAGTATGGCTTTTACAACCCGAATAATAGTGCCTATGATTGGCTCGTCGGAAGACAGAACAGTAACGAGGTGATCAATTTGAACGGCCAGACGAATGAGGTCCTGGAGGCGTACACCAGCGCGGGGATTCCGAAGATCAAACGGGTGATTTCTTATGGTAGTTGGGTCCTTCCATTTCTCTTCGGCAATTGCCATGAAACTAGCTATTACAGCTGCACGGAGCTTCGACAGGCCGTCGAGTCGCGCAGTTTCGGGAAGGTCTGGGGTTGGACAACGACAGTCGGCCATGGCTGGTATGCAGAGAAGATGTTGAACGAGGCAGGCGTTGATGGGTTGATTTATGGGTTCCAGCTCACGTCATACTACGACCATGAGGGCACCCGCGCCGCAGCGGGAGATATACTTTCCTGGATCGCAGCTCATCCCGACAGGCGGTATTTGGCAACGAACAATGACATCCCTTGGTAGAGTCTGCGCCGCTGTACCATTGAGTTGCGAGTCGTGTCCTCGATCATATATGATGGCTTTTCCACGGATAGAATGTTATTTAGGAAATGGAGACAAATCGTCTTCTCCGAGAATTTCCAACTTTAGCAAAGAGGTCCTGCCCAAATTTCGATCAGCTCTCACTTCTGCGGCGTTCTTCAATGAGGCAACGTCGAACAAATCAAGATGCACATTCTCTGAGAGGGGGGAGGGGCCCTAGGTCCACGATTTGACATGCTGGACATCGCTTGCGACTTCTCCTAGGCTGTTCTCGGCGTGGGGGGTTCAGTCTGGGTAGGACATTTATCAAGATGCTACATTCTCCCGGCTTTGCAACGAACAGTGGCCGCTCTTGTTCTTTCGATGACAGTCATGAAAGTATAGCAATAGAGATATCTTCCTACTCGAATGTACACTGGGTGCGATCTTGCTGCGAAGTAATAGGAGAGGTTGATCCTGGGCAGTGAATGGTTTGTTGATGATTTTGTTTCATCAATAAATAAATGGATCTTGATCCTGGCAATAAGCGAGCACAACGTTGTACTCCAGACGCAGGAGAGTGGTCCTGGACTTATCAAATCATTCCACGGGGTTGACAAGCATTCAAGGTCACAAAGGATTGTTGAGCGCCAGAAAATCATGATAGAATAGGCAAACACCATTAATGCACGCAAGTCACCAGGTCAGGCATTCTTGTCACTCCGGGTTTGAAACGGTGCAGGCTATTGCACAGCGTCCTACATCCGTCTTAACATCTCAGTCACCGGTGAACGGTGACAGCCATGTTCCATTTTCTGTTCCCAGAACTAGAATGGTGTCAGCTTTAGTCATCCCTCTCCTGGGTCTTGACCCAGGTAAATTCAGCTCATTCACATGAACCATGTTCTTCAGTAGAGCGAATCGGTCATACAAGCAAATCTGTGCTGTTGGTTGCAGCTATAACATCGTAAAAACCCCTACTACTTGGGGAAACTTTCGCCAATCTCAAAAATGCCCTAGTCATCTGGCAGCTGCCATGTAAGGTGTTTTGCTGGAGGAGTGGCATCTTCGACCAACAAAAGAGGCGGTCTCACACCACTCTGAGGGGAGCAAGTTTCAAGGGTTGTTTCTATTGTCCGAGCTCCAGCATCGGTGAGCGAGATTGGTGTGGGTGGCGTAGAGGCCATGTCCCTCCCAAGCAGAACCGGAGGACTTGTACTAGGTCTTTCGATAAGACTTGGGTCAAATTGCGGATTGCCTAGGGGATCATTATTTTCGTGCTCCCGCTCATCATCTGAGGTCTCTCCAAAGCTGACTGGCGTTGATGGGGTGTAGAGGTCCGCAGGGCTTAGTGTGCTCTCAACTGAGTCTTCGGATGATAAACGACGATGACCCTTCAAAATCCCTTGGCGCTTGGAACTTCGGACAGAGTTGGTCCTTGTCACAGGGGGACTTTGTGTGGGTGTCTCAAGAGTGGGGATATTCAGCCAGCGTGTGCTCGGTGATCTTGAGAGGACGTTTTGGAACAGCGGAAGTTCCAGATAACTGTTCAGCGATCCCTTGGAGAATAAGACAAGCCCTAAGCAGACCAAGATTAATATCATTTGTAATGTGGACATGCGCTTTTGGAAGATGAGTTCATCTGCAACCACGCCGAGCCGGGCATTTATTGCCAGGTTTTCGTGCTGATAACGCTCACGTTGTAGCTCCAGCTCAATCACGGTGGATTGCCACAGCTGATCATATTGTAATCGAAACTCACGGAGCTCGTTCAGTACTGTGTTATTCAGATAGTCCAGAAATGAGGTGGTTTTGGCTAATTGCCGCTGTTCAACTTTCTGGAACGCGTCTCTAAGTGCCCGGGACTGCTCTTCGATGTATTGGAGAGAGAGGGATGAGTTGGACTCAAGCATTTGCAATCGCTTTTGCACCGATTTAAAAAAGGATTCCTGCATAGTTGGAGCTGCAGGGGCGGCTTGTGTTTGTGAAGGTTGCACCTTGGTACTGTTGAACGAAGGTGCAATTGAGGAGCCTTTTGAGCTTGTCGAATTGGCAGCCTGTGAGCTGACGTTTGGAGAGGACGAGCTCGGCGAGGTGATGTTGCTCGATTCAGTCATAGGAGCTTGTGTTCTGATCGAGTTGCTAGAACCAAGACTCGAGGTCGACGAACTCGTTGATGAGCCAATGCTTATACTATCCGTCATTGATATTCCTATCCGTCCTTCTGGCTCTATGGCTAAGGAAGTCTCTGCAAGGTCGCATGTTTCGGTTGCATACCTTTGATGGCCTAGACTATCCATTATTGTTGATAAATTCGTTGAGGATGTGGCTACTTCGGAGGCTGGCTCAACTGAACCATGGTTTGAGATAGTTTCATTTGCTGAAGAGGGCTGCAGATCCTGCGAGACCGTCATGTCCTCCCTTAAATTGGCAGTCTCAGATCGGTGAGAATCGGTCTGACTTGTTGTTGCTCCGGTGACAGCATCTGATGCCTGCCCGTCAGTAAGAGTAGACTGCTCTTCCAGAACCAAAACCGGCTCATCTTCTTCTTCATTCTGTAAGGACTCGAGGTCATGCTTGTACTCCTCCAGCATAGTTGTGCCATGCACCCTGACAAGGCTTAATGGACAGTAGTACTCGCTTCCGTAATGAGTCAAGAATTCAATTCGGAGGTAACGGGCCCAAATGACGGAATTTTCGACGAGAAAGGCTTGAACCTCACGGCTGTTGCGAGCCTCGAAGGTACCCAACGTTTTCCATTTGTCCGGCTTTACAGGATATTTATCAGAAACACTAACTTTGAACGCCCGAAAGATCGAGCTGAAGAATTCGAAATTAGCGACCACTATTGTGTCCACAGCAATGTCATCACAAAGTTCCAGGATAACGTATTTGTTCTGAGCAGAACATTCGTTCAACATGTATGCATCCTTGTTCTTGCCAAGGATAGCGAAAGGACTTTTTGCTTCGGGGTTGGTCTTTATTATATTTGCACCACAGTCAAATGAGGCATAGTTGGATCTCTCCTTGCAAGTCTTGCCAGCGTCTTTGCTCCTCAGGCCAACCCTCGGCGTACGGCCAGGCTCAAGGGCGGGTGTTCCATCAGAGACTGGTTGTGGAGGGCGCGGTTGAGGTTGATTTTCGGGCTCCAGGCCGTCAGAAACGAATCCAGAGAAGTCGAGGTCTATTTCGGCATCATCGCCGAGGGAGTCTAAGGAATTTTGGTCAATTATTGGCCGTTTCTGAGGCTCGCCTCTAGCTCGTTGTCCAATATGTTCCGATTGTCCCGACTTTTTGAGATTTTCTCGCTTCCAGTCTTCAAAGGAGAGGAATTTGACATCCTCGAGCGGGGACACCTCATCTATGGCATCATCCGTTCCGCTGATATAGGGCTCGGAACTCGCAGTGACTGCTGTGCTTTGTGGTTGAATCGAGGTGTTATTCACAGTGACAGGGGAAGCCGCGGCGACAGTCGATACATTTGCATTTTCCGAGTCGACATTCGAGAGTTGTACACCAGTGGATGTGGATGATCCTGCTGATCCTGTGGTGGAATTGCCTGCGGTCGTCAAGGATGTTATAGGACTGGCTTTCCGGGAGGAAGTCAGGCATTGCTGGGGAAGGGTGTGCGTGATGTAATTCACCGTTCGATAGGGGCACGTTAGAGCTGAAGCGGGCGTACTCGCAGCAAGGACTGGGGCAAGTAGGATGTTTAGGGTCAAAAGAATCGTCGAGAACCCCTTCATTGCGGTGCGCTTGTTCTTGGAAAGCGTGACTGAGGCATCGAGGGACAAATGAGTCCTCCGAGGAGAATCTCACGAGGCCGAAATGTGATCGAGTCGCTTCCACATGGCGGTGAGCTGTTTGGTCGGGAATGCTGAAGTCAAGGCCAAGTTTGACGGCGTTAGGTTTGGCGAGGCCGCGTTTAGATAGCGAGCACTCGGTAAACGCGATGCCAAGGCCAACGCTATAAAGCTCGGCTTTGTCCAGCCTTGTCACGTGGTTATACTGTCCTCAACGGATAGGCATCGTTGAAACCATGCCGAAGCGAGAATTGCTTCGGTATTCTCTCCGGTATCAAGACTGCACCACTCTGCGAATGGAAACATGGACTATAGGCTCAGGGCATGTAAAATGTTACTAACATCAGTACTCAGCGACACGTTGAACGGCAGAGGGTTGCAGAACACCCATCACATCTTACAACGCCTACTCGAGAGATGTCGGCAGCGATTTTTCAACAGGTTGCCGATCAGATATCCACGATCTTGGCTTTTGGATGATTAAGTCAAAACTCGATGTGTCATCCGTCAGCGCATCTATTGGCGAAACCCACACCATGGACGCCAAGCCGAGGATATGAACCACAGATGTGCTCTTGGCCTGAAACTAAGATAGGACCCAAATAGAAAACAGGGGCGCATTATCCTACAATGGCGAAGGATGCTGAACCTCGTCCTGAAGGAGGAAACCCTGATGATCCCTGTGGGGCACAAAGGCGCTTCAGCCTTCTATATCAAGATTAAATCATAGAGAAGTGGCGGATAATTTTCCGCACTCGGCTAACACGCCGGAAGTATAGCCTCTTTCGTCGCTTGAATACGAACACGAGGGCTTTCGAATCTCGAGTCTTGGGCGATCAAATGAAAATGTCCTTTTTTGGGCGGCCCTGCAGTAACTGCAACCCTTCGCCGCCAGACGTCCATGCTCAGCCCTATGACAAATCCCCTCGGCTCTTTCTGAATTGTTCCTGACTGATACAACTGGAAGGAGACAGGCGAGTGATCCGCCTCGTACGCAATGTCGCACCGCCCTGAAGCGGGTTGCTAATCTGGATCCTTCTTCCACGTTGCAGCCGACGCCAATACGAGGTTGTTGTTGCCTGGATGTGCACTTGTGTTCTATGGACTCGAGAATACACTCTCAGCCCTTCAAGCAGGTCGCTAGTGCCAGTCTAATACAAAATCAAATGGCTTCCAGTGACCTTATACATGGCAAGACTCGCAAGGCTCGGTCTAAAGGGGTGGTCAAGGCAGCAAAAACAACAGCAGACTCCTCAGCTGAACAAAAGCCTCTGCTTGTAAAGAGCAAACTACCCAAGAACCCAAGCCGACGAAGTCACACCAAATCGCGGCGAGGCTGCTTCACCTGCAAGACTCGCAAAATCAAGTGCGATGAGGGCACGCCATCCTGTTCGCACTGCGTCTATCGGGGCAGCGCGTGTATCTACCCGCGAACCACAGAAATCGGGGCCGGCGCCGGCGCGATTCGGGAGCCGACGATTCCAGGGAGAATCTTCGTCCCCTTCCAGCCCAAAGTCGGAGTAATTCCAGCATCGCCATCCGAGAAGCTAGTCTTCACGGCCCAGGAGATGAGGTTCTTCCACTACTTTTTGACCTCCATGAAACACCCCTTACCCATCGGAAACCGCGCTGTCTGGGTCCACGAGATCCCACAGATCGCACACGAGTATCCCTTCCTATTGCATGCTATTCTTTCCCTCGGAGCCTCGGAAATGGAACGCACAAACCAGCCCATGCCTCTCCAATACGACGTGTTAAAGCACCAAGGCCGCGCGATCTCAGGCTTGAACAAAGCGCTGGACGACTCGAAGGCATGGAATACCTACGGCCACCCGGATGCCGTGCTCGCGACCTGCTACGCGCTGATCTACCAATCCTCGCGCATCGTGGATGGGATGAAGGACTTCCAGGTACTGGTGCAAGGCTGTGCCCTGATCACAGACAAGATCCAACAGTCCCGGTTGAAGACCGTCCTGAATGTCGACCCCGATTGGCCGAGCCACAAGATCCACGCGGGAATGCAACACATTCAAGCGAGCCTGCAGGCCCACCACATGGCACTAGTCAAATCCGGGCTAGAGACCCTCCGGGAGATCCAGGCATCTAAAGGTCTTACAGATGAACACCTCTTCTGGAAAGCGTGTTACGTGACACTGGACCAGTTCTGTTCATCTCCCGTTGAGGGATACTCGTTCTCGATCATGCGCTACAGCATGTGGTATCACCTCGCCGGCGGGATGCTGAAAGCCCTGCGAGGGCCCGATAACGGGACCGTCCTGGTCCTCATCGCCTCATTCATGTCAAACATGATCCTGCTGAAAGTATTGATCCCGTTCCAGATCTGGCCCGATGCCCATGATCGGCTTCCCATGTGCACGCTGCGGCGGATGGTGCACTGTATCGAGGTGATAGACGAGCACATCGGCGAGTCGGATGGCCGATACGTGGCGTGGGCGAAGCAGGTGGTCCGGCTGTTGTCAGAAGTTGTACCAGAAATCCAACACGACGAGTTGAGTCCGAAGCTGAGATCCTCCAAGATTGCTATCTTACGTGATCTCCAGACGAGGTCGGTCCTTTTTGTCCTTTCCTGATATCCCTTTCTCGTTTCGTTCTAATCAAATCATGTCCTGACCTATGCCTTTAACAATTCTAGTGCACATATGTTCCTCGGCGATGTCCTTCGACTCGGATCTGAAGTGACGGCATGGTTTGAGGAATTTGTTTCTGACATGATCATGTGCTGGGCCTCTCCACGGCGCTTAAAACCGACCACCGAAGCTGTAGGACACATCATGTCGTCTACCTCCTCGGTGCAACCTCTAGTAACCTCAACAGCGACAAGGTCAACGCCCATGAGAGCTTCTCCCTCCTACCCTTCGCCACTCGAGATGGATAAGCTGACACCCAGCAACATTACACAGTCTGCACAAGGACAAGACGAAACCTACCTAGATCGTTCGCTGCTCGACGTCTCGGCGACGAAATCGGACAGTTTTGCTTTTAGGATCTTTTCTCAGCTAGATCGAGGATGGCAGGAAGGTCACAGCACGTTGGATGACCCGGACGAGGGCATGAATGATAGTAACAACGACGAGATGTTCGAATTCTTCCACGTATAAGATAAATGGCAGCTCTCCATCCATCTGTCAAGACGATATAACTATGAAGCAGATTCTGAGTCCTCTTGCAAATCATTCATACCGGCTGTTAGTCCACGTGATAATCCTGTCAACCGTCACTTTGGTTCCGAGACAGTTCCAACCCCTGCGACTTTCCAACAGTAGTTCAGCTTCAAATCAGACTCATACGAACACCCTGTGCCTTGCCGAGTACGGTCGTCAGCATAGATCAAGTAGCTCTTCGCTGCCAGTGCAGGATGTCCTTCAATGATCACCATCAAATTTCTATAGCTTGGCCTTGAACTTCTCCGCACCGAGCTCCTTCCTCTCGATGCCCAGCTGTCTGAACAGCTGTTCAGTCTTGTTCTCCTGGCGGGCAATTCTTGCAATTACCTCTGCGGAACGTTGCTTGTTCTCACGCTTGCCGAGCTGTTGGAGATGGGCCTCGTCGGGTCCGTCGGCAATGCGCAAGGTCCGGAGATGGGCCCACATACTGGCGAGTGGGGTGTCCTGGCAAACACCCATTGCTCCGTGTACTTGAATGGCGCGGTCGATGACTTCCAATGCCACTTGCGGTACCTTGATCTTGGCCTCGGCGATCTCCTTCAGAGCAAACTTCGCATCCTTCTGGTCGATTTTAATCGCCGCGTTAAGCACAATCATGCGACTTGCGTCGATCTCGATTCGGGATTTAGCCACCCACTCGAGCAAGACACCGTGCTCACGTAGTGGCTTACCGAACGGGACCTTCCGTTCGTCGTTCAGTCTTCTAAGCATCCATTCCAGAGCACGCTCGGCGGCCCCGATAGCACGCATAGCGTGGTGAATACGCCCGGGTCCCAAACGACCTTGCATAATCTCATTGCCGCGGCCTTCGCCAAGAAGGATCGAGTCCAACGGGACCTTGACGTCCCGGAACGTGATGTGACCGTGACCGTGTGGAGCGTCATCGTAGCCATAGACACTGAGCATGCGGTGAACGATGATACCTGGCGTGTCGGCAGGAACGAGCAACATAGATTGCTGTTCGAATTTGTTTGGATGGTTTGGGTTAGTCTTGCCCATGACAATAAAGATCTTGCAGCGGTCGTCGCCGGCACCTGAGGACCACCATTTCGAACCGTTGAGCAGGTAGTGGTCGCCTTTCCGTTCGATGCGGAGCTTGATGTTGGAGCCGTCGCTGGAGGCGATGTCAGGCTCTGTCATAAGGAAGCCAGAGCGAATTTCGCCGGCCATGAGTGGCTTGAGCCATTTTTCCTTTTGGGCGGGTGAGCCGTAGCGAGCAATCACTTCCATATTACCCGTGTCTGGTGCAGCACAGTTGCAGGCCTAGATGATCGTGTTCGTGGTTAGCATCCTTTCTTCTTCCCTCCGACTTTGGAATCTCAAACAACATTCTGTATATCGACATCCGGAGGGGTAGATGGAATGACACACATACCTCGCTTGCAGTGATACTCTTTCCCAACTGCTCAGCCATAAGACCATACTCAACGTTGGTGAACTGTGGCCCTTCCTTGAAGTGGTTCTTGGGCAGGAACATGTTCCAGATTCCCGCCGCGCGAGCCTTTTTCTTCAGGTCGTCCATGATGCTCGGGTGGCCACGCCATCGTTCCTCCCCGGTTCCGATCTGTGCGCTGTACACCGGGTCTGCGGGGATGGCTTCTTCATCGACGAACTTTTCGACCTAGGAGGTGTTGAAAAGCGATATGTCAGCAATAAGCTGTGACTCTTCCTTTGAGATGATTTTAAGAGTGGCAGAAAGCATGGAGCAGGGTAAGGAATTGCAGAATACATGCAACAACCCTTTCTCCTCTCTCCTCACATCCCTAATCTGCGGGAGGGTGTCTGGCCGGATGAATGTTCTACGCACCTTGTCTAGCAATTGCTTTGCACGGTCCGACACGAAGGGCACCACAATGGGCGGGATATCTTGAGACGCGGTCATCGTGGATTACGGTTCTGAGGTATTGTCTTGTGCTGTCTTAGGCTGTGGATATATGAAAATATACGATACAGGAGTGTAGACTCTCAATCCAGGTCAACTCAACGTCAATCAATGGGTCACTCAGATATACACAAACACACAGAAAAGGCGAACAGAAGGATCCAAGAAGGCCTGTGTGGGTGGAAAGAGGTGGTCAAAAAGCTGGCTTGTAAGTAAAGAGAACGCCAAAACGTGGGGAAGGAAGGGTTGGAGACCAAAACAGAAGATACCGAGGTCGCACCTTCTCCAGAAGGCAGCTCGGTCCATTTCCAGATTAGGGTTAGAGGATTAGGGGTTTCAGCTTCTACTGTACAGCACTCGTACTCACTTTCCTCCAGGTCGACTGGGAAACTCTGGGGCCTGGGAAGCACCTAAAGCAAGCCGAGGGGCCCTACAACAGTCACCTTTTAGTCGTTCAGCGATAGCCGGAATCCGAGGCAGACCTGCGGTTAAGCACAGTCCAGGGTACTGTGTCAACTCCTACTGGAATAATCATGAATTTCAACAGTCTGATCGCTCTCGTACTTTGATTGAGGGGGTTATAATTCTTCATTCTCGATATATGTCCCGTCCAAACCGTAAGAAGTCTCAATCTAGGTACTAGCTAAGGTTCTTTGGTCTTCTTGAACAAAGGCTGGAAAAAACACATCGGAAAAAAGGTGCCTTGTGCAAGCTGAGAATTGAGAATTGATGCAACCCGGAGAGTCACTCCCTTGTCTCCTTCATTTGTTTGTGAACTGCTTCTCCAAATCTGATCGGTGACCCGGACAACCAACGGTCCATATCCTATAATGCTGCCCTGTCCTCCCTTTCCGTGCTGTCAAACTTATGCTCCATCCCAAAAGCCAACATATCCTTACCTCCACTGCTTAACAACCAGCAAGCGCCCATTTTTTTTCAACAAAATATTGGTACACTCCGTGACACCTCGTCAGGAATACAAAGTCATCAGTGTCAAAAGTCCCAATCAATGACAAGCAGCGAGGGTGATTGTGGTCTGTGCAAGTCATCTCTGTCCCACACGCCACCAACAGAAACAGCAAAATCCATAGAATCATGTCGCCGATCACACAATGTTTCGAAAAGCTGACAAGAAAGCGCTGCTCAAAGAATTACAAATGGAAGTTGTGCCAACCTCCAACCCACTCATGGTCTTCCTCGTCCGTCGAGGAATCAATCACCTTATGCTGACGCCAATCTTGGTTCAAATACGCCGGGCGTCCCCGCGTTCGGCTGTCACGTCGTTGCCAGCCAGGCTGCTCAGCCCCAGCTCCGTTCATCGATGACTTGCGTGTTCCAGTAGTGAAAGACCGTTTTTTATATGGTGCAGCTTGACGATCTGGCTCGGTCTGAAAGTTTCGTCTCTTGTTGCCCAATGCTGCCCACTTGTCAACAGGCACCTGCTTGGGAGAGTGGCGAGCAGTTCGCACACGCCAGCCGAATGGGTCATTCTCGTCCGAACCAAGTACGTGAGGCTTAGATGGTAGTGCAGGCCGGGGAGTTCGGCTGCGGCGTGCATTGCTCGATGATCGGCTCTTTGACTCGGTCAAGACACCAGCCGGGACGGGAATCTGTCGATGGCTGTCGTGACTGAAGCTTCGAGAGTTCTTCTCATGTCTTCTCTGCAACTCTGCCTCACGTTCTGACTCCTCTTCGTCTTCCTCAAACATGTCGCTCCAGCTCTTGGCCACGGTGTCATGGTGCTTTCCAAACACCGAGGACATGGTGTGGATGGGCCGAGATGGGCGAGTAGGCAGCGAGTTGGGAATCGGAACAGGGTCTGGCTTTGGTGGATTGCGTTTGACAGGACGATTAATAGCCAGTGACTTGAGGGAACCATAAGCTGAATCAAGAACCGAAGCCAATGAGGGAGTATGGCCAGAGTACCAGGACTCGCCTAGTTTGACACTCTTCTCGGATTCGAACAAGTCCTCGTCATACATGTCAGGGATGCTAGCCAGCTGTTGGTGCTTCTTATTAGGACTGGCATGAAGCGCCTTGGCCCAGGGGAAGGCGTCCGAATCGATATGAGGGCTCTGAATTGAAGGAGTACGTAGTGGCTCACGGTTGGCGCTGGCACGGACAATGTCCCGCTCTTCGGCACAGAAGTCGTCAAAGGCCTCATCGTCAGTAGTGAAGGTGACAGCGCGAAGGACTGCCTGTTTGAGAGCGCCCAGATCACGCTTGGAGGGATCCAATGCCATAGCACAGGAAAGGATCTCAAAGGTATCTTGAGACATGCTGGGAAAGATATCAAACAACGACTGACGGTCTCGGCGATAATCGGCAAAGAGGAGATCGGACTCTGTTGGTGTGACAAAGGGGTTCCGGGCAAATAAAACATTTAACAAGCAGATGCCGATTGACCAGATGTCAGCTTTGGCTGGAGAGTAGCCAGTGACCGCAGGATCATATTGTTCCGGAGCCATATATCGGTCACTTCCAACACAAGCTTCGTGAGAGTAAAGGGCTCTGGTAGCCAGACCAAAATCACCGAGTTTCATGGAGCCATCATGAGCAAGGAAGATGTTCTCGGGTTTGATGTCTCGGTGATATAAACCATTGTCGTGCATATGCTGGACAGCACTGATGAGCTGAAGCATAAAACGGCGTACATGTTCAGTCTGGAGGGGCCCACGATCCAATCGAATGGCCTCGTAGAGGTCACCTTGGGAACAGTATTCCAGAACCAGGTAGGAATGGGATTCAGTCTCAAAGTGGTGGATAAGATTAACCAGATGATCATGGTGCTTGAGAATGGCATGGCAAGTAAGCTCTTCGGTGCCCTCGTCGAAAGTTGGTAAAGAGCCAGTTTGGTTGGCAACCGAGGGCTTAGTCAAGCATTTGATAGCAACCTCTTGCTGAGTTGTAAGATCTTCGGCCAGAAAGACCATTCCGAAAGAGCCATGATTCAGAGGCGCGATAGTCCGAAAGCGTCCATCAAGAAGTTGATCCTTGCGGAAGGCATCCTTCATACACTCCATTTCCATGGAAAGTGATATGGTCTGAGCAACTAGGTCTATGTTTCTGTTGGGGAATAGGCAATAACTTTTGCTGCTCTAGGCCGAGCAGAGAGATAGTCGAGCACAGCTTTGTACAGTGTAGACAAGAAAGTGAGGTGCGTAGAGCGTGTGAGTGAGCAGAGAGCTCAGTCGTAGAAAGCAACAACGTCGAGTACTAGAACCGGGACACCAAGCATAAAACCACCGGGGGACTGCAAATCTTCAACCACCGCTATCATGTGAGGAACACCAAGTTGGAGAGGAAACAACGGGAACTCCTAGTCGTCGTGGAGGTATCAGAGGCTCATTGAGAAATAGGTCGTTAACGTAAACAAAGGAAAAACCTGTCGATGACGCAGAGCCTGAGGGCTCGTTGTGCAGTCGAACAAGCAGAGGCGTAAAGAGCGTCAGGCTATTGTGTCATGATCGAGCAGGGACTGGTACCGGCAGGGCCAAAGAACGAATAGAGGATTTTGAGGGAGAGCGGTTGAGAATTGAGGTCGAGGTCGAGGTCAAGTCGAGGTCGCCGCAGGAGATTATATAGGTAAGGAGAGTCGTGGGCAGTGGAAAGGCAGACGTCAGCAGGGAGTGGAGGTCAGAGGAAGAGTTGAGACAGGCAGCCACAAGAGTTGCCACTGAGGTGACAAGAAGAAAAGGTCGAGTTGAACTGTCCGTCAGTTGACCTTAAAAGAATAAGAGGCTTCCTTTGTTGTCACGATGACTGGTACTTTGTCGTTGGGCTGCTGGGGATCACAACAATGATTCTCCAATTAGAGCCGGACTGGGACAGGCAAACTTCGTCGTTGTCACCACTCAGGGTTTGTTTTTGGATTTATTTAATGATTAAATGGTAGTTTGTCCCGAGTGTATAATGCAGGAGATGTGTTGTAGGTTGTAGGTTGTAGGTAGGGGAGGTGCAGCTGTGTAATCTGGTTGTCGGCCGCCTCCTCTCACAATGAGGTGATGGGGGTGGGAGAGTTGGGCGAAGCTCAGCGTTGGATAGGCGGGGGTAGGCCACCGCTGGCTAGGTGACAGCTAGGAATGCCGGGAAAGAACGTCGTCGAGACGGGAAGATGGCGAGAAGGAGGGACACGGCCAGGTGCTGTTGTATAGAGAAGAGAAGGGTGTTTCTGCAGGACTTGACTTTTACATTGCAGAGTGGTTCGATCGAAGGTCGGGTAGTGGGCAGGTGAACAAGAGAATGAGATGATGGATGAGGATTAAGAGAGAGCAGGGTGGTGGTGAGTCGGGTGAGAGTAGGTGAGGTGCAGGTAGGTGAGGGCCATCGCTCTAGGTGTCTAGCTGCAGGTTGGCGGTGTCGGTGTTGTTCGGGGGTGGATGGGACGAGGGATGGCGAAAAAGGTGGGCTCAGCGAATGGCGGGTGTGGCTGCTGGGTAGTTCTGGGTAGTTCCTGCTAAATTGCGAATAGGCTACAACTATGGAAAACTCTGGGGCCGCCCATGCAGCTGTGCACGCACTGGGCTCACTGGACTCGATAGGCCTGGGGCGACCAACACCACCAACGCCGTCAACGCAGCCAACCCGGCGGCGCCTAGACCATTGAGTTGGGGATGGACCGTCGGAGAAATCCATGGAATCGGGGCAGAGGGCAAGGGCAGACTGCTTGGTGCTGCTGTTGTGTGGGAAGGTGGGGCAGAGCTCTTGTGCCTGCGCCTGTGGCCCTGAGCCTGCCTTGGTTGCGTCGATTAGGAGGACCCTTCGCTACTGCATCTGTGTTCAGTGTTCACTGGGGACTCGTCAGCCCATTCCTATTTGGCTTAGCTCCTCTGCACGAGCCTGAGGTCGCAATCTCCTGCTAGCGCGTGACCACATCTGCGCAGTAGTCAGTGCTCACATCTACGCCGTTCCATGCGAGTACTATCTTTTGTTCCCTTTTTGCCTCCACTACTCGTACTCGTGCGTCCTTGTCTCAGAACCTGCCGAGCACACACCATCTGGCCGCCATCCTTCTCCTTGGACGCTCAGCCCCAGGTCCAAGCTGAATTATGATGAGCTTCTATCATTGTTTGTTGTTATTAATATTATTATGATTCTTTGCCGCCATTCGATTCTGAGTACGACATACGAGAGTGTTCCGGAAGACAAGGAACTACTGGACACTCTGGCTCCTTACTCGTCACTGTTGTTGCCTCGAGCCAATAGTTGACGCCTCACGCCACCCTTTGTTCCTTTCGTGACACTGATCACGAGCCTCATCTGCGTGACGCCGCCTCCAACCTGTCATACGTACAACGGGCACTTACTATGGAGTACTCGTACTCCATGGGGGCTCTTGACTTCCAGATACTCGTACTCCTATGATGGTACCAGTACAAGAGTCCTCCATATCTACAAAGAATGACGGAAGCAAACGTATCCCTTTCCTTCCGAAACCACTGCCTTCTCCTATAGCTTTTCGAAGTCCTCATCCGTTTCCACTATCAGTTTATGGACAATATACCCGGTACCGCCACATTTTGCTGGTCAGCACCTTGCCTCGGGTGGGCGTTCAGCAGCACCGTTTCCGCTTCGTACCAGTAGACTTGACGGCGGTTGGGTTTCGAGACAATTCGATGAGCTTTTCCGAGCGCTCTTATTCCCTCACGTGTCTCCTCCCTTCTGTGCGGAATTGTGAAGTAGGGATCGTTGCTCTCTGCTGAGTCCTGCCCTGTACGGAGCACAAAGAATCCAGGGTGTTGCCCCTGCTCTAACCTGAGCTGCCTATCGCGAGACAAATGACCTGCCTTAGCTACCCCGCAAAACCTGGAACAATTACGAGTCATGGCGGTAATCTCCTGAACTCGGGGTCTACTGGTTATCCTCCTGTACATGTAGTGGCAAACCCTCAATTGAAAGTTACGAGTAGGCAGGGGCGTCTGTACGACGCCGCCGTCGCATGACTTTTCATCCTATCCTCTGAGGCCTGGTATTACGGAGTACAAAGCACGGCGAAGTTGAACACAAAGACATGTCAAGTCGTACGAGTACATAGCAGTATGATGACGGTGTCATGTGACCCTCTAGTTAGGATCTGTAAGGGGCTTCGGAAGCTTCCTATGGGTAAGGATACTGTGTACAAATCAGATTCAAGCACATCAACCTGGCACCGATTACCCGAGTTGTTCTACGTGGAGTGCTCCGTACCGTATGGAGATTACTAAGTATCTACGAGCACAGCTTTATCCAGGACCCTCCTTATTGTCAGGGTTGTTGATTTACTCAACACAACGTTAATCGAGATCAGCAACACTCGATACAGAGTATTTATCATCCCAGGCACATTGTTGATGGGATGACAATGCACTACCATGTACAAGCCAGGACGAGCCACGTGAGTGACAGACACATGATTGGCAGAGGGTGAGACCAGCAACGGCTAACTCATCTCGGATACATTCATCATCTCATCGCCGACACTGGTCGTTTCGAATCGTCCCCTCTTGAGACAGTTTGTTGTCGTTTCAGCCGTCTAAACTTGCTCTCTCGACAACAGCTCCTGATGGCATCTCGATCCCCCATTTCTGTACCTTGTAGGGAGTACTGTAGTGACCCTATCATTTTTCGAATCGACGGGTACAATGCTTACTTCCCGGATTCCGGAGTCCTTTGGAAGGGAATTAGAAGGAACAGATGCATCAACCCCCTATACTTTGCAGTGCTGGAACTTACTCGTAGAATGACCTCGACTAGTTGGGAGGCAACAATAGAGAAGCATCAATCAGAGCAAACAGTGACCGACTCGTCTGGTCACCAAAAGTCGGTGAAAGGACAAAGAGATGGGCATTGCTATTGCAATCTCGCCTTCTGCTCTGATTGCAGCAATGTATTCGTCTGCAAACACCAAAGGCCCGCTCATTCGAGACAAGTCTGAATGCACAAGCCGCATAAGTGCAAAACTTGAGTTCCCAACTTCCCAGCCCTCCGACCCCAACCTGGGCAAGACCCAGTTCCTTCGCATAGGGTTTCGCTGACCTTGGGTCGCTCGCTGTTGGCGGGCGCCAGGCATTTCTAGGCGGTTCTTCTGCAAGTGTAGGAAGTGCCGTCTTGCAACGAGGGTCTATCATAGGTGAAGATCGCCACCTGGCCACGAAAAACGAACGCCCATTGGCAAGTTGGTCCCGTTGGTCCCGTTGGCCCCGTACTCTTGAATGCTGAATGGCCGCCATGGTGGTCGGCCGGTGCAAGCAGTTTGTCGTCCAGTGAACGATGTTGTCTGGCAAATTCACCACGGCTTGCAGAAGGTGGTCGCATGTCCATATGTTCCCAACTACGAGCAGGAATGGCGCTCACTCTACTTCGTACGAGTACTCGTACGTTCGATGGCTTCCTTTTCTGGCTTTTCTGGGTCTGGAGGGTGACCCATTCCTTGTACAGTATAATTGGGCCAGCGACGGGCCGCTGCTCGCCTGGCTCGTCAGTTGGAACTGCTGCAAGCCAAAGAACGGAAGAATAATGGAGTGGCGAGACCGACAATGTGGACCTGTGCCCGTGCCCCACGGACTCCTGCTGCTACCAACTATTATTATAGACTATGCAGTTAGTTGGCATTAGTCGCCGCGGAGGGATCGTCGTCTATTCTTTGGCGGTCCGACCATCTGCGATCTCTCTCTACAAGGACGCGTACATACCTACGAGTAGAGACTAATTACAGCTCGGCGGCGGCTGCTCTGACACTGACACGGCGGCTTTCTATGCAATTCTCCGACATCACCCTTCGTTTACGGCCCTCTAAGTGGAAAAATGATACGCCGAAGGGGACCGATAGGCGCAGGACCTCGCCTCAAACTTTGCCATGTCTCTACCAAGGCAGCAGGTGTTCGTTCTCTGGGCACGATTGAAATCCCTCCTGCCAGGAGCCGATCCCTTGGATATTGGATTTTCCATGATACTTGCACACGAGACTCCGAATCTACAATGTAACCATTCATCTTAAATAGAGATCAGGAATTAGCAGTGCAAAATCCCTATGGGAATGGAACCGCTGCAGGACAGGGAGGGAATCTCCAAGATTCCCATGCGTGCCTCTGCAACATAGGAGCTGCCTAAGTTTAATCTACATACAGCCGCTCTTACATACATCCCGAGACAACACCTGCTCTCCTGCAGATGGAGAGCGTACTCGTACTGTTCCAGCAGTTGGCCTCCCTCGTCATCGGCATAACGGCGCCTGACATCAAAAGTCCACACAATTTCTGGACATGCACTGCACACGGAGGACGGAGGATTATTTCCTGGAAGTCCTCCGTACGAAGCACTCTATCCTCGTAGCTGCATACTGAGAGATCACCGTACATATGTACGGTAGGATCGACTGAAAGCAAGCGAAGCCTTACGCGGGCCCAGCCGACCCTCCACGAGCTCCCACGTCCCATCAAGCCTTGGATGGCGGTATGCTCACCGCTAGCACTTCCCTTACCTATCGCGGCCGCCAATTCGGGCACGCACAATCAAACAACAAACAACAACGAAGTGCATGCACCAAAATATGTTCGAAAAGTTCTTTGAAAAGTTTTTGGGTCTTCTCCTCTTCGCGTCTCACACCGACAAGACGCGGTTGTCGTACGCTTGTACGTGTTCTCATGGTCCCCGAGTTGAGCGTTCCCCGTTGACTCTGCATACTGCATGGTCCATATATGTGCACATGCTAATTTACCCCCCTTCGCTCTCTCCGCATCCACGCCCAGGCCCCTCTCCCGTGTCAAATCGAGATAGAAAGTAAACAAATAGCTCTATTGGAATAGAAAACGAAAGACAGAGAAAAACTCTGCTAGCTCGCGAGAGGTGTAATCCACATCATCTAAGAGGAAGGCACCGTTGCATATCCGGAGTAACTCGTATGCATGCACCCAAGTGGAACATCTTAATCTTGATATCGCATTTCCACACTCGCCCCAGGGCCAGTAATCCGACCATTGCATTTTTTCGCTGGTGTAGTTTCTTGACCTTTTTTGCTTTCCGCAGTGGGACCTGCTACCTCCTGTACCCAGGTATGGATATGGGCTGGACCGAACCGAGACAATCAGACCTTCCGACCCGTAGGTATGTACGGAGTACTAGGCTACCAGCCTTTACCCATCCATGCGTCGGGAAGACACGTATCGCCAGAGCCCGCTCGCCGCCTGGGAGATCAGTTAGCCTTTCCTCTTCCTTTTGAATTGATGTTCCAACCTGCACAGGTTGCAAATTAATGAGACTAGTACGCGTCGGAGTGGCAGCTGGGCGCTAAGGTACAATTTTCTGTCTGCGAATGCCTGTCTCTGCATAAAGGCTGGAAAGAGATTTCTACCTTGGTGGGGTATCTTGGGCATGAACATTTCCCATCAGTGCCCGCCTATGTAATACATCCTGTTGGTACAAGAGAGGGTGAAAACTCTTGACCGCCAACTCGCTCCTCTTGGGTTGAGAGCGATGTTCGAGGCTGTCGACTGGAGGGCAAGTGATCTAGGCCGCGGTTGGGGGGTTGAGAGAATAATTACTGTCTGAGACTACGAGATCTCCTGAAGGGTGAAATGTTGTATTTTGCAGTGTCCTGTCTATGCGGTGAGAGGTGCCAATTCTCGAAGTTCTCCTCTCAAGCCGCTGGGAGGCTTCGACGAAACTCGTTCTTCCACTGTCGGTGAAATTGCCTTGCAATTCCCTCGTGCACTTGGATCGCTTTTGCTTACCTTTGACAGCTCAGAGCGTCGACAGACAGTCGGCTCTTGGTGAATAGGACTTCTCAAAATTTCTCGATCAGAGCGCACCCCCCAATGCCTCGACAAGCCAGAGTGCAAGCCGCACCCTTAGACCAACTCTGCGATCAACTTTCGCCAGATCGTCCTGAGTGACGACTGTCGCATTAGCCTGCAGGTTCTCTGTCTCCTTCTTGAGTCGCAGTTTCAAGCCTTGGTCGGCAGTCACGATCATGGCACCAACTTCCAAATCCAGACTATAACTGCGTTTAGTATAGTTGCTGCTTCCAACCACTGTGATACTGGGACCAGCCTCCTCAGTTACTGTGCCATCTGGGGCTGACTGCGAAGGCAAGGTCACCCAGAGCCCTTTAGCATGGTATGTCATGCCGCCCGGCTCGCCCACGGTACCTTTGCGCCATTCTTTGAGCTGAATCACATCTTCCCTCCCTACTTTGGCGACTTCTCGCAGAAACCTCCGCGAGAGCAGAGTGTATGCAGCTGGGAGCATCCCACTTACTCCCTTACTACCGTAGAATCCGTTGGCCCATGGTGATGCTGTGATCACTGTGCAAGCCTTATCAAATGCCTTTTTCGCAGGTGCCAGAACTCCTTTTTCCGGCGAGGATGCAACCAAGAGTTCGCAAATGTCAGGATCGATATTGAAGTAGCCTGCTGTAAAGGTCCATGATGATTGGTGCAACCGCGGATCCTCTGCAAGATTGGTAAGAAGTCGAGTCAGTGCAGGCTTCTCCGTCGAGGTATACTGCGAAAATTCATAGTCGAGGAATGCAATGTTCTTCGGTTGGCCGAGGAGGATGTCAAATTGTCCTAGTGGGTAGACAAAAGTCTTCTCTTGCGTAAATGGTACTGGAAACATTTTCTGTCGCGCTTTCTTGTGGATCAGGGGTTCGAGTGTCCGCTTCGCATATGCTTTATATTCTTTGGTATGCCACAGCGGATCAGGAAGTCCACGGTTATGAGGACTGATCAATTCAAAGCCCCCAGGTCGGGCATCTGAGGGCGTCACTTGATACGAAAGGTCACAGACCGCATTATGGACAGCTGAATAGAATTCTGTAAGCTGCTTCGAGGAAAAGAGGTGATAACGGTCGAGGCGATTTGTGAAATAGTCATCTGACAAGTTTGCGCTGAGCTGGTGTTAGCCCATTTTCACGCACTCAGAACCAAACCGTACCCTGATAGTATGATCTCGTCATCGAATCCATAAAGCTTCATATGTTGCAAACCCCATCCCTCATTGATGCGTTTAGGCATATACTTTTTCTTCCACCCGTTGAGGTTGGGTGTATGGAACATAGAGATCTTGACTCTGTCACCGAATTGGCTAATCAATGGAGCGAGCAGTGTCGCGCATGATGGATCAGGATCCTCCCTTGTGCCTCGGAGCGCATCCGTCAATATCGACAATTCGAGCTTAGGATTGTTTTCCAGCGCTTCCCTCAGTGCACCAATTAATTCGTGCTCGGTCTTGCCAATGTATAGTGTAGACAGGAAAATTCGGTGTTTAGCTCCCTTGATTTTGGCCTGCAGCAACTCTTTAGCTGACCATCTCTTTGTCTAGCAGAGTTTCCATTTGGAGAGGGAGTACCTTGAGAGTCTCGTAGAAGGCGGTAGGAGAATCAAGAATCTCGATCTCCGAGGGATCGATTTCAAATCGAGGTGCTACCTGGTCGAGCTGGGAAGCGACCCCGGCGAGAGGGTGCGTAGCAGGGGCGAGTGCTCCATCTTGGGCTGGAATCGTAGACGAGGTGAATCTCCGTCGTGTTGTTGCTCGAAATGTAGGGGTAATCGCAGTCCGACGTGTGGTGCAGCTGCAATTTCGCAGGATACGCCTTCCTGCGCTCCGCGCAAACATGTCAACCCCAGAAAAAGCAGGCTCGCTCAGATTTCAAAACTTCGTTCTTCATCCATGTCGGCAAGGACGATCGGCACGTAGCCTCAGAAACTCCTGCGGTGCAGACAGGAAAATTAAATGTTAAGGGAGCAAGCCACAATCGTCATAACCTAAACAGGCAACTCTGCCGGGTGACAAGGCTGTCTATCCCTATCTTTTAGCCTGGGCAAGTACCTCGGTAGCTACAGGCTGTGAATGACGGGCATAACTATGATCTCTCTCTCCTGAGCCTCGCAAATTACTGCGCTGGGGTGCTACCCTCAACTTGTCTCATAAATTGCGATGCCTGCCACGAGAGATATTCAATGACCTTGAAGCAGTAGATTTTCATCCCGCTGAAGAGATTAGCCCTTTTTCGGGTATGCCCAATATCGATCGACCTGAAGCCAAAATCCTCGCACCTTTTTGAGGCGCCTACCGTCCTCCTCTAAGACTCAGCTTCGCGCATCAATGACTCATCTCTTGTACTTGGTACGCACTTGCCTGGGCAATTTGAGGTATATCGCGCACCGCTTCGTTAAAGGCGGAGCCGCCCAAGCTGTTGTCTCGCGTGGGTTTGCTGAATACATTCAAGGAGTATCTCTAATCGAGCAAACGTGGGTCCTTCCCGTGTCGACATCATTACCAATAGTACTGTCCCTCAGTTGCTAGTACTTCTGGGAGGTATCTCAGGGCATAACTTTTAGAACGCCGGTGTGGCTGGCTTCTCGTCAAATCTAATTCGCAGTTCGGTTATTCAACCTCAGATAGGATCTAGATGGCAGACCTTCTGAGCGGCCAACGGTGCACAGCATCAAGCAGTTGCTTGAATTTAGTCTCCACCGTGTAGATCGCCAAATTGAGTAATCAGAATGACCCATTGATGCAGCTTTCTCCTCCGGGAATAGATTTGTTCTGGAAGAGAGACCTGACAGCTTGAGTCAAGATCAATGATTGATAGAACTTACAAGGTTTCCATACGCGCTTGCTTCCCAACTTTCAGTGCTCATATCATCGTTACGCCGTACCACATGCATGTCCCATCCTTGTAATTACCACTCCTGCCGCAGCATTCTAGGCCATCTAGAAGGGTACAGGTGAGGGGGGGAAGGTCGTCATGGTTCAGTAAATGGAAGGACAAGGAAGTCACACCACGTCCTTGCTGTTGTAACCAATATCGGGCTTTGGTCTGATTCGGAATCCCTCCAGACAAATCTGGATCGCACTGGATACGCCACTTGAGCGTGAGGAGAATTGATTCTCATCCAGACTCTTTGGATGCTGTAATGATGACCATATCAAAAGTTGCTTGAGGAAAGGGACTACCGAGTCGCTGCAGCTGAAATCGTCACTTACAAGCTGTAATCATGGCTTGACAAAGGCTGTCCAATGCGGAGGGCCCAAACTAAAGATGGGCAGTGTCTGCTCATTACGCGACGATGTGCTTATAATGAGTGGTCTTCAGGACGCACAGGCCAGTGTACTTGTCTTTTTGGTATTCCCTGGGAGGCAAATACTTCCGTTTGCTACGAGTTGCACCATCTCTACAAGACAAACTCTCCGTATGGCAAACGAATTGTTCTACAAGTCTCGCTCTTGCTGAAGCCACGAATCAGTGTACGGGTGGCTTGCATGTGGTTTGGCATGGTCAGTGACCACTAACCTTCATTGGCTACATATCCATGTATGAAGGGAAGGATAGAGGAAGACGACAATTCAATTGTCCAAAAGTTGTTCGGATAACTGTCCAGTCCTCGATTGATTCAGTCCCAAGAGGGACTGGCTCCTATCTCGGTGCGGCTATCTGAAAGACTAAAATCTCTTCTCACAAGCGTCCGTGGTGATTGATGAGTTGCTCCCCCTCGCCGCATCGATTACCACAAGATTAGTTGTCGCATCATATGCTAATTTGGAAAATCTTGGTCCTCGTGAGCTACTGTGAGGCATCCACCGGTGCGTCCTTGTCAATCCTAGATGTATTGAATAATCTCTGCCATGGATACCTCTATGTAAGAGATTCTACTTATCCTCTCTCATGAAAAGCGATTACGAGTGTTGCGGTCGCCATTGACTCCACTCCCGAATCGCTGGTTCCTGTTGAGGGGGGCATTTTGGATGTCGGGCTCGAGTCGTCACTCTAACTAAATCAAATGTAATTTCCGCCCTGTAAACCAAATAGGCTAATGGTGTCGTTGAAATTCCAGCTGATGGATCTAAGTGTCTTCATCTTGGCAGACCGAGATAGGGGAAGGTTCCGGATTCTGCGGGGATCGGTTCATTGATATTCCCATGCGTGGTGACATAATCGCATTGTCCTTTTCTGGAGATATTGATCAGCAATAATCACTCCCCAGCTCATGTTACACATGGTTCCTGGTCGCTTCTTGAGAATTCAGGTATTTGAATAGTACAAGTATTCAACAGAGAGTCAAATTGTCCTTAACTGCACAATCCCCATGAATCGAATGGCGAGGCTGAGAGCATTTTGACACCATGTTTGATTCACACTTGAGATCACGCTCACAACATCACTGCCCTCGCTCAGTCAACACTAGGCATGGCGTAGTACCTTCCCAGCTTAGCCAAGCTCGTTATGCAAGTGCTGGACCCTACGATCCTTGCCCCGCTCACGGATTGGCAGAAGTCTCTTACATTCCTTCGGTTGTAGATATGATTCGCTGTACATCCCAATTGGACTGCAACCTAGACGCTGTTGGATTGAGGAGAGCTCCAATCAATGATCCGGCACTCTGATTCCAGTACGATCAGGAAAACCCAGCTTTCTAGAGGCCTAACAGTCGCTTTGGACTCTTGAGGACCGATGGGTGATGCCACAAAGTGTATTGGAGCCTCCTATTGCGATGTTCGCACTTGACACTTTGGCAGTCCTGGCCTCTGGCAGAGTCCAACTTGACTGAATCAGAACACCACACTCCTGTCGAAATATGCAAGTGCGCCGCTTCCAGCATGAATCCAGCCGCGCCGGTGAACCCCAGGACGACCTGCCACTGGTCCTTGAGATGAAACCAACTCTCCATCTTGATTCAGGTTGAGAAACTCCAAAAGCCCCGTCCGAACCGAAAGCTTGACCGGCTCATGGAGAGATATGAATTCGTAGACAAAAGTTCCTGGAGCGCTTGATGTGTGGAGTAATCTGCAATGCGTTGAGCCTTATCGATTTGATGATTGCCCCTCGCACAATGGCCCCTCATCGCCTCGTGCCGCTCTTCTTTTGTTGACTCGCCCCGCCACTTCTTTCAGCCGATAGTAACTCTTCTAAACGCTTGACTTCTTTTCTCATCATGTCAGCTACCGCTGCAGACGTTCTGTTGGCTTTCTCTAAGATGTCGCATTCGTTCTTAAGTAACGATATCTTTTTTTGTAGGTCTCGGATCTCGCTGTCCATGTGGGTCGGTGACTGAAGCACTGGTTTCAAGAAGGGAGAGTTGACGTCTATTAGCAACCCGTGATGTCGGAATGAACGCCGATAACAGTAATCACGTAGAGTCACCGATATTGCAACCGCCAGGTGTAGAGAGCTCACACACTTTTATGTCGGTCACTTTGCTTCTCTCATTTAACTTCTGCCGGGCAGTCGTGGCGTGGACATCAAATAAGTACACAAATACAGGCAACGCAAAAGAGTCCCAGGAGCGTGTGAGGATGACCATTGACTATATGTACTTTACTGGCTATGTTTAACCCTGGCCGGCCTCGGCGCTGGAGGTGTCAACAGAGGAAGATTCACTCTTCGTATCAAGATTTTCTAGATGGTGGAAACATGTCCGACCAGTAAAAGCCTTGCGATGAGCTGTCTCCCTAGTCCAGACGACCCCAGAGTGACCTCAATACCTCGGGTACATGTCGCGTTTGCATGGTTCAGGTTCGGGGAAGGCGATTTTTGGCATGTCGTACCGTACCCTACCCGTAGGAACTTTCCGTGTGCTTGTCAACAAATTGGCGGCAAGGTGTTTTTGTTATTCGTGGCTAATTATACAGGTTTCCATCCTTTGTCTCGTAGGATCGTATCCACCGCAAGTGTCTTCCTTTCAGATTGTGGACTGGTTCTCTTTAAAGGGCGTTTCAATGGCTAAATGGACAGGGTTAACAGCTCATTCCGCGCATCTGGGGCCGGTAAAGAGATGCACCTGCGCAAACCCCATTAGATTGTAGGTAATGAGACGTGCATTAGGGCGATCCATGACCTATCAAAGACACAGTCGTAAACTAGTCCTGCATCAAGGGGAGCTTTTGCAGCGCTCGTGAACGGATGTCAGTGGTGGGCATGCAAACATTTACCTAACTACTGTTCCTAGGGCCTCATGAGACCAATACAAGAGTCGCTCCATTCTCATGTATGTGCGTCTTGGGCTCATTCCAAACAAGTAGAATGATGTGCTTTTGGCGAAATCGACAGTGTGCGGCGAATGAAAGTTCTAACTGAGCATCGCACCTGACCTCAAGGAGATAGCATATGCAGTGACTAAGTCCCACAATTGTGACCCAAAAGTATCACTTAGGAAATCGCGGGTGGCTGACTACCTAGACAGTGCTAGGAAAGCGGGTCATCTGAGAGCTAATTGGCCAGGAGACTTCCAAGTGGGGTCGTCTTGCTGGCAGTGTCCAAGAATGACGCGAGATAACTCGAGCAAGACTGGTTGGGCTTATGTTGTTGGCATTCTGTGTCTACCAATGGGTCCATTTCAATCCAGCAGCTTTATTTTCCTAGTCTCGAACAAGGTGCATTGTTGATCCGAAATGATCACCGAAAGTCTGCAGGCATCAAGCACCAGTACTGATCTTCCCTAGAAGGCGTCAATAAGTCTGACCAAGTGGGTATATCTGAGGAGTCTGTTCGTCAACCTATCACCTGAGGCTCAAACCCGTATAGACCATGCTGCCTTTTGAGCACCATCCTGCATCCAGCCTCCCGCAGCACCTCACCTTACACGTGCAACGATGCCAACATCCTCTGCTAGGACTTACGTTTATCTTCAATTGCGAGCGGCTATAAACAGTTTGACGAGGAAGCCAAAGGCTATCGCAGAGTTCCAGACAACCAGCTAATCAGCTATATTCACGACGAAGAAATCATAGCTTGTCGGCGCTTTTCTAAGGCCAGCTGATGACAGGAAATTTCACAATGGTGCAACTAAATCTTCCGAAGTAGCTCTTGTGGTCGAAACGACCTCTAACCTCAATAGCTCTCACATAGTTCGTACGTCCGTATGCAATGAAAATGTAGGTATGATTCTGCTGAGACTAACACCATTTTAGGAAGCTGTAATAAGGCCATTCACTGGCATTCATGGTAAATAACGACCAGGAATGAAGCATGTCTTGTTCAAAACAAGCGATCTTTGCATGCCTTGGCCTTGTTGTATGGCTACTCTAGAAAAAATGGCGCTGCGGAATCGACTTTTCCAGGAACCCTTCCCCACAAGCTTTGCTCCACCCGAAACTCAATGGTTAAAGTGGTATCGAAAGCCAACGGTTAGGCAAGAATAGATTGGGTTCTACAACAGCGACAAGGCGCTTTTGACCGTGACTTCTTCCGTTCTGTTAAGTCTCCGGCTCCCAAGATTGTACAACAGAAAGACCATGTTGGAGGCATACAAGGAAGACATAGCCAAAATCTATCAGAAGTGCCAAGATAGATGGTCATCGTGGATACGAGCACATGACACAAGTAACAATGAACGCAATTGCCACGACGGTGACTCTTGGCTGATGTCCCGATACGTTACCTACAACCCATTCCAGGAATTTTCACCACCGCAGCCCCTGATCAAAGACTTTATGGTATCTTACATCACCCAAATGATCGATCTGGCGCGTAAGAAGGCGATCCTCACACGTGTTTCCCCGAAGCGCAAGCCACGTCTGGAGAGAAGACCTGCCAATGTTAATTTGGGTTTTCCGGGGTAAACAGTCTCTAAACAGGCTGCATGGTTTTCTTCAACATATTCATCATCTACGTTGAGGTGGCCAGTGAGTCAAAGCAATAAAGTACATAGGATCATATCTGGTGATTGAGGGCTGGGTATTCGGTCATGAATTGTCATGGAGACGCCACACCCATGAGGACAAAGGGCGAGCACATCGATACATAATATTTCAGTTGTTACCTGGAAGGATGTCTACTGCAATTGCCTGCATGTGCAAAGCAGAACATCAATCTTGTCATGTACCTGACCATTATTCTGGGAGAAATCAGGTTGACTCGAGTAGTGATTACCAATCACCGGGGCATTCTTTCTCAGCAAGCCTTTGACATAGCGTGTGCAGCCATCTAATTTCCGCCTCAAACGCTTGCCAACTTATCCGGGAATTGGGATGCCTCCATTGCACGTCGCCTTGACGGCCACGGTGTGCCTAGGTTGAAAATGAACCTGTGGCAGCCTTGGCGTAGTCTGTAATGATCAGACGGATAAGGCTGCCTATCAAGAGCTAGAATCGCGTTGGTGTAAGAGAGACCGTCCCCTATGATGACGGGCAGCTCTTCTGCGTCCTCCATTTGCCAAAGCAATCCATTCAACTTCTTCCCTCTGACTAATGGAATAACTCGGACAGTAATGATGTTGCAGAGGAACGACAGCACTTGAACATGTACCTTGGGCCTCGTGCGAGGTACGATTGGGCTGAGCCGAGATAAACACACTCCCCTTTCCTGCTCGATCTATGAATGCCGCCGCTTCATACCTGGGACTGATGTTATCTAGCTACGCAAGGTATATTTGATAACATGCTCTACTGGCCGCAAGGTATATACTTGGCCGGAGCGAGAGTGCTCTGCGATGATGGCAGTTCACTTGCATACCTTGACTGAAGTCGTTCCTTCAAGAAATACAGACTTGTCTTGCTCATCAACGTCGAGAACGATGTCGTAAAAGACGGTCATAAATCCCAAAGGGTAGTGTCGGCTTCCAACGTGACTGAGACTAGTCGCAATGTGAATTATACCACACCAATATAATTGTAGATTTGCAATAGGGAGCACCTCGCATCATGCTTTCCTGTCTGTCCACAAGGATTACTTTCTGTCGTGACTACTTGTCTCCCTCTAAGCTGTCATTGCCACTACCATGCTAACAGATTGCAATGAGTGAGCCCTACCTGTCTCTCACACTGAAGTCTTCGTGACTAGGGTCTTCCTTTAGACTAAAGACTTCCACTTCTTTAAATAACATTTCTAAAACGTATGGCTCCCTAGACGAAGAAGTCGCCCCATCCATTCACCTCAGCTCCGACACCATGTATACCACGAATAGGCAAGCCCCACGTTCAAACACAACTCAAACAAAATGCAGCGGATCACAAGCATTGTGCACCTGGAGGGTCCTTGACTCCTTGCCGGACCATCTAAAAGTCCTGGAAGACGTATGTCGATTTTCGGCGGTGCTATCAGGATTTTACTCCGTCCTCTTAGAACGACCAGAGGGCGGAGAGGTGCTTGAATCTAGTGGCTCCGAGAAGACCTCGGGTGAAATCCAGATCTGAAGGGGCGAGGCCACTGTTATTGACACCTCGATATCTGATTTTGCGATAATTCGCTGTAGCGTCAAGCGAGAACAAGCATTCAATGGCTATCAGATATGCTGAGGCATTTTTCCAGGTTGGTCCAATGCCGCGGCCGGCCGTCGTGGGTACTACCCCGACCTATCAATAGACCGCCCTACAGCTTCGCTAGAGACGCCATCTCAAGATAGTGACGACGACGACAACGATCCATCGGGCTCTAGTCTGGATCCCTTCTTTGACGACAAATACCACGAGTACACAGAGACAGAAGGCGAAGGAGCACCAGTGATAGAGTTGACCGCAAGTCAGGCTTGGTCTCCAATGGACAAGGTATGAATCCGCCATCGATCTGAATGGGTTCTGCTTTGGGAGCAACGACTTCGTCACGAGTTCAGTTCTTCAACGACTATTGCGAAAAAGAACAGTGAAGGTCTTCGAGATCAGAGCAGCTGCCCTCTGGGCCTTGCGACTGGGACCCTGAAGGACGGATCCAAGTCCATGCAACAAGTTATGCTTCAGAACACACCACAAGGCGTATCTTTGAAATAGCACCCCATGACACAACTCACGCAAGTGCCTTCATTGTGTGGAGTTGAAACGCAATTCAATGGTGATTATGTACTCTTGAAGCTATGATATCCACGGACAGGAATGAGGCCTTTCTCATCCAAGATTTGCAGCAGATGTCAGCAGTTTGACTCAAGGGTGTCCACCAACCACCTTAAGCCGCTCCAAATGCAGACAGCAGAGACGCATAGAACAGGAAGAAGCAGCTCGAAGAAAGCAGGGAATGTCAGACTCTAAAGCACTTTAGCATTACGAATAGACTTCCCCGGAAAGGAATGGGAGGCACTGCAGGGCCCAAGTGGGCGAGCCAGCGGATGCGGCGGAAAGCATGGCCCTTACTGGCACAGGCACAAAGAGGGGTGACTCAGAACATACAGTACATACCCTACATAGTAAGTAGTCCTACCCAATTTTCCGCCGCATTCGCCCAACGATGGCGTTGCTTAGTCATCAGTCCAGCCATAACATCCACTTTTCTGCACTACTCAAGCCGGGCGCTCTGGCCGGGATCCACAACATACCAAGTACTGTCTGTACTTAGCTAAACCGTTCTCGGTTCATTTCATGATACGTTTACGGATACTTCGAAGGACAAAACCCAGATTTCCTTCCTTAGTAACGTTAGTACTGCATATGTTACATAGTACCTACTGGGTATGCACAGACTTCTGAGAAGTACAAAGTACTCCGTAGTACTTATTATAAAGTGCCGTCGTGTGGACGCAGTCTGTGGAAGGTCGTATACATATAGTGAGTATATAGTAACTCACAACTAGGAGTGAACAGAGAATAAAGTTGCTACCTGGAGTCAGAAAAGACTAAATGGAGTGTGGATGGTCTACGTAATCTTGACACTGTGTGCCTGTGATTCTTCTCCACGCAACGACGATGTGCTATATTCTTTACTGTTTAATAATTACTAGTACACCGTGCTGCCAAAAAAAAGGCAATAATCACGACCAGAGGACGGAGTACGGAGAGAGTACATAGCACTTGTATATAATATCGTGGAATTCACATTATGTAGTAGTAGTATTATGTATTGAGACACTTGTCAGACACTATGTAGTAGTATGTACATACTGTGTAGTTAATTTACATGGTACATTAAGTAGTATGCACATAGTAGTCTACATAGTATGATCGGGGCTTATAGTACCTACTATAAAGCATTACCATTCCAGCCAAAATCCGGCAGAACCACTACAATGTACATCACATCCTGGCTGGATTCATTTGAAATGAACATTAAGTTGGAGTGATTTTATGGCACAACTATATATGCACATATTACGTGGTAATTTCTTCGTGCTGTTTGGAGAAAGCTACTATACTGTGTAATACTTATGTATCCCTTCATCCAAAAAGGATCAGTCGAAAGTTTCCCGTGCCAGCGCTAACTAATATTCCACATATGGTGGCACAACCTCCAGGAATCCTCGTGTCGATCAGCACAGCACGCCCAAAGAGATGCAAAGTTGCCTCGTAGAAGACTGGTCCAGCCAAGATTCAACAAGGTACCGTTCTTTGGGTCTTCCAAGGGGCTTCGCCGATTAGATGTTTTGAGTGACCTGCCCTTCAATTCATATCCGTTCCCATTATTTGTGTCTGGCGCCACTGTGAAAACATTTTCCCCCTCACTCAATCACTATCACTCAGCACGAATGCATCATCAGCACTCGCTCCAGGGACACTGCTCGCAGCTCGACTTGCTTGCGCGTTGGTTGATGGGGTCATGGCATCGTCGACAAGCTCCTCTGCGGGAAGTGCATAACCACTGTTGCCATAAGCTTGATTGCCACCGTTGAGAAATTCATCTTCGTCCTCATCTGCTTCCAAATCATCGTCTTCATCATTATCTTCGTCTTCTCCATCTTCAAGGTGGTAGTCGCCATCGGAATATTCTTCCCTTGGGGCTCCTTCGTCCGACTCTTCCACCAACTCCTCTTCCTCCTCATCGTCATGGGCAGTGTAACGCGATTGACGTTGACTGTTTGCGAATGCAGATTGGTAAGGTTGATGTTCTTCATCATCATCGCTGGCGTTGGCGGGTTGCCTTTTGGAGGAAGTTTTTTGTGAGTTGAAAATCTTGCAGGAGACAGCGTTATCATGAAGTGTTGACTCGATTCCATCATCACCAAGAGGTTTCTTGTTCAACGGGTTGGACACTTGCTGGCTGGTCAATTTGTTGCCGTATTTCGAGGCACTTCGTTTCGACATTGCCACCCCAATAGATACATAGTCGGCATGTGGACGTAATGGCTTAAAAGCAAGTCCGTGGGCGCCAGTTGCTCGAATCCGTTGCTCTGAGCGAGAAAGGGGGACACCAAGTTTCGTTGGGGCGGGTAGATACTCAAAACCATTGACACGAGCCAAACCATCCGGTGATCTTGAAACTGATGAATGACCATTGTGCGCACCGAGTTCTTCCTTGACTCTGCGCTCCACCTCTTCTTCGATCTCTTGCTCGACTTCCAGACTTGGGTTATTGAGCCAATTCGAACCTTCTTCAAGTTCTTTCCGTTGAGCTCTAGCTTGTTTGAGAAGGTCATCATCATCATCATCATTCCAGGTAGGTGGTTTCGCGTTGGTTACTGGTACGGGTTCAGCTGGTACTGGAGATGGAGAACCAGGAGGGGATGTCTCCGGGAAGAGAGGTGGGCTAGGGGACGGCCGCCGCCGGAATCTTCCTCCATGGTAGTGTCGACGGGTGATCCGCTCAATCGTCCGTTTCTTCTCTTCGACTTCTCGCTTATTTTTCGCTTCAAGCTGTTTCTCCGTCAATGGGACCAAAGGAGTATCTGGATCAATCCCGAGAGCCTTGAGCCTGAAGTAATCTGTCACTGTTTTGTCGACCATTGGTCGATCGCGTTTTCCTGAAGACAGGAAAGACGTGAGCCTGAGGTCTCGATAACGCGTGGAACTTTCCATTTGTGATGATCGGGGTGGAAATTTTGGCCAAATTGTAGGAAATTTGCCGGCAAGGTATTCAGCATATCCTTCTGCGGAGCTGGAAGGATTAGACGATGCATCAAGTGTACGAGACCGCTTGTGGTTGGATGTGGAAGGCCCGGGGTTTGCGGAATCACCATCGTCGACAAGGTCGTCGTGATTTGAAAGGCTCTTTCGCTTTTGTCCAGCGACTTTTTGCATACTGCGGGTTGCCTCGTTCTCTTTCCTTCTAGCCGCTTTTGTTTCTTCAAATTCTTCGGCTATCTCCTTTTCATGTTGCATTAAACGCTTAACGGCTTTCGACTCTTCAACAGCTGCGAGAATGTCCTTCAACTCATCGTCCCTTTTCCTTTTTTTGGCCTCGCTTGCTTTGATGGTTTCGGAGAATTGCTGGCGTCGATTGTCCGCGTTTCGACGTAGAAGGTTGTTCCAGGTCAAGGACCGCCAAAGGTTGGCAAATTTGCGCATGATGATGCGTTGACGAACAGAAGCTAGAATAGTATTAGTGATTGTGGGTAGAAGAAGGAAGAAAAGTTGCAATGCTCACCAACGGCTGCGTTGTGCGTGTCACGATGGTGCTGAATGAAGACTGCTTTGACGATGTCGGGTAGATTGTATTCAATGAAGTTTTGGATCAGACCATGCGGACGCAATAATGCGACACGAGCAAAATCGTTAACAAGTCGGTTCTTGTCCTTCTGGCTGAAGCTAGGCTCCGGAGATGCTTGGGGTGGAATGGATGAGGGAGAGATAGTGTTTCTTAGTGGAGGTGGAGCCTTTGGTGTCGTGGACAAGATATTGAATGACTCCTGCTTAAGCTGGTCTTCCCCAACTGAAGCAACAGGGCCGCCTGATGGTGGCTTCACTGGGGGGAAATCGTATGTCCTTGATTGAGGGGTTACGCTGATGTCTGGAGCTGCAGGGACCTGGAATTGGTCTTTGGTCGACACTGATGTGCCTTGGGGGACAGGAGCTGTTGGTTGGAATTCAAAGCCGGCAGCTGGTGTCGAGAATGCGGGTAAAGGATTGGGCGATCGGGATGAAGGTTCGGAGGAGATTGCGGGAAATTTGAAGGATTCCGACGTTGAGACCAGCTCCAACGCCGTAGATTGATTAATAACAGACTGTTCTTGTGGTTTTTGTTGTAGCTGTTGGAGTTGAGGTGGTGTTCCAGATGGTGAAGTTGATGGATTTGCGAAATCAAATCTGGGAAATTTGAGGGGAGTAGATGGCACGGCAGATGGGTGAATTGAGGTTGTGGCTGGAGCTGCGAACGAAATAACGTCAATAAGAACAATACTCATGGGTGTGAACGCGTGAATCCGGGAATTGAAGTGGCAACGAAGGCATTGAATGAGAATGCGTGAAGGACAAAAAAACTAGACTTACGGTCATGTGACTGCAGGCTCCCAACGGGGAATGGGGGCAAGTTAGGATCTGACAATGTGAAGATACCTGGGACGGTAGTCACGCTGCTGCTGGTCGCTCCTGCTTGCTGGACCGGGCCAGCAGCGGTGGCAGTGGCGACGGCAGGCGTCAGTGACCCCTCCCCAAATTGGAATCTTGCGACGACAGGCTGCGACACAGGCACCATTGCTGCCGCCTCCTCCTTCTTTGGTATACCAAATGTTCTCAAACTGGACGGTGACGGTATCGGTGGTGATTGGATCTGGGCTGTCTGAGGCAGCGCAGTAAAGGAGAATGATTGATTGAACTCAGGAGCGGCCGAGCTGGTTGGCGAGCCAAATGACGAACCAGGCTTCTTCTCTTCAGCCGCCGCCTTCGCGAAGATGCTCGAACCATTAGTCTCTGGCGTGATCGCTGCCCGTGTAGATGCCGCAACGGCGGGCTGCCCGAAGGTGGTGAAGGTGGGATTGGATGTCGGTATGCCAAATTTACTTTGGTCTGTAGGTTGGCCGAAAGTAGAGCTCTTCACCATTGACTGCTGAGATACTGCTGGCTTGAAGATCGACGCACTGGGATTGAGACCTTTTCCAAAACTCGACGAAGGAGTGAAACCGCCAAAAGAGTTCCCTTCTGGTACGAAGAGACTCTGCTCGTCGTCCCTGGATTCTTCTTGCTCGTCTACCATCTCTTCACTTGCTTCGATCCAACCCTCTCGAATGGCTCGGGCAACCGAGGTGCCATTGATCACCGCCGTCAATGTTCGGCGGTACCGCTTCTTCTCGACCAAATTGTACGAAAACGATTGTGATCGCGGAATGCAAGATTCTACTCTGCTATCAGAAAATGCTCTCTCAATGGATAGGAATGGAGGAACGCACGATCGAGGTTGACATCGCTGTTTGATGTTGGATCCAGATATTCGGCATTGCCGTCACTCGTAAAATCTAGCTCAAATGCACCACAGAAATCCTTGGTTTCTTCTTCCGTGTCGAATCGAAGATACGCTGTGAGGTCCGCAAGACTCCAATCTCGGGATTTCGCCTGTTGGCCCGCTGGAGCACTCTTGGCAGAATGCCATAGTGCATCAAGTGCTGTGAATCTAACAGGGCCGAAGTAGATCTCTGCCACACATGCCATGACATAAGAAACGGCATTGGAAGCAAGCACGTTCCAAAAGCTGCCGGAGTTGTTCTGAGCAATGGCAAATGCCTCCATCGGCCGCAGCGGTCCCTGGTCGAAGACAGTATTGCCTGCAGCCTTGTAGAGCTTTAAGGCCGTCTTGACCCTCCTATCCTTGAGTAGATTCTGAGTCCAGGACTGGACTCGATCCTCTAGGTCGGGATTCTGTGATTGCAACTCAAAGATGATGCAATAGGCCCTGAACTCACCCTCGTTTTGAAAGTCAATATGTTGTCGATGATCGTCGTAGTAGTACAGCAAGGAAAGTAAAGTGTTGTTCAGCTGCTCTCGTTCCTGGTGTGCATCGAAGTTTTCACCTTCCCAGAGATTGTCTGCATTGGTGAGCTGGTGGAGAGAGAGGATGTGGAACCTGGCTATCCTCTCGTAGCAATCCACTGCAATCTTGACATCTTCTGGTTTAGTGACTTGCTGGATCGAAAAGTCGTTTCGAATCCCCCTTGTTCTATCCCAGATGTACTTGTGAACCGTAGCCAGACGCTCATCCCCTCCAATGACCTTGTCGAGGAGATAGTCCAGGGTTCGCCGGAGAGTTTGTGGAGTCCGTATGTCTGAAGGGAGTTGTTCGTCGTAACCAGCAGCAGACCGTCGAAATCGCTTGACCATCCGGTCCTCCGCTGGCACGTCTTTGCCTGTATCATCATTATGGATCTACGCCCTCTGTCAGCGCGCTTCTTCTTTCCGATTTGCCCTAGAATCCCACCTTTTCAGCTTTGTCGACCATATTCTGCACGATGCGCTCGACTCTCTCGAAGGCAGGACACATATCGGTGCAGGTTCCTACAGGGGTAATAGCGTTGTCGAGACTAGTCTTTTTGTCCGGATCGGCAAGGAACCCGTCGCGAATGGCCTGGGCGCGCTCACCTTCTCGTTCTTGTTTGAGCTAGATGTGGAAAGGAAAATCCCGTGTGTCAGAAGAAGAGAACTGCCCGTGCAATCAAAAATCCTCCATCGGTCAGCAAGACGCCCGGGGACGGGGAAACATACCACTGTAAATCTATCAATCGCAGCGTTCATGAAATCTCGTTGATTGCCCGGCGCAGGTGAGGAGGTGCGCGAAGGTGTCGTTGAAGGGGTCGGAGCTTTGCTCTCGTTAAAGTTCTGCGACGCGAATCCACGGCCTCGTCCACGTCCTCGCGCTCGAGTATTGCCGGGAGTAAAGGTTGCTCGATAGCTGGCGGGTGTGCCGCGTCCTGTTCGGTTGTTTAGTAAAGTTTGTCCGTCTCTTGTGATGGTGCGGCGCGCCGCACCGTGGAGTTCTCGTACCTCCTCCGGGTGTAGTCGTGGCATCGTCTGCGCCTCTCTTTACAGTCCCAGCACGAAGCTTCTGCAAAAGTCCATCTCCTCCAACACTTGGGGAAGTGTTTGCCGGTGCGCCTCCTCTCCCTCTTCCTCTGCCCCGAGGAGTTGTTGTCGGTGTCGCACCAACACCTCTAGAACTACCGCGACCCCGGGTGGGTTGGAACGGCATAGCTCGCCCTGCGCCTCTGGCCGCACTGCCACCGCGTTGACCGCGGCTGGTCGGCGTAAACATGGGCAAGAGATGTGTTTGTTCAACATCGGAGGAATGTCATGGCCAGGCAACGGCAGCTTGCGAAGGTCGGCCAATGTTGACAACGCTGAGAAGGGGAAGGTGTACGTCTTTATCGATGATGCTGCTTTGCGATTGTGTTTATGTCAAACCGATCGTGTGTATTGAGTTTGGAAATTGTTCGGATGCAGTCGTCAATTGAGATCAATAGTGATGCATGCGGCGCTTTGTCTTTAGACGTGGATTCTCCGCAGCCAGTCAACTGACTCGAGTGGTAGGGCTCATAGCCAGGTCACGTGAATAGATATGACTCGTCAAAGCCTTGTGGGAGACCGCAGACACGTCAAGACCACAAGGGAACAAACATCTCGTTTCTATTGTATGCAAATTTTTTCTCATCGTCATTATGTTCATTTGGTATCACAATAAGTTACCTAGGTACCTAGTCATCATCTTCATCTTCTATCGCAAGATCCAGCCAACCGGAAAAGCTAAACTAACAGGGGATCTCGACGTCAATGCTTCGGTCGTCGGGAATATCACCGCTTCTCTGCATCTTGTGCTCTGCAATTTCGAACAAACCGATCCCAATACCCAACGGCCGTCGCATCCATATTCCCCAAGAAAAGAATCCATTTCGCCCCCAAAAGAGGTAGTGTTTGTATCCTTACCCATCATTCTCGCATGCTGGTGACTGCAAAATATGGTGCAAACCTACAGAACATGATCATGAAATTCTGTGCTCTGGTCCAAGTGTGTGTCCTGCCAGTTGACTCGACAAAAAGACAGATTTTTGGTCGTTCGGTGATGCGGACGGCAATAGTCGTTTTCAACGTCAGAATGACGTTCTCGAGACACTATTATTTCAATCTCAATTCGAAACTTTTTCGCTGCAAGAAAGCCAGGAAAGTTGATAGTCGCTGCTCAATTCCACACTTTCGATTGAGATGACAGAGTAAGATCGCGTAACCGAACATAACAAAACAGAATTCCAGAACAGAGGAGAATCGTCAAAACCTGGTGTGATCTCAAGTGACAAGTAAATCCCAAAACCCAACCCCCCAATCACACCATGGAGGTCATCTGGAGCAACAAAAGCACATGCCCCGGCGGCAGTGAGGATAAATGGAACATTCCGATCGAGATTTAATCCAGGCATCGCTCCTAGTTACTGCTTGAGAGCGCGCTGGAGCGCTGTGGACATGCCTCTGGAGACTTGTCACCACTGAAGAGCGGCCTCTTCACATGTGATAGTAGGGGGCGCTGCCGGTTGATGCATCCAGATTATGTTCGGTAGGTGGGATCATTCTGGTATGCGATTCGCTCATACCACGAACTGGCAGGGTTCGATTGAGGTGGTGACTGACATGCTGATATGATGCCGAAGGATTCATCAAGGGAAGACTGCTTTGAATTCCACCAACTAGGTCCGCTGGTGACGGGTCAAAATAACCATGCTGCAGCTCTTGTGCTTGGATAGGTATGTGCGAAGCCATGCCAAACATGCTGTGTGATGGTCCTGGTGATATGTTGGAGAGTGCTGGGAGCCAGGCTTGATAATTCACGCCGCTCTGACTTTGCATGGCGTGTGAAATACCATCCATCATGTCATGGGGGCTTCGATGGTCAGTCAGCACAACTTCATGAGCAGAAGCGTTGACATCTTGATCGAAACTGTCAGGCACCATTGAAAGCTCAGTTGGTAGTTCCTGGTTCATCCCAAGCATCATTGGAGTTTGAGCATGTATTTGGTGGATGTCACCTCCAGGTTGATCTATCATGGCATCCTGCATCGTGGCGTCCATGTTACATTCGAACCTCCCCATCCCCATTGCCATGTCGATCAGGCTTTCTTGAGGACCTCGAGGAATCACCACTGAGGGGAGCTGACCAGCAGCACTCAATGAGGGTCGACTTCGTTGCGTGGCAGTTAACCTGCTTCGAGCTTTTTCGGTGGTTGCGGATCGTCGAGGTCTACTGCCCAACGACCGATCATCCCCACGAGGATTTTCAACTGGGGAATGCAATGTGGATGATTCTGGAGTGAGCGTATGCTCGTCACCCATTTCATCACCGGCAGAGCCCTCACTCTTTATCCCATGACCATGCCCATCAGCAGAACTCAACTCGGTCTCAGAATCAAGCTGTGCCGATGTCGAACGATCACTGTAATCGGGCAGGAACACGACATTGTCACCATCTATCATTTTTGCGTGAACTGATGTTCTTCAGAATTGGGCTGTGTGACTTACCTATTTCACCACATTCAAAGCGCTCCATATTGTGCCTTACGCGAATCACTTCCTTGACTATCTCGTAGGGGCCATCCTTGAGTTCGCCCCTTTTTTCTTCCAAGCAGTCTAACAGTTCAGTTGCAGGTACCACAAGCTGGCTTTCTGGATCAGCAGGATTGAGTATGATGGGCTGAGGAGTGTGCATGATCAGACAGACAAGCAGATTCACCCTGTCTTTGTGACGTTAGATGCGAATGTTTCTTTGCCTTGGCGAGAATCTTACCATCGCGCCCAATATGGTCTGGCTCTCTGTGGATAACACCTGCCACAGAAGGTCTGTTAGCGTATTCTGGTTGAAGTTTCACTAAGACCATCAAGTTCTCTCTCCGGGCTTGTTGTGTGCGGTTGTACTCACCGATTGGCCAGTATGGAGGTCTGGTCCGATTTGAATCTGGCGGCTGGTCACGCGGCATGCCTCCATTGTAAGGGTGTGTGGATTGCTTGAGTTCTCAGTCAGCGGTAGGTGCTGCGGAAGAGTGCAGAGGGCTTTCCCTACCTTCTTGGGGTGGATTTTCTTAATCCACACTTTGGCAACTAGCCTGCAGGCTACTTGTTGCATTGTCAAGAAGGCCTCGCGAAACCACTTCTCCAACTGCTCCGTCTCCTGAACCTCAACTTGAAGGAGAGATGCTGGGTTGACAGATGGACGCCTGGATCTTCGATCACGAGGCTGACGAACGGGAATGGTGACTGGAAGACTAGTACGTAGGCCATTGAGTGTCCTGGACCGTTGTCGCTTAGCCGGTCGTGGAGTGACATAACTGACTGAACCTTCAGGGAGAGAGGTCTGCAGACCTGGTGGATGAAGGGATTTCTTCAGTTGGGATCGACCTTTGAGAGACTGCCCGGCGCCTAGCCTAGCCGCCGCGGGTACTGTTCCTGGACACTTTAGAAAGGGAGGGTACTGTGCCGAGTACAACAGGGACTCACTGTCAAGTGTGGGGCTCCGACCCTCTAGATATTGTTTGAAGGTTTCCTGGGAGTCCTGCATAATTGCCCACTTGTCCTGCTTGAGGTTTGGAGAGGACAGGATCTCAACATCACCCATGTCGTTGGCAGCCATAACAAGAACATCTTCCAGTTGCTCAAGGAGCTTCTTGATTTTCTCCTGTAAGGATGTCAATCTGAGTGTCTCCGGGAAAACGGCATGCCAATGCGAAGTATTACTTACTAAATTACACTTCTGCGTGGTGTCTTTTAGTTTCGAAGCGACGCCAGGGACACTTAATTCATGCTTCACATGTGGGGAACGTACAGATTGCTGCAGGGACGACATTGGAGATGCTGTGACGGTCATTACGGAGCGAATATTGGTGTGCCGGTAGGATGTATATGGAACAATTGTACCACGATTTAAATCGTTAGTGGGGATGGACAATGTTTAGGCCGAATCGTGCTTGGAGTTTGGGACCGTCTTCTTTTGCTTCCTAGTACTCCGTACACCGTACTAAAACGCATAAGATCGAAGCGGACGCAAACGCCTGGTCAAGTGAGACTTGGAGAGTGGACAGACTGGATCAACGGTTAGTATGGGTCCTTCGGAGCGGGCAGCACAAGCGTTGGGGGACGAGCCGGTGAAAAGAGGGGCCGTCTTGAAGCTGACGGTCGCTGAAGCGGTCAGGTTTGGTGACGAAGGGCACTTTCTGCAGGGCAATGAGAGCACTGGGGGAGCGAGGTGACGGACCCTCGGGCCTTAGGGCGCTGGGACCACCTATTTTCTGCACCAGGCACTGCCAATGCGGGCCCCCTGGGGTTAGGCTCAGGCGAAGATTCGGGGCGGGTCCCTGCCAGATTGAAGCCAAGCCTCGGAGCCTACGGGGCCTCTAGGAGAGTACACCCTTGTACCCTAAGACCCAGAAAGGCTAAAATCTCCATCATAAGGTTTGCGGATGTCAACCATGCTGGCACTTCCGACAAGGCAAAGCCAACCACATGTGGTCGATTAAGAAACATGCGGGACCAAAAATTGAAATAGAAAGGAAAGAGATAGACCGACCTTTTTGTGACGAGGAAGAAAAGATGGGATATGCAAGTGACGAGCTGAGGTGAAGCACTAGTACTTGGGGAGTGGGAGGAGTCGACCTGGATAGTCGCAGGGAGTGCAGGCCGAATTCTGCAGTAATGTATGTCGAGGCCTCTAAGTGCAATCGATCGGTCAATTGCAGGACGGGCAGCTCCGCAAGCAGGATAGGATATAGGATGCACACTACGCCCTCTGCAGACGGCAGCGAGACGCAAGCAACGCGGGCAACCACCGAGAAGGAGCAAAAAACAAAAGACAATGCCGACCAGGGATTGACTGGAGGAGGTAGCTGGCTTAGATAGCCATGGCCACGGCCAGAGGTAAAGTTGCTAGTTTCTGAGCAGGGATGGTAGATGGTGTTGGTTCTGGTTCGTGCTGTAAATGGCAAGTCGTGTTCTTGGTGGTAGGCAGTATTGCTCGGTATTGGCCGATATATGGCGCATGAGCAGGCACGCCGGAGGCAGCCCAGCAATTCAAGGTCGACAGTCAACACGCACTTCCAAGGGTGCTTGATGGTGATATAGTATCGGATAGAGTGGGCAAAAAGTAAGATGGAGTCCAATTCAAATTCAACAGTCAATCCCGCTATCAACAGTAGCAATCACGTTGTTGGGTTGGTTTATTCGCTCAGCGTTGACTTGGTATTGCGGGCTTTGTAAGTGAGGCTTGTCCAGATAGCTGGAAGGGCGATACTGGATGTAGAGCGGGTGTGGAGGATGAACGTTAGCCGGTAGTCTAAAACAGAGGGGACGATTGCAGGACAGGATGGAACTACCGAGCAGGGAGCGTAGCAGGGCAGAAAATAGTACGGGCGGCAGGAGAGGAGTCGTTGAGCGAGGAGGAAGATGGGGGAGAAGGAAAAGGCCAGGCGACTCAGGCGAGGTTGTATATGAGATTGCCAATCGGACGGCAGACGCTTGCGAGGCTAATGATTGGCCTCAGGAGGGGTGGACCGGATGGCGGTGGTGGTGGTGGTGGTGGTGGGAGTGATGGGAGTGGGTGGAGACGCGTTGTGCTGGAGGCAAAGCTTAGACAGACCAGAAGCCAGAGACCAGAAGCCAGGCTGACTTGGAAAAGAGCGACTTGGACAGGATGAGGATGAGGAGGGGAATGGGAATGGGAATGCAGGCTGAAAAGAGAATCGAGATGATCTGGACTGAGAAATGGGGAAATGAACAATTATTACGCAAGTATTTTATGAGTATCGAGTATTATTGAATGCTGGGTATAAGGGCAAAGGGCCATGTTCTCCGTACTAAGTCCCTACGGTACCTTTGGTACCTGGGTAGGTAGCCAAAGTATCACTGCTGGAACTCCCCGCTCAACCAGATACGGGAGTGTCAGGTACCAGAGGACCATGAGTCTAGGACAGGCGAGGATGTGTGTTCATGATAGACATGATAGTTCGAGAGGAGAGGACATGGCTGGTTCTATTCCCCTAGGAGCACCCAGGGCCCCCAGGCACCCCCAGGCATCGTCCAGGCACCCTGCCTTGTCTCTTGCCCATTGTTGCACCAGCCCAACCACTGACTCCACCCCTCCGTATCTGGTTGTGGTCTTGTCCATCCGAGGGGGTGGTGGCGGCTGTCGTTGAAGCTAGTGGTGGCAATGCCAAGTACTCGTATGCTCACGCTGGAGACATGAGGCATTGAGGGAGCATACGCCCTTTCACACGCAGCGCACTCACCACTAATTTGCATTTTCAACTGCGACGGCCAGGCTGGAAGTGGCTCTGGCGGCCCTGGCAGCACCAACTAGCCGTGGGGCTTCGGAGAGCTTGGTTACAAGGAATTCCAACCGACATGGCACTCACCTGTGACCAAGCCACTCTGTGCTTCTTTGGCGAGTGGGAAGACAACTGATGGACGCAACAAGCATCCCGAATTCTTGATCCCCGAGAAAGGACTTGGTGTTCCGTAGCCAAGGGAGGACGAGAAAAGCTATGAGCCAGTAAATAATCGAGGGAGACTCTCGGGAGGACCGAGTAGTGGCCCGGGGAGTCGGGGACCAGTATCCGCAGTGCAGCTACCCAGACTTGCCAGGCGCTCTCAACACACACTTACCGAAAGGACACCCATAGACGCCCACAGGCACCCACAGGCGACCCCAGGAACCCCAACTCTTCGAGCTAGATGCTATCATTTAACCATCGGAGCTAATGAAACTGACAAACCACGACCACACCACAACCGCCAGGCTTGCATGTATGCCCTTCCCGACAAGCAAGCAAGCAAGCAAGCAAACAGTTTCGAGTTGGGAACGAAGGAGGCTTTGCCGGATCTGCTGTTCTGTGCGACTTGAGGCTCAGGCGAAGGGCCGTCCAGAAGCCAGCGGCCAGATGCTACGAGGAACCTTGTCCCTCGTGCCTCGTCCTCAGGAACCAAAGCTTTGACGGGGCAAACATCGCTAAACCTCGTCCATTCTTAACGGAATTGGCGTCGAAAGTAGATCATGGCCACAGAAAGTCTGAGTCGTTACAGAGTGTTCCCATACAGCTACCGCTGATAACAGCCAGCGAGTGAACGCTAAGCCCCTTAACTTAACTAGCCTGCCCGGAATGCAAGCTCCGTATCCCTTCACTCTTATCCCTGCGACTACGAGTGCCCGTACCGAGTACTCCGTACTTGCGAGTACCTGTATGTGTTGCCGTTTGAGACTCGGAGGTCAACCCCTAGTCAGGGACCCTGGATGCCTTAGCCCCCCGCGGATATGACGAGCTCCCACCCCAGACCCTGTACGGAGTGCCGTAAGTCTGGGGGAGGGTTTGGGGCTAACCCACAATCCATGCTGCTATCACGGTCCACACAAGCGACACGCAACATGCAGTTTGCTCTTGAAAGTATAAAAATAGACAGCTAGGCAAGATCGATCTCTAGAGCACTACCTAGATACATACTTGGAGTTTGTACTCTGTCCTGAGCACTGAGCAGCCAGCACTCAGCACTCGGCACTCAGGCATGAAGATTGATCACTTTGTACCCAGTGGGTTCTTCCCTTGGCTTGTGATACTCAACCCAGAGCCAGCCTGGCTCTTCCCATGGCATGATACCAGAATAATTCTGCAAGCACTCGGCAATGTCCTCTACGCACTAACCCGACCTGGCTTTCATCAACCAAGGCAAAGCAGAGGCAGACAACTCCTCAAAGGCTCATCTTTGCCTATCTGCTCGATGCAAGATCCTGTCTCACTGTCCCTCCCGTCTCGGCCGGACAAGAACAGAAATCTACAAGGAAAAAGGCCCAAATTTGTGTGCATATGTCCATGTCTAAGCCGAACTATCTACAGACTACACAGTACGTGGCCGCACCGACCCCTCCCCAGTCGGTCAAAGGACAGCCACAATTCCACGCCCCCTGTTTGGAGCTTAGCCAGCTGTCGTCTCCCATCTCCAGGCTACGAGGACACTTGCCCAGCTCCCTTCGAACTTGCCACAAGCAATCCGAGTACCTGCCTATGGGGCTGCCGCACCTGCACCTGCACCTCCACATGCGCTTCCATCTCTGCACATCGGTAGGGGATGCCTGTCTTTTAGAGCCATTGTGGCGGTCGGTGCAGCAGGTGCTTCTGGCATCTCCCTTGCTGTCTACCTCGAGGGACCGATGATCATTCAAATGCGGAGTTATCCTGCCCACTGAATCTGGTGGCCCCTAACCCATACCACACCCAGCACCCACCAGCTGGTCCAATCCATCCTGCGCTCGCACACGGCACACCCTGTTTCAGCTGAGATGGCGATGGCACTAACTGACATTCAACTAGTACCTCCCTCAAGCCTGGACCAGCCGAGCAACAGTCTGTCTTTGTTGCATCTGTCCGCCCAGTACCCGGTACGACAAGTCCTATTACCAACAAACTGGGGCGCTTAACTTTCGACCTCCCTTTCTTGTTCTTTGACATGTCGTGAACACTGAGTTTGACTGGGCGGATCCATCTACCACGACTCCCGCTCCTAGATTTGACAGATGCCCCCCCATCCACGCCCACACCTGCAGTTGACGAGCCAAGATACGAACAAAAAGAAGCAGAAAGGATGGGAGCAACCGACACACCAGCCGCATAACACGACATTGCCCCCGTTCCTTCCTCGCTCGCGGCGGCGGCGGCTTGCACTGGTCCAGCCGAGTCTCGTCCGGCGCGGTTCCAAGGGAGCATCTACAGAGTACCTCACACACTGCAGCATTGTGGTCGCACGACCCTTCATTCAGCCTTGATCTTCGTCTTCATCTCCGTCTTCCCCGATGTCCTGTACCACGCACGAGTCTGTCTGATACCTATCGGTGGCCCACTTGTGAGAGTGAGATTCGTCTCTAATAGATTGTCCAGCAAACTATGAATCTGTCCTCCGTATTACAGCGCCTCGAGTCGTCATGCACATGTCGGTACCACTAGCTCAATACGGAGGCACTACGGAGGGCCCCCATTGACCTACGACCAGGTATTTAATACAGCAAGCGGTTAGCACCGTCTACAGCATCGGGATCGAGCCTAGCGGCAGTGTTTTCTCGCCAAGGGGCCTGACTAGCCAGTCGCCAGCCCAACTATGAAGGACCCAGGTAGCTAGCTATCAGGTACTCCCGTACTCGTACTCCATACCTCAGCTTACGCTGCGTACCTCCGAGTACTCGTACATACCTAACTACCGAGCTAGTCTCCATCGGTACGGAATACGGATACATTTGGACACATCGACCAAACCCCCCCGTCCTCACGATTGGCGGCCAGTGCCCGTTAGTGTCACGAGGACTGCAACTCGACAAATTCTTGGATCGCTGCCCATGCCGTGCCGCCCAATAGATAACCTTTCAATATACAGAATAGGTTGTGCTCGATTCGACCATCTCATTTGAGCATATGCCTTCTACGAGACGCACTTCGCGTGACGTCGCACCTACATCTATCGAGGGGCTTAGTGCTCCCCTGCACGCCCATCCTATTCGCGCTCCGAGGTCCATCGCAGCCATGTATCTAACCACGGTGTGTACAGTATGTACGCCGATCAGGGCGATGATTTGGGATCTCCCACGTTTTGCGTTCCGTTGCCGTGTGACTGCCTATCCACTGACGGGATATCCAGACAGACGAACTACCAAGGTCGCCGCCAGAGCTGTAGAGACAGTACAAGTCAACTCTTGTAAACGTGCCCTTGTGAAATTGTATCTCTACTTCCGGTAGCGGTAGCTACTGCCAGGATTGACGGCGTGGTACATCGCAGCTTTTTTGGGCCATGTCTGTTGTCCTTCCAATCTCAACCAATCTACCCGATTCAACCGCGTCAATACCGATGTACAACTCTCACCATAGTCCCCTCATGATTCATGGAAGAGGCTGCCATGAAATTGCAATCGCAGGTCAGACAATTCAGACACACGCACTGTATTACCGAGTACTTCATCCGACGTTTCTGTACAATCCCCAATTAGCTAGCTATCTACATAGCTGTCTGGAAAGAGTTGTCCCTGGTGATAGATGTGGCACAAGAACAGATCAACGAGCCCGCATCTGTCTGTGGCCACCCGGTCCTCTCAATGATCTCCGCCATCTCTCATTGGTTGGATGGGAGGAGTAGTGTAACTTTGAAGTCTGTATGCATGCTGTACCCGCCGCTAAAGTCCCCTTGATTTTGATCACTCTGGGGACAACCGTCTTCTCTGCCCTTCATATCCATCGCATCGCTTGCACCACACACCATCTCATTCTTGCGGGCAAATTCGCCGATACGAGAAAATGTAACAAGGGATGGTGGTTGTGGTGTCGAGCACGAAACTACGTAGCTGGGGTGGCACAAGTAGGCGTCCGGGCAATCTCGTGGACATGCCTCCAATACCGACACTGTGGTTCCACTAGTTGCTTGCGTTGCTTCCCCGGTGCCTTAGTGCTGATTTGTGACAGCGGTGCCGTTGCCAAAGCTGTCGAGGAGTCCGGCTTCACGGACGAGCTCATAAAATAACCCTCGCTTCCTAATCAACTCCTCTGGACTATCGAATTCAGCCACTTTCCCCTGTTGGAGCACCACAATACGATCCGAGTCGAGGATCGTGTTGATGCGATGGGCGATGGTGATGATCGTCCGGTTGTCAAAGACCGTGCTGCGTAGCGTAGCCTGCAGGAGGGCATCAGTCTCGACGTCTACGGCGGCAGTTGCCTCGTCCAAGACGAGAATATTGCTTGGTGTTAGCAAGGCTCGTGCCAGAGAGACAAGCTGCCGTTGTCCCTGGCTCAAATTGGAACCTAGATCGGACAGAGCCACGATTAGCGAACAGAAATGACATGCATCGGCCAGGGGGGCCGGCCAAGCCATCACCTACCAGCTTCGTGGATCGCGGCATCTAGTTGGCCAGGCATGCCCGAGACATGCTCCTTCAATCGTGCATGTTCAAGTACACTCCACAGCTCCGTGTCATCATGAACATGGCGGGGATCCAGGTTATCTCGGATCGTGCCTTCAAATAGTGCGGCATCCTGTGGAATGATTGCAAGCCGTCTCCGAAGATCTAGTAGACCAATGGTCGACGTATTAAGCCCATCAATGCTGCGAACCCGAATTAGCAAGGCGTTGCTTTTTGGAGGAACATATCCAATCAGTGATCTGAAATGATTTTTCAAGGCATACCTTATATGGCCAGATGTCGGTTCAATGATCCGGAATAACGCCATGGTCAATGAACTCTTGCCTGCCCCTGTTCGACCAACCACGCCGATCTTCTCCCTTGGTTTGATGTTCAGAGATATGTTCCTCAATACAGGTTCCAAATCTTCGCGGTATTTCGTCGAGTAATCTTTGATGCTGATTTGACCATGTGCTGGCCAACCAATGCTGGGCCTGCTTTTGAAGATCACATCTGGTGCTTCACTTGTCAAGTTGGCATATTCGAGGACACGTTCGACCGAGACAATGTTAGTTTCGACCTCAACTGTTTGACGCACAATCCAATTCAAGGACTGTGTGATCTGCAAAGCATATGACATCTGAAAGATCAGTTCGTGGCTCACGTTCCAAGGTGCATGCAAGGACAACTTACTGCAAGGCCCACCCAGCCGGGTGACAGTTTACTCCCGGTCGCGACAGAAATGATGGCGAAAGTGGCGGCGGCAAGGATGATGACCGATCCAAGGAACTCCAATCGAACTGCAAGCCACCTATTGGCACTTACCGAAGGGAAATATGCTCTAAGATTAGCGTCCATACGCCACTCGTTTTCCATGGTGAAGCGCGCTTGTTGGCGATAGGCTCGGATAGTTGAAACTCCTCCCAGAGACTCCTGGAAATGGGCGTATATGGGGCTACGACTGACACTGTCCAGTCGTTTCAATTCCCGTGAGGTACGAAGATAGTACTTTTGATACACGATATAGACGATGCCAAGGGGGATGACAAGCACAAGGAATGCAGGAGTTGTTACTGCTATCACACCTAGCGTGAAAGCTGCCCTGCCCGTGTTCACGAAAAGCTACGCGCGTGAGCGAATGCCAAGTTTCCAATACGGACAATTCCCAACTCACCATGTTGAAAGTCCGAGCAATGACTTCATCGACACGATAGATGTCACTAAATCAAGTCAGTTGAATTGCAATGCAGAAGTCCCAGGTCCAGTTGGGGAACATGACATACCTCGAGAATCGGTTCAGAATACGGCCAATTGGGGTGGTCTCGAAGAAGCTCATAGGTGACCGAAAAATGGCGTATGCCATCCTGTCATGCAGTTTCCTCGAAGCCTGCAGAAAAGAAATGTGAGCTGTGTGAAGTGTGTCATCTTTCCGGATTGACGAACCTCGATAGAACAAAAAATCCAGAGAAGTAAGGTCTACAAGTGTCAGCACCAATGTCACACTTGTATAGCAGTCACTTACTTGGAGGACGACAAGGCCTGCAGCGCCGATTCCGAAGGCAAAGTAGATTCCAATGTACTTGCCGACCTGTGGATTGGAGCCTTTGGCTTCATTGATCTCTGACCATCGTTTGAGCCAGAAGCTACCTCCGATCTGAGCACTCTGGGCAGACAGAAGTGCAATGAAATAGACGCCCACAGCAATGAGATTGCTCTCTTTAGCATAGCTTGTGTAAACCGACCACTTGACCTTGCCTTGCTCAGATGTCTCCTTGTTCTGTTTGGTCTTGAGCCCAGTCTCCTCATCTGTCATCCGACCCGTGGGGCCACGGAAGCTTGCAGTGGAAGCACGTCGAAGCGTGTTGAAGCTGGTCTTTCTGGCAGTTGAGGGACCTAGTGGTCCAGCTCGGATTGGTGCGAGCCCACCTACCTCTTGACGCGATTCTTCTGCCTCTTCTGGGTCCAGCTCATCCTGAAAACCACTTGCCACAGCGGTTGTAGACTCATCAGATTCCATCCCTTCAATGCTGGGACTTCTTTCGCCATCAGATTCTTGCTCATTATCTGTGGTGGTGGACCTGATGAGGCTGGCAACTTCACCTCTCATAGCCATGAGCTGTTGGTAGGTCCCCTTCTCATGGATGGTAGCATTCCTAATGAGGTACATATAATCGGCCTCTTTGAGCACGTTAATAGCATTTGTTGCCAATATTCTTGCCTTGCCAGCCAAAAGTCCATTCGGACCGAGCACATTGTTGATCAAATGTCTTCCAACGTGTTGATCGACGGCAGAAAGTACGTCATCGAGTAAGTACACATCCGCTCTGGCATAGACCGCACGTGCCAAACTGAGACGAGCTTTTTGACCGCCTGAGAGAGAGATACCACGTTCACCGACCTCAGTCTGATCCCCATCCGGCAGTTGTCGGAAGTCGTCGACGAGAGCGCATGCATTGATAGTTTGGTTGTAGAAATGTGGATCCCATTTGTGGCCAAACACAATGTTTTCTTTCACGCTGGCATTCATGACCCAGGCAGATTGTGCGGCGTATGCTATACGCCCGCATACGACAACCTCTCCATTGATCTTCCACAGGTCTCCTAAGAGTGCTTGAAGGAGTGAAGACTTTCCTGCCCCAACACGACCGACAATGCAGGTGAGCTCTCCTTTGTTGGCATTGAAATTAATGTCTTGCAACACGTTGTGGTCCTGATTTTTGTCCCAGGTGAAGGTTGCATCTTTGATACTTACAGATGTGTCTCCATTTTGAGTTGGAGGCTCATCAACTTGTCTCACAGAATCTTCCTGGAGCTCGTCCGCGGTAAAGAAGGCAGTCAAGCGACCTACAGCAACTGTAGCTTCAACAATGCTGGTGATTACCATAGGCAGAACGGTCAGTGGGAATGTCAGCAGGTTGAACAAAGTCAATGCAGGGAAAACAAGGTCGGTGGTCAGAGGTTTATCGTTAACCAAGACGAAAACTGCGAATGTCGAACAGGAGACAAAGAACGGTGTTGAAGACCAAGTAAATGTTGCAAAGGATTGAGCCGCCCCAATCTTACGCAGGTTGTTTAGTTCCAAATCGTTACGCACATGGCTCAGCTTTTCCATGAACGCAGAGCCCCATGCGTACAATTTGATGCTCTTCATATTGTTCAGGATCTCCGTCATGAGCCGAGCGCGGCGGTCTTTGTACTTCATCTGAGAAAGCTGGAGCTTCTTCATAAATCTGGCAATAAATCCATTGATGGGGATCATGACCACCATGGCAGCCACCCCGGCAAAGCATGAGACACCAACCAGCTGGTATAGAGAAAGCATGCACAGAGTAATCTGGAATGGTGCTGACCAAAGTTGCTGACCCCATTGCGCCAGATCGGCTAGTCGCTGCTGATCTACACTCATGTAGGTTACTATATCGCCCGTCGACTTTTCTGCCCGAGACTCGTTGGAAAGTTTCAACGACTTGGAATATATCATCGCTGTAAGCGACGATTTGACCCTCATTCCAGTTTCAAATGCACGTTGAAAATACTGATGGAGCGCCGCTGTCTGAGCTATTGAAGTGGCAAACATAGCCAACGCAATGGCAACTCCTCGTATGGCCGGCTGGGGTTGATGGTGTCGTCGGTATGAATCGACGAATTGAATTAACAAGCGAAGGAGTTGGGGCTGGACAAATGCTAGCATGTCACTGAGTGTCTTGATGAGTGCTCCTCGTAGGTAAGGACCACCGAATGACCGCGCGAGAGCAATCCATAGATTCGGTTTCTTCTTTTCCAATTCACGTTCCCATGCATCTTGTAGCAATTGCCCAGTGACCTTTGTAGAATCTCTCTGCCGTAGATTCCATAGGTCGTCTTGGGTCAGATAATTATTGTAGCCAAACTTCATTAGTGGGGTCATCCAGCCGAAAGTAAGGACGGAGAATACATCTGCATATTCGTAGGGACATTCGTCGTCAGCACCCAATGCATCATAAGCACTCTGCTTCTTTGGGACAAAATATTCAAGAATGAACTCGAGTATCGCGAGGGCGAGGCTGGCATTGAACGTGATAAAATATGGTAGGCGACGTTCGTAAGCCTTTCTTGCCACCAGCGATCGTAATTTTACTCCATATGCCAGAATAAAGAAGACCCAGTAAAACAGGGCAACCCCATTTGGTGTTCTTGACCGCCAATGCTCATGATATTGTACAGCGAATACAACGAGGAGTGAGACAGCTGTAGCAATGGATGTGTAGAATCTTATATCTCTAATCCATATCTCTGGTAGTTGTTCAATCTGGAAGGCGGCCTGCAGGGTCGTGGTGAGGATGATGGCAGCAATGACAGAACTGTATTGAATTAGCACCATGCACCGATATCACTGGAGCGTTCCGAGTGTTTCATACAGTTTAGCATAAAAATGCCAGTTCTTAGGGACATCTTGGGCACTCCTCTTCTTGAACAAGTACCAAAGAGCCCCAGCTCCGAACAGTACACCCCATACAGCCACTCCAACAATCCAAATATCAAGAAAGCAAGGCGTGAAATCCCATCTTAGGGAGCTCACAGGACCCCACCCCTCTGCATCACCACACAAAGGCTCTCGAGATTGAATACGAGTACGTGAAGCGGGTTGCAAGTCAAAGGTATCAGGTCCGACGGCGGTCAAGACCGACTGCAAGCCATCTGAGCGCCTCATCTATTACGAAGAGACAAAGACTACTCATACGCGAGGGTGAAAATCGGTGGGATGCGGATAAGATGGTGAAGAAAGAGAAAAGGCGGACGGTGGTGTCTCGCGAATGGAGGTTTTGTACGGCGCCGGCACAGAAACGCACTGCAGGCAAGAACGACTACGAGGAACAGCATGGGAGTTGGGGAAGCTGCAGGGTCGGAGTTAAGCTTCCCCGAGCCTCCTGCACGGACTCTCATGACGGCGACGAGCTTGCTTGCTAAGCCATAAGTGACACCGAACGTACCTTCAATTACCTGGCCATGTAAACAACCTCGGCGATAGCTTTTATATACCTGGGAATCTTTGAGAGGAGATGTAATCTATGCCTTGGCCAAGTCGATAATGTGCTGCGTGGACCTGAGGGAGCCCTTACAAAGCAACGCACGAATGACTCAACCAAGAGCTTTTCACTCCCGGAGGGGGGGGGAATTATCCACCGAGAACCCTTGGGCCCTCGTACACGTGAGTGAGTCCGATATCGATATCAATTTACCTCAGCCTCACCCCTCATGAGGCTGAGCCAGTATTCAAGCCACAACCGGTCAGCGATGGGCTAGGTTCACTGCGCTGCATGGATCATGGAGCATGCTTTCGTGGTCAGGCCCGGAGTGCATGACCTTTCCGTAGACTCCCCGTCCTGTCTTCGCCCGATCCTTCCAGGCAGCAGAGTGCCACTGCCATCGGGTACTAGGCTAGGAGAGACGATGCATCTGATCAGCTGGCGCTGGACAATATATCAACCTTTAAATGACCACCCACAATTCAGCCTCAGGGTCCACGGGAGCGCTAAAGACACCCGGAATGACCCTGCATTCAATAAGGTGATTCACAACGATCTCCATTATAAATGGGCTCGACCCGAGCATACCACCGTATCCCAACAAATTCGGCCTTGAAACTGCCCTGTCGTGTCAGACTCTGAGTCACTTCCAGTTGGTAGTCCCGAGTACTGGCTAGTCGGTGGTCGATATCCTCGCACCCGTTGCTTATCTAGGTAGGAGGCGATGCATGCATGGTGGCGCTAGTCCCCCAGACAAGCCAGACCGACTTGTCTACTCCTGGTTGGCGCATACGCATGCCACTATGCCATCGCTTCAAGGAAGACTTTCCCTAGGACACCACTACCGTGGGGTCTGGCAGCTTCCTTACCGCCAATTGTGTGACTCTCAAGCCTCACTTTTGCCGATTCTCGTGGGATAGGGCCGTCTCGAGCCCGGTCGTCTCACACGCATGACATGCACGGACTGTGGCCTCAATTCACCCTCCTAAGCCTTGCACACCCCCGCGGATGACCAGAAGCGTCAATTCAATTGTCAAGACGCTAGGCGCCGAGTATATCTATCACTTCGGGGCACATGGCTCTTCCCCACACCTTTTCACCCTCAGCCTTGCTGGCGAAGAGCTCAATAGCAACAATCGTTACAAGGAGTCACTCACCGCTTTTCCCCTTCCCAATTTGCTTCCAGTGTACCCGGGCAAGATTTGTGAGGAGAATTTATCGTAGTATTGCCAGCAGGAAAGGCAAACTGTGCAGCCAATAGTCCTGGACGTCAAGGAAATGGAGGGAGACCATGTTCCGACAGAAGGACGGTCACGAACAGAAGATGTCCAGAATGAAGGGGAAAGTTTTGACATTCAAGCTCAGTCCACAGGGCAAGAACCAACACCTCCTTCTGGAGGTCTTGTGCTTGGGGGAGGACAAAGCATCAAGCTGATGCTGGTGCCCGACACACCTCCCCCTGCTCCTGCACCACCCCCTACGAAGATAGGAAAGCCTCACCCTCAGCAGAAAATGAAGAAATTCTGGACCAATTTTGATCCCGAGTATGTTGGGAAGGTGACGCGAGTTCTACCAGAGCGCATTGCAGATAGGAGTCTCCTACGGACCAAATTAGAAGGGGAGACAGCCCACCGGGCAGTTCTATCATACGACAACGCAAAGGAGAATTGCATACGAGATGTCAAACGCATTATCCGAGAATGTCGAGATTCCAATCAAAAGTACACTGATACACACTGGGATATTGAGCGAGATCTCAAGATCACGAGGATCAGAGACTGCTTGGATGGGCTTACTGTTGAAGATGACGAGAAAGAATATCCAGCTGATGCAAAGCGAGTTTCTGACATCTTCGAAGAGCCACAATTCTATGTTGGCAAAGCGTCATTTGATGATATCCTCCAAGGCTCCGTGGGGGATTGTTGGTTTCTTGCTGCCCTCTCTGCCTTGAGTTGCAATCCACATTTCATCGAGCGAGTGTGCGTGTATCAAGATCAAACGGTTGGAGTCTACGGATTTGTTTTTCATCGTGACGGCGAATGGCATCAATGTATTATCGATGATAAACTGTTCCTGCGTGCACCTGCATACGATGAGAGCGGTGATGTTGTTCTCGGCCAATACGGTGTTCGTCGTGCAAATCAAGAAGGCCAATACCAAGAGCTCTTTCAGCGAGGTTCTCAAGCCTTATACTTCGCACAATGCCGCAACCAAAATGAGACATGGGTGAGTTTACTAGAGAAAGCATATGCAAAAGTACATGGGGATTATGCATCCATTTCCGGCGGACAAACAGGTGAAGCAATCGAAGACCTCACTGGAGGGGTGACGACGGAGATCTACACGAGCAACATCCTCGATCTGGAGTACTTCTGGACCAAAGAACTGTCTCGCAACAGCAAAGACTTTGTGTTCAGCTGCGCAGTCGCACGCTGGCGTGAATGGCGGCCTTACCATTCGGCCAACGAGAAAGTACGCGAGGAAAGACGGGCTGGAATCATCAGCCAACATGCCTACGCGATCCTCGACACTTACGAAGGCCACGGACAACGACTCGTCAAGATTCGCAACCCTTGGGGCCGCAAGGAATGGACTGGAGCATGGTCCGACGGTTCGAAGGAGTGGGACTCGGAGTGGATGACGCGCCTGAACCATCAGTTCGGGGACGACGGCATTTTCTGGATGACGTACAAGGATATGGTGAGCAAGTACAAGTATATCGACCGGACGAGGATCTTCGGGCCTGAATGGCACGTCGCACAGCAATGGATGACAGTGCAAGTGCCTTGGAGCACACTTGACTACCAAACCAACCACTTCTCCATTGATGTGCCGAAGGACACCGAGGCAGTGATCGTCCTCTCCCAACTGGATGACCGATACTTCAAGGGCCTTCAAGGGAAGTATAACTTCACGCTTCAATTCCGCGTGCAAAAAGAGGATGAAGACGAAGACGAATACATTGCCAGAAGCAAGATGAACTACGAGCTCGTCCGGTCTGTCAACGTCGAAGTCCCACTCCAAAAGGGAATTTATACTGTCCTGGTCAAGGTCGAAGCCTTCGCCAGCGGACGAGAAGACGTCGAGACGGTGATACGGAACAACATCAACCGCCGCGACAAAATCACCCAGATCGGCAAGTTGTACGACCTAGCTCACCAAAAGGGCCAACTACCAGGCTCCTCATCCCCATCATCCACCACATCGACCTCAACCTCTCCCTCAGGCAGCTCAACGCCAACCTCGAGCACCTCAAAGACACCAGCGCCCGCACCCGCAGCATCCACAACCGACAGGGCATCATCACCCAACGACAACGACGACGATAAGGAAAAAGACCCAGCTCGCAACCCATGGAACGCCAGCTGCATCGTCGGGCTGAGGGTGTACAGCAAGCAAGCCGACCTGGGCCTGAAAGTCGTGGTCCCCAGGAATGACACCGACAACATCCTGCCGCCGACGCTGGACCGCGACGACGTCGCCAAGAGCGCCCTGGATGAGATCCAAGCCGCAGCGGCGGAGAAGACGGATGAAGAGCGAGAGCAGGAGGAGAAAGAATGTGGCAATGCCGATGCTAACGGTGATGATGTAAAAGACACGACCGCCGAGCCAAATCCTGACGCTAAACCCAGTGGTGATGAGCACTCCTCCGTCTCTGTCCCCAACGTTACAAGCGAGAAAGAAGAAGACTCGACTCAGAATGAGAACGAGAACCAGAACCAGAACCAGCCAGCTTAGGAGACCAGAAGGACCACTACTGGATCAAAACAAGATGCGCACGCAATAACACAGAAGCGACAAAACAAGGGCCACAGATCTCTCCTCGTCAGCTTGTGCGGCATCTTCCACTCCTCCGCTCCCTTCTTGCCCTTTCCCTCTCCGTGACCTGGGGAATTTTTAAAGTTAAGCCAGGGCCCTCTCCGGCGCCGGTAGCAGGCAATAGCAGCAGCGGGAAAACGGCGCTCTTCAGACTCCAGAAGGGCCGCGTGGCCCCCCATGAATGAAACCGTGAGTGCGAAGAGGGAGTTGAAAACAAACTTGAGATCCTGTCTCCTTGGGGTCCAATGCGAAGGAAAATCAGATTTGGAATTCGCTTTATTGATATATATCATGAAAGAGGTCAGGCGCAAATATCCGGGTCAGGGATCGGAATTCGTGCGCAGGCGCAGGAGCAGGAACTAGGCAACAGGAGTAAGGGGTAAGGGATAAAGGGTAACAACTCAGCGAGGAGTTGGGAGGACATCGTTTGTTTATCTAGCTATCTAGATATCTACATCTCCATCCATTGTTCAATAATGATCCACCCATCTCTATCGACTTTGATATACCATATAGCAGCACGGCCTACAATAGTATAACATTCTCCTTACTTCTATCTCTACCTCTATTCCTATCCCCATCTCCGTTTCCTTCATAATGTATCATTTCATGTCGAATACGTTGTTGCCAGGAGCAGACACACAGGATCGGGTTTTCCGGCGTGTGAGCGTCAATTGGAACACACCAGCCTGTTTCCTGAGCTGCCAGTGGGAGCAGCGAAACACCAGACAAAAGAAGGGGCGGCCGAAGCGGTAATCAATCAATGCCCTACACATCCCTACACATCTTCGCCTCCACCAATTTTCAAGAATCTTTCCAGGTAAATATAAATATATTCAATTAACTCGTGGGTATCATCAACGTCTCCACCTCCAGGATAGCTAGCTAAGCAATAGCAAGAACTGCAGCCGACGAGAAGTTAGAATACTTCATGTAGTCGTGACCTGGTGGTCGTCGGAGTATCTTCTTCACTTTTTCTCCTTCTCCTGCCCTGTTCACAAATGCAGTATCGACATCGGCATGGGGGAACGGTTTGTACGTGTTCCGCTGGGATGATCAATCCCCTTTACTCTTTGGATTTTCGTCCATATCCAATATACTCACGCCGTGGCTGTCCTTTCCACTCAGCGTTCCACTAGCATTACCGACCGAACTCTGGGCCCGACTTCTGGTGTTGTCATCACTCCTGTAAGTCTTTATACTCGCTACCTCTGCGCCTTCCAAAAGCTCCTGGTCTCTCTTGCCCAGCTCCGTCCCTTTTTCGTCATCCTCTTCATCGTCATCGTCGTCTCTGTATGGTCTTTGGCCTTGTTCCTTTAATTGTCGTTCATATTCCTTTTGTGCTTCGTCCATTCTCTTTCTCATCTCAGCCGCCATGCGCATTCCATCATTGACAATGTTGTCCAATACGCCGCGCAGCCCTCGAGATCCAGGTTCCACTACACCACCAGCGGTTCCGACATCAATCACGGTCTTGGTAGAGGCTCCATTGATGAGGTTCTTGACTGGGGTTCCAAAACTGCTAAATGTAGTGAGATTGCCAGATAAGGTGCTAGACGGCAATGAAACAGTGCTTGCATTTGGTGAGTCGCTGAGACGGAAAGATTGAGGGAAGAATGTTTCGAAGAACTGTTCAAGAAGCTCATCTGCTAGTATCACCATCCGAAATGTAGGCAAGGTAATATGTAAGGGCTTATTGGGGTCCAATGCAAGGTTATGTGATGCAGCCCTGGAAGAGCTATTTCGTTTACTCTGATTTGGAAGAGAGAGAGAGGGTGTTCCTGGCGGAGTTGATGGAGACAAGGGATCACTGTTGGTGATCTGTGGCGAAGCAATAGACTTGGTGTGTGACTTTATTTCGGTCAGGTCCAACAAATCATCTTGGCCGGAGGAGTCGAGGGTAGTAGCTTCCAGGTTTGACGTCGTTTCTCCAACCGCATCATTTGGTTGGTCTGGATCGGCATACTCGAAACATCTCCGAATGAATGCGCTGACAGAACCCAAGAACTTCTCATTTGTGCTCATTTTCAAGGTTTCCTTCGAATCAGGAGCAGCTGAAACTGGGGTCATTCCGTTAGATTCAGATGCGTTGATGGTTCCGTCGAAACCCCGCCTAGAAAGGAACAGAAGAGACTCTGACATCCTCAAGATACCTTCACGGTCGACCTTGCCAGTGCCTTCGTCATCGAAAAGATCGAAGAAAAGACTCATGGAATTCATAATATCTGTAGTGCCCTTGAATTGTGCCAGACCACGAACCAACTGTTGCAATGTCATAGAACCTTGATGGGATTCGTCCCACTTGCCATACAACCTTTGCATGAAATCGTGATCAGCAGGTTCGGGACCAGAACCCCACTGTGTGATAGTCTTGCTTCTTTTTCTTTGGCTTGCCATAGGACTCGCGATTTCCTTCGCTGGAGAGGAGGGGGAATCTGTCACTGCCCACTTGGCAGTGTTGGCTAAAAATTCGCGGAAAGCATCGTATTCCATAGTTTGAAGGGGTGAAATATTTTGGGAGGGTTCGTCATGGTTGTGGTGTGAGTGCTGAGAAAATATGCTGGGACGAAGCCTCTGGTGCTCTTGCTTCCTCCTCTCCTCCTCTCTAGCCTTTGAACGTTGCTGCCTCTCAGACAGGACACCAAAGAAGCGATCGTAGATTACACTGAGATCTTCAGGGCTTAACTTTTTGCTTTCTGGACCAAGATTTCTGATGGAGGTACGTTTGGCAAACGTTGCTAAACCTTCTTTGACATGGTCAATATGCTTCGCCCTAAGTTCCTCCACACTGGCATGAGTAACACCAGCAAACTCCTTGAATGCTGTCACCATTAATTCCTGGAATTTAGTGATTGCTTTCAACTTCTCATTTTCGGAATGTGGGTGGGCAGATTCGTCGAGTCTTGAGAAGTAATTCTTCAAGATGGATATGAAGGTACCGTCGTCGGTAACATCGAGCAATTCTTCGCCGTTTATCCGCAGAATAGCCAGGCCGATTTGGAAAAGAACTTTTGGGCCTTCTAGAAAGAACACATCCAGAACTCTGAAGGCAAAAACAAGGGGCATAGAGTTTATGTACAGAGACAGAAACCATGGTAGCGAGACGACCGATAGATTGACGTCGGACTTGACTAGGTGTTCCCACAGAACAGGCATGGTCTTCTCTACCAAATTTTCGAAGACTCGTTGGTCTAGAAGGGTGCCGTACATGTCTTTAGAGTAGTAGCCTGGAAGTAGCCTGTCGCACAAGGCCCCAAGGATGAAGAAGGCCTGAGGTTCCGACATGTAGATCAGAAGTGCAGCCACGACAATGTTCATAGCCTGGCAATAGCCGACTTCTTCATTAGTCCAGCTGTATGCTGTCAAAACGCGTCTCAGCCGGCCAATGCCCTCTTCGCTTTGAAAGCCGGGATATTCTGGAAGGCTTCGATTCAAATCCTTTTCGATCTCGTCGATGGCTAAGGATCCTTTGCCGTCAAATTTTTCCAGTACCTTATTGTACATATGTGGATTTCTTAATCTAGTATAGAAAGAGCCCGAGGCTACCTCCCATATCTCGCCTCTAAGTCGATTGGGCAAACCAACACGTATAAGCTTGTGGAAGGTGGGCTGGCGGACTATGGTGGCATTTCGGCCGTTTTCTCGCATGTACTCACCCCATAGTCTTATCTTGCTCCGGTCTCTCAATTTCCGTGCATCTCCAGGATACCGAAAGAGTATCCCAAGGCCAGTGTCTGGGGGCTCTGGTGGTTGCGTGCCCTCCTCCTTTGATCTGATCCTTGCCGGATCTAAGAGATACTCTGAATAGCACTGAGCCACAACGGCACGTAAGACATCGGCTTCTTTCATCCCCTCCCTTAAACCTTTCTTCAGGCCATCGCAGAATCGTTCACAGGCGACACGGCTCCCATCCAGATTCAGAATCAACTTTCGAGGGGGAGGGTGTAAAGCCTTGGATTTCTCTGTGGTCGACCTCTGGATGGACTCTAGCGTCGTGAGAGCAAGCGAGAACTTATCCTGACTGCTATTGAGCCTCTCGACTCTGCGAATAGAACAGAGGGGGAGGGTAAATCCATGACCACCAGGTCCAGAGCCCTGGGTTGGACCGGTGAACGAGGTCGAGGCACTGTTGCTTGCGGAGGGAAGAAAACTGGTGCGAATGGTGGAAAAGCAGAGAAAGTGTTCACTTAGGTGCAACTCTCCACTGTATTTATTGCCATAATCTCTAGACTTGTCTCCTGACGTGACGGGTAGTCCAGCAGTGGAAGGGAGTGGGAGGAAGAGTTCCGCTGTTATTTCGTGGAGGGGATTCTGCCCGGCAGGAAGTCTGAACTGCTCTCGAAACAGCGCGGCCTTGGAAGGACGGTTGTCATTGATGACCGCGAGAGGGGACTGGTCAATAAACTTTTGGACGAAGGAGCTCAACATGGCCGGAGGTAGTGACCTGAAGCATAAGAGTATGGAGATTAGAGATTACAGGGAGACAGTCACATGCTGCTCATGATTGCGTGATAGAAGGGTAGGTACTTGATACAATGAATAGATCACGCCCTGCCACAAAGACAAAGAGATTATGCTCGAGGTATACACTGTTTGTGCTTGGAGAAACGAAGCCAGAGTCTGTACTTCGTACAGGACTGCAGGTGTAGTTCTTGGTTGCTGACTTTGGCGGCTGCGGTTGGGGGTGGTGAGGGTGTGAGGCGTGCCAGGTACACAGGCAGGCCCAAGCGGTGGTCGGTGCAGGTCAACGCGTGCAGTGGCAGTGGCCGCCCTCGGCGCTATGCTTGCCAACTTGGTCTAGCTGAAGGCTGAAGTCTTGGCACGGAACATCTCATTGTTCCGAGCTTACAACCTCAGATATGTGGCACTGTACCGCAGCACACCCTGCTCACGCTCACGGAATATGATAATCATATTGATCCTGATCCTGATCCTGATCCTGATCTTGATATTCGCTCTAGTGCCCCGAGTCTGACAAAGTAGGAATTAAATGCCTGGTGTAGAATTGTAAAGAGAGAACCTGGTATCGCCATCGTGTCATGCCATTCGAATGGTACTGCTGGGGAAAATCCTTCCTCCCCAGCACTTGAACCTGAAGAAAAACCCATAATCCAAACGGTTCTCTGTTCATTCATTCATTCATGGTGTGGCCCCGCGTTCCTCTGTCCAGGAGCGAAAAAATCACCGAATATGACACCAAGAGGGCACCAGCGCCAGCATCACCCCTTGAAAAACATGCAAGGACTTCATTCACTCGTCGTCCTTTGTTAGAATCAGCTCTACAACAACATGACTCTTCTCGTACTCCGGATGCTGCAGCGCGATCTTGGGTGTCCGCGGAGCATTCCCAAAGGTCTTCAGGCCTAGCCCATTGATTCCTCCTCCAAGCACTGCCGGTGACTGCGATTGTCCAGTACCCCGGTTTGCACCCGCTCCACTACCACCGTCGTCCAACAGCCTGATGTCTTTGCCTGCAATCACCTGCTTGAGTCTTCCGTTCTGAGAATCTCGAATCTCAACAAAGTCATCGTCCACCAAGATGAGATATTGCGCATACAGGCATGCTGCTTTGGCCTTGCCAACAAACTCCATCACCACTCCGCGTGATATGTCGCCATGCTTATTGACATAGACGGCACATTCCTCAAAGGTAACTAGAAATTCCGCCTCGCCCAGTCGGAACATGCCTAGTGGTTTTAAATCTTTGATTCGCGTTGCGATGGAACTGAGATGTGCCTGTGTTTCTGGTTGATCACTGCGCAGATTTGGTACACTCCAAGTCTGTTTCTTTTCCAGCGTCAACACCTCCACGCCCCGTGCGGTAGATATCGCCAGGCTTGATTGGTATAGATTAAGCCCGTAACATTCGGCTGGGATATAAAACTCGTCGTATTCCCTGAAGAATTCGGTCTGGCCACGTCGCGATGCCGATGGCAAGAAGCGCGAGCGACTCGTGGTGCTCTTTTGTAATACCGGCTCCAAGACTTTGAATGTGGAGGCAATACCATCCCGCTTCTTGTAAAAGACCAATGTCCGCTCTTTCATCCTTCCAGTCACAAAAAAACCGATGTCTTTGGATCCTGAGAGCTTTTGCGGCGCTTTGCGACTTGATGCATCTGCCTGTGGGAGGGCATTCCCTGAAGGCGGACAGACTACGTCAAGATGATAGGCGATGAGTGCTTTATCGGATATGAGCAAGAATAGATTGAACTCTTCCAAAACAGAAATCTGAGAGACCTTTGGCATTTGGATCGCCTGTTGTAATGTTAGTAGGATCACGTGGCAACAATAGGCGAAGATCACTTACCCTGACCCATCCCCGAGAATTTTGATACTCGGAAATGTAAACGCCGTAGTCAGTTCCGATGGCACACATGAGCCTGCCGTAGGGTTGATTGAAGACCGTGGCACAATTGACTTGAGCTCGACAAACCGGCGCTGGTCGTCCCTGGCCCTCAAACCTCTTCTCCGTCTCTTGAATGGCTCTATCTAGAGGTGTGCCGCGAATGAGAATACGCCTCGCAGGGTATGCAAGCCCTTCGTAACCAAAGGCGGTGTCGGCCAAGACTCGGAGTTTGAAGGGCTCAGCATTTTGGGAAAACAAAGATTCTGCATGCCTGGTTTTGGCTTGAATCATGGCCTCACACCAGTCTTGTCGATTCTGGGCGCTAGGCGCGTAAAGAGTGTACGTCTCGGTCTTGCCGAGATGTTTCACACGGAAAGGATACATAATCTTTTCCTCTTTGGAATTGCTTGACTCCAATGTGGTGATGGCAACCATGGATTGGCTGTTACTACCGGATCCAACCGATAGGTTAGTATTTGTGTGTGTTAGAGGACCAATTCGCTCGCCGCTCGCAGTGGATTGAGCTCGTGACATCCGATTGTCAGCTTGGCTACGTGGCACAACAGTTGTTACTGCCCCGATGCCCTTGACCGAGGATTTGACCACAGCGGCATCGTGAGCGCCCTCCAAGACCAGCAAATCCATCGGGATTGGGACTTTGGAAACATCATAGAAACCTTCCCTGCGCGGATCACGTGCTAAGGGCTTTGCAAGCACAAGATAGTGGTCGAAGAGGATGGCATGGGTTTCGACCCATTGGAAACCCTTTCCACCGGCACGTTGCAGGTCACCTCGAAACACAATCTCCCGCCCCAGATGGTCGAGGTTGAGTTCCACCTCCTTCTCCATCTGTGGTCGGAGTCGTAGCTTGGTCTGCATTTCGATCAACTCCATCTTCTTGCCCATTTCGGCATATTTCGAATCACATTCAAAAGTGGCCGCCCGGATCTCGTCCAAAGCAAAAGCAAGGCTAGCTTTCTCCTCTGAGTCTTTAATCATATTCTTTTGAACGGTCTGCAGAAGGAGACTGTACCTTTGAAGTCTGGTGATGGGGCTTTTGAGGTAACTGTCCCAGCTGAGTTTCTTGGAACGAGCATCAGTCTGAGCTTGGTCGAGGAATGTCTTGAAATGAAGATTGCGCTCAGCTTCCCGTCGCATGAGATAATCCGCTCGAGGGAAGTTTGCCGCATATTCCACATAGACAGAACGTGCTTTTCGGATCCATTCGCGAAAGATATCGCTGAATCCTACTATCCAAGGTCCTTGTTCACTCTGCCGGTACTTAAGTTGCCCAAGTAGGTAATCTTGATTGACCTTCTTCACCTTGTCGATTCCTCCAAATACCTCTTTCAGGAAGGTGGGTAGCTTTTTGCTTGGTATAATGGGTGGTTGAGACGCCGAAAGTCGATCTCTATACAGGACTCTCAAAACATCCAATTGACTGATATAAAGATCCTCGCTCGTGACAACTTCATGCAGAACATTCTGGCGTTCGATGTCCTTTTTATCGTGACCTTCCAGATCCTCCTTTTTAAGCTTATAGAAAGTAACCCAGTCCTCGGACTTCTTTTCAACTGGCAAAGTATCAAGATCGACCTTCTTTAATGTCCTCATACAGTGGTAGGAATAGCATCTGCCTTTGGTGTGATACAGATGCAACTTCGATGAATAACAACCCGTTCCGGTCAGCTGATACAGAACTCCGGACATAGTACCTGCACCAAACTTCACCCATTCCTCTTCACGCAACAATGCTCCTGTTGCTAACATCTCTTTCACAACACGTTCTCCAAGTGCCTCGGCCTCAGTGATGTACATGGTGGGTACTTTATGCATGAAAAGAGCAACCAAACCTTCTGCAATGTTGTTCTCCTTCAAGTCAACCTCTTCTTCCGCCAGCTCTCTGATCCATGACAGAACCGAGCTGAGCGCCCATGGCTCCGAGCACTTCTTAAACTGATCTGTCGTGAGTTTAGCTGGATTGTATCGCTTCTTAGGGATAGCTGGGAGGTCCAGTGAAACGGCAGCTTGGGGACTTGCAAGATCGTACATATCAGACATTGGGCGACCCTGTTGCCGGAGCAGCTTCGCACGATCCGATTCGGTCTTTGACCTCATTGGATGGTCAGCCCTCGGGGCGCTCCTGCCGTTCGATAGAGATGTAGAGCGAGGTACAGCTGTGGGGCTCAGAAGGGACGCAGAATAGGCGTCGGGAGCGGCAGGGTAGGATAGACGGGTACCCGGATCAGTATATTGAGAAAATCTGCTTTGCTGGGTATAGGTGCCGGCCGGCATAAGATGGGGTATGGTTCGTATCAAGGGGTCTGAATGCGCGGGAGGGGGTGGCAGCGGCCGTTGCTGACTCATTCCAGGATGGAAGAAAAGGTCGGGCATGGATTCTCGTGAAGGACTCGTGTCCCCTGAAGCCTGGCCAGTATCCGAGTCCATCAACGTTGCCTCGTCGCCATCTTCATAACTCAGTCGCCTAGGATGAGGACTGGGTTCCGTTAGACCACCGGTGCCACCGGTATCTACCCTAGCAACGTTACGGGTGGGAGAGAAAGGATGCAGATCCTCCGCAGGGGGTATTGACTCAAACCCACTTGTCTGAGATTCACGTCCTTCAGATGATACGCCTGAACTCCGAACGGAGCTCATCCGAGTATTGAGACGTCCATAAAGGTCGCTTCCAGGCATGGTGGTCGGCATGCTGTAAGAAGGGGGCGCGCCGTATGACATGTCGGGTCCATAGCTTCCGCCAGCAGCTCCACTTAGGTCGTAACCAGTATAATCGCTATCGCTGCTTTGCTCCTGAGAAGACAGACGGGGGACTGTTTCTGTGGAATGGCTCGGGAATAGAGTAGCAGAGCCCTGAGTGCCACTGCGTCTGCGTGCATCTTCAGCACGTTCTTGTTCGTCCAGGGCGTTGAGAGCAGCCAGCCCTGCAGCAGCTTCTGCATCGCTGTCGTCTGTGAATGCACCATAATTGATATAGGCATCTCCCGTTGATGCGATGTTGCCATTAAGGTGCGTGGGGATCTCGTCTGGCGAAAGCTGAGGTTGTGGAGAAGGCTGCTGAAAAAGTGCATCTGGCCCTTGATCCCTGGCATCAGCAAATCTCTGATCACTGCTCGGCTGTGAAGACCCTCCTATGGCTGCATCTAAGCTGTCTATCAGGTCGTCATAGCCCGAAGAAAATGTATTCCGCGAGCTCGCATTCTGGACACGTGAATTCAACCGATCGTTGTCTGATTCTGACCCTGATGGAACACCGGGAAGTGATCTCCCTTGGGGATGACGATCCAGATTGCTATTCCGCTGGGGAGATCTGTTGGAAGGTTGCCTACTCGGAGGGGTTGATAGGGAAGGCTGGGGAGAGGGGGTCCGCCCACTCATTCGGCTCGCAAATGAAGGATTTCGATTGATATCAGGGGATGAATATGTGGCCAAACCTGCAGTTTGATATTGGCCGGATGACGCGGTTGTATACGTATAACCTTCTTCGGGAATGCCTGTTGATCGGGAGTAGGGCCGGGTGGACAGAGATGACTCGTGTGGCGGAGGCTGCGGAGGGGATGGGGAGTAGGTCTGATGGCTCTGACCAGGAGATACGCTGCCGGGATGGCGGACAGGGTACTGTTGGGCGGGATCATGTTGATATGCGCCATACTGCTGAGTTTGAGGTTGCGAATAAGAGTAGGTTTCGGCTCGCGCAGGAGGGGGCGGAGGTTGGGAGGAGTAATTGGCCTGAGCATTGGCTTCATAGTTGTAACCATAGTTATTATAGACTGTTTGCTGGCGGGCGAGAGTGGGATCGCCATATGCAGCCGGGATGTAAGGTTGGTACGCATTGGAGGACGGGTGGGCGGACTGAGGGGAGGAATATGCCTGAGGGTTGTATGTTGACTGCTGCTGTTGGTATTGAGCAGGATTGTAGGAGGCGTGAGAGGGAGGAGAGGGATGCGGATATTGGTGCTGATAGCCACTGAGCGCCGAATGCTGGGTGTTTGTCCTGAAAGGAATGGCAGACGATGCGGATGCCGGGTGGTAGCTGGCTGACTGCGAACGGTTCATGGGAGGACTCGCAGCACCAGCGGATGAGGCATATGTCTGATACCCCGAGCCATATCGCATTTGTGCGTCTTGGGCATCAGTCACACGGTGGTCGTCTCCAGCATCGAAACTGGCGGTCCGCTGGATGTTTTGGGAGGGATAGGTCGGATGGGAGCCATAGGGAGGATGGGCGGGGTTATGGGAAGAGGACGGATGACTGTTCTGCGGATAGTAAGGCTGCCCGTTCTGATAGCCGGCCATGGTCAGCGCACAACTTGAAGTGGTGGGCAGATGGATTCGCGACGGCGTGAGTGAGAGAAGTCAGCGCAGGCTCCTGGTGAGATGCCGCTGCGCATATTCAGACGGAGAGAATTTGTGTGCGAGAAGAAGGGGCCGTGACAACAGCACCAGCGTGCATTCACGGAGGTCGAGAGCGATCAGAGGACCATGAGTGCTGATGATGGCACAGACAGGTGTTTGGTCGCGGGGACAAGGCGACAGCCAGAGGCACGGCCAGCACCAGGCAAGGCGAGGCAGGGCAAGGCAACCTCGAGATGCAACTGATACACAGGGCAGAATTGGAATTTTGCTGACCGAGGACAGCAGATGAAACGAGGGAAAGGATGCTGAAGCGATGAGGTGAGAAGGATGGTTAAATGGCGAAGGATTGATGCCGATTCAGACCATGGATGAACGCAATAATGCAGCAATGCAAAGGCCTTGTGCAGGAGAATGTGAGGACAGGCGAAGTGTGTGATGTGGTGTTGGTGGTGCTGGTAGTGGTAGCCGTAGCCGTAGCCGCAGCGAGTAGTGTCAATGCATAGCGTCGTGGCGCTGGTGAGTCTTGATGGATGCTTCCGTCAGTCAGCGCAGCCAGCCCGAGGGTGGAAGGTCTAGAATAATAATGGGACACCGCCAATGGCGAGGACCGAGTGCTCACTGCTCTCATACCAGTAGCAGTACTCGTAGGAGCCGCTGCTGCCACCTAAGGAGCGGCTGGGGGCCAGGAAGGCGAGGGGGAGGTAAGGTGGTTAACTTGGCGGCGTTGGTTATCGCCGTTAGTGGTGGGCTAAGGGCTTAAAGTGATGACAGGCGAGCCCAAGGGGGCCCCAGAGAACCTATGTTTGAAGGGTTGGGCCACTGATCCAGGGCAAAATAGGTGGGCGAATGGGTAATCGTGTACGGAGTACGGCACCCATACGGGGGACTTCAGGTAATAGGGCTGGCTGGCTCAATCAGGGTTTCCTGCAAGCCCAACTCCGATCTGTACAGTTCAAAGTCGGTAGACCCATTTTTATTGCTCCTTCGTAAACATCTCTGGCCTTTTGGCTGTAATTAAAAATAAATATGGCCTTTGACTCAGGCAGCCTAATCGGAGAACGGCTCTCTGGTGATCACTGATCGCTGATCATGCACCCATCACGTACGGGGTACCTCGTACACTCGCATGCCCGACTCGATGAATATGCCATCGACCATGTCAGCACCTGCTCCTACTAAGCTGGCTGCTTCACCATTCGAGTTAGGTGCTGGCGATTTTGCTTTTGTCTATGCCTTCTTCCTGCATCGATCTGAGCACTCCTTCAGCCACTCTGGTACCTTCAAGTGCGGCTGGCATGCCGCAATAGACAGCAACCTGGATCAAGGTCTCTCGGATTTCAACCTCGGTCGCACCATTGTTGATTGCACCTTTGACATGGACTGCCAGCTCTGCCATTCGATTAAGAGCACACAACATTCCAATGTTGAGAAGTGATCGAGTCTTGCGTTCCAAACCCTCACGCCGCCATACAACGCCCCAGCCCACTTCGGTCACCAACTCTTGCAGTGGCCGAGCAAAGTCTGAGACGTTTTGTAGTGATCTTTGAACATGTTCGGCTCCAACCACTTCTTTCCGGATTTGAATGCCTTCATCCCAAAGCGTCTGGTGAGCCTCAGTTAGTTTGTCTTTTGATACCATTTTGTATGGCAAAGCAGCGTGCAGCGTGAAAGTTGGATCAATTCATACACCCAGTTAAAGACAGTGTCAGATAGCGGATGGTATGTACGAATCCTGACTCCTGACATGCCAGGTGGAGGACTCACTTACGTGCTTTGGTAGGTCAGGATATGTACCACCCGGTACTGTACGGAGTACGGAGTACTGCCCGCACGCACCCGCATGGCAACCGCTGGTGAGCATATTATCATTAGGTTAGCACATCACGTGTAGCTCACTCACGTTCCACGTGAAAGGGCCTCAGACGAGGGCAAGGTCTGGCGCCGAGCTTTAGCCATGGTGTATCTATACCTAGGTACCCAATGTAGATGCTACGAGTACTTTGTAAGCTTTCTCACTATCCAAGATAGCGTCAAAACCCAGCATATCCATATTATGCTCAGGATCAAGCCACCTGAAAGCACTTGGCTTGGTATAATCCGCTGTTCTCAGCTCCGCGTCCCGCTTGACCTGTTCGGGTCCGTCAGACATGTGAAACATTTTTCGATTGCTGGTGGCAGCCTGAACGTTGGTCGTGGTGCGGGATTTGCGCAAGCTCTCGTAGAGCTTGAGAACAGCAAGGAGCGACTTCTCGGGACTTGCATCGGATTGGAATGCTCCAAGCAGTCTTCCCAGGACCGCACCATCCTCAACGGCCATGGCGGCTCCTTGAGCTTGATATGGAAGAGTGGGGTGGCATGCATCTCCTAGCAGGACCACGCTGCCCTGTGTTGTGTCAGTCATATCACCGTTCGGTTGCTCCTGGGACCAGTCTACTGACCCTCGTCCACGTCTCAAGCTCCCTATGGTGGCACAGCTTCCACTTTAACGCGGATGAAACACAAGAAATGAGTTTTTCGAGTCTGCGTACAGGAGAGATGGTAAGCGGCAAGCAGCACGAGCGCAGCAGACGCAATCTCGCATCGACGGTAAGAACTTACGTGGAATCCCAGCCGTCGAAAGTTGACCTCATCTCTTCTATATCTGCCTGCACCGTTCGCGCTGAGGGCGGGATATTGTCAGGGCGCAGCAAGACAAGATTGAATTGTTCTCCGCCGTGAACTGGATAGAAGACAGCATGTCTGTCCGGCCCAAACCAAATATTTACACTTCTGCGTGAACATAGCTCAGTCACCCGCACATTGTCTATGGCCAGCAGTTCAGCTCGATTGAACGTGGCTCGATAGGCTAAGTCTCCTGTCTCAATTGGCGGTGATAAAGTGCCCAGCAGCTTGTCTCGAGTTGTTGACCACAACCCTGAAAATGTCAATCCGAAGGCGATGATTTCAGGTGAGAAAGGTGGATGCTCTCCTACCGTCGGCGCCCACAATTACGTCGGCTTTGATGATCCTCTCGTCATCGAGAACCACATGTGGAATTTCAAAGTCGATGTCCACCACATTCGCACCGACGAGGACGCATACACCCGCTGCTGTAGCCTCCTCGAGCATGACTCCAACATATGCTGAACGATGAAGAACCCTTTTGATCGACGCTTTAAGAATGACCCGCTCGAAATTGGCAGATAGGACACACTTACAGCCAAGGACACCCGTATCTCTCGATACATCGATTGCCCAACTGTCTCTCCTGGAGAACATGGCCATCTGAATATCGTCTAATGAATATCTGTTCCAAAATGGTGGCATTCCGTTTCACTTTTTCTAGGATTCCAAGTGAACGACACACCCGAGCCCCATTTGGAGGAATCTGAATGCCGGCGCCAATCTAGAAGACACTGAACATCAGTACACTGCTAGTCCCAGATAGAGATGATCCAATGGCATCGTCGGAAAACAGGCCGCCGTACAGGCAAAATTTCAGGTGCCCGCTCGAGTACGTCCACTTCAATACCTTCCCGTCTACAGGCAAGAGCACAGGCCAAGCCTCCTAGGCCAGCTCCGACGACAACGACCTTCATGTGTTTTAGTCGATCAGGAGAGTGATATTGGCTGAGATGGTGGCTCAATCACTTGTCTTTGCCACGGTATGAGGTCAGTTCTTTCGAACAAGTACCTAAACCTCAATCAAGGGTCGCAGATGTTATTGTGGAAGCCAGTATCGATTCTAAGAATGGTTGCTAACTCCCCAGCAACATCTTTCTGGCCCGCTATATGTGTCTGAGCGGAGCTCCAATTGTACCTAGTACTTGGTAATAATAGTCACGTTTCACTGCGACCCCGAGGTTGTAGCAACCCCTCTCGATGGTCGAACTACCTGAACCAATTGCCGTGTTAGGGTTCAAGTAGAAATAAGCAAGAGACCGAGAAGGTTTCGCGGGCCTCTCGGAGGATTGCATGAGACTAGGTGATTAGACTTTCGACTGTTGCATGATGAAGTCACTATGTTGTTGACTCTGAAAATGCGAAACAATTAATTCCCTACACATAGTGAAGACTGAAGCACTAGCGTTGATAGTTTTATCTTACTCGTAGACACTCTACTCCCTACAACGTGCGGAGTACGACGGTGGTACATATCGAAAGCCCCACGAAAAATCCTTCGCCAAAGCGACCCATCCTCGATATCGATCACGCGAGTGGTCTCCTAGCTCCCACTCTCCACATACGAGACTCTGAGAATCGACTGTGCTTGCCAAATCACAGAGCATTGCAACTCGGTGAGGCTCTACTGGTGCATGTCCGTTACCCACCAATACAGCCTTTCTGTATGTGGCTTTGACCTTCGCTCGTGCTCCCACTTGGAACCGTCAAGGTGTTCCTTCTGCATAACCTCCAATTTTAGATAGGGAGGTATTATCCCGGTGTTCGCACGAAGTCAATCGTTGATCAGCCTAGCTCGACGCATATAAGATCAGTTCTTCTGAAGACTCACTTTCATTTACTCATCGACACGGCCACCCCCCTGCTGCTCTGCCTTTTTGCAGAAATGCCAACAAACTTGCCCCACATCTTATTCTTCAGGTCTGTTTTCTCTTTCTACGATGCTTCTCCACATCCGGGATTTCCCCATGCTGGCAAGGTCTGGGCTAGCAACTTCCACTAGCAACGTCCTTTCGGTAGGTTCGCCAGGAACTGTCCGTGTTCTGAGCCCATGCGCGGGGCTCATGTTGAACACGATTTCTGTATAAGTTCGGAATCCTGCTCGATCTGGCCAAGCCCCCCTTTCATGCTCCAATTGTCGCAAAAGAACATCTCACTTGACTAGTCACTCTTCAGTCTTCCAGAAATGCCCTCCTTAGATAAACCATGGGCCATCATCGTTGGCGCTGGTCCGTCTGGCTTGCTTCTCGCTCTCATTCTCGCAAAGAAGGGAATCCCGGTCCAAGTACTGGAAGCTTCGAGTAAGCTGGATGACTCGCCCAGAGCAGCATACTATGGGCCTCCCGCGGCGTACGAACTACGGCGTGCAGGAGTTATCGATGAGATCAGGAAGGATGGATTCGACCCTGTTATAATGTGTTGGCGAAAGCTAGATGGTACCTATCTTGCTGGATTCAACAATAGTCTCATGAAAGACGACCCTGATAGACTGGCATGTATGCCATTGGCCCAACTCGATCAGCTTCTCTACCGACATGCCACAGCGCAGCCTTCAGTGAAGGTGTCCTTCAATCACAAAGTCGTTGACATAGGACAAGACGATGAAAAGGCGTGGGTCGATGTGGAAACCCCCGAAGGTAACAAGCGTTTAGAAGCTACCTACATCGTGGGTTGCGATGGTGCTTCAAGCATCGTCAGAAGAAGGCTTTACCCCGACAAAGATTTCCCCGGCTACACCTGGGACAAACAGATTGTGGCCACCAACGTAAGTCGAATCGAGAATGTAGTTTAGAGATGGTCTTTCTAAGCATTGTCTAGGTCGCTTATCCGTTCGAGAAATTCGGCTATGAGGATGTTCAATTCTTCATTCATCCCGAGCATTGGCATATGGTGGCCCGCCTGACTAAGAACCCCGATCCAACTAAGTTAAGCTATTGGCGAGTGTCATACGGGGAGATTCCAGGTTTGACTGACCAGGAACTGATTGCGCGACAACCGATGAAATTTGAGGCGATGCTGCCTGGTCACCCCAAACCTGGTGAGTATGAGCTTGCAGCTATCAGTCCATACAAGATCCATCAACGATTGGTTAAAAGTCTCCACGTGGGACGATTTCTTCTCGCTGCTGACGCAGCACACAGTGAGTCATATCCGTTGTCGTAGAGAGTGACATGTTTGTTAACCGAGAGCGCAGTTTGCAATCCGTTTGGTGGGCTAGGATTGACTGGTGGCATCGTGGACATCGGTGGGCTATCTGATTGCCTCATTGGCATCTATGAAGGCAAAGCAGACGACACTATCCTAGATAAATATTCGGATGTCCGGCGAGAGAAGTTCCAAAAAGTGACTGACCCTGTGTCGACCGAGAACATTACGAGGCTGTTCAGTCAAGATCCAGAAAAGGCGCTTGAAAACGACTCCTTTTTGAAGATGCTCAACAGCATCAAAGACGACGAGAAGGCCCAGCTGGAATTCATGCGTGGCCCGTTCGCACTCTCATATGATTTTACCCAGCACTACAATACAAATTAGATGTGAGAACCTTGTTGGAAAAGCGTTGTGGGAAATGTGTTCCTGGATCTCTGGGAGGTGCAGAGTACGAGTAAAGGAGCAAGAAGCATTTTGTTGGACCATAGCTAGGCACTGACAGTGAAATTTACCAAGCGCCAGAATAAGACCATGACCAGTCAAAATTTAGGCGAAATCTCGAACCTTGCGCGAATCATTCGCATTTCCTTAGGCTTAGGCTGCACCCGGATCAAGGAGTTTCCCCGGGTTCCGGGGGGCGTGACGAGATCACATGTGGGCTCAACGTGGCTACTACTAGGCAGTACGGAGTAGGCTCTCAGTTCCCCCCGACGCGCATGCCACAGCTACTTCGATTGACTGAGCCCGCCAGTGTCGAGGACGTCATTTGATATGGCCGGAATTCAGCGCGCCTGAGTAGGAGCGAGTGCAAAGTGTAGGATGGGAGGTGCACCTCCCGTCAAGGTTCGACAGGTCCTGCAACGAAGATTTTCTACATTGCCAGTGCACACTCATCTTCGGACACAACCACAACCATTCTCCTCTTTTTTGTCTATCTCTAGATTGCAGCATCGCGCGCCCTAAGCCATTCTATATGTCGTCTGTGTCATAGACTAGAGCTCGCTGTCTCCGTCGCAGCACGAATTCCCCCCACCTTCGGTCGAAGAGCTCTTGATGCGCGCCAGTCATGAAACCTTCCGACCAAGGCCCGCTGTTGCGTCGAAAGTCCTCTACACCTCATTACCAAACCTTCGGCGGCATCTCTCCGCCCAAATCGCGAGGCCAGCCTTTATCTGAATCCTCCAATTCCTCTAGCCATGACCTCCACGACCAACGCCCCGACCATCATCATGCCTCCCCTCTACCCAAGAAACAGATGGCTATTCTTGCTATAATCGCCCTCTGTGAACAGACCGCGCTTAACTCCATCAGCCCCTACCTTCCTGCCATGGCATCGACGTTCCCAGAGGTCAACCCTCGAGAAGTCGGAGTCTATGTTGGCACAATCGCATCTGCATTCGCACTAGCACAACTAGCATCCAACTTTTTTTGGGGTTGGCTGTCAGATCATATAGGTAGAAAACCTGTGATATTGATGGGGACTCTGTTCACAGCGGCATGTTTCGTTGCGTTCGGATTCTGCAGAACCCTTTGGCAAGCGGTTTTGGTGCAGGCCTTGATGGGTCTCTTGAACGGTAATCAGGGTGTCGTCTCGACATGCCTGGGAGAGATCACCGATCGCAGTAACCAGTCGCAGGCTTTTACTTATCTGCCAGTCCTGTACGGCCTTGGAGGTATCACCGGGCCCATCATCGGTGGCTTGCTCGTGTTTGAGAACAATCCCTTCGACAAGTCAAAACCTAACCCATACCCCTACCTACTGCCGAATCTGCTCTCAGCCGCCATTCTCGTTGTGGATCTGGTCTTGACTACCATTTTCCTGGAAGAGAGTCTGGAAGAAGCACAGTACCAGGAACCTCTGGGCACGAGGGTCCGCAACCTCTTCACCTGGGTGTGGGAATTTACAAGTTCGAGCAGACCATCATACCTACGGCGGAGAACCAAATCCCACCACAGTCATGAGACTCAAGCCAATGGCATACTCGAAGGTTCAGATGACGAGGACAGCGTTTCCAGCCATGACCAGCCTACGTTTTTCCACTCTACACAGGAGCTGAAGACTAGTGACGTACTTAACCGTGATACCATCCTGCTCCTTTTGACTTATCTCATCTTTCAGCTATCCAACATCTCTTTCAACTCTCTATACCCCATTTTCGCACAGGCTGCCCCCCCGACTGGTCGTGACTTGGCCCCTGATGAGATAGGACTCTCCCTTGCCTTCGCTGGGGTGGTGACAATTCTTTTCCAAGTCGGCCTCTTTGGAAAATTGCGGGAGAAGGTCGGCAACCGGTGGGCTTACAGAGCCGGGTTCGGAGGGTTCGTGATTGCATATGTTTTCATGCCATGGGTTGGATACAAAGGGGGCAACCAAGGGCAGTGGGCAATCTCAGAAGGTGCTGGTTGGTTATGGTTCGAGATCTGCATCGTTCTACTCGTCAAGACCGTCGCCGCGGTGGGTGGCTTGACGAGTGCTTTACTGTTGGTAAGTTCTACCGCCCCCCTTATCTGGAGTCCGGGGAAATTGCAATCAGCGACTAACTCGGTAGATAGATCACGAATTCTGCTCCCAACCACAATGTTCTAGGCACCCTCAACGGACTAGCACAGACCCTCTCAGCTGCTGGACGAGCTGTAGGTCCTTTTGTATCCGGGGGCCTCTTCTCTCTCGCAACTAGAGTTGAACCGAAAGGCGAGGCTCTCGCCTTTGGCTTATTCGGGGGCATTGCCTTCGTTGGCTTTGGCCTTAGCTTTGGGATAAAATCATCCAATCTCGAAGCCGCAGGATGGGAGACGGATGATGACGAAGATGACGCCAGCGATAAATCTGATGAGGAGGAAGACGTATAAGAAAGAAAGAAAGAAAGAAACCCCACGGCCTCGGCCATACAAGAAAGAAAATAACCATGAAAGTATACGATTTTGTGATAGAGGGAACATCACCATTTAATACTTTTAGGAGCAGAAATCTTGAACTCCTGATTTTACGGGATCTGAGAGACGAGGTCGTGACTGACTACCAAGCTAGTCTTGATAAACCTGATGCCATCCGTGCCTCCTAGCAGCAATCTGCAGAGCACCATTTGTAAAACCACACAGGACGCATACGGAAATTGTCAAGATGTTAGCTGTTGTATGTGTAAAAGCTCCTCAACGCAGCTAAGCAACTATAATGCTTAGACAATGCCATCCTCGCACACCGTCCCTTGCCTCAGACATTCGATCAACGCACAGAGGCTCCAAAAGAACCAATTGACAACGCGGAGATCTCCCCAAAGTGCAATGAAAGGCTGCAAGATCAAACAGTAAAAGTGGTTAGAAGGTCAGAAGGCTAGAAACAGGCTCTTTGGTTTTTTTGTACGCCTTGTCGCTCACTTCTGAGTCTGAGGCCTAGCCTGACGGATCTACCACCCACTTGGCTCATCCAGCGTCTTCGGCAGAGTGTCACATCATCCTCGACCTCCCTTCGTTCGCTCACCCGCTCCCCTTTCCATTACTACTACCGGTAGCACCAGTAAGGCCGTCTTCTTCGGCTCACGCACGCCTACCCACCCACCCACAACCCAGAATCAGACCCAAGAACAAAGTGTCTCAGGCCGAAGACCCCAAGAAAAGATGTTCTACTTGCCCTCCACCCGTCGCTTCATCCTGCCCGCACTAGCAGTGCTGGCCGTGCTCACGCTCACGCAGCTGCTCATCACACGATATAACCCGCATTCGCAGCACCAAAACCTCTCATGGTCGCAGGAGGCAAGGCTGCTGCACGCCGCCGCCCTGAGGAGGCAGACCACACGTGGTGTGTTGATATCATCATCAGCGGCTGTGTCAGTGGGTCGGAACCACACCGTGTCTTTTTGGGGGTTGCTTGGGCATGATCACCAGGATGGCTTTGGCTATGGCTATGGCTATGGGAGTGAAGCCGGTGCTGAGCAGGAGCTTTGGGCCGCTGCGTACGATCCTACAGCTCCTCTCCCGGCTGCTACGGCTTTGCAGCAGCAGGACCAGCGGCGTCGTCGGTTGCTCCCACGTGTAAACTCCCGGATCCTGCCATTCCTGGCCTGCGCTCCCAACGCCGTGAATCGGCATACATCGCACCTGCGCCTGTCAGCCGAGATGCACGACATCAGCATGACGCCCACGTCTTCTGGCTCCCATGATGAGGAGGCGCGGTTCTTCAACCCCGCTATGATCCCGCTGCCATACTGGTCTTCGCCGTCGCGGTCGGCCGGCCCGAAATATGTGCTTGTCTCCCGTCTCGTCACCACGGGGTATCATCAGGAGTCGCATATTTGTCTCGCGGATATTTGTGTGCCCCACGATGAGCAGCGGCAGAGCCCCGATCTGGACACGGAGACGAACACGAACGCAAGCAAAGTCCTTCCGCTGGACACGCGCGCATGTACGGCGTCAGATCTGTCCATGCTGGGCGGCCGCGGAGGCATGCGGTGCGTGACGGAGCCCGTGAAGATCAACATCCCATCGACACCGGCTGAGCGATGCGACACCGCGTGGCTCGCATTCCCCGATATCCCTGGTTTCCACGACCCGCGGGTGTTTTGGAGTGGGAAAGGCGAGCCGTTGATCCTGGTCAACAGCGCCAGTCGGTACGGCTGCCTCGGGCTGTGGGTTGTGGATCTCCGGAGAGTCTTTCCCGAGTTGGATAAGGTGTTGGAGCCACGCCAGCGACTGCGGCAAAACCAGAGAGAGCAAGGCACGGGAGGGAAGGGCAGCAGCAGCACTGGTACGATGTTGATGAGTTATCCGCACTTGACGGAAATCACGCGCAATCCGAGATCGAGTCGAAGTCTTGTCGAGAAGAATTGGGTCTTGTGGTTTCCAAATCACGAGGAAGCCTATGTTCAGTACGATATGCTAGGTAGAAGCCCTCTACAAGAGGATGACACGGGCTTGAACAGAACCCTGCTGGTGAATGGGACGACAAGAGCCCATAGAAATACAACAACGATCAAGCGAAGAGGAGGACGAACATTCGCCAAACTTACCGGCAACGGGCTTACCACGCGTAACTTGACCTCACCCTACGAGCTGCCCTGCTTCACCGACGCCCAAGAAAAAGACAAATTTGGAAACCCGGGTCGCTGGCATCAAGGCTCAAACGCACTGAGACTGCTTCTCTGCACGCGTGCCGAGGCTCGGATGGGGCAATGTGAGGAGGAGCAAGCAATAGAAGATGGCAGATCAATACATTTCGCGGTCGTGCACCGGAAATTCAGCAATGTGATCCACCTACCATTGAGGTATGAAAGATACGTGCTTCTCTGGGAGAGCAGGAAGCCATTTCAAGTTGTGGGGATGAGTAAGTTCCCTTTGTTGATGAGGGAAGAACGGGCGAAACCATGGAGTGATGCTGAAAATTGGCCGGGAATGGGAAATAGGAAAGCCAAGACAGGGGGGAATTGGACACTAAATCAGGATGGTGGATTATCAGGTCGACCCAATGGCAAGGTACAGGATCACACGCAGTCCCGTGGCCGTGCTGATGGTAGCAATAAGAAAGGCCATGAGTCGGACTTTGTCAAAAGGGAGGGAGATTTCACCTATACCCCCGGTCTCACATGGGCGTGGAAGCCTCATTCCCCAGGACTTGGGGAAGACGATGAAGATGACATCGACCACATGTCGCGCCTGGGGGTGGGGTACCTTGGTGATGAAGTCCTTGTGGGGATTGGGGTGGATGATGTCTCTCAAGGCTTTGCAAAAGTCAAAGTCGAGGACCTTCTGCAGTGTTTGAGACTATGTCCTGGTGTGGGAATGGCTGACCATGTTTTTCCAGAGCAGTCAGCGCATGCAAATCATGAGGGATCTCTCTCTTCAGAATAAGACTGTTAGAGGATGAGAGTTAAAATTGGAGCTTGAGTTTGATGGGATATTAAGTGCGACAATACCGTGTAGCCAGCAGGTCCTCAGGTATTAAAATATGGGTGTGGTGAAAGTAAACACTGTTGAACCCTCAGAGCAGCTCTCAACGTTAACAGCGACTGCCAGAGTCTGAGGATAATGACAATCCCATATTTCAGAGAGAATCACGATCCAAGAGGCTCGGCTGTCTCAACTTTGGCTTTTCGGACTTGAAATCTTCATTGGGTAGTTTGTTTAGAGACCACCCCTCGTTCTTGGGTAGAGAATGTAAAAACACCACTGGTTACACAGATCGCCAGTCTGATGCTTGTAACGAACAGATTTCCGGGTATCAGAGATGGAGAACGAGGCAACACCTGCCATGACCGTCGGTATTCCATAGCAAAAGAACTGGTTCTCGGCTCAGATTGAAAACTGCAACATTTAATCCTCATAGGGCGTGCGTAAACAGAACGGGCTGAGTTTCTTGCTAGCAGGAAACTCGACCACAGGCGTGTAGCACTTCAGAGAACAACCTTGACAGGGTCGGCGCCTCGGAGGTGTGCTTAGGTCTTGTCTTCATTGCCTCATGTTCTTTTTGCTTTGGAAAAAGGTATCTCAAGAGATTGAAACCGAACAAAGCTGCCTTCAATGTTCCAGCTGCCTTTGCTACAAGGCTAGTCTCTCCTTCCCCTAGCACCAACAGATTCCCATGCTCTTTCAAATCGAGCACCATGCTCATGCGGACATCAGGATCGCAATATCTCGGTACTTGGAAATATCGCGGGGACTGAGGTTCTCACAAGGACGGTGCTCACGACGGGGAGGTCGGCGCGAGGGCGAAGTCAGTAAAATGACATTCGGAGACGCGTGGCCATGTCGTTTATTCAAAAGGGCACACAAAGCGACTTTCGACGTGAAGTCTGAAGATGAAGGAGAGGAAATATGCTGCTTGGCGTGAGGCTAGCGCTGAGGCTCGACGACAAGCTTTGTTGCAATTCACTGTCTCTGCAAGATCACGTTCTCTTCCTAGATAAAAGACGGTCTCGGGAGGCTGCATCTCTTCGATCTCTGTTCTTCCTGTCGTTCACTGGGTTGGGAGAGGGGGCAAGTGACAAAGCGGCTCCTTGCAGCAAGGAATTCCATTGTCAACTTGGCGTCTCCTCTCCGCCCCATCAGCTGGGGTTTAGCTCGGTTGTGTTGCGAAGAATGTTTTTGTTTCGGCATCGAGATTGGACCTAGAGAAAACAGAATTCATCAGTACCCAGTTCTTTCGTACGACGCTCTCTTGACTTACCCTCGGACTTGATGATGAGAAGGAAGGGATTGCTCGTAGGTTCCTGGTGGTCGACGCGCGCTAAAACGTGAACGCTGCTGGTCGGAAATCTCACGCTCATCATGAGCTAACTTTGGCCTAACTTGACGGCCTAACTGCGTCAAGTTAGGCGTCATTGGACCTTGGCGCCAAGCCCGCTAGTTAGGTTGATAGATGAGTCTTATGATGTACCACCTCTCCCACTTAGACAATATCATCCACTCCACACCCGCCAATCCAGCAGTGCATAACCTCTCTATTCTCTACGAGTCATTAGCGTCCGAGAGCTCAGGGATACCAAGAGAACAAGGAAGCCACCCTCGGCCTCCACCTTCACGAATAGTTTGGCAGCTTGAGTTGGAAAGGGTTGCTGCCTTGAGGGTCACAAATGGAGTGTCGAAAATAGGTATTAGTTACTAGTACTTCTTGTAGGACTCCTACGGAATACAGTCTCTCCGCCCAACACCCACGTGAAGTCAAGCCTGTGTCCATCACATCTAGCCTTACTTAAGCACCAAACCTGTCCAACAGTGATGGTAAGACCGGTTGGTTGAACTCACTATCTAGAATCCTCCCTTCGATATCAACCACTTAGCATGACTTCTGCAAGTGGTCTGTGCCGTTCTCCTCGGACCTCGCGATCGCTAGCCTTGGAAAATGTTCAAAACGAAGCGGCCACACAACACCACTGCAATCGAACGCCATGGCTTGTTTGTTCTCTTTCCTCCCTCAGAGGGAACTTGGGATGTTGAGTACGTAATGCTTTAGAGCTGTCTTGTTCCTTCAGCATTTAACACGGCTATCAGCATTGTTGTAGTTCACGGCCGGGGGTGGCGATGCCTACACCGCCTGGACACCTGACAACAGGATAATGTGGCCCGAGACTTCATCCCCAGGTGATTCCTACTGCGAGGGTAATGACCTTTGGATATGATTCCAAATGAGTCTCTAGTCCATCAACCGCGGATATCAAGGACTTCGCTCTTGATTTACTGAATCGCCTGCGAAATAAGCGTTGGTCTGCCGATGTAGGATCTATCGTTTCGAGACCTCTGGAACCCGTATTTGCTTATCTTTCACTAACAGGCAATGAACCACCCAATCGCATTCATATGCCATTCGCTAGGCGGCATAGTCTGCAAACAGGTAGGATAGACAGTCCCACTGGCATTTGCCTGTGCTAAACCGGAGGCAAGGCTCTGCTTCTGGCTCGATCATTACCATTTTGCACAAATATCTTCGAAAAGACTTCCTCCATATTGTTCTTCGTCGGTATGCCTCAATAATTGCCTGACCGTGCCTGCTAGTCATTGCCTAGGGATTTCCGCATCGTGGATCGCGCGTTGCATCGTGGGCCACTGTGGTGGGCAATTTCATTAATACGAGTTCCTTCCACAAACCAATCCAGAGAGGCCTCCTTGCAGATCTTTCCTTGAGTTCTCGAATATTAGCTGACATCTCTACTGCGTCCAAAGAGATTGTTGGAGATATTGATCTGAAAACATTTTATGAGACTGCAATTATGCTTCCCCTCAAGGGCCCCGTAGTCGAGCGAGATTCTGCGGTACTAGGATTGCCACTGAGCAGATCATCCCGATCGCTGCGAATCATCGTGAAATGGTCCACTTTACAAGCATTAACAGTGAGAAATTTGACTCGGTGAAATTCGCCTTGAGGGAGGCCAAGGAGGGGAGGCCAATAGATTCCAGAAGCGTAGAGAATGGTAAGAGTGTTCATTCAGAGATCATTATTATAAGGGCATCAGGCTGATTATGACCAGCGATCTCATATCTCACAAAACAACTGAGTATTGCCGACTATGATACACAATTAGCTCGTGTCTCTCTACGATATAATGGAACCTGAATGGCTCTCATCCTACTTAAGCTTCGTTGCGTGGCTTACAGAGTCTCAAAATGACATGTTGTGGCTACGTGGCTATGCGGGTGTTGGCAAATCCGTCATCACAAAGTATCTGATCATAGATGTCTTGAAAGCGAAGTATATCGAATCGAGGAAACTGCCTTCCTGTGATAAGGAGCAGAGCTTAAGGCATGGCGACTTTCTTGCATACTTTTTCTGCAGTGAACGTAGGAGACACTTGCAGCCAGAAAGTAACATACTGATGTCGACCCTGCATCAGCTTCTCAGTGCTGCACCACAGGATGTTTCCAAAGCCTTTCAGGTCTATCGCAGATCATCATTGATTTATTCGTTTCTCTTCCAGCCAGAAGATCTATGGGATGCTGTTAAATCGGCACTAGTGGCCACAAATTGGACTACCATCTATCTTGTGTTCGACGGTCTCGATGAGATGTTGGCAGAGGATCTGGAGGACTTTTCAAAGGGTCTGAAAGTTTTGGTGGAAAGAGTGACGCCTCGAATCGAGCCACGAAGTCTTAAAACATTGATCACAAGCCGTCCGATTGCGAACTTGGACATGAACTTCTCATGCCCTTCAATCTCAGTTCGTAGCGTAGCGAAGGAGACGTCAAGCACTTTGTTCTAGGCAGCAAAAATCAATTGAGCGAAAGATCTGTGCTACCAGCACAACTACAGATGGACATTGTTGATCGTATCTCAGAGAAAGCCAATGGAATGTTTCTGTGGGCCGTTCTCGCATGGTACGAATTATGTCGAAACGCAAGACGGGCGGAAGATTTCGCTGCAAATCTCCTGGAGCTTCGAAAGCTTCTTGCAACGCTTGAAATGCTATACGAGAATATCCTCAATCGACTACCTATCTCCTCTCGCCAGCTGGCACTGAAGACCGTTTCCCGGCTCACTTTATCAGCTCGACCATTACACGGTGATGAGTTGCGATTTGCGATCGCAATGGCTGAGACCACCGACAGCTATGAAACTGCAGTGAGACGGATGATTGCTCGACAAAAGTTGAAACACTGTGTCCTGAGTTGATGAGCATTGGCGCAGATGGTTATGTGCAGTTTGCTCATTCGTCAATCAAGGACTTCTTTCTGAGTCCCGACACCAGCGCACAGTATCGCATTGATCCCCGTCAAGCTGCATTCCGCCATTGCAATAGCTTGTGTTCAGTCCCTTTACATGCCAGGTTTTGATGTTGAAAGCATACAAGCAGAGCTTACCGAGACGGAAGGATCCTCCGAAAGCCAGATGGTTGGTCTTCCATGGCGGTATCTTCTACTGCCGGACGCTGTGACGAATTGGTACTATCATGCCAGCATGGCGGGTGAGGATTTGAAGGTCTGGACCGCTTTCAAAACACTACTGGAACATGGTAATAGTACTAAGCTATGGCTGATGTTGGCTCTCTATGAAGGTTCGTTGTCTGCACAGAGAGGTTGGAAACTCAGCAAACATTTCTGGAATGGCTTCGCCAACCCATCTGCAATTCACATCGCCGTCTTCCTGGAGAACGCATAGTTCATCAAAAAGTTAATCGAGAGTGGGGCTTCAATCAATGAGCGGAACACACGATGGAAGAATACATCCGAACAGTATCGCAGGCCTCGGATGGCTGTCGGCGGTACGGCCCTCCATACCCCTAGCCTCGATCGTGAGCTGCTCCACGTACTCCTTAACCTCGGGGCAGACATGAATGAGCCCGACGTAAATGGCTTCAGTGCTTTATCAAACACTGTTGATGAAAACGATGAGAATAAGGTTGTCATGCTGTTGGAATTTGCCAAAAGCCAACCTGGTGTTACCTCGATTGCCGGATATGATCTCAACATTCTCAATCAGGCAGCGGGCATGACGATGAAAAGGGCCGTCTTGGAGATATTAGATAACCCACTTGTTGACTTCTCCCATGCTCGCTTCCAGGGTAAGGATGGTAGCATCCTGGGAACATACCACACGACTCCCCTTGAACATGCTTGCGTTCTTGGAATGACCACGATGGCAACCCTGATGATGAGTCATCCACGTATGGTGGCAGCGCGGAAACGAGTGGAACTGAGATCGCCATGCAGAAACCCAACTTCAGGGGCCTTTCTGACGACCCTCCAACATCGGGGTGATTTGACCCTTATTGCTCTTCAGAACTTCCAAACTGATCTCGACCATGAAAGAGATATGGACAGGAGGACGATTTTCATGCACGCGGCAATGGAAGAATGGCACCATGTTCTAGAATATTGCGTGGATCGCCTGTCCAAATCCAGGTTAAAAATTCAAGACAAAAATGGACGAACAGCACTTCACCACGCAGCTCAGACGCGAAATTGGTTTGGCACAACTAGATTACTTGCTGCAGGAGCTGACCTTTATATGGAAGATGATGAAGGAATGACCCCAGCGCATGCTGCAGCTGAGGCAGGCTCCGAACGTGTACTCCGAATAATGATTGAAAATCGAGCATTCGGCGTTGACTGCATCGACCACAAGAAACATAATGTACTGCATTATGTTGCGGCATGGAATTTATACTCAACAGCCGAGACCTTGATTGAGATTTCTCCACACCAAGGATCGGCAAATGATACTAACGGACGCACTCCAGTTGATTTAGCAGCGCTATTCGGATCCAAGGCTGTCCTTGCATTACTACTTTCGAAAATTCTGGTGGACATTAATGCCAATGACTATGCTTGGAATAGGCTCCTCCATCTCGCGGTCGAAAGTCAGGTTGAGTCCTGCATCGGAGATCTCTTGTCTCGAAAAGACTTAAAACGCGATGCAGAAATGGGATACATTCCCCTATGATATTACCTGGAACTTCAAGGACCAAGTACAAGCGGAGCGTATCAGGATTATGTTGGACGATGCCGGCTGCTCAGGATCCAAAAATTGGTGTCGAGAACCTCCACACGCGGCCTGCCAGGGTGTCCTCAATCCTGAAGTGGCTGAGCCGATCCGAGATCCGTGGAACTGGAAATTAGTAGTGCGAGATCGCTGAATTTGGACACTGGCAACAGGGTCTGACTGGATCGAGAAGTATGAGATGGAAGATAGAGCTATGCGGGTGAAGCCACTACCACCTCCACTGCCACCCCGGCAACTGAGTATCTGAGAGAGCCACTGTCCAAGCGTATAGACAACTAGGATAAGAAGGCCATTTCTACTTGGCGGGAGACACACGATCTAGTTGAAGCACATTCAATTGCCGTTGACTCCGAGCTTGCCCTTCTGTTCAGGCAGTCTTAGCCTTGCCCGCGTCACTTTTATCTTTCAGTTTATACTCCTCCTCTGTGACCGGGTCCAGCCAGGTAGTCTTTCCGCGACTGATAGCAAGGTGCGTCATCATACTCCCCTCATCGGCACCATGCCAATGGGTCGTCCCCGGCGGCGCCCACACAATATCTCCCACCGAAAGGCGATGTGGCTCTCCACCTTTGTCACAGATCCATCCCGAGCCGACCTTGACCTCCAGAACCTGCCCGTTCTCATGTGTGTGCCAGTACGTGCGTGCGCACGGCGTGAAAGTCACGTTGGCGATTACGATGCCCTCGTCCGTCAAAACCGGGTCCGCCCACACTTCGCCCGTGAATGTCGCCCCCCGCTTTTCCGTCGCGACGCCAGCGGCGCGTGAATGGCGGATGATTGTCATTGGCATCTTGAATGCGGTCGCGTTCTCGTCTTGATACGGTGTTTTTTGTCTAGTCAAATAGCAGCGTATTCGTTTCCAGAATGTTCAAGACCATGCAATCCCCCTTGTTGTTGATAGATATATAAAGACTTGGACGGATGGGCCAGCTTTGATATTAGCCGAGAGCGATGTCCTGCGTTTTGGGGCATTTGGAGACTCTCCGCATCGGACCCTCCATCTGTTGGTTGCGTCTACCGATAAGTACCGAAGACTCCTGTAGGAACGAGAAGCTACGACGCCTGTTCTAATTAACTGTTTAGATACCGAGAATCAATGAGCGCTAATAGCTTAACTACTTGACTCGCCAGATTCTCCAACTTTGCTCTGGGTATGTAAGGAGTATTGGGTTCCAACCTCCAATGCTTCTGAAGTCATTGCATTATTCATGTGGGGATATGTATACAATGCTCCAAGTCTTCTCTGGGAAAATCTGCTAATAATAATAATAATAATAATAATAATAATAATAATAATAATAATAATAATAATAATAGAGTCTCGCCCAGTCGCAAATATTTTATATTCATTGCGATCTTCTTTCACCACGAAACACCCACTGACTAGCTGATACCAAGTTTACAACGGAGTCGCAATGGAGGTTATTTCGACAATATTATCTGAGCTGACCGATAGATTCCTTCCCCATGAGTTCGTACGGAGTCATGTCCAGGTTATCCACACTTCTCAGCGTCACCAAGGCTAAAGAAATGGCATCCTCTGCCTCCTCTCTTTCATCTTGCGTCGCCGATTGGAAGTCTGAGACGGTGGCTTTCAACTGGATCTCCCGAGCCTTGACACACGTGAGGTAGAATTGCATTTGAACAACCCGGTCGTTATTCTGCGACTTGATTGCGTTGGCGACTGCACGCTTCGCGTACTTTTCGGCTTCGTAGACGTAGTTCATTCTTTCTTGTGGTGTGAAATTTAGGAAGTGGCTCAGGAGGAGACAAGTCGACATCAGTTTGTTGTTGACACTGGCCAATTCTTTGGGTTTTGCTGGCGGAGATCGGTCGCGTTTGGCGTGGAGGACACGGAGGAAGTCCTCCTGCGCCTTTAGGAGGTCCTTGTGGCTGATGATATCACGGGGCTTTTTGAGGTTGCGATTTGCTTGCTCCATCAGTTCGGCTGTGCGAAGTTAGGACGATATCTTGACTTCAGCTTAGAGCTGCGCTGGCTTCAAGCTTACAGATCTCGGTATCAGTGAGTGTTTTCCTCTCTTGCGGCGGTGCTTTAGCCTGCTGAGCGTGAGATGTCGTTCGTTCGACACAGAATTTCCGGTTAGGCGGATCTATGCTGAGAATTAGTACAGAGGCATCGAGGGCCGAGCTTTAAGAACCGCTACCAACACCTCTTTTCCCGAAGGTTCTTGACACACGCAGCAAGTCGTGGTCTCGTTTCATGGCTCGTAAGATAAGTCCCCGTCGCCGCATCGATCGCCCCTGAATGTTGATACTCCGCCAGTCCAATGCCTTGGAGGCCTTGTTGCACGTTGAACCGGAAATATCGCGTGTTCCAATGCATCCTCCAGCGGCCGGAGACAGCCTCTTCCGTCTCTCTTGTCCCGGTGGCAACGTCTTTGAGGCTCTCAGTTAGAAATGTCCATGCTTTGTCACTGATTGGGTCGATGATTCGATTCCCGGTTCCGATCGAGATAAAACATTTCACTAGTGGTTCAAGCTGGCCGGTAGTCTCACACCAAATGTTGGAAGCTTCCGTCTCCAACTCCGCCGCTGGGTTGTTCGCTCCTATCGCTCCGTCGATGTAGACTCGGTCACCGATCTGAACAGAGTCGAAAAAGGTGGTTGCAGCTGAAGTGGCCATTGCTGCTTGCCAGATAGTAGTAGGCTCGGTGTGTTCGCTTATAAGAGGGTAGCTTCTTATCAGGCTAACGTTGTTCATTTCCTTCGCTCTGGAACAGACAAAGCTGTGGACAAAGATTGTTAATATGTATGCTCGATACCAGCCTGGAAAGGGGAGTCCGCCCACACTCTGCACTTCTTGACTCCCGTTTCTTCATTTTCCAGACAAAACGGTTCGTCGACCGAGATCTTGTGGCCAGTAGCAGCCTCACGGCCTTCAATCACAGTCTTCATCGCTTTCTCCAGTGTTTTGGAAGAAAATCGGGACTTAATCTTTCCTCGGAACCCGACCGAGAAGAAACTTTGCTTCTTCTCAAAGACGGTTTTCATGAGCTTTTTATATGCTTCGATGCACTCATCAACATCCATCTCGAGTCTCCCGAGCATTATAGCTATGAGTCTGCAGCGGTCGAGTCAGCGCCTACGATGCACGTCTTTCAGCCATCGGCCGGCTAGCTCACCCTCCAGTGCTCGTGCCACCGATGAGATCAAAAATCTCACAAGGCTTCAGACGTTCCAGATTCGCCTCTCGACGCTGCTCATTAAGTCTTTTCATCTGAAAGATCCGTAAAGTTAGTGTCTGTCGCGGCTGAGGCTCAATGGTCTGTCATAACAGATGTTGGCTCCCTTTGTCCACAATAAGATAGCGAGAAATCGTTGGATATACGTCTATCCCTCTCTTTTTGAAATTGCGCTAGACATCAGGAGAATGGTTGGATGGAGGTGCAACATACAAGAGCACGGAGGATATACAGAGTTGAGAGCCCCCTCACTCCTCCTCCATCAAGGGAAAGAAGACAGAGCCCTCTGGTTTCGAGGTCGTTGTCGCCATTGTCCTTGGTGGCCGCATCTCCCCGAGTCTCATCGTGAACGATCATTTACTTGTATGTGAGTTGCTTAAAGATGAGCCTCAAGCCTAGCTGTGTGGCAATGCACCTAAAGCAATTGGAAGGTTTGGGTAAGAAGTAGAGAAATAACAACAACAACAAGGTTCTGCTGCTCGCCCTCCTGGAGATGATGAGGCTGCTCCCATATGTACCTGTCACATTTCAAGCGCAAGTTTCTGCTCATGATCTTATGCAGGAGTTGGGACTGTAGCAAGGGGTACTTGGAATCTTTGTTACTAGTTACAGCGCCTAATTCAGCCTCGTATTACAAGCTTCAATCGCCCAGGTCCAGCCAGTTCTGTGTCCACTAAAATATGATGTGACTTTGACATCCGAAACGGGCACTGCCATCTCCGTCAAAACGGTGGCTTGAGCCTCGACCGACTCAGAGTTTCAGTTCTTCGGTACCTCGTCCCCCCTTCTCATCCCTCATTGAAAGGGGTGAGCTACGCCACACGCATGCTATCGAATTTCGTATCGCACATTTCAAAGTTGAAAGCATCGGAAGTTAGGAGACTCTGTCGAGGCATCATGCTGCAGAGCCTCATCCTCTTCATGAACGAGGTAATTCGCCAGGCAATGAAAAATGCTAATTGATTCTGCCCTTGTTTTACTCATAGTCATAATATCCCATCCCAACCCAACCCCATACTCCACAAAGCGACCTAATGTCGAGGAGGGAAGTACGGCCCTGGCCCGATCGTCGACTGATAAGCGCGATTTGACGAAAGCGCACTCGGTGGAACTGCATAATGTGGATAGGTGGGGCCTATCATGACACTAGGCTGATTCACCTGGGATGCTGACTCGTCTTGATGTACCTCTGAATCTCCTTTCAATAAACCTAGCCATAACTTCTTCTTGTCCCGCCTGATTTTCCAAAATAGGAAACCTGCAACGATGCTGATTATGACGAACAGTGCACATGCGACTCCGAGCGCAATGGTCAGTGTCTTGTTCGTGGAGGAACTCGCGGTGGATGTTGTCTGTGATGAGTCGCTGGAAGAACTGGATGTTTCGCCGGGCTGGCTATTTGCTGTAGTGGCGGTGGATGCGGAATTGGTTTTCTTCGTACTTGTTTCCGCAATGTTCTGCACCGGGAGCGCGGTGAAACCTCTGTCTGTACAGTAGCTTGAGTAGATGCTCACCGCGTTTTCGAGGTTGACGGAATTGTCGCCCACCGTGCACAACTCGGCTATGCAGGATGAGAGCCAGTCATGACCTGCCAACTGCAGATCTCCACGGCAGTAGCAATCATCCACGGCAGCCCAGGTTTTGCTGCATGGGCTGTTCGGGCACCCGAGCGCACTCCCAAGCATGTCCGTATAGCAATCGATGTTGGCGTACCCCGTCGTGAAGCAATCTTGGACGCAGCTTTGTTGGAAAGAGAAGGCATCGAGTGTGAAAATTGACTGGTGCGCCGCTGCAGTCTGCGCTTCCGTAGAGCGGAGAAATAGACATAGGAACCAGATTGATTCAAGGAAAGCGAATGACTTGGAGGAGCACATCGTAAAGCTCAGCGAGAGAGACCGACAGTCTTGTCAAAGACTGATGAGAAAGCGGGATACTGAATAGGACACTAACAAATGAACAGTTTGTCTGTGAAAGTAGAATGAGGTGGAGGAGGATCGTTAATCTCTTCCTCGCTTGCGATATCAAGTCGTTCTAGATCCCTGATCTAGTATCAGAGCATGAAAGGGGGGTGCCATTTCAAGAGGGCATTCCTAGCACTGTTGACTCTTCCGGCCCATACTCGTACTCCGCGAATGTACAATGTGAACGGACAAAAGTCCACAGCGGATGCAAGATGCTCCGCCCGGTTTTGACTGTCACACCGATGGAAGCGCTCATTGGACGAGGCACAGATGACCAGGGGGTTAAAAGGGGTTAGATGGCAGTAGAAATACGAGATAATCGCTTATTTTGGCGATAACGACTCGCCATGTTTTCCCCAGCAAGTTTCATCTGGATTGCCTTGCTTGCTTCAGCCATTTTTCCAACATATGCTACAGAATTGACTCAGGGCGGAAGAATCAACTTCGTACTCCGTATGTCTTAAGGCCATCCCGAGGTATTCTCCCGCAGCTCATTATCGATTGTATTCTTTTGACTCATGTCAAGAGTGTGAGTCCCCGCGAACAGAGCATGAGCGGATTACGATAAAAGCACCGGGAGGTCCAGATATTAACTCAGGCTGAAGTCCATGCATCGCTCCCAGGCCACCTCCCTGTACGTCATGAGGCTGAAGGCCACCTAGAGAGATATCTAGATTTGCAATGTCCAGAACCCCTGCTTACTTGACCTTGTCGCACCATTCTCGTCATTCGTTGGCGACCAGCAATCCTCAAGGCTCGCCTTCCATTCTGTCGATTAGGCCTACAACAAGCTCTTGAGCGTGTCCGCTAGCGTAGACTCAGAATGTGCTCCACATACACAACACATTCCGTATCGATCCTGTGACGGACTAGCTGCTAGGGCTGCATCGCTCAAAGAGACAATGCATGGATGCGGGCAACGAGTGCTCTGAGAGCTTTCATCGTTATGTCATTAAGCGAAAGAACGTTAAATGTATGCACATCCTGACGTCTGTGACCATTTCAATGGAGGCCTGGCAACTATGGCAAATTCCTTGCCCGGCAACCTCCTTCTATCAATGGGCAATGCTACCACATTGATCGTCTTATTCCCTGCTCTAGAGCCAGCCTTGAATGTCCTTTCGAACGTCTCTGTCACCTTCCATCTTTTTCCAAAGCAAAGTGTCTCGCTTTCAGCAGGGCATAGATAGTCTCTAGTCGAGGCATATGCATGTTGAAGTCGCGGCCCAACCGTACAGTGTTTCCAACGATTGCCTCAACTTCAAACGACCTGCCTTGTTTCACGTCCTGCAGCATACTCACTTGGCGTCCCGTTCCAGACTCCGCCCTCATTTTCGCTATTCCCAGCCTCTTCTCTGCTTCCTGAGTGGTAACTCCTGGGATGCCAATTTTGCCTGCAAGTGCAATGATTTCCAACATGATCTCCCACACCAATTCATATGCAAAGGGGGTCGAGGTCGTCAGGAAATCTCCGTCTGTGCATAGGGTCAGCGCACAGATGGGATTCCAGGCCGCGTTCATCAGCAGTTTCGTCCAACGGGATATTTGTATGTCTTCATGAACTTCCGCCCCGCCTCCCCCTTTGATCATCAGCTCTGCCATCTTTGCAGCAGCGGATTTGTGGGATGGTGGTGCATTGGATGGATAGGTACCAATCTCAAGTAAATTTAACATTTCTGAATACTCGATAGTGCCCTGAGCTGTCTGGGTGGCGGGAAGATAAACCACACCGCTCAAGATGGGATTGTCCGGAAATTCGTCGGCGATCTGTTTCTCGATATCAATTCCATTCTGCGCGAGTACAATTGCAGTCTGCGGTCGACCCACCACAGCGGGCCTGATCATATCGGCCAATGAAGGATCGCTGCTGGGGAACGACTTTGTACACACTAGGACAAAGTCGTAGACCTTTTCTCTAGGGCATTCTGCGACACTTTGCACTACGATGTCAGGTTTGTACTTCTGATTACCAAATTTCAGGCTTTTCAGCATGAAACCGTTGTTCTTGACCGCCTCATAATTCGAGCGGCAGACTGCAGTTACGCTGCACCCAGCTTGCTGCAGTTGATAGAGGTAGACAGCCCCAATACTTCCAACACCGAATATAAGAACATTCGGGGATATCATCTTCTCACTGAGAACAAGACTCGTGTTAGTGAAAGCAATATCTAACAATCTGGCCAACTCGAATCTCCGTTTGAGATTGAATTGAGAATGACGAGGTTCGTGAGGGGAGAAGGCCTGATGACAATTACGATGATGATGAGAGGGGAGGTAGCAAGTATATCTAAAGTTGCAGGTTCGTTTTTCACTTGATGCCTAGCAGCTGCGTCTCCACACACATGAAAGGAAGGCAACAACGTGTTGAGTACGTCGGAACCACTGCCGAGATATGGATTTGAATGATCGGCATGAGCTTTCCATATTGCTTGCTTACGTAGTCATCATCGGAGATGTCCTCCCTTGTAGGAATACAAAGGGTTGTGCTTTCGGTCAAGACACAAGATTGAGCTGGTTGTAGATAGCTTCTTCGGACCACCATTGGATCCATGGCGGGTGCGTCATAGTGAGAATTGACCTATCTTCACACACTACCAATATTAGTGAAAGGGCATGATAGAGGCAAAGTCGGAGATCTGCTCAGAAGAAAGTAGAGCCGGTTGCCCTAAACAATTCTATGAGTCAATGACTATACCCCACTCATAAACTCCTTGGATTTCACCGTAATGATGTCCCGGAGATCAATCATATGTGTGCCTGGTGCTCAAAGGGGTGGCGATACAGTTCTGTTCCGCACCATTAAATTCCCTCACTTCGGGCGAGAACGATGTACATAATCTCAAAGTTGCGCTCGTTTACAGCTGATGAAATCGAACCAATGTTGGCGTGAAAGACGATTTTCAAAAGCGTGGATCTCGTTCATGACGCTATTCTTCTCCTCTCCTTGAGAAGAGGGGTCCTGACCATTGTGAAGCAGCTGCAGTGACTCTGGAATTCGGAAAGGCTCTTCTGACAAGAAACAGGATTCTGTGAGGTGTCCGTGTGTTTCGGTCAATTGGCCTTTCAACAAATCAACAGGAGCCTCAAATTGTTCCATTTTCTGATCTAGAATTATAAATCAATGTAGCCATCACCATACTAAATATCGGTAAGACAGGCGATCTCGTTCAGTCTCTTCGGCAAGCCGCAAGAGAAATTCGGTACGAATGAACAAGTTGCGATGTTGCCTCTCAAGCGACGGGGAGCTGATTGGTTGATAGGGTCAGCAATAACAAATCCGCCACCGGAACTCCATGTATAAACGTGGTTCACAGAATACTTCAATAAAACAAATAACCCCACTTTTCGTTGAACCCAGGACTGATCAACCAGGCATCAGGATCCCAAGACGCTCCGCCTGATCTCACCGAGAATGAGGGCATCAAAAAGAAATCACAAAGTATCTCCTTGACGTCGATTGTATCATTGAGGATGATTAGGTTATCGCGCATTCTTGGGAATGGAAATCGATCAATCCAATCGTGGTGAGGCGTCGACAATTGCAACGGTGTAGGATAAAGAGACTCCGGAACACTGGGCGGTTGAGGAGGCGACCTGTCGAATTTTGACCCATTACAGGTGAGACCGAGAAGAGTGCCATTCTCGGTGACTGCAATTATTGCACCAGTCTTTGGGTCACATGGCAGCAGAACCTGATCAACTGGCAATGGTATTGTGGATTCGTATGAGTGGATCTTGCCCGGTATCGTCCAGGGAGAAAAATCGACACATAACGGTATTTTATGACATAAATCACCTGTAAGGAGGCTTTCAAGTGCAGCACAGTCCAACGAGGCGGTACAAGCTTTATTGCTACTATTTTCGCGTGATTTGCGCCGGACGACCAATGCTCGCTCTGGACTGTTGCTAGCCTCTGACAGGCGTTTTCCTGTTCGTTTGATCAACCAACTTGACAAAATAGAGACTAGGAGGTAAGCGAAAGGGTCTTACGTCGCGCTCTTTGGGCTAGGCGGTTCTGTATCTGCTTCCTTTTCCGGGGGTCGACGACGCCATACCACGAATCAGGATCCTCTCTGTGAGCCCTTGGAGATTCCATTTCGGCGAGCCAGGTGGATTTTCGAGACGGCGTGCAGATATCACAGGGTAGTCTTACGGCTCAGAGGCTGATTAGGATCGAGGGACTAACAAAGTGTTGATGTTGAACCCGAGAGAAGGATTTGTTTTCGATCCTGACAGTGCTCTAGGTCGAAGTCACTGAGAGTGGTCGAAAGGGTAAGTAATCATCCCCGCACCGCTCGACATGGTGACCGCTAATATATGACAGAGTCATTTTGTGGCTTCGACGCTAATTTATGACCGTCAAGCTATTTGCTGACTCCCCAAGGGGCCCAGCCCGGTCACGTGAACATTTTGACGATTCCAATACCATGGATGCTTCTTGATATTGCCTCACGCTGAACATGTCAATGAAAAGCCCAAGCAAGTAGTTAGCGGACAACATCTCACATAATGAAGATGCATTGCCCTTGGAAGAGGCCGCCTTTCCTCGTCCGAGACTCCGTGTTCTAGCCTATGCTCGACGCATATTGCATTATTTGTAAGGCAAGGCTGTTCGTCCGTTGCCCTCGAACCAACGAGGAACTGATATTGAACACACTATATAATGTACAACCTATCAGTGGATGTGTTTAGCTCAGAGGGTTTGTCTCCCATTCGCAAAGCCCGAGCTGCTTACCTTCACTTCTTCTTTGACATCCACTCCATCGACTACCTCAAAAGGCTTACACGATGTCAAAGCCCGCTCTGATATTGGTTCCTGGGTCATTTGCCAAAGCAGAGCTATATGACAGTTTTGTGGAAAAGGTCAAACTTCATGGACTTGAATTCGAAGTTGTTGATCTTCCATCGACCATCGACCGCTTTCCAGAGCCTCCAGCAACAGTGGCAATTGACGCGGCTGCGATACAAGCGATTGCGTCCAAATACATCGAACAAGGCAAGGAAGTCCATATTCACACGCATTCATATGGAGGCATTCCGGGTACAGAGAGTATCAAAGGAATATCGAAATCCGCTCGAGAAGTCCGTGGTTTGAAAGGGGGTGTCAGTCGAATTGTGTACACGACTTCTCTTGCTCTGCCCGTAGGTGTATGTCTAAAGGATGGTATGGGGGACAATTTGCCGGATTTCCTGACTGTCCACGTAAGAAGAGTTGTCCTTTTCTCTACTATGTTGACTAGCTGATAAATCAGGGTGACTACATGTCGACGGATCCTGTTGCAAACTCAAAGTTGACCTTTTCCGGCCTTCCTGATGAAGAAGCACTCAGATTGGCAAACAACATGTCTGTGCATTCAGTCGCTAGCTACGAGAGTCCCTTGACATATCCAGGGTATAGGGATGTGGACGTTTCATACATAGTTTGTGATGAGGATTTGATAATTCCATTGCAAGCACAGGAACAGATGATTGAATTTCTCAAGCAAGACACAGGAAAAGTCGTGGATGTTTACCATATCAAGGCCGGGCATGCACCTCACGCCTCTGAACCTGTCCTTTTGGCTGAATTGTTCCAAAAGATCGCTGTGCAGGCTTCATAGTATTCAATTTCTACGCCAGGCACGACTGCTTTGTTGCACATAGTCAGTCCCACACCACAGAGCATCAGACATTAAACCTTTCGTGGGGATTGAGTGTGCTAGGCTCTCATGTACGGTCAGAAAGTACTAGTAGTCTAAGATGACAGATGACGCTATACCGTGTTGTCAGGCTTAAGCTCGATGCATCTAATTCCAAGTAGACTGATATTGCACAACCGGCCAGACCCCTCTCATTGAAGCAAGATACTTGTCCAATTCGAGGGTCGCGAATCCCATTGGGGGAGCTTGACTTTTCGTCCATGTGTCCTGGATGTGGCGGACCCCACCATACGAATTCCCCGGCTTTCGCCTCAAAGAAATCTCCCCCATGGGGTCGCTCCCTGGCAATACTAGCCAATCAGCGGGTCAACAGTAACCGGCAGTATCTATAAGAGGTGAACATGTCCACGGCGAGTCCGACACAAGTACCTCGTGGCCGCATTGACTATCTTCAACTCATCTAAGATTTGAGAGATCACTCGAACGCAAGATGGCGCTCCTCACATCCTACATTGTTCGCATCAGCTTGATTGTTGCCCTTGGTGGCTTCTCGTATGGCTTCGGCTTCGCTGTGTTCGTCACCAGTATTGGCCAGCCAGGCTTCTACGAGTATTTCGCTCTTGACCCTACAAGCTCCTGTAAGTAGCCTCGAAGACGCGACCAGAACAAGACTGGCGCTGCGAGTTCTCAGGCTAACGGAGTCTTGTTATAGATACGGCGAAAATCCTCGGTGCAGTCAACTCTCTAGTGTTCTTTGGAGCTGCAATTGGAGCTCTTATCCAGAGCTATCTCGCAGATCGTTACGGCCGCAAGAAAGCAATGGCTATTGCGTCAATATGTGGCCTCGTTGGCGGAGCACTAGCTGCTGGCTCCGTCGCCGTCGCCATGATAATTACTGTTCGGATACTCCAAGGCTGCGGATTGGGCATGCTACTGGCCCTCGTACCTTTATATCTTACAGAGATAGCTCCGCCTGGCCGGCGAGGGTTTCTCACCGGCCTCACCGTCATGTCCTTTGGAATGGGATACGTTATGTACGAATTACTCTAATGATACTTGACTGCTGACTGATGGAAATAGCTGTGGCTGGATTTCGGTTGGTGCCTACCATGCGGCGAATCTTACACTTGGTTGGAGACTACCTCTGGCTCTTGCCTGTGTTGGGCCCTTGGCCTTGCTCATTGGGATTCCTTTCATTCCCGGTAAAGTGACTCTCTAGGATCTATTGTCAATGTCTGACCTTGTGCTAATAGAGTCGCCTCGTTACCTTGTCTGGTGTGGCAAACGCGAGGAAGCATGGGAAGTCCTCCGTTCCTTGCATCGGGACCCTTCAGATCCTTCAGAGAGTCTTCCGCGCGCTGAGCTTACTCAGATTGTCCGACAAGTAGAATATGAGAAAGAGCTCAGTGCAGGATTTATTCAGTTGTTCACAGTACCTTCTTGGAGAAGACGCACGCTGAGTGTAATGTTTCTCTTGTAAGTGGACCCACGATCTTGGATTGGAGCTCTAGCTGAACCTACTCTTTAGATTTAGTATCCAAGCCACAGGGGTATGTACAAGTCGTGATATCAATGTTCAAAAGTGATCAACTAAAGGAGGCACCAGATCTATGGCATTACCAACTTTCTCGTCGTAATATTTGGAAGTCTCGGCGTGAGCGGGGACATGCCTTTGATACTTTATGGTAAGTAAGAATTTCCTCTAGAGAAGCATGTAGCTCCAATCTGACAACATTTAGCGGTCCATACCACCGTTGGTACTATATCAGTGCTTATTAGTATCCTGATTGTGGACAAGTTTGGAAGACGGACTCTGTTCTGTAAGTAGTCTCCTATCTCTTCGCCGGTTTCGACCTCAGGTGCGTATTGAATGCTAATAAGCGACAGTGATTGGATTTCCCTCACTATTCTGCTGTCTGCTCGCTGAATCTCTTCTCTCCATGAAGTATCTGGGTTCGGACAACAAGGCAGGAAATGCAGCTTGTATTCTATTCATGTTCTTGTACATTATCTTTTTCCAGGTGAGTGGTCTGTCCATTAGGAGTGTACAAGCTAAGTTGATTTCATTTGTAGTGTCTGGATGCCCCTGCGTTCATCTGGGTCGCAGAAGTCTTTCCAACACCTATCCGCGCAAAAGGCATAAGCTTGGGTCTGTTTTCTACGTTCACGGGATCTATAACCTTCACAGCGCCGTCGGGCCTAGCATTCAAGAATCTGTAAGTGAATTCATAATATGAGGCACAGTTTCTAACGGTTGAAGTGGCTGGAAAATGTATCTTATCTACTGTGCTCTCTGTGTCGTTGGCTTTGTGATCACGTACATATGGATTCCAGAAACGAAGGGGATCCCAATCGAGGAGATTGGGGCTCTCTTTGGGGACGAGGTTGCTGTACATTTGACCGCTGATGGACATGGCATCGTCGAGGATAAAGAAGGCGTAGAGCAAATTGAAGATGAGAAGGTCGTTGCCGTGAAGCAGGTGTAATGCTGGCAACTTCTCACCAAGAAGGTAGTACAGGACAAATTGGAACTCCGGGACATTGCAAAGACATACGCAAGGGAGTGATGAGAGCAAGTAACAAGTGTAAATAATACCTGGCCCCGGTGGGAAACACACTCACTGTTGTTGCTACATCTACTTGACTACCACAGGACGAAGATGCATGCGCTTGTGTGAATAAGGGGCTTTGCTCACCAATCTCACGAGGGTGACATAAGCAAGGCTGAGAAATTGGCAAATGATAACCCCACTCGAAGCCAGCTCGCTCCAAACCACCCGAAACAGTCTCACCGCACTCCGCCACCAATCATCAGTCATCATGTTAGTTTCAGTCAAGATTCTTCGTCCACAGTCAGCAAAACGTTGGTGTAAATACCTTAACATCCGTCCGAACTGCGAAAAGTCTTGAGCACGCGACTGTCTCGATATTTTGCAAGCTACCTCAATTACTAATCACCTAGAAGTTTCTTGCATTGCTCAGGCGGTATATTCTGAATTCTCCATGGTTTGGAGACCGCTTGCGGTGAGTCGATAATGGAAGAAGCGGTCACCTACGCGAGCGGTGACACTTTGTCCCCACCAGACCTGCGACTGCTACATTTCAATGATGGTAAGGTGAAAGAAAGAGGGAGAGAAACATTGATTCATTCCCCATTGTCTTTGATCCAAAACCGAAAACTAATAGCAAGCGTTGTCTAGTCTACCACCTCGATGCCTCATCAGCAGAGCCTGTAGGTGGGATCGCCCGCTTCCAAACGGTCATCAACCACTATCGTAGTGGCGAGAAGTTCAAGGGCCAGCCGGAGCTGGTGACATTCTTCTCTGGCGACGCATTCAATCCCAGCTTGGAGAGCAGTGTCACCAAAGGTGAGGAAATCTGCTTACCTCTCCGAAAAAGGGGCCATTTTGATATGGTCACATGAAACAGCGGTTCACTGATGGTCGTGGATAGGCAGCCATATGGTTCCCATTTTGAACAGTATCGGGACGAATGCTGCTTGCGTTGGTGTAAGTCCCTCGAATCAGCAGTGATGACTTCGCTGCAACCGGACTCTGATGCTGAGGTGTTGCAGAACCATGACCTCGATTTTGGTGTTCGGCAATTCCGTAGCTTGACATCGCAGTGTACCTTCCCTTGGCTCCTCGCGAACGTCCTTGGTGAGTCTATCTGGGGCCATGGGATGTGGGTTTCTTTTAGATACTGATTGATTCACGCTGCCACACTCAGATCCAGCGCTCGGTGAAAATGTCCCGCTGGGAAACGCACAAAGAACCCTGATGCTGACCTCCTCCAACGGTATCAAGATCGGAGTGATTGGTCTTGTCGAGAGAGAGTGGTTGGTTACCATCAACACACTTCCACCTGATCTGATCTACAAATCCGCTTCTGCAACAGCGATCGAACTGGTACCTGGCCTACGAGAGCAGGGCGCCGAGATCGTCATCGCGGTGACGCATCAACGGGAACCCAATGACAACAAACTCGCAGAGAAAACTCCTGAAGGACTGATTGATATTATTCTAGGTGGACATGATCACTTTTACAACCACTCGCTGATCAACGGCACGCATGTCTTGCGATCTGGAAGTGACTTTAAGCAGCTCAGCTACATCGAAGCGAGACGGCGAGGCGGAGACCAAAAGGGTTGGGATTTCAATATCATCAGACAAGATATCACCTCCGCCATTTCGCAAGATAAGGAGACTAGTGATCTCACCGAGAAGCTGACCGCAAAACTGAAGGCGAAGCTTGGGAAGCCCCTTGGTTACACTGCAGCTCCGCTAGATGCACGATTCACAACCGTGCGGCTGAAAGAGTCAAATTATGGCAACTTCATTTGCGATTTGATGCGCTCGCATTATTCAGGAGATTGCTGTATCATGGCTTCAGGAACCATTCGCGGAGATCAAATCTACCCACCGGGATTGTTGCGTCTCAAGGACATTATGGATTGGTAGGTCCAATTGTCTCTCAGACATGACCGATAAACAGACTTACGAGATGTCTTTTTAGCTTCCCCTTCGAGGACCCATGCATCGTGATTCGAGTAAGCGGAGCTGCGATCCTAGCCGCTCTCGAAAATTCGGTCTCCACATATCCCGCGCTGGAAGGCCGGTTTCCCCAAGTGTCCAACATCAAGTTCGAATTCGACCCGTCTCTGCCACAGAATCATCGAGTCAAATGGGCCGAAGTCGGTCGCGAGCCCATCGATCTGGAGAGAAAATACGTCGTCGTGACACGAGGGTACATGGGTCGAGGCAAAGACGGGTTTGACTCGTTGCTCGTGGAATCTGAAGGCGGCAAGGCGGAGGAGATAGTGTCGGAGGAGAACGGCGTACTGATCAGCATGATGCTGCGGCAGTATTTTATGTCGCTGAAGATCCTCGGCAAGTGGAAACACTGGGGCAAGAGCTTGAACCGGCACTGGGAATGTGTACAGGAAGATCTCCACGCGACACATCCCGTGGTCGAGCCAAGCCCCACGGAGGTGCGGTCCACGCATAGCCTGTTCGGCGGAGGCGGAGGATCAGCACCTGCAGGGGGCACCGTCACTCCGCTGGACGACTCGGAGGACGAAGGCGAGCACGAGCGTGTCCACATCCCGCAGCAGTGGAGCGAGCGCGAATTGCAGATCATCCGCAAGGTTATGCGCAAGTGGTGGCGCCTCGCTGGCCTCAAGGGGGAAGCCAAGTGCTGTGATAGTATCGGAGAGGGGGAGTTTACCGTCGACTGGACAAGGGCAAGTGAATTTCGTCTCTCCTTGAGGCAGTTCTACAGATGTGGAGTGTAGACTCGTTTGCTGACTTTTGCCATTGTTTCTAGGCCATTGCTCCGAGGTTGGAAGGACGGATCAAAATCACTGGGAAGTAGGATTCAGGCATTCTAAGTGGACGAATGGAGAAAATGGCTCTACTTGGTGTGAACTGGACTGGGTACAGAATAGATGAAACTGGCCGGGAGGGACAGTACCTGCTCGCGAAGACATGCCAAAGTCAAAGCCTTGTTACTCGAAATTGAAAAATTCCCCACAACTGGATGCTGTACCGAGTACTGGCGATTGCGATTGCCTATTCTCCTCGACTAGGTAGTCAGCCGCATGTCTGTGTGGAGGACAGTTTGGCCAACCCGAGTACTGCGCATCATCCCTCAATTGTGCTATGTTGTTCCTCCCAATTACTCCGGACAAATTCATTTTGTCGATCATCTTGACAATCGTGGGCTCTAGTCTGCACTAATAACAAGCAAAGCTACACGGGATAGAGTTATGTGTGAGGCTTTAACCAAATGTCGACGAGGCTGTTGCATAGCAAATATTCATTCTTAAGTGCGGCTAATTTGCTTCCTGAGAGCCCAAACACATTTTGAGTTGTTGACCCTCTGCGACCAATGTCGGCTTTAACCATATAGTTTAATCACCGAGCCGTTGCTGTCAAAGGTCTGATATTGGGGCAGCTCTTGTGAAAGTGCTCCTCTCTGAATCAGCTCAGCCTTGACCAGAAAAGTCTGCTATAATATCGCGAGGAGTATAAGAATCGATTCCCCTGAATATTTGCATGATTTTGCTTCATCTTAATGTTTCTCCGACTGCAAGGCGCATCATAATTGTTCCCCTTTGCTGGCATTTTGACGAATTCTAGACAGTTAGACAGCAGCATCAAGACGCATTTTGGCCTCGCGGTCGCAGCACTTCCTGTCATTTATGGCTGCCTTCTGCATCAAGTAGTCGCCATGCCTCCTACAAGCCTTGGGCCTGACAGGCGTCTTCCCCGGTTCCACCTTTGCCACCCAGCATTCCACACGAAAGATCACACTCAGTTCGCAAATCAGACCGATTGTTTGAACAAGAACGCAACACAACACAATCTGCATGCCACAGGAGTCAATCAGAGTTCAGAGCCAGTGCGAGCCCCAAGTCTGAATGTGGCAAAGATCAAGACAAGCCCCGAAACCAGTGCAGCTCCGAGTCCTAGTGAGGCAGGAATTCAGAACGCTTCCAGATCGACCACGTCCTCGCCTTAGAGTATGACAGGAATCAAGCCACCCTCCAGGAACAGTGCATCCGCGAGTGATAACGTGACGGGAAATCAAGCCAGGCTCCAGAACCAGTTCATCTCTGGGCCCGAATGTGACAGGGATCAGACCAGACGCCAATAATAGGACCTCCACAAGCAGCAATGCAATGAGTTGCGAACGTCGCTCGAACCACTCTGGATCCAGTCACGACCGGGCTTGCACAGAACATGGCCATTCTCACTCTGCCGATGCTGAGGAGAGGAGATTTCGGGACAATGGCGCCCACACATGGTGGGCGGGGGGTGGGAGAAGAGTAAGGAAGGCAGAGCGAACGAAGATAGGGGAGGAAAGACGGAAAGGAACAATTCAGCGAGCACAATTCGAGGGCATAGTTTGGAAGACCCCACTCTGTTACTGCCGGCATCTCTCTTGGGCTCGGTCTGAACAGGGCGTGGGCTTGAGACTCCGGGTACTGATCATTGTACGGTATCGGGCGTTGCCCGTCACAGGGCGAGAGCCTGCGGGTTGCAGAGTCGAAACGACTTCTAGAGAAGACTCACCTTGAACACATGGGTAGATTGGGACTGTCGTCAAGATGCAAGGCAAGAAACGTGATGTCTGCAATGAGCACACAAAAGTAAATACAAAGTAGAAAAAAAGAGGGCGGAAATGCTGGGGAAGGAGCTGGATGGGTGCCACCCACATCCGACCGTAGTTATGTAACTACGTAATTAGGTGCCTGCCTTTCCGAAGCGTGAAAACCCACCAATGGAGATGGTTCGAATTCCATTACGAGAGACTCTCTCGGAACTAATGCACAGAGCCCCGAACCACCCTCAGCTCAGGCGGAATCATCCCTGCAACGAGTCCCTTTCTGCGCAGTACGGAGGACGGTGGATATTATCTAGTATCCAGAATAATGTCGCTGTATTGTTGAAATGTTGAACATGCACAGTGAATGTTCCTCAGAGATCATCAGCACGTTGACCTGAATATCCTCGGTCGGTATGTAAATGGTATTTGACCCGATCTGGAATTACTTTGTAATTGCACTAGGTGACGAAAACGGTAACACACAGCGAGGTCGCAGGGCAGAGCAGGTTACTCGTACCTTGCCCTACTTACCCGTATAGGCGAGGGCCCCCGCCCCTAGAGGCTCCTCAGGCACCACACTGCCGATGTGCCTTAGTAAACCTAGCGCTGACCAATAACTGCAATGTCAATACCAACCGCTCGAATCGCCGGTGGGCTGGGCGCCCCTAGAAACCCTTGCGTGCCCTGCTTGAATGTGTGCCCCAGGGACCAAAGCAAGACCCTCGACCTTTTTTGGTGGGTAACGGAGCCCGTAGCAAGAATATTCTGACAATACGAATACACCACGATTATTACTGCCCCATATCTGTACACTTTGACATTTCTGCACCCGACGCTTCCACCAAGTTGCTCTATTCCTCCTCCCTTCATTCTACACATCTCGACCTGCACTCACTCACTTGCCTCGTCTTGCTATTGAATCTCCAGAAAAATGGAGGCTCTCCTTCGCCAGTCCAAGGGCGTCTGCCCCTTCTTGAAGAAGACCTCTCCCGCAACTCTGCGCTCCCTCTCCAGCTCCACCCACCAATCTCCTGGTGGCGGTGCCATTACCAACTTGCAATTCATTGCTCGACGATGCCCTGTCATGAACAAGGCCCTCGCTGTCCAGAGCGCTCGCATTGGCTCTCACCGCAGCTATGGGAAGCTGGCTACCGGAACTGGTGTGGTCAAGTCTCTCCTCGAGAAGAAATTGCACACTTCCTCCGACAAGAAGGCCAGCGTTGATACCAACATGTTTCGTCCTGCCCAACCTGGTATTTGAGCCCCTATTGCAATTTCCAATCCTCCATGACTGATCTGTCCAGCTCCACCACCAACCAAATCCCAACCCGCTGTCAAGAACCCCGATACCTATGCTGGTCCAAAGCCGAATGCCCCACCTACGCCCCGCTACGACTATGAAGCATTCTACAACAAGGAGCTTGAAAAGAAACACAAGGACAAGTCTTACCGCTATTTCAACAACATCAATCGTCTGGCCAAGGAATTTCCCCGGGCTCACATGGCAGCAGAGGAGGAACGAGTCACCGTGTGGTGCTCCAATGACTACCTCGGCATGGGCCGCAACAAGCACGTCTTGAAAACCATGCACGAAACTCTTGACAACTATGGCGCCGGCGCCGGCGGAACTCGAAACATCTCGGGTCACAATAAGCATGCTGTCGCCCTTGAACGGTCCTTGGCCGATCTTCATGGCAAAGAAGGTGCATTGGTCTTCTCGTCCTGCTATGTTGCCAACGACGCTACCTTGGCTACCTTGGGTAGCAAGTTGCCCGACTGTGTCATCTTGAGCGACAGCATGAATCATGCTTCCATGATCCAGGGGATCCGTCACTCTGGTGCAAAGAAGATGGTCTTCAAGCATAATGATCTGGTCGACCTCGAAAACAAACTCGCCAGCCTTTCTCCAGAACAACCCAAAATCATCGCCTTTGAATCTGTCTACAGCATGTGTGGCTCCGTTGCTCCCATCGAGGCCATTTGCGATTTGGCTGACAAATATGGTGCCCTGACCTTTTTGGATGAAGTCCATGCTGTCGGCATGTATGGCCCGCGAGGTGCAGGTGTTGCCGAGCATCTCGACTACGATGTCTATGCCAATCCTAACAGGACCAAGGCGTCTCAGAAGGGCTCTGTTATGGATAGAATCGACATTATTACCGGAACACTGGGCAAAGCATACGGCTGTGTTGGTGGCTACATCGCCGGCTCCGCCGCGTTGGTCGACACAGTTCGATCTCTTGCTCCCGGTTTCATCTTCACCACCAGTCTTCCTCCTGCAACCATGGCGGGCGCCCGCACTGCCATTGAATACCAGGTTCGGTATCAAGGAGACAGGCGTCTCCAGCAGGTGCACACCCGAGAGTTGAAAAACGACCTCACCGCGCGTGGAATTCCAGTCATGCCCAACCCTTCTCACATCGTCCCAATCCTTGTAGGTGATGCCGAAACCGCAAAGAAAGCATCCGATATGCTTTTGAGCGATTATGGCATCTACGTTCAATCCATCAACTATCCCACCGTGCCCAGAGGTGAAGAGAGGCTCCGCGTCACCCCTACACCAGGCCATACTGCCGAGCTGCGAGCCGAGCTGGTGAGCGCTCTCGACAACGTCTGGAACCGCCTTGAGATCAAGCGCGTGGCCGACTGGGAAGCCCAAGGTGGATTCGTCGGTGTCGGTGTCAAGGATGCCAAGCCTGTCGAACCCCTTTGGACAGATGCCCAGATCGAACATGCCAACACAACTCCTGAGCCTGCATTGGATGAGGCACTCGAAGAGCGCGTAATGCCTGTTGCCGCTTCAGCAGCGTAAATCTCCAACCCACATTGGTACCTCAAGGCGGTTTGTTGGGAGTGACCTGGATTGACAGATAACGAACATCTGGCAAGACAAGGAGGTGATGATTTATATGTCTTTTTCTTCTTTGCTATCAGGAAAGCTAGCAAAAGTCCGGCTCTTCAGCCACCTCTGAACTGGAGCGGAAGAATATGTCTCTCATTCGGTGAGAATGGTTCCTTTCTGCCTGTCAGATTTATATATTTTAAAATACTCTTGCTTCGCCATATGGCTGAAATGGATTGAGGCCATCTGGTTCCTCCGGCAGCTGGCGAAACCATGAACACAATATGAAATCGCTATCTGCGGATAGCCATTTTTATCGTTCTACAAAAAGAGGTGTTCCGTTCCATCACGCGTCCTGTTCCTTGGTGTGATAATTGTAAAGTATGCATCTCCGTGCTTCGTTCTCAGTACGCAGTGACGTGACTAATGCCGGCGCGGATTGTACGCTTTCTTCTGCACGCCTTTCCTTCAACCAGGTGCGAAATGGAAGGATCAACCCGACTGACAGACACAACATGTTTCGCTCACTAACAACAACCAGTCGACAGCTTCTAATCGCCACTATTTACCGTCTCCCAGGCCTCCCAGCACTGACCTTGGGAAACTCAACGGGAAACCTGAGCTTCGCGAACTTGGGTCTGGGCAGCGTGATCTCCTTGCCGTCCTCATCCGTGATCTTCCTGCCGGCCTTGCCGACCACCTTCTCCAGGCCCCAGGCCCGCAGGTCTCCGTCGCTGACGCTCTCTAGCTTGCAACCTAGCTCGCGGAAGAGCTTGGAGACCTCGGTTGACTGTAATGCTAGGTCGAGCGCGATGTCTGTGGGCTCCGTGATGAGGATTTTCGAGCCGTGCTGGAACCTGGGCGGGGGAATGTGGAGTGTGAGCGCGAGGATGGTGGTTGTGAGGAGGGTCTTGGCTTGTGTTGTTGGTTGACTGGTAGGCAGGAAGCGGGCGATCAAATTGCTCAGGAATGCCGTTGACAGGCTCGAGTCTGAGGTCGTCTTGGCTGGCCATTTGTCGGGCGGGGGGATCGGTCGCCGCTGCGGGAGCCGTGAGATGTATGTATGTAGCTCGATGAGGAGGAGGATGTAGCGGAGCAGTTGTAGGTTGAGGAGGAGATGCTCATCCGCCGGGTTGGAGAGGTACGATTGGGTGAGGTATTGGACGCGGTTTGCGACGAAGCGCGAGCGTGAGCGGACGTCCTTCTTCGACTTGATGTGGTCCCGCCAGTAGGCGATGGGCATTTGGGAGAGGGTCGTGTATGGAGGCGCTGGAAAGACGAGTGCCGATAGAGGATAGACGTCCCGGATCTCGGTGGCTGAGAGGTCGGCTTGTGGGAGAGGCTTGCTAGACCGTGAAAGGTTCGTGTTCCCGGACTCGACGCTGTTGGCCACGTCGTCTTCGTCCTTGATTGTGGAGAGGATCGCATTGGAGATCGGGTCGTCGGCGTGCTCGCCGCTACCAGCTAGCAGACGATTCTCTGCCACTGAAGCCACGGCTTTCTTGGACTTTTTTGTTCCGAATGCTTCGGTCAGAGCTGCGCGAGAAAAAGGTGTCGCTGGTGGGAAGGAGGATGTGCCTTCTTCCTCGTCTTCTTCGGCATGCTCAACCTGGCGGACGGTGCTTCGTACGGTCATTTTCTTGGCATCTGTCACCTTCAACTCGTTGGTGGCAGGGTCGAAGATAGCAAGGTAGTGTCTGATGTGCTTCTCGGTCGCATTGCTGGTGCTGGTTTCCACAGCCGTGAAGTCTATTGTGGGGTGTGAGGTCGAGTGGAGGAGGAGGTCGGATTTGTTTTTCTTGGAAAAAGAGTGGAATTTGGCTTTTGAAGGAAGTGTTATACCAGGGGAGGAAGCTAGAGGGGTCCATTAGCATTCATGAAGACACTTCAGGTCCCTCTTTTGCTATTCCACTTACCGACAACTGGTCTGGCTACGTCGGGCCCGGTGAAATGAGAAACTCGGACTCGAGCGTTCTGGGGCCTCTTGGACGGCCTCTCGCTCTGCTGAGCATCTGCTTTTCTCTTTCTCTCGCTCATTGTGTCTTCGATTGCCACTCCGGATGATGTGCAAGATTTGCAGGATGTGAACTGCAAGCGAAGAGCGTTGGGTGCGGCGTCGCGGGTCAAGAATCGTGAAGTTTCTCCAACTCCGAAAATTAATTTTCGGTCAGAGGCGGCTTGCCCCACACACGATCCAATGGTGGACGGGAAGTACTGCAGACGACACGTGCAACAGTGCCCACATCCAAGGCGAAATGCTAACTCTGAGACTGCTCGCGAGGAGAAACAGAAGGTGATCCGCTGCTGTAGACTACGACTAGTTGTAGAATTTGCGAGGGAAGAGTCACAAGGAGCAGCAGATTACGAAGGTATTGGTTCAGAGCCGATGGATTGATTCATTCAAGACAGTATTTGCCGTTCAAGTGAACGACTTCGAACCACTTTTGATAGCTTGCAAGCTCTGACCATGAGAAAAAAGAGTCTTTGGGCGTCGAAAGAATTGTCAGAGATAATTTTCTGCGGACCGAAAACCTCTTCGGAACACCCAAGACATCATAAGCAATGTGCCTAAAAGCTCCACTGGGCTTAACCATCCTCCACTCCTCCTACACGATTACATGAATTGACACACGGGTGACAAGACGATGCCTGTAAGGCCGAGACTTTGTATAACCCACTTCATTGTTGCGAATGTCGGAATCGGTCGCAGTAAAGAGTGGTCCAGGTCAAATTGCCGTCTGCGCTTGAGACTTTTGGACGACTAATTGTACTGGGAGAAAGTTCATTGACATTGGTCGAGAGAGGAAGATGTGATGGAGCAATTGACACAATTACTTGCTGTGGGAGGAGTCAGTGATTTTCCAATTGATACTCATCCAAGACTTGAGGACATACCTGCGTGCTCTCGTCTTTCTCCTCTTACGCTTGAGTCTTCGAACTCGCTTCTTTCTCCACTTGGCTCTCATCTTCGTTCAAATTCGACTATGAGCTGTTAGTGGTATTCATCACAGTAGTGCCTGCTCATTGAGCCGGTTGGCCGCAAAGTAGCGACTGGAAAACTTACGATTTGTCGAGGATGAGGATGTTGGATGAGAGATGGTAAACAAGAGGGAAGCAGCTCGTGAGGGGGTTTTGTGGACGAAATGGTGTGTGCTGTGACCTCAGTTTGCTTGGCGCCATTTACACGCTAATCCCAGTATGTCTACTGATCACGTGCCGACCCGATGACTGCATCGCTCCTTCCTCAACTTTACTCGTATACGCCTCTCAGCACTGCACGTCGAAAAGACGCGTGCTTTCCAATATTCAATGATAAATCAATGATAAATGCTCCTACTGTCCTCTTGCTTCTGAATTTTTGCTTCTTCATGACTTGTCACTTGACGTGGTCCATTCGTGCCTTTTTTTTTTCTTGCCATGGGCGACCTGGCTGTTCTGATTCGCGTTTGTGTTGTTTTCCTTCTTCTTTCCTTGAGGTAATCCCGTACTTGCTTTCCTAATGCCTTTCTTGCCCTCCTCTGGCGTCCGATATATGAGCGATGTTCATGGAACTGCGGAAAAGCCTCCACTCGCCGGCATTCTTCTGCACAAAGATGCAGCTGGTAATATATTAGGGAGTTTGTTGCATTGGTCTTCCATCTTTCTCGGCCCCAGTTATACTAGCATTACCAGGAAAAGAAATCTGCACCAATCGTGAAATAATTGTCGGTCGTGACAGTACCCGGTGGTAGGTCTTGACTTGAGCATACACACCTGCGACTTAACAATCGTACAGTCAATACGTCCTGCACGACCCTCACGTCTCAAAAAGACACCTCAGACTCTACACCGTGGTTTACGAAAATGATGAACCCAATGAGGTGGATACTCTTGTTTATGCTGAAGACTTATCTCGCAACGGCACGTACTGGAATGGAAGTCTTATTGGACAAGGGAATGGCGAATATCTCCTCAGCGATGGAGATGTTCTCAAACTGTCTCGCAATACTTATCTTGTCTTCACCGGAACCTCTGGCTCACACGACAAGTCTGCTTTTGATCTGACCCAAGAATGTGAAATGGCTGTATGTTCATTCTGCTCCGACCTGGACAGAGACTGACTCGCTCAGCGGTTCCGGAATGATTACATTATAACAGACAGATTGCTTGGTGCGGGAGCTTTCGGGAAGGTCTTCATGGCTATTGAACAAAGAACGCGAGTGCAAGTAGCTTGCAAAATGGTCGACATCCGGAAACTTATACCTAGGAGGCTCAACAGATTTGGTCACCCCGAACAACCAGTCCCTGCCAAAGACTCTGATTCCCGAGTTCAGATGTGGAAGTTAAAAGATTGGATCAATGAACGAAAGAGGGGAAAGAGCGTCGAGGAAAAGTTGAAGCTTTATTTCCGTGAAATTGAGATACTCGCTTCGATCAACCATGTGAGTCAATCAGAGTGCTTGTGGCATCATCACTGACAGAATGAAGCCAAATATCATCGGTATCGAAAAGGTCTTCATCACCAATAATACATTGTGAGTATCACTGTTATGTTGCTTTGGTTCCCTGCTTTGCTAAAGTTTCAGGTATATGATGCAAAATCTCGTCACTGCAGGCGATTTATTCTCTTACATTGAGTCGAAGAATGGGATGTTGCTTGAAGTTGAAGCAGCAGGAATCATACGCCAGATCCTGGTCGCTGTGTCGTTCCTGCATGAGAGAAACATTGTGCATAGAGACATCAAGCCTGACAACATTCTGATGACCAGTTCATCTGCCGGATGTCGAATAGTTCTTACCGATTTCGGTGCAGCACGCAGGATTCTAAACCAAAGGCATCTGATGTCAACACAGATTGGCACTCACGAATATGCTGCTCCGTATGTCAATCCCCCTTTATTGTCGAAAAATGAATGCGAAGCTGACGAAGCGCAAGAGAAATGTTGATCTCATCAGACGTTCAAGAAAAGGTCCAGAATCGCGCATACACTCGAGCTGTGGATATGTGGGCTGTCGGTTGCGTGGCTGTCGTACTCCTGACAGGCGGCTTAGCATTCTGCGACCCTGTTACCAACTACTTCTCAGAAAAACTGTCCAAAGACTGCAACCTCGAATTTCTCCAGAAGTCAACCGATTGGCAATCCTTGAGGACGCGTCCAAGGGAATTTGTGGAAAATCTTCTAGTGCTCGACGAAGATGCAAGGATGACTGCGGAGGCGGCTCTCAACCACTCTTGGTTTTCCGACCAGCCTCATAAAACTGAATTCGAAAGCCTCTATCAACGCACAGTCAAGACTTGGCATCCGAAACCTCCAAAAGCACCCGTTGTTGACTTCATGGACGACGGGTCGATCAAGCATCTCAGTTGCTCTCAGAGCTATCTGGAAAAAACCTACAACAAGCTTCCCCGCAAACGTAGATATGTCCCAGTCGAAGAGCCTTATAAGCCTTTCTCAAGGACGATGCATTTCGCACTCTTACCGAAGAGAGACGTAGGAGGCAGGCTCTCTGATGAAATCTTGTCGGCTATTGAAAATAATTGGCCGAATGCAAAAGAGCCTGCACGAGCCTGGGAAGCAAGATTGAATAACGCTTCTAACGGTCAGCAGTCTTTCCGGTCCTGCACAGCGCCAACACGGAGATCCAGAAGAGAACCACCGGCAATCAGCCTCCAAAAGGACTCCGCTTTGTCACGCCTGACTCTCCAATCATCACCGACTATGCTGAGGATACCCTTTAGGTTGAGGTGGGATGAAAAGCGGATGGGAGACCCTACTGATAGTAGCCTAGATGCAAATTTATCTGGCATACTTGAAAGAAATGGAACTCTGATGCCAGAAACTTCAAGAGCGTCGCAAGATGAGGGAGGTCCAGATCGGCTTTTTACTAAATATCCGCATGGCCCTCAGCAGCCAAAATGTCGTTCTCCACATTCGATCAGAGCATGGGAAAATAGTTCGAAAAGGCAATCTGAGATCAAGAATTCTATCGAACTTACTACTGATACCCACAATGCAGGCCCAAGGGCCGAGTCTAATGCGGATGCCCAAGATTTTGGCAGAATATTGAAGAGAAAGGCGCCGAAGCTAGACTTGCAACTCGATACTAAGCGCAGACGACACCCAGGCTCAATATACGATCTGTCAGATGACGACGGTGATAGTGACAGTGATGATGTTGAAGCTTCGAAACAACGATTGTTGGTGCCTGACCGAGAAGGGAAATTGATTTACAGGCATCAGCCCACTTCGAATATTTAATATTCACCAAGGTGAGGCATTAGCTGGAAGGTATCAATCCCAAGTCTCTCTCTTGACACATGCCCAATGAGAGCATCCAATTATTCCGAGCCTCATGAATTGCCATATGGCAATGCACATGAATATCCTCATGGATGGAAGTCCGATGTGGATCCAGGACAAGCAAAGCGTGCCCGGGCATTCTATTCTCAGTTACAATAAGTCTTTCGATCGAATTGAATTTTCAGACTTCATGTATGATGGTTATTGTATTGAAGACCCTTTCTGGTGGATCGTTTTAACCAGTATCGACTCTCTGCTCGTGGCTCACTTGTGCCAACAAAGACGGACTGACCCTACATTTTTGAAAAACCCACAGCACCTCGTGCTTTGAGCCTTTCTTCGAGTTTGATACAAGCGAGAAATTCTGTCTGTGGACCTGTGAAGCTCTTCTTTCCGTCGAAGATCCAAGTCACGACGCTAATGAGGCCGATGACACCAAATGCGGCGCTGCAGTAGTCCATGTTTTCGGCATTGACAGGCCCGACCTGTGGAAAATTGAAATCAACTCCAGCGAATACCAGAAACGCTAATCCTATGGCATTCATGAACGGACTCCATCTGCCGAGTGTGTATGCACCGGGCATCTGTCTCGACTGAGGGTTCGAGCCGTTGAAGTAGCTCCACAGACGCATGAGCAGACGCATGAGCAGCGGCATTGCGTACGAGAGGTAGAAGCCAAATGTGGCGATGGAGATGACGGTGGCGAGGCCTGTGTAGAAGGCGAAATAAAGGCTATTCAAGCCCATCTGACACAGGATGATCGAGTAGACGGGCACGTGGCTGCGCTTGTTGACTTTAGCAAAGACACTGCTAAAGGGAAGGCCGTGGTCACGTGCGAAAGCCCATAGAGCGCGTGAGCCCTCAGCCATGAGGCTGTTGGCGGCGATGATGAGGATGACGGTGATCATGGCCGCGAGACCTGTCGCTACTGACACGCTGTTCGTGCTGTCGTAGAAGATCTGGATCAGCGGCACCCCCGTGGACGTCAGCGCTGTCGTTTCCAGGTCCCCAACGCAGGAGAACGCCGCTACTAGGAAGGCGAATCCCGTCACGGCGCCGAGGTACACGCTGAGAACGATTGCTTTTGGCGCTTCTTTCGCTGGATTGAGCATCTCTTCTGTCATGTGGCTGTATGAAGGCAGGTTTCGTCAGTCTGGAGCTCAAACTGAAAGCGGGAGAAGTGGAGCGAGGAGAATGTGCTTACCTCGGGGCGTCATAGCAGGCCATCCCTTGGCGGTTGAAGAAACAATGTCAGCTAGATACGTTTCAAAAAGGTGGACAATCAAGAAGAGGTCCTGTGAGCAGCGGAAGGAGCAAAGGGAACTCACCAAAGAACGACTGCAAGAGCCCAATCATGATACCCATACCGGGACTTTCGAAGCCTGTCTCGTTCTGGAAATCGCTAAAGATGAAGCTGGCGGGTTGCTTGTTGTCCTTGCAGACAAGGATGGTAAACGTGACGACAAAGAACGACAAGACGTTGAACACGAGTGCGAATGTGTAGATATGGTTCAAAAATCGCGAATAGAAGACGTTGATGAGTGCTGTGAACATGGCCAAGAGGTATGTCACCTGCACGCAGTGCCAGCGCTCGATCGTGTAGCTTGGGTTGTTGAGGTTGGCCATGCCGAGGAGGAAGCTGGCTGCAATCTACCATTGCGGTCGAGATAGTGGTGTCAGTCTTTGGACGACATAGCATATTGTAAGAGACTAGTGGAAGGAGAGGAGGCTTACGAAATTGGTCGTGGCGCCCATGGCCACGGCACCAGTACACATAAACCAACCGGTCACCCACGCTGCTCCTCTTGCATATTTTGGAGGTGTCAATATCGCAACCCTGATGAAGACAGTCCACATGTCAGTATCATCGCGGTATACACGGTAGTCTCTGAATTGCTGATGAATATCCATGAATATTGACCGCCAGCAATCGGGTAAGCAGAACACATCTAAAGATTGAATCGGTCAGCATATTATCCTCTGAGATTGAAAGGCTCAGAATCCAAGTCCGAAAAGTTTCCGACTCACCTCAGCAAAAGAGTATGCGACGCACAATGAAAGAACAGATATTCCAAGCCACGACCAAACCATGACCGCCGAACCACCAGCGACAATACCGACGATCAGTGTGCCTCCCAGCGCAGTCCAGCTGGTGACAATGGAGAAGCTGAAGCCAACCATGCCAATCAAGCTGAAGGAACGCTTGAGCTCTATATTCCGGAAACAGAGTGATCAGTTTATTGTCCAGAGACCTTCTATTGTGGAGCTGGCATTCTCAAGCATACCTTGTTCATAACCGAGCTTTGCCAGTTGGACTTCATTTCCCATGGATGCGTCGAATGCTTCATTCTTCTGTCCCTGAACTATCGCAGATAGTTGCTTGGTCGCCATGGGGATGTGTGATTGGTATTGTTTGCTGTATCTGTCGAGCGCGAATGGAGATTATGTGCCAGCGCTTGAGAGAAGAAGGTCGGAGACATAGAGCCAGGCTGAACGTTATATAGACAACAGCACATCCTAAGCCCATCTGCCGATTGTTTAGGTGGTGCAATCCAACACACTCCAGGCCTGTTTGAGGAGCCGGATGCCAAGGACGTCCAGCAGCAATCGTCCTGAAAAAGGCCCCATGGCTTTCCACGAAACACCAATGGACATACTTCAAATTGGTGTTTCGCTATCTGCTCCATCGATGGCTAGTCTGGCAAAGGGGAACGGCTATATGAAAGACCGTGTATGGCTGGGAGTCTGTGAGACAGGACAGGTTTCTTTCCAATGGCAAGTGAAACCTTACACACAGAAGCAGCTGCACGTGTTCCCTTCTTGAAGTCAAGGGGCCTTCATTGACTCCCGTTCTTGCTATGTTGATCCTCCCTTCCTATATAACGTGTTTCATCCACCGTGATAGTTCATTTCTGGTTAGCTCTTTAAGCAGGGAGCCTGTCGCTGATTCGTTTGGATGCTATCATTGCGGTTAGATTATACGATGTTCGGATCTGTAACACCCACGGGTGAATCTTGGGGACCACGCGAAGCCATTGACACAATGCTCCAAGCACTTGTGGCGGCTTTTCCTTGCTATGCATATATCCCGGGTGGGATCCGAGACTGAGATGGGTCTTGTCCTCACTATCCGGCTTGGCCAGCAAGGCCCTGGCTCTCGGATATAGCCCCTGACTCATCGATGAGAAGCAGAGTACTCCGTAGAATAGAAATACACAACCTCGACCAGGCTGCAACAGACCTCCTGCGCTTGGTGTCAATCCCTCCTCAGCTTCGTGGCCGTTTCATCATTCCAGAATGACTATTGTTGAGCCACGAGTGCTTGCAGTAAAGTAATACGTACAAGCTAATCTCACATTGTTATGTACCAATCTCTCATGCTTCAAATGTTGGGACAGCCTTGCCACGCGCATCTTGCTAGCCCAGATTGCATACCGATGACGTTCAAGTAGATAGACCCGTAGCCATCAGCAACCTTAACTTGCTTTCCATAACTCGTGAGTCGTGCGTCTCGTCCAGCCTTCCAAAGAGGTAACCCGCTAATTCCTTCTCATTGGAATGATCATGCAGATCTTGTATCTCCCGGCGCTATTGTGACGGATCTCCAGATCCCGCTGGTGAATGTGAGCGCTAATTATCACATCAACATCTTCAATTGAGACAGTCCGCGGTGCAATCTCGATAGTCTGTACTGCGCCTACTCCTGTTGTTGCTCTCCTTCTTTGAAACCTGTGTCTATTACGAGGCTCCAAGGTAAATGTTGGTTTCGATTCCAACCCCGGGGACGGGGACGGGGGCCTGGCACTCTCATGAGAAGCAGCCGTGCTGCGTACCTTGTCCTTTAGCTATGAAGTCACAAATTAGTTATGCGCTAGTAGATTCCTCTGTCTCAGCCGGTAGGCCAATCACTAGTCTTGATTCACAGGGGGAAGTTGGTAGCAAAGGTCACACAATCATGAGTGGGCATGCTTTGGAGCACATGGATCGTTAGCTGTTGTCTGAACAGAGGAATGTAGGTTCATGGAGGCGCGCGGTCGACCATTTCCGCTCCAACAGAGGGCTCAGTCCCATATGTCGTCTAGCGTCTCTTGATTCTACACTAGGCCCATCCTCACATTACGGATCGTTACCTATACCTAGCGACACCTTCGTACCGATGGGAGGAAGTTGCGGACAAGCCAAAGACAAAGGAGGCGCCCCAAACTGTGGACCAAGCCGCCAAGCATTGCCGGCCGCTATTTAATAGTAGCTATATATCTTTTTGGAATTTGACGGAATTATTGCACCCTATTGTCACAATGTCTAAGTAGATATTATTTACCTAACATACCCTCTGTCTTTTGCGTATGCCCTGCCGATCATATCTTGTACTAATGCTTGAGAACAGTCCCCTCCCCAACCGGGCCTCTATACACTAAAATCTCTCTCCCTCACGTGGACTCGTGGACTTGAGATTGATCATAACAAGCAAGGTGGATTTCTTGAGCCACAAATATTGGCCCCTACTGCGCTGGCGGCGGTTGCGGCGTCGGCGGTCCTGACAGCTGTCGAGGCTGAGCTGTCCCTGCGTCATGGTTCGATGGAATATGAAATCGCCGATCTTGGTTGAGTGATGAATCTCCTCGCGGTTGGGCATTGTAGCGACGAGAGCTCCGGTCTGTCCCCCCCGCGGACTCAGGCATTCCAGACATGGTCGGTCTGGGCGTAGCGGATGGCGTTGACGCGGATAGCTGCACAGGCTGCAAGCCAGCTACTTGGGAACCGAGATTTTCTTGTCCTTGCCCTCCAGGAGCACCAGGCGCTGCCTCACGGAAAGGCATAGTGCTATTGTCAAAATCCAGGTGGTGGGAGTTTGTCCCCTGGTCATGGAGCACCGATTCATCATACGTGCCGTCAGGCACATTCCAATTATGTGCTCCAGAGCTGGTGAAAGCCGGGACCTGGACCTGGGGTTGTTCTTGCTCTGGTGCCAACGGCTCTATTGCAGGGGGGTTTGCGTTCACCCGTTGCCATAATTCTTCATCTGTTGCGTTGGGATTTGCTTGCATTATCGGTAACATATGGGCTTGGAGCCTTTGCTGGTTTCTGTTCGTATGCTGCTGCATACTGAGCTCGGCAGCGGCATGCTGCGGGTCTATTTGGCGTCCTGCCTCCCTCCAATTTCCATGGGTGGCTGTGTTGTAAGTTGGCAGTGGCGGAGGAGGAGGGAGGCCCTGATATCCTTCAGGGGCCGGTGGAGCTGCTCCATCTCTGCCTAGTACCGCTGTGTTGTGACCAGATGCCTGAAACGGACCTGGTGTTACTGGGGGAGGTAGTGACACTGGTGCTTGAGGTGCTGTGGATGGTTGACTCGCCGGCCTCACTGAGACATAAAGCACCGTCTGCGGCGGCGTAGGAGGATAGAGGGCTGTCTGAGCAAGGTTAGGCGGAACCCACCAGTGAGTGACACCAATCCTCTCGACGTTCACATCGGTCGTGTTCGCGGTCGAGACTCTCAGCGGAACCAGGGTGTAATTTTCCAAGAATTGCCTCGCTGCATCTTGGCCCGCTTGATCCGGCCACAGTTCAGCAGAGATCGCAGGCCCGAGCACGGCGGCTGGTGAGCTGCTGAGGATGGCCTGTAGCCACTGAAGATTAACTCCGACATTGTACACAAACGCGCCTTGATAAGTCCCGGCGGTATGGTCGACAGCGGTGAACTTGGGGCTTATTCCGCTGGTTTTGGCGAGGACGAGGCTGTCTGAAGATGAGAAGTTTCGCTCTGGTTGCGAAGGATCTACTGTCTTGACCCAGAGTCGCCGTATGTCAATTTGGTCTCGGTTCTGAGCCCCGTCTAGCGTGCGCACCCGTGTTAACATGCTTATCCTAGAAGACAGCAAGGGACGCAACCAACGTACCAATCCAATTCGCCAGATCTAGAGCCACAACGAGACGATTGATATTCGCCGTCCTCGTCGCCAGCACATTCGGCCCCGGTGACGCGCCTCCCCCGGGCGGACCCAGGAACGTACCGGCCCCAACGACATAAAAATCACGGATGGCTAGCTGCCGCTGCCGCCGACGATCGTTAATGGCTTTGGTGACCGTGGAAGTTACATGCTCCTTGGTTCTGCTCCGAACGTATCTCTCGAAATTCGGGGTGAACACGTCCCTGATGGCCTTCTTTGCGCGGCTGTCCTCTGCCGAATTGCCACTACGCCTGAACATAAGTTGAATATTTGGCGTTGGTTTGCGGGAAATGGTCTTTCTGAACTAATGGTCGTGCTGATTGATGGTCACACGCCATCGGAGGTCGATGGTGTCTTCGCTTGAGAAATTGTCGAGTATGTATAAATACTATCCGTCAGAGCAAGAAATACTAACCACGCAACAGCTCGAATTTCGGGACCATCTCAAGGTACATCAGCTTCGCTTGATCTACTACTGAAAAGCATCAACTCTACAGCGCCCTATATTTAGTGACGACCGCATAGTGTTGAATCAATTATGGCCAGCATTGGGTGGCCCTGCGCTGCCATTATACCCCCTCCTGACTACCTGCGCAGCACATCCTTGTCTGGGAGAAGAGAATCGAGTAGTTAAAAACTAGTACTTAGCGATCAAGGCATCACCCCTTTTCAATAGATTCCGCGAACTTGCAGAGGCTTCATCGCTATGTAGCAACCTACCACGCTCGCACGCCTTCGCACGTGGTATGTAGTGCTGAAAATCCTGAGGCCCCCCCCTTTAAGGCCCCCCCAATGTCAAGGCCTGCGGGCCCTTGGCCGAGGGGGCTTAACGAGGCTTCCTTTTCGGCTTCTCGCGCAAGGCGCAACCGATTCAATGTAACCAAAGGAACGACTAGTCGAAAACACAAGTTAAGTTGAGCGCAAATCTAACGAACAATTAGTTCTTTTACATATTGTTGATATCTTCCAGGGTGACATAAACATCTCTCTATCGGAGTATCTCCAGGGATATAACCCATTGGAGCTACTCGCGAGGCAGTTCCAGGACAGATAGGGAACTTTGAGACCCTAGCTAGCTGGCCAGATAGTTAGTTGACACAAGAATCTCAACGACACTCATTCATCTATATTCATCTACTCTCGACAAACAGCATTCGAGTTTCCCGTTACCATTGCCCCGAAGAATCCACCCCACATCAGTCGACGACGGAAAAGCCAATAACCCAGGGAGACGCGTGAACTAACCAGCGTTACTTTGAATTCTTGGGGCCCTCAAGTAATAAAGTCTGGAAGAAGTCCTCTCTCCCAGATTGAGATCTCTCACCCTCTCGCTCGTCATATCAGGCGGTGGGGGAAAGTGCTGATGACAACTAAGTCTTTCGTCCCTCTTCTCTGATGCGAACGAGGGAACAGAGTTTGTGGAAGACCTCGCCCGTTGAACACATGGCCTGTCCCCGATTTTCGTCATCTTCATTCCATTCACAATGCCGCAAGGATGGTCACCACTCTCGTCGCATCTGTAAACCATCATCCCATCAATCCAGTTTGCAAGACTTTGCCTAGCAAGAGAGAAATGCAACCCCCCTGCGTTCAAATGCTTTCTAATCATACACGCGAAAAAGCCACAATGTTGCTTCTCTATTGTTGAAGCAATGCCCAGAATTCCTCCCGATTTGGGTCTTTCATATTAATACGTGAGGTATTGAAATGACAAATGGACTTGTTGGCAAAAGGCGGGTTTTCATTAGCCGCCCATACCCAAGTCGCCTTCGGCATCAACGATGGCCAGTCTTTGTTTGGCCGTCTTTGCCTTCTTGCTGACACCTCGGCCACCTCGAGCTCCTGGCCCTTTCTTGGGTCCCGGTGTTTCAGTCGTTTCGACTGGTGTCGCTGCACCTGATGGTTTCGCTGAGGCATCTTCGAAATGTCCTTCGCCTGCAAAACATAGTTAGCGACGATCACTAGAATAGGGATCAACAGAAGTTCTTTACCTTCATGATACATGTCATCTAGACTCATCTCACCTTTTCGCTTCCTAGCGGCAGCGGCGGCGGCGGCGGCTTTCTTGCTCCTCTTCTTTGTTATCTCCTCTTCAGGCTTCTCAGAAAGCTCCATTTCTTTCTGCTCAATGAGTGCAGCTTGGTCGTCATCAGCGAGCCACATAGCGATATCCTTAGTTCGGTTTTCGCGTCGATCTCTCGTGTTGAAGTCAACTCCGGCGCCATCTCCACCTGTGATGACAACACGTTGGACTTCTTCCTTCTGCATTGCTCGCTTCCGGATCCGTTCCTCAATCGTACCGCGAGTGATGAGACGATAGACCGTGACCTGTTTGGTTTGACCCAGTCGATGTGCACGATCCATAGCTTGAGAATCGATGGTTGGATTCCAATCGGAGTCATAGAAGATGACGGTGTCAGCAGAGGTCAGATTAATACCAAGACCGCCAGCTCTGGTAGAGAGCAGGAAGATAAATATCTCTGGTCTCGTTTGGAAATCGTGGACAGTGTCCCGACGATCCTCAAGCTTCGTGCTACCATCCAAGCGGCAGTACTTGTAGTTGCGGTAAGTCAAATACTCTTCCATCAAGTCTATCATACGGGTCATTTGGAAGTACAAAAGAACACGATGGCCTCCATTCTTGAGCTCTCGGAGTAGTTGATCCAGTTTCGCAAGCTTACCAGAGTCTGTGACAAATCGTCGCATCGAAGGAACTCCAATGTGGGTAAATCTCCCCTTTTCAGATTCAGCTTTTGGTAGCAAGTTTGATAGTGGGTAATTTTGGGGAGCTACGTCGTTCTTCAACAAGTTCTCTTCCAAGGTTTCGTCTAGAGGGAACAAGACACTTCGGATCTTTGAACTGAAGAGGGTCAATTGTCGTTCAGAAAGGGAAGACTGGTCAAAGCAGCTGACTTCGATCGGAGGAGCCGATGCCTTTGGACCAGCGGCTGGCTCAAGAACAGGGTAACCAGTGTCGATGAGCGCATTCTTCGAGACGCTGCATAATTTGGCTAGATTGGAATTCGGATCGAGTTGCGCAAGAGCCTGTCTTGGATTGTTTTCCACAATGTTGAACATGGCATGGATTGGGGTCTGCACCTCAGAATCTTTAAACACAGTAATCGCTCGCCTTGTGCCCTTCCTTAGCTCGATGGCACGCTCAAAGACGCCTGAATCTCCTGCGACACATGCTTCACTGGCGGAAGTGTCGACAAATCGCAAGAAAGTGAAGGCTTGGTCCCCTTCTGCCGATGCTTTGATGTGCTCAGGAGTCCAAATCTTCAACAATCCAGCCATCTTATCAGACCTAAAGCCAGCCCTTCGAAAGCCGGCAGTTTGATTGTTGGGACCAGCAATATCTAGTCTGCCAACATCGTTGCACAATATCCGTGGAAGGTCGTACTGTATTTGATTGCGCACTGAATAGCCGACCTGTACATAGGAACCTTCTCGCAAGAAAGATGCAGTCTCCGCAAAGTATGACATGGAAAATGGTGAGTGAGTATCGGCTCTCTCGAATAAGTCCGGGTGATTGCAAACTTTTCGGAATTGCATGACCAAATTCATCAAGGTCGCAGTGTCTTGATCATCGCCAACAGTCGCCTTCTCGATAAGATCCATAATACTGATTTTGCTTCGAAGATTGGCGTAGTATGCTCGTTGTCGGTAGGTCAACTCGCAGAAGACGTCTTTCTCGACCTTGTCGCCCAGTTCTTTCTGGACATGTGCTTTGACTCGGCGTAACATGAAAGGTTTCAAGATCATATGTAGTCGTTTAAGTTGATCTTGATTGAGCTTGGTATTACTCTGTGCATGGCTTTCAATATCCTTTGAGAACCAGTCACTAAACTCATCATGGGAGTCAAATAGTGTCGGCATGATGAAATGTAGCAATGCCCATAGTTCTTGCATGTTGTTCTGGATAGGTGTACCCGTCAAGAGGAGACGATTGCGACACTGGAAAGCCAACAAAGCCTTCCATCGAGAACTGCTCGAGGATTTGATAGCTTGGGCCTCATCCAAAATCATATATTGCCACTTGATCTTCTGGAAGTACTGAGCATCTTGAACAACCAATTGATACGAAGTCACAAGAACATGGAACTCCGAATCCTTGTTGTAGGTAATGTGCTTCCGGTCCCAGAACTTCCGCAGAACTTTACGATCCTTTGCACTGCCCCAGTATGGTAAAACTTTGATCGTAGGTACAAATTTGGTGACCTCCTGTTGCCAATTGTGTAAAGTCGAAGCAGGGGCGATGACCAAGAACGGACCCCAGACATTGTGCTGTTCGGCCAGGTAACCCATTACTGATATCGACTGCACAGTCTTACCGAGACCCATTTCGTCGGCCAGGATACCGTTGATGCCTTGCTCGTATAGATTGACGAGCCAGTTGAGGCCCTTCAGTTGATACTCCTTTAGTTGAGCTTGCAGCATCTTTGGTTGGGTGACTTGAACATCACCTGCCATGGTTGGGTTCTGGAAGTTCATATCGCTTGAATCAAAGGCAGCCATTGGATCTTCACCATTGAAATTGCGGGCTTTGTCCTGGGCGTCTTGCAAAGCACTCGCAGCGTTGGCCATTGCTGCTTTTCTGAGTTCGGAATCATCTTCTGCATCAAAGTCGAGGTCCTCGAAGTTGGTTACCTTGTGGTTACCATGCTCATTGGAAGCCGACATGTCGTCCATGTGAGTATTGTGGGTGTTCGGTTTAGCCGCACTACCAGAGGCCGCCACTTCAGGGTCATCTGTTGCCCTCTCAATCTCGTCGGTCTTGATCTTGCGACCGATAAAGTGAGAGTAGATTTCGGTCTGCGAAATGAGGAAATTAAGTTTGCGCTTCTGTCTGTTTGCCTCTCGATCGGCTTCTGCCTTCTTCGCGTCTTCAATTTCTTTGCGTTCTGCCATACGCCGAAGGTCGCGCTCTTCGCGTTCATTACGCTTCCAAAAGGACATCATCTCACGCATAACTCGCTTGGCTCGAGCTTGAACATCTTTCATGCTCTTATTGGTACGCTCTTGCCATTTGCGTGCCTGTTTGCTGGCCAGGATAGCTGTCTTTCGTAGATTCTCATAGCGAGTCGTATGGGAAAGCTGCTTCAGGCGGAATACCTTTGGAATGTCCTTCCGAGCCATATCTCTCCAGATCTGTTCGTAGATCTGATTATAGCCTTTCGATTCATAGTTGATTGTCTTGTCTGGGACAAGGGCAGGGACTTCCTTGGCTTCTTTGGCCTCTTTGGCCTCTTTGGCCTCTTTGGACTTCTTGGCTTTGGAGACAGTCTCCTTTTTGACTTCTTCCTTAGGGGCAATATGGACGAGGGCTTCTTTCTCTTGCATGGCAGCGTAACCGGCTTCAGCAGCGTCCTTCTCGGCCTGCTTTTGCGCCTTGGATTTCTTGGGTCGGGTGGACGGGCCATCTTTCTTGGAACGTTTTTTAGGCGGTTCACCAGGCTCTGGGGAACCAAGCTGGAATGTCGAAGTAACACCACCTTCATAGTTCGGAGCGGGTGCAGGGACTTCCATGTCTTCCTGTGCTGGGCCACCCTCGAGGAGTTCTGTGGTCTGCCTGATCCGTTGCTGAGCCTTTTCCGCTTGCCTCAAATATCGCTGTGCTTCCTCCTGATCTTCAGCTTCCCTTGCTCGTTCATGAAGCTCTTCCACTTTTTGTGTCTCATTCCTAATCTGCTGCTCACGACGGCGTTTTCGTTGCATGTCTTTCTTTCTTTCTTTCTCGCTTTGGTGATCCTTGTCTGCAATCTCCTTTGCAGCGGAAGCTTCGAACCGTTCGCGGAAGTGATGTGCGCCGGTCGTGGCAGAAACGTCAAAGGACTTGGTGATATTGTCTAGGAAGTATGTGGTCCGACGCTGTGATGAGGTTAGCAGGGCTGGTCTGGATAAGAGACGGGCTCAAATGAGGACTTACTCTTTTCTTGCGGTATTCACTTTCTTCAATGGCAGCTTTTCGTTTCTGAGTTCTCCACTGAAATAATTTCTTGAATTCGTAGAAGCCAGCATCTGTGTCGTGATAAGTGGTCTGGTCAATGAGAGCCAATGCCCTCAAAATTCTATCTGCTTCTCCATCTGTCGCCATTTTGCGTGGTTTCGAAGGTGCAATGTACTCCTTAGGTGTCGACACGTTGAACGCCGGTTTGGAACGTGCTTCTGTAAAACCGTTGGCTGGTGCAGAGCCATTGCTATTCATGAAAGGCAGTTTCTTCGGCTCGTGTTTTTCTACGCTCTTCCTGGTCTCTGCCACGGGCTTCGGCGCTGGAGTCGATGGACGAGGCAGTATTGCGTCAGAAACTTTAGGTGATGGCTCGTTGTTCGAAGGACCTAGAATACTAGCGAAAGACATGGGATTACTTGTTCTGTCAGGCTTCTGTAGTAGGGAGTTAGTAGGTAGTTCAACATTGGATGGATAACAGCTCACATCTTTGGAAGGTGGTCGCGACTCTCCCACAGCAGCTTCATCCTGTCTGCCATTGGAAAGATGGTGTTGGTCTCTTATAGGTGACGGCAAGGAAGGGGGAGGATGAGATGACGGATGCGCATGCGTCGACGTTCCCTCATATCCAGGCATGGAGTTGACAAGATAGCCATTCGATGGCATTCGCAACTGAGGTGGACTTGTTGGATGATATTGGAAATGAGAACTTGTTGGTAATGGAGGAGGTGCTAGAGTGTTTGGTGCAGGCAAGGGTGACGCTATGGTGGGAGGCCGGCTATGAACAGGGCTTTGTACCAAAGACGCAGGTGGAAAAGGAGGAGTGGTTTGTATTAAGTGTGAGGATGGTATTTGAAATGGTTCATGGTGAGAATAAAACGGACGGTTTGGGTGAGTAGGTGAGTAAGGTGGATATTGGTTTGACTGCGTTGGCGAGCGAGCCGTGAACGGGGTTGTTCCAGACATGATTCTGGTTGTAAGCCCTTTTTCGCCCGCGATTGGGATCGGGGTGATCTCTACTATGGCCAATTCTATGCTTCAATCAAGTAGCGTTTGGCCTAATGGACACCCGCACCGAGATCAGAGTTTTATCTGTACCCTGCAACCGCAGCCCCCATGGCTCGGTGGTGGCAGCGTAGACTTTTTTTTGGTCGAAGGGCGGCTCGCGACGAAGGTGGTTGCGAAGGCTGTCTCAGGCGAGGCGACTCGCAGTTTGCCTTCCACGAAAGTGCGGATCGCACTGGGCAAGGTCGTGTTACTGGAGAAGGATGCTCAAGGGGCGAGTGGCATTGCTCGATTCGGTATGAACAAAGCAGGGGGGCAGCGCGATAGGGTGTGTGGTGGTGGTGATGATAGAATTATGGGAAGGGTGAAAGGGGAAGGGTGATGAGGCAGGGTGATGTTGAAGGCAGAGATGGAATGGAGATGGGGGATCATGATCAGTCACAGTTGGTGCATCGCAGCCCAAGCTCTGCTGGCCGACGGCGGATGTCTGGGGCATCTCAAAACGCGAATCTCCAGATCATTATTGAAGTGGACAAGTCACGTGAATCTGTATATCTATATAGCCACGTCTTTCCCAAGGGCAGGCGCGTATTTGGGTGTTGAGAAACGACCTGTCATTGCACCGCATCCTGGGCGTCTTCCTCTGTCTCTGCTTGCATACTCCCTGAGGACCATGGTGGAAGCATTGTGTGAAGGACGAGTCCATGTTGGGAGCGAGCATGGATGGAGACCCACGGCTTCTGACTTGTCTTTGGGCCAAAGTTATTTGACGCTCAGCCCAGCAGCCAGAGTGGCAGAAGGAGTGTGAGCGACTTGACTTTCTGCCGCACGCCGCACGCATCATCAGCACGCCAAGACTGCGCTAACACGGGTGGGCCTTTCCGCATCAGGCAGTCTTAAACGTTATTGCGTCTTTACTCTATTGCGACTCGAGGTAGTCGGCACCCATACGGACTAATCAATGGCTTCTGGCTTTGTCGCACCGAGCATATCTATTTCCCAGGATCAGGGTTACGCAACAGCACCAACTACCAACTAAGGAGGATTCCGTACCGAGCACTCGATATTATCCTGTACCTGACAAAAATACGCCACCACCCTTACATCGAACCTCCTCCACACATACCTCGTACGAGAACATACGAGTACTAATGGCTCCCAAAAATAAAGGCAAAGGCAAGGCCAAGGAGGACGAGGGCTCGTCCGGTTCAGCTGGGAAACTGAAAGCAGCTCAATCCATCAATGTTAGGCACATCCTGGTAAGCTCACCCCGCCCAGCTGACATCGCCTTCCCAATGATAGAAGCATGGCTCTGATTCCATCTCATCGTTGTTCCATGTAAAAGTGCGAAAAGCACTCTAAGAAAGAAGAAGCACTCGCGAAACTTCGTGAAGGTGTCAAGTTCGATGACGTGGCACGAGAATTCTCAGAGGACAAGGCTAGGCAAGGTAGGGGGATTCTCTGATCATCACAAGCACCACCAGCACCCGCCTCTTCCGCTCAATTGAATAGATGCCCGCACCATCCACGACTTTATTCTGACAAACCTCTTGTCAACCCTCTCTAGGCGGCTCTCTAGGCTGGAAAACACGAGGAAGTCTACATGGGGACTTTGAAAAGGTGGCCTACGAATTAGAACCAAGTACAACAGCCAATCCCAAATGTAAGTGTCCTTATCATTTTTACAGCGACCGTCATCGTCATCTGCCGGTACAAAGAAACCCCATTATAGTAGAAATGAGTGACCCACCAACCCTAGTCTGGAAAGTCATAGCGGACCATGCCGCGAATAGCCTGTCCTGATCTTGCCCTTAACAATGACCGTCATTAATCAATCACTTGCTAATTCAAGCCCTGAACAGATGTCGAAGTCAAAACTAGTCACGGATACCATATCATCATGGTGGAAGGAAGGAAGTGACATATAAATGAGTCGAGAAATCAAAAAATTAATGAATGAGGGGGCTTGCAACGCTGACGTCAGCAAGAACATCCAAAGCAATGTGATCAAAGTGCTTTCTCTTGCGTGGAGATGTGTTGATGGGCGGAAGCACCATGATATCGACTAACGGGAGTTTGCTTGGCTGCATAACAGCTGGAGGTGTATAGCTTGCTCTGGCAATTTCTGGGTCGGACCTGGCATAGACAGAGGCAGGTGGACTTGGTCGGTCTTGAGGCGGTGTTTGTATGGCTCGTTGAGCAGCGTCAAGTCCCCGTTCTGATGCAGCCTTTTGAGCCAGTCGGTCAGCGAGGTTGAGATTCAGGAACCCACTTGACCTAGCCTCATCTTGTGGTGGCGAAAGACGAGGAGGGAAGTTGAATGGCATGGATCGAGGTAGCTCAACCAGGTTCAAGATGCCACTGGAACGAGCTTCTTCCATCTCTGTATGCGGTGGTGCCGAGGCATTGGTCAATGGCGATAGGGCTCGTGACGATGGTGTATGGATGGACCTCTCATCAATGCTTGATGACACCCGTCGTCCACTGTTATCAGATGAGATGTGGCCGTTTGGCAACTGTTCCTCTGGCCCTTGAGCACGGTTGACTCTTCTCTTCTTGGGTCTTTGGCCCTCAAGTTCCTCGACACGCTTCTCCAGGGTCATGGCCATGTCATCGACAGCGACAAGGCGGTCCCTAAGGCGGACCTGTTCATCATAATTACCTTCCACCCGGTCTTCAATATCTGTCACCTTGTGACGCATCTCTTCGTCGTGCTTATAAAATGGCGCAAGGGCTTCTCGGAGAATGCGAACCTCGCTCTCCCACAACTGTCGCTCCCGGTGCATTGTACTTTCTCGACTTCGTCGTTCATTCTGAATAGTTTCCTCCATACGCTTGACCTTCTCCATCAGGCAGTTCAATTTCTCCACCAATGTGGCCGAGATTTCGGGAGAAGATTTGTCTTTGTTCGTTTCGTGTACATGATAGCATGCTTGATGGCCACACTCACAGATGTTTCCTGGGGCGCTTCGATTATGGTGAAAGGATTGGCATGAACATCTTTGTTGATTCTGTGCCGAAGGATGTTGAAGAAGATATCGGCACTCCCCGGTGGGTTGGGGGCGTGCACTTTCAGATGTCAACCGGAGAGGACGATGCTCATGGTGAAAGGTTGGCGGAAGCGACAGGGCATTTGAACCGAACATCGAGGCCATTGACATGGTCGCAGGCTCTCGAGGCGATACCCGCATAAGAGGGCGGTTGGAGGATCTGTTTCGAGGATAAAATTCCCGCGGGTTGGTTGATAGATGGGAGGACTCCCCTTCCCTCGTTTAGGGAAGGGTGATGTAACCGGTTATTGTATAGATATGTGCAAATTGGGTTGGACAGGCTGATCACTGTAAGGTGTCAGAATCCTTTATCGCGGAACAGGTATCGCGACGAGAAGCAAAGTACAAAGTACGGTGAGGGGAATCACGTACGCAGACTGTTCTTGGAGTGTTCTTCAGCGCTACCAAGGCGCATGGCTCTTTCTCAAAGAACTCCAGCTGAACGTGTACCACAAGTAAGTGCTCATTCTGGCTGGGTTCTTGGTGAGGAAAGAAGGGGAGAGGGGAGAGCCTCGCGGGCGTTGATAGAAGAAGCGGAAGATCAGTGGTTTTCAGGGAGAAGGTTATCAGTGAGGTGGATGTTTTGATGGAGGAAGAGCGTCGTTATCTGCACCGATGCTCGGCTCAGACAGGACTTATGCCGGCAAGACAAGAGGCAGGAGACATGTGCCTCTGTGGCAGAAGGCGAATGGATCTTGTACTCCTGGTCAGCTCGAATCAGAGGACGAAAGATAATCGGGGAGGAGGATGTGCAGGCTGATTTGACATGGATCGGAAGCAGTTTAGATGGTGTTAGCTTGCAAAACGTGCCCGATATTTTCCAGTCTGATGGGCAGAGCGAGGGCGCCCGGGAACACGGGAGAACTGGGGATAGTCGTCCAAGGTCGTGGTAACCGGACTCACAGTCCACAACAGTGGACGATGTAGCTAGTCGTTTCGATCGTGATTGCGAGTGATAAGAAGATGAGCTAGAGAGAGAGAGTTGCTGGGATGGGATGGGCCGGGGTGGGTTGATGCACTTTTTGCGGAACGGAGCAACGTGGGATTTGCCGCCCGTGCGCTATCTCGAACCCCCACTATTCCCTGGTGATTGTCTGGTGACGATCGAAAGTTGACTATGGCCTTGAATTGATCGTGTGGTGGCGGGTGGAATTGGTTTCGTTGGCTCTCCTCCTACTGGGTCACTGGGGGGTTATTCTGCTCACTTAGATTTGCCAAACCAAGGCATTCTCGACCGATCACTGCAGGCCAGCAAAAGAGGCAAGGCACTGGCACCCACTGGGGTCAGATGGGCGAGTTTGGCATGGGGAGGCAGAGAGGGATGGGGTGTGGAAGCGGACTTCGTACAGTAGAAGCGTGGAACTGTGCAGTGGTGGATGGGTGGAAGGCCAGGTGGGGTTCAGCCGGTGTGGAACCGAAGTTGAGCAGCCCTGAAAGAGCATGGAATGTTCCGAAGACGGAGTACGTGCCCTGTCCTGATGCTGCATCCTATCTCAACCGGAATGGCTACGAGTATGTACTGGACTCCGTACTACGTACGAGTACGTGTGCACCTGGGTACCTAGGTATGTACTTCGTATTGAGCACTCGAAATGTACATCTGATATTGCAGCCCCTGTGCCAATATCCCCGTTGTTGCGAGTGGGTAGAACAGAAGCGCTGCCCGAGCTCTACATGGTGACTAGCAGGTGTCGGTGTCGACTTCGCTCTCGTGCTCTTGTTTGGGCCGACATAGTCCACGGCCTGGCCGATCGAGTCAGCGCATGCGTAGCCAGTGTTCGTTCAGGGTAGACTCGAAAGTCTGACTCTTGCTTTGCCTGCACCTCAGCCCTCGTGAAACGTGTCCATGTCTTGGGCGTGGAGAGGTGCGAGGTGACGAGCGAGCCATGATGAGCAGTCAACCCACGGATCCTACCTCTGGAGGCTGCTCGCTCCCACCCATTCCCACCTTAACCACCACGCCTGGGAGTCATTAGAACACATAAGTGGGCGAGGTTTCCAGTAGTATGGGGGCAATGAGGCCTTTTTTCCAATGCCAACCAACCGTAGGTGGTGACTCAGCGCAACCTCCCACGTGATGATGCGTACTGTTAGATTTTCCCAAATCTTTTCATGCCGCTTGATTCTTCAGCGCTTCGGACACCTTCTGCGAGAGCCTGGCTACCTGGCTAGGCAAAGTGAGGCATGGATGATTTGGATGTGGGCCTGTATCTGGACGAGGATCATGCATCATAAGTTCATAACCAGCGAGGACCGGCTAAGCGAGGCTAGGCTCAGGGTCCTCATTTTGAGCAGCGATGGTGCAATGTCTGGACGCCGAGGGCGGCTCATTCATCCAGGTCCAGGATCAGTGATCACACACGCACATTCCTTCTTGCACGGTTGCCAAAGTGCCAGAGAGAATGCCAGCCGCCCCGTCTGGCTCGGTTGGTAGGTCAAGCTTTTGGCACCTGCCTCCCTGCCACCAAAGAAAAGATTAGGTATGGACTCGTATGTACTCCGAACGGAGTGCCTAGTAAGAGTTGCTGCCCCCTACATAATGATCCAACACGGAACAGGTGGCAACAACTGTTTCAACTTTTGTTACCATCGTTCTCCCTACAGCATCTCAGACGGCTACTATGGAGAAAGGCAAAGCAGGAAGGTGACCCAAACTGCTGCTGTCTCATCATCCCCAACAAGGCAGGTACGGAGCGCCGATGATCACTCCTATGATAAGGCAGCTACGACCGTGATCTCGATAAGGAGTACGAGGTAACGGCAGAGCACTTTCGGGCAGGTACGCGGCAGGTTTATGATAAGTACGAGCAAGTACAACAGCAACAGGCGAGAACGAATGGTGGACGGAGTACGGATGACTGCGTGATGGCAGCATCAACTCAGTTCGGGATTATGTGCTGTGTTTGACAGCCTTATCTCAGGGACAACGAACCCGCCCTTTCCAGTTGTTCAACGAATCACCCATCCTCAGTTGCGGAGGTCCACTTCCACAGGCACCTAATAGGGCACCTTTGGCTACCTACAGTACTCCGTAATACCAAGACGGTAGACGAAGGACTGTCTGGTCGGTGGCCCTTCCTCGCCCGCTGCCTCTCCAACTGCCACGGGCACAGCCACTGCAGCGGCACGCCCCGCAGCAGGGCCTCGGGCGGGTGGGCAGAGGGCACTGGGTAGGTGCTATCCACTACTGCCACCCTCTGTTCTTACAGTACTCCGTACTCCTCCACTCTCCTCCCTCTCCTCCCTCCGCACATTCTGCCGTCTGACTCGGGACTGGTGCCGCTTTTAGAATTCCTCGCTCATCGTTTCCGCAGGCAGCCGACAAATCAAACTTCCTACCACTCCTCAAACCCATCCCAAGGCGCTTTGGCCTTGTTCACCTTGGGGTTGTCTATTTCCACGACGTACTCACCCTTGAGGCTTACTCTGTCAATTTGATCTTCGACAACGACATCTCTTCACCTCACCTCTCCAACCATGGCTGATCCCAACTACAAATACGAACCCCCCAGTGGGCCGCCTCCCTCTATGCCACCTCAAGTTCACCATGACGCTGGCCCCTACTATCCACCCGATGCGCCCATGGGCGATCCTCGCGGTCCTATTCCCAACAGCTATCCACCAGCTCAAGGCCCGACTGGCTATTATGGTCCGCCACAGGCAGGTTGGAATCAGGGTCCTCCAGGACCATGGCCTCCTCAACCTGGTCAAGGTCCGCAGCCCTACGGACACTACGGACCACCTCAGCCGGGCATGTACTATCAGCAAGGTCCGCCAGTAGGATACATTGACGACAGAAGAGGGGGTGGAGGCGCTGGTGGTGGATTTTGTGCGGCACTCTTAGCTGCCTGCGCTTGCTGTTGTTGTCTGGATATGCTCTTTTAAGCGGTTCATACGAGGGGCACTTTCTCAGGTTTGGCGGGTGGTGCATCTGGAGTGGACAAACCCACTGGCTGCGGATCTGCCGGTGCCATTCGGGTGGGTGTGTCTATCTACCCGTGTGATCGACACCCAGTCGAAGGGCGCAAACTGCGATCGTATCTCAGACCTACGACATGCAAAATACTTCATCTGGATGAAGCGGGAAGCGGGAAAGGGCGGCTGTTTGTATTTTCAAGTTTCGTCTTGCCGAAGTGCTGTCAATACCATGTTCCACAGTCTTGTCAATACCATTATACTAATTTTCAGCCAGACCCTTACATCGCCTTCCTGAATCCACCCCCGGTCCTTCCTCTGTCTTCTCCCACCTACTAACAATCAATAGACCATGATATCGTGAAGCCACCGACATTGACCATGACCGATGAAGACGCAAACGCGCAAAGGGGATGTCTGGGCTACGTATTGTCACGATATCTGAAGCCGAAAACAAAGGGCAGCCACAGAAATAATGAGAGCGCATCACCCACAGCATTAGCCAGCGTTATAGCTGGGGGGCAAATATCACAGCAGGACACATTCCCATCCGGGCGGGCCCAAACAGCGGCGATCATAATTCAGTTGACACCGGATTCTACTTTCCACGTTACCCAGCCCACACCCACGCGCACACGCACACAACCGAATATCATTGAAGCGGTAGAAAAGGGTAAGGCAAGGAGGTGACGAACGCCGCGCCACGTCCAGGTATGGATTTCTTCTACCTCTACCTCAACCTCAACAGCAACAGCAACAGCAACAGCGGAAGCACTAGCACTAGCACTAGCACATGCAGATCCAGACCCAGATCCATATGCGCGGCCGCGACACGCGAGCTCCCACTGCCCATTCTTGGCGTGGTCCCGGGCGTCCTCGGAGCCGAGTTGTGGATCTGGCTGCTCGACACGTACCGGCAAAGACAGGCAGCACCGGAAGGCTAGCAGGGTGATCCTCCTATCGAGGGAGCTGATGCCGCTGGGAGCAGCTGCCGGGAGCCTGGGAGTATCACAGTGACCTTCGACGTGGACCGAAAAGGCCGTTTCGTGCGTTGGAGCCGCCGTCCACCTGGTAACCGACAGCAAGGACGGAGCAGCCGGTTTTGCGAGTCACTATAATGTGAGATTTCATGTTTGCCTTGAATTTAGATGGAGGAACATGGGAACTCGTGATATTGAAGCGATCTATACTGCTAGTACTACCTAGGAAGTGGTAGTAGTAGCAGCAGTGTCGCGACTTTGTTTGTCTCACTAGCATGTGGTATTTCATGAATCCAGTTATTCAGCTAGGCTATAAAGATTCGATGATCCCGAGCAGATTCGGATTTCGGTTCCGCTGTCGAGGCTGAAATTCCGAAAATGGAGGTGCTAGTCATAGTCCGTATTCAGTCGCGCCGTTCGGCACCTCAAGACAGGTTGGAATCCTTCTGTTGCTTGCTTACAAACGGTGACTGAAGGTTCTCAACTATTTCGGTCAGCTGTAATCAAGCGAGTGCAGTCACTACGAGGAGTACGATATGATGGCATCTGAGGATCCTGCCAAAGAGCCAAGGACCACCCAACACATTTACATTCTGAGTTGACCAGACCAGCCCAGGCGTGCACTGGCACCCAGCTGGCCCTGCCTTTTCTCTCACTTTTTGGCTACCAAGACTGTACCTTCATAGAGCTTCGCAACTTCATCGGTCATATTGACGACGGGCTTGGCGCTTTTCCCAGCGCACAAATTGATCATTTTAGCCAACACCGTGCGGGAATTTTGCTGAACTGGAGTCCAGTGTCCAGATCGAGGGAGGAGAGTGATCTCACTGTCCCTTCCCAGATAATCACCAAGGCCATCCAGGCAAATAGTTTTGCCACAAGCCTGATCCTTTTCTCCCCATAGCACATAAGTGGGTGCTTTCAGGCTACCTTTGTATGGATCTGTGAATAGAGCCCCGTTTGAGATAGATGATCGTCGGCGGCTGGGGCTGGGGGAATTTGATGCCGAGGTCTCCAACGCATAAAGATCGGCAATAGTCTCCAGAGATTTGGACCATGGTGCAGTGCCTGCTCCATCTCTGTACAGACCTGTCATGTTGTAGAAGGCGGTGCCATGAGATTTGGCTCTTTCAAGAACAGTTGGCCCATACATGTCTGCAGCACTTCCGGAAGAAGCGATAGATGTTCTACATTCTTCCAAGCCCGGGCCAAGGGACGAAGCTTTGCACTCTTGAGCTCGATATTCCTCTGATTTTGGCCCATATCCGAGTTTGTTGGCACCTCGAACAAAAGCACAGTTCGCAGCGCTGCCAAGATAACGGACAAAGACAGCCGGGAGGTTGAAGGCGAAGATATAACCCATCAGCAAGGTTTGGAGCATCAAAGGTTTTAAGGTCTTGATTGCCTTGGAAAGGCAAGCCCAGTGCTGTATGGGTGATTGTCGGAATTGTTTGAAAATCTTGCAAGCAGATTGCAGGACTCGATCCCGATTCGCGAAAACCAGCTCGATCTGTTGAGAAGGATAGTGATTAGTACAGATTAGAGGTTCCGATGATCTGGGAATATTTGGACTCACATGGGGGGCATTCGTCAGAATAAAACGATCTGCGAGTGCTGGGGCTTCAGAAGCAAGACGAAAACCCAGAACACATCCCCAATCATGGCCCACGACGATTGTGTTAGAGGTGTCGCTCTGGTCAATCAGGATGTATTTGTCTCTCATAGCGCTGACAAACTCTGTGAGAGCCTCAAGAACTTCGGTGTCGTACTTGGGAAAACTGTCACTCCCTCCATAGCCAGGCAAGTCAACGGCGACAATGGTAGCATGTTGAAGAGGGATCTCTTTCTCTTGAAACAGATGTCTCCACATCATTGAGCTATCAGGAAAACCGTGGAAGAAAACCACGAGATGTCCCGGGGAGGGTCCATTTCGATTACTTATGTAGTGCAGCTTGAGATTGTTGCGGAGGGTGTAAAAATAATGCTCGAAACCAGGGAGGGGAGACTTGGATAGATTCCAAAAGCGGTCCTTCTCTGTTATGGCGAGATGTTAGTTAGCCTTGGACTATGAAGCCCTGTACCGGGAATCTTTTCCACGTCTCCATCAGGGGGACGAACCAATTGCAAATTGGGACTTGTCCTTTTCCGATTCTTTGCGTGTGTAGGCACCATTCTTGAGAAACAGAAATAAGTACAAGAAGAAGTTGAAGACTGCAAACCAATAAAAGGCCACACGGTAAAAGAGGCGGCGAGCGGTGCTTGTAGCCATGTTGGTCAGTTCATCTGTACTCGTAGAGCTGATAAAAAGGGATGGTGGTGGCTTGTGAAGTTGTGGCTAATGGATGGGAGTGGGATTTATCTCAACGACGAGCACTATGGGATGGGTTTACGTGAGAGGGCGGCGTGACAAAGAAAGAGCAATTAGATTCCTTTAGGCAATAAACAAGCATTCGGTGTCGAGGTTGACTTGAGTTACTGGTTTGCTGTCGTCGTGCTTGGGATGCAAGTGGTTAGGTGGGATGTTTAGCAGGAGGGGCGGAGGGGTAGTTCTGTGTACGAGAAGTGCGTCTGCAATGCAGTGGATGGGCACTGCAGGCGATACACTCGAACATGCAGGGAGAGGAGAAACAGGAGACAGCTGCGAGTAAGATCATTACTCTCTTGGGCTTGAAGGTCTGACAGTCGTTGACCTATCTGTGCTGAATACGGAGTCCGGGAGGACGTGACTTGGGTGGCTGTACTCGTACTTGTATGTAGTTGTCCGGAATGCCAGTTGAGATCGTCACCAGCATATGTACTGTAAGTTGCGGGGTGGTGTGTATCGTATGTATGCGGTACTAACAATACGGTGAGAGAGGACGCGCAAAGACGCGTTGGCAGTGGGCACGTGGTAAAGGGAGAAACCAGGAGCGGAGAGCAATCAGGTACTATGTGCTGTACTGTACTGGCGTTGAGTGCGTGACTACCCAGACAATAAGCATGAGGTTCCCAGCATTATCACCCAGATTACTATAGTGTCTAATACTCCGTACTCTTATATATATTTATATATACTATATATTACTCTGTCTTCGGCAAGTAACTGCTACCTACTCGTGGTTGCAATACAAGGTCACCAGGTGCCCTGCGGTCTCCTGGGCGTATTGAAATGGATCGACTGAGGAGTCGAGGAGTGGACATGGGCAAGTTGAGACTTGAGCCCCAAGCAGAAATGTATGTATTGCATACCCCGTACAGTAAGGACGAATTGCTCTGGGTTGGGGGTGCCTATGCCCACTCTGGCACTCATTTATTGGCCACCTGTCGGGCTTGAGTTTACACTGAGCCTCGGGCACCATGTACCACTCCAACCGCCCAGCCACCCAGTCACCCACAGTCGTCAGTCTCCAACCCTCAAGTATCTCCTCTGTTGATCAACCACGAAAAGGTTATTGATCTTCTTCTTCCCACACATTATCTGCACATCCACCCCTATTCCCCATGACTCGTCACATCGCTCGTGTTTCTTTGGATAGACAACGATCCATTCCACCGTCAACTTGAGTCTGTGTCTGGTTAGACTCTGAAGAGCAGCATAATCGTGGCCAGAACTCCGTACCCACCTGATATTTAGCAAACAACCAAACGTGGCGTTCGTCGAAAGTCAACCCTCAAGCCCGGGGTTCCTCGTCTTGTGACTTCCTCCTCAAATGAACCTTCTTGCCGATCCAAAGGGCTATGCCCACCAGGATCACCGCCCAGATCGCGATGGTGATGCCGGTGACACCCCATGGAATCTTGGACGCCGATTCCTCTCCCCTCACTTTGCTGGCGTGCATGGTCCGATGCATTTTTGGACGTTGGCTGTGGGTCACGTGCTCAACACCCTAACCTTGATTGATACTGGCTTCCAAGCCCGTCGTCGGAATGCAATAACTGGTTCCTAGGTGATTCAAAATGCTATTTGTTGTGCAAGTCTTTCTTGTTCGAGGTCCGAGAGGCCTGGAATGACAACTTGTTACTGAAATGGAATAAGATGACCTTCCTGCTCGATAGTGAAAGTCTGATCATCAGCTAGACACGACTTCTGGGTATTGATCTTGGAGAGATTGGGATGCTTTCAGCTTTGTTGATGCGCAACTTGTGTCTTAACAAAAAAAGAGTAAGTCGTGTCTTGCGCAGTGTGAATACAACCAAGCCACGATCACCTCCAAACGCACAGCCTGAGTCGCGCGTACCCCCTTTCACAGGACCAGAACCTACCCTGTCATACCTCAACTCCTTCCAAGTGAGTCAATCCCACAGCAATCTCAGTGTACGCCACCTTGACTTCCGTCAAGCAAAGTCACGCGGCCACTGACTCCGCCCGTGAGGATTTCCCTGTCCAAGTGGTCCCCATACCTCACCTGCTGACTGAGAGTCCATCGTGGGAGGTTGTCGGTTTCTTATGCGATCGACCATGGCGCGCCCACGAGTCCCATGCCATCCAGGATTGTTGATGCAGGTGACTATCAAGAAGAGAACCAGGATCCCTGCAAGGACTCCGGTCAATATACGTCCCCAGTGCTCGCTTGCAGCCATCCCTGTCGCACTTGGCCAAAGGCAATGGTTTTTATATGTAATCGGTCGGTATTGTCAGATGAGGTGTCGTGCAGAGAGAGGAGAGGGTCGTCCTTATATATTCAAGATTGCTATCCCGTTCGATGTCTGGTAGAGAGAAAGCCGTCGTTCTTGCAATTTTGCTATCTATATAACCCCCCCTCCTGAACAAACAGTCCCACTCATCACTCGAGTATCTTACCTGCTCACCTGCCCATGTGTTCACAGGGAGACCTGACACTTCATCACCAATGGTATGCGAAGCTATGTTCGCAATGTCCCCCTGGTGTCAGTCCCTGGGATAACAGCTCAAACCCATTGTAAGTGGACGTTTGTGAATTCCTGACTTCCTCTCTTCGAAAAAGAATGGCAGAAACGCAAACAAGGTGCGAGTGATCATTCGCCTAGAACTCTGCCACAGTTCCTACACCCTGGGGCTTCACGCTTGCGTCTCGTAACATCAGCTGCTTGGGCCTGGCAAGAAATCAAGACGCTGAACCTGCTACGAAGCCGTGCCTTTCCAGTGCCATCTCTCTTTATCGATTGATGCGGACAAACACGCAGCAAAGCTTAAGTTACCGCACATCTTCAGTATAACTAACAATAGGCTTTAGGAAGATTCATCCCTCAGCTTCCTCAGGAAACAATGGTATATGCATTAAGGACAACGCGTGCCTACCAGCATCGATTCCTAGTTACAAGTAGTCGTCTGCAATAAGCAAAATCAATACCTTGGTGAGTGATTGGTATCTCCACCAAACGGAACATATAATCAATCTAAGCTGACTATAGTAGCCAACGTCAGAGTGACCAGGACTTCTGTTGGCCTTAGGCGAGTGCACAACGCGGAGACAGCCTTTCACTAACAGATGTTGTTTTCCTTCTAACAACTCCGAGCATGACGATTCATTACAGCAGCGCCAAAACCGCACCCTCAGCCAAGCGCAGCTCCTTCTGAAGCACCAGAAGTTCACAAGTGAGGAGAGAAACATGTCGATCACGTTACCTTTTTCAAGAGCCTTGACCCAAGCGATGGATAGCAACATCGCCTCTATCACCGGCACCAACTCCCACAGCAATTTCACGGTCCTCCCCAAAAACACACACCACACACCCAACCCTTCTACCCGCCATTATGCTCAACTCAAACCAAGGAACCTGACAAACGCTCATCAACATGAGGCACCCCGGCCAGCCCGAGATCAGGACCATATCCGAACACAATTGCGCCGCGGTCGCCGCCCTTCCCGAGTTCCTGGTCTGTCGTCTCCAATGCCAACTTCCTCTCCCGTTCCATGCCGACATGCTCACAGATGTTCCAAGCGACACCGGTCATAAAGACGACAAAAGATGCGAGAAAGAACCAGATAATGCTGTCGGACATGGCTTGGGTTCGTCGGATGGAAGCAGTGGCCGTGCGAAAGATGACCGCACCGTATCCATGCTGGTTCCCGGACGGCATTACCAGACCCGTTGGCTGCGCAATGAGGGCGATGGTGCGTGTCTTCCCAGGAGCTAGTTCGGCCAGGGCGTCATGAGCGTCGGCCACCTCCACCGGTGCCTTAGGCGACACTGCCAGTCTCGTTGGCTGCACAATGAGTGTGATGGTACGCGTCTTACCAGGGGCGAGTTGCCCGATACTCCTGTCTTCAGCTTCGCCAACTTCCTCCACGTCACGGCCTAGCATTTCGAAGCCCACAAGACCGCCCGGTGAGGTCGGGACGATCAAAGTGATAGTGCGCGTGCTCGCCGTGCGCAGTTCCTCGCGAGCCAGCGCGTCGACGCCCGGCACGTCTGGCGACTTGTTCGGGGGGACGGGTTCGGTCTGCGTCATTGGGTTAGGATCGAGAGCGATGATCTTAGCTTCGCCCTGACGAGCCAGCGCGTCGACGCCCGGCACGTCTGGAGACTTGTTCGGAGGGATGGGTTCAGTCTGCGTCATGGGGTTAGGGTCGATAGCTGCAACGTTGGCTCGGCCCTGCGCGTCGACGCCCAGCACGTCTTTCGACGGTCTCGGGACGAAGACAGTAACCGTGGCGGCGGTGGCGATCCGGGCGCGCATATTGTCCATAAAGTCGGTATCAGGCCGCGTAGCAGACTCTGCTGCCACGGCCGCAGTGGGCAGGGTAGTGGGGCTGGCAGTGGTTACGTCGCCTTCTGGGTCGTATTCTGGGAACCGTTGGATTTGACCGTCAAGCTGGTGCTTGTTGTGGAAGCCATGACTAACGTGCTGGTGCTGGTGCAACGGGAGAACCGAGCCAGTCACCGTGGCGGAGAGCAACGTGGCGCAGAGCAACAGCGTCGAGATCATGGCGAGAGCGCTGTTGACTTTGGAAGACGAGAGGATGACACTTGAGAGTCCCGCTGGACAGTATGTATGTCCGCGGGTAGATCTGTGACTGATGGAGTAACGCCGCCGGGGGGCGAGTATAGTTGTATATTCCAGGAAATACGAATCACGGCGTGGAAGTATCGTATCTTTGAAGGCGCGAACGCAGTACACATGTGAACAGGAAAAGGAGGGAAATGGAGAAGAAAAAACATGAGACTAGGGCCTGACTTTTATACTCAATCCCCGATGGCATGGCACTGCGGGAAGAGGAACATGGGATGTCATAAGGGAGAGAGGTCATGTCATGCATGGCCATGGCCATGGCACTGAGTCGAAACGACGAGACCCACGACTCTGACGAAGGCCCACAGGGGAGGGCGCACTGGGAGGGCAGGAGAGCGGATGTGAGAACAAGCTGTCGTGCGCACTATTGCATTATGCGAACGAACGATATGTCTCAGCGATCTCACTCAGTGAGGGTGTTTTGGTAAAGTATTTCTTGTTTCTTCAAACATTGCGTGCGGACAGTTTGTCTATCCAACCATGTCGTGGAGCCACTTCGACACTCCTGTGACATGACAAGGCTTGAACAAACGCGCGAGGCCAGGAGGACGCAAAGTCTGATATGTAGCATTTGCTGCAAACGAAACTCCTGCCGACCGTGCTGTTCGGTGGCACGGTCCCCTGGGATGGGGCTGTCCTTCCTGGAAAGTCGTGTCCCGAATGGCTGGCTGGCTGATGGCTCCGTTCGTTTGTAAGAGCAGCCGACGGACGACAACTCATATAGACACCTAGTTAGTCTAGCCATCAACACTGAATACCCGGGTACAGCAGCCGTCAGTACACTACACCACGCTAAACAATCACGAACCACCAAAGCCAAACACTTCCTCGTGCCACTCCACCTCTCGTCCATACATCGCAACATGCCTCCCAACCTCACTTCTGAGGTCGCGGACTAAGCTCGGCGGCCCGCACGACAGAACAGTGAGTTTTGCGTCGTAGTATCTGGCTCTTTTGCGCGGGTCCGGGCTGCGCCGTGAGGAAGAGGAGATCAGCGGTGGTATTGGCGAGGAGCTGCGAGTGCTAGATGCCTGCAGGACCGGGCCAATGATGGTTGATAGACTAGGGCGGCTCGAGCTGTTGTGGATCGTGAGACCTCTCCTTGACGAGGAATAGGAGGAGGGAGAAGAACCCTCGCTCGACTTGCGCGAGATAGTAGTGACATAAATGTCGACATCGACAGCCACCTCGCTCTCCCGGCGTGGGTCTTCCAGCAGCGCGATGCCCCAGCGTGCGTCGTCGAGGGTTCGAACCAGCCAGATGAACTTGACGCCGGTGCTACCTCCTCGCATATCTAGCAACTCTAGGTAGATCGGCAGCGCAAATGTAGCGCCTATGCCGCCGGCAACGAGCAGGATCGGGTGGGTGCTGGCGACGCTGGCTCCAGGGGGAAACGAAGACGCAGACGGGTGATAGAGGATACGAGGCAGATAATCGTTACACTCCCCATAGCAGCCCTCAACGAAGACTTCGAGCTCTCGCTTTTCAGCTGACGATTGCGCCAGAAAGCGAGTCTGCGGACCGCCGAGATTCCGTACGATGAGCGTGAGTTCCTCTTTGGGCTCTTCATAACTCGACGACGAGGCAATGCCAACGTTGAGGACTGTGAACGGACTCTTGGGTCCAAACGCTCTACTTTGGATGTACACATGCGACCCAGGCACTGCGCCATGCACGGAAGAGCGATTGGACCTAGCCTTGTCCATCGTCAGCTTGACCTCAACGAGATTCGTGCCGTGAACCTGTCTGGTCCTCATCCTCGCCGGCGCCGTAGCCTTGCCTCTCGTCATGCCGCCCACGACCCAGAACAGCCCCGCCTGGAGGATATACTTCCTCGTGTACGGAACATGGAAGAACAAGGCCGGTAGCACCAGCGCGCTCAGCAGGACATGACTCCTGTAAAATGCGGCATGATACACCTTCCTCCTGACCGGCGGAACTGCCAACAATCCCAAGAGATTAAACGCCCAGAACGCCGCCAGCCCGAGTCGCACATCACGGTCTTTGATCCGCTTGGTCAAGGCGTCCAGTTGGATGAAGAACCGAATGTACATGACGGCGTGCGCCGAGAGGAGAAAGTGGATGACCCGGCCCAGCAGCCGATGGTACGGGTTGAGCTTCTCGTGCGTGAGCCCCGTCGCCAGGGTGATTGGTGAGAGGGGGGTCTTGAAGCTTAAAAGATAGTGGACGGGTAGTTGGGAGACGGCCACATGCCCGAAGGCTTTGGTCAGGTGCATGTAATCTTCACCTGTGTTGTGGAAGACGAGGTATAACAGCCATACGGTGTAGATCAAACCTGTGAGCTGGACGTGGAGAGGGCCGAATTCCGGGATGTACGTCGTTCCAAGGATCCAGGAGATGCGTCGAGTTATGATTTGGACCTGAGAGGGAGCTGCTCGAGCGACGGCGGGGTTCGAGCTTGATGAGGCAGGCAGAGAAGTCAGGATGCTGGTGGCTTTTCGGTAGAGGTAGACAGCGAGCACTAGAATGATAGGCGTCAGCCAGGCATAGTAGCCAGCTTGGTCCAACTGCTTCCTCCGCTGTTGGATTTGAGCAGGCGTGAGAGATAGTATGAAAGCGTATGCCATAGCGGACTGTTGAGACTAGCCAGATTTTTCGCTCATCAACAAGAATCAAGACTGATTTACGGAAGCATATCCAGAAAATAACAAGACACGCAGAAGCACGAACCAAAACGGAGGGGTTGAGAAATGCAGGCTTCTGATTTTGGTTTATCTGGACAGCATGACTCAGCGGGTGGTAAAGAACACGTCGTGCAATTTACAACAAGAGCAAATATAGTAGTTGTGCGACTTGTAGAGGATGATCACTCGTATCTGTCGAAGCGGATCAGAAAAGGAGACGTTGCAGAAGACACCAAGAAAGAGTCCGGCCCCCACTGCTAACTGGCTAGCCTGACCGGCACGTCGTGATACCGACTGCATTATTAATTCAGAAACCCTACTCGGCCGGGAAGTTAAGAACTGCAAGGCTGAGAGCCCCTGCTTCTCTCCCCCGCAATCCCACATTGCGCAAGTCCAACCACTGGCATGTAAATCGACCATGAGCAGGTCCCCCTTTGAACAGTATACAAAATATGTGATTGATTAGAAAAGAGAAAAGAGCCGATTTTAATTCATTCATGAATGATCTGGTCTTTCCGCTTCATGCAATTCTCATTTACTATTGAAGATAGTTCGCCTGAGCCAACGGTGTACAATCCAAACATACGTGTCGCGGCCCGCTGGCCGATTGCAGTGGCGACAACTTGCACAGCCAGAGATTCAACGCATGCAGGTAGATCACCGAGAATGACCATCGACAAATAAGAGAAATAGATCAGTACTGACGTGCAAGATCCCTGCAGTCGTAAATCCAAGTAACTCCAAAATGCGTTGGCGATGCATTATGCAGGACGCTTCATTCAGTAAATGGTTCGACAGGACTTTCTGGACGATGCTTCCAAAATGACTCGCATGCGATGCAACAGAACCTCAATAACAAAGAGGCCAAAGCCCGGTAGGACACTCCTACCAAAACCTTTTGGCAATTGACTGTTGATGAACATCTCCTCATTCCCACTACTGCCTCATTACTCTTCATCTTTATGAGCTAACAGTCACTGCCTCAGGCGGGGTTTGTGCACTTTGCTTGCTCTCAGAGGCTGCCTCCCCTTCAACGGTAAGAGGATTAAACATTGGTACTTTTTTGGAGAGGGGGTCCGCTTCCTGGTCTCCTTCATCGTCTTTTGACACCACTGGCCAGTCTGGCTCTCCCTCCTCTTGCCCCAGCTCGAATTTAGGTTCTTTCAATATGGGTTTGGGTGCCTTTGCAGCTTTTGCCGGCGAAATTGCTTGAATCGCTGCTTCAACAACCGCCTCTTTACTCTTACTCTCAGGCATTTTTCTTCTGGGTAATTCTTGAAGGTCTTGATCCAATTTTCGCGCTTCTGTGGGTGACACCAACACCTCGCTCTGGCGTCTTTGTAATTCTTCAAGTTTGGAAACCGGGTTCTGTTTACCACAATATTGGCATCTCCAATAGAAAACACCATGCAAAAGATTATGCAACGGGGGTGGTAAATCAGGAAACGCAGGTTTGGGATAGGAGGAGAAGCGACGCACCCAGTCTTCTTGTGTTGGTACACCCTTAGCTGCTGGTAAGTTTCCTGCCTGATCTCTCTCTTCTCCCCAAAAGCTTGGTCGTCGGATTGGAGCCGGGGTTACGGGTAAACTCGGTCGTTCGATCTCGGTCGGGAAATCGGTCAACTTCATGCTCGGTCGTCGTTGGTCGGTTTCTGTTGGGGGTGAGGTAACATTTGAATCGCGAGGAGAACGCTGATTAGGGGTGTGGTGCAGTACTTGTAACTTCCCTTTACGAGCTTGACTAAATGCTTGCACGTATCTTTCAATTTCTGGCATATCATCCCATGCATTGGTCCTTGACTCAAAGGCTGCCCAAGGATCAACTGGTGGTGCGCTGGGGGTTGGGGTGCTATCTTCAGTGCTATCGGTCGTCGTCGATGGTGTAGTCACTTCTTCTTGTTGAGCAAGTGTCGTGGCTTGAGGTTCGGGTTCGGCGGGAGGGGGAGGAGGACTCGGGGCTTTCGGTTCGAGGAAAACGCGGGTCGGTTTGGGGGCTCTTGACTCCCATGGGAAGATTTGTTTCAACTTTTGTGGCTCTGGCTGTTTTTGCGGTACTTGATACCACATATCTTTGGGAGCTTCTGGATAGCTCGAGGGAGGTTGGAAGAGAGTAGTATCTTGATTGAAATCGTAGATGGTCGTAGGGAAGTTCGCAGCTTCCGGTTTGGAATCAGTCGGTGGAGGGGCTCTGCACATGATAAATATCAGCCATTCGATTGGGTTAGATCCGCTTACCTCGCTGGTTCCCAGTCGACATGCGGCGCACTAAACCGCCTCTGTTCAACTGTTGGAAGTGGCGTGAAGTCTTGTGGAGCCACAGGAGTAGGAGCATCCCCTAGGGGCAACTCTACTGTTTGAGCTGCTTGGAGATGACCCTGAGTAGGATCTGTGACTGTAATCTGAGGTGGTAGGGGAATTTGTCCTTGTTGGGGCGGAGAGGGAAGCGGTTGAGAGGATGGAGCGGGTTGGGATGGATGACTAGCAATATACAAGGGCTCTTCGCCTCTTACATAATCCTGAACTTTTGTGTGAGACTGATGTGACTCAGGACTATAGTGGGCCACCTCCTGTTTAATGTTAGGAGCATCAGCATGCTGGGAGACGGTGGGTTGTACCTTTGGCCGATAATGCTTGTCATATACGGACCACCACCTGCCCAGCAGCTCACCATAAACACCTGAGTTGTACTTGTTCTCACGACCGAGGGTCCAGGGCTTGTCCTTCCCAATGAAATGGACGACTGAGATACTGCTTTGGAAATGTCGGTAGGCAGGGACATATTGATAGTTTCCGCTCGGGGTACAGTTGTAGACGAAGCTCAGCCTTTCCCATTCTCGAAAGTGCATATTCAATAGACCTTGGTCAGCTCCATCGAAGCTGATCCCCCTCTGTGCTAGGGCATAAAGGGAATAATAGTCTCCCATGTTGGGGTTGAGAACCAGCAAACCACTGTTGAAACAATCGGGCCAGCCAATGTCAGGCACAGCGGCGAAATCTGTATCGAGAGTGAGGAGTTCGTTGGGAGCTCTTAGAGCGACCATGTCTGCATCCAAGTATACTATTCTCTTGAACTGTGTCTGCCTCCATAGCTGGATCTTTGTGAACGTGGAGATGAGTTCTGGCCGACCCATGAGATAGAGATTTGCAGGCTGAGAATTGGTGATCTGCTGGACAGGGATCACATCGTCATAGACGGTCTAGAAGCTCGGGGTCAGCGGTAGTCCATAGCGTCGAGAATGGTCAAACGGACTCTTAACTCTGTTATTGTGTTGGTGGACAATTTGTCGACGACAATAAAGGCGACCAGGGGAGCTTTGGCACCTCGGTCTTTGAGGGAGTGGCCGAGTACCATGGCACCTAGAAGAATGTCAGTCTCGAACTAGGGTACCTGAAGTCCGCTCGACATACCTGGGAGGTAGGCATCGTTCATGAGCAGCTGCCACACAGTCAGTTGACCATGGAAATTCTAGTGCGGGGAAACCATTCGGAAACAGCTCCGATGGAAGCTCTTACCGTCGCGAAGACAGCTGCTCCGATGGGTGCCATGACGGCGGGGGAGGAGGTGGGAGGAGGAAGAGGAAGAGGAAGGGTGGCACAGCGACAGCGACAGCGAGGGTCGATGGTGAGCAGGATTGTGTTGATTGAGAATTAAGAGTGTGAGAGAAGGTTGGTGGACGGGGAGACTATTAGCAGGTCGAGTGATCAGGTGCAGCAAACCAGAGCGACAAAGAGTGTACGAGTAGGTGAAGGGTACCAGCGGCGATGGTGGTGGTGGTGGTGGTGGTGTTGGTGTAGGAGTCGAGAATAACCGTACCACTACGAGTAGCTCAAGCCAGGATACACCAGAGGAATGATGCCAGTGATGCACTTCCCCCGCACGCGATGTGCAATTGCAGGCTTGACCGCCGACCAGAAAAAAAATAGCTTCTCTCCTCGTTGAGCTTGTGCTGCACTATGATGCCTGAGGGCGCCAGAGGGGCGGGGGGAGCGCGCCCTCTGGTGCAGTGGAACCAACCAAATTCCACCCCCAAAGCCCCAGCTTGCCTACCCACTGCAGGTGATGCCCATGTGACGTTGCCTTGGACCTGCAAAATGCAGGATGCCGGACGGAGACATGCAGCTAGTTAACTTAACAAGGCCTCGGCGGCAATGACAATACTCTCTACCTAGGGAGGTGTCTAGCGGCTTGCATATAAGATCCCTTGCATTCTCACAATGTGCTTTACCAGTGTGGTGAAAGCAAGACAATAGATCTCGTCAAGTCAACGTGAAAAAGCATGTGCTGTTCAACGATCAACTACTGTAGATAAGCCGCTCTGACCCACCCCCCACCCACGGCCTTTTTCCCTTAACGAAGGGCTCCGCTTATTTTTGCCAGGGCTGACACCTGGCCGTCGCCCGGAGATCCAAGCCCTGCCACTCAGAGTCCCCGTGGCCTAAGGGCCGCTTGGTCCAATTTCGCAGGCTCCTCGGGTCTTTGTTAGGCTCGCTTAGGCGGTCCATCCCCCGTCTGTTTTGGCTGTTGAGGCTGGATCATGCTGGGATTCTGGCTTGTCGTTGCCACGGCGGCCAGCAACTCCTTGTGCTTACCATTACATACTTGATTTGCAACATATCAGGCCATTCATTTACGAGGACGCTGCGGCAACATTCTTCTACCAGTACGAGAGGCTGCAAGAATCTGGCACGGAACATATTTCACCGATGCCCATGCCGGTGTCAGAGCCCCAGCGTCTATCAAATGCTGATATGCCAGTCGTTTGACTGCTGTCATATCAAGCCACACCCGTCGGGCACGTTCTTTACTTTGTTACGCGTCAGACACGGCAACGACGCGTTCTGGACTTTTTGCCATCTGAAAAAATGAGGACACCTCGTGTTGTACACGCTCTAAACCATGCTCTATCTGATGGCCCTTGTCTGTAATCTTGGATAAATCTCCCATCCCACCTCAACAAACCTTGAAAACTCGAACTTGACATCCCCCACCCCAAATTCTGTCGGTGGTAAAATAGTTGCACATGGTATCTTCGCTAGCCTCTCTCCTTCTCTGAAGATAGACGAGGTGACAACGCCGAAAACAGTGCAGGTGCCTACCATCAACCCAGCAATCTCTCAATGTCTCTCAAAGTACCTGCACGTTGTTCCTTTCTCTTCCTTGCCCCATCTTTTTCGCCAAATGCCTCGCTTGCAAGTTGTCTCTTTTTAGCTTGGATCTCGAGCACTTCATCCTCAATAGTTCCTTCCACCACAAGACGAACCACTTTGCATCGTCTCGTTTGCCCCAATCGATGAACACGATCGACAGCTTGGTCCTCTATTGCTGGTGCCCACCACGAGTCCGCCAAAATGACTTGATTCGCCGCTACTAGATTCAAGCCAACGGAGCACACAGATAAAGATGCTATCATGATCTTGCACGAGTCATCGGCGTTAAGTGACTCGATCGCAGCATCCCGGCTTGCTGGCTTCATTTTGCCGTCGAGTCGGGTGAAGTTCAAGCCATTTTTTGTGAGCTGTGTCTGGACAAGGTCCAGGAAGGATGTCCATTGTGAGAACACAACAGTCTTCACCGTTGGATCTGCTTCAGAAGCCTGTAGCACTGTCACCAGGGCTTCTATCTTGCTGCTGGTCGTGTCAGGGTCGATATTGAGATCAATTTCTTCGTTTTCGCCCATTCCAGCTGATGGCTCAACAAGAGCGTCTGTATTGAGATCAGCTCGGCATAGTGGACACCTGTGCTGAGCGTTGATCACTCGACTGATGCAATCTCGACAGAAGCTATGCGCACAAGCCGTAATCATCGGGTCCTTGAGGGTTTCCAAGCAGATGGGACATTCTTCTTGTGAGTCAATCCGTACTTGAAGAAGATCCTGCAGCGTCTTTCGATTGCCTGGATTCATGACATCCACAACCTTGTTATCTTCCACAAGAGCAAGCAACTTCTTGACCCTTTCCTCTCCACACATCTTCCAGTGGTTGCAAGTTTGTCGCAACCGCAGAAGCACTTCTAATAGGTGGGTTATCGTGTTATCTCCTTTCTGTGCCTTGACCGCCTCCACCATCCCCTTGGCCTCGGCTTTGAAAGCATCATACTGCTCTTGTTCGTGAGGCAAGAATTGTATTGCGTACTTGTGGAAAGTGATCTCTGGAAGTTTGATATCGACCAACCTCATGTCTTTCATTCGTCGCAGACACAATGCCGACATCAGAGCTTGTAGAAGCATTCTTGCGCCGTTCTCGCCGTTCTTCAAACGTCGAATCAATGTTGAGTTGAAAATCTCAAACTCAGCCACCCCGCCAGATAACCGTAGGAACTTGATATGCGAGAACAGATCCTTGAGACTATTGACAATCGGAGTACCTGTCAGTATCCAGCGTGATTGAGCTTGAAGTGTACAAGCCGCCTGGGACATCTTAGCTTTTGGATTTCGTATCTGATGGCCCTCATCGAGAACAATACGACGCCACGTGATCGAAAAGAGACCATCCTTGGACGGTGTCCGCCGCGGCTCTGAAATGCCATAAGGGAAAAGTTCTTGTGTCATTGTCTGGTAAGTCGTGATCACAATATCGTACTCTTTGAGCTCCTTAGGCCTCAAATTTCGATTCGCCCCACCATGATAGACGAAGACGCGCGGGGCATATTGCTTTCTTACATGAAGGGCTGCTTGATGCTTCCAGTTGCTCATAACCGACATTGGACAGATAATCAGGGTAGGTGAGCCATCTTTATTCGGGTCTGCCATGATGAGCGAAATGATTTGAATGGTTTTGCCTGTTCCTTGATTAGTCCCGTACTTTCCAGACAGTAAGAAGCCTGATTAGAAATGGAAGGCACAGATAGCAAGAACTCACCAAGGCCCATGTCATCTGCCAGGAGACCACCACGTGCAAGTTGGGGGGCCTTCGTAATGGAGAAATTGGTGGCAATATTGGTATAGACGTTTCCCACTTTCTTCCAAAGTTGAACCACATCATCTGCTTCGGGCAGTTTGGGTGATTCATGGTCAAGCATCCAATGTAAGCCTTGTCTCTGGTATGGTAACAGCGTCGTTGCAAGCAGTTCTGGTTGATCAGCCATCGGCAACTTGGCCAAAACATCCTCTCCTGCTCCAAGCTTATTGACGAGGCTTTCAACATCTCGCGGATTGAACGTGGAGGTGCCTTCCAGTAACTGATCCATGCCCGGTGCTTGTGGCAAGCTCATCCCAACTATCTGGCTCAGATTGCTCCATCCACCATTTCCTTCGTTGTCAAACACGGTATTCCCCTTCTTGTGCATGGCAGCGGCGACTTTCTCTCGAGATTTCTTCTGCTTTTCCAACTCTTGTGCACGCTTCTTAGCTTCTCGTTCCTGTCTAGTGAACTCGTTGATAGGGAGTCTCAGATTTTGCATTTGCTGACGAAGCGCCGCCCCTGCGACAGGGTCGCTTGTGCCAAAGAGCTTCAGCCCAATTGGGCATTCGTAGTATTCCTTGTGTCCTGTCAAGGCGCCTTCCACGAGCAACGAGCCCGCGTCCATTAAAGGAGCCAGCTTCGCCGCTACATTCCTGCCAATATGGCCAATCTGATCACGCTGAACATTATCAATGCGGATCGCGTTGGAGTCATAGGGGTTGCTCGGTTCACGGCGCACTTTGACATATTCGCCCACGGTCGCTTTTCCACCGTAAAACCGACAACCAACAATCTTGGTATTCAGAATGCCGTACAGCTGAAAGTTTTCATAGACGTCATCATCAAAATCTTCCGTGAGATCGACCTCTCGCGCGATATCCGCATCTTGTTCTTGTGTAGATGCAAGCCAGCTTTGGCGCTCTGCCTGACTATGCGTCCCGTCAAGGTGGATAGGCATTGAATACCCCCCGTAAGTCTGACTGGATGATGGGGGTGTTGGTAGTTCATTGCGATGTCGCTGAGAGGAACTGGGAATTGCCGATGAGTATTGTCCAGGCTCTTGACTCCTATTTGGTGGAATGACCACATTCTTCTGAACCCGTGAAGAAGAAAATGATGACGGCAATTTTCGAGGTGGGTTGGCTGCTGGAATATTGTAAACACAATCATCATCATCGCTGCCGGTGAGGTCAACCGTCTCGATCTTCCTTTTCGCCTTTGTTTTGTACATGAGCGCTAAACAGACGTATTTTAAGTCTAATGGGGTGAACTAGAGGGTGCAATACGTGCGGCCATTAACACAGCGTTTTTCTTGAGATATTGCAAAGCTCAAACGCCAATGGAACTAGATGAGACGAATGGCCGTGTTAGCGATATCAAGATCAAATGTTAAAAATGAAACAGTGCGTGCTAGAATGGTTAGCGGCGCGTGAGGATTTGTTGACATTATGAAGTCGTGTTAAAAAGGAGATGCCGAAGTCGCGGGGAAACAACGGCCGCTTTCAGCTAATTCACAAAAACAGGCAAGGCTAGTATCACCCAGGCAGCAATCACCCAATGACACCCATAGACCGATGTATTTGACACAATCATAAGAAGACAAGATATTGAAAAATAGAAGAGACTAACTAATCTGACTACGTACGTCACCTCTTCACACAGAGTCATATCTTGTCACATGACGTTGTGGCTGAGATATGATTGTCACGACTTCACCTCCCCCCCCAGCAAATTTTGATGGAAGAAACAACATGGTGTATTGAGCTCATGGCCTTATTGGCCGAGCAAAGACCTCTGTATTCACCTGGGATCGCAAACTAACTCTTGTCGTCTTTGATAAAACGGGCGGAATATCACTTAAGTTGACTACCTCGTTATCTCCTCGTTCTGACCTTCTTCTTCTTCGTCATCCTCCTCGTCGGTGTCGAAGCCAGTATCGATCTTGGGGATCTCAAAATCACTGCTATCACTATCATAACTGTCGCCCTTGTCCAGGATGCTTGGAGCCTCGTTTCCAGTTGGCCTGGAAACCATTGAACCTAAAGACTGTTCATGAGGTGAGGCATTGTCTTGCACGTTTTTTGTATCTGGGAAACCAGGCACAGTAGATGTGGTTTCCACCTCATATTCCACTGAAGCTGGTAGGGCGTCAACAACTTCGTCGGGGCGTGGTCTTTTTGGTAATCTCATCTCACTTTCGATCTGGTGTTTGACGGCTACAAGAGACTCGTTCTCTTTCTGATCATCGAATGGCCGCTTTTTGGGTAATAGTCGAGGCTCAATGGGTTCCCTGACATCGTAGCTCATGTTATTTGTGCTATCGGCGGCATCGCCAGCATATTCCGAGTCCTTATCCATCTCATTGAGTGAGTTCTCAAGCTGCGATAATATGTCACCACCCTCGGCGTTGTGCAAAGGCGGGCCATCGATAGTAATGTGAAGATCAGAGTCTTCAGGTTGAGTAACCTGTGTTTGTGCAGGTGGGAAGCGAGGTCTCAATAAAGCTTCTACGGCTGTAGTGCCGGCGGCGGATCTCGTAAGGAAGGGGAGAACACTGGCTGTCGCTATATATCCATCTTCTGAAAACACCGGATTTAGCACACTAGCTAGCATGGCTTCTCGATGATTCAACAATATGGCAAGTCTGTCAGCTTCGGTTCTGGCCTGTCGTGAGAGCAATGGCGCTGCCCCAGATCCTAACAGTACTGGTAAAAGCTTCCACGCAGATCCGAAAGTACTCGAGGGTTTATCGAGGAGCCTCTGAACAGAATAAATGTCCGTCCTTTGGATTGTCTTTGTGACCAGGGTGAGCTCCTTGAAGTTTTCACCTGGCTTATTGGAATCAGCGTTCGATAGAGCAGCTTTAAGATCATCAAAGACTTGAGCAATCAGGCTGGAAAGTGCTTTTCGGTGGATATCCAATTCATATAAATTGCTGGTGCTCCCAAGATGACGGATAATGTCATAACACAATACCCTTATTTCTTGATGCCATGACATTGTCTGAGACTTGAACAATACCTGATCACACATTACGCGATAAAGAGGAAGGAGGCTGCCATCGTGTGTTGTACACAAAGACCACAACAGGGCTAGACATGAAATATTCAGCCTAGGCAAGTTCAACAAAAGCTCGTCTCTCTCCTCTTTGCTCGCCTCAATGTGATATCTCAAGTTGTGTCCAGGCCCACTTTGACTTTCTGGAACGTTCACAGACAGAATCCGAGTTGTAAGATCTAGAACTTCGCCAAATGGGACCTGAACCTGCTGCGTCGTGCCAGAAGAAAGAAGGTGTCGAAGCCAGGATAGGAGTGTCGCAAGCCTGGAGCTTCCTTCTGATACGCCTTTCCAGGCCGCCAATCCCAGCTGATCCTTTCCAGAAGTTTCCTGAGGCTTGGCAAAATTGTGCTTCTTCGCACTGGCGATGAGGGACGGATTGTTGGACTCGTGGTCCTCAAGAATGGCACGAAAAACATCGCTCGCTGTTCCATGGGCGAGGCCAATTACACTGCTTGACATCTGTGACCATTCTTGGCCTGCAGTATTCTTCGGAGCACATGATATTAGCGAACATAGAACCCGGATACTGAATTCCAAGGTGCATTTAGGGCTGCGATGATCCTCGATGAAGCTAAGGCAAATAGGCTTAATCCGATTGAGAAAGGGGCGAAATATCGATGCGTGCTGTGGGAGTAGATGGAGCCAGCATTGTAGAACCGTGTCAAGCAGTGGACTCGGGACTGATACTGATTGATCTCCAGACCTGGCGACAATGGGTCTAATAAGACTAAGGCATGTTGTAAGGAACGAGGGCAGCAGAGGGGTTGTAATTTCCCTTATCAAGGCAGGCTGATGTTGAGTCAGAACAAATATTCTGGTGATAGTGGTGAGATACAGCTTCTTGATTTCTGGTGGTTCAGCTTTTCCTAGACAGCTTAGGAGGCCGCGTGCCCAAGGTTCCGAACTTGCAAGAAGATTCGATCCAGCACTCTCGATGATGGTCTTGATTAGAATGACGGCAGATAATCTTCCAGCCTGAGACCTGCCCTGTAATAGCGCACTGATGCGGGTCTTTAGCTTGTGAGCAATCACTGGGGAGGCATTAGTCCTTGCGTCCGTAAAGTAACGCTCGAGAGAGCAGCCTGCCAGCGACGATGCTAGAAAGCCGGCGAGGCGAGGCAATTCTTCCACTGGAGTGACGTTGAGGCGGTTTACGAGGGCACGAAAAGCCGCATCATGCTGCATGACTGCCTTCAGTCACAGGCCAGGCAGAAGAAGGAGGGGGCCAGCGAAGTTCATGCGATGGAATGAACACCCATGAAATTGATGTTCTAAAATTCTCGAAATTGATGCCAAGGCAGGATGAAACTATCCCAAATGGAGATGCCGGGACATGCCGCCCTGTGTAATTAACCTCCACAAGTCTCCTACGTGTATGTTACTATCGTCTCATCATCTGGAACCCGACCTCATTGTCGCCACGATAGCGAGGTTTGAAAAGGCATGAAGGCTTAGAGAGGATAAGTACCAATTTAGTCCATTATAAGGTCACTTCTACCTTGATGATCACTGTTTGATCTGGCCGTCTCACTCTCTCCCGCCTTATTATTTCGTGGTCTGCCACATCTCGTTCCCTCCTTACGTAGGAATGAAGCACATTATTACTCTCTTACGAATTGTATCCCCCCCCTTTTTTTTTTTTGGTTTTCTGTAAGATTTGTTGAATCTGCTTTGGCGGTACACCAATCCAGTCATGAATGTTGCGAGTGGAGACGTCAAGTGATAGGAAAGTGAGTCCTCAGGCCTTGTCCGCATGAGTGTATCGCTTTCCCCTTTTGAGTTGAACTGGTTGCTCTTCAGAAAGAGGATATACTAGCTTCAGCGGATGCTTTGTATGAGGCTTTACCGCTTCTTTCGCTTTCGCCTGAGCTGGGGGGCAACTCAGGACCTGCCATAGATGATTCATGGTAAACGCGTGTTCTCGTCGTCAAGCCAGTCCTCCGCTACCCATACTTCCAATCTAAGTTGTCCTCTCTGCCAAGTTGATCGTTCATAGACCTTGTTGGGTGTAGAGAAGAGAGTCAGAAAAACCAGGAGACGGAGTATGATCAGTAACTATCAAGGAGGGCAGGGAAGTGGAAAGCCAATCAAACTGATACCAGTTACGAATAGTCAATCGTGCGATAGCTGCTATTAGGCTGCAAGCCACAATAAGAGCAAATTGAAAGATGGAAGGAATCTCCACGCCGCCGCTATGTGCATCTGGAACACTAAATATCCCGCACTAAGCGACTTCGCAAAAACACCGGCAACAGCACTTTCGCTGGGACACCTTCAAAGTCCAGGCCGGTTCTCCAATCTCGAGCCTGACCACCCATGTATCCAGAGATACGGTAAGTTGCTGCGAAACAGTGACTCGAGCTCCTGATTGCTCACCTGTTCAGCACTGAACTCCAATCGACACTCTTGATGTACGAAGCGACGTCTGTTAACGCATTCAGGTCCACACCTGCCTGCTCTGGAAGAAATGGCACCTTCGCACCATCCCACCCGGACTCGCGGATATAACATGCAGTTTTGGCGAGCTCAATCCCGAAACCATCGGGCCACAGACTGACTGCTTCGTTGCTGGTCAAGGCTTGTACGGCGGTCTTGACCCCCTGAAGCTGACTCCACAGTTTGATATATTTGTTGAACTGCATTGGGCCAGACGTTCCATGCATAGTCGTCCTTGGAGGCGCCCTGAGAACTAGCGCTTCGACGAATGGTCCCGTAGCTGTTGGTGGATTGACACATGGCGGGAGGTGGCAGGTGGGGCTCTCAGTGTATGTTTCTTTGATACTTGATTCATCGGTGTCGGATGGGATGATGGAGCGAAATATAATGGTTCCATCTGCCCCCTAGAGAACTGTTAGTACGTGCACAGATATTTGCAAGATTTTGTGCTGCTATCATCAGCAAAGCAGACAGGCTTGAGCGGCTCGGATTAACGAGATATCGAACCTTTTTGGGCATGAAGAAATGATTCATCTTCCAATTGTCCAAATAGTAGCTCATCTGGACAAAACTTGTCTTGTCCAATAGCACTTGAAATTCAAACTAACCTCTCCCGCTTTCGAAGTCAGATACTTCACGGATTGAGCCTTGCTGTCGAAGCCCCAGACCCAAGTATGTTTGCTGTTACTCATAGCGTTGCTGAGTGAGCTGAGAGCCAATATTTCGAGCCGTGGTGCGATTTGAGCAGCAGCATCGATGATGTTCTTCCCTTGTTGAAACTCACGGAGGAAGCATGCCTCGTTCCACGTTGTTGGCGTATCAGTAGCAGTGAGGCTATTATCAAAGCGAGCCCGGACCTGATCCCACACTTCCTGGGTCGAAGGACGGCACAGCGGCATAAATTGCCAGAAGTCAGTCACGCTAAAAATGGCGTTGACCCCTTCGAATGCCGATCAACGATTCAACATCGTCGGAGTCCGCCTTAACGACTTTGATCCCTGCGATAGTCACCCCTAGAGCCCGAGCTGCATCAAGTCTGCGTTACGTGTAATGGCTCTCACCTCCCAGCCAGAGAGCTTGTAGAAAGTGCGCACCACAGAACCTTCCCGGGGAAGGGATTGTTGTTGGTACTCTTTTAGAAGAGGCTTCCTCCTTTTCTGCGGTCCCTCTTTATTTTCGACCTGATTCCCTCATAGTGGGTTTGTAAATTGAAAGCGCTCACCTGTGGCCCTGTTGCACCAATCTCAACTACTATTTTAGGAGACATTGCAGAGGCCTGCTCGACTCGATTTGTCTCCATTCGTTACTCTTTCTGCGCGGATTAGTGAGGCGATGTCCAAACATGAGTGCCAAATTCTGCTAAATGGCCCTCTCGATTATAGCTAGACTCGGCATTTTGATATCAGTTTCCTCCATGGAGTCGGGGTGGGAAGATCCGCATGAGCTACTTATAGCGGGCCGAGCGCGTCCCACCGTTCTTTATCGGTCGATCCGAGAACTCGGACAAGCGACTTCAGAAACAGTAGCGTGGGAGTCGGTTCAATGGTGGTCCCGGTGCCTACGGTAGTGCAGATCATGCGGCGATGATGCCTCCTGCTCTTCAGTGTCAGATCCACGAACAAACATCACTAGGATTACTTCAGTTGCTAGTTTTACAGGAGCGTAGGCGCTTGACGCGGCCCATGGCAACAATTCCAGGAGTCACGCTACCGGGATCGGTCTTTGCCTCCGGTTCAAGATGATTCAAACCCTATGGCAAACTAGGTTAATGATATTTTGGCACATAGGAGAGCAAGGCCAAGAGAAGAATTCTAGTATTTACGAGGCTGGGCAGGAGAGGTGTTGGCGTTTTAAAGCAGCATGAGCGTTGCTCCTGAGTACATTTTCGACGCTAAGGGATTAAAGCTTCCTGAGGAGGGAAAAGAGGGTCGCTCTGCATTCCGCTGCCGAAGTTTCACCGGCGAGCGCATGCAACGTACAACATTGGGCTCGTAACATTTCGAGAACCACCTTTCAAACGTAGTGCTTTCTGTAGCCACTCTCACCTCTTTGCGGCCCTGACGCGTTGATTGAGCTGTCGCGATGCCTCTCCAACTATGATTTCTACTCCAGATCGTGCTAAAACTCCGACGCACGAAGCACAAAGGCAATAATGAGTGTACCGTTCCCCATGCCACCGTCTTCAATCCAATGGACTAACCTTTCAGGTACAACACCATAATGAAAAGGCCCAACGCTATATTCAACAGCTAGACGTGGCACGTATTACTTCCAGTTGGAAAGATGTTCCCGAGTTGATTCGAAAGATTACAAAACACGCCTCCGGTCGCAAGCGTCTGTTCCCACCTGTCTTGTGAACTGCCTGCAACTAACATCTTCCCAAAATCAGGCCTGTTACAGGTTGCAAAGGCTGAAGTTGATGTCATCAACTATGCCACTGCTGCCCGCAGACCCGGCACTTCCGAATCCACAAAGCCTTCTTTACAATCCGTCTCTGCTTTGCAAGCGGAAATCAAGCCGAGCGAACATCCAGACGAAGAGACCCTCCAAGGCCAATCATGCTTGCTCTGGGCACGCTGGATCGGATATCATCAGAAAGAGACCGCCAGTTCGACATTAACATTTGACCCTGCGCGAGCAGCTGCGGATGCGAATTCTACTTGGACGAAGATTTGTGTGGTAAAGGCTGCATATATCCAGGGAATGCTTCTTAGCCAGGAAGGGCTGGGCAAGCAGGGCAATGATGTATACCAAACAATCTTGCCGTGGCTAGATTCCAATCGCAGCCTTGTGGTGTCTACACCGCAACTCCTCTACTGGGCGCAGCAACTACTCGGACAGGTTGCGTTAGGCAACAGAGCACCGGATGACTCTGCTCTCGATTTCGACGGATCGTCAAATTTCAGGTTACAGGCTTTCCGCCACTGGGCAGTTCTTACTGTGAAGAGTAAGCCTGTCTCCTCTTTAGCCTACGGAAATGCACGGGGTCATTTGTCAAGCCTTACAATGTGGAGGACGTATTACAGGTTTATGTCAGGCATTCTACACCAACGGCCCGGGGCTGGTCAAAATGTGGCTATTAGTCGATCCGAGCTGGCTGTGGAGCTCCGTCGAGTGGAGACATCATACGAAAGCGAGTTACTACGAAACGCACATTTCCCAAAGGCCATCGAATCAAACAAGCCTGTGGAGGACTGGGTTGAGGAAGTCGTTGGGAATTGGCTCATTCTCTGTGGCTCCAACTGGACTGAATCTGATCTTGGTGACGGCGGTCGAAATTCTGTAGGAAGGAATGTGTTGGAGATCCTGTATCGTGCAGCGACCAAGACATTTCACTCAACCCTCATTCTCCGGAGATTGTTTCAGCTACACAAGGCTCTTGCCGATTTCGATCTTGCTTATAAGGCCCTGGATACGTATGTTGAACTGATGGACAGTGGCAGAGCGCGAGCTGCTAAATCCAATGAGGCTGCAATGGGGCAAGACAGTGATGAGCTCTTTCTGCAGACAATCTCCGAGGCTATCGAGGGGCTTTGTTCTCATGGAGGTCAGGCCGAAGCGGAAAAGGCGTATGATCTATGCCTTAAAGTGGAAGGTCTTCTCGATGAGCTTGGACTTTTTTTGCCTCATGAAGAACCAAATGGAGGAACAGCAATCGGCGGACGAGTTTATGGCGATTGCCCTCTGCGAGATCCATTGTCACCGACCCTTACCGACACGGTCTATCGGGCGATCGGTATCGGGAAGTCGCAATGGGCACGGTGGACTCCTTTCAGCGAGAATCGGTCTTCGCTGCAGTCCGAGGCTATTGGGTGTCTTCAAAAGGCATCCCGGCAGGACGTATCACCTCATCAGCAGCTTAAAACTATGTTTGCGCTCGCCTGCCTGCTTGCGGAGACTCGGGAGATTGACCAGGCAGTAGCGATTGCGAAGAGAGCACTTGCGTCTCAGCCGCCAGAGCATGAGGTGGAGAGCTCTTACCAAGTGCAGAGAAATCTGATACCATTTTGGCATCTGCTCTCTCTGCTACTGACCTCCAGACAGGACTTTGGAACAGCGAGTCAGAGTTGTGCAGCAGCATTTGAGCAATTTGAGCCATCCGATGTGATCTTTGGAACACTCTCTGATGAGTCAGGGGTGAGTGAGACGTCAGGAGTCGGGCCACGGAAAGGAGGCCTTGTTGATGACATGGAAGGGGATGAGTTAAGGAGGATCATTGAAATACGAATCACGGAACTCGCATTGACTGAGCTCAATGAGGGACATGAGCACGCGGTCAATAGTAGTAACGACTTGCTGGGACTCTATTCACGTTTATTCGGCCGACTAGGTGGCCTCACGAGTCCGGACAACAGCTCCAAGCCGAAGTTGATGCAACCACCGAAGAGCTCGGCAGGAACGGTGAAAAGCTCTCATGCTAGCCTTTTTTCCAGGAGAAAGGTAGGCCAGTCCAACGAATCGACCAAAGGGTCGCGGACAGTCAATGGAGCATCGATACCAGAAGAAGCGACACGGCCAAACACTCGAGCGACACAGGCGACTGATGCACCTACTATCCACGTGACAAACGAAGACGAAGCGGCGTCGCCACCGAAGCACCGCCTGTTTAGAACATCACATGAGCATAATAGAAATGAGAAGCGGAACTCACCCGGGAAACCGCAAGGGAACCGGCCTAGACATCGACTCTCACGATCGAGAAGCCGTGGTAGGCGAGAAGATGTGACAAGTCACGAATCAAACGACAGACCGTCATATGAAACAGGCAAAGCGAAAGGACCAAATCCGGCAAGCACTGAAGACTCTGCCCAGGACAAGCTAGGAACCATCCCTTCGCAGGAAGTTCCGGCAATCCGACCTGAAACCGGGCACGACACGAGTGAAAGGGCCAAACAACCGTTGAAACCAATTCCTCATAACCTGGGGTCACACGATGAAATACCACTTCCTGCGAAGCACGATGTTCAACCACCAGAACAAGACGTCCGATTGCCTGTGGGAAAGCCAAACAGTGCGGTGTCGGACATGGTGCCTCGATTCCCGCGAGCCATGGCACAAAGACAGGCGTGGACGGTTCTGGTCAAGATCTGGCTGGTGATAGCTACTCTCTATCGTCGGTCGAAGATGTTTGAGGATTCTCGAGAAGCCTGTGACGAAGCTGCCAAGGTGGCACTCCGGGTCGAGACGTTGGTTGCAAGCGTGGAGAGTTCGGCTCGAGCATTCTGTCAAGCAGGCTGGGGCGTTGGGAGCAAAAGCTCGGATGAACTGTGGGCGGACGTCTACTTTGAGCGGGCGGAATTGCTTCTGGCGATCGCACGTGAACGCGAGGAAAAAGAAGGCGGCGGCATATCTGAAGGGGTTCGAGAGGCCGTGGAGCAGTATGAGCAATGTCTGATGTATTTCCACAACCACGCTGGAGGGATGGTGGGACTCAGCAATGTTCTACTGGACTACTACGAACGCAAGGTGGAACTTGGAAAGAAAGTTGATGGAGCCAAGCCAGCTTTGAGTGCGGTGGCTGCGCGTACCGCGAAGGGAGAAGAGTCAGTGGAGGAGCGTCCGCGAAGACATCGGAGGGATTTCTCACGACAATCTATAGAGGATCCTGTAGCTAACGGCACTGTGGAGAGCACGATGAGAGCAAGTGAGCACTCACAACGAATCAAGGAGGATGAGCTTAAGAAGACACCCGAGAATCTGAATCGGCTCGCAGCTCGAGATCGGGCATACGGACTTCTGACAACGCTGACGAAGCTGGGGAGCGGATGGGACAACTCTGAGGCATGGCTCGCATTGGCTCGGGCGAACGAATTGGGAGGGGAAGTTGAGAAGGCAAAAGAAATACTTTGGTGGTGTGTCGAGCTGGAGGATACACGTCCTATCCGACATTGGCACAATATTGGGGGTGGATATGTTCTCTGATCATAGCCTCCCTTTGTATTTGTTAGCATGACAAATTACAAAATAGAGTGATTCATGAATCATGCTCTGGGACCGTGTCGAGTATAGGTGGCTAGTCCGTGGTATGGACTCAGGCTATCCAACAGCCGTAGTATCAGTACTTTGTGCTCCGGACCAGTACAGCAAATCGGAATGGAGGACATCCATCTCGGCAATCTCGGGCAGATGTTTTACGGAGTCGCGAATCCAAGGAAGTGGCCTGGAAGGAAAAGAATGATTACGAGTGAGACGAGGCAGCGCCAAGATGATCCATGCGAGGGCTTGATCGCCCCCTGGTGCCCTACTGTAGACGTCCTCTGCCGGCTGAAGGCAGTGTACGGAGTAGCTTAGGAGGCTTATCACCCCCGGGGCAGGCCAATCGCCACATTCGCCAGACCCTAAATTTAAGGACTGGCAACCAAGCGCGAAGCCTGGGGCCATATTTTTAGATTCGGCGCACTGGCAGTCGGCAACCAGTTGGAATTTGTCGGAGTTTCAGTCTGGTCAGCCTGTCCTTGTTCGCGTGTTCGAGCTGTGTGCTGGGATATCTGAGGTCAATTGAGCATGAGTGTGTCGAAATTGGAAAGACACAAATTAACTGTCTCACGAGTCTCGTCGTATTCAACTCCATCGTCACATCTGCAGTAGGAGTACCATCGTCATGATTATGGCATCCGACTCAACCGCAGGCCACGTAGTGTCAACGAGTATTCGTAAGTGTCAGACTTGGCCAAGTGAAGAGAAATTCTATGCCTATGACGCGTGCCGGGGCAACATGTGGGCTGGGGGGCTGGGGGGGCCTTCCGGGGGCAAGAGGTCCCTGCAACGAGGCTCAACAAGGTCCTTCAGCCTCTGTGTTCCTGGGCATCCTCCCCAATTTCACCTCTTGGTGGTGGACGACGCACCTAAGCGGTACCTGGCAATCCTGGATTCCTCGTACATTCCCCGCCACACCGACCAGCCAGCCCCTGCCAATGGCTCGCCTGACTGCATATCACCAAACAGCCACCTTTCCAATTACGGGGGAGCGACGCTCTCCGACGACGACTTCCCTCGTGCTGCGCCTTCCACTTCTTCCCTCACTGCCCATCGCCCATCACCATGCGACCGGGTCGCTTAGATCATTAATGTCGCTTTTGCGCTGTGTGATCTCATCCTCGCATCTTGCTTCCCGTTAATTAATATTACTTTCCACCACTTCCGCTTCCACTTCACTCCTGTATACGTTTGTCTGTCTGTCTTTCGTTGGTCTCCCGTTTTCATTGCTCTTGTATAGATACGAGATACATCACTGGCACTTCGACTCGCCCAGTCACCAGCTCTCTCACCTTTTGTTGTCATCATCTTTGGCTGCATCCGTTCAGACAGACCCTTGCACTTTCCATTCCCATTCCAACCTCACTCTCTTGTCTCGACAAGGTCTCAACAGGCGATATGAAGTCCTTGACAGCCGCAGTGGCTGCTGCCGCCCTTGTGGCGCCTCTCGCTTCCGCAATTCCACTTATTCCACGGTCAGAGAATGCTCGCGTGATTTCCTTGCCCATTCAACGGAGGCACGTCCCCGATATCCTCTCTCACGAGCGGCGCCGCTTGAAAAAGCGCCAAAATGTTGTTGAACAAGTCCTCGATAACGATCAGTCCCTGTACTACGCCAACCTGACTCTCGGCACCCCCCAGCAGACCCTGCGGCTGCACATTGACACAGGCAGTTCCGATCTTTGGGTCAACACCGCAGATTCATCCTTCTGCTCCTCGTCGGCCAACCCCTGCGAAGGTGGCACGTATTCTCGCAGCGCCTCCTCTACCTACGAACTCATCAACAATCAATTTAACATTTCTTACGTTGACGGCTCCGCTGCCCTGGGTGACTACGTCTCTGACACATTACATTTTGGAGGCGTCACCCTCGAAGGCTTTCAGTTCGGCATTGGTGAGACCTCTTCTTCGGAGCAGGGCGTCCTTGGTATTGGCTATACAAGCAACGAAGTCCAAGTCAACCGTGCAGGCATGGATCCTTACCCCAATCTGCCCGAGGCTCTCCTGAATGCTGGCCATATTAGATCCAATGCTTACAGCTTGTGGCTAAATGACTTGGACGCCTCCACCGGCGAGATTCTATTCGGTGGTGTCAACACTGCCAAATATGAAGGCTCATTAGCAACAGTCCCTGTCATTCAGACCTATGGCGGCTATTACGAACTCGTCGTCGCCCTGACTGGTGTCAAAATCAACGGCCAGGATCTCTCGAACTCCAACTCTCTTCCTGCTGGCGTCCTTCTTGACTCCGGCGCCACTCTCACATACCTACCCAACGACATCACCGAATTGATTTACAACGAAATTCAAGCAGTTTACCAGGATTCAGTCGGCGCTGCTTATGCCGAGTGCAGTCTCGCCGACTCCTCCGCCACACTCGACTTCGACTTCTCCGGTCAGACCATCCGCGTCCCGTACAACGAGCTTCTCCTGGATGCAGGCACTGATAGCCGCGGCAACCCCCTGACCTTCACCAACGGCGAACAGGCATGTCTTTTCGGCATCGCTCCCGCCCAGAGTGGCATTTCCGTCCTCGGTGATACTTTCCTGCGCAGCGCCTACGTTGTCTACGACCTGGCCAACAACGAGATTTCCCTTGCCCAGACCGTCTTCAACGCTACGGCTGACAACGTCCAGGAGATTGGCACCGGTACTGACTCTGTACCAAACGCCACTCCTGTTGCCAACCCAGTCAGCTCCGTCATCGCCGAGAGCGGTGGTGCCCGTCTTGGTGGTGCAACTGGCACTGCCACTGGTAGCCTTGGCAGCCCAACGGGATCGAACAGCGCTGCGATCGACAAGGCTGTACCACTGTTTGGTCTGATCATCACCGCTGCACTCGCCGCAATTACAGCTCTATAATTCCTTGATTCTTTCGCACAGTTCCCTCAGCGACCATTTTCTAGACATTACGAGCCTACACGGCTGTCCTCTCTGATGCGATTACGACCTGACGGATATTTCCTGTTCTGCGCATTTTGATTGATTTTCTCGTTGCGACCCAAAAGACCCAACAGCATGGAGTTGGTTTGGCAGCGGCCGGACATATATACATTTATCTTTTTTTTATGCATAGCGCCAAGGCGTTTCTCTCGAATTTCCCATCATGGGAAAGATATCGTGGATACATTTACAGATGCAAATATGCACATAGTCCAGGAGTGTTGGATAGGTTGTGAATGGCCAGTCGGTCGGGGACACGCAGTGGCTTTAGATGGCGGTCCGCGGATACCGAGAGTAGCTTACGAATTTAATTACAAGCCTCGATCTTTGCAAGAATCACTCGATTGATTCTTACGGAGAACACGGACATTCTGAACTTTTATTCTCTCTATCTCTCTCTGTATTGCCTTGTACTAGACCAACTAGTTAACGACGTCTCTTTTCTCTTCCCTCCGGGTCGCAGCATTTCTGCTATTGCTATTGCTAATGTTGCCGCTGCTGTTGCCGCCGCTATGGGACTGTCCTGCCGACATAGATTACCCGCGCCGAGGTTATGTGACTTTATATGATCTATGTATAAAAGACTGCATGCAGGAAACATGCCAGGGATGTTGATACTGGCTGATGTTGTGCCGTGACTCCCGATTCTCGGCCAAGCCAAGCCTCTGGAGGGCCTTCGAGATAACACTGCTCTGGCCTGCGTTGCGGAAAACAAGTGTCTTCGGTGGCTTCCTGTGCAAGTCCCTAATACGTGATAGACTTCAATGGTTACAAAATATGCAAAGGCCTTAACGCGCTGAGTCGGTCTTGGGCCTTCACTGCTACCTAGACCACCCACCCCTACTCCGAGGCTGTCTGTCTATCCGAGCCCAACGCTCGGTTTCGAGCTGCCGACCCTGATGCCTCTGGATGTGATCGCACGCGGCAAGATTGAATTGGCGCCCGGGCTCGATCGGCCAGAGCCAACGCTTTCATTGTCAGTGTCCCTCGCAGGCGTATGGTGGCTTCGATTTTGTACTTGCTGTGCAACTGACGGAGACGTGCCTCCCAGCTCGTCCGATCGGGCAGTTGATATCGCCGGGCTAAATGCGCCTTCCTTGTCCTCGATTGGTGGCGGCTGAGAAGGATCGGCAGTCTGCTCTGACTCGTCCAGCGAGGTCGAGGTTGCAGACTCCTTGCGACGGGGCAGCAGAGCGTCGCCTGCTGCGGGTGCATGCGGTTCCCTGTTTGTCATTTTATAAAACTGTTCCGTCCAGGTCAATTGACTGCTACTGCTGTTGGGCTGATGGTTGGATTGGCCAGGACTGGCTGTCGACGGTCGACTGTTGTACTGATACCTGTAATGTCGATCACGTTGTTGCTGAGCGAACGACTTCGCTTTTGGGGTTCGAGGTGTGTCATTGGCGCCGTCATAGTCTGAATAGCCACCATCATCTTCAGACCACGGGGTCGTGCTGCCACTGTTTTGGCGGCGGTGAAGGTATGCCGTGTCTGTTATTGATAATGCAAGCCCTTTGGACAGATCATTATTATTTCGTCCAAGTGAATAGTAGCGCAAAGCTTCTAAAACGTGAGGGAAAACAAGCTTCTCCACGTCTTGTGCCCACAAGAAATCCAGGTGCTCAAAATGAGGTACCTCGGTCGCGATTGTGTGTCGAGGGAGCTCTTTAAGCATGACTCGGATATCGATAAGTGAGTCGCTTCCTCCGTAGACGAGCACAATAGGGGTCTTGATATTTCGCGTGGGGAACCTTGCAACTTTGTAATAGCGATTGCTCGCCCCAACGGAGAATTTGTTGGATCCGTCGTCATCATACATCTGGAACGACTTGTTGCGAATGATCTGAAACCAGTGGACGACTGACTTTGTACTTGTGAAGCTGTAAAGATGCGGATATGCAGCAAGCTTCTGTTGTACAGAAATGTTTCGGCCATACCAGGCGAAAAGGAACGAAAGCGACATATCGATCAATCGAACAAAAATCGGTGGGTAGAGTATAGACTGCCACATGGTAGCTGAGGATAGAATGGATTTACGACCAAAGGCAAGGAAGAGAACGTCGGGACTGGCCTTGACAAGGGAATCGACAATTCCATTGCTGAGTCCAGCTGGCGACATTGCAGGTGCAAGAGCGACAAAGAGATTAACTTTGTCGTTGAGTCCTGGATGAATTGAGAGAGTTGCAAATGCTTGTGCAGTGCCTTGGCTGAAACCAATATAGGATAATGACGCCTGTGATGTCGTGTTGAGAATGTAATCGATTGTGTCTGGAATGTCGTGGAAAGCGAACTCGTCCATTGAAAAATTCCAGAACCGAGCAGAAGTAGGAGAGAATTGAGTCGACTTTTTGCTGTATTTGTTACCCCGGTTGTTGCCCAACCAGACATCGTAGCCTTGGCTGGCAAGAGTGAAGGGAAGACAGCGTTCTTCCTCTGTGATGCAAACCCAGACCTCGCTGTTCATAAGTAGACCATGGTGGAGGTAAACCACAGGTTTGCGGATGGAATCTGGGCCTGCATTGACTCTTGTGCCATTTTGTTCCTCGCCTTTGCGGAAAGGTAGCCTATGTACACCTAACAGATATCCATCGCCCGTTTGTACAATATGTTCCTCCGCGTAGTATCCAAACAGCCCACAGAGTTCCGTGAAGTCCGAGCAAGTTGCAATTGAACTGTATATTGATTTTTGTTCTGACCTGGCCTGTTTTGACTTTTGAGAGGAAAGACGATTGAAGAGTTTCTTTGATGCATTATAACAAAAACGAATGACAGGTTGAGCTGGAGACAAATTAGACTTGGGAGGCGAAATTGCGCGGCAAAGTCCTTACGAAGGCCAAGGGTGATGATTCGAACAAAGACTTCGAGTGCAACGAGAATAAGAGATCCCACCAAAGCAAGATACTCTCGCCTGAGCAATGTGTCAGTGCGTCCTCGAGACCTCGACTCTGTCAACTCACCAGAACAGCCTTCCAATAAAAGGGACCCTTGCCATGGTCGACGACTATTGGTAAGTTGGTAAAGCCGATAAGGGGTTTGTGGTGCCAAAAGAACGGATGAAGTTAGCAGGACATCAAAAGCCATGAAGATAGCAGTTGGTTTGCAAGAGAAGCCGTCGAGGCGGCATGCGCAAGACAAAGCATGGTTGAGCTGCCGAGTTGAACGCTACACCAATTGATGCAGTGGTTGAAGCGCAGGGAAAGAGGGAGGTCCATGCACGTCATGTGGCTGCACTTCCCCTTTGGGCCGCTGATGGGCAAAGCATGTGAGAGTGCTGGTCTTAAATAGAAACTATGCCGAGGCAGCACGTGACGTGATCTGAAAAACCTTTGCCTATTTCTAACCTCGTCTGTGGGTGACCTTTGTCTTCCTTTTCTTTTTTCTCCATATTGAACAACGCAAAAAACCAACGTTCCTGCAAAAAGCGTTCCTACGAGGTTACCTTTACGTGATCCCATGATGTACGGAAATCGTCTATTGGAATGGAGATCAATGAAATGATAGCCGATCTTGGGTGCAGTGTCAGTCTTCCCTTCCAAGGAACTTGACTGAGAGTGCAATGATTGGCCGCACAACTTCATTATTACAGCTGAGGTGCTTGAGACGAGTCGCGGAGTGGAAATTTTGGCATCTTGTTACCGCTATGTCAATAAAACTTCATACGTCATGTGGCTGTGTCGTCTGACTACTTGGATTCCAACCAACCCTCAATCGTTTCAACAATGGCTGCCTTCTTCCCTGCCACAGGAATTCTCTTTGCGGTTGCAAATTCTTTGAGCAGGGCCACGGTCAAAGTTCCCAGTTGCCCTTTTGCCCACAGTGATCTAACCTCTGCTTCGCTGATGCCATGCGCATTCTCAGTCTTCACTTTCTTATTCGATGCTGTAGGGGCCGCTTCCGGGTGAGGAGCTGTTGGCCGCTTTGAACCAGTCTGCGCAGTATCTGGATATTCCGCTTGACGCTCTTTGAAAACTCGTTCTAAGATAGACCCCCATTCAATAGCCTCGTTCCCCACCCTCTTGTCGATTTGTTTGTACTTCGGAATTGTTTTGTCCTCTGGCTTTTCTGGAAGCTCTTCATCAAGTGCCAATGCCTGTAGGATGCGGTAATGCCACTGTAAGCTGGGATTGGGGTATTTAGATGGGTCGTAGAGTCCTTTCGGTAGGTTTAATTGTTCTATCAGTTCTCGTTAGCAAAGCTCGATTCGATCGCATCGCGGCTTGCACGAGTCAGACTTACGAACAATGGGTCGCATAGCATCCACCAGCTCATCAGGGGCCTGAAGAGGAGTCTTATGGCTGGAGGGAGGATTCTGGCGGATGTCATCTGCGAATGGGAGAGGAATGAGATGCAGGCCTTGGGGAGCCCCCGTTGCAGATACTGCCGCTGGATTTGTCTTACCATCCATAGCAACTGCAGATAACGTCGGGACCAGTGCTGCCATGACGGGAGTTGCGTTTTTCCGAGGAACAAACCAGGTCAAACCAAACAATTTGTCCTTCTGCAGTTTGCGATGTAGAGCACTGTACACGCGCGTGCTTCCAATATAATCTTCCTCCGACGGATAGAGGAATGTCGAATTCTTGATGTTAGCCCAGAATGGTAACCTGGCCATTGGCTTGAATCCTATAATTCGGACGACAGGATCCCCAAAATTTCGAAGTTCTTTCGCTTCCTCGTCAGAAAAGGTAATTTTCTCCCCTGCAAATGTGTATGCTCTTCGAATTTCAACTTTTTGGACTCCTTTGCCAACCTCGTCGAATTGCTGTGTATGTCCTTTTACTATTTGTGGTCGTTCTGAGCCAAGGTAGATATAGCTACTCCGAGCCGGTTTCTGGTGTTTGTACAGTAAAAAACCCTTGACGGAGATCTTGAGCGCTGGGCTGAGCTCAAGAGGAACAGAAGAGAATAAAGCACGTTTGGGGGTCACTTTTGATGCGATGGTGGTGAGGAGCGATTGTAAAAGAGTAATACCATCTGCTGATCCAGAAATGAGCTTCGAACCATCAACGTCAACAACTGACGCAGGATTGTATGCAATGGCTTCGGGATCGGCGGGGGAGTACTTATACACAATATCATCGTAGAAGATTTTGGTGTCAAATTTGTGGTCAACAGTGGTAATCGGGAACAACTCAATCACCACGCCCAAGTCATAGAGGTCTTTGGCCCTCACAGTCGCCTGAGAACGTGATCTTTCGTTTTGAGAATGCGGATCGTCATTGTCAGTAACAATAAAGAGTCGGCGCGAGGTGAAATTGGCAGCTTTCTGCTGGAAGATCTGGTTTGCGCAGAACAGAACAGTATGCATCGAAACCGATTCTTTAGCTGGTTTGAAGATATCTTCAGCTTCGGGAGATTCGGACTCAGTCAACCGTTTCAGCTCCTTCACATCTTCGGCTTCCGGAACATCGAGATCAGTGAGTAGGTAACAATGGGGGAAGGACCAACCGCCTCCAAAATTCTCATCCTCATCGGGGAATTTGGAAGCTTCGGTTCCATACAGCAAGATGCCCATCAAGTCTTTAGGATTTGAAATGATGCGTTGCTGCATTAAGTAGTATGCACACTTCAAGGCTGCTGATAGAGGGGAACTGTTGTCGCCTTTTTTCAACCCGGATGAAGATGGAATCTTCAACATTGAATGACTAACTTCAATGGCAAACAAGACAGCATCTTTGACTGTTTTGTAGCCTGTCTCATCGATTTCTTCATCGTCATCATCGTTTTCATCATTTTGAGCAGAGTCATGTGCCTCCATTTTGGATCTGTATGGTAGATTGTCACCCATTACAAATGACTGACAAGTGTGTAGAGTTGCTAGGAAGACTGCAGTGGATGTGGATCCCGATCGATTTTCCTTGGAGGTGAGATCCCAATATTGGAATAGGCGGATTGATCAGTGACGCAGAGCAAGGCAGTGACACGACCCGTGTTCGCGGCAAAACGCGCTATCACGTGACTGCGCTCACTCCTTAATGCATGCATTTTTAGTGGCCGATCCGGAGCCCTTGCAGACATCATTTCCCATGATCTCAGTGATCGGAAACAGAGGCAAGTCCCGAGCGTCATGTCGAAAAAAACTCCTTCATTCGCAATCCAGTAATCCAGTAGCTCCTTTTCCGTCCAATTACTCTCTGCTTGTACAGTCTCTCAGATACATTTCTTCATGATATCTATGGCTTGGTGACAACTCCATATACACACTACGCTGTTCGAATCTACACAATGTCAGTCCGCAGCTGCATGTCGAGCCTCTCCCGTCAGCTGCCGCGGCCCAAAGCTATTCGGCTATCGAAAGTCATTTGCAGTTACAATGGCCAGCAGAAGTCGTCAATGGCCAGTGCGGCACCTCCAGTAATGCAGAATTCTCATGGAGCCAAAGGGCCTACCGCAATGGTCTTCATGAACATGGGCGGTCCTTCGACAACTGAAGAGGTGGGTGACTTCCTCAGTCGGCTTTTCGCAGATGGCGATTTGATTCCTCTGGGAAGACTGCAGTCATACTTAGGGCCGTTGATCTCGCGCAGGAGGACACCCAAAATTCAGAAGCAGTACGCCGCGATTGGTGGAGGCTCTCCAATCCGCAAATGGTCCGAGTACCAATGCAGTGAGATGTGCAAAATCCTGGATAAGATCTCTCCTGAAACAGCACCTCATAAACCCTATGTTGCCTTCAGATACGCCAATCCATTGACCGAGCATATGTATACTCAACTCCTCGAAGATGGCTTTGGTGGCGGTAGAGGAGGAAGAGCAGTGGCATTCACACAATATCCACAATACAGCTGTTCCACTACTGGAAGTTCCTTAAATGAGTTATGGAAATGGCGCAATCGACTTGAGGGACCTAGAGCTACAGGAGAGTCCAATCCACCCGGGTCGATTACCTGGAGCGTGATAGATCGTTGGCCTGCCCACTCCGGACTTGTGGAGGCATTTGCACAAAACATCGAAGACAAACTTGCCGAGTACCCAGAAGAACGCAGGAAGGAAGTGGTCCTCATATTCTCTGCACACAGCTTGCCCATGAGCGTAGTGAATCGAGGAGATCCCTATCCAGCTGAAGTTGCAGCAACGGTGTATGCAGTTATGAGTCGACTAAAGTTTTCTAACCCATATCGACTCAGCTGGCAGTCGCAAGTTGGACCATCGGCATGGCTGGGAGCCCAAACAAGTGATACGGTAAAAGAGTACGTCAGTCGGGGTCAGACAGACTTGATTCTAGTGCCTATCGCGTTTACAAGCGACCATATTGAGACCCTGTACGAGTTAGACCAAGAGGTGATGCATGAAGATGCACAAGGCAACCCAGGAGTGAGACGAGCGGAGAGCTTGAATGGAAGTCCGGTATTCATTCAAGCACTAGCAGACATTGCTCACGAACATCTACAAAGCGGCGTGAGCTGCTCGCGACAAATGGGATTGAGATGCCAAGGTTGCAAGAGTGAACGATGCCTGGAGCAAAAGAAGTTCTTTGCAGGAGAGCAGGCCAAAATACTACCCACTGTTCGATAGGAACAAATGTAAATCTACTTTGTGCATCCATATTAGGTTTCCCAAAAGGACGGCTCATTCATCCAACAAGGCCAACAATTGATTCAACTGCAACTTACACAACGATGTCCGTGTCCCCAATACTATATATTCGGTATAGAAATGTATACATCTGTAAGTGGTCGCGCGACTATCTGGAGCCCCTGTAGTATCTCGATGCCAGTGTCGGCCACCGGCCACAGTGAGCACCTTTGTGGTGGTCCCGTCGGTGTCCCGACCCCCGAGTCTTGCTTACCAACCAACCTTTTGGAGAAGCATCCAGCTGGAGGACCTTGGGCGCATCCACCAGTCCCTTTAAGCCCTCTTATCGGCGACTCAAGCACTTGGTCCAGGTTTCCGCAGACGCCAACCGCGGCAGACGTGGCAGGCTGGACATCCCCAATCCCAGATCCCCAGGCAGATGCATTTCGAGCCAATTCGGGAGCGGCGAGGGAGAACAGTGGGACAGCCCCTGGGAAACAAATCCATTCACATTGGATTTATTCGTTCAGTCTGTTGTACTTCCGACCCCCCAGCACCCCTTGCGACTCAGTACTCCGTCCTCTGCTTACACTGACAACCCATATATTACGTCAAGATAATTGCTTTCCAGCGGCTTGTCATTAATGGATTAAGAGCATCGACTGCCCACAACATCTCTTCGGTTGTTCCTTGTGTGGTGGAGGGACCTTGTATGCGCCGCCGATTCTTCGTTCCTTCATTACAATCGGCGCTGTTAGATTGCATAGTTCCTACGCATCTGCCGGAATCCTCTCTGCCGACGAGTACACGACATGGACCACGAAGAAGCATTTGCTGGAGAAGCGCAGGAGGAAGTGGCCATCGCAAGCAATATTCGCAGGCGCCCTGCTGTAGATACAGGCCACGATGTGAGGAACGACACACTGGACGAGTACCATGAGGGTGAGACGAGCCCCTTAGTGAGCCCTCGTCAACAGAGGCGGTCACAAAGGGAAGGCTATTCCAGAGCCAGGCCAAGTTATGAAAGAGCCATTAATGAACCATGGACTGGATCACGCGGCTCGAGCGACCAGTCATGGTATAAGAAGGCTTCTGTAAGACCTCCCCGTCTTGCTGAATCATTTCCTCCGGCTGACACTTTGTCTAGATATTCTGGCTTCTTCCAGCATTCTTCCCCTTTTGCCTAGCATTTGGGGGCATTATCGTCCCTAAAACATATCTCATCCTCGACCTTATCTGCCACAAGTACCTGTCTGATCGAGCCGCCAAAGACCCAAACTTTACCTATCTACCTATAATCTTTGGGGAGGAAAACGAACAATGCCGGGATGATCATGTCCAGGCTCTTGTTGCCAACTTCAATCTATACATGAATCTGCTGTCGGGTATTTTCTCCGCCATTGTGGCTCCTCAATTGGGCGCTCTCTCAGACCGATATGGACGTATTAAGGTGTTGGTCTCCATATCCTTCGGTGCCTTCACGATGGAGATCATTACCATTATTATTGGCCGACATCCGACCGAAGTCTCTGTCTACTGGATGCTTCTGGGCGCCTTCTTGGATGGAGTCTCCGGTTCTTTTACAACTGGCATGGCTCTAGCTTTTGCATATGCGTCTGATTGTAGTCCTCCAGAACGCCGAAACGTCGCTTTTGGCTATTTCCACGGCACGCTATTCACCGGGATCGCTCTTGGTCCGCTTTTGTCTGGCTGGCTGATCAAATCGACCGGAACTGTTATGTCGGCCTTCTACCTGGCATTAGCCTGCCACGTATTTTACATTGTCTTCATCGCATTCATTGTTCCGGAGTCGTTGTCGAAGGAACGCCAACATCTTGCCCGCGAAAAACGACGGATTGCAAAGGAGGAGTCCCCTGACGAGGATTGGACCTTCAAGTTGAGAAATTATAATATCTTTGAGCCCCTGTGGGTGCTACGGCCCAAAGGTCCAGGGGCGACTCGCGCGCTTCGCCGAAATCTCTTTGTGATCGCTGCCATTGACACAATGATGTTTGGTGTCGCTATGGGCACTATGCAAATCCTACTCATTTACTCACAATACCGTTTTGGCTGGACCTCAGTCACCGCCAGCATATACCTTTCCTCGGTAAATATTTGCCGCGTGCTAGGTCTGGTCATTCTCTTGCCTGCCTTGACTCGAATCTTCCGTGGCCCAATGTCCCAACAGTCTATTGGGCATGAAGGCTCGGACATGCTCGACATTAACATCATTCGAGGCGCGGTTATTTTCGAGTTCCTGGGATACGTCGGTTATGCTCTCACACCTTCTGGGGCTGTCATGTTCATCTCTGGCATGGTGGCTTCGCTAGGTGGGATTGGTTCGCCAACTCTTCAATCTTCTCTTACCAAAGCAATTCCCGCAGACATGACGGGCCAGATCTTGGGTGCATCAGGTCTGCTCCACGCCTTGGCTAGAGTTGTGGCTCCCACTATATTCAATCTTATCTACATGAAGACAGTTGGTATTTATGCTGGAACTGTCTTCATATGTCTTGCGAGCATATTCCTCATTGTTCTCGTTCTCAGTTGGTTCTTAAAGCCAGGTGGTGAGTTCCCTTCAACGCAGTACCCCGTTCAGCATCTGGATGGCACTGACATCAGCCCTAGTATATCTTCCACACTCTGTTGGCCTCGAACTCAGCGACGATGAAGACAACAATGAAACTTCCATCTCTGCGGATGCACGCTCCGACAACTAACTCGACTAGCTACTTCACCACACTTCTGCATACACTGCATATATTGCATATACCGCTAGCTTTTCTGTGTGTTAATATTGGCCTATATTAAGTTCATTTTTACTGTTTCCATCGTCGCATATAGACATTTCTCGGTCTGAGCCAACTCATCGATACATACACGTAAGGAATTGGCGCTTCGGAGTGTTCTGCAGCCAAAGCGATTTGCAATGTAGCCATGCTGACGTACGTACACAACAAGAGAATATACGTTTTATAGCATTGAATATGTTCTGCTCATGCACGCTCTATTATCTAAAGTATATCCATGCTGCTCAGGCCCCAAGCTGTGGCACCACCCTACCAGTTAGGCAACGCCATTCTCCTGGTCATGGCTGAGTGTACTAGCATTGGTCTCCCCTTCTTTCCTCGCTCTCAGCCGCACATTTTCCAGGAGAACGTCATCAACCATGATCTGACTCGCCCCAAGGTAATTAAGCGGGTCACACAAGCTAGCCAATTTGTCCTCAGGCAAGTCTTTCAGCAAACTGGAATCGCTCTTCAATACATCCAGCAACGGGCGATCATTCTCAATCGCCATCTTGCACGCCTCATATACCAAGTCATGAGCCTTCTGACGACCCAGGAATGGTGCGAGACCCATCATCACTGCTTCTCCCACAATAAGGCCCCGCGTGCTGTGCAGATTTCTCTGCATTGATTTGGTGTTGACTACAAGCCCATCCAGTGCAAGTTTCATTTGGTGCAGCGCTCCGACACACAATACGAATGCCTCCGGGATAGCCACCCACTCCAGATGCCACGGACCAGACGCTCGTTCAAAGTCAACGACCATCGCGTCAAGCCCAAGCCCTGCGTTGGCACGTAGCAGTTTGGACGCAGCGAGAACAACTTCGCTGGATATGGGATTTCGCTTCTGGGGCATCGTCGAAGAAGCGCCTCGATGGGGCACGAAAGGCTCAGACACTTCACCCAGTTCGTTCGAGGACATGATGATAATATCGTACGCGATTTTCCCTAAGCTCCCTCCTACTAAGCCGAGGAAATTGAGGATCTCAGCAATCCCGTCACGCGCCACATGCCATGTTATAGGTGGGTCTCGTAGAGACAGTTCTTTCGCCAGCTGTTTGCGCACTTGAATTCCTTCATGGTTTCCAAGCGATGCAAGTGTTCCAGCTGCCCCACCGAACTGGACTAGGAGGCAGCGTTTCTTGATCTCCTCGAGACGCTCTTGGTGTCGAAGAACACCGGACAGATATACCGCGCATTTATATCCAAATGTACATGGTAATGCATGCTGCAAATGCGTCCGTCCTGCCATTGGTCTGGATTGATTCAGCAAGGTTTCCAGCATTGAGGGTTTCGAAGGCACTCACGTATCGCGATACTCTGATGATAGCCTCCCCAGCACGCTGGTCAGCATATCTAGCTCACGGCCGATAATCTCAAGGCCTTCTCTGATTTGCAGTATTGATGCGTTATCCATGATATCCTGTGTCGTGGCCCCCCAGTGGATGTACTTTGCCATCTCAGCAGGCATGGTTTCCACCAGTTGTTGAACCAGCGGAAGGATAGGATATCCCACAATGTCTGTCTCCCCTGACAGTCTATCAAAGCTAAGTTCCATGTAAGCACATCAGTATTACAAAAAGAACGCCCAATCTTACTCTATCTGTGCATGTTCAAGAGCCGTTGTGATCTCTTGTCCTGCATCTGCTGGAATCACTCCAACATGAGATTCTGCACGAGCTAATGCCGCTTCGGTCTCGACGAGGCGCCTTACGTATGCTTTGTCTGTGAATATTTTGCGAATCTCTTCCGTGCCGAATAGATTTCTGAAGACTCTTGAATCCAGCGCAGAGACAGCCATCTTGAGATTTCGATCCTTGAGCCACCGTTCTGTCGTCGATGACAGACGCTCAAACCTTGTGAATGGGTCTTATACATCATTGTGAGAGACTAAGAACCTCGAGTGCGTTTTTGGAAGAAATTGTCATATTCCCCCCCGCACCGTCCTTCCTCAATACCCCCTGCTCAACTGTCGTTATGGTCCTTTCATTCCTCTGAGGTCGGGATAGAACGTAACCCGAAGGGCGTTTGGGGTTGGGCTAAATAAATTAAAGCGGCGAATCTCCTACCGTTAGCAATTAGGATTACTTCTCCAATTTACTAGCCATTGATTCGCGATGTCAAAGGAGCGAGATATACCACTCATTGGAGGTTAGCACATATCTAAAGGAATAAGCACTATTCCATCTTCCTGCTTCAGTCAGAAGTCGCTTTTCCAGTTCCTGTTGCCATGGACGAGACAGAGTCGTCGACCCATGATCAAGAATCTTCGGGGATCAGCGCACCTTCACCGCGAATCGGTCAAGTTTGCGATCGATGCAGAATAAAACGAGTCAAGTGCAATGGAGCTGCACCAAGCTGTACAGCATGTACAGCCGCGAATGTCCCTTGCGAAGTATCAACGAATCTGAGGAGAAATACCAAGTTCAGGGGCTTCTCGGCGAGTGAAAATGCCAGGCTCATCAAGAGCCTTCGCTCTGAAAATTCCGACTTACAGCAGAAGCTGCAAGCAGAGCGCGAATCGTCAAAAGCACTGCGAGACGAGCTGGAACGCTTGAGGCTTCAAATAAATACTAGGCCTCACAAGGTTTCAAAAACAACGCGGCCACAATATGGGGAAATGAATAAGTCGTCCTCTTTCGCAATGCCGAGTGAATCGGAAACCATCAATGCTGACAGGTCCGTGTACATCATCAAACATATGGGTCGTTTGGTCTATGATGAGTCTGGCACTGGTCGCTTTGCTGGATCAACCACAGGAGTTCATTTTGTGTTAGGCGCACAGGAAACTTCCATACAGGATCTCAATTACGGTGGTCACTTCCCCCAAAGTTGTTACAGCTTACACCTTTTGCAACCAACCATCAATCAGGCTGTATCTCTCGGGTCTGATTTTAATTTAACGACTGGGTCCTCAAACTCTGTCCTATTGGTTCAAGATATCAAGCCATTCTTCTCTTTCCCGCTAAATTACTATATGCGACATGTTGATATATTCATGGCCAAGTGGGAAAGCTTCTGTCCTGTGCTGGTACGAAGGGAAATAGTAAGCGCGATGCAGAGTCTGCTGAACAATCTATATGCGTCGTCAACACTGGCCAAAATTGACTGTTCTACCGTCATGACCATGCTAATGGTTACGAGTATAAACCAAATCGACCAAAACTTCAGTTCAGCTAGCGAAGGTGAGGCTGTAGAGACTCGCAAAAGTTGCCTCGACCTCGCCTGTCAGTTGTTGGGCCAAGTTAGTGCAATTGGTGATCTCCAAGCTCTCCAAGCTCTGTCACTATTTGCGTTCTATGTTCAGATCACTGGGCACAGTATTTGGTTGTTGCAATTGAACAGCCTGATGGTTCGTATTTCCCAATCTCTAGGTCTCCATCGCCATGATCGGAGATTCAAGTTCAAAAGCGGGATGGTTGAATTGAGACGACGCATCTGGTGGTGGGTATATTTGTTTGACAAGTAAGTGCAACGACCGTGGTATTCTATGCAAGCGCGGGGCCTTTATGCTCACTTTTAAAAGGATCACTTCAATTGTTCATGGCCTTCCGAGACTCATAAATGACACAGATGTTGATAACGAAATGCCAACTGACTGTATTCTGGACGACGTCAATGCAGAGCATATATCATATCCATTACCAGGCGAAAATACGCCAGTATTTTTGTTCAATCAGTATGTTTCACTAGGCCAGAAACTCTCAACAGTCCTTGAACAGCTTTACACTACAACACAACGCCGAGGTGGTGCGGAGAAAATCAGACGCCTTGATCGAGAAATGCGCGTCTGGAACCACACCTTCAATGCTCTGCCTCGTATTGATGCTTTCGAGGTGGGAGAAGATGGTTCACATCTGTTGGATAGAACCAGCGTGCATAATGCCTCAGAACTCACCATGTTGTGGCTACAACTTCTGGCAAATATTTCGATGGTGTTAATTCATCGCCCTGCCCTTACTTTCTCTGTCCAGGTGCCGGAGTTTGGAAAAAGTCTCAACTCGTGTGTCAAATCTAGCACTGCAATCCTAAATATACTTGACCATGAGTGGTTTGGTGGTTGGCTTCGCAGTATATGTCCATCAGGTCCAAGCTTAATATTCCAAAGCGGGCTGATGCACATTTATTCCGCCTGCCTCACCACGAAAGCCGGAGAACCAGATCAGGTGACTAACATGAGAGCAGTAGCAAAAGCAATTGCGCTACTCCAGTTGTATCTACCAGGAAACCAAAACCCATCGTCGGTGCAGTATAATCCTGGAGACCTTCGATCGCAATGGATCGGTGATGCTGTCAGTACTTTACGTTCTCTTGAGATTGCCCTCTTAGCAAGATCTCAAAGCAGCCCGACTATGGGCAGACTGGACATAATGGTTGGAGCTGACTTGCCATCAGTTTCCCACGCGACTCAAGTTGACAACATTCAACCCGCCCTCGCCACCCTCGATACCTGGAATACCAATGCCTTAGAATCTCTGAACAATTTCAATAACTTCGATTGGATCTGGGGAGACATGACCAACTGCACTTAAAATGAACATCAGTGCCATCATGTGAGCATCAGCACGATCTGAATGTAATCCCTCCTAGCAAATCATCTGCAGGATCCAAAGCATTCACACAACACTACCGGTCAGACATCTCACACACCTAATGGCCGCACCCTGAAAGCGAAAAGAGTTCCCCATTCACACCAAGGCTCGAACGTTAGGACAAATTGCCAAAACCTTTCTAGCCACCTCCTACCACCTAGGTCTTAGGTACGGTGGAAGCAAGTGAAAACATCGCTTTACCCAGGGATATTTTTTTGGTCGTCAGTTTCTACAGCCGCGAGATTAGAACGAATGAGGAACCAAACAAATGAAGGAACTCTGTGATCGAAATATAAGTCACCTAGGTGAAGTGATTATTATACTAGCTGAATACCATGTGATTACATTTCATGTTCGGGCACGAGGTGAAGGTTTTGCCTCATTTGACTCTCGAGAAATATTGACTCTCGAGAAATATTGACTCTCGAGAAATATTGACTCTCGAGAAATATTGACTCGCTGCTCCTAACTTCTGTTGTAAGGCAAGACCTGCTCGGTTAGAGAGTGGCAGTCTTCGGGCATTAATATTGCTAGAAAGGGACTTCACCGCGTGAGAGTCACTTTCTAAGTTGGCAGGTTCAAGCATTGCAAGATCAACTTAAAAATGCTATTGAGATGCATTCAACGCGAGCTGTTGAATCGATACACTAGCTTTCAGCGCTGACAGGCTTCATCCACTTCTCGGTCCTATTGAAATCTCGATCTTCCATTTTACCAGATCCTAACAGTCTCAAGCCATCATCCATTATCTTTTCCAAGCCACCTGGCATCAACCGGATCGGATTTGCCTGCAACTTTCCATCCTCAGGAAGCCATTTGTAGAAAGCCACTGCAAATTCTCTTGCCGGTTTCGACTCCGGCAAGAACATTCCAACGTATTGCACACTATCACCCAAACCTTCCCATACAGCTCCATATATTGGTTCAACAGGGAGTTCAGCCTCTGGGGTATCCTACGCACAACCTTGCCGTGATCGCACGACTGCTATTCTCCCGGCCACCGAGAGGCACTTGGCTGTATTGGCGACTGTCGAGCCATCAGATATGCAGTCATATGCATGATCTACTCCCTCTCCTCCACTTAATTCTCGAACCTGCTCAGGCTAGTCCTGGTCCGGTAGTCTACAAGATCATCATAGCTGTAGGGTTCAGCCTTCAGCATTTCAAAATGCTTTCGACTTGCACTGCCAATCAATCGCACCTTGTCCCAGCTCGCCTCAGCCGCTCGCCTGACAAGCTGTGCGGCATATAGACCCACAGATGTTGATGCTCCATAGACGAAAACCGATATGTTTTTCGGAGCTGCCTGGGCTGTCTGTGCCAACCCCTGCTCGTTTTGTTCATCGCGATGGAACGGTGCTCTCGTTCCTAGGCCGTAGAATAGTGCCTGTGCAGCTGTCAAGCTACAAAAATTGACTGCTGCAGCGGTTTCCAGGCCCACATGTTCGGGGACTTTCCAGACGAGATCCCTTGGACATACGAGGTACTCTGCGAATGCGCCTGGTCGGTCACTGACACTGCTAGCCCCTTGGAGGAACCTACCTACGCGAGCGCCAGGCTCAAATGCGCCTGCGGTTTGAGATAGACGAACCAAGGGATTCAACAACTCCTGCGAAATCACTATCGATAACACGTCCACTCGCACCAAGAGGGTTATACACGTATAGTGAATCAACGATCAACGGGGTTGAGGGCAACAGAATGGACGCGAACCAGAACCTCGTTCCGCTGAGGGACAGGCTTGGGAATGGTCTTAACTTGTGCGGTCCTGTGCTCTGCATCGAGGACGAGAGCTTTCATCGTCTTTTGGACTATGGAGTAGTGTGGCTTGACTAGCCTTCAAATGTTGAAGCATTTGCTCGCTGATGAAATTCTTGTGAGAAATGTATGACTATGTAGTATAAATACTGCCGTCGCGACAGAAATATTCTTGTGAACACTTCCCTCTCAGAAAGTTTCGTATTTGTCAGAATGACCGCCATCGACATTCCCGTAACGGAGCCTGCGCCCTGCTCAAGATCGCCAGTGGTCAAATGTCTTTGTGAAGTGCAACTGTTAGGGAGCCGGACGGGTGTATTGCAACCAACCAAGCCACTGCGCCATCCCCAATGAAGAAATGGGTCGGTAAACACTTCTAAATCTGTCAAAAGAGCAAACATGCAAACATAATTAACCTGAATGATTTGATAAGCCAAACATTTATGAACGTAGCACGAGAAGGCCACAGGATTCGACTTCACTTCGTGTCTGATCGAGCACTCTTGAAAGATTTATACATTCATCAGATCAATTCTCGAATGGAGTGACATCCTCATAAAGAAATTGATCAGTTACCAATACCATCAATCGTAGGTACCTAGGTGGAGGTAGTTTGTACCTATGACTATGTTGAAGGCCGAATGGGCGTACTTACCGCGAGTCAGCGCCAAGCATACAAAGTCTTAGACTGAGTCATGTGACATATCGAAGACCTTGAAGTCGGGGAAAGTGGAATGATAGACAGAAGTGTACTATTTGACTACCAGTGGATGATTGCTCTCAGCAGCACAATTCGATTGCATCTCAATCTTCATGGGCTCTCTGTAATGTGGTTTCTGTATTCCCTATGTCTCCGCCCTGTTTATATCAACAGCAATGGGACCACCACCCCCCATCCCGAGTCTACCTCTCGTTCCCTCCAAAGCCGCTCTACGAGTCCTTCGACGACTAGCCTGGTCCCCTGCGACGCTTGTCATAACAGCCTTCAGTAGTGCCTGTGGCATTGCAGCCGTCAATCACGATGTTCACCGCAGGATCCATCTCGCTGAGCAAGTCATCGAAACTAAGAACATCCTGCGCTCCGTCTCCCACGGAACAGCAGAATCCCATCTCGAGAGCCTGTTTAGAGCTGCTGAGCGAGGCGAAGACTGCACTATGCATTCGAAAAGCAGGAAAGGTTCTCGCTCGTCGCCTACCTCTACGGTATTCGCGAAGGACAAGAAAGAGTCTGATCACTTGAAAGTAGACAGCAGAATTCAACCGAAAAAGCCTCTCGACCAGCGGCGTGTGGTCGATTCAGAAGAGGTGGAGCAAGATTTGTTGCCTAAGCTATCCAAGATCCGAGGAGCTCGTCAAAAGAAATTGAATAACCCTGAGCTTCGACATTTGGATGCAGAAGAGGTGAAGTATGTAGCCGGGCAGAGCGACCGAGTCAATCAGTACAAAGCCAATAAACAAGGCAGTCGACATCTCGAGAAAGAGGAGTCAAGGCGTTTAGCCCGGCAGAGCGTCCAAGTCAATCAATATAAAGACAGTCCGATCTCCCAATTTAAACCATATCAAGGAATTTCGCAACCTGAAAGAATAAGATCAACGACTCGCATACCACACAGCCCAGCATACTTACAAGTTAGGGTCTTCAATCATGCTGGCAGTCGTCGCCAGTCGAAAGACCAAAGCAACGACCTCCGCTCCTATTCAATCACTGCAGATGGGGAATCAGCCCTCCAGGGTGGTTGGTGTCCCGATGGGGTCCCATGGCGAATCACTCCAAGAAGGCTGAAAGCAAATATCATGGCGGATCGAACTCTGAGTGAGCTCCCCCAAAGCATAGCAGCACCACTGCTTGATATCAATACTCCTCCCAATCTTCTTCCACCCTCTTCTCAAAATGCTTCTCGAGAGCTGAAGAACCTTCTTGGAAGTCACAAATACCACGAGATCATCACCTTCATTTTTCAGCAGGGTCGCCATATTTCTCTTGAAGTTGCTCGGTGGCATTTAGTTCTGCGTTACTTTTTGGCGCAAGCTCTAGGCAACCGCATGCGCATCGCAGCCGGTCTCGTGCTGATGTATCGATTTGCATTTCCACTTGAAATGTGCACTTTGCCACCTGTCCTGAAGATCGTCGAACATTTTCTCGAAGACGAATCCTGCTTTGATAAAGCCGGCGAGATACTGTTCCCATCACTCTCGTCGGATCTATGGCAAAATCCCGAGAAGACGAATGACTCACTCATAGCAGTCGCCTATCTAAAGCATTTCCTAGAGACGCACCAAGACCTTGAGAGATGGAGTGCAGAGTTGAAAAAGGTGCTTTTCATCGCAAAAGGGTCTAGTATATCTTTAGGCGAGGACTTCGCAGTTCCAGTTATTGAGTGTCTTTGCCATGCCGGAGACATGGACAGAGTAGTCATTACTATGGATGAACTGGAGAAGCACTGCGGCGTTTCTCTGACTCATGCTAGTTTGGAAACTCTCTCTAAAGGCTACGCTGTTGCCGGTGAGTGGCAGAATGTAGCGACAGTTCTAGAGCTCATGCACAGTAAGGGCTATTCGAGAGCCCACCCTGAACGCTGTCAGTCTTTCTATGCGAGGCTCATTGAACTTTACAGTACGGTGGATACGGCTGAGAATTGCTTTGGTTTCACGATTCTCGCCATCAAGACCTCTGGCCTCATTCCAGGCACCCGCGTGTCAAGAGCAATTATCTGTGCATCAATCAGAGATGGACGACACGAACTCATTCTTGAATGGGGTCGCTTGGTTGACAAAGTCTACACCCGGTTAGAGCCTCCCTTTTCGCTTCTCGAGGGTGGACTGCAGTTTTCAGCGGCTTGCAAATATATCGGGGCCAGCTGCGTAGAGATCGCCAGCGCGTGCCGAGCAATTGCTTACGGAGCTCGCAAGGACCCATTCAGCAAATATTTCAGGGGCAGTGTGTCAGCGCTCGTGAGAGAGGATTTGATCTATAGGTTGCAAGCACTTGGGGAAGTCAACCAGAGCATTCCAGACGACTTGAACTCAACATCCACTGACGAATTGATAGCCTTAGCTCGTGGGATTGAGTACAACAAACCGAAGTTTCTCACTACGCCGCCCGTGGAAGCCAAGCTGGAACGAGAACTCGCCCAGCAAGTAGAAGCAATCGAAGAACTAAAAATCGTTTTCGAAGGGGGTTGGACAATGAATGATCTCTATGGAGATGAAGAATCGAGGAAGAGAACTCCAAATTATCAACACCTTCGCCGCCCGTTGGCGCAGGAATACGCCAGGTTTGATCAAGCTCCCAGCTCGATGCCCGAATGCCTGAAGCAAAGCCGACGGTCCTCATATCGAGAAATTCTTGAAGCAATTTCACAGGATTACATGTTGAGAACAAAGGCTGGCGAGACTATTGATCACTCTTTACTGAAGTATGCCGTTCGTCAACTAACCAGATGTTTCCGAGATGCCGATGCAATAAGGTTGATCTGCGCCATTTACGAGAGTGACGACGTCAGAGGGGTGAGGGGGATCCCGTTTGACGAAGAGCTCTTCACCATGTGGATTCACCTTGCAACCGCGTCGGGGACTCAAGACTCTATGAAGGCACTGTGGGCGCTCATCGACTCGCTCCGGCTCTTGAGGTTCACAAACGACTTTCAGCTCCTGACTCTTTACGCCTACGTGACGCAACAGCGTCGAAGTTTGGGCATGTGGGCCGAAGAATGGGCTGGCGATCCTAAGCAACCTACTGAGATTGTATATGCCTACCTGAAACTCGCCACGGCGAGGGATTCCAGCAATGCTCAGTACCACATGCGGTTTCCCACGTGGAAGCGTTGGGAAGAGGCGATGAGAGCCAGAGCGTTCGACCCGGATCCCTGGCGGCTGGACAGCTATCTGGACGAGTCAGTTGACTAGGTTAGATTCCCCTGGCATTGGAGAAGACTATATTTGTATTGCATAATGCATTAGCACATGGTATATAGTCTGTATATACAGCATTGACCTGTAGAAACAGTCCGATTAAGTATTCTTTGATCTGGAGATGCCTGAGAGGCTGCTTTGATTCACGCCGTGCGGTTCCCCAGTGTACGAACTAGGCACTATCACACAACATGCGGTGTGCTGTTTTATAGCCGCTGTCTCCTCTGTCCAGACAAGCACAATCCCAGCATGAGAAGGCCTTCCACCCAACTCGGCGTTTTATTACAGAATGAGGGAGACGGATCCTGGGGCTGGTGAACAAAAGAATGAAGCTGGGAGAAGGGCAAGCAAGGGGCAAAACATTCCAGCGGACTCTTGGGGAAGCGGGAAAAAGGTCGAAGTTGAACGGCAGGATGCTTCTTTTTCTCATATAATATCCTAAGATGGCGTGTGTGGCCGCGTTTCAAGCAATATCTGCCTTGAAGACGAGCGAAACACCGTCGTCGCCGGCAGTGACGATCCTATTGCCACCGCCGCCCTGCACAAAGCCCAGAACTCCGCCTCCTTCGCCTTCGCCCCTGTGGCCTTTCCATTCTTTGAGGAAGCCCTGGCCGGCGGCGGTCGTGCCGCCACGGACATCCCAGCGGCGGATCACGCCGTCCATGCCGGCGCTCGTCAGGATCCATCCCCCTTTCTGCTGGTTCCGGACAAAGTCGACTTTCACCACGGCATAGTCTTCATGTGCGTCTTTGATGTGGCGGCGCACGGCGAAACGATGCGCCGTGTCGAAGAGCGCGATGGAGCCGTCGACGCTCCCGGCTGCGAGGATCGTGAGGGGTGGGGAGGAAAAGGATAGAGTCTCGACACCGTCGGACTGCGCTTGTAGGGCGGCGAGGATTTGGCCCGCTGCGGCGGATGAGGATGAAGATGAGGATTGTTTGGAGGAGCTTTTTGTGTTTGATTTCTTGGATTGTTGGCTCGGTGCGGCCGGTGCAGGCAAGCCCACTACTCTGATGTTGCCCCCTGCACCGCCCACCGCGACGAGTGATGAGGTGCATGCGACGGAATAGAGGCCGCCTTCGACTTCAAATCGTTGGTCTGCCGCAGTATGTGTGATTACTGCGTTACCGGTGTTGAACACGTCCCACACGTATAGACTACTATCTTCGGATACTGTGGCAAGCAAACTGCCATCGGGAGTCCATGCTCCTGCCGTACAGGATGCGGTGTGTAGATAGAAGGCTTGGACGATGGTCAGCGGGCTTGAAGTGTCCGAGGCGTCGATTTGGTAGACCCAGACCGAGCCATCGGATGCTCCCAGAGCGATAGTGTTTGGATGATCGGGGCTAGGCGATGCTGCAACCCAGTTGATCTCCTGAACTTCGGAGGCTTCGGCGACAAATGCCCACTTGGTCAAGGCCGGGTCAGAGGGCTTCCATGCTCGTAATTTACCATCTAAGCCTGCAGTTACCGCATATTCTCCCTTGGGCAATGTGAAAGTGACAGCATTGACTGAGTCGGTATGTCCATCAAGTTTCTGAAATGGGGCAATGCTCTGCCGTTCCCCCTGCGGTTGCGGGTTTGATTCGTACGAGCTCGGTAGGACTGGACCAGAGGGAATTGAGGCGTCAAAGAGGAATGCAACATCATCACCGCCACCCGTTATTATGAGATTTGGATTCGTAGGGTGCTGCGCAATGCAGAAGATAGAGTCGGTATGGGAATCGAAGTGTGCTGAGGAATCATTTTGCAGTTGTATCTCTTCTTCCAGGAGGTCATCATCGTCATCCATAGGATGGTCCACATCCTGATCTTCTGCTATCTCCTCGGCCGCCTCGTCCGCATCGAGAAGGTCATCATCCTCGTCTTGAGGGTCTGCGGTCTGTCGACGAGGGTCAGAGCTCGACATGGTGGGGGTAGGCCAGGTGTGGATTGGAGAGATGTTAGGGAGAGGAGGAAGGAGGGGGGGGAGAAGATAGAGAAAGAAGGATATATCCCCTCTTCCTTGTCAGAGAAAATTAACGAATGTCTATGGCAGTCTATTAGCAACGGCCGGCTTAGAAATGGTTCTGCCGGGTTGATAATAATTTGGCAGTGGAGGGGCACCGAAAGTGGTTTTCGATTTCTGTTGCGTCATGCGGCCAAGCTTCTCAGCCTTGTGGGTTAGAGATTCAGCCTTGTCACATGATTCTCACCCCAACGCTCAGCATCTCGGCTCCCACCATGATTGTAAATCAATTTACTGCCGAATGAAACACGAGGTCATAGACTAAAGTGGCTGATGTTGCGATGGCTGATTCAAGTTGTGAACGCGTACTCCGAAGGCACCAAGTGTCAATTTCATCTTAGCACCCGGTGGAAGGCACGGACCGTGGAATATTTGTCCACTCCCCATGCTGAGGAGCACCAATCGCAGGGTGCCTTTTGGCGGGAGTCATGAACCCTTCACTTGCAAGTGAGATAATAGTACCTATCAGATGGGCAGTGACCAGTGGCCAGTGATGGCGCCGTTGGTCTGTCAGATGAGATTAGCCAAATCAGAACATCACTTGCACAATGTGCTTCTGAGAATTCTGAGCAGGAGATTCCCCTCACGCTTTTGAGTTCATGAATTGGCTTTCGGGAGAGAATGCATGAGACTGTAGGATCTGAAACGAAACCGGGAGGGCTGAAGCGTGGGTATTTGCATGTGCTTGTGCTTGTACAACAGACCTGGACGCCAGCCATCTCTTCTAGAAGAAGGACACTCCCAGCGAGGATGATGATCTTGTTGACCCAAGGTATCATTGGCAGGCAGCCAGGGAGGGAGCATGGACGGATTGCGCCGTGGCCACAGTTGATAGCAAATCAAAGTCAGAACAACGACACAAGCAATTCAAGATGAGTGGCGTCGCAGGGGGAATGAACCTCATCGGCGAATTTCCAACGCCTATCGAGGGCAGCGTGTTTCAGCTGGGCTGAGAATCCTTGGATAGGGGCGGCTATTGTTGAAGCACCAGTGCCACACGCGAGCCTTTTCGTTTTCTCAGGCATCCCACAGTGCTGAAAGACAACCCGCTTCCCCCAACCTGACGGCTTGGGGCCTGGGACCTGGAAGCCTGTCGACGCCTAGAAAACACGAGCGCACAGGGGGCGCCCAAGTTAGGCGAAGGATGAATCTGGTTAGCAGTGCTTGTTAGCCGCCACCCACTTGTGTCTCAGCCTGGTAGCTTCAACTCCGGGTAGTTCAGTACGGAGTTGTAAGCCCCTCTGGGCGTCTGTGAGCCTGAGCCTGAGCCAGGGCTGGTGTTGGTGCCCAGTGCCCAGTCCGCACCCACGCCCCAAGTCCAGTTCCAAGCCGACGCCCGGGCCCCATGTTACCCTTCAGGTTCCTGTGCCACAACCAGAGAATCTGCCCCAATCAACTTCTACTGGCTGCTACTCAAGTCACAAATTCACTCTTGTTGCCCTCAGTCTCCCAGACCTGTTGATGGCTCTGCTTTTGTGTCTGCTTCTGTTTCTGCCATACCCAACACCTGGAAAGTGAAGGTTGTGTTTCTGCCCGTCTATTGAACTGCAATTGTTGATTCAATCTGTCGTTCTTCACTCTCGGCGGCGCTGGTGCAGTCTAAGCGAGTCTGCCACACCTCACAAACAGCCAGTCCACACCGAATCCGATTGAATTGAATTGACTCGAATCCTATTCAAGGCCCATTAGACACCACATTCACTCTTCTCGCCTTTGACTACAACACCAACAGCTGCAATCATCCTCATGCTGTCACCCGTTGTCACTTCTCGGTCGCCTACTTCTCTGCGCTGAGTCCTTTCTTGCATACAAGTCTGACCATCCATCGTCCATCTCCACCTCCTGTTTGACCATCTACAACTCAAACCCGCTCTAATCCTGCCGCACGCCCAAGCCGCTTGCTTGAACACTCCCAACAATGGCAACCGGCCAGCAAAATGGGTGAGCATTGTTTAATATCGTGATGCCAACATCTCTCTGACCACTGATTTACAGTTTCTACGCTGGTCAATTCATGAACCCTGGTCCTGCACCCCGTCCCCCTGTTGACAGACCTCGACAACTTGACCTCCAGCGCACTCAATCCGCGCTCCCTGCAACTAGTTTTGAGTCCATGTCACTCAGCGGTGGTCAACAATCGCCTGCAATCAATACTCCCAGTGCCCCCTTCTTCTCTAATGGCAGTTCGCTGTCGTTGGCGGGCACCATCAAGTCCTCCAGCTCCACTACGATCATCAAGGAAGGCCATGTTCGCTGCAAGGAGGACAAATTTCTCGCCCAGTGGAATCAGCGCTATCTGATCCTGCGCGAGTTCAGATTGGACTTTATGAAGAGTGAAAATGGAAAATTAATGCAGTCCATCCAGCTAAATACTGTCACCGGTGTCACTCGCTCTGAGGAGACTCGCATGGCCTTTGAGATCACGCGCATTGCCAATCCCAAGGATGCCAATGGAAAGGTCGTTATGGCTCGCGATGTTCCCACTCGGGTCATGACTTGTGAAGTCCGTAATGACGATGAAATCTACGACTGGATCGACAAGATTTATGAACGCTGTCCTGGAATGGGAGGTGTCAGCAACCCCACCAATTTCAGCCATCGCATCCACGTCGGTTTCGACCCTCAGACCGGTGGATTTGTTGGTCTGCCCCAGGAATGGGAAAAACTCCTCAACAATTCTGCCATTACAAAAGATGATTACAAGAAGAATCCTCAAGCTGTTATCGAAGTCCTTCAGTTTTACTCTGATCAGAAGAAACGCGAGGAAAATCCTGAAATCTACTCTCACGGTATGACCACTCCCCCCGCCGCCTCTCAAGCCAACAAGCAGCTCGGTTTCCCTTCCGGCGGCAATAGTGTTGCCCCTCCACGACCCGCGCCTCCCACCGATTCTCAACGCTATAACACCAACCAGTTCATGAACAAGTACCAGGATGGGCCAGCTCGAACGAATACTCCACCTGCTAAACCTCAATTGCAAAGGTCACAGACAGATAAAAGCGGCTATGACATGGAAGCTGATGCTGCTCGAATCAAGGAGATTGCCAATCAAGAACAGAAGCGCCGACAAATGGAGATGGAGAACAAAAGGGCAGCTGAGAGACAACGAGAGAAGGAGCGTGAGGAGGAGCAGAATAGGAGGGAACTGGAAGCATATAATGCAGCCCTACCAAAAACTCGTACCCCTCTAGCTCAACAGGAAATTGGTGGCTATGGCGGCAGCCCTGACCGCCAACAACAAGCCAGACAAGACCCTCGATACAATCCTGCCCGAGCTGCCCCTTCTGCTCCTCAACAAGGTGCGTCGGCATCTCTCAGACAACAACCAGTCGCCCAACGGCCAGCTCCTTCTGCTCCAACAAGCAATTCTCAAAAATCCATTCCCACTTCCTCTTCTGCCGGTCAGGCGTCTCTCCGTTCTCCTGGCAGCCAGGACCGAGATCGACAACCCTCTCCTAATGCACGATATCAACCAGACAGGGAAGCTCCTCCCAAAGATTCTTCATCCAAGCCCCAAGCCAATGGCATGAACGGTCAGTCGCTCAGTCGCTCACAGGGCTCAGTGCAGCAACCAAAGCCACTGAATGTGGCTAAGCAACCCCAGGCCAAACCCGCCACCGATCCACGCAAAGAAGCCGAGATCGCGTTGACGGCCAAGAAACCTGTGGAAGAGCGAGCGAAGGAGGTGCGCATGTCTAGCATGAGCGAGAGCGAGGTGATGGCCAAACTCAAGCAGGTTGTATCCAAGGACAACCCGTTGGAGTCTTACAGCAAACAAAAGAAGATTGGTCAGGGAGCATCGGGTTCGGTCTATGTTGCAAGAGTGAAAGAAAGTGCTACTTCATCGATCGCAAGAGAGATTTACCGCACTCACGGGCCCAAAGGTCAAGTTGCCATCAAACAGATGGATCTTCGTAATCAGCCGCGCAAAGAACTAATTGTCAACGAAATCATTGTCATGATGGACTCCAAGCACCCAAACATTGTCAACTTTCTCGACTCATTCCTGCAGGAGCAGAACAACGAGCTCTGGGTCGTGATGGAGTTTATGGAGGGTGGTGCTCTCACCGATGTCATCGACAATAACCCAGTAATCACTGAGGATCAGATCTCGACCATCTGCTTTGAAACCTGCAAAGGCCTGGCTCATTTGCACTCCCAAGACATCATTCATCGTGACATCAAGAGCGACAATGTGTTGCTTGATCGGGTTGGAAACGTCAAGATTAGTAAGTATGTCTCATGCATCGTCCTTCAACGCTAACCTCTCCGTCAGCTGATTTTGGTTTCTCTGCCAAACTTACCGAGTCGAAGAGCAAGCGTGCAACCATGGTCGGGACACCATATTGGATGGCACCCGAAGTTGTCAAGCAGAAGGAATACGGCCCGAAAGTCGACATCTGGTCTCTCGGGATTATGGCGATTGAAATGATAGAATCAGAACCACCATATCTGAACGAGGAACCTTTGAAGGCTCTCTTCCTGATTGCAACTAACGGAACGCCTCGCCTGAAGAATCCTAACAAGCTCTCACGCGAATTGAAAGCGTTCCTTAGTGTCTGTCTCTGTGTTGATGTTAGAAGCAGAGCCAGTGCAGACGAGCTATTGCGCAACGACTTTATGCGGATGGGTTGCAGCCTTGCAAGCTTAAGTGAACTACTCAAATGGAGGGAAAAGGGTCGACAATAATAGATGATGGGAATGGAGGTGGGGATTCTGGAGAGGAATCTGCTCAGTTGATGATGGAGTGAATTGGACCTTCTGCCAATGTTTAATGCATTTGCCTACCTTGGATATGTGGCAGGCACTATACTCGGTGACATATATTCGGCGGAACTATTGGGCATTGCAGCAAATGAGAAATGGAAGACGACAGCGAGCTTACTGAGCAAGGCAAAACGAGTCTTATACGATACAATAATCCACGAATGCACGACAAAAGTCCAGGACTGACCGAGTTCTCAACAGATCCACCACATGCGAGCATGTCAGGCGGTATAAGCGCGATTAGGTGGAATGGAGATGAAGGAGGGGAAGGGGAATGCATGTTAATGTGGGAACGATTATAACGAATGATGGCGAAACGGATGATTCAGGATGCCTGCGAGCTCGGAGACGATAGCGTCGAAATCATTTAGCCCTTATCAACACCTTCTTCACCCGTCTCAGAGTCATCTCACACTGACTCTCTGCTCGAACGGAAGACCGATCTATCATAATTCTGTTATCTGACTAGGCTGAGGGAGAAAAGATAATCCCCACTGCGGATGCGAAGGAGACATACATCTTTGGACCATGGTTTCTCTCCCGGGATACAGTAGAGACCAATGTCTGGGACTGGATAGGATAGAAGCATTGCGCGCATTGTCAATGTGAATGAATAACTGAGATGGCTATGGTTGACATCCAAAGCCGTCAAGTTCTTCTCAATTGGCCCTCTCGATGGGTAAACACAACTTGTCCGGTTTGAGAAGAGAAGTGACTTGGAGGGAGTGCCTGACTTGAGGATTGGATAGTTCATTGGGACTCGTCTTGTCCCGTGATATATGGTGGACCAGCATACGAATAGACGGGATATGGGAAGAGGAAGCCATGAAAGGAGACCTATGTTGACTGTAGAATCTCAAATTAAGATCTTTTTTACGCTTCTTGCTTACAGGCGAACAGATGGGAATACTTAGTGCTATCATGCCATTTTGTGCCCCATTCCCATAAGGTGTTCCAGATACTTCATTCATCTAACAATACTCGATAGCCTTGCATTCTCAACCGGATAGTCACGTGTGACAAACTATTCTGTGCCCCGCCAAAATGGATCAACATCTTACATACTTTTGATTAATTAGGCGAGAACAACACATACATTCCGGTATATGAGTCTTCGCCTCTATCTGTGTTACGACAAATATCAAAAAAGCCTTGGCTTCGCAGTCTTACCACCGCCTTCTTTTCTAAATGAAACAGGTCCCTAGCTTTAGAAAGAAAAGCACAGCGACACGGAGAGAAGCCCAGGTGCAAAGCACCGGAAAAGTAAATAAAGCATCGCAATCGAACCCCGCTATCACCATCTGCCGGAGGAGTGGCTCAACAATAAGGTGCACGTTAACGCTCTGATTCGGCTGTACTTGCAGCGCTTAAGAGCCAGGTCTCGAGTGCTATTTCCAGGCTACGGGATACGGAATTGTCAACGATATCAAAAGAAAGCGGGACTGAGAAGCCCAAAAAACTGTTCCAACGTTCTCCGGAACTCGTTTACCATTGAGCAAAAACCGTAGCCCCCCCCCATTCCCCCGGACTCTCAGCCAGGGGGACGGAAACGAAGCAGACGAAGACAATTGCATTCGCTCCACCCACGAGGGTTTGAAAGGAGTTTCTGTTCCCGAAAGCGTCTTCCAAAGAAATCTTCTTCTAGCAAGTTGAACTCTATCGTTTTTAGCCCCCCCAAAAAATCATGACAACGCACCTTCCCACCGGCGCGCCGGTGTCACGCACTTCCACGCCGTCCAACTTCAGCCAGCCAACAAAAGATTCGTCAGGCCAACTCCTGCCGGGAATCCTCATGCTCCACGGAGGCGGCTCGAACGCAACGGTCTTCAAGATCCAGTCTCGGCGCCTGATCTGGAACCTGTCGAAACAATTCCGGTTCGTGTTCGCCGAAGCGCCGATCGAAGGCACGCCCGGGTTCGGCATGCTCCCGGTGTTCGCGTCTTGCGCACCCTTCTACCGCTGGATCAACCGGCGCTTCGTGCTGGGCGAGAGCGACCACGAAGCCACGCCGCGCGACGAGGCCGAGACCGTGGACGGGATCATCCGCAAGGCGATGGAGGAAAACGGCGGCGTCGCGAGCTTCAAGGGCGTGATTGGGTTCAGCCAGGGCGCGCGCCTGGTCGCGGGACTGCTCCTGCGGCAGAAGATCGAGGAGCGGGATTGCCTGGGCGGCTCCGAGTGGAAGTTCTCCTTTGGCGTCATGCTCGGGGGCCCGTTCCCGCCGATTTCGCTGCACAGCGCTGACAAAGTGGACACGAAGGACTACGAGCTGCTGAAGCAGATCCCGACCGTGCATGCGTGGGGCCGTGGCGACCATGTCAAGCCTGGTTGTGTAGAGCTGCACAAGGCCTGTGAGAGTGACGTCTGCTTCCAGATGGAGTATGAGGGCGGGCATCACCTGCCGCTTAAGGACGTCGAGGCGAAAGATCTTTGTGATCTGATCAATGCGGCTTATTTTGCGGGCGGTGGGACGTATGGCATTAGCGCTGAGGAGTCTTATTAGAGCCATAGATGCTGTGAGAGGGAGGGACGAGAAAGTCCGGGGGACAATAGAATATCGAGGGCCTTGGAAATAGAGGGATGCATAGTATTGTAGATGAGTCTAACAAATTAATGGAACACAACTTTCTATCATATATTGTCTAGACTTACCCATAGCCTCTCTTTGTATATTGAGCATGTCAAGAAAAAGATGTAGTTTCCCATCAATAGCGAATCAGTGTTGCATTGCAGTGCAAAGCGAGGCAATCCATGGCCAGACCAAAGTTCGCTCATATTATGGGCACGAGCCATCACTCGACGGACAGCAACTAAGGCTCTCAATTCTTGGCCTCCGCATGCTTCAATTCGACTAATTGACCGACAAGACTCTTCACCATATCCTCCGGCCCACGGAACTGGACACCCAATTTCTCCGTCGACTTTGACACATCGTACGGAACATAATACCCAGACAGTGTCTCACCCAGTGGCAGTAACCCACTCTCGACTTCCGCAGGGAATAGCTTCTTCACGATCGGGTCAATGGTGTTCCAGGGGATCTCCTCGGGATAGGTAACAATGAAACGCTCGCCACTGGTAGCATTCTTGGGTGAGAGCGCAGCCACATGAGCAGCAGCCACATCGTCCAGGAGGACTAGGTTGGTTGGTGCTAAAGGACCATCTTTCGCGCCCAGGACGTATTTCACCATGACGGTGTTGGAGCTGACTCGCAGCTCGCGAAGGTCCTCAACGCTTGTCACGGTTTCGTTGCGCCCCTGCACAAATCCAGGTAGAATGTGGACAACATCGAAATGTGGGGTCTGTTGGGCAATGAACTTTTCAGCAGCATCATTGGCCTGTTTTTTTGACTCGGCGTATGCAGTGTGAACACTTTTTGTATCTTCCCATTCCGAGGTCTCGAGAAGGGGTGCAAGGTCATCGGGACCAACTTTGGTAGACTCGCCTTCAGGGGCACGTCTGAGAATGGCGACGGAGGAGGTGATAACGACGCGTTTAACCGAGGGTGACAATGAGGCCGCTTTCAACAAACCCACGTTGCCTTGTACGGCTGGTTCAATGTAATGCGTCCTGACGCTGAAGTCCTTCTCACCATGTGCTGGATCGGGTATGGGAGAGGCAACATGAATTATGTAGTCGACACCATTGACTGCTTCATCAAAGGCGTGCTCAGCCAGGAAGTCGGAGACTTCAATGAAGGACACAGAGCTGGCATATGGTTTGATTGAAGGAAGTTGAAGAAGCTTTTCCACGGCGGTCTGTCTTCGGCTGGCGACTCGAACTTGATACCCGTCCTTAAGCAGTCGGGCCAATACTCCGAAGCCAATATGGCCCGTTGCTCCTGTGACCAATACTAGTGGCGCCGACATTTTGAGATTTGTTTGTGATTATCAGGGATCAGGCAGGTTATCGACGGAGTATAGATAGGATTGTCGCAAGGCAATTTCAGTTGATATAGGAATTCATTCAAAGCTATCAACTGCAGAAGTTAGTAGCAATTTAAATATCTGGCACAAGTCGGTTTGGGTCTTCATGTTTTGTGTTTTGTCAACATCAAGGGCACATGCATGCCCTAGATTTATCAGCTTTGTTTACTCACAAGTGCGATGAAGCCTGCAGACGCCTCCATAGTTCGACCTTGACCGCTTGGGGAGATCGCTAAAAGGACAGATAGGGTTTTTGGATTACCTGATGTAAACGGTTGAGTAATCTCTGAAGGTAAGATCGCCATCAAGTAGCATGTTTGGTGTTGAGTTTCTAGCTGATAGCACCAGCAAACCAAGCGGCTACATACGAAACTCATTCAGTTTAAATATGCCGTGCACACGGTTGCAATCGAAAGAGCTCTGAGTCTTCTGCCAGTGTCGAATGCTTTCGAAACAGAAGTATGTTGCATGCTCGTCGCGTTGATAACAAATAGCAGAGAACCACGAGTATCAAAGATGTCTCGGTCTTAGCATCCGCGATCATTGAAGATAATACATCATGTTTTGTCCTTCGTCACATGCATCTGCTACACATGAGAATCACTGCTTCGGCATAAAGGAGCACCGGATGGAAGGTCGGTCAATAACAGGGTGATAGCGACGAAGGAATGGCACCTGAGAGGACTCTCGTATGAGCTGGTTGATCCTGCGAAGGAGTGGTCACTAATCGTCAATGGAAGGCACCGCATTAGGAAATTGCGCTTCGGTATAATAGTTCTGCCGAGTGCGTCATCGCTGGTGGTATGTAAGCAACTGGCACCAAACAGATTCACGGTGCACGAGAGACAGGGTTTGACTTGGTCGAGCCAACGTCGGAGATAATCCATGGTTCAGCAATGACTTGAAGGGTCTGACAATGAATCTGGCTTCGACGTGGAGTTAACGGTAAGGCAGGTTAGGGCTCCAACTCATACAAGCCGGAGACACGAACGAGGCAGGCACGATGTTCCAATACATAAATATGCAAGAGCCCTGCTCATGTTCTCCATGATTCAACAAAACAAGCACCAACAAGCAACACCACAGTCCATCAAAGCGAATCCATCCCCGAGGAAATCAGCAGAAACCTGACGACTATTGAAGTGCCTAGCAACTTCGACAACAGAACCAGTCCAATATGTCTCCTGCACATTTCACCTCCAAATTGGTCGGTCAGCGAGTACTACTCGTTGGCGGAACAGGTGGTGTTGGAGTGGGCGTGGCAAAAGCACTGATCGAGTTCGGGGCCACCATCATTGTGTCCTCCTCTCGTGAGACCAAAGTCAACCAAGTCGTTGCATCCCTCATCGAGGCTTACCCGGAGGCCAAAGAGCGCGTATCTGGCTACACCTGCGACCTCGCCAGTGCGAATGTTGAAGAGAACGTGGAGAAGTTGTTCAAGAAAGTGGGCGAGGTTGATCATATCGTGTACATGGCAGGTGATAGATTGCCAACGGTGCCTCTGGAGGAAGTCACTCTCGACAAGTGGCAAAAGTGCAATCAAGTGCGCTCTATTGCTGCCATTCTGGTCGCCAAGGTCGGCACGAGGTACATGAAGAAAGACCGCAGGTCATCGATCGTTTTGACAGGAGGCTCTATCTCCGAGAAGCCCATTGCTGGTGGCTGGGCAATGTTGGCACTCATTGGTGCTGGGTTGAACGGATTGACAAAACAGCTGGCCTTCGATCTCGCTCCTATTCGTGTTAATATAGTTGCACCTGGAGTCATCGAGACAGATCTATGGCAAGGTATGGATGATGAAACTCGAAAGGCCTTCTTCCTCGACCTAGAGAACAAGAACCCAACCGGCAAGGTTGGACAACCCGAAGACCTTGCAGAGGCGTACCTTTATTGCTTGAAGGATTTGAACGCTACTGGAATAATTGTCAACTCAAATAGCGGGGCGTTCTTGGTGTGAAAGGAATCGATCAGGTCATAGCCAAGCATGCGATGAAGCAATGTGTGATTTGCGGCAGCCGAGACCAGTCCATAGCTTAACGATGCATTTCTAGCCGCCTCTCACAAATTCCCCCACAGCACCAGCCAATTCAGAAAACAAAATACCCTTGAGAATACTCTCGCCTTGGTTCTCTGCCCAATGGCCTGCATCTTTAAGCTTTCTCTTCCAGCCTTTCTTCTGCGATTCACTTAGCTCCTCCCACTTCTTGAGTGCTTCTTCTTTGATCAGATCTGCGTCATGGCGCAGTTCAGTCGAGATCTCCCCGACACCCGCATCTCGAACAATAATCGCTTTGGGAGTCTCAAGTTCCGAGTTGGATTCCACTAAATCCGCCAACTTCTGGCTCAGGTCCAAAGTGACATCTTCAAGGCTTTCTTTGATATCATCAACGCCAGGAATTTGTGTCTTTATGTCCTTAAGCTTTTGAGTCGCACTCTTGGCCTGAAGTGATACGTGCGTTTGAGCATGCGGAATTCCATCCGCAAATATATATGGCCGGGCAATTAAGCTCTGAACTCGAGGGGATAGCCAATCCGTCGCACCAAGTATTGGTGGAACAGCACCGCGGATTTCCGAGAACGCCTGCATGAGGAATGCCACCATAGCAACAACCACAAGCGCAACGATGACACTGAATGCAGTCTGTATGGACTCTGATCTGCTAGTTGGTACAAGCACATATCGTGGGGTTTTGTTCTGTCCTGCTGGGAAAGGGCGAAGGGGAAGATAGTGGACAGTAACAAATTGATCCACTCCAACAGAAGCGAGACGGATAGATTGAGGACCAGTGTCTTTGGCCACGGGAAGCGATGGGCCAATAAAGTTTGAGAAGACGAGTTTTGTCAGAGGGCCATTGTGAACTTCTTCGAGGACTGTGTACGGGCGGAAGCTCCGTAAACCAGAATCTGGGGAGTAGTCGATTGTCAGGAGCTCGATGAAGCTGTTCTGACCGGCCACAGCTATAACAAGCTGTTTCTCGCCTTGCTCAGACTCTGTCAGTGGACACACATCCAGCCCCACGGCTGCTTTGATGGCTTTGCCCAGCTTTTTGCGAATGGTAACCTGCGCTTGCGAGTAATCCTTATTGAGTTTGAGCACCAACAGGAACACCCCTGTTCTGTTTGGCAAATTTTGGACCAAGAGGAGATGGCGTGGCGTCAGAAAGCGCAAGGCTCTAAATCTAGGTCTCTTGGGGGTGGGCAGACTTGTGGTAGATTCCAACGTTTGGTAAAGAGAGCGCGGAGCAGCTTTGGCCGAAGCCCCACCAGACAATTGCTGTACAAATACTTCGTCATCTGTACAATAGGCAAGTACGTGGTCCTGGGGCGAAGTGTTACTCGTTGTCAAATCGATATCTGCAGCCTCACGATTGCCCAGCCTGATGCGTGAAACTTCATCCTTGGGGCCAGGACTAGGTCTTGGGAGAAACACGACAATCTCGTTCTCTGGAGCCAAACCGGAGGCAATGGCTGCGAGTCGAGTTGCTGGAGACTCTTTTCGGAAAGGAGAAAACCGCAGGACTCTCTGATACATATCATTCTTGGGCCCTTTGGCAGATGTGAAGACTGCAGTGCGCCCTAGGGCTTGGGTAGTACTCCCGGCTGCAGGCGTCTTGTCTTCAGCTTCAACAGTGCTTCCATCTGCCTTTCTCTTCCTTGTAGGCAACCCTATGCGGATTGATCTTAAATGCTCATTCTTTCCCGCAGCTTGGTCCGCGGCGGAGCTGTTGATGCCCGCAAATGCAGTCAGAGACGAGGTGGAGGACTCTGCAATGGCAAGGGTGGTGACCGAGTCTTCATCCTTAGCCAGCTCAATATCGGCAATTTCTCTCAGCTGCTCTCGAGGGGACGAGTCGATTAGGGAGATCTTGTTAGGAACCCCAGTTGAAGAAGACCCTCCTCCACCACCGACGAGAAGGAAGTCCTGATTGGAAGGGTCGAAGTCGGCCGCATTTAGCGGATAGGACAACTTAGTCCTGGAGAGGGGCAGCTCAGGAGCCATTTCGAACGGTTGAACAGAAAAAGACAATCTTTAGAAGTTACGCATGTTCGAGAATGAAATAACTGAGAGTGGTGCGCAGTGAGGACACATGTTAAAGCAAATATTGGGGGAACGACGTCAGGAGGGCAGCTGCACTCCGGACCGGAGAAACTCTTTATCGATAAGAACTGGGAAAATCCGATTCGATATTTAGTCATGGGAGGTAGGAGCAAGTCCTAAATATAAACACCAAGACCAAAGCCAACGTCAATGTCAACATATCAACATCGACTTCGAGATCCACCACCAATCCATATCTGAACTCACAACGGTTGCATCCCTGGTAGCCATGAGGAGGCGGGCTACATATATCACTGACCCCAGTCTCGCTGTCAACCCAAAGGACATCCAGGTCGACGGAAGGCAGTTCCTTCTTGGCGCCATCAAAGCAGCTCGAGAAGAGAGACTGACTCTGGGGCTGAGTGAGTTACCCAAGGAGGTGGTTGAAATCTTACAAGAATCCTATGAGTTTCACATTCGTTGGGCTCCTGAGCATCTTTTCACTACAGTAACGCCATTCCTTTCCAGAATCTCCCCAGGCCTCCATCTCTTCTATACCCCATTAAAGGAGAGCCAGCAGGATCGACTGTGTAGCTTAATCCACAAAGTCTTTGGCCAGAGTCTCCGCTGTGAATCCCCTCAGACATCATTCATCAGCCCGCCCTTGGTCTCGGAGCGTTTTGCCCAGACGGCTTCCCATCAATATTATTCTCCACTGCCCTCCATCCAAGGCCTGGTCTCGTACTTGCAACGCAATGTATGCTCTCCTTCTGATCTGACCTGCCTACACTCGGCGTCTCTGATCAATATTGCCGACTCTGTCGACCTAGACTACGACAGCATCTCGCATGCTTTGACTTTAACAGCCTTCTGGTCCAAACAGCCAGAAGTATTCTACGATCCAATCGGGGAGTTCACTACCTTCGATGCCTGGAACATTGACATCCAGTCAAAGCCCGCTGACAAGGTTGAAATCGGTCTTCTCAGCCCTGATCCGGCTCAGGATCCATCAGAGCTCTCACTTTCAGGTTTCTTGACCGTGGTTGGAGAGGATCACAAGCCAAAAGCGACCTTATTCAGCTTCCCTTCTCGGCACCATGCTCTGGGCCCGGAACAGTCAAAGGAACAGAAATATCAAGTTTCATTCGACCACCCCACGGGGTTGCATCCCATACTGCGAATTTCGTTCCCTTCGTCCACCTCACTCGTCGAGCCAAACAATAAGCCCCCAGGCAGTACCTGCGCTTTACAAACATATCTAACCTTGCCATCACACATATTCGCTGACAAGTACGCCTTCCTCAGTAATGACCCCCTATTCCAGAAATCCCATCGTCTCGGTCAACTGCACATGATCGCAGGCGAGACTGATCTCGAAGCACCCGACTATGTGGTCGAGAAATGGGGCTCAACACTCCTGCTTGACATCCAAGCTCCCGATCAAGCCAGCTTAGACTCCGGCAACAGCAACTCCTCATGGGACGTAACGATTCCGCTGCACCTGCGATATCTGGTTCCACAAGCTGGTGGGCTCACCGAAGCCTCGCTACCATGGCCGATCGTGTTCTGGGCATGCACCGCCGAGGAAGGCACGAGATTCTCAGTCAACCCGTTCGACCGCACACAACTTGGATTCGAAGGGCTGTTTGGTCCACGCACCATGTTCTACCACCTCGACCCGTTTTCCACTAATTCAACAGCCAGGCTGGTCGAAAAGATCGAAATCCCCGTGCTGAACACGGAAACCGCATCCTCCAAGACCATCGAGGGAGTCACCATACTCACAATCGTTCTCGGGTTCCTGTGGGTGCTCTGGAAACTGAGTCCTGCGCTGCTCGGTCGCGTTCCTACTTCTGGAGAGAAAGCAATCTCCAAGGCGAGGAAAAAGCAATGAAGGGGAGCAAACGAGTGGTGCGCGCAACACGTCGAATCGTGGCATCGCTACAAATAGATTTAGCGAATGTTGATCTGTGCTTTGTCGAGGGGATTCATTGCAGGAGGGGAGCAGGCACACTGATTGCAATCCATGACGTGCAGATGCAACCATGTTATATATAGTAGAAGGATCTTTGGGAGCGAAAACATCACATTTTGCCTTTGGTCTCGAGACGATGTAAATTGGCTAGACCATGATTGCTCCCAGCTCATTGAGATGCGTTGGGACTGAAACGCGGGCTTCGCTCGAGCCATACCATGTAAATGGCAGTGTAGTGCCTTCACCCATCTACACTTAACCTAGGTATGAAGATATATATCAAGACAATGGTAGTACGGCAGTTGATTTGTCACGGGGTAAGAACTCGTGCGGTCGGCGTGCTCCTCTGCAACAAGAAGAACATTCAGAAGGGTAGAAGCGCAGGGTATTTTGTTTGCTCGGGAAACGGGCCTGAGTAGAACGCAAGAGCACACGCAGATGTAAGGGGAAGAAGAGAGCCCCGCTATGTATTCTGCAGCGCGACGAGGGCTTGATTAGATATAATAGTGTCTTTCATGTATTTCGACATATATTAAAGGACGCATGTCGAAGTGCTGAAGATGAAATCGTGGCTGAAGCTGTGGCCGTGAGGATTCCATGTTGAGGACTTGTCGTTCTCTATTAACTCACATAGCTAGGAAGCGGCGCTCAGGAAGTGGCACGAGGCCGGGGACACAAGGCCGAGGGGCTGTGAAGCAGCCGGAGATTTAAGAGGACTCGGGCACCGAGTTTCCTGCTAAGGGTCTTCCGTCCTTCTCCGTAGGAGGAAGACGGGTAACCTGAATGGTACTGAATTGAATCGATATAATCCTTTCTTTACTTGACCCCATAGTTTCACTGTAGAGGGATAGCTTCTGCGCTGTTCATGAAATTCGCACAGTCGTCCATGGTCCCTGTTCGGGTGGACAGCTGCATGTTATGGCAGTGCCTAATAATGGCTGCGTGCGGCGAGAAATGACTCAACTTATCTCATGCGGCGAATCTGTGATCGCCGTAGCCGGCAACTGGTGAGAGGTTCCAGCGACGAGGTACAGATGGTCTAAATCTAAGTCCATGCAAGTGTTTCAAGCTAGTTGTGGTTGTAGGCTTGCCAGCCTCGAGAATTCCAGATTCCGAAACAACGCGTCGCAGTATCACCCAACTGTTCCCACAACGACTGAGAAGTCTCTCATCAACATGTTAACTGATCCTTCGAGTATCTCTGCCATTCTCCATCAGGCTGTGCCAACAAGAATGGGACAAGGCTCGACCGATAGGAGAAAGGATAGGGGAAATCGACTAGACTCATGCAAGTTTCAGCCTGATTGCGCGTGGTGTGAATCCTAGCTCCTTGCCTGATATGTTGTAAATGGTGTGATCGAGTCGCTTGTCCAAGGGCCTATTGAGGGTATATTCGGAGTGGTTGATTTCGCAGTAGGTCGGAATGGCTTGATTGTTCGTTGATGCTAATCACTTCCTCGTGGCTGAGCGGCACTTTTTCGCTGACAGCTGAGCGGTGTGGGGAAGTTAGATGAAAGATGCCGGAAAGTGCCCACCATTTCCTGCAATCAAACAAAGTGAGCATGGCTGTTGGCCAATCTATGAGGGTCACCGCTCATGCACTTGACGCGCGGAAAGGCAGGAAGGCAGAAAGGCAGACTGGTGCAATCCAAAAAACTCAAGTATTATCAAAAGCTGGGCCATGATGCGTAGCACGCCTTTGGAAGCATAGAGAAGACCCGTCACTGGAATAACCGTGCAACATAAGCCCTAATTCGGTCGCGATGCCTGAGAGGGCGTCAACGAGAATGGGAGAAAAGGGCGTTGTTGAAAAGGATAACTTCAGACAAGTTTCTGTTGAAAACTCTCCTGCACAGGCGATTCTAAGCCTCCTGTGTACTCGCTAGCGCCCCGAACTGGACTAACCGTGGAAATAAGTTCTCCGTAGGCAACCAAGATCCAAATGAAATGACCCCATTCATCTGGTTCATCGGTTGTAATTCTAACAGTCAGAATACGGAGAGGGGCCGTTTGGGGGTCGTCCTCTCCTGGGGGCCCGAGTTGTAAGCCAAGAGCGTCAATTAGGCACCACCCACTGAAGTGCGTTTGCCATATCCGCCTTTGAAGCAGAGACCGGGATCTGTAATTTACTTTGGTCTGGGCTTCTCTGTTGAATGTGCTCCGGGATCCGCACGAACGAGGACGCATCTCAAAGCCAAATTGACCTAGCTGTGGGGAATGGGTGGAAGTGAGGCAAACCAGCCCTGATGTCCCGGACATGTGCATCCACTGGTGTTAGCCCACTTAATCCAACGGACTGATTGATGATACCTTAACAAACTAGCACCAAGTGAAACTCGAGGATTCCTTGTCGGATTCTTAAGCCCCTGTTGCTAGTGCAAGGCAAACTCGTGCATCACGATAATATTGGGCATCCCAAAAGTGTACAGGGCATATCCACTATGCGGTTGTTGGCCGTTCAAGAAGCTGGTATGGTGCTGCTGATTGGCATCTGGAAGATGAGATGTGACATTAGCCCGGATGCCTTTTTCCATTCTTGTGAGGGAAGGGAGGTTGCATGGTCTGCAACGACTCTTTGGGTTTTTGGATTGCCCGAAAGTCCCACAAAGCAAAAAGTCCCAGTCTGATAGATTGGATGAATTAGGAAAGTAAATCGTCCAAGGCAACTGAAATGTCTTCATAGCTTGCAAAATGATCTTAATGAATTGGATGGACTTCGGACAGCGTGATGAGAATAGACTGGTAGAAGGGCCACGACGACAGTGGCTGCCCAGCCTCCTAACAGGGTTTGAGTGCCATTTTTCAGGCAAGAAAGACTCCGTCGTCTGATAAATCCGCCAATCTACCAATGAGTAATCGAGAGACGGACATTTTTGTGGCAATCTAGTCAAGGGGCAACTCACTCGACCATGCCACGCAAGCTCTCCACGAAGTCGTGATACCAGAAAAGAAGGGAGGCAGTGAGAAGGAAAGCTTCGTAAAGGACAGAATTGGTGGTAACCATTGGTTGAACTTGTCAGCTGGCTCAGTATTTGACAGTCATATTCATGAGCCACCGTCTTGTGATTACGTACATAGATGGCGTTGCCGCAACAGCGAGAACCAACAACTTGGATTCTAAATGGCGACAGCCTGACGCTTTGCGACCAGTGCGTTTCTCCTAAATGGAAAAGGCGATCCATGACTTGGAAGGAACGAACCTTGAATGTGCACAGGGGGATGGTGTGTCCTCTGGAATATCTCTACCTAGAAAGGTAGTAGCATGTGTGGCGACACTGGTAGGTGGCGGCAATATGGCGCACAGCCTCATCTCTGCGCGAATCACCTGGATGAACGGCGAGACAGCATGAATCAGATAAATTGGTCGTCGATCTAAGCCGAATTGCTGTGATTCCAAGCTGAGAAGACCAAACATCCTTGACTTAGATGTCGGTCAAAAGTAGCAGAAATGCAGTGGAAGCTGAACTCGTTCAGACGGTGGCAAAAAGCTGAGAAGGGCGGGTCACTAGAAGGCTGAGGTCTGCAAGTCTCTCAAAATATGAGCCAATGCGTGCACACAAATTCGTCGTACAGATAGTAGGGTGCGTAATTGGATAGTACTACCTGCGCGATCCGATGAACAGAGTAAAACCATGAATCGCGTGAGGGAGGTGTTTTCCTTATGAAAGACCCTCAGCCTCAGGTGGACGCAAAAGTACAGCCGCACGCACCACAACACAACACGTGGGCGGCTCGGGACCACGCCGACGATACCGAGGTGCTAAGACTTATGCGGTAAGTCCAAGCTCTACCAATGGAAGGGGCAACCCCAACTACAAACGGCCTCCCTCCTTCCCAACCTCATTTCAACTACAACCAACACCCATTGACGGTGGAACAGAGCCAAACACAATACAACACCCCTCTCAGGTTCGCAGTTCTCAATTCAAAGAAGAAGCAACAATCATCGAGTCGAACGAGACATAAGGCTGTGTTTACCTGCACAGTGCGATACACAAGTCTTCATTGTTCATGAATGGCCCAACGTCAGGGCACAAGCAGCGCTATCAAAGGCGATCTTTGAGCTCAACTTTGAGGGTCTGCGCAGTCTATTTAACGTCCCCTGCAGAATGAAAGCACGCTACTCTCGCCGTCGAAAACCCGCAGGTCCATATTGACCTCGGGAGGGGGCTTCACGTCAGGTCCGCCAAGGCTAGCCTCCAACATCTAGGCTTGGCAGGTTGCTGTCGTTGGATTCAACCGCGTGCTTGCATTTATCGCCCAAGTCACAAAAAAGGAATCCATTTCCAAAAGCTGGTAATGCGGGTGGTGTGCTTCTTAGAAAGCCGACCGGGGACTTTAGTGGCCTGAAAGCCACGTCGTTGGCCCAAGAGCTGCTCAAAGCATCAGTCAAACTCGGTTTTGCTTCGTCATCTCATGAAGACTGAATGCACGACTGTTGATGTGTTCTGAAACCAAGACCCAGCCTAATACTGGCACTAGCATGACAAAGACGATAGGGTGCACACCTTGGGTGAGGCAGTCACGTGCGTTGTTGGACGTACACGATTGACTTAGTGTGGACATGAGAGCCATCCCTGTCGAGCAACGCGAACATCATATCAGCATTCGACGTATAAGCACTCTCCAAGCTCCGGCCTGCTTCTCAACTCCCCGGTGTTGGGCTTCATCTGAATGGGTCGTTACCTACACGTGGCGATTTGCCCACATGATATTGCGATGAGAGTGACCGAGACACGTGATGGGCATCTTGTCCAGTCTACCATGACTCTTCCCTTGTCTACCACGTACACCTCTACCCCTCTCCATAGACTACAGCAAGTGCGAACGTCGCCATAATTGAGCCTGGAGCATTCAATCGTCGCTCATGAGACCCTGGTATCACAGCCCAGCAGACAACTTTGTTCGTGGTGGGTGCTGGGGATGTGAACCATTGCAACAACTTTGCAACATCTTCGCATCAATCGCAACATATGCTGTGGGCTCTCGCCCTAGGTCTCTGGCAGTTCTCTGTCCAGCCCGAGCAAGCCAACCTGTTCTCCTGCATCAGGCATTGCAGGCCAAATTGACATCTTGACGCCCATGCGAACTTCATTCTGAAGCTATCGAAAAGAACTTAGGGACAGGCAATCCATCTTGTCAACGGACTCAACAGAGTTGGCATGCAGTGTGTGGCGTCACGGCATCCAGCATGGCTATCACTACCGGACCGGACACGAAGCACCCAAGAGCGTTTCTCCTCCGGCTGATCCTCGAAAAGCTTGGCATGAAAGCACTACTTCTGAAACAACAACCCAAACACCAAAGTTGTCTTGTGGACTGCTATGAACGAGTTTGCAGTGCGCATATCTCCTCAAGAGGGATTCTTTACCCCATCAGTTTGCAGGGCAAGATGAGGAAGTGGAAGGAGTCGACCTGCAAGTCGAGGTCAGGAAAAGCTGGCGCCTAACCAAAAGCAGTTAGGCAAGCAACGCTCCCTGCAAATCAAATGCACCGAAGACTCTACAGTGCCAAATCCTGGCGAATGGCAGTCCTGGGCCGAGCACTAGCGTCATCTGCGCTGTTTCCCGACCAATCTGCCTGACCTTCAGGGTATTTGGGATCCCCCCTTCTTCACTTCTTCCCCTCCCTCCCCATATCATCAGTCTTCATCAGCTATGTATTGATACATCGTGTTTCCCATCAAATTTCATCGATTCAGCAAGTTTTCCTGCTTGGGCCCATCCAGTTTTTACGGGTTGAGTACCCCTGCGCCACAAAATCCGTCATCCCACCCCGTCACACCACTGTGAGTATGGGTACCAAGCCAGCCCGTACTCAGAAGCCAGCACAGGCTAGCATCAGTAAGAATTGGTGGGATCCCCTTTCAATATCTTGTCTTCCTTGCGTGGCCAGAAGTACTGACGGGCCCCTCGAAGCCGCCAAATTCCATTGACAGCTTTTACGCTGCTTACGGTGCCGGAGGGGTCTATGTTATCAACATATCTCGAATCCAAAGAAACAATTGATATCAGCTTGATGCGAAGGCAGACCAACCTTGATATGCCGGACGCAGTAACATCACAGGGCTGTTCTGCCGTCCAAACAAGGGACTCTCAGCAGCGGCCCTACAAGCGACAGCGTCTGTCCAGGGAAGCCCTAATCCGTGGGCAATTCGACGTACTCGAGCTTGATTTGGACAAGTCTATGGCCGCAATGACTGCTACTCACAGTCCTCTCGCTGTGCTCAGGACAATCGAGTGGGCCAAAAAATCTCGCTTCACTCAATGATGAGGGGCTGCTTGCTTACCTGAGTCGGAGTTTTGGCCCAGATCCGCCTTACTGACCAATTCACCGGTGAATTTTCCTTTACAACTTTACGACATATGGATGTTTTGACGCTCTCGCGTTCTTGCACGAATTCCCAAGATGTTCTGCAGCCACGTTAACTGCAACAGAATAAGTTGCGACTGGCCATCAGGAGACCTTGCGAGTGGGATACGCACATGGCCATACACGAAGGTCCACACAAGTGTTCTCAATCCAGGTATCACTTGCCCCAGCGGCCTCGTCAGGCACCAGTGCTAGCTGTCCCGGATGCACATGCCCAGCAAGCAACTGTTCTGTCCCTTTCCGAACTGCAATCAACATCAACTTGAGATTCACAAAATGTTTCGTATTCCCCAGTACCAGTTACCGTGCTATACTCCCCTTATGTCTCTTTTATATTTAACGCAGCCTTGGGAAGAGACTTGCTCGTCGTTGGTTAATGGCACTCGGGAAATGCTTCCAACCCGCCAAACTTCTTTTTTAGCTCATGTATACCTGTTCTCTAGATTAGTTACGTTGGAAGGGAGGGGAAGTGAGGATAAAAGCTGCACGAACGACTTTGTTTCGAAAGTCTAGATGTTCTGGCATATCAGCTGGACAGCAGTAGCAATGACGAACGTTTGGCTCGTGCCAGCTTCATCCCCCCCCACCCGAATCTTCCCACTTCTGTGCAAATAATGGGCAAAATAAGCCCCCGTGCTCAGATCTCCGACGTGGCACCCGTCCCGCGCGGCGCTGCGGGGTACTCTCATTGGCCGAATTTTCCCTCAGTCGTCTATCAGCGGACCGACGCTGAGGGGCATTCAGCCTGATGAATTGTCTTTTTCAGGAGGGGTGGGATTTCGTGTTCGAGATCTCTCCCTTTCCCTATCAATCTGGAGGGGCGCCAGATCAGATCTGTGTGAAGACGTCTGAAGACGTGCGGACGCCGAACGATGTCACGGGCGCGTCGTCGCTTTTGTTTGATACTCCTTTACTCGTCGTCCCGCTGGGGGGCCTGACCCCTGGGGAGAAATGATGATTGGAGTTGCAATTTGTTTGGTCATGCTCAAAACGGCTGTCTGTCTTTTTCAACGAGGAGAGTTGCGACACATCGAAACACGCTGGTTGCCGCCCGTCATCGGGATGAGTATATGTACCTCGTACGGACCTTTGCATTCATTCTCTGTATTTTTGGTGGCGTTGACGTCGGGCGACCTCTCACCGGCGGACGGCCAATATATGTACATAGATACATATATACACACATGTACTGGTCGAGAAACACGATCCGGTCTTGTCGTTGAAAATCCTCGACCATTTGCCTCCGTGCTAAAAAGAGATCTGACCTGCGATTAACAAGCCTGGCAGTGACTTAGTCAGGCCCCGGAGTCGTGAGCTAGATTTCCCGCGCAGTTCGGGTCTGGACGCTTTTATAGCATCTGCCATCGACCCTCTTCGTTGTTTGGCGGAGGCCTCTTGGAGGGAAAACCGTGAAAGGGCCTGGGCCCCGGCCAGTATTTGGATGCGTCCCAAGATTCTTGTGACAAGAAGATTTTGGGCTGGGCTTCGCGGCAGGGAGCACGATTTATTGCCGATGTTTGGTTTTGTTGGAAGTGTGTTTCTTTTGTTTTTTGAAGGTCGTGATTCTCATCAGTCATAAAAGATGTATGTACGATCTCTGTGAAACACAGCATTACTAGGCAGGAAATATGCACACAAGAAGTGAAAGCCTTCTCTCGACCCCCTCCAAAACCCCCCTCCAATCCCTTCCCCCTTCCTCTAGAACACCCAGCCAATACAGGAGATTGATGAACCAGTCTTGTGTGGCTACTTTCGGTCTTAAACAAGGGCTGGTACGCTCAAGCAGCGGACCTCTTGTTGACCCCCAGGTGGTTTCTTGACGCAAAAAACGTAGGTGTTTGGACATCTATCCATCCAGCAACAACAGCATCAATGGCGGGTGCCTGTTGTTCAAGAGCTCGATTCAATGCCGTTCTCAAGCCGTCGAAGGCGATAACGTTTCTGATCCGGGCTCATGACAACAGCTAGTCATGCGCCGGGGCATTGTCGATGCTACAACAGACGATCCTCGAGGATTGACGAACAACACTGCCTCCGTCGGACTCCAGCAAACCAGGGCTCGATTGCAGACAGCACGTTCTTCAAAGTAAAGCGCAGCATTCACGTATTTGGGTTCTACATCATCGTATCCGGTATCTGATATGTCTTCCACGGGGAAATTGGGTTCTAAACGTTGGGTACGTACGGCTCATTTGGTTTCGACCATCTGAGCGTCGGGGTGCGATTGAACGCGTAACGTATGTGCAGCAGCCACAGTAGCCATGGACGAAGCAAGATCGGTGGTGGCGAAGAGCTTCGTTCTGTCATCGTATGTCATATAACGGTTCAACTTTTCAATATCAGTTTAATGTGGGGGCCTGGTGGGGACGTTCAGTACGGAGCAGAACTTACCGATGCCAACTTGTGACCTAACCACAAGCATCGTTCTGCTCGAGGTGCCGCATGGCTGGGCATCTCGAGAGTGCGTTCGTCTTCATCTACAACCTGGCCATTGAAGAAATCGTCAGGGAAGTAATATGAAGACCAGACTAAGCCACGTATGAGAAAGTCCTCAGGGAGCTGACGCCCTGTTCCGCTTTGTTGCTGAGGAAATTCCTTGGCCTCGATCCGGTTGTCAGAGACGCCCGAACGGCTCAACGTATTTAATGCTAGGACCAACTTGGGCCATGGAACGTAGTTTTCAACGAAAACTAGAGCGCCTGGTACGTATGATGAACTCCAAATGTACGCTAATGTGATATGCATAAACGGAAGAATGTTGCGATCCCCAACTTTTTGCGCCACGATAGAAATGGATGAAAACCAGATAGGAAGGATGTACGACGTCACCTCGTCCGACGACTCGAACTTTGCTTCGGCCTTGTCACCTCCATGGGGTCGGACCTGACGGAACTCCTCGGTATGAATGGGCCCATTCCGCCAGAACTGGGCATGGATGTTCTCCTTGAGTATGGGATCCTCAACAGGGGCAGGGTCAGATGCAAGAGCCTGGGGTTTATCATCCTGGATTCCTTTGATTTTATCGTTGTTGGCCTTGAAGGATTTCCAGAGATGATTGTCATCACTGCCGAAATCATACATGAGTGCGATCAAGGATGAAGCAATCTCAGCTCCCATAACCTTGAAGTTGGATCCTGATCGGGTGATCTGGCTGTCCAAGTCAGACACGTAGTCCGAGATATTGACGATATATTGGTGAATGGATCCCCGAGTGAACATGATACCTGCTGCAGTCACGAGACTTCTCTCGGCCCTGTTATACTTTTGATTAAATGTGTCGGAATCAAGCAAGGGGCTGAACAACAACATTATTGAATCCCGAGCATTGACGAAGGGATTCACGCTGACCAATGCCTTGGAATAATAAAAGTGTTGACGCACGATGTTCGGCCGAGCGAGAACAGCCAGGTGATGCTGAATGCGCCCTGTGGCTGGAGAACGGTCAGCAGCACGATTGTACCACATGCGAGCAACATTTGACCAATTCTCGCGATCTCTCATGTCCGCCTCCTCGATCGCCATGCGATAACGAGCAAGATCGCCTAGGCATTCAATCCAGGTCTCATAGAAGGTAGGTACAGACTCCATCAGCAGACCCACCATTTGATAGGCCAGATAGACGAAGCTGAGCATGTGCTCTAAGGAATGAGGAAGGCGATGACGAAGTAGTTCTAAGAACGAATGGATCCCATGCCGCCACATCCGAGCTGGCATTGCGTACTTGGTAGGCAGGCGGCGTAGTGCTGGTGATGCGGTGGGATGTTGAGAGGCTAGGAAGAAGTCGTGGTGCTCATGAAGGAGAGTGCGGTGTAAGGCGATGAGGGCCTGCCACTGCTCATTCGACAACTTGTTTGTTGTTTGAGACTGGGACTGGCATATTTCCACGCATTTCTTCTCCACCATCACAAGGCCAGCGTAGATGCCCTTGACTTCATTGACAAGCTGTTCTTGACTGATGGATCGCGTCTCTGGCTGAAGGAACATTCGAACCTCTTGGTCAGGAGGGATATCATAGGTTGTTGCGGCTTGGGCGGTGTGGCTTTGAGTCTTCCTCTCTTCAGCCTTCAAGGCGGCAAAGTTTAATTGGCTTGATGGCTGAGCTGAGTGACGTGCCTGCTGCCTTTGACTGTTGGCTGGATGAGATGATACCAATTTGGGCGAAGATTGTGGAGTCCTCTGAGTGGATGGGAATCCAGAAGGGGAGCCGGTACGGATTGATTCAGAAGGGTCTCGGTTGTGGCGTGAAGAGAACGGTGAGGCCGAGCCAGCGCGGAGCTTACTAGGATACTGATCCTTGTCATTATAAGGCCGCTTTGAGGGATGCCGCGTAGGATCCGAGATCTGGCCATTGCGAGCCTTGCTCTGGTCATCCAGAGAGAGTTTGGTAAACCAATCGGTGGTTTCCTGCTTGATACTCGGTTGAAGTGGCATGTGAGCAGATTCATGTGGTATTTGACCCAGGCGCAACGATGTGTTTGGTTGAACTGGAGACCGCGGATCACTCCTGACGATTATTAGAAAGACTGAACCACGCAGTTCCATGGGAGAGCACTGAATTACCTCGGGACCTGTCTCAATGGATTCTCCAGGTCAGGCTCAGCCTTGAAAGTCGGCTGAGAGTTGTCCAAGGCCCGAGGGCTCGGTCCTCCAGGATCGGGCGACCCTTCAGGCTTTCCCGGGGGGGTTTTCAGGCCAAACCACCATTTTTTGGACTCGCTCGATACATGTCCCAGGAATGAGCCGTCGTTCGTTGATCTACGAGAAGCCATAACGGGTTTCCAGTACGTGCACGACTTGGGAGCAACCCCAGGACAGACGGATATTGCCTGGAGGTGGGATGTGAGAATGATGATATTGCGGCAATTAGGCCGGTTTGGCTGGAGCGCTAGTCAAGTGGCTAAATCCCGGGAAATCCCGTGCCGTCACGTGTCTCGCCTCGGCCGTTGGTGGTCTGAAAGATGGTGAATCTGGAGCCAGGCAACACTCGCGATGGAATTTGGTCCTGAAGGGCCAGATATCATGCAAACGGAGGTTGGGGGGGACATCCGGATACGGAAAGCGGGAGATGTGGAAATCTCGCGGCTTGCACACACCAAGAAAAAACACAGCTGGCGATGCCAGAGAGGCTGGCCGAAGACGGGGGGTTTCTTCGAAATCCGGGTTGCACGTCGATCGTGGGATGAGGTTGGGAACGCTTGAATTTGGCCACGGCGACTCTTTCAAGGCCTATTCGGATGGGGATGTGCATGAAATTGAGAAGAATCGGGAAGTTCTGCTTCGAAGATATACTACTCCTACTCCAACTCCTGCTACCCCGTCCACTGCAAATCTCAACAGGGCAAATTAAGAGAGGCGGCTGTCCAAAAGAAGCCAGCTTGTCACCCTTGTCTGCTGCAGACGCTGTGTAGCCCCCTGGTCCGCAAATTTCGCATTTATCTTCGCAAGTTCGCATTGTCCGCATCTAGCCTCTTTGGGTTAGTGGTTGCCTTGCGAGGCCGCAGAGCCTCATATGATATGACAAGCTGCCCCTCGCATCCAGAATTGAGACTGTCGTTGTCTGTTGTCCACCTCACTCGGCACTCGGTGCGCCGTCCCTTGGTATCAATAATTTGACAGCCCACGGGCCGTCAGTGCGTGCCCTGCAATTTCACCCCATCGACGTGTCGTTCTATGTCTCTTATCACTCTACACCTCACCTTACCTACTCCGCAGACAAACCAGAGAAGGGAAGGGTAAACAGGGGCGCCAAAGGGGGGGGTACGCCCTTTTTATCCCTCAAAGTTCAGGCCACGAACTTCGACTGGCGTGACTCATTCTCCTTCCCGGGACTACTACGGTAGTAGTTAGACTGCTTTCGCCCCGGCTATCAGAGTGATGTTGTTCCTGTTCCTGATAAACATACCAAGTTACCTACTATGGACTACACATGTGTTCCTCATTCTGATCATATGTTGCTCAAATGTCTTGGGAGCAAATGCGCTTCGTGATGTGGGCGCCCTCATCTTTCCTGGAGCCTTGTCCGACGTTCCGAACGCCAACTCAAGGCTTGCCGCCGCTATTCTTCCCTATCTATGACTACATGGCGTCCGTCAGCCTAGTCGGACTGCCTTGGCTCCATGTTGACTTAGACCTTGCCTCATCCTCTTTGAGCCATCATCCGCGATAGTTGACTTTGGAGAAGAAATGACCTCTGACTCGATTTGCCGCCTAGCCAGTGGCCACACACGGAATAGGCAACCAATTCATCACCATGTGTCATTGGTATCGAAGCTCTACCCAAAAATATCGGTTCCAGCTTTCAAGGCAGCCGGCTACCGCGAACGATGACCCTTAATTGATAACAAGAGCAAGTAGCACAGGTAGATTGATGTTGGCCCATTGGGACAGTGAGGCCCTAGCTCGTTTCACAAAATGGGCCTACATGATCGATAGACTGACCTCGTACAGCGCTCCAGCCCGTAGGACAGGTTTTGTGATACTGTGCCAAAGCCGGATTGAAGACGCTAGAGCCAGCCGCAAGGAGACAATGGAGGAAATGTAATGAATGACAGCGATGTGCAGTGGTCAAGTACCCGGGTCAATCACCCTCAGATATGCTGCCTGAGAAGATGCTTTGTATCTTGTGTAGACACTTCAAATAATGACCAACAGATCGAGGTTTGCCCTGCAGAATGAAGAGTATTGCCCGTACAGGACACATGGAGCAGCCTGACAAGGGAAAACTACCAGCTCGACATCAACCTCTCATTGGACTGCATCTTCTAACTCAGCCCTATTGGCAGCTTTGCTCGGGCAGCACTGCAGAGGAGAGGAGACAGCGCATTTCGAAAGGAAGTCTCGAAGCGTTGTTTTTGCCATTTTCAGCAATATCACTCTCAATTCAAGGCAAAAATGACCAGTATCACGATTCAGAGGTCAATTTCGATGGCCTGTGAACCATCAACCAGAAAGCACCCACCGAATCTCCTGGGTGCTCAAACAAATCTCCATTTTTACAAACCCAGACGTTGCTGCGGTAATGCTTTGGTCAGCTTCCAGCTTCGTAGTCTCTCTGCCTTTGGTCCTGGAGCAAGCGTCATGGCGTCGAGTGTCCAACCTTCGTCCGATGCTCGCGCAGTTCGCTCTGGCCAGAAAGGCGTTGGGACTTTGTGTCCGCTGAAAACTCCTATGGCAAAATAGCGCAAAAGGACACCTCATTCTTGCGAGCAGTCAAATCAAAAGCTAAAGACTGGGAAGCAGAGCACGAGTGGAAGTCAGCTGCCCTCCCGAAACATCCTCTTTGGAACGTCAGCTCAGCCGCCACCTTGACGTATTCGCCTGCAGCGACGCACTCGTTCTTTGCACCCGTATCTGTAACATGCTAAAGTTATTGCTGTACAGTTACGGCATCCGAACTGTGGTGCTACACCCACGGACCTCCGTTCAGGTGAAACATCAAGATAAGTCCCCCGTTCATCGTAAGACGCTCAGGCAACCGACCCCAATCTCGAATCTGCTATTTCCCGGTTTAGGTCATGAGGTTCAGCTTAGCAAGGACGTGCACAAAAGATGGTCTCCTCTATGTAGCGAATGTGAAACAGTGGAACCCGTCGTAATCTGGGGAATGTTGCTTAAAACAGTTCTTCGATACTGAGCTATACGACATAATTTGGAGTGATCAAGCCGGCAGCATCCAATGGTCAAAGAAGGCAGCCTGATCAAGTGTGATCAAGTTGGGCCTAAAAACGGGGCTCAGCAAGGCTACATTCGTAAGACGCCTCAGACCTCTCTCACGACCGTGACAACCTCGCGGCAACTCGTGCTATGCAAAATAGTAGAGCAAAAGTCCTGCGGATGACCTTCCGCGCATGCCTACGTTGAGATTGTAAGGCTGCGGCTCTGGCTTGAGCAATTCGGAGCGACTGATGCACTTCCTTGGGATCTGTAGGACTTCAGCCTCTCTGTCAACTAAGGGGTAGAAGTTGAGACTTGATGGCGAACAAATGCAAGACCTAACATGCGGAGTACTTCCGAAGGATCAGGACATAGGTAGCAGAGGAACCGAAGATCCTCTCAGACGCTGGGTTCATCGGGATCGGCAAACCAAAGTGAAACTTGTAGATGTTGTCCCTGGAATTCCCCCTTGTCTTCTGTCCACAAGTCACTGAGCATGAGACCATGAAACAATATAAAGGCGTCGCGTTCAATGCAAACCAGTTTTTATAGGGCTTCATCTCAAGTGGTCCTCAAAGCAAGATACAAGCTGGTCTATCTCTCCTCAAACCCTTCGACCAAGCAGGTAACATTCAAATTGAGGCTCTATATGACATTATTTCTGGTCTATTTCCTCCCCTCAGACGACTTCATTGATGCTTCCATGGCGCGGATCACCAAGTCATAATATCGTGCAGACACCTGTCCTGGCTATTGCAGTCCTAATCAGGGACCCAGGTCCACAGCCGCTCCGTTATTCCATCTCAGAATGTGGAGACTATGTTCGATTCGATCGGAGACTCCCAGAACTGCATCTTTTCTCATAAGCCTACTCAGTGTGGCCACCAAATCGTGGTCTCCGGAGTTGCGGATGAATGATTGAGATGATGTACAGACAGATGGATATTGCCAAATCATGTAGCTCGTATGTGAATATGACTTCCCCTCGAAATGGTCGAAGACCATTCTTTGAAATTCTGTCCGTTAGTCGCCATCGGCGAACCTCCGTTCGCTTGATGGCATTGTCCCACTTTTCGCTGATCATTCTGGAACGGCGAAGCGACCGTCAGCACAGCAGCAGGCAACCAACTATTGACTTGACCTTATTTCAAAATTTGAAACGCTGATAGTGGCTGTGCTATCTATTTGACTATACTTGGCAGCCATTACGGCCGCACGTGTGTTCCTTCTGTCATCCATGTGATTCTGCGGCCATTTATTTTGTCCTTATCCACACGTCTTATTCTCCACTGCTCATATGATTAACCCCAATGAGTTATTGACGAGGCACACCATCGAGTCAGCATGCAGAGTCTAGCGCTATTCCTATGGCATTAAACCGCACCCTCCTCTACCTAGGCCAAGTCCTTTTTCGAGCAGCTAGCTTGTAGCTCTTGGTGTAGCAACTTGCATCCATGTAGGGCGGACAACGGTGTAGACTAGCCACTGGGGATGGTTAGACGTGAATTTTGCCATCTATGCTGTTGTTATCCCTCTGAGAATGTTCTCGGATTCCGAAATGGGACATTCTGAATGGAATCACGGTGCAATTCCGTGAGACTCTAAGCCGCTCGCCGAGACAGGCCAGCTTGAGCAACACGGCTTCAACTTTCAATATGTTTCGCAGCATGCGGCGTAACATGGTGCTGTCGACATGCACGGCCCACACTATTACACTTCTCCATGATCCTGCGTTTGATCAGGCTATCAGCGAACCAAATTCCCTCGTTGATCACCAATGACCGGTCTTACAGGGAGCCTTGTAAGCGCTATACGCAGATCTCGTCCTCTAGGTATGTGCGAGGATGAAGGACCCGAAGTGTGTTTCACCTGCTAGTGAATAGCAAAACTGAAACAGTCTTGCAGAATCCTCGAAGCTGTGTGATTGAGCAAGATCCAGCCGATAGAGGCTGATTCGCTGGTGGTTACAAGGTCCCACGGTCCGTAAACCAAGGGGCCGAGCCCAACTGAGAGCCTCATCTGCAACATGCCCGCAACCAGTCTTCTGTGAAATCAAACATTCTGTACCGGGTCAAGGAGCCTAGTTCTCCCTGCATGCACCATGATGCTCTTTGCGACATTTCTCTTGGACGTCTGTCGCCTGCTGAGACTTTGATGGTTCTATCGATCAAGACCTCGGCTTAATGCGCTCCGCGCAATATGAGGTAAGTGGTTAGGGTCTTAATAAATAGTCAAAGATGCTCTCTCCTGGATGAAACTCTCTTGGGTTAGGCTGCACAGGGCTCCGATAGTAGGATGTCACCCCAAATGCAATCAGACGAGTCCGGTGATTTTGCCCCATGAACGTCCACGAAAACTCATCTGTAGACCGTGACATGCCAATACTGTATCAGAATCCCGGATGTCATTAGGCTTCGGAGGGGGTGGAAGAGGCTAAGCAAGCAAACCATATTCGTACTCCAAGACCCGATGGGGGCAGTAGATCGGTTATGTACATTGCAGATCGTAGGCCCGTTGAAGCTCGGGCCGATGGTGCATCGCTCGCTGCCTTCTCGGAATGCTAGATAGCAATCTGACTGGTGATGTCTTGAGAGTGGGGAGGATTGGAGGATTTGAGGATTTGACTGTTAGAGTCTCTGCATTGAAGCGATTACAGGTCCATGGCTTCGTACGATGCAGCTCCCGACGGATGGCTAGAGCACCCCGAGATCCGATGACGACAATTCAAGGGAGTGTCCTCTCCACTAGCCCTGCACGTCATGTAGCCCATGGGGTGACAAATGAGGCTGAAACTTCTCCCCGTCGGAAAAGTGTCCCCTCTCCGTCAATATCATCTGCACCGCCGCGGACATTTACTTGTCGCACGTTCCACCCAAAAAGAAAAAACCAAATTTCTAAACTGTTATAGAACGATTTCTGGTGTCTGAGCAGATAACAGACAGCCTTTTGTGGTGGAATTAGACGATGATGTGGGAACGCCACTAAGAAGGCATTAGGGAGCTCAAGTGCGGGAATTTCAGGCAACCAGGCAACATATCAGATTGCCTGGTTTGCCAATATAACTCAAACCGCAAGATTTAACCAGTCTCAAAAATATGAATATGCACGACGGCCCGATGAGATCCTAGTAGCCTGAGAAAATTGGTAGCCATCTTTTAAATGACCGATCGGAGTAATTCCCATATCATGTAGTCGAGTTTCAGACTCCCCTTGCTAAGGAAGCCTTTCGCATGGAAAGTTCTTGTCTCGCCCCTGACATTAGATGTAGATACGACTTCGAGATTCCAGCTATCCTAGGCTAAGCAATCTACCCCCTCCCCCACATGACTCAATGGATCAGGCAAAACTCCGAGATTAGGAAACTACACCTTAGCCGTGGGTCGCGGACTACACCAAATGGCTGGTCGGTCTGGACCATGTTTATACGGTTCAAGTAGCATACCAACACCAAATTGGGACAATGGGACATGCCGTGTGCCATGGCTTGAACAACATCGGTAAGTGATAGGTTCCCTTTCCCTCTGCTTCAGCAGCCCAGTGAAAAGATCATGCTACCAAGACGCACTTTTATTGGCAACTTCCACCAAAGAACCTGTCATGTGTTCGAGACTGGGAAACTGCTAAGTGATTAAAGGGACGTCAAAGCTTGTATAAGGCTTCAGCCTGACTGCTCCAAAATAATGGGGCAATACTTTATGAATCGTGTTAACCATCGGCAACGCGGCTTGTCTGGAACATGCACACTGCACAAGTGCTCTTCAAAGGAAGCGAGGTTCGCAATGTCGAACTGCCACCATGGACTCGAAATAGACCCCTGGAGGAGCAGGCCACGTGGGTTGCACAGTCCCAAAACAGGAAATATCTCTCTCAGAAAGTCAGCCACATGACGAAACAGACTAGAGTCCTCTCGATTGTCCGAGTCTCAACCCGAAGTTCGAAGCAATATAGCTTTCTAAGCGGGCAATAGATCACACAATTTTGAGCGGTGGTGGCGACACTGATGTTGAATCGCTTCCGTACTTCAGCACCGCGTTTTGCCCTTGTACAATACCACGCTAACAAGGGCAAAGCAGGAATATGAGGCTGTTATCCACCCAAGGAGATGGGCAAGGCAACTCTCGACGTAAAAGGAGAAGTAATCAAACTGATCCGCGACAGGTCCAGGAACGAAGAGCGAAAGAATCGAAGGCACTTGGCTTATGAAGCGGCAAGAGGCTGCCGCAGAGAGCCAACACCCCGCTCTCTGGCATGATCTCCAACTTGAGGGATTCGTTTTGAAGCTTTGGTCACGTCGACTGAACAAAGAGGATGTCGCAGGGCGTTTAAATCGCTCACCAGAGTTGGAATTATCGCATGATACTACGGCTTGAGGCTGATTCGGCGGCCAGAAACGGCGAAAGGGGTTCTGAGCCTGACCTTGAGGCTTACATGAGGGATGAGCGATTATAATGGCGAAGAATGAGGGAGTCATGGGCCTGCAGCCCTCGTGATATTACCGAGCAAGCACCCCAGCCTGTCCCAGTATCTCAATCTCCCAGAATGGAGAATTTGTCGTTTGAGAGAAACACTGATCGCGGTCTCCACCATAAGATAGTACGATTCTACGAAAATAACCCAGCTTCGATGCTCAAAGAAAGGTGTAATTGTGTTTTTAACTCTGGTTTCCATTGCAAGGCTGATTCCCCAGGCCTTTTTGTGTAGTGGAATAAAAAACTTCATGGGAAAAGAAAGCTCAACTAAAGCCGAAAACTGGATAGACTCTGCTCCTGCTCAGAGTGGGCTCTCTGGTCCGCCTTCTACGAGGCCCTCATATGCGTGTTAAAAGCCAAAGTTTCTTTTGTCACGCAAGTGTGGGACTATGGTCGTCGATGAAAATCCCCTTCTCAGTTGATGGAGTCCACGTCGCTGGGCTTGCTCTCGAGTTCTACCCACCCTAGCCCTTGAATCTCGGCTCAACAGTACGTCGAACGAAGCAGATGCAGATTGCTATATTGCTAAATAGTGAAGAGCTCGCATTGCAGGTTAGAGGCACTTAATATAGCGTTTGTGAGAAAGAGCCAGTCACATATAGAGACTCAATGTGAGATGCATCATCGTCTGCTGTTTAACCAGCAAATGCTACCAATATTCACCTGTACGCATACAAACATAGGGTCATGAATACTGGTGAATCTGGGGTCTAACACGTTTGTGCTACTGCGCGAAAGTCATTGATTTCAATGTACGGAAATTGGTTATGGTTTTGTATTCGATGGCTCAAAAGCCGCATGACGAAAAGAATTGAAACTTAGTGCAAAATGAATTTGTCCCTCGGCTTGTGTTCGTTCTCAATCGTCAGATTTGCTAGATCATGCAACAGTGGACTCACCAGGTAGTCATGCATGCCCCCATCATTGCACTGCACTTTTTTCCAATGTTGGCGTAGGCCCGTGCCTGGGAATTGAACCTCTCGTTCGCAGCTTAGGATAGATACACACGCCTTGCATTCGTAACTCTGCGACGGCATATTGGACATCTCCATCGGTAGCTTCTGGAGGCATGACCATGGTCGCTTTGATGATGGCGAGGTCCACGGCGAATGATTTCAGAACACCAGCGACACAGGGCAATATGCATACAAGGTTCCAAGAGCGTGTCCACCCTCTGCTCTGAGCATACTTGGCATGCGATGTTGATCGTCAAGTCTTCACGGCTCAATGGAGCTGGCCGTGAAGTCTGCTCGTCGATGGGATTGATATCGCTGAGTGGAGAAAGCATTGGTGTAAGGGGTCTATGCGAGGGTTCTAGTCCGTTTTCGAGGGGCATCAGGGCATTCCGCCACATTGCTTCTCCAGCTTCTTGTATATCCATCATGAGCTGAACAGTCACATGGTTTGAAGCATTGATATCTGCTTCGATAAGTTCGGTTTGTCCTTCAGCATTAATCGCGGCTTCAAGTTCAACGTGCTGTGGAATGATTCTGGCGTGCATCCTTGTATTCTGAATCATTTCCGGGTAACGACGGATTTCTCCAGTTGCTATACGACGGGCTTCTGCTGTAGCTGCCTGGAGGTGGGCTTCTTCTGCTTGTTGGCGGGCTGCTTCTGCTTCACGATAGCGGGCCTCTGCCCGTTGGAACATCCCTTCGAGAGGGCTTTGATAGTTTTCGGATTGGATCTCCTCGAGCGTTCCAAAAGGATTTTGAAGTAGAGGCCTCCGTCCTCGAAGGGGTGGGTCTGTGAAATGCCTGCTGGGTGCGGAAGGGATAGGATGGAGAGAATGTTGAGCCGGTGAAGGAGAATCCGGGCTGCTTGGACGGCGTATTTCTCTCGCCGGTAATGAGGAAGTTGCAATATGTGGGGCATGGATGCTTTGAAGCAATCCTCTTGGACGATTTTGGTGTGGATCAGCTCTTGCGATGCCATCAAATGACCATGACTGACCCTGCGTTGTAACTGTCATGTGATCGAAAGCTGTGGCCATGTTCTCATCTGCAGGTGGTACACGGTTCGACGGATGATTCATATTGGGCGAGCTAGATGAGCAAGAAAAGATATCCCAATAATCTGGAGCAAATTAACAATATTTCTCAGTAGCGAGCGGCTGACAAATTGGTTTGGGTCAAATGAAAGTGGTGATATGTGGCGAAACGAATGAAATTGGAATCGAGAGGGAAAAACCCCCTACCTCTGCATTTCCAGCAGTAACGCGACCAGCGCTTGCCTTGCATCCTCATACCCTGGCCGTCAATGTAGACAGGATAGGAAGCAGCGATTGGCCGCTTATCAGCACAGGCGCAACAGCCAGCCAGTGCGACTAAGGCACATCCTATGACCGGCTTATGATAGCATGAAGTCTCCATGTCAGAGCCTCACCGAATATTGCTAACGTCAAAGCAAATCAGGTTGTGTCCCGTCGCATGAGTAGCCGCACCCAGCTGTTCTGAATGAGCATCACGCAAGCCAGCCAAATCATGCAGCACCTTCCACCATCAGGCAATCATACTTTCCAAGCGCGGCGTAATGAAGATTCCGAATGATATGGATGGCTGGAGATGGTTTGGTAGATTGATGTCATCCTTCTGGCAATGAAGCGACGTTCAGGATTCAAGAGAAGTCCTGGTCAAGAAGTGTGAAAATCAGGGCACAGCTCTCCGTTTGGACAAAGACATTGCCGCCCTATGCTCACCCACGCGCATTCATGGGTCTTTCCATTGCTGCTTCCGCCGGCGTCAGCCTCCTCTCAATTTCTGTTCCATTCCATGAATGGACCCTGGTGTAGTACAATTCGGTCTAGTGATTCTACCGCGCCTTCTAATGAGATGAGGAGTAAGCTACGTGATATGAATTCCATAGCGACTCTCGCAGCCACCCAGGGCGCCACTCCGACGCTTCCTAGCGTCATGGAATTAAATCTTTGCCCATTGAAGCTGGTCAGTGGTCATTTTCACGACAAGCCCGAACCTAGACAAATCTCCCCGCAGAGGAAGATTCAATTCCCGGAGCGAGGTCTCTTATCGTGAGAAAGCAAAAATTCTGAGAGACAATTCTGGGTGTTCTCAAATCGCCAAACTTTAAGCAGGTCGTGCTCTATGAGACTAGCGAGCGGGGAGCAGTATGATAGTCAATCGTGCACTGGAAATCGAAACTAAATGCTGGAAAACCATTGATCTGAGACATCGAACGAAGCCGATAGATGCCTCGGTATCTTGCCATATCTCCTAGATGCATGGTGTTTTTTTTTTTTTTTTTGGTGAATTGTAACAGTATCCGCTCATGAACCCCACCACATGCTCTGGTATGTCGTACTACTGTCGCCCAGCTTCCATGCATACGTAAGTTCTTCCGATCTCGTAACATAGGAACTAGCTTTAACTCTCCCATTGAGGAACCGCAGCAGTCTGAAGTACCCAATTTCCATTTCATCTTCATGGAGCGACGTTTTCACGCTCTTCAACTGATGGGCCTTCTCCCAGCTTCTGCATACTGACATGAACAACTTCGTCTGGAAGTATATGGCCGTGTTTGTATTTCTGGAATTTCAAAAGCGGAACTCGTTCACGGAATAAATGGTCGATCTCCTCAAGAGAGAATGAGCGGCACTCTGGAATCACGAAGATGGCGAAAAGGAGGGTACAGAAAGCGATGGGCCCAAACACGAGACCGATCTTAGTCCCGAGGTTTGCATATGGCGCATATAAGAGGTAAGGAATCGAAAAAGACACAACGAATTGTGTTGCCACCGTAGCGATGCTGCATACTGTATATGTCATATCTCGCATACCTAAGTCCCCAGTCAGCGCATCCGCGGATGAAAATCGAGATGTTGCTTACGTGAATTCGGTATTTCTGCCGAAATAATATGGTAGATAGGTGCCCAGCCAAACACGAAGCCGAAGTAGTTGAGACTCAACATGGCGGTGATACCTATCTTAATTCCTTTGCTGGGTTCACTGATTGTGCCTAGGCCACCCATGATGAACATCGTAGCCGTTTGCACAAATGAGCCTATTATAAGGAGAGGTCTGTAACAGTGAGTTGGTAGGATGCTCTGTCAACGAGGCGGAGAAAGGCCTGAGCCTCGAACTCACTTCCGTCCAGTCTTGTCAAGGAGATACATAGCGACAAGAACCACTGCAATTTGGATTCCAGTGTTGATCAGAAACATTTGAAAGGGGTCCGGCCCGTGAATGTCTTTGATGAAAATGGTACCATATTTGCTGCTAAGTCCCTGGCCGCTTATTTGAATGCAGATATTCGAGCCGAGGACAATGAACGATCGTTTGAGGTTGATTCCTTGCCACATCTCTTTAAATGTGCCTTTTTCATTTGTCATCGCTTTGATCATAGCAATTTGCTCGTGATATTCAGCCGTAATCTCCTCTTCAGTGAATTTGCCGCGGCGGTATCGGCGTAGAGCAGTCAACGCTTCCTCGTGGCGGTCACGAACCAGAAGCCATCGAGGTGACTATGTACAGAATGCGTTGTTAGTAGATTGCACCTCATAACTGGATACGTGAGGCGAAGTCTCCATGTTGAAGTCGAGCACTTACCTCACTCAGAAAGAATGCGCAGCCTCCAACTATCAATGGTATGATGAAGAAAAGACCCAGAGGGATCCGGAAGGACGCTTCGCCATCAATCTTAGCCGTTCCATAGGTGATGCTAGCCATAATGAATGCTCCGATCTTCAAGGCTCTGCGGTCAGTTGACAGCTTTTGCAGAGTGGTTGTTGATATGACTATACGTACCATCACGCCGAGTTGGTAAGTGCCAACTACCATTCCTCGAATTTTTGGGGGGACAATCTCAGCTTGCATCACGGGAATCGTCACAAGTTCTTGGCCCAGATAGATATAATTGACGATCCGCCCAGCGAGTATCTGCTCCTTATGCTGAGCGCTAACAAGCAAAACGGCTGCCAAAATAGCCCAGCCAGTCATCACAAAGAAAGCCGGACGCCGCCCATATCTTCGATTGATGAATCCACCAGTGACCACTCCAAATACTTGGCCAATATAGGTCAAGCTGTTGAGTAGAGATAAGAAGTAAGGATCAATGTGATATTTGCCAGTCTTCGGGTTGAGGGAGCCGAATTTCTCTGTAAATGCGTCCATAGCTTGGGTGTTGGAGAAGGCTGCCAAATCCATCCCAAAGTTGATTTGGGACAGCATCATGAGACAGGTTGCGAAAAGCAGCTGTCCATTGAAGTTTTCGGCCAGTCTATTGTCGTGGAGCCACATCTTGGTTTCGCGCTCAAAGGTTAGGACAGAAGGTATCTTTGCAGATTGAGATTTCGAAACAATTCAACTGACAAAGAGTTGAGAGAAATGCTTGTAGAAATGCAAGATCATGGGAGGGAGCTCTGATACTATATAGGTACACCCTACACAAAAGGGTCAACGTAAGACTTACATTGGGCAAACGACCTCCAAAGTTGCTCTGTACCACCATCTCTCGAGTCCAGAATGTTAGATAGCCTGCTGGTGAAATGTTTCCCCGAAAGCCACTCCCTACAGAGTATGGAGAACTCCTCGTGGCACTTATGATTTTGCGGGGATCCTGGGGACAAACCGAGGTCCGCCAACATGGTTTCCGCTAACATTGCGAAGATTGCGATATCGCAAAGGTGCGGAAATCACAGATTAGACTAAAGCCGCAAAAGTTCTGGAAGTGGATCGCAGTAACCTCGAGAGGTTGAAGAGCTGTGTAGATGAAATTCTACCGAAGAACGTATGGAGCTAACCCTCGTTATTCAAGCATTCCTTGGAGACAATTGTGCAGTATATCATATATGAGTGAAACTGAGTGAAACTGAGTGAAGTTCGAATTTAATATTGTTTGTGCTCGAGTAGTGCTTTAGAGACTATTTAGGTTCTTCCCCAAGGTAAAGTCAGATACAACAGCGGTGCATGCTGCTGTGAGCCATGTGTATCAGTCTCGCCAAACCCACCCGATGCTCGATGTCTAGGGATAGTGGCTTTGAAGGCCATGGCCTGGTCCCACCACATTGAAACATCAATATCGCTCTCAGGAATATTGTACAATTTGGAAATGGTGCTCTTTTTCAGAACATCTGCCTGCTTGACTTTCTCGTAGGTGTCGCGGTCCGTAAACATCACGTCAAAAGTGACATGATAAGGCCCCGCTATCTTACTGCGTACAACTGATGCGATATCTGCTAGATAACAAGTTCCCGCAGCTGGTTCTGGTTGGAGATAGTATTTTTGGTGTGCCTTTGAAGCGGGCTGCGAAGTGTTCGTAACTGATTTTGGATTCACGGGTTTCAAACTGGTCTTTTCATCTGTTCAAATCATTGGTTATCTTGGTTCAAATAGAAACCATAGTTCTGACTTACGGACGGGGTTCACAAAGGAATTGTCACCCTGATATTCTTCGACTCTGATAGGAAACAGCGCAACCGGGTCCGAATTATGCATGATGTGATAGATGCAAAACTCTGGACAAGGTCCCATCGGAGTTTCAGAGGGAGTCAAAGGCCAAGCAAAGTTACCAGCGGTGGCAAGCTGGCCGGCGTATGGCGCATGAGTCAGTCGATTTTTGGTGCTCGTTGCCACGTCGTTGGCCTGCTCTTGAGTAGGTGCTCTAACATGCACGACCAGGCAAACCTCCTTTGGAATGCTTCTGTCTGGTTCCAACGATCCCATCACTCCATTGAGCCCATACAGATGGATTTTCAAGTCGAATTCGAAGCCTTTGTTGATATCACGGACTCCCTTTTCAATAGATGGGATCCAACTGTCAAGTTGGGAAATGAGAATGGGATCTCTGAAGGCTCCCACAAAGGTTGTCTGATAGCCACTCACACGGGCAGCCTCCAGCTTAACCGTGTACTCACCTTCAGGCTCTGGAATAAACCTTGCGCCCCGTACACGCACCGTTCGACTATCAATTTGCTCATAAGTCAGATCACTGGTATAGAGAGCCCCTCCAGGCCCTTGAAGTATATCGGGTCTGCTCTTTTCATAGAGTAGGTGAGCAGCAACCGAGGTAGGCGTACAACGTACTCCAGGCTGGAGTGGGATGAGGTCGAAATTGTCTCGGCGAACAATTGCAAGACATTCCTTAGATTTGGGAATAGAACACTGTGCTCCGCATTCCATAATCTTGCCCATAGCGTAGTTGAGTCCTGGTGCGCACATATGATTAGTAATGTGAATAGCCTCGTGCACTATATTTTGACTGATTTAGGAGTTGGAGTTCCAACGAAGTGGCAAGCTATAGAAAAGGGGCTCACCTAAATCATCAAATCCATGGTACATGCAGAATGCGGCGAATGGGGCTGGATCGTAAGCCCGTCCCCCAATGATAATATCGAAATCAGGGTTATCAGTCATTGCCTGCAGATAGGGCTCAAGGCCCATCTGAGCAACTATGATATTTGTCGAATCGATGTCATGCTCCAGTAAGTCCGGTATTCCGCTTCCACAAGGGCTTATAAGTTTGGCCTTGAGCTTCTCACGCACAACTTCCTTTGAGATCTCAGAATAGATGCTGACGACCTTCATTGGCCTAAAGCCTTTTTCTTTGATGATTGACTTGATTATGTTGGTATGGTGGTCAACAAAAGCATTCGAACCACTTCCACCAGCAGATCCAATTAAGACTTTCACATTGTGAAGGTGACAAGCTCTCACGAGAATTTCAAACTCCCGCCAATATCCAGCCTGAGGTGCGCCCATTTTCCCAAGTGCCAATCGACCAGGACCACTGTCGGTAGATCCAGCGTCAACGATGATCGCATCGATGCCAGATTCTATAGCATCCCACACATATTCTTCGACGAAACCCCGGCCCAGCGCACCGATCGGTGATACAATTCTGAGTTCATCTTTGGTCTTCGAGGGAGACATGACGCTACTTCTGCTCAAGAACTATTTCTAAGCGTTTCTTCCTTGATAGGTATTTGTGTCTGTTTGGGTAGAGTTTGAGATCTATTCGCCAATTGACGTGAGATGAAAATGAAACATTTTATAGCCTTTACAAGCCCCAATTATGGACATAAAAGGGCACGACTCATTCCGTAATCGCGAGACAGGAGCAGGAGGTGATCTTCTCCAGTAGGGTATGCTAGATGGTAATGCGAGAAAAGAAATGATGGACTGGCTTGCCTGGGGTGTAGGCTAAGGTGTGACAGGTGTCGTCCGCGGTCCCTGATAATCCCACCAATTGAAATAGCAGCACACCTTTAGAGTTTGCAAGGATATCACATCAATGCTCATTAGCTTCAGGCAGTATCTGCGATTGCAGGAAAGGCAAATGAGGGGTGTCTCTAGTCGCGGTGGACATGGAACGAGAATTCTGAATTTGCGTGCCGTGCATCCACGGCACATTGCGATAGCGGACAACGCTAAAAGCGTCAATCTAGAGGTTCTCCAGGACGCTTTGCGGTTGAAATTCATAGGAATGGCACTGAAATCAATCACCGAGGGCAAAAGTTTGCCCGAGGCTTGTGTGTACCCATGGTGAGTTGGTTGTATTGTAAGGTCAATCCCATTACTACCTGGCCGAGAGTCATTGAGTTGCGAGGGAGAAGGAGATTACTCACTTAGCGTACTAGTTCAGCACCAAGGGGCCTGGTATATGCCAGTGACAAAAGGTTGCTTGAGAGAGATTGGAGCTTTTCAAAGGCTACTTCTATCACAACATTGAATCATGGCGTAGTCGGCACTAACTGACAAGAGGCAAGACAATATGCGCAATTGGCATCAATTGTCAACACTTTGCCGAACTTAAAGCGGCGGCCCTCTTCTCATAAGTGGAAGGACATCACGTGGGGAGTGAAACTTGGTGTTCACGTGAAACTGTCTTAGGCCACGCAAGGCTTTGAGGATTACGCAGCCTCAGCCTTTCCCTCAACGATTATGCCCCCCAATTCTTAGGAGCGGATTCCATTTCCTTGCAAACACACTCCATCCGCCAACTGCAGGCATTCATAAGATGCTATTATAGCATTCGCAGGTCTGGCCGTCGTAGCCTTTATGACCGAAGATCGGAGCTGGGCTTCAACATGCCATTCCCAAAGCTGACTCAGTTACAGTTGAGGTTCACGGCTTCCTTTGCAGCCTCTATCTTTCTTCTACTCCTATATCTGAGCCTTACGAAGCCTCACTTTGCATATGCTTTGCAACTTGACCCGGAAGCACCGATCGAGGACCATAGCCTCTTTGGTCTTCTCCTCGAAAGGGGACTCGAGGAGGACGCTGTCGAATTCGATGATGACATTAAACTGGAAGTGAGGGCAGTGGAAGGGGTGTTAGCATTGTCAAATAATGCCCCACAAAACAAAAATATAAATATTGGTGAAGTACAGCACTGGGTCTTCACAAAGGACGAAATTGATGGTCCACATGGAACACCTGGGCCCGGGCTACCCAGTGACAACTTGGCCAAGCGACTCGTTGAGGTCGACGTACACGAACTTAAGAAGCGACAGCAGAGCAGCAAAGTCTACATCACCCTTAATACCTGCTTGCAGCCCTCGACCAACTCCTCTAGAGGAGACTCGGATGATGCCATACCACCTCAGCTACAAATTTACTTCTCTATGTCCGACTCAAACCCGAAACCCGGGCCTGGTGTCAATGATCCAAATCAACGGAATATACAGGTCGATGCCGGTTATGGCTACCTCGAGGTAGATGCGAATAGTGACGTATATGTTGGCGTGGCAGCACCTAATACGACAGCCTTTGGTGGCATTTGGAACTATGAGGTGGCCGCATCGAATGATGCACCTTACCATTTTGCTCACCCTGAGCCGAACTTATTCTTTGTTGACGGTGACAATCACGCAGCACTCCTGATCACCGATGATTTGACAGAAGCTGCGCCCAACGAGACTGTTTTTAAAGAGTGGATGGGCCTCAGCCCAGCGCCTTGGGGAGTGTTTGCCGCCGATCAGAAGGACCGCTCCATCCTTGGTCTTAAGAACTCTTTTTGTGGCCTCAAGAACAATGTTCGCCTAGCTGCCAATATTGAAGGCACTCAAACCCAAAATATCGCCCAGATGACCAGCAGAGGCTTGGGTGGCAAGCCCAAGGAGCAATTTTACATCACTGGTCTCAACGCTAGTTCGCGATACTGGGGCATGTTGGTGATGCAAGGCAACTCTACAGATTCTGGCGTGGGTGTCATTGGTGGTGGCGGCGCAGTTTGGGCTGCCATCGAATTTGGCACAAAAGCTGAAGACAATTGCGCTTTGATGTACAATCTTTCGTTCTGTTCCGAGGTTGCCTATGCGGTGCCCACCAACCCAGACACATTCTCTCCATCCACCGGCCTCCCCGATCTTGCGGCGCTCTACGACTCTCACGCCGCTCAGATGTACCAATATTTCAATTACTCCTTGCAACAAATACCCTGCAACGCCTCTTCATCTTCACAATACTCGCTTGCTCGAAATTGTGACGATTGCGCCCGTGCATACAAGCAATGGCTCTGCGCTGTCACGATTCCACGCTGTGCGGATTACAGCAACACCGATGCGTGGCTGAAGCCGCGTAATCTAGGCCAGGCGTTCGCCAACGGCTCTACCATTTCTGACTCGGCACACTTCAATGGCGATCAAGCGCTCCTTGTTAATGTAGCAACGAATTCTTCTCGCAATCCAATCATCGACGAGTTCATCAAACCCGGCCCGTACAAGGAAGTCCTGCCATGTGAAGATCTATGTTACGACCTGGTCCAAAGTTGCCCAGCGAGCTTCGGCTTCGGATGCCCCTCGAGAGGCGCAGGCTTTGAGGACAGTTATGGCACCAGGAGTAACGACTCTGGGTTAATCACGTGCAGCTATCTGGGTGCCGCGTACTACCTCAGCGGGACCCAGCGGTCCTCTGGATATGCCGGGCTTGGTGGTGCCGTTGTCTTGGCTGCTACGGCGGCAATGCTAAACATGTTGTAGAGTAACAGGGATTGTGACTGGGAAATGAATCACAATGGACAGGATCAGGAATAAAAAAGCGAAAGGGCTGAGCTGGCGTTTTTGAATGTCTTGCTACTGTTGGCATGACACCCCGAGGGGCCGGAGTGGGTCTACAATTCTTTATTTATGTATGTAAAGCGTCGTAGTAGCAACAGCACGGGCCTGGCTAGAGTGAGGCGTACATTATACTAGATATGACGCCTCAAACAGCGGATTATATTGGGCAGAGCCAGAGTTGTCGTGCTCGCCATAGACGTCTCCCACCTACCGAGACGCATATTATAGATCCCAGTGTAACCCGAATCTTGGGTTGCTTGAGGAATCCATACAAGACGTACATCATAAAATCATGGCGTCGAAATTCTCACTTCGTTGAGTGATGTTTGTTGGCCCGCTGGAACCATCTAATTCGCAATTCGGCTTTTCCTAGGCGTCCGGCTAGGCGTCCACATATCTCTACCGTCTACGTCTTTCCCAGCGCGACTATCATGCTTGGGTGTTCTACCACCCAATTTCTCCATCAGCCGTCTTGCCGCTGGCGTCATATTGCCCGCAGCAGTGGCCGGTGTCTTCAAATATCCGGGGGTTGAGGCCCCGAAGGCAAGCGTAGATCCCCTCGTGTCGCGTTCCTTGTCGCGTGCTTTCTTCGCCTGCTTCTCCACCATGCGAAGGTGCAGGTCCTCGCGTTTGCGTATCTCGTTGATCTTGAAGGGGTTTGCTGTTCCATCGCCGACCTGTCCAGCGAGGAGGTCACGGTAGCTCGGCTTATTTTCTGCTGGTGCAGCTGCTATGTTCTCAGGCTCATCTTCGTCAACAAATGCATAGCCGTTAACGCGCGGCGTTTCACTGCCGTCGTACTCTGTTGCCGTGGAATTAGGAGGTCCTCGTCTGGCTTGGTTCGCGTCACGACGAGTGATAATGTCTGTGTTGAGTGAGGGTGATGGAGGGACCGCACCGGGGTCTTCCAAATGTGGTAAAGGAGGAAATCTCGTGTTCGAGTAGACAACTTGCTTCGGCCCGGCTTTAGAACTCTGTTCTTTGACTTCTTGCACCGTGTGAATCCCGTCTTGGTCAACCGAGCTTGCATTAAACATAAAACTATTGTCTGGTCTCTTGATATTCCACGTATCAGGCTTTGCTGGTCTAGAGTCCGTCGCACCACTGGTCAAAGCGATAAGAGATTTCCCAACCGCCTCGTCTTCTTCCTTCTGCTTAATCAACTTGGCTTCACGAGCACGGTGAGCAAGCTGCCTCGCTGAAGGAATCCGCTGGTCTTGGGTCCAGAGGTGAGCGTTCTTGGTCCGAGTTTTCTCATTGTGCTTGGCCAATACCGTATTGAAGGACTCGTTGTCCTCAGATGTATATTTTGCCTGGAATGCGCCTAAGGAGAGCCTCGATGTGTCCAGTCCTTTTGCTCCTCGAGTTGATGTTTGCTTTGTAACGGATCCTGCTGCAGAAATTGGTGTTTCGGCTCCAGTGTGCCCCAATGGTGTCTCGGAGGCCCAGCTGCCTGATGAGCGCTGAGGGGTTGCCGATTCCACATCATCATTGAACCTTGTATTGTGTGCTTGTCGTCTCTTCGATGGCCGCGGAGTGGCGGCTTCTCTCAATTTCCGGCCAGCCTCTGCGATCCATGTATCGTCCCGCGAATCGAGCGCGGCAAGATATTCATGTTGAGCCTCGATCTCATAGAGGCCAGGAAAGTAGTCTCGCGTTATGATTTCAGATAAGGCGGCCGTGTACTCGTCTTCTTCGAGGACAATATTAGGACGTTTGATACGTTTGAGGGGTGGGGGTGGCATGAGGGTTACATCGTTGGGGATACGCTTTACCAGCGCTCGAGCAGATGAATCCGCCATTACCGGCACCCTCTAGAGGGAGGAGCATCGAAAGACTTGAGATGGGTTAATGAGTTTGGTGCACTTGGAGAGACAATTCAGATCATCAAATGAAATGGAAAAGTTACTGACTCGGGTCGCAGATCTAGCTGCCTCTACATGACTAGTAACAATAAACTCCTCCCGCCGCTTTAAGCGTGCTAAGTTTCCCGCTTTTGTCTTCCCCCTCAAGAATGCAGCCTCGCGACGACAACGGCTGACAAAGCCTGTTGCCCAAACAAACAACTATGAGGCTTTGAAATAACAAGGAGACCAGAGCACAAGGCCACCCAAATATCGCACGACTGGTTCATCGAAACAATTCATGAGAAAGGTACTATCGATTGCACATTATGGCGAGCTCGATGTTGTTCCTTCAAAAGTGAAAATGGCGCTATTCCCCTGGCACAATTCTTGAAGTAAACAGATCTCTTTGTGCTTTCACTATCTAAACAGCGCATGCTGGGGTATCTCGCTATCATTTTGTAGAGTAAGTTTTTCTCTGCCAATCTAGCCGATATCTCCAAGCAGATCTTGCAGCCTGAATTTTCTAGCATCCTTTGCTCCTCATTTCATCATGACGGCCAAACCTTGCAAGACTCGGTTCAGAATCTCCATAGCTCCACAAGTTCAATTCCGATGCAATCACTAAGTCATTTACAGCAGATGATATTGCGACTCAGATCTTGGTCTTCTCTGGGCGATGATCGCCGCACTCGGACCATTTCTCGAGACGTCCTAGGATCCTGGCTTGTCAGGCGGCGAAGCTCTTCGCGCCTTCTTGATTTTTGTCTCATTGGTACCGCATACTTTGCAGACCAGGGAGTTTTCTGATTAGCTTTAATGGATTACAACATTGTTTTTATGTGTTGATCTGCTTATGCATTGGACACGCGCTCATACCCTGGATGGTATGCAGTGAAAGACTGGAGTGGGGTGGCTTCTTGCTGATGAAGATTGACCTGAGAGCTTCCTCGGCTACTATCATCGTAGACTTTTCTCATCGGTTCCATCGCGTTCGTTTTCTTGCTTCGAAAAGAGAACGTGGCACGATTCCAGTATTCTCCCAATAAAATCCCGGGATGCCCAATCGTGAGGGCTCCTGTCACGATAACCATCATGACGGAGTCAAAAATGACGAAGGTGAGCTCGTGATTAGCCAAATCGCTATCGTAGCCTCCCATCAACTCAAGCAGACGATATATGCATCGAATTAAAATAGCTACGACGGCAATAGCAAGGACTTAAAGGCCTTGTCAGTAACTTTGAACGTGTTGAACAAGGGGTAAGACTCACCAGCCAAGTACAACTTGAACTTGCGACTGTTGCGGAAGACGGCATATTCGACACTCAACTTTTGAGGATGGCGACGAACGGCCAGCCACAGCTGGAGGCAAACGGCGACAAAGGCCACAGTAGCAGCGACCTGAGTTGCCAGACCTGCAATCATGATGTTCAGACCCATATCGCTCTGGCTTTTGGTATCGGCCATCGAGGATATGGCACCACCGGCAGATTGCAGCAAGAGCGAGACGGTGTCGAATGCAATCCAGGTGATTGTGACCGTTTTGGGCTTCAGCCAGCAGAGACCTTGGCCATAGATTGTGATGATCCGGGACAAACTGAGGTATATAGCTGCTCCATAGAAGGCGGGGCCAATCGTCAGGCCCACGAGGTATATAATAAAGTTGTTCTGCTCGAAGATATCCTGAATCATCATGATACGTCCGACATAACCCACAACCTCAAGAACTGTGCCACCGATCATCGCAGCCATCTAGAAGGTTCTTCCCGTCAGCATGTGAATATTAGGTAGGTATGGTAATGTTCAGAACGGTGTATGTAATGCATCTGAGGTAGGCATGGGCGATTGGGGCTGCTGGATTGGCGCCAGCTTGCAGCTTGCAGCCTCGAACCGATCCACGACATATATCCTTCGGCGGTTTCAAGGCTTGAGATGAAGATGTACAGGCAAACAGTTGAAGGGCAGAAACAAACTCACAAATCCCCATGACTTGTATCGGATTCCGAGATAGATCTGAGCTATCAAAATGAGACCGAAGAAACCGGTTGATGCGTAGTTGAGCCCTGAGTTAGGGATATAATGGAGGGAGCCATATTCTTCCAGACAAGCTGGGTCGATCTTGCATTCAGCCGCAGGGACTGGGAGAACACTGTCGGACATTTCAGAGTTGGGAGTTCTGCAGGCGATAACAGTAGGCAAATGGAAAAGGAACGGTAGCTAAAAGCGAGTGTGCTTGGAGGACTAGAGGGTTGATCTGATAGGTACTGTCAGTCTGGGGAGTGAGAAGTGTTTATGTACGCCGTTCCCAGAATGTCCTGTGGAGGCATTCATTGGAAATTGTCCATCGTACTATTTCTGGCAATATGGTATCAACAGGATGCTCGTGTTGGTTAGTCTGAAACAAGGGAACGTGCGGCCATTGTGGCCAAGTGGAGGTACGTCCGCACAAAAGCACAGCCATGGGACGGGTAAACTCGCATGCTAGAGCGAAGCGATGCCCTGCACAGGGCTGACTTTTGCTGCTATGGCTGCTAGTCATGAAGCTGTCATAGAGCACCATGATATAGCTGCGGTACGCCGTATCCCGGCTAGGGGCCGCAAGAGATCTTCTGTTACCTGGCACACCACCGCCAATGCAAAAATGGTGGCCTTTATGCAAGGATTCCCAAGTTTCAATGAGATCAGCGAGGGTGGGCTGGCTACCTGCAAATGAAGCATGGCTTGCTACCTTGGTAGGGCCGCTTTGAGCCGCAAACAGCTCCTGATCTCGGCTTTAGGTATTGGCCACGATTACTTAAGAAGTCAGAGGTGGGTCTCGCAAGCTTAACCTCCATTAGGCTCCGAACCCGATCCCGAAAGAGAACGAATCATAATAGTGGAATCGCAAATTGCTGGTGTCAAGCAAACAAGGCTGGGATCTTAATTTCGGCCCCAATGAAAGGATATCTCGCATTGATAACCCTCCTCATGAAACTCGTTCGGTCAATGTGTGCAACCCATGGACTCCTGAGCCCTGAACAATAGGCCAAACCATATTCTGTATCCGAGTTTGGGCGAGTCCTGAGATAATTGCCAATGTTTCAGAGACCAACACTATAGCTTCACCCCAGGCGCAGGTTTATAGAGGATGAACGGCATTTAGCATCGCCGTAGGGGGCGAAGTTCAAGCCACGAAGAATTGCTGTCCGAACACACCAATTGCGATTTTGCTACAAAGTGCGCCAGACACCCCCATCATCTCCACAGGGTTGTTGGGATCCGCTTGGAACGCCTAAATCCCGCTCAATGGGCGCCTGATCCAAGCATCGCCTCAATGTGGTGGCCAAGCTCGTCAACATTCGCGTGGTGCTTGTGATCGAGTGCCGGACGATTTATCATGCATGAATCGAGTATTTTAGAAGGAGGAAACATGAATGAGCGACTAGGCTGGCCCTTGAAGCATGGCCCATCATTTTGGCGAGCTTCCCGTCCACATCCAGACAACTACTCACGAGTGTTGGCGCTCAAAGCTACGATCGCATTTGGTCCCGGAATTGTCTTGTGAAAAATCACTTTCCTCTGGGGTCGCTATCTACAGCACGAAGTACAGAGTATGTATTACTTAAGGCAAAATCTGGTGATACGAACCAAGCTAGACATCTCAGCCTATCCCTCCGTGGTACTTCGTATGCATGCTCGCATATCTAACCAGATCTGGGCATCAGCGAGATCTGCACCTGGCCGCTGCTCCGACCGTGCTAGGCACACACTCAAATCACCAGGTCTTAAGTGGTGATGCTTGAAGGCTCCCCAAACCATGGCTCCTGCGAGCTACCCCTTGTCAATTGACCTGGCCCCGATTGCACGTATTGTAAGACAGCGACAGGGCTGTGATAGTCGTCTAACGCGTTGTTGTGCTGTGCAGCCACCAGGAAATGTCCTCTAAGTCTCAGAATCTAATCAGCCAATTCTGTCGAAGAAGCCTGAACCCCTGATTTTCCGTCTCCCCAAGGTTGGACAGGTTGCTGACGAGAGTTTGTTACCTTAGATACCAGGAATACTAGCATTTACAGGTCTTCATTTCTCTGGTTTCCATCGCCGGAGCTCAAGTAATAAGCAGGCCACTATCCAGCAATACCATCGCACTTACTCATGCTGGAGCAAGGAGTACCTAAGTTGCAGTTTTCGCTTATACTCACGCGAAAACCCGGGAAGAGTTTTGCACGAACTGTCCAACAAACTAGATGGTACTGACACTGGTTCGCGCTAACCGAATTCTGTCTTAATCATGGAAGCAAGACTCAAAGACTGAGCCTGCGCAGATATATTGATACACAGCCCAATCTATGCCAGCACAGAAGCTGGTAATGACAGTTTGCTGCAAACCATTGAGAAAACCAAATCCAGAATCGAGTAAACAGACCCGGTGATCACGAATAGAGGCAATGGAGATGAATAGAAGAAGCCGACAGTCTCTAGCTGCACCATTGAAGTTGTCCGCCAGCCATTTTGTATGCGATCAAGCACACTGCGATGCATTGGACTTGGAGCCAGTCCTGCTAGACTGCTCTCGCTCCTGGCCAAAAGTTCGAGGAGCTCCATCGAAGTGCTCCGGCAGGGTACATCTGCAGGTTTCCTGGTTAGGTGGGCTTTAATCAGCTGGGCGTGAGTTGTATCCAGGACAGGAAGTGTCGTCCAATTTTGGGAAACGTGAAAACATCCAAGGTGTCTTTGGCTGGAAATCAAGAACTGCCAACAGCAGGTCGTTCAAGAAAAACAAAATGCTGAGACTCCGCCGAAATTGGAACTCCCAATCACATATTCAAGCGACAAACGTCCCAATTTGAATTATGTTTGACCGCCAAGCCTGAGCCTTGAGGAAGAAGATATTCGGCACCAGACGAACCAGATATAACCCTAGAAAGGCAGCTGGTTCCTAGGTTCGTCTGATCCGCGGTTCAAGCTCATGAATACCGTGCCCGTCTTCAAGTTGAGAAAGCAGATTGCCTAGGTAAAGCCCTTAAAGCCCCTGGGTGCCGCCGCAAAGCTGTTCGACCCGCAACAAGGGGAGGATTTCATCGACTGTGGATACAACAGGCATATTGGAAAACTGCACAATCATCCAACAAACTAGCCGACTAGGTCAGCCTTAAAAATAAAAATCTAACTCAATGGCGATGGATAAACCTCAATCGAGGAAATCGGTTGCAAGCGACACAATTACTTCGAGTGGCTGAATTGCATGACAGCGAAGGGCAACAAGGTATCAAAGGGCTACCACGAGAGATGGTCCTATCGCATAAATGGTAAACAGACATATTTACGGAAGCTGGGTTGATCAACGGCCACCAATGCTATTGGCCCTGATCCGAGACGTTTATCTCTTCGACATTGTGCTCCGAGATGGCCACCATGCACGAGCAAGCACGCTGTCTGGCAAGATGATCAATGGTGGAGTCTGGTAGGAAAGAGTAAACAATGTAGGCGAACCGATATTTCGTGAGTCAGGGAAGTAGGAGGATACTACAAGTAGGAGGAACTTGAGGAGGCGAGCAGCTACCCTCTGTGGTGGCCTCACCCGCCCTTTGCAATCATGCAGCTTATATAAGGCACCGCGACAACACGCTACACGCGATGCTCAACTTGGGATTGTGATTTCGGAACGGTCCTCCGTGCTCCGAAGCGGGTTTTGGGTTATTTCGATTCTGGTGATTCCAACAGCTATTCTCTATATTGACGTGCTAGCGATTTGCCTCACACTAAACCTAATGACCAGAACGGCTGAACCGTCCATCTGGCCTCATCTTATGCTGGAGGGCTAGGAAAGTGGAAGGTAGTATGCGGCAAGACAGTCACAGCACCCGACGCCGGCCTCCTTCTACGACGGCAGATATACCGACGAATTCAGCCATATATGTATGTCCCAGGTTTGTTCAAGTCTCCCCCGGACGAGCCGTGATTTCTTACAGTGTGTAAGTCTTTTTTTTTAAGCGTTGGTGGTTCAGCGGGAGGGGACGGTAGCGGCGTGTCATCAGAGTCTGGCCCAGTCGCTCTACCTTGGCATGCATGGAAAGGCAGCGTATATTGCGAGGAGCTGAGACCAAGACTCTCACTCTTTTGGTATGTCCACTCGAGCCGATGCGCCACGACACGGAACCTAGTGCACAAGAAGGTAAATGCCATATGTCTGCTTGCCCAGTAGGTCCAGGCTATGCTTTACCGAACTGCAACGACAACGAAAGTTCAGCAGCGCCATCACCGCTGCTCAGTCCTCACGGCGAATATGGCACTTTGCAATACCTGTGCCACAACCGCCGGCACGATCAAGACATTCGCCCCCTGTGTGATGGTAAGCTATGCTATTTGTGTTTATACCAACGAAATGGATGCCCGGCATCTGAGCAGAGTACTTGACAACGCCTTCCAGCCAGACGAGAAACTCCCCTTCCCCTCCCCTCGTAATCAGTTTCTTCACCACCCGTATATCATTTCCAGCTCGTCAAAAGGACATGGCGGGCAGAGATGCTATCATCTACATTAACACAACGGACCTTGATCCTCCCTCTCCTAACGCCGAGAAAAACGTGGCGTCAGCGGGCTCGCGCCGCACGCCTGGGTCTCCCGACACTGTCTGCTCGCCGCTAATACACCCTACCCGACGCCCACTGTCAATTAGCGAAGATGAAGATGATCGACTTACGCCTGCAGGAAAAGCACTTTACAAAATCCTTGAAAACCCGACATTTCGATACTGTATCTACATCCTACCCGTCGGCGCCATTCTCGCCATTCCCCTTATCTTATTCGCAACAAAGTACCGCCATGTTACAGCCGAAGGGATGTCCTTGGCGGGCTTGTTTGCCTACATCGAGCTCTTGTGGGTTTCGCTATGGGTTGCCAAGCTCATAGCTGCTGCTCTTCCTGCTCTATTCCAAGGCATATGTGGCATTATCAGCACAGGTATCCGTAAATATGCTTTGGTCCTTCGCGCAGTCGAGATTCCCATGTCGATTTTCATCTGGACTCTACTGGCCCTATGTTGGTTCCCGATCGTTCACGACTTCGACGATGACTTATATCACCGCGAGCATCAAAACATCGAATGGATGACGGTCTTGAACAAAGTCATCAGGGCTTCGATAGGAAGCTCAGCCATCGTCCTAGGGGAGAAGATTCTTATGCAATTGATCAGTGCCAACTACCACAGCCAGCAGTTCAGAGACAAGATCAAAGATATCAAAGCTACCGTGAGAGCTATCGACCTGTTATACGAATCTTCCTTGCGAAAAATCCCAGACCGTTCGGAAGAAACACTAGATGAAGACTATGACATCCACGACACAACCAATGTGCAGCACCTGTTGAAGGAAAATGCCGCAGATCGGTCAACTCGCCGAATATTTGGAGGCCTTCATTTCTTCGGGCAAAAGCTGGTCTCAGCATTAGGATACATGGCCAGTGATCTCACTGGTAGTCATATATTGAGACCAACTGAAACACGTGCTATCGTCGATGCCGCGTTGGAAAGAAAGGCCGGTGCCGAAGCGCTCGCCAGGCGCATCTTCAAGTGTCTCGTCGCCGAAGGCCGAAAAGCCATCTGCCCCAATGTACTTGCGGAGGTCTTTGGCTTTGGGTCGGAGAAAGAGGCGGCTTGGATCTTTGCACAGCTCGATCGTGACGGCAATGGCAGTGTCTCCATTGACGAAATGGTGATGCTTGTCACTGGTATATCACGACAACGCAAAGATATTTGGAAATCCGCGTGCAACATTCGCGACGCCATACGGACACTCGACCGGGTTCTCTCGGTCATCGTCCTGGCCATTGTCATCATGGTCTATACTTCCTTCTTCAGCAATTTTGTTGTCGAGAACCTCAAGACGATCATCACATTACTGTCGGCATCTGCGTTCTCCTTTGGCCAGACCGTTGGCGAGTTTAACGCTGCTTGCATCCAGGTGTTCGTCAAACACCCATTCGACGTCGGGGACAGGATCATCATGAAGGACCAGGAGTTCGAAGTCGTCCGCATCTCCCTCCTGTACACGGTCTTTCGTCGAATCGACACTGACGGGATCGTCCAAGTGGCCAACTCGATTGTCGGCACATTATTCATCGACAACATCTCTCGGTCGCGAGCCATGAAGGAGCGTTATCAATTCTCGGTCGATGCTACAACAGAATTCACCACCCTAGAGCTTCTCAGGGCGGAGCTGGAAGAGTTCGTGCGAGCACCGGAGAACAGTCGTGACTACCAAACCGACGTGGACATCCAGCTCCTGTCGGTGGGCGACCTCAAGCAACTCGACCTCCGAGTCGAAATTAGACACAAGTCCAACTGGGCCGATGACCAACTCCGAATATATAGACGCTCGAAGTTCATGTGTGCGCTTCTCTCGGCCATGAGAAAGGTTCCGATCTATGGACCAGATGGCGGGGGACCTGATCAGGGAACAATCGACGCACCCAACTACACCGTATCGATTGATCATGAGGCTGCAGACGCCGCACGCGCGGCATTCCACCTCAAGCAGGAAGCGAAGAAACACCACCGAGAAACTTCCATTCCCGATCTCCGAAAGACGACCTCCACCGGCCTCGAGATCCTGCCTAGTTTGATGAGAGGCTACCAGTATGAGGAGGAAGGTGCCATCAGCGGTACGGCTGCGTACTTGCGACACGGTACTCGGCACTACCGCGATAATTCCAGTTCGAGGCTGAGTATGCGCCCTGGCTCGAGGCCAGTGTCATTCCTTTCCCGTTGATGGATTTCAATGCTTCCCAGCCACCACCCATATACCTGGTAAGCTTGCGCTCACGTCGAGCCTGCAGCAATGAAATGAATGAACGAACCAAGAAGCTCTCATGACGGAGTGCTACATCCCTACATGGAATTCACCATTCCTGGCAGACACTCCGCCGCACACATTTTCCATGGCTGTACAGAAATGCGGCACGACTCCGAGCAAGAAAGCAGTCAGCATGACTTCACCCATTGGAAAATTGGAACCTCGGCAGGGAGCCAACAACCCGCCCTTTTTCTTTGCAGGGCAGTGTTCTCAGCACATCGGGACTGTGTTACAGCAACTCCTCTAAACACGAGCCATGCACTTGAAAACAGACCAGAATTCCCGCACACCCACCAATGCGGACCACAGAGATTGCTATGAGCACACCCATCGGCCTATAAGCGAAAATCGCTCTTTTAGGGCGGGGCGACGCCCACGAAAATAAGCTTTCGCTGTTGTGGGCGTTTCAAAGGACTCATGCAACTCTACCCTTAACAATGGCAAACCATTGTTACTTCTTCCATATGTATATATATATATATATATTAATAATGAAGGAAATGAATTGGCTTGTGTTGTACATAGAAGGCCAGAAAAGCCTTTCCGCGCATATCTCATGTCCTCTTTTTTCTTTACAAAAGACTCGAAGAATAAATACTTCGAATTTAAAGCATCCGAGAATATAATCCACCCTTGGCTTAACTAGCACCTCAAACCAGATCCTGCCACGGAGGTTGCACGTACAGCAGCAATTTCATCATCACGCAACAATCTTTATCTTTGCGACGCCTCATCAGCAATTTCCAAAACTAGCTACCAACTTATCGAGAGACCATTGTTTACAGAAAAGTCCAGCCTCACTACTTCACCCACGCACACCACCCATGATGGCCTCACGCATCCTCGGCACCCGCGAGATCCCATCGGAATACTGGGACGCCGCACAACTAGTCGGGCGCACACCGTTCATGGCCTCGATGTTTGACGTGCGCGCTCATGCATCTTATTGCATGTACGTCCCCACACAGCACTACGCGCTCCCTAGGGGAGAAGACGCAAGCTACGGGAAAATGCCCCTGATCGTGACGGTGCACGGCAGCGGCCGACGAGCAGAGCGAGCGCGCGAGGCCCTGGTAGAACTTGCAGACCGCACAGGCGCGGCGGTGCTGGCGCCGTTGTTTCCAGCGGGCGTGGGCGGTGATCCGAATGATTCGCATAACTACAAGGGGCTCGCGTACGGCGGGATCCGTTACGATTTGGTGCTGTTGGCGATGCTGGATGAGGTGTCGTCGCGATGGCCCGGGGTGGACATTGAAAAGATTTTTCTAGTCGGCTTCTCCGGCGGCGGGCAGTTCGTACTCAGGTTCTTCTATCTGCATCCGGAGCGGGTGGCAGCGTTGAGCGTTGGGGCACCGGGCGTGGTTACGCAGCTGAATGATGGGCTGGCGTGGCCGAAGGGGATCCAAGGGGTCGAAGAAGTTTTCGGTGGGCTGAAGGTGAATCTCAGTGCGTTGAGGGCTGTTGAGCACGTGCAGTTGATTGTAGGTGGAAATGATATAGAGGAGGTTGGAGGCGGGCTTTTGCGATGGTGGAGAGAAAAGAGTGGAGGATCTGATGCAGTTTCTAGGGCTCTGGGGCCGTCGAAGCTGCCTAATCGAAAAGATGCATTGGAAAGCCTTCATCGAGAGTTTCAAGAGGCAGGAATCCATTCTTCTTTTGTGGTTGTTGATGGTGCTGGACATGAACACATGAAGGTGATTCCAAAGGTCATAGAAGTCCTAGAGCCGCTGTTGAGGCCGCGGGTTTAGGAAGTCTTACCAACTCGTTGGAAAGGGTCTTGACAGGCAAACGAAAAGACCGTCTCAGACCGGGTTTGGAACTGCATTGAAAGGACGAACTTGATGGGAATCAGGTGTAGGACAACGATCGTCAACTTATCGTTGAGTTTTCTCTTCCAAGGACGCAGGTATGAGGTATCGCTAGAATACAAACCAAGAGGGTGCCAAGCAATATGCCAACCACTCAAGTGGAATAAATGGTTGCAATCAACAGAATCAAAGAAGACACCATTGATGTGTACACGAATGACGATCCAAGCCCACCTCAGTATTACTCGTCATCGTCTTCACTGACTACACGGTTCCTCGATGGTGGTGCAGTGCCATTTCGCTCGCTAGTAACCCCATCGTCTTCGTCTTCTTCTTCGTCGTCGTCTTCATCTGCAATCAGTTTAGGCTGTTTCCGTTGTCGTGTAGGCTGTCGTGGTCTGACCTCATCCTCGTCATCATCGTCCTCGACCGGTCTAGTCTCACGCATGTCCTCATCCTTGTCCGCTGCATCGTCTGCGTTGCTGACAGGAGTATCTGCCACAGGCTCGGGGGTTGCAGCGTTACCAAAATCATCATTTTCCGAGTCTGAGTCAACCACCACAGCAGCAGACTTGTACTTGCTGCTCTCTCTTGGCGGCTTCTTCTCTCTGGCGGCGCTCTTTCTCTCCAACTTTCTCCTCTTCTTTCTCGGTTTCTCTGCAGCAGCCGCACCGTCATTGTCCGATCCGGAAATTGGTGTTCTAGAAACGCTACGTTCAGATCGGCCATCCAGTCCATCGCCGTCGTCTTCGATAAACCCGTCCTCATCGTCTCTTTTCTTACGTTTCGAGCCACCTTTCTTGGGTTTCCGCCTCACACGCTCGCCCGTTTCTTCATCGTCTGTGTACTCGAGAGCCTCACGTGCGGCGGCCTCAGCACGTAGGCTCTCAGCGATACGTTCGGTTTCCTCCACGATCTTGCGTCGCTCTTCGGCAATCTTTCGTGCGCGGTCTGCTTCTTCATCTCTTCTTCTCTGGGCCGCTTCTTCACGTTTGTGGAGCTCTTCTTGGCGTCTCTCCTTTGCCTCCTTGAGCTTGGTTGCATTCTCAGTCTCGTAGGTGGCTTGTTTCGCACGGGCTCTTTCGAGTTGATTTCTCATAGTATTTTTACCCATGGCGGCTCGCTGTTCAAGTGCAGACTTAGGGTATGGTGGCTGTTTATGTCTAGCGACTCGCTCAAAGGTCTCGATGGCTTCCTCAAGTCCTGCGATGGCCGTGTCGACATCTTCAAGAGTTCGATCCGTCTCTTTGGCTTGGTTGACATGTTGTGCAATCTGAAACTGGATGAAAGCCACGTTGAATTGCAGATGAGGCGATTCAGGCTGAGTGGCCAAAGCACGTTTCATGTAGTCGAGAGCAGTATTCAGGGCGAGGATTGATCGATCAGCTTTGCCCTTCAATAACTGCGCCCTTGACAGACATGCAAGCAACTGCGCGTTGTCACCTCTTCCTTCAGCTTTCAGTGCCATTTCGTAGTGTTCGATACCACGGGAGTACTGCCGGAGCTCAGTGAACACATGACCGAGATTGGTATGAATGGAAGCATTCCGGACAGTATCTTTCACTTTGGTGAATATTTGTAGCGCATCCGAGTAGGCTTTCTTATCATCGCACAGCGCAATAGCAATGCCTTGGGCAGCGTATGCATTTTTGGAGTCCAACTGAAGCGCTTTGTCAAAGAACTCATATGCCTTTGCGTACATTTTGGTTCGCTTGTCTTTCTCAGCATCGTTGTTTCGCGGCATGTCACGAGCGATTAGCAAATGAACATTGCCCATCCCCGTTAAAGAGTACAAATCATGCTTGTCGTAATTTTGCAGGGTATGCTTGTAATGTCTGTTCTCGGTATCCTCAGCAAGATTACTCGTCTTCTTCTTTGCGCTGTGATGGTACCAACCCATCAGCGCTCGGACTTCTGTATTGGCATGGTTGTTTTGGTAGACTTGATGCACCCTTTTAGGGCCTTCATCGCGTGGGGACTCTTCCAAGGCGATATATGCAAGACGAGCCGAAGCGTCGGTGTAGTCTGGATGCCTAGCAAGCAGGCCCTCATACACTTTCTGAGCCTCACTCACCAGGCCCAAAGCTTCATAAGTCCTTGCCAAGTTGTAGGATATCGTGGTGACAAGGGCATCTGTGTCGCTATTGTCGACATCTTCAGCAGTAATCTTGTCTTCCTCGAGAGCTTTCTTGTCTGCTTCCTGCTTCTCCGTGAGCTTAACGCAGGCATTGAGAGCGATTTGAAATGTTTCGCGTGCATTTGAGAAAGACTCTGCTCCATAGAGGAAGCAGGCGATATTGTTGAGGAGCTGGGGTGGAAGATTTTCGCGAATTAGTGCAATATCCGGTTCTTCAGCTTCAGCCTGCGCGGGTTTGTCCTCGTCCGGAATCTTCTCCAACTGCATGATCTCGACAGTTTGGAGGCATTTCAAACTCTCAACCGAGTTTTCCAATTCATAGAGGCGAGCAAGGTAGAGAAGAACAGACTCATCAGGCTTGGCTCGCGATTTCTCATCACTCCAGCTCTTCCGAACGTTTTCCAGTAGAGAGATCGCTTTCCGAGCCGAAGCGACTTTTTCTTCCTTGGTTGTGGTACTTGGTGCCGAAAAAGTTTCTTCAGCATATATAGCGCCTAGAAGAGTCATCGCCTCCACGTGTCGGTTGAGCTGACCAAGGGATTCGAGACGAAATTTAGCACCTTGAACATCCCCTGTTTGGACCATGATCTGAATGAGGCCAAACTTGGCTGGGAAATAGCCTCGATCTAGGCCACCTCGGGCTTGGTCTGCCCTGTTGTATGCATCGGTTGCCTTAGCTAGATCGCCTTTGTTGTGTTCTTTTCGAGCAAGAAGATACCACCCATCACTAGCAATAGCATTTATGTCCGTTTGCCCGATGGCCTTCCGGGCCAGTGGCTCCATGGTATCGTAACGTCCAGTAAGAAGGAAATAACTGGCAAAAGTGGCACAACTCAGAGGGAAGTTTTTGTCAATGCTATATGCCTTCCTAGTATGCTCGGTCATGGCTTTCTTGTACAACCGATTGAACTCGGGATCCCCAGCGGGATACTTAGCGCTTTCGGCGAGGTAGTACACCCCAAGGAGCGCGTTGGCTACCTTCGACTCTGGGTTAACAGCAAGAGAACGCTCCCAGGCGGCTTGAGCCCTCTCTCGAAATCCCAGCTGCCACAGACAACATCCAATTCCAATTCTAGGATCTGGATCGGTGAGGCCTGGCATTTTTGCGAGAACGTCTTGATATACTTGAAGTGCTTGCGGAAATTGTCTTTGGAGGTATAAAGTCCTCGCTCGACCCATCTTTGCCATTAGATTTCGGCCGTCGGACAGCCTAAGCGCGTCATCGAAGGACTTCAAAGCCTGTTTTAAAGACTCTGCTCTTTCAGCGTCCGCGCCAGCTTTGGTCGAGGATTGTAGGGATGCTCGTAGGAGGGAAAGGACACCTTGGGTGAGGTAAAGAGGAGGGAATGCAGGATTGATGCGAAGGGCTTCATTGATGGTCGAGGTCGCTTCCTTGAGATAGCTGTCCTTCGTTTTCGTGACCGAGGATTGTTGGGCTTCTGGGAGAACACGAGGAGCGTGTCTGCTCTTCAGGAGATCTAGCCATGCAACACATGCGAGCAGACTCAGGCGCTCCTTCGGACCACTTTTTGACAATGACCCAAGACCTTTGTGTAGGATCTCCACTGCGTGGTCAATCTGTGCTTGTTTGGCATAAGCGAGGGAAATTGTGATCCACAGATTCTTTGCGGCTTTCTCATTTTCAAGAAGCTGGCATAACTCGGTAGGATCCTCGAGATCCTCAAGATTGACCTCGACTGCTTCATCGGCTTCAAGACCACCTGACACTGGGATGTCGAGGGCGGCAGGAATATCGGCGAAACGCGTGGAGGGTGTGATGCCTCCTGGGACTCTTGTGCCGCCATTTTTGACGGCTGTTGCTGCCATCTCGAGCCTTGGGAGGTTGGGCTCGACAGTTGCAGAAAGTGGAAGAAAGGTTGAAATTGTTCAAGGCATGGCGGGTCGGCAATTGAGGGAGATCTGGATACAAACAGTCTGGTGAGAGGAGATAAACTTGCTGTGAGATTAGGTGTTCATCACCTTGCACCGAGAGTTGTGCGTAGAGTAAAGGCAGGTTGGAGACGCGCAGTCTTTGACGGTCGACGGGAATGACAGCAACTCCAGCTTCACGACTTAGAATGTCTGCGTCGGGGGAGGAGGGGGAGTTGCATTCGCATTCAAATTATGGTTTATGGCCGCTCCTGCATCCATAAAGTTGTCATCCGCCAAGACCTCCGGATAAACCTCAACCTCCGGGACACGGCTTCGGATTAAAGGTGAACATTCGAACTCAAGAACTCAGATGCTATGACCACTTCTCATAGACTCCTTTAGGGATTTGAATCGTCATTGGCAAACACAGTCATGGGTATCTCGGTGCTAAGGTGCTACACATTACATAAATAAAGCTTGCTGCCGGGTCGAAATATTCTCATACTCAGTATCGTAACCGGTCAATATCGAATACAAGTCGGCTGGATTCCAAGTCAATCTTTAATCGCCCATTTTCGTCCATAGATACATGCTCATCAGTCATCGGAATGGTCTTCTCCGTGTGTTCGACCTCTTGTCGACTAACGCCGGCAGGATCCCGTGGGATCCACAGGCGGGGAGGTTTGGCAATGAATGATGGAGGATAGTAGACATCCTGTTCAATGTCCTCTGGATATTTTGGTTCCGGCAAGTCAGTAGGTACCATTCGTCGGAGTATGGTGTAGTCTGTGTACACCTCCGGATGCAGCCATCTGAGTAGGAAGTTGGATTTCGCACTGGGATCGGGAGACAGCCATCGTCTCCAGAAAGAAGCCAGTGCTCCCAGTCCGACATTGAGTTCTGGCAGACTTGCATTGATCCTCTTCTTCATTGAAACCTTGAAGCCGCCTTTGAGAGTGTCCACGGCGCCATCGAGACCTTCTACTCCCCTACTTGCTCCAACTTCGTGCTGAGCCTCGTGATCTGAGTCGTCGTCGGCTATGTCAGTATTCCTTCTGCGGAAACGTTCAGGATCTTCAACATCACGACCGAGTCCCTGAGCGCTTGCATTTGGCATCAGTGGCTGGTCCTTCTCCGCCGTCAGGCTCTTCGGCAGGCTCCACAGAAGCGGTCCCAGTGCGTTAATTAGGGAATGGTGGACCAAACCCGTTATTACTAATAAAGCTGCCATCAATACAACTGGAAAGAAAGCGCCTTTGAGTGTAAACAGGCCAATAAGACAGACTTCCGAGAAGTAGAGCCCGAGAAGCAACTGCATCAACGCTCGAGGATAGACTAGCCCTCGAGTATCTATCTCGGAGTCGTAGACATAAATGAGGTTGTATCTCCATACGGCATGTACGAAGGCGACGCCGAGAAGAGCAAACCCGAGGATAACTGGTGCAATCAGGGAATACGTGATAGCTGCGCAATAACGGTTAGTATGAATGCAGAGCTTTCCCGCCAAGGTCAAACTTACTGATCACGCCCAGATTGGTATAAACGGGGAAAACGCCTCCCCAGTGGACTTTCTCTAGACGGTGGTATTTCATATATGTCTTCCTAGCATCTTTCGCAAAGCGCTGGAAAACATGGAATTTGAATATGTTGAACATCTGGACCAGGTGGGTGGACCCAATAACGAGACTTTGCAACAGGAAATAATTGAGATAGAAATTGGACGCTTTAGGTAAATTTTGTGACAGCAGGGATTTCGCCAGCGTTGGATCGGAAAGTAGTTGAGAAATTGCGGCGGAGGCTGCTGAGGTCAAAGTCGTGATTAAAAAGACTTGAACCACCTGAAAGGCGAAATATGCGTTTTGTACAAACAGTTCGATCATGGTGAGTGTTGGTATTCCAGCCAACTTGGCAAGGACTGTGTTCACTGTCAGGACCGGCAAAGCGGGGCAGAGGGATCAAATGAGCGACTTACATCTCAAAATTCCAGGCACAATACTCATCAGAAATGACAGTGCTAGTGCCGGAATCACTCCACTTAAGACTCCCTTGATGGACGCAGGGAGATTTCCGATCCAACTTAAAAAGGGGACCTTCTCTGATAGATATTGGATGTTCGAAATGGTACCGACCGCAGCACAAGGTAAGGCCCAGAATATGATCATAGCACAAATAAATGCTTGTATGGAAAATCTTCGTATTATCGTCTGCCACCAAGACATGGACAGCGAGTCCCAGAGAATCTCAAAGGGTCGGACACCAAGGTAGCGCTGTGCCATGTGAAGTGGACGATGGTGAGTCAAGGTCTGGTAAGCATCTTGAGCATCCGTGTGAGTTTCAAATTCCACGAACACGGAAGGCATGAAGTTATTGGTTTTGAATAGTTGCTGATGCCGATGCTGTCGGATCTTGGAATTGAGCTTTTTAATTTGAAGCCGTGACCATTTTATCGTGTCAACACTTCTCAGAGCATTTCCAATTGGTCGATGACGGGGACGTGAGCCATGTGATATCCACTTAGATGCGACTGATCCGGCAACATCTGGCAGAGTTGGCTCGCGAGCATATGTTGATGTGCTCGAGGGTGATTCAGGATTCTCGGTAAACTGTAAGGTTTTCCTGTCTGAACCAGGATATCCCTCTGGAGACTCGAGCTCGAATGGAGGGTGGTGAGGCTTTTCTTCCCCACCTCCTCTCTGCTTTTTGAGCGCTCTTGCCCTAGCAATGTTTGCCATACGGATGAGGGAAAATTCGGCCTTTTCAAGTCGTAAGGCTGTCTGCTCGCGTTCTTTGACCAGCCTGTCCAATTCGTCGCTAGTTTGGGGGATCCAGATCCTTTTGACGGATTTACCTAGCATCCACCGAAGGCGTTCTTCATCGAGATATTGTCGAGGAACATTCATGTACAACACTGTGCGGGAGGATAGCCGATTTGCGTAGAAGTCGGACAGCAGATACGCTTGTCGTAGATTGATGTAGTAGATGCATTCTCGCGACACCATGTATAGGATAAACGCTAGATTCGATGAGCCAATTGCGTTCTCACACGAGTTATTTTAGGCTTACACACCGAAGTAGACCCATGCCAGGGCCGTGTGAGCGTAGAGGCGGTTGGGGTTCACGACATTACCAATAGTCACAGCGTCCAATGCCTGATTCCCTCCACCTCCAGTAATGTGTAATGGGATTAGAATTGGCCACAGCAGTAGGATTCCCACAACACAGATGATGGCTAACACGCGAAGGAAACGAAGAAATAGATAGCCATCCAGAGACGAGTGGTTGAGCACAAATGCATCGGGGACTCGATAGAATGTAGTGTACCAGTTGAACCATCCCGTTGGAAGCGGCGCACTCCTCTCGCTGGCTAGTTGTTAGTCGGATGGCCTCGGGAAGAGCTGATCACCATATTTTCCAGCACAGATTCAGACTTACTGTGGTTCCAGGCTCTTCAATACAGACCTAGGCGCATAAACTCGGTGGCATTTGCGGCGCAAGACAACGAAGATGAGCACACAAATTGCTGTCCAGATCCCAACAGGAATCAATGTAGCAAGCAGACCTGTCACCGATGCTGAGTTCGTTCCAGAGCCTATCCGAGAAACCCCTGGCGCCGTGGAATTATCGCGGGCTGAGCCCACTCGCGGGTCGCTAACGTTCATCGTGGGAAGACATGAAGCTGCCACCCATCCGAGGGACGATATGGCAACTGGAAAGAATTACCTGAGGGAAAGAATAGCAGCTTTATTCGGACATGCACTAAGTACCAAGCAGACGTGGTTACGCAGCCCACCACGCCCAGCGCCGTTGAACGGCGCCCCGGCCCTACAAGGGTCAACCTCCAGGTCACAAATACTCAGTAATTAGTGGACAAGATCATCGTTTGACCTAGGTCCAGACCAGTTCAAGGATAACTGGGCCCTGCAAGGATGGTCCACACAACGAGGCCGTGGTTGCCGTCTAAGCCTGGCAGAGGATCTCCGGGCTGTGGATTAGCTGTGCCGGCGCTTCAACTGCCATTTGGTTGGGACGCTGAGAAGAGTTGATGAGCAGTGGAACGGCATTGGAGAGAGTAGCAAGGTCTTTTGTGGCTTTGGCGAATTGCGGAAGCGGGTGTGTCGAATCGACACCAACTTTGTTGGCTGCCCAGGAAGAGACCAATGCAAGCGAAGATGCACCATTTAACGCCTCGTTCACGTAAAACATTTGGGGACCCGCCTCCTATCTGTCACTAAGTTCAAGGCTCACGACACTTAAGAAGGTATCCCTGTGCCTTTGAGATGTGTCATCGAGACGCCCGTTTCTACATGACCATGTATGCACTTACTTTGTGCATTCAAAGCATCAAATCAGTCTGTGAATCCTTATTGTATCAGCTCTACTAGGATTTAAGGGACTGAGCAGCGAACACTCAATGACATTCGATTTTGCTAAGCGAATAAATCTACAGGGGCCAAAAGATGTCCGAGATGCCCAGAAACCCCTTGTTGATCGGATCAGCCGAAACAGGGATTCTCTGCAAACGATCCCTCAATAGGCAAGCATTCCCTTGTGGAGTAGGAGCTGCTGTCAAGTTTTACTTTGCTTGTTCCACTTGCTGTCCATTATCTGTTCAGTTGCATCACAGGTACTCCGTACGGAGTCCTCCGCACCTGATAAAGAGCCACAAAAGGTCGGAGAGGAGTCGCACATGATCTTCATATGCATCTAACCCCGGTCGATTCGAATACATTCCTTTGTCATCGAAGAGATTGCTGTGGAATATGTCGATACTCGCTGTGAGATCGGCATGAGCAGAGCCTGATGCCCTGTGATTTTGTGACAAACCTCTAGCAACCGACGGCCTGGGCGAGAAGAGTGGGTAATGAAGTCGTGGGTACTCGCCAAAATCACGTCTCTGTGTGCATGAGAGTCGGCAGCACTTCAGTATACGGATGAATCAGTATTATGTATGCAGCAGAGTCAGACTTCCTTGGGGCAAGGGAATTAACACAAGCTAGGACATGAGATTAAATTTGGCAGACTATGGGCGTCGTTCAGCCTAAGATGATTGTTATGGCGAAGACAAACGCCTGATGGTCGCCACTTCGACTGTGAACCTTAGAATGCCGATGCATGAGTGAGTACCTACTCCTTTCTCAAGAGCCAGAGCCTTGGTACTGCGCCAATGCTCAAGGCAACGACACCACATCCTCCTCAGAGTTCAGCTATACCGCACCGTTTCGCATGTATGATCCTTGTACCGAGTACATTGCACTCTCTAGGCATACATCTTCTTAGGAGGTGAGAATTCAGTATTTTCTGCTTTTTAGCGCAACCAACGTTCGCATCTGAAAAGCCATGTTTCTTCCACCATATCACTTCCACATCTACCCACTGCAGAGTCAGAGCTCGCACCAAGTCCTACTACCGTGCTACATTATCTGTAGCATTAAATAGCTGGGGTAATGTTGACGCCGATGTCATACATTCGCACATGCGCAAGCTCCCGGTACATCTCACGGCGAGGTACTAAGATCTCAACTGTGAACAGAGAATCTCGTTGGCTGCACGTACCACCGAAGGCTAGAAATACGTACGGCATAAAGTTTTCCTGTCCCGATGCGAGGAGGTATGTTCATGCGAGGGGCTGAGTCTTCCAGCCAAGCGATTGGTTCGCGGTGCATCCCGCCAGCAAGAGGCAAGAAATCCTAAGCTGAGCCTTGAGCATTTGGCTTTGTGTTTGGTTCAGCCTGGTGAGTTGCTCATAGTTGAATGGACCGATGTTGCATATATATATATATATCCATAGTAAGTACATCGCTACATTACGTGACTGCAACTCTCTCCAGACTTCCACAGCTTTTCTTGCATCACGACCCAAAATACCTTTCGATCTCGAGTCGAAAGAGAAGTCTTCAGCGACAAAGTCAGCACTGTTGCCGATTTCCGCTCATTTGTGGCCACCACGAAGGCAATCTACACCAGTCATTTCAGCGTGCAGAACATGGACACATCACTGGTCAAGCAGGATCGGAAAAAGTTGACGAAGCAGCGACCAGCTAATGCTAGTCACTCGGGTCACTGGTGGTCTCGCAGCGAGAAGAAACCCAGGTCTCAGTCGTCGTTATCGACACTTATAGAGTCATCGTTCACTAGAGATACTCCGTCGGCATGCTCGGCGGCCTCGCTAAGTGGTATGACTTTACACTGCAACGCCTCAACGATGTGCATTCCGTCCACATCAAGGAGGGAAAACGGAAAGCAGCGGGTATCGGCTGAATCCTTTTTCTGATTGTCACGGGAAGCGAGCGCTATTGTCTCTTGCAACGAAAGCATCTGCAGGCGACTTTCTAATGGTTTCACTGGTCAGATTAAGTATGCCGTACTTTCGATTTTGATTGGACTTTGTTTTCTGGATGGAAATCTATGGGATATTCCATCACGCAATATGATGCGTCTTCGAGCTTGTAAAAATCACTTCAATACGTCTACCACCTCTTATGATTCTCCAATTCAATCGCAACGTCCCAATGAGCCCATCTGAAGTTGAAGAGCGCAAGAGAAAGAAGAAAGGACACAAGCGAACCTGAGCTGCTCGAATCCAAACCATCGATTAAGCAGAGACGCACCTACGACTTGTGAGCGCCGAGCACGACCTTATCCGTCTCAAGAGAAGCAGCATCAATGCTATTTCCACTTGTAATGTTCTCATCATCCACATTCAGCCCTCTTATTTCATTCTGTCTCACCACCCGGCCGGTGGGCAACTGGTTCAACTCATCCTCCTCGGCATCAAGATGGCGATGGGTGATCCAGAAGAGACAGCCAGCGACGAATGCAATGACGGCCATACTGGCGTAGTTCCACACCAAAAGAGGATCGGTAGATAGACTTAACAGCGCCTCTCCGATGGCGTTCGCAAGGGCCGTCATGAAGAGCGCAAACGCCTGCACCATGGATCGCATATTCTTGGGCGCCTTGGTGAACGCGTACTCCAGGCTAGTAACGGAGGCGAGGATCTCGCTGATTGCAATCAGGATGTAGACGCCGGTCTGCACCCAGATGGAGATGCTGGCCGCGGGACAATCGCTGCCGTCGGGTAGGCCCTCGCTTGGGAACTTGCCGCATTCATTATGGTTGTAGATATAGTTCTGCACGAGGCAGGCGTACACCATGGCTGCAGCGCCGGTCCAAAATCCCAGTGCGATTTTCTTGATCGGTGTAAATTTGATGCCCCGTTTGCGTAGTGCTGGGTAAATAAATAGATCGCAGATGGGAATAAGGATAATGAGGACAAGTGGGTCGAGATTACTGACGATCTCCGGAGGTACGCCTGTGTGCCGCATAACGTTTGCCTGGGAAGTGAGGTTGTTGTTGATTTGGTTATACGTCACCCAGTAGAGAGGATACCATAGAAAGACGGTACAAGCTTTGAAGCCTCGGCGAACCTCGTCCACCCAGGCATCATCAAACACCATCCAGCTGGGTCGCTTATCAACAGGGATCCGGGAGGGTCGAACATCATCCCAGAAATTTGCACTGCGCATATTTCGTACTGTCTGTACTGGGTTTAGAGACCAACGACCTTTGGTGGCGTAGAGAAGAACCTTCACCGCTGGGCCGAGAACCGAACCTTGGGGGGGTGTCAGGCGATAGTGCTTTTTGAACACGAGTAGGACAATAGGGCAGAAGAGGAACATAATTGTCGGAAGGAGAAATGCAAGGTAGTAACCGATATAGAGCGCCGCATACGCCATTGAGATCTGGCCGACCAAGGCACCGATATTGATGAAGAGATAGAACCAGTTATAGATTCTTGCTGAGGTCTGAGCTGGATCAATAATTACACGTTCACCCTTTTCCGTCGTCTGGACTCGAAGTCTGTCACTGACGATCTGCTCAGCGATGAGGGGTGATATGTTGGGTTTGAAGCCTCCTGTGCCCAAGCCAAAGATGACAATAGCGACAATGAATGCAGCGAAAGCGCCGTTGGAGTTCTCAAGCACTGAGGGAGCGGCTGCCGCAATCAAGACTACATGTCCAACGACAGCACACGCAATGGAAATCATAATCATGTTAAACCTGAGGGCATTAGCGAAAGGGCACATTGAATGATTGCTTCTATTCACCTCCCCAGATAGCTATCTGCCAGATACGCACCCAAAAGTGGAGTAACATAGCACCAAAATGAGAAAAACGTGCTCATTCCAGTAGCAATCTGCTGCCCCTGGCCAAGGGCACCAGGGTTGTTGTTATAGTCCCCGCTAGGGTTAACAGCCTTACCAGTGGGAGTTTGGAGTTTGCGTTGCACAAAGTTCTGGAACAGAATAGCAGTGCCATAGTAAGAAAACCGTTCGCACAGTTCCACAAAGGCGACTGTGTAGACTCGCCATGGAATCTTATCAGGAACGCGCGGTAGACTTTCAAGTTCTTCGTGGGTGGGGAACTCGTCCTCCTGGGCCACATTCAAATCGATGGCAGTCATTTCGATGTTCCTCTCATCGAGAGGTTTCAAAGCTATGGAGAATTCAGCGAATGACTCTGAGGAGCGATGGTGTCTAAAAGATCGATGTCTGAATGTCGAGACTGATAAATCGGATTCACCGGGGCTACCAAGAGATTGGGGCTACCTTTATATCCTTTGCGAAGAACCATGTACTTCGTGCCCGTGGAGCGCAGCCAGGCAAGCGGCCGTGGCAAGGCCATTATCATGGTATCAATGACGTATTAACGGTTTCTGATTTGATATTGGATTCATGGTAGGAGGAATTATCCAGGGGGGCACAATCGTGAGCATACAAAGAAATTGCTCAATCCGCAATGGCGAATCCCTTAACGCAAGCGCGAACAGACCGCAAGACGTGGTTACAGGCCGTGACAAAGCCCGATTTTCAACATGATGGCGGGGTCAGTCAATGCATACATTGAGAGAATCCTATCGTACGCAAGAGATGGGAGACTTGACACGAATGATCAGGCAGATGAGATGTCGGAAACGGAGGGATTAAAGATAGTCCGTTCCGGTCATGCTTCGGCCACTGATAAGGCTGGAGCTGAGCGAGTTTCTGGAAAGGTAGGCCAAGATGAATAAGGATTAACCGATTGGACTATCTATCGATGACGAGATATTTTGTACAGGTCTAGTGCCTTCCAACAGTGCTAAACTCATGAGAAAAAAGGTCTCAAACAAAGTTTTTGGGAAGCGCTTTGGTGCATGTTACTACAGTCAACTCCCCGTCAGCTGCCCGCTGTTTGGGATCCCGGACCCGGACGATCCTACTGCCTCAAATTAATTGACATCACTGCAGCCGCTGGTCAAGTGCATGTACTTGACCGCATTCACGTACCCCAGGTCGTAGCGAAGTGTTGCGCAGAGGACATTGTGACCTTGAAGAAAGGAACAACGTCCAGTCAAGCCAACGCATGAGATGCCTGTGAGCTATCAACTAGCTTGATGTGGTTCACACGCCCCGTCAATGGCTCTGGACCGATTCAATGGCGATCGAAATTGTCGGTTTGATGTATGTACTCTTGGCTTGAACCACAAATACGTTGTGATCATGGCGAGCTTCCTTAAGTATCCTCATCTTCTGAAGAGTCCCCAATTTCCCCGTTCATAACCTTTTTCCATTCCTCCATCATATTTTTCATTCCGCCAGGGGCCATACTGGCATCGACAACCTCTCTTGGTAATTTGTGTGCACTGTACTTGGTGGATGCAAATTGATATGCCTCGGGATCATCTCGCTGCACCAATCTGAACTCTGGATCAAAAATTGTGTCTTCCTCTGGTTCTGGTGTCCGTAGTATCTCCAGCCAGGAAAACAACAAGGGGTCTGTCCTCGGAGCCCATGGATTGATGTCAATGAGCCACACTCTCTCGTGAGGAGGCGGTATATAGACATCAAAGACGAAGTTGTCTTCAGGAAAGCCTGCGAGTTTTTCCAGAAACTCAATGATCCTAATTTTGAAGGATTGCCTGAGTTCGAAGAGAAACTCGAAATAATTCATCTCACGTTGACTGATGGCAATCAGCTGTTTGTTGCGGACAAAACATCGAAATTCTAGCGCAGGATTGAGGTTGAATGATTTTCGTAGAACTAGATTATATGGAACTTCAGCCTGATCCACACAGCCATCGAACGCTTGTTCAAGATCATGGGTAATGAAATCACTGGATTTGAGCAACAGGTACACATCATTGGGTGTGCGGCACTCCATATCGTTGGTCGCCGAGATCCATGTAGCATCTTTTGGTGCGGACCAGTTTAACTTGGGAACCACTTTGCCACCAAGGGTTTCAATAGCCTGGCGAATAGATTCGTGAACCCCAGGCCACTGATCAGAGGGATCATTGTTCTCGTTGTCCTCGTCCTCATCTTCGTCTTCATATCCACTATCGTCGGGACTAGTTTCTGGAGGTAAGACAATGCCATCGGCACGGAGATAGTCAAGGAAAGGTTGTGTGAGCGGAACAAGTCTCGCTTTGGGTGTCATAGATCTGAATCGAGGATGCCACGAGTGGAACGAGCAACTCAAGATATGTGACGCCGTTATAGGTGGAAATGGGAGAACTTTCGGAGTACTGTTATATGATTCAGCCATTATGAGGTGTTGGATTCTGGGTATGTGTTCATGATGGAGAGATCATGCTTTGTCCAACGCAAGTTATACGACCTTCAATGCGGAAGGACCGTTAGTTGAGTCATCAACTGTGAATGCCTTGGCAGGGGAATCGAGGCCGGCACGTGTTTCAGTCAGCCTTGAGAAGCTTCTGGAGCCTCGTAGAGCCCATGGCAACCGGCCATGGAGACATGAATTAGTCCATTAACTTCAAGAAGCACATAAGGGAGTGGTACATGAATGTCTCGATACCTTGATCGTCCCGAGTCTTGACCAAGGTTTGTATGATGACTATCGGACTGGTGAAACATGTGCCACCACTGTTGCCATTGGCCTTCGTTTGGTTTTTCCATAGGTCTTGAGGACGGAGAGCCAACAATAATTATATCACGAAAATTCCATCCGCGCTGCAAGCATCCGCCTCCTTGCCTTATTCCCTCTCTATCTCAAATTGAAAGCTTAAAACTTTAGGACTATGCCCCTCATTAACTTCTATCGTGCAGTTCGCGAATATGCGCGCGATGATCGCAACGCATATAACGCCACTACACAGAAGTTGCTCTTGCGGATAGCCGCACGTTCGGTTGGACATGGGACCTTGGTTTCACTGCGTTTGGTGGACCACCCATTCACTTTCAAATAGAACATCAGAGATTCGTGGCAGGCCGAAGCGGAAAAACTCCATGGATCGACGAGCGGGTAGTATGTACCAGGTCACTGATTAATTGCATGTTACTGATTCACGCCTAAGTATCAAGAACTATTTGCAATATGCTAAGCTCTGCCCGGCCCAGGTTGCACTAAGATGCTATTCTGTATCTCTTTCATCCATGCCGGCCTAATACCAGCGATTGTAGCCTTTTTATTATGGAGGTGGGTTGATGAACAGACAAGAAGCAATATATCTCTGTGCTAATACGAGCGGCAAGTCTGCCTGGTGCTCTTGGGATGTACGCGTTATCGATAGGAGTCCAACATATCAATAACCGGCTTCCAAACATTGAATATGCGTTGCTCTCCGGCTTGAACGCATCGACAGTGGGAATCGTTGCTCTTGCAGCAGTTCAAGTAAGCTTACTGGGTTTTCATTCTGCCAGAATACCCGAGCTGACTTCCTTTAGCTTGCAGAGAAAGCTATTAAAGACACGCTAACCAGAGTCTTGGTCATCACTGGACCGTGGGCCGGGCTGTGCTATACTCCATTGTGGTACCTTCCAGTCCTGATACTCACTGGTGGAATAGTGACCAGTGTCTGCGACTTGTGGCTTCAGCAGCAGGTTGGCAAGGTAAAAGTAAAATGGGTGAGAAGGCGCAGAGGCGCTTCTGATATACTAGACCTCGGCGAGGCGGATGCTCCACGACCTGTTGAGCTTACGGAACGCAATGGAGGCGAGCGCGAAGGACCCGGTCTGCAGAGACGAAACATCGGGTAGGATAGCCAAATCTCGAGGATAGCCAAATCTCGAGGATAGCCAAATCTCGAGGATAGCCAAATCTCGAGGATAGCCAAATCTCGAGGATAGCCAAATCTCGCAAGTAAGCCCGAAAAATGGGCAAATACCGACGATGCAAGCTCATGAAAATGTTAACGAGACGGATACTCAGTCACATGCTGTCAAGGTCTTGGCAGGCGTTTACATTATTATTGCATTTTTCGGTACGACATATCTCTATCCCCCGTGGACTGTGCTGACGAAATCTAGCCTCGTTTATTGCGATTCTCGTTGCCCGTGGCCTCCTCAATGATACTCCACGGGCGTTGGATCTCTTCACCAACATGTACCTAGCTGGGACCATTATCTTTGGGGGAGGCCCTGTCGTCATTCCGCTTCTCCGTGAGTACGTTTTGCAACCAGGCTGGGTTACACCTCGTGATTTCCTTATCGGACTTGCCACCATCCAGACTTTCCCAGGACCGAATTTCAACTTTGCCGTATATCTTGGTGCTCTTTCCCTGCTCGGGACAGGACATCATACTTTCCTCGGGGCCTTCATAGTATATATCGCCATTTTTATCCCCGGAATCACTCGCGCGGTTGGGTTTCAGAGCACCTGGGCTATAGTAAGGACAAAGCGACTCGTCACCAGCTTGTTGAGAGGCATCAATGCAACGGCAGTCGGATTAGTCTTCACAGCTGTCTACTGACTCTGGCAGATCGGTTATTTGACTCCTGACACGAACGACGGGAAAGGCCTTGCTGAAGATCCATGGTGGGTTGTCGTTGCGGTGGTTATATATGTGGAAAGTGCTTGGTTCAAAGTTCCCGCACCCTTTGCTATTATCATTGGAAGCATTCTGGGTCTTTGTTGGTTTGGAGTCGTTGGCTAATTGACGCCCTTCTCCCGGGTACAACGGTGGTGGGATACATCTTGAAGGTCTCCTCTTCTGGAAAAAGACACTACTATCGTGTCGACCTAAGCCGAAGTCTTTGGAAAACCTAAGAACAAGCCTTACTTGAAGGTCAGAGACCAAGGCACTTGTCGTGTCCCACGTCTCACTGACTGAGGCAGCACGTCTTGCATAGTTGAGGGCACAGATACGCGATGACATCCATTCCCTTAAGTTAATTCGAGATACTTACGATGGTATGCATGACTAGTTGGCTATATCTTATGTTGCTGGCGACTGACTTTTTGTCATTGTTGATATATCATTTAATATAGAGGAAGATGAGATATCTGTGCTCCCCATTTCTAGCGAAGTCACGTGGTTTGACGCAATGCCAAGGCCAGTGTACCGCCTGCGCAGCAACTCTTTTTTTTCTTCCTCCCAACCCACCTCCCCACCAATGACTCTTCTCGCTGCTCCACACCGACCGATTGAACGCAAAGGAAGAATTTTGTGCAAAAGCCCTTTCAGCTATTCCTTTTACATCCAACAAGAGTCGAGGACGTACAAGTTCTTCCCACTCCTGCTGCTCCCTGAAGGGCGTTCAGTCTATCGCGTTCATGTGCTTCCCAAGCATCTTTACTTCTCAGGTAAAGCTCTCCCGTGCTAATTCTCCACTGATAAGGACCTGCTACTTGCGTGACAGCAGCAAACATGTCATGGGAGTTTTTTGAATCTGTATGCTAACTTTTGACCTTGTAGGATTACATTAGTGGTATTCTCTAACCCTTCCTCGGCCATGAATCCATCTTGACTGTTGTGCCAGATCATTTGTGGAAAGCCCAAGCAAACTAGTGGTCACCCCATTCCAAACCGTCACAATCATATAAAAATGCTTTTCCGAGCCTTGACTAAGTCGGCCCCGAGCTTCAAGAGCCTCTCGACCCTGCAGTCCCGGACGCTGGCAACAGTCTCCAATACTACACCTCGCCAGCAACACATTCCAGTGCAAAAAACCCTCCAATCGTCTCCTCTTACCCACGAAAGAGCGACTTTTACAATCCGAAATGGCCCCATCTTCCATGGTACCTCGTTCGGGGCTCGAAGCAACATTTCAGGCGAAGCCGTGTTCACAACTTCGCTGGTGGGATATCCTGAGTCACTCACCGACCCTTCGTATCGTGGTCAGATCTTGGTCTTCACCCAGCCCCTAATTGGGAACTACGGTGTCCCGTCCAACGCACGAGACGAACACGGGCTCTTCAAGTACTTCGAAAGCCCTAACATTCAAGCTGTGGGTGTGGTCGTGGCAGACGTCGCAGAGAAATACTCTCACTGGACTGCTGTCGAAAGCTTGAGTGAATGGTGTGCTAGGGAAGGTGTACCAGCCATCACCGGTGTCGACACTCGAGCGATTGTCACTTACTTGCGAGAGCAAGGATCGAGTCTCGCCAGGATCACCATCGGTGAGGAGTACGATCAGGATGAAGACGAGGCATTTGTCGATCCTGAGCAGATTAACCTCGTCCGCAAAGTGAGCACCAAGGCACCGTTCCACGTCAGTGCACCGTCTCCCACTGCTCACGTTGCTGTCATCGACTGTGGAGTGAAGGAGAATATTCTGCGTAGTTTGGTTAGCCGAGGGGCTAGTGTTACTTGTTTCCCCTTTGATTATCCGATCCACAAGGTGGCCCATCACTTTGATGGTGTCTTCATTTCCAATGGACCTGGAGATCCAACCCACTGCCAAGACACTGTCTATCATCTTCGAAAGTTGATGGAGGGTTCTCAGATTCCTATCTTTGGTATCTGTCTCGGGCATCAGTTGTTGGCGCTTGCCGCTGGAGGTAGAACCGTGAAGCTCAAGTACGGAAATCGGGCTCACAATATTCCTGCCCTGGATCTTACAACTGGCAAATGCCACATCACCAGCCAGAACCATGGATACGCCGTGGATGCTGCGACACTACCGAGCGACTGGAAGCCATACTTTATCAATCTGAACGATAACTCGAATGAAGGTAAGTCACTGTTATGTCTGTCTTATATTACAGCCGCACTTACGATTTCTAGGACTAATCCACGCGACTCGACCAATTTTCTCGACACAGTTCCACCCCGAGGCGAAAGGTGGACCGCTTGACTCCTCGTATCTATTTGACATGTATCTAGGCAACGTTCACAAGTACCGACAGAGCCAGTCGGTGTATGAACCACACCGAGACAGTAAGCCAAGCCCCTTGCTTGTGGACCTGTTGTCCAAGGAACGAGTTGGCGTCGATCTCACCCAAGGCATTCGAAATATGATGTCTGCCGCAGCGCGTGTGGAAGAGCCAGAACGAGTCTACGCGGCAGGTGCGGCTTGATAGTAACTTTGAGAACCACTAGTGACCCTATTGTTATGTTTTTGGAATATTGGCGTTGCGGTGATGAAAGGTTCTGATTGAAAGTAAATGCCTACGCCTTGACTTTCTTTTGATATAGGTCCTGCAGAGAATATAATTTCTAGGACCTTAATCTTCGACCATGCTGTGTTGTAAACCAACATAAAACTAAGCTCAGTAACGCCAGCCCTGGATCCCTAGTCATTGCACTAGTCATTGCACATACAACCTCGTCATAGTGGTACATCCCAAGAAAACGCCGTTAATAGTAAGGCCCGCTCACTCCGTCCCGATCTCAATGCCATGTCCAAAGAAATAGAGTGGAAAACACGCCCGTCCACAACCGGAATGTGCCAACCTACACGTGCCCATCCTTCACTCATCACCTATCACTCGACGTACTCGAAGAACCATCTGAATAATGCTTGATGGCCTCAGCTGAATACCGCGCCTGGAACAATGTATTGAGCTGCTGAGCGCGCTGTCTTCGGATCTTGGGGAACCGGTAAAAACCGAAGCCGTAGGCATTGCCGCCCGTGCCGTAGCCCCTGGTGACTTGGGAGGTTTCCAGCATGGTCTTAATCCAAAGCATCATGCTGGTGTCGTCCTCTAGCACGCGGCTGGCGAGGCCTAGTGGGAAGAGCCAGAAAAGAGCCGAGTCGCGGCTGTTCCTGATGTGGGTCAACTGGTATTCAAACGCGCGGCAGATTTCGATGGCGGGCTGCGTAAGTGACTCGACGTCGCCGGGAAGGGCCAGTGGAGTCGTTGGGGCGGGGACTGGTGAGGGTGGGAGATCGTCCGGTGGCGTCAGCGTCCAGAGTAGGGCCAGGAGGCACAGCAGGACCGCGTTGTAGAGAGACAGTTCCGTGGCCTGGGAACAAGAACTGAAGACCAGAAAGCTCCGAATGGGCCGAAAATGGGCGAGGACGTAGTCTTCAGGAAGCATCTCAGGCTCGGCCTCCCAGACCATGTTCACGTTCGATGCCTCCCATCTCCACCTCCACTGAGAAATTCGCTCGATCTGAAATTCAATCCGACGGACAAGATCACTCTTGAGCTTTGCCGACTGGGCCTGCTCGAGTTGGTCCTGGTCCTGCAAGAACCCGGGAAGATGCACGAGGACGTCCACCAGCTGGTTTTGGAAGCTTTTGTTCGCGGCCCCGATCTCCGCCCACGGCTCCGTCAGCCATATCGATTGTTCTAGGAAGGTTCTGGTTTTGGTGATTAGGGCAACGGTGATCTGCAAGGTTTGTTGGTTAGTGTGGTGCTCCCGCTCGTGTTAGGTGCACGGCATAGGGCTTACCAAGGTTGCTCGGCAAGACTCGAAGGCATTTCGAAGAATGCCCTCAGCGAACTTTCGTGGGCCACAGATTTGGATGAGCTTCAGGAGGCCCTGGAGGTGGAAGGCCGCCGCCTGAGGATCGGGAGTCGTCGACTTTCGTGCGTTAGCGAGGAGAATGCACCGGCATTTTAGCGTAGGATAACTTACGGAATGCATGAGGAGGATCATTATTGGAATGATCAATTCTTCGCTGCCCGGCGCCCCCACACTCGACAGCCGCGACGAAAGGGCACGGACTGCCTTGTCATAATGAATCGCTCCGCTTAGTTCTATGTCGGGTTGATGATGATGCTTTCCGAATATGCTCAAAGAAAACGCTCGACATGCCTCCAAGGACAGTGAGTCGACCCTGCCCTCGGCAGACATCTGCAGCCACGGGGTTCCATAGCTGCTCCACACAAAATTGTCAAACAGATACGCAAATTGGATGTCGTTTTTGAAGGCGACTAGACTCATATCCGAAGGCACAAAGCCACGTGGATTATCGTTGGAACCAAGGACGACCGACGTCGGAACTCTGGGATTACTGGACAGGCGTGGCTCCTTGGTAGTTTTTGCCGATCCAGACGGAGTCGTTTCGGCCTCGTTTGAGAAAGAATGGAATCGCAGTTCGAGCTTCCTCTCGTATCCCGCGCATGAATACCCGGCCTTCTCACAACGCTTGCAGGTTGGTCTTGACTCATCTAGTAAGCACCGACCGTGAGCCATTGGTCCACGGCATCCCTGTTTCTGATGGATCGAGATTGGACTCACCACACTTGACCCGTCTCTTCAGACATGTATGACAGCCTTTGCTTCGACCAGGTACACCGACCATGATTGTGGATAGCGTAATATAGTGTAATCTGCGAGATGCGTGTCGGCCATTCCTCCCCCAAATGGGAGGTGCAAACACTTTATATTATGCGGCCAGCTCTCTCCTGGTTGCTTAGCCTTCCTCACTTTTTGTCATGATGTTGGAGTACCTCGTCCCTGAGAAACAGCCGCCATGTGGAGTGAATCTATATGGGAGCCCGGCAGTATAGGCTTCTGGTACGAGGTACATTTGAGGAAGCGGCCCCAGGGACTGAATTCACGATAGAGCCTGTGGTTGGATCTTCGAGCTTTGGAATCACGTCGACATCTCACGGCTAAGTGGCTGAACCAATTCAAGCAGGTACATCGGCTGGTCCGGCCACGGATGATGGGCCATTGAGGATAGAGCCTGGGCCGGTGTGACTGAAGATGAAGTCACTTTGTGGATCTTGATAATGGATCAAGCTGAAGCCAGGTTGGGCGTAGCGGGGGTCTGGAGACATGGTACATTGTGGCCATGTCGTCCAGTTGACTCAGATATCGCCAGCTGACTGATTGCGCCTCGTTCAAGGGTTCCCAATAAGGGATGGTGGAGCTTGGCATTCTCGCAGTGCCCGTTAGCAACGCACAGCTGGGCCAACTAACAGCTCGACTGCATTAGATGCCAAATATTCGAAGCTCAATCAAATCCCCTTTTCAACCATGGTCAACCGTTATGATGTGCATGAGCTAAGCGTACTATCTACGCTATACACTCGATCCGGTGACAAATCTCCCACCGTCCCGCGTAAGGCTGCGGTGTCATCAACAACTGCCCGATTGAACCACGTTCCCATCCTCAAAAGTTGGGAGTTATGAGCTTATAACTTTGTTCGGCCTTTGACCAGGGCTTTCGCGACGGGTTGTTTTAGCATGCCAGGCGCTGAACACTTAATTGCTGACTAAAGGAGATCCAGCGATGCATACGAGCAACTACTGGGTATCTCGCTGAAACGGGGCTGCCCTTGGGTTACAGAAACACTACACTTACCCAATTGGGCATTTGATGCCTCATGTTAGTAGTGGCGGCCCATTAACAGCACAGAACTCTCCTCTTTTTGGTAGGCACAGCTCTGCGGCCCATTTCTATAGTTGTGCCCTTTGAGTATATGATCTCCTCAGATACCCCTGGCTAAGCAATCGCCTCCTGGGACATGATGCTGCGATGGGTTTCAACCCGCGAGATTGGGGCGGCACACCCGGCATCGCACTGGACGTTGTCATGTTTAATCTTGCCCTTGTGCACTGGGACGACATGCATTGAAACAATCTCAATTACAGACAGGCACTGCTTTACGAGGTACTGCGTATAAGAACGAACAGAAGTCTGGTGTCGGGGATGGCTATCGTCAGCTCGCCTCCGCAACTGTATTCACGTCATTTCGAAATCATAGACGCTATTTTCATTATCCTTTGCATTCGGTACCTTCTTTCACCCTTTTGATAAAGGACCTTGTTCTTGGAATTTAGCAGTCATGCACATGGGTCGATCTTTCGGCATGGGCGCCGCCGTAGCCTGTGGTTTGAACTCAGTGCCGGGCTCCTGTGTCTGCCCAACAGCGAACTCCTCATCTCTCACCCAGGCATACTATCCGCCACAGGCAGTGTGCACCGAATTTTATGTTCCAGTCACCTTCGAAGCCGAGAATGTGATCTTCAACTTCCCGAAGTGGGATGATGATTATGCATTGGAAGATTTCCTTGCTGTGGCGACCACAAGAGCATCCGCCAACCTTGGAAGTATCGCCGCAGGCACAAAGAAAGAAACAGTGACGAGAGAGATAGCCGCTTCGTTTTGCACGCCCAAGAATCTCAATGGCAAAGAAAAGACTGTTATACTCGCCACACACGGGATCGGACAAGCCCGAAGCCACTGGTAAGAGATATGCCATGCCCATATGGGTCGGGATCTTGTGAAGGCTAACAATGGCCGCCAGGAACTCTCCTTATAAGCCTGCGGAGTACAACTTTGTACAACACGCGATAGGACAGGGCTACTCAGTGTTCTTCTATGATCGACTCGGAACTGGAGACTCGGAGAAGTGTGTCAAATCCCGACCAACTGTGCTCACTTTATCAAGATCGATCTAGAACGACGGAAATGGCTAACACTTTCCACGTGCAGGGTCTCCGGATATGAGAATCAACTGGGTACACAAGTCGGTCTACTCAAGGCACTGACCAGCATTGTCAAGTCTGGCGACTACACACCCGGCGTCGGCAAGCCCGGAAAGCTGGTGGTGATGGGCTTCTCATTCGGCTCGTACGTCACGCATGCCGCCATTGGATCCCAACCAGACATCGCAGATGCTGTCGTGCTCACAGCCATCGGTCTTAACACAACTGGAGTCAATGCCAACGGCCTTGTGCGATCTTTTGTGCCTCGAATTGCCTCACAGCAGAACCCTCTGCGCTTTGGTGATCTAGACACTGGATACCTAACATGGGTCGACAAATTCTCTCAGATCAACACGTAAGTTCTTAACCCCCTCGCATTCCTACAGAAAATGGGCGCATCTGTACTAATCAGAGTTCAATGCAAACAGATACTTCAAACGCCCATTCTACGACGAGCCGACCACCGATTTCGCCGAAGCTCAAAAGGAAGCCTTCTCCATTGCCGAGTTCCTCACCATCCTGAATGGAAACGACAACAAGGGCAACCTGGACGCCTGTGGATTCACGGGACCTGTCCTCACCATCACCGGTCTCGACGATTACATTGTATGTGACGGCTTCTGCCCGGGCGTGTACGACGAACCTGCCTCCACTTTCTACAAGAACGCGAAGCCGTTCGTTCCTTACTTGCATCCTAATGCCTCGCATAATTTCAACTTCCACAAAAACGCCACGGGTGCGTACACCGTCATCACGGATTTCTTGACGGCCAACCTGAAATAGAAAGGCTCTTTTGGGATGAGGATACTGCTGTGGCTAATCATGCCTCCATCGAACAGGATAGGGGAGGCTGTAATAGACCTGAACATTGGTAGGTTTTGTGCATAGATCGGGTGGCGTAGATGGCTAGCCAGCCTTGTGGGACAATTGAAACCTTGGAAAAGCTATACTTCCTTTCGGCATGCCTTGAGCCAGCTAGATCTCGACCGAGCTAATTCATTATGCTCGTTCTTGATCGAGGAGCAGCCTTTCCATAGCAAAAGTGCGGAATCCGAGGTTTCACGAAGAACGCATATTAGACGGCAGCATTGAGAATCAGACCACCTATCGCCTAATCTGCAGCGTGGGTGGCTACGTTACTGTAACTTGGGTAGTTGGATCCAAGCGAGGTCGCCGACGAAGCCTGCTCACTCGGGTACAACGAGCTATCAATGACTTAGTACCCTAGTCAGGGCCAGACTCATCGGCCTACCCTTGCTTGCATCTATTTGGGAGAGTCATCGTCCGTTCATGCGCATAACCTAGATATAAGCAATACGTGCAGACCGGAGTATCCACTAGACATGCTTTAGCGAAATACTTCACGAGGACGATGAGGTTATTATCGAAGTTCTTGGTGGACTGCCTAGGATGGAGGAGTTGGAACCTCATACGGCGTACCGAATCCTAGACATGACGCTACGGGCGCCCATCGGCTACGACACACAGTAACTAACCGGCATGCTGGCAGCCGCCTCGGGCTCCTCCCCTTCCCTACGAGTAAGCGAAACCTGGAGGCCTTCATTAGGGCTTGGTGCACTTCGGTTTGATTAACGAGCGGCCGGGGGCTCAGTCGCACCCATAAGGGCAGGTGTGCTTGCCAGGCTTCGCTTAGGCCGATTTCCAGGGGCCACTGGCACTCCTGCTTTCTCAGGAATCTGTAAAACTTTACCCGTAACTAGGCATGGACAGGGAAGCCCGCCCCTAGTAAGATATGTCTCCACCAACTATTCATTATCTCGATGCGATGCGATCGATTCTGGTCCAGGGGCGCAAATAAATCCACAATGATCCACCTGTACTCTGTACTTGACTTCATGTTTATGATTATTCGCCATCCACATTGGCAGCAAAGGAATTGCCAACCTTTGAGGGAGTAGGCAAGAGATGAATATGTCAAGTTAACATTGTACCCAAGCTGATATCTGCCTGCTTGTAAATGCAGCAGGTGGGGTAGAGGGAGCGAGGGAAGGCGCAATCCATCACCGACAGGAGACCAGAAATCGTTGCTCTCCGGACCCAAAATAGGTGCTTCTCACTTGGCTGACGTGCCTCGTTGGTTCCTTGGATAACAGATCTTCATATGGGCTATTTGTACAGGTAGGTGGAATCCCAGAGTAGGAGCTGATCGCTCCGTGAGATAGTAGCAGGACACGAGTAGCTTCAGACATCCACGGGTTTGAAAATGCCCACACGACTCCTTCGCAGTCTGCTTCTATGGTCTCCTGACGTTCTCAGGAGGTAACGCCATCGCGAGGGATACGGGCCAACTGCGCCCCTTGATATTGAGCGGGAACGCACCACTGTGAACGCAACTAATACATCAGGACATGTCTTACCTTAGTGACCAGCTGCCCTGCAAGTGGTGAGTGCCGAACAGAGCTTGCCGACCATGCTGTAGCCGTGGATCAAAACCAGACACAGGTTTCCTACAAACTTGGCCCAGCACAGCAGTTTGTGCGAGACACAAGAGAGAGAAGTCGCATCAACACCACGGGGCTCCTATGGCTTCTTTTTGTAGTCGTTCGAATTCGATGGGGCCGATCAGCAAGGCGCGGGAATTCGAACAAGGGCAGGGATCCAGGAACTAACTTATATATCTCAACGATCAACGTCCGGTACGCGTTGAAGCACTCCGAGATCATCGGCCATGTGCAGAATGCCTGCTATCGCGTGCTTACATGCATTTGAGGTTCATCAGGTGCGAACCTGTGGGACGCAGCAAAAGAAAATGAGCATAAGCATTTTTGGGCCAGAAGTTGTCGATGCCCAACGAGAGTGTACTGGACCACCAAGGAGTTAGCACATATGGATGCGTACAGTGGCGGCGAGATCTGGAGGCTGTATCAGCTTCCTAGAATGTCCTGCGAACCCGCGAAGGGACTGGTCGACATCCGGACAGCCATTAAGCCGCATGACGTGTTGAAGGTCAAGCAAAAGAATATTGTAGGCAAGGGAGAGGGGAATCCACGATGCCTCAGACTTTACTCTTGCTCTACCTCGCACGAGGCGACAGAATATCGGATAGAGGGGATGAGTAGACAAGGGATCGGCATGCTGTTAAGGCCTCGCGATGGATGGTTGACGGCGGCTCGCTTGCTGGCATTACGTCAGTGCTACTGGCAGGGGTTGAACACGTCTGAGAACCGGGGACAACCGGCCAGGGGCAACTTGCGCCTGGGTATTGACATGTATGGTGTGGTTGGGTAGTCAGAACTGAGGACTCAGGACCTACAGCAGTGGACTAGACAGCGGACGCGAGCTCCTGTTGTCTCACGTAAAGTAATGGCTACCAGCTGAGATACTCCACACTCTATATTGGTTTCTTTAGAGCCACCTCTCCGTCATGTTGATCCTCAATTAAGCAGACAGCTTGTAGCTTTGGATAAGGAATACGCTTCTGGCCACAAACTACTCACACCTTACAAAGTTACAACCTCAAGAGAATCAACACTTCCCGGGGAGGGGCAAGGCAAGGCCCGCCGCCGGATGCTTGTATCCACAAGTACTCTGGACTCCGTATATCAACATGCATGTCTTCTGTAGGTGTATAGATTGCCTGCCAGATTACGTGCCTCCTTCCAAAGGGGTGGAGTGGAGTGGCCTCTCGAAAGGCAGGTGCGACGTATGAGGTGCGCTGCTGCATCCCTCGTTGAGGAAAGAGCTGATGGGTGAAAGAACGAGGGTCACGCCAAAAAGGGTTTCTCGCTCTTTCTCCCTCCCTCCCTCTTCATCCCTCTTTCTCGTCATCGGCTACCGGCCACCGTCAACTTCAAGTCAGGTCTGGCTCTGGCAGGCCTTTCTGTGCCCTGTTTGCCATCAAGCATCGTCCAAACGACCACCAGGATAAACACAACCTGCCTCGGACATCTGGAGTTGGAATTGTGCAGGCCAAGGGTGTCACCCTTTGTTCCATCCCTTGGCCCTGCAAGCCATCGCAAGCGAGTCGCCAGATCGGTCAGTGATCGCCAGCCTAAACCTCACGTCAAGATTCGCTTCACGAATCAAGCTGACTCTCTTAGCCAGACCAACAAGACCCAAAATAACATGCCCACAAGTGACGCTTTATCGGAGGTGGACACAGTCATTCCAGAGTCTTGCTCATTCTTCGCTCAACGACACGCACTGAAAAGTGCCTACTGGCTTGCCATCAACCACTAGTTCGGCTTTGCCCTTGCGTCCCGGTTGACCCCCCCAGCCCCTTTCGAGGCTAATGAGGGATTGAATGCACCATCTCCCAACTAACAATCCTCACGAACGTCAACAGGGGTCCATGATGTTGTGCGGCTCCAACATCAACTTCGGATGTCGCTTCTTGCTAGTCAGAGATCGATATGCCTTGTGCTAATCTCATTTTCGAGCCAAGCAGCAAAGACTTCCCCGCAAGTCTTGCAGCCTGTCGGACTCGCAATGCTTTCTGAAGACTGAAACGGCTCCCTCAACGCCGCGACCCCCAGACACGAGGCTGCTGCTCCTGAATCCGTCGCTATGGCCACCTCGGATGCCTGCGCGCGATTTCCTGGCTTCCGTCAGGTCGCCACATTAGGTTACTCGCTGTGAAGTCGAAAAGTCCACTACTACCTGTCAATAACCTTATTTTACTGAGCTAATCGACCCTCTGTGGTCGCGGTGACCTCACCCCCCCAAAAAGACTGCACCGGCGCGACCTGTCACAAAAATACCCCACCTGTTGTTGCTTTCAGGGAAGCCCTTGCTCGACCCAGCCTCTTGAACATGTCCCCATTTGACAGATCTCTTGTATCGCAGGTGCGTATAGTGGTAGAGAAGGAAGCCCGACTATCCATTGCTGTACCGAAGCTGCCCTGGCGGTCTCCCCTGTGAGCCCCGTTCAAACGCTTTGCTCTCGCGTTCCAACGGGAATAAAGCAGGAATGCTCCCCCCTCACGGACCATGTCAAACGAAGCCTTCACATAGTTCTGCTGATCCCTCTGCTTGAACATTGACTCTTTGGAACTTGTCCTTTGGCCCAAATTCTTCCTCCCCTGGCCCCAAAGTACTGGGTATAGCCTTTGTTGGAGTGTACTCTTTTTATACCTATACTCAATCCCCGGCAAGTTCCATATGATGCTTTACTATCGACACGACTGCATTTCAGTCGATCATGTTGGCTCAGTCTAATATGGTCCATGCAAACAAAGCCTTGCCGAGGCTGCCAAAAATATCTGTCGAGAGCCACCGGCCTCTGACTGCTGGTGATGAGGAATCTTGCCCAAGCCCAATAGTGCGCAAATATGACGAAAATCAATTGATGATGCCTCAACACACAGCGTCACGCCTCCCGAATTTCCAACAATCTCGACGGTGGGCGAAGAAATATGGGTCTGATCCTCCTCCGCCGACACCACCACCGAAAAACGAACAGCAACCTGAGCAAAACCCGGTCGCAGAATCAGAGAGTCGCATCCTCTCGAAACGCGAAGAATCATTTGAGCAACAGCGGGCCGAGCTGAGAAGGTTTCCTATTACTCTTCCAAACATTGAAGAGCCCGCGAATGAAATTTTACGGAGCGATAGCAGTCCCATCGTTCAGGAAGCTGGTTTATGTCAGCCTGCAGCGTCAAACTGCTGGAAGAGCGTCAAAGCAACGATATTCATAACACCTCGCGGTCATATGTCCCAGAAGCATGACATCCGGCCTCAGAGTCGACAAGGAACTCCGACCAAAGCCCAGGAAAGAAGGGCCGGCTCCAATAGCAATAGAGTTGCCGTGCCGTCAGTGGCAAGAAGTGGTGCCTTCGCCACGACGTCAATACCAAGACGATGCGTCCCACTGCCCGAGAAACCTTTGAAAGCAGTGTCAACCGCCATTGACAATACTTATACTCAGCACAGTTTTGACACTGAGAAGCAGAATTGGGTCCCCACCAGGGCAGCGGTTTCTCCTGCCCTCTCGCTTCACGGCCCTCAGAACGATATTGAATTTTCGAAGGATTGTATGGACTTCCTCAAAAGCATGGATCACAACCGGGACTGGCTTTCGATACCAACCTCAGGACCGTTGGCCCAAGCCAGCCACAACTTGTTGTCAACTCAGGCAAATCACATTGACCAAGAAGACCCTTACGAGAAGATATCCATGCAAACTGCGCTTGCCTCTGCGCCAGCCACGCCACACTCGAGGAGTCTTGAACCGATACCTGATATAACAATTACCTCTAGCTCAACCCCTAGGGCCCACATGTATGGAGCACAACCACCTGCAGGTCAAACAGTGGGAAGTAGTGGACTGCCTCTTCCCGTGTCGAAGCTGGGAAACAAGTCACCCAAACTCTCTGCCTTTCTCCACAAATCCGCCCACGCAGAAGAAGTACACGCCCCAGGTAACAGGAATGTATTTCCGGGAGAGTCTCTCCTTCGAATGCCTTCATCTGCCTCATCGACCAGCCGCTCCTTCAAAGGCCCAAGGTCAGCAATCAGCACGGACACTCTGGCAAAGATAGAAGCTCAAGTTCGAACCAACCAACTTTCGCACTTTGACAGCAACAGGGGCCATTTCCACATTCACAGGTCATCCGAGCCAACGTCGAACGGGCCTCCGAGTATCCCACCAGAACGACCCTTACCAGCATTGCCGGCAGACGCAATCACAGAGATCCAGCGCCTCTCCAGTGAGAGCTCGCGTGGCTTTTGTCGAACGCCAGTCCATCGAGGCCCCAAAAGGTCCTCCATATCGACAATCCGTATTTTGGGTTTTACTGATCCCGAAGAATTTATCTCACAAGCGGCAGATTTGCCGCAGAAATCTCGCCATGAGAGCTCACATTCTACCTTCACTTTAAACGCCAACATCGTGTCTCCGGCAGGTGGCTCTTCAGCAGCCTCGCTAAAATCTGGAAGTTCTCGAAGCTCCACACGATCATATATGAGGCACAGCGTCTGTGGTCCGCGTGCTGAAAAGGTCAAGGAGAAGCGACTGCGAGACTTAGCATCCTCCAAGTCCGACATGATTGGCTCAACTTCTCCAGACAAAGAACCTCTGACACGGCCAGAATCATTGTCTCACGTCAGGGGAACTATTGCTGTTCGTTCTCTAGTTTCTCGTCCATCTATTGATCAACTTGATCAATTCCCCGATGTTCCGGAGTCGCGACCTACTAGCCTGATCACTCCAACCGCTTCTCGTGGCCACAGCAGGGCACAGAGTCAACTGAAGAATAGTATACATACTCGTCAGCTATCTAAAGCTAGCTCTAACAATCTTCAACCTACCCGTCACCGTCAGATCCTCTCTCAAAGCAACATCTTTATTGTTGTTGACTCAGATCCTGTCACTACTCGTTTCAAGGCCGGAACTATGAGCCCGGCCCCAAGTATCGGTAGTATTCGTAGCCGCAGCGAAAGTCCACATCAGCAGATGAAGCATGGTCGACTTCCGTCGAACTGGAAAGTGGCAACTTCAACCCAGGGTAGTCCCTTGAAGAATCTCAAGAATCGCACTAGCCTCCACAGCATTAAGAGTCTGGCCTCAGCATCGGCAAGGTCAAGTCAAACCGGAATCAAAAAGAATAAGAGACCTTTACGGAGCACCACCAGGAATACCAGCAGCTCGAGCGATGAGTCGCACCAGCGTATAGCCCAATCGATTTCAAACGCTTCCAAGCATAATATGACGCGACCAAAGAAGCGAAGAAGGTGGAACAGTAACGACATAGGTCATGTAAAGACTCTGGAACACGCTCTAGAATTCTATCGATCCACAATTATGAAGCAGGAGGAGAGACTGCGCGATCAAGCATATCAAATTCAGATGATGATCAGAGTCATTGCTCCAATGAATCGTGCCCGGGGAGTGAAAGCCCCATCTGGGTTATCAGATATCAAGGATCACTCGATCGCAGAAGGAATCGGCCATTGCTCTAGTTGCAACATGAATAGGAGACCAAATGGAGCCAGAAATAGCAAAGGTCCCAAAATCAATCCAGGGTATCCGACTTATAATACTGGGAAAGTGACATCAGACTGGTGCCACAAGAGATCCAATAGCACAGATGCCATCAGTACGGCATCTGCAAGTGCGAACGCGACCGATGCTACAAAGGGCTCTACTGATGAAGCCTCGATGACTGATCCATTCGAGTATGACTTCAGTCCAAATGACCCAACCACCAAGTCGGAGAATCTAGCAACCGCCACATTCAGGCCTTCCAAGATCGGTGGCGCCAATGCCCAAAACTCAAGAACAGCGACACGTGAGAAAACCGCGGGTCGTGGAGAAGCACCAACTACAGTCGTCCCACTACACCACCCACCTCCTGTGGCGAAGGTGATCCCACGTGGAAAACTGCCTGAAGAGGTGAGCCTGCTGAGTGTCTCCACTCAAGATTGCGAGCATCGTCACAAGCACACTCTCAGCAAGGACAGCGGTCTGAAGTACCGGACTTTGACTCAGATCGCCCGGAGCAATTCTCGTCGCAACAGTCGGCGGAATCGCAATGGATGCAACGATTCGCTTGACACCGGAATTGAGAATCGGCGTGATATCACGAGGCTTAGTGTCAACCACGTCTTGACTAGTACAGAGCAGATGGATCGTGCCCTAGAGCGGTTTATGGATTTCTGATGCTGTAATAACTGCAGAGCCTCGCAGTCACCCCAGTCAGGGGTAAATAGTCAATGACAGGCTTTGGCAGTCAACGAAGAGGCGGAATTGCCCCCCTTCTGATTGTTTGTAGTAGATACCAACTCAACGATGGGTCTTATATACAAATGCTGCTCTAGCTCACGCATAGAAAAAAGCAAATCACATCCGAAGATGGTACAATTGCTTGAATGTATTGAGGGCCCTTGATTAGTATTACAAACATTATGATAGTACGCAGTCCCAAGAAACCCCCCGGCTGAGGCCCCCGACGAAGGCGACAGAAGTTTCCAGTTCATCCGCTTGTCGGTCGTGCGGTGGTGGCAATGCCAATGGAATGCATGAATGAATGGGATGGCACATCATGGGGAAGGAACTAAGGTCATCACTTCGCCCTCCTCAGCCTTCCTGGTGGACATCTGCTGGCTCGCATGTATGCAGTGCTGAGAGCTGCCACTGTTTACTACTACTGGACAAGTGGCTGGCGGACTGCGACTGCGACTGCGACTGCGACTGCTCGTGAATGAGAATGAGGACTACTTCGAGCAGGACCAGGACCAGGACCAGGATGTCTACGAATCAGTCGTCAATCATGGCCACTGCGGCACGCGTGGTGAAAAGCACTTGCCACATCAGCCCACTCGAAGTTCCTTCTTTCCTTGTGTCCTTTCTGTGTCACAGCCATGCTATGATGGGAGTAACGTACCTAACGGACCTAACTACTTCTTTGTGTAACGATCATATTATCATGGAATCATGCCTACCACCAACCGCAATCCCCGGTTTCTTGGGGGTTTCGTTTGATCATTTCTTCTTGACGAACATAGCATCAGCGTTGGATTTCTTCCTCCGGACCATTGACTGTCCTGGCATGATTCCTGGTCGTCCGCCGGGACCGGCAGGAGACCTGGCAGGCAGACCAGCTCCAGCTCCAGCAGGAGGTCTCTGCGATGATGGGGAGTTGACCGCACCACGAGGTTGAGCGGCAGGACCAGGCTGAGGAGCTTTGGGGCGACGTGGGTCGCGATTGTGCTCAATGGAAGTACTAGTGTCCAATCGAGGTACCTTGCTCCAATCCGAGGCATCTCGCATGGTAAGTGCACCGTCCTCTCTCTTTCTCTTTGCAACAGCTGCAGAGTCTGGAGGGACGCTGCTCTTGACATTTGGAATCTTCGCACCGTGCTCGCCGAGCTGCTTCTCTGCCCTCTTCGTGCGATTTCGGTCCCGAAGATGATTCCATCTGATTTCTTCTCTCTTGACCTTCTCTTGCTGATCAGGTTTCAATCTGTACTTCTCTGCAGCCGTACATTCCTTTGTCAAATGTCCCACCTCGCCGCATGATTTGCATCGTGGTGCGAGACAGCTGCTAGCTGTGTGACCTGACAGATGACATCGACTGCACTTTCCGATCGCAGCTGCGAGAGCCTCTCCATTATCGCAATTGAAACTGAAATGCGCAAAAGAGCCACATATAACGCAGACAGCCTGGGCATTGAGTCCATTGGCGCCCCCTGACGGGCCATATGTGCCACTGTTGAAATCAGGTCGCGGAGCTGCTTGGTGTGATGTTTGCGGTTGATGGGCAGATAAAGGTTCTTGATGAAGACTCTCGTTTCTGGGCTTGTCTCGTCCGGTGTCGGATTGATTAGAGCTTTGGTGTTCCGCCTTTGTGCTAGAAGAAGTAGATGAGGTCCGGGAGAGATTGCTACTTGGCCTCGATGGCACTGGCGTATTACGCTGTGACGTAGCACCGGATCTGGGCTCATCTCTAATGGTTTTCGACGCTGCAGCTGGGAACTCCTTCACCACCGCTTGGTTAAGGCTGTATTGTCCAACTTGAGCATTTGTAGGCTTGGATATAGACTGGTCCACATCCATCATCTCAATATCGTCTTTCATCATGTCCTCTGTCAAGAGGGGCCGACGGAGGAGACCCAAAATGTCACCTTCTGTGTAAAGTTTTCTTGACTTGGCATCATTGACCAGTGCTCTCCAGAACTCGCCTTGAATTAATGCTTCCGAGTTTCCCAGAATCCAAAGTGACGATTTAGCTCGGGTCAAACCGACGTTCATGCGACGAATATCCCTCAGGAAACCAATTCCTTGCGTGGAGGCTCTGACGCACGAAAAGATAATAATTTCACTTTCGCGACCCTGGAACGCATCGGTTGTGTTGAAATCAATCTTTGAAAGAATGCTTTCACCGTACTGCTGCTGAAATCTTTTCTTCAATTCATTCAATTGCCCCTTGTATGGGGTGATGATTCCGATTTTTCCAGAAAAGTCGTATCTGCGGACATCTGTAGTCAATCTGTCGTAGAGCTGCATAGCAACATTCAACTCTGCCAGGTTGATCAATGAATGACCTTTTGCAGCTGATTGACTCATTCCTTGCACGTCAAAGAAACGATAGGGGGCAAAAACCTCACTATGATGCCAAGGTCGTCTTCGAAGCTGAGCCATATTGTTGCCATCCCTGAGTCGGGAGTCATAGAAGGTCTTGCTGGGGAAGAGGCTAATCTCCGGGTGCATTCGATACTGAGTATCGAGTAAATGAACGTCCTTCTTGTGATTATTCTCCATGCGAGCGAACAAACTCTGCTCATACTGGAACCTAGCCGCTTCTCGGGACAGGACCGTGGGCGGCAGCTGCTTGGGATCACCAACCAATATGCACTTGGCACAATTATACTTCAGTGGGATCAAAGCCGAAAGCTCGATCGACTGAGCGGCTTCGTCAATAATCACAGTGTCAAAGTCAATGCTGAGACCTTGGAACAGCTCGTGACCACTACCGCTGAGAGTTGCGCAGAGGACCTTGGCGTTGTTCAAGACCTCTTGCTGTGCTCTCCTCCTGCTAAGCTCCATATCACGAGAGGCAGTATTCTGGCGTTCTCTCATCTTGTCAATCTGTGTTCCCAAAGCATTTTTTTTGCGCCTGAGTCCGTCCATCAGTCGCTCGTCAGAGGTTAGAATTGTTTCTCCTTTTCCACGTTGCTCATTGAGCTTGCCTCGAAGTGCATTAAGGTCCTCAGACGCCGATTTGTGCTCCTTCATCAATGAGTGTATGTCTTCTCGGGGATCCTTAGGTGCAGCAAGACTCAGTTTGGTATTTACAAGTTCTTCAAGAGTTACATCTTTGACCTTGCTGTTGATTGCGTCAGACCGTCCCAAGCGAACCACAGACAAACTCTCCTGGGAGCCATCCATCAATGTCACTCCATCTTTAAACCTTATCACTAGTTCATCGACTGCCGCGTTGCTGGGTGCACAAACAAGGATTTTCTGAGGAGCGGAGTCAGATGCACCTCCAGAATTGCTAAAGCGTGAAACATAGCTGGCAGGTCTTTTGAGCGGTGCGGTCAACATAGCACCAACAAGCGCGCATATCGTTTTCGTTTTTCCAGATCCTGGAGGACCTTGAATAAGACTGAATGCGTCGTTGTCGAGGGCCGATTTGATCGCCTTGGCCTGTGCAAGATTGACATTATACGTGGAAGTCAAAGGGAGCAATTCCTTCTCAGGATACTCGAGCATCCCCGAAGGTTCCGCTTTGACGATGTAGTCCCTCAGATAGTAGTATGGCAGAGCCTTCAGAGCGCCATATTCTCTCTCCAAGGTAGTGAGGGATTGAACTGATATGCCGTAGATGGTTGAATTGTTGTTCAAGAAGGGTCGGAGAGAATTGTTGGAGGCACAGACTTTGTAGACGACTTGAATTTCACCCTTTTTGCGTGTGATTTCCTTCACTCTGGCCAGACAGTGAGGCTCTGATGGGTCACGTTCAGGAGTCTTCGATTTTGATAGAAGGACGATATCGGATGCACTGACGGGCAAGTCCTTGCCCTCTGCGAACGGCATCTGAGAATTGATCTCGAGAAAGCTGTCAACAATCAATGAATTCGCAATTTTGACCTCGAATGGCTTGAAGCTGCCATCCTCACGAGCGGACCTAAGACCCTGCCATCCTTCAAGCATCAAAAGGGGTTCGAAAGTCCTCTGGTAATCTTCGACAGACCTAAAAGTGCTTGTTACCAATGTATAGTCGTCTCTGGTCGAATTTGGTGGCAGGTCCGTTTCTGCGAAGAATTCCCAGTTGAGCATGGTTTTATGGAGGTCACTCAGGTCTGGAGCTAGCCGTGATCTCATGTCTCTCTGTGTTTGGACTCCCCGCTTGACACGGACGGGCCCTTGTGAAACAATGCCACGCTGGCCGGTCTGCGTGCGTACTGTTGGTCCGCGCGGTCTTGAAGTAAACAGGTCATCCTCTGACTCTGATTCCGAGGCACTAGCATCAGACACCATCAGATCGCTCTTGCCCAGGGAATGATCCTTGCCTTGAATTCCAAGACCTGCCATTCCCGAGCCTTGGCCCCTCGTTTGCTGACCGACTCCAGTCTGACCCCTTAATCTCAGAGCCGCCTCTTTGTCTCTCAGCTTTCGAGCGGCTTCTTCCCTCTTCCGATTCTCAATAAAAGCCTTTGCATCTTGGGCTTTTTTTGCTGCCATTTGGGCAGCAGAGACCGAGGACGTCTTGGGTTTAACTGGCTTGGGTTGCGTTAAGAGGGGTCTACTAATTTTCATCCCTTTGGTTGCGGTGGGCAGTTTCTGGGTGTCTAAAACTCTGCTTGCGACTTCAACAAGTTCATTATCTGGGATATCGTCATCTCCGAATTCGTCTGCACTGTCATCCTTAGATGCAGGGGTAGATACCTCGGAACGGGAGGCAGCAGCAGAGTCTGTCCAGTTTTTCAAGTTCAAGGTTGCCTGCTTTTTGATGGCGGGTTTTTCGATCTGTTTGCCGTAGTACTGTTCTAATGCCCGTACAAGTCGTGCTTTTTGAGATGGTGAGATAATGGTCTTGATGGACTGTTTGGTCGCAACTTCCTGAACGTACGCAAGTCCATTGTTATCGGCTGCAACTGCTTGGTGGCGCTTTAGTTGTTCTAGCATACGTTCAATAAGAGACACAAGCGTATCTGCAAGGTATTCATCTCGGAGCCTTAGCCATTTAGACATGGCGTCAAGTGCGTTGAGGGGGGATCCCAACTGAGATTCACTGGAATCCAGCAATTGCATGGGAATATCCATTTCCTTCTCGGGCTTTGCAGCAACCAAGACGCTCGAGAAAACAGCGTACTGATCGAACAATTGGCGTGCATATTGCATAGCATCTCGACAGACTTCCATCATGGCGTCCTTGCTGTGAAGCTCCAAAGACCATCGTTCTGCTTGACTGAAAATGACCCGAAGAGCAATCCATTGATATGACCAGTAGCTTTGGACGGCTGACACGTCTCGGCCGGAGATGTTACTTCTTCTCAATTGACCGTCTGCAGGGTTGCATAGGACATCTAGAATTTCCATACCATTTTTGAGCATTCGTGGTACAGAAGAAAAGGTCTTGTAATTGGCTATTCGCCGATATGTCCAGCAGAGCGCATATATTGTAGTCCCGAGGAAAGCATCGACTAGATGAGCCAACGCCTCTTTTCTGCCGGATTCACCACTGATGTTCTTCACAAGGTCAATGGCCGCCTGATAAGTATTCTCGTCAGGGGAGAACAACGCTGCAATCAATGCCATGCTGGTGTTCTGAGATCTGAAGAGATTGTCAAGATGTGTCGGATTGAACTCGGTGATTCGCTCCAGCATCTTGGCCACCTCACCTGTGAGCTTCTCGAATATCAAATTATACGTGGTCTTCTCCTTTGCGAAGGGCTCGGCATTTTTCATTCGAAATTGCTCTAGTCCAGGCAAAGACATGGTACCGAGCAGAGCAGCAGAAGAGAGATCAGTATTATCATCTTGGAGGTTACTGATGACAGACATCCATATTTCAGGTGTGTACGAGCTCGAGCCGTGTGGGAGGGTTTGTCTTTGGCTCAGTGTCTCAAAGTCGGATTTCAGATTTTGGCATTCGAGTGCAACGGCGTTCTTCACTATGCTCAAGATATTCTCCCTGCTTGCTGGCGACACCGAGCTTGCCAGAGCTGAGTCTTTCGGTCGCAAAATTTCATCCAGTCTATGCCCAATCAAATTGAGTATGTCCGACAGTACTAGCCGTTCAACAGATTGTCGAGTCTTCTCGTTGTCGGAAAAAATGACGAGCGTCTGGAGAAGGACTTTGACTGCCATCTCAAAACACGCTTTCCTTGCTGGGAGGCTCAGATCTGTGTTGTTGACTCTCTCGAAAAGCTGATAGACAAGGGTTTGTGTTGCTGCCGGACGATTGGCAGGTTTGTGAGATTTCAAGAAAGAAGGTATCCAGGACAGGACGTCGAGATCGGGAAGTTCAGGCTCATTGACAGACTCCCGAAGACACCTATTGAATTGTGGACTCGCAAAGACTTGCTCGATAATAGTCTGAGATGGGATTGACTGCATACCTTGCCAGAAAGCATCTGGAGCTTTGTCCAGAATGATCTTCCATGTCTGCACGATAAAAGGAATTGCTTGGATTTTTTTGGTCAGATGGTTCATCCCAGTAGTAGCGACGGAGGGTTGGAGATCAAAGAGCTTGTGAGTGATCATATTCTCATCGAGTTTGCTCACGATGAGCTTCAGGCCACTCCATAGCCTTGCGATGTCAGCTGGCTCAGAAGCCTGCTGTAACTTCGTTTGCAAGCAGTCTTTCATGGCCCAATCCCATTCCAGCTCTGTAGGGGATCTCGCGAATCTAGCCCAAACAACTGCCGTGGCCCAAGAGAGTCTGGCTGGCTTTGAGTCAAAAAGAAAGCGAACCGTACCAGGGAGGATTTCCCGCATCTTGAGTGGTTTCCTTGTTTGGATCATTTTAAAAGGCTCATCGAAATAAGTCTGCACCTTATCCTCATCTTGCAGGAACGATTCACAAGCAAGAGCCTCAAAGAGGGCGTGGATATCTTTCTGCTGCAAGAGCTGGAAGCCTCTCTTATTCTCGGGCACCGATCTCAAAGTCTTTTCTGCATTCGTGAGACCCTCAATGATACGGGAGATATCCCTACGATTGATTATATCGAAAAAAGTCTTGATGTCTTCCTCCTCATAATCTTGCCGTAATGCAGCAACGAAGTCGAGCTTCTCCACATAATATTCACGGATACAAATGTCACATTTTCCGAGGGCTTCATCGATTGTATCCCAAATGTATCGCTGATACTCCTCTGACTCGTGCCCGTCGTAGGCCAGAAGTTGCAGAGAAGAGATGAACTTTTTCTTTCGTCGGGCAGCCTCATCGATCCGTGCGAGTCGATCTGGGTTAGTAGCTGTGTCGTGGTTGGATCTTGGGTCATGTTGGCCTTCGTATCGATCTAGATCATCATCACCCTTCTTAGGGCAGAAGATATGCGGGCCGGGGGGCAATTGTTTGATCTCTCTGTCGTATATTAGCATGATCTGGGGCTTTGTGAAATTGCGGAGGTGAGTACTAACTGGATGATGTTTATGAACTCGGCCATGACTGCGGCGAGTTGCAGGACAGCCTTGATATGTAGCCAGATCGAGGATCGTTCAGAGGGCAGGGAGGGGATAGACTTTCATCCTGAGATGTACCTGGCCGCACCCAAAGGTGACATGGACTAGGCTGCCACCAGATAATCTTTCTTTTACTGATTTGAACGGTAAAAGAGTGCGGACAATTAATAGTGGGTGAACTTGGGTCAATTGGGGTACAAGCAATAGGTGGTAGTGGCTTTGCAGATGCGGTCCTTGACGTTCAGATTATTTCCCCACAGTGCAGCCACGGATACAGGGCGCGTCAAGTCGCGTCTAACTGAAAGGGTTTTTCTTGGCGACAGACGGTGACGATGGTGCACAGGCAGTCAGGCTTCACCATGGCGGACAAAGTGACGTGATATACCACTGGCAGTGTGCGCAGGTGCTTTGTGAAGGCTGTAACGGATGTGATGGGTAATAGTGTTGGGCATTGTTTCATCTCAGGCCAACTTCACTGTCAAAGGCAATTGGTAACACAGCTCAAGGTGGATCAATTACATTGAAAAGATTCCAGAATTGAGTAACTAGGTATATAGGGTGTTCTGCTGGTGCGTGCACTGCAGTATTAGTTGACCACTTCGCTGCCATTAAACTCGGTCTAGTCATGGCAATACTGCTGTTCGGGACCTCGACCTCTTCTGTCCAGCTTCGACCGATCTGAGCTGTCCTTCTCGTCTTGTTCACAGTGATCCTTTAACAATATGTACACCTCTCCAATCCGCTAAATGATTTGCAATTCCTTGATTTCCTGGTCGGCTAACATCGCCAAGCAGGCCGTAACCGACGCCGTAAGCTTCATATATAACAAATAGACATAAAAAGTCATGAGAAACGCCCAAAAGGGATATCGCTAGGAGAGTACTCCTAATGAAGCTCATCCGCAACATCATGTGTCTTGCGTGTGTTTTGCTGGGACAATGGACCAGTGGCTTGCGAGTAGTTCGACTGAGAGTAGCTCGACTCCATTCGCTGCAACATTGCTGCGCTTGTAAAATCTCGGCTGCCCTCGTAGCTTGGTCTCAGCCGATCCAAAGATTGTCGCTGTCGCTCGAATGAAGAGCGAACACGCTCCAAAGAAGGTCTTCTTCGTTTTAACTTGTCAGGAGTGGACGATTCTCCTTGGTACCTGGACAAGTCAAGTGATGGCTTCGTCCTATCAGTGCCATCACTTCCGTTCTGACTGTGAGGGTGCCGAGTATCTCTCGTTGGCGCTTCAGATGGTGGGTAAATTGGTCTCTGAGATTCAGCCATGCTTGAGTACCTCGCGTGGGTCTTGTGGTTCTCAAGGTCAGTGGGTTGGTCCTCGGGTTGTTCGGAAGATGTGCCCGAGACATCGGCTAACTTTGGTGGGACATACGATTCGTACTCATCCAGATAATCAAATTTACCTTGTCGAACCTGTTCACGAACCACATCAATGTCGTAGGGGCGGTAGTTCTTTTGGTAAAACTTGGCAGTGAATCGGGGTAGGAGGCAGACGATGACGGTCAGAAGAAGCACGGCCCAGAATGTTAGTGAGCCGTAAACCTCTGCCGCAGACTTGTAGAATTGGAACGATGCTTCGAACGAGGAGTAGATCCCAGTCCAGGCAAAGATGAGGAGAACGCTAACCACAGTAACGAGGACCATGATCCAGTCCCACTTGTAGGTGTTCATCAAGATGTAGGCGTTGATAACCACGATAGCGGTACAAGCAACGTAAACTCCCATTCGATTTCGATCTGCAATACCACGGCCGTTCGGGGTTTCGAAGGTAGCTGGTTGGAAGAGGAGGTACGACATGAAAAAACATATTGCGGATTGGTACAGACCGTCAAACATGTAGAGCCTTTAGGGAGATTAGTATGATAACGCGAAGATAGGTGGGCACATTGGCTTACCAGAATTTGGTCTGTGTCCACTCCTTCCTCTTCATACCTCGACGATAGAGCTGCGGCACAGCCAGTGAGACCTTATCGCTGACGTCTTGGTCGAGGATACCCATCAGACCCACAGGGAAAGAGGTGAAGACCAAGTTAACAAGTAGAATATAAGTGTAGTCGAACAGGTAAGTGATGTCAAAGCTGTTGTATATTTGATACCAGAAGAGTGCAAAAGTCCAGACCAAGTTCTGTAATAGGATGAATTAGTATGACGAGAGAGAATAAAACAGGATTGTCAAACCTTGTAGAAGAAGTTGGCCATGGACTCGGCCAGTCGACGATATGACCAGCGACCGTGGACGAGAACAAGCCTCTGAAGGAATCGAAATTGACCAATGGCGTAATCTGAAGACATGACTGCCTGTCGTCCCTCCTCACCAGCGATACCCACACCAACATCCGCTTCCTGAATCATTGCAATATCGTTTGCACCATCGCCGATTGACAACGCCATGATATCGAGACCATTGCGTACGAGTTGAACCACGGCGGCTTTCTGAGCAGGACTGACTCGGCAACATAGGACCGATTTACATTGCTTGCACAGCAACAAGAAGCGTTGCCTCAGATCATCGTGTAGCACCAGATTCAATGATTCACCGTCAATGATCAGAGCATGTGTCGCTGCTGGTGGTTCATGGATCAAGCGAGCAGCCGCTAGTTCTTCTTCAGATCCTGTAAGACCAAAGGTCTGTAGATGTTGATCCAACAGCTTAGCAGCATCTTCCAATTTGCCATCTGGCATGTCGAACAGGATTAAATCCATATCATTTAAAAGTAGATTGCAGGAAAAGCCGATGTTGATGGCAGTCTCCACTTTGTCTCCAGTCAAGACCCACAACTTGATGCCAGCTTGTCCAAGAAGTGCAATTGTATCTGGCACACCGTCTTGCAAACGATCTTCAATGGCAGTGCCACCGATTAGGGTCAGATCACGCTCGATTCGATCAGCAACCTCTTCCAAACGGTCTTCTCTGTCTGTCAGAGCCTGGGCGGCAAAGTCTTGGTCTTTGTTCCACTCTTGGTAAAACTCTTCGTCAATCTCCCTCTCGGCAACGCAAAGCGTGCGCAAGCCTTCGCGGGCGAAGATCTCCAGGTTTTCAGCGGTAGCTTTGCGCAAGGCTTGCTGTTCGCCCCGAGCCAGCCGGGAATATATCATGCTGTCGGCGCCCTTGCAGAACAACATGATTTTTCCATCGGGCATACGGACAATAGCACTCATGCGCTTTCGAGTTGAATTAAACTCGAGGGTATTCAAAATGCGATATGTGCGATCTTCACCAAGAACGTTCACGTGGAGGTCTTCGTTCGTGCGACCGAGAACAGTGAAACCCATGTCGCGAGCGGTCGCCACCAACGCGGCCTCATCGGGTGACTGAGCCTTAAACTCGATCTTGGGTGGATCTCCAGGAGTCGTCTCCGTAATGACGGTGTGACAAAGTGCAAGTGCGACCATGAAGTGCTCATTGGCGCGTGCTTGTGCTTCGCCTGATTTCCCATTCAAGTCTGCAACAAAATCAGGAGCAATAAAGGTCAAATCTTCATCGTGAAGATATAGATTGTCGTGCATCTTGCGTAGCTGTTTCAACATGTCTACCCGCGCCTCGGCAATTTCCTGACGAATGCGGGCCCCTTCAGCTTCAACGTCGACACCTTGTCGACGACGCATACCAGCTTCGGCTTCAGTATAAGCTTCGCCGTACGGGACACCGTTAATGGTGCACTTCTTGAACTCCATGACATTCTGCGTCAAGGTGCCGGTCTTGTCTGAGAAGATATACTCGATTTGACCAAGATCGTCGGAAATGTTCCAGCTCTTGGGAGTACAGGGATAATCAAGCCTATCGTAGTACATGTGAACATCCGACCAGATAAAGAAAGCTTGAACGGAACGGACGATTTCGAGGGTGATATAAAGCGAGATTGGCACCAAATTCTGGAACAAGATGACCGCAGACCAGAAAGTGATGAAGCCGTCGAGTGGGGGGCTGCCACCGATTGAACCGAATTCGAAATAATCGAGGGAGTTGGTTCCTTCTGCCCATGTCACGCCTTGGACGATACCAGATATCAGACACATGAAGAAAAGAATGATAAAGTTGTAGATGACGTTCCAGTTGAGTTCCCGGGCCAGTCTGGCCCGCTTACTAGGGGTAATACCAGCATTGAGCATGATCTTCGACTCTCTGCCAGTGAAGACGACAATCCCTAGGGCCCATTCGGTGTTCTTCAAACTGCAACCACGTAGCAGAAGGTTGTTAATGCTGACGGGTTCGGCCATCTCACGGACTGGCCCATTGGGGTCCTTGGGATCGGTCTGTTGCCACCTTGCAACACCACTGTAGGAATACAGATTGGGGTGTGGAGCTTCGCTTTCAAGGATAAAATCCGCTCTTTCACAGTCCCGGGCGTGCTTCACCTTCCGGCTAGCTTGAAGGGCATGGCGGACTTTCAAATTGGTCTCCCCATCAAGATTTTTGGTCTCAACGTAACAAGCACCATCCGGATCTGAGGTGGACAGTACAACAATGTCAGCGGGGATCTGCTCATCGTTGTAAATGCGAAGAAAATCGCCCACTTGAACGTTCTTCCAGTAATCCCTTTTAAAGCGAGCACGCTCGGGAATTTCTTTATGTGGGTTGATGATATTGCCATAATCTTTTGAAGGTGCAAGAGTACTCTTACGTTTCGAGCTTTGTTGGTTTCCCAGAGCCGAGGCGGTGTTTTCTCCGGGTGCGGTTGAGTCCTCGGCGGTTCGATATGAGAATGCGCTACCAGGAGCTTCTGAAGCGGAGAGCTCACCATTCTCGGCATGGCTTGCACGATAGCCTGGAGAAGGTACAGGAGTCAAGGCAATATCATTATCGGTCTGGCTGCGGGTTGAGTGGAAAGATGTCCGTTGCGAATACACCGAAGTTCTTACCGAGCCCCGTGTCGCGGTAGAACCGTGTCTCTCGAGGCCAGGTTTACCTATCTTTTCTGACCGATTCGAATTCTTTCCCAGCCGTTTGAGGGCACGATATGTCGATATGACGGATCTTGTACAGGACTTTTTGAAATTCCTCCACCATGAAACGTCTTCTGAGGATGAGTTGACATTCTCCCATTCCAAGAGGCGATAGACTGGCGAGTTATTGAGCTCTGTGTCCAGCACAGTTCTGCGCCAATCCTCCACAGCGTCTTTGATGGCGGTTACGGTCAAGATGAAAATAAGAGGTACGGAACCCAGGCCAGGGTTTGAGGCTCCAAATATGGAGAAGATCTACCGTTGTCAGCGAGAACGCGAGCTAGAGCAGAGCAAAATACTCACACTAAGGATGATGATAAAGAAAAAGTATATGTTCGCGATGTTATGGAACTGGAACCACAGATTTTTGGGAATGAAACTGAGGGGGGTGTATTTGGCGGTCCGGATTTTATTCCTGGCGTATTTCGCCTTGTTATGGCCTTCCTCAGTTTTCGCTTCAGGAGGCAGGGGCATATTGAAATAGATGGTCCGGAGCCCCGAGTCTTCGGGTTCCTGTTGCTGACCCATTGGGCTGTCCTCAGAGATCTCTCCCTGGCGACTAGGACCCGAGGGCTTCTCCTCGTAGGATGACACGTGGACCTTGGGCACTCTTTGGAGCAAAGAAAGCCGCTTCTTAGTTCCACTGTGCTCTGGTCTTCGAATTGTAGCCCACCGCATTCTCTTGACCGGCTTCGACACGTTGGTGTCATCTTGGAATTGTATTCGCGCCATGGTGAAAGGGGCTGCGTTAGAGAGCCACGTAGGGCTGGGTTGAGAGGAGGGTAATCAGCTCAATAGAAGGGCGAGCAACGGTTTCCAGCTTCTACTAATGTCCTTTGGCCTGGGAGAAAGTCGGCAGGAGAGCAGTCGGAAAAGCTGGAGGCTGAGGCTAGGTTGCTCGGAAGAATCGGCTCACGTCAGCAATGCTGGAAGGTGTGCATTCCTTGGTGTAGGAGGAAGCACAGAAAACAAGGTTGCTAAAGCGCTCAACAGCGAGAGGACGATGGCGTGTTGGATGGAAATGAATGAAACTGAGTAAGTGTCGAGGATCAGTTTGGATGTGGACCAAAGCCAACGGAAGGTCAATTGGGGTTCTGTAGGCTCAGGGCGCTGTAGAAAGAGGGTTCGCGTACGCAACTACTAATAAAGTACGGCGGGTTCGGATTCCCGGCGGGGGTGCTAGTTTTATCTCCGAGCCGGTATACAGCTGGGTTGGTAGGAGAAGAGTGGGTGTTTCGGTGTCGACAGCAATGCTGGTGATGGCTGACTGCGACAACGACGACAAAGACGACGGCAGGGAGGAATGCAGCACTCGGTATTCACGAACAATAGTCATTCAAGAATCAAGACGAGAAAGAGACAGACTGGGTGAAGACTGAAACGGATTGGATGCAGGGGGTTCAGGCCTCAATGGAAGTAGTGGCCTTTCGAGTAAAGAACGGCCGTGGGTGCGGCTGCGGTGGCTAAGCAGATGCTACAGCGCGAGGGGCTGCCGTCAATCAGAGGCGCCTGGCTGCCCTTCGCTCCCACAAACGCAAGGGGGGCCTGATGCCCTTAAATTTTTTTTCCTGTCTTTCCTTATGGCACGGCGAGGGGAGGCGTGCTGAGCGATGCCGCAGCACTCTCCTTCCAGCACCTTCGGGCTAAGCGTGATGCTTTGACCGCCGCGTGCCGGGTCCGAGCGCTGCTGATTGCTGCTTCCACTGCCCATCAACGTGTTCTCGCACGCGTTACCCTGGGCGGCCGAGGGGGCCCTTTTCCAGGTGCAAATGCAGCCAATTAACGGGTCACAAGAGTCTCCCCAGCCACTCTTCTGAGGGCTTTTTGGAATGCAGCCAGCACCGGCACTGCTCGCAAGATGACCAAGCATGAAGATCTCTGCTCTTACATACATAACTCCACAATCTAGTTAGCACGATGGCCACTTGCCACATTCGGGATGAAAAATGCTGGAGTGCTTCCTCTTTTTGTTCATCTATGGGTCAACAGTACGGAGTGCTCATACTGTAGATCAAGTACTTCGTACCTTGACTTACTCCAGAGTTTTGATACCTGCTTGTATAAGAGACCTCCTCCTCTCCTTTGGCCTTGAACGGAGACGGCTGCTCAAATACGTGATAATGAGCACGACCTCTCCAGGGATGGGGGCTTTACTCACACGTTTGCATAATTCTCACGGCCTATGAAAATTAAGAAGGGGGCGCGGCAAGGACAGCTGACTCACCATTACACATACAACTGCATAATACTCGGATCTGTCCGGGTCACTAATGGGTTCAGTTGCATGCACACTCATCAAACGACGAAAGGTATCTCTCCGCATCATGTCCAATCATAAGACGAATTATGTAGGAGTCGGACTGCGCCTCGTTGTGGGTGTTACGTTGGGAACATTACTGGAAGTCTTCAGACTCATGGTAGACTGGCAGTATACAAAGAGCGCTGACTGCGACATGGACGAAATGCTACGAGTAGAACGGATACTACTCGGACGTCGTCAGGAGGACGTCCTCCGCGCTCCTATGACCCAGGGGTCTGAATAATCAATAAGGGGGTTCGATGCCGACCCGTTCACCTTCTTCCGGGCCTGCGAAATAAGCACGTGACTTATCACGTTGGCACCGCACCCAAGTTCGAGTTTTTGGACTCATGGATACGAGGGGAGATCGGTCTGGGATAGTAACTACTAGTAAGGGCCACTCCAGCAAGGCACCTTGAGAGAAAGGTTCACCGTCAGGTTTAGTTGTCGATCGCATAATTTCTGACGACAATTGCCACAACAAGCCACTTCAGAGCAGCACCCTCTAAATCTTGCATTGCCTTTAGAATTCAGCACGTTCATTTGTTAAGAATTTGGTGGTGAGCTCAGGGTACCCACTTGAAGACTGAACAGTTTTGGCACGGTAATGCACTTCGACCGGATACCTTTTCGTGCCCGAGGGATCTGAATCCTGTAAGGCTTTTTGCCCTCTGCACCAGAGTGGAAAGACCAAACAATGGGTCTATAGTAATTCAATAACGGGTGAGGACAAGGAGTCGTGCTCTCTGTGCTGGATCTGGCATATCTCCTACATAAATCCTGGGTCCCGACTCCCGACTCGTACATACGCATCCTTCCTTGTAGATACCGGTCTTGTACTCCGTACTCTAGGTAACCCATTGACGAGGTGCAAGGCAAGCACCAGGTTAGGTCGTTGCCGAGAATGCGTTAAGGAATATCTGTACCAAGCAATCTAACAAGCCATTCCACAGCAGACCAGGTAGTGTAGTACTCAGTAGTACGAGCAGGTATATACATACATACATGTGCACCGAGTGTCTGCCCGAGGGCCCCTCGTAGCCGAGATGAGCGAGTGCCCATCCCTATCTCGTCTATGAACACAAACTCCACGCAACAGAAGCTAGTCCAAGTGGATGACGCGACAAAATCTGATATGTTGGCATTATTTGCACGTGGTCGATCCTTGGCTTAAGCCGGAAATATCATCCAGTCCGCGTTTGCACGAGTAGTTGAAGGGAATCCTGGTTGGCACTCATGAATATCTCAATGGCGGCTGCGCGTTGGACTGGAACCACGAATATTCATCTTCTCTTCGAGTCTAAGAGAAGTAGAGGGCAAATACGCTCGACTTAAAGAGAACGTCCTACTGCTGATCATGTGACTGGTTGGGGACTGAGACGCGATTCCCAGCACATCGTGTGGGGTCGTCACACAAATAATCGAGCAAATGAAACAACTAACGTGCATACTCGTAAATGTTGGAAGGGTAATTTCTTGGCCAGGGGCAATACCTGGCCCGGGAGGCTCGATGATCTGCGCCTTATAGTTAGCTCAGCGAGGCGAAAAGGCTGTGGCAGGCATCCAGACAAGAAATGCGTTTTCCTTAGCGATTGAGGGTCATCGCACATCCCCTGCGTAGATTACCATGGTTTATTTTTGCACCTACACTAATACTCTTTTGTCTCGCCAAAGCTGTACTTAGTACCTTTCACGTTGTGGTTGTTGATATGGGTTTTCGCTAATAAGATAGGAGTTGGATAGTGGATCTGTCGGCATCTGTAAGTACCAGCATTGTTTCATGGCATCATCCCAGTTGTCTTGATGATAATGATATACTCCGAAGCAGTAATCGAGGAGCCCGAGGCTTCGCAAGCTTGAGCGCCAGGACAGGAGATCTCCTGTACACAAATCAATCGGAAGAGGTGCTCCGGCGCCGGGGGCTCAGGCCATAATCCAAGCTTGCGTCTTTCTGCGCAACAATCTTATAGTTTGCCAGTGCAACTTATCACGGCCGTCGAGCGTAATGCTACGCCACTCCGGCATTTGGAGTTCTTGTTAGGATTGCAGGTGTGGATTGGGCGTTGTCCCAATCTCGGGAGCTCCACTGACACGCATCAGAATCATCATCGATTCAGACTGAGATCTAGCGACCCAATCAGAGAGGATCAAACAAGTCCTTGCTCCCACGCAAGATGTGCTTTTGGTGTGAATGCTGCTGTCGGCAGCATCTCATTGAAGATGAAAGGTTGTACTCGGTACCGACGACGTGATTTGTCCTTTTCCAGAACTTGATCAACCACGTTCGCGACTACTGAAACAGAACTGTTCAGTACCAATGGTTTAAAAAAGTGTCAAGTCAAGAATAGAGTTATGCAAGTCTCAGTCGCCTTCAAGAGTAGGACGCCACTTTTCCTGGCAGCGGTAAGGGGCAACTAGCGTCTGGGCTCACCCGCCCACCTTGTACCTGAGCTGCGATTCCGTGCCATGTCCGTCGCTTTGCCATGAAATTGTTGATATGGTTGCTGTTTCCATAGAACTCAATGGTCACCGCCACCAATTGCCAGCGAAGAAGCAATAGATTGTCGATAGGATATCCGTGTACGGATACGGTCGAGGACGGAGCGGTGAGTTGTACTGCCATTGTCTCAGATGGTCAGGGAATCCACGTTTCCAGGCTATCAGTCTTTTATTCCAGCTCCTGCCAGATAAGTAAGCGAGAGATATCAATTGGGGAAGATTTGGGTGTTGGCGGAGTAGTACGTAAGCTGGCGTGCACTCGGTGTGATATTATCAAGATAGTCCGTACCCGTTATACACTCTCCGTGTTTGGTTTTGTAAGACGCGCCAATATTGCACGGCAGCCTCGCCACGCTCCACGAGTATGTGGTATAGCTCATGCCGGAGAGTGGTCTTTGAGGCACCGAGTACGGGTACGTTCCAGTCGAATGATGCGATCAAAATGTCCACAACGGCTTTTAGGCGCGCAAGCGTACCACCGTGGTTCCAAAGAAGGACATTTCGATCTGCTAGGTCATGGTTTACGAGCCGCGGACATTGAAGACTAGTGGAACAGGGGAGGAGCCCTGGCGGATACAACAGGGGGACATGGACCAGGGCAACGAGAATGAGTAGATAGGAAGTGAGTTGCAGCCCATGGCAAGGCGGGTGACATGGAGCTAGTCGGCGAGTAAGATCCAATCCTGAGTGCTCCTTTCCGGGCAAGGAGTTTAATTAAGACCAAGACAGCTGAAGCTTGATGCTCGAGTTGGGTTCAATTGTTTTGTTATGTTCAGAGTCTAGCGGTCCTGGCCCGGGTGTCCTGAACTGCCGGCGTTTCTTGTGCCTCGAGAAACCGTACGACACTGCTTGAGAAATGAGTAGGGGCCACAATAATTGAAGCGACAAGTTTCATAAGGCAGTCCTGTTCAAAGTCTAGACAAAGTCGGTGCATCGAACAGGTTTCTGGTGTAAGCTTGAAGTCGTCCCAGGATGTACTCGTAACCTTGGAGACGCAGGCCTCAGTTCCTTGTGCAAATTCGTGAAGCGAGTATGTAACCTACTTTGCCCATATGCTGGATACATATGTATGGGGATGGAAGTTGTGATATGCATAATTGCTCGTCTGGGAGCAAGGATGTTGGAAATGGAATTACGAGTACTCCGTACTCCGTACGAAGAGGGAAGTGGGCTTCGAGCTGGGGCCTGCTCTAGCGACCCAGAAGCGCGGATTCCAGATGTATGGTGATCATTTATTCATGGTCTACTTGGTCCCTACGGGTAGGTATCGAGGACAGGCGCAGGTCTGCCTGTATTGCAGTAACTGGAGCAGTTTTACATGAGTATCTACCAAGTGCGAATACAGTGCGTAGTGTACGTGATAGATTCACGTACAGGAGTGTATGTACATGTCTAATCCTAACCCAACATGCAGACACAAGCCAGCTGAACTACTCATACTCCGTGCCCGTCAGAATTGAGCGTGATGCCTGATACCTGATGCCTGAACCCCGGCTCAGAAACAGCTTGAGGGCCCTTTAAACTAAGTGACTAACTAGTGAGCGAGCTAAGGGTGTTGGGGATCCGGGTCCATACGCCTGGTGGCACTTCTGGAAGGCTTTAACGGGCAGTCGGCAATATGCTGGGCTAGGCTAGCTAAAGTTGAGATCCGTACGGAGTACACGTACTCGTGCCTAATCCAAGGTAGGCACGTAACCAAGTGGTTTGGTTAATCCCCCCGAGCGGTGAATTCTGGGCGTTGGCTCGGACGCAACGGGTGTGGGTGATAGGCGTGGACGGGGATCTAGTAGTTAAGTCCATGGCATGGTCCGTCAGAATCCAATGCAATCAACCCCTCCACCCTTCCCCATCTGCTCTCTCTCTCTGGCTGGCTCTGCGTGCCCGTCCCTGTCTGGTCTGATTTTTCTCGCCTGTTTCGAGTGGTGTTTGCGCATCTCAAGTCACTGCGCCCGTACAAGCACACGCACCAGAACACGACATCGTCTGCCACCTCCGAGTCTCCCTTTCATCACCGCAGCCACCACATCCACTTTCACATCCTCACCCTCACCCTCACCATTGTTTCTTTTTCACCTACTTCTTGTCCTACTCGTCCTCCGTTCATCCTCTTTACCGACGCCGTCGCTCGTTTATCTTGCAAGCCACAATCATAGTACTCCGTACTGCTTTTCATGACATTACCCCTGTAACAGCCTGCACCCTCCTCAACCACCTCCTCTCCTCTTCTCAACGTCCTTGTTGGTGCTGGTATTGGCGTACCCAAGACCACTGCACCCCAATCGCCTACCACCGAAATCCTCTTCTCAAAATCCATCCTGCGCCCCTCGCTTTCTCGGTTCATGTCGCCGACATAATTGTTACATTCTATCGCTCATTTTAATCCGAGATTACTACCTCTTTGTTGATTGACTGGCATTGTTTGGATCCAAAGGAGTCGAAAAAGAGTACCTTGTGTTGGACACCGGATTTTTGGACACCTCCAACTGCGCCAACCAGTGGCCTTTCAGACTCTGCAGCAGGTCGTTCCTGCTTAGGAGAGAGAGAACACCTTATATTTCATCCGATCGAGTCGAGTCGGATTGGCACTTTTACACAACATGGCTCCTTCTCCTCCGCGTCTGCGGATTCTCTCTGGTGAGCATGACCACTGGCCTCCTGATCATCAACCACTATTTGGATTCTGCTCTTCTTCCCCCACCCCCTCCTCTCCGGCGCAGTACGACATGAATCGCGAGCTAAGACGCTGTTGTATAGTCGGCGGCAATGCAGTTTCGGCATTTCTTTCATGGCGATTGCAGGCCACAAATGCCTGCGACGTGACCTTGGTCTGGAAAGCCAATTACCAGGCTGTTGCGCAGTATGGCGTATCTTTCAAGTAAGAATACTCGTGATTCTCTGTCCGCGCCGCAGCGATACTCATTCTCTTCCAGATCACAGCTCTTTGGCAATGAGCGGTTCAAGCCACGTTATGGTAGGCACACCCCTCGAATCTACCTCTTTGCTTCAGCTAATTTCCCCAGTCGTCCAAAGTCCCGAAGAGGCAGCGAACCAACAAGCCTCTTTCGATTATGTCTTGCTGTGTGTGAAAGCGCTTCCCGATGTCTACAACCTTGCAGACATAATCCAGTCCGTTGTGACACCTCAACACACCTGTATCCTCATCAACACAACAAATACACTGGGCGTGGAAAAACAATTGGAAGAGAGATTTCCTACCAATGTGGTGCTCTCACTTGTTTCTGGGGCAGATTTAACACAGCTCGGTTCCAGCGAGTTCGAGCACACCGGGTCCACTGAAATCTGGGTTGGGCCTGCTAGCAAGAACTCAGCTATCCCAGAGTCCATCCAAAGGGACATGTCAGAGGCCTTAGCTATGACATTGACCACAGCACAAGTTGACTGCAAGGTATCAAACAACATCAAGCAACAACAGTACGAAAGAATGATTGGGTATGTGTTCTGCTCCAATGCGTTCTTCTAAACTGACCATCAAATATAGTCCCATTGCCTTTCATCCCATCAGCGTCTTGTTTGAAACCCCCATTCTCTCCGATCTAATACGACTACCCGGTGTTCACGAATTGATATCCAGCGTTATGGACGAACTCTTGGAGTTGGCACGTGCACAGGAGTGCAAATTTCCCTCTGACTTTAAAGAAAACACAATCTCAACTATGATTACCCCGACCCAAGACCCCAGCACGATGTATCAAGATTTTACATCCCGACGCCCAATGGAGGTTGAAACATACCTTGGAACCCCGGTGCAGTTCGCAAAAGATCTAAAGGTCAAAGTGCCCCGTATCGAGACATTGTACACCATGTTGCGCCATGTCAATATGGTCAACAAAGATCGACCGCAAACCTCTCCTCAATCTGCGATACCTCCTTCGCCTGCTGTCGTTCAGCCACCCCCTCGAAACATGTCCTTATCCAACGGCCCGCCGCCTCGACAGCTCAACGGATCCATCAGTGGACCACCACGACCTATGCGTGGTCCAAACATGGGTCCCCCGATGGGCCCTCCAGGAAGACGTGGTCCTCCTCCAGTCAATGGATTCCGTGGTCCTCCAAATAGCTACCCACCCCGGGGCCCCAGTCAAATGCAGAGACGGCCTTCATATGAGGAGAACAATCTAGATGAGTTCAGTCATGTGGTGCTCTATGACGAGCTAGGAGATGGTGCCGATGCTACCAACTTCGGAGAAAATGGTGGGCCGCAAGGCCCATCTTTGAGGGAACGCGAATTGATGCTGCGGGAGAGAGAACTTCAACTTAAGCAACAAGAAATGTCCATGAGATCTCGAGGCAATGGCAGAAGACCTACAAATAATCGCCACCAAGATTTTGACGACGATGACGACGACGACGATTATTTCGACCCCATGGCAGCACGCGGTCCTCCTCCCCCATCAATTGATCCTGATAATTTTGACATGATGAGTGTGACCTCGCGGCGGACGAAAAGGACAAACAGCCAGAATCAGTTGCGTAAGGATGTCTTCACCAATGGTCCAGCCATGCGGCAAGGTGGCTATCCTCGCCCAGGGATGAACCGACAACGGACCAGTACCCAGATACTATCCGACATGCCCATTCTTGGAGCCAACATCTTGGACAATCCTATGATGGGGTTTTCATCGAATCGATACGGCAATGTGGATCGAAAAGAAATGGCAGACGAATCCCGTGCGAACTCGTTGACAGCAAGTCGATTACAAGAAATTGGTATGAATGGTGGACCATATCCAGGCCCGCCCAGCCGTCGTACTAGTCGGTCACCCGGTAATCCATTCGGGCCTTCGGGCAGAATGCCTGGTCGACCCTCCCCACCAAACGATCCCTATGCTCAACAAGGGCCACCGCGCAATGGCCGACCATCACCACCCAGCGGCATGCCAGCTCCAGTTCCACGATACCCTCCAACCCAAGGCAACATGATGCATCCACATCAGGTCGAACAGGCAGGGGTGAGCAAACCTCTCCCACCACTCAAAGCCCCCGTGAAAAGTCTGACTGGAAGTGCAAGTGCTAGCGCGGGTAGCGCTGACAGTGGAAGTGCAAATATCGAATCGGAGCCGTCTGCGCATAGCAGCACGAGCAGCTTCGCGCCACGACACATGCTTGCGACTCATTAGGACTAATTGAAGCCAATAATGTCCTACATCCTTCCTATACACGCGCGACTCAGGCGCTCACGGCCGATAATCATGGGGTCTTCACTTTGCCGCACAGTACGCATATATTTCCAATTGTACCTTGTTCACATATACTTTAATGATCAGCTTCTGCGAATCTTACAACCTGGTAGGCTGGAGATGGATCGCAACACGGTGAAAAGCAACGAGATGAGTTTTCGGAGAATGGCACGAACGAACGGAGAAGAGAAGCTCTTTGATTTTTCGCTTCCAGTACATAAAAATTGCAATGAGGATGGACTACTGGCTCACATGTAGTGCAGAACCGAATTGTGTATCACGACGGAGCCTTGGAGGACAGGGCAGGTCTCGAGATAGCAGACCATCCAGTTCAATATTCATTGGAGAAAGACCTTTTGTATTGCATACATGGGCGCAAACTTTACTTTTCAGGCACAAATACGACAGGGCCGGAACGACAGACATGTTAGCCAAACATGGTAACCGAGAGGTTAGGGGCATATGAGACGTGTTGGGTGTGGCAAAGTGTCAGAAAACGGGTAATTAATCAATGCATGCAAAATTGACGACTACTTTTATTCTGTGTCTCCTGGCGTTCGACCGTGCATTCAGAGGAGACTCAACATTAGACTTCAACCGCAGACCTCACGACAGGCGAATGTATGCAAGCAAAGCCTTGCATCCGCCACGCGATACGCCATATGGCTTCGCTGAGAGGCTCCACCCTATGAAATGAAACCAATGTTGGCTGTATGCTGATTCCTACAGTTCCTGATTGTTATCCCATCGCAGGTTTTCACATGCCAGTGGCTTGTAACAACAGAGCACTCCTTGATAGTGGACCTTAGAATGATTATTTTAGCGCTCGCCGGATATAGTTAGAAAGTGACGTCAGTCCACAAGATATCACGTGGCTGTCACAATCACGTTGTCTTTCCTGAGCGTCGCGCTCCTTGAACAACCTTCAACACAGTCACAACGTGTCCACAGGATTGTGCTCAGGATCAGACCGGGGAGAAACTAAGCATCGCTTGAAGCGGCTATTGCTCGGTATGGCCAGCAACAGCACAAACACCAAACAATCTCTTTCCCGCCCCTCATCCGGGACCTCATTCAACGCGACCTCAACCAACAAGAACCGTCAATACGCGCATCTTCATGCCCAGCTTGCCCAGCTCAATGCTCATCTTGCCGACACAGAGAACCTTGTACGCATGACGGCCGTGCAGGCACAAGATATGCGCTTTTTGGGTGGATACGTTGGTGCCTTGTTCATGGGCAGCGCTAAAGTCCTGGGTGAAGAGAGTGTGCAGGGCAAGGGAAGACAGAATGACGAGGGGATGAAATGAGTACAACAATGTGTGGTCATATCCATTACCGACGGTGTGAGCAAAAACCCTTTGTAAGGCATTTTACACCTAACTGGGGAGCACTAAGGAGTATGACCAGCGACATTAAATACCGGCTTCTGTCACAAATCTTGTGCGATTGTCTACGACCAGGTGTGCAAAAGGAGTGATTTGTACCTCTAGGGTCTCTCGTCGACCCATCCTGCTTTCTCGCCCTCCAGGATCCCGTCAGCCCCACATATGGCTTTGAGAGCTAGCCTCTCAGCCTATGCAGACCTCCTAAGCCCTTTACTTCTACACCAAGCTATTGTCATTTTTGCCAGAAGCACTAGAGTTGTTTCTGGCTGCTTTCTTACTGGGCGTGTTGGTGTCCTTGTCACCTGCACTCTGCGCTCGTGCAGAGAATCCAGCGGACGATATATCTCTCTCAGCTAAGGCTGAGAGAGATGTTAGTCACTTGTCGCTATCTACAGAGTCTTTGCGAGACTGCGGGATATTTCTAACCTGGGTTCTTTGGATCCTGACAGCATCATCTCTTGTCGTTTCACTAGGCATGATGGCAAGTATCAGTGGATTGTTGTTGGCATGTCTCTGTCCCAACGCTATCTGGGATCTCTAATTTGTTCGATTGTTATGAGAGAAAGCTCATACTCTCGCGAAGAGCTACAAATCTTTTTATTAACACGATTGATGACCGAAAACCTAATGTCCCTTCTCAGCTGGACATAGACTGTCTCCATTTGAACTGTTCAAATGCGGACAAACCTGAAATTCAATATTAGACGCAGGCCTCCGCCATGTCTGCGTGCATTCGTTGCGAATCAGAACGCAAGTTCTCTCAACAACCTTCTAGGTATCTGTTTTCGACTGAGGGAGAAAGACCAACCGCCTCTCGGCTTTAGACCACTTCATATGAGGGCGACTGCAGTCAAGACGTAGATAAGATCGAAATTATTCCAACACATCTAGTCTAGCTTCATATCAGTCTTAGCGGGAGACTACATCCTCGAAGAGTGAAGACAAGCGTTAATAATTGGCTTGTCATGGGTTTGAATTTGAAGCCGCTTTTGCTGTTGTTGGGGGCAGCGAAGAGAGCATGTTCATCGACGCCTTTGGTATAGGCTCATGCGTCCCGACTGTATCTGTTCTTTGCAAATGTAGCGGAATCGTGACCATCTTACGAGCCTATATGACATTGCCTAGTCTACTTCTGAAGGTGTGTATCGCCTCAACAGCCGCCCTACTATCCCATGACATGTTCTTTACAACATGGCCGGGGTGGATGAAATCAAAGGCGCGCATTTCATAAATAACCTCACAAAACTTTCCTTTTGTTTGGCGAAAGGGCTACCAAATTCGTCGAATTAGGCATGCGCCACCATCCCTTCGAGGAGAACAGGAAAACAGAACCGGTGTAAGCTTTTTGCAGGGGTTGTATTCATAATTACTCAAATATAGCCGCGATGACGGGGAAGTCGTTAGGCACTGTCGCAATACCTCGTGTTTCTCCGTATCCCTCATTGTCCGCCTGGTCTCTTGACGTGGCACCAATTGAGAGTGCAATCTAGCTTTCAGCTCCTTGAGGGCTACAGATCGAGGTAATGGCAGGATATACCCTCAGTGGGAGTTATGGCACTACTGGGGTCTTGTGGGCGTTCCCCCATGTTTTCCCCCCATTCAGCCGTTGATGGTCGATTGGTGGACATCTCGTGTTTCTAATCACAGCCTTCGCATCCTTGCTGCCTCCTTTTCACTCAAACAACGAGGCTGGGTGACGCTAACGTCGTAACACCACATTAACATTTGAGCCGTGTCTGCATCTGTGTGCTTCATCAAGATCATGATGGAACGAGTTTCCTATCGACTCCATCAGGTCGAGCTTCAATTTGTGACATCAAATGTCGCAACCACCAGGTGTTGGCCTTGATCCTCGCCAAGTGCGAGTCGCGTTCGCGAAGGCAATAAAGCCTGATGAGGCCGCCGAGCTAAAGAACCTGCTTGAAAATCCCGATCTTGTTCGGCACACGGATGAAAACTACTTGCGCGAGCTTCTCGGAAGAGCAATTAGCTACGGGAATGACCTAGCAGTAGAGCTCCTGCTTCAAGCAGGGGCAAAGACAGATGTCACCGCTGGCAACGGACCAATACATCGCTCGATCAGAAGTCAGAAGAACAAGACCCGAAATATAATCATCAACTTGCTCCTTGACTACAATAGTGATATCGAGTTTCGAGATACTGAAGGGAAAACTCCATTCATAGCGGCAGCCCTTCGTGGTCAGGCTGAAACCGTTGCCACACTGTTGGCTCGAGGCGCCAATGCGGACGCGGTGGATTATCATGGGAGGAATATCCTCCATCGAATGGCATCCGAAGTTCCCCCTACCGTGAAATGGAATTCCGATATGCTGTCCCTAATCTTGTCAAGGCTCAAAGACTTCGAACTGCGTGACAACGAAAACCGGACCCCGCTTCTTTGGGCTGCAGCAAAGGGCTCACTTCAGTTGGCTGGAGTGTTACTACCTAGCAAGGGCAAGAGGCTTGCTGACATCTCTGTTGCGAACGACCAGGGTCACACCGCACTCCATCTCGCTGCCAAAAATGATCAGCCTGCAATGGTCAAGCTTCTCCTAAACTCTGGCGCAAACATCGAGGCAAGGAGTGATGGACGGTGGACTCCATTGCTGATGGCTGCAAAAGCTGGGTCTGAGGCGGCCATTGATGCTTTATTGACGCACACACAAAGTGCTAATATCAATGCACGCACTTCCACTGGAATGACTGCCCTGCATTGGGCTGCAGAAAAGGGCAAGCTAGCGGCCGTTCAGCGGATACTAAAAGTACCGCATGCGTATAAAAACGCAAAGGATAGCTCCGACAGTACGCCTCTTATTCGAGCAGCCCACAATGGACACTGGGAAATTGTGGATGCGCTTCGCCATCACGTACTGGAAGGCCCAACAAAGCGTGCCACCCGAAAAGCCTGTGAACGGTTCAAGGCAGCGGTTGTCAGTTTCTTCTTCGATCAGAAAGGACCGCGGGGACTTAAAAGTAAGGTGGACAAATACACCGTTTGGCAGGTGCTATACGAAAGGGTTAAAGACACGGACAAATTTGCAATTCCTACTGTATTCGAGAATATCGAGACGAAGAAGCCAGACTTTCGTTGGATTCATCTTCCTGCAAACAACATTTCCTGGCTTGAGGCTCTGTTGACCAAGCATTTTCTGGAAGGGGAATCGAGGGATCTTTCGGCTTTAAAATCAGTGTTGAGGCTGATGGGTCAACAGCAGCATCGAGGCAGGAAAGTTCACTCACGATTCATGCGACCATCTTGTAAACGGATCGGTCTCGGGTCAAGGAGGCCTGCAGATGTCGCTTCAGCTGCCTCTCGTAGGTCGTCCCATTCGAATCGCGGAGAAATCAACGCAGCTCTTCACGGCTCATATCGGCCACCAACCCGAGAGCCTCCAATACAGCCGCCTCCTACTGTACCTCAATCACAACTGCAGCCACAAAGACCGCCACAGTTACAAGAAGAAGACATGATGGTACTTTTCTTGCCATACCTGCATTGGGAGACGGACAAGAACAGAAAAGCTTTAACGGAATCCATTAAAGGACCACCTGGAAATACCGACTCACTCGAAGATTCTCAGATGTGGCAAATCCCGAAAGATACTCTCCTTATTCATGGATATCCAGTGACACAGTCTACGGATCTTCACCCACGCCGCACACTGGATCAGTTCAAGCATCACAGCACAGATACTGATCCTCAAGATGTGGATCAAGTTGTGTATCGATATTGCGACAACAACAAGCAAGAGCTAAAGGTCTATATGGTTGATCAGCTCTGGCTTTTCATCATTGGTGATCTCTTGATAACTTGCTTTCCCGAGAGATGGGGCCAGCCACGTCGAGATCCGCTCAATCTTTTTGACGGTATCGTTGAAGACATCAACTCTACCACACGGCCTCCTATCCGGAGTGTGCACGAACTCGCTACACTTGTCACAGAGAGGTGCTGTGGCATTTTTGACCGCCATCAATGGGACAATGATGAGCTACTCTTTGCTGAAATGTTCGAATTGAGTATAGGGCTGTTGACGCTCAAGGAGACAGCCTTGTTTCGACGGTTCAAGAGCGACTCAGTGGTTGCGGCGCATTGGCTCAGAGCCCATGGAAAGAGTAGTGCAATTTATGAACAGCAACTGATCGAGGCCCAAGAGGCATACGTCTCGGAGCAAGAGCTGTACGCGACTGACGCTGACGTTGCCGCGATGCTGGGCCAGGACGGCTGGCGCGAGCGTGACACCGATGCAGAAGAATTCGTCAATAAGCTTCTTAACATCGACGAAGAAGCCGCACTTCTGGTCGAATGCAAAGATATCGAGGACGAGCTCGACATCCTCGCAAATATTCTCCGCCAGCAGAAACAGGCCTTGAGGAACATGGAAGATGTCTTTCGGACCTCAAAGCTCGTCCCCTATGACAAGCGAATCGATCTTTATGTCCAGTTGGAAGAGCAACAAAGAAACCTGGATGCCGATATCCTTGACATAACGCGCATGACTCAACAGGCCAGGAGTGTCAATGAAAATCTCACGCAGGTGCTAGACCTGAAACAAAAGCATGCTAACGCCGTTGAAGCAAGGTTTCAGCGATATCAAGCCCAGGAAGCTACTCGACAAGGTCAGACAATCATGGTATTTACCGTGGTGACCATCGTGTTCTTACCCCTGAGTTTCCTGGCGAGCTTGTTTACCATCAACATTATTGAATTTCCACGGCCCAGGAACGCCGATGGGGGAGAGCTTCACCTTGGATGGGTTTTGAAGTGGATTCTTGGGATTGGACTGGGTGTTAGTGTCCCGTTGATATTGTTTGCATTCGTTGTTGGTGATGTCAAGGCTTGGTGGGTGGAGCGAAGGCTGAACAAATACCACACGAAGAGACGACAGATTGGACAGAGGCAGCAGCAGTGGGATGAGAGCTCCGAGAAAGGCGAGAACCCTCCCGACGAAGGATTCAGCTGGACGCGGAATATATTAAGGAGTAGGCGGAGTCATGCCAGCAAGGATGGCACGGGTGATGAAGCACTGAATGCCACTACGACCATCATTCAACCTCGAAGCTCGAAGTATTCGGTTGTGAATACACAACCCACGACAATACCAACGCCAGGCCGGAAGCCAATGTCCAGCATGGAGTCACAGGATCGTGCAGCGAATCCCTTTCGCAGACTTCGCAGGAGTGCCACAGAGAGAACGGAGAAATCTGTTGCCACCGAGGATCTGGAAGTAGGCAGGGCTTACGGTTGATGGGACAATCCGAGACATACAACACTATGTATTAGCAGTAGTGGTCCTTGGGTGGATATTGATTGGCGTAGGGAGTGCCAGCCTCGTCACAGGAAGGAGTACAGCCGTGGAAGACAAGTTTGTTGTGACAGTCAGCAAGATCTCCTCAGCAGGACTCTCAGGTAATAATAGCCTCTCGAATACAACCCGTGTGACCGCTGGTAAAGTAGGACAACAGTTGGCCTAGCGAGACCACTACTTTACTTGGAATGCCAGCAGCAATAGACTTTGCCCATCCTGGCATCTCCCCCTCGACACGATTTGCTGGTTGTCCATCCTCTGGTCATCCAAAACTTGAAGGCTAGTGTGTAGGTGACTTTTAAGGTCCTCCTATTCCTCGGTTGCCTTGGTATTTCACTGTGGGTTTCCACTTGACCTTGAAGTCTCCTGTTGTCTTTAGTAATCTGCAGTCCAAGCTCGCCGAATCTGAGTTCGTCCCATTAGCTCGTGAGACATTCCGAGATGGATTAGTCACGGGTGTCAGGGCCCAGCAGCTGAGTCACTGAACCCACGGGCAATAAGTGGAAAGGCGATGAGTAGTTCGTTTTCCCAATTCTGAATAGGACATCTTCCAAGCTCTGACTGGACTTCCACGTCTCAAAGACGTGTTTGTTACCTGCTGATGTGCTGGACTGGCACTGGATGAATACGAACAGCCGACCGTGCATTGTGCTTGTGCTTCCCCTCTGTTCCTATCTTGCTACGTCATCATACCGGCCAGCGGGGCCTCAATGGAGTCTCTTTCCCCCACCATGATGGGGACGAGAGAATGAGGGAACCAGCAGTTATGAGCAACGCGTTCTCCTAATGTTGCAGTCTGCCAGCTGCAGTGCCCTATAATAATGAAACTCTACCCGGCTAGCTCTTCAGAGTTTTTCCCCTTTCTTTCGTTTTATCTCAGTATATAAAAGCACCGCGGTTCCTGGAGAATCTGATCGATTTGTGTTCCATTTCCATTTTCACCCTGATCCGTTGAGATCCTAGCAGTTCCTATCTTACAAACACATTGAACCTTCTCTCCCACTGAATTACAGCTTTCAAAATGCCGGTCCCAGTCCCTACCTCCACCTCTCTCAAAGACCTCTTCTCCCTCAAAGGGAAGGTCGTCATCGTTACCGGTGCTTCCGGTCCCACAGGTATCGGCACGGAAGCCGCACGTGGCTGCGCGGAATTTGGTGCAGATGTCGCCATCACCTACTCGTCGCGGCCCCAAGGCGGCGAGAAAAATGCAAAGGAGCTCTCGGAGAAGTACGGCGTCAAATCTAAGGCGTACAAGGCAAACGTCGGCAACTACGAGGAAGTCGAGAAGTTGGTCGCCGACGTCGTTAAGGACTTCGGCAAGGTCGATGTCTTCATCGCCAATGCCGGCCGTACCGCTGACAGCGGTATCCTCGATGCCCCCATCGAGAAGTGGAACGAGGTCATCCAGACCGATTTGACTGGTGTGTATCACTGTGCTAGAGCCGTCGGCCTGCATTTCAGAGAACGCAAGACCGGCAGTTTCATCATCACCGCTTCCATGTCCGGCCACATTGCCAACTTCCCCCAAGAACAGGTAAGCACTTGGTACATCCCATCATCCCCTTGGTTCTTCTTGGCCAGATCCTGGGAGAGCCACCTACCTACCTACCTACCTACCTACCTACCTACCTACCTACACATATGCGATATCCTGAGCGAAACTGACTTCTACAAAACAGACATCGTACAACGTCGCCAAAGCTGGCTGCATCCACCTTGCCCGATCTCTTGCAAACGAATGGCGCGATTTTGCACGTGTCAACTCCATCTCCCCCGGCTACATCGACACCGGCCTTTCGGACTTTGTGCCCAAGGATATCCAAGAGCTCTGGCACAGCATGATTCCCCTTGGCCGTGATGCCAAGGCCACCGAGCTCAAGGGCGCCTACGTCTACCTCGCCTCCGATGCAAGCTCCTACACCACTGGCTCCGACATCGTCATCGATGGTGGATACACTGCCAGGTAGACACTGGATTGCTCGCCCCGCAATTTATGAAAAAAAAAACCCCCCCGTTGGAAAGTGATCTGCAAGCTTGGATTGATTTTTCACTTGCGATTTTGGAGATCTGCAGAATTAAAAATAGCATATGCAATCAGTATTGGTGTTCTCGCCAGAACCGTACAGATTTGAATCCCGCCTAACATGTGTCGGGATTCGGGATTACTTCTCTCCGTACGATGCACCTAAGCTCGTTTTGTCTGCTGTAGTGGGTATTGCGGGGGTATCATCTCCGGAACACCGCGTTCGAATTCTCCATCCTCATACCAGTCACAGCGTTTACTCGGAGATCGACTACCTTATCTCAAGAGTTTGGGTACCTACGGGACATACTCCATTCCTTGTTCTGCTTCCATCCTGTTATTTCCCGCGCGTTTGCGAGTCTGGTGAGAACGAGATGTAGACTGGCCATCACACGTATCCTGGGTAGCCGTACGATAAACTCGGCACCGAGTACTTGCTATGATATTTCCCAATTCTCAACACCCTGAACATTCAGAACGTGTTCGCAAGGACTGAACAGTGGCCACTTGTATCAAGGCGAACGGTTTCCCAATGCGATCGAGAACACTTTGTATGGCAACGCAGCGAGACTCCCCACAGACGAGCAACCTTATCTGCAGCAGGCGTTCGGGCGCCTAGTTAGTGCGGCCAAGTAGAAGTCTCTCAGGAGAGATCATTGATCTCGTGCCACCTGATAATCTAGCCCGTTAGTGTCTGGACATACCATCTACTGGCAAGCTATCCCTTACGGTGTCGGCTGCACCGCACACTCTCGACAGGCTCCAGTACTATTGGATAGCGAGAGAACATGGGAATCTCCAAGAGCCTTCCCGGAAGGTGTACGAATCGTTCGTAGATGACTATTCTCCATGTGGTTTGCCTTTGGTTTTCTTAAGCTCCCCTCCAGGCTGTGGAGTAGGTGTGGGCGGTGATATGTAGACCATGGTTCCCTTGTCCTGCGTGCCGTCCCTTCGAGACACTTGAGCCGCCTGAGTCAGCACGGAGTCAGCGGCCCTTCCCTAAAACGTACATCGGTGCACGTGGTCGCACCTTCTGAGCAAATACGTAGTATTACATAGTATTATTAAGTGGTAGGGGGCCTCGGGCCCTTTCGGTCAGCTCGAAATGCCAGAATCTCTCCTGACTTAGGTTCGGTACTAAGCAGGTACTTTTGCCTTCCACCGCCTCCACAAACCGCAGGATCATATCTCATGGATATGCAATCTCTCTCATTTTGAAGCAGAACATCCATCTCAGGGAGACGCTCTTCCACAATGAATGGGAATAAATTTCTCTTTGTGAACACGACAGGGGCACCGGGAAGTGTCAAAGAGCGTGAACTTGCAAGGTCCCAGGCTCGATCCCACGCGGCTTTGGCTTCACGAAATCATCAACAAGACCCACTCAAAGGTCCACAAGACAATAATAATGGCAAAGAGAACCTTCCACCAGATGAGAGCTCACAAGCTTCTTCCACCACCTCGTCGCCGAGTAAGTTGCGGCACCCAGCTTGTATTCCAATCCTCCTTCTGGCCTGGCCCATCGATGCATTTGTCTCTTCAATTTGACCATAAATTTGCAGCATTGTGATTGACATATGGAGTAGAAGCCCGAAATAGCCCGGACCCACCTGTAAAATCTATCAACATCAAGTTCCGGCTTCATGTAGCAGGCCGAAAGAAATCACCGTCATCAGCAAAGATTGTATCACAGAACCGAGGCCAATCGAAGAAAAAACCAGTACCACACAATGAACTGCAGCTGCCGCCTATCAGCCTGCTGAAACCAATCAATAAGAGCAGCTTGGATCCTTTTGTTCGCCCGGCCGCTGACTTATCAGTGCCAGACATGCACCTACTTCACTTATGTAAGATGACCCTTCGAACAATCCGCGGCCGATGTCCGACATTCCACTAATGGCTCCTGCAATTACTTAGACCTGACAAAGATGCCACACGAAACCTACGGGACGACCACAAGCCCCATTGCTGCTAAGCTTTATGAGGGTAGCATGGTAGGGGTTGAGCAGTTTGAAATCAATCTTCTCTGGTGCCTCATGTCTATCGAAACCACGTTCACAAGCTTTCAGGCCTCTGAGTCCGCCCGAAAAACATCGATTCTGGCGCGCAGGAGTCGAATCTACAACCTCATGAAAACGAAAATTAACGAGCTGAAGATCAACTCATCTAAAGATCCGCTGGAAATGGACAATTTCATGCTCGTCATTTCTATGGCAGCCACTATCGAGAGGCGAATGCGCAACTTCCGCCAGGCAGACTTGCACACGAAAGCGCTCAAGGATTTCCTCCTTCTCAAAGGTGGAATTACCGCCATCAAGAAGATGGTCTACCCGCAAAACTTAATGATCGTCAATGCCCTGATCGAGATCGGCCTGCAGGGGCTTTACAATTCCCGTGAGTATCTGCTGAGGAGGCTGACAGCCATCATGGAGAGATTGCGGCAGTTGCAGGAATGGAACCATGCACTCCGTTATCGCAGACAGCCGCGGGCGTCCAATACTGTTCGTGGTGGTCAGTCCCGGGCTGTGCAGTCTCTCCCAGGAATTGACTATCTTGATCGGCGTACACAGGCCTTTCATAAACCAGCATTATTCACGTATATCGAGCTCCCTCTGGGAAAACCCACTGCTGAAGAGTACAAGTTCTACTTGTCGATGCTCTTCGCCATCAACACGGCGCTATACGCGTTCCGGAATAGCGAGCGCACGTGCACAACGTACCTCAATCTACTTATTGAATGCACCGAGTCAAGCCACCCTTCGAGCAGCTTCATCTTGCAGTGTTTTGGCGCGAAGCTGCCATGCCTACTGCTTCTGATCATGCTGGCCCATTACGCTGCGGACAGCGAAGGCCACGACGAGTTCACTAGGGCTGTTTTCGATGTCGAAGAAGTTTACGAGTTCGTTGAGCTTATGATGATGGCCAGTGCTGACTCTAGAGATATGGTCCTCAAGGTCATGTGGTCGTGGTTGGCGAGCCCAGACGCTTCAGGTGTCGGCTCTCTCAGCTCCACCAAGTTCGATATCATGGTAGACGAGATCGAGGACCAGTGGCTTGCCGATCAAATTCACCCCTTACAAGGGCACAGTTGATGGATATTTTCGATCGTGAACTCTTGTACGATACCACCAAAAACCGCAAATCTACATGTGTCATGTTGGCAGTCGCTACGGCTACATATGCGCACTTACAACCTAAAGACAACCATTTTTTACAAGAACTATATATATGGAATGTATTCAGCAGGTGGACACTGTACAAACAATACTTTTATTTATTGTTACAAGAGGCGCAAGCACTGTCTAGGCTCTATTGAGCCGGGGCGCGCGACGAGCGAGCCGCTTAACTAGTACCCAAAGACTTCTCCGACACTCAAACCAGTGACCCTCACGCTGGCAAGAGCCACGGTTATCAACACGAGGTCCACGATCACCAAAACTCCGTTTGCCATTAGGTAGCGCGGCATAAACACGCGGTACAGCATTAGATGCCGCCGCAAGTGGCCGGCCCAGAGGGTCGTCGCTACCGCTATAGTGGCGTAATAGAGTATGTGCGTGAGACAGGCCGTCAAGACGTCGTTCCAGATACCGCGGCTCAAGCCTGAAGATCTCCCCGTTGGGCGCTTCCACAGCACCGTCAGGGGAACGGCGGCGGCGCAGAGAATCTGTGCACCGAACGTATTTAAGATGACCAGCAGTGGCGACCACGGATAACGAATTGTGCTGAGTGGGACAAAGGCGCTGTTCCATTGGATCGAAGCCAAGGTCGCTTGGTGACCGGTCTTGAAGAAATGGTAGCTCCCCAACAAAGCAAGGACGATCGGCCCGATCGACGACTTGTACCGCGAGGTGATCATGAGATTGTTCGTGTCTAGGATTTCAAGTAGGCACAAGATCTGCCAGGTTAGGATCGCCATGCTGTATTGGCCCATTGGCGGGAGGAGCAGAGCAATGGTGAGGACCAGCATCGGGATGAGCAGAAAATATCGCGTGCCGTAGACATTGGCGTACCCGTAGATAGTCACTTGAGGGCGAGTTGGAGTCTGGTTCCCCGAAGTTGTCGTGGGAGGAATAGGATCGGCGATTTCAATGTCAATACATGGTTTCGCCCATACAAAGGTGCCAATACCGACAGGGATAGCAATTGCGAGTGCAGAGCGGGCAAGCACGATACCAGCTGTCTTCAAGGTGGACGACGTGAAGCTTTCCTGCAGCCAGTTGCCGTTGTCCGCCGCATCGACGGCCCAGTAGGCAGCCACAAGGACCAGCCCCAAGCGGAAGGTGAAGCCGATCCAGAAGCCAGCGGAGGCGGCATACGATGCAGTGGTATTGTAGAAAGACTTGATGATTTCCGGCAGGACGAGCGCGACCGTGAACGGGATCAATAAGTGCCAGGGTGCTGAAGTTGTCGAATTGGATGAAGCGTAGAACGTGGATCGACAGCCCGGCATCTGCTCTTCACGACACAAGCGCGAAAACGAAGCGGAGCGCGTGAGAAAGGTGAACACCACAGACTGGTAGATCCCCAAGACGCGGTCGCTCTTAGCAGCCTGTCGCAGGGACGACATCAACGACACAACGCCAAAGGACGTAAGAAAGAAAAGGAGAATCGTGTCTTCGTGAATCGTGTATGAATTTGATGCAAACCCCGCTGATTGCGCGATGCAAAAAACAGCCGCCATACCGCCCCACGCAGAAGGCTTGAAGGATCCGCCTATTAGTCGGTTGCGGTATGCCCATGCTGTTGCAGATATCAAACCGATGATGCTGGTGCCGAAAATGATGCCGGTGAGTGTGGAGAAGTATGAGGGGAGCAGAAAGGGTAGCGATGCGCCGATTGCTGCTCCTACAGCGGAACCAAGTGCGGATATCCTGAGAAGTCCCGTGGTTAGACTGTCGCTGTCACCTTTGGAAAAACGAGAGAATAGGAAGACGAATATCAGAGCAGTGGTCGAGATTATGACGCCAAGGATCATGTCTGAAAGGTTGAAATTCGCCCAGAGCTTTCGGTACATCCCGATTACTTCACGTTGCCATTCGGCATAGGCATAATATGCATCCTTCCATTGTCCGGAAGACGTTGCGTCGTTTGCGCGCTGGAGGAGTTGTGCTTGATATTTGTGGACATCGTCTTCAAGGCCAAGGTCTCGAGACTTTGAATAATGTCCTTGATACCTTGCGATTTGACTCTGCGCTAATTGGTGGACCGTTGCAAGAGTTTCCCAGTCAGGGGTTCGTCCGGGACCTGCGAATGTCTCCGCAATGGGTTTTCCAAGGTTGTTGAATGGGATGGGCAGACCTAGAAGCAAAGAGAGAGTTGACACAAGATCGATCTGGCCGACGGGTCGTTCTTTGGCAGTGGCAGGCGGCAGGGTGGCCGATTCATCTGTTCTGCCAAACCGTGGCTTCTTGGAGTACATCCACAGTGCTGCCTCAACTTCTTCGTCGGATTCTCCGCCATGATCCCCTTTCGTATCCATTCCGTGATCACCTAGAACAACAAGAAGTGTATCATCGTCTATTTTACTGATTATCTGCTGCAAGACGCTGTTCATCTGTTTAAGCTTGTCTGCCATGGCTTGGTGATCGGGTCCATAGCGATGGCCAGCGTGGTCAACGCCAAGGAAATGGCCAAAAATAACATCCCACTTGGCAGGAGGATTCGTCAAAAGCGGCATTATGTGTTCGATTACTCCATTGTCAACTGTGTGGAGATCCCAGACATTGAAGGAGTCATATGGTCTTGTCATATTAGGGTCAAAGTACCCAGGGAAGAGAGCGTGCCATGTATCGTCTCCAAGATGCACCACTGTCTTTCCAGCATCCTTCAGATGTGAGATAATGTTATCCTCCTCGATTGCCGTACCCGCAAAGTTCGAGCCTACATCTATGAATGTGGGTAGTGTACCAGTGGTCAATCCTTTCAGTCTCTGAAGCGTTGTAGTTGGAGGGTCCGCAATAAACGGGAGGAGAAATGCATTGGCTGGAGACGAAACCGCGGTGTCATACAACACTGGGAAATTGTCAAGATAGAAATTCTGCTGAGGTCCCGTAGTTGAACGATGAGAAGGGATGGTGAAATCGTATCGCAGGGCGTCAATTACTAGGACCAATGCTCGGTCAAATGTTTTCGGATGCCAGCATCCACTGGATTGTTCAGGCTGTTGGCCATTAGGTAATATACCGCATTCCGATCGGTTATCCAGCACCAGTCGGGTAAGAAGGAAGCCTTTCGCAAAAAAGAGGAAGCCAATGATATGCACAATCCTAAAAGGCTCAGTCAACAAGTTTCAGATCCACATGCGTGAGTACATACGTGAGCCAGAGAAGGAAAACGGTCAGGAGAATGTGGGTGACTTTGAGACTGACTATCTTCTGTTTCTCTATCGAATCTGTATTCGACGTAGACTGGCTGTCGGGCGGAGGAACATGGTTTGGGTCATTAGCTGGCCGGCTACCGCTTGTGTGGTCAACCATGGCTGTGCAATGGACCGCCTGGTCAAAGAGGACGTAGAAATAGAGGGAATACGATTCTGCACCGGAAATGCATAAAGAAAACAGTATGATATGTTACAATGTTGAATGCTGAGAAATGTATATGCGGTGCTGGTTCTCTCACTTTCGCAGACTGTACTGCGAACACCAAGTTACATTTATGTGTCGGTATACCTGCCCGATATATATAGAGTTTAGCGCTGTAGATCTCCCGCTAAAGCCTTGGCTTATGCAAGCATGATTTTTCGTCCCGCAGTTTCGATCTCCTTCCCCAGGCTGAGGCTGAGGCTGAGGCTGCGGTGTTTAAAGGGCTCACCAATTACTCTACCTTGTTCTCTGTCTTCTCTCGTCCGTTCCCCCAACTTTCGACGATGAAGGATTCAGGAGCAACGCAAATCCTGCCCCAGGCGTCCTTTAAGAAGCGTAACAACAAATCAAAGTCCACCATTCGGAAGCGAGAGGCAACTCCCCCCCAGAGCGAATCTGACTCGGGCTTTACGTCCTCAGAAGATGACGAGGGCAGGCAGATAAAGAGGAGGCGCAAAAATGCAGGCGTGATCGCATCTTCAACAGGGAACAATAAGCTTCGTTCTGCTCAGGTAGATATGGAGCCAGCGACTGCAGTTGTTGCGCAGTCCAACAAAGATGACGCCACCAAGATCTCCAATTGGTTTGACGACGCCAGCGAGAACAAATCCGGAGGAAATACAAGCGTAAGAACGACGGACGGAACTACACTAGACGGCACGTATAAGGGTGCTGCCAATTATCAGTCATTCATACAAAAGAATCCTGACCGAACAAGCAAGCAAGTGGGACCACTCAAAGCCTCAAGCAACGTAAGAACAATTACAGTCACAGATTTTGCTCCAGATGTGTGCAAAGATTACAAACAGACGGGGTTCTGTGGATTTGGAGACAACTGCAAGTTCTTGCATGCGCGCGAAGACTACAAGCAAGGCTGGCAACTTGATCGGGACTGGGAGGTCAACACCAAAGGGAAGAAGGCGTCCGGCACAACTGTCGCATCAGCAAATCGAAGTGGACAATCGACACAAGATGATGACGATGACGAAGCCCTCCTCGAGAGCATCCCCTTTGCCTGCGTTATATGCAAAAAGTCATACACAAACCCTATTGTCACCAAGTGCGGGCACTATTTCTGTGAGGCCTGTGCACTGAAAAGATATCGGAAAGATCCGTCTTGTGCAGCTTGTGGCTCTGGTACGAACGGTGTCTTCAATACCGCCAAAAAGTTAAATCGACTTTTAGAACGGAAGCGAGAGCGGGAAGCGCAAAAGCGGGACAAAACGATAGAAGCAGGGGAGGAAGCAGGATAAACTCTTTTCCAATAATGGAGGTAAATGTCTGCACAAGGCTCGAGTCGGACTGACTTTTGCCATGGTATGTGATGAGCCAATCATGCTTAGGGAGATGCGTTGGCAGTCATCGCATTCTATTCTAGATCAAAGGGTTGTCCAAAGGGTGACCATCGCAGGCAGACAATCAATGTTCATACACTGAACCGAAAAGGCAATCGCTGATCAACCGTTGTTTGAATTGAAACTCTATGACTCAAAATGCTATTTCAGCAAGAAGACCATTGCTCATATGCCGCACCGTAAGGATCAAGAATGCTGATATACTGCGCCGTAAAGAGGATCATTGATTCATGGGGACCCTGTCCTCAGCACCGTTTTCATGATTCTTGAGCCTTGGTGATGGAGGATCGCCTCGAAGTCCATGCAGAGCTGTTTATATCGTATACTCTCGGCGTCAAATTTTGGGTTTCTACAAGTCCTCACTGTGGGAATGTGCTCGCACAGCATCCGCTGGGCAGTCTGAGTGTGAAGCATGTCTAAGAAGATTTTACTCACTGGTGCGACCGGATATGTGTGCGTATGCATTATTCCGGGAATTTGATTTGCCCGACAGTAATCTTGACATGAAATTCTCTGCTGATGTTGGGTGATTTATGCAGTGGCGGCACCGTGCTGGCAACGCTGCTATCATCAAAAGATCCAGCAATCCGAGAGTCACCTATATCGGTCCTTGTACGCAAGGACGAACAAGCTCGCGTTTTAGAAAAGAGAAGTGTTCGTGTATTTTTGTTTCAGGGATTCGACGACAGTGATACGATACGACAAGTCGCCTCTAAACACGATGGTGGGTCGACCGTGGTTGCACTATGGATTGCCTGAAAGTGGACAAGCAGCCTTCCCAAGCTTTATAACTGATTTTTGTGCCGGGGTTAGTTATCATACATACCGCATCCGGCTTTCACACGGACTGTGCAAGGTCGCTCCTGGAAAGTCTATCAAATCGAATGAAGCAACTGGGTACAGATGTGTACTATCTCCATGTAAGTCACTCATCCCCTTGTCATCTGCTTGTTGGGTAATATCGAGGGGCTCCAGACATCTGGGACGTCAAGTTTAGCAGATAGCCCTGTCCTAAATCTCTACGGAAAGCACCGGCATCCACAAACAATTTTCTCAGATAACGACCCCAGGCATGTCTTTGAGACTATTCGGGCCTTAGAGGCTTCCCTGAGTTATCCTCAACGAACCACAGATTTGACCGTGTTTTCCACCGGCGAAAGTCGGGGGATGAAGACCTATATCTTATACTTACCCATCCTTTATGGCATCGGGACTGGTGAGTTTAACAAGATCTCCGGACAGATTCCAGCCTTGATGAAAGCAACCATCCGGCATGGCTTCACGAGTGTTGTGGGCGATGGCCAAGGTCGTAAAAGCCATGTGCATATCGAGGATGTTGGAACCTATTACGAATTGCTGCTCGGCCAGATATTGATTGGCAAGCCTGTACCATCGGGGCTAGATGGGGTGTTTTTCGTGGTCTCCGGTTCTCAGTCCTATCAGGATATCTCGATGGGAATTGCAAAAGCAGCCACCGAGTTAAGCATCATCAAGGACGAGGACCTAACTTCCTTAACCATAGAGGAAGCCGTGGCAAAGCTGGACTGGAGCGAAAGCAAAACGGCCGTCGAACTGGCTTTCGTTTCAAAGTCAGTAGGACCGATCTTGTTTTTAACTATCTTGTTGAATCATGAGGCACTTCTGGACCACATGCTGACTTTCATTTGGCTACAGTGTACAGGCCACAGCCGATAACGGCAAATCGCTGAATTGGAAGCCGCGACATCAGGACGACCATTTCAAGGGGCATTACACTGAGGTGTGGAAAGCTGTTCTTGAGGACCTCAAAATGAAACTGGGATAAAGAACTGGGATAAAGTTGGGGTAAGAAATATGTCCTTGAAGTAGATTGCAGCAGCTCTCATATGATATACCTTTCACGGTAGTGTGATCTCAGCGTCACGACTTGAACCTTCTATGTTTCGAAATCAAGTGTTCCATCTCGGGTTAATCTTTGACAGTCTGGAAGAAAGCTCTAATCAATTTCACAATTATCAATTCCCTTCAGCCCGATCGACGGCTGTGTTTTATGATACCCACTCCAATATACTGCAGGCCGATTGGTATGCTACTAAGAACCATGCATCCGCCAGTGAAGACTATAAGCCATTTGTACGAAGAGGCGCCAAAATCCGAAAGAGAAACACCGTTGGAGATAAGGCCAGCACTTATCGGCGACACCAACACGTTCCCTATTCCTTGAAGAAAGACAAGAATGGCGTATGTGGCCACCATAGCAGATTGGTCATCACTCACGGCGGTCCCCATTGCCACACGCATCGTTCCAAACCCAAAGGCGAAAACACCATAGATGATGCTGAACGTGACAAGCATCGGAAGGGATTTGGAGAGTCCCCAGAAGACAAATGTGGCACCCGCAGAGAATACCAAACACACTAAGACAAGCGAGGTCACTGAAAAGCGCTTATCTGAGAGGTAGCCAAAAGCGAATTGTCCGAAAACTTGAGCCGCAGACATCAGTGCGAGAAGAAGAGCTCCTTGCGTGGAGCTTAGACCAATATCTGCTGCGTAAGAGGGTAGGAAAACGGGCGGGATGAAGAATGCCAGCCCTTGGACCATCGTTGAAAAGCAAAAGACGTAGAACAGTGGCTTCTTCAGAAACGACCAATTTGTCCTCGACATCGTGCTGTGCTCGGAGGGAGGCAGGCGACCTTCCAAGAGTGGAATAAAAGGCGCAGTGAGGACCACCATAGCGACTGCGGATGCTCTCAGTGTTGTTCTGTGGCCATACCTTCTCAACATTGCTTCGATGATAAATGGCATCACGACGCCAGTGACACCAGATGACGCCGAGAGGAGTCCGAATGCCATTCCCTTCCGCACGACCCACCATTCGTTCAGCATGCTGACGATGGGGTAGGCCAACATGACAAAGCCAACGCCGTACATGACTCCCTGTGTCGCGACAAGGCCGCCAAGCGTAGACGAGAATGATGCGGCGAGAAGCCCTAAGATGCAAAGCGGCCAAGAGATCCATATCTGTTGCCGCTGATATCTGGGGAATCTTTTCGTGACCATGGCGCTGAAGGGTGCTCCCAGGAAGTAAAGACCTTGTGCGGTCGTTCCTATCAAGGCCACATTGCTTCTTGCTAGCCCTGGCAGCTGAGAGTAGTAATTCTGAAAGACGCCAAAGCTCATTGGAAAGCCTGCAACGTGTCAGCAGAACTGAAATTCTAGCATTCTCACTATCTCTTCGGTGTGATAGCCCTTACCCCATAAGAGGGCGTCGAAAATAAAGGCAGCGATAAGCACCTTCCAAGCAGAATATCCTCCATCCACTGGTCGAAGACTCTGAGTGATGATATCATTTGCTTCGTGTGAGGTATAGTTGTGACTTGTTCCATCATCATCTGGTACCTCAGCAGGCAAACCTGGAAAGCCGTTTGCCTCGACAGAGCCGGCCGCATGAGACTCATTGAGTTGTACAAGGGAAATAGAACGCTGTGATCTTGTTACAGCCATGAGTGTCAAGGTGAAGATCATCAATAAGGACGAGGGTCGTAGAAACCATAGTAGCAAACTATCGCCCTTTGTCATTGTAGTGAAAGTTGACGCAGATGGGCGTGGCGTACGGGTCGGAACCGACCTGCTTGTACCTGGAAGGGCGCAGATAAGTAGCCGGGGGCGGACTTATCTAGCACTGCGATCATCGCCTCTTTTAGTCTTTCCTCTTTCGAACCATCCTTGCAGACGGGAAGATTCCTCAGCTCCATGGTGCATACCTAGGTAGGGATGACCAAACTTCTTAGTAACTAAAGCACATCTAATGATCCCATGAAACTGGAGATGCTTAGTTCCCAAAAGTGGCTCTTTCCTCCAAAACTTCTGTTGAGACGGCCCTCTCGTAAAGTAACCAGGCGAATGGAACAGCCTTGCCCCCTACAAGTATTAGAGCCAGTCTTGCCTACCAAGGTAGGTGGATACCTATACAGACAAGGGTGCTTTCAAGCGTTACCTATGCCGCTTAGCGGAGGCGGCGCTGCAGCCGCCCCTGGGCCGCCGAGCTCCTTCCAAAAAAGCTTCCGGTGTAAGCACCTCATCATATAGAGATTCTCACATTACCGTAAACAATGCAAGTTAGCAGTTACAGTTTCTAGTCCATGGGCTTCTAAATGCTGGTATTCACCGAAAACTATTTAAAACAGCTGCCTATCATGGGTAAAACATGGCACCGAGCCAATTCCAAGCTTCTTAATCTGTATCGAAATATCCACATCCCCATGTTCTTGATCACAAAATGGCTCCAAGGTCGGCATTAGTGCTCATCGATGTCTACAATGATTTCCTTCACCCCAATGGTAAAGCAACTGGAGCATTATCTGAGTCTCTGAAAGACTCCAACACAATCAAGCACCTTGAAGAAGCTCTCCAGTCTGCTCGCAAGCATAACGTCCCGATCTATTACTCCCTGCACCAACAATATCACGACGGCAAGTACGCAGGATTTGAACGCTGGAATGCCATGTTGGAGAGCATACAGCAGACTCGGGGCTTTGAATTGGGCAGTTGGGGAGCCGAGGTTTATGCAAGCCTCGAGCCCAAATCTGAGAAGGGAGATACTGTGATATCAAAACATTGGAATCAAAGGTTAGTGCTCAAAGCATGTCAATAATACAGTCCAACCGCCCACACCCTGGTGGACAGTTCTTTCAAAACACAGATTTGGACTGGTTGCTGCGTCAGCATAACATCTCTCATTTGGTGTTCGCAGGATTGGTGGCTAATTCGTGTATCGAAACTACTGCAAGGGAGGCAAATGAACTGTGAGCAACTCCACTGACCTCCGCTTGAAAGGCTCGCTGACATTTCATGGCAGAGGCTATAGTATCACAATGCTGTAAGATTTCACTCGCTCCAATTGACCCGAGGTGTGAAGCTAACTTTCCCTGAAAAGGTCGGACGCAACTGCGGGCTGGACATCGTCAGCGAAGGATGCGGCAGTGCAGTATAGCTGGCCTGAGTTTGCACAACGAATTTTAGAGACGAAGACCTGGTCAGAGAATTTAGAAGCAGATGACTCTTAGGGTGAAGTTTGAACCATCGAATGCTTCGTCCTTGAAAGAGTTAGAACTGCTATGATACGCTTTGACTACCGTCTTACTGTTACACTGTCCCTGTATTCTGCAGCTAGTGGGAACGACCTCCCACGAGGCTTCAAACATCGGTTCAGACAGTAAGGTCCAATTGCTGTTCCGCTGAGATATCTAAGGTTCATTCCTATTCCTCTACTACTTATTTGTCTTCTAGCTCAGCAAAATACCGTCGTCCGCGAACTTCTCGGCCTGACCTGCGCAGCACTGGACTGGGAGTTTGCGGCACTACAAAGTCACTTTGCTGCCGCCACGTAGCGCTTGCAAGTCTTTTCGTTATACGTTTTGCAACTCAATTGCAGATCAATCGTTCTAGTCGAGGCAACCTTGACTTTCAACACGTTCTTCAACGTCTTCGGTGGAAAACTACCTCCAGAATGGGTGACCCTTCGACCGGCGATGTGATCAAGGACCTGCATAGAGATTTAGAGGGGAAATGCAACAAACGCGCTGATGCTTTAGAGCTGCACCGGCGAAGCTTCGTTCAAAGTCAACGACTACAATGCATCAAATCCAGCGCAGCCGATGGCGTCGTTCTCAAGCATACTCTGGATGAAAAGCAGATCTATTTTCCTAGTTTGGTGTCTTCCTCTATTTCGACCCATATCGATCGTCGCCATTGACATGCACTGGCCCTCTTTTTTCCGCACCATTAACGCCATTCTGTTTAGCCTTTTGCATCACCTTGTCCATAGCCCTGCCTAATCTCTCTTCTGCCTCGTCTGTAATTTGATAATGCACGACAAGTCGTCCACTTAAAGCTTTCAATCCTTCTTCGCTAGCGATCTGGACAAACTCGGCCGCGGAAACTCCCTCTGTGGCCAGGTCCAACCAGACCATATTCGTCTCCGTTGGATTCGCCAGCTTGCCGCCCCTGGATCCCCACATCTCAGCGATACGCTTCGCTCGCGCATGGCAGGCGCGCAGTTTACCACCTTCACCATGCGGACCGTGTCCAAAGCCTTCGTCCACTGCAACTCTGGCAGCGGCGCTGATTATGCCGGACTGCCTTGTTCCGCCACCTAGCATCTTGCGGATATGTCGCGATTGGGTGATGAACTCGCGATTACCGACGATGATGCTGCCTATGGGCGCCCCGAGGCCTTTAGAAAAGCACATACTTACGCTGTCGAAGGGCGAGCAGAACTCTGTTAGCGTACCGGCGTTGGCGGCTACGGCTTCCCAGATGCGGGCGCCGTCTAGATGGAGCTTTATGTCGTGCTCCCTGGCGAATGCTGCTATGCGTTGAACCTCGGAAAGGGGCATTATCATCCCGTTGAGGGTGTTTTCTAAGCTGATGACTTTTGTGGGGCAGGCGTGGACATCGGTAGAGAGGACTGTATGGGCTTCGACGTCCTCGAGCGTTAGATGGTGGTTATTCTTAGGGTGCACGGCGATCAGCATTGCAGAGGAGAGCGACGATACGCCCCCTGCTTCGTAGTTGTAGATGTGTCCTCTGATGTCGCATAGAACCGAATGTGGTGGCTGAGAGAGGTGAGTTCGCAGTGCGACTTGGTTGCCCATCGTACCCGACATGACCAGAAGTGCGGCTTCATGGCCGGAGAGTCTAGCGATATGAGCTTCTAGGTCGTTAGTCGTAGAATCTTCTACGTAGACGTCGTCCATTAGCGTTGTGTTGGCTATGGCGTGCAGCATTGATGCATTGGGGGTTGTAATGGTGTCGGATCGGAAGTCCAATGCCGCTGGGCCGGGCTGCTGCCAGGCATTCATCTTCTTGTGGGTTGCTGCTTGGTCGTTGGCGGCAGCTATTGCAGGACTATTCTTCACGTCAGTGAGGGAATCTGATCCGTTCTGTGTTGTTGACGAGGCCATTTGCTGTGCTTGTTGGTTGATAACGTGATATAGATGATATCGCAGACCAGACCAGCTCACTCGTGGGTGGAGATTCGAGTATAGTTTTGATTCTATATTTGATCCAATTCTCGTCGATGCCTTGATTATTCTGGCGGTGGCAGCGAGCATCACCAGGTGTTAGAGTGAGGGCGAAAAATATCTTGTTGAAGGGCGCGCGAATCACTTGCAAGTTGCATCTTCTGTGGAGCAGCGACTCGGACCGATGTGCGAGCGTACAAGTCCGTGATCCTTCCTGGATCTCATAGAAATATAATAGGTATGCTACAAAACAAGTGCTACTACCACATCCGCTACGTCCACTGCACTTTGACCTCTCCTATTCTCCGATATCTACTGTATCTTGCCCAGCATCATCAACCCGCTTCAAACACGCACCCAAGAGCCAGCACGTAGGAAAGTCCCGTGCACCATGTCTCCCAGACCGTGCCATCCCGAGATATGCGCTCAATGGGCGCTTTCAAGCGGTTGGTATCTACCATTACTATCTTCTATATGAGCATATCGCGGTGGAGCCACTTATAGCCAGACCAATCTGGGCTCGTCTTTGGGCCGCTGCAAAATGGTAACATCCGCCACCTCTATTTCATTATCGATCGCGCAAAAGTTCGGAACGAACTCGAGCGGCCTGTTGCTGGAGAACCCCACAGTATCTCCGCTGATCAGTATCGCGTGGCTCTTTTAGGGTGGTGATGAAGGTTCACAGGCCGTTGCCATCCAACCCGGGGGGTCGGCTTTTCGCGCTGTACAGCCAGCAGGAAACGCAAACCCCCGAAAACACCACCTCCCGCCTCTGTCGACCTCACGGAGGTGGAGCGCGAACCTAAGATACGGGAAGTGGATAACCGATAACAGGTACTTTGGTGGTGCGGCTAGGCCTATCCGTCCATATCGGCACCAGCCCTAGGTATATAATAATGGAGGTGCTCTCACATAGCTGACCTCCATTCTTGTTTGCCACTCACCTCGAAATGTCTGTTGAGAACACCCAGAAGCCTGTTAGCGGCGATGCCGTCGCCCGCCCAGACAAGGAACTCAATGTCGAGGAGAAGCATGCGGGGCAAGATCTCGACACAGGGGACATGATCGACACTTCTGGTAAGCTTTCAGACGCTCACGGAGCAAGCCAAATTTGCGACTGAAATTTTACCTAGATTATACCCCCGAGCAGTACAAGAGGATTAGATGGAAGGCAGACCTTTACCTGATGCCTTTGCTGTAAGTTCGCTCCGAGTTACAACTGACCATGGCGGTCTGTGGCTAATGGGGGATCGGGTGAAAGTTTCTTCATCGATGGTATCCAAATCGTCGACAAGAACGCCATCAGTATCCAGGCAGTGTTTGGCATGCGCGAAGATACTGGTCTCCACGGCCAACAATACCAGTGGCTGACTACGATTTTCTACCTGGCATACCTGATTGGTGAATTCCCATCAGTCTACTTGTTGCAAAGATGGAGGGTGGGCTGGACCTTGAGCTTCTACATGCTGGGTTGGGGCGTCTCCGTCATCTGCATCAGTGCCGCGCAGAACTTCGCCGCCCTGATTGTGTTGCGCGCTCTACAGGGCTTCTTCGAATGTGCCGTCAAGCCCGGATTCTTGCAGATCACCGGTGCCTGGTACAAAACCGGAGAGCATTCCAGCCGCTCTCTCCTTTGGCAGTCTTCCGAAGGTGTCATTGCCGTCATCTGCAACTTGATTCTATATGGCATCGCTCGACACGCGGAAAACCACACTGGCCTTGCCGCTTGGCGCTGTGTCTCGCTGTTCTTGGGCTCCCTCACCATTGTTGGTTCGATTTGGAGTTTCTTCGTCCTGGGAACGGTTCACGAAGTGCGATGGTTGAGTCCAGAGGAGAAGCGTATCGCGTATGCTCTATTCCCAAGACCACATTTCTCTGGACTTGCACTAACTGGGAAAACAGGACTGCCCGTGTTATTGAGAACGGTGCCGGTCAAGACACCACCGGCAAACGATGGGATTGGGATCAGGTGATCGAGGCATTGTGCGATCCTCAATTCTACTTCTCGTTTCTCAACACCTTTGTCACCTGCATTCCTAATGGGTGAGTTCCCTCTCACCATGTTGTCTTTTACTTCTCCCGTTAACCAACGTCGTCTAGTGGCATCACCTCGTTTGCATACCTCATGTATCAATCCTTCGGCTTCGACTCATATCAGTCTATGTTGTACGGCCTTCCGCGTATTTCGGTCTACACGGTCGTCTTCATTATTGTCGCGTGGTGGACACAAAAGGTTCAGAACCAGCGTCTCTGGATCACGCTGCCCTGCTGTGTTCTGCCATTTGTGGGAATGCTCGTCATGTCGCTATTACCCAATGGGCCAGAGTACAAATGGATCAAATGGGGCATGTTCATGTGCACCATTGTCTTCAGCCTTGCCACCTTCCTGGCCTGGAGTTTGCGTAAGTCCAACCTCTTGCAATTCGCACTTCCAGTGGACACCAATGTTGATTTACCCTGCCAGTACCCTCCAACTTTCTCGGGAAGACGAAGTATTCCTTTTCTTCGGGAATGACCCTGATCGCATACTGCACGGGCAACATGGTCGGTTCGCAGGTCTTCCGCACCAAAGATGCCCCTCGCTACGTTTTGGGCACCATCATCTGTTCCGCCTGCTTTGGACTGCAATTTTTCATCCTCCTGGGCTGGCGTCTGTACTACACGTGGGAGAACAAGCGCCGGGACCGCCTCATGGTTGAGATGGGCGTTTCCGAGGAAGACCGCGTGCGCCTGGCTAGGGAGCTTGGTGAGCAGGGCAAGACTGATCGCCAGAACATCTATATTCGGTATGCCATGTGAGCGGGAATCTGGAAGACAAGTCGTGGAATATATGGTTGGATGAGAATGGCGGCTTTGTGCCAAACGGTTGGGAAGATAGGATTCTTGCGAGAATTGGGTCGACAGCCTCTTTATCAAATAGCTGTTCTCGTGATCCTACCTTAAAATCGAGATTCGAGAAATCTTGAAGCTGAAACTGGGTTCTGAAATTTGGTCCGTCAACTATTTTGCAGTAATGGGTTTTACTGGTTAAATCGTGATTCGTAATACCAGCGGTCTAATTTATAACGGCTCTCGGTAATACCATCGGTACGGATATATCGCCTCCGCCTCACCACCATCACTCACAATTTACTAGCGCCCATGGAGCTCGGGTGGCTCCCATCCAGTATCTCATTCTTGGTGCTGGCCAGGCGCTCCTCAGTTGGTTTGAACAATTCAGGGATGCCTACCTCCTCAAAGGACTTTCCCTGCATCATCTGCACCAGACCCCGCGCAGAGAGCAATATCATTGGCATGCCGTGGCCAGAGTAGCCAGCCAGGATGGCCTGCCCTGGCTTGCCGGGCACGTCGCCCACATATGGCATGAAATCGGATGTCCAGCCCATGACTGCGCGAGCACTAGTTAGCATATGCGACATATGGAAGATGGGCTTGCTGAAAAAGAGATTCAGGGAAGGGGAGATTTGGGGATTTCCATACTTCCTGTCCAGACCCGCTCGGTGTAAGCACCGCTGTTCTCCCAACCTGCAAATGAGCGTTGCATCAAGCCATCGAACCAAGGCTTCGCAGACTCGATCAGCTTGCTATCATCGTGGACGTTGTACCAATGGGATCGGTCGTGCCAGAACAAAGGTTTGGCTCCCCCGACGACTATACTGCCATCGGCACGGGAGGCGAGGTAGTCGAAGAGACCAGGTCCATGACGGAGGTTGTATGTGTAAGGGAGGAAGGGCCGATTCTTGCCCTCTGGGACGACGATGCGGCTGGCGATGCCTCGCACGGGGATAATATGTCTTGCGAACTGGGGAGCAATGTCGCGGGTGTAGGCGTTGGAGGCAAAGAAGATCTTCTTTGCCTTAATGCTGCCTCGTGGTGTGGCGACCAGCCACCGTCCATCCGGAAGTGGTTGGTCAGAGACCTTGGTGACGGGCGTGTTGGTCTGGAGATTTGCCCCTTTGTTCACGGCGCCCTGGAGCAGGTGCATGACCAGCTTGTAAGGCCACAGGTGCGCAGCAGTGACGGTGAAAGCAGACAAGGCGCCCTTGACACCCGACAACATTTCGGCATCTTTGGCTTTGGCATGGTAGACATCGGTCAGATCAGCTTCGCCTGCTTTGACCATCTCAGCAAAGGCCTCGTCGGTCGCTTTGGCCAGGCCCGGGTCGAGGATAACGTCGCAACTTCGCGTCAGGGTAAAGTCACAGTCGATGTTTTCTTTCTCGACCAGTTCTTTCATGGCGTGCAATTGAGACTTCTCGAAGCGAGCGACTTCAATAGCCTTCTTGGCGCCATATTTCTTGATGTGGCTGGCGAGTTGGTAGTATCTCTCCGGTTTGCAATGGCCTCCTGTGAGCATCTTGTTAGAATGGATCATTATCAGTGGTGATGGTTGTGGACTTACCATTCCTCGCGCTGGCACCTGAACAAGCTTCTCGAGCTTCTAAGATGACGACCGATGGAGGGGTTGGATTGTCTTCATAGATGTAATGTGCCAGAGCGGAGCCAGAGAAACCACTGCCAATAATGACAATGTCGGCTTCAGTAGGTAAGTCGGATGTACTTCGATGCTTGTCCAGAGCATGAAGTTGAACCCGCCAGAAGGGCTTGGTGGAGTTTGGTATAGGCTTATGGCCTGAAGTTTGATCTGTCATGGCTGGTAGTCGTGTATAGTCCCTTGTAGTAATATGGATGGCCCTCGCAGCGTATTCTGAGCCAAATGCGATAAGAATTGCAGCAAGTATACTTGTCTGGAACCCTGATCACAGGGCTGAAAGCGTTGTTGCCAAGATGGTATCAGATAATTGAGTGACTTACTCGCCCGTCGCCTCTGCGCGAACTTCCTCCGGTCGAAGACGGGCCCCGCCGATTGATACTGCACATAGTTATTATTAATAGTCAGTCATTAAGAAAACAGTCGGTCTGATTGGCTCGTCGGTGGAACTTCCAGGTCCAAATAAGCATACGGACCATCTCGTTGATTGTCGTTGGCTATCTATCGCTACCGTAGGTACTCGCATGCTGGTGTTCTACGAATGTCACCTGTTAATCACGCAATACTTGGTTTCAAGGCATCTCAAATCGTAATACAGTTACTGTTTAGGAGCCGCCGCAATGATCCCGTCAGCTAAAGCAGGCAAATCCGGCGATGTCACATCCATGTCACCAAAGATATCTGAGCATTGTTCCTTCTCCCAGACTGAGCACCACGCGCCCCGGAAGCTAGATGCAATATAAGTTAACTGAGAAATATCATCCAAGGTCTCTCCGCTACTCACCCAACTTGCTTTGCAGCCGCCGCATCCCACATATGCGCCGCAGCGAACCAAGCATCCAACCCACTGGGATCAAACTTGTCCAGCAAGAACTTGTAAGCACGAGGCTCGGGCTTGCCAATGCCAATCGTGTCACACGACACAAAATTCTCCTCGGGCATCTCGACACCCCCGTTCTTCAAATACCCCGCCACACGAGGAATGTCGCCGGCTGTGAGGCACCAGACCTTGAAGCCGGCCTTGCGAAGCTTATCCCAACACTCGACCAGATCGGGTCGAGCCTTGAGCTCTCGATACGACTGCAAGAGGAACTCGCGGTCCTCGTCGGTGGCGAACTTGCGCGGCTCTTGGATGCCCGCCTGCCACAGTGTTCGGTAGAAGATGGAGCGGAAGACGTCGAAGAACGGCCGGTATGCGCCCGCGATGCTGAGGTAGGTGTACTCTCGCTCTCCGGCTTCCATCCAGCAGTACCCGAAGATGCGGGTGCCGATGCCCTGGGCGCGGAATCTCTCGCCCATGCGCTCTTCGACGGCCTCGAAGAAGTTATCGTAAGAGATGCATGTTCCTGTGAGGTGAGAATGTGGTTTAGCTATAGTGCCCAAGGGATTCAATGGCTCATGTTCACTCGTACCGACAACGTCGAACACGACGTGCTTGTTGGTTCCAGCCATGCTTTGTTGCCGAGCTTCCTTGATGTCTTCGTTGTAGTGGCGTGCCAGTCATGACGGGGAGCCTCTGAGGAAATGCAGTAGTAATGACCCCAGGACATGCCGGGGTCTTACCGGCCCTGCCACAAGGCGCCTCAGGTGCCTCCATCGGCACGCCACGCCACAATTTTGCATTCGGGCGCAGAGCGCCGATTCAAGATGATTTACGTATGTGAATCGTTAATGAATTAATGGTCGTGAGGTGCGGGAATGAACAAGCTTGACAGGGTTTAACGGGCGGAGATCTCCAGGCGCCCCCCCCCCCGGGTAATGATGCCCTCATGCCGGTGTGGAGCTGATAGAGCAGCCTTCACGTTCATGGAGTGGTACCTGTGCTCCGGACGAAGCACGAATAGCGCGAATTAAGACTAAATTACCGGCTCAGCGATATGAGGAATACAGTACCAGACAGCCCCTCGGCGAATCGACTACGCTGGGTGCGATTCGCACGGGATCACAAAGCATCGACAGGCACTCCCTGGATGAAAGACCTTCGAATGATGCTTTACCGTGGAGTTGATGTTGGATAATTTTATTATTATTTTGACAAAAGACCGTAGAAATTGATGCTTTTAGATCCTCCAAGTCCTCCTAGATTGACTTCTACAGTTCTATTCTTCCCTAGGCCACGGCCTTAGCTGTATCAAATCCTCGTATCGCCTAGGTGATTCACGGATAGGCCTAGTCGGTGACACAATATATGGCGCACAGGTACCGCCTGGGCAGAAAAGCAATTACTTGGCACTGTTAGCGAATAGATACCATTATGGCCGTGGCTAGAACATCTGCACAAACCCGTATAGAAGAATACAGTATCATATTCATGTATAATGATCATAGAGTAACGAATTCAGAGACCGCGAGCAGATCGTGCACGGCCTGTTCTTGGAATGTCGCTGTATTCGACTAATCCTGCAACAGCTACAGCTCAGACTTCGTGCTCGCAGGTCGCAATTCTTGCAGCGAGGACACAGTTGCGCCGATGCTCTCTTTGAATTGCCGAAACTGTATACCCAGCACCTCCTTAATCTTTGAGTTGTCGAAGTTGAACATGTGCTTTCTATCAATGAGTTCGTCGACTGTATCCGTGGGCAGCTTATCTGCCAGCCCCGGATGCGTGTCTCTGATAGCATCAACAAGCATTTTGTTGGAATAGTGGCTGGCTGGGGAGAAGAAGCGCTGACCACCGGCTCCGCCTACTTCAAGAGCGCGGACATGGGCTGCAGCCAAGTCACGAACGTCAACCCACATTAAAGTGCCCGTGGGAGGAAAGTCGCCTTCTCGATGCTTGCCCTGGATGAAGTCGAGAACCCTCTGGTTGGACGTGTTGAGTGCATTGACGCTGCCCACGTTGTGTGCAATGGGTCCATACACTACGGGCGGACATATTGTAACGAGGTCAAAGCCTGGCTTTTGCTCTTGGACGAAATCCCAAGCAGCTTTCTCTGCAAACGTCTGTCGAATCACATCAGCCGAGAACATCGCGTTAGATACGAGGCCTGACTTGCCTTGCTACCGCGATACGCCTGATTGCGAATCGTAAGTGACGTTTCCCAAGTGACGGGATTCCAACATGACTCATCGTAGACTTCAGGCGCCTGAGCCTCATTGACCATTGCTGCAAATGATGAGGTCAAAACAACCCGCTTTATACTCGGAGCATAGCTTTTGGCAGCTTTCAGGATGCCAGTAGTACCCTTAATTGCAGGATCTAGGAGTTCCATTGGGTCGTGAAAGTTATCGTGGAATGGTGAAGCCGCATGGATGATGGCATCAAAGTTCGGATGTCTCTTGAAGATCTGTTCTCGTCTTAGGTGAGTTTTGCCATGTTCGGTGGTCGAGAGAAATTTTCTCACATCGTCAAAGGCGCCAGTTGCTGCAATGTCCTCCACAATCTCGTACGAGAGTTCGGTCCGACTTGTGCCAGAATGAAGACCTAGGACCGTCTCACCTTTGGCTCTGGATCTCACCGTTGTCACGACATTGTGTCTGTATCTTGCTCAACTTTTGATTCAAACGTTGAGACGGAGAAAATGGGAGACATACCTATTGGCCAACAGCTCATTCAGGATATGGGCTGCCACGAATCCGGTTCCACCTGTACATCATTGGCCAGTGTCCTAATAATAGGTGTATAAGTATCGTACCTGTCAACAGTATCTTCCCCATCGAAAGTGATTATTGTTGGCTATATGATCTATAGTTACTGCAACAATAGAACGCTCGCCTTCGACGCAATCTAAATTGTGTATGTCTGTCAACAATCCACAGAAAGACAAATGCTGCATGCCAACATCTCGGATGCACTTGTCATAGGTTCATCACGAATATTCGATAACGTGCTGAAGCGGAACTCAAACCAGATCTTGCGCTTGCATTCGATACCGGCGATGTGGCGATGTGAACAGTGCTGGGCCGTGCTTGTCGGCGCAGCCCGGCTCGAAACACATTTTCAGCGCTTTCCACCGAGATCGCCCGTCAATAGTGCAGGCTTACGATGTCGCCTGCCGGTGGTCGGTGTTGACCCCAACCCGTGCCTTGGATACATCGATCTACAGCTAAAGTGGAAGCATCAGCGGCCACACAGATCCCGTTCCCTGCAGCAAGACACCTTACCTCATTGTCACTTCAGCCAAGATGGTCGTTTTCGAAGTCCACACATCGGCCCTGTTCGATCCAAAGACCAAATGTGTGCGTAAGAATGTCGCAATCACCGTCGACAGCCAGAGTGGCCTCATCGTCGGCGTGCGTGAGCGCACAGATGAGGAAGAAAAAGGTTTGCAAGTCAATCTCGATGATGTTGATTTGCGAGGCAAGTTTGTTATGCCTGGCCTGGTAGATGCTCATACTCATGTCTTCCTGCATTCTTATGAGTAAGTTCTCTTCAATCTCAACAGCCAAAAACCCTCCCTGTCAATGTTGTATTCCTGAGTGGTAAAATCGTACGTTTTGAGGTTGAATCGACAATTCTGACTTGGTTCCGCGGCCGGTTCGTATCCACAGCGAGACCGATGCCCTTCGACAAAAGCGTGATGAAAGTATGACGGAGCGCATCGTACGCGCCGTCAACCACTGCCATACAGCACTCATGGCCGGATACACCACATACCGAGATCTGGGATCCGAGGGCATGCAGGAGTGTGACGCCAACTTGCGAGATGCCATCGCAAGGGGCCTTACGTCGGGCCCACGCCTCTTTGTAGCCACCAAGGTTCTCGCCAGCACTGGCTCATTCGAGGCGCGTACCGAGAACAACTTGGGTGGACACTGCCTACCTGCGCAGGCCGACGCTGTAGACGGACCAGAGGAATGTCGGAAAGCAGTCCGACGGCGTATCGCAGCCGGTGCAGACATCATCAAATTCTTCGCCGACTACAGACGGCGCATCATGCGATCACCCCCCGCACAACAGCATCCATACAAGCCCAGTGTGCTGCATCCGCCCAAGGAGCCGAACGCAGATTACATGGTATTCTCGCAGGAGGAAATGGATATGATCGTGCGCGAGGCTAACCTGGCGAACTGTCCTGCAGTGGCGCACTGCTGTACGCTCGAGGGAGCAATGGGCGCCGTTGAGGCGGGAGTCACTTCGATCGAACACGGCTACTTTGCCACCGACGAGCTGTTTCAGCGCATGGTGGCCAAAAATGTGATATTCGTGCCTACATTGGCCATTGCCGAGAAATTGCACGCAAAGCGCTTCCACAGCCACATCCTGCCCCAGGCCAAAAGGGCGCATGAGCTCGGTGTGCGTTTGGCCTGTGGTGGTGATACGGGCACGTATCCGCACGGCGACAATGTACGCGAGCTAGAATTAATGATTGAGGCGGGTGTTCCTGTCGCCGATGTTCTCGAGTCTTGCACCATGGGTGGCTGGGAGGCATGTGGTGGTGACCTGTCGGGTCGACGCTTTGGCTGGTTCGAGGAAGGCTGTCAGGCTGATATTGTCGCCCTTGATGAGGATCCGCACGTCTCGGCGACGGCCCTTAGAAACGTCAACTTCGTCATGAGGGATGGAACCATTTTTAAATTGAACAACAAGCCGTGGAGGATATGATTTGAAGCTTCAGTCTTCGAGGCGTCATTGCTGCACAGCATATGTATCCGGAATAGACGCGGGCGCAATGTTGGCACCTCGCACACCCGCCAAGCCATTAAAGCGGCATTATCTAATCGATCTATGACTGCTCCACCAGCTCCTTCCCTTCAAGTCGTATCTGATTCCCATGTCTGTCCAACCGCCGCACTTGCTGCAGATATTGAGGTGATGCGTTTCGAATTCATCCCCAAAAGCGCGTGAAACAGCCACGATTCATTTCTAACAAAGACTCCAGCAGAGTTTCACAATAGCACCTAACCCCTGAAAAGGGCCTCATACGGCAGTCCCCCAGTGGCTGCCGCCCCAATCTCTTGAGACCGCTGGAAGCAGCGTTCAAGGCTCTCGCGATCCCGCACCGTCAGCTTGACCTTGAATTCCTTGGCAATCGCATTCGAGTCGCTAGGGTCGTTCTTGTAATCAATATAGTCGATGTTGGCCGGCATGGTCTTGCTCTCCGTGAATCGGAATGACAGGATCAGACGACAGGTCATGGCATACAGAATTCGGTTGGAGAAATTCACGGCGGTGCACATCCGCGCTCCGGCGCCGAAGGCGAAGTGTAGTGGTGGTGGGATTTGACACTTTTCTGTGAGCCATCGTTCTGGTTTGAACTGGCCGGCATCGGCGCCGTAGACGCTGGTATCTGTTATGTAGGTAAGTATGAGTGTCTTGAGATGAAGCAGTTGCTTGGAGACTGACCTCGCGAGATTGCTTGAGTGTTAGTGTATATCAATACTCCTTTGGGAATCACTGCCCCCTGATAGACAATGTCCTTGTAGGTTTGTCGGGCTGGCAGTAACTTCAAGGGAGGAAAATAGCGAAGTGATTCCTTGACGATTCCCATGACATAAGGACATTTCTCCTCAGTCACGCACTTGTCGAACGCTTCTTCTACGCTGTCATAGACACTGAGCAACTCCTTGTACGCTCGTTGTTGTATCGCCTGTCCTTCATAGCGTGAAAGAACGCCCAGTGCGATAATCGCAGTTGAGTATGTGGTCTCGAAGCCGCCAGACATGAGGCCGCCGAGGATAGTCTTGACGTCAACTGACAGGTGTAAGCCTCATAATAATGACTTGTCAATGACGGGACGGGATCATCTTACGCTCAGTCAAGCCTTCATTCTTATCCGTCAATAGCATCTCTGCTACCGTTTGCTTGGCCATCGATTGCTTTCCAGTGTTTTGGCGAGCTCCTTCCAGCATAGCGGCCAACCAGACGTCACGTCGCCCTCGCACTTCCTTGGCAATGTCTAGGCGTCCATTGTTCCCGCTCAAATAACGGAGGTGGGGAATGAAGTCCGGCGCATTGGAGTTTGTTGATCGAAAACTAGAAAGTCTTGAGTCTGGAGTCAATGCCATACTCGTGCGCACACTCACCTGGCAATGGTTTTGGCATCTTTAAGGATCTGCAACAGGGTGGGGTCGTCAACATTGGAAAACCTAGTTCCATAGCAGAACATGCTCATGAGATTCAAGGCCAGGCGTTGCAGGTAGATGTGAGGAATCAGCTCAAACTCGCCACTATTGCTCTTGTAGTACATGCTAGACACTACAGCACACGTCTCCATGTCAAGCATCGACCTGAGCTGCTGAATTGATGGTCCAGTCGTGTAGGATCCAATGACCCTTCTCTGTTTCTTGGTTCTCTCATCCCAGGGACTGGTACCAATCGTTGCGGCTGTTCTGTGTCAGAAGCATTCTAGGCAAGCAGATAACGAGTTTGGCTGACCTGATGTTTTCGATAATAGTCCGTGGAACGTATAAAACCATGGACGATCCAAAGTAGCCGACTGGTTCTTCACCAGAAACTCATGGGCACTCTGGAAAGAGTTCAACATGATAGCCCGTCGCCGTCCCATCCGCAACTGAAACGCTGGCCATCCATACTTTTTGGACCAATCTTCGGCGGTGGTCGCATGGTCGGCGCCCAACTGGTACAGATGACCTGCGAGTAGTTCTCCGCCAGGGATTTCTGGAAGACCTTTGATAGCTGGGTGGTCAACGTAGAAGAAATGCAGACACAGCAACACAATCACTGCTGTGACAGCACTGACAAGGGCAGCTGCACCAAAGACGTGTACGTATGGTAGAACCATGACTGGGTGTGTGACGGGAGCCTGTCTTGGCGAGTTGCTTCGTACCTGGTACTATGCGATGGTACGGACTTACCTATATTGAGATTTGAAATCACTGGTCGCCACCTGCTGTACCGCCCATGAACATATGCCACCCAGCACGAGGTCCACTTGGCAAACCGCTAGTCCGCCTTGTGGCAGAAGAATGTAAGGACTGCTCGGATAACGGCGAGGTCTCGATGGTAACTTCGCTGAAAGCCGATACCAAGTAGCATATCCCTGCATAAAATATGGATGGTGCTCCGCTAGATAGCGTGGTTCGCCTTGTCAATATCAGTTTGCAAGGCTGTGGATACAAGCAGTAGTCTAGGGCCGTGGTGTTCTGGACTACCTTGCTATCGCCGTAGACATATGTGGCTAATCGGCTGTTCGGCTCAAGCTCATTATACACGAAACACAACACCACCATTACCGACACACAAAAGCTGATCCTGTAAATCAGCGAAGCGTTGTCAATAGATTGAGAATGGCCAGTCATCTGCAAGTGAGCTCACTGTTTGATATATCTGGGCGAGATGTGTGCATCACAGGGGCTGGTGAGTCATCTATTCAGCTCGTTGCTTCATCACTCGCTGAAAAGCAATAGGAAGTGGTATTGGTCGCATGTTGGCTCGAGGTTGTGTTGCAAATGGAGCCAGTACAATCCTCGTTGACATGAATAAGAAAGCACTGGAGTCGGTCAAGGCCGAACTGGGGAGCATCAGTGCTGGCCATGCAACGCCTCCAGAGATCAGCACGTGAGTGCTATTGTCCAGCGCAGCCATCAAAATCTAATCAAGGTCTGTCAAGCATCGAGGCCGACCTGTCGTCGCAAGAAGGCGTTCAGTCAGTTGTGGCAAATATTCGTGAGAAACATTCTTCTTTGGACGCTCTCATTCATTGTGCCGCGATCCGGTTCATGAACGAGGTGCCTTACAAGCCCGGGGACGGACTGGCAAAGCTCGAGATGGCCACTTTGTCCGCGCCATATCGAGAATGGGAGTTAGCACATCGAGTAAATGTGCTCGCACCTTATTTCCTCACCGCTGGCCTCGTCAAACTTCTCGGTGCAGCAGCGAGCAAAGGCGAAGGGAGAGGTAGTGTCATCATGTTCAGCAGTCCGGCCAGTGTGCACAATAACCAGTTTGTGCCTGTGTATCAGACTACAAAGGCCTCAATCGACCATTTGACTAGGATCATGGCAGCCGAGTTCGCCGAATTCTATAGTAAGATGACTTCAGAATACTTGAAACAGTGCGAGGCTAACACTGGCTCAGTCCGGGTAAACGCCATCTCTCCTGGCATCGTGCCATCGGCAATGACGGATGAAGGACCAACGTCAAACTTGCACCTCGCCAGTCAAGCACCGGCAGGGAGGGCGGGAAATGACGAAGATATGGTTGGAACTGCCACATGGTTGATGAGCAAAGCTGGCTCCTTCATGGACGGCAAAGTCGTACGGGTCGAAGGAGGCCGCTTGCTGATCTTAAAGGGTGTCACATCCAATTCAGACTGATTGAAAGTTTTCGCTCTTCGGTGTAGGGTCTGTGATAGGCATGTTTTGCTTGTTAGCTATGGCAGCGTCGTTTAGCTGGTGTCCCTACAGGCAAACATCATGTAGAAACTATGTGACACGGTAGTCTCAGTGTGGATCCCGTGAAGCTGCAGAAGATGTGTCAATTCCATGAGAACATGTCTCTCGATGGCGGCGAATGCCGTCGTCGGTTTTGCACGTAAATTCCCATCCATGGTACGGACCTTTCCGAGCGGCGGGGCGGCGCCCTGTGTCTCCGGATAGTCAGCCAACGATGTCGACAGAGTCTAAATCAAAACAGTATGTTGCAAACCGTACATTGTACCTATCGCTTGGAATTTGGTCTGAGTATCTGATATTCGTGGCGGCTTAGAAACCATGGGCTCAGTCGAAAAAGTTCACGACAGTGCTCCCTTATGGAACGGAGTACCTCAGCTCACCTTGAGGGGCTCAGCTTGGGAAATAGGCCTGGCCCATGGCAAGCAAATTCCGAATCGCATCAAGACCAGCATAGCAAATTATCAGCGGTTGTTCCTTGACCTCGCCGAGGCTGACTGGCCAGAGTCAGTGAGGCGAGCCGAGGAGTTTCTGCCAGCTTTGGAGCAGCATGAGCCGGAGTTGGTCGAGGAGATGAAGGGAATAGCAACGGGCGCTGGAGTCGATTTGGGTGATATCCTGGCCCTGAATCTCCGCAGTGAGATTTCATTGACAAACTATTCGGATGGCTGCACAAGCATTGTGACCAAAGACTCATCCGGTAAGAACACCTTTGTCGCACAGAACTGGGACTGGGTTGAGGAAGCCGGGATGGCAACCGCGTTCTTCGATGTCCAGAAGACTGGAACACCGCGAATACGCATGCTCGGCGAGGCCGGAATCTTGGCCAAGTTCGGTTTTAATGACGCCGGCGTCGGCATCTGTATGAACGCTATTAGATGTGGCACCATTGATCGAAATGCTCTGCCGGTGCATCTTGCAATGAGGCGGGTGTTGGAATGCAAGTCCTTTGATGAAGGCTTCGCCTTGTTGAAACAGAGAGGTCTCGCATCCTGCGTGAACTTAGCCATTGCGGATCGGGGGGGAAAGTTCGCGACCATCGAATGCACGCCGAAGGGTCTGTGCCCAATATACCCAGAACCCGGATCGTTGAGGACGTTCCACACGAATCACCTCTGGTCACCAAATGTTCCCCATGGGATCCGAGACCACCCGTCAGCAAACTCTTTCACGAGACTGGAGAGGATCAAGGAGCTCAGCGAGAACCAAGAGCCAAGCGTCCAGAAGATACGAGAATGGCTTTCTGATGAGCAGGGCGCTCCGACGTCAATCTGTCGCTCAACTCCGCCCGGCGCCAAAGGCATCGAGAGGATGATAACGCTGTCGACCATCATTATTGATCTGCAGGCCAGCAAGGCCGAGGTGTCTCTTGGGAAGCCGAGTCTTTCGCCGCCAGTGCTGACATTGTCGATGGATTGATAGAGTAAAGAGGGTTCCAACTTCGATAGGAAAATGTTGGTGTGTTTTGCGAAGCCATGATTTCATTGTTATTGAGACTTGGGTTGATTCTTATCGAAGATCTCCGTAATGATAGTCCATACCCGCAGGTAGCCCGACCCTCCCTTCCAATGAGAAGTGAAATGCGTCAAAACTTCAGTGCATTGTAGAATCGCCTTGAGAAACGGGCTTTCTGGTGACCAGTTTTTCGCTCTGGCAAGCAGAACTGTGCAGCCCGCCACTAACGCTCTCGCACTTGCAGTCAAGGGAGGGATGAAGCCATCTGGCGAAATCGTCATGCAGTGAGTGTGTTCAACGAGAGCCAGGGCCGCTGCAACAAGCCGCCGTCGAAGAGATCTCATGCCTCTTGCTGCAACATCGCCCTCTTCCTGGAAGCAAGAAACGCACTGCCGATGTCGTACAGAAACCGGAAGAAGTTGAAGCCACATTTCGCACACAGTGGGCGATTGCTCAAGAGAAAAGGTCTCCATCGACATGATCAGTTCTTCAACGTGCCCGACGAAGGGGCAGCTGTGTGTGTCGTACAGTTGCCCATAGCCGTAGATACTCCCTTGTACGTCTCGATAGAGCCGAAGGAGGAAATCTTCCTCAGTATTGGGAGTCCACAGCCAATCATTCGGTGTGCTTGATTGGTTGAAGACAAGACTCAATGCTCGATCAGCTGTTTTCAAAGCATGCAGGAGGCGTTGCTGAGTAGCATAGCCGTCCTTATTACTGTGGCTTCCAGCTTCGGGGAGGTCTATCTGCACTTCAGAACGATCCCGACGATGCCAGCCTAGCTGGATGGTTGTACGTATTGCCATATCCATCAGCTCCCAGACGCTGCCCCTGGATGGCTCAAGCAACTCATAGACAATCAGCAGGAGGATCGCCGTCAACGAGGCAGGATCGGCTGCAGAAATTACCGAGGCTGTGTCTTCGGCCGCCCAGTCGCGCAACGTCTGGGCCAAAGCTTTCCATGAAGGGTTGCGATAGCTTTCGTGACCGGCGGCGACGGCACATATCATGAGTGTTTCAAACTTCTGGCGTTTTGAAAGTTTCTTCAACCCTTGGCCATCCTGAGAAAGGAGCTCCGGGTCAACAATATCGAATTCTGGACGAACGCACCTATCATAGCGACTCAGGAGGTGGCGAACGACTTTTGGTGTAAGAGCTGATCGGTCAGTTTTGAAGATATCCGTCGAGAAGGGTTGGGCATCGTGGGACATCTTCATGTCTGATTGCGTACTTGAGCCCGACAGTGCCTCCACCGTGAGTCTAGTGACAATTGTCGGCAACGAACGCTCAAGATGCAGGTATCGCTGAGTGCGAGGCATGAGGACATAGCTGTCTTCATTCGAGGCCGCAGCAGCGGTCATAACGGTAGCATCTTGAATCGAATATCTGCTTGAGAGATTAGCTTTGAGTATCTGGGTAGCAAATAATTGGGCGCCCCCGCGTACCTTGCTGCGTAACCTTTCTGCAAGTCTAGCTGAGAAGTCAACTCGGAGATCTTGTCATTGAGTGCTCGAACATAGCTGGTATGGGTGAGCGTTTTCTACCAGCATAGTAGCATGATTACCTCCATACCTCCTAGGAATCTGTTCCTGCAGGGCCTCATCGAGGAACACGCACTGCGAATCGTTCTTTGCGCAATTCTGGCAAGCTGGCAGCCGGGTGTCGCACTAGAACAGCAGGTCAGCAACTGTGGTTTGGGCAAGGTGATCCCACGGACCTTGATTCTTCGGCTGCGACATCGAGTGCAGGTTTGGAGCATGGCGTCGTCTGGTGACCGTACCACGCAAGAATAGGGAGACTGTTGGTTGCTGCAAGTAGTTGAGAGGGCTTCAGGCTGAGCTGGATGAAGTTACCCTGGCGGAACACTACGGTCACGTGCAATACAGTAATTTACAAAAGTTACCGTCATGGAGTCATGGAGTCATGGAGTCATGGAGCCGCTGCTCTCTTCTCTCCGCTTGGGCAGCTCCGTCTCGCTTCCACTCATCAGATACTCTTCCAATTCGACTTGTTATACTGACTTTGGCACATCTCTCCCGCCTTAGTTCGACGAGCCTCTGCAAATGACGAATCTAATGAAGCCATTTACCGTTGCCTGCATGCTACTTAGCTTCTGATAGCTTTGTCTCGATGTGGTCTTTGAGCTCTGTCACCGCGTTGAGGAGCCGTGTCATGCCCAGCCACAGAATTGTTCCCGACAGATTGCACAAGGGCGCAGTACATCATGCCTCGTGTTGAAACGAAGGGGACTCAGCGACGATCGACCAAGGTCTGCAATCGCTGTCGAAAGCGCAAGACCAAAGTACTACGTTCTTCCGATCACAATCTCTTCGCCGGATCCTGACTCATTCACAGTGCGACTTCAAGTTTCCTGCATGTACATCATGCGAGGCGGCCAGTGCCACTTGCATGGGCTACGACCCTATCACCAAAGAAGTCGTGCCCAGAAGGTGTGTATCTCCCAGACCCACCACCAGCGGTCTAGAAACATTCATTAATTGACATAGTCTCGTACGTTCGCTTGAAGCCAGGGTTGCCGAGTTGGAGGTAGAATTGCAAGCATATCGTGCAGTATCTGAGCACTTGCCTTCATCGATGGCTCTCAAAATTTCGCAGGCCACACTGTCTTTTGGATTTTCCAGCCGCAGATCGTACCTGCGCTCGAAGATCTGCCCGGCCCTGGTGTTTCGGCCATCTTGTCCACCTCTAGCTGTGATGCGGGAGGTGCAGGAAGAGCTGAGGGCCGCCACATCGAACGCCGGAGTAACTACTCCGCAATGTGACGAGACTTTCAAGAGCACGGTAGCTGGTGCGCTCATGGACCTCAGCAGTGTGCCTTTCTCCGCGGTCAAGCGTTTGGTGCAGAACTATGTTGAAGTACACAGGCCGCAGTATCCCTGCGTTTCGGCATCGCTAGTAGAAAATATTGTCGATCGAATTCGGAGCGAGGTAGACGACACCAACACCTTCTTCTCCAGTGGCAAACCAGCGACGTCTGGACTCGGTCACTTCGAATACTTTGTCCTCTTCATCACCCTTGCAATATCCGCAATGACACTCACCTGGGCAGACGAAAATCAGGCTCGTTCTGCATCAGAGGCATTTTTCGGCTCGGCCAAGAAGCACCTGCAAGCATTGGACGATAATGACGAGATCCAGGCTCTCCAGATCTCTCTGTTACTGGTACATTATGCACAGCAGTGTCCTGAACGAGCAGACAATTGGACATGCATATCGCACGCCATTCGAATCGTTCTTGACCTGGGCTTGCATAAAGGAAGCCCCGACGCCTTGAGCTTGGCAGACCAACGTCAAAGACGCCAATTATTCTGGGTCGCTTATGGCATGGAAAGATCACTCTGTTCGGTCCTGCGGTTGCCTTTATCATTCTCAGAAGAGTCGATATCGACGCCGGTGAGCTGTGTTGTGTTTGATGAATGCTGCACCAGACTGATGGATTTCTAGCCCCCTGCCGACTTTCGCCCTGATCACCTTTTCACTTCCGACGATATCGAGAAAGAGTCGTCCGCGAACCACATCTATCTCTATCGCGCGCTTGAAACCGAGGCCCATCGCGTGCTGCATCTTGAACACGATCTCGAGATTTTCAGACATGTTGATGTGTCAGATTGGATCTCTGACATCTCCAGTCGCCTTGCCAGATGGTATGCCAAGGCCCAGTCCTACACACAATACAACATGCTCGAATTCAAGCATGTCCAATACAACCACCTTCTTTTACGTCTTCATCGACCTACCCCCCGTCTGCGAGTACGCAGCGATGAAGACCGCCGCATTGTACTCGATGCATCCGCAGCACTCATTGAGGACTATCTGTCCCAAGAGCGACGTCGCCGCCTCTTCTATCCTTTCCACGGGGCACACATCCTATTTGAAGCCGCAGCGATTTCTCTCGAGGCATGCTGGTGGCTGAAAGGAGCCGCGGAGCCTTTGCGCAGTGTACTTGAGCAAATGCTGTGCACCGCGGTCCCCAACTGCCTCGACCTCTTGACCAAGATGGGCCGGCGATGGAATGCTGCGCAAGTCAGTGCAAAGCGGCTCAGGCCCATTTTAGCTGATGTCACTGCAGCTTGTGGATTCGCCAACTACGAGAACGATGGGCAGTCTGCAAGCGCCATCAGCGACGAGGTAGCTATTGTCCAGCAGCTTGAGAATTTGTTGTTTCCGGATGGGCCGCTCATATGGGACACACTGCCGTCTGGGGAGCAAGACTCATGGGCAGCAATTCTTGGAACAGGAAATACCAACTTTGCAGATGGCAATGACGTCTTCTTTGACGACCTGGAACTTTTCTCGTGGCAGCCCAATTGGGGACTTGTGTTTGATGACGCCAGTACCATTTCCAATCCCGGAGTCAATCTGGAGGGAAGGTCGTTGAATGGCCTGCAATTCTAGATTCGGGATATAAATCACCGCAGCCTCAAAATCTTAGACGCTTCGAACGCCATGGAAATATTCTGATAACTAACCCTGCTGCAATAGCTCTTGGCTTCAAATCTGACTTTGCTCAGATACTCTTGCATCCGCAAGGATCATGTACAGTTGATGAGCATAAGAAGAGGGATTGTCGTCGCACATGGCAGCTACTACAGATTCTACTTTGATGGTCTTTTAGAATTAGCAGGCCAAGGAATGATCTTCCATGACTCAGTAGGCCTCCTTCCAGTTTCGTCAATGGTCTGCATAGACTTTCAAGCGCTCTGCAGAATCGACCAGTCTTCCCCTTTGACAAATTCCTCCATAGTTGCAGGATCATCTGCAAGGTAGAGCTATGAGCTTGTCAACATGTTCCACAATCAAGGTACAAAGCTAACTCTCCTACCTAAGTTATCTTACGTGTATGGCCAGTCTCGCCTCCGACGTAACCGACATTCTCACAATAGTTCCACATCTCGGCTAGTTCTTTCCCTATGCCAGGGATAATAGTGACTTCTCGAGCCCAGTCCTCCATGCTGACCTGCTCATAATATATCTCAATGGGAAGCTCGTGGTTCAGCAGAATGACCCACTCCTCAAAAGTTATCATTTTAGCATACCCAGCATAGTGTCGGATTTTTCTGCCTTGGGCTGGCAGCGGAAGGGCTTGAGAAGCCAGTGCCTTCAGGAATATGGCAGGGTCTTTGTTGGGGTCAATGAAAGGAATCTGGGTGCTGACTGAACAAGGCATTTGGATCGGAACTGGCCATCGGATTGCTGTCCTTTGTGTTAGGCACATTATCTTCACTTCAATTTTCAGGAGAAACTTCTCACCTCGGTTGGCTTTAAAGGAGTCGGCATCTTCCAATTGGTAGCAAACATCCCCAGCTGCAACGCGACAGTTCTCTCCACAAGCCTTGGATACTCGTTTTCTATCATTTGTACGAGCGTTGCCTTTGCATCGAAATGGTATATTTTTTGGTACTTGTTGGAACTTAGCTCTTTCGCTGCTGAGAGAGCCGAAATGATGAACAGGCTCAGTGTCTCGCAAGCAAGGTCGGCTGCCGTGATAATATTCTTGCCAGCTTCGATTTCGAGCCGATATGCCTCCCTTACAATAGATTCTGCGGTCCCTTGAGCCATGATTGCCGGGCCGTTGACTCCACTGTAGGATGTTAGCGGGCAATACACCAGGAAGGGATGTCAAAAACACATGTCCGGCGTCGTTGCATAGATGTATCGAGCACCCTAAAAGTCAGTGAGCACTCTATCTTCATTTCCAATCAGGTTGGTCTCACCCTGAATGCCCTCACTAATGATGGCAGATCAGTCAGATTCCCCTGAACAATCTCCACTCCTTTTCCTTGCAATGTTGTTGCGGCTGCCGATGAGGTGTCTCGTACAACTGCTCGGACACTGAAACCAGGGTCGCGAAGCAAGGCATCGACCACTGACCCAACTTGTTTTCCGGTCGCCCCAAGAATGACCACGAGTTTGGACATTATAGAGGTCGGTGACTTTCTCTATTATCGAATGAATAGAGTTGTACAAATTGGCGGGATTAAGATGCTCACTGTGTCTGTTGTAAGCTCTTATCATGCTGCACTTATGTTAGTCGTTCCCTAATTTCCACAACCAGGAAAAACAAAGACTGTCGCTATACTGAGTACGCAAACGCATGATTAGTGAGCCCCCTATTGACGTCTTAGTAGACCAGCACGTTGGACCGTTCCCATCCACAGTCATCTCTAGATTCAACACCAGACACAGAGTACACAATACGACACTCAAGTGGAGTTGTTGACGATGCAGCCGGATTTCCACCAGTTTATTTTCTAGACCACGAGGTCTTCTTGCGGTCAGAAATTGGCCTCCTGTTGGTCCGTTACCTCTGGATCAAAGCATCCTTGACGCCTTCAGTACAGCTTCCGAGATCTCAGGCAAGTACTTTAGCTGGATACATCTATGGATGCCCATCGTTTCTAAATCAAAGTGGAAACGCCTGACCGGGCCACTGGCTCGACCTACTCCTGATGTCAAACTATTACTTTTTGCGATGAAAGTCCTTCTTTGGACACCCTCTGGAGAGGCGAAGTCACGGCAACCACGACATAGAGAATATACGGTCCTCAAGGAGCATCTAGCGGAGGCCGAGGCGGTCGGTATCATGACGTTAGAGTTGCTTCAGGCCTGGATTCTGACCACGATCTATGAATACGCGCACGGAGTCTACCCAGCGCCGTACATATCCATTGGTACATGTTTTCGATATAGTTTGGCTCTAGGCTTAAACAGGAAGGATAAGACAGTGAATCCAATCACGATAGCTAGTGATGCGCAAGAAGAGAGAAGGCGCGTATGGTGGTCTATCATCATACTTGATCGGATAATTTCCCGCTCATCAGATGGTGTTGGCGCCAAAGTGACTATCGACGGAACAGGCAGACAACCTCGTAATAACGATTAATGAGTCAGTGCCACAGCCTCTGGAATGCTTTGGAATCATGGAAAACGGGCTCCAGGAGGTCATCTTGCCTAGTAATTGTCTACATAAACCAGAACGGTGACCATAGAATAGAAGAAGACAGAAATCTCAACAACGCTGACTTGCCTGTATCGATTGGCCCGTACAGTTGTACAGTCCAAATCCTCCAACAGATGGTCCTGAGCCCCGACCAGACGATTTGTTGCCTGTCCACGATCAGGCGTGGGACGATGGTGACATCGATCAAAGTCGTATTAGCCCTGTATCTGCACCTTCTCGCACCAACATGGGAATGCTGGCTCGACTCGCACAGTCGGCCTTTTTATTGGGACGGGTTTATAGGTGCAAAACGCATCCTACCGGCGATGCTCAATTTGACCTGTCCGAAAAGGGTCAACTTGACCGTGCATTACACGCTCTTCTCAGCCTCACATACGAAGAGGGAGCTACCCGACTAATGGCAATATGTCCCCAAACAGCGCTTTGTTTTAGCGCTCTGGTCATCTTGCACAGTGACGACCCGGTTCCCAGATCTTCGCCGTTGACCAACAGTGTCGCGTTCGCAATGAACCACTGGCATGACAACTATGTAAATGATGAAACCATGTCCGCGATTCAAACATTGAAGTTCCTTCGCCCGATTGCCAATGAGTCATACACGAACGCTAACCTCTTCTTTCGAAGGGAGCCATGGTCAATCGAAAAGTCATCACCGTCGCTGTTGCACTGGACATACCTGATCGCTGTGACTTTCTTGCAGATAAGCAAGAGTCTGAGGAAGGTGCAAGGCTCCTCGAAGCTTGATGAAGTTTTTATGCAACATGCAACTGAGTGCATGAAGGAGGCTTCGCTTCTGGTTCCCCCAAGCGATTGGATACACGTCCTGAGAGAATTTGCAGTCGGCGGCAATGCGGAGCGGCGGGCCGAGCGCAGCCGAGCGGTACCTACAGTCGACGCAATGCTTCATAGGGTCCGTGGCGTCCTCAATCTACATGATTGGAGCACGTCTAAGCCGTGCATTCAGCACAGAACTGCCTCAAGGCGCTACCTCCAGCTTGATTCAAAAGAATCCAGAAGGCATCTGTTCAGCACCTCGATATGGAAGGTAGTTGTAACTGCGGCAGCATCACGGTGCACATCAAACTGCCTGAGGCCGGCATCAAAGTTTCTCTTTGCCACTGTTTGGACTGCCGGGCATCTTCAGGATCACTGTAAACAAGAACAATCAATGTCTAAATCTTTGATGTTCCATTCTCCGACTGACTCTTTGATTGGACCCCAACAGTTTCGCGGTGAATCTTCCCATCGCTCCTTACGACGTCACCATAGGCGGCAGTATCCAGCCCAGAGTCTACAGCTCGGCGACCGTAGCAGGGAATGAATCAAACAGACACTTTTGTCTGAGATGTGGATCGTAATTTTGGAGAGATCGGAATGATTTTCTGGACGATGTATGGTCTATCAGGATTTTCTTTTCTAACACACGCTTTTCCTCTCAAGGCCGATCTTTACTTCCATCACCGGAAACAGCAATGTTATCTTCGTCAAAGCCGGCATGTTTCGCAAGAGCGGCGTCGATATGAGTGTGCCGGTTAAGGAGCAGTGGTTTCGTCGCGCTGAGATGTGGGAGACTCCCTATGCGTCCGAGGGAAATGTGCTGGTGTAGCAAGTCTGAGCGGGGAGAACCACGGAGACCCTGTTAGGCAATTGAGCTAAGTTAGATGTACGTACAGGAGACAAAGTTGACATGAATGGCTCTCGTTGTAACGTTTGTAGCCTCTCTTGGCGGATAGGATTGTTCATCTTCTCCATAGATTTTGTAATGCTATTGCCTTCTTATCTTCTCCAGATCTCTGTCCCGAGTCAATGGCATCGTTGTACCCGTGACCCATTAGCCCCTTTGTCCGTTCCCTGTGTCCTCGGGGGCGGCGGCGGCGGCGTCATTCGGTCAATCTAGGTTCGCTTCCCACGAGCCTTCACTGCAGTGACGAAGAAGTCTACGACGGCGCTGCCCCCTTCCATTGCATTCAACCCCACAGGAATATTGATGATTTCTATCGTGGGGTTGATTCTCGTAGCAATCCCGTTAGCCCGAGCTTGCTCATCGGCAGTCCACTGGCTTGAGCAGATCTGTTGCCGTTAGCTTTACCATGCACTATTTGATATGGCAGTGGCTTCATTCTGGACTGCCGACGTAGTCACTAACAATAAGATGTGGCTGGACGACTAGAGAGTCCATTATCGTCTCGAGCGTGTCGATGCTTATGAGGGAAGTGGTGCCAGTATGTGCATGTTGCCTGTGAGCGCTAGCAAAATGCAGTATTCACAGACTTACCACGGGAGTTCGCGACGTGGATTTGATGATGGTCGGGTTGGAGCTTCTTGAAGACTTCTTTGACGAGTGATATCGCCCGGGCAGGCGTTTTGTTGACGGAAATCATGTGCATTGGAGGCGAAGTGAGAGACATTCTAGGGCTTCATGAAAGGAGAGAGCTGTAAGTGTAGAGGTATGGTGTTTCTTACTTGAAAAGTATCCGTCCTAAACTTACCTGGAACACGCAAAGAAGGCACAATATATGCCTGGGTGCGCCGGCCGCTGCCCCTAGATTGGCTCCGTTGTTTTGCGTGATAATCTAAGTATATGCGAAGAGAACTTAGTAATCTTAACCAGGTGCTGCATTTGGTGGACACAACCTCAATTGAAACCATTTGGCTGAGTTGTGATTGCAAATACCCAGCATGTCATATCCATGGATTACGCCTCAGTCACGATCCCACTGCAGGCGGCGCCACCCCGCCGACCATGCATGCCCGCTGGGTTTGCAGAGTGCTCGGAGGGACCAATTAGTCTGGGACAGAAAATAGAAAGAGTGTGTCAATCGCCGATCCAGAAACGTCTTGGACATGGGCCCTGTGCGTCTGTTGCAAGAGAAGCTTCAACAGCCTTGGGTGTGTACATTTACTCACCAACCGAAGTCACCAACAGCGGCAGTGTATGTGTCGATCACGATGGTGTGTATTCGTAAAATGGAATCCGGGCTTTTGCATCCAGTTGATCGGGCCAGAGTGCCGAGGATGAATCGACATGCCGAAAACCGAGAGTGTTGAGACAGGAGATCATCACAACAGCAATCCGGAGTAAGGCTGCAATATTGGGACCTGATAATAACAGAACCACGCTGATACTTTCATGATTGGCCAAGATACGTGTCCACCAGTTAGACAAAGTAATGATTCGCACGTCGGGGAAGGAATTCCTGTGGCGAAAGGAGTTCCAAGCACAAGATAGTGGTCAGGGGGAGGACGGGAGGACTCGATGCCGACGAAATGGGTTGTTGAATGCGTAGTGGGCAGTGTTTCACATCGAGCGTGTTCTCTGTTCTCGCAGCCAACAAGCGCTTGATTCCACTTGGTTTTGGGGTCCAAAGATGACGAAAGGTTAACTTAGAAGGCGTTCGGCGAAGTGAACACCTGATTTTGTCCTCAGCATGATGTTTGCCTTAGCCATCTCGAACGGTAATACTGTAGGATTTTGTCTTTCGGATACTATCACGTGTTGCTGATGCCGTTATGTGCTGTCGAGGTGGTGGGCCGTTGGAGGGCAGAGAAAGAAAGATGGCAGCCTAGAGCCACGCACCCAGCACGGGACTTGGGGTCAGTCGGATAGGCATTGCTAGCAACACGCAATAATGAATTATCCGCGTGTCTAGTGAACTAACTAGGTTAGATTGGGTCCCTAGTGATGGTAGTTAGCAGGTCGCCGTCCTCGCCTCTGAATCCCCCCTTTCCCCCAGGAGGGTGCCAGGGCTCTCTGTTCACCTGCAGCAGCCTGAAACATGCTCGGGTTTGGGCCTCCCCCCAGCGAGCGGCCGACCTAGACATCTACATACTCGTCCGCGTGCTAGCTGCCCAGTGCCCACTAGTATTTGCTCTATTCAAAGCACTGCCATCTTCGTCTCCATCTGACCACGACTACCCGCCACTCTCCTTGTACTTCTTCCTTTCCTTCTTCCCTCCTCTTCCTATCTTCTTCCTCCTTCCTCCTTATTCCTGCTTCAAAGAGTACTCCGTACTGTTGACCAACAATATGTCTCTCTCTCAAAACCTCGTCCGCCGTGGACTCGATGCCGCTCATGGCATGCATGGCATGATGTCCGGTTCAGACCAAGGCGACAAGAAACCTGTTCACGTTTCCCCCATCGCAGCCTTGATCTTCTTTCTCACAGCCCTTTCCATGGTTGCACTCGTCTTCAGCGTAAGTTTCCATGCAAACTGGTTGCACTATCTGCCTACAAATGCTGAGTGTCTACTTCCAACTGCAGATTGGATACACTTACGGTCACATCGTCCCGACACTCTGCATGATCGAGTCCTCCGAGACTGAGGCCTATGTCCCTGTCAACAATATCGACCCCACCGATCCTCCAGCCTACTCGGCCACCGCTGTTCCCAAGCCCACCAATGGCACCCCTGCGAATGCCGAGAGCGACGCAGAGATGGATGAGCCTGAAGGCCTTTTGGTCCGCAACAAGCCCATCACCGCCTCGATCCGCCAGACCATCCTCCATCTACGGGCCCGTGCTGGATACATGTCTCGGTTCCGTGGCCTGTCCATGTATCTCGTTTGGAATTTTGCTAGTGGCATCCTGATCTCCATCCTCAGTGGTGCGAGTGGCGTTCGCATCTACATTGCTCTGGCGGCGATTGTGGCGGAGACACTTCTTGCAACATTGCATATGACCTGGGTGCACATTGTCATCTCGGAGCCCAGTGAGAAGAAATGGTATCAGCGTATCCCATCCTTCCGAACATGGCCCAAGATTGCCCCGGCTGTTGCATTGTGGGCCACCGCCAACCAGCTTGTTTCGGTCCTCCCCATGTTGGTGACCGGTGCATTTGGACCCATGAAGCACATGCACAATCCCGAGTACGAGCCCGAGAAGAAGGACCTGTATGCCTTTGGCGCACAAACCATTTTTGGGGCACTGCTCATGCTGGCCCTGTTTCTGCTGCTTCAGATCCCAGCCAGCGTAACCTTGGTCCGAGTTGCGGCGTCAATGCTCCCAGAGGAAGACGAGACCATTGTCCCATTTGATCGCACCTTTGGCGGGAAGACAACCCCAGCCATTATTGGCGGTCAAGGCAAAATTGGACTTGTTGAGGCATGGAGGAGCTTTTCGTGGGCCAGTCGAATGCGACTTGTCAGACTGATGGCCAAGGTCGCTCTCATCGCAATTTCTTGCTGGGTCCTAGTCATAGTCGTCGTGGTTGCTGAAGCCCACCTTTTGTTTGGTGATTCATTGGGTGAGGTGATGAAGAGTTTGCATGGCGCCACACATTCCAATTGAGAGACCGATTTGTTCTCAGCTCCTGGTATATCACGAAAACCTTGAATCTCAACTACTCAGTTGAAGTGCATTATGCGTGCACTTGTATATGACTTTGAGACAAGACCGTCTGGCAGAAGGGCCGACACATACAGTAGGCGCATGTGGCGTTTCTTTTCTATTATGGGCAAGGAACTCTGGGTTGTAAACTAGTATGACATTATAGCGGGTTTATTGCATAGCAGATTACTATCTCTGAACAAGCTCATTACCATATCTTTGACATCTACCCACCTTTTGCCGAAGCAATTGTAGCTGGCGCCTTTCCACGGCCTCTTGCTCTCCTGGTCGATGCCGAGGTGTAGCCGATGCCAACCTCGAGTTGCTGGACGAAAACGGCCCGGGAAGTTGGAGTATGGGATGATTTTCCTACTGGCAATCGATGATCAATGGATGCATGTTCCTTGGCACCAAGCTTCCCCCGAGCCTCGGCTTACGACACGCCCGAAGGGCTCCTTGCCGGCCAAGGACCTTAGGCGTAAAATACTCAGTGACGAGGGGCGTGTCGCGGGCGCGCGGGTCCCCATGGGCGTTGATTCCTCATGCAGATGCTCGCTGCGGCCTGCCGTCACAAGCTCCAACGAAAAACAGCCATTCTTCCCTTCTTCCTGACTCTCTTTCTCCAATTTCTAGAAAATAAATCTGCTGTAGCTTCTGCTTCCTGCTAAATGATTAATTTCCCTGCCAGCAGATCTTTCATATTCCAGTTACTCGAAAACTCGAAGATCATGCTATCACTTCCTTAGACGAACGTCTTAACCTCACCAACATCCCGGCTCTGCCCCTCTCCACAAGCCTCTGGCCAGAAGATCATTGCTTCCTGCTTCCTCCGCCTGCCCGTCCGTGGGGTCTCCAAGCAGGGAAGAGACTAGAGAGAGAGAAAGGAAAATATAGGAGAGAGGCAGAATAAGTGCCATTTCCCTCAAAAGACACTCATTGCTGCTGTCCCGGAAAGCGGACAACCACGGTCGCGTTCTTTACAGCGACTTTGGCAAGCTTCATTTTCTATTCTAGCCACACGTGCCTCACAATGGCTCCTGCCATACCGACCACGGTGGACGAACTGCCCTCCACAGCGGAAGTCAAGGAACAAGTCAAAGAGAAAGCAAAGGGTGCTGCCTCAGGATTAAGATCTTTGGCAGCCGGTGGGGTCGGCGGTATCTGCGCAGTCGTTGTCGGCCATCCCTTTGATTTGGTCAAGGTGCGGTTACAGACAGCTGAAAAGGGTGTTTATACCGGAGCGATCGATGTTGTGAAAAGGACCATTGCGCGCGAAGGTCTATCTCGTGGCCTATATGCTGGTGTCTCTGCTCCCTTGGTCGGCGTCACTCCTATGTTCGCCGTGAGCTTCTGGGGCTACGATATGGGAAAACGCCTCGTCGACAACTTCTCCACCGTTCCCATCAAGAACAACACTCCTCAGTACAGTATTGGCCAAATCAGTGCTGCTGGCTTCTTCTCCGCCATTCCCATGACACTTATCACCGCGCCTTTCGAGCGAGTCAAAGTCCTCCTACAAATCCAAGGCCAGAAGCACCTCGCACCAGGCGAGAAACCAAAATACAGCGGTGGTGTCGATGTTGTGAGGCAACTATACAAGGAAGGCGGTGTTCGCTCCGTCTTCCGTGGCAGCGCGATGACCCTGGCTCGTGACGGACCCGGTTCTGCCGCTTACTTCGCCGTCTACGAGTACGTCAAGCGCAGTCTGAGCCCCAAGGACGCGGAAGGCAATGCCACAGGTGAGCTGAGCCTTCCCGCAGTCATGACTGCCGGTGGTGCTGCAGGTGTCGCCATGTGGATTCCAGTCTTCCCCGTTGACACCATCAAGTCGAGGCTACAGTCGGCCGAAGGGCGACCGACCATCGGCGGCACAATTCGAGGTGTCTATGCAAATGGAGGAATCAAGGCTTTCTTCCCTGGATTTGGTCCGGCGCTGGCAAGAGCCATCCCTGCCAACGCGGCTACCTTCCTGGGCGTGGAACTGGCTCACAAAGCTATGAACAAGGCATTCGGATGAAGAAAATGTCTTGAAGAGTTGTCTTTCTGCTTCCAAAACCCCAGGTTTCCCTCCAACTGCACATATGGAGTCACGTGTTCGCTTCCATAGATTTTTGTCGGTCATGGCACTTCTATGCACAAAGATACCAGGTTTCACAGATGGAAATAAATACACACATGCATGTTATTGGATCTTGTGCATCTTACTCTTGCACTTTTCTTCCCAAGCTTCATTGCTTAGGTGAGAGAAAAGTCGCCGCTTTTCCCAGAAGCCAACTTAGTTTGTTAGAAAGGAGCGCACCAAGCTAAGACTTTAAAACTGCAAGGCAACCAACGGCACTGTTTGGACTCTACTAGGGAAACCGTGGCCTGAATTATAGCCATAATTTGCCCGTCACAAGGCAAACTCGAATGCTGAGGTAGGTAACGTAAGATGTAGCCAGGCTGACCATTTTCCATTGATTAATCTATGTGAAATAACGGATTGGTGCACGTGACGTGGCATTCTTCGGGCTGCTTTTGTCAGGGGTTCCGAGCCTTGTGCCCGCAGCCAGCCGGAACTATCAGGTCTGTTTAATTTTATCTTGTTTTGTCTTGTTTTGCTTTGGATTTCAACAGCAGTTCCCGAACTCGGATAAGAAGGATCTGGTTTTTACTTTAGGTATTCTGTTTAACTTGGGTGTATTGCCTGCTGGCCTCGTAGTGAGCTCACGCCATACTGCTTAGTTGTTTCGACCGAGGCCGAGTGGTAGTGCTACCACCACTACTTCGAGGATACTGCTCCCTCTGAGTAGTGGTCTCTGTCAGCTCGCTCGCTCTCGTCGCCCTCATCGTCATCATAGTCTTCTTGCCTCCTCCTCCTCCTCCTCCTCCTCCTCCTCCTCCTCCTCCTCCTCCTCCTCCTCCTGCTGCTGCTCCTCCTCCCCCTGTCACAATCATCATCAAATCTCTAAATCCTTCGCCGATCCTCCCACGCTTCACGATCGCCAACCACACCACAAACACCGACAGCGTGGTTGGGATGGTGACGGCCCAGTAGACCCAGAAGCGGGATCCGATGACCTTCGGCTGGTCCCACTGAAGCGAGGGGATAGAGAAGAGTGCGGCCCAGAACGTCGCGGGCAGGAATCCCATCGTCATGATCGCGATCGTTTTCATGCTCGTGCTGTCGTGTTGTGTCGCCCTCGCAATGTTGATGGTTGCTTGGGCGTCGTGGCGGGCGAGGAGGTTGAAGATCTAGAAGGTGGGGATGTTAGAAGATGAGAGAGGGGGGAATGTGCTGATAGCACGGGTAGAATGATTGTTCTACGTACCACGGTAAGTTGATTCTGCGCTCTCTGTTTAATGTAATCCAGATAGTTATACCTCCCCTTCAACTGCGGCAGGAGCAGCCTCGCGATAAGTTTCATCTCGGTATCCCTCGTCACAATCCCATCGACTACCGACATGGTCTTCGTCAACTCAAAGCTTTCAATCGCAGCAAGCATGGTTTCCGAGCACTGTAAATGCTGGACCATGTCCGCCAGTGCCACCAAAACACTGCTCGCTGTCCGCGACAGATCCGACAACTGGGCGAGCTTCGCCTCGGCGTCTTGGATCGGGGGCAGAGGCTTGTTGAGGTAGAAATGGCTAAACCCCGTATACTGCTCTGCACGCCCGATGCGCCGATGCTGGTCCTTAACGACCTTGTCTATGTACTCGATTCGTTCCAGGGCGAATGCCAATGTCAGGAAAAGCGGATGTCCTGATGAGCTGGCGTACCTTCTTAGATGGGCGTGTACCGCAGGGTAAGCGTCGGGGCGTCCTGGTGTGTCGCGCGAGAGGACTATCGCGTTGGTTGAGAAGTTCGAGGTGTCGTATGTCCACATGGCCCAGTGGGCTTGGCAATTGAGGTAGAAGCTGAGATATCGATGGCCCTGACCCTGTGGAGACGCAGACGGAAGTTGGTGAAATCCAGGCACATTACGCGAAAACATGTAGACCATGTATGGATCTAGGTGAAATGAGGCCCAGAGATGCCGGAATACCAAAGGAGCCGATTTCACACCACGGTCGACATGATAGGACATGTGGACAACATTGGTCGATCCGATGTCCGGCGACGACGTTGCGGACGAGCTGTCACTGAGGTCCCGTAAATCCACGTCATTGAGGGTTAGTTCTTCTATCCTTGTATCTTTATCGTCAGTCAGAGAGGAGCCGATGCGGCATATGTTGTATTGATTGGCGACTGGTACGTAGAGGAGATCCTCGAGGTGTTGCTCGGCGCCCGATCGAAAAGCGTCCATTGAATGGTCTCTGTGCCGAGTTTTTAACGTATCTTTGAAGGATCGAGATCAATTCGAAGAAGTTTGAATTGCGACTGAGCAGTCCGAGACTGCAAGAGGAAGGTATGTACTCGCTCAAGGCAGCAAGGCTATGCAGGTTCAGAGATGACTTGTTTTCAGGCTGTGCAATCATGAGTGCTACTGTTGTGGCTGGAGCAGGCACCCTGGTCCATTTGCCAGCCCTACATAGTTACCGATTTCGTACATACAGTAGAGCGCCGTGCTCGGCCTACTAACTACACATTCTTGTGCTTACATTGATCATATTGTTGACTTACTTCAACCCGATCGACTGTTTCAAGACTTCCCTTTCTGTAAGTGGCGAATGCTTTCGAGAATGATGTTGGTGTCAACCTCAGCTGCTTTCCACTCTCTCCTTGCAACATCTGCAGCTTGTGCACTGCGGACTTTGAAGGAGGCCTTGAAGGGAAGTGGTCTTGAATTGAACCCTTGTGTAAACGCAAACGGGTCCACTTGGTGCTTCACTTTGACTCCATTGATCTCTTCGAAGGCATGTCCGATGTCAAAAGCCCACAATAACCGCGCAATATTGATGAACAACGAATTCTTCGCAATGTGTTGGCCCGTGCACTGGCGTCGGCCAAATCCAAAGGCCACTAGAGGGAGATCTGGATGTTTGATCCACCGTTCTGGGTCAAAGGTGTTAGGTTTGTCATAAACAGCTTCATCAAGACTGATCGCCCAATGATTTCCGATTACCGTGGCTCCTTTGGGGATTGTATAGCCCATGTATTCATCATCCTGAGTCACAGCATGTGGAATGCCACCTGCACTTACAGGTCTCCATCGTAAGACCTCTTTCACCATTCCGTCAATCAATGGAAGCCTTGCCTTATCAGAGAATGAAGGAAGCCGATCAGGACCAACCACAGAATCTAGTTCCGCTTGCGCCTTCTGCATCACAGACGGATAGAGTACGGCAGCCATGACGAAAATTTCCAGCGCCATCGTAGTGGTGTCGCTACCTGCCTCGTATATAATGCCCACATCATATGCTTGCTCCAACGGAGACATGTTTCTTGATTCGGGCATCGCTTTTACTTGCTTGCACCAATTCCAAGATTCTCTCTTCAACGCCTCATGCATAAAGGTGGAGTAATTCCTTGCCTCGAATTCATGTAATTCGTCTCCATATCGTTTCCATGGAGCCAGCCACTTTGGCAGGAGGTTTAGCATTGGCAGGGCATCGACGATCCAGGTTCCGACCCGCGCGGCGTAAAGGAAGTTGTCCATTATTTGATCAATGGCTTCCACTTCTGATTCATCTCCACGCTCCATGCGCTTCCCGTAAGCAAGTGTGTAGATGAGGCTCGAGGAATATCGATGGAATCGGTTCGTAAAGTCGGAGGTGGAAAGCATTTCGAATACCAACTGCTTGCTCTCAATGTCTTGCAGTTCGCAGTAGGTCTGTGACACTCTGACGTTGAGATAGGAGGCTTGCAAACGTTGGTGAAGGCGCCATTGAGCGCCGTATGGCATCAGCAAAGTGCGAAAGCCCTTACTGACGATATCACCTCCCATTACAACATGTGGTCGACTTGAGTAGATATTACTACGCTTGTCCAGTAGCTCTCGGGCAACCTTTGCATCTCCGAGCATGATGATAGTGCTCAAGCCGTATTGTAGTGAGAAAATAGGGCCATATTGCTTGGTCCATTGCTGGTAAGTCCTCCACGGATACTCTGTGGGTGCTTGATGGAGATTCCCAATAACAGGCAGCCGCTTGGGACCTGGTGGCAGTCGTTTACCTGGTCTGAAGGAGAGAGCAAGATAATAAATGATCAAGCATACGAGCCCTCCAGCAGAAGCAAATAGGAGGAGAGCCATCTCGCGCGGTTGATTAGACGAGAGACTGTATCACTTACAAAATCTGACTTTAGGATTTCGAACCCGTCGTCTTCTTATTAGGTAGGTCGCCGACCATATCGAGGCAATTCAAATATCACCGGGATGCCCCACGGGTTAGAAACGCGGAAGGGACTTAGGACTTTACCAAATAATGGGCATCGTCTCACCCAATCAATGTGAACGTCCCACCCTACAGTAAGTGTTTGTTCGGGCGTGATAACCAACACATTGTCTCTTCTGACCGGCAAGGTGGGACCTGAATGATCAACTGCGGGGAGGTGCATGCACTACTTTGAAGCCTCGCAGGACGCCATACGAGATCGTGGGAGGTCCCTGGGTTGACGCACAAGCGGAACATGCCAGCTTACAAGATGTGTGAACAAGAGGGTTATTGACGAATGACGGTACGTGTTAACCTTGCGGTGTGTTCTTACATAGTCACCAAAGGCTGCCCAAAGCGCGCCATATTCCGCGGAAGCACTCATGCCACTTTTAAGGTGAAACACAACCAAAATGGTTAGAGGGCAAGTGCCTAAAAGGAGCAACCCGCGATGAGGATCGGATTATCACCCATTCCGCATTTTCATCGCTGACTACAATCAATGCTCCCTTGCTGTTGTTCGAGGGAAGATCAGCCACAAGATCCTGTGCCTTTGCTTGACGTACTTTTCCGTTATTCTCTTGCCGCGCCATAAGAAGATGGTTCTGTCATTCATCCTCGTGCAGAATCGCCAGGGTAAGACCCGTCTCGCAAAATGGTACGCTCCTTACACCGATGAGGAGAAGGTCAAATTGAAGGGCGAAGTAAGTCCCCTTGTCGCGTCTAAGGAGCCGACATTCCCTATTTCTCCATGTCACTATATTTCTAAGAAATAATGTTTCTTGTCCTAACAGGTCCACCGCCTCATCGCGCCTCGAGATCAGAAATACCAATCCAACTTTGTCGAATTCCGCAGCGCTCCATCGTCCTCCGCGTCTGGGGCTAATTCCTCCTCACACAACCAGCCCCTGGTGCGTCAGAACTTGTCATCGACCAAGATAGTCTACCGACGATATGCGGGCTTGTTCTTCTGTGTGTGTGTTGATGCCAACGACAACGAACTCGCCTACCTCGAGGCGATCCATTTCTTTGTTGAGGTCCTCGACCAGTTCTTTGGCAACGTCTGCGAGTTGGACTTGGTGTTCAACTTTTACAAAGTCTATGCGATTTTAGATGAAGTGTTCCTCGCGGGTGAGATTGAGGAGACAAGTAAACAGGTTGTATTGACGAGGTTGGAGCATCTGGATAAACTGGAGTGATCAATCAGGACAAGACCGTCAACAAATGAACAAGGCTTGGATAGTATGAAGCTATGGGCTTCAGCAATATCCATTGCCTCGTAAGAATGCGATACATCCATCGAGATATCACCATGCCAAGGCGTGAAGGGACGGCAGGCCCCTTCTTAGCTGCTCAACAATTATCCGCCATATCGCACGGCATGCGCTTCCCTAGCGATGGAAAACCGCTCCAATCGGTACAGATCTCCAATGGTACACCACACTCCTGTGACTCTTACACAAGAGCTTGAACGAATCAGGGACTGTCGGGAGGAATCTAGTCTCAGAGTTGCCCCCTAGTGATATCTACATTGCGATGGAAGGACTGCGGACGTGTCCTTTTGAATATGGCATCGGAGCCGCCCTTCGTGAAGTACAGCAAAGATGACCACGACCAAGCCAGCCATGTCTACCTTGGTCTCACCAGAGAACTCGCACAAAACCACTCGCAGATCTTAGGGAGCCCTTCCTAAGGTTACCTGCTTGGGAAGCCGAAAGCGTTCAGCACTGTCTGCTACTCCGGTGCTCTGGCATCCGGTATCCAAAGGATCGAATGATACCTGCCCGCGCTGACACATGGGCAATTCGAGAAGTCCAACAACGAACAATAACGAGGACGGACTGATATCTGTTGCATATTCTATGCACACATCATAAATTCCGTACAGTAATCATAATATGGGCCTTGATCGTGGGCCTTTCCTCACTTCATCGCACATATCTTTATTCCACGTTATGTTTTATCACATCTTATAACTCATTTCAGTGCAGCGAACCTCTTCGCCAGATCATCCACCGTGGGAACCTTACCAGGCACAGCACCCCCTGTAGCAGCTCCCTTCCCTTTGGCCGTTGCCGCCGCCGCTCCCGTAGATCTCGGCTTGTCATCGCCTTTGCCCACTACGCCTCCGCCAGGTAATTTGACTTTAGGACTGGGATTGTCGGTCCGGGCGCCCGGCGGAGCGACCGAGACAGGACTCTTCGCGCCCAGACCTGCCGGGGGCGTGGCATTCTGCAGCGACCCAATGTCGATTTTATTCGGCTTCGCTGGCGTCGAGGGGGCAGCGGCGCCATCCGCGAGAATCGGTGCCTCTTTCGAACCACCACCTACTCCGTCATCGTCTTCCTCGTCGTCAACCTCTTTCCCCAGCTCATCCACCTCTTCCCGATGTGGCGGCCAATCAACACCATACGTCCGTGCAATCTCCTCCAGATACGCCTGGACGAGCCTCTCGCCGGGCGGATCGACCTTCAACTTATCGACCACCCGCGCAGGCACACAGTTGTCCACATTGTCATTCGCACGAATGGCGAACTCCTTCCCAAAGCGATCGATCAACATATTCCTCACGATCGCCAGCTCCCTCACGTCCCGCGCGAGCCGCGGCGCCGCGTAGATGATGCTGGCGGCGGCCTCCTCGAGGCCCGTCGAGTCGTCGCCGGCGGAAGCGGTCCCTTCCTTCACGTTCTTGTCTCGCACGTCCAGCAGGCCCGCCCGCGCCAGCAGCAGCTCCGTGTACAGCTCCAGGATCTCCATCAGCTCGACTGTGATGTCCGTGTGGATGATGTTCTCGACGCGGATGCGCGCGGAGGCCTCACGGGACTGCGAGAGCAGCTCGGCCATCTCGCGCCGCGACGTGATGGACAGCGCGGTGTCTTTCTTCTGGGCGTTGCGGAGCCGAGGGATGAGAAGGCGGAGGGTCGATTTTAGTTTGACCTGGTTGGTGGCCGGTTGGTCAGTGCATGTTGGTGATAGAGGAAGGTCGTGCCAGGAAGGGAATGGACACTGCCTACTTACTGTTTGAGGGGAGGCTGACGGCATGGCTGGAGAGTGTGTGGATGAGACTTGAGGAGGGGTTTGGGATAGCGGAAACGCGGAGGGACTGGAAGTCACTGTCGGAAATTCCAAGTGGCAATGAGGTTTTGTGCTGCAGGGTTTTCTGGTGCAGGCTGCGAAAACCACATGTAGCGAGTGAGTGAGTGCGACTGGGTGATGGTGTTGAAGATTTGGTAAAGGAAGGTGGGGTGCAGCTGATCTGAATCTAAGTTGAGGGATCAGACGAAGGACGACAGACATCAGACGTGCTCCGCCCGCGCCCGGCGGGTGGGCCGAGGGGCCCCTTATGCACCTGGATTCAGCCTGGGGAGCCTATTGACTCAGCCTATTGACATCTGACGTTTGCTGGGACAAGGCTGAGTCCAACACCGACTTACAACCAAGGGCCCGTCAGTGACACAAGACCTTCTGATCATATCTCACAGCATGATATAAAGCCATGTTTCGTCCACCGATATCGGATTAAAAATTTCAACTATATACCTGGATATGTGTATATGTAGACTATCCACGCTCGAGCCAAAGAATATTACAAAGAATATAGCTTCACTCGGTGACCCAGATCCCATCTTCATCAACCATCTGTCAAGCTCTGTACCAACTCGTATTTGTCCAGATATATCACCATATCCATCACCATCGCAACTGGATTAATCAATCAAAAACGGGTTCAAAACGTGGGCATCGTTAGAAAATAACCATCAGCCTTTCAAAGTCCTCCAATAACAAAACACGCTCACTTTGATGAAAAACTGGCAAACTCTTTCCGTACGGTCGCCTCCCACCCGTAAGGGAAGAATAGTAGAATATCATTTTCCCGGCCTGGCGTCCAGCATTTCCAGAATGGTAGCGTGCTGTAAACCAATTCAGCAAACCCATCGGATTCAAAAGTCGCTTGAAGCGTCGTTTCCAAAGGGGGAAATGAAGATTTGCCAGTGAAGTATGTATGTCCGTATAAGAACTAAAATGTCGGTTGTGCCGGTAAAGGACATCCTGCCGAACGAATTGGTCGAACCATGAAATCAAAAATGGTTTCGGAAACTTTCGTGTCTGCAAGGCCAGTTGCGCTCTGGGGTATCGAACTAAGAGTTTACTCTGCCGTCAAGGCTGCCGATAAGATTGGCAAAAACAGGTTACGTTGATAGGAGGACACAGAGAGTCACACCTGACAGGAGACTCCAAAGTGATGCTTGGGCCAGTGATGCAGCACCGGTGGCTGTCTTTATGGATGGCTGAGGCCCGGTTGTTGATGATGCAGCAGCCGTGGGTTGTGCCTGGCTGGATTCTGTCTGAACGGCAGTCTCCGTAGCTGTAGCCGCAGTCGAGTAGTCGAAAAGGGAGTAGTACTGGGAAGGTCTGGGGGCCCATGATGAGGTATAAGCAGTTGATGTGTCGTTATCCCAACCACCCCAAGGGTGGGAGCTGGAGCTGGGTCTCGACGACCAAATTGTTGTCGGCTCGGTACTTGTTGTCACATCACTTGTTGTAGATGGCGCACTAGACGATGGAGCAGAGGTAGTTGACGACGCATAAAATTGACCTCCATGGTTTCCATTTCCACTTGAAGAGCTTGACCCAGATCCACTGTCACCACCGGTATTGAAAACAACAAAGTTGGCGCTGGATCCTTTGGCGACCGTGACTACGCAAAAAGCACCGCCTCCTGCACCATTACTGGCACTTCCCAACATTTGATTGACCTGATTTTGGCTAGGATCGATGCCACAAGGAAGACCGCTACAGCCTCCATTTGCACATTCAATCTTTACACCCCAGTTCGGGACTTCGTCGCGGAATGGCGTAGTTGGCTCCAGGTATATTGGGTTCCATCCCAACTTGATGAAAGTTTGTCCAGATGCGTCCACGTTAGCACCTGCAACATATGGAGACCAATTGCCAACCGCCTTTGCGGTCGATCCCCATACACACGCGTCGTCAGGACCAACTCCCGGAGGGTTGATGTAGTAGTGTGCCGCAGTAGAACACCAATAGCTTGGGTCTGGAACAGCCAGGCTCGCGGTGTCATATACTGCAGTAGGGATCAACATGGCTTCATTGCCTGGAAGTACAGTTTGACAAAAAGAAACAACACCTCCGGCTTTGTTTGTAACGCCGATGTTATTGGATGTTGCCTGGCAGTATGGTTTATTCGGGAATGGTTTCTCGACATTGCCGTTCTCGTCACAGTACAATCCACCATTCTGTCATGTGTTAGTAATACGCTTCAGCGATTCTGGAACCATGACATACCATGGATTTTGGGTATGAATAACTGGTAGCACTCGGATCCCACTGCATAGAGACTTGACCTGGTGGGCAAGCATAAGGCATGTAGGAACCTGGTTTAGGAGGCTGATCAGGGCTCATAGCCCAACCCGCGTTCTGCTGACCCGGCGTGACTGGGACCAAACCAGCATCGTATGGAAATGCGCATTGTCCTCCACGTTTCTCAACCTTCGGTGCTGTTGTTTCAGAGATAGCCCTTATCTCCACTCCCATATCTCCATCTTCTGAGGTAGATCTGACGCCAAGTTCTCTGGACGCTCGGTGTCTCTTATGGAGAGCATTGAGATGCTCATGGGTCGCATGCTTTGCACTCACGAGTGAGGCCAGCAAGAGCAAGAGCGCGCTCGCGCTTGAGGTAATAGTTCGTTTTCGCATTGTCGCAAAAGGCTCGTGTTATACGCAGGGTTGACACATAAACTCTAGATTGCGATGTACGATGTTACTTGCGCTTCTCGGCGCAGGGACAGGCTCCCAAATGAGTGACTAGGGTGAGTGTGTTGTGGTAATGAACGTGGGTGCTCGCAGAGCTGCGACAACGATAATCGACGGCGATCAGTTCCAGCGACGACGAAAAAAACTCCAAAGCAAGGCGACAAGGCAAAGAGCCTAGATGTAAATGAAAGACTGACTTGGATCGTGTCGAGGAGACAACTAGGTAAAGGAGACGCAGATCCAGCTTAGAGCGAGAGACTACCAAGGCTTGTGCAAATTGCCTGTGACGAAGTAGCAGACCAACACAATCCGCTCTCGTGCTATGCAAGGCTGACCCACAATAATCCACTGTTTATGTTGCAGATGGGGCATGGTCAGGGATGTCGGCCTTGATCGCGTCAAGTTCCGACCCGCTTGGTGAGGGTCAATTTCGCTTCGCCAATCACAAATTCTCCCAGCTTGAGCTTGATACTTGAGCTTGTTGAGCAATGTCCGCTATCGTCGAATCATGCTCTGTGCCCTCGACGAGGATGGGTCTTGCACATTTCGCCAACCGCACCTCGTCGCAGAGGCAACTAACCATTGCGTGTAGCAAGGGTGTGGAATGCTGGCTCGCCAACACCTCGGCCATTGGAGGTCTAGAAGAGGCTCTGATTTCTCAGAAGGGTCAAAGCCCGAGGGTCGAGACTCGAGACTTGCCAATAATAATGACTGGCCATTATTGTCCAGCATCGAGAATGAGTTGAGGCTACAGATCGAAGAATGCGTTTACCGGCCAAATCACCAGCCATGTTCGAGTGTGATACACCAGTCTCTAGTACTCCGTACTCAGTGGGAATCAGTCAATGTTTCATCGGCCCCCGTCAAGCGGTAGATATCTCGCCGCATATCGAGTACGAGTACTCCGTACGGAGTATGGAGTATGGAGTGATTAGTTCTGTTTGTCGGGGTGACGCCTGCGACTAGACTGAATACCAAGGCCCCGCCGAGATGGTGATTTCGCATTGCAATCAGACTTCTTAGAGCAACGGAAGACTGTCGCGTGAATTCCTCCAGAGTGCCTGTTTTTAATCAGGCGACTTTCAGTGCGATGCCCAGCAAGTGAAAACCTTCGAATGCATGGTATACGGGGTATACACGACGAGGGAATCCCGGACTATCCGTCAACTGTTGACTTCTCGGATTATGGCAACTCTGACACGAACAGTCGTGGGTGTAAATTGACCGACAGGTGGATGGAAGCTTCTTTTGTGACGGGAGATTTTCCGCTTTCCGCTTTGATTGCTGTTCTTGGCAGTCACAGGGCAGCTCACGTGATAATAAATTGATCAAACTCTCCTCCTGCGGGACCCCCTGGGTTACCGGAGGCTCAATAACACAAAGGCCCACATCGCTTGGATCCAGTGTTCATTGGTGCTCCTTTCTTTGGAGATCGTCGCTGGATGGCCACGATTACACTAACTCTACGCCTTCCTCGTAAATCACCCGCCCGTCTCGAGTGATTGCAGCAGCGGGCTCCATAAAGAGCCATCCCCAAATCCCCTCCAACCCAAGCAGATGCAATAATGCTTCGCTAACAGGACGAACTCCTCCACTTCATCCATCCATTCCAACCCCTCGATCCTCTCCTTTTCCTCAGGGTCGATCCACCTATGCCAAATGGCATCAATGTCGGCTGCTTCCGCTCCAGCTATTGATCCATTGGAAGTTACAACGAAGCCGTGATTGTTTAGTCGTTGTCGTTGTTCTTCAAGCCCAGAGTATTTCTCCAGAGTTTGCAATTGAATACCTCTTTCCATGAGGTTTCTCACCATCGTCTTCCCAAACGCATCGAATGGGCGAATGGGCTCGTAGATCACAATCGCCAAAGGTGTGGTTGGTGGGAAGATTCGATCGAAGCAGTCCAAAACACTATCCGCGTCATCTGGAGGCAGATAGATGAGGCAGCACTCTGAGAGGATGAGCGTCGGTAGGGAAGTGTCAATCCCAGTGAGCCCGGTCTCAATCTTTGGTAAGCTTCTCAGATCCTGGGGATGGATAAAATAATCCGTCGAGGATAACTTGGTCCTATCTTGAGAAACCTCAACATCAGAGGCCTGCAAGTCGATACCACACAATGATTTGGCTTGATTAGAAAAGGGAACACTTCGTAGGTGGCTGATCTTGCGTTGTGTGTTGGCTGCAAAATCGATTTCGTGATAGGCCAGGTCAAGACCGCGTTGTTTCTGCTTCAACCGGAAGTACCGGGTGTCGCTGCCTGCCCCAAGAGAGATAATTTGCTTGCGCCCAGATTCCCTGGAGGATAAAAACCTGTAGACAATCTTATCAATTGCTGCCGTTCTAACGTACGTCCCTGACGATCGTTAACTCGATGAGATTTACATCCATCGCCAAAGCCTTACCTCGATTCATGAGAGGTAGGCGCCGCTGAACGCCATCCCCTGGTGCAAGGAGTCTGGCAAACGGATCCTCGAGATATCCAGCCTCCACGGCGCTTAATCGGGAGGTGGCAGCATCATTGTCGGTGTTTCGCACAACTTGATCATGATCCACATGTTTGTGACTCACACCTCCAGGACGATCTCCTAAGCCTCGACCCCTTCCTCGTGGTCCTCGCCGAAGAGAGTTTAAATTCGGTATGTGTGGTGCCGACATCGTAAATGCCGGGAGAGTTGTTTGACGTGCGGAGTGGAATATAAGACGGGTTCCTGCAGGGTGAGGTCATGCGTGCCAAGCCACTGTTTACACTCTTTTTCCTCTTGCGTTGGTGGTGAGTCTTGACAAGATATCACTGAAAAACTACCGACGAGAACCTACATCCGCCAAAAGCCCACCAGCGCTCGAGGAGAATCGAAGTTCTTCCCAACAGACTCATCTACCCAGCTGGGCTATCGGAGCAGCTAAAACAGATGGAACTCATCCCTATCAGGAGGCAGGTGAAGATTTTAAAGACAAAAGAGATTAATTTTCCGAGTGCGCGCGTTTAGTGAAGCATAGCCAGGTTGCCGCTTAAGGAGGTTTCCAAGGTGCTACTGACGTATGAATAGCCATGGGACCAAGATTGGATTGATCAAAGAGTTGAGCCCCATGGGGTAAGGGACAGCCACTCACTCACAATAGCCCTAGTCTGAAGCCCGTAGTAGCACTGTTCACGTCTCAGAGTCTCAAAGCCTCAGAGCCTCAGAGCCCCAGAGCTCACCCCTTCCGTCTGACTTTCTTCTCCGCCCTTTGCTGTAGAATCTTCCTTCGCTTCTCGAAGGTATCACCAATACCAACGCCGCCCACTGTACCATCCCCACGTGGTCCATCTACTGTGTCTCTCTTCCTCTTGTCCCTCCGTTCAAACACGCCCTCGCTCCTGCCTTTCCCAGAAGCGACAGTCCTGTTGATTCGATCACCCAGCCCACCAAGCCCCGTCCAATCCTCACCACCAAATACTTCTCTCGTGTCTCTCTGCGACTTGGCTTTCTCTTTCTTCCGCTCAGCTTTGCTCAGAGCTGGTAGGCGTGTGAAGTTGCGCTCTTCATAAGCTGTCCTTTCGCGCTCTTTTTCTCTGTCGCGGCTAGACATGGCCCCTCGTCCTTGCTGGAGGATAGTGCCGCCAGACCCAATCGATGGCTGAGATTGTGGTGCATATGAGATTTCTTCGTCAATGTACTCATCCAATAATTGTGACCTGCGTTTACGAGCAGGTTTTTCATCCCGATCTCGGTGAGATGAAGGCTCCGGCATGGCGGTAGGATTTATGCGCGGGGGTTTGTATGCGCCGGGTCTTGAGTGGTCGCTACTCCGAGATTTATTGGAGTGATAGTCCTTCTTCAAGGGAACAGATGCATTCCGAAGGAGAGCTGCCGCCCTGGGCCCGACAGACGGCTCATGGACCGCCTGGTTTAGGTAGTCTTCATCAACTTCAGATCGTTCATCCTCCGATCCCTGGGAATGAGACTCGTGAGCTGCTGGGCCCGTGGAGGGCTTTTCGGACGAGGCCGAAGCCCGCTCAGTGGCCCCCCTCCGTACTGCTTCGTTTGCGGCTCGAACAACTTTATCGATTTGATATTTGAGTTTTCCTTCCAATGGGCGCACGCCTCTTTCCAGGTAGACTCGTACTTCGCCTAACTTCTTGATTACCTCGCTTCGGATGATATCATCGCTGGAGTCATGGCGGAGTCGTATGATAACGAGGAAGGCAAGATTTTGCAGGTATGAGAGGAGAAGATCATTTTTCACATCCAGCAAAGAAATCCCCTCAGCATTCGCTGATGTCTCGGTGGGAATTGCCAATCTTACAGAGGTCAGCGCAGAAGTGAGGTTCGAGAGCAAACTCGCAGGCGTAGTGTCAATAGCCATGTTGATGAGGGCCGATGAGAGTGCAGAACAATTGAGCTGCTGCTAGAACCGTGTTTAATGTTGTTGGACAGAGAAGAATTAGCATGCTCATTTTGAGAACTTTCATGCGCTTCACGCAAAATAAAATTTACGGACGAGCATGGACTTTCCATCGGCAGGCACGTGACCGTGCCTGCCAAGCAAAAGGACAAGCCGCAAGCCTCAAGCGAACTTCCTATTCGCCTGCTCTTCTCTACCATCGCAATAGGCATAATGGATGGTTTGGGCAATGCAGTGTCGCATGGTGGACCAGTGTTCGGAGAGTAAACATCGCCGCCTCGTGTCACTCCACTGGGTTTAATACTACCAGCAGAGAGTGTCCAGGTTTGTGAAGGAGAACTGTGGCCCGGCTGGTGCAAGAAACACTTCGGACACATCCCATATCGGCTGCGGCCCGGCACAAGACCTGAAGCACCTGGGGGACATTCGCGTCCAGTCTTAGCTGATATTACGAACTAAGTTGCCTTTATCAAGAGGTATTCGGTTTTGAAGACGTACGGGCTCCGGAATTGTCCCTGCCCTCCCCCCTACCTGCTTGATAATTGCGGAACAATCGAGCGCTGAAAGGCTTAAGGAGGACGCGTTAACTTTGTGGCAAAACTAGGCGATTTAAATGCAGTAGTATATCTCACCCGATCCCTATGCTACCTAAAGTGTGCAGCGGTAGTCACAATCGAAGTGTCAACAGCCCCAGTCTTGGAGGACGTTAAGAAGGTTGTCCCGTCTCACTGAAACCCTTGCACAGGTCAGGCAAACCAAGGACGATCCAAGGAGGCAAGCTAGAATGACCTTGTGCGCGATCATGGAGGGGGCATGAACAACCACAACCTCCTGCGCATCGAACCCCTCGAGGTTCTGATGTCACTCTTTCCAGCTAAGGCAGAAGGATAAGCAAATTTACATTCAACCGCCGGCAACTTGCCAGATTCGAAGACACTTCAATCGCGCACCGCCTGTCTTCCTTGGGAAATTGTGACAAGGAGCCTGCCCTGTCCAGGATACGCAGTCTTTCATCTCCGTGGCAAGTCTTCCTCACGGGACAGGGCCCCGCTTGGTCTATCGATGAAAGACCTCCGTAGGCATGCCTCCAACCGAGCAAGTACCTCGTTAGGTGTATGCCTAGGTCGGTGTCAGTACCTCAACGCCATATAGCGTTGATATGTCCTACACACAAAAGGCCATCCGGCCCGACTAAACTACGATTCGCCCAACAGAAGAACGTTGCAATCCGCCGCTCCTCGTCGAGTTGCGACTCTGCTATCATCATTTGGCCTTGAGCGCCGTCACCCTCTGACAGCTAGGTATCGTCCAAAAGAAAAAGAAAGAAAAAGAGGAAGTCCATGTGAATTGTGGAGGCGTACCACATGCACCCCCCCAAAAGGATGATGAAGCGGGCAGAAGAGAAGGTGTGCATTGCGATCAGTAAGTTAAGATCCCCCACATCCGAACAAATACACATTGTCCCGACCAGGGATCCTCGAATTGGATCCGCGATTGTATTTGAGAACAAACGTTGACAGTCGACGTGACATGCGACCCTCTGAAAGTCCACGGAGCGCATCGCAGCCCCTTCCCCTGCCAGAGGCTCAAAATGGGTTCTTTTCCGTGTTCGAGACTCAGAGCCTTAGTAGGACTCATTTACGGTACGCCGTCCGAGGTACCCGTACCTGTACCATGACGGGACCCATCCCCCGTAGACCTCCAGTTGCACAGTTGCAGATCCAGAATCGCTTGCTTCTGCGTCTCAACCTCGGGCCTTGCAAGGTCTGTTGTCGCCCGTCATTTGCCGAACAACGAACCAGCCTGGAGAACGGGGGGGATTTGAACCGGATCAGGCGTCGAGATTGTCGGATACTTTTTGTTTGTAGCCAGCTTGCGTGATAGATATACTGCCGCAGAAAGAAAGAAAAACACTCATCTGATCTAGTTAGTCAAAAGACGGAAGAGGGGGGCCTCTTCTCACGGACAGTACCACCATCTCATCTCAGTGATCTCACTCCTGGGTATTTCGGACTTTTTGTATACATAGAAGCCGGCGTTGGCCGTCGACATCTGACCTTCCTTTGCCTGTTAGATATATAGGATACATCCGCGTGAAGACGAGACGACCTCACAAGCCGGCCGCTGGTCTGGAGTCTGGCGTTCTCCAGAGTCCTATGTAGCCCGTCGAGCTCCCACTCCACGCCATGTCAGTGCCAGCCAAGCGCGTGACCTGTTTGTTCTTTCTATCTCTCGTGTCTGATGACACCGTCATTTGTTTATTTTCGTGGGGGGGGGGCGGAGGTCTCCTTTTCTTCTGGATATAATCCGCCCCCCTCCCGGTGCACAATCATCAACCCCGACAGCGGACGACACGATACGTGGATGCGGGTGCAGAACTAACTACCATGTGAGAAGACCAAGTGAAGCAAATGCCTTTGATGCGGATTTGTCGTGGTCGGTTATACATGCAGCGCGCTGTTTGTCTTTAGCTGCGGAGTCTTCAAGTTGCGAACAATGGAAAGATTAGTGACTCGCCGCATCAGCTTCTCCTTACGAGACCTGAAGATACTTGGAAGCTGGAGATTTATCAATGCCCAAGCCCCGAAGTTAAAACATAAATCCAAGCAAATTCCTCTGTGCGCTTGTGGCCCTACCCATGTCGAGCCGGGTTTGTGTCGATATCTTAGGTGCCACCTTATCTGAGTGTACCGAGTCCTACTTAGTGTCTCCCCGTTAATGCCCCCATTTTTTAGTCTTAGTCTCTTAGGTTGACTTAAGCCCCTCGTTCCCAAGCCTTGCCAGTGGGCCCCACTCTGAGACCATCCAACGCACACATCGAACTTAAGGCTACGCACTAGTTAAATCAAAACCTCTTGCAGCCAAATATCCAAACCATCACATACTTCAAGGAATCGCGACGTTAGAAAACCTCGAGCAGCGGCATTGCTTGTCGCATCTGCCCTCCTTCACTCAGAGCACCAGCCAGCCCAGGCCCCCCTGAGTCCCCAGTTTCGGTAAACAACGGCGAATAGGCTAACTCCCTTCCGCGCCGCGGACCGAGCCGTCCGTCTTCAAACCTCTCGTTCATTGTCTCAAGCTGAAAGGAGGGAGAAGGCGAAGGAGAACACCCTGGCTTTTCTTGAAATCTTCTTCGGTCGCTTGCACAGCGACCCAACATTTCGACCTGCAATCGATCATACGGGCTGCGCTTGATGAGTGACAGACACCGGCATTGTCCATTGCATTTGCGCTTTGTAAACCTGGAAGCCTGGAATGCTTTGAAACACCTGCAAGGGGAATCGAATCGCAGAGTATTGCCTGCGGGACTCATGTCGGTTCATTTGATGGGCATGGCCGCCCAGGGAGCCATTCGATATCAGGGCCTGCAGGGCTGCCGCCATGAGGATATCAGGCTGAGGGTGGAAAGCACTCTCTGACGTATGAACAGCAACCAGAATGAGCTCTGGATGAGATGGGGCTTTGTCCTGTGGTCAGTTCCCAGTAGCACGGTATGCCAAGGTAGGCACAAGGTACTGGGATTGCCTAGACCTGGTGGGTAGAGCAAGGCATCTTCTAGTAGGGATGGGGAATGATGGCATTAGCAGGGCTAGAGGTCCCCGTTGAAAAATGCACACAGGAGATGGCAAGAGAAGAATTAGCACACGGGCCTGGCCGCTGGTGTCTCCTCAAAGCTGAGAGGAGGATGGCTCGATGAGAGATTCATGAGAACAAACAGAACGAACCTCCACTGAAGACGTCTGCACGTGGAAAGCGAAAGCAAAGGTGCCCGCATGGCAGTCTTTTACAAATGGTAGTACTACTGAGCACTTGTGGGCCTGTCTGGCGGAAGGAAGGCCCCAAGGAAGACTGCCTATGAGAAAAGGAGCGATGGTTACTGGGCAGGCCTTAGCGACCAGAATAAGGCTACTGCTAGGACCTCCTACGTTATTATGTGCCCTCGAAAGCGAAGTTTCTAAGGAGCAAGGTCAACGCTTTACAGCCCGTAAATACCTAACGATTACGCTCCTCACAGCGCCCACGTCTAAAATTCCCCCCCTAAGAATGGGGCTTTGTACCCCCCAACAATCTCCGCCATCACCAGGATCGCATGCCGAGAAGTGCCGGCCGGGGTGGCAATGCTTCATGTCATTTTCGTCCTGGAAGCCCGAGGATATAGGAATACATAAGAGCAGAATGGGAAAATTGGGACTCGCAAGACCGATTTCCACAGTGACCCAGCCCTGCCTGACAAGTCCCAGCACATGGAATCCGCCACACACTCAGATAGCCTCCCCTAGAAAATCATCTTTCTCAGTCCTCTGAAAAACAACCATCACCCAGTTCACCAGTGTCACATCCAACGCAGGCCACCGAATCCCGGGCCCAGGGCCAAATTCGGCTTAGCCAACACACCGAAATCTCCACACCGTCTGCAGCTTCTATGCCTCATCACCTGCAGATTACAGGTCTTGTGACGGAGGAACGGCCGCCAAACGACCAAGATCGAGTCTATGGCCAATCAACGTGATTCTGGGGGTCACACCAAATCATTGAAATTGGCAAGCGTATCTGCAAGGGCTGGTTCTGCGGTTGGTGGTAGTCGGAAACTGGTCGGTTGAAGGCTTGCTGCACAGTCGATCGCTGCAGTGCAATCGGCAAGCGTTCCTGGCATTCTGGACCGAACGGCTCTGGCGTCATGCAGCGTTTTGCACCTTGCGGGGCAAAAAGCAGCAAGTCGCTTGGCCCAATTCGTGGGGTGGAGCGGAACTTAAAGTGACTGCCACGTCAACGACACCAGCGGACGACCGCCAAGGCTGGCTTTTGGGTTCCCGACGAATGAATGATCAACATTGTTGATGAAATCTGATTTGCTGTGATTAGACGTCGTCTAAAGTGTCAGGCTGTGAAGACAAAGGGGTGCCATTTCGAGCCCTGACCATTCCACATCTCGCAAGTAAAGCACTGGGAAGAAATAAGAAAATCGTAAGAAAATCGTCTCGGTCATCAAATCAAGGAAATTCGTTGCCATCGTGATTCGTGATCGCATGAAATCAATGGCGGCTTCGGCTGGCTTTTGCGTAAGCTTCCGGGTGTTTCTTTTCAGCCTTAGACTTCATTGATCTGGGTAGCACTTGTTAGCAAGCAACAAACCTGCAATCGCCAGTCAAGATCCCGGGTAGACTTACGATGTTTTCTTGGAGATATATTCAATATCTCGCCTGGTCTCTCGTGCAGCATCTATTCCCTCGGCAAAATTCACTCTGGCGGTCTTCAATCTTCTTTGTGCGAGCGCCTGCAATTCTTGCAATTCGCGCTGTTTTGCATTGAGCTGACCGGATCTGCCCAGAATTAGCGGCTGCATGATTCTGTTTTTGGGCTTGATACTCACGTTTGGGCTTGAGAGACCAAGGCGCGATCCATCGTAATGGGATCAAATGCGTCGTTCATTCTCTGGCTCAACGTGTCCATGACATCGATAGATCCGCCGTGGTGCGAGCTATAAGAATCGTGGTCGCTGTTGTGACTGGGAGCATAGCTGCGGCCCGAGCTTACGGAGTAAGAACCACCAGACGAGCGGCTTCCGCCGTAGGAGCTGGTTTCAGATAAATCCGACGGAGGCGACATCGCCCTAGAGACGGGATAGTTGTAGCTTTGTCCCTTCTGCGGCATGATGACTGGTGGGGACTTGTGATGAGAAGCATAGTGGGTAGGATGGCGCGAGATGGAGGTCATCTTGTTTGTGTCTGTTAGGTTGGGTGAGTGGTAGTGTGCTTAAGTCAGTCCAGTATAGAGTCGGGATAGTGTGGTCAGCTGAACCTATGGCTTCAATGACAGATGGGAAGATCTAAGGGTCTTGGAAAAACTCTGAAGATGAGTGATATGGAAGGAAGAAGGAGGAAGGAGGATTTGGAGGACAACCGAGCACGCTTTTATAGGCAAGAGGGAGCAGCCGCTGTCACCCTCGCAGCAGGGGGATAGATTGCCAACTCACACATGGTGACGGTGGGCCAATATGATTTGGACAGTGTGTCGAGGGTGGTGTCATCAAGAGCCACCCAGAGCCAGCGACCCCGCTCGCAAAGTTGGATTGACATAAGAGGGAGGAAGGATATGACCAATGTGATGAGAAGTTTGAGACAGGGTCGGCACCGTCCGTAACCTTCCGCCCAGCAGAGCGAGGGCAAATTTGAAGCGGGAGCAGCCAAAGAGAGCGGAGGATGGCCCTCCTTGACGAAGCGGCGACATGGATGTTTGTTAGCTCAGGTCTGCGGGAATGGTCCCAGCCGGTAGCCGATTTTCAGGGAGGGAAACGGGAAGCAACAGCTGCTGATTGGATCAGCGAGAGTTTTGCCAGGTCTTTCGGGGTCCTTAGTTGCGGGATCTAGAATCAAAAACGGCGGACGGGAGTGGCTGTTCGAGGAGCGAGCATGGGGGAATAAGGTGGTGGTGGTATAGAGTGGACTAGGGGGGAGGGGTGGGAAAGACTAATCGGGGAAAACTCGTAGCCATGTCTCTGCAGGGCAAGGTTTTCAGGAGGGATTGATCGTTGCCCGGTAGTAACAGCAGAGGGTCGGACGTGGTGGACGCGGACGCGGACGTAGACAACGATGGTGATGGATTGGAAGAAATGAGTGACCGAGGGAAACCGGTCAGAGATGAACTCGATTGAGGCTGAATGCCGTTTTGGGGTGATGGGAGTGAGACGTTGTGATGCAGCGAGGATGTATTTTCAATACTGCGGTATTTCCATACGGGCCTAGGGTTTTGATTTTTGATTTTTGCTCTTCCTTATCCGCACGCACGCACACAAAATGAAATGGGATGAGGGGGTGTGCCTTTGCACGAGCCCCGGGGGCGGCGGTCAGTGTGGGTGGGAATGGACGGAATAGAGGGAACGATGGGAGTGAGGCCGGGTCTAAGAGGTCGAGCTGAAGCAGCAAGGAGCTGGGCCAGGAAAGGGTCAAGCGCGGAGGGAGGAATGTGGTGCTGGTGGTGACCGTATTGTGGAACGGTCGAAGGCCGTAAATGCAGAACACACTTTGTATCGGATACTTAACGGAGTTACGAGGCAACTCTAAGATTGTTAGAGCACCCCAGGCCTAGTGTAGAAGTGATTGTGGTGATTAGGTGTGGGATGGCTGCCAAAGTGGACGGAACTCGGTAGCGGTGGGAGGGGGGTGGTCGAGGATGAGCTTCAGACTGCGGCGGGCGTGAAGAATTCGGTGGGGAGGGGGGAGCCCGTGAGGTGGCGAGGGGAGCCCTGGGCTGGGCGCGGAGGGGTGACGGTTCATCGGTTTTAGGTGGTAGACTTCATCCCAAAACCCATTCCTCGGGTAGAAGCCAGGCATGTCTGGAACTGAAACAAGAATTAGCCCAGTTATAGCAGCTGTGCCAGGCTCTGTTCGGGCCAGGTCTGGGGACAGATGCTGGTGGGTGCATGGTCTGTTAGGCGTTGAATAATACCGACGATGGAGGACAGTACTCTGTACAATATCATGGACAAGCAACACGGGGCTCAATAAGGATACTCAGCAACTCGGTACAAATGGCCGGAGTAGGGCTGATCTATAGAGAAGAGCATGGAGTCTCCGTCACCCGTCCATGTGGCTGCAGAGAGTGATGATAATTATTGTCCTCCGTATGTGAGGGTGGAAGTCGTCCAATTGTCGTGGTTTCGCCTTCTGTAGTGACTGTGTGGCTCCCCGTTTGGATGGCTCCCCCACCTGCTCGAATCGAATTCCGAGTCCCCGTCAGTCGTGCCTGCCACTCGGTGCGGTTCTTGGCGCCTCAACCACCCACAGCCTACGCGCTCGGTATAGGCCTGCTGGTGACAGTGGTGGCGCTGGCACGTCCTCCAAGTCACTGGCTTGCAGCCGATCGTCGGCCTGAGCCTGCACGACATCACACTGCAGTCGTCAATCACCTGGCTTGCCGGCACAACGAACCACTGCAACGTCGTCCTTCACTGAGGATCTCGCACTCCGGGTCATCACTTTCTATCTTCTTCTTCGACAAGCATTACATTCTTCTTAGTTGCTGTATACTACAATGTCCCTCCGTATTACACCTCTCGGCCCCTTCAACCCAACTCCATCTGCTCCCATCCTGAGCATGTCCTATTTAACTAGTTGGTCTACGTCGTTCATGTAATCATCTCTCGTTGGCGGTACGTATAGTGTCCACTTTTTGTGCCTGTAGTTGCGACCAGAACGACACCGCGTTCTACCGCACCTTTGAACTTTGATGTTGCTGTTCGTCTTGATGCCCATGCCGACGATCTTGATGCACAATTACCGTGACCCTTCAGCCTCCAACCGGTGCTTGAGTCAAATCGCTGGTAATGCCCCTCCTGTCAATCAGGCAATCTTTCCACCTGCTGACCCAAGTCCATCCAAAACGAAACCAAAACGCCGGCATGCTCAAATGTTGCACCTTGCAAAAGCCACGCAAGGTGTAGCTATACTCACGCTCGCTCAAACCTAGAAGCACCCGTGCCCAGCACATACCTAGGTATAGCTGTGCCAACGGCCACTGCTGGACCGCCGGGGACGAAATTCTCCCCTCCGTCACATGGCACACATTGACGTCGCTTTGCCAGACGATCTTCAGTGGCCTGGAAGCCTAGAAAGTGGAATCGACAATCGCCACCTGCGATAAGTTCGCTCAAGACTCCGGAGGCCTATCACGTAAGAACACGTGTGGCACCCTCGGGTCCATTAGTGTCATCATCATAGTCCCCAACACATTGAAATCCACCGGCTTGGTGAGGTAGTCTGTGAATCCTGCGTTCCCTGCTGCCATCCTTTCTTCCGGCATTGCATTCGCTGTCAATGCCATGATCGGGCAGGGTTTGTATCCATGTAACCTCTCCCAAGCCCGGATTTCTGTGCACGCCTCGTACCCGTTCTTCACCGGCATCTGAATGTCGCAGATAATGAGCGAGTAGTAGTCATGACCCCCTTTCTGCACCATGTCCACGCATTCTTGTCCATTTTTGGCTGACTCGTTCGCGAGTGCCACCTTCTTCAAATATCGCTGAATCACCATTCGATTGACATCACTATCTTCCACCAGCAACACTCGGTACTCCTGATCGCCAATTGTATCCTTGACTAGTTTGGCTATCTGCTTGAAATCATCCGAACTCGATTGTGCAACTTCTCTCGCTCGGTCTTTGCTCAGATTTCTCAACTGTGCCGGGTCGAATATCATAGCAAATACCGATGGCTTGACCGGTTTGTGTATCAAGAACGCTTTTCGCCCACTAGCGGTCAGCGCCGTAAAATCCTCAAGTATGTCTCGCTTTTGGTAATGATCTGTAACCACCACAAGTGCAGGGGCTACCGCAGCTGTATAGGTAGCCATCTGTCTCATGAACAACATAATGTCCGAGGTTGCAGGGAGATCAAGAACAATGTGTGTAAATGCTGGAGTTTCTGGCCCGTTCATCAGTTCCAGAAACGATCCAATGTCTGGCTGAGTCGTTACGTTGGCAGCTATCTGGTACGGCACCACATGTTCAATATGCTGCTTGATGGCAAATCTTGCATGAGCTGCGGGGCAGATGATCATAATCGAGTAAGTCGGTGGGTGCGCCATGTCAGCCGTGATCGCGACACTCTGAGTGTCACTCTGGCTTCGTCGAATGATCGGGGTTGTGCTCATCGATTTCTCTGCCATTATATGTCTCTCACTCATGTTGAGGGCGGACCCTCGAGAAGCAATGGAATCGGGGGTCGGTATCAATGAAGAAATAGACGACTGTCCAACGGTATTGATCGAGTTCGACCTAGCTGACATACCAGAACTGTCGGAGGGGAGGACTGGAGGTGAAACCAATGGTGAGGATGACAAAGGTGGAGGCGACAGTGCAGGAGATTGGTGCTCGGGCGAAGCTGAAGGTACGTATCTCGAAAGCCCTGGTGTTTGAATAATTCCGTCAGATTGCCCAGTGGTATGAGGTGATCCCAAAGTGGCCGTTCTGCCATCAGACCGCGAACGTGGACTGGTGTTTAGAGCGGGACTACTGCGAGCTTGGCTACCCCTGCCAACCGGCGCCGGCGATGTCACCTCACTTCCCGCGTGAGCCATCTCGACTTTGATGGAGAAGCTGAAAGTTGATCCTTCGCCGGCCTTGCTCTCCGCTGTAAGATCTCCGCCATGTAATTCAACCAGCTGCTTAGAGAGGAAAAGGCCCAGACCAGACCCAGCATCGTGGTTGGTCCCACCACCAATCTGGCCGAATTGCTTGAAAAGACGCTCGAAATCAGCAGTATTGAACCCCCGACCTGTGTCGACTACTTCAAATGCTATGAAGCTCGCCGGTTCAACGGTTGCTGTCGCACTCACCGGTGCGGTCTTTGGAATGAAGCATCGCATGTAGACTTCACCTTGCTCGGTGAATTTGACTGAATTTCCGAGGAGATTGAGTAGGACTTGTCGTACTCTGAATGGATCACCCCTGACTGTTGCCGGAACATTGGGTTCAAGCAAATAATTAAGTTCCAATCCTCTTTCTATCGCACGGGACGAGACTGTGTCGATGACTTCTTCGCAGAGTGTGCGGACCTGAAACCATTTTGGCACCAGTGCCATTTTGCCCGCTTCTACCTTCGTTACATCCAAAATGTTATCGACCAGCTCGCGTAAATTGTTTGCACTATTTTGAATAGTATCCACTGTCCGCCTCTGGTCGTGGTCCAGCGTGGACTCGACCAACCACGGCATGCTTCCGAGAATCCCGTTCAATGGTGTTCGGATTTCATGAGACATATTGGCAAAAAATTTCGTCTTTGACTCCATCTCTGAATGCACTTTCTCATTCGCTTGATTCAGTTCCCGTTCGAGGGTTTTGCGAGTTTCAATGTCCGTGCACGTGCCATACCAGGAGGCACGGCTAGTAGTCTCCATCTTTCCGGTTTCGACCCGGACAAGTCGGACAAGAAACCAACGATACTCCCCACGCTTGGATCGTAACCGGATTTCGGTGAGATACGAGAGCCGACCATTCTCATCTTTCTCCACGGCAACAGAGTCCTGCTTGATCATGTGATCAAGTAAATTTTGATCTGGCGCGAACAGAGTCATATGTGTGGGTGTAGAAGGCGACGCAGTCTTATTCGAATCGCTGGACGAACTTGTCTGGGGAGAAAGAGATCTTGTTATAGCTGCCACATCGTTCGGAGATAGAACACCGCATTTGTGAAGGTCCTCACGATGAACGTGCTTGGCAAATCCTAATCCTCGGGCATCATCCAACGTTTGTCCAGAAAATGCATGCCATTGTTGATTGACAGCCACAATGCCATCTCCTTCGACTGCTTCGAACAACACTTGAGGGATGGCATCAGCCAAAGCTCGGATTTTATTGTCACGTGCCATCGTAGCCTCCCTTTCGCTCGCCTCGAGATTTTTGATGTACTGCTCGTGAACATCTAGAAATGAGCCGATCCAGTACAATAGCCGACCATTATGACTCAGAAGTGTACTAGCCCGAAATACGAACCATCGGAAGTCGCTGTCGCTATTGAAACGCTTCACCCGAATATAGTGAGTGAATTGGCTTCCAGTCTTGAGTGCATCATTCCATAATCGCACCAAGCCGTTTCTATCCGCGGAGTGCACATTCTTCCAGGGATCTCTCACACGGCCATCGCCTTGGCTTCTGAACGCATCAAACTTACGATTCGTCCAGACGAGATCTCCTGTGCCAGGCTTAGCCAGAAACAATTGGAGGGGTACCGCATTTAACATCAAAGATGAAATCAGTTCAGGCAGAGGCCGTTCACTGTCATCCCTGCTGTCTCGACGCTGTGGAAACCTCCGGTTTATGGAGGAACTGGGCCACAAATGATCGCTGATTTCACTTTCCGAGGCGCTGCTGGCTGTTCTCATGGCGGAGGGGCTCTGTGGCTCAGTCGCAGTTTTACCCGGCGTTGTGCCTTTCTTCGACGCTTTGGCGCTCGAAGTTGACTTTTCCTGCGACCGCTTTGCGTTGTCTGCTTCTTCCTTGACTGCACGGGTACCCGGTGTCAGTGGCTGCTGTTGTTCTGCCTTCTGCCTTCTGGTTGCGAAATAGTTGTCGACCATTTCAGATCCAGTCTTGCCTGGCGTTGGTGGATGCCCAGTGCTGAAGCCATAGTGTTCAACTAGTGGTGTGGATGTCACTGAGCTTGAAGGACTTTCCTTGAAAGAGCCAGGGCTGGCATTGCTTTGGTAACTGAAACCTCTTCCTTTGTCCTTGTCCTGGGCGATTTGTCCACTCAATTCTGCCACGAGTTCGAGCTCTGAACCTTCGTCTGAAAAGGTTCCACCAAGGCCGAATGCACCACCGTGTCGATCTCCAGTACTTCCACGGATTCGGTCATGAAGATTGGAATATTGCTGTGCTAACGAATATGAACTGGCTAGGTGCGGTTGGACTGCTTCCAGGGAATGTCGCAAGCTTAGTGGGTACGGATTCAGCGTCGATGAGAATGACAAAATAGCTATGGGAAAGCGCAAGTTAGAAGCCATTGCACCTCTGGACAAGAGGGGCTGGATCAAGGGGATATGAATCAGCGTCTTTGACATTTCTGCCCCAATTGCGTTTAGGGACTGATTCGCTGACCTAGCGTAGTCGTAAGTCGGAGGATTTTGCTCGAATGCTGTCTCGTCAATCAGAGCGGTTCTCTGCACGAAAAAGGGAGACTCGGCGGGATCGGCACGAGCGGCAGGAGATGGCGAGGGACTCTGCGACCAAGGCGAAGGCTCGGGCTGCTCGTATTCGTCGATAGGTTGAAATGTACGCGAAACCAAGGGATCCTCCGCCCTAAGTCCTTTACGCTCATCATTAGGATCAGAGAGCGGTGTGGGTGGTGCGCTTCGGTTCTCTTTGAGCGCAGATGATGGCCGAGGTGCTTGCTCCGAGTATGCTCTGGTCAGAACGACGGGCTTTCTTTTACCAAAAAGAGAAGATACGGTAGTCCGTACGATGAAAGGATCAGCCTCTGCCTCGAGTGGCTGAATGGTACGGTGGACATGACACCGCAATGTGGACGAAGTTGAGCCGGAAGAGTTATAGGTCACGCCGAACGGTAAGGACTCAGTTTCGGTGGTGGACAAGGAGCGAGGGGTTGGTGATTGCTTTGTCAGTCGAGGCATCAGCGGCAGTGATGCAGAAGAGGGCTCGCCTTGCTCCTTTGGGAGAGTGCTATAAGCGCGTACAGGCCCAGCAGGCCGCTGTCGAGTACCACGAATTTGTGAATCTGGAACAGGGCCTGCTATGGAATGTCTGGAGAGCAATGGCGGTCGACGAGCGGACGTAGTCGTGGATTCGTTGAGTCCCCGGGCAGCTTCAGACAGTCCGCCTATAGAGTGAACCTCCAGTTCAGATGACGAAAGAGAATCAAATTGGGAAGGGTTGGAGTCACTTCCATAGATGTTGAAAGTGGCTTTCTGACCCCAGGGCACATTTTCGAGGTCTGTAATATCGCCGGGAATTGCCAAAGATGCTCTGTCAGCGCCGTACGCTTCAGACAGAATCTCCGTGACGTTGACCCACCACATATCCAGGCCTGGTTCGGCATTGAGCATTAGGATCAGATCGTACAGGTCAGGTGAGGGAAAATTTGGGTCGTCAGGAAGCATCTGAGTCGTTGGCGCCTGTCCGATTGGCGTGGATGCATCAGATGGAGTTGCTTGTGCCTGGGATAGAGCAGTGCTCGTGGTGGAATCGGTACCAAGGGGTTCATTGGTAGGCGATAGTAAAGTGAACGGCTTGTGTGAGGGACCGGAGCGATGACTTGTACCTCTATTGAGACGCAAAGTCATGCGAGGGAACGGGTAGGAAGGAGTTCTCACGGAACCAGGAGTCATGTCAAAGGAAGCTTTAATGGTTCTAGAGGAACCGGTGGAAAGAGTGCCAGTATTGATCGACTCATCCGAACTGGACTCGGTCTGCGAAAGAGGGATGAAGGGCTCTGCGACATCTTCGACCTTGACCGTGTCAGAAGGCGAGGAGGAATTGGATGCTTTCATTTGTTGTTTCTGAGCCAAGGCAAGACTCATCTTGCGCTTCATGCCGTCCATAACGGTGGGCTCGCGTGAGAAGACATTGGTAAGCTGGGAGTGGACAAAAGGCGAAGCCTGTGTTAGGCCCGCGGTAGGTTCTTGGTCTTGCTGAAGAGGTCCTGAGGAGGATTGGTTTTCAAGGGAACGCGAGGAGCGGCCTCGGGAGGGCAGGCCGGCGCGAGGAGGCTTTGTTGACTTCATAATGATTGAGTCTAAGGTGGAGTGGCACAGTCTGACACCGAGGAGTCGATGATTCAAGAACAAACGACTCTTTTCGATGGCTCTGGCGTCTCCCTCAGCCAGACTGTGCCGAGCAGGAAGTCACCTATGTCCACCACCCACTCCCAACTTTCCAACTTGGAGGCAGCCTCGAGACTACCTGGGAGACTCATGGGGACTCGGCCAGCATGACCGTGGCGAATAAAAGGGCGGCGGTTGATCGAACGTGTAATCGCTATTCAAGGGCGGGCATCGTAGTGCATGATCGACGTTGTGAAGATGGAACCGTGGGAGAGTGCTTGTCAAAGACGAGTGTATAGGAGACTGAGGAACGGAGAAAAGATGGGCCGCCGTGACGCCACAAGATGTAGAAGGACAGAGAGTAAATGAGGGAGGGCGCTGGGGACCGTGTAGTGCCGTGGACGGAAAATGTATCTGAGAGGGCAATGACGAGGAAGAGTGAAGGATACCTGGCCAGAAGGTAAGTGGAAGTATGTAGCGGTAGCAGTGGCAATAGCAATAGCAGCAGATACTGCAGGCGTCGTGAGTGCAAGTGTAAGTGGGAGTGAGTGGTGGTTGTAGTACAAGGACTGGTAGTAGGTAGTTGGCAGGTGCGACTGGCAGTGGTAGTGGTAGTACGTCGTAGTGGTGGTAGGCAGTCTGCACAGGGAGGCCGCCCACAATCCACCAGCAGGTGGCTGCCCACAGTCCACAGCTCCACTCACAAACTAGGTACTGGCGATGACGTCGATGGCTCCCTGATGCAGGTGGCCCCCAGGTGGACTCCTCTAAAACCACCGCCCTCCCCCCCACCCTTTAACGAGGACGCCTCCATCTCCAGCCGCTTCCACTGCCAGTACCGAGCACTACAAGGGTTCCGTTCGCCGTACAACTTACAAGGTCCCTGCTCCTGATTACTTCGTAAGCGTTGCGCTGGTTGCTCCTTCCCGGGACCCTCGCCTCACCCTGGCTCAAGCAGGAACTGTATCCCGTACAAAGTACGGATAGGAAGCACGGAGTAGTATCGAGCATCTATGTCCTTTTCCAGCACGGTCTATCACAGATTGAGTCTCTGTGTTGCTGGCGGCACTGTCCCTCATGACTCGTAGACTTCAAGCGGCTGAACTGCAGGCGTCCCGAAAACTTGGTGCATCCGTTTCTTTGCCTCGCCCAAGACCATGGTGCAGCAGGCGCCACTGGTGCTTGTCTTGGATTCGCTGGAGATCCCAGGTAATGATAATGCCCACGCTTCTTGCGGCTCCCTGACAACCTATAACCTACCTGTATGAGCGGTAGCCTCTGGGTTCATGGGTCATGGTCCTTGGGTCATGGTCCATGAGTTACTGTTCTTTAGCTTGCTTGCCTCTTTGATCCCAGTTTGGCCCCTGTCATCTCCCTGCCTGCATTCGGTTGTGCCTTTAGCCACACCCGCCCTTCCCGATCATCCACTCCAACTCATCAAGCACTTCCACACGAGGTTTGTACCGAGTAAAGTTAGGCATGCTCGATGACGAAACCTTGCTGCTGCCATGCCATGACACCCACATGAGGACCGGTGAGTTGACTTACCTCACCAACTTGGGGCGTTCTGCTGATTTCATCTCTAGCAAATCAAATCATCACCATTCATCTATCTCCTTTTCCATCTGCGCGCCTTCTGCTACTATTATTGCAAGAATCCGTTGGCCGCCGCCGTGGCCATGGCCAGCAAAGGCGGTACAACAAAAGGCACCTGTTGCAACTGGACATAAACATCAGTTGAAATGAAACACGCCTCACTTCTGACCACTACTGCCCGCTTTCCAACTGACACTAAGAACCAAAGATAAAAATCACACTCGACGTGTCCCACAACATCCTTCCTTCTTTCTCCCAGCTGTTTCCGTACTTGTGCCAATTACCATCCTTGACGACCGTCAACTGAGTACTCGTAGTGACACAGCACAGGGCTGGTCAAGGCCAGTTTCCACAACAATTCTCCTTCGGAAACACTGAACACTCCTCCTCCTGCAACACTTCCAGGGTACTTAAGAGTACTGGCTACTATAGTCTGAACAGATTGTCTTACTCGTACGGAGTACATACGATAGCCCACCTAACTAGCGACAACAAACCCACCACGCGATCAGCAGGGGAGGTATACCTCCATGCTGCATATCAGTCGATCTGACCCGAAACTCAAACGAACTTCGAACTATCTACCCACTACGCACTACGGCGTACTTTATCCCCTGTTTGTGCCTTCTGATCTTCAAAGGGGAAGCCAAGTTGTAGCGAAATGAAGTCGCCCCGCATGCATGACGATCACTTTCCATTGTTTACTTTGCCAATGCTGTAACTGTTAATTGATGTCTCACGGAAATGTCAATAGTGTACGGAGGCTGCGACGGAGTAAACTAAGATTTCCTTCATTCCAATCCCTATAACATACGTACGCGCAGCAGGCACTACCTCAGGCACTATCTGTACAGTACCGTCCTAGCATCTCATAACTCTTGAATCCACCAATAACTACCTCGCGCCGTTCATTACTCGTAAGTGCGATCCGCATCCGCAGCGATCACCTCAGCCTCAAAACCCATCCTGACTAGTTGCTACTAACGACCAATCTTCGGTCCTCCGTAAGGAGTACTACCGTATCTACGAGTAGCAAATACCAATATATGAGAGTGATCAACCAGCGGAATATCCTTCCCTCGCTTCATGACTCCCGAGCATTCCCAACGGCACCGCGTCCCGTGCACCCACCCAGTGCCACGTGTATACTCGTACAAGTACATTCTATTCCGTACAGCCTTTTCGCAACACCAGTAACAGGCCGTTGCCATTCGCCCCAAAAAGAACAATCCTTCCAAAAACACACAAATCTTGGACGTTTCGTAGCTGACACGAGGATTGTGTACCGGCTGCTCGGGCACTTGCGAGGACCGCGTCGCCGCACGCTTAGATCCCGCTCTTATGGGTCAAATTCGTTGCTCTCGCATCAACGAGACCGTATGAGTACCTGCAGCCGCACAGTGGCACGTGGGATGGGGCCCCCAACCCGGATGGGATAGCTCATCTCTCGGAACCAGGGTTGCCTGGGTGTGAGGGACAGGGGTACCTGGGTAGGTATCACTCGTACTTAGTTTTACTGTGTGTAGTGGTGAAACGCTACCTGGGGGACGGCGCACCACTACTATCTTATCTCGCAATGCTACTGTACCCATCGGTGAGCTCAGGCCGGTACGGAGTCTCTCGTACAGAGAGTGAAAAGATATTGGACGAAGCCTCGATTTCTCAGGCAGGGGCCGAAGTCTGCACCTAGATATGTCACGTTCTTGTGTAGAAGGGCAAGCGATGTTGTGGATGGACAGTATGTACAAGAGTCCTAGTTTATTTTCTCGCCTGCCTAGATACAGGTTACTCTTGGAGATGTGCCTGCATTATGGTGGTGTTGATACTGGGCACTCCGTACAAGATGTATGATATATACAGATCCAAGAGGACAGAGGACAGAGGACCCTGCCAGACCAAGCACCCAACGTTGCCAGGGTATACCGACTTCGGTCCTCAGTCCTATACACTTGAACACTTTAAAGCTAGGCAGTCAACTGCCTAGACTCGCAGGTTTCCGAAACAGCTATGGACTTATATTGGAACATGCGCCTTTCGTTTCTACATGTGTACTTTTCATGGCCCAAGCCCACGAACAAAATTAAGCAACCATCAAAAACGCCGGAGCTTTGCATGGAATCGTCACCAAAAATGTACATACGGGTTGAGTCGGAGCAGATTAGATCGGATCAAATCGTCTCAAGCAGGTGAGCGGCCTTCAGAAAAATTAAGCACCTTCATCCCTAGAGGTTGGGCATTTTGCAGAATGGTAACGCAATGCTGCTCGGAGTTATCCCCTGCGTGAGACTCGGTGACTCTTCGCTCCTGAAGCTAGTCTACCTTGATCGATCCATAGATACGATGGATGAACTCATACGAGGCCAAGAATCCAATGGTTCCTACACGGTGAGTTAGTAAGATTGGCCGCCCAGCACTCCAAGGTGATCTGATTGAACTTACCCGTGAGAACAAACACCAAGAAGCTGATGAGAGCCGAATAGCCCACGTAGAGCACTGCACCAGTCAACCCGCCGAAGCTGACTCTTGTAGCCCAGAAGCCCAGAGCATTCAAGAACACGTAGCCACCGGTCATGCCAGCCCCAAAGAATGCTCGCCACTGCCATCGATAATCTTCGGCACAGAGCAAAAAGTACACCAGTAGAATCGTCGTGCAGGCTGACGTGACGACCAGAAGCCCGTAGCAGATGAACAAGAATCCGAACATGTAGTAGATTTTGCTCGTCCATAGTGATGTCATAATGAAATACAACTCCACGAAAATGGCACAGAACGGCAGAATGCCGGTCAGAAGTAGTGATGGCAATGTTCTGAGTGACCTGGAGACAGGTGGTATTTGTCGAGGGATCTGGTTAGTCCGAGTGGGAGATTCAACAGCTGGCTGCCGGAAACCGTACCAGGAGCCCACCAAACTGAGAGGGACACTGATCAAGAACCAAATGGCAATGATGGCCAGCATGGTAGTCAAAGGGACCGCACCACTAGATCCCTTGGCCCAGACGAAGAGATTGAGGAAAAAGAAGACCAGGAACACGGTGCCTGGCACAAATATCGGAGTGAGTGCCATGTTGAGCTTCCATTTCTCACCGCCGAAGCCCTTGTACGTCCGGGCTGAGAAGTATCCACCGATGCAGCTGAACAGGATGTAGAGGAGAAGGCTGATGGTAGTCAGCCAACCGCGATTCGAGGGTGATAGGAAGCCCATCATGGCAAAAGCGACCGTCACACCGGTCATGACAAACAATTGAGCACCACTGCCGAGCAGAACGCTCAGCATCAGCGCATGTGGAGGGCTACGAAACACATCTCCGTGCACCAGTTTCCAACCGGAGTCTTCTTGAATATCCTCCTCAACAGCTGACGTGCCCGAGAGATCATCCAAATTGATATTTTCCAAGCGGTTGTATCTCGCAATATCTTTTCGCAGTGCCCTGACCAGGACCGTGCTGACCATGCCAAGGAGGAATATCACAAACACCGTCGAGTTGATGAGTGAAAACCAATGGATCTTTGGATCGATTATATGCAGGTACTTATCCCACCGAGTCGCCCAAGCCGTTGATGATGGCCGCCAGTATACACTGTATGTGTATGTCACTCCGGTCTCACCTTTCTCCTTCAGGGTGAGTGCGTTAGAAGAAGTGGCACACTCCGCCTTGCCGCCCTCGAGATATTTACTGCCCGAATATGATTGTGGCTGAACTAGAACTCCGACAACACGGTATTTTGTGCCGCGCAGACCTGCCATGTGGTAATCAATGATGATGTCCCAATGGTTATGTAGGATTTTAGTTCCATCCTCTTTGACCTTCCCCAACGGAAATCCGGGGCTCGAAAAGCGCTCATGTGTCAGGGGATCCTCTCGGAGCTCAGCTGCTGGTAGGCCATCGACTAAAAGATTGACATTGTACGCCTCTTGAATGCGAGAGTTAACAAATTTTGCAGCCCTCTCATCGAACTGATTGCTCTTGCAGGCAACTTTGCAGGTTTCGTTCTGGCCCATTCGTAACTCGAAAGGGGAGGTTCGTATGCGGTCGCCAAAGATGATGCTGCCTAGCGATTCTCGCACCCACTGAGGTCCTCCTTCCGGTCGGCAAAACCGGAAGGCTGGGTGGTAATAGTCGTACGAGACCACAGCGTGGATCTGCTCATCATGTCGTGATATTGAGGGTGTCAACGCATTGACGGTGATAGGGACTCGATCGCCCAGTGAATACGAGGATGGGGCGACGCCGGGGAGGTAGAATGCGCTGGAGCGCTGGAGAAAGATTAAGCACAGAAGTGCTGAAGACAGTAGTTGTAACATCGCAATGGGATATATGTTTGCGGATCAGGAGAGAAAGGTAGTCGATCGAAATATGGTACTTGCAGAAATGCGGGCAGCCTGCTTGGAGAAGGCAAGTCACCTTCCATGCATCTTGGCTATCACAAGGTATACGCAAACAAAACGGGCAGCGGTAAAGAACACCGCGGCGGGTAGGTCCAAAGATCAATTGATTAACACCGAAATATTTACTACTCAGTCTCTTCTTGGGTCTATCCATGTCGAGACCGCGCCGTCAGTCGCGCCTTAACTCTGGGGAGCCGGGCTTGGCACTTTTCGACAATACCGCATTCGGTTTGCATCACTGCTAGCGAGATTCTAGAGAGATGATGGGGGTATGAGACACGTTTAAAAGGGGCGTAAATATAAGGAAAGAGATGATCTGGCCAGGAGAATGAACCTATAATAATTACTCATTGATTTGGTAATCCTAAAACTCACACGTGAACGACGAAATGATGCCAAAGAACGCTAATAGAGCCCTGCAAACGAGGAAATGGAACAGGTCACTTAACCAACGACTCTATCTACTTGTAATACTCTGGTGCCACCCAGGTGCCCATCTCGTTGATTTCTGTATTTCAGCCCAAGCCCTTTTTGGGCGGCCGAAGACGATTTTGTACATCTGTTAGGACCATAAATGAAAATGCGATCAGGTCAGCTATTATACTGCGCTATGATGTTATCGCAGTGACGGCAGCCGCAGAACTTGTCCCGTTGGACGTTGCTCATTGTCAGTTCGCCAAACACCGTTATGCTGAGCAATAGTTGCTAGTCCAGATCACTCGTCTCCCGCACGGCTGGCTTTCGGAAAGTCCTTCATCTCACAGCCATCGAGTTTCACCAGCCCTTTCCTTTCCATCGCATCATGTCTCTCTTACAGTCGCACAGGTCGATCCACCCAGAATGCGGCACCTCAAAAGTAGTGCATGGGACACTCCGTCGCAAAGCGCCAATTTCTTGATTTGCGTTTACATCCAGGAGAAAGAACCAAATCAAGTTCACAAAAGAAAAACGTTGGAGGAAAAAGCCATGACCCAGTTTCTATCATCACCACTGGCATCGCCCTCCTCATAATATGTTCATTCGATCGTACGTCAATAAGCATGCACGAGTATTCTCGAAGTCATCATCGTCATCATACCAGGCCGTCATATAGCGACAAGGCTGAGACGATAGTTTCGTCCCGTTTGCTGCCTTCCTTGAATTCGGCCATATCGAGACTGCCATTCTCGTCCTTATCCATCATTCTGAATATCTTCCGGACTCGTTTCTCCGGGGTGTCCTCGTCCTCGGGCAATTTGACCATTGAACCGACCTGAGAAAAGCGGAGGATTGTGTCAGCCGGGCGACCCATCGGTAGAACCAGACCGATTCAGCATCCCAAGAGATACAAACTTACCATCTTGTAGATAGCCTCAACGATGGCCAGCATTTCCTCGTAGCTGATCTTTCCATCGCCATCGATATCGTAGAGCTGGAATGCCCAGTCCAGCTTATCCTCCATCTTGCCGCGACTGGTCACACTGAGCGCGCAAATGAACTCCTTGAAGTCAATGGTGCCGCTCTTATCAGAGTCGAAGACTTTGAAGACGTAGTCGGCAAAGGAACTAGGATCGCCAAATGGGAAGAACTGTCTATAGATCTTCTGAAATTCCTCCTTGGTCAAGGTACCCGAAGGGCAATCCTTCAAAAATCCTAAGCATGTTCAGCCGCCAGCACGAAACCGAGGAGCGATTATTTCGGGCCCTACCTTTATACCATTGTTGCAACTCTTTCTTATCAAAGTGCGTCGACTTTTGGAGGTCTTCTAGTTGTTGGGGTGTTAACTTGGACTGTCTAGGAAGCAGTGTCAGTTGGATGGTTTGTTTGATGGTAGCGGGATCAGCCGAAGGGTCGGACTCACTTTTGACCCATTCTCAACCCTCCTTAGGCCTTGCGGCCTTTGTCTCAAGTCAAACAGAATCAAGGACGACTGTCTAGAGGAAGTCGAGTTGTCTTGTGTGGCGGGTTCGTGGCCGCAGGCTGGTGTCGGAACGGAGTTTGTGTTGTTGCGATAGCGGGGCACTGGGAAAATGAGGAAGCAGTCGACTCGAGCGCTTTAGGATTTGGGGAGATGCGAGGTTGGATGTTGGTCAAAGGACGGCAGATCTCAAGGGAGTGAGGTATACGCAGGACAAAGGAGGCTGAATGTCAGTTACAGAGAAAGGGAGTCGTGCAGCGAGAAAGGCAAAAGAGAGGGTCGCTCAGGTGGAAGGCAAACGCTGGAGCCGCTTGGGGCAAACAGAGGAAGTTAAGTCAATACTGCAAGCGGGTGCTGGTGTGCGTAATACCGAGTCGCCGTAAGGCAAGATGACCACAATACTAAATGGGGTGCCCGGACAGGGTGCTCACTTCAACCTCCGAGATGCAGCTGGTCCAGTCACCGGCGCCTAAGTCCAGGTACGAAAGTAGTTGGTTGGAAACAATTTGTAGAGACTTGAGCGCATTAGTGTGTGAAGTCAGGGTGGGGGAACACCGAACGGGTATGTAGAACGCTGGTCTCAGACAAGACCCAAACTCACGCTCACGAAGAAGCAGAAGGCGAAAAGGGCAGGAGATTGGGACAAAGCAGATCGGACGCTTGACGCTTGACTCTTAGCCAGCCGCATCCAAAAAGGGCGCCCCGGAGAGCGATTATTGTAGCCGCAAAAGGCCCCTCGTTGCATCAGGTAAGCCAAAAATCTTTGTTAATTCTCAGGTCTAGAACTCGGCTGCACGACAAAAGCTTGGAGTCATGTAAGCACTTGGAGGATTTAACTAGGTGGGTTCTTAGTATCCGGACGGAGGCCTCGGTCATGCCACGCACTGCCTCCTGCCTTGGACCTTCCATGCTTTACCGCCCCCAACTGCCAGGGGTCCAGGGAGCGACGAGATAGTGAGTCTGTTGACCTTAACTCCTTGCTCCTACGCCTAAGTCTGTGGTCCCGGCCTATGCCCTGGTGTCTCTCTATTCTAACAGAGCCGCCTGGTTAGTGTACAATACATCCACCACGTTGCTGAGTTTCTCAATTGTCTCCAATGCGGCATCGTAGCCGGCATCACGTTCCACCTCGTCATAGACAATCAAACATCCTTCTCCCTGGTCCAAAACACCAATAATGACCTTGTCGAGGATCATTTGTGATAGTTTTCTTTCCACTTGTTGAGTATCGAGGCCCACCATCTTGGCGACATGGTCGATCTCTACCTTGCTGAATGGTTCAATCACCTTGATCAGATTCTGTTCTAGCATAGCATCGTATAGTCGTCGTAGGTGATTGCGGATGAAAACATCACTGCCCAATTCGTATCGATAGCTAGAAAGAGCTTGCTCATACTCCTCCAGGGATCGATTCGAATGAGCTCTAGCCACTGCCTTCATCGCTTCCAGATTAGTGCCAGCATATTTCAATGCCTGCTTGGAAGACAGTAGCGAGTTGACATCATCCACCAGGTTCAGCATGATCTTGCACAGTAGCATGTACTGCAAAGCCGACGTTGCGCGAGCAGTGTCATCTTGAGCATGGTATCCATCCAGAGCCTCGATGAAATAGGAGAATGCCGTGTTGAAATCTTTGTCCTCGGCGTGCAGCATTCCACTCTGCATGTCCAATCCCGCCTGGAGAAGAGGTGGAGTGTAGACTGAAGCCGCTGATGTTCTTGCTGATGTCAACGCAGCCCTAGCCTTGGCCTGGTTCGTCAGGGCATGATAGACTCTCGATTCCAGCAACTGCACTTCAACCAGGACCAGCTTATCATCGAGCCTCTTCAATTCTCGCAACAGACCGTTGATGAGGGTCAGAGCATCGTAGTAAGCCTGCTTCTGCATGTAGAGACTGACGAGCCTCGTTTCCAGGTTTTGTCGGAGGAACGATCGTTTTTCGGAATTGGCCCAATCGATACATGATTTGGTGGTGGAAATCTGTATTTCGAGGGTGTCTGGGATTTCGGTGAAGAAGTCAAGGAGTTGTCGTACTGGAAAGGTCATTAGCAAGATAGACCGAAGTGACTGACTGGTTGATCCAATCGTTACCTAGTTTGGCCGTCTTCGCTTTAGCAAAGGATGATAGTGTCGATCTGCTCGTCTTGACCAGTTCGGCAAGATCGTCTGTCCGTTTGTTGTCTCGATAGAGCTCCCCAAGCCCAACAAGAGCATTCTCATAGTCTTGAAGGGCAGCCTGATTGGAGCCCGGGGATTTGGCCAGGACTTCTTTGTACACACCTTCGGCTTTTTGAGGATCGGATTTGGCCAGAGATTTGGCCTCTTCGACCTTGGAAGGAGGAGGGGCCATGGTGCAACAGGAGATGAAGAAAGCAGTGAGAAGCTGAGGAGAATTGAGGTGGTGAGGAATGAAGAAATCAAGAGACGCGAAGGGCAGAGTTGGCGACGACGATATTATTGTAGATGCAGACGTAGGCACGGGAACATGACGCTAGGTTGGAGTTGACCCAGAGTTGTAGGGATCCAGGGGATGACTCAGCCTGAGGGCGCCTGCGCTGGAGCCAATTTGAGCCTCCAACAAACCGCTCTCTGAGCCCAGCCTTGCCTACAACCACAAAGCCACACCTGCCACCTGTGCTGCGTACCTGCACCTGCAACTGCGGGCACCTTCCTCCTCCTCTGCCCCACAAAAAAGTTGAATTGTCTTTCTCCAAATCAATACGCTTTTCTCCCACCTTCAAGTCACAAGATCCTCACCGCAACAATACAATGCCACCGTCAATATGGTATGTGGAATTCCTTGTCCCCTCCCCCGGTGCCTCTGCTAACATGCTTCTCCTAGAAAATAAAATCTCTTACTCGGCCTGCAGCGCCGCCAGGTGATGCCGTTCGTCAACCGCGAAACCTTGATCCCGCACATCATCCCTTTGAAAGGGCCCGCGAATATACAAGAGCTCTCAATGCCGTCAAGATGGAGCGCATGTTCGCTGCTCCTTTCATCGGTCAACTCGGTCAAGGCCATGTCGACGGCGTCTATTCCATGGCAAAGGACCCAGGATCGCTAGAGAGACTTGCAAGTGGTAGCGGCGACGGGGTGGTCAAAGTATGGAACTTGACCGGTCGTGACGAAATCTGGCAGGCAAGAGCACATGAAAATGTTGTAAGGAGTGTTTGTTGGACCCCTGACCGAAAACTACTCTCCTGTGCCACCGACAAAACCATTAAACTATGGGATCCCTACAATTCCGAAACCAATACAGCTCCATCTGCCACTTACCTTGGTCAAGGCGCTTTCACCTCCCTCTCCCATCATCGCGATCATTCATCCTTCGCAGCCTCTTCCAGTTCAATATCAATCTATGACTTGTCACGGCCCTCTTCGGGGCCTAGCCAGGTCCTACGATGGCCCACCTCTACTGATACCATTACAGCAGTCTCTTTCAATCAAACAGAGACCTCGATTCTTGCCTCTACTGCTCTGGATAGAGCTATCATCCTTTACGACCTTCGCACATCTTCACCTCTGGCAAAAACAACTCTTCGTTTCGCCTCGAATGCGATTTCATGGAATCCCATGGAGGCTTTTAACTTCGCAGTGGCCAATGAAGACCACAACATTTACATTTTTGATATGAGGAAACTTGATAGGGCATTAAACGTTCTGAAGGATCATGTTGCTGCTGTTATGGATGTTGAGTTCAGTCCAACTGGAGAGGAGTTGGTAAGCGCTTCGTATGATCGTACCATTCGTCTATGGAACAGGGATCGAGGCCATTCCAGAGATGTTTACCACACCAAGCGTATGCAAAGAGTCTTCTCTGCGAGGTTTACGCCCGACAACAACTACGTTCTCTCCGGCTCCGACGATGGCAACATCAGGTTGTGGCGCTCTAATGCTTCCAGTCGCGCGGGAGTAAAGTCAGCCAGACAACGGCAAAAATTGGAATATGACCAGGCTCTAGTCAAAAGGTATGCACATATGCCCGAGATTAGACGGATTAAGCGACATCGACATATACCAAAGACCGTCAAGAAGGCGGGTGAGATCAAAGGAGAAGAACTCAAGTCAATTAAACGGAAGGAAGAGAACGTTCGAAAGCATAGCAAAAAGGGTGCAGTTCCCCGTCAAAGTGAAAGGGAAAAGATGGTTCTGGCGGCCGAAAAATAATTGTGACCTACTATGGGTACGAAGGCGGATACAGAATTTGTCGTGCACGAAGCCATGAAATGTTAGCGATAAGTCATGATGGTCGGCGTTTTGAGCTGGCTGGGCTGGCGGGTTTACTAAAGATAAAGAGTACATCAACAATCAAGAGCTCAACCTGACTACCATGTACGCGTGATAGCACAAAATCACTGGACTGTAGGCTCAGACAGGTTTTGAGTCCTCCCTCGGTAGTATTATGGAGAGGATGCAGAAGTGGCAGCCTTGCAAGGTTGACGAGGCTCTTGTCTCAGCCAATCAACATCAGAAATTTAGAAGGCTAAAATCCCTTTTCGGACCTCAGTCATGTTTACTTTCTCTCTCTGTGCTCACAATCCCACCTTATGCCGGTAAATACAAAGTGTCCTATTGTCAACAATCAAAATGGATCATACGAAGAGAGCATTTGATCTCAGGACACTTTAAAGAGCGATAGCAGAAACAATTGTGTCCTACTGGAGTCAAACAATCCTGAGCAGCCAGGAATCAACTACAATTCACCCACTTCTAATATCACAACATCAATCTCTCATGTGCCAAACATGCCACCGTTCGGGGCCAACAAAACAATTTTGGACTCTTTCTTGACGGAGATCGTCTCAAGCATTAGGAGCAAAAATGGTCAGCGCATCGCAGAATTAATCCAGCTCGACTTCGACAGTCTGCCACCTGAGCGACAGAAGCCATACGCTGAACTCAATGCGGAACTCAATGCTCAATATCCGGCGTCGTCCAACGACTCACAGCTCGTTACACGGTGCAAGGCCGTGCTTTCGCAAGATGAATTTGGGTCTTTCAGCCCACCTTTCTCAGACAGTATCGTGCATTACTTTCGTTACTTGAGAGATTTCACTACCGCCGATAATCGCGCGAAAGCGTCAAAGATCAGGCAGTTGACGAGGTAGGTCAACCATTCCTACAGCTCGATGCTATCTGCTCTTGATTCAAACGAGTTTCAACTAACACCCATACCAAAGCCAATGCGTGACCGCCCTCGGCGACTCAAAATATGGAGTGATCATGATTCCCATCGTGCTCTCCTTCTCACGAGTCCTCGCTGCGGTCGCGACCAACCTCGACCGAAGTCAGCATGAGCAATCCAGCCAGAATCAGACGACGACCAGCGCCGACACACCCGGCACGAGGTTCAGTTTTGTCGAAGACGCCGCGAACGTCCTCCGCGACGCTTTCATCAAATGCCTCGCAGGGTCTCCTGGGGTCCCAAGAACTTCCCGACCAGCACCCCCGGACGACAAACGGCTCGGGATATACCTGACGGCCAACTCGTGCCTCAAACTCCTAACGCAGTGCCGCAAGCTCCGCAACGCCCAGCAGATGTTCAGCAGCATTGACGCGCAATCGCCGCCTTTGGCTTTCTACCCGGCGGCACAACGTGTCACCTACCTATACCACCTTGGCCGCTATCATTTCGCCAACAGCCACTTCGTCCGCGCTATTGCCGCCCTCCAAGCGGCGTACGAGCAATGTCACGCGCAGGCGCTCAAGCACCGTCGTGCAATCCTCACCTACCTGATTGCTGCGAACATCTGCGTAGGGCGCTTCCCTTCGCGGCAAAACCTCCTCTCGCGACCAGAAGCGGTCGACCTAGCTCCCTATTTCGTCCCACTATGTCAAGCGATCCGAATTGGTGACCTCGGCGCGTTTCAACAGATGCTGAGTCTGGAGAGCTCGACGGGCCAGTGGTTCCTCCGCCGAGCGATCCTGCTACAACTTCAAGACCGCTGCGAGATTCTGGTCTGGCGCAGTCTGATCCGCCAGACGTTCCGGCATGCGGGATACCTGGGCGCGGAGGAGAGGAAGGTGCCGTTTCTGCGCCTGAACCTCGTCCAGCGGGCCGCGCGCTGGGCCGTGATGAGGACAAAGTCGGCGAATCCACAACGACCGCGGCCAAAGCCTTCTAGGTCCTTCAGCAATACCGCCACCAACACCAGCAATGCCCACCCTCAGAACGATGACGACGACGACGAAACGTACATGGACTCCGAACTCGCAGACCTCGACGCAGCCATCGCCGAAACCGGCTTCGACATGAGCACAGGCCAATACATAGACGACTGGTCTCTCAGCAACAAGTACCAACACGCAGCACCGCCGTCAGCATCCGCAATCCTCTCCTCATCGTCGTCGTCGTCGTCGTCGCCACCATCCACCTGGCCACACATATGGGAGATCGAATCGATCGTGCTGAGTCTGATCCAGCAACACCTGCTGCGCGGCTTCGCGACACACACGAACCCGCGCTTCGCCGTCCCGGGCGCCCAGAAGCTCGGCGGGCCCATGAAAGCCGGCTTTCCGGGTGTGTGGCCCGTCATCGCTGCGCGGATGGGCGTCGAGGTCGCTGAAAATCAGAGTACGACGAATACGACGAGTTCTGCGGGCTCGGCTAGTGCTGCCGCTGCTGCGTTCGGCAGGATCGTCGTGCCCGGCTGGGTGGAAGAGCGGAATTTGCTTTCTGGTGCCGGCGGGAATAACGTGGTGCGCATTTTTGGTGCGAGGGCCGCGGGTTCCTAGCGTTGATGTCGGTGTTGGAGTTGTGGCTTTTTCGGTTGCAGGAGGATCGTACACAGGGCTGGGAGAGGGAAGGCGCCGAGTGATTGGCATGTGTGTACGAGAGCGAGCGAGCGAGAGAGAGAGAGAGAGAGAGAGAGAGAGAGAGAGAGAGAGAGAGAGAGAGACATAGGGTGGACAGAGGATCTGGGCAGCAGACCACGCTGGTTTAATTGGTTCATATGTAGGAACAGCAATGAAACAAGAGCAGTCAGCAAGCAGCCTATTTATTTCATTTTTGGGCCAGGGAGTTAATTAGTTGGTTCTTCGTCCGCAGCAGTGTACGAGTCGTTTCGCATGTCCGTCCTGTCCGTCCAGGGTAGCGTTCCTCTCTCTCTCCATCAGTTTTTGAACAAGCAGGGTATGATTGAGTTGGTATCTGCGAATCTATCTATCTACCCATGTCCACGAGCAAAGCTGTGGGTGGGAAATGTGTGGGTGTTCACGTAGCCTAACCAGATATTCTGTCGGCAAGCCCAGACTGGGACACAACCTAGCCACCATAGCTCTACACTACTTGAATCCATGGAAGAGATACATAAGGATTCTTTTTTAGAAAGGTGCTCCTCAAGTCCTCGTCATCTTGCAAGAAAATTATAGAATCGCATCGAGAGCTGCTAAGAGCGCTTGCAGGCCAAAAGCCTGATAGAGACATACAAGCACCCAAATGCTACATACTACGGCCAAGACATGGGATATATAAAACAAGTCCAAACAATATCATAATCATCGAGCCATTGTCCAAACACAACGCAACCTAATTCGATTGCCTGGCTAGACTGACGATCCGACGATAGCCCTGGCCAGGTCGGGGGCTGTTAAGAGAAAGAGAACAAGGTACCCTAAAGGAAATTCGTAAGGCTGTCGTTTCATCCAAAGTGTTCAAGTTTCATTTCATGGCTGTTTGCTGATCATGTTGAAAATAGAATAACAGAAAGCGATAACAAGGTTCGTTAAGACATGGTATGGTCGTGCATTTGGAAAAGGCGTGAGGAAAGGGAATGCTAGTTTGTTGGCCTGTTCGCTTGCTTGTGAGGAGGGTAAGATTGAAAGTTGATGTTCTATCCAGCTGGTGAGTAGCTATTTGCCGAGAGATGCGTGGGGGATAGTGTTGTGTTATTCCTATTGAGGAGAGTTGAGGTTAGGAATGTTGAAGCTATGAGATAGCCCGCTTGGAGCAAACCTAAAGTTCGATGCCGAGAATTTTCAAGAATCCTCTCATGGTATCAGAAACCATGCCCGACTCTTCAGACAATACAGCGTTTGCTTTGCGTTCGCCCTGACCGGTAGTCTTAGAGACGAGTAGTCGACGGGTTTGACTTGTGAGCGGGGAGCAGGACATGGAAATGAGACTCAAGGTCAATGAAGAGATCGATTTCCCTTCAATTTCGCAGCCCCCTCTCCTTTCACGGCCTGGCCACATTCTCACATCTCCCAAGGCAGATCTGCATCCTCAACTCTGGTGCACGTGAGATAGCCAAGACCGCCACCTCCACCATCTGCCAACATTCGGAGATCAAGCTCGAGGCAATTTCTCGTCAATGGTTTGACGATATCTCTAGCGACATTTTTAATCTCATCGATCTTGCGCTCGAATCGTCGAATATTATCTCTCGTATACAGAGTTGCAGATGCAGAGGTCGTACCTGGAGGCTGGATCTTCAGGAACCGTTTAAGTTCATCGTGGTTGAGGAAAGAATCTGGATTCGTGCTGCCGATGAGGCGGAAGATGCGGCCGGTTTGAATTGGAGAAGGCTGAGGCTGGAGTTGTGGAGGGCCTGGAACAGGTGGTCGTCCGGGAATGTTGGCAGCAGGAATCAATGCATTGGGGTTTTGAGCACTGTTATTCGCAGTGCCAGGTCTCGAAGTCGGTGCATTTTTCAGAATTCCCCGTACTTCAGGCGTTGTATTTTCGGCGAGCCATTGCCTCCACAAGCTCATGGCTAACCACCCCAGGTAGTCGTTGGAAGGATTGACTCTTTCGCCACGAGATGTGGTCAGGGTCAATCGAAAAAGTTTCGTCTCAATCTTCTGTTTTAATTCTTCCAGTTCTTCCACCAGATCTTCAATCAAATGAATTACTGTAACTGGAACCTCGTAACCACCTCCAGAATGATCGGGCGGTTTCAGATAAGGCAAGGCGGCAGGCCACTGGCCAACAACGTGAGTGAGTGCTTCAGAAAATATCGTTTTGCTGTGTGCAAGATATCCTAGTTTGAGATAGCTCGGAGGGTATTTTGCAATCTGTTTGAATAGACGGCTTGAGAAGCGGAGGAGGTGATGGTCAATCCGTGGGCCAACAACAGGGAGAGCATCATACATGTCTGCCAGCGACAGTAAAGCTTTGCACTCCGAATAAGCTGAGGCAATATTGCTCGCATTGAGTACTGGAGGGAAGTTGTAGAAAATACGGAAGAGGTTATCATAATCTCGTAATAAGGGATTTGTCATTGCAGGATCCGGAACAGTGTTGTCAAGTTGAGCGGTTGACTGTGAAGCTGGTCCATGATGGGATAGCGCAAGGTTGGCCATGGACCGGAAAAAGGAAGTATGGGAAGGTTGGGGTCTCGGTCGTGGCTGTTGTGGTTGTAGAGGTGGTTGTGAAGGACGAAAGAGTACTCCTTCTGGTGTTCGCTTGACCAAAATGGGCTCATCATCCTCTTCTAGATTTTCCCAGTCAAGCTCGTATCTCCACCTCGGCCGTTCAGGTGAACCTGAAGCCGGTTGCGTAGTGTTGGCGGCCACTGCCGCTGCTGATATTGGTCCCGCAGTTCCACTCAACTGAGATACCTCTTCCCTGATGGCACTCAACGCCTGCTCTGGTCGGAAAGCAGACGAGGCTAGAGGCAAAGTCTGATCCTGCGACCACTCTGCGCTTGTGCTTGCCTCAAAGAAGCCCGAAAATTGCGCCAGTGTGAATCGGTGTAAGAGGTACTTCTTCTCCTGCCCGTCGCACGACACGACTAGCTCGACATCCCCAGACTGGGAGAAGAATGGAAATTCATTCTGGGGAGCGTGGGTTGACCCACCATACTGCGTCGCGCCTCGGTGATGGTGGTGTCGTGAACGGGACGTCCGTGAAGCAACAGAGCGTGCGCCGCGCGAGTGATCTGCCACTTCGGCGCGAGAGACCATCGCAATTGTGGCGTGCTGTGCAATAGGTCAGGCTGGGCTAAGGTCGATGGTCATGGTCTGGTGACTTGAGCTGGGAAGAGCTGGTGAAACGCTCAGTTGGCCGTGGTAATGGTGAGCGCAAGCTTTTGACGAGAGATGGATTTATTGTATTGTCTCGAAACAGTGCGAATTTCCTTTCTCAGACTACATGTCTCACTCTGTCATTAGGGTGCCATGCAGTAGGCGTGGTAGAAGGAGTCGGGCGCCGTGCGGGTGGTCCGAAAAACGCCTCGATAGCGCAGACAGAGAGGGGGTACAGATACAAATTGTGGATGTTTCATAAGGTTCGAGAAAAAGACCAGAAAGAGAAGACCAGAAGAACTCGAGGACTGCCGCCGCGGCTACAGAGGAGTAACCAAGCCTTGCAGGCTGTCGAGGGGCATGGTGGAGGTGGATGGTGTTGATCAGAGCCTGAGAAGCAGAGTGCGGCTGGATCCGTGCATCTGGGGAGGCCGAAAAGTGTGGCGAAGATGAGGCAGATCAGCCAGTTGACTCGTTGAGTGGAATGCAGGTCCATGCGACCTCGGCCAGTCAAGAGGCTGCTGAGACCAAGGAAACACCCATGACCAGCGTCTTGGGACCATCTTGAGTTTTCATTTGCGGGTTGGTGGGTGTTGGTCGCCCGCTAACAACTCGGGTCAGAGACTCGGAGCCTGCGAGGGCGACAGTGGCATTAGGAGGAACCGTTGTTCCACGTGATTTGGCACGTGAGCTCTGATAGTCAGATGACTCGCTAAACAAATAAAATAAGAGGTCGAGTTCAACGACAGGCACAGATGTAGATCCAGACGGAGAGGTCGTGTCATAACCATGCCCATTCCATTCCGACTGGTGGACGAGTCTGTTTACTCGTAGCCAACCCTCATATACGCCCTCATTCAAAGCGGTATAGTAAGGGAAGTATCCTGTCTACAAGGCAAGTGCCCCAACAATCGCCATAATGTGCACAAATGCACAATGCACACAACACAAACAAACTTGCATACATGAATACTCCTACTGTTGGTAGTGCAGACGATTGTTCATGTCATGACCTTGCCTCGCGCCTCGCGAATGCTAAGTAGTCGCAATGCTATGCTAATCCACGCAAATCAGAACACCGCCGTCAGGCCACTCTTGGACTGTCTTTTGCTGAATCGTTTTCTTCCTTTGAGTGATTCAGCATCCCCTCCGGAATGTTGCTTGTGTAAGATCCCTCGCCCACTATGCCCGTGGCTACCTGACGGCGGATTCAGGTCGGTCGCATGGTCAACTGTGCTCGCATGGCTTGACAGTGCCGAGGACGATATGTTAAGTGAATCGTCCGTCGAGTAGTTGTTGTTGGAATGCTGTGTTTGGAATGAAATGGCAATCTCGCGTGCTCGCACAAGGGTATCCAGCCATTCTTGTGCCGATGTCGCGGAGGCCATTTGTTCTCCAGACGAGGGCTTCGGGTCCTCAAAAACATAGTGCTTGTCTCGCTGAGACTGTGTTAGTTGATGCGTCCCTTACAGACAAACAATAAACTACTCACAGTGTTCACAATCCATTGGGTGACACCCTTGACATCGGTCGCACTAGAAATGTCAATGTCAGGTGAAAGCAGTGAAATCTCCGATTTCGATTTTTTTTCCTCGCCTCCGGCTGCCGCAATGATGATGCGGGCGCTCGATGTCACCATGACCAATCTCTGTCTCTTTTTCGTGGCACTCCCTCCAAACAAGCGAGACAGTTTCCCTCCGCCTTCATTTCCATGTGGACTGTGAGGATTCGGTGACGATACTACCAACAGATTCCCGAGTTTCAAGATCCTCTCGTTATTCCTCGTCAGTACCGGAGACCATTCGATATCAAGCTGGCTAGGAGGCGGCAGTTCCGTAATCACCCTCGGCTTCGGTTTTTGATTGCTAGGAGGCAGCATTGTCGGATGTGTACTGTGGCCAGGTCCGATGTCAGGAGGATAGGTGTCCTGCACACCATCACCATTGAGTTTGATGGGTGGTGCTGGTGGCGGTGCATATGCCTTTAGTCGAGGAGCTGCTTGCTGCCACAGACCACGACCCCACTGGATACCCTGGAAGAATTGGTGGTTTTTCGCATGTTCTATGGGCAGTCTTCGTTGAGGGTCCAGTACCAGTAGTCGCTCAACGAGATCCTTTGCCACCTCAGGAAATCCTCGTGGAAATTCATAGTCGAGTCCAACAATCTTCTGGAAGGTGTGGTAATCATTCACAGCCTTGAATGGTGGCCGTCCCGCCAAGAGTTGGTAGACAATGCAACCGAATGCCCATAAATCACTGGCTTTGCAGGCGCATTTGTCTGTCAACAACTCTGGACTGACGTATTCGGCCGTTCCAACGAATGAATTGGCCCTGTTCTCTGACGAAGTCGAATCGGACTCGAATCCACCAACCCTTCCGTCTTCGTCTCTCCATTCTGGTAGTATTTTGGCTGTTCCAAAGTCCGTCACTTTGATATGCCGGTTCTCATCAAGCAACAGGTTTTCAGGCTTCAAATCTCGATGTATCACGCCACGGCTGTGCATATATTCAATGGTATCAAGGATTTGCGCTGCGTAGAACCGCGTACACTCTTCGTCAAATGTCGACATCCTTTTCAAAACACCTAGTAATTCACCACCTGGGCACAAGTCGAGAACAAAATATAGTGATCGCTCGTCCTGGAAGGTATAGTAGAGCCTGACCACTCCAGGATGATCAGTTAGCCGATTGAGAGTGTCCTTTTCGATGTTAACGTATTTGACCTTTTTCTCTTTGATGATGTGTCGTTTGTCCAGAACTTTGATCGCATAGTCCTTCCCACTCTGTCGATCCTGAGCTGCGAGAACAGTACTGTATGACCCTTCGCCCAGTGTTTGACCGAAGTTGAAATCCTTCACACCCTTCTTGACAGCCTTCAAGACCTGCCGACCTTCAGCATCATATTCTCGCTTGACTCCGACAGCGGCGCCTCTTTCCTGCCAGTCGTCGGCACTGGCCAAGGGACGATCTTCCAAGTTATACGGCGAGCCCGATAACGGTGTCTGGATTGATTTGGGTGTGGTGGAGAGAGGGGTACTTCCCACAGGGGTATTACCCATCCGTCCGCCAGCTAGCCCTCTCGAGCTCCTTCTAGGAGGTAATGGAGCATTCCCGAAGGTATATTGACCCGAACCATAGGACCGCTCAGTGTGACTATCGTCTCGTGAGGGAACACCAGCTACATCTCCAATGCCGGAACGTTTTGATGATGATCTCTGGGGAAAGCCCGTAGACACAGAGCCATCACTGCGGACGCGATAGGAACCTTGGCGTGACAAATTATTGCCATTGACACCATTCACAGGCATCTGTGTGTAGTATGTTGAGCCCGGCCGAGAAGCAATCTGTCGCGGATCGTGGAGGTTCTGCGGGACCATGGCGGGATATTGAGGAAATTGCGATTGCTGTTGGTCTTGATAGGAGTAGGGCAGCGTCTGTCTGGGTTGAGACCGATCGAATGGGCGACCATTTTGGGGAAAGGAGGGAGTAGAGGACATCGCAGCGGAAGTCGACCCATCTTCTGGGAGACTCTCGATGGGTGAGACAGGGCTGTCGGTCCGCTGAGGAACAGAGGTCAGATAGTCGTCAGGCCGGCCCTGGACATCGACAAGTGGGGAGACTCGTGGGAAAGAGGTTGCAGGGTGAGGCTGCAATGCAGTATCTGGTGATGCATCATCTGGATTGGCGATTCGCAGGGGACCTAACGAAAGGTCGGCCATTATTGTTATTGTCCAGGTTTGAGACTCGTGGACGGAGTGGCTTGGAGGGGATTGGGGGTGACCGTCGGATGACGTGCCTCTCTCGCTCAGTAGATAGGACTAGGTCGAGAATAAAGCAGGGAGCATCTTGATGACTCCGACATCAGGATGGGGAAGCGCAGTCGTCTCTTGGGGTTCTAGAAATCGAAACTGGGAAATGGTCGTTGGGTTGGCAGTGGGAGTGGTAGTGGTAGAGGTGAACCTGGTGGTTTCAGGGTCCGTGGGTGGTTAGCGTGTAATGGATGGGAGGTGAGTTGTGGAAGACGGTGCAATCAGCAGCGCGACGAGAAATGGATAGCGAGCGTGACAATATGAAAGACAGACAGATTCAGCACGGGCAGTTCGGTGGTTGTTAGACGAAGCTACACTTGGTCGTGGACTCGTGGCTGAAGACTGCAGACTCAAGAGGCAAGGATGCGAGGATGCGAGGATGAGGTAGGTAGGTGCACGACTCACGAACTGCGAGTTACGTACGGTCCACGTACGAGGTACAATACCCAAGGGCAGTCTGCCAGTATCAGGCGTACACCACTCGAGTCGGTACCTGACCGTATCAAATACGGAGCCCCTCGACAGACTCACTCCGAGGACAATTTACGGGTACCCGTCCAGGAGAGCCTTACCACTTTCGCACCCCGACAATTGCTGATACTTTGCCAGCCTTCCTCTCTAGTCGGCCTACTAACACGAATTAGAGGCACTAGTACGAACACTACCTGGACACGGAGTACTCGTATGTAAGTACCTAGTAAGTACTTAGTAAGTACTCCCTACCCCAGAATGGTATATTCCATTCTTCCAGTGATGCCAGGATTGCAATACCTGGGTACTTGGGTACGCAGCTCCTCGTGTTCCGTACGGAGTCCAGAGTCCGGAGTATGTATGCTGGCTGATGTTCTGCAAGATTGCAGTGGGGATATATCCCATCTCCCACATATGCCGGCGGAGTGCTAGATCCATTTTAAAATGGAGTTCTAGAAGGTACCTCTTATTAAAACCCACTTTGAAGATACAGCACGACCCAAAAGTATCCTAATCCCCATCAAACAACGCTCAATCGCCGATGCCTGCGCTACAGTAACCCATCATACCGAGGAACTCCTGCGGGTATCCGTACCCAGACAAGTTCAGTTCGCCCTCACGATATCACATGACTAATGCTCATCGCCTCTTCACCTCCGCCTTGTTGGCTGCCACAGCGGCACTCGTTGTAAATGCATCACCCTTCTCCTCGAAAGGGGTTTTTGGTCCCGACAAGGTCTCATAGTCTAATTCGGTGGCCATTTCTTCCACCATGCTAGCTCTTCGATTGGGCGCTCGTTTGAGTTCATCATTAGGCTTTCCGTCAAACCTCTTGCGAACCGTCTCGATCATCTTTCCAAACCAGTAAAAGTTCAAAGAATTCAAGACCAAATTGCATGTCAGATAAGTGCCAGCAAGCCAGAGTGGCACGGCTTGAGTGTGCGATCCTACGAACTGCATCACCTCGGTCTGAGCCAGGAGACAGCTGGTCTCACCCAAGCACAGCTGGCCATCTCTTGGGCTAAAGATGGATGCGTGCAGGGAGTCATGCACCTCACGATATATGGGCGCTGTAGTGTTTAGATGCATTGTGTGCCAAACGTCCTGGTAGACTCGCAAAGACTGATAGGTGCCCCAAAGTAGTCGACAGCCGAAGAACGTGCCCAAGAGGATCATTCCGTTATACCACTGGAGTTTGGACCCTGTCATGTTGAGCTTGTCGCAAAACCAGTGGATGTTCAAGAAGGGTGACGACAGCTCGTACAGGATAAAGACTGGGCCGTAGTAGTTGCAGAACGGCCGCTGTATGTATCCGTCAGTCCCGAGCCCCAAAATAGAAAACTTTTCGGACAATACTTACGAAGCCTAGGGAGAAGACCGACAAGGCGGTCACGGCATGCGCCCAGATGCCGGGACCGAAGATCTTCACGTAGCGAGTACTGACTACGATGTCCCAGACGAAGTATCCTGTTGCCAGAGCTTGAATGAGCCCAGACGCTCCCGTGTATCCATAAACCCGCTCAACAGCACTGTGCTGCATGTCGTATCGTTCCTCATCTTTGAACATAACCCACAACGCCAGTCCATTGATCAGGCATGACTGCAATAGAGACACCACGTGCACATCCCAGTTGATTCGGGTTCGGCGTGTCAGCTTCGGGTAGATGTGGGGAAAGAGCAGGTTGGAAAGCACAGGCGAGAAGAAGGATTGAGTGGATTGGTAAAGTATGAACGCAAATAGGACCTCGTGAATGTGATAAGGCAAAGAAGGAAGATAGAGCGCTTCGGCGTACGGCTTGGTGAATTCGACCAGCCAAGGTGGCGGAGGTGGAAGGGGATCGCGCATCGCTTCAAGGATATGGATCTAATGAATGGAACGGAGCGGTCTGAGGCAATCAGAGGAGCGTGATTAAAGGTCTAATTGACAACGTTTCCGTTGACCACAATTTGAAAGAAAGTAGGAGGTTGTAAGGACCGCAGTGTGTCCTACTGCCTTGGACCGAGCAGTGGTAGAGGCTGAAGTCGCTCATCTACGGAGACCTCCACTGACTTCTTCCACTAAAGGCTTTGTCTGACAATAGTGGCTCCGCGTTGCCGTGAGCCCTAGCACGTGCCGAGAAGCGAATATCGAGCGTCAGACGTGAGTATTTCTCCAGGTGCGAGACCTCGAGCACCGACCGAGCTTGGGCATGACGCACACACACCAACAGCGCAGAACAACCGCCGGGGGAACTAGTTAGTTACTGGAAGACCCCTGCCCAAGCTCACTCCCATTTAGGCAGTGCTGGTTGGCTTAGGTAACCACTGGTGACTCACGAGTAGTAGGCAGCCGAGGGACCTAATAACGACTTTGGCCTTACATGGCAAACCCGTTTGCTGACTCGGTGATCACCTGAAGGGGAAGTACGAAGGACTACTCCAACCGCATTCATCGTTGACGTTTGCCCCTGTACCGTTCTTCTCGACCCATGGTAGAAATCTCGAGGAAGTGAATTCTCCTTAATCAAATGTCATGGCCAGGCTGCATCAACAGCGCGCCTAGTTGCCATTAATGCGAGTTCCCATTTCGTGTGGCCAATCAGTATCTGCTGTTTGAAGAAGTGACATTGTTGTTACAGTGTGGCATCTGGCCGTAAGCATGTCGTCAACCTTTTCGTACTCATACATGCGGTAACGCCGTCCGTCATGCTGGAATAAACAAGCTCCGCTCCATTTGTTCATCCCAGAGATCAAGAAGCAGATAAGAGCAGATAGGAGACCCTCTATCTCGCGCCCCTCCACGAATCACCACCCCTACCACGGTAACCTCCTCCACCTCTCCCCCTGAAACCAGTGAGTCGATCCTGGCCCTTTCTTCCAAATCCAAACTCTGGTCCTTTGTCGACCCACTCCTCGCGTCCGGTTTTGTATAGCTCGAAGCTATAGCGCTTCATGCCTTCATCCCCGCTGCGTCCCATCTCTGAATACTCTACACGGAGGTCCCGGAGCATGTTCATCCGATCTTGTACCACATCATCTGGAGCTGGCTTGAAGTATAGCTTTGGCTTCGTAGTCGTTGAAGGGAAGAGATCATCGAGTGCCTTGAAGCCGACTCCACTATTGTTTGGCCTAGATTGCGCTGAGGCTCGTGAAGGCGGAGGACGATCATATTGAGTCGGATTGGAGACGAGTGCTGCGCGATCAGGGTGGACCTCCTGAGAGCGAGTTTCAAGTCGCGGTCTTCCAATGTCGATGGATGTTCTGGATGTCAGGGACGGTCGTGGGAGTGGGGGTTGAGGGTTTCTAGTGTCGACCTCTTGGAAAATGGCCTCGACATCGCCATGTCTGCCTGCGTCGTAGATAACTTCAAATCGTTTCCCTCCTGCTCGTCCGCCAAAGCTATTACCTCCCGTCTCTTCATCGATCCACGGCTGGACCTTATCGTCAGGAATATAATCCACAAACAACGGCTCACGCATAGCTTCATCCGGAAAACGTGTGTCATGCATAGCCGTGCGAACACGAGATGCAGCGGCAACAGAGGTGAATGAAATGAATGCGTGCGTTCGGATGCTGTCAAGGAAAAAAATCGTAATAGGATCGGGTGCCTGTGCTAATGATACAATGTGACTTCGAAGAGTGGGAATATGTAATGGTCGCTTCAGATTTCGAATGTAGAGTGAACAGGTCGCTGGATGTAGGGCGGCCGGTACATCACGCTCCTCTGAGAGGCCTCGTGACTCGGGAGGCGAGACAGGTGGTATTTTGATGGTAGCGACTCCAGGGCTCACAGAGTTTCGGCGCACGGCAGTACTGCTATCCCCATTTCCAGAGTGCTGAGGGGAGAGGTCAAGAGTTTTCCCTTCAGTGCCTCCGCCTTGGGTCTCCTGAACACCATGAGCAGGAGCCTCGAACCTCTCGGATGAAACGGGCTCCTTGGTTGCATCCTCTGCTGCATCGCTTAGTCTCACCTTTTTGCGCGCCATTTCCTCAGCCATAGGAACAGGAGTGAGACTTCGTTTTCGACGATTCTTTCTATCGTCCAGCAGATCCGCCTCAGGGGTCTGTGAAGAGGTCGGTGTACTGGTGTCAGAAGAGATGAGGGCGAATTTTGACCGTATCGTTGATAGCGCTTCTTGACTTTGCTCACTCGTAACTTCAGAAGTCCTTTTCTGGTCCTCAGTAAGGGTGGCAATATCTACACCTGACCCAGCTCCGTTCAAGTGCCCTGGGGCTTCGTGGCTTTGCGCGTTGATGCTTTCAACATCCACTTGAACCTGATCTGATCCTAGTATCAACAGAGGCTTCTTGTCTGTAGGATAGCCATTCGCCGGAGTTGTATCCGTGGGCGAATGCGCATCTTCAGCTTGCACATCTTCCTCTTCCTTCTGCTGCTCTACAGGTTTGTCTCCTTCCATAGGCTCTTGCGCGCTCACATGCTGAGTATCAGTGCCGAGATATCCTGCTGATTGATCTTGCGCTCCGTGATCTTGAGTTTCATCAACCGCACTGGAGATAGGGCCTTGATCTGAGACAGACTTGTCCGCATGAACATTTGATTCACCGGTGCATTTATTCGTTTCAGAGTCTCTGCTAGGCTGAGAGTCGGGGGTTTCGTTCTTCGGCGTCGTAGGCTGTGTTTCCTCTGGGGATATCACATTTGCATTCTCCGATTCATTGGAATTCTGAATCTCTTGTGCCCCTTCATACTCTTGTAATTTGTCAATGTATTGTTGCTTGAGTTTGAGGCCAGTGAGTGGGATGCCACGAGATTTGCACTCTTCTTTCAGGTCGGCGACCTTCGACTTGCCCCAGTCGGTCATGTTCACGTAACGCAGGTGAATGAACGGAGATTCTCGGTCATGAGCAGTGCGAAATTGTGATATCGGCGTAATCAAGGATGGGCCATTAGAGACGTGTTCGGAGAATGCGAACAGTAAGTAGTACATGTGCACGGACATTCCTCATGCGACTTGAACAAGCAAACATGCGCAAACACGCTGCGTTTCCGGGCGAATGTGTCTCCGTACTAGTCAAATGATGCTAGCCGAACCTACAACCAACTAACGCGATTGGATATCAAATGCCTGTTCAAAAAGCAACATCACTAATGCTTAGACAAACGCTTGTTGGCATTATCTGGTGTAGTGTATTTGTGAATCACCAAGGACTCTCTGTGTATGTTATCAAAAAACCCAGTCGACATACTGTGAACATCCCAACAACAATCATTTCTAATGGAGTAGAACTTTTGACAGACACCTTCATGACCAAATGTCCCAATCGAAGTCCTCAGAGGGCCTCCAAGCTCTCCAACTTGGCAAGCGGGCTCTGCCTACATTTTGAAGGGTCATTTGTCTGTGTCGAGGGACAATTTCTCGTCCTTCATGCCTTCCTAGTGTTCTAGATCCATTCGATCGCATCCAGGAGATATGGGACCTAGTTGGGAGAAGATTGGTAAGCCGAGTCCTGCTAGGGTTGCGAACGATTCTTCATAAGGAACGAAGATCCTCACAAATCTATTTGGATCTTCCGTTGCTGGGAAATGGCCCAGTCCCCTCATGGCCTTGAAGTTGGCTCCCTGAATCTTCTTGGCTGTGGCATTGCTCATCCCCGGTGTTGTGCTTCAGTCATATTCCCCTGGGAGGAAGTAGATCGGACACTTCTTGACATTGATGGATGAGACACGATCTCGCGCGTCAAATCCTCCAAAGTAGAAGTCCAAGTCACCATGGAAGATGCCATAAGCTTGTCCAGAGTACATGTGCTAGAGGGTAGAGAGTGGTCAGCCAAACTATACAAGTTTCATTATGCTAGAACGATCACTAACTCACCCGGATGAGTTGTTTGTTCACGAGAGGGCTTTGTGGTGCCACCATTCCATAAACTTTAGACTTGATAGTACTCATCCTAGTATCCTACCGAATGCTCGTGGTTGAGGGGGCCTTACTCCAGTCCGGGTTGAACAGCGCTTGGCTACAGACCGGTGACTTATCGTTGAATTGACGGTCCATGGGCAAATAGTCACATCCTTGCAGCGGAATTGTGCCCCCGACTCCAGCCTCGTCCGCTCGGATTGGCACTGCAACGCAGACCTGGCTAGCCATCGAAGCACCGCAAATGATGGGTTTGTTAAGCTTCAAGGCCTTAACCACCTCCCTAATCGTGCCGACATAGGCCTCTTCGTTGTTTGTGTGATTCCCAGGAACATGTTTACTACCAGGAAAACTCCTTCCATGGGCAGGCAGATCGAAGGCTATCATGGTGGATTTCTCACGCATCCGCTGATCTTTCATGACGCCGTGGTATTGACGGCTGTCACTACCAGCTGTGTGCAGGAAGACGATCTCTTGCTGTCCATTACCAGATTGCTCATAGAAGACCTTGGTGCCCCCCAGACGGGGCAATCGATGTATTTGTATTTGCCGCTGATGTGATCTTCATCTATTTCAGGCTGTGGATCTTCTTTCAACGGTCCATTCTGGCCTTCGCGAAGAAGTTCTAGGAGCCGAGTTGCGAGGTGGCCATACTGGGCAAACTTTACTTCATTGCCATTAACACCAACCCATACTTGTTTAATATTCATTCCTTGGAGCCCGATAAAACTAGTATATGGAGCAACAGGTGCTGCGGCAAGAAAATTCTCCCAATGCTCTCCGTGAGCAGAGAGCGCGAAGTCTGCATTTGAGGCCGACCCTGTCGAGGCAGTTGTCTTTGCGCCTGGGTCTACCTTGACAAGAACGGCATCATCACTGCCAGAGGACTGAATAGCCATAGTTACTGGTTCGATGATGGCTTTTGTGGCGACAAAAGCCTGCCACTGCAAAGCTTACTCAATGATGATACTACCTGGGACATCGCCTTCGGAAGCGATTCCCACGAGTGAGTTGCTCCATTCTGGCCGTTAGTGGTAGGCATGCTGTTACTTATAAAGTTTACCTTAATAGTTATATTGGAAGAGGTATGATATATGGTTGGAAGCAAATTAAGGAGGAATAGGTGAGGTCAAAGACTCTCTCTATACCACGCTTACCTTTATTCCCAATCACACTGGAGATCTCCACAGACATAAGATGAGGTTTCCGAGATCCCAATGTCATTGTGCAGACATGATATCCCCAGATCCCGAGCCAGATGAACAAAATGTGCGCACTGCCGAGGAAGTCACCAAATAGCAAATGCTTCGACCCCGCGTGAACCATAGATTGGCAGTTTCAGTATTCATGCAGATGACGACCTTGATGTATCAATAGTCCCAGCGATATTTTTCTCGAAATTGAGTAAACCGGAGCAGTTCCTTTGGGCAGGGCCAACTGACGGGCAGTGACCCCGCAAAGTTGATGATTTCGAGAGGAGACGTGGGGGTGCAAAGTTAGGTTTGATGTTTTGAATATTGGAGATATTTGCATATTTGGTGGGATGAAATCCCATCTACCATTGAAGACAAACTGGTGGCATTTCCATTGGCAGAGTTTCACGGTGCGCGGTTTTATCGTCATTTTGATTTTTGGCCCATGTGTGCCCACCTCGTCATCGAGTCAAGAACCCCGCTGGCCTCTGGATGTTTGGGAAGTGAGACATACCTCTGGGTCGAGCGTGCACGGTTCCTCGATTGCTTCCATGCGCAGAGCTTATGCATCCCAGGATGCGATATGAAACCGGAAACATAATAGGATTTGAAGAGATGCAGCTTTTTCAAATACTCGCAACTTGGGGGTTCCTTCCCGCAAACGGAAAAGCGCGGCGTCATAGATGAGTCCAACAGTCACCTGACAAGGCTGTCTTTCCAACCTTTTCGCCATTCATGGAGTTCTGCATGATGCTGAAAGAAAATGGGAATTTCAGGCTTCCTTAATTGATAAAAGCCGATATAATCGCGGTCGTAAATGCCCCTCTCTGCATCCAATCCCTCCCCTCGGAGAGGGATTTCTCGAAACTCGTGAGGCTAACAGAATGGTGAAACAGGGACTAGATTCACCGCCTTCGTCATAAACACATGGCCAGTCAAGCTGCCAGAATACCGAATGATGTTGCCTGTTTAGGTCCTTAGCTTCCATGCTTCCCGAATTGCATGCGGAGTACGGAATACTGTCAGGGGCGTCAGCAGCGAGTACCCAAATCCTACAAACCCTGGTCCCTCGGCTTCTAAAGAATGGAATTCTCGCTTCATGGGACTCAACGTTTCTCATTGGTTTTTCGATCCGACTTTCACTGAATCTTATTCATGCAATGCCAAGCGGTCAATGCTCAAGGTCGTGTCTCCTGATTCTGCATTCCATCACACTGCACATGTAGATTTAATTTGTTCTCTGGCCTGGTGGAAATTCTCCTGCCAAGCAACCCCGGGCGTGAATTTGCTCTAGGGGTGGTCTATCAACGCCAGCGGAGTCTGGCTGTTTGGAATGGAGTCGTGGCCACTTCTGACCAATCGGATGAGCCTACGCTTCGATCACTATCCAGAAGATCCCACTTAATCGTGCGAGAAGGATATGCGGACAGAATTGGCTTTCTCACTTTTCTACCAGATCGCACCACCTCGCCGAATCGGTGGGAAGCCATCGGTGCCCCGCGATTAACTTCTGGTGCTTTATCCATCCTGAAATCAGGCCAAGCAGGGGGCGCATGGTGGAGTAGGACGTTCAGCAACTCCTTGGCATATAGCAGCGACAGTTCAGTATTAACCTCGGCAAGGCTTAGAAGTTAGCAATAAGTAATAGATAAAGTAGTAGATACTTAGAAGAGTATAATTATAACTAGTAATTACTAGTAGTTACTAGGAGGGAGGAGATAGCTAATGGTAAATAGTAGTTATAAGAAGAATAATTGAGAGAAGGATCTTTTGGCGCATCAGGAATCAGGAATTTCCCGACAGTTTCACCAAAGGCTTTTGTCACCATGCTTGCCGGATTCTGCGTTCCTCGTTCATGGTAACGGTGTAAGTGAACAAGTCCTTTCCGTACAAGTCGGATACTTTGCTTCTTCCAGAGCTGCTTTCGCCGCTCAAAGTCCAATGCAAGCCTCGTCTGGTCTTATGCAGACGGTACCTAGTCCAAATGTCGATACAGCAGAACTAGCAACTATAGCGGGCCCTGTTCGTACCAATCTAACATAGCTAATCTGTGTCGCTCGAGGTGACGCCCTTGACGTATTCGCCCGTGGTTGAGGATTCCTCACAGTTACGATAATATCCCGAGACGACTTTGAAGAAAGGAATTCCATCGCATGCTTCCACGCTTCTCATCACAAAATTTCGAAAAGAACCTTGAATTGGTGAAGCAGTTGTAGGAGACCATGCCTAGCAGGAATCTCAATCCATGTCAATTGATTCTGGCATGGCTGCTACATCGAAGCAAGAATGTTATTCCCATACCTGGTACGATCCTGGAGACGATGTTGTTCCACAATGTCCAAATCTATTGGTAGAGATGTCTTCCGAGCGTCGACAGGGAAATAGGGCACGCTGAATGGAATCGACTAAGCACGCTTGAATTAAGAGTCGCAAGTAGCTTTCCCATACTTTGGTAGACAAGACGCTGGCAGCATGTACAACATAGCAGTAAATAGAGTCCAAATCCTTGATTTCTCCTTTTAAATATGCGCTAGCAACTTATTATGGTGCCTACAAGTGTGAAGTCTGTTCCTTGGCGGTAGCTAGTTTTGATATCATGTAGGTCGTTGATGCTATACTCACTCAATGCAATTCATACAACTACTGGGGGCCCATGGTACTGAGCCTAGGAGATTCTCTAAGATAGCCTTGGGGCTGACTGTTAGCAACGTGTAAATTCGTTCTTCCAACGTCAATGCCTTTATGCTGAGTTGTTGGACTACAGATAGATAGATCGAGTCAGATGCAGCAACCTATAATGGTTTCATGAGCAGTGGCGTTCCTCCCATATTCGCAAATTTTCCTAAGGGAGGGTCAGATAGTTCTGCATGCTAGAGAAGTGCCACTCCTACCTATCAGCACATAAAAACCAGGAAAGGGCCATTATTGAGAATGTAGCCACAGTGTCACGTTGAGCAATGATCTTCCGGTGAAGTTTTAGTTGCATCCCCAGCACGCCTACAGCCACTCTAGGTGTATTCAGACTAAGAATAGTGGGAAACGGACTTAATCTGCCCTCAAGCGATTTACAGCGCTGCAGCTAGCTAAGAGTAACGTAATAGGATGCAAGATATGAACATACCGTGACTAGGCAGATCCCGAGGACTATGATGTTAAGTACTGTTAAAGCCGACTTGGTTTGGGTCGAGAAAAGCTTCCCCTTGTTTAAATGCAGGCAAAATAGGCCTTCTAAACCGAAAGTAAACCAGCTACAGAAGGCGGCTGCGAGAAGAACAAGGAGATCATTGAAGGCCGGGATCGCCTCGGCAGTGATCCATGCTATGGTCCACATGATGGGAGTGATCAATACCCAGGTACCATATGAGACCAGTGACCTCTCATTCATGCGCGAGGTGCCCCGGAAGATGCGCACGTCGATGCACTTGGCACCTACATGGTCGAGAATAACCCCGGCAATGACGATGGTGGCCGAAGCCAATCCAAAAGCTACTCTTCTCACAACCATACTTGCGCTGAGGAATGCAGGGCTCCGCACCTCAACGCCAGCTTAGCGACAAATCACCACGGCGACGATTAGGTATAGAAGCGTGTCGGTGCCTTGGAGCATGAAGAGGGCCTTAGGATATTCGCGCTGGTTGGCCAGCTCCGACTGGAAGCTGAAGAAGGCGATGTGGCCGGACAGGGAGACGATGATGTTTAGCGTGGCGCCGAAGCCGGAGATCAGGGGTGGTTCTATGGTGGCATAGGCGTGGGGATAAGGGGCTTCGATCCCGACGGCAACTATAGTGACAATTATCGCGGTCAGAATTGATATGGACGCTATAAATGGATGGAATTAGTCGAAGGTCAATAAAAGGCGAGCTTAGCCAATCACCGCGTCAGGGGAAAGGTCATTTTTACTCACCAAAGACTGCCATATAGGATACCTTATGTAGTGTTCGCAGGAGAGCGAAGATAAAACAGATCACGGCCCCAACGAAGCAGAAAATGATCGTACATGTGGCGTGATTGGTGAGAGTGTTCATCATGATAGAGAAGGTTAAGATATATACTCCCATAAGGAAGATAGAGAAGATGATCTAAGTAGCTCTAATAATCTCGCGGTCTAGACGCCGAATAGGATCTCACCCGCATCGGCCATACTATGAACTTATGCGTATCGCAGCTTAAACTAGCCGAGGATATAGCTAGTATACGTAGTAAGGAGACTAATACTAATAATTAAGATAATACTACTATAGAAACGACCGGTCAGTAATCTACTCAATCGCCATAACCTTCTTGAGAGCTTAGATTAGGGAATAGTGACTTACGGTACGAACCCAAAGGTAGCCATGGAAAACGGTAAGGAAAGAATACCTAAAGATACCGACTCGCTAGTCATCACTAATTATTTAAACAGCAAAGAGAACAGGAGGTTAGAGAGATGGGATAAGCGGTTATTAGGTCACGTATAGAAGCCGTAGTTCCTATAGTCACCGACGCTATTTACTTAAAGATACAGGAAAGGGTAACTCGGAATATAAAATACGCACTACCAGCGCATAGTCTTATATTTAAGCTCTACATTATATTTACGGCTAAAAGGATCTTCTATTCCTAACCTCCTAATGCCGACGCCGACGCCGGCTACCTCTTATATTTCTGGGTCAGATCTGTCCTTGGGAGCAGTGGCAGTAGCATCCGCCATCGTCATCTTTGCATTGGGTGAAGAGGTTATGGTTCTCTCGTCGCTGAAATCTCGTGAGTCTAGGCACATAATGGCTTTGGTGTAGAACAAGGTCTGTTTCTGTGTCGTTAGTGCGTCCTTTATAGAAACGTTCACAGCAAGGAAGCAGAACGAACCACGAACAGGTTGAATCTTGTCAAGGTATGCCAGCTATTATATACACCTCACTGCCATGTCGGTATCATTGCTCTATTCCCCCTTGATCAGGCAGTGATGCTTTGTGCCGTAGTTATCAGTAGATAGGGACGGACTTGAAGTCAATTACCCACTAAACGTTCTGGCCCGGTGCCATGAGTGTAGGACAATTCGATGATCTGGTGGACGGGAACAGTTGTCGGTTACATACCAGGAGTTACGGTCTCGATCAGTACTGGCTATTTTAGGCGCGCTCGGAAAATACCGACATGACTTCGTCCCACTTGGTCCAGCTTAATCGAACTGCATATGATTCCGTGGACCCGCGTGGCTAATTGTTTTGGTAGAATTGGGGGGATTGTTGATGGGGAAAGCCGGTCTCCTATCTTGCTATCTATGATAGTTCCATCCTGGCCACGAGCGCAACATGTCAGCACACTTGCAGGACCTGCGCGTCAGTACTAGCAGTCGAGCACGACAAATGGAGATTGTACCAAGCTTCTGCGACGAATCTGGCCATGGAACAACAGGGCAAACTTCTACAATGCGGTCCAACATGTCCGAGAGAGGGCCACTGCCGGTACTACAGTCATTCGGTGACGCTCTGCTTCAGCAAGAGATTCTATCAACCGGCTGGGCGCGAATGGAGGACTTGTGGAACGTAGACATAAGCTTCGGGACAAGAATGCCTGATATGTCTGTCTCCTCCGACTTAGAGCCTTGGATGTTCGATGACCATCCACTTGAGTTTTAACTTCTTAGCTCGATCCTAGGTAGTGTTCCGCCTTGATAGCTACCGGGTATGTCATCCACATGGGCAGTCGACGCTGAAGCCGCTGAGAACTGTCATCGTCCAACGGGCAGTAATTAGGCCCATCTACCCATCCTAAAGGCAATTGGCGACGTCGCTTGCATAGCATCGTGTCGACCCTGGTGACCCCAGGTCTGTCGTATTCTGGAGGCTGTACGGTCCAGAGTTGTAAAGCCGGGCGCCTTGGTAGTATGTCTGTGCTGGGTTGTCCGACGCCATAGACGAGGCGACATTCAACATCTTCACCAAACTGACCGCGTCATATCGGGACCCAGCAGTTCCGTCATACACCATCTGGTATATGCTGGCGTAGGGACAAGGCAGCAGTATGGTACCATTCGAATTACACGTACCCTGACCCTGGTCGCTTTGCATGATGCCCGGATTACTGTGAACCCCCGGGGTGGATGGTGCACGAACGCATGCACTCGACTCTTGCATAGCCACGGCTAAGATGGCTAAGATGAAGCGGGAGTCTACTGTTAACGCGGTCTTTCTTATTGGATACTGTGCAGGCATGGCTTTCCACTCTAGAATAGCTCGCACGTCGTTAACACAATCCGGCATATAGGTAGTATAGCAGGTCCTCAAATTTTTCATCACCAAAGAAGCTCCCAAGTACGAAACAGCATTCACCGCCCTACTTGCACTCTTCTGCATTACCATAAGTGTCCTCGCCGCATTCCGCTCTTATCTAGTGTGGGAGAACAAAAGACGCGACACTACTCAGGATGTCTTTATCGACCCCGAACCACGGACCGGCCAGTCTCATGTGGAGGATCGAGAAACTGTTTCGGCACCTGTGGAGGAGAATGATTGGGAGAATAAGAACTTTAGGTATCACCTATAGACACTGTAATATCTAGGGGGCGAAACGAAGGGGAAGAGATGCTATTCTACTCACAATGGGTGAGTTAATTCTGTCTATATCTAACTATGTAAGAGTTAGAAAGATAAAGTAGACGGGAGGCAACAGGCTACAAGGCACTAGTCGCCTTGGCGTTATGTGTCACTCTAAGTAGGTGAGGGTTGTGCTGACAGACTCGACCGGATTGATACCTACGTAGATTTACACTAGTTTGAAGGTATCTCCTCTTAGCCAACTGCAACTCAGACTATAACTTCGAAGAGGCATCGAACACGTTCCAAAATGCATTTTCTGGTGGGTCTGCTGGACTAGACCAGTTGCGTGCGATAGACGGACTAGCAGCTCAGCACGACTTGGCGTGAGGTTCTTTGTATCTCGCTCAGCCTTCATGAGTGTCCATTTATACAGGGTGATACCCAAACATGAAGAGCCCGAGATCCCTGGACAGATTATTACCAGAAGACTAACGTCTTCTGTTCCGCGGGATGCTTGAAGACCACTCATTTCCGGCTTGCCAATTTTGGCAATTGGGACTTTCGAATGCAGCTACTCAGCCGCCTTCTTCACTTCCACCATCCTCAGACAACTAGGATGGACATCAGTTCGTGCGCAGATTATGCCCATCCCCATTTACCTCTGTGCGGCCACTTGCACTATTGTGGTGGCCATCATCTCGGACAAAATCAAGCATCGATTTGCATTCGTTCTTCTTGGAGCGATCCCTTCGGTTGCTGGTTATATCATTATGTTGAACATGCATTCGGTGTCGGTGGGCGTGCGATACTTTGCACTCTTCGTATCCCTCACGGGGTAATTCGTTGCACAGCCTATAACGATAGGCTGGCTAACCAACAACCTTGGTGGCCACTACAAACGAAGTGTGGGTATCGCCATGCAGATCTCCCTAGCGAACTGTGGCGGCCTCGTGGCATCAAATGTCGTTGTGAACAGTGAGGCACCAGAGTATCCCCTCGGATTTGGTGTTGGTCTAGGTTTCATGCTCCTGGCAATTTTCTCATCGATCGCATTTCTCTTCTACCTGAGAGCAGAGAATAGGCGGCGCGATGTTGGAAAGCGGGACTCTCTACTGGATCTTCCAGCGGAAGAATTACGCAACCTAGGCGACGACCACCCTTCTTTCAGATACACTTATTGATGATATGGTCAAAGAGCTTCCCATCACTCCCCAGAGAGAGAGATTTCGAGCGCAAGGAGAGTGTCAAAGCCAAAAACTAGTAAAGACGCCAAGTAGCCCTGCGACGTCGATGTGAGGCCAAAAATCTAGCCCCTCAGACAGATGGTTGTACAGTATGGTTCTCTATGTAAGGCCAATCTAAACGTGGCAAAGGCCCATCTGGTTGGAAATTTCCTTTTCTGAGAAATTTCAACCACGAAGCCACACCAAGAAAAATCTGCTCAAACCTTCTGAAACTTTAACAACCCCGAGCATATCGTAAGTAGCTCGGTCAGGTCCAAACACGACTACGACTTTCCATCGACTTACCATATTGATAGTGTCAGCATTGGGACTTTCTTTCGAGTTAGGTATAGCAAAGGAATCAAAGCGAAAGCATTGCGTCGCCTTTCATGACTGCTTTTGCGATGCGACTCTAGTAAATAACAGAGACAAGCTAGGAGACTTTGAATCTTGGGCATTGAGAAACTAAGGATATTGCAAATTCAGGTAGTGTGAAGTAGACGGTGCAATGTGGCAGGCTGGACACGCCCTGGGGGTAATCCGCTTAGATACAAATTGTGCGCCATCTGCTGCATGATGTACTGTACATTTGGCCACGGGGCGGAGGCAGCTCGGCGATGAGCTCAAAGCCTGTCTCCGAGGACTTCTCCTTCGTCTGCATCATGTTGGTGTGCGTCCTAATGAGTGCGTCGACCTTGAGGGTAAGGAGCGCGGTGCCCAAGGCCAGCTCCCTGTCGAAGGAGATACCGTCTGCTTGTAGTACGGCCTAGCGCTGCACTAGATTAAAAGTAAACTCGCTTTAACTCATAAACTTTTCTACCATTTGCTCGTGGTCTCTAGTACGAGGAATCACTAGAAGACTTGCCAAGATGTAGCTAGTGTATGCCAAGGAGTCTGTAACGAGTAAACGTCCTACTCCCCACTTAATCTTACGTCCTACTCCATTGCATCCTCGCAAGCAGGCTTCTACAGCAGCAAGGCTAGCTAGCTCTGCATCTAGAGACTAGTTCGGCTTGATTCAAGATCGAGGCTTCAGCATTGTGGGGACGATGCCACTAACGGCATTCCGGAAGAAGCGCCCATCTGGAGAGCCTTGTTCATCGGGATCCACATTTGTCCCACGTGAAACCAGCATCAGACGTCCAATGCTTCAGCCAGTCCTCGACTTCAAAACCTCCAAGACCGGTGGCCCGTCTCCACCCAATGGGTAAATTGGATGCTCGCCACCTAATCTGTCTCCTTGACACCAAAGGCACCTCTTCAACGGTAAATATGACGACATTCTGTTGCCTGAGCTTTCCCTTGAGCTTTATTAGACTTCAACGGCTTTGTCGGCTTCCATGCTTGGCAGGGTTGTATCAAGTACTCCTCGACAGATTCGCCTGCAGAAATAGGCGCATCTCAGTCGAATTTCTCCAATCTACCAGAGTCCTAGTATCCGAAATAAAGGGATTATGATCAATTCGAGGTGCGCCGTCTCAATTGCGGGATATGCTGAATCAGGGAATCATATAAGAAAGATCTCCATCTCGCCCTTCCATTCCAGACGTTTCCTTTTCCCATCCTCATCACTCACTTCCTTCGCCTGCATTGTACTTTGCTATTCCTACCGCTGGTCGGTTATTTTCATTCCATCTTTCGCGAGCCAGTCTCTCTTTTTGCCTTCATCCAAACCCTCGCAATTCGTTCGTTACTACTCCCTCCCAACAACCCAAAGTCGATCAAGATGCTTTCCCGACAGGTAGCCCTTGCAGTGCTCATTGCCGTGGCTCATGCCCGCTTTAACCAGGAACAAATCCCGATCCCTGATATTGCTGCAGTCAAGGGCGGTGATCCTGGCGCTGCAGCCACCATCGCTGGTGCAGCCATCAGCGACTTGCTTGCCGGGGCCAATGCCTGCGACAAGTTGAAACGTGGTGACCAGATCCTTGCAGAACTTGGTACTGATGCCGATGCCATCGCTGCCGCCATCGGGATGGTTGCTGCCGAGAAGAACTTCAATCCCTTCGTCCAGGATATCCCCACCATCTGCAGTGACCCGACCCTGCCCGCCAACGAGCTCCTGCGTGGCATTACTCCTCAGATCGATCCCAATGTGGATGGATCTGCCGCCGCCAATGCATTGTCTGACCAGACCAAGGCCAATCCTCTGGATGCCACTGGCAAGAGTGTGGCAGACTTGCTCACTGAGAATGGATTTGCCAATTTCATCGCCCAAGATGCCGCTGGTGGAACCACTGAGCCTGCAGCTGGCAACGCAGGTGGTGACGCAGGCGACGCAGGTGACGCAGGTGACGCAGGCGACGATACTGGCAACGCAGGTGGTAACGCTGGCGGCAATGCTGGCAACGGAGGAGCCGCCACGGATTGCAATGCCGCCCCTGTAGCAAGTAAGTACCTAAAATGGATCTCGAGCCACGGCAAGCTGACAATTACATCGCAGCCGCCACAGCCACATCCGCAGCTCAACAGACTGCAACCACCAGTGCTGCCGGTGCCGGAGCCACTGGAGACGCTGGCGACGGCGCAGACAATGGCGGTGCTGCTGACACAGACGGCGCTGACTTCGGTCAATGTGTTCCCACTATGAAATTCGAAGGCGGCATTGGCGGCAGACCTGCTACTGAGTTTACCTTCCTGCCCATTGATCCTTTGGTCGCTCAAGGCCAACAAGAGGCGTTGAACCCTAGTAAGTTGACCCCAGCCTTATCAACCCTTTCAGACTGAAACCCAGCTAACCAAGCCCCTTCTTCCAGACATCATCACCAACAGAATCTGCGACCAACTGACTAACGTCTGTGACGCCAACGCGGCAGCCAAGACCCTGTGTACGGACGCCCAAGCCCAGATCCTCGCACTGGGCACCCGCGACAAGAGCACCGCTGATACCTGGAACACCCTGCTGGGCTTCCCTGGCACCGTGACTAACCCCAGCGGTGGCCCGGCCGAGCCTCCTGCCAAGATGAGAGTTGTTCGTTCCTTCAGGGCATGAGTGTGACGAACTTTCTGACGGTTTTGTTTCGGTTTCTGCTTGAGATCGGACTGGTAGAGTTCGAGGCGAAGAGGAAGAAAATGGCGGAAGAAAGAAGACCAGCTTTCCGTGCATGGGCGTAGGCGACAAGTCTACATAAGTGACCTCTTTCATGTGACGAAATCCTTATCACCCAAAAGCTGGAAAGTGGAATAGCATTCCTCCCCCCATGACGAGGAATCATTTTTCCTTCATGTATGCATTTATAAAGGTTGTGTCGTGTCTCATGAGGTGTGAGAAAAGAAAGGAAAAAGGGGACAACAGAGAACCCAAAGCATATAAGCACAAGGGGATTCCAAATGAGAAATGGAGGAAATCCATCTTCCTCCACCCAATCCCCATTCCGCATTGACTTGGTATTTGTTTTCGTTCTCGTTTTCGTTTTCGCCATTTCCAGTCGTGTCTACTTTCTTAGCACCCCAAGACGCAGCCCACGGAGAACCCATGAACCCATGAACCCATGAACCTATTCTGTCTGCTTTTTTATCTGCCCCTTATGAAAGTCAGCATGCCACTTGAGACTGGAGAGGTATTGGTATAGCCGCCAGGTTTGATAATCAATCTAGTGTCTGGTGGCCAATCTACAACACATCCACTCCTGAAATCGTCAGAGAATTGAACCCCTAACTAGGAACGGCCGGGAAAGCGGCGTACTCGTAGATGCTTGACCTGTCTCCCCCCTTTCCTAACATACTAGATTCGAACTTGGACGGACCGAAGGCCAAGGACCACGGCTGTCTCAAAAGATTTCTCACCTGCTGATTGGGGTCAGGGTTTTGAAATGCTGGGGAGGGGAACGGATCAAGGTGCGTGCTTTTTCGGATGGTAATTCGGACGGTGTCATAGTGGAATCTTGTAGAGGGTTGGTCCTGTTGATCCATCCATCCGGAAAGATCAGAAGGGCATTCGTCTTGCTTACCTTGCTTGCCAGGCTTTTCGACGGCAAGCATGCTCGTTGAGTAATGTCCTCAGTGACTAAGGTCCCCCAGATACTTGTTATGTGAGACCTGGCCGTACTCCACATCCGAATTCCCAGGCTGGAGAATTCACATGCAGATCAATTTCAGGGACAAACGTCATTGCAAAATTGGATTGGATTTGATGTGATTGTGAATGCGGCACCCTCGTCCTAACCATTCCTGGCCGGCCGGGGCTGTCTTTGGCCGGCGACAATGATACAAAGACCTGGTATAGATATACATAGTCAACATGGCGGCTTCCTTCGCGCACGAAACCATCCACTCATCCCCAACCCCCTATCTCTTCTGCTCATGACAAGCAAGTCCCTTGTTTGGGAGTAAACATCAATGCCGAATTGGGTGATGTATGATTACTCTTTCGTCGCACTTGTGGTACGTCAGAGTTGAACTAATGCCCCACAGGCAGTGCCACGAACAGAGTCAACACGCGCTTTCATCTCCCGCTCTTCAATGCTCCCCGGCCAGTCACCAGGCCGTCAGATCGTCAACCTCAGCCTCTCCAAAAGTGCTGCTTTTAGTCAACTTCCCAACCCCATCAGTCACAACGTGGCCATTCTTGTCCTCATCGGCACCAACGCCCGGCTTCTCCATGATATCCGGTAACACTTCTCTGAAGAATCCAAGGAGATAAGAGTTGACCTGCTCGAACTGAAGTAGGAATGCGTCGTGGCCTTCTGGAGAATCAATCTTGCCCAGTCTTGCACCAGGAATTGCTTCTGCGATCTCCTGCTGTTCGGCAATTGTGAAGAGACCGTCGGATTCGATTCCAAGCACGAGTGTTGGTTGTTCGATCTGCGCAAGTGCCTCCTTAACAGTGGGTGCGCGGTTGCGTGACACGTCGTGCGTGTCAAGCTTGCGCGTGATGGCGATATAGCAGTTGGCATCGAAGCGGGTGACAAATTTAGTCCCTTGGTAGCGAAGATAAGATTGTGCAGAGTAATAGTAGTGTGCCGGTCTGGAAGATCGGCGGAATAAGCTAGGTGGAACGGGAATGGGGAACTCTGTCGTGCCTGTGAACTGAGGGTCTTGAAAAGTGGTGGTTGGCTGGTCTGAGTCTGATGTGGGTGCTGCCCTGTTAGGGGAATCAGGCTGTGATGTAGATTCGGATATTCTGCCGTTTCGTGAGGCGGGTCGACTGTCACGAGAGCCCTTTGCTCGTTTGTGTCCGTCATTATGGATGGTCCAATGCTCGTTCTGGCCTTCAGGCGTTCTATGACCCTGATTGATAGCCGGCTTTTTGGACAAATCTGGAACGTTCCGACCAAATCGAGCCTCGAATGAATCACGACTACGATACGTCAGGAGAGCGGACATACGTGCTGCACCTAGGCCGGCAGAGGGAGGGTCGTCAGATGGGTAGTACCCATCATCATACTTGGGATCGGAATAAATGGCCTGGCGTTGTGCCTCACCCCAGCTGATGCCCCAAGCAGAATGGGTTGCAGCAGTGGCAATGGGTGCAATGGCGCGAACATAATCTTTGCCAAAGTACGCATATTCCAAGGTCAACATGCCGCCCATTGACCCACCTATAACACAGGCGATTTGTCGCACCCCGAGCTTGTCGAGCACTAGCTTATGAATACTATCGCACGGTCAATAGTAATTCAACAATTGCAGCACATATTGCATACTTCACATCGTCTCTTATTGTTGTGAGAGGAAATTCTGGCCCATATCTTCCCAGGGAAGGGTCTCCGTTCTTGCTTGTGACAGGACTGGCGCTGCCATACGGACTCCCTAAGCTGTTTAGGCAGACAACAAAGAATCTGGTGACATCGAAGGCTTGCCCGGGTCCCCCAAGCAGGGGGCCCCACCAGTCTGCCACATCTGCGCTTCCGCTCAGAGCATGACATATGACTAAGACATTGTCTTTATTTTCTGAAAGCTGTCCCCGCGTGGTGTATGCAACGGGCGCATTGTAGAGGACTTCGCCCGATTCGAGAGTGAAAGAGGGAATGGTGAAAAACTGTTGATCTGGGACTAGAGCGGCGAAGTGATTCTCAGGTTTCTCGGTGGCATTCTCTACGGGATTTAGTAGCCGTCCTATCATGACTGCACCAACAAGGGGAAGACTGTAAATTGGGAGGACAAGAGAGCAGGGAACACTGACGGGAGCATTGTGAGGCAAGGTGAGCCCCTCCGTTGGGACTTGTTGAAGTCATCCGGATCCTAGGAAGACGTCCCTAGAATAGGGTTGCGTTTTCGAAATGGTATGATAATCAGGTACCAAGAGTAGACGAATGAGGATGGGACGAATACGGATGGACGGTGGATTTTTATTTTGTGTGATCCATTGAAGGCTTTGAGTGAGTCAAGGCCTTATGAGTCAAAATGGGTTTGGCATTGACGAGCGAGTCATCCTGAGCTAAATGTGGATACGAAGAAGGCAAGAATGCAGCAGCGTGTGCTCTGGGTTTTTCATTGTGGAATTAGATCTTGACTGTGGTCAGAGTCGGTTGAGTCTTTGCTGGCGATTGCCGACAGACGGCGAGGCAGAAAATCACATCATCGTCCACGAATAGAAGCCTGAATAGAAGACTGTGCAGTTCGGAGCAATCCTCATACGGTTGATGAGTGAGGAAAGTACTCCGAGCACGTGATTATACAAATCGGAGTTATGTTAATCCAAGCCCGTAGAACAGAAACTGCCTCATAGCCTGGCAGGTGACAGCAGCCTTGTCAATGAATGTGTGCCGGGTTTGAATCGAAATGATTAATTACTACTCAAGCAATCTCGATTTTCTTGCTCTCTAGCTCGAATGCCGTTGCAGCTCGTCGTGTTAGGACCCATCTCAAATGAGAGCATAGCCTAACTTGGTCCAAGTATAACAGTGCATGGCAATAGATGACCGTTTTCGAAACGCTGCCATTACAAAAATGCCATGCTCAATCTAGTAAAACACTTTGGTGATGCAATTGTTGGTAAGATCCTCGCCATCTTCGTGAAAATCACGGACCTCTCCTGGGTCGCTTGTTATCGCCAGGTGCTCGCGAGCCACCTCTTCCGCTGCTACCCCCTCCACGTTCAGCCCCAGGTCCTCCTCCATATGAGGGAGGGTCCTCTCCTCTTCCATGTTTTCTTGTGGACTGGTCATCTCTCTGTGGGCCAGATCTTGCATACCCTCCGCCGCCGCCTCTGCGATCTTCGCCTTCTTGTCCCTGGCCGTGCTCATCTCGCCGACTCGACCTCTCCCTATGTCGTGATGCATCTGGGGGTCCATGTCGCTCATCTTTCCCCTCTCGAGCTTCTGGTCTGCCCTGGTGGTCCCGATCTCCACGAATATCTTCTTGCCTACCTGAATGTCTCGTTGGTCTTCTTTCCGACCCTCGATCATTGTCATAATCGCTGCGCCGATCTCGGCTATTGGTATGCCGCGTGGCTGATGGACGGTTGCCCACAGGGAGCTCGTTTGGATTTGATGACGCGAAGAGATCTTGATGAGAAGCGTATCCATTCGGTGGTGGTGGTCCGCCTGGGGGAGGGGGCGGCGGCGGAGGCTGCATGTGCGAGCCGAATGTTCCACTGCCTTGTCTCACGCTACTGCCTCCTCGTCCTCTTATTGAAGTTCCCTGGCCAGCTTGAGCCAACGTGTTGTTGACTGCAGTCAGTGGGTGTCGGTTATTGCGACCTCCACGGCCAGCTCCTCCATCACCCATATGTGGGCCAGCAGGTGGGGCGCGGGTTGTAGGTGAAGGTCCCGATGGAGCACCAGGAGGTGGTTGACCTCGTGGCCCCGCCGGGGGGGGTGCTTGCAGAGGTAATGTCGGCGCAGGATTTGGCCGAGGTCCCTCAGTTGTCGCCGCATCGATTTGGTTGAGCCGAGATGGATGAACTCCTGTAGAATCAGGCGTATTTGGTGTGACCGGAGCTTCATTGTACGAGCTGGTTCGACCATGTCGCCTGGCTGAAGGTCCGGTAGGTGTGGGTCTTTCACCATGTCCGGTAGGTGTGGGTCTTTCACCATGTCCGGGGGGAGAAAGTTGGGTGTCGACCTGGGGCCCACGACCGCTTTTGGGTCCATTGAGAGGCGGCGGTCTGGTACGAGGGCCCGATGGGACATCCGAGGCTGGCGCTCGATCTACGTTCACCGAAGCCAAAGGCCGGGCCGGTGGTTCTTGTTCCAACCGGCCATGCTGCATATCAACAGGAGGTTGTCTAAGGCTTTTCGATTCTCTTGGGGTACTATCTCGCGGCCCTGATCGAGGAGTCGGTCCATGAAGAGAGTCGCTGATAGTCCCTGAGGTCGGTCCTGAAGACCGGGAGGCTAGGAGGTCAGCACGGCGATCTGGTAACGATCGGTCCTCGTTCTCACGTCGCGGATATGTTCGTCTCTCCTCTTCGCGTCGAGGAGAGGATGGGCGTGAGGATCGAGATGGCCGATCTTGCATCTGTACCCGAGTAGAGAGGCTGAGTCTTGGCTCATTGCTGCCCTCAATCAAAGCTGCTCGTTCAGGGTTGATTGATGGTGCTGCTGTTGACTGAGATGGTGGCTCTTTTCGTTGCGAACTGCTCTTCTGCGAAGGGTTTTCAAGAGCTGCCACCTCAGGAGGCCCTGAAGGTCGAGTACGGGAAGCCGAATCTCGTGGTTCGCGTTCTCGTTCTCCTGGGGGCGGTCGCACTGGTGGCGCCGCTCTTTCCAAAGGGCGGGGTCTCTCATAAGGTGGCGGCGGTCGCTCATGCTCTCTCTCCCGTGCATAGCCCCTGTCTTCCCGGCTAATTGGAAGGGGCCCTTCGCGTGTATCATATCTGCGAGGATGACGATCATATTCATCGTAAGTGGCAGATTCCGGCCCTCGGTAACCGGATCTCACGTCTCTACTGTGTGACGGTCGAGTGTCAGGACCAGTCCTCAAGTCTCCTAACTGTCTTGTTGGAAGGCGCGGACTGTCTCTTTGCCCATTGCGTAAGTCTGGAGGTTCGGGGCGACTGGGAAGGTGTGCTGGAGGCGGACCTCTCGTGGGCGGAGAGAGTCGTCTGGGAAGATTATTTGGCTTCGCCACATCCGAGCGTACTGGCCTTGGCTCTCGTTTGCCAGAAACTTGAGGCTCAACGACCTGTCTGGAGGGTGTAGATGAGCCTTGTGTTGGTGCTGCTCTTGAGATCGGTTTGGGTGAGCCAATTGCGGGTTCTGGTTTTGCAACAGGTTCTGCCGGGATTGATTTTGCCGCAGCTTCTGATTCCGACTCTTGCTCGTCGCTTGCTCTCGGCTGTTCAGGAGCATCTGTCATTATTGTGTCCTTGACTTCTCCATCCTCACCAGCATTCGTAACAGGCTTAGCAACGGTCGCTGATGGCTTTGCTCCAATGGCTTTGGGTTGACTTGCAATCTGCTCCGACTCAGAATTAGCGTCGTGGCCGTCTCGGAATTTTGAAGGTGTCATCCATAGCTTCTCCCGTCGATGGAGAGCTCCTAGAAGTGCTTGCGATGACACCTTGAGATCTTCCTTGTCAGATTCTCCTAGTTTGTCGACAGCCTTCTGCAACCCTACACCATGAGAGTTAATTGCAGGGAACACCATTGAGATGGACCGTAATACAGATATCGCGTTCCGAACATGCATATACTCCGGAGATGTCAGGCACTTGACAAGAGCATGGAAGAGGTTGCTGTGCCATTTGTACAATACCCTCCGGAAACTGTCGAAGTCCAACAGCGACACGACTTTACCCGCCTCGACTTTCAGTGCAAAGCCTGGGAGATTTTTCTTGATGCCCCAGCCCTCTCGTTCATACGTTTGTTTTGCAGCATGCCATCGCCCCAAATCCTTCAATATTTCATTGAGAAATCGTCCAAGGTTGTCAGATTCTTTCGAAGTACAGATAAAAATGAGAGATGTGAGTCTCGCTGGTTTGAAAAGTAGGTCGTAGAATCCAAGAGTCCTGAAATTCGGTGTACCAGCGCCGTGAAGGAATTTGACGAACTTGAAGCAAAAGTAGGCATCCAGTGGCGAGGATAGGAGCCGAGGCAGAAAACAGTGCTCCATGAGGGAGGCGTTAAGCAGTTTGTCCATCCTTGCCTTCCCAAGAAACCATTTATCTTTCTCTCGCTGAAGTTTGGCTTTACTATCACTGAAGGCTTTCAGGTGATCTTTGTTCTCTGCTAGCAATCTGTCCATGAGTTCTGTCAGCTCTTTCTTCGCAAGTTCTTTCTTTCTCGTCCCAGAGGCGCTGACATCTGATCGGTCCGATGCGATTGCAGCGATTTTCTTTTTTTGCCGCGAAATTTCATCTTCGTAGGACTTGCCTGGGATTGTGATGTCGTAGAGTGCTAGTTGCCAAAAGGTAGTATAAAAGCCTGTACCAATGATTTCCACGACTTCCTCAGGTAAATGTGGCTCAATCGAAGCCATCACCTCCTTCATGACAGGATGCCAACAATCTCCTACTGGAGCTTCTAGTCCTGGCAGTTTGCTTGCCGACTCTGGTTCTAAGCCCAGTCCTGGGGTGCTTGTATCTGCTGGAGAATCGTGCATATCGTCCACTTCTTGGGCTTCACCGTCTTCTTCTGAGATGCCACCGTTGAGCTGGTCAGATGTTTCGGTATCGCCATTGATTCCTTTAAGGTCGTGAGCTCCATCTGCCTGTTGACTCTTGTTCTCTCTATCGAAGTCTTGCATTTGCTTAGCAATGATAGGTCGACTGATCCAGAATGCAACTTCAGGGCGAACCTCGTAATCGATCAGGAGGCTAGTCACGTCGGGAATGACTGAAGCAAACTCTTCTGTAGATAGATTGTAACGAAGCAGATCCAGATACTGCACCATCACTCGTTGCACTTCATCATATGTATTTCCCATAGCTTTCAAGGGCACATCGCCTTGGTCAAAAACACAAGCCTGCCGCTGCTGAGCGAGAGCGATCAGGAATTTGGCAGCAAGACCTGTATCATGCAACGACTTCATAAGCCTTTCCGAGGTCTTCTTGGAGTCGTGCCGCCGGTCGAGGACTTGAAGAATAGTCTGGGCTTGAAGAAGTGGACCGCCTCCCATGGCTTGCAGCTGAGCATCATTGTAGCTCGTATCGGTCGCAATTCCACCCATGGAGGCCACGATCTGTTCCAGCATCTTCAAGTCCGCAGTTTTACCCTGCTCAAGTTGTTCAACCACATATTGAAGGACAGGGCCAGGTCTCATCATCCCGTACCGCTTGTAGATCTTGCCTGCGAATTGTGAAAGCGCGATGAGCCATTTGCTGGTGAACATGCCACCTTCTTGAATTCGATCCCTGCCCGTTCTTGCCATTGAACTCACCACTGCCCAGGTGAGAATATCATAACCAAGGTCGGTGAAGTAGCGCGCACCCTCTACGAACACTTCAGCAATGCTATCGTACACTTCAATTTGAGGGAGAGCAGTAGTGATGACAATGTGTGGGTTAGCGAAGGCGATTTTGGCGAGAGCTCTGGCCATCGGGCGTACATTGGTATTAGAAATCCGCTTGAGAATATCTTTCGTTTCAGCCTTGGCCTGATCGAATGCCGCTTTGATATCTGGATTTCGTGAAGTTTTCCCGCTCGACCATTCCACGTAGAGGAGATAGCGGACGCTAACAGGGAAATTGCTAATAAGCTCAAATACTTCGTTGACGACTCCGGCATTAGATTTCGTAAGACTCAAAGCAGGAAGCAAAATACGTTTGCTCAAGTCCAGCCACCTTGCCCGGTTGAACTCACTGCGGTCTGTATGGAGACTGTGCTTGCCAATTCGAGCAAATTTGAGGAGAAGGATAGGGTCTTGGCCAATCTTAACACCGACAAGAGGCAGTAAGGTCTCAGTTAGGGTGAAGAGGTCGTCCACGCTCTGGCAAATCGGAATATTATCGTTCCACTCATCCCAGTAGAAGCGATAGTTAGTTCCATCTGCACTATCACTTTTGTCAAGTAGCGGCCATCGAAGTGTCTTTTTCTCTGTAGTGTCGACAACCTTAACTTGGCCTTTCTGCAGCCCTGGAATGTCGGTTTCATAACATGGCGCCGGGTTTCTCAACGTAGAGCGGTCTTGAAGCGGCCTGATAGCACCATAGATTTTGCTCAAACACTGATGCAGAATACGATTGATGTATTCCGGGAGGTCAGGGTAAAGTTCCATTAACCACGGGAATTTCCCAAGGATAAAGAGCGCCTCTGGAAGAGCGCCAATAGCGAGGAGGCTCTTCAACAACAAAACTTTCTGATCTGCAGGTCCATTGGACTCTTTTGGAGTAGCTTTGTCGGCATCAACTTCTTTAGACGGTGTACTTGCTCGCGTATTCGAGTCTTTCAGGCGAGCGGGAATGGGCAGTGTGTCATCAGCAAGAGCTCCCGCCATCAGTAAAGCATTTTTCGCGCCTGCACCTGGTCTTGCAGATCGCTCTCGCTCAGCCTTTTCTTTAGTCTTCTGCTGTTTGAGCTCCTCCATCGCATCATCGGTCCTCCAAATATGAGGATATAAGTCCTTCAGGGAGATAAACCCAATTTTGATTAGCAAAGCTGCGAGGTAGATGAGATTGTCAGGCAAAACATCAGCCTCATCTCGTGCGGCAGAGGAAGAGTAGAATCGTAGCTTGAAGCCCAGTAGTTGCGCTGCGTCTCGATTGCCTAATGGAGGCATTGTGCCCGTCTCTCGCACCCATTTTGCCCATAGATCATCTCCCGATGCTTCAGAAGCTCGGTCGAGCTGCTCTGGTGAGATCTGGGGCCTTCCAAGATGATGAAAAGCCTTTAGACCTTGCTGCCTAGCAATCTGCCAAAATGTCGAGTCTCGAGCCTCTGCCTCTTTGGCAACAAGTTGTCTCTGCTCATCTGTGAGGTGCCAGTCAGTCGAGCCGGGCAAAGCCCAAAGGGGTAGCCCTCCAATTGCAGATGCCTTCCTTGCTGTCACTGTTTGTCTGGGCCACCAGGGACTGGCTCGTAGGAATTTGACGAAGAATCGAAACTGCTTGACGAGGACTGCGCCAAAAACGTCCAAAACGACATCCAAGCTTCGCCCAACGTCAAGATCAAATGCTCCAATCATGGCTTTAACCTTCTCCACCGTGTCCTCGACGACCTCTGCCGTAGGTGGCTCGTTGTTGCTCGTTGTGAAAAGTTCTGTAATCAATTTTGCAAAGCCCTCAGACTCTTCACGCATCAGGTTGAAATTTGCTTGACGATATAGAATATTGGTCTGTTTCCTGATAAGTACGCGGTTGAATGTATTCCTAATCAGCTCGAGCTTTTCGAGGACAGCTGCGTCGAGCTCAAGGCGTAGCAACTCGTGAGCGATGTTGGTTGCCAAAAGAAAGACTGCTAATCTATCCTTGGGTAGCTCCGGGTTCGCATCGAAAAGAATGGATATGCAATCTAGCAGCGTGGCCTGGGAGTCTGTTGGTGTGAGTGCGGAGTGGGTATCATCTTCAACCTTCTCAGTGTCCAAGATTTCTTTGACTAGCTGCCCGGCATCGGATGGATTAATTCTCCCGTATATGACGGATTCCACTAGCTCGTGCATGATAGCTGTCAACTTGGTTCTCTCAACTTCTTGCAGCTCTTCTAGAGCCTTTCGGAGCACTTCGTCCTTGCCACTACCTTGCCACGACGCAATTGCTTCGTCCGTAACATAGATATAATTGAATGGTTGGAGAGCAGAGGGGGCTTCAGATAGTTCGAATGGCGTATTGCCAATATTCGGTGGAGTGTCCATCGTGCCGTTTGTATGGTTAGGCTCGGGGTTGGGGATAGTGGAAGCAGAGTCAGGGTTGTCGACAGGGCTGTTCACCGCGCTGGACACCACATTACCCCCACGGCCACCTCTGCTAGGTCTTCTGGAGTTGCGGCCGCCGCGGATGTGTGAGAAATCACGATCATTGCCAGGGGACTGCGGGCCTTGATGAGCAAGGTTCAAGTTTCCGGGTCGATGAGGTGAAGGCCGAGGGGCCTGTTGATCATCTGAATAGGTACGGTCTGGCCTTTTTCTCTTATTTCCACCCGGAGGGGGCATCCCTTGAATGCGAACCCCGTCTCGGTCCCGGCGAGCGTGTGAGGGTGGGATTTATCGAGTGTCGCATGGGATAGATTGAGGTTTCACTTGATTAGGGCAGGACGGGTTGTCTCAAAGGAAACCGGGTGGCTGGCTTATTTCCAAACGAAGGTACTGCGAGGTGCAGTCTTTGCAGTCTGAGTATGTGGTGAAAAGAATAGATGAGAGGTTGGTGATGAAGGTTTGAGCATCCGTGGAGCAGTTCGTGTGTCAACGTTCACGAAGACAAAGGGCGCTGGTGAAATGAATTGTGGTCACGTGGTATATCGAGTCAGTTTCCCAAACTCCGGTGCAATGTCTGACTCGCTTTCCCCTCTTTCTCTTCATACATACTCGTACATGACTCATGAGTCATTATCATGACAACGTCCCAAACGCCAATCTTTGAAATCAAGAGTCGAATGTTGCAACAAGTCTACCTCTATAAGAGCTCAATGGGTAATCGATAGGCATTGCTCTCTTTCTTGATAAGTGCTCAGCGGGATACATTGTTTTCTGATTCAATTGCTCTGGCCAGAACCACGCCTCGACTCTCAATGGGCCTTGCATTCTGAAGAGGAGCATAACCCTCAGCCATGGGGGCCAAGGTGCTCTTGTAAGTACCCTCTTTGCCTCGCCACTTCGCCTGGCTCTGATGACCTGTGACCAGAACTGGAACTACAGGGTATATCGGAGGTGATGCTCTGTAGCTGATTTCGGAGAAGCATCCAGACTGGGAGCTTACAGCACTGGTAAGGAATAGTGACAAAGGCGCCAAGTTGGCAGCTATCTATCCTCGCATCCGCCTTGTGTACGGTGACCTCGATTCTGTGGAATTGATAGAAGCAGAAGCCGCCACAACTGACATCGTGTATCATTTTGCAAATTGCGATCATGAAGCCTCTGCTACAGCAATTGCAAAGGGTCTGACTCGTCGGCAACGGACCGGGGCTGGCTACTGGATTCATACATCTGGTACCGGGATTCTAGGAATCGAAACACTGGCTACGGGGGAGTTTGGTAATATGCTCCCCAAAGTCTACAATGATTGGGACGGAATTGAGGAACTGAAGTCCCATCCCGACGAAGCCCCACATCGGAAAGTTGACAAGATTGTCCTTGCTTCTCATTCGGACAAGGTCAAGACGGCCATAGTCTGCCCTCCAACTATTTATGGTCCTGGTCGTGGTCCTGACAATACAAGGTCGATGCAAGCGTATATGATAGCCGAGGCATTTCTCAAACATAAAAAATCATTCAAGATAGGAAAGGGTGAGAATGTTTGGCACGGCATCCACGTTCAGGACCTTTCGGAACTCTATCTTCTGCTTGGGGAGGCAGCTGTCAACGGGGGCCCACCAGCAACGTGGAATGAAGAAGGCTATTATCTCGCTGAGAACGGATCATTCAAATGGGGAGATGTTATGCAGGGTATTGCAAATATTGCCGCTAAACAGGGTCTTATTCCAGATAGCACTCTTGAAGAAAATTCACCCGAGGAGGCAGAAGAGTACTTTCACAATGCGAAGTACTATGTTGGGACAAATTCGAGAGGTATATCAATCCGAGGCAAGAGATTGTTAGGCTGGAAACCGATCCAATGTAGTCTTGAGGATGAGTTGACCGAAGTTGTCAACAACGAAGCCAAGCTCTTGGGACTGGTTAAAAGCCATGCAGAGAACGTTCAGGGGTGAGGCCAATGGAGATATCTATTGCTCCCCATGATATGTTGGACTCCCGAACGACGCATGGATTACATCATATGCGGTGATACCTTCTCATCTCTGACCTCATGCTGGGGCTCGACTACTCGAATGAAAATCAAATAATCACAACAATGATGGATGACCTGGGTGCCCCGAATCCTATGGCCAGCGCTGGAGTGACATTTTGAGAGCTATATTCAGCACAATTAATACGCGGAGCTGGTTTCAATGAAGCAACGGCAGCCCCAATCCTTTGGATGCGAGGTGGACAAGCTGGCCGCCGCTACCGTCTTGCCTTTTCAGTAAAAGCTCAAGGCAAGAAAGCTTCCCCATGAAATTCCTCTCTCAAACTATTATAGTTAACGTTGAATGTCTTTTGTGTGTTTTGGAAGTAAGAAAGTGAATCGACGAATAGAAGTTGAACCGAGAGACTAGGACTAGAAAACTCCCTGAAAGAGCCATGGAATCTTGATATCCTTTCCTGATGGCAGATGGGCTCGTCGCTGCCTCGTTGTAACGCCCATGGGTCCAACCTGAATCTCTCGACCCATTCGGGTGTACAAAAAGCACCACAGACATTATGTTAGAGTAGTTTTCAAACCCTCCGCAAAGCCTATCCATTTCGTTCCAATAGCATTACTTTCACGGACGGAAGAAGCCATACAATGCCAATCAATGGTTTGGTACGCCATTCATATATCGTAGCACTCAGCATCGATAGGACCTATCTTAGGACCATAAATATGAGAATTGACCTTCACGGTACAATTGACTACCAAGGTTGGAAATGGAGCATGGAGGGTGAAGTCCTTGGCGGAGCTTATCCCAAATAGGCAATTTTTATTGTCCAGATTAGGAAATTATATAAACAAGGCTATCTATCATCTAGAGGGCACCCACCGAGGTAATCCGCAGAGTTGGAACTGAGCCAAATGAGTCCCCAGAGTTCCAGTACTTGGTACGTCCAAAATTCCCCCTTTCAGCTTCTCTTGGGAATTGATGGTCTGTAGTAATCATTTCAAATACGCACCACAGGACTCCACTACTAATTAGTCCTGCCACTTCCTCCCTTCCTCATGCAATGATCCCAGCTTTTTGCCTTGATTAGAGTAGCACTCGGACGTGGATTCTGTTCTTGCTCCCTCTTGGTATCTGGTATCCTCAACCTCCACCTCACAAATCTCCTTGATCGATCTGGAATTGCACATCCACGTGCTCGAAAACAATATCATCATCCTCCTCCTCCTCCTCCTCCTCCTTGTCGTCGTCGCCGCCGGCTGCCATTAGAGCATCCATGACCTAGTGGGCCGCAGAGTCGCATATACTGCGTTTCAATTCATCTCTCAGCTACTACGCTGAGCCCTCGCTGCGATGACTGTGGAAACACAGATGGGGACGACGGCAGAACCTAGCTCGAACGATGGGTTCGATCGACAAATTGCTGCTGAAGGGCAGGGCATGAGCAAACGCTTTTCGTTATTGTCTCTTGGGGCTGTATCTTTCAGTATCACTTGCACGTGGGTTGGTGCCGGAGCCTCTGTTGGGATCGGCCTGACCCAAAGCTCTGCAGCAACGCTATGGTCTCTGCCAATCGCTGGGGTGATGACATTGGTCTTGTCTTTGGGAATGGCCGAGCTGTCCTCCGCGTATCCTCTCGCTGGGGCCGGATATTTGTGGTCATATTTAGTTGCTAGCGACGAATATAAGCCATTCGCCTCGTTCTTGTGAGTCTACCCTGTTCCTAAGCCTCCCCGAATCAAATATTGATCATCTCAATAGCAATGGATTCCTCAGCGTTATCGGATGGTGGCTTGCCGCGGGCTCTGTGGCGAACTTCATCTCCGTATTGATTATGGCAATCGTTGTGGGATGCCATCCGGCATTCGAGCCTCAGTCCTGGCAACAATACCTGATATTTGTATCCTTGCTCTGGCTCGCTGCAGCAGTTAACATCCTCGGCATCCGCTGGTTGCCTCAGTTCAACCAGCTGGTTTTCAGTCTCTCAGTCCTGACACTGTCAGCAACCACGATCGCACTCTTCGTATGTGGTAGACAAGACCATGCATCCACACACTTCTTATTTGCGAATTTTGATAACGGTCAAAGTGGTTGGTCAAACCACGGTTTTTCCTTCCTCCTGGCTGCGGTCAACTCCATCTATGGCTTTCTGGGGACCGATTGTGGTGCCCATCTCTGTGAGGAGATTGCGAATCCGGCGAAACATGTCCCCAGAGTTATTGTGTACCCATTGGTTATGGGGATTGCCACGGCATTCCCTTTCTTGTGCTCGCTGCTCTATTCGATCAAGGATCTTTCGGCTGTACTAAGTACTCCCACTGGTCTGCCATTGCTGGAAATATTCGTTCAAGCAACAGGATCGAAATCGGCCGCTGTATTACTTACCTCTGTCTTCACATTCTGCATGTTCGGGTGCTTGGTCGCCGTGGGTAAGTCTATCGCAAGCGATTCAGACTGGAGGAGGCTGACCTCGCGCCGAAACTACTTCTTCACGCATACAGTGGGCGATGTCTGGTGACGGGGCATTGCCCGGGTCTCATCTGTGGAGGAGGTTGCATCCCCGTTTCAACATGCCAGCCAATTCAATACTTCTCACAACAACATTTGTGTCGGTTAGTTTACTGCATCGTGTAGCTTAGTGATCGTGCGATGACGGCTAAATGTACGACAGCTGTACGGGTTGATATTCCTGGGTTCCACAACCGCGTTTGCTGCCATGGTAAGCGCCACGATCATGTTTCTCCAAACCTCTTGCGCCATGCCGCAGGCCATTCTACTCTTCCGAGGCCGGAACAGAATCTTGCCCAACCGCTTCTTCCAGCTTGGCATTTTTGGCCCAGTTGTAAACGCAATAGCGGTCGCCTGGGTGGTTCTCATCGATATTCTGGCATGCTTTCCAATCATCCGGCCAGTAGACCCTCAGAACATGAATTACATGTCAGTAGTCAGTGCAGGATTAGTCTCGATGGTCCTGGTATTCTGGTTTACTACTAAAAGGAGGAAATTTAGAGGGCCTGATGTGGACTTTGAGTTGATGAACGCGAGACGACAAGCCGCGGTTCACGCAAATGTGACGGATACAATCTTCGGAAGTTCTGACCAGGGCGAAACCAAGATGTGAAGATGGGAATAGTTTCGCACAGGCCACGCAGAGATGGATATTATAGAGAGAAACTGGAATGATGAAGAAAACAATGTGAACAGACGATACCTTCCGTGCAGTGTCCATCGAGGAATTCGACGACATAGAAATGCGGGGTTAGTAGTGGATCTAAGCCATTAAGAGAGCCGAGCGACCCCGGGGGACGAAGGAGACCGAACGCCGAGAACGCAGATAGTTAGGGGAGATTCTCTCGCGCGGCCCTCTTCTTTACATATTGATAACTCTCTCGCCCTTATCTCGCACAATCTCGGCTGGTTTGCTGTACATTGAGTTACTTTCCCGCCACACGTCGAAGACCCTTAAAACCTTAGCCCAGTGATTTCTTATCACTTTCCTTGGGTTGGTTCTTGTCGCACCTCCCTCCTCGATGCTGGAATGCTTCAAACTCTCCCCAGACCCAGCAGCCCGTGGAACCACTCTATCTAGCTAGTTAGTAATGCTTGTGGGGGTCTCAAAGCGACAGGAACTGCTGGACTGCTTGAACTGCACCGCATCGCAGCGTGTCTGTGATAGGACGCGATACCGGTGTAGCACATGTTCTCAGTACTCAGATATCTGTCAGGGGTACCCAAGACGGCTTCGATGGCTTCCTGGAGTTACCTCGCGAGGGAAGTACAAAAACAGGTCCCTCAGCATCCAGTCGTCTAATCCACAGTGGCAGCCTGTAGACAATGGTTGCCGCTCTTTTAGATTCAAGCCTAGGAAGACACAGACAGGTCGCAGACCGGTTCCATCGAAATCCACGGCACAACATGCTCCTGAAAACGGTGCACAGCCATTTGAAGCTGATGGACGGAGATCTCAGTCACAAGACCAAGAGCATATAGGTGAATTTGAATCACCCTCGGAACTCGTCGTCGAGCCTTATCTAAGTCTTGAAGCGTCGCTCGCGGACACCGCCAATGACTTTGACGCAGGTCTTGAAACCATCTTGGATAGTTGTGTTGCATACTTCAGCACCGGAAATGACAATGATCCACATGATCTGCCATCGGTCTCAGGGAGCATTGCACGGCAACAACAAGAAGGCGAAGGCGACAACGATAATGACGATGATTATGACGAAAGTGTATCAGCCTCGACGAAAGACATCGTGTCAACTAGCTCCCTTGGACAGTCCTTGCTCTTAGCTCTGGAGCCTGCAGAGTTACTTGTATTTTGTACGTATCTATTTATTCCGCGCACTTTGGTGGCATTTCAGGCTGACCTCTTCGAGATGATTCGGAGCTTTGCACTCTCCCTTTCACGCATGATTTCCCCGAGAATCCACTCCGGTGCCTACGAAGCGTTTCGGCAGAGCCGAAGCACTTACTGCACGCCATGCTTGCGTTCTCTTTGGAGCATGTGAGCCGACTCAGCGACAAACTGCCTGGACCTTCGTTGACCGACCAAATAACCATCTACAAGCACTCAGCAGCAGAATGCTATGCGATAACTTCGTCAGCTGCCTCAACCGCCGCCAAAAGGCATTTGCTTGATACTATCTTTATTCTCTTTGCTTTGGATGTATGCCTACCCAGTGCAACTCCTCGGCTACTCATGAGCACTATAGTCCCACTAGTGTAACTTCGTGGCTAACCTAATAGGCTTTCCTATCAGCTTCTGGGCCGTGGGGTGCGCGCCTAGCGAATGCCTACCATAAAATCGAGTCCATGGGGGGTATAAGTCTCACAGCGGCTTCGCCTAGGGCCCGAGCACAGTTGATGATGTTTGTTTGGTTAGTATATCTATCTGCCAGTCCTCCCTGAACTTAGGGCTCTGATCAATTATTTCTAGGTGGGATTGTAGTATCGCACTCGTTGCGCGTTCGAACCCCGTATTTTCATCGTTCTATTACGACTTTGCGCTTGAAGAACATAACGGCGCGACATATGACATTTTCACAATAAGTGGTGTACCAAAAGACCTGTTCCGCTACTGCAGAGAGTTGACTCAGATCGCCAGCGAGAAGAGACAGATATCCAAGTTCAAATACGCCGTGTTTGACATGAGCCGAGTACTGGAGCTCGAAAAAAGTATTCGAGAGTATCCAGGAGGAGGTTTAGCACCGCAAGGAGAGGATGGCGCCGAAGAACTGATTGAATGCTGGCACGACTATTACAACGCCGCGAACGCCTGGAAGTACGCTCTACTGCTCTACATCTCCAGGGTTTTTAAATGGGATCCCACCAGCCAAATCCGTCTCTCTGAATTCACGTCACTTTCGAGGCTGGTTTTGGACAGCGTACGGTGCTGCAGACCCGACTCTCCAATGAGAAAACAATTACTCTTCCCGGTTTTTGTGGCCGGTTCCGAATCGCTAGACTCTTACTCAAGGTCCTTCGTTCAGGAATTTTGTGACACATGGTGCAAAACTATTAGATACTCATTGTTTCCCGATGCATATTCAGTTTTGCAGGAAATTTGGGCACAAAGAGATCTAAATGCCAGCGACCCAACTGTGTGGTGGGGAAGTGTGATAGACAGCAAACAGTTGGATGGCTGTGGATTTTTGTTCGGCTGATTCATGGGCGCCACATCTGTATCTGATTGTTTAAGGTAAGGAACTCCTCGAGATCAGCTACGCATCATGTCAAGGAGTAAATACACACGCTCTTGCAGCACTATGAGACCTTGCGAAACATCCATTGCCTTTCACAACCTAGATTGCAGTCCGGCCATGCCCGCGTCCTCAGCAATAAGTTCCGCAGCTCGTTCGCCGACAGCCAGTACTGTCAACATCAGATTGATAGTTACCATTGTGGGGAAGACACTCGCGTCAGCAACACGCAGATTCCTCACACCACGCACCCTGAGCTGGGGATCGACCACGGCCAGGGGGTCATTCTCGATGTCGCCCATCTTCGCTGTACATGCCGGATGGTACATAGTATGTGAGACAGAGCGGGCGTACTGGTCAAGGTCTTCGTCCGACACAATATTCGGCCCTGGTGCAACCTCCTCCTTGATCCAGCTCTTGAATGGCTCCGTCTGGGCTATCCTCCTCGCCGTCTTGATACCTGCTACAAGCAACTCTCCGTCATAATCTGTGTTTTCGAAATATCTGAAGTCGATGGCCGGTGGCTCTTGGGGATCATTAGAAATTAGGTATACCCGTCCTTTTGACTCGGGCCGTAGTATGATAGGCAACATACAGAACGGGTTCTCCGGCACAGGGTATCCCATGCGACTAGTTTCCGAGCAGAACTCTAGAGCCCATACATGCATGAGGGTATCTGGGATCCTTCCGTCATTACCAGCATAGTTTTCAGGCTTGTGACGGAACAGTCCGATCACGTCCGAATGTGTTGCGGTTGTTAATGGAACTGGTTTGTGGAGATTGAAGACCACCGTTGAGCAAGGGTGGTCTTGTAGGTTTTCGCCAACGCCGGGGATGTCCTTCACCACTGGTATCTTGATGGACTCCAGTTGCTTGCGAGGCCCGAGGCCGGACAGTAGCATGAGTCTAGGGGTATCAAATGCTCCAGCACATAGAATTATTTCTGCACCCGCTTGTACAACTGTTCTTGACCCACCTTGACACTCAACGTCAACGCTTACAGCAACGCCGTTTTGAACGTTCACCCGATTGACCCAAGCATTAGTCAAAATAGTCAAATTCGGCCGTTTCTCCTCTCCCCGCAGGATGGGGTGAATGTAGGCTACGCTCGCGCTTGCTCGATGGCCGTTATCTGGGTTGTATGAAAGCGGAGTCCAACCAGCACCAGCAGCCAGTCCCTTTGGTGAAGAGATGGCATCATTGAAGCTTGGAATGAAGGGTAGCCCTGTGGATTTCTGAGCCGAGGTGAGCCAATCTCTACTTAGATCATTACGATCGCGAGGGTGTGCGGCAGGATATGTTTGAAGTCGGAGTTTGTCCTGCAAGCGTGTAAAAGTCTCAAACGACCAGCCTTTACAGCCTAAGCGCTCCCAAGTAACAGCGTCGTATTTCGGAGTCCGAAGTGAAACCATATCATTATGGCTTGAGCATCCGCCGAGGACCTTAGCTCTAGCGTGTATGATGTGGCTATTCCCTATGTACCAAATTGGTGCCAGCGACAACGATTCAGCTAGTGTTCTCACCTCTTGGTTGCTCAACGGAGTTATATCTATATTCCAAGTCTGTACCTTGCATCTCGACTCGTTGTTTGAGGATAAGAGCACGCTTGTCGTTGAGATCACTTGGACCCGCTTCGATCATAAGGACTCGGTGGTCAGGCAGGTATTCTGACAGCCGACTCGCAATTACACAGCCCGCTGTCCCTCCCCCGACAATAATGTAGTCAAACTTGACAGCATTGTTGGAGGATAGACTGTTGATGATCGTCATTGTATGGCAAGGGCCAAGATCGGAATTGTGTTGTCTGATCTGGGCGGTGCAGGATGCTGCGATGCTGAAGAGACGGATTTGAAACCTGACAGCACCAAGAGTTATGTATAATATAGGCGGATGAAGAGTTTTACATCCTCTAGGCCGAACCCTAACCGTTAAGACCCTCAATCAGACTCAGACCACGATGCAGCTCCCATGGCCGTTGTCACTCTTGCGCCTACAAAGCGTGGAATCCTCGCCGCAGTTCACAGCCACATTGGGAAATACCAGGCCACCAGTGCGACGTTTCCGAGATATGGCAAAGAATACGACCTGCTAAGGCTTCGTCCCTGGCCAAGTGATCCCACAGTCAAAAGAGCAGTTCAAGGAGTTTCCCAGAGGAGGCAAGTCGATAAAAGCGGGCCCTGAGATATGTGAAATTCCCTGTTTAGGCAGGTCGGCAAACGTCAACAAGGTACAGTTAGCTGAATACCGAACATGAATCAATCTTTTATCCCAATCCTGCATTTGGTCGTTTACTCCTATTTGGGGTTCGCCAGTGACACTACGCTGAGCCTCGCCTTCCACGCTGGGATTTTTCCTTGCCACTTCTATTCAAGTACCATGCAACCAGGCTCAATGATCCCCCAGTTTGCCGCCTTAAGTGTCGCCTCGATTCTCTCAGGGCTTCGAGTAGCTTTCTCACCGCTTCTATGCTCGAAAGCCTGAGGCCTTGAGTCTGCAACGGATATAGCACCTGAGGGCTACCACAACCGTACACCCCTCTTTTGTTTAAGCTGAGTGGACTTCTATTCGCCTCGGCGTTTTGGCCAACGACGCAGACTCATCGTCTTGCATCACCTTTGCTAAGTAGAGTTTCAGGACCCTCATGTCCTTCAACCGTTTGGGACCCTGTCACTTTTTAATTTGCTTGTGTCTCTTCGAAGAGATGGCTTGCAGATCTGGGAGTCAAATGCTCGAAACGAGAGCTCCCGGCGTTGGTAGCCGTCAATAACGAAGGAAGAGCTTGCTCGGGAGGGTTCCTTGTGCCGAGGCAGCCTAGCTACCTCAGCTTCAACGAAATCAGAAACTCTTAGCCCCATCATTCGAACCTCGCAAGCTCTCGATTCGTGTTTAAACACCTGTTGTAGCAACGCCTAAGAAGATAACAAGTAGGTATGTGTACTACTGGAAGTCGTCAATTCTGGGGTGATACGATCAAGGTGGCAGCCGGTGCGTTTCTGTCGCGAAGGGCCAGAGAACTCGAGCCTCATCTCTGTTTATCATGATTACGATAGCTCTGTTGCTGCGCAAAACCAAAAGGGCAACTGTTAGCCCAAGAATAGCACCAAATTCAGCATCTTGAGGAATAGAATCGCTTCGGTAACCTCCTACACAGCCTGTAAGACTTCCTCGCAATTTTGAAGCTGGACTTCAACTTCTTGATTCGATCCTTTAGGAACAAAGTCACTGCGATGAGGAAGGCTGAAGAGCATGTGAACAAGTTGATCGTATTCAAGCTGTTCGTGAAATGGATAGCCCACAAATGTGGTCACGTCTTGCATATACACCGAGGTCAGAAAGAAGTCCAGCACTGGAGCACTGCGCATTGCTTCCGTGCATCACTTGCAAGCCTAGTCCAAGCTTTGCGACTTTGCATAGTCCCTACAAGACGTTGGTTTGAGTAAGGGATTTCGGGCATCGATGGGGTTAAAGAGGGTAAGATAAATGAAGACTCTCTGTGGTTCACAACAACAACTGCACAGTATGGTTGTTAACAAGGAGTAACGGCAAGGCTGAAACACATGCCGACCAAGCGATCATACTTGCTTCAACACAACAAAAGGAGGATTTTCTGAATTCAAACCGGCCGTTATCATTGTCAACTCTTATTAGGGAGCGGGCCTGGATCTTATGCAATTGCGAGGAGGCGAAACTTTCATCGAACTGGGAACATACGGCCCCGAAATCGGTTGCGGCCGTATCATGTTCGCGTCCAGGGCATGTGTCGTGTATCATCCGTCGCCAATCGTCATGAATACTTCCATACGCGTCGGCAAGATGCTTAATCGTACTATCATGATTTGGTGTCCAGGTGTCTTGACAATGGTGTAGTCAAAGACTCTTGCAACATGCTCTTAATGCATCATCGAACGTGCTTGTGAGAAGCTAGTCACGGATCAATAGTGGCGGTAGTGTGCATAGACGGAATATTGTAGATTCAAATATATCCATAGGATTCTCTACATACTCCGTACTACTCTCAATCGCTACTCAAGGCAGAAGTAGCTATCCGTGGGGCGCCTGGCTCCAATTTCAACGGACGGCAAAACCAAGATTATGGCTAGAGGTCCAACGAAAAGTCAGAAACTTTTAGACCAGGTGATACAAGAACGCGAGGAGGCCACAAGGTACTACATCCTGTACCTCTTAAGGAAATGATTTATTCGCCAGGATGTGGAAAACGCCCCGTTTATGCTGTTCAGAAGGTCGTGTTTTTGGGCGGCATGCATTCGAATTGCAGCCTCTTGTAGGATGATTTGGGCGGAATGAGAGTTCGTGAATGGCTCGAGATTGTACAATAGCTGGAAGCGCAATGTTTCTCCAGTGATAGATCATGGCCAAATACGAAGACGTCCTTACTGAGTTTATTAAGGAGTCCGATGCAAGGTCGGGCGCACCCGATCGCTCAAACCCACCCTCGATACTTATCTGCATCGAACGCCCCAATTAGATGAGGATCAACCTCGTGAGAAGGCTTACTAGTAGTCCACAGGTGCTTAATTCCACGTTGGTAGTCTTGCTCGTCACCGCGCATGCACTCCCAGCTCGGCCATGCACTGTGGGCCCGGCATTCCACTCCAGCGTTGTGAGCACGTCCACACTAGTTATTGCAATTCAAGAATCTATTAGGTGGACGTCGACACTGGAGACGTCAAAATGTGACGATTTCCCGAAAAGTGAAAAGTCGGTTTCAGCTCAAGGGTATCGGACAAGTTAAAGGATGTTTTCTGCCGATACAACAATGCACCTAATCTGGTGAGGCCGGGAATGTCTCAGTACAGAATGCCAACAGAAGGGCGAGTTAGCACGGCCGAAAGCTACATAGGCCGAGTATTATATAGGTCTAGTTTCCGGCGCTGGTTGCCTTAGCATCTTTCTATGACATTCCTAGCAACTAACACAATGGTTTGTGTGATGTATCTACCGCTTGGCTTCCCGCAGGTGCAGCTATTGCCTCGTCACTTTCAGTATGCACTCTTGTAAAGGGGCTCAATGAAGGAGAATGAGAGGCATATGAGGACAGGACTGCGGTACATGACAACCGCCCTAACATGTATAGCATGACGCCCTTGCAAATATTGGCCCTCGAAATTGGAGAAGAACAATCAGACTCCTGATACCCTCTTGTTCCACAGCTTGCATGAAGTCATCGACGTCCGCCCAACATGGCAAATCTGCCACTCTCTGATCACATTGCTCGTTTGGGTGTTTTTGTGGTGCTGGGTTTGCACGTTCTGCGGCCTGGCAATCCTTGATCCCCTTCAGAGACCAATGACTCAATATATCGAAGTTCTGTCCTCAGGCCTTCCCAGTATCGCTAATTGAGTCGTAAATACGCACTCTTGTTCCGTTCTTCCCTTAAGTAAGGTCTTGGCCCAATTCACGGGGGACATCCAGATCAGTCGGCGTCTTTGATTGCTAGGTTTTTGTAATTGTAGGCATCCCAAGCCTCTCCACTTTAGGTGCATATTCCCAGTTCACACTCCCTTTCCTAGGGGAATGGGGCAGTCTATTGAGGGAACTGGTATGATGCTGATAAAGCCCTGTATTGGCCGCGTTCTCGTTTTATTCGAACCCCTCCCGTAATAAAGGCTAGAACCTGGTTCGCCAGTTACCTGAACCTTGAGAACTTGTCTCGTTCTCAAGTGGAGGAAAAGGTCAAGGGTGGCGTGCTCACCGCTTAGCACCAATGGAGCATCAAGAGAGCATCAGCTCCACAGAGCTCTGTGTCTTCCTATAGGCTATGAGTGAACAGAATCCGCGCTACTCACTCTGGGCTCGAAGATCGTGGTGCTAGTTAGTACTAGTTTAGTTTTTATTCAACTCTCATCGGCGCAGGAAACGGGACAGGGGGTTTACTGCAATGTTTCTGGTTCATGGTATTACAGGCTCAGCCACAGCATAATATGCCTCTGTGCGGAAAATTCCCCTCTACTCAATGCTTTGAGTCTTGACGACAGCATGCATGTCGCTCTGGGAAAGCCGTCCTTCAGAGCCTCAGTGTGACGACTCACAAGCACCGGAGGAAGCTCAGCTGGTAGTCTTTGCTCATTGGACAAAATGCCACTGGCTTGAGAATTTGCCGCTGATGCCTGGGGGAATACATTGTACCACGCGATTAAGTCCAGAGCGTTGAGCACTGCAGGTTGACTTGTGATCGACTGGATTCCCGAGGTTCGCTGGTATCCCTTGCTACCCACACCCATGTCTAAACTTAAATACGCGGTTTTACATACGTGGTACTGCCCTGTTATTCCAAGCTCGCGTGCCGGTTCCATCACAATACTAGTACACAAATACTGTAGGACTTACGCCAACGAATTTTGGACGTCTTGACCAACGTCAAGCTGAGCTGTTCAGTGGGTTCGAGCCACACTGCTGTTTCGAAGTACTGGTTATTGGAACAGGAAGAGATACCGTGAATTCGAAGACGAGGGTTTGGCCTTGGGCTGCCTTGAACAAGGTTCATTCCCTTGAGCCTGCGATCTTGTAGTGGAACATGGTACATCCAAGACCCACCAAGATCTGAACTGTGGGCGTAGCCGGCTAGCAGCGGCTGGCCCCGATTACTTCGCCTGGCCTTGAACCACGTACTGGCGGAAAGGATACCCGATTGCGTCAGAGGACAGAGAATCTCCCCACGCGGCATAATGTTTGGCAGTGCTTTGGCTTGAACCATGGAGACACGTCGTGAAGAGTCCTTTCACACAGTGTACGTGCTCCACATAATGGTATTCTGCACCGAGCTTCGAGGTTCCGGCTTTTTCTGCTCCTACTCGTAGTAGTTTGTAGACATCGAGGCCCACATGTTTAGATTTCGATCTTTGTCCTCTCGAAATGGTCGGGTACGCCACAACCAATCAGCGGAATGTATGGACCCCTGCGTTTTTTGTAAGTGGGTTGCAAGGATTGCGTCAGTACGGGGCAACCAAACGCGCGGGGCTAGTGATATCAACGCGTCCATCCCCTCTGGAAATTGGTCGTTCACCTTTCCGTTCTGAATCTCGCACCATCACACCGTCACAACCGTCAGGTCCTCTCTTTCCCCACAGTGCGTTGCAAAGTCTGTGCGGTGGGTGAAAGAACTTGTGACTGAAGTAGTAATAAAAAACGCTGCTTTACTTTGGGGGGCAACTGCTTGGTATCGGATACAACGGCAGCCTTGCCAACATCATTCTAGATCCAACGAGACTGTGTCCAGGACAAAGCAATAAAGGATCTTGAAGCATGATCAAAGGGGGATGTGCTTGTGGGCGGATCCAGTACCGAGTCGCCGCAGGAAAACCACTGGCAGTCAACGCGTGCCATTGTGGAGCCTGTCAGAGAGTATCTGGAGGGCCATTCCTAGGTTTCGCCGATTATGACTCGGTCAGTGTTTCGTGGACACAGCCTCCCGATATTTGGGCCTCAAGTGAGTTTGCAGAGCGCGGATATTGCAAAATCTGTGGCTCTGCCATCTCGATGATGTACCTGTTCGAGAGGGAGAGGATCGGGTTGACGCTAGGGACAATTAAAGAAGCAGACCCCCCGATTCCTGGCATCACGTATCATATCTTCTTGTCGGAGAAGGCACCCTGGTTTGTTGTTCCCGAGGATGGCGCAACGAGGCAAGCTGGATTCGGGGATGAGTTCCAAGCCAAGGTCGACAAGTGGAAGATGGAGCAGGGAACAAACAATGCCTGCAGATCGAAACTTTGAGACGAGACCATGCATTGCTCTGCTGAAAGTGTAAACCGCCATCCGTTGTTTCGATGACTTGGTGGTACATACTCGCTATTCGGTTTGCCCGTTGCAGTCAGGCTCAAGGCGACAGCAATGCACCCAAATATTGAGTTCTGAAGCAAGAAATGGAATTCACAAGTATCCACTGTTTAGGAATAGAACGAAATGAAAACGAAGCAGTCCGGTGCAACCAGTGAATGCTGCCCTTTGTAGGCGCGACTTCGGACCATTGTGTGTTTTCTTCACTATCGACCAGGGGTGCCGGACGAGCGAAAGCACTAGCAGCCACGGATCCTACTCAGTGTCTGGTACAAACCCTCTTCTATAGAAGTTGAGGCTAGAAGACTGTGCCTACTCACTCGTTTTGATCAGAGGAACTTGACGATTGGAGGAGGGACCGTACAATAGTACAGGGTAAGTGCCCTCCACTCGCACCTTCCACGGTTGTCTGCTGCTGGGAGAGGAAGTCACAGGTCCTCACTGGAAGAGAAGGAAGAGAAGGAGGAAGGCACGACCTGAGGTCCTCACCAGTCCATCTCTTCTTCCATCTCCCCCTCCACCTCTTGTCCTCCTTCACATTTCACAGGATATAAAAGCCCTTCACTTCCCAGCTCGTTCACCAACTTGATCGCATCCATCCCTTCACATCTCTTTACAATACACCCTTTCTACATCACACCTCTTCCCATTACATCCATTTTCCCATAGCCAGCGCTGCCATCAGCGCTGCTACATCGCCCTTTACAAACTTAATACTAATTACAATACATTGTAAGTCTTCCCCGCCTTGTACCCACACTAAAAGCTCACAAGCCTCTGTTGGGGTCAGTAGTCGTTTCAATCCAACTCAGCCTGGTTTGTGGTGTCCATCAAGATACTCACCAACCAGAGCCTGTCGCTCTACACCTTCGTTTTCCCCATCAATTCAGTGCTACTCTTGTTTAGAGTCCTCTTCAACAGGCCTCCCCAGTTTACAACGACTCTAGTTTTGTAATCAGCCTCGACACCTCCGCCCCTACACTGGTGTCTCATCTCGCTCTCCCATTACTACATCAACATGCCGGAATCATCAGATCCTCCTTCTCGTCCTTCTGGCGCCGGCTTGAACAGACAAGGCGAGTCTCGCTCTGCTTCTGCGCCTGTTCCTGGTCGAAAGCCGCCCAAAGGTCCACGCGCACAAGGCCGCTTCCCAACTGGTACCAAACATCGCGCTCGCCTCAACTCATCCACAAATATCAAGAGCTCTTCTCACAAGGTATCATCGGACCCTCGTAACGTTAAGCACTTGACTTGCTATTATTGGAAGACAGGCTCTTGCAGCAAATCCCCTGAAGAATGTGCATATGCGCACCACGACACTGGAATGTACACCGACAAACCTCTCACACTATTCCCAGGCGGGCCTGCAATGGCGGGTAGAAACCTCATTCGGGCCCAGCAGACATTGCGTCTTCAGTCCAGCGATAGTACCTCCACCACAACAGTTACGCCTCGCTCCCAGTCCCAGCCAGAAGCTCCAGTCACCACTATATCCAACGACGACCTCCATTTTGCCAAAGTGCAGACACGTCTTGCTGAGAAGCAAGCTTTGGAAAAAGCTCTCGCCGCTAGTCTCGATCAACACGCTGCCTTACAGAAGCGCAGTCAGCAACTGGAATTGGAACGGGACCAATACCATGAAGAAGTTTACTCCCTTCGCACCGTTCGACAACAGAATACCTTTCTTCAAAATCAAATCAATCTCTTCCTGACCAAACAAGATATCAACGACAACTGGTTGAACCCGCGTCCCTTCGGTCTCTCAAGTCCATGGGGAGCAATTGGAAGTGAGAGAAACAGTCGAGCCAGCACTGGTGTTAGTAATAGCCCCAGCACGGGTCTTAGAACCATTCCCACCGTCACCACACAATCTTCTCCAGAACCGCAACCTTCTGATGGGAAGCCATGCTTTTACCCTGAACCAACTGGAGCAGAGACGGGAGCAGCATGGACGACTCGGAGGGAGGAAGCAGGAAGGAAGTATCTCACTAAAAGCTGCAAAATGCTCGCCATGGCCGATGAGGATGAGTTCCTTCCAAATTACCTTCGGGATAGGAGAGATAGCTAGAGCAGGTTGGTCTCCACGGAACATTCCAGTGTCAATTGGCGACTTGATAAGTTGATTGGGTAATGAGAGAAATTGGGCATGTACTGTAGGACTAAGTATCGACTTAACATGTTGGGGCTGAGACTTTGACATGCGAACTTTCCAATTTTGTTCCGCTTCCATTTCTAGAGAGGAATTATCAATGTGAATCCTACGCGATACGTGACGAATGTTCTAACTAGGTAGGAGTTGTGACTAGTAGGAACCCCCACTTTGAGTGGGTTGCGATCAAGAGCATCTCGGGCCCAATCCCCATCTAGGCGCAGCATCCCGCCCTTAACATCAAAAACGGGAGGACAAGAGAGAGAAGGTATTCCTTCTCTGCGCCATGTCTCCTCTGTTCCCACCACGAGCTTTACCTCCCTCAACCTCGCTGTACGTACAGCACGGCTGAGCCAGCCCGCCACCACTCAGTAGAAGGTTAGAAAGTGCTCTGAGCCAAACGGCTCGCAGCGTTCCTAGCATCGACGCGGTCGTCGTCCTCGTTGGCCGTTTCCTTGACGCTAGTAAGGCTGGCCGAGCCGGTGCCCGAGCGCGGCCGCCCTCCCTCAGTGGCGCCGTTACCGCCGTCTGCGTCCTGTGATGCCCCACCAGGCGCAGCAGCGTAGATGCCGCCCTCGTCGCGTTCCGGGATCCCGCTGGCGCCGAACGTGCCACTGATGGAGCGATTAAGAGCTTCGCGCGAGCGCGGCACGCCAGACCACGCGTCTCCTTTGGCCCCCTGACTGCTGGCAAGGCTGACACGGCGGATCGGTGGATGGTTCTCCCGTCCCAGGCGGCTGAGACCACCGCTGGCGTCGATGGCCCGAATATCGGGCCTCACGGACTCCAGGGTTGCGAGAGCGCGCCGTTCGCTCTCAATCTGTCGTACGACGTACTCGCGGAGCGAGAAGAGAAATTCCTCGCTCGTGCGGTCGAACCAGCGCCGTTTTTCGAGAAGTAGGTTCGCGGTGACGCGCTGTGTCTTGGCGCGGAGGTAGTTTTCCTGGCTGGTGGCTTCATCGAGGGCGGAGATTGCTTCATCGACTTTCTCGCGGCGCACACTGCTGCTGGCCTTCAAGCGGTGTACCGCAGTTTCTTTGGTCCGCCGGCTTGCCTCCGCCTGCAGGAGCTCCCGGAGTAAGATGTGACGATTCGTCAGGGTTTCCTTGACGATGAAAGCATCGTTGGAATGATAGGAGAGTGAATCTCCGAGGGTGGTGGCTTCGGCTGTGCCTTGAGCAGCGTGGTAATCCCCTGTGGTTTGGATGATGCGGCCTAGTTTGCGATAGGCGACCGACAAGCCAGGGTGGGTTTCTTGAACATGCATTTGGCCAAGTTTCTCGCCCAGGGATGATTCAGCGAGTCCAAGGGCTAAAAAAATGTAATGTTAGCATTATGACTGCATATGGAATGCAAGGGAGGGACTGTACCTCTTCTCGCTTTGACAACTTTTTCCAACTTTTGGCCAGTATCAAGCGAGCCTAGGTAGAACATTTTAGCCACAGGTCGAGCTTCGTGCAGCTCAGGCGTATCGTCGGGAGGTGGTGCGAATTGCTTCAGGACTTTGCGCCTCACTCCGGTTGCAGGCTGCTTCATCCTAACCACAGGGGAGTAGCCAAAATCGCTTTCGACGAAGAAGACCATTTCTTCGTCTCGCATGAGCACGTCATTGCTGCAAACAACATTAAGCCATCTCTGAATGGAATTCTTCACACGAGCCTCGTCCTCGTCAGTGCCCGCACCGGCGGACGTGAGGCTAGGAGGCACCGCGGGAACTAGCGCCTCCGGATTGGATGAGATGAGATGATCTGCCAGTTTGATGAACTCGGTATGAGTTCGACGGACATCCCGGAACTGAGTTGTTCGAAACTTGGGTAAATTCGTCTGATGAAAGCGTCAGTTATGTTTTTTCTACCAATTCATTCAAGCCAATCATACATGTACATCAAATCTGATGACAGGGTCTTTGCGCCCGGTTCGTTCCAAGGCTGTCACCTTGGCTTGTAATTTATACTGTGCAACGGGCCTGTGCTGTTTAGTGCTATGATATCTTGCTGCATTTGGTCGCTGTTGATACTGTTGCTGTTGTTGGCCAACAGCTGGAGCCTGGTTGTCTTGGTGATTTGACTGGCCGTACTGAACAGAATCCGGTTGGTAAGCCGCCTGCTGAGAAACGCTAGGATCAATCAATGTAGTAGACTCGCTGATCTCGCTGGGCGCTGGAGGAGGGTATGGGCTTTCTGGGACGCTATCTTGTGATTGGGAATAGGAATGGCCTCGAATTGGAGCGGGTGAGTCGGGAGGGTCGGAGGGGCTTGGGAAAGATCGGTCTGCTCGAGGAGAAGAAGAACCCCAGGGAGATGCGCCGTGAAGAGCGTCGGAATCGCTCGAGACAGCAGAATAGTCCATGGCGTAGATGAAGCCGCAACGGTCACTTGTGCTGTGAGTGGTATTCAATCGGATGTTTGGCTTATGCGCAAAAGTCGGACATTCTGAGAGCCTTCTGGGTTGGGCGAGAAGAATCTGGCTGTGCGCAGTGGGCCCAGTAAGTGCGTAGGCTAGGCTGAAAAGTAGAAGAAGATCTGTTGTTGCTAGCTGTGGGAGACTAATTCAACTCCTTGTTACTGATGTTGACGCCGGTGGTGGAGGGAACCCGCAGGGAATGGAGAGAGAGTGTGTAAAAAAGCGGAGTGCTCCACCGTACAGCGCTCGACGTACAGTATACAGAGAAGTATGAACCTTGTAAGTGCACTAATTACTATCTGGCGGATCACGTTTCGCCCAGCTCGTACCACGTTGAGAAGGAGGAACCACCAATCTACGCAAACATCTTTTCCTCGGGCTCATAGAGTAGCGGTGCACAGAAATTAAGCCCAACTCATTCAAGGCACTCAATCATGATCCTTCTGCCGTATGACATGATTCCAAGGGCATCTCCCAAAGTACATGAAGACCCCGTTTGTCAAGGATGTGACATTCTCATTGCGGCTACAGCATAATGAGCGCTATCTTGTAGACTACAAAGCAGGCCCAACGACCCCACTTGACAGGCTCTGCAGTGCTCTCAACAACGCTTCCTCGTTGGCTGCGTCTCTTCTAGCAATCCCTCTACCTGTGCCATTTCCATTCAGCGGCTGTAGAACACTGGCCACCGTCACATTCGAGAAGAGCGGAACGCTTGCCTCGCAGATCGTGCCATTACTAGGCAAGGTCCCGTTGGTGAAATACGCACGTACAGCTCGTGCGGTGCAGAGTGACGGTTGACCAAGAGATGTGTGCTGCAGTCAGGTTAGTATTGTATCCAGGCTTCAAGGCATTTTGCCTTGCACTGAAAACAAGCAGAACAACAGGGACGTGTGGAAAACTTACCCCATAACCCCGATGCTCGAGCACTACACTTCCAGGAAATGACTCGCTCACATTCCGTGCTGAGACGAGGGGCGTGACCGGATCATAGGTGTTGCCAATTACCAGGACAGGATGATTAGTTCGAATACCCCAGTTGCCTCGATATATCTCTTTTGCGGTGACTAACCACTGCGAACACTGGATGTTGTTGCTGGCGCCGAAGTCAAGGCCTCCCCACTTGCTGACATTGGCTACTTCTTCGAGAAGGGGGGCCAAACTGGAAAAGTTGTGAGTACGGAAAGCGGACTCGCCGCATCGGATCCCGAATAGCGCGAGAGGTGTTGGGTCGGACTGGTCTCCAGATCCACCCCCAATAGCATTCCACTGGTTTGGGTCTTTGTCTATGAGACCTTGCAGGGCACCTGCAAGCAGGGGCCAGTTCTTGGGAGCATAGAAGAGCGAGAACATGCGAGTCTTCACACTGTCGTAGGTGATGAGTTCGCTCGAGTGATCCGAGATCATGACCATCGGTTCATACTTCAGAGACTCAAGCAGCTTTTCGACTTTCATCGAAATCGACTCTAGTGTCGCATTTTCCGAGGCCAAGGCGCACGTCGATGGTGACTTGATGCACCCACTGTAAAATCCCTCGACCACGGCATCAAGATCGGTGAGTGATTGTGGTTCCCTGCCAGGTCAGCTTCCTCTTCGTCAACTATCAGGGGCAGCACTCACCAGCCAGCATAATATTCCTTCGCATTTGCGACGCCATCGAGGACGACTCGGTCCATCTTCTCTGGAAACATGGTTGCAACTGTTGCTCCGAGGAGTGTACCGTATGAAAACCCCCAGTATTTCAGGAGCCCATCTTCACCAAGAGCATCGACAATCCGGATGATATCACGAGCAACATATGCAGTACCAAGCAAAGCCGAAGTTTGATTGTTCGTCCGCTGGCACTGCAACGCTACTTCCGTCCCAATGGCATAGCTCTGCCCCAAAGCAACGTCGGAAGAATTTCCAAGAGCACTGTTTGGAGCTTGTTCAGTGTCGTCGTAACAGGAGAATGGGAGTGTGAAGTTAACACCGCTTTCAAAGTGTCAGCTTCGCTGTACAATGATTGGTTGGACAGCTCTTACCGGGGATCGAAGCTGATGAAATTGAAATGCTCCCCAAGGATGCTTTCCATGTCAGTCTCCTTATAATGGAAGGAATGAAGTGCTTCGCCTACGTGTAAAGCTCTTCCGCTCTATCAATCATGAAGCCCAGACCACTACCCCCCGGGCCTCCAGGATTCATAATGATACTCCCGATGACGGGTTGCTTTTTTGCACTGACCTTGACTAGTGTCAAAGATAGGGTATCGTTCGAGCTAGTATCGGCGTAGTCCAGTGGCACGTCGAAATCTGCGCATTGCAGTGGAGTTGAGCTATTCGCTGCCAGCAAGGTACAGTTTGTCGACCAGACGATTGAATGATCGCCGACATCCGGCCGTTGACCATCATCGTGAGACTGAGCTTGAGCCGATGAGGCAAGAAGAAAAATAGCTGACAGGCAGCAAACGAAACTGTACTGCATCGTGATTGGTCCCGGTTTGGTTTGAGGGAGATACGAGATATGTGCAAGCATCATGAATATATACCTTTACCCATACTCCCAGGAGTGGCGCATGCGCTGAGTTACAAGTCAGTCGGAACCTACCATATTAGGAAACCCATATCTCAGAGTTTTTAATGGCTCATTGAATAGTTCCATTGGAAACTGCCTGTGCACATAAGAGCCATCTTTGTCGCAGAGAGTGCCGATGCTACCCTTAGGCAGGCTAGAGACCGCATGTACACCGGTATAGAGTGTATCTGGACGCAGGGTCATCTGACCGCTCTACCTCGGAGTTCATATCTTTCTCGAAGTCGCGCCCTTCTAGGATCGCACAGTGGGACTGAGGCTTCAAAGAGCTATGGAATTCAGAAGAGTGTAAATCGATACATCTAGGACCAAGATCTTTGATTTCACTAGACCAACTCAGTGGCGTCACAAAAGGTTTGAGGTGATTACTATATAAAGAAGTCCTGCCAACTAGTCGGTGTAGCTAGTCGAAGCTATGGTCGCCGACAGACCATGGCTTCATCTTCGCTCAGACCCAGAGCGCACGTTGGAGTTCGTTGGAGTTCGTTGGAGTTCGTGAGCCACATCACGCCGCTTAAACCGGGTGCACTGTGGCGTACGCACATAGCTCAGGGCAGCGTCGGCCTTGGAACCACAATGGATTTACCTAAATTACTTTTACCGTGGCATCACGTGGAGGCTCCAGGACTTGCTAGCCTCCTGGCATGAATCTTTTGATTATCTCGGGATGTCATTGATGTCAAGGAATGCTAATCTAATTTTGTCCTTCATCAAAGTTCATTCTCTTGGATCATTTCTCTCATTCAATTCTTTCATTGATATCCCCGTACGCAGCTTTGATTGCATTGCGTTTAGACTTTTTGCAAGAAATCGACCATCCAGGGAAAAAGAAACTCTGGAAGTGCAGGGGGAATGGTAGTGTTTTATGGCCGAGTTCTTCGTCACTCCACCCTAGCAAGATCGAGCAAGCTTTTCCTTAGGACCGCTTGTCATAGACATCAACTTCCACGGGGTTTCTCGTCATCATGTCGTCGCACAGCAGAACCTTATTCTGCTGCAGAGACTCAAAATGCTTACAAGACCAGAAACATCGGAATCATAGCACATATCGATGCCGGTAAAACTACCACGACGGAGCGCATGCTCTACTATAGCGGACACACTCGACGTATAGGTGACGTGGATGAAGGGTCGACAGTGACCGATTTTCTTCCCGCAGAACGAGCTCGCGGCATTACTATCCAGTCCGCAGCGATCACATTTGATTGGCCACCTACCGAAGAATGTGCCTCGCACAAAGGTGACAACACGCACAATGCACAGCCACGAGCACGGTTCTCTCACAATATAAATCTCATCGATACTCCGGGCCACGCAGACTTTACGTTCGAAGTGCGACGGTCACTTCGAATTCTCGATGGCGCTGTGTGCATCCTTGACGGTGTGGCGGGCGTAGAGGCCCAAACCGAGCAAGTGTGGCATCAAGCTGGAGAGTGGAAAATTCCTCGAATTGCCTATGTCAACAAACTCGACCGCGAAGGTGCCGCTTTTGGCAGAACTGTCCGGGAGATAGGGTCGCGACTGGGTGGCTGGCCTGCTGTCTGTCAAATCCCATGGTTTGAAGGAGGGAATGGTCGCTTTACTGGGGTCGGTGATGTCATTGACTTGGAGGGACTGATTTATCCTCATGGCGGTGATGGGAAGGGTATGCAACGAATTCCGTTATCAATGCTTGACCGAGATCATCCGGAAGTCGCGACAGAATTGAAGCGGGCACGTGCTGCTTTGGTCGAACTCCTCAGTGAGCATGACGACCAGCTTGTTGAAGCATTTTTCGCGATGGAGGAGGATCATTTGGCGATTACCCCTCCACAGATTCTTGAGAGCTTACGGCGGTGTTTACTCCAGGAAGAAAGCATGATCATCCCAGTATTTGCTGGCGCCAGCTTTCGGAACATCGGTGTTCAGCCTCTCTTAAACGCAGTAAACAACTTGTTACCGAGCCCAGTCGAGAGACCAGATCCGGAGATCAGCCTTGGGCGTACAAAAGGAGGACTTGCTGAACTGGTTAAAGGCGAGCTGACCGTTAAGAATGACCCTGGAACCACAAAGTTGAACAAACAGGGGCAACAACTGACCGCTGCTGCGCTCGGGAATACTTTACAAGGCTGCGCTCTCGCCTTCAAGGTCGTGAATGATGCCCGGAGGGGTGTTCTGGTCTATGTCCGGGTATACTCAGGGTCGATTGAGCGCAATGCACTGCTCTACAACACCAATTTGCAGAACTCGGAGCGAGCGGGCACCCTACTACGTATGTATGCTTCAGAGTCTGTTCCCGTTCAAACCCTGAAGGCGGGGGAGATTGGAGTGATTGCAGGCTCTAAATACGCTCGCACGGGAGACACACTTATCGCCTACAGCGGGAATAAGGCAGTACCACCAGAACCACTAAACCTGCTTCAGCTGCGGCCCATCAACGTTCCGCCGCCAGTCTTCTTTGCCGCCATTGAGCCAAACAGTCTCCGAGAGGAGAAGGACATGCACGAAAAGCTGGGACTGCTTTTGCGAGAAGATCCTAGCTTGCAAGTGACACAGGACGAAGATACGGGCCAAACTCTGATCAGCGGGATGGGAGAGCTTCACCTGGAGATCGCTCAGGACAGATTAGTTAATGACCTGAAGGCGAAGGCACGCATGGGAAAGATCGCTATTGGATACCGAGAAATGGTACCAGGAGCGTCTAAATCCATCACCAAAATTTTGGACGGAGACCGTGCAGCAACGAAAGGTAAAGGAGGCTGCGAGGCGCTTGTTGAGCAATTGGATCAGGCCAAGGACACGGCGCACAGCGAGACTGATAACTGCCGAGCGTATGAACAAGATGGCAATCTGGTCGTTATTCAGGCGCCATCTCTGGACAAAAAGGGAAGGCCTGTCAACTTTGACAATGTGGCCTTGCCTCTACACCTAACTCTGCCTGAGATTCAGGCAGCGTACATCAACGGGGCGCTCGCCGCGCTGAGCCGAGGGCCATCATACTCATACCCTTTACGAAATACCAAAGTTACGCTCACATTAAGACCCGAAGAACACATCTTCGGCACCGAAACAACCTATGCTTCTCTCACCTCAGCGGCACGACTTGCCACGATTGCAGCTTTCAAAGACGCTACCAGGAATACGCCGACTCTTTTGATGGAACCCGTGATGAATGTTGATATCAGCGTGAACGAGGACAGTCTTGGCTCCATCATCCAAGATATCTCCTCCAGCCGAGGGGGCCAAATTGTCTCATTAGGCGACCATGAGGAAGCAGGTGCGGACTCGAATGGCGGACGCAAGCACATTGACGTCGGCAGAATTTACGCTCCAAAGGACCCTTTTGAGTCTGCCTCTAGCAACATCGGAGAGCATGCCCAAGTCAATCCCCAGCGAACGGTCAAGGCAAAGGTGCCCCTACGAGAAATGGTAGGGTACCTGAAACATCTACGGAGTATGACAGGGGGCAGAGGCACGTTTGTGATGAGTGTTGATCGATTTGAAAAAATGACCGGGCAGCGAGAGAAAGCTCTCGTCGCAGAATTGCGCAGTGGGACAATGTAAGATATTTTGTAGCTGTCAAGGTGTCAGATGCAAAGAAGGCGGACGCGATGAATCGGTGATCCCGTAAGTGGGCCGGACTTCAATGTGTACCAACAAACAATTCATCTCTACCAATCTTTAGACTTTTGTACCAAAATTGATGTCTGAGGACCTACATATCGTTTTGATGTATTTACCTCCCAGTATTTTAGAACAATACAGTCTTATTACCACATACAGCATACTTCTAGCGAGACTACCAGTGGTGCACATCGTTGATGGGTTCGTCATCAATTGATCTTGATTAGAGGCATCCCTAATCTCTTCTTCACCCCCACCTCATTTTCTCCAAAACACCAGCCGCTCACTTTCGCTGGACCTTCAGCACCCGCAGCCATGGCGTCCAAGGCTATGTGGGAGGTTGATCCTGAGACCAGGGGCAAGGTATGACAATATGCAACATCACTTATGTCGCAGCCAACTGATTGAGAGCACAGCTTGCACAACTGGGGAAAAAGGAGGGCGCCGGGAACGACAGGTGTTGCGACTGCGGTGCCCCTTCACCGCAATGGGTGAACATGTCTTTGCCTTTACCCTCATTGATGCCTTCTAACACTCTCCTCGCCTAGGCATCCCCCAAATTCTCCACCTTCATCTGCCTACAATGCGCGGGCACCCACAGAGGGCTGGGGGTGCACGTGTCGTTCGTGCGCTCCGTGTCTATGGACGCCTTTAAGCAGAACGAGATCCTGCGCATGCAATACGGCGGCAACAAAGCCTGGCAGGACTTCTACAACAAGAATGCCGCCATCCCCTTCGACGAAGCGACCATCAAAGAACGCTACGACAGCGAGATCGGCGAAGAGTGGAAGGAACGGCTCACCGCCCAGGTCGAGGAGCGAGAGTTCGACAGAGCCGCTTTCTTGAAGGAGCGACAGGCTATCCTCGCGAAGCAGGCCAGCCGCTCCGCCACGCCCGCCGGTGGAGTCAAGAGTAACAAGCAGCAACAACCAGGCAGTACCTCTGGGTCGCGGACGGCGAGTCCGGCCCCGGGACGACCAGCTCGTATCACGTCGGAACAGAAGAGTCAAAATGAAGCATATTTCTCTCGGATGGGCGAGGCAAATGCCTCCAGACCAGACAATCTAGCACCCAGCCAGGGCGGAAAATACGGAGGCTTTGGCAGCGCACCGCCAGAGCCCCAGTCACAGGGCTCAGGCGGCATGCCCACCGCCGATGATTTCTCTCAGAACCCAATCGGCGCACTGACGAAGGGCTTCGGCTGGTTCAGCGCCACGGTCTCCAAACAGGCCAAGGTGGTGAACGAATCCTACATCCAGCCGACTGCGAAAAACGTAGGCAGAACGAATACCCCTCCTCCTTGTCTCATCAGCTAGTTTCCTCCCCTCCTATGAAACCTGCCCTTCCGTTACTGACAATTCTACCCTAAATAGCTAGCATCAACAGACTTCGCCTCACAAGCACGCAACGCCGCCCTCACCGCCGGCCAGGGGATCCAAAGCGGTGCGAAAGGCGCCGCCGAATCCTTCAACCGCTTCGTCGAGGGCCAGGACGAAAAGGCCAGCTCCGTCGCGCAACGGCGGAACGTCGAGCCCGAGAGAAAGGACTTCTGGGACAGCTTTGGCGAACCGGCGGATAATGCGACGAAGTCGGCCAGCAGTATCGGCACGAGCGCGATGAAGAAGACGAACACTCCCCAAGCGAATCCGCCGATCAAGTCCAAGGATGACGGGTGGGGTGATGATTGGTAGATTTGAATTGGGCAGCTTCCATAGAGGTGATCGGTTTTACGATGATTCTTGTGGTTTGTTTGATGGGGATGCCTTGACGCGTGGGAGTTGGCTAGGAAAACAATGCGTTGTGGCCGTACCGAATGTTTGGAGAGCCATTGTGTCACATGGAAATGGACTTTTAGATACACGTATACAGGTCACTTGGATGAAATGCTCAAAGTTTTGGTGCTTCTTTTTTTTCCGTGACTCGGTGATTTATGTCATACGAAGCCCAGTCTGACTGTGCAGATATGCATCTCTGAGGAAGTTCATGCTCTGTACAGTCAAGACTTAGGACAAAAGGCATTAGAAACGAATCGCACGCACGAAGAACCCGGGCACTTTTTTTAAACCCTCAGCTTGACTCCTGGCTATCTATGCACAATCTACAATTGAAGTTAATACAACCAACCCCACGCTGAATGCTGAATATGTACTCGTATCAATCATTTCAAACACCAAAATTCCCCCAGAATCACAGTTTCAGCTGAAACCTGGGGTGCGTGCGGATATGCTCGCCGTACTTGACGAAGAACCACATCATGGGGAGCATGGCTATGGCGATGAACGCCAACAGACTATTTCCCCATCCAATACCCAACGTGGCGTACAAGCGACGACCGGCAAGCGGCAAAAAGGCTCCACCCAAGCTGCGCAGCACGGTATTCGCTGCCATGGCGCTGGCGGCGTACGCGGTGTATGCGTCGACGAGGTAGGTGCCGATGGGCATGAAGCAGGTGATCATGCCGATGCCCAGAAGGCAGGTTCCGATGATGGGCACGATCCAGTGCACATGGTAGTGTGCGCTCCAGCCGTACAGGAAGAGGCCGCACGGGATGGTGAAGGCGCCGGGCCACAGCAAGGGGAGGCGGTACTCTGGTTTCATCTCGCCGCCTTTCGCCAGCCGTCGCAGATACCTGTCGGAGAAAAACCCAAACGCTATCAAGCCGATGAATTGCCCGGCTCCGAAGCCCAGATACACGAGACCCACGTTGCTGAGGCTGATGCCGTAGCCTTCGTGAAAGATGAATGTCATGGTCGTGATGAGGATGTACATGTATCCGTAGGTGACGGCAATGTACAGCGAGAGCCCGAAGATGATTGGAGAGAAGAGTAGCATTTTCGTTGGCCGCACAATTGAAATGAGGAATAGCTGGCGCGGCGTTTTGGTCGACTGCAGTGCGGATCGAAGCTTGTCGTTGCCGGTTTCTTTTTGGAGGCGTCGGACTTTGCGCTCTAGCAGAACCGGCGGATACGTTTCGCGTTGGATGAACACGGCGATGACGAGCAATACGCCTCCCTGCCAAGGCATGTTAACCTATGGAATGGACAAATAGAATATGCAGAGTCGAAACTTACACAGATAGCGAGGAACCAGAAAGTCCATTGCCAGCCTGCCGCAGCAGACAGGTAGGATCCAACCACCGGCCCGAGAGACGGACCGAAAAGAATTGGAAAAGTCCACACTGACATGACCATGCCTCGTTGATCTTGCCTGAAGGTGTCGGCGATAGAGCCCGAGCCCACAGTCAGAGGACACGACCCCGCCGTACCAGCAAGCAGACGAAAAACAAGCAGCATAGACAAGTTTGTTGATTTGGCACAGCCAATGGAGAAAACAATGAACAAGAATGTGTTGATGTGATACACCCAAAGGCGGCCGTAGAGCTCAGAAAGCGGAGCGATGAATAGTGGGCCAAAAGCATATCCCACGATATAAATCGAGACAGAAAATGATGCCAGATCGGTGCTCGTCTCGTGGAAATCTTCCATCATCTGTGGAACACCTGGTGCAAACATTGAAGATGCAAGGGGTCTGTTCGCAACATGTTAGTTATAGCCACCAGGAATGGATTTAGAAGGGATAGGGAACGGACGTTAAAGTAGTGATGATTGCCAACAGGAAGATATTGGTCCATTTCCGCCGCGAAGGCCAGTTCAAAGGGTTTTCTGGGTCGTCGGGTCCATCCCAATTTACCACGTCAGGATCTATCGTTGGGACGACCTCGACAGCGACATCCTTGTCCTCGTGACGAGAATACACCTTCTCGAGGTCACTCTGTTCAGCAAAATGATTGGTGTGGCTGATGTTGTCTGTGCTACTTGTGCTTGACAGAGAGGGAGACCTGACATTTGCCTCGGCTTCTATGTCCTTTTCAGAATGGGACATTTTTGTGGACGAAAGGATTCGTTCTGAGTCTAGTGGATTCGGCGGCTGGGAAGAGCGAATGTAAATGCCAGTCACCTCATGCTTGCACGGAGAAGAAAACCAGCACCCTAAAAAAGTGTTAACATAATGAAATGGAAGACCTACAAAGGAGCGGTGTCTTTTAACAATTAAGTAGAAGAAGACCTGGGCAGTGCCAGCGGTGCCGACAACCGAAAGCCATGGTGGATATACTAAAGTTACATCCTAGACGGGCGATTCATGAAGCGTTTGGCCCACGGAGAATGCTTTGGTGTGCGGTGACGGTCAAAAGAACACTGCCAGCTGTAGTGGGGGGACGAAGACGGCAATATCGGCAGTGAATGCGGGGATGATGCCAATCCAGATGGCATTGATGATTTCGAAAAGGGGGAAAGGACGAGCCTAGGGAAGAGTGCATAACTGCGGGATCAATTCCGCCGTCTGACAACCGCAAAGTCGCGCTGAGTTCAGTAGAAATGTTGCGTGCAGCTGGCAGTCATTTAATCTCCGGCCTCACAATTCGCGTTGCGAATTCGAATTGCCCAGCTCTACCCGCAAAAGCCTCTATGTAGTTAACACACGAGCGCTACGTAGAATGGTATAGCTCGAGCTATCAAAAGTACTAGTGGATCAAATTACACCTATGATATTCTTTGAAACCCACGCTAAGGACACACTGGGGCTTGCCTAATTCTACCAAAGCCTAGCGCGTTCGCTAGTCCAGGCTACCAGTAAATGATGGCTTGACATTCTAACCGTCTGAGTCAAGGGTCAATTGAAGTAATTAGTAATTACATGCACGGTACACGTCCTGGGTGACGTCCGTACCTCCTCGTACTATTCGAGCTGCTTGGGCGGAGTACAATCGATATCCTGAAACCGCGGAATCGCAACTATACTCCACCCAATCCCTTGGATCTTCAACCTTGATACATAGGGGCAAATGATAGGTAGACTTTCGCTAACTAGTGGAAAACGTGCATCAAGACGAGGCATAAACCGCTCGACCTTAGGTAAGAACCAATCGACGAGTCCACATGGTCGTATTAGACAGCATCTTTGCAAGTCATAAATGCACGATGCCTTCTCAGGTGCCCGAATTGCACCAGGATGGGGGCCAAGGCTTCTTTGGATGAGGCTGTACTCCGTACAGGCTGGCTCTCAGCGCCCTGTCCAAAGACCAAAGACATCTCTAAGCATGGCTTTTCTCGGCCTGATGAACTTTCTCCATTGATACTTAACAGATTTCACCTTCAAGATTATCACTACATTTCCAATTTCATGTGCTGCCCTTAAGCTGAGTACCGGCCTTTACAAAGTCGCAGGCGCTCTCAAGGATGCAGGTCAGGACGTTCGGATAATTGCCAATGACACCGCACGGTTCTCACGGGCCCTTAAAGAGCTCAGTCACAGCCTGAGAGCTGATCTTCCCGCCATAGCTCGCGCGAGAAGAGTGGCCGAGGATGTTATCAGAGCGTGCGATACCATTCAGGAAGACGGGGAGAAGCTCTTGATCATCTCGGTCCGGCGTTCTCTCGTATCTTCCTCAGTATACGATGGCTTTTCGAGAAATCCAAATTTGCCTACCATCGTGAGCTGCTATCGTCACTCAGATCTACGCTTCAACTCCTTGTTTCTGTTGTCATCATGGAAACTGTGTCAGACCAAGATCTTCTTACGCAGTGAGTACCTTTTTTCGCCTCCCATGTCGAGATGTATTGCTAAATTCTCGATTGCCAGTCTGGTCGAGGAGGTTGTCAATGAAGCATGTTGTTCACAATGGGATGTACTACATGGAGCATCACCTCAGGTCTTCAAAGCTCATGAACACATCCCAGCCACGAACGTCGTTGCTTGTCAATGTTAGAAGCAATGTAGGCCTTTTAGCTATTGAAGGCCCTGCTAGTGGGGAAATCGAAGTGGCCGCGAACGCTGACTCCGAAACTACGGCTACAGAAGAAGCTTCCTCTTCCAGCACCCTGTCAGTCCAAGAACGAGAGTGGGACCCAGAGTCGTTCCAATGCACCGTCGAAGATGTCATTTCTCCCATAGCAGATCAAATCGGGCCTTTAGCTCTCCTACCTTACTTTCGAGCATATCTGGCGCAAGAAAAAGTCTGCCAATACACTGACACAGCCCTTGAGTTACGAGACCGAGATCAAGATGGAAATCCACTTCATTTACAAAATGATTTACTGCACGCTGCGTCCTCAAACAGCCTCTCCACATCAATACATGATAACGTGTCTCCGTTGGATTTGTCCTCCAAATTGAGTTCAGTTCCTACGCCTACGGTAGATCACACTCAGTCTCCCATTGATACTTCACAAATCAACTGCGTTGGTCCGCTTTCAATCAAAGCCGAGCTTGACTCTGATCGCCCATCCGGGAGTACGACTCCGATCTCGACATCAGACCCTAGCAGTCTACATATACCTCCCTTACGCACAACCTATACTAGCCCACCATTGAAACACTCGGGCTACTCCAGCAGCTCTAGGCTTGAACATAGCGCCTCTCACTCTGCCCCAAGTCTCTATGATACCCTAGATATTTCCTCTAGTGCTAATAGTGCTAGACGGGAACACGAAAGAGATATTGTACGAAAGCCACTCCCTGCGCCGTCTACTATTCCAACTGCCGATTCTCATGTTCCAACTCCGACGATAGACCCACCGAGCACGCCCTCCGAAAAAGTGGTTTCCGACTCACCAAAAACCCGGATCCCGATGCCCTATGGCTTATACACCAGAGCGGCGGCAAGCATGAAATGCCATTTCAAATGTGTCGAACTTACGACGTAAGCATCTCAACCTCCAAAATACTAGTCTAGCCCTAACTCCCCAAAGGATCTTGTCAAGTCAGTGAAGAAGCACTGCCCCAGTAACTGGACCACCTCTCCATACTGGAGCAGCGAAATTCAGCAGAGCATAGAGAGAATGTATCAAGAGTCGCTCAAACCAATCGACTCCCCCCTCAAGTACAAATTTCAGTGTTTCCTGTGCCATCGAAATGTTTTTGAGAGTCACTCCAAACTCGTAATCATAGACGATTGGGAAAAGAGCGTTCGTCCAGCAGACCAGATCAGGATCGTTTTTGATCGAGAGGATCTTCAGCAGCTTTTCAACAGTGATGGAACGTTATACTTAGTGCAAGCGGCGGCAAGGGCAAGGGAGGAGCATGAGGACAGGTTAGCGTTACGGCCTGCAGAGACCGAGCCTCTGAGGTTTGCACAAGATCGGGCAGGAGAAGAACGTCAAGCCGCCTCCCCACTCCCACAACGTCCCAGAGCAAAGGCAAAGAAGTCTATGTTCAGTTTCCTGCTTGGAACGAATTGACATCAGTTCGAGTCGTCGCGACGTATGGGTAGGGTCCGCTGCGCCGAGAAAGGCCGCAAGATATGAGATCAAACAATGAATGATGACACGAGCAAGCCAATACGAAACGAGAGTCTACCAGGCTTGCTCTCACAAACTGGCCGGACTATTGTTATGACGAACCTGTATTGATCGCCAATTTCTGTAGCTAGTGGCCTTCAGAGTGGGTTTATTTTGTGGTTGCTGTGCTAGGTACCTAAATAAATTCCGCTCAGGGGCTCTCAGCCTTGCACTGTGGATTCCACCACAGATCTCAGCATTACTCCGTAGATACAACTACTGTCATTGTATGTGTTATTGGCATAGTGCCAGTATCATGATTGCTTTTTCTTCTATATGTGAGTCCATACCTTGGTAGTTATTCCGCTATGGAATCTTGGACCGTTAGTCATTGATAGAGCAGAGTTGCTGCCCTAGATACGCAACTCATGTTTTCGACCGGGACATGGCAATCCTGATTGTGCTTGGAATCTATCTTTAATGGCTTTCTGGACGGCATCTTCAATTACAAAAGGAATCCTACGAGGCGAAAACGAAGTGCTGCATCTCACAACCTGTTAATCTCAGGACTCAGTTATGGCTACTCAGTCACATATAAAACTTGAGTCTCAACCATGTTGCATTGAAGCCAGTATTATGCAGAGTACCTCTCCGTCACTGTACATGATTCCAGCCTCCTCCTCTGTGAGTATACGTACTGCATACAGTCATGAAATCGTCTGACTTGATGTCATCCAAGGCTGTATGTATATAAATCCGCAAGCGAACAGTTCTCATCTCTTTATTCTTCCCATCTTCCCATCTGGCATTGGAGAGGGTTGACGTCAACTTGTTTTCAATACGATCGATTCCATATTGCATCGGGGAACTGAAGGTACTTCATTCACAGTCGACTTAGGACCTGGGTAGTCTTCCAGTCGATCAACCAACTGCCTCGAACAATAGCATCCTGACGTTTTTCTAGATGCCCTTTGAAGGCAGATTCCATGTAAGCCATTGCACCTGCACCAAATGAAGAAGTCCCTATGGTGCTGGATCTATCAGACGACTAGCTTATTCAACAAACTCTGGGCCCGATGGAACCGCGTCCGCAGCAGGTACGCAAATTTCCAAGAATGTGAACGGTTCTCTGCTGCGGATTGGTGGTCTCCGAGACCATCCATTGCGTATATGCATTAGTCCCGGATACGGTGCTTTCATCACTCACGATATTTACGAATACTTCAGTACGAGACCGCGCCTTGGAGACCTTTTCCGCTTCCCGACATTCGGCGGTGGGTTCAAAAACGCCCGTGCGAAGACAGAGTCACCCAGAGAGGGATCGCAAATGCCTACTGGCAGGAGTTTCTCATCTAGTCCAGGACGCTCAGCGGGCATGCGCAGATGTGTGGTTGATGTTATAATTCCAGTATCAGGGCCAAATCCACGACAATGGATTGGAATGAGAGTCGACACATCGATATCTGGTTCTTTAAGAGTAAGTAACGGAGATATTGACATGTGGATAGGCACTACTGATTGGGACCATGCATGGGTCCACGCCGTTTATGCACGTGGCCTTGACTTTCAAGTTCTCACACTAGAAGTCCCAGAGGGCAAGGGTGCACAGCACGCCCCAGAAGGCACGAGATTCCCATCAAGATTGATATGAGCGAGCACCCAGCCTTCCCTCAGCAGCAACATGCACAATCAAGAATCTTGCAACCAGGGCCCGTTGGGGAATCATGTACTTCGAGCTCGAAATACACAGATCCAACGCAGACAACCACCTCGCAAATGTCAAGTCTTTCCCTAACTGGCACGCTGGGACCGTCATTCCCAGGGGGCAAGGCTGGGCCAGGAGGTGCTCATAATCGGCGATTCATTGATCGCGATAGTCCTTACGATGGTGATCAATGGAGAGAGGAAGCAGCGCATCCGACGATAGTCAGGCAGTATTCTCGAGCAGGAGAACAGCAAGGAGGAGAGCTCTCGGGAACATCAAACAGTGAATTCATAGGACCAGGCACGTGTCATATCCTCCACTCGCCATCGCCGATAGCTGAGGCACGGGGTCGTAATGGACCTCAAAGCCACGCTGGAAGACAGGCCCATAGGCAGGAGCCGACGGTCAACTAGAGACGAAAGTGGCCGTGTTGGCCATTCATCACGTGGTTCCAGCTACCGGGGAAGCACTCATGATGAGCAAGAGGTGAAGAGGAAGATCGTCGACGCCAGAGAGCTACACGTCCGATCGTCGCGAGGCAACCTGGTGAATATTATTTACACGAGTTTAGGGACGAGCAAGAAGATGATGGAGAAGCTCGGTAACCCCAAAGGGCAACATATTCCGACCGTCGAGAGACGATCTGATGATTGTCATGTACTAGACGAGTATAAAAGTGAAAAGAGATCCCGACAGTGGAGGTCGGCATCATCGAGGCCCACAAGGGTGCGAGCGGACTCTAGTATTACACTAAGTTGGTTGGGGGGGCCTGGAACCATCACGAGCCGTTGTGTGAGCTTACCAGTGAGAGAGTCAGCTTGAGTGAGAGGAAGTTGCTGGAGACTGTTGAGTAGCCTCAAGGCTGAGTTGGATAGCCACATTCTCGAGTACCTGCGTAGATGGAGAATAAATGAAGTATTTGAGACCCAGACAATGACTCAGTTACTCCTAATCAGCCAATGATTAATGATACATTTAAGAAAATGTTTTATCAGCGGTCCGAAAAAGATCCCGTACATGAGCCCCTGCTTCTTGCAGAACCGATCCGAAGCGGGTCAAGATCCATATTCAGTTACTACTACTCGTACGGAGTAGTTTGGCATGTCAATGCCTGTTAGGGCCCGTTACTATAAGCAAAGCTCATCATCACTTCGTGCATTTTTGTTCCAAAGGAGAGTGGGGAAATCAGGACGGAATGGGATTTTCCAATGTAGCGTCAGATAGTCTAATTGGCCATTGTGCATTGTGGTTTTTAAGAGTCGGTAAAACTCAAGTGGTTCCGCTGGTAGCAACGTGGGGCGTTCAGAAGACTGGTGGATTCATGTAGATCGAAGTCAGGAGAAAATATCAAAAAGTCGATTGTGCGATAAATGATCCCTTCCGTATGTACTGACTGTCCAGCACTTCTGGCAGGTGTGACAGTCTTGGCAAGAGAGTGACATCTGCAGTGGGAATGCGTACGATTGCAGGGCAGTATTATGTACGAGTGCGAATGGGGAGCGACCAGGCTAGATAATTTAGTTAGCATGTTAAGGACCAAACTGAAGCGCTAATCAAGTAGCCAAGGGAGCTAGCCATCATCTCACAGGGATACATCCAAGCTGATGAGCTGCTAACATGACCCTATGCCCAACTAGGCACCTGGAATCTAACGTCTTCCGCCCTAGCGCGCTACTAGCTACGAGGCAACTACCCCCTCCTCTGTCCCCAACCAAGCCAGACCCATACCCACGCCCGCTTCTGCGCCGGGGGGCGTCACCGCCAGTTTCAATCCCTTACTGACGAGACTCCCAAGGTTACTTTTTCTATAATCGTCCCTCCATCATGAACTATCCTCCAAGCCAATTACCATTCTTCCCACACAACAACATACAGTAGTCTTCGCGCTGCCACCTTCGCTCCCCATTTCTCCCTCTATCCCAATCAATGCCATCATTCATTCTTTTGGCATCATGCTTTAGCGAGAAGTGTGCCATCATCTCGACTATTCATTGAACATTCGCTTTTACCCCCCCCACCACCACAACCGGGCATTCTACTTGCAGCTTGCAAGTTTACCTCCCAACTTCACATTGGCTGCGCTGGTCGCCCACACAACAACTCGCATAACGCAGATCACCTGTCCTAGATCTACCCCCACCCCTCACTGGCACACACCACCAACTCCCGACTCTTGTTGTGGACACAATTGCCATTCACCACCATGGCGGACACGTCCCTTCAGAAGCACTTCAACATGGCATCACTCCGTGATCAGGAGAAATTAGAGCGAGTCGCGCATCCGCAAACTGACCATCGACAACATAATGTTTCGCCACAAAAGAGAGCATTGCTTAGATGGCAACAGAAGGGCAAAGAGAAGAGCAGTATAGCATTGGCCTGCACTTGGGTTGTGGACCATCAAATCAGTAAGACCCAAACCTTTGCACCCGTCAATAGCCCCCGAAACTAACCATCTGTCCCAGCTATATCGTTAAACTTCATATCAATACTCTTCCTCATCCACCTAGTCTTTCCCTCGGCGCAACATCACACTCAGAAGTTCTTTCGTATTTCCTACTTTAACCCAGCGACTGGTACCTACGCCCTTGGTTGGGACGATATTTTCTTTGTCTTTTACTGGACCGTTGTTTTTACCGGTCTACGATGTGCCGTCATGGACTACCTGCTCACTCCACTAGCGTCTCTCCTTGGTATCAAGAAGAAAAAGCCCAAGGTCCGCTTTGCTGAGCAGGCCTGGATCTTCATCTATCCCTCCTTCTCCTGGAGTGTAGGCATGTACATCATATACAACTCAGACTACTGGCTCGACCTACGTGCACTATGGAGGAATTGGCCGATTCGAGAAATGGACGGGCTGGCCAAGTGGTACTACCTCGTCCAATTCGGTTTCTGGCTGCAGCAGATAGTCGTGGTGAATATTGAGGAACGGAGAAAAGACTACCACCAGATGTTTACACACCACGTTATCACGTGTATTCTGATGCTTGCATCCTACGGCTATCACCAGTCCCGTGTTGGCACCCTCATTCTCTGCCTCATGGACAGTGTCGACATCATCCTGCCACTCGCAAAAATCTTGAAATATCTCCACTTCAATGTGGCTTGCGACATCGCATTTGGGATCTTCATTGTGACCTGGTTCATTACCAGACACGCGCTCTATATGACTGTTTTGTACAGTATCTACTCCGACATTCCCCAAGAAATCCAGTATGGCTGTTACAAAGGCAGCGTGCAGAAGCTTCAGGGGCCACTACCTGTCCCGAATGATTGGGACCACTTGACCCAACCATTTCGGGACCCAGAAGGCTTGGTCTGTTGGAACAACAGTATCAAGTGGGTCTTTTTGTGGATGCTTGCAGCTCTTCAAGTCGTGCTGCTTGTGTGGTTCATCATGATTGTCAGAGTGGCCTATAAAGTGGTGACAGGAAAAGGAGCCGAGGACGTACGATCTGATGATGAAGAGGAAGAGGAAGAGGAGGAAGAAACCATGGCCAACGAGAAGAAGCCCTTAATCGACAACGTCCACACCTGCGTCGAATCGCAACCGTTCCTCGAGAAGGAGGTGTTGAGTACAGACCCAGGGTTTTCAGTTTCAAAAACAGCATCCTCTCCACGCAGATCGAAGCAGAAATCGAAGTCTTCTTCGTCATCTCTGGTACGCACCTCGAGCGCCGGATCGTCGAGTTCGACCAGCAGGAAAAGCTACGACTCGGCACACGCGTCAGGCATCAATCTCTTAGCAGGAAGCAGTGATCGGAAAGAGTTACTTGGACGCATTGGTTGCGACAAAGGATCGACATCGGATTGATTGATTGATAGGTTAGCCTTCGTCATTCCTACCTTCCGCTTTCTGCTCTGTACGGAAACGAAAGGAAAGAGAGAAAGAGAAAGAGATACCCCATTGCCGCATCTCCGCCATGGCATCACGATAAGATAGAGTAGCGAACGGTCTCCTTTATTCATTTTTACTTCTTCGAAGCTCTTTACCTCGTGGTAATGCTTCATAAACCGAATCAGCTCACCTAGCCGCCGGTGATGAACCGATTGGCGGGATTCTGAATTCAGCCACCGATCCAGCTGGGTGTCTATGGCCAAACCGGCCAACGACTTTCCGGAGGAGAGCTCCTCCTCCTTTCTTTTTGGGTTACAGACATCCATCCCCGTGTGAATGTGCAGGTAGAATAGCGAGCGACGCGAAAGGGACAGTCAGCAGACAGACTCGAAACGAATTGCAACGAGATGATATGACCACAAGATGGGACCTTCTCATGAACTTCCTCATTTTCAATAGTACTCCTCATTTTTCTCCACATTCCGCATCTAGTACACATCCTAACGGCTGCTGATTCGCTGCGCCGCCTTTTGTAAGGGACCCGAAGACCTCTTGTTCGCTTCTCGCGGAGACTGTTGTGGGCCACTAGTGATTGTTGAGATGGATGGCAGGGCCAAGGCAACAAACAGACTACATAGATGCGATTTATACACAGTGTCTGCGTTGTGTACTGGGTGTAGAGTCGATTGCAGAGGGAGACATAGGTGAGTGAGCGAGTGAACCAATGAGCTACTCCTCTGCGATGGGTTGCATGCAAGGCTCCGCTACGTATGTGCACGAGTGCACATTTCGGTGAAGCGGGTTGTTGCATACGGCCCTTCGTTGAGCAGGGATCCGAGTACCGGATAGATCGAGTCGGTGAGCCAGTAGAGGGAAAGGTGTGGTATGGATATGGACACGCGGAATCAGTGAGCATCATAATCTTGACAGCGCCCCTGTAGAGTATCTGCTGCTACGACTGCTGCTACTACTATACTGCTGATTCAAACCTTGCCGAGAAGTGGGTTTTGTCTTTCTAATCTAAAGTTACAACCACCTCAACATGGTGCCGCAAGAGAAAGCGTGACAGAACTTCTTCCGCTGTCGCGCTTCAGCAAAAAACAAGAGATTGCTGATGCCAAAGCCATGAGATGAAAAAGATTACAAGTACAAGCCCTCCGGCTCACCCTCGTTCTTCGTCTTCATCACGTTCTCCTTGGCACTCCGGAAATCCGCCATGTTGACTCGCATTCTCCGTTCTCTCAGGGCACGCAACCCAGCCTCGGAGCAGATGGCTTTGATGTCGGCACCGGAGAGATCGTCCTTCTGGGCGATGAATTCATCAAGATCAACATCCTCAGCCAAGCTCATTTTGCTCGTGTGCAAAGTAAAGATCTTCTTTTTGGTGTTGGTATCGGGGTTCTCAAACAGAATCTTTCGATCGATACGACCAGGTCGAATCAACGCAGGGTCGAGGGTTTCGATCTTGTTGGTTGCCATGATGACCTTGACATCACCCCGGTCATCGAACCCATCCAACTGGTTCAGAAGTTCAAGCATGGTTCGTTGGATTTCTCGCTCACCACCAGATGTTGATTCATATCGTTTTGTTCCAATAGCGTCGATCTCATCGATGAAGACGATGCTTGGAGAATTTTCAGCGGCAACCTGGAAAAGTTGTCTCACTAATCGCGGGCCATCTCCAAGGTACTTCTGAATAAGTTCCGAGCCCACAATTCGCAGGAAGGTGGCAGATGTCTGGTTTGCGACAGCTTTGGCTAGCAAAGTCTTCCCTGTGCCTGGAGCACCATACAAGATAACACCTTTTGGCGGTTTGATACCCATTTCTTCGTACAACTCAGGATGTAGTAAGGGCAATTCAACAGCTTCGCGGACTTCCTGTATTTGTTGTTCTAGCCCACCAATATCGGCGTAAGATTCGGTTGGAGCTTTGTCGAGTTTCATGACCGATACCAACGGATCGGCATCATCTGTGAGGACACCAACAACAGAAACAGACTTGTGATGTAGAAGAATGGAGGCGCCAGGTTCAAGGAGATCCTTGTCGACGAAAGACATGATGGACACATAGTATTCGGGACCTGTGGCGCTGGAGACGATAGCATGGTCATCGTCGATAAGCTCTTCAAGATTGCCCACACCCATGGGACTTCCTCGCATGTCATCAACTCTACTTCTCTCATCCGCGTTTCGATCGAGGGCTTCGCCTTCAGCGGCAACAGCCGGAGTTTGGGTCTGAGCAGCCTTTGCTTTCCTCAGTCGCTCCTGGTTTTCAACATACTCTTCCTCCAACAGGAGGTGATCGTGTACTCTTTGCATTCTCAAGTACCGGAGTTTGCATCTTGCGGTGGGATAGATTGTAGGAAGTTTTGCGGCGGCGTTGGGACCAGCCTGCTTGCGCTTTCTTCGGCCGATCCTAGTTGTAGGCTGTGGAGGCGGCTCGTACTTTGGCTTGTCTTTCTGAACATGGAATTAGTATCTGATCGAGTTCGAAGAGGGTTTGAAGATACCTTCTTGTCTTTTTCGTCCTTCCCTCCTTGACCTGGGGGACCACCGCCCATCTGGGATTGTTGATTTCCCTAGTAGATAGTTAGCACTGCCTGAGGTCTAGCGAGCAGGAATAGCGTGATTGCGTACCATTGCGAGCGAGATAGAGAAATCACGAAGACCCAGATATATTCAAGGAACAAAGTAGTGAGGTGACAGTCGGATGATGATGGTGATGATGATGTGAAAGAAAGAGGGAGTTGGGTAGTTTGACAAAATGATAACAGCAAGCATGTAAAGTACGAAGGAAGGCCAGAGATGCGTGACGATTGCTAGTCGCGCCTGGAGTGACGTTAGCAGACTGCCAAGCCACCATAGATCACATTACTCGTAGGCGCGGAGAGCTAGGCCTACTAATGGGCTTAGCTTGTGATCGTTGACTAGAACAGTGGGCCTGTACAGATTAGCAAGCCGCCAAGACAGTATATATATTATTGTGAAGCAACTCTACTCCACCAGCCTCTTTAGCGCAGACTAATGGCCGTCGTTTGGGGATCCCACTAAAACAGTGAAGTTGCGTCAGACTCATGCCTCTACCTGCGCTTCTCCGACAATTCAAAGTGAGGCTTTGACCTGCTCGGAGTCGAACCACTACCATCCTCGATCTGCCTATCTGACATTTTTCCTAGGCCACAAACCAGGCACCACGTCCATAGTCCACGGTGGCTGTGTGCATGTGTGTGACACATTCTCCCATATAGCAATTCACCATCCCACATCTCATTCTATCTCTATCTCGACAGCATTCACAAATACCCCTCCAACAAGTTGCACCCCTTGACCCTCCTTCCTTCCATGTGATTCTACCCAGTGGGACATTACAGCCTTGTTATTTTATTCGCTTTTCAGACCTGCTTGTCTTACACTCTTTGATCACGATCAAGCTCATCCAGTTACCCTCTCTCCTAAGTTCGCTCTATCCTGCTATATTCGCTGCCGCCTGACGGTTCGACGGAACTTGACAGCCTTGCGTTCTGATCCCTTCAAACCCCTTCTGGCGCAATCTCCCCCCCTTTACCTACAACACATAATGGCCGGACACAAGGCTAGGCGGATAGCAAAGGATCTTGCAGACGTCCGAGCAGATACTACGTCTCAAATCTTTGCGGAGGCTGTCGGTGACAACATTACCAACCTTAGAGGTTCCTTCCGAGGTCCATCCGGAACTCCTTACGAGGGCGGTACATATGAGGTGTCGATTAATATTCCAAATGAATACCCATTCAAGCCGCCGGTGATGAAATTCACCACAAAGATTTGGCATCCCAACGTCTCAAGTCAAACCGTGAGTGCTAGGTCCTCATGTGCTGGTCCACTACAAGCTAACACTTTCCTCAGGGTGCCATCTGCCTAGACACTCTGAGCACGGGCTGGTCACCTGTTCTGACTATCAAATCTGCCTTGATCTCGCTTCAATCCCTTCTCAGTTCGCCTGAGCCGAAAGATCCGCAAGACGCCGTTGTTGCACAACAATTAATCAAAAATCCCAAAGAGTTTGAAAGACAAGCAAAGGAGTGGGCTGTTAAATACGCAGGAGCACCTAAATCCAACATTGGAGAGAGCAGTGGAGGATCAACTGCACAATCAATTGAGGAGGCCGAGAAGGCAGGTGAAGAACGCGAAGCTGCAGCTAACATCGCAGTCTATGATGGATACAACAAAGACTTGATCGATCGATTTGTGATGATGGGATTTGACGTGGAGCGAGTTGTGGATGCATTCAACTATGTTGGCATTGACCGCAACGGAGGACAAGACTATGAACTCGAGGAGGCTTATATGGGCGACATCACTGCCCGACTATTGGGTGAGCCATAGAATGCTCTATGGTTTTGATGATCTTGCTGCACAAAAGCGCTGGTGTTGTTACGGATTTCGGGATGCCCAACGCATTATTTTGGCGTTGGAGATGTAAATCAAGAGATTTCAGATGGACATGCGGATTTTGATGAACGAAGCATTCGTTGACCCGTGGATTATTATTTTTACTCTGTACTTAAAAGTTGATTGTAGACTTGGCATCCCATGTGGTCTACGTCGGCCTCTCCAACTTCCCATCATATTAAGTTCGCAGAATAATAGATCCTTCGTTTATACTGTGTCCACAACCAATATCGCAGGTAAAGATACGCCGGATACAGCGTGTTGGGAGTCTCACCTTGAGTTTAAAAATCTGATGAAGACTGCGGATACCAACTACGACGATAAATATCACGTCCCAAACTAAAAACAGCCACCCATCACCCTACCGCAAACCACATGTATTCAATCTAGAGGCCACCATTGAATTGGGATAACACAAAGCATGAGGTGAGCCCGAGCGGGACAAAAGCGAAGTCCAGAAACTCAACCGCCGTAAAAATGATCGAAGATGATGCGTACCGTTCTTCCTCTCAATATCGATATTGGTCGTACACCAAAGAATGTCTAGCACGCATACGTCAAAATACCAATGATCTTGCATCTGAAAGAGTCCGAGTGGCTTTCAGGCGAGTGCAAGCCTCTAAGTCATCTTCTCACAGCAATGGAGATTCAGCGAACGGCTCGAGCCCAGAGACGGGCGGGACCAAGGCTGCAAGTGATACAGAAGTCCACACCTTGACTGCCGACGAGGAGTTGAAGATTGTCGAATGGGGATGTCAGAAGATCATGGATATGGGTGAAGCAATGATCCCTCGGGTGCCGAGTGCTGTTGTGGTAAGTCTCTCAAGTCGATACGCCTCGCGCCAACGATGCCTGTCCACATTTGGCCATTCTTTGGCTCATCGTTTCTTTCTAGGCAACTGCAATTCAATATCTACGCCGTTTCTATTTGACCAACAGTCCCATGACATACCATCCCAAGCAAATCATGATGTGTGCGCTATATCTGGCAACGAAAGCCGACCATTTCTACATCTCACTACCACGGTTCATCGCCGAATTGAACAATGTCTCTGAAGACAACGTCAAAGCGCCCGAGTTCTTACTGTTGCAAGGTTTGAGATTCACTTTAGATGTACGGCATCCCATGAAAGGGCTCGCTGGCGGACACGTTGAGATGAGCGACATGGGCGAGGAGGGGTTACTGAACGGCGTGGAATCCGGCAAAGGGAGTGCGAAGAGAATCGGCGCAGCAGCAGATTACGCGAAGAGACTCCTCGCCACGGCGGCGCAGCTTACAGATGCCTACTTTCTGTACACGCCCAGTCAGATCTGGCTGGCAGCGGTCATGGTCGCTGACAGAGCCCTTGCAGAAAGCTACGTCGAGGCGAAAATAAAGGGTCTACAGAGCCTAGGAGCAGCCAGCGACGCCGAAGCCGATCAGATGAAACAGAAATTAATCCCGACGATATCGTCCTGTGCCGCGCTGCTCGAGTCCTACAGATCACCTGAGGACGACGCAGCTCAGAGGAAGGAGATGAAGCGGATTGGTAAGAAGTTGACAATATGCCAGAATCCCGAGAAGATGGACATCGTCGCCGTGGCGAGAGCCAAGGCCGCTGAAAAGAGAGAAGGTGATAATGGCAGTGATGCCGAGAAGGCGCTCAAGAAGCGCAAGCTCGAGAGGGAGAATTTGCAGAAGGACGGCGACGTCTTTGGTCCAGACCTGAGAAATGTTGACAAGTGAGCTGCATGACTGACTTAGTTAAACAACTAGGATATATCTAGCGAACACTGTACTATCATCATGAACAATGAAAATCAGAAAGCTCTTTGTCAGCATTTTCAGATCTTCTGGGGACTCTACAAATAAAAGTTTTTAAAGCTCATGCCATGTTTGGAGAGATCCCCCACCCCAGCGAAACTTTGGTGAATCATGCGTGGGGCAATGTTGCAATGCAAATTATTTATTTACCAGGGTCCATACATAGTGGGCAAGAAGAAATCGAGCTCTTTTGCAAACCCTTGAAGAAGACGTAGTGTTAATGACTTATCTTGATGCATAAATTTCCGCACGGTCGGTTTCTCCTTCCAGTACTCGATCCGCTCAACGCTTCCTACGGTCCTGCTTAATTGAGCTTCGAGTTCACCAGTCCATTTGACCCACTGACTGCGAGCTATATATACTCACTGTATTCCAAGAAGACGAAGAGGACGAAGGGATTTGCACTGTTACTTCCAACTCGCTTCAACAAGGTCTTAGAGATGACGGCAGGCCAATACAACGTTGGTGTGATCGGCTATGGACTGAGTGCGAAGACCTTCCATATACCGTTCATCAAAGCGGTGTCGGATTTCAATCTCTATGCTGTTGTCCAGCGGAACCCAAAGCCAGATGATGACGCAGAAAAAGACCATCCTGGAATCAAATCATACCGGTCAGTGGATGAGTTGGTCAAGGATGATCAGGTGCATCTTGTCATCGTGACAACGGCGCCAGAATCACATCTGCATTTGGCTAAACAAGCATTACACGCAAAGAAACATGGTGGGTTGAACTTGTCAAAATTATCACTAGTTGGTATTGACATGTTTTAGTTGTTGTTGAAAAGCCATTCACTCCGACATCCGCAGAGGCACGGGAGCTCGTGGATCTCGCAAAGGCACAAGGTGTCGTTCTGACAGTGTATCAGAATAGACGTTGGGATTCCGACTTCTTAACTCTAAAGAAATATATCGATGATGGAACTCTTGGTCGAGTTGTCGAGTTTGAGACGCATTTTGATCGTCACCGTCCAGAACCACCAGCAGACAATTGGAAAGCATATGCTGCTCCTGGTACCGGCGCAGCCTATGATCTGGGAACTCACTTGATGGACCAAGTTGTGCACCTCTTTGGCCTACCAAAAAGAGTCACGGGGTTTGTAGGTTCTCAGCGAGCAGTCAACACCACGGGCCTCGAAGACTCGGCCACAATGTTGCTCCATTATGACAAGTTGCTGGTGACCGTCAAAGCTGGCGTGGTGAGCCCCGAAGTCAATCAACTGAGGTTCTGGGTACGCGGCGAGAAAGGCTCGTTTAAAAAGTTCCACCTCGATCCCCAGGAGGACCAGCTGAGAAAGGAAGGGTTGAAGCCGGGAGACAAAAATTATGGCATCGAGCCAGAATCTCATCATGGCACGCTAAACATCTCCCGGGACGGCAACATCACGAGCCAGGTGGTCCCAACCGTCGACCCTCCCACTTATGTTGAATACTACCGCCGTCTTGCGCAAGCACTCGCTGGTGATGCGTCAAAAGTCCCAGTTCCCCCCGAGGAAGCGGTCAGCGTGATAAGGCTGGTGGAGCTTGCAAGGGAAAGTTCGAAATTGGGCAAAACATTAGATGTCTAACTTGGGTTACCGCTCGGTTTCGCACGTATGCGCCTCTCACTTTGTGGATCAACAAGCTTTCAGATACAAATGTCTTCATCAGGAGGGTTCCATTAAATGGCCCGTTTCCACTCTCCATTTCGCGTTGGCCGGGTTATGTGCTGCTTGCGGTACCGTGTATAATGTCGCCTCAAGTCAAAACGCCTTGCCGTACTACTTTTGCCCTCGGACATGAAATCTGCGCATGCTGTTGCCGTTGCTCTAATACTATTCTAATTGCTTCCCCCTCGTTGTTGTGATCCGATGTTACTACTTGTCGAGTGAATGCAGAATCGGTGTGTTGATGTTGCATGGATATCATAAGGTCGCCCACGGCACCCACAGGTCCACACACCTCAGCAGTATCCTGAGATTCCACACCACCTGCTGCCATGCAGAATTGACCATCAGTCAGGCATTGCGCATTGAGAAGACTGATGACAACCACGCTTCCTGTTGCAGCAATTACGATGGCAGCGACAGATCCCCGCCGGTTCGAGGTCGTCCTCGCCAGTGGGCCTCACCAGCCATGGCCACCAACCTCAGGCGGTTCCATCTCCTGTCACATGCCGTGGATGATAGTGGGAAGAGACGCAATATCTTTAGAGCACACAAGAACACTTCACGGTATTTCCACACCACATCCAGGCGATCAATCGTGAAATCTCCTTCCCACTATGGTGCACGACCGAGACCGAGGCAAAGATCCATCCCATCTTCATCCACGCCTGACCCCTTGGTCAAAGTCAACAGGGGCCTTGATCGACCTGCCGACCACGTCCTTTACCCAGGTATTCAAAGTCTGCTCAATCCGGAAGAAGCAAGGGAGGAGTTGCGGATCGCAGAGGCCAACGAGAAGAGGCTTATCCAATCGGAAATGGAGAGTGCACAGGCTGCACACAGTGCGTTCAAGCAGCATATACGATCGCATCACGAAAAGCTGAGCGCCTTTTCCCTCACTGAGCAAGACCTAGAACGAGCGGTGAAGGCGGCGCGGATCGATGCAAAATTCAGCAAGATCCGAGCTTGGCGTTTGCGCATACAGAAGGCCATGGAGACAAGGGTCTCCGAGCTTCAATCCAAATCTCTTCATATTTTGCAAAAGGTTGATTCTTCCGTTGACCTCGTCGATGCTGAGCTCCAACAATGGCGCCGATCAGTTGCCAAGTATCGTCAGGAACTTGCCGTCGTTGGCACACGCCTAGAAGCCAGTATAGCAACATTAAAGTCTGACATAGACGAGGAGACTGGCCGAGTCTTCTTCAATCGAATGAGAGAGATTTATAGTGTCGCCTATGACGCCTTCGAAGAATTGCTTGAATGCACCTCCATGACTAGTCTTACCCGACTCAACAACGAACTTGCTTCATCCGGCATATCTTCTGCGACAGGGCGAGAGCCGGCTCGAAGGTTTTTAGCAGGCCTAGAGGACGGCGCTCTGCGAAGAGTCCTCATCGATCTGGCTTTCTGGGCTGTCGATGCACGACCCATTTTCGCGGCCATTGGTCTTGAACTACACTACTACAGACGATTGCGTGTCAAAGGGCTTGCATACAAGGCCATGCCCGAGGTTTTTGCACATGACTACCGGCAGCTATTCCGTGCACATGCATTCCGCCGATTTAGTGTATACTGTCGGGACATCAACCAGCAAATTCGCCGCTTGCGAGGCATTATGATTTACCTCAAACCCCCTGGCTTTGTGCAATATGATGGGCATCTATTGAAACATCTTCCAACGCTGGTCGCATTTGAGGGTCAACGATGTCTTGCCGAGTTCAGGAGTGTCCTGGAACCGCTTGCCATTTCTAATGAAGCGGGGGACCTTCCACTTCAACAAGCCCTGTTGCACGACCTGCGCCCTTTCTATGATTCTCTTGTCCAGTTAAACCCAATACGGACAGAGTTAGACAAGCTCAATGATTGCTGGACAGAGCTTGCTGAAATCGAAAAGTCCCGACACCAGTCTCCATTAGCTCTGGTTAAGCGACACACGTATCTGCTTACCAGAACCACTGCCATAATCCGCGAAACTCAGGAAGCGCTTGATACGGTCAGAATATGGCGTGCTATTGCAAACGTGGCCCTGGGGATTCACAAAACATCCAGAATTCAACACTGGCCCTCGATGGAAAAGTCTCATGATACTGAGCCTGGTCCGAACCTCAATCTTGGGAAGCTATCACTAAGGTCGCATAGGTGGCCCGAACCTATGTCTGCGGCACTGAATCCCATTGTCTCGTGGCTTCCATTGTCACCATCTTTGTATCCACTACGTGGAAATATCCCAATCCACTATGTGACAACAATGATGTCTCTTAAGTTTGTCTCACAGCGATTTGCAAGGTCGAGTCTTCTCGGAATTGACCTTGTCTTGTCAGAACCTCCTACGAGCGGGCCGTACTCTATGAAATCCAGAATTAATTTTCTGCTAATCGCGAGTGAGAACGAAGTTGCTGTTGTTGACATGGATTATATGCCTGTCAATTTGAGCCATAACGTCGACCCAATTTTGCAACAGACTTTGGGAAATCCAAGAATAGTGAAAGTTGGTGTGCATACTGAGCTGCAGCGCCGCATACTGGGGACTGATAACGGCATTGATCTAGTCAATGCTGTAGATCTATCCACTGAGCAGTTGCCTCCAGAAACGAACAACGACCCTACATTTCAGACCCTTTCGACGATGGCCGATGCCAACCTCGGTAGTCCACTACCGAAGTTATTATTAACAAATAGTGTTTTATGTAAGGCTGGGACAAACAATCCCATCTTATACTTTGGACGTAAGTTACTTCACTCTTAGGCTCAAAAGACAAAGTTCTAATTTCGGTGCTCCAGATCTGGCCTGCCGCCCATATGCTGCGCTCCAGCTACTCAACAAGGCTCGTGCACACGGAAATGAGCGGTCAATGAGTAAGTTACCAGAGGCAAGCCTTGGACCGATTATCGTGCACCCTTTACCGAAAGACTACCCAGGGTTGTCAGTTGTCTTACAGAAGATTTCACCACCACTCTATAGAATGAGGTACCAATATCTCAGGGACCTTGTTGAGGAGATGTGCACCCGCGTGATCAAGAACAATGCTTACTTGCGCGCTCGTCAAACTACGTACTGCACAGATTGGAGGCGCAGTATTTTGGAGGGATACATTCGTCTGACAACTTTCGGCCAATCATTCCAGCAGGTGTGTAACCGTCTCGATCTACCACTTCAACGACGGATCGAAGAAGCATATCGCCTAGAGCACTCTGTCACATTAAATGGAGAGCGGTCTCATGGTCTACTGGCGTTTACACTCCTCTCTCTGGTGAGAACAGCCAGGCTCCCTTTAAGTCTAGATCATGAGCCCGAGCTCAGAGCAGCCAGCCAGAAGTTCTTGCACACAGAACATGGTAGTGATGGAGACCAGTGGGCCGCATGGGCACGCGATGTTATAGAAGTACCCCTAGATCGAACATCAAGAAAGAAAGGCATTCGTGTCGCACCCTCAGTTGCTAGTCCTTCTCCCGTTACACTGCCTTCTGGGAGAGTGAGTTCAGCACCCCATCGCTCGATTCTGCCTATTGGAGGCAGACGAAAGCTCTTAAGCGAGAAAAGAAGGGTGAAAGTAAGGCAGGAACGAACTCGACGAGAGACATCACACGTGCAAAAGGAAATCGAAGAGAATGCCAACATAGTTGGAACAACAAGTGAAGTGCCTGCTATAGGCCACGGGGTTGAATGCTCTGGCGCTGTTCCTGGGAAGCCTCAGGGGAGGGCAAAGGAAAGTACAGATATTATCAACAAAGTTGGGACAATAGCTGGGGGCACTGAGAACCCTTGCGATGTTGAAACTTCTAGCGCTCCTCGTCCGCCGCCGCCTTCACGAAGGAAAACTAAAATCCTCGAGAAAGCCAGCAAAGTTGAGAATACAACCAGTGGAAGAACTGACACTAGTGGTAGGGCTGATTCTCCTCCTGCAGCAGAGAATGTCAGCACTTTCTTCTTTGGAAACTTCATCCAAACGCGTATCAAACCAATATTCGCCGGCGGAGACGGACCCCCAACGCAAGACCAGCAACCTACAGAGATTGCTCCTACTGAGAAAGAGGAGGCGAAAAGGCATGTCGATTCACGGCGTATGCCGAAGTTGCGGACTATCGAAAAGAGGAAGATACAGCAGAAGGACGTCCCTGTTGCCAGGGTGCTGTCGACGCCAGGACCAAAAATCCGCAAGTCACTGCGGCTCCCGCGAGGCGTGTACCTAGGCTTCGTTCGATGAAGGGGGCCCCGATGCTTCCGTTGAGAACATCGAGCTGCCGTAGGGTAAGCCTAGTACATCCAGCACCATGGTGGGAGGTGTAGCTGTAGCTTCGCCCTAACAGACATCACACCGCTAGTAGGCTGGGAAATGCATGGGCCCGACAAAACATCCAAGGGGGTGCATATGGGACGAGTATGCTACGGCGAGGAGGAGAGGGAAGGCAGCTTTCCAGATGTTGGATGTAGAGAGATAGACAGACATCCGGGAACAGCCTGTACTTATAACTAATATACCAGTGTAATTATATCTTGTATCCTCTCTTCCAGCCTGTGGCCGGACTGCTTCCGACAAGCATTATTCTTTAAAGACACAGAAGAAACGGGCCCCTGGGCCAAAAATCTACCATATCCCCGAAAATATCCACCACAAAATCCATTGAGTGTTACTTCGACTTTTTGGGGGGCCCGCCCGGGAAAATTGGTGTTTGTTGTCGATGCTAATAAATAATTGTGACTTGTCGGAATAGGGGTACCTTCACTTACGACTCGCTATAACACGTCAGGTAAGTAGAAGGCAGGCAGGGATGCAGACAGGCAGACAGCAAACGGCAGGGTATTCAAGATATGCTAGCTAACTAGATACATAGACACAATAGCACTACATAAATCCTACAGGAACACCACTTTCCTTCTTCTTACCCCCTACCCCAGCGCCTCCAAAACCTATTATTACTACTGCCAGCCTTTTTCGCGCCGCTGGTATCCCTCCTCGCGACACGCCAGTAATAAACGGGGACGCCACTCACGACAAACGCAACGACGATAACGGTCTGCAGGGGCTGAGCTATGACAGCGCGACTCACGAGGAACAGGCTGACGCAGCAGAAGACGATGGGCGTGGAGATCCAGGTGCGGTAGGGGCGCTCAAGGTGCGGCTCGCGGATGCGCAGGACGATCAGGCCCAGGACGGTCAAGAAATAGAAGGTGTAGCCCGCGACGCCGTAGAACGTGATCAGCGTCTCGAACTCGCCGACGCAAACGTAGATCATGGTCAGCGCGGCGTTGAGAAGCATTGCGTTCACGGGCGTGTAGCCTACGCCGATGGACTCGTCGCCGAAGAGGCGGGAGGTGGCTTTGGAGAGCCAGGATCGCTGGCGGAGTTTGTTGAGTGGTGTCGGTGGGATGTCAGGGCCGTTTGAGGAGGCTCCGAAGCCGATGCGCCCGAAGAGCGCGGGGATGTAGCCTTCGCGGCCGGCGACGTAGACAAGGCGCCCGGAGGTGAATGTTGTGGCGTTGAGGGCGCCGAAGCAAGATGCGGAGACGATGAGTGCGAGGATGAGGCCGCCGATCGGGCCGAAGACTTTGCTTCCGAATTGGACGGCAACGGTGTTGGATTTGTTGATGGTTTCGAGGGGAAGGACAAAGATGTAGGATATGTTGGCGAGGAGGTAGCAGGCGATGACCGCAGGCATCGCTGTGTGGAGAACCCGCGGTAGGTCGCGGCTGGGATTTTTGAACTCGCCCGTTACATAGTTTGTGTTGTCCCAGCCGTCGAACGCCCATAGACCTGCATAGAGCGCAACTGCCCAGTTGGAGATATCATGGGACGTGCCCTCGAACCACTGGTGGGTTCGCCAATCTGTGTTGGCCGAGCCGTTGAACGAAAGTCCAGTGGTCGCGACAACGATGCCGATGATGGTGACGGCTATCAATGCAATGAATTTGAAGAACATAAAAAGATCACCCAACCGTGCGGCGAAACGGGTCGAGATGCAGTTAAACAATGTGACGAGGACCAGAGCCACAATGGCTGGAATTTTGTTGATCCAGGGGTTCACATCTTCGACTTCTGCCCCTATGGCAGCACGTACAACGTACTCCCCGAAAATGATTGCGATGATTGCTGCACTTCCAGGTTTCAGGACCAGGATAGCCGTCCATGTGAAGAGGAAACCTGCCACTTCTCCAAAGATTTTCGCCAGGTAAATTTGTGCACCGCCGTTGAAGGGGATGGCTCCGCCCAGTTCTGCATAGGATGCGGCACCGGTCCATGCGAGAAGACCGGAGATCGTCCACACTATAAGCGATGCACCGGGAGACCCTGTATGGGAATTCACTTGTGCAGGGGAAGAGAATATGCCTGAGCCTATAATTAAACCGACCACCAAGGACAGACCGTTCAAGTACGTCAAAGTCTTGTTCTTCTCTAGGTTTTGCAGATTTCCTCGTCGCTCGAGCGATAATGAGACAGCTGAAGGGTTTCCCAGGGCAGTATATCCGCCACCGGACGTCGAAGAGAGTGGGAAGAGCGCGGGCGTAAAGTCGAATACGGAGGATACTGAATAGGAACGATCGCGGAGACGTCCTCGTGCGGCTGCATGGGCGTCGTCCAAAGGGTCCTCATGTTCCAACGAGAGTCTTCTTGATGATGAGATGCCAGATCGTGAAGAAGACTCGGACGTAGGGAGATCGTCGTGCTCAGAATCGGCAAGAGATGCGAGTTCGAGAGAGTCCCGTCCTGCAAGCGGCTGAAATCCAGGACGGGACATGGTTGAGGTGGACAAGATTTACTGAGATGTGTATGTCATTGCCTCAGTCGGATCATTGTGAAGCGTATTTAGGACCGTGGTACGCTTTCAATACCCTCAACAAGATTGGCAGCGCGCGCCGGTGTTGGCTGGACGTGCTGTGGGAGTAGGAATGGGAGAGGAGCCGATTTGGTGAAGGTGGTCTGCATGCGGTCGAGATTATGCGCCAAGCTCCTTTAGACAAAGCTAGTTTACGTTAAGCAATTTAGCTCATCATTTTTGTATGCACTTACTGCTACTAGCATCCACTAAGTAAGACGAGCCATATATTGACACTACAGTTTTATACGGGTCAAATACGAAGCACTCGTCCCATCTCAGCTTGATCGGGTTGATGATTATTTAGCCACAGTTTACATTTTGGAGGATCGCTTGATTCGTAGACTTCAAACGGATTAGACAGCAGGTTTGTATTGACCAGTCTAGGCTATCGTTCCGGGTGTCTTAATCTCATGTGTCGCTCATAGTTATCTCGTCTGGAGAACTCCTTTCCTCCCTGCTGGGAGTACTTGCAATATTGAAAAGGGCACCAAAATAAGGCACTGTCCTCAACGGCCTCTGGATGTCTTTGCTTGCAATGACGCTTAAGGTCTTTCTTGTATCTGAATCCTATGCTCGCGCAGATTGGATTATCGCACTTGAATGGAAGCGTGTGCGATTTCGTGTGGCGGCTGGCAAAGAAGACGTTAATACCTCAATTGGAGCGGGGCATTGGGGCAACTCGAATGACATTGAGGACATTCGTAGGGTAGTCCCTCGGACTCTTCAAACGATGGCCCGACGAAAAGAGATCCTCCGGCATCTGCCTGTGATGGATACGGGGAAAGGGTGTCGATCGGGTTTGGTGGCAAATTCGGTAAAAGAGTGTCAATGGGGTCTCCTCGAGTTACGCCTTTGTTAGAACTCTCTGGAGAAAAGGCTGGATGGGAATGAAAAGGCTCATCATGCGTCGTTTGTTGTGCTGGATTGGGTTCCTCGGGGGGTTGGGAAGTATGATTCCGTCGGTCAAGGAGCCTAGGGTCGATAAACTGTTCGTGATAATGAAGATGAAGATTTTGACCGGCTCTAGACTGGTTGGTCTTTGAAATCTACCTCCGTGGGCTGAATTGGGCCTTTACTGGCCCGGTGATCAGCCCTTCGGAAGCCTCGTGTCCAGCACAAGAGCAACAACAAGATGAGGGAAGCAAAATGAGTGAGGTGACTGGCGGGCGCAAGTAGCCAGACAACACCGCAGCGAAGAGAAGGAAGGGGAGAGGGAAAGCTGGTGAGAGCCGCTCTATTATAGACCAGCTCATTGGTTACTTCTTGGCATGATAGGCCTCATATTTCCTTGGCCTTCTGCAGAGCAATAGGAGTCGCCCACTATGTTGCATAGAGATCAGAATGATAGGATGCCGGCCATTAGACCTCACCGTCACAATCGACCTTTATTCGTGCTTTAGGAGAGCAGGGTAGCGAGCGGTCAGTCTGGTGAATCTCATTAGATACCCTTCTACGCAAGGCAGTTTTGGTAGGCCAGGAATGTCCCAGAATTGTCCCAGAATTGCTCAGCAAGGGGCTGTTGCAGATATCTTGCACCCATAGAAGAAGCCGATGCCTCTCAATTTGATTGATTGAGGTATAAAACGCCTTTCCTGTTTCCTTTCCTTTCTCCTAGCTCTTCATTTTCTTTCAGTCCACAAGCCTTTCCCTGCCTGTTTACGTGACTGGCCCCCTCAAAACATATCCAGCAACAATGTCTGGCAAGGTCATTGACGCTATCGACCAAGTCCGTGGCTTGATCGAGGTGCTCGAGAATACTCAGCCCAGACCAGCATTCATCCTTATCGACATTGAAGGGGTGAACCTCTCTCGGAATGGGTTGATCGCTATCATTCAAGTCCTAATTCCTCCTAAAAAAAAATGGTATTCCTGGTGGACGTCCATGTACTAAAAGCAGAGGCATTTGCCACGCCAAGCAGTAAAGGGTTGACTTTGAGGACGATTCTGGAGTCGGAGCAATTTCCCAAGGTATTTTTCGACATCCGCAATGATTCTGACGCCCTTTACAGTCTCTTCAATATTCAAGTCAGCGGCGTGGTTGATTTGCAGCTCTTTGAATTTGCATCTCGCCGTCCACGCGGAAGATTTGTCAAAGGGCTATCGAAATGTATTTCCGAATCCAGCATCCTCAGCTGGGAAGATGCAGGCGAATGGCGTGAAGGTAAAGCTCAGGGCCAAAAGCTCTTTGCTCCCGAACGGGGCGGGCGGTATGAAGTGTTCCTTGAGCGCCCAATTCCTCCCCCAATTGTCTAATATTGTGTGCAAGATGTGTTGCATATACCGCAGCTGCTGTTGAGTTATTCTCGACGTATGGACGCTAGGCATGCCTCTCAAGTTCAATCCGAGACCAAAAATCGCATTTTGCTCTCGCAGAGCCCAACTTTCAATGGCAAGGGACAACACATGGCACTTGGTCCACATTTCGTTACGAAAGGGTATCTTATCTTCAGCACTGAAAGCAGCAGCCCGCGCTCAATGATCATGCTAATGATGGCTTAGCAGTGCATGGCAGTCACCGCTTTCCTTCCCGATGGATATAGTCTGCTCGATAAGTCTGGACAAGCACTGTACCTTCGCAACAGCCTCGCCTGTCGACCTCACGCTCGACCGTAAAGACGCAGTCACTGCTTCTGATGAGATGACAGAGCTCGAAGTGGCAATTAGGAATGTGAATTTTATGCACCCCGGATTACTTCCTCGACTATCGGGGCAGAGAGGCTGTTTAGATAGCGATGGGGACAACCAAGAGGATGGTTTTGGGGCATCAGGTATCTAGTCTTCGGAGCCAAGACGAATCGGATACTGATTCAGTCAATGCCTATACTGCTTGCAGCTCTAGTGACTGCGGCTATTGCGGACGTTGTATGTACTGATACCTGATCAGTCAAAGTCGCAGGCTGAGATTTTTTGATATGGTTGTTGTATTGTGAAGTGTATCAGCACCTAGGCCGGGATTTGAATTTTCCACGATCCCGGGATTTCGAGCTGTAGTTGGCCTTTCCAAGGGAATGGACAAGCCACAGATGTCTACAAGGAGCTGAAGCCGCATCAAGTAGAGATGCACAATGCTGCTCAAGCTAAGAGCTGGGTATTCGAGTGTGGCGACCGGTCACCGTTTTTCCGTGGTTACTGATCTGGGATTCCTGTGAGCATGATATGTCCCGAGGACAATGACAACCAAAATCAAGCATAGTACTTTGGCCATGAAATTTTGGCCTCATGGGCTGCACGGATCAAGTAATCAATGGGTTCGAGCTTCGAATGTCCTTCCACAACATTTTCCCACCAGCGTCACTAGTTTTCGGATACCATAAGAAATTTTGCAATTCTTGCTTCAGGTTTGGCCAATCTGCAATGCGAAGTCGGTGAGAGAGCCTTTCCAGAACTGATAGATACCAGGAGCTCTCAGTAGAGTCCATCGTTGCAATCGCACCCATGAACGTGATCCATAATAAAAGCTTGTTTGCTTCGTGCCATCTCCTGTAAATCAATGGGTCTAATAATTGTTGTCTGATCTGCCGGCCGAGTCGCACAACTAGATCTGCAACGGGTATCGGAAATACAATGAGTAAGCTGTATACCGTTGCAGCTGACCAGATTGCCACATAAAAGAGGGCTCTTTGCCTGTGATTTGAGTTCTGAAGTCAATGGACAGCCCGACATCAATGCATGCAGTGTCGCGTCCCTCTGGTTAGCCAACATATTCAGCGGTGGAGCCTCCAGTCTCGCTGCCACGTAGCCATCCATCGCCATGGTATAGTTCGAAAGCCTAGTCATAACAGACAGTAATTGTAATGAATCCCTGGGTTCCAATAACTTTGAGATCTCCGAGAATCCACTGCCCGAGTTGGACAGAGTATGATTGTGTTCACTCATGGTGAACGTCGAATTTCTTTGTATTATCCGCCTGCCATAAACGGGACAGAGGGTTGCTTTAATGTTCTTGATGCTAAGATCAAATCACCACTAGTCAAGAAATATCAGCTATTTCCGTAGTCATGCAAAGTTGAAGCGAACGGTAGAGTTGGAAAAGAGCACTGAGAACTCACTATGTTATTGTGGAGGCGAGACCAGGCAGAAGGATAGTTGTGAGACCTTCTCTCATCTCTATCATTCTGCGTAGACCGAAATGGATCGCAACTGAATCTAGCCGAGCGGCATAGACGTTGAGCCCTCTTAGTGAATCCAGAGGACATTGTAACGGCATTGACTCAGCTAATCCGTCCTCATCGCGCTGTGGATTGCTAATATCTGAACAAAGAAGATATTAATCTCACTACAGCTTCTTGGGAATCGTTAAATCTCCTGTGAATACCATGGAGTACTTCCGAATGGCAAAGTGACAATGCATTCGCTTCTGGCCCCGGTTTGGAATTGAGGCTTTTCGCCTTATGAACTGGCTAAGAACAAGACCGTGGAACAAGACAGGATCCGACATGTAACGGGCCAAACGGCAATCCACAATGGAGGTTCCGTCTCCAATAGCGAGCAACATATTCCGTTCGAAATGATAAACTGAGGCGTACGACCGATCAGTCAGCAACCGAGCGAAATCAAGCGGAGTCCAGATGCCTTCATTGGGCTCCAAGCATACTGACCTTGGTCAATGACGGGGCCTACGACTTCACCAGGCAGACTTATGGATAGGTCTCGAAGCGATCGAAAGATCTGGTGTTCAACTCTGGGACCGGAAGGGAGATCGTGATGGCGCCTTCGTCGGACTTCTTTTGATCAGGTGACTGCTGCCGCTGGTTTGATCAATTTGATATCCTGGTCGCCATTTTACGGCCTTGTCTTTAGGAACAAGGTGCCTGTGCTGTGTCCGCTTGACCCTGTGGCTCGATCTTCTTGCATCTGTCCATGCGGCACGAGACGCGTGGGCTCGAACCAAGGTATTGCCATTGTGCTTGGAGTGATCGTCAGGATCAACCGTCACGAAACTGAGTGGTAACCGGATATTGAAACGAGGGCTGTTGTTTCAGATCTGTCGATGAGCTCTTATCATCCCCAACCTTGTCCATATTATTGCGAATATGGATTGACCATATTTTCCAAAATGGCTGTCCCCTAGAAAGGTAGGGCGCACAGACAAGAGCCAACGCCTCTTTCCAACGGATGCAATAGGATGTTGATATTTTTCTGTGAACGAGCCCACCTCTCTAAGGCACTGACGCTAAGGACCAAGATGAAGACAAATAGCGAAAGACAAAGCCATGTTCACAAGACTGTATGTTCTGTTGCGGGACTTATCTGCTGGCCAGGTAGTGTAGACCTGGGCGTAAATGTTGGTGTACGAGGGAAAAGGTCCACCTTAGTCAGAGGAGGAATAAATACGAAGTCAAACTCACTCTTCACTGCCCAGCTTGAGCTTGAGATAACACTCAGATATGTAATCTCAGTCACGTGACACCGCCTTCTTGCACGTGAAATATCGTCCTGCAACCTTCCTCTCTGTCCACAATTGTATGATGGTGAGCCTGCACTGAGGCCCTGGACAACACAAGCACTTTACAGGATGAGGTGGTATGATGTCGTCTCCGCGCTGACAGTGCTACTGTCAACGTCCAGTGCCATCTTTGCCGACGACGCATTTCACATTGACTACCATCATGCCCTCCTCGGTGTCCCCCAATCCCATGCCACCTTCTTCCATAAGCCGCAAGTCTCGACAAATGCGTCGCTCTTATACTCCATCTCAGATAAGGCAGTACTAGGCGCCATCAATCCGAAAGATGGCTCGTTGTTGTGGAGGCAATCACTCGCCGGAAAACCCCTCGACTACGCGTCAAGTTCTTTTTTAGTTGCTCGAGAAAGAGACGGCCAAGTTATTAGTGCCCACGGAAGGGTTGTTTCAAGCTGGGACGCCCTCAATGGTAAACTGATCTGGTCCTACGATCTTCCCGAGGGGACCGTCGTCCAAGGACTGAAGTCTGTTCCTAGGTTGGGTGCCAATAGCGCCGCGATACCAGATCTGATCATACTGGCAACATCTGGGATGGCAAATGCGCACAATGTAATATGCCGTATCGCCAGCGACGGAAGTGGGCCTAGATGGGAGCACATTGATATGAGCACATCTGATACGCCCTCTGCCTGTCTAGCAACCTCGTCGAAGCATGCATACTATGTCACCAAATCCCATGGCCTGTTGGCCGGTGGGAAAGCTAAAGTGGTTGCCATTGATATTGTTACCGGAAAAGAAATATCTACAACCCAAATTGCTGTAGACTCCGATGCTCTTGGTGAAAATGGCCATTATTGTATCGGCTCTCAATCGGGCTTCCCATTCCTGATATCCTCAGAAAAGCCTTACAAAACAATCAAAGTCAGCGCTTTGAGCACTTCCAAGGTCAACACTCTCAGTTTGGACGATAAAGACGAGGAGATTCAGTCATTGAGCGTTCTGTACCCCAGTGATCCCGAGGCTGCCCGTCATTTCCTGCTTCATATCAAAGGCAAGACACGACAATGGGCAGATGTCTACCATTTCAACACCAAATCAGGCGAAATAGTGAAAGCATATTCACTACCCGCGACGGAAGAGCAAAGCATCTTCTCCGTGAGCAGTAGCGGCCCAACATTATATTTCACTCGAAGCACCGGATCGGAATTGAGTCTCTATTCTTCAGAATCACATGGCCAGCTTGGGCGATGGCAGAGGACCGGAGGCCGAGCTCTTGAGACGGGTGTGCTTGTTCCCCACGCTGCGGCCGAAGTTGTCAGCAAAGCAAAGGATGGTTTTGCTGTTCGCATTGCTGAGACTAGCACAAGTGGAGACTGGTCCTTAATCCGAAATGGTGAATTGCTTTGGACGAGACCTGAGCAACTGGCGTATGCCAACATTGCTGCATGGTCCGATAATACTGGTACTGATCCTTTGGCCGAAGAACTTGACGTGGAAGCATCTGTAAACCCTCTCACAGCTTATGTGCATCGTCTGAAACGTCATCTTGCCGACCTTACTGGTCTTCCATCTTACATTGCAAGCCTACCGGATGCAATATTCAAATCTTCGCCAGATTCTGCGGCTGATACGCGACGAGATCTCGTCGGCACAAAGGTTGTAATTGTGGGAACAACCCGAAAAGAACTGATTGCACTTGATGCTACCAACGCTGGTGCTCTGTTGTGGCAGACAGATGTGTCTACTTATGCGGGCGACGGTGTTGATATCAAATCGCTCACTTTAAGCAACGGCCGTGCTACTACGTACCTCTCTGACGGATCTCTTGTTGTACTGGATGCTATTCGAGGCACTGTGATCGAGCATCAGCCAGGAACCATCCCTGTTTCTCAATTAGTCCATCTTCCGGGAAATCTAGCCCCGTCGATCGTCAAAGTTGGCGCCGACGGGACACCCCATCTTGCGGATGATTTTGCTCCTGCGAATCCGTTAGAGGGCAGTACCTTGGTCACAATTATTGATGACGGAAAAGCTATAGGCTGGAGCATTGGACAGAGTGTAGAGAAGACCTGGACACTCAACCCAAAACCCGGATTCAGATTCATCAAAGCCATCGCACGACCAGATCACGACCCCGTCGCATCGATCGGAAAGGTACTCGGCGACCGATCTGTTCTTTACAAATACATATCTCCAAATATTGCCCTCCTAATCGCCACCTCAAGCTCCAGCCTTATCACCTACCTCGTCGACTCCGTGACAGGTGCAGTACTACACACATCCACATGGCACGGCGTCGTACCAGGCACGAACATTCCGGCACTTGTCTCGGAAAATTGGTTTGCGTTCTCCTTTACAAGCCAAGATCCGATAACGAAAGGATTATCTACTCAGCTAATCATCTCTGAGCTTTACGAGTCGGATGTGTCAAATGAGCGCGGTGCTCTGGGTGCGCGAACCAACTACTCGTCGTTTTCAGCTGATGCCCTCACCTCTCCACATGTGATCTCACAGGCGTACACTGTGGCAGAGCAGATATCACATTTGGCTGTCACCCAGACGGGGCAGGGGATCACTTCTCGCCAACTCTTGGCCACACTTCCAGAGTTGAATGCGATTGTTGGCATTCCACGAGAAATCCTGGACGCTAGACGACCTTCTGGTCGAGATGCAAACGCTACGGAGAAAGAAGAAGGACTGCTCAGGTATAGTCCAGTACTTGAGTTGGAACCACGGTACTTCTTGACACATGCTCGAGAAGTAGTCGGCATCAAGAAGGTGATTGCATCGCCAAGTTTGCTGGAGAGCACCAGTGTGGTTTTCGCGTTTGGACATGATATTTTTGGAACTCAAGTCACACCTAGTCTTGCGTTTGATGTACTTGGAAAGGGATTTAATAGAATCCAACTGACACTCACAGTGGTAGCACTTGGTGCTGGTGTCTATGTTGTCAGACCATTTGCCAGAAAGAGAACTGTGGAAGGCAGGTGGAAGATGTGATGGACTCGCGCCAAGGTGTTGTGCAAGACATCGGAGAGAGCTGCTATATGTGGTGCGTGCTTGCACATGAAACTGGACCCAGCATCGTCGATAGAGCTATTTTTAATAGTCAGAAATAGATGAGAATTAAGGACCTCGACCTTGTTGCTCAGGGCGAAATTAGGCGCGCGTCAGACGGCAGGAGAGGACGAGAGGGAGCCTTTTAGGCGCGCTAGCCCGTGTAGCCGGCGCCTTGGGCGTCTGGATAGAAGCATCTAGTACCTTCTAAGCATGTGGGCCTCTATCAAAACGGTGCGTCATTCCTCCCCTCCTCTCACACCAAGCGAAGTCAGAGCAATCAATCCTGATCGTACAACCAATCTTTCTCTGTTTCAATGCGCCGGTGAGAAAGAGGCAGAGAATCCAGATCCATAAGGATTTTACTCGATTATTCCATTCTTTTGAGCGCCCAAATCCCGCACCTATCCGTTGCACCCTTCAGCCGGCTTTCCTTCCATTCTCGCCAGGCTGAACCATCCAACGTCGTGTCTTATTTCTCTCCCTCTCTTCCCACGTCCTTGGTTGCCATCAGCAAAAGAACCTTCGCCAAAAAAAAAAACCTCGACACCATATCTAACCAATCATACATTTTGTCACCATGGTGGCAGAATCCAAACTATACGATGCCCTGAGCGTATCACCCACAGCCACACAAGAAGAAATCAAGAAGGCTTATCGAAAGGCGGCCCTCAAATGGCACCCAGACAAGAACAAAGACAACCCCAACGCAGCTGAAAAGTTCAAAGAGGTTTCTCAGGCATATGAAGTACTGTCAGATCCTGAAAAGAGAAAAGTGTACGATGATTATGGCCTCGAATTCTTGCTCAAGGGAGGGCAGGCTCCGCCACCTGGTGCTGAAGGTATGCCTGGTGGTGGGTTTGGAGGCATGCCTGGCGGTTTCAACTTTGGAGGAATGCCAGGTGGCGCCGGCGGTACTCGCTCTTTCCACTTCACCTCTAATGGAGGTCAAGGGTTCAGCTTTTCCGATCCAAACGACATTTTCTCCAGCTTTACTCGTGGCGGCGCAGGTGGTGGTCCAGATGATGATGATTTTCTCAATCTGTTTGGTGGTTCCTTCGGCGGTGGCAGAAGTGCTGGAAGCAGGAGAACAACCGGTACTTTCCCACAGCGGCAGGCTAGACCTCAAACTCCCGAGGTGTCTGTCGTCGAACGGAACTTACCTGTCACCCTGGAAGATATCTATAAAGGTGCACACAAGAAGATGAAGATCAAGCGGAAGACTTTCAATTCTTCAGGTCAGCGGACGACTGAGGACAAAATCCTGGAAATGGACATCAAACCTGGTCTCAAAGCTGGCTCGAAGATCAAATTCTCGGGTGTTGGTGACCAAGAAGAAGGGGGCACTCAAGATCTACATTTCATTGTGGTTGAAAAACCACATCCTACACTTACCCGTGATGGAGATGATCTGCGCACAGTAATAGAGCTCGACCTGAAAGAGGCTCTCACCGGCTGGAAGCGGACCGTTACAACAATCGATGGCAAGCAACTGAATGTATCAGGAGGCGGCCCCACACCACCTGGATATGAAGAGAGATTTCCGGGTCTAGGGATGACGCTGTCCAAGAAGCCTAGTGAGAGAGGCGACTTCGTCGTTCAAGTCAAAGTCAACTTTCCTAGGTCCTTGACCCCAGCGCAAAAACAGAAGATCAAGGAAGTTCTTCCTTGAGAGAAATGTCCAAGAAAATGGACCGAGATAGCGATCAACCTTGACGCTGCAATGTTCAGTGGCCAAACCTGAATTTGTAGCGAGTCAAAATCTGAGGGAGAGAGGTGCCAGGCAGTCATTAGTTGGCGTTCCAGCTACATTTCAACGCTCGACAGTAGCGGCAGAGCGCATTTGACAGGAGGCTAATTATGCTTTCATTCTCTGCAAAGGCTGTCAAGGTGGTGGAGTCCGTGCCGGTGGGTATGTCATATGTTGGGAAGACAAAGGCCCGAAGATCGACCAATAGATCGACCTACTATCACTATCAGCAGGCCAAAACTACGAGATGAAAGTCAGAGCAGGAACTGATCATTTCCAGGTGTGCCCTCAACCACCAACAAGGCGCAGCCTGTCTCATGAGCCTTCCAACTTTGCCTGGCCACCTCTCGCACAACAGGCGTTACGGTTTTATCAAGAACCAGAAAAATACCCTCGAGTAATGAATTATGACAATTGGGCGGATCGGACTTAAAGCTTTTGATGTATGCGCATTTTTATAGTTCTCTGTAGAAAAATTACCATGAGATTACCTTTCTTCTTCCAAAGTTCATCTACTGCAAATTAGTCCCTGTGAGAAAGCCAGATTGTGTCAAATCATGTATCAAATCATGATCACAGCATCAGGTGTTGTCCTAAACCTTTTCCTCGATTTATTGCATCTTGCGTTTCGTTGTGAGAATGCTTTTCAGGGCTGTACAAAGTACATTGCATCACTTGATCTCACAGCTTCTCCACCTTGACACCGACATCCACCTCCGCAATTTGGTCCACGCCGTTGTACTCAGGGACCTCAAGCCCATACTTCTCGGCTACCTTAGCACTCAGAAACCTGCCGCCGATGAAGTGCCGTTTCCCCTTGAAATGTCTCACACTCGGCTTTGCGGCCGTCAAGCTGATCAAATACTCCGGCATGAAGTCATGCCCTACCTGGTCGTCACCCGACGGCGGACCGGCCTCGACGTCCCATGACGATGGGATATCGACGGACAGCACGGGTTTCCTGGCAGTGATGATGTCCCGCAGCACGGTGTCGAACGGGGGGCGCACGGGCGGGTGGAAGGAGAAGCCGAACAAGGCGTCGACGACAAGGTCACTCGACTGGAGGGCTGAGGTGAATGATTCGGGGGTTGTGAGGAGCGGGATTGAGAGGTGATGCAGTTGCTTTTGGAGACCGCTGAAGATGGGCTGGTTGGTGGGTTTTGGGTAGTAGATGGTTGGCGTGTAGCCGAAGTGGTGGAGGTGGCGGGCGGCCACGAGCCCGTCGCCGCCGTTATTGCCGGGTCCCGCGGCGATGAGGACCATGGGCCCTGAGGAGGGTGGGTGGACCCTGTAGACTGTTTCGGAAATGGGAGTCTGTAAGTGGATGTCCTGAAGTTTGAACTCTGTCGAGATGCATTCCTTTCGATCCTTGCCGCAGGACTTTTGCTACCGGAATCAAATACAGTAGGTCTGGACTCACCAGCTTGTGCAACGCTCAACCCAGCCAGTTCCATGAGCTGGTCGATACTAAACCCGCCTTCTTCGCTCATCAGCTCTTGGTCTAGCTCTGCTGCCTTTTTCGCTCCGAGAGTCTATTTGTGGATAGAGAGTTGGCATGGTCAGTTCAACGAGTTCCAAAAGTGTTTTCACCCCCGAAATAGCCTTCACATATAGGCGTGGCCCTGAAATCAAGGATCCACTTCTCTTCCTTGACTTACCTTGAGCGCCATCCTGGAGAACTTTTTGGCAGTGATAAATGGTTTGAGAATTCGTCTTTGGGGCAAAGAGCGAAATAGCATGTAGCGAGATCGAGGATATTATTTGGTAGGTAGGTTGTTGATTTCAAGGAAGATATGCTTCTGCGTAAGGTTGATATCAGGAAAGCCAAGAGTGGTATGATCCGGCGAGAGCCCAAGTGCCGGTAATACTCACACAGGGCTGCTGCTGGGCTGATGTTTTTGATGGGAAGAGTGAAGCTGGTCTCTTTCTATCGATGGAATCTGATAATATTCGTCGCAGAACAAGAAATTTTTCCGTGTAATGTCTCATGAATCATGGGGTTCCTTTGCTGCCTTTCCTTGAAGCATATCGTCATGCTTGGCAGAGGTCGCCTCCCAACCAATCGGAGTCCGTCATAGAATTTTGGCCAAACCTCCCTCAGTGCCTCCGCAGTCTTGAACAACTCTTGCATTTCCATAGCGCACGACTCCGTTCCCGCCATCCACTGATACCCTTATCCGAAGAGCAGCTGAATTAAGTAGAACTCCGCTCCTTTCCAGTTTCCCCCATCAAAGCGCCGAAAATCAAACCACCATCACCAGACATGGTCCTCCGCATCCGCCTGGCGCGCTTCGGGACAAAACGCAAGCCCATCTACAACATCGTCCTGTCACAAGCGAAGACAGCGCGCAACAGTAAACCAATGGAGGTGCTAGGCACGTACAACCCGATCCCTCAGACGCCGCTTGCCTCCCACGACACCCCCGAATTCACACCCGGCGGCGAGAAGTTTAAACCCAAGAAGTACAAGGACATCAAGCTCGATACCGTCCGCACCAAGTACTGGTTGGGTGTCGGCGCCCAGCCTACCGAGCCTGTGGAGAAGTTGCTTTGTATGGTGAGTGCTTGGTCTCCATTGGTTCGAATCAAGGAGGATGGGAGACGACAGGCGGGAAAATAGGAGGGCTTGATGGATGCAGTCTCTGTTGCTTTGAGCTCGTCCCGGCAGCCATCTGGGGACTAACCTCCCTCCTCCTTGTTGCATGATTCTTTTCTTTAAGAAGAACCTCAGAGCAATCATGCTGGTAGGAAATCTTATACTGACCTCTGCCGCTTTTATTCACCTATAGATCGGTCTGATGGAGAAGAAACCGACGTTGCTCCAACGAGAAGCCATGAGAACACATATACCAGGAGCCCAGACAACACCTCAGCCAGAACCGCTATAACCACGCCACCGCTTCCTATATCTGAAACACACCTAAACCTCTAGAAAAGAGGAAGAGAGCCCCGGCTCGTTCCGCGCGACTGAGTGACGCGCCGAGGAAAGGTCTGGCATGAGATAGCGCAGACATGGGCATTGTAATATTGAGCACAGCATGGCGCGGCGTTTCCGGACACATGTACTAGTACATTTGACTTGTATATACAATGAATCGAGCAGAAAGGGCGACCGTGGGAGGAACTGACGAGGGACATCTCCTCCTACAGGATGCATTATCGCCTATGAAGAGAAAAAATCATTGGATAGCTAGCTTCTTCACATTTTGTTGGGCTGATTAGTGTAGTATCTATCTACCTGGAAGTAGTAGTCGTACTCAACCAAGCCCGGCTCCCACGCAAAAAAGCATTAGTGGCCTGAAGCTTTCGTTTCTCATCTGTCTGTGCCTTTCTCGTTTAACGGCATGGTCAGGAAGCTGAATGTCCATTGCCCTATTGCGCTATGCCAATGCAATTCTATTTTTGAGTCTCGTGATGATCGCGCGAAATCGTGTAATAAATTCCATCAACCGGGCTCACAGGGTTTATCGATTGCGAGCTCGGAGGTGTCGTTGGGGCGGGAGGGGGGGGGGTTCCCAAGAATTTCTCAGGTTGAAGCTCGTCTTATGATGATAATTGATATATTTGCATCAGTACGGGTTGGAGAGACCGAGCAGCATCTGGGTTCGCGAGAGTTCATTCAAATGATGGTTGAAAATCGCTGGATTAGCGCAATGCCTCGATGAGCTCCATGGCCACTTGTCTGAACCTTGGCTCTTCCAGGTACTTTTTTGCCTTCAGATCATTCAGCAAGCCAGGAACTCCCAAGATCTCCTTGGCTGCGTTGTTCAAATCATCTCTGTCTAAGCCGACGATCACGGTGCCCAGTGCCACAAGAGCTCGGTAAGCTGGCTCAGTTGATTGTGCAGAGGGGTTGGCATTTGCAGAATGGTCAACTGCTGGGCAGGATTTCAGAAGTGCTGTTAGCTCCTCAAGAAGTTCCAGGCCGTAGCTGGCGTAGGTGTCTGCGTCGGCTGTCTTGTCTGTTGTAAGGACAACTGCGAGGTTCATGTAGAGCGTAGACAGTGCAATGGCAACGGCGGTGTCAGAAGCGGCGGGTGATTTCAATGGCTTCGCGCGCGCAATGATGTCGTCGATGTGAATTTGGACCATTGCTCGTGCACCAGGAGAGCCGTACAGAGCATTTGAGAGGAAACGAGCTGCTACCATAGCAGGCTTATTATTCGAGCGGATGAAGTCTGGGTCGAAGATGCCGCTACCGAGGACATTACCCACGGCGTCATGACCCAGGTAAACGATATCCGGGAAGTCGTAGGCGGCCACAGCGATGAACCGCAAGAGGTCAAGACCAGCAAGACGGTTGGAAGGAGGTTGCCATTGTGTGACGACCTTGAGGAGCGCCTCCACGCCAGATTTGAGGGCGGGTGAAGTGGGTAAGGACGGTTTTGCTTGGAAATTGTATTTCTCAAGCTGCTGAGATAACGAGGTCAAACTCTCCAGCTCAGCAACTGAGAGCTTTTCGTAAGGGTCGGAGTATTCGTTGTTTCGCTTCACAATCTGACCCAATGCAGCAGATGGTTTACCCATCACGATAGCTAAGTACTGCTTCTGTGGTAACGACTTCTGGGCAGATGCTTGTGGGGGTGCTCGATACGACGAAGTGGGAGGTTCACCGGGTCTATATCGTTGTTCTGTCCCCCAAGGATCAGCACCAGCCGGTTGTTGTTGCTGTCCTTGCGAAGGACCCAATGTGACGCCCTGTGTGTTCTTGATGATAAAGTTGGCAGTCTCTTCCAGATACGACATTGGGAGCTCGTGGTCCTGCAAAAACTTGGTGGCGGCGTCGTAAGGATTTTGAGTGACATTGAAGGGTAGTTTAAGGGGAGGTTTGCCATCTTCGATGTCAATGTCAAACACATAGTCGTACTGTTTCATATTGTGAGTGGGCTTGTTTCCACTCGAGGCTCCTGATGAGTCCACAACTTGGCCAATGGCAATCCATGCGTTTTGAGACATTGACCATTGGTAGAGAACTTTACTTCCGTCAGCTGCTTTGATGATCTGACTTTGTCCCTCTTTGGTGCCGGATTTGCGTTGCAGGAAATCTTCGCCTGGAAGATCAGTCATGTTGAAATCGCCCATCTGCTGCGTAGGGATGCTAGATGCTGATAGAGACTCTTCGAATGCAGCCAAACCCTCTGCATCTGCGAGTCTTTCAGATTCTCTAGTGAAAATTCTGGCCATTTTGTCGCTTGATCCAACGATTATGTCACCATTCTGTCCGACAGACACAGACCAGACCGAGAGTGCTGGGAGAGTGATGACCTGGACACAGTTGGTACCTTGCCACACACGAACAGACCGATCTTCTCCAGAGCTGATGATATCGCCTGATGGTAAGACGGATAATGAGTAGATATAAGACTCATGGCCAAATAGCTCAGCGATGAGTTCGCCTCTCAGGGTCCATAAACGAATGACGCCGTCGTTGGTTGCAGATACAATCTCTGCTCCACTGGGGTGGTCCTTGGGGAGTTTTGCTAGCGCGCGGACGATGTCCTTTCCATCCCATGACCGCAGCAGTTTCCCTCGGAGGTCGAAGACTCTGATTGCTCGATCTGCACAACCCGTAACAATCGTGTCTCGGCTGTATGCTAGAACTGCCCATACTGTAGCGGTATGTCCGTGTAGCTCAACTGCGGCTTCCCATCTGCCAACTTCCCAGACCTTTGCCGTACTGTCCCAGCTTCCACTCACAAAGTAGTTCGAAGAAGCACAGACATCCAGTGAGCAGACCTGGTTGGCATGTCCCACCATGATGGCGTCGGCATTGACATCTGCTGTCAATGCGGGCTGTCGAGCTTCAATCAGTGCATCCTGACCAGATGATAGTATTAAGCCATCTGCGAACTCCTTGGATGGTGGGACATATGCGAGGCAGGTCTTGAATTGGGCCCCATGCGATGATTCCATGGAATCGTACAGAGGGGGAGATTCGGAGGTGCGTTTCCACACGCGGGTTGAACCATCGCGTGAAGCGGTTATGGCGAAGGAAGGGTCAGGAAGAAGGACAGCTCGAACCTGTCCAATGTCAGTCTTGGGAAACGTAGAGGCTGCGCGGTGGAATTACATCGCCAGTGTGTCCCTCAAGAACCGCGCTGAGCTTGAACACTGGCGCTGAGCCAGGCTGACTGCTAGATCCACTCATTGTCGCGCGACAAGAAACTGAACGATCATGAGATGATTTGACACAAACGAAAGAACAACCAAGGTGAAAATCACAGTCAAGCGGAAGCGGAAGTGGAAGTGGAAGTAGAAGTGAGCAGTCAACCGTCGAACTTCACGGCGAGCGACCCCACCAAGGGAAAGTATTGCGAGAGCGTGACAGGCTGACAGCCTTGCCGGATGACGTAGCGCAGCCTTGTTGCTAGCTCCATCAACGCTTGGCATCGGCCCTGGTCAAAGTGGCAAGGCGAAGGATCCACCTGAGCACTATACTTAGGTATATGTCAATGCTCTAAGGATCAGGAGAAATTCCTCCATAAGCACTGACAACAACTTTTATCCCTCTCAGGCTTATTCCCCGCCTTTGTTTGCGCAAATCATTGACACGGGCAAACATCAATGAGCTTTGCTTGGATATTTGGCATGACGTCTTAAAGTGTGATGAACAGGGTCATCAAGACAACAGTGGCAAGCTTCACGAACAATCTGCGGCTCAGATTGGCTGTTTGGATGATTGGCTGGATGATACAACATTCTTCAACCCTCTGTCAAAGAATACTGATTTGCTTCATCTGCTAGGGTTGTCCAAACAGTGCTCTTGATACTTTGCTTGCACAATCAGTTGGTAAGAACACCAACAAACTGCTCCCTATTCTTCAGCGTAGACCGCAAGCTCTAATCAAAGATATGGAAGGGTCTCACAAAAGAGAGCTTGACTCACAGCCAACATGAAAAAGATAAGGCACTGCTGAAGGTACAGGGGGTCGATCGTCAGAATATAAATGCTACACTAAATACACTTCCGGCAACCTCTTCATTCTAGTCGCTCCGTCAGGCAGCTTATTCGCTCATCGAATCTACTGATCGAACGACTCTATCATCTTTGCTCTACAGTTTGAGTTTACAATCCAAGCTACAATCTCTTGATTGTGTTACACAGGCATCAAATCATGCGGGTATGTCATTTCAAATGAGTATGAGTCAATGTGGAAAAGCCAGACAGTCTATAAGATCATGAGCTATTGAAATGCTAACTTGACGGGAATTCAATAGGTTCAGAGGCGGAGAGTCAACGTGGAAGGGCTATTGGTGTTGTAAATGCAAACTGTAGGGGTCTTAACTTGGAGTAGAGTAGTGAATTAGAGTGCAACTGCATCTGAACAGCAGCATGTAGGTGATGAGAAGTAGAGATCTGCTGACAAAACCATCTCTGTTGAAAGAAATGAGTTGACTTGTTGAAGAGTGTGCGCCACGCAACACACAGCCGATATTATGATCGGCCAAAGATGTTGGCAGATTTGTTCATTTGTTTAGTCTAACAAGCTTGTATCTATGGGGATCTCACGCGTCCCAGTTCTGCCATTGCTTCCATGTATGTCAAGATGAGGGTTTTGCATCTCATAATGTTACCGGTTCCCCCTACCCCTGTCGAATCTAGCCTTGCGGCCGCCGATCAACTACCCGCTCCATCATCACATGTCAGTAGTTTCATAGGCAGCGACTCTCCGCACGGCACCGCCACAAATGGAGCATCCCTGTCAAAAACGTCACCATGAAACAAAGCACCACCCAAAATCCGGTTTCCCACTTTGCCCATTGCTGTGCCACACCTGGTGCCAGCTTCTTTTCCCTCGACTAGACTTGACTGCACGCAGAGCTCATTCTCCATCTGTCACCTACAAGACTCTTGACGCGTCGGAAGGAGTGGTACAGTCTGATGTAAATGCATTTGGAAGGCTGAGCTTGAGTTGCAATTGAACAGCATCAGTTCACGTACAGCGGCGACCCGTCGAAGCTTGGACTATTTTGTATATCTTTCTCAAACAATTCTCGAACCAGACCTTTGCACGGTCCATTTCTGAGAGAATGTCCGTCGACCCAGTGACCTCTCTTGCCGGCGGCGGTCTATCTGGCACCGGCCTGGGCACTGTGACAGGAGTGCTGCAAGGCGGCGTGAACAACCTGGTAAACTTCTCCTCGAACTTCCTCGATCGATTCTTCCCGCCGGAGAAACGCGAGCAGTGGAAAGCATGGCTAATGAAGTTCGCCACGGAACGGCCTTACCTGGCGTCCTTCCTGCTCTCGCAGATCGCGCTGAGCTGCATGCCGTTGGCCCTGTTTGCCCTCATGACGCTGACAGTGTTCATCTTCGCGTTGCTGGCTGGGATCCTGGTCGGCGTGCTGGGGGCGTTACTCTTTATTGTGGCCGCCGTGGGGTTCGCGTTGATTATTCTCCTACCGATACTGTTCTTCACGACGGGCGCGGCGGTGTTTATCTGGCTGTGGGGCATGGCTGCCTATTTCATCGTCAAGTGGTTCAACCAGAAGGACGTCCCCGGTGTGCATACCGATCTGGCGGACGGGTTATCAAAGGCCAGCGGACTAAATGACCTCCCTGGCGTCAACGGAAACCCACTGAATGGTGAGGGTCCGGACTTGAAATCTGCCGTAACTGGATCTTCGGAGGAGCAACAACACAACGAAACGCCGAGTAAGCCTGGGAAGACTGAGAAAAGCGATAAGGGAGAGAAAGGCTCCAGCACGGGAGCACAGTACCATGCAGACGGCAAGGAGAACCAGTCGCATCCACGAAAGCTTGCTCCCCGTCCCAGCTCGACGGGACCGACTGGCAAGGCGAGCAGTGCAGTTGATGGTGTCAGCAAGGGTGTTTCCGGTTCGGTTGGCACTGCGACTAAAACTCTTGGTCTGTGACTCGAAGGGTCTAGGAAAGGCTACGTGGGAACAGTTCATCTTGATTGATCGCACCGAGCGCTTGAAAAATGACGAAGAACTTTGGCAACTAGGCTACGGGCCGCATGCTACGCCGATCCATTTGGCACAAAGCCGATGGACGCCGCGCCGAATGACTTCAGCCCACGTACCCCGAGACTCGACATATTATGCCGGTGAAAAGCCTGCCCAAACTTGGGCCGGGCAATGAATTGAAATTGAGCTCGGATTTTGATATGCATCGCAGGCGAATTGGGAAAATGAAACGCAACCAGACCTTATGTGAGGCTTTTCTTTCTAGGCATGGATTATATCTCAATTCCACGAACACAGTTATATTCTTAATGCTATTGATATTAGTTTCGATTTTTGGTCGCTATTCATAATCAGGGGACTGACTGATTGAATCGCGTGTGTGCTCGTATCCAATGCCTGCAAAACGCTAGCATGCCCTGCGGTGGAAGGACCCCATCCATCCCTACGTCAAAGTGACGCATAATCGATTCGCTTCATATGCTCGTTATCCCATCATAACCAAGGACGCGCTGTGCCGCCGTGGAGTGCGCCAAACACGTTGAAACTTGGTTTCAGACGCCCATTGTAAAGTCGTGTTCAATGCCCGGCGTAACACTGGCCATGAACTTTAGGAAAACCACGAGATACTGGTCGACGCGGATGGCGACCTTCTCGCTCTCCTCGTCCTTGCCTGCATCTTGCTCATCGAGGACCTCCCATTCATCCCCCGCGCCCCCTGAGGCTGCCTTGACTCCAGCTTCGTGGCCTCGGCGCTCCTCTTTCTGTAAATGGAGTCTGGCTGTATCGTCGATCAGACCTTCCATGCCAGAAACAACTGCTGTGCTGCTGGCCTGACCAGCGGCTTGTTTCTCCAGGCGCAATTTCAGGGCTGCATCGGCTCGGTCGAGCAGGATTTTCATGACGCTGGCATGCTTGCATGGGTGGACTGAAGCCATCTTCACACTAGCGTCGAAGAATGGAAAGTCTTCCAGTGTCACGGTCTTATCCTTGTAGTCTCCTACGATGTCTTCCATCATCAAGTGCGGCGCAAGCGGTTCAGACGGCGATAAATAACCCGAAAGGTACATTCGTGGTGTTCGGTAGTAGGGCGTATAGGTGATGTAGAGTGTGTATGATCGGAAAGGTCTGTATTCGCGGATCGTCAGTATAGTGGCAAACGAAGAGAGATGGCGGCCTGAGAGACTTACGCAGAAGCACCCTCGGTCTTGTCGCGAATAATCGCCTCATTGTCGTCGTCCTCATCTTCCATATCAGGGATTTCTTCCTCCTCTTCCTCTTCGCTGGCTTTCTTACCTAGTTGTCCGCTTTCAGACATGGTCCTCACCTCACCTCTCAACCCCTCTTGCTCTTTCTCTGTTGTGCCGCCTGTTCGCAGCCATCCTTCGTCATCGGCGCCAGCTTCATCGTCAGGGCCGCCCAGAAACCCATCACGAACTAAATCATCCGCTGCGCCGTTTCCGCCAGCGAAGTTATCGTCTAGCCGCCGGTGGCATGGTACCCCGCGCGTAACCAAGAATTGCTTTCCGGCAGGTAGATAGTTAACGCGGCGGGCAGGACTTGAAGCATCTGACCACGACCAAGAGGGAAACTTGTATACTAGGTAGTCGCCTGCGAGAATGAACTCTTCAGGAGTAATCTGCCCCGTTGATCGAAAGGTCGAGGTGTGTTTGATCGGTGCATAGCGGTCGCGAACCTTATCTAACGCTGAGTGCAGGAGATTCATCTTATCAATTGTCAAGTGCAGACGAGGTGTGAGATTCAGAAGTAGGTGGTTTGATGCTTGGAGGAGGAAGGTAAGACAGGACGGAGTAATAGGCGGCCATTCAATCAATAGTGGACCAGGTGATGTACGTGTGCCTCAAGGATCCCTCGACTAACTTGGAATCAGGTTGCCCCTCCAGCCTAGAAATGTTTGCTAGGTTTGCACGTTGGCAGCCTCTCACGTGGTAAGGCTGAAGGGGCCATGGAGGTTTCTGGCACGTGCTCCTAAGGCTTTTCCCACAGCCCTTCGTTCCCGACTTCCCCGGATTCTTCCAGCATCATCATTTCGTGAATTTAAATTGTAGGACCAGATCCAACTTTTAGCCCATGAAAAGGCTGTTATATGTGCAATGGTCTAAGTCGAATGTCTCTCGATCCGGAGATAAAATCCCCTCAGCTTAGTGATATCCTCGTTAGCATGGCATCCAAACGTTCAAGAGATGATCCTGGACTGGATGACGAGGTGGCCAGCCCCCAAAGCAAGGCTGAGAACAAGAGACGTAGAACTGCACTAGCCTGCGCTCCTTGTAGGACGAGGAAAATTCGTGTAGGTACTTGCTCTATGTTTAGGCCTGCTGCTTTGCTAACATGATGTCGATATAGTGCGATGGGCGGAGACCAACTTGCTTGTCTTGTCAGAAAATGGGATTCGATTGCGAATACCACCAGCTCACGACCTCAACGAATGTAATCGCAGGAAAAGAGTAAGTTTTCTTCGTTAATTGAGATTTTATCAACCCGTCTGAATTACAGAGTTATCTCTCAACGTTGGAAGATCGTCTTAAGATCGTCGAATCAGCTCTCGAAAATGTTCAAGGACAGCTTCATGAAATGCGGCACCGAGAAGATTCGGGCTCAGGGGAATCCAGTGGCTCCAGCTGCCAGAACATTACAAACAGTATCCTATTACAAGATTCAGAGAAGGAAAGCGAGCAGGTTGATGCCATGGGCGCCGTCGTATTCGTGAATGAGGAAGAATCGGGCTTCTTTGGTATGCCTCCTCAAGTCCTGCCCGTCTTCTTGCTCAGTAACAACAGGGCCATCATCCAATATCGCATTTCTACGTCAAATATCACAGGCTGCAAGAAACAGCAGTAACGTATCTTTTCACTCTCCACAAGGGAATCCCAGCTCAGAGAGATTCAGGGATGGTGGACTACTCAACTTTTCAAGGCTATGCTCGCCTCAATCAAACCCTGGCGAGAAGATTCAAGAAAAGACTGACATCTTTATGATCCCCCCCGAGCCACAAGTCATAGATCTACTGCATCGCTACTTCAGCTATCCTGGATATTTTTTCCCTTATGTTCACGAAGACACATTCTTCGCAACCTATCAACAAATCAAGAAGACAAAGTACCCTTCAGTGAGGAGATCCTGGCTTGGTTTATTCAATATAATACTCGCAATGGCTGTTAGTACCACGATCGACGACAATGTCGACGCGGTAAAACGCTTTCAGGAGTCGGATGTCTACTATCAACGCGCGTATGGGCTTTGCGGCAAGCTGATGCTGCGAGGCACGAGTTTGGAGATTGGTACGCTATTGAGAACTCTATCCAATCTTCTACTAATGCTCTTGCGTTTACAGTACAGTGTCTTCTCCTTATGGGACAATACCTTCAGGGAACCCAGAAATCAATAGAAGCTTGGGTGGTCCATGGACTAGCCATGAAGGCGGCGATGCAGTTGGGACTCCATTCTAGTGAGGCTTGCAAAGGGCTGCCTTCACTCGAGCGCGAAATCAGGAAGCGAACATGGTTTGGTTGCGTGATTCATGATAGGTATGTACGAAACACTGTCTGTGATAGAACAGTCTAAGGTTAACGCTGCGCTTCTTTCACAGAGCATTGGCCATGACATTCGGTCGCCCATGTACAATTCCCGAAAGTTTCGTCAAGCTTGAGTTGCCCAGTGAGCGCGACTTTTATCCGATCACTGGCATTTCTTCTTCGGCCGAAGCTCGAAACAGTCTCAATGTTCATTTTTATGTTGCGACAATGTAGGTTGAATTGATTCATCATGACAGGTTCTCAGGTTTTAACATAGTGCAGACAAGCGTACCGGGTATTATGGGACATCATTGAGCAGCTCTATGGGCATAACATCAGCTGCGAAGAGCGCTTAGGCGCCGGTGAAATGGTGACTAGACTGTTCAACTTGGAGCAGAGACTGTCCTCTTGGGAGCATAATCTACATCCAAACCTCAGAACATTGACTTATAACCATTTGACAGCAATGAAAGAACAGGCCCGCCTGAACGCTGATCAGAAAATTGCTCAAACACTTCGCATAGTGTTGACGTTAAGGTGTCTTAATCTGCGACTGCTCTTGCATCGGCCCATTCTCGTCAGGTTTCTCAACTTTGGATCCGAATCGGTTGGAGACAGCCACGATATTCAGATGCTACGACAAATAGGGTCGCACAGCCTTCAAGTCTGCATGCACACTGCTGATGAGATTATCTCAATCGTACATTCGATCGTCACTTCTATAGATGCCACACGAACATCTGTAGGGTCATGGTGGTACACACTTTATTACAGTGAGATTTATTTCCCACGCAATGATTCAGGCTCACATTCGCTAGCTTTCAACGCGGCACTGGTGGTGTTCGGGTGCTTTCTCATCTGTCACCCAGGGAACAAAACAATCAACAGCGATTTTACCAGCGTCACAGCCAAAGATGCAATCGATACTTTGAACAAAGCAATAATAGCGACGCAGAATATTGATAGAGGAAACCATATTGTCGATAGATGCAGGCATTACCTCCAACTCCTGTTAAAGGTCGCAAAAATAATGGGTTAGTTCGGCTCGAACCCCATGAGTTCAAGCTCTTACTAATGAGTTTGGCATAGATATGCCAGCCTCAAGCATGCCGGCAGATCATCCTCAAGAACTTTCATATATCGTGGACACCGGATTTCCAATTGATTCTGCTGGAATACTTGGACTCGATGACTCGTCCTTTGGGATGGACCTCTTAGGGTTTGATTTCAACTTCTGAATTACACCCAGTATTAGTATGAACCAGTCACATTTGACCCTATCCAGCAAACAATAACAAAATCTCTGTGCGTCTCCATCATGCGCCCTGGAAAGAAGTCCGTGAAACTTTATTAGCGTTCGAGTGACGGAGAATGAGATATTCGTTTCATTCATCCCTCCGGCTTGGCATAAAAGAAACAATGTAGCTAGTGAGAAGCCATGACTTCTCAGGCTTTACCGGCCTATGTACTGTATGTTACCTGTGGCCACCAGCTTGTATTATCTGGAATATAGTGGTACATTGGCGTAAAGGAGTTGCCGGCAAGCCTGCCCCTAACAAGGAGCAAGAGCTCAGCCTTGTCGTCTGGGGGGAAAAGATTGCGGTGGAGCAAGTGGGCTACGAACAAGTAGTTAAGCCTCAAGCGCAGAAAGGTTTCTTGGCGCGAGGTGGAACATTGGCTGCGCCAGAGGGCCACCAGCCAGGAAGTTATCTGTCACCTGCAGATACATGCAACGACCGCGCTTCCAACCCTTCCAGGCTAAAATTTCCCGACAATAATGGATGAACCACCTGCAAAGCGAGCCAGGCGAACAGACGTGGCGACCCCTTTGGACAGAGACGGTCGTAGTTCACCACGACCAAGTTCCAGCGGCCGAGATACAAGAACGAAATGGCAGCATGAGGACAATAGAGAACCAGGTCGAAGCTCTCGGCGTGATGAGGGTCGCAGGAGGAGATCTAGGTCAAAATCGCGCGATCAAGAAGACAGGAAACGGCAGCGCAGCCGATCGAGAGAGCACTCATATCGAGACCGGGACCGTGATAGGAACCGAGGGCGTGATGGAGGTGGGAGAGATCGAAGAGTCAATGATAGAGGTCACGGGAACAGGAGCAGGAGTCGTGATTGGTACCGCTCCTCTAAAGGTCTGAACAGCTCACATCTTCAAACTTAAGTCTTTACTTACCCAGTCCAGATCACCACAGCGAGTGGTCCCACCGACATTCACGATCGAGGTCGCCCGTGAAGAATGGTGGCGGCACACCGGTACGCGCAAGATCGCCTCCTCGAAGACTCGACCGTGATCGGGTACGACCCCGAGGAGACCAAGCGAAGTCAGAAGAGAATCCCTCCAAAAGCGCGGCGTCTCCAAGACCAGGACAGGCACAACCCGCGGCCAACGGCGGTGCTATGGCAGTCGATGAAGACGAGGACGACGCATTCCTGAGAAGGGCCATGGGATTTGCCTCGTTCAAAAGCACACACAACACCAAAGTCCCTGGAAATCAGATTTATGGGGTTAGAAAGGAGAAGAAGACGGAGTACCGACAGTACATGAACCGTGTTGGCGGGTTCAACAGACCTCTCAGTCCGTCCAGATCATGATCGAAGCCATATTCATTGCTCAGGGTTTTGTGGCAAGTGGTCATGCTACGAGAAAGACTGTCTTGGACTCCCTGGCAATCGCACTTTGACTCTCAATCAACAAACAATCTATTCAAAAGCTAATGGAGTTGACATCAGCTGGTTGACTGGACCTATCTACCTGCCACGACAAGATACAACGGGGCGAGACACCCCACTGACAACGTCTATCTTATTCTGTTTTGCTTCAATGAACGGAACGTGGAGACCCGCATCTTACTGTTTCGAGCGATCATCATCGCGCAGCTCTTTGGCTATTTCCAACGCAAAGCAGAGGGCTGTTGCGATGTATTCATGCTGATTGGCTTCGCATGCTGCCAATGAGAATTGCTGTCATCGTATGGAATTCCATTTTTCAGAAGGGGTATGAATGCAGATACTCCTAGAGGTCACTAACGCCTTCACATACATGCCTCTTTCCCTCAAATGGATGGTATAAACCCGGAAGCAATAAACTTAGGATGCTATGCGAGAGCATGGTTCACAACAACAGTTTCGAAGCACGCCGGTCTTTTGGTACACGAAGGTTTCCATCCGCCTCTCCAGCCAGGTCATACAGTAGCGAACCGAAGGAAAACCTGGTAATCATAAGATTCTGGTCATCTATACATGATATCATACACATTACAAGCTCAGGTACAAGTTACCTATAAAGACAACTCCATAGAAGCCAACCCTACGCAACGATGACCCCAAGGCCGAGATGTACGTACCATGAGCTGCGTTCTCCTTATCTGAGCTACCCTCCGACGCAGCGGCAGAAGCCGAAGCAACAGCCTGAGCCGACGAACTCGAGGCCGAGGCCGCTGCCATGCTACTTTGTGCATCAGCAAGCGCCTCGGTGGCCTTCGCGAACGCCGGCCCGCCGGTCGCATCGGGCTGGAAAACCAAGCACTGCGTAGCCGCCAGGCGGTCGAGCTGGGTCGCCACCAGCGGCAGGGAGCTCGTAAGCTCGATGTTCTTCACGCCGAGCGACCCCAGGTCGAAGTTCGTGCCCGCGCGCAGGTCCAGCCCGATGCCGACCTCGTAGCCCGTCGTGATGTGCGTTAGGTTCTGAAAGATGTCTTGTAGGAGGTTTTCCTTGTCGGTATCGGAGTCGGTGGTGGCCATGGGCTCGCAGTTGGCATCGAACGTATCTGTTGCTATCTGCGTGAGCACGAGGGTTGTTTTGGGAAGATCGATGAATAGCCCTGATTCTGCGGTCAAGACTTCGAGGAACTCGACTCCTAGTGTCACTCGTGGCTGTAGGGAGACTTCGACGGAGAGTTCGATGTCGCCGAGGTTGGCTTGGAATGGTAGATCTGAGAGGCCAATGTCGTCCCTGTCGGAAAGAATGTTGGTTAGTATACCGTTGCGTAGTGCTGCATCCATGGCGGGCTTGTCTCCATTGTGGAGGTACTTACAAGCCTGTGACCTGGGATGATCCCGGATCCGAGAAGTTTATTAAAATGTCGAGATTAGGAATCTAAGAAAGGAGACTTAGCAGTAAATCATGTCGGGAGAAGGTTCCACGGACCTCAAGTTCAAAGCCATAGGTCAACTCAACGGCGCCAGAAAGTTTCCACGAGAGACTGAGCTGTGGCTCGAGCAAGAGCCCGGCCTTACCTATCTCAGGAAGCTGTCGTTTGTCAGGGTCAGCTCATGATCACACTGGTATGTTTGCAGGTATATCTAGACCCTTACCGTGAAGCCAGTGACACCAGGTACCGTCAAGCTGAAGAACACAAAGGATTCGGAGCCTTCGATCGATGGAGTGACCTGGAGTTCAACATGTGCAAAAAAGTCCTTGAGGTTGAACCGTACAAAACCGACCTTGAAGATATCTGTGAAGCTGCCCGCATCCAGCCAGTCTGCAGCGTCCAGGAGCTCCCATTCTCCTTGCGAGAGCTCTAGACTTCCCTTAGTCAGGCAGTCTTTGCAGTCGATATCAATGGGAAGCTGTAGGGCGGAGGTTTTGAGTTCAGGAAACCAATTCCCCCCATCCCCTTCGTGGGAGAGGTCGATCGATACGGCAGTGGCAGTTGCAACTGGGCCAGAAGGTATCAGGGACGACGCAAGTGGGTCAGCTGCGGTGGTAGTCGCAGATTCTTGCCGTTTTTCGTGCATCGGCCTCTGGTGGCTATATAGTTCAAGTGGTTCTGTGATCCGCCCAAAGCTGACGCGAAATCCATGGAAAGCGTCGTGCCACTTGACTTGGCTGACACTCAAGCTGATTATTGGCTGCATTCGTGTGCAGGTCATTGACAGAACCCTGGACAAGTCACCTGGTCAGGCAGGTTTGATATAATTCAGAGGTCAGTGGTTACTTACTTGAATGGGGCACGGGATCCTTCTCGGACACAGCCTTCCTGGGACACAATGAGGTGTCCTTGCACAAGATCTGACCATGACTCACAAGCGCTGTAGGAGTCTCGTAAGTCGTTAAAGCTGATTGTGATGCTTGTGCTCGTACAATGGACATCGGCGATGAGGTTCTCGATGTGTTCAAGCACAACCAGTGGGTTACGGGATTGAAAAGAGACGGTTGAAGAGAAGGAAGTTCCATCACGACTGTCACTAGCTCCTGAACGGGGAGTTAGGAATTCCAAGTCTGGAGTGAAGAAAGCACTACTGACCATCTGAATATGTTAGACTGGCACCATGCACTGGTGTAAGGACATCCGCTCGGCGCTGAGTATCTGAACGTGTTACTGCAGCATAGAGTTGGCGAGAGCTGGCTGCAAGCAACGCTGGGTTATCAAATACTAGCGCATGCACTGTTGTGACAAGGGATAGAAAATGAAGAGAAAGCATATGATTGAGATTCAACATTGCGACGATAAATTGACTTCCAATTCCTGGGGTATCAAATGGAGGAGAAGGCGAGGTCCTGTAGGATTTTAGTTGATCAGTGCAGAATATCCGTTGGAAGCTCACTTGATATATCGGTCTTCGTTGTTGCAGAGCCGTGCTCGTGAGGACCAGCTCACTGGGCATACGAGCAATGCATAATCCATCTAGAATGGTCGAATCCTCCATAGAAGCGATGTGACTGTGGCGCTCTAAACAGCAGGGTTGAGCGAAGAGTTCTTTGGCTGTTGACATGAGCCAGACGTTTCGGCCCTCATTGTGAACACTGAACAGACATATTCAACTTCGGGAACAAGCAATGTTGGGAAACCGTTGCCCGACGGACAAGGGTTCCTAGCTATTGTTGCACGAGATCTGGTGCTCAAGGCGTCTGTCTGCCTTGTCATGCCGAATTCATTTCCAACAACGTACTGATCCATATCCGCTTGATCAGTCCAGAAAGGTTGAGGCGGACGCCAGGAAGATCCCGTGAAAGTAGCTAGCTTGTGAGTTATGCATCGAAGACGGGGAAGAGCAAAGTCCCGACAGCCTTTACATGTCGCAGCTAGTGTCGGAAGCCAAAATGGTGTGAATTTAGTCTTGGGGGCGGGTATTTACTGGACCCTGCATAGGTCCTCTTGGAGATGCTTTATGCACAGGTAGGCAGTTGATAAGGCTGTGCACTAACCTGACGCTGGAGTTTCTCCTACCAGTCGTTTTGTCGTCCCAGTGAATTCATTGACTCAAAATCAAGTGATAAGCCGCCGCTATCCACACACGACTTCAGGCGAGAGCAGAGAAGAAGCGTTCAAACAGCAGAAAAAAGAGTCATGGCCATATCTCGGTCATCGAGCTAGCAAGTCAGGATAGCTCATGCTTGAAACGTTTGCAGCTTCACCAGGGGGGTCAGCCTTGCGGATGGCGCCTTCGGCTTCCCGGGTTACACATTTGCTTGACCAGGAATGAAACTCGGATGGCGCAAGCACTGCGGAGGTTCATGTTGAGGGCCTCCGTATGAAGATGTGCCTACGGAGTACTCCGTACTTCGTATGTAAGGAAAGGATACTTGGTTTGACGCCACTACTAGGTACATCTCAATCTGTAAGGAGTACAGTAGGTTTGCCAAGCCAGGTGACCCCTTTTAACCACTAAGATAGCGCAACATCACACCACCCTCGCTCATCCTGGGTAAACGGCCTATGGCCATCTCTCGCACTATTGATATACGACACAGGCTTCCTTCAACTCGAATACTGAGACTAACAATCTTGGGCTAAAAGTATGGATCAGCATTATTTCCAAGCGCTCTTCCATATGATGTTTGTGAGGAGATTCCCTCTTGATGTCGCACTAGCTGTTGTGGCGGCCTGGTTGGAGGGTGTATTCCAATAATACATATCATATATTCAGATTGTGCATGGATATATACCGAGAAAGAGTACGGACCATTGGCACTCTACCAGAGCAATCAGAAACCTCACACAAATTAATCACGGACTAACTTGACTGCAGAAAGTGTTCAGACTGTCCTAACTCTAAGCAGCCTTCAGTCTTTTTATTTATAGATGCGGCACGGCGAGGCTAGCAAGGCCCAAGTTAATGATACTCACAACCCCTTCGCCCAAGATAAGTCCACTTGCAAGTACAATGACAGTTGTCTCGCCTCTGCCCTTCCAATGCACCCACCACCAACTTACCACACCACCTGCTGTGCGAGCCAATGTAAAGCTAGGGGTGTTGTACATGCCAACAGCGACAGCAATACCGCCTGGAATCCATGGATGGATTCGGCGACACCATTCGCTCTGGTCGCGACACGCTAATAAGTAGATCCGGACAATCGTGGTGAGAACAAAGATGGCACCTGCCACCAGTGCAAATTGCCAGGCCATAGGAGGTAAACCCTTGCCTGTGACGAGGCGGGCTGTGAAGACCCAGACAAACGCTGTTGGAATTTGAAATAGTTCCCCGGGAATGGTGTAGACCGAGACATACAGCTTATAGACCGCTGCTGATACAAAAGCCCCGACCACGCTCCCAATCAGTTGGCCATAAAACTGGGCTTTAGGACTGGCGCCAATCAGATGGCCTGCTTTTAGATCTTGGAGGATGTCGCCAGCTTGGAGAGCACCAGCCTCACTCACCGCACCTGCAAGGAGATTTATGATTATAGCATGATTGGCATGTTTTCCTGAGGGAACTATGAGGGCAAACACAAGCTGGGTGAGCTTTGAAATGCCACTGACGGGATTCAGGTCGGTTTCACCGAGAGCCCGAACGCCCATTATTGAAAGGAGCAGTGCAAGGATAATGGCGAGGATGTTAAGTCCTAGAGGGATGTAGGCGCCAAAAGTTACATGGACACAAAACACACAGAGAATTATGGTAAGCGGTAGGAGAATGGTGATTGTGCGATTCGAAACGAGATGGTGAGCCGGAGCATCGTCAGGAAGTTCATCAGAGGAGCGATGCTTCGACGAGGGGCCGGACCGTTGGCCATGGCGATCAGCGCTGTCAAGTGCGAGATAACCAGCTAGTTGTCTGCCAAGTATGAAATTTGACCACGAGGCGCTGTGATGATAGTGATCAACAACTGACCTTACCCATTCCGGCCCATGTTTGATGACAGGTCGGAGTAGCAACCAGCCTAGATTGACCACAGCATCGGCCAACATGATTGCTAAACTTACCCAAACGATCCAGCCTTTGCTGCCAGTCTCCCAGTCATCGACATCCCCGGGAGCCCAACCATTGTGCTTGGCAATCGGGCTCAAAATCGCCCAACCAATGATGGCACCAAGGAGCATGTGGAAGGTAGTGGCGGGACCCATGATGATACCTTGACCAACGTAGGCTGGAGATGGATTTAGAGTCCACTGCCAGGTATGGGCAAGGTGGTTTCCGAAGAGAGGAAGCTTGTGCAAAATAGGCAGGAAATACTGAGTCAAGGTATAGACCCCAGAACCAGAAAAAGCGATTGTCAACACACGAATCTGTCTTTTCCAATCCGCTCGGAGATCATGTTCGTTCGCCGGGCCTCCCGGTACGAAATGATGCTGATTCTCGCGTTCGTCTTCTCTCAAAAGCTCCTCTCGTTCTTCGGTGCCTTGGGTTTCAATTTCACGATTCTTGGAGGAACCAGCCTTTGTGCCACCGTGCAGAACACTGATCATAAGAGCAGTTGCCGTGCCAGAGGGGAACTTCAAGCGCTCGCGGATAATGACCTGCTTCCGAAGAGGGACGCCGAAGACGACACCGAAGAGACACAGACCAATACCCCAGACAAACAAACGCCAAAGGCTCAGATCAATGGGAGCACCCTCGCTCTTCTTCAACAAGAATTCCAAACTGGGCATGACCCCAACAAATCCTAAACCCAGAGGCATGGTCCCGACTGCGCCGGCCACAGTCTGCACCAGGACATTCTCGACAGGCGTAAACGGCACGAGCAAATAGGGTGACAATGCCTTGAAGACGGCAAAGCCGATCAAGGACGCAGGCATCGCCATTCCAGAGACCCAGCCAGTCTGAAGACCAAAATAGGTATTGGAGAAGCAGATCACTATACCAATGGCAATGCCGACAGCGACGCCACGAAAGGTGAAATTAGTACCATCGAGAGCAGAGTCTTGCGCGGCAGGTGAAGCATAGCAGCCATGATCGGAGCGCGTGTGAGAGATGTTGGGTTCGAAAGAGTCGAAGGGCTCGGGCGGTGGTGAAGGAGGAGGGGAGGGAGAGGGAGAGGGAGAGGACAGGAGGTGACCCCTATCAGGAGCCATAGTGAGACTTTATTTATATTTGTCCGAGTGGTATAGTAGGACTAACAGTTTTGCATCGTGAAGATACTTGACGCAGTGGGGAGTTGGTGTCAGCCGAGGGCAGAGGCAGATGTCGTTGATATTATAGTCATGTGATATTCCACGTGACCGGTTTCATAATATCCCGCACGTGACCAGCGACGGGGGCCACGCAACTAACCCAGGATGATATAGAGGGGTCAATTAGCAACCGAGGGCTTGGATGGTGAGCCGTGCGGTGTGTTCGAAAGCGCCAGATATCCAATCAAGAGGCTCCGATGGCCGTGCCAGTCCTGCAGGACTCCTCTGAAAATCGTTGCCCCTCCGGACCCTGCATTCTCCCTGCTTGACTCGTGACCAGCCACCCGTCTGATGGACTCGTGGTCCACTTCCTCTCACCTCTCATCCCTGTACATTATGCTCCGAATCTTCAGAAATGCCATATTGGAATTTGAGTTGAAGGAAGGCAAAGGTCTGAATTGGACTCGTCGATACTAAGCGTTCCTGTACCTGTGCCTGCGCCCGCACCTGCATCCGCCCTTGTTGCTGCATTCTCTCCTACCCAAGGTATCCTTCCAGGTTTGCTTTCTTTATCCCGGCCATTTCTATTCGGTGTTTGATATGTACACCTGACTCAACCAGCATGACTGCTCTCTTTTGGTTCTCCAGTGATGCCTCCTCAGGGTGCCCGAGACCGTGAACTGCACCGTCACTATCAGCCATGGCTCGACACTTTCATCAGCACAATCGAGGCGACTGCCATCAATCCGCCCCCTGGCCATTCTGATTCGCACAAGCCGCGCTCGTCGCGAGATAAATCCTTAACAGCATTTGCGCAGCTGGGCTGTCTGCGTTTAAACGCGAAAAGAGGCGTGGTCACCCTGATTGATTCTGAAAAGCAATATATCGTTGCTGAGGCCACAAAGTCTCTTTCTCTTCTCAACGATGCCCAACACAATCCCGGCGATGGGCTATATTTTGGCAATGCCTTCGTCGCCCGCTCTCAAGGTATTTCCCAGGATGCCCTGTTTCCTGAAACATGCACCGTCAGCGGCCCGGATGGCTCATGCTTTTCTGCTCCGGCTCTCATCATCAATGACATTGCTGAACACCCTATTTACAAGACAAGAGGCTATGCTGGCACTGGTGTCAACTTCTATTGCGGCGTGCCGTTGAAGACTCGCCTTGGACATGTGATTGGCGTCTACAACGTGACCGATGATAAGCCCCGAACGGGCCTTTCCCCTGACGAGCTCCATTTTATGGTCGACATGGCCACTATCGTGGTTGACCATCTTGAAGTTGTCAAGAATAATCGTGCCCGCGCCAGAGGAGAGCGCCTCATCCATGGCATTGGCAAATTTATCGAGGGGCGAACCACCCACGCTGACGAGAATCCAGAGGAGACGCCTCACCACGCACCAAATTCAGACGTCCCGGTGAGCAAGAATCAGCAGATTGAAACTCCCCAGAGAAAGATTTTGCAATCCTGGGTTTCAGAAGAGGTTGTCCCATCTTTCAAGGGAATGAGGGTTGGTGATGCAAATGTTCCTCACAGCGACCACAAGCGTTCTCCGCCTGAATGCTTCAACCCTCGACCACAGCATCGTCGTGGTAGCAGTCACAGTGCCCTTCCAACAAGGCGAGCTTCTCTTCCTTCATCGAAAGTTGCATACTCCGAGCACCAGCAAAACGTTGCGTCGAAAAAATCCCAGCCGAACGCCAAGGAGAAAGCCATACATGACTACTACCGTGTCTTTGATCGAGCTGCTACTATTCTCAGGTATTGTTTGGCTGCGGAGGGTGTTGCCTTCCTGGACGCAAGTTCTGCAAATTTAAGTTCCGGTTCCACTGCTCTCATTGATACCAACTCACATCCTACCGCGAGACATTCCAGGGGTCGACCGAGACCCAATCTACATCATGCAGGCGATGGAACCCACCAGCAGAAAACTCATGAAGTCGAAACTACCCCCGAACCCACCTCTCATGAATCAAGCGATTCTGCTTCTGCCTCTATAGACCCACACCAGAACGATCGCTCCACGGCTTCGTCTAACAGAAGTAAGAAATGCCAGGTATTGGGGAAGTCGGGAAAAATGGGTGCCATCGAAATGTCAGAACGTCTCTTTCGGCGTTGCGTACGCCGCCACCCTGGGGGGAGGTGTTTCAGCTTCGATAAAAGCGGTAACCTAGCGTCTAGCGATGAAAGCTCTGAGTCAGCTACCGGTACCGTCACCAGTGATGCGGCGGCCGGTTCAAACACATCGACACAGGTCCCCAGTCTAGCCCGTTCTCGACCTAATGCTCTGCTGAAATCATTTCCTGGCGCAAGAAACATTGTGTTGCTGCCACTCTGGGACTTCGCGAAAGAGAGATGGCATTCGGGACTGGTTATCTGGTCGAATGATCCAGCAAAGCTCGTTAACGTTGATGACGACATGGCCTACTTGAAAGCATTCAGTAACGCCGTCATGAATGAGGTAAATCGCATCAATCTTGCCTTGTCTGATACTGCAAAGGCCACTTTCCTCGCCAGCATCTCCCACGAGCTACGCTCGCCTTTACATGGCATTTTGGGCAGTATTGAGTTTCTACATGATACTCCTATGGACGATTTTCAAGCCAGTATGCTCATCTCTGCTGAAACCTGTGGGAAAACCCTTCTCGATACTGTCAATCATGTCTTGGACTACGCAAAAATCAACAACTTGGCCAAGCACAACTCTCGTCATCTCGGTCACCCCCGGAACCAAGGGAATCCTCAGGCTTCGAGTTCAGATAGCAGTTTGACCAGCTGTTTCAACTTAGCGTCTGTCGTGGAAGAAGTCGTCGAGGCTATATATGCTGGCCAAGTCTTCCGCTCAGTTCAAGCCGATGTTATAGAAGGGAGGGGAAGCAGTCATTCCTCGAGTGAACGCATTGTCCGCGACCGCAGTCGTTTAAATGACAACGATCCCCAGGTATCGATGGGAAACCAACACCCCGTAAAAGTTACCCTCCAAATCGAGAATCACACCAACTGGAACGTAAAGTCACAACCTGGCGCGGTTCGGCGTGTGGTTACGAATATTCTGGGCAACGCTCTGAAATACACAAACTCAGGCAGCATCAACGTTTCGCTCAAGCCGGGAAACTCTCTTGAGAAAGACGCCTCTCATTTACACGTCCTGCTGTCTGTTGCAGACACTGGAATGGGAATGTCTGGTGAGTATGTCAAAAATCATGCCTTCACAGCCTTCTCTCAAGAGAACGCTTTGTCCAGTGGAACTGGGCTTGGACTGAGTATCGTTCGTCAAATTGTGGATTCTCTTGGTGGGCAGATTCATCTTAGCAGTGAAAAGAATGTTGGTACCGATCTTGAGATTTCACTTAGCCTTCCACGCGCTGGCAATGCCCAACTTGACGACCCGAGTGGCCAAACCCTAGCGCAGCTGCGAGTAAAGACCAAAGGCCTCAAATTGTGCATCCTTGAGCCTCCCTTGAAAGAGACAAACGCTCTGAATGACCCCGTGCGAGGCATATCGAAGATGCCGACTGTGCCAGACTCAGTCAAACAAATGCTGGCCACCTGGTTCGAGATGAATATCGCCACCGCACCAAGCATGCAAGGTGCCTCTCCGAACTTTTTCATGTACCTCGAGCCTCCTCCAATTGAGTGGTTGATAGAATGCCATGGTAATCCCGATTCCGACGCGGAAGTCCCGGTTTTGATCGTTTGCACGAATGCCTTTGAGGCCGCGAGTCTTCGCTCCAAGGGCATACATCTGCTGACAGACATTGGTAGGATCATCGAAGTGATCCCTCAGCCACTTGGGCCACAAAAAATGGCCAGTGCATTACTACGATGTATGCAGCGGCTGAAATTATTGAAAGACCCTGACGTTCGGCACTCCACAGCGCATGTTCCTATGACCGCAAGCCAGCAGAATATTGATCATACTTCAGCTGAAGCTACTCAAGGTTCGCGTATCTCCCAAGGCCAACCAGCCGAAAATCTGGAACGTCGTAACCAGATTGCTCGCCAGCTGATCGGTCAACCGAGGGCACAAGAGAGAGCTTTTCCAGATTTTGATCAGAGGCTTGAAACTACTTTGGAAGTCGGCAGTGTCCCTGACGCAGTCACCAAGGACGGAGAGAATTATTTGCCACATGTTTTAGTTGTTGACGACAATCACATAAATCTGATTCTTCTTGTGGCTTTTGTGAGGAGGACCAAGCATCCGTTCGAGAGTGCTGTTGACGGCTCGGAAGCTTTGACAGCTTATAAGAGGAGTGCAATTGAAAACGAAGGCGCCAGTAGGTTCAAATACATTCTGATGGACATTTCGATGCCTGTCATGGATGGGATTGCTTCCACCAAAGCAATACGACAATTCGAGAGAGATAAGAGGATTGAATCACCTGCCACTATCATCGCTCTGACCGGCCTAGGTGACCAGAACGCTCAACAAGACGCCTTTCATGCCGGGTTCGACCAATTTCTGTCAAAACCCATCGTAAGTCCATTCGTCTTTGTGAAGCGTGCACAGATGCTAACATATGATTAGAGATTCAAAGACCTAAAACAAATATTAGTGTGACTACTGAGAATAAATCATTCAGGTTGCTGCAATCTTTCACTTGCATCTAGGAGTTGGCTGGTTTCGATCGGCGTGAGAAGGTCTTTCACCGGATAGACTGGACGAGCAAGTCCCAAGTTTCTTCAGTGTTCATGACTACCGGAACGGACATAGAACTAAGGCTGGATCTTTATTATGTCGGATGGTTTCCCTCTCTGTAATGACTGACAAGAGCAACGATTTCTTTTTTCTTTGTAATTCAGACTATAAAATTCGTGCGCAGATGCCCTTGAAGCACCAGAAGAACATGGATGACACGAGGAAGCTGACCTAGGCGGCCACAATGCTACATTTCTACGGAGATGGAGAAGCCAAGATACGAAGATATTGCGTGTTTTCAACTATCAGCATTCGCTGAGGGTGGTTGTCATAGATATACCAGCTGAACCGCCTAATCATAGACAAGCTTCCATAAGTATCTGCATTAGGCAATACGGGTGAACCCACCATCCTGGCTGAGAATAACCAGGACAACCCAGCTCGTGGCACTTATTGTATTCTTGATTCTTGGCCCACAAGGGCTCGCTCGCCGCTCAACTCAGTTCTCTCCTTGCCATACCTGGGGTTGAAACAAGAAATAAACTGAAGATATGACCTTAACAGACTTAGAAATTCCTTATACACAGCAGCCCCGACCATCAACATTGCTGCTGATGCCGCGGCATGGGCAAGTGCCTGTCGAACCTTTTTCCCGAACATATTGCTTATAGCAAACTCCACCGGAGATATCAACCTCGACGATATCGTCAACATCACTGGTGATTTAATGACCGATGGGTTGTACCCTTTTTCGCCGGGACCCAGGTAACCACATTCCATAGTAAGTCGTTTGTATGGTCAGAGGAGGGATTTCTCTCCCTACCGCTCCTCTTCTCGAATTAGAATACATTTCTTTGCCAGGCCTCCGGTCTGTCGATCAGAGAACTTTCAAAACAACCTGAGAACGTTCTGAAAAGTCCAGACTGAACGCTGAATAGCAAAAACAATGCCGCCTTGCATAGTTTATGTAAGGCGGCACGACTTAATTTCCAAAGCCGTAGATTATATCTTGGCATATTTCGTGTGTTTGTTTCCGTCTGCAACTTCGAGGACACTTCGCCTCGCAACGAAACATTTACGTCGACAAAGCAATGCTGAACACAACTATTTCTATAGGTATAAGCCTCTGACTAGTGCTCGAATGACCAGCAAGGCCATGTGTGAAATTATTACTTAGGCCGTGCAAACATGGCCGTTGGTTACATGCACCCTTGCCTGACCATGAAACTGTCCCCAAGATGATGCGAATTCTCGAATCACAGGCTCCTGCACGGCAGACCGCCACCGATACGATCCAGACGCTGAGTAGTCGTCTCTCAAGTGCCACCTTACTAGAAGATCGCCGGGCGGCCATTCTCGGTCTACGAAGTTTTGCGAAAACATATCCTGCCTCGGTTGCGTCCGGAGCCCTTCGAGACCTCATTGCTGCCCTACGCCGAGATGGAGAAGACTCGGATACAATTAAGGTGGTCTTGGAGACCATCCTGATGCTGTTTGAACCAGATGAAAAATCACCGGAGGCATCAGACGAAATTACGTTGTGGTTGGCGGATGAGTTCACGCAGCGGCAGGACAACATCACCGCGCTGCTGGACTTGCTCGAATCCGGTGAATTCTACCTACGGCTGTATGGGCTTCAAATCCTTTCACACATTTCGACATTAAGAGCTCAACGAACACAAGAAGCTGTATTTGCCGCTCCTCTAGGCGTTTCACGGATCACAGCTGTCTTGGATGACAAACGCGAAGCAGTGCGGAACGAGGCGTTAGTCCTTCTGGTTGCCCTGACACCAACCTCTACCGAACTGCAGAAGGTAGTCGCTTTCGAAAATGCGTTTGACAGGAACTTTGCGTTGGTGGAAGGCGATGGAGGCTTGACGGAGGGCTCTACCATTGTTCAGGACTGCTTGTCCTTGTTCGCAAATCTTCTACGCCTGAACACGTCAAATCAGTCGTATTTCCGTGAAATTGGCGGCATCGTGAAGATCAGGAAGCTACTTCTCGCCGCTGTGGAGCAAGAGGATGGCGTAGATGGAGTATCAGAATGGATGAAGCCTCAACGCGATATGAACGTCTGGGGTTTACTTGGAGTAATCCAGCTTTTTCTCGCAGTAGGAGCTCAAGGTACTATGGTCAACCAGCAAGCCTTCTGGCAAACGGGGGTTCTCCAGATTGTGCTATGTATAGCGTTCCATCCAGGGTTCAACTCCAATGTGCGAGCTAAGTCTCTTCAAACCTGTGGAGATATCATACGTGGGAATCAAGGCCTCCAAGAACGTTTCGGTGACCTTCCAGTGCAGCTCAAACAGCCAGACAAACCTACGACGAATGGCCATCAATCCCCAGCCCCACATGAGAAACAAGCTAAATCAAGGAAATCAAACTATCGAGAACAAAATGTTATCGAGTCGCTTCTCGAGCTGGCTTTGGAGCCAGCACCACTTGCTTTATTTGACGTTCGGCTTGCTGCTTTATCTTGTATGCAAGCATTCGTGGAGGGCCATGCAGGGATTCGAGCTCATGTCCTTCGAAGAGCTATTGAGGGACACAAAAGTGGTGACGATGCCATTCCGAATATGCTTACCGTCCTTCTGGAATCGCCTTCAACCCGCAGCAATGCAGACCCCTACCAGCAATGGATGGCTGCTGTGATTTTGCTGCATTTAGTCTACGATAACGCCGACACCAAGGAACTCGCTTTGAAGGTGACGGAAGGCGACGCAGACAACGGAGAGGAGGTTGTGACGTTCATTCAAAGCATAACCAGTAATGTGATTGCTGGTGTTCAGCATGTTGAGGATGAGCGGGCCCTGCTTGGGTATCTCATGCTCCTCTCTGTGTGGCTTTTTGAAGACCCAGAAGCTGTCAACGACCTTCTTGGTGAGGGAAGCAACGTTCAGGGCCTAGTTGCTGCAGTCAAGATTGCAAACATCTCGATGCCGCTGGTAGCAGGTCTCGCTGCATTTTTACTTGGCATCATTTATGAGTTTTCAACGAAAGATTCTCCTGTCTCCCGAACCACACTTCATTCAATTTTGACGACTAATATGGGCCGCGAAACCTACGTTGACCGACTGACTAAGTTGCGGGAAAATCCCTTCGTTCGGGATTATGAGGTTCTGCTGCAGGGAGGCGGTGGAGGTCTTCCCGAGGTCTTTTTTGACAAAACATTTATCGACTTTCTGAAGGACAACTTCAGTAGGTTTCTTCGTGCCATTGATCGCGACCCAAAGTTCGAAGTGTCCATTGTGAGCAACGGAGTGCAAAAAGGCGTATCTCGGGACTTGGTTGACAATCTTCGGGCGCAAGTGGAGGAGCAAAGGCAATCCTTGGAAGCATCGAGCACAGAATTGCTTCAAATCAAGAGGAGACTCGAACAAGAAGAGTTGGACCACCGCCGGACCCGAGAATCCACGACGGTAGAACTTTCTCGCATCAAGCAAATCAATCAGAGTCTTCATGAAAACCACGAGGATGAAATCACCAGGTTGCAGCAAGGATTCGGGAGGGATAGGGATTCACTGCTTAAAAGTCACGAGGATGAACTCCACCGGCGTCGGAACGAGCATCTCAGCACGTTCGAAAACGCTAAGAAGCAGCACAATGCTGAAATTCAACAGCTCGAGCAGCGTCTCAAACTCCTCGAGCAAGAGGCGGCGCGAGATCGAGCAGCCTTAATACAGCAGCATAAACAAGAGCTTGAAGAAGTGGAGCACAAGTCTTCAAATGCCCGCAAGAGGGAAGCTGATGAAATTGCGGATCTCAAACGCACGATCCTTGGACTGGAGACGAACCTGAAAAAGGCAGAAAGAGATCATATTCAAGACCTTGAGACCGCGCACGAAGATTACAAAGGCAAGATAGATGCTCTAGAAGCACGACTGAAACGAGCAGAGAGTCGTGCGGGCGATGCAGAAAGTGAAGCCAAGCGCTTGCAAGAATATCTCGAGAAGGAGAAGTCGGGACGAAAAGACGTACAGACCGAGCTTGAAGATCTCCTGGTCGTTTTCGGAGACCTAGAGGCGAAAAGGTCTACCGACAAATCGCGATTGAAGGAGCTTGGTGAAGAGGTGTCCGAAGACGACGGAGATGGAGATGAAGGGGATGAGGATGCAGAAGAAGATGACGAGGATGACGAGGATGTTGACTAAACAACCATCTAGGCGACGTTGGCCTTTCGAAATTAGCATGCGTGGAAAGCAATGGACATGGCCAGTCCATTGTATTGATACAAAATTGATACCCTGTATGATATTAGGCGGAGGATGAAGAGACATGAGCCTTTATTTGATATCACTGGTCCCGCGAGGCTGTGTTTCTACTTTTCACGTGCCCTGGCCCTTTGTTCCTTGCCCTTCTCCTTGGGGGTTCCCAAACCAGTACCTGCCTGAGTGCCTGCCAAGCTTTCATGCTGCCCCTCCGTTTCAATTATTTGCCCGACCAGACACCCAGACACTCTCGCCCGTTGACTCATTCTGACTGTTAACCAGCATTTATATTTCCCAACCCCCCGCCCGAGCAGCAGAGTCTGGTCATTCAGGTTCCCAAAATGGCAGTCGACTTTGCTGCTGAAGAGGCTGCAACTCTCAAACGCTGGCGAGAGATCGATGCCTTCCAGACCCAACTGCGCCTGTCCAAGGGTAACAAGCCTTACACTTTCTATGATGGCCCTCCATTCGCGACCGGTCTCCCTCACTATGGCCACTTACTGGCTTCCACTATCAAAGATATCATCCCCAGATATTGGTCCATGAAGGGCTATTATGTGGAGCGAAGATTTGGCTGGGACACCCACGGCTTGCCAATCGAGTATGAGATTGACAAGAAGTTCAATATCTCAGGCCCGGCTGCTGTGAAAGAGATGGGAATTGCCAGATACAATGCTGAGTGCAAGGCTATTGTCATGAGGTTTGCAACCGAGTGGCGAGAGACCATTGACCGTCTCGGCCGTTGGATTGACTTTGACAATGACTACAAAACCATGAACCCGACATTCATGGAGTCAGTGTGGTGGGTTTTCAAGCAGTTGTTCGACCAAGGACAGGTCTACCGGAGCTACCGAGTCATGCCATTCTCCACCGCCTTGAGCACTCCTCTCAGTCAACATGAGGCTCAATCGAATTACAAGGAAATACAAGATCCCGCAGTTGTCATCGCTTTTCCCCTGGTCGACGACCCGAAGACCAGCCTCCTAGCCTGGACAACCACCCCTTGGACCCTCCCTTCAAATATCGGCTTGGCAGTCAATGCCGGGTTCGAGTACATCAAGTTCGTGGACCAGGATTCTGGACAACAATTTATCATGTTGGAGAAACTCCTCAAGACGTTATACAAAGACCCGAAAAAGGCCAAATTCATCATATTGGAGCGTATCAAGGGCAGCGACCTCAAGGATAAGCAATATATTCCTCCATTCGACTACTTTTATGAAGAATATAAAGACCATGCCTTCAGGGTCTTGAATGGGGTCTATGTCACAGATGACGATGGTACTGGAGTCGTCCACCAGGCTCCTGCTTTTGGTGAAGAAGATTTCCACGTGGCCATGGAAGCCGGGACCATCAGTCATGACAGACTTCCTCCGAATCCCGTGGATGATACGGGCAGATTCACCAAGGAAGTCACTGATTTTGCTGGTCAGTATGTCAAGGATGCTGACAAGCACATCATCAAGCACTTGAAAGCTAGCGGAAGGTTAATTCGAGACGGCCAAGTGACCCATCAGTATCCATTCTGCTGGCGTTCAGATACTCCACTTCTCTATCGAGCAGTGTCCGGGTGGTTTGTCAACATTGCCGGTAACGAAAAAGTACCAAGCATCATCCCTCTGATGCTGGATGGAATCGCCAAGTCCCACTGGGTACCCAACTTCGTCAAGGAGAAGAGATTTGCCGAATGGATCAAGAATGCTCGAGACTGGAACATCTCACGCAATCGATACTGGGGCACCCCGATCCCTCTCTGGGCAAGTGAAGACTATTCTGAGGTCGTCGCAATCGGGAGTATAGACGAGTTGAAGAGACTCAGTGGCTATGATGGGGAGATTACCGATCTACACCGAGACTCTGTTGACGATATCACCATTCCTAGCCAAAAAGGGAACGGTGTTCTTAGAAGGGTCGAGGAAGTCTTCGACTGCTGGTTCGAATCTGGAAGCATGCCTTACGCGTCTTCCCATTACCCTTTCGAGAACAAGGATTTCTTCGACCAGACCTTCCCTGGTGATTTCATCGCTGAGGGCCTTGATCAGACTCGTGGCTGGTTCTACACCTTGGTCATTCTCGGTATTCACCTGAAGAAGACTTTGCCCTTCAAAAACTGTGTAGTCAATGGTATAGTCTTGGCTGAAGATGGCAAGAAGATGTCAAAAAGACTTCAGAATTATCCCAATCCCACAACCGTCATTGACAAGTATGGAGCCGATGCCCTGCGTCTCTACATGATCAATTCTCCAGTTGTCAGAGCTGAGCCACTGAGATTCAAGGAAACAGGCGTCAAAGAAATTGTGGCCAAAGTGTTGTTGCCGTTGTGGAATAGCTACAAATTCTTCGAAGGCCAGGTTCAGCTATTGAAGAAGGTTGAAGGAATTGATTACATCTTTGATCCCAAAGCTGAGACAACCAACACGAATGTGATGGACAAGTGGATCCTAGCCAGCACGCAGTCTCTCCTCAAATACATCAATGAAGAGATGGCGGCGTACCGACTATACACTGTCGTGCCTGGTCTTCTCAATTTAATTGATGAAACGACCAACTGGTACATTCGATTCAACCGCAAGCGCCTGAAGGGTGAATTGGGAGTAGATGACACTCTCCATGCACTTAATGCTCTTTTCGACGTTTTGTACACTCTCGTTCGAGCACTTGCCCCATTTACCCCTTTCATTGCCGATCTCATCTACTCGAAGCTTCTTCTCCATATTCCCAAATCTCTTCACGCCAAGGACGACCGAAGTGTACATTTCCTCGCATTCCCCGAGGTTCGAGAAGAGCTTTTTGACCCAGTTGTGGAGAGAAGAGTGGGGCGCATGCAGAAAGTCATTGAACTTGCTAGGCAGTCCAGAGAACGAAGAACTGTGGGCTTGAAAACACCACTGAAAACACTTGTGGTCATCCACAAGGACCAACAGTATCTCGACGATGTCAAGTCCTTGGAGGGATACATTACAGAAGAACTCAACGTTCGAGATCTAGTACTGTCCTCTGATGAGGAGAAGTACAACGTACAGTACAGTGTTACTGCCGACTGGCCTGTCCTCGGGAAGAAACTCAAGAAGGATGTACAGAAAGTCAAGAAAGCTCTTCCCGACGTGACGAGCGTCGATTGCAAGTCTTTCCTTTCCACCAAGAAGATATCCGTGGCTGGTATCGACTTGGTGGAAGGTGATCTCGTGGTCAAGAGAGCACTCACGCAAGACGAAAATTCTCAGCATCAAGAAACCAATACCGACGACGATGTCCTGACTATACTAGACGTAGCTATCCACCCCGAGCTTGCACAGGAGGGTCTTGCTCGCGAGATTATCAATCGTGTACAGCAGTTGCGCAAGAAGTCCGATCTTAAACCGACAGACGATGTAAAGATGGAGTATCGCGTGCAGGAGGACCCGGAGGCCATCGGATTAGAAAAGGTGTTCGAGTCGCAGAGTGGCTTCATTGAGAAGGCACTCCGAAGACCGCTAGACAAGCATATCGTTACGGAGGTTGAAGGACCCGTGGTGAACGGCGTCAGGGAGGACAAAATCATCGCAGAGGAGGTACAGGAGATCCAGAAAGCGACTTTCCTGTTGAGACTTTTGAAGATTTGAAAGAGTCACAAAACAAGAAAGGAAGGGAAGCAATGATGACGAATGAATTGTATGAGAGGAATGGACTTTATGCCCACACGCTCTGTTTTAGGCTAGAAGTTCAGCTAGATGTGAACAAGTGATCACCGTCCACGGCGGGGTTTAAAACCGAGGAAAAGTTAAATCAGTACTTCCTTGTTCATGATTTCTTCGCGTGTTTCTGTCCACGGGAGGATTTATTAGCCAGCGTGATATGATGGACGAATGGGGAGAAACGGGCAAATAATAGATATATGAAGCAGTGACGCCAAACAACGGCCACTACGCAGCGTCCTCACCCTTATACAAGCCATCAATAAACTACTGCTGCTACCAAACAAGAAAGATCACGAGCAAAGGGCAAGTTGGGGAGTGGAGCACAGCCAGCAGGGCCTCTTCCCAAAGCGCAGCAGCGGAAGATCTTTGACCAAATTAAAGGGTGGGGGGAAGGAAATCAAGATAGAACTTACAAGGTAGCAGTCCTTCAGCCTCAGAAACTCCTGCGCGCACATGTCCTTGTGCGTGCCCTGGTAGTCGGCCACGACGCACTTGCCGTAAGCTGTTGCCTGTCCCGGTTTGCTGGGTTAGTGTTGTGCTGCATTGTGACAGATGGAGGTGGCGGAGGAGATGGAGATGGAGAGGGAGACATGACAACGAGAAGAGCAGGAACAAGATCAAGATCAAGGACAAGGACAAGGGTAAATACCTCGACAGAACACTTGGCAGCCGCAACGGCGAACTTCTCGATCGGCCTCGCGCGGCCGGAGATCGTGGGCATTGCTCAGCCGAAGGAAAAGAGATGAACGTTCGGACCAACGAACGAAAGATTAGAGGTTTCGTCCTGGTGGAAGGGAAGACGGACTCAGGCGGGATGCGAGATCGAGATGGGCAGGGCTCGTAGCTGGTGCCTTTTTGGGGGCTTCTCCTTTCCTTCACATGCTCATTCTAACACAAACAACAGTGATGGCGATAAGCGACGATGACGATGACGATGACGAGAAGAGGAAGGGGAGAGAGATGATCAAGGGTCAGGCTGGCAGCGCGCGTCGACGGGCGCGGGCGCAGGTGCGTGGAGTCCCTGATGACTTCACGAGAAGGGATGGATGGACCGTATTGTTGTGATTGTGGTTCCTGGAGTTTGCGGGAGTCTATCGATCGATATTAATAATCGTTGGTTGAAATGGATGATGATATTTACGAGTAGATCTCAAAGGGGGTTCGATTATTCGAGTCGAGGATGCCATTGGTTGGGGGTGCGGATGGGGCGAGCACGCAGCCTTGTGTTATTAATTGGCCTACAACCCTTTCCGGCTTTGCTTTCCGCCCCAATCCTCAGCCTACGCCTCTGACGGATATGTAGGATAGCTTGGTCCGCTGGAGCGCCGTCGTAACATGCCATGCTGATTTGGAGGGCTGAAATGGAATCCTGGATGTGAAGGAAAAGAAAGGCTTCCGATATCCATCCCTGTGATACATACATGGATCTCGGAGCAAAACGGGGGGATGGCGTGTTCAAAAAGAGTCGCTGGCTCGGGTGCCTTGAGCACCACAAGTTAGTCTAGTCCCCCTCAAATCATCCAAGACAGCTTACATCTTCGTGGTCTAGTGTTGGGCGGTCCAAGTAATAATAATAGCACAACACCCTAAGTAACGAAGGGTCTCGAGAAAGATTACTCAGTGGCAGAGTCACCGGAACTTGGCCAGAAGAGGAGCGCAAGGGATTCAAACGCATCTTGCTATGGGTGCGGTTGGGAAAGGGAACGGCTTCGAGAATGCACTTCCGAGTCGGTCAACTTTGACTTGCTGAAGAACTACGATCAACTCAATCAGCCGCAAAAGAACACAGGACACAGAATACAACAGATCAAAACATGCAGCCTGTTTTTCTTTTCATAACAGATTCATCTTGTCCTATCGCATAGGTACTAACTAAGAAAGTGAGAACCCAAATTTCAAGGACATAATTGAGGTAGGTAGGTGCTGGGGACTGTCCTCCTCTTCTCCAGTCTCGTTTCCATTTCCTTTGCTCTGCTGTCCACCGGGAGCCATTCCTTGGTGTCTGCATCGATGATAATAGTCGACGCGGGCGTCTCCCTCGCTGCCTGCTCCACTCCTGAAACACGGTTTTCATGATTAAAATGACGCTGCCATCCTAGATTCTGCCATTGCGAGAGGGAAATTTCATCACACTTTTGCTTTTCCGGGGGTTTTCTCCAACTCCGCCATAAAAGGGGCGCAAGGGGAAGGGGGACGAGTATGGACATGTGGAATTAGAACGTATTTTAGCTCCTTTGATACAAGAAGCATGGGGGCAGGGGATATGAGCATGCGGCAATGCAACATAGCTAAGCATGATGCGATGTTTTGAGACTTGCAAGAATACAGACGCGTTAACCAAAGTCGTTGATCATTCCTCGAAGAAAAACCCGTCGTCACCCGTCCTTTGCACCCCACTCATCCGGTGCTCATGGGTCTTGGAACGGGATAGATGTGTTTCGTCGACTCTCTCATCTTCGGCAACTCGCGAGCCGCCAAACTGTTCTTCCATGGTGCTTTCATCGACGAATGTGAATCCCTGAAAAGCGTTTTGCATGGTTGGTGACAATGGTGTCGACGCCGGTGCTGCTCCTGCCGCCAAAGCAGCAGCTCGAGCATTCAAAGAGGACGATGTGTTGAGCGCATTGGTAAATTCCGGGTCGAAGTTTGACGTGTCGGAAACTGAACTCAACTTGGGTTTGAAAGGCGGGACAAGGTTCTTCTTGCCAAGAGCATCCCAGTCGACGTCAGCGAAGAAGGGATGCTCAATCAATTCTTGTGCATCCCGGGTCGCTCCCAAGCGATGTTTGGGATTGCGATTGAGCAGGCCCTTGACGAAATTTCTTCCTTCGGTGCTCAGCGCATCTCTGGGGAATCGCACCTTCCCAAAGGCGATGTTTTTGTACATCTGTTGTGTATCCTCGGCATAGAATGGACTCCATCCACAACACATTTCAAATACAAGTACACCAAGAGACCAGAAATCCACCATCTTGGTGTAGCCCTGTTCGTCCAGCAGAACCTCGGGTGCCAGGTACTCGGTTGTTCCACAGAACGTGTTGGTGGTGTCATCTTGTGTTAAATTGGCCTTGGACAGACCAAAGTCGCACAGAGCAATATGTCCATTGGCATCCAATAGGATGTTTTCTGGTTTGAGGTCTCGGTAAACAATGTCATGGTCATGCAAATGTTTCAGCGCAAGGATTAGCTCAGCAATGTAAAACTTGGCACGATCTTCCTTAAAGCGTCCTTCTTTCTGGAGATGCCAAAATAGTTCTCCTCCGGACATGAAGTCCGTGACCAGGTAAAGATCGGTAGGAGTCTGGAACGAGAATTTCAACGCCACAATGAACGGCGATTCGGTTGTAGCTGTCCTGACCAAAATATTCCTTTCTCCAATTGTATGCTGGATTTCTTTCTTCTGGATGATTACCTTCTTCGATAGAACTTTCATTGCATAGATTCGTTGCGTGTCCTTTTTCCGCACTTGGTACACTTGGCCAAAAGTACCTTTGCCAATCAATTTTAAGATCTGGAAATCATTCGGCCCAAAATGTCGTTTATCAACTTTTGAAAAATGCATGCGGATATGAATTTCGCCTGTAATGTCTTGGTCCTGTGGTCCGCGGGGTTCGAGTCTGAAGAACCCTTCCAGGGTTGGTTGTTGTTCATTCAAAAGCAGACAAAGCCGGACGTGGCCCAAGAACGAGTCGGAGTGGCGGTCATACACTGTCACATCGAGCTCCGATTGTTGGCTTACAACATCGCTGCAGATGAATTAGTCCAGCAAAAGTCCAATGAGAACAACGTGAGCTTACAAATTGGCCTCACGATCCCATTGAGGATCCGTCACCTTATCCAGGGGACGCTCCTCTCCATTGGTGCTACTTTGACGGCTTCGCATGGGGATCGCCATGGGTTTGCCCATGTCACTGTCGGTTCTGCGGATGGGAATCGACTGCAAGGACGCTACTGGTCCTTTGGCATCACTGTCGACTTCCATCTTGTCCTGCCTCGGCCCCTTAGAGACATACTCGTTCCACTCAAATTGCACCACAACATAGGGGTCAAATGAAGGCTTCAAGTTTCGTCCCTCGGCGATTTTAATTGACAACTTGCCTCGTGGGGAGGAGACGGAAGGAAGAGTAGGACTGGTCTGTTTCTGAGTTTCTTTTTCTGACTCGGTACCTGTGTCACCCGGGGCGGTGCTCGTGCTCGAGAGGGGCGAGCGAGTTTGATCTCTGCGGTCCTCTTGCGATAACGCTCGTGGTGTGTGAGGAGGGGTACTCTTATCACGCGGCACAATGGCCACGCTCGAAGTTAGCTCATGAGTCTCTGGGATAGTTTGAGATGATGGTAGCTTAGCAGAACTTGGAGATGAAGATTGAGGGGAATGCGGTCGCGAGGAGTGTGTAGACGAAGTGGGGTTGGATATGTGCGCTGCGGTCGCAGTGCTTTTTGTGACGCTTGAAACAGGCAAAGACTGGTGGCGACGTTCTTTCTTTCCAAACGCGGATTTGGGAAGTACAAAGTTCCTCAAAGCCTGCGTAATGGAGGTTATGCCACCGTCCACCAGGGAAGCTCCATTCTCGGCCACTTCACCATCTCGATGCACGACTGATGCGGCAGATGAGATAGGTGTAGGCGGCAACCGAGAAGCATCTGTTTCATGCGTACCCGTACCCTCCAAAGGCCCATGTTGGCCAGGAGGCTCTTCAGGTGGTGGTGTAGACACGGTTGCCTGCTCCCGCTCGACCATCACCATCGAGCCTATGGAAGCAGACGATACACGCTTTTTCTCGTTCTCTTCCTCTTTCACGGGCTCGGGCTGAACAGAAGAAGGGGCATGTTTCTGGCTGACTTCAGGGTATGCAGCAACTTGAGATGACCGTGACGGTGTATTTTGAGAAGGATCTCTACCCACCTGGCCAAAGTAGCTCATTATTCCTGGGAGGCGTTTGTCGTGAAGGTCTGGTCGGGGGGTTTCGACACCCGAGGGCGTGGGGGAGTTGGAGCCGATGTGATCATGGAGGTCCTCTCGACCTTCATGCCTCGCACTGCTGCTCATCCAAGTTAGCAATGAACCGCAAAAGGTGGTGGCACTATGCAAACAGAGGTCGTTTTGGCGAACGATTAGCTGGAGGGGCAGGAAGGCGAAACATGGTCGTCTTTAGGTCGTTGCAGCTTAACGCTGGCACCTAGGTTGGACTTGGGCGTTCCATGCCAGACTGCGAGACCTTTCACGTTGAGTTCTGACTAGTACTCCGTAGGTTCAAGTGATAGAACCGCACTGCCTTTAGACGGCCGAGGCTGGTGCGTTGGGCTCATCTCCCGTGACGCCCACATCCGTCTCTGACAAGGTCCTCCAAGATGACGCTCTGTTGGATGGAACGGGGAAGGTGGAACCTACTTCTGTGCCATGGCTTGTCTTAGCAAGTCTGCAGCTGCATGAGGGTTGACACCAGTCTGCGCCATGATGGCGGAAGAATCTTCAACCTCTTCGACGGTCAAGATCTCTTCTCGTATTCAGTTCCCGACCAATATCGCGTATGTGTGCCGTGTGCGGTACTCGGTAGAGGTGGAAGTGTTGAAGCTCCTGAAATATCCGGGTGTGGGCTTCGAGTGACGAAGGTGGTGCAGAAGTTGGAGAATCTCGGAAGTTGGGTTGGCAGGGATTACAGGCGTTTCTCGGGGCTGGGACCGATTCGGGGTTGAAGAGTAAGGTGAAGGTTGGGTGAAGATTGGGTGAGTACGGAGTACGGAGTATGGTCGAGGGAGATGGAGAGGGTTTGGATGGGAAACTGAAAATGGAAGAAGAGGAGAAATGTCCCCAAGGTAATCGGTAGCGACAGCGAGCTTGAGGGCGAGAGATAAGTATGATGAAAGAATAGCGTACGCCGTGGTGAGGCCCGAGTGAGAATTTGTGGACTGTTCTAGAGAGGGGGCTCAGGTTCTCAAGCGTGGACACATGGGGAGGCGAAGGCGAAGGCGTGTGTCCCTTGGGCGTTTGGGCCTTGAGTCAAGGACTCTTAGCAGGGAGGCTAGATTATTACGATAGTGAGGCCCGGATTGGGGGAAGGGATCGAAGGCGGAAAAAAGTGGTACGAGCAGAATCTGATGGCGAAGGCGGCGAAAAATAAGGTGCAAGAAGCGGGCAGAAGCAACAACCGCCGCACCAAGTACAGATAGATTACGAGTACAACGAGCTCGGAGTATTGAGGGCCTACTACCTAATACTACGGAGTACCACTGAGGACCTGGACGGGGGACCGACTGGAACTGAGACTGAGACTGCGGGCTGGAATTCGTGGGAACTGGGAGAATTGGTAGGTTTGGGTTTTGGATTTAGGCAGCGTGTGGACGACTCCGTTGATAGGCAAAGGATGAAGCGGATCAGTGCGGGCATATGCCAAAAAAGCCTACGGGGCAGATTAGTGCTTCAAGAACCCAAGAGACAAGGAGCCCTCGTCGCGAGAGCCAGTCAATTGTGAAATCACCGAGGCCTCGAATTGGCCTCAGGCGGATCAACGGCGACAGAGGTGCCAGTGTCAAGAATTGACCCGACTCGGCTACGGGACAGCTACAGGTACATGAATGGTGGGATAACAATCCCAACAGACTTGGAGTGAGGTTTCTTTGGGTTCTGTAGTAGAAGTGCTGAAAAGCAAGCTGTGTGTGAATCATCAAAGAGATACTCCGGGCATCGACGTCATCATGGCGTATGTCCGACGACAGGCCATGGAGGGGCAGGGAAATACAGGAAAAGGTAGATTGGATCAAGTTGTCCGGCTGGGCGAGAAATTGATGGGAGAGAAGAATTGCTGACTGAGCAGGAAGCAAATACGAGATAATCGGGACGGAGCACCGACTACCCAGTGCTCGTGGTAGTAGTACTTGGAGTCAAGGCATGTGGAAAGCTCACTCTGCAGCACAGGCTTTTCTGCCCACTTGGTGCACAAACTGCAGCACATGCAAGTTCGTTGGTGTTATTATTATTATTATTGCACTGCCACCTTGCCGCGTGACGGTTCGACACTGGATTTCGGCAATACAATGTTCCGCCCGGAGCTCTGCACTCCGCACGCTCAACTGTCACGCTTGACAACATTTGTATCATTGATTCAAGGGCGTGATCCACTTCCAGTATTGATTCTTGCTCCTTGCTCTAGCCAACTGACAATTCTTGGACCGCATCTTTCTATTCGTGGTATAGCTGAGGCTGATGCTGAGATGATTTCCATTTGGTGAAACCAACCTAGAAGGAACATCCCTGCTACCGTGTAACGTGGAAGGGGTCAATCACTTAGAATAGCAGCAAGGCTGAGACCAAGTTCGCCTGTCGCTTAGTTCCGATCGCCCTCGTGGATCTCTTTGATCTTGAAAGGACCATCTACGGAGTAATCATTGCTCGATGCCATACAGTACCTCCATCCTAGCCGTTCAGCTTCCAAATTCGCACATGCGTCACCTTGTAGGATCACCATGACCGCAAAGCCGCGTTGGCCCTTTTACCTCGACCTGGCGAACCTGCGAAGGTGCCTCCTTACATCGGCCCAGGTGGTTCACTCTTGAAATCTGAACACCTGCAAATATCTGGAATCTTCCTGTTCTGCATGAGAGTACTATCACGTGGTGAAGAGGTCGCAAATCCTGGCGTGTGATTCACCTTTGCTGCACCGTAGACGTACCTGCCAAGATGTCGAGGAACCCACGTGATGTGAGCCTGTCAACCTCTCTCTGTTGCTACAATCGCGGACACATGCGCGTGTAGATTTGTCGCCGACCGCGTTAAGCCAGAACTGGTTTGTTGCGATTGCCCTCTAAGATCTGAACATCACAAGCCTTCACATCCAAACACCACACTCACTGATATTTCTACAATATGGCTCGGCGCCCGCGCCTGGCAGCGCAAGCCGCTGCCGCTTCCATGCGTATTCTTCACCAGCCAGAAACTCATGGAGAACGAACCTCCGTTAACCCTTTATAGGCACCCCAATCCCAAACATATCAGACAATGAAGATGAAGAAATGCCGGATACCGCCTCTGTCGACGCTCCTACTCCTCAAGATGATGACGAAGACCAAGTTCGGAACGGAGAGGAGGATGATGATGATGAACAGAATGATGTCGAGGATGTTCCGACCCCTTCGCGTGACTCCGAACAACCTTCTCGCTCTGCAACTCCTCGACGCACCGGTAGACAAACGGCCGTCGGTCCACGCGGTGGTAGACGGAGGCTTGGTCGACCGCCGAAACGCCCTATACCACTTTCAGAGGACGATAATAATGATGTCGCTTCTGAGGTCAGCACTCCCAAACGCAGGGGTGGATTTCGCGGCCATCGAGGTGGACGATGGGCAAAGTACAGGGGTGGTGCCTCCAGAGCGGCACATGCTCCGCTGGATGTCGACGGCAATCCTCTGAACATTGTGAACGATGAGGTCGAGCTCCCTGACGACCAAGAGGGTGAAGACAAGGTTGATAAGAACGGCGAACTTCTCGGCGGAAGAGAATATCGAGTCCGTACATTTACCATTCTGGGGAGAGACGACCGGCTTTACATGCTGTCCACTGAGCCCGCGCGCTGCATTGGTTTCCGCGACTCCTATCTCTTCTTCCAGAAGCACAAAAACCTCTATAAAATCATTATCGATGATGATGAGAAAAGGGACCTTATTGAAAGGGACCTGATCCCTCACTCATACAAGGGTCGGGCAATTGGTGTGGTTACAGCTCGCTCGGTATTCCGCGAATTTGGTGCCAAGATCATAATTGGCGGCAAAAAGGTGGTTGATGATTATGAGGCTCAAAAAGCACGAGATCGAGGAGATGTCGAGGGCGAGTTGGCTGTGCCAGAGGATCGCCTACCACTTCCGGGCGAGCCTTACAACCGCAACCAGTATGTCGCCTGGCATGGTGCAAGTGCCGTGTATCATACCAATATCCCTAATGTACCAATACCCAACGCAAAGGCACAAGAGGCCAAGCGACGTAAGATTGTTGTCACGAGTGATAACTGGATGCTCGAACATGCTCGAGATGCGAGGTAAGCAGCGCTCACCAGTACACAGACTAGAGGGAATTACAATTAATGACTTGTGCACAGTCGCTTCAACTCATCGCTGGCAGCCGCACGCGCAGACACGATGAATGGAATCTATGATATCCATACGAATGCCATGCAATGGCCCGGTAACACGCAACCAACCCACGCGAGATGGGAAGCTGTCGACGACAGCTCGGAAACACAAGCGGTTGACAAGGTTGGTCGACTACCTCGCCTGAATCCAGTGTATTCACGCAATTTCCGAATTCACGACCTTTGTCTGGAGTCACCCCCTGAATCATGGTTCAGCAACGCTGGTTCCGATGTGGAGAGCACTGGGCTGACATCGATTCCTTTGGAGATTCTGGAAGAGCTCCCTCAAGAAGCACTCTGCGCCTTTCTCACTGCCCGAGATCGCGAAGCCCGCTGGAGAGGCAAATGGCAGAACGAAAGTATCGACGGGCTCCGAGCAGTTGTTCTTCCCTCAACTGAGTGGTTCCCTAAATGAGCAGCGCCGAAAGAATATACAACGGAACAATATCATTTGGGTTTCCCAGGGTCAACGATATACCTGCAGCAATCTCGTGGTTGTACTCCGCGGACGTCCTGTATCTCGATCTACCGTGCAGAGGGCACCTCTTCGACTCCAAGAGCGGACCTCGCAATGGTCGACGCAATCAGAGCTCTCAGCGGCTGTCCAATGCGTTCACATTACAGGAGACCGCTCGATATGGTCCATGCACCTTCACGGAACCGAGCAGTGGAGCGAGCAAGGATATGAAGCTCCATCTCTCCGTCTCCATGGTTTTTTGTTTTGATGAGACCGAGGTTCAACAGAACACTTGTGTTGCCCGGTTCAATCCTAGGACGGCTTCGGTCGAGAGATCTACTAGGCTACTTTGTAATAGTGGCATCCCTTCTCCAGGATCCTCCAGCTTCTTGTTCCCAAGGACGGGGACACAAGATGTGTGGGTGTGGGGATGGCTTGTGGCGGAGGTTGGTATGAAGCCGGCGGAACCCGATGATAGAGACTTGAAGGAAAGGCTTGCACCATCACAAGTTCACAAAAGACAACTCTAAGCCAAGGTGCCCAACCGAACCCAGTCCAATTATTAATGTGCCCTGTGCATGGGCATGTAGAACGTACGTGCGCGTGGAAGAACCCGATCCTCGGCGCACTCACGCACTAAGTCCGCGGTCTGCATGAATGGGTAAAGGCCATGATTGGCCCGCTTGAATAAAGGGGGGGGGGTTTTCCTTTTGCCTTTCCCCTTTCCCCACTTGCTCATTGGCTACCAAGCGAGTCACAGCTTCTTCTACTGTCTGCAATGTCTGATCCATTGTTCCCGCCTTTTTCAATCACGTTTCGTGACCGGTTGAAATTTTTCGGTGTGTGAGGGAAGGTAGGGGTGACAGGGAAGGGGACTGACAAGACAAATGTCAGACTAGTCAGCCAGTCCAGTCCAGTCCAGCCCAGTCGACTATGAGGTGCTCTGTGCGTCATGCTGTGTATGCACTACGGAAGACTTCCTATGGCCTGGGATACCAGTAATAGTGCGAGGGACTAAGGTCCATGAGTTTGTGGTTTGAAGGAGGCGGGTACATCTCGTGCACCACCACGCTCCGCTCCACGAAGCACTTGATCTGGACTGTGCTGGGCCTTGTGGACTCGAGGCAGCCAATATAATCAATGAGTTTCAGTCCATCGTACCGAGTACATCACATGTTGAAGAAGAAGGGAGATCGAGAACCAACCAATGTACAATCACACCAAGGGCTCAGTACGGAGTATACGGTGTAGACTTCTTCGCGGAGAACGTGACCACACGCAGGGAAAGTGGGGAAAGTGGGAAGACGCGGGGTTGGAGTTCTAGCGGTGTGGCCTTTTTCTCGTCCGGTGTAAGTTGTGCCCAGGACTCGGTACTCCGTACGTATTGATGTTATTCTGTGCCACCGCACCAGAGGATCAGATGAGCTTGCAAGAGGAACCGAAGAATTGGCTCTGCAGCTTCGGTGGCAAGTGCTTGTTCTCGCTGTCCTATAGGAGAACAAAATCAGATAGTCACCATTGCCAGAGTATGCTCCCGTGACTAGTCGTAAGTCAAACTCCAGTTCACGTGAGCAGCTAGTGGCCGTGTGTGTTCCATGTCCTGTCAGTTGTGCAGGATTCGCTCTTCCCGAATGGAGCTGTGCAGCTCAGCTGGTTGGTTTCCCTGTTTAGATGCAGGCAGAGCACGAACAGAGTGGGCAACCCAGGCACACCGGCTGTCAGCACTTACAAGCCAGGCAGTAGCCGCAGGGTTCCATATACGATGCGATGAGGCCAGGCCACGCCGGATGGCGATAGCGGAACTTCTGGTTTGTACAGTAGCACGGTAGTACTCCGTACGGAGTCCCAGAGTAGGCACGGCGGATAGCTCGTCGGGTCCGACGCCAGGCGCACTTTACCTTGGAATGCGTGTTGTGGAGGCGTCGTTCGACGTTTGCTGACTCGCAAAGGCCTTCCCGTTCTCGACGAATGGTAACCGCCGTGTTTGTGCTGATATGCCTTGCCTGGAAAGATCGTGGCTGTCCTCAGGGTTGGTTCTCTTTTGGGGTACTCTCAAAAGATAGATCCTTCCCACGAACCTATGTACCTACGATAGGAACGTCTGACGAAGAGATCGGACCGAGACGGATTCGATTACGTTACAGGGAAGCAAGTGAATCAGTCTCGGACACGAGGGCGGCCACTCCAGGCGAAGTGCGGCAGAGAAGGAGATAGCCCCGTTTGTTGTCTGCTTAAAGAGGGTTTATGGTTGAGCATAATTACGGAGTGCTCCCACTAGATCAAGAATAATGCAGTCAAAGCGATTTAGTCGGCAATGACCAGGAGTTAGGCATGCGGCAGGTAGCGGGGTCGGAGATGATGAGGATTATCTGACTTGAGGGAGCTATCGTCTTGTGATGGAAGTGGCTTTGGTTCTGAAGTCACGATGCCATAATTGCTTGGATGGAAAGTGGTTCGTTGGTTCGTGGGTTCGTGGTTTCGTGGATGAAAACCTGACATTTGCATTTCGATTTGATGGATCGAAGGGGCGAGTGCGGAGCATTCGTCACTTGCTGGGCGTGGCGGGGGCGGGCAGTGGGAAAAATTGGTGGCAAGCGGGAAGGGCGTGTATGGAGTCCGAGTACGGGATCGAATCATCGACGGTTTTAAAGGGTGTTTTGGGACACTATGAGAGAATATGGAGTTCTCGATCGAGGTTACAGGCGCAGGTGAATGGAGACCATGTCATGGGGAGAGATCTGTGGCACTTCTGGTCCATATTTTGGTGCAAGTAATGGGAGTCATGGGAGAAACTGACGCTATGTCATTGTTGAGGAACTGGGCCTGAAACCTGTGCACCAAACGAGGTGTCAGATGTCGTCTTTCCGCTGTGTATACGGAGTATTCAAGGTAGATCCCAGAGGAGTGTGTACAGCCACACGAGCATTGCAGATCGTCGCATCACCGTCATCGTCATCAGCAGCTGCAGTAGCAGTAGCATCAGCGGCATCATTAATAGGGTGCGAGAGAACCATCATGCCAGGTGGAAGAAGTGTGATGCCGTAGTGGTTAGTCAGCTAGTAGTACAGAGCTCTCGAATGAGTAGGCGAGGAGCAATAGGACTCGGAGTGTTAGTACTGCTAGCAGTAGCAGTGGTACGAGTACGGAGTAGCATGAAGCAGGAGCAGCAGGAGCAGTAGTGTACTACTACTGTGCTGTAGGCACCTCGTGGTTAGTGCTCTGTACGGAGTAGTGCTCGGTAGTGCTCGGTAGTGCTCGGCAGTAGTTAACTGCTACTGGGAAAGCGTTGAATTGGCGGCAGTTGCAACTACTGCAAGTTAAAGCGTGGTCCCCTTGACAGGCTAGCCGCCTTAGGGATGGGGCCAAGGCGGCAGTCGGGCGTGGATTTATCACCATCAAAGTGGTTGCATAATTGGCTATAACACCTTGATCGCGGCCTGAAATGATGAGTCGTGCGGCCAAAAATACTCCATGCTGGACTGTGCACACTGCAATGTGCCCTTCTACTAGACGTGACTGAGCAGAGCTGGAGCAGGGCTTCCGGCTCGGCTTGCAAAACTGTGATGAGGGTTTTTATGGAACGGGTGATGATGGGCTATGGGTTTGAAGAAATGTCTCGACCCAAGATTATCCTCGAAAGCAGCCTACCGAATCCCGGCGACTGCTGCGTTCTTTGTCAGGAGAAGAGGGAATTGGTTGATGTTGCAGTCCCTCTGTAGCTCGTACTCAGTCATCCCTCAATAGCTCAAATTGCTGCCTGGTGTGATGCTTGACAGATTCTCTCACCATCGGCGCCATCGGCGTCATCGGCATCATCAACATCGCCTCCCAAAATCTGGCAGATACACCCTCTCTTGGACGAGCAATATCGAGTAATACGAGAAGTCGCAATGTGAGTGGTGTGTAGTGGACACTCCTTACCAAGAGAGGCGTAGGGGTGGCTCACACCCTTTCTGTTCTAAAAGAACAGCCAGGGCCCCGGGGGGCCACTCTCCCAAGCCAACTGGACCCTGTCTTGGGCCGAGGGGGGCTCAAGTGGCACCTGCGTTTCCTTTTTTCCCTCTCTCACAAACTTCAGCGCCAACAGGCCAAATACACCGACTCCTCTTGGGTGCAGGCTTGCAGCCGGTAGGCCGGTTAGGCGTAGTCAATTGGGCTAGAGGATGATGGGATGGGTTCTCTACTTCTCACTAGTTTCTAGTCGGCTGCGCTACTGCTACGGCGGACGGGGGACTCGTGTGTTCCATCATCACCATCCCCGTTCTCGTCCCTTCAGTCCCTGTCTGCGCCTGTCTGGTCCCATCATCGTTCGTGCTGCCCTCGACCCTCGGCCCTCAACCGTTCGCTCTTCGCCTTCGCCTTCGCCTCCTCCCTAGCCCATCTAAGCCTAAATCTCTAAGCCTGGCTGTCTTTGGCTTTGGCTTTTGGCTGTGGCTCCTCCGGCTACCATTCTCTTCCGCAGCTGCTCCTATCCTTCCCATGATCTGGTCTCTCCGTCACCATCTCGCCGCCCTCCCTCCACTGGCTGCGTCCGTCTCTCTCGCTCATCCACTCAGACCCTCGACCCTCTCCCTCCCTCCCGCTGCCCACTGGCATTCCTGCCCATTCAAACTCTCACACTTTTCCTATCAGCGTCTTCCAGCTTTCTCTCCCTCTCCCCATCTTCTCAACCTCAACCCTCCAACCTCGCTCTCACCCTCTCTCTCGTCTCTATAATCTCTCCCTTCAAAATCATCCTCGAGGTCCTTGATATCCTCACGGTCGGCCTTTTGTTGGTGCAGTTCAGAGTTGCTATTCTCGGCACGCCAGGAGCACTATCCAACCCAGCCTCCCCCCAGTGGTAATTTCGGACCCGAATCCACTCGTCCACTCGACCATCCAACTGACGACTCCTTGCGGTCAGCGTTGATTGCCACAATTTCCCACCGCACCATTGTCGCCAGGCTACCGATTTGGCCTTGCTTCGCATGACATTTCAATCCATCCGTCGCCCAGGCACCACCACTTAGTACTCGGTAGTGGCCAATTTGCACCTTTGGCAGGGACACGAATCTGTCCACGCCATCACAGCGCGTCACAAGCCAGCAAAGAGCTCTCGTGCCCTCTCGTGCTGGGCTGCTGCGCTTGTTTCCGGCCTTGCCAGTGGCTGTGTCCCCATCGACATCCAGCTTTCTTGTCCGCTCAGCGCCTCTTCTTTACGTTTCCCAACGTCCACTGGGGACTTGCTATCACAAACAATTCTGCCTGCTCCCATTCCCAGCAAGCAAACACGCTCTCGTCGTACCCTTTCCAACAGCCTATTTTATTGCCTTGGAAAGAGTTAGTGCGCGCCGACGTGACACCACCTGGTATGTTTCTTTCCGCTTGACCTCCCTCAAATCCGACCTCCAGAGCCGACACGCAGCAACCTGGCTGAGCATTCCTGGTCTTATACCTCTGAGACACTTCTTCTAACCCCATCACGTCTGCAGGCTGCCATCAAGGATAAAGACTGCTCCAGACACCGCCATCGTTATTGCATAACGACCACCTTGACCACTTTTGGACGAGCTTTTCACTAAGTCTTGTCCCCCAAAGCTATCACTACAATTCTTCGCTGTATACTTCGCCCGTTTGTCGACTCACGTTCAAACAACAGAACCTACGCCTACAACCGACCAACATCTTCGTCAGATCGTAACTTACCTCGTGTTTGGCTACGACACCTCCATCACACCTATGCTATATTGCTAAGAAACGGTTTTCGTCACCAGCTCTAAAGCACCGGCTTCCACGCCTTTGGCGTGGCCGCAAAAAGCCGAAGCAGACGGTAAGCACATGCCATCCTACCCTTGCCATCAGTGGTTTCTAACAGCCTCAGTGCGTGGTGCAGTCTGCTTTGCCCATCATCCATCCTCCATCATGCCTTCTTACCATAGTTGGGGCCCCAACGGCCAGCATTCAAGATTACCACCCACACCGCCAGAGTATCAACCGTACCTCACTCCCATGAGTGCCGTGTCGGATCATGGATTTTACTCTACCCAGACTTATCATCCACGTCGATCCCTCTCGACTCGTGATTACAGCGAGCGAAGCCATCAAGCACCACCAGCCTACAGCGCCCAGCCCGCTTTACCAGGGCAGGTGTCGAGACTGGGACACGGCCATCCTTCTCAGGATTATCCGTACGCTCAACCATATCCTGCAGCTGCTCAATATCAGTACGCTCCCGTTGTTGCTCCCATTCTGCCGCCCATTCGTGTCACAGAGGCCATGGACTTTTCCGCTCAATTGGCACAGCAGGCCGAGCAACAAAAGCAGAAGGAGGAAAAGCCGACAGGAGGTGTGGCCCAGCACTTGGATTATGATATGGATCTTATGTCCAGCTTTGTTGCTGAGATGTCTCAGAAACTGTAAGTCAATAACCCCTACACCTGGAAACCGTCTCATTAATTTCCGTTCAGTGTAACACCAGAAACTGTTCCAACACCACAATTCCGCAAATACGTGTCTCAAATCCTGTCATCAACTCGGCTCCCCAGCTCGACCATCATGCTCGGTCTGTTCTATCTCTCCTCGCGGATGAAGCATGTCATCGAACGTGGCCAGTCGACCTCATCTTCAGGCACCGTATACCGAATGCTGACGACCTCACTCCTTCTGGGAAGCAAATTCCTCGACGACAATACATTCCAGAACCGTTCTTGGGCGGAGGTCAGCAGCATCCCTGTTCACGAGCTCAACATGATGGAGTTACAGTGGCTCACCGACTTTAAGTGGGAAATTCACGGCATGATGTACGATGACAAGGAAGGTTTCTTTTTGTGGGTGGAGCATTGGCATACCTACGAAGAGAAGGCTCAGCTCGCCAAAGTCAAGGAGCTGCAGAAGTTGGCCCCTATTGAGACCAACATCCATCGTAGCCACTCCGTCCATCAACCCCTCATGTCTCCTGAAGGGCCAATCCCCCCTCAGTACCAACAAGGCTCCCAATACGATACCCGTTGGGTACGACCCTACATCTCGGAATACTCACCACCATCTGCACCACACAGCGGTCCTTCTACCCCAGACTACTATACTCCCGCATGGTCCTACACGCCCACAGGCTCAACATTTGGCCGACCGGCCTACCATTCTAGCAATGCTTCTGCTTACTCTGCGCAGCGTCATCAAGTTCCAGCGTACTCTCATAACTACAACTACCCCAACAGTCTCACACCAACATCGTGGATGACTCATGGGCCCAACTGCAACTGTTCCCTGCATGCCAAGCAAGACTACTATTTTGGTCATGCTGCCTATCCCATGCAAACAGTGGTGGGATAAATCATTCTCCTCGCACAGCGTTCAGCATGTTGATCCAGTCTCTCCAAAGCTATGGGTTGCTGACACTAGTCCGTGTTTTACCACTTTCACCGACATGAATCTTGGAGTTTAGGTCGAAGCGAGAAGGAGCTTTTAGCTCAGGCTTTCACGATCATCCTTCAATGCATCGAGGGCTTTTTAATTGCGATCACATTTTACGACTTCTCACGACATGCACTTTCTTGTCTTTCTTTTCTTCGGCATTTACACAGCGCGCAACTTTCTTTACGATAGAAGGCTTTCTTACAGTATACATTCATGATGGGCAGGGCGGTATGGAAAGCGCTCACAGAGGAAAAGTTTACCAAAAAGTATCCGCCTCCAGGGGGGTTAATTGTTCGGCGTTACGAAGGTTTCCAAAGAGAGTGCAAATTGAACACGGTTTTAAAGAGCTTTCATTACGGCAAGAGTTTGCTTACACCTGTTTTATGGAGTTTACTGTTCCTCCAAATATATACACTGAGATGCAAGAGATGAGTATGGATTGCTTGGGTGCTTGCATGGCGCGGCGGCGAGGACAAGTGAAGGTAGCTGGTGGATTGCTGTTTCGTCATTCCTTGTAATCAGCTGTGTGAACCATGTGGTGGATAGTCCAATGCCCCAGGCTACACGTACAAGAGAAAAAGAGACGCAAATGCCCTGAGAAGGAAATTATGTATCTCGATGTTCACGCACAGACGAGCGACGAACAGATGCGCATCAGAAACGTCGGTGCTTGCAAAACGAAAGAGGAAAATACTTGGAACAACAGGATGTGATTGATGTATCCTTTTTGTAACAAATCGATCAATCAACTGTTGAATTGGTCATGGACGAATTCTTTCTTGACAGAACTGGGATTGTGGTTACTTATACCCCTCATAGACTCAGCAATACTTTCTTTTTCCAGTACTGAAAAGATCCTTGCAAAGACAATACAAGACCTTAACTTGAAGCAATAACAATAGAGAGACTGTAAATGGTGTTTCACCAGATCTCGAATGACTTGCCATGGATGGGATTATTGAGCAATATAAAATACAGTAGGACCGAGCGAACTCGGTGATGATAAAACGTGTGACCCAGGCTGCCTTGCGTTGCGCGGTGAAAGTGCCAAGACCGGTGCGCGGTCAGTTTCGCCGCCTCGCGGCATCAACTCGTCTATCCATCTGCACGGTGCCATTTGCTTCCTACTGATTATCATTGCATGCGAACAACCTCCTGATAATAAACAGAGTTCTATTACCGAATTTGACCTTTGCATCGATCTGACAACAGCTTCAGCCCTCAACCAAACACATCCCATCCCCTGCAACAACCACAACCTCCCTGTACATTACCAATCATGTCAACATTAGAAGACCTCGATGATATCGAGCGTGATGAGAAGGAGCAAAAGAAGGACGACAACAATGAGAAGAAGCTTCAGAGCACTAGCGATGCCAGAGATGCCGAAATGAAAGATGCAGAGGACAAGAAGGAAGAAGAGGAAGAATACATCGACACCGAAATCCTTCAGTCCAGCACCAGAGACATCATCAATCGGCGGCGGTTACTTGAGAATGAAATGAAGATCCTCAAGAGCGAGTTCCAACGATTGAAGCACGAGGAGACCACGATGAAAGACAAGATCAAGGATAATCTGGACAAGATCGAGAACAACCGGTGAGCGAAACCTTGATCCTCCCAAGTTTGGTGAATGGCCGCTAACTTGTCGGGTTGCAGGCAACTACCCTATCTAGTTGGCAATGTTGTCGAACTTCTGGATCTTGATGTCGAGGCCGAAGCGGCGGAAGAAGGTGCCAACATTGATCTCGACGCCACACGGGTGGGCAAATCTGCCGTCATCAAGACGAGCACCCGGCAGACCATCTTTCTTCCTCTGATCGGCCTTGTCGACCACAACAAACTCAAGCCCGCCGATTTGATTGGTGTCAATAAAGACTCATATCTCGTGTTGGACACCCTCCCTGCAGAATACGACTCTAGGGTCAAGGCCATGGAGGTCGATGAAAAGCCTACAGAGAAGTACACCGACGTTGGTGGACTCGACAAGCAGATTGAAGAGCTTGTTGAGGCTGTTGTCTGGCCTATGAAGGAGGCGGAACGCTTCCAAAAGATTGGTATCAAGGCACCCAAGGGTATGTATGGTATGATCATTCCTTACTTCGGATTCTAATATTGCTTTTCAGGTGCTCTGATGTACGGACCTCCCGGTACTGGCAAGACTCTACTTGCCCGTGCTTGCGCCGCTCAAACGAATGCCACTTTCCTCAAACTCGCCGGTCCTCAACTTGTACAGATGTTTATTGGTGATGGTGCTAAACTCGTCCGAGATTGCTTCGCCCTCGCTAAGGAGAAGGCCCCGTCGATCATCTTCATTGACGAACTCGATGCCGTCGGTACCAAGCGATTCGATTCGGAAAAGAGTGGTGACAGAGAAGTCCAGCGGACCATGTTGGAGTTGCTCAATCAGCTAGATGGATTCGCCTCGGACGAGAGAATCAAGGTTTTGGCGGCTACAAACAGAGTTGATGTTTTGGATCCTGCCCTACTACGCTCAGGCCGATTGGATCGAAAGATCGAGTTCCCTTTACCCAACGAAGAGTCTCGGGCCCAGATTCTCCGAATCCACTCCAGAAAAATGACCATTGACGAAGGAAATATCAATTGGAACGAGCTTGCACGAAGTACGGACGAGTTCGGTGGCGCAATGCTCAAGGCAGTGTGCGTTGAAGCCGGTACGTAATCGCACCCCTATTTTCAGGCCATTGACACCAGCTAACAAGTTATTCCAAGGCATGATTGCTCTCCGCAAAGGACATTCGAAGGTGACTCATGAGCACTTTGTCGACGCCATCGCCGAGGTGCAAGCGAAGAAGAAAGACACGTAAGCCTTCTGCTCTCTTGACGATACCCGTCTCCATACTGACAATGCGCGCAGGGTCAACTTCTACGCTTAACTTTGCCAAAGCATCGGCCAGGCCGTAATGCTTGCATGTATCTTAATAGCATGGTGGTGTAACTGGCCTTGATAGATTGATCCCGAAAAATATCATAAAGCACCATCTTGAAAGCCAACTGTGGTCTTCCTTGGCCCTGGCGAGTGATAATCGAAATGTGAATGTGCTGTAGCGAGATGGTTATGGATATTTTGTCGCTCCTGCCAAAGGATCGTCGCGGCCAATTGGCAGCTGGCTGCTCTTGTCCCCTGATTGGCTCTTTGCGACCACACTCCTGCCAGATTGCCGTTCACTAATTCCAACTCTTCACCATGCGTTTCCAACTTTCGCATCTCGTGATTCTGCTTCTCATGAGACATGCCTGACTTTCTCTTTGCCATTCCGGTCGCATTGTGTGAAGCATGGGAAAAGAACCGTTCTCCACTCGCTGACCATCCATATCTTGGCTCCTGAAATGGCGTTATGCGGCAGCCGCAAAATTGTTGCAACCCAACCCGTTCCAACGCGAAACAGTAAATGAGCATGGAAATGTTGCTGTTGTCGATGTCTCACCATGATGACTAGGAAAGCGGCCTTGTCACATAGTGGAAATCGAGAATCCAACTATGCGGCTACCAAATCACAGCCCGACCTGATATCAAACGGGGTCACTGATGACAACGCTTTCGGCACACCAGCCGCGCGAAGCACATCCTTACCAATATCCTCCACTTCAACCAGATATGCTGCCAACCGAACCTTTCCACGGTATGAAGCAATCCTCAGCTGGAAGAAATTGCCAGCCCGGGTTCTCGACCATGTCTTAGAACGGCTCAGAGCAATTCATCTGGGTCCAAATTCTGCTTCCTGTACAACATGCTATATGCGAGATCTAGCCTCGGTGCAGATGACTTGCAAGGCATGGTTTTCTGAGGCCCAGCGGCATCTATATACCAATATCGAGATTGTTGGTGATGACGATTCGTCGATGCTTCAGAAATGGAGACTGTCTCGAGCCGCACGCCTCGTTTGTCTGCGGTCCACACTACGATCAAAGCACCTGCTCGCAGCATTGGTCAAAACAGTTCACGTGCCGGATCCACATATTCCCCTGTACCTTTCCAATGATTATCCGAACCCAGAGTACGATGGCTATCTCTGCACACTGGCGTCTGTGATTATGTCTTGTCCAAACCTAGAAGCTTTGACAGGCTTCATTCCATTCTACAATCACACGTTTGATCGCTTGACGCACTCCCTATCGACAAGAACTAAGCTTCGACAGCACGTTTGGGTTATTGCTGAAAATGATGATGTTAGCGCACGCAGCCAGAACCAGTTGCCTCCAGGACTATTGGATGAGCATCAGGTCTATCAGTTCACACATTATCATGATCGCTGGGCGAATCTCGAAACTCTCATGCTGTGTTCTCCAGCAAGGCTTGGTGTTATCGAACACGAGCTCTCCATTCACGTTCTGAACTCTTTACCATCACTTCGAAGCTTGTGCATCTCCACTTTCGACGCGGATGACTTTCACGATAAGACACTGCTTTCGGTTCCTCCAATACAACGTCTTCGGCTTGAGGAATGCAATGGAATAACTGAACACGGTCTGGCGAGATGGGCAGCGAGCCCTGTTGCATTCCATATCAAAGAACTCACTCTGCTACATCAGAATATTAGACATCTCTCAACGTTATCAAAATTGCTAGCTAGTTCAAGTCATCTGACGAAATTCACGATTCTGCAGAACGACATCGCCCCATCGTTCACACATGAAGAAGAGCGAGTCACCCTGCAACCGACACTTGCATCTTCGTCCCTAGTGTTTCTCCATTGGGACTTCCTCTGTCGAGACGGTCAAGAGCCTGACCAGCACCCATACACGGGCACTACCTCCGGCAAACCCCCTCCTAGTGGTCGACTCTCGGCAAATGCACACCTCGCGCTGTCTGTGCAGCATGATGGGTTTCCACGGCTCGCCCTTTTACGAGCTCCACGGGACATTACGCCTTACGGAGTCTTGCAGTCTGTTTGTCTTCCTGCTCCTGAAAACAACTTCCTTCTGCCAGAAGATAGAAGCAGCTTAGAGAGCTTTCATGCGAAACCATATTCAAATTCCCTTCAAATCGCACGGATTCGAGCTCACCGGATGGCCCGTCAGGCCGTAATGAAGCAAGTTTCGACCCAGACTTCTCGAATGGCACAGCCATCGCCCAATTCACTCAAATATCCGTGGGAAATAGTGGAGCCTGTGAATTCGCAAGGGAGGACTGATGTAGGAGCAGCAACAGCGAACCAATGGCTGGCAGATCAAGCAGACATCCCTCCCAATATGCGACTACGTGGTAGCTCTCCATATGTGCCACCTCGACATCCACTTCATCTCAAGTCAACTGCGTCAGCTCCGCCGCAATGCACCTCCCTGCAAAACAATAAAGTATCCGCTACAAGCTTCAAACGCCCAGCCTTTTACCTCCAACCAGACGTGAGGGGCAATCATGAGAATGGCGGACTAGTGGGCTGGGCAGAGCTTCTGGGTATCCAACAAAAGGCCAAGATGAGAAACAATAGTCGGCAATCGAGCACAGACAACATACGCATGAGCCCTGAATTTGTTCACTCTGAAAGCAGCAGCGAACATCAGATGTCGACAAACCTTACCATTGGAAGAGGTTTTCATTGTGATGGCTCGTGGAACTCCTCATCCGGAATCGATTCGGCTCTTGAGAAGCAGCCGAGATTTGTACAGGTGTTGAATTCATCCTCCAAATCCACTGCAGGTTTGAAGTCTACCAAGAACTTGAAGTCAAAATCAAAATCATCATCGAGACTTTCTTTACCCCTTGATTTCTGGTCCTCAGCTAGAGTAAGATATCCCGAGAGATGGAAGCATGTTGCAAGGCCGAGAGGAGAAAAAGGTGAAGCCATTACTGTTCAAGATTTCTTTGGAATATAAGAACTAAATTCTGCCCGTTTTTCAAGTCCTATGCTTGATTGTCGATACCTCATAAAGAGTGTCTTATGGACTGCTTACATATTTATACACACCAATTTTGCCCCTCGTACCGGGAGAAAGAATCCCAGGACAGTGGCTTTGATCAGCCCGGAAGAGATGCAGCAAGTAAAGTCTGCCCAGTCTGCCTGCGGTGACTTTCGTGGCGGGTCATGTATTAAAAGCCACGCCCGCCAGGATTTCACAGCCTCACCAGCTCACCTGGCCATCTTCGATCACCTCCGCCACGTTCATTTTCAAGCCCAGATATCAGCCATCTCATCCTGTATGTGTCACCCCTCCCGTGTTTCGACATGTCTGTTGTGGGTGAGATTGCCAGCGTGACTGGCTTGATTGTACTTGCTGGGCAAACACTGAGCGGGTGTGTGAAGGTGTATTCGGCGATTGTATCGTACAACTCTGCATCGTAGCAAGACGGGCATATCGCTAATGATTGCGAGGCCCTCAAATCGACTCTTTCCCACATCCAAGAGATTCTTTCTCAATTCGCAAGCCAGTCGACGCATCGACCAGTCTTCTAACGCTCTCTTCCGCGCCATCTCAAAATTCCCGACTACCCTCCGGGATATTGAGGGTAAAATCGAGGCGCGGAGCCCAGAAAAGAAGCCAACCCCTTTGGCACGGGCCAAGGTAGCCTCTCTTGACAACTTCTTCACCTCGATTCAGAGCAACGTTGTTTCAGAAAGGCAGACCTTGAACTTGCACCTGAGTGTCCTAGCTGTCTCAGTGATACGAAACACCATCGTCCATGTATAGAAACTAACTAGGAATAATCAAGTTGGATTAGGCATCAGTCAGGAGCCCTCATGGGGCAAATTGCCGCGATCGTGAAGGTCGGAATGGCTCAATGCGTAATAGTTTTGGAGCCATTGCGTTGGAAGCAGAGAATTCGGAAGAGAGCCAGCAGATGTCCCGAGAAGCATTTCCTGCGCGTCGTAACTCCAGCAGCCTCCTCCTTCATGCGCAGAGGAGAGCTATAGTAAAGGCTTGTACGCTTTGAGGACGATGATCTTGCTTGTTTGGATGTCAATCGCAGAAAAGCATTCATTCAACAACTGTCTCAGTTGCGCATCACTGCCTGGCTCTTCAGGAACAACTACTCCATCTCCCCGTTGCGGAGTTTTCGGCCAGTCAAGCAACAGCCGCTCTCCTTTGCTCCAAGAAGCAGGTCTGCTGCATTCGCCGGTAAAGTCAAGGATCCTTCCGCCCTCCTGTCTATTCACGCTGCAGAGATGGCTACATGAATATGGTTCCTAGGCCTCCAAGTTAGTTATATTCCTCCTTGTCGACATCCTCCCCGGTTCATTGCACCTCTTGTTATCGTAAAGCCTCCCAAGACAGAGCCCACGCAAGAATGTCATCACCTAACAGTCAGTTTGGGCTTTGATAGATCCAGTATCAAGCAGTCTATCTGTTACAGGACCAGGTTCGATTTCAACATAGTATTTGAGGAGGGTGGAATGAACACCGAGATCCGGACCAAAGACCGCTACTTCTTGCTGGAGTACATTTTGACTGAACAAGAAATCTCACCAGCATCTCATGAAAGTCGGCACGGGGGCTAGTGAATGCAACAAAAAGAGCCATGCGTTATCCATTCATGTCTTTGCCCTTATCCTTAGTTTAGTCTTGTCGAAGCTCGAGACGGGAACCCATGGACGGGGATCCTGACAGTGCATTTCCAAGTTGCAATTTGTTTACAATTGTCAGCTATCTTCCCACGGCCCGAGCAATAAATAATGCCACGATGAATGTCAGCATCCGGGATGTACGTGGGGCCGAAGCCAAGACAGATATATGTATATACTGGGGACTGTCGCAACGCAAGACCTTTTTCTCTTTACTCTCCCTTCATGAGCCACGACTTTTGACATCTCGGCATGGAAGTTGACGAAACAACGTGGTGCTGACCACTTTGCCCTGTCTGTGTCGGACCGGACCGAATTCCTCTTGTGACTGACTTTTTCGAACGCCAAATACCACAAAGTCTATGTATGACCGTGCAAGAGCAGCAGATAATTCATTGGTGGATGTGCCAAGCGCTGCTCTAGAATCATACCAGTATAGCGGGACTTGGTTTCGACGAATTGGCTAAATCCTGCTGGAAGTCTGCCCACCAGCGGCGTCATGCGAGGGAGATTTCAACATTGGACCGCTTCATCCGATGACTTGGGGGTTTCGATATCGCTGCCGCCAGGTGCCGCAGCGAAAATGTTGAAGGCGATCCGGACGTCGTCTCTCACCGAGACTTGGCTTCAAGCTGGGTCAAATTTTCCTGTGCTTCGAGCGTGGACCAATGCTCGGGACCATGCACTCGCCCACAACTATCATAGACGCGCTGAAACATGGCTGCCGCAGAGTGGTGATTGCCCTTTTGCTCATAGATGGCACCAAGACGAGACGCTGCGGCCCGAGACATGGGATGATCGCTGTCGGCAGCTGCCTCGAACCCTTTCAGTATCTGGTGAAGGAATTTTTCGACTTCACCAGGCTCGTCCTTGGTCGCGTAGAATTCGGCGAGCGCCAGCATTGCCCAGAAGGTGTTCACATCCAGTGGTCCATAGCTCTCCTCACACCCTCTCAGAGACCAGAGGTAGAGATCCTCTGCTTCGTCAAATCTTTTCCGAATAAAGCAATGCAAGGTTATGGACTGAGTCCAGGGTGGCTTGGTCATACTTGCCCAAAGTTCGCGCAATCCATGAATTGCTTGTTTCATTAGATTTTCTGCCTGGGAGAAGTTTTGCAGCTCCTGCTGGGCAAGGCCAACGACATTGCTGGTATTGAGAGAGACATGATGTTCTTCTCCGAGATGTTGGTGAGACCATGCTAGAGAACGTCCCAGCAGCGGCGTGGCTTCTTCGGCCATTCCGGCATGTGCAAGGACTCCGCCTAGGCCACACAGCAAATTACACCGTTCCTCATCCAGCTCTGAATTTTCCAAAACGTCATATAAACGCGGGTGCATGAGCCGCATAGCGTGTGAAGCAAGCCGGGACTGAGGGTCGCCATCGTCTGTTTCCCATATTTCGTAGGCTATTCTCCCTGCTGCTACTACGCAAGTCATCGCGCGCCAAATATCAGATTCCTCGACGTGTTGATTGAGGCTTGAGAGCGTCCAATCATGGACGCAAGGATGCAGGCGGTAGCATCGACGGGACGTTTCTACCAGCGAGTAATCTCTGAGTCGGGCCATTGAACGCTCAAATGTTGCTTTGGTTTGCATGATATTTCCCAAGCCTGGCCAAGGATCTTCTTCATCCGCTGACAGGAGATCGTAGTATATGCTTTCATTGGCGAAGAAAGCCAATATTCGTAACAGCTCAGCCGCGTAAGCATCCTGGCTTTTGAGCTTCTCGACCGACATATTCCATGTTGTGAAGAGGGTGCGATCTCCATATTCTTAGAGATTCTCCGAGTCTTCTCCAACCCAATTCTTCTCATACTCATCGAGATACTCCTCCACGGTGAATCTAGTACGCTCAAGAAAAGACGCCGCCGAGGCAAGCGCCAATGGCAGTCCATCTAACCTCTGCGCCAACTCAAGTGCTACTATTAGGCACCACTCGTGCTAACAGGCAGGACTACTAGTAGAGTAGTGTAAATAGTCTCAATGTTGGATCTATCTCTCAATTACAAGTGATACCTTGACGTGTCTGTCGTAGCAAGCTCAAAGCATGAGGTTCCCCTGAGACCCGCATGCGGTGAGCAGCTCTTATATACTAGAATCTCGGCGCTCGCTTGGCGGCGCTTATCCGTTCCTGACAGCTACGCTATCTAGAGCAGGCAGCTATTAGTTCATACTTCTTACTTGAAGGTCTCGCTATTTTTGGGACTCCACGGAGGTTTAGAATTTGAAATGCTATGCTTGCCGGAGGTGAATGTGCGTCCAGCTCGTGCAGATAAGACCTTCACTCCCTGCTCCGGAGTTGTAAGCTTCTCCAATGGCAGCTGTTTCGCAAAACTGATGTTACGAGACCGTGTGGTTATCAAGATCGAGCGTAGAGAACGAAACGGGAAATAGTTTCGAACGTCAACAGATGAAGGATCGTTGTCGCCTGACAGTTTGGGGGTTGTCCAAGTTGTCAAAGATCAGGAGCCAACTCCGATTCTCTGGATGGGAAAACCATCGACGAAGTTTTTGGATTGCGGCTTCCTCGTCTGTTCGTGTTGTCATCATGCTTGCCTGGTCCGGCAGAATAATGTCCACCATGTTGAGAAGGTCTGCTCGCAGTGAGGGCTCATCTTGAGCATTTAGCCAGAAAACGGATGAGTATCGGCTCTGGTAGGTGATAGCGTACTCGATACAAAGCTGGGTCTTGCCCATGCCACCCATAGCAGTGACTGCAACGACGGACTGTCTTCGTGATTCGGTTCGGGCTGGAGCATATTGCTTAGTTGGTCTAACTCCACCTCACGCCCGACGAAGTAGCCCTCGGCGAGGTGAGGCGCTCCACCCAGATTCAATCCATGTTGGAAATTGGTGGCTTGTGGTACATTGGATAGCGTGGTGGTCGACAATTCTCGAATCAGCTGTGCCGCACACTCTTGATTTTGAGTCGTCTAGAAGAAAACCAACAGACTAACGTTTTCTAGCAGTTGCGTGGTGACGCTCTGGAATCGTTTGCAAGAAGTCTCTTTTCGAGCGATGAAGAGAACGCCGGAGGTACTGTCTTGGACAAAATTCCATCGATCTCTTGGATCAACTCTCTGCATCAATCAACAAGTGCCTGCAGCGCCTTTTCTTCACTGTGAGTGAGTTCGTTTCCTTCGATACGGCCGGATAATCTCTGCAGTGCTGCAATTGCAAGCGGCAACTGTATTGAGATGTTCCGGAACGTTTCGGGAACATCCCTTGTGTTGATCGCAACATCATTGACACGATCTACGAGCTTCGCACTGAAGTCCACAAGCTGAAGAATGCTGGCAAGGAGGCCAAGGGCGGCAATTGCCTCTGCCATGGCTTATTAAGTTATGTACTTTGCGGCGTCGCACGGGCACGTCACTCGGTAAACTTCAGAGGATCATTATCGTGTGCGATGCTCCTTTTGATACATCTGACTCTTCGCAGGAGCAGTTCAATTTCGCCATGCAGAATAATTGCTGAAGAACTCAAGCAGGAGAGGTCACAAGTGGAACAATGCCAGCACACCCTGAAACAACGCCTGAAAATGTGACTTTAAATTCATTGGCCGACAAACCAAGCTTCTCCTCCATGCGTCTTAATATTATCTCGCGAGAGGAGTGCTTACAAGGAAACTCCCCCCTATTCTACCACTCAGGGGTGCTTAACATCATGTCGCAGGCGTTGAGTCTTCCATCACATGTGAAGAAGCACAACTCCCAGCTCTTTGTTGGCTAGTGAATTGGACCGCAATGGAGGAAGGAATTGACGCTTTTTGGACCGCGAAGGACGCAATATAATACATTCTACAATTTGGAAATCCTTTCGAACTCGTCCAGAGTATACTGCAACACCTTGGCCCCGGCGCCTTCGCCTTGAAGCTTCTTCAAGGCCGCATTTGCAGGGACCACGCTCGAGTCTCCTTGCACAAGATAGACTCCGCTTCCTTGGTGGCCATTACTTCCCTCTTGTATCAACGTACCTTCACCACTCACTCCCGGTCCCAACTTTCGGAAACGCCCGTTTGTCGCTGCAAACAGGACCCTCTCACCAGCCTCGCGCGGGGTGTATGCTATCAGCCAATAGAAAGGCTTTAGTAGAATGTTCCATAGGAATGTTAGAGGTAGCGGTCCACCGACGGCCTTGAGGCCCGTTGAGACGGGGCCAGGGAAAATATGAATGAAGACGATCTTTTCATTCTCCTTTTGCTTCGACAATTCCTCGAACGTCAACGTCGTCATGCTGACGGCCGCACCTGCAGCGGCCCCTATGCTATAATTCCCCGTCTTGGTCATGCCGAGATCTTCGAGATCCAACGGCCCTTCTTTTCCAGATGCTAACACGGAAACTACCCTTGGACTGGGAGCCTTGCGCAACAGAGGTAGTAGGGTGATCACAAAGCGCAAGCGCGCATGATATCGAATCGACGTTATCCTGTCAAGCCCTTCGGGGCTGAAGTCTGGCTTAGAGCTAAAACTGAGGTAGCCTTGCGACGTGATGAGCAAATCGAGATGGTGGGCCTGTGCCGCAATTTGGTCAGCGGCATTCTGGGCGTCCTTGACAAGCGTCAAGTCGTTAGCGAGAATGGGGATCAGCTTTGCATTCGGATTGAGTTTCTGAGCAGAGGCTATCTGACTGTTGAGACGAGACTCTCCGCGCCCGACAAAGTAGACGGTGGGTGTAGCGGTGTATCGCAATAAAGCTAGAAGCGCTTCGTGCCCGATGCCAGCGGTGCCGCCAATAAATGCTACAACTGGGCCGCCGCCGCTCGCAGCTAGCGATTCATTGTTTGACTTGATATCTGAGTAGGACACCATCGCTACCACTTCCTCTGTATATATAAAAATAGAAAATTGGCGTACTGCTTGGACGGTTTGTTGGTTGTTTCTGTGTTGATGTGTCGGTATTCTGTTGACAGAGTTGTTTAGAGTAGGGGTGAAAGGCGACGCTGTCTGGTGAGTTTGGATGTATGGGAAGCAGAGTCTGCACTTCAGAGTGGCAGAGCCTCAACATGTAAATATCTTCTTACCTTTCAGGTTCCAGATTTCAAATCAAGCAAGAAACTTTGACCCGACTCTTATGTTTCCAAACTCCGAGAAGGGAGCTACCATTCGGTAATAGAACGTTCGAAGCAGTGAGTTAGATCGTGAAGACAAGATGAGCAAAGGCATGCCCATTCCCCAGCGCTTTCAAGATCGCACGACGGTTGCATCATGCATGTCTAGCCTCCGGCAGCGCAGGACTTGGACGAGCGTTTGTGGAGAGATGTTTGTCCGCGATTCGTCTTGCTGAGGTAATGACACCAATGCCCAACGCCCATTACATCCAGCCTGGTGCCTCGTGCCCGGCTCGGTTTCTCGAGACACCGAGCCAATAGATCGGAGCCCGCTTGCTTAGTTATAGTGCACTCTACGAAAGTCGATCGCGCAAATATGAGTAAATTTATGACTACGGGGAAGTCGCAGCCTGTCGAATGCAAGCGAGGGGATGAACCTAACCACATTTAAGGGAATCGGTGTATATACAGCACACAAGAGCGGGCACCTTTTTGGTCTAAATTACTATGTATCTATATCCCGCTCTTCCCCTTATGACAAGACCAAAGTTGTCCTCTGGATCAGAAATGGGCGCATATGCATTTCTACTCAATGACTCAAAAGAGTTGCAAGAACAATCAAAAATTAGTATTTGTCTTCCGCCCTAGTTTCCTCGTCTTGTTTAAAAGCGCAATCCTCTGCCCCTCTTACTTGCTTTGCTCAGAGCGGATGGTGAAAATGTCCAAAATGGGTCCAGACCCATGGATACCCCGGTGACGCGATATGATGTACAAATTGCGTATCATACATTAAATTTTTTTTATTTAACAAAAAGGCCGCGATATGCTGCAATCAGCAATGCGCTGGTGAACGATCGATCGTTCTATGACAGTAGTTGGAGATTTGGTGGGTGGAAGGAAAAAGCGAGAACACTCGCTCTGATCCTGAGAATTCTAACTGCGGAGAATGCTTGACGATGTTGTGAAAAAGGGATCGAGAAACAAGAACGATATGATAACTTTGAACCGGAGAAGGTGACATCACCCGACGACTGCGTCCTTCTCAGCCACCTTTTCAGATTCCAAGTCACGGGTGACGAGCGGTGATTCAGGTCTGGTGGCGTCCGCGGAAGCGCCCGATTCGAGGTTCTTCTCTTGAAGTTGAGGTTGATTTGTGGCAACCGGGGAGATGATACTGGCGTCCCTGCTGCCAGTGGGGCTTGCAGTCTCCTTCTTAGCATCACCCTTGTTTCTTGGGACTCGACCCAGCCAGTAGAAGAAAACAGCACCGAAGATATTGAAGATAATATATGCCCAGATGATGCCCCAATTACGCCATTTGTATTGAGGATGTGAATTGACGGCGGCAAGGAACGTGTCCGTCTCGCTGATCTGGCAGAACGAGCACTCCTCGGTCGCATCTGGATTGAGAAGATAGCCACCCGTGGCATTGATGTAAGCCGACATATACTGTGCGCAGTTCTGTCCGGCTTCCGAAGGGTCGAAATGGAGATATTCGTTTGCGGCACATACGGCGCGGGTGCCCGAGACTGCAGTGGAAAGCATCCCGTCGATCAAGTAGGTGAATGGGCTCACTCTGTACATGAATATCCAGAATCCTGGGAAGGCGTCTGGTCCGACCAAGACACCGCAGAATACTAAACAGAGCATAAATGCCAAATTGGCAATGTTGCCTCCAGTCTCGGCAGTGTCAACCGCTGCGACTGCCATGTGCGCGAAAGTGCAACTAAAGAGCAAGAACGACAAGATATAGAGGAACATCAAGGCTCCGCGCTCGTGGACGCTGTCGGTTGGTTCGGCGTTGTGGTATAGCCCGATCGGATAGTACCAGGTAAAGAAGAGGAGCACGGCGCACAGAGCTGACCAAGGGAGTTCAACCACAATATTGCTCATCATGAAGGCTTTCCATGAATAAGCTTTCGAGGGGCGTTCGCGAACCTCATACAAGGAGCGCTGGGTGACAAAGAGAGGCATGATCTGTTGCACTAGTTGGCCGAAGATTGTCATCAACATGAAAATTCCAAACATCTGGTTCTGAAGACCCTGCTGTGTATTAGGGGCGTTGAAGAATGAGAAACCAACGAAGAGGCCCTATGATATATCTGTTAGTACCGAAACAGGGAGGAGGCCCCGCGCTGTGTCAACTTACAGAGAATATGACCAGAGAAAGCTTGCTGTAGATATAGGAGGGTGTGCGCCAGTATTGTTCGAAAACTCGCTTCTGGGTCTCGAGCAGTTGCTGCCAAAAGGGTGCGGCGAATTCTCGGTAGCTTGACTTGTCTGCACTATTGGATGTCGCTCGCTCGAGTTTGCATCGCTCACGCTTCATAAGTGAGAGCTCAGCATGTACTTCTTTATATTCGGGCGAGCTTCGCCATGTATCGACCCAGTCAATATCTGTGTGGGATCCAGGTGCGGCACCGATGACTTCCAACATCCATTCGGCAGGATTTGCTTCAGGAGGACAAGGGTGACCGCCATTTCGCTCAAAATAGCTTGTCAGGACATGGGAAGATTCGCCGACAGGTCCAAAGTAGACCGTCTTACCGCCGCTGGCAAGGAAAAGGAGACGGTCAAAGCGCTGGAAGAGCATTGCCGATGGTTGATGGATGGTACATAAGATAGCCTGGCCATTGTTCTTGAGTTTCTCGAGAAGGTCGAGGATAGACCAAGAAGTCTGCGAGTCGAGACCGGAAGTGGGTTCATCCAAGAAAAGTAAGAGTTGAGGCTTGGCTGCTAATTCGACACCGATAGTAAGACGCTTCCTTTGTTCTACGTTGAGCCCTTCACCAGGGACGCCGACGACAGCATCGGCGTACTCGGTCATATCGAGGAGCTTAATCACCTCGCTGACATACGAAAGCTTCTCCTTGCGTGGGACATGGGCCGGTTGGCGCAACAAGGCGCTAAAGTTCAGGGCTTCTCGAACAGTCGAAGTCTCCAAGTGTAAGTCCTGTTGCTGTACATAACCGGTCTTACGTTGGAATGACTCGTCTCTCTGTTGTCCATCAACCAACATCTCGCCTGAGATGACACCCATGGTAACACGAGTCGCCAAAACGTCCAGCAGGGTTGTTTTGCCAGCGCCAGAAACACCCATAAGACCAGTCAAGGTGCCAGGTTTGACCCAACCATCTACGTGGTCTAGCAATCTTCTCTCACCGCCTTTGACTTTGATATCATAGCAAACGTTCTTCCATTGGAAGATGGCCGTCTGTTTCTGGATGATGCTCGAGATAGGTTGCAGATCTTGATTATTTGTAGCTCGAAGGGCACGTCCTGTAGCACCGGCTTCAGCGTCTTGTGGAAGATCTTTCAGAACGGCAGGCTTGTGTCCACGACGGAATACCAATACTTCACCCTTTGATTTCTTCGCGGAGACAAGTTCGGCAGACACCAGGTAGGCGACCATAAGGCCAATTCCAAACACGATCAACAGACCAAAGTTTCTCCATTTGTGTGAAGCATAGTACTGGTAGGTGGTGTTGATATAATCATCGCCATTCACGAAAGATTGGCCTGGTCGAGAACCCGGCGTGTTGCACACATGTGCTAAACCTGAAACGCCGTCATAGCCGGGACCGCGTGGGACATATTGGGCACAGTCGTAGTCCTGACCGGAAAACTCGTTGACCATCAAAGCCTCAAACCCGTAAGCGACTGGATCTAGGTAATTTATCCATCGTGCCCATCCCAGCATGTAATTGACGGGGATGGCAAAGCCAGTATAGATGACGATTGCAAGAATCAAAATAGCCGCTGGTGCTAAAGCCTGGCTCAGACTCCTTGAAACTGACGCGATGGTTCGAAATAACATACTCATGACCAGAGTCAAGAAAAATGAGATGAGCAAGAAAAAGAAGAACGCTCCTGGCTCTCTCCTCAAGTTGGTCATGAAATAAAGCGTGAGATTGAAGACAATGGTATTCAGGATTTTATAAGGGAGATCAGTTAACATCGAGGCGAACGCTTCCGCCGAGGGGTGGTAGAGAGCGTATCGCTGGTGCTTCTCCACGATTGGTCGCTGAGCATAGAGGGTGAGAATTTCCAGTGCACTACCAAAGGCGTTCATGAGAATGGCAAAGAAAAGTAGAGCACCGCGGGCGTAAAAAGAGTTTGTTGTCTTGTCGAGATTGTAGAAGATGGAGGAGATAACCAAAGCCATAATAGTGTTGAAGAAGAGTTGGACAAAGGTCAGGGTTGGATCCGCGGCCAGTCTGCGGAAACCACGCCAAAGGCAGAGCCTTACTTGCTGCGCGTAAGAAAGTGTGTAGGGTGATGCAACCCGCTGCCTTTTCGCTTGCTGTAGGCGTCTCGATTCTTTGAACCTCGAAAGCCCTTCTCCGCCGAGCGGGTGCTCCTGGTCGAATTTCTCAATATCTTGCAAGAGCTGTGCACGCTCAGGGCTCTCCTTCCAGGCCCGAGCAAAGTCGTCTGGCGTACGTGGGACCTTGTTCTCAAAACCTGCGCGTACAATACGTTCCTCTGGACTTGTCATGGAAGTCAAGAAGTCAGCAGTTGTTTGGCGGTCCGGGCAATGGAAACCCAAATTCACGAAAAACGCTTTGGCGTCTTCTCTCTTTCCAAAATATATTTGTCGTCCTTCGTACAGGACGATGGCTTTGTCAAAAATGTCATAAGCACTCTGAGGAGCTTGATAAATGGCCACTGCGGCGGTCGCATTAAGGACATCGGTCGAGATTCGTAAACTTCTAACAAACTCCAGTGCATTGGCGCTGTCCAAGCCACGCGTACTGTTGTCCCAACACTGTAAAGGCGATTGATTCAACATTGCTTCCGCAATACTAACACGTTTTCGCTCGCCACCGCTGACACCTCGGATGAAATCGTTGCCAACTCTGGTATTGAAAGTGTGTCGAATGCCCAGGGTTGCCATGATGACATCTCTCATATGAGCAGCATAGGTATCCTTGGATACTCCACCAGGAAGAAATCTGGGGGCTCTCGCACGGGCAGCGAAGTAGAGAGTTTCAGCAACTGTCATTTGAGGGAAGTGGACATCCAGTTCTGCTGTATAAATTGCTTCACCGCGGAAGTGCTTATGCATATCTGCGTAGCTGACGCCCTGGTAATTGATGTAGGAATCCTTTTCAATATTAAAGCCGTGGGTCTCACCGGCAATTGTCTTGAGGAACGTTGAACATCCTGAGCCAGGTGGTCCGAGAACAACGAGCATCTCTCCTGGTAGAACGAGCCCATCAAAGTTTCGTAGGATGTCAATCCTTCGTTGGCCAGTACCCATCAGTCTTCGTGCTAAGCCGACAACTTCAAAGAGGACATTGCCTACGGATTTTTGGTAGTCGGTTGCTGCACCGAAGCCAAAGGCACTCAGGTTTCGAAAGGCAAATCCAGCAGTTCTCGCGAGGAAACGGTCATCCTCGGACTGTAGCTTGAACATAGATTTGACCCATGCGTGAGGTCGAAAGTTGTCAGAATTGGGATCTAGCGCGGAGTCTGCTTCTGCTTCGAAGGGATTGCCATCGACAGAGAAATTGGACGACCGGGAAAACTGCCTGGCTAGATATTTGATACGTTCGGTTGCTTCCCCGTCAGAGCTGCTGCCAGAATCAGGCTTGTTGGAGGGTGACGAGGTAGCGTGAGCACCAATTGGATGTTTATCCGATGCTGCCGCCATCTCCTTGTCATCTATCGAGTGTTTTGGTTTCGACTGGGAATGAGATCTGGTTCGAAATGGGACATGGAACTCTTCAACCTCGCTGGGACGTCTCTGGTGGCCCGGGAGTCCAACCCCTCCTGTTTGTACACTTCGATCGTAGTTGGAGGTAAAATTCCCCACGAGAGACATATCTGCTCGTGGCGGAGCGCGAGATAGAAAATACAATTGGATATGTATCAACAGAGGAAAGTCCGGCTAGAAGGAATGGCGTGGGAAGATATAAGTTTAGAAGCGCAGATCAGCGACGCCACCGAGACAAGGGTTTAAGAAGAGTGGCCGTAAGTCTCAGGCTCATTCTGCAACCTCGTGAACGGTATGACGGACGAAAGAAGCACGAAAAAGCTTGTGAACAGGAAGAAAAGAAACACGAGCACAATGTATACAGCGCGGAGCCTTTTTTCAAACTTGGAGCCTAAGCTGGAATACTTTAATTCGGGAGGAAAGCAACGAAGGGGAGTGGTTAGTGGTTGCAATGTTGACGAGCCCTGGTCTGGCAGACCAAAAGGCCCCGTCTACCCTCCGACATAGTTATGCCTCTGGTGGGGGCAAGGCAATCGCTCCGAACTAGAAGCGCCTCGCACAGACACGAGCATTATTCCGGATGCTGGCATGGAGGAGGAGAGGGATGGATACAAGGGACGAGCACGAATTCGGCTCGGAAGCAGGTGTCACATGCACAAAGATCGTTTATGCATCGGGTTCGGAGCTGAAGGACAGGGTGCATCGGCATTGACCCGTCGCCTGTTGGCTCGCTTGGCCGCTCTGTGCGGTGCTGGAAGCCTGGAACAACTTGTGCGCTTTCTACCGAGTGCTCTTGATAAATTGCACCCAATCTAAGCCCAGGCTGCCTGCGGGTTCAATGCCGGAGCCGTCGACGGAATCCTCAGGGATCGACTGCTTGCTTGTACATAGTTCCCAGGCACCCACAGGTAGGCACTGAAATTCTTACGCAAGCCATACCCCGTGGTGGCCCTTGACCATGATTTATGCAAGACACGACTCACATGTGATTTGCGGTACGTGGGACTGGGTCGAGGTATCTCGTTGATGGCATGTGCAATGGAAATACTACCCCCTATTTCTTTGTGGACGCCAACAGGGATGTCCATCAGGGTGGCTTCGGGGCGTCAGAAGCGATGGAGCCAGTATCCAGGATCTCAGCCCGATGGGTACCCAAGGCCCTTGCGGACACCAAACCCAACTGGGGACTTGTCCAAGGTATCGCGTTTTAGCGCTGATAAAACGAGGATGTAGAAACGAAGAGTATCGTATTCGTGTTCTGGGAGAATTATCGCGCTTGACGAGGTTGCCATCCCCGCAGCCTTGCGACCCGGGCCGCAGCCCAGCTGCACAGTGTCCTTTGAAATTCCCTTCCGGTCACTCTTCACGATAATGCCACGGATTCTCTCAGTAGAGTCGCAAGCCATTTCCTCATTCTTAGAACATGATGGAAATATGACTCACCCTCATTCTCGATTTAGCATCAAAGAGGAGGGGCGACAAGATAAGCACGACAGCACGCAGTAGCATTCAATGATGGGATACTCCGCAAGTGCTCGACACAGAATCCCGGACTACTACTCCACGTGTACGGTACGGAGTACTACTGTACTATTGTACATAACTGTACATACTGTACCACCAGGGACCCGGCAGGTGGGAAGAATTGACGAGATCTGCTCGGCACACACAAGATCCGTGCTTGGTTCTTGGTTGGTTGCGTCAAGATAGGGAAACTCGAAGAACAACCGCCGGCCGGACTTTTCGGACCCGTCCTTGCGCACAAACGCACGTGACTGGAATCGCTAGTCCTATTTCATACTAGTGGATCCAGCGAAAGTTATGCACACCATCCACCAGCCGTTCCTTCTAGGCAGAGCTTGTGCTTCTCTCTATACGGTCCGGTTCGGTTGTCGTAAACCATCCCACGAAGAGGATCAATTGCAGGATCAATTGCAGGATCAATGGGGTGTAATCTGCCCTTCAATTCGTCAGCATCTCTTGGCAGCCAACAGACGGTCTGATCCGGCCATCTCTCCCGAGTCCTGACTCCTGGCCCCTGCTCGATTTTTTCTGCAGTTTTGTCGTTGTAACGCCCTCGCCATTTCTTCGGAAGGTGGCCTCACACGTGGCAAATCTTCGCCTGTTTTCAAAGAGAGAGATGTCTCAAAAGTATATCCCATCGTCATGCATGAGCGCCACTCCGAAAAGAGATTTTCTGCATTGGCTTTTCTTGGAGCACCACCAACCCTTGCCGCATCATGTATGTCAGAGGCGTGGGGAACGCTTGACTCCTGAGACTCTCGTTATCATGACATAATCCCGGGTATTGGCTACATACTGTAGGTGTTGCGCTAGTGGCTGAGTCGCCTGTTGGTATCCGCAATTGTGCTCAGGCAGTGCAGTTCAGGAGTCCACGACTCAGCATTCCCAAAAGACAACAACGTTCACGGCCCAGCGGGCTTCGCTGTCGATCATCAGCAACGGATTCACGACTCATCCTACGATGACACCCGCACTAGCACCCTTGGGTTGTGGTCCCGCTATCTGATGTTATCTCAAGAAAGATTTCCAAAGCGGCTAGATTATCCGGCTTATAAGTGAAGCGAACAAACGTCGTCAAATCAATTTCCAGATTCCAAGTCCATGCACAAATCCATATCTATCTACTGGTACGCTCCTCGACGACAGCTTTCCCGGTGCAAATGGATCCATGTACAGGACGCCTCACAAAAGCGACCGAGTCTATTAGGCGCACACAAGGTGCGCCGCAAAACCCACCCCCGCCTGCACATGAATGGAACCTTCCAAAAATCAGATCGATGTTGGCTTCATGGTTTACTACTACTAGGTCTAACTAAGTACTGACTTGCGATCCTGCTGAATCGCTTCAGATCTAGGTTTTGCACCGCCAGTCTCAACTTTCCCACCTATTACGTTTTATCCAGCAAAGTTTGGCGCGATCCAAGTATTAGCATGGCACCGCCAAGCCGAGAAATAAAGCCAGTGGAACATTTTATGCTATCTTCCTACGCGTGTACTCGTAGGTACTATGTAACCAGAACAACGACAATGCCTCGCTGTTTGATTTTGACTCGACCATGATCATCCACCTCCTCCAGATCTGGCAAAACATCCTCCCGGCTCATGATTTTCCGTATGGCACGGTCTATCCACAGTTACACAACTCCCATCCCATCCCATTCGCATCCACTCCTTCTAAGCCATGCCTCCACCAGTCTCCCTCATTTGCGCACCCGGACTACATTACCGGTACCTTGTCATTTACTAATATCATACAGAACACATGTACAAACCCGCCTGTGCTCCATAACAGTCATTGATAAGTAAGGCTGCATGCGCGTCCCAATGTCTATGCATCAAGTTTGACCCACCTGTACAGCAACATGGTCCTGTTCCGTGATTTCACGCTGTATCCCCTGATGAGGAAGTAGTAGTCGTTGGGACGAGTGTCCCAAGAATGCTGTCCGGAGAAGGTATCAAGGAGAACACCGTAAGTCTTAACCGGACTGAAAGGGAGGAGCTCTCGGGAGAGTGGAAGGGCAAGTAAGTCCAATTGCCAAGTAGTCCGTTAAGCTGAGGGTCAACTGGAGGTGGTAAGCAAGCGGCTCAACTCACGCCTAACTAGATACTCAGTTATTGTTGGATGGGGTTGCACTTCTTTCTAGATCCGACGATCGAGCGGAATTCATCTTCACGTCTGTGTCCATGCTGACTTGTGAGATCCCAAAGTTTGAGCAATCTTTAAGACTTCGCAGGTCCTGATGAAAATCCTCGAACAGCCTTTCCAGTGCCTGTCTTGGCTCAGCCCTGTCCTGCCACCAAATCCTGAAGTCGTCCAATCTTGTCGCCGCTTCGACGCCTTGCCGTTTCGCTTGGAAGTCTAAGAGTGTGCAAACGGTACATGTAGTGCCAATGTAGTTTGACGCGGGGGATCAACCTGACATTGTTGTAGTGTCTGTACTCTCGATGAAGCATCTTGCAAGGAGGGCCGAAAGAAGCCTTGCGATTTCCGAAGACAAGAGTAATATGCCGATGCGAGAAACGGAAAGTCGGGTGTGTTTTAAGCTATATTCTCGATTGAAAAACGCTAGGGAAACGCTATGGAAAAAAGTGAAACTTCGCCGTCTGAGGAGTGCGACTAAAATCTAGAGAAACGCCCGATTCCATGTACACACGTGCTGTGCTGTCCCATGCAAAATGATTCCCACCATATATCCGTCCGTCCTCGGTGAGTGGACAAGAGGAGAAAGGAAGTCCCCCTGAGGTGCATGTTGTATCTTTTCATGTTGCAAGACCAACGGGCGATCCTCAATGTCCCTTGTGTGAAGCCACTCCCTTGCTTTATCCTTCTCTTCCCTTCTTCGCTTGAGTGTGCCATTGCGACCGATGCCCTCACCATGTATCCTCTTCCGCCAAGCTCAAGTATCGGAGAGTGATGCTATCCCGAATCTCCTTGCCGTCCTCGTGTAACCTGTTGTCTAATTTCCACGGTGCATTTTTTGATTGTTGTTACAGGTGTGATTCTTGTGATTCTATTTGGCGATCCACCCCGTACTGCACAATCTAGACGGGGTTGCTGTTGTCCTCCGGAGAGGGAGATCTCTTATATCCGCTGTGTTGCCTGCGGCCAAGGACTGGTTGAACCTCAATGCTGTCCCTGGAATACTTAGTCGGCCGGATGAGGGTAGGGAACCAGTACAACAGAATAGCGACCACCGCAACCATCGGGATGGAGTCGAAGACATAGAGAGGCCACTCGTGCTGAAGGAGATATCCATCACGGCCTCCGGAGGTCTCGGCGACACGGAAGAAATTTCGGATCATAATGATACCACTGACAACATAGAGAATGGTAAGCATCGTCTCCCACTTGATAGCGGGACGGTGAGATGCCTCAGTGCGTTGTTTGAGAATACGGGTGTGGAAGAGGTAAGCCACGTAGACGAATAAGCCAAAGAGAGTGATCTGTAGGCCGAGGCCGGTAAGGATGATGTACCTCCCCAGGTTGGTCCTTGAGCCACCGCCAGACATGATGGCTCCACCAGTTAGCTGGACGAAAAAGCAAACGATATCGCCAGTGACAAAGACCTTGGTCAAAATTGAAGGCTTGATTGGAGACAGGTGAGCTCCCTGGACGGCCAGAATGGTCCGCCCGAGGACCATGTAGATGGTTGCAGCGAAGACCGAGGGCGCCACGAGAAGGAGGATCTTTTGTGTAATCTCGGTGTTTTCGTTGCATGGATTATTGTGGCCCATTATCCGTACGCCATAGCCAGCAATTTCCACTATTGAGGAGAAGTTAGCCAGCGAACGAGACGCTTCCGAATCCATGAATGAAGGGCACCTACTGCTTGTTCCTAGGATGAAAGCCGACATGAACCATTGCCTTGACATGGTCATCCGCCAGGCATGGCCGGCTGTCAACCCACCAAACAAGATGATGAATATCACCGAACCAGCGACTGAAGGGAGAAATTCATACTGGCTCGGCACGTCACCGGGGCAGACGATCTCAGCACCCATAGTGATATCGACGTTGATGCTAATGCCGGCAAGGCGAAAGGTTTCTTTGGTGGCTCGCTGGTAATCAGGGTCGATAGGTTGAGCAGAGAGAAGAGGCAAGACTGGTAGAGCTAGAGTAATATGGTGAAAGACTCTTGCCGGGAGGATTTGTAGGATGAGCAATCGAGTCAGATTGTGACTGAGCCAGGACCTTAAGTACATGACTTCAGTTATCAAAGGCACCATGCCAACCGGGCGGTCTCCCGCTCCCGTTCATCATCACTTTTTGCGAGCTGTCATGGTAACATGACGGACAGGTGGCAGTGCACTGCTCAAACACATGCAACACATGCAGAGCAGCTAATAAGGAGTCTGCCTTTGATTGATTGATGACTGGAAAGGGGGCACCGAATACCTCTCAAACAATACTATGGATGGAATGCCCTTCAGGGACTGGCTGGTTATGACGAGGCTGATTGTGGACGAGAGGGTGAGCTCGCAAAAATCCTACCTAAAACGGTCTAGGCCCAATGCTGGGCTTTCGTGCTGTGCTGGTCGTGAAAGTCACGATACATGGCGGGTAGCAATGTTCATCATGGCTCCAGTTGGTGCATGTACTTGAGCGGCTCTCCGACGGGGCTAGGCTTGGATGGATGGCGACACTTGTCGCTGTTTGTTGGTATTCATATACTACTATTTTCCATATAGCTGGGTTATTTTTGCCGCCCTCTGGCCAGATAGCCGCTCTGAACTGGTTGGCGGATGTGTTTCGGAATATTGACTCCGCATACTGTCTTCAGGGCCGAAGGCTCACCACTTCTTAGGGAGACCTAAGTATGTAAGCGAGTCCTCTTCAACTCTCAAAGTTAGATAGTCCCGGGTGGCGGAGTGCCAGAAGGCTTCGAAGTCCTGGTGGATAAAAGGGGCTAGGTTGAAAACAGCTGATTTCCCAAGACTGGCTCTACATTGGCGACCTCCCCAGGCAGCACCATTTCCAATGCTGGCCACTGACGAGCGACGGACCCTCAGGCAGCACTTGAAACTAGAAACGAGACACTATCTCGTAATAATTAGCCGACGTCACGGCCGATGATATCAGTGTACTAATATGCATGTAGCATACACAAACACCATCCTTTCACAACCCGGCTATTGGCAATTTTGCTTGGAGCGGAAATGGTCAACCTAGGGCGCTCAAAAGGGTGTCACACCTGCAAACGGCGACGAGTCAAGTGTGATGAAGGCAGGCCAACCTGCAAGAGGTGCGCGAGAGTCGACGTCGAATGCGAAGGATACGAGCCAAGGAAGACAGTCAAGATAAAATTTAAGCACCACAGCCTGAAAAAGACCCGGCACTCACAGCCAGACTGTAAGCTGCAGTCGAAGGTCTCTCTTCTGGATCGGTGCCATGACCATGTCATGGGTGTTTTGGGAGGTCTTTCGGCGAATGAAGAGAGCCTCGCGCTTGGTTTTTTCCTGAGCAGCTTCGTGACTTCCGGGCAAGAATTCAATTCGACACGAGGCTTGCTTGAGAATATCATGCCGACTCTTTCCACCGCGCACGTCGAGTCGCCAGTCTTTCTCGCGTTCTCGGCCGTGGCGACGAGGATGTACAGTAGGTGGCAACGTGGAAGCATCGAGCCGAGCAGCCTGGCCAAAGTGCGTCTGATACAGGCTCTGGAACGACTGCAAGCGGCGCTTCAGGACCCCGTTGAAAGCAAGACGCACGCAACCCTTGTGGCGACTCTACTGCTGCAGTTCCAAGACAATGTCGCCTCGGTGGGACGCCTGCACAAGGTTCCGCGCACTCATCAGAACGGCGCGCTTGCACTCGCCAGGCACCAGGGCCAAGCAGGGTTTGACACCGCCAACGCGAAATACTTAGCATTCCGCCTCATCAACATGGAAGTGTCGTCAGCCATACGGGAAGGTCGACCAGTGCCTGCAGACCTGTACAGTTGGTGTGGCTCGAACGACATGCCTCGAACGCAAAGCTCGGATCTCGATACGATTGGAATCAACGTGGCCGAGATGCAGCGCATTTTCGCTCAGACGTGGCGCCACCACTCTCGATGTACGATCAGCTCTTGCCCGCACTTGGGAATCCTTGCCGGAGTCTGCACGCAAGCCATGGCAGCCGAACAAGACCTCAACTCATGGGCATCGGGTGTCCCACCATCATGGTCACCTTTCAAACTCGATCTCGGACGTCTTCGACCCCAAAAGGCAAGCCCACCGATCCAAACATACTCGGGAGCTTGTGATATATACCCAACGATCCAAATCTCATCTCTCTGGAATTCGTGGCGGATTTACCGCCTGATAATCCAGACCATCCTGCTGGCGTGTGTGGAGGCTCTCGAACTGGCGAGGGCACCCGAGTCACTGCCGTTTACCGCCCAAAGCATCGAGAGCAGCAGGATCCGGGTCGACATTCGGAATACCGTCGATTCCATCTGCGCAAGCGTCCCCTTCCACGTCGGCAACCGGGTAAGCAGGTGCTCCCTGGACGACTTCACAGACACATCGCTCCATCTCCCGGCATACCATTTCCTTCTGGACCAACGAAAGCGCACTGGCTGTGACGGCCTGCCCGATCACATGAAAACCACACGCATCATGCCACGCGACGAACACACACGCCATGCCATTGCGCAGGGCCCATGGCACATCATCAACACGCTGAGCAGGATCCTCAGCCTGTGTCTCGGCCCAGCCGGTGCGTCGCTGGCGTTTGCCATGAGGGAGCGACAGCTGGGGTGGGTCCAAGCCCAGATTCTCCGCTGCCTCACCATCCTCGGTCTCGATCGGGACAGCTTCGATCCTGAAGACCTCCTGACCGCCGACCATTGTCGCCTGCTGTCGAACAACCTCAGCGCAACTCTGGGCTCTCGGTGAAAAACAAGCTGACGGATTTAGAGTAGGCCTGCTGTATTAAGGTAGCGACCGGGCGTAGAAAGGAAGATTGTAGAACTGGCCTTGCAAAGCGGCGGCTGTACTAAATGTTGGATATTGTGTCGGGATACCATCAGTAGAGATAGAACCATCTTCCTCCTGCATGTCGCCTTAGTATCTACCTAGTCTTATCTCACGGGCGAACTGAAGAACATGAGTAACCCATAGACAGATTGGCGCTGACCCATCAAGCTGGCAGAATGGAATGCTAACTAGACCCACTAACTAGATCCATAGTTAAGCAGAATGCGATTGGTATTGGTTTTAGAATGGCCCGGAATATCATCGTCAGCTCTCAGATGGATAGACAAGACATCCTCTAGTGCGTATTCTCGATCTGGCCTACAATTCCTCTGGCCTACAACTAGATCTCCGCTTAGGATATCACCATGGGAAACACCTGAACGTGGCGTTTGCGCTACATAACCCAACGCCATGCTTCGCTGCAATGATTAACAAATCGATCGATATAGGAAGCCCAATAGCCGTTTAATTCCGCTTGAAAATCCGCCCAAGCTTCCCTGCGGCAGTAAACAACTGCCCCATTCCAAAGCTCCACTTCCTGACCCGAACAGTGTAGATGAAGAAGTACACCAGCAGCCAATTGGAGCAGACGAAGATGAGAAAGATTCCGAAGTCACGCCACTTCTCGCTACCACGGACGTTCAGTGTCGAGAGGTATTCGTCGCCGGTGGCGTAGGGGCAGTAGGCACACGTGCCGTTCGCGGTGGTCTCGATGTAGCCCATGGTGGTCCTGACAAAATCGCCCGCGTACGAGTTGCAGGTCTCGCCTGGGGGAGCGTTGAAGAGCGTAGCTTCACCTTCAGCACATTGAATTGGGAGCCCGCGAACCGTCGCGGCTAGGACACCGTTGATCCACCACGTGCTGGGGTTGATCCAGTACATCCAGTAGCGCCAGAAGACCGGCAGCTGGGCGTAGGGTCTGACGATGCCGTTGAAGATGGACACGGTGACGAAGAAAAATGGGAGCACGTTGCTGATCACGTTGAAGCTGGGCGCGAATGCGCAAATCCACTGGCCCCAGCTCGACATGAAGAAGTAGAACAGCATCGTCATCAGGAACATGTATCCTGCCGTGCTGCTGTCGCGCGGCATGTTGGTGGGGTAGTACCATAGTAGGAAGTAGACGACGGAGGAGATAATTGCCATAGGGATTTCGGCGACGACCTGTGCAGTGCAGAAGGCAAACCAGCCGTAGATGCGGCTCGGGTATTCTCGGGCCTCCCACAGTGCGCGGTTCTGGTAGAACTTTGGGACTACGCCATTGACGATGGTGGGTGGGATGAGAAGGATGAGGAAAGGCGTGAAAAGGCGGGACTGCAGCGATGCGACGCTATTGTCGAGGTTGTAGAACGTGAACCCGTTGAAGATGCCGACGATCACGCTCACGAACAGCTTGGCGTAGAGATAGGATGGGTCCCGCCAGTATTGACGAAATGTGCGTTTTGTGACTTCCATTGTTTGAATGGCGATGGGTGCCGCGAAGGCGTGTTGCGCACTCGCCGCCTTGGATGGCTCCTTGGATCGCGACTCTTTAAGACGTTGAATCTCCTTGAGCATCTCGGTGTTTTGTTCCGATTCCAGCCATTCCTTATTCCAGTTGACTCGCTTCCCGTTGATCTTGGATCCACCCTTGGCAGCGGTCTCGAGAATGAATTCGGCGACGTTTTTGTTAGGTGGGCATTGCGTTCCTCGTTTGGCGAAGTAGTCAATGATGGCCGAGCCATTGTCGCCAACAGGACCGAAGTAAAACGGATTGCCGCCAGGGTTGAGAGCAAGCACCATATCGAACTGTTGGATGAGCATAGAAGAAGGCTGATGAATTGTACAGATGATGGCTTGCCCCGACTTGGAGAGTTTCTTCAAGAACCGCACAATCGAGAATGCTGACTGAGAATCAAGGCCGCTGGTTGGTTCATCGAGAAAAAGTAGCAGCTCGGGTTTCGCTGCCAATTCCACACCAATGGTCAGTCTCTTTCTCTGCTCGACACCCAATGAACCGACGATAGCATCCTGGATGTCCTGTAACTCTAGGAGCTCAATGATTTTGTTGACATAGTCCAATTTCTCCTGCTTTGGGACGTCCCGGTCTTGTCTGAGGATGGCAGAGAACTCCAACGCTTCGCGAATGGTGGCGGTTTCGTCGTGGAGATCCATTTGTTCACAGAACCCAGTGCCACGCTGAAACTCCACACCGAGCGGCTTCCCGTCCACCAGCATATCTCCGGAGACGGTACCAAGGGTTTGCCGTTGCGAAAGTGTATTGAGTAAGGTTGTCTTGCCCGCACCACTGGCACCCATAAGGGCGATCATGACTCCTGGTTTGACGTATCCGTTCACTCCATTAAGTAATTTCCTCTTACCGCCTTGGTAGGGGACTTCATATTGGACGTTCTCCCAGGTAAAGACACTTTTGCCATTGGCGATATCGGTAACCACCATGTCCTTCCCACTTTGTATGGTATCCGACGATCCAACGGACAAGGGTTCTGCCGGAGTTGTTGCCTTCTCCTCGTCTGCAGGCTTCTGCTCCTCAGTCACCATCTTCTTGGCCTTGCGCGTCCTTTTGAAGACCAATGCACCACCTCCGCCAGCAGCAAATGAGAAGACCTCAGAAGCAAAGGCAGTGACGAGGATATACAGTGCAGTAAAAGCGATGAGGACACCGAGATTGCGCCAGAGATGCGAACGGGAGTAGCCAAAAGATGTCTCGAAATATGCGTCGCCACCTACCGTATTGCTTCCTAAAGTTGAGCCAGGCAGCGAACATCCTTGGTAAGCGGGGTCGACGCCTGGTCCTTGGGGAATCAAATTTGAGGGTGAACATTCCATGGTACGGCCAGAAAACTCGTTCGTTAAAACAGCTTCATATGCAAAGGAGACGGGATTGACTGTGGAAGACTTGTCAGAAGACGGCCAAGAAGGAATGCGAAAGTGAACCAAAAGCAAAGCAAGGACTTACCGTAGTAAAGCCAGCCGAACCATATCACATCACTAGTAAGAGTTCGTTTGGGAATAGTATAACCGACAAACACGACCAAAAGGTTGAGAGCAATTCCACTGAAGCGCACCGCATCGTCGATCGTCGGACTCAGTGACGCAAACATCCGATAGAGAGCAGTGATGGATAGAGTACTGACGAAAACGAAGAGGAGGTTGATGAAGAACTTCCCGGCCTGTGCATCCAGCTGTGCCATGAAATATAGGATGACGGTGAAGACGATCGCCTGGACCGCCAGTACTGGGATGTCAAGCAGGACTCGAGCAATGACGACCGCACTGGGGCGGTAAAAGGCATAGTCGCGATGCCTGGCTACCACCACTCGACCACCAACGGCTCTCATCAGTTCCGTCATCTGGAGCCAGCCGAGGAAAAGGATCGAGAAGAAAAGAGCACCACCACGAGGGAAAGCACCATCGGTGGCAAGACTTTCACCATAGAACAGCGAACCAACGATGAGACCGTTGGCAACGATGATGAATGCTTTCGTGTATAGACTGGTCTTGTCGCCCCAGAATAACCAGAATTCTCGTAGGGTACACGCCAGGACCTGGCGCCAGAAAGACACGGTGTAGCTAGACCGAGTGGAGATGAGCTTACTGTTACTCTTCTGCTCTTCCACGGCCTTCTGGAATCTTCGCGTCTTCTGACAATCACTAGTCTCCAGGTCCACCTCATAGTTTTCGACATCAACCAGTGAATTCTTGTATATGTCCGATTTTCGGAAAACGGCTTCGAGTTCGGCAGCGGTTTTGGGCGTGGAGGCTTCCTTTCCTGGTTGAAATTGTCTTTCGTTGGGATCCCCAACGGAGGTCAGAAAGTCCGCTGTGGTCTGTCTATCAGGAGCCTTGAATCCGAGATCGATGAAATATTGCCGAGCAAGCTGGGCTGGGCCTTGGTAAATCATGCGGCCTTCCTCGATCACCAAAACCTTGTCCATCAACTCGTAGATGCCCTCGCCAGCTTGATAGAGCGTCACGATTGTGGTCCTGTTGGAGATATCGGTCATGACGCGCAGAGATTTCGCATAGTCAAGTGCGGTCGACGCGTCAAGGCCTCGAGTCGAATTGTCCCAGCAGACCACCGTTGATTTTGTCGCCAAAGTCTCAGCAATGCCAACACGTTTCCTCTCACCCCCGGAAACACCTCTGACGTATTCATTACCGACGAGAGTACCCTTCGTGTGAGAAATACCGAAAATCTTCAACAGGGCGTCGATGAGCACGGGAATAGAGTTGGCGTCGTGCTTCCGCGTCTTATTCATCAACGCGAACCTCAAAGTCTGCCAGACAGTCAAGGTCGGGAGGTGCTGATCATCCTCGGGATTATAATTGACCTCGCCCCTGTATCGTTTTCGCTGCTCTTCAGCGGATATTCCCCCGTACTCGACCTCGCCCTCGACCGCTGCAAAGGTATCGCGCTGGTTGGCGAGCACTTTGAGGAACGTCGAGCACCCCGCGCCAGGACGGCCCAGAACCAACATCATCTCTCCGTCGCGCACCGCGCCGGTGAAGTCATGGATGAGATCTCTTGTAGGTGGTGCCTTCCCAAACTTGAGCGACGGTATAAATCTGCACGCTAGATGGTACAAGTCAGGACCAAAGGTCCCCATGATGGCCTCAGGCAAGGTCCTGGTGAATGTTGCTTGCGCACCCACTCCCTTCACGGTCAGGTTTTTATATGTGACACCGACTTTCTTCGTCGAGTCGCCGGCTTCTGTACGCTTCTCAAAACGGCCTTCCCTGAGAAAATCGCCGAGATCGAGATCGTCTTCACTGCTGAACTCGCCATGGTCGTCTTCGTCCAGAGTCGACACAGTCGCCACGCTCTCTGCTCTCTCGGAGCGAGTCCTCCTCCTTGCAACTGAGGTGCGTGTGCGAGCCCTCGATGCCAGGCTAGGCCGTTTATCCGAGTCGCGGGTCCGGGTTCTTTGCAGGCTCAGTTTGGTCAATTCTCGCCTCATCTCATCAAAGTCTGCCATGGCACCCTCCCGACTGAGTGGGCCACCCACGTCTCGTTCACCCCATGTTCCGTCCTGTCGGAGGCTGTTACCTCTTTCTGGCGTCAGCCCTTCAGCAGGACTAGTCTCAATAGAGTCATCGACAGACGGTTGGACATTGTGTAAATTCGACGACGGCACTTTGGATTTTTTTAGTCTTGCATTATGCAACGGGGGCAAGGCGAAACTCACGATCTGGGCCATACCGCCGTCCAAACATCTCTCGAGAATGCTGACTAAACATGTTGATGGTTCTGTTAGGGCCTCTGCTGCTGGAAAGTCAAGGTCCAGTAGGAGAACAAGTCTCGAGGGCTCTTCGCTCAGTGTATCTCCTCGTTTTGTGTCGCCAGCTGCAGGGAGGGGCTTTGACCGAGTGAAACGAGACTTTGATGAATAGACCTAGGCGCGTCGAGCGGCGCAGGAACTCTTGAAAACGTAAAATAAGAAATCTAGCAGTTGTACAATCGATCGAAAGATACCAAGGGAGGGAGAGGGAGTGAGTAGCGACGAGGTTCAATCAGAACCGGTTACCGCCAAATAGAAAGAAAAAACGATGCATGGGTCGGAGTGACGGAGATGTCGATCGTCCGCTAGCAAGTCGGTGTATTTCTAAGCCTGGCTTGGAAGGACTACTAGAAGTAGTGGTAAAAGACGAGTTTGGTGGATCTGGCCCAGGGGTTAGTGTGCTTGCATCAGGGCGTCAGTATGCTTCAAAAGATCACGTCAGTGGATAATGGTATTTCCTTTGCAAAGTCCCAACACGTTCAGACAATCCAATACGTCAGCGGATGAGAAGAGCCGGAGTTCAGTGGATCCAAGCTTGAGGTTCCTGAGGAGTGAGATCGGTGGAACTATCATTTGTCCATTCGCAAAGTCCGAGCAGTTCAAAGCTATGGGGCTTCCTCCGGCGGCCGCCAAGCTTGTTGGGACAAAGTGCTTGCGGACGGCTGTCAACAAGAATTTAGTTAATGCCGTGTTTTCCGTCGGTGGAAGAGCAATAGAATTTTCGTTATCGCCGGAAGTAGATGAGATGCGATGAGATAATTTGATACCAAGAAGCCAGGGGCATGACGCCGCGGCTCCGGCTGGATTTCCATTTGGGTGCCATTCTGCGGCTATCTAACCGCAGCCGGCGCGCCGACCACGCGTATTGCCTGCATCGGTTACTAATATAAAAAGGTACAAGAGCGGATGCCCACCCTTGCAGTTACTCATAAACACATTATTATTACTACTTTTGGGCTTGTACACGTCTGATGCCCTGTTCTATGTGATGCGGTGGATATCTGACACCGCTCTATGTGAACCTCTCATTCATCCGTCCATGCTGGTCCGAGTTTATCATCAAGTGCTCCTCCCTCTGGCTGAACTACATCGCTGAGCACGTATTCGAGTGGCCCTGCAGTCATGCTTATGTGGTCGTCCCTAATAACATCCCGCTTGGAAATGCTCACAACCAAAAAACCACTCCAGCGCCGACTGCAACAAGCGCAGTAGCCATACCTACAATTCCGTAGGCGTGTACTGACAAGGGGTTCGAGACGGTCCTACCAGCTGCTGCCTCAGAGCTGGCTGAATCAGCACCACTGGTGGAAGTCCCTGACGGGGTTTCTGTCGAGCTGTAAGTACTACTGATCTGCACAGTGTGGTTGCCCACGGAGATGCTGCCTTTGGGCACATTCGCAGGCATACCTGGTGCCACGCCAGCCACTCCAATCGTGGGCAATGGCGCGTCGGGAACCACCATCCATCCTCCCGCAGTTGAGCTTGGACAAGGAGGTGCAGTTGTTTTGAATGTGGCAGCATAGTCGGCGGATTTCACACCAGCTGGGTTTATTGTCGCCCAAACCTGTTGAAGATTATTGAAATCTGGCTGTACTGGTGTGGGAATACCCTGTCGCGTGAATCTGTGCAATGTCAGCTTTGTCGAACCTGAATTCTGAGAATGTTTGCATGAATAGTACCCCTGGATAATAGAAGAGCCTTCTTGAATGCTAGCATCTACTTGCGGCCCGTAGGACACGAGTCCGTAGTTGTTCAGCTCCTGTATCCATTCATAGATTATAGCCCCTGACCAAGTATGTGACATGTTCGGTCCAAATATGGCGTTTTGATCATTGAAAGTACGAGGAGGCACAGTGTTGCATCCATCCTCCGAAAAGAAGATGGGGACTGGGTAGTTGTCGGCATCGGCCTGCAACGCAATGTAGCCTGAGGTTTCAAACGTTGGGGACGCTCCACACCATTCGTAACTGTTCAGAGCGTAGAAATCAAGACGTTCAACGGGGTCGCTCCGGCAAACCAGATAGTTCTGGAGCATAGGTCGAAGGGCACCTGTGTCTGTGGCTGAGTATCCGATGGGAATCTTGCGATAGCCCTTGGCGATGATGTAGGCTTTCAAATCCACGGCGGCAGAGAGCAGAAATGGGGCAGCTGGGGAATCCTCCACTGGAAATTTTCAGTCGACGAAGCTGTAATGTGATGAGAAAGCAACCTACCGACATTGAGAACTTCATTTCCCACAAGAAACCCAGCAGTGTTTTCAAATTGCTGGAAATTATCGACGACCGCACGATAGGAGTCGGACTTGTTGTGTGTCCAGGAAGACTCAGAGCCCTGTCTAGATCAGCACTGCCCGGTCTCGATTTGGGAGGGTCCTTACGAGGCGAATGTATGTCTGGAAGCTGTCACAGTCGACAAAGAGATATATTCCTGCTTCTGCAAAGGCGCTCATGCAACCACTGTGGTCGGCGGTAGCATCGACATGGTACACGCGGATGGCATTTGCACCAAGCTCCTTCATGAGAGCGGCATCGAGCCGACATTGAGTGGTGTTCTTGAGAGGATCATCTTCGATCAATTGGTAGGCAACACCTGCAACCCGTGGAGTTAGCAAGGGTTGTCCAGCACATGAACAGCTGGAAATATACCTTTGACGAAGAACTGATTACCATCACTTGTGAAGAACTTGGAACCAACTACTGACAGAGGCAAGATGGCATGGACAGTGGTGTAGAGGGTCGCGAGGATGAGGAAAACGAGGGTGATTCTCGGCGCCATTGTGTTGAAATGGTTGTGGTAGAAAGGACTGGCCCGTGTTCTCCAGCAACCGTGAAAGGGATTGAAGATATGTGAAGACCGGTAGGACGCTTGGCTACTGGAATGCGGTCTCTTGATGTGAAGGCCGCTCGAGAGAGTACTTAGCACAAAATGCTAATTGGTGAGGGAAGAATATGGGCAATAGAAGACAATTTGTGATCGCATGCCACCCAAGAGGACTAGTAGTCTCACGAAAGGGACTCTCTTTGCGCAACCAGTTGAAGTCCAATGATGACAATGTCTAGGAGGCAGTGGGCACAAAGTCACTTGAAGTCTCTTCGATCTTCCCACACTGGCAGTTTCGGTTCGTGGTTCTGAAGAGGAAAAATGCGCCCGCAGTAGAACAGGCAGGAACGAGAGGAAGGCGCAAAGCTGGCCTTGGTCTGGTCTGGTCACGTCAAATCAAGCAAGAACGAACGACGTCATCGGCGCTGGGTAGCCAAAAGAGGAAAGCACGCGACACGCAACGAGCAACGGGCAGGAGGAAGGCGCGAAGCTGTTGAGAAATCCTCAACAATGATGAGTGCAGGTGAAGCCCAGAAAGCAGCGGCAACACCAGTGGCGCTCTCAACGGAAGGTCGCCGACATGCCATGCGGATTCACACCTTCCCGTCCTGTTTGGCAGGGTCTGCGAGGTCTGCGAGGTCTGCGAGGTCTGCGAGGTCTGCGCCCTAACGTTAGAGAAAGCTATCAAGCGCGTCGGTCCCATGATAGCCAGACATGGGAATTTGGGATAACCGGTTTTTTCTTATCCATGACATCGGTCATAGCCGCCACTGCCAATGGTTGGGTGATTTCTCCGCACAGGGGGTTGGATGGGTGCTCGCTGGGGAGGGAGGCTTAAGTAATTAACTACTGTAAAGGCTTGATCAGTTACGGAGTAGGTACAGTAAATCTCTTGCAGGCCTGGCAGTGGCCGACGCCACGGAGTGGATCACCTCTGGCCGGGTTTAGCAGGGCAATTGCGGTGGTGCTGTTGGTGATTAAACCCCGAGACAAGCCATGCGCCAGGGAGCCCACTCCCTGATGGTTATGGTGCTTAACCTTCCGTGCCTGTGTGCCCCGAGGGGCCGATTATGATGCCTATTAGTCAATGGTTGCAGGGGGGGAGGGGGAGCTTCGGGCGGAATTCATCGCGGGGTTGCCTCCAATTTCGAACGCCCCTCCCGCCGGCCAAATCCGCAGCCGAAAATGCCATGCCATTTAACCACCAACATTCAGAATGCCATCCAACTGAGCTCAAGCACTAATTCTAGCGTGGTGTGTGAATATACAAATCTCCTCAACGCTGATATCATATGAGCATGTACGCTCGATACTGCAACCCGTTCAATCAAGGTAACATAACATAGTTCACGGCAAGCTCTTTTGTCCGACATTGCACAGTCCACCAGCTCAACGAAAGACGTGGGCCTTGTCATACTGTACAGACTGTAGTGTGATTGATTGTTTCGATTATTTACTACTAGTTAAGTCTGCCCGTTCAAACGGCCCGGGCGAAGAGCCGGATCGACCGCCAGCCTTCCTCAAATCATGCCTAGGGGGCTGGCGCGAAGCTGATGTTCTTGGTCATCAAAGCACGAAAAGATCCTTTCCGTCGCACCCTATCAAGCAAAAGTTTTCAGCCAATATTTCCTGCGGGGTATCTCGTGTCTCGTCAACCATCTTGTACTGTCGCCATAACCCAACTCCCTGTCACTCACAACGCCTTGCTGCTGTATTAGAATTTGCATATTCTTTGGAAACCCACCCCTTGGCTCTTGAACGATGCAAGTAGAAAGCCGCCCGCTGATGATTTTTTACAACATCGACCGCCGAATGACAAACACTCCGACCTCGATCCCGGCGTCTCCTGACGGCTCCCGGCTAGAGCGTATCCCGTCCACGACTTCTCTCGCCAACATGCCTGGGGTGGTCTCAATCTGGCCGACGCGGGATGGCATTCGTCCACCAGCCTTGTGATAGTCGACCATGTTCTGCCGCAGTCTTGGTTGTTCTTGCTCGAGAAACCATTCCTTCCACACGTTCCCCTTTAGCACCACCTCTGTTGTTTCAGCGTGTACGACCTCGTAGCGGCTCTGTAAGCCCCGAGCCGGAGCTCTCTGGCCCAGAGCTTGACACATTTCTCGCACGGCCTGGAGAAGCTCCGCGAACGATTTCATGCCCTCCAAAGACGCCATCCGTCCCAGGTCCACGGCAATGCTGACAAAGAGGTTATTGAGCAGAACAAATTGGCGTAGGAACGGCTCAATGACGGGCCCAATGTATCTCTTAGCAAAGGTTGCACCTCCCGTCTTGGTGGGAAAGACGAGCAGGAGCGTTCCGTTGTTTGCAGAGAGTTCCAGGAGTCTGTCCGCAAGATATGATTTCCTACTCATGCTAAAAAAGTCGTGCACCTCCTGAGCGGTGGTTGGCGGGATGTAACGCTCCAGAATGCTGTAGTGTATGCTGCTCGGAGCTGCAATGATGTTGCTGGGGCGCGGACTGACAATTGTCGACGCAAAGTTCTGGGCATGGTATGCGGGCACAACGGCTGCATGTGTGAAAATCGTCTGGTCTTGGAAGTAGTCGTCGCTCGAGTAGTGTGTATTAGGAGTGGCAGGTGGCGAAGCGGGAACCTCATCCATACTGATTACTTGCGAAACCGCGTGCGTGATGGTTATGTAAGGCGGAAGACTAAAACGTCCTTGCAGCACCTCTACCACCTTCTCAAAGACTGGCTTGCTGCCTGATTTCTTCGCCTGGGACGGCAGAGCCTGAACAACCATTTGGATGTGTTGCTGACTGCTCGGGTCGCCGGGAGCCGAAACTACACAGCTCATTAGCAAACGATCATTTGAATTGGCAGTCTGAAGGACCGTACCAAGGTGCTGGCAGGCTCTATCAAGCCAGTTGGACATGTTTGATTGATCTGACGACATATCTGAAGGTGCCGGCATCTGTATCTCAGAAGGTCTGGTGGCGGGCGAGGATCGACTGTATTGAATTTGGGCCGGAGTGCTTCGACCGCGCCCTGAGCTGTTTTCCGGCACAGTGCGAATGCCGCCACTAGAGTCGGTCTCAGCTGTCGTTTCCCACTTGAATGAGTCGAGGTCTTCTGGTGGTGTGAGTAGCGGTTGGATTCCACAAGGATAATGAAAGGAAGATGCGGCCATATGAGCCGTTAACGGCCACGACTGTGCATGAAAGAGTCCGGAAGTCTCTAGATGAGCCCCAGGGATCGGGTGTGAAGGAGCAGCTGTGCCGCTTTCCACTGGCCGAGTGACAATCGTCGACCTTTGGTAAGAATGGCTTCGGTGCTCGCACCGTGATGCTGGGATACTGGAGACCTTCAAGTCAGGAAGTTGCAATATCGGCCGCTTCTGGAGACCACGACTGTGCAGGTCTCCAGGGTTGTAGTCTATCGACCCCACCGACGACCTCCTTTGACTGCCGCTGTGAGATTCTCTCAAGGACGTTCGACCATCACCGGTCTGTGGCCTTTCTAGTTTCAGTCCGTCCATCCAAACTCGTGCAGGGGTGCAATCTGATCGCTCTTCCGTCTTGCCCAGAAGGTCGACAAAACCATGGCAAGAGGTTGACGGGCCTTCTTGGGTTGGTGAGGTCAATCCTAGCTCCTGGACCTGGATGACTACCGACTGTCGCTTCGGGATTGCAAGGCCGCCATTTTCCACTGGCAGACCCTGAGTGGTCATTGACGTTGCCAGGCCTTATTCAAAAGCGATCGACAGCCAGGATGTCTCCTTGAGGACGAGTGTAGAGGTTATGTGGGAGGAATCGCAACGACCGAGAACAAGGCTCTTTGGGGGATGGGCCTGCACGAGCCAGGTGAGCTGGAGTGAACGGATCAAACAGACGTCGAGGCACAGGAAATGGGAAGACGACATACGGTATGGACCCAGCAAGGAGGGAGGGCTCAAGGCTCTGAACAACGCAGTTGCTAACCAGCCCACAAGCAAACGAATCGATCAAGCAAGATGAAGGATGCGGCAGTAGGCAGCATCAAGAATCAAAGACACAAGTGCACAGATAGGTTGGCAAGGACAGGTTCTGACGGCTGAGCATGGGCTTGGTTTGAAGGGTTGTGTCTGTGTGCCTGACATCCCAAACTTACGTGGACAATGCACCAGGACCAACTCCCTCACAGGCTCTGGGGCAGCGGTTTAGGCCCAGACATTTACTGGTACATGCAGAACATCCAAAGTGGAGTTATTTGATGGCGGACAACTGGCGCTGAGGATGCTTGGTTGAGTGGTTTTTGGCGGATGGGAGAAGGATTGGCACGTTCTAGACTCTCATCGATCGTACGAGCCACAGGGGACAGACACACCGGCATTTTCTTAGCCCGCCCAAGCTGGCCACTGAGATGACACTAGGCACCGCTCCCGCCAGGGACCAGGGATCAAGGCCGCGAATATCAGCAGCAAATGGCTCCTGCCTGAACGCTGCCATCAAACGAACTGTCGTCTGCTGGGGGGTGAGGACGGTGTGCAGGAAGCAAAGATCAAAGCTGAACACTCGATCGCGGCGCAGGTTGCGCCTACGTAGCGGTGGATTGGGCTCAACAAGGCAATGTGGCAGTCCATATGGAGCCCTCCCCGACCATAAAAGAAGAATCAAGGCAATGAAGTCGTGCGCTAGTTATGGGGGGGTATCTACGAGCACCCGAGTATGGATAATTGCTCTCATACTCGGTATATTATTCAATAATGGACGGTCGGGTTCCTCGTATTCTCTGGCGGAGGGAGCTTAAACCCCACCAGTCTCCGAATTGAATAATTTAGTCAGTAGCGGGTGGCTCAGCAATGACCCAGTTTGAGGAGGTGCCGGCTTCCATACGAGGTACAGACCCTCTGCTGTGCCTCGGACTTGAATCGGGAGATGATGATGGTCAACACTCTTGCGCCTTGGTCAATATTCCTGGAGCTGCGCATGTCTGTGAACACGGCTACCCAGCAGGTGAAATTTCATTGGGAGGGGCTTTCTCCGGATGCACAAGCACAAGTGGACTCGGTTTTCTGCTCGATCCAACAAGGTTCGCGTTGCTGTTGAGGATGATCAGCGGTCGGCCGTATCCCTATGCTTTCTGGATTGGCGTGGAGTGGAATCAGGTAGGCATTGCAGCCGAGATGTACTCCAGCCTCGAGGAGAGATAGCGAGATGGGTCCAAGGTTGAATGGAGAGGACGGAGTCCAGTCGACTGTTCTGGTGTTGAGGCCGACTCAGACCGTTTCTGTAAGAAATGCAAACCAACAACACAACCTCAGGAGCCCGGATGGAGGGATGCCCTTTTGAGCTGCGGTCTTGTACCTTTTGGCAGGCGCAGCGGTTGGGCACAGGCCTGGAAGCCAAGCCCCGAGCGAGCGTTTGACGGGCGTGACGGGCTGGAAGGCTGGAAGGCTGGAAGGCTGGAAGGCTTGACCCAGTTTCGGGCGACCCGTTCGCCCTGTCGATCATCCTCCCTTGCTTTGGTTGAGGACGGAGTCCACGGGACTGATGCTAGGATCGGCCGTGGGGAGCGTAGCACCCTTCAGTCTTCTTCTGTCCTCAGTCTGGACTCGGTTCAGGATCTGGGGGGATCGGTGTGCTCCAATTACCTAAATATACGTCGTAGATCGGTGCCGAGGACTCGCGTCGCTCAGGAATTCCATTACTACTGTGACAGGAAGATTCGTGTTTGGCGACAGTGATCATGATGCATTAACCCGTGCGCATCAACCCGTATGCCTTGAGCCGAGTTGGCACAAGACTGAGGATCCAAGGAAAGACCCCAATGTCCAAATAGCAATTACAGGTGGCTGCTTGTTAGCCTCGCCGTTTCTCAGCATCGCTTCAAGCCAGTGGCTTAGATCACTTTGCGTGGTTGTCCCACATTTGTCGCTGCACGCCTTCGAATAAATCTGGGGATGCTCCAGATCGAAGGGAAAAAAAGGTCCCCGTGTTATCTAGAGGAGTGACCAGAGACAATCCGGACGGTCCACGGAGGGTTCTCGGTGATCAAAAGCATCGCCACCATCGGGATGTCAAACCTTGGACTCAGCTGCTGAGTAGGCTGGTGGGAAGGTATCAGGCAATATGCGCCTGCGTGTAGGGCGACGGAGGAGGCACGATCACGCTTTGTGAGGAAGTAATAAGCAGTTGTAGACATGTGATTCAGAAGCTGTGGCAGATCGGATCACTTGATGACATCGTGGAGAAGGCCCGCCGCGCACTTCTATTCAGAAGGGAATGGCCCCTGGGCCTCCCCCGGGCCTCCCCCGGGCCTCCTGTGAGTCTGTGACTAGGACTTTGCTGTGCCCATTTGCCGGGCGAGACTCTCAAGACAAGAAAAAGCTAGATGCTGCCTTGAAGCACCTCACTGCCCTGGCCATGGCGAGTTGGCTGACCGATACCCATACCGAGTACGAGCACGGCGATCTGCACGGTATGCCTTTCAAAGCCATTCGATAGATCAGGTGTTGAACTGAATGTGATGCTCCTATGGCGGGGAGTGGGGATGAGTACTCGTAGGTGGCGCCAGAGCCGAGTTTCAGATCCAGTGTCGGATAAGCACTTGGACCTCGTCATCCCAACTATCACGCATGATTGACCGTTTGAAAGCTCGACAATGCCATCAGCACTAGGCCGATCCAGCAAGATCCAGGGCAGTGGTAAAGAGCCTTAGGCGTGTCGCGACGTGTGTATGGATAGGGGACCATCTTGACACATATGATGTACTCGTGCGATACTCGCCGTGCACTCGGCTGGAAAGGCCGAGCGGACCCGCCAATTTGATTCCCGCCTGCAGTCAGGAAAGAACGGCAAAGACGAGTGATCCAGGACAACCTACCGAGTCCCAAGTACGGAGCATGGATACCGAGTCCATGGAGTGTCCCTGCAAACCTTAGAGACCCAGGCAGAGGGATCATCCGTCTGTAGGCACGCTTCTATACGGATCGCTCTGCGGCAGTCCGCCCCTCCTCATCCGCCCTCTTGCATTGGACCAGGAGGACGTGTCAGCTGAGGAAAGTCGCTCGCAGACCCAACTACAGTCCGGATGAGGAATCTACGAGTCTACTGTATCCCTCCATGTGCTGGCGCGAGCCAATATGCTGGAGCAGCAACACGGGGACTGATCACGACGGCAGGCAAGGGCTTGCCCTCGTCGCGTCGCAAACCAAAAGAACCGTTGCTGTCCCTCGACCACACTTCGGCCCAGGGGTTGTGCTGACCTTCCTTCTGTAGGACCCCCTGACTCGCTGCGCTGCGCGAGAACGGCTTCCAGGGACGACTCAGGGATCAGACGCCCCACCTTTGGAACTGCATTGCATCTCCTATCCGGACAGTACGAGGAGTCGTACCTCTCCAGCGGCCCAATTGCGCGTTAGTCCTAGCAGCTTGCTTTAGCCCAACTCCCAACTGATAAGGCTGCATTGCAACCACTGAGACGCCCAGAATTGGCTGAGAGCACTACTAACGAAAACTGATAGAAACCACTTTCCAATCTCCAGTCTTTGCTTACTCTGGACCAATGTACGGATATGTCTCTATCGTTTCCAACCACGCTGTGCCCAAGACAGATCCCAAGCTAAGGCCCGTGGGTTGGGTCCTACTCGACCAACAGAGCATGCAGCCGCCACTACTGCCTCCCAAACCTTTATCCTGGAGCGCCTGAGAGGATCCCACTCCCGAATCACCCGATTCGAGTCTCGGCACTCGACATATGAAGCTCCAGGACGTCCTCCGGACTTCGTACCTTTGCTTCCAAGCTTCATCTCAACGCTCAATTTCAACCCTTGCCTGTTCGGGTCTCTGGTTTGTGCGGTCTGGAATTCTCCGTACACGGCCACTATTTACACTCCAGCTTGAACCCGAGCCTGCAAGCCAGCCTTCCTCCTTCTTGGGGGTTGATCTGCAGCTTCCACGCCGAGCAGAACGGATCGGGCTTGACTCAAAGGAGCAGCAGGCGCTGTGATGGCATCGGATGACTTTGTCTCAGTGAACAGTGCTGCTCCAATGTGGCAGCAGAGACCAGGCGTAGCCACTTGTCACTCTCCCCTGTTGGTTCAGATAAGATAGGTCCACCGGGCTTGCTCGTCCAGTACATACCAGCCCGCTGTCAAGGCAGTGTGCCCGTTTTCCCTCACCCCCACCCACCCTGACTAGCGCCATCACCTTTGGACTCGCGCTGCTCACCCCAGTTGGTCGGGAAGACACTTGGACGTCTTTCTCGAGATGAATGAACCCTTCCTTCTGTCATTTTGCAAGCCATCATCTGAAGATACCAGGTTTCCCGCGTAATTCCAGTCTCCTTTTTGATGATAGTCCCTTTGACCCTTGCTTCCAATCAGGCCCTTGGCTCGTTTGGTGTGTTGCCGGCTCAAGACTCGCACTAGTTACTTTCTCCTCCCCCAGTCCGTCTAAATATGACGACTATCCGTTTCCCACGTGGTGGTCTCAACTGTGTAGATTTCCCTTCCTTGATCGACCTTATTGTGGTTTGGAAATGCTTGTAAAGTTGGCTGGCTTCCCAGAATCGCGGCCCCGTTACTGTTCTCCGATGTGAGCGGATTGCACGAGGACTATGGCACCCTCTTCAGCTCCATGGTGGAGCGATGATCGGGTGAATGAAACAGTAACCTCAGCATACGTCCATTCGCATCTCCGCCCTAATGAGCAGGAGCTCCTACAACGACCTCTCTATTTTGGGGGAGACCTGACCGACGACACCTATCTGGATTGGATTCTGACGAGGTCCAAGCGCTTCTTCCTTATATTAGTCGCTACGGGTGTCCCCGACCAGATCTTTGGTATTGTTGATGACTCGTATGATGATGAAGACCTTCCCATCGTTGAACATGCCATACCCGATTTGCGCTTGTCTTTCCAACCCGACCGCTCTCTGGACAAACGATTCTACAAAGCTCAGTTTCGATTCCTCACACGCGTTGTTGGCGAGGGCGAGCACATACGCTACGCCGATGAGGAAACCATCCCCATCATCCCCCTCAGCTTGAAGACTGTCGTCCTCCCCAGAGGCAGTGATGGAACTGACCGCGTTCGACTCCCGTCAGAACCTGCAAAGACAGTCCTTCGTCGGCGGATTACCCTGGATGCGCACTTGACGGAAGAGGACATCCTCGTGGAAATAGCCACGAGTAGGAGGCTGTGTCATGAACATGTCGTATCAGTCTTTGGATCTTATCTATACCAAGGCGCTTTCAATGTCCTGTCGCTTCCAGCAGCCGAATGGAACCTCAAAACCTTCCTGACTGACACTCCTAAAGCATTCAGTGCCCTTTCAAAAGTGGAACGACGCCATCATATGATCAATTGGCCACATTGTCTCGCCAACGCTTTAGCATGGCTTCACGACAATGGAGAGTTTCACGGGGCTATCCGACCCTCCAATATTCAGGTCGATAGTTCATTCCAGATCTGTCTAGGTCTTCTCGACGGCGACGGATTGCTTCGAGACAGTGTCAAGCCTGACGACATTGAAGCGTACCAATATGCTCCTCCAGAGAGGTGGAAGAGGGCTGTGACAATTCAAAATACAGGTTCCGCCACATTAGCTCTACCGTCCGGCGGTCGCTCAGGGCGAAAAGTAACCGGCAGACCAGACAAAGGGGGCTCCTCTGATGGCAATAACAGTGTCAGAGCTAGGTCGGAGTCTTCCGCTGCAGCTTATACGTTCCAGCCAACTTCTAGAGGCAACTACGCAAGGTTGAGACTTAGCGCAGCCATGGGTCCTGATGCACCACTCCAGCCCACTGTTCGCGGCAGAAACATGAGGTCTCCCTCGGACAACAAGTCCATCTCAACCCAGGCTACAACTCGACCAAAACCGCCCTCAATTAGCTCATCCACTGGTTCCAGTGGCAGGCATATTGCAAGTTCACTTCGCAGTAACCCGAGGTTTGTCTCTGCTCCAGAAGGCCGAAGCGCTGTTGTACAGACATGGCAATCAGTCGAGCAGGATATGTTCGCTTCCGACGTCTTTTCTCTCGGAGCCGTGATCTTGGATATTCTATCCATTCTTTGCAAGAAGAGTTACAGCTCATTCTCAAGACACCGTTCATCCAAGAATCGAAATGCCGGTCGAGGCGGCGGATTGGCAGATGCCAGTTTTCATGCAAATCTCGGGCAAGTGTTTCTCTGGGCACAGTCGCTTCAGAACGAGGCAGAGAAGAAAGCGAAGAGAGACGAAAGTCAGGTCTACCACGCTATAGGTCCCGTGGTGCAGCTCACGCTTCAGTGCTTGGAAAGGGACCCTCTCGCTCGATTATCCAGCGAGAAACTCGAACGGAGGCTCGGAGACTACATCTGCCGCTTCGCTAATATCAAGCGCCTCCACTGTGCGGCCGAAAAGATAAAGCAGCAAAAATCCGACACGCCCAGCACTGCGCGAGGGAACGTGTCTTCAGAGCGTTCAGTAAAAGAGAAATCTTCACGGGATTGCCTTCGGCAACCATCCCCAAATCCCAGGACGCAGACTCAGGAATGGAGACAAGAACAGCAACGAACAATTCTACCAGATGCGCAGATGCTTCAATCTCCCATCAGCGACGCCCCATCTTCGACTCGTGGGATGTCAGTCAGTACAACCCCAGCAACAACTTCCGCCAGTTCTCTCATGTCATTCAATTTTGATGGTCTATCAGATACCGTTGTTGCAGAAAGTCCTAGGTCGCGCGACCACTCTCGAAAGGGCACCCGCCGGAGAGATAATCGTGGTCCTCAGGTCGAAGTGCCCTGGACAAGAGACCAGGCGCACAATGGAGGAGAGCAGCAGCAGCAGCACCACCACCACCACCACCAGTACTGGAACACCTGGCACCAGAATGATAGCGAAGTCGATCCCCGCCTATCCTTTGGGGAGTCTGTCGATGCTGGCGCCTTCACGTTCGTCAACTACAGCACCAGCGCGTCGTCTGAAGAGGGGGCGAAATACTTCCCCCGACCACCTTCCACGCCAGTGGATCCACCTACTAAAGCGCCGAACAGAGCGCTCCCACCCGTGCCTCCAATTCCCACACATGTACGACCCAGCAGATCGAAACAGCACCTCATACCTATCCTAGCATCCCGGGAGGAGTTGGCATTGCTGAGCCGTATCCAGAGCGCTGCCGCGGCGGGACATCCATTGCGTGTTGACAGCTTACCCAAATCGCTCAATGACGACGAGGACGACTACGAAGACATTTTACAACATACAAGGCGGCCTCATACTGCCAAAAACTCGTCCAGGAGTAGATCGAGACAAGATTACGAGCATCATTATCGGGGTCGCACTGGCGTGTAACACTTTGCGTGTTCCCTCTTATTTGTGTGGTTTAGGTTGAAGGGCCATATATGATTTCGAGTCTCAGGTCTAATGAAAGCATGAAAGTCTACGACGATGTTGAGGATCAGTTTGTGGCCCCTTTTCCGGCCCGGTGGGAATGATGTCTTTCCCCAGTCGATTTCACATTTCTTGTACAAGTAGAGACTGTAGATTAGGATTCCCCAAAACATGGCCTGTCGTTAGATGCTGTAAACATGAACATGGAGTGGACCTCGTTTCAATCACACAACCTTTAATGTCATGATCCTTGATGGCTTTCTTACTTGAGCGACTCCTCTGGCGAGAGTTGGCTACCGAGTTTATCCTCCACGAAAATCAATCCATGACCCTCCGTTCTCCAGCTTCCTGGCGTGGTGAGTTGGGAGCGGCGCAATCTTCAGTGGCCGCCTACTTCCAAAGTCGGAAGACGTGCATTGTGTCGGTACCTGAACCTCCACACACTTTCTGGACCGGTAATGCGAAACGGTATCCCCAATGAGACGCTATGATCTGCCGAGGCAACACAGCTGGGTCTGCTCACCTCGTGCGGGAGTTGTCGGACCCCTGAACAGAGGTATGATAAGTTGAGATTTGTGCGCTGTCTGTTATTTACCCCTGAGCATCCCGCCGCTTGCATTCCAAGTACAATATCACGATTATGCTGCCGAATAGCGAAGACAAAAAGAATGAAATTGACCACAGACACCACGATGCGCCCAGCGTCGCTTCTCGCTACTGTGGGACTGTAGTTTCTTTTGGTCTAAGTTCTGGGAGCTGCAGATGGCCTCGATAGCAGGCACCACTACCCAACACATGCACGCCACCATAGTCACGGTACACACACACACACACACACACACATGGGAAGAACGTGGGCTGCCAGGGACCATGAGCCCGCTAAGTTAGCACGGCGATAAGTCAGTCTCACTCTCGCAAAAGATGAAAGATGTTAGCGGGGGGCCCTGCAGAAACCACGTTTCTCCGTGTCCCGGTTTCTTGGCACAGTGACCTCGCATCTCGATTGATAACGACTCACGCGACTTTATCATCCACGGAGCGACAATACTGGACTTATTTCTTCCAGCTCACCCCACCCCACGCTCAAGCTGTACATCTTGGTGTCCCTCGTCTTACCCACTCACACCCGTGTTACATCAGAGCGCCGAGTAGGCTTTTGCTGTAAACGAGGCGAAAGTCTGACGGTCTGACGCGAGAGTGCGCTCAATGGTGTCGGCAAAGGCCACATCGGGCTTGACTCGCCGCCATGGGTAGTAGTGGTGGCCTCTGAATCATATTCGGCCTGCAAGCCATGGCGACTACGAAGAAAAGAGTCCGTGAAGCCAAACCAAAGACGAAAACCTTTACAGGGTAAGTGCGTCTCGTGATAGCTAAGTTTCCCCAGTCACCGTCGCTCACTGTACGCCATCTTGCTAGATGTTGGACCTGTCGAAGCCGCAAGGTCAAGTGCGATGCGGGTCGCCCATCGTGTTTTCGCTGCGAGAAATCCGGCCTGCGATGCGAAGGCTACAATCTGAAGTTGTATTGGATTACCGACGAGGACACGGTCGCGCCCTCCGCCATCAAACGGCAGGCAATGACTTTAGAAAGTATGCCTTCTACCTGAAACATGTATTTCAGGCTCCGGCTGCAACTGCGATCTCTGATTTTGAGACATGAGCTTATGTCATTCAATCTCTAGGATGTCGACCGTGGCCATTCCAACTGGATGAGGTCGATCGTCAAATAGCATACATCGATGATTTCGACGACGTTACTAGTGACAGACAAGTGTGTTCAACTGGCCCCTTTTCGGTGTTTCGCGGGCGTGTGAACGACATCCGTGCCTCACACAGTCCGGCGACAAGTGCGAGTACAATATCAGTATCGCACGACGAAAATACAAGCTATGCCTACCAGTATTCCGAGGGCGACCAGGATTCTTTCTACGATCTTGCAGACGCTGAAAGTCGAACATCATTGACGAGTCCTGCAGATGCGGCGTCTTGGCAGCTAGAAGCCGCTTCACCCGTTGGATTTGGCTCTCCCCTGTCAATAACACCCAGCTCTTCAATCTTCCAGGACCCGGTTATTGATCGGTTGATGAAGAACTACGTCCTCAACGTAGCCAACGTATTGCCTCCGCTACCACACCCCGACAGTCCATACGCATCAGTATATGTCCCAAATGCCTTGGTAGGCGCAGCGAACCTCATATTTGGAGTCGGTGATTTAGGAACAGATCTCCCTTCCAGCAATGTAGCTGTTTTCTATGCGTTGTTGGCAACTTCTGCCTTCCAGCTTCGAGGTTCTGGTGGACGAATTGATTCGGGATTCGAGCTGATAGGCAGGAGTTTCCGTGCTAAGGCTTTCGAGTCCCTGCAAAAGGCCCTCGAGGAATCCCCAGAACCAAACGAGCATTATACCCTATCAAGCTCCTACAATTTCCCCATTTCACATTTTGAGACTCTACTTTCAGCCATGTTGGCCTTTTCCTCTATGGATGTACGTAAATCCCTCTTGAAGACTGCTACGTCCACTACTAACAGCCGCTGCAGGTTATGGAAGGCTCCATGAGCGAATACTGGATCCATTTGGATGGTCTCGAGCGACTTGCCCGGCAACTTCGAGATGACGGTAAAGCTTCTCCTATCATTGATCGATTGATCGCCAATTCATCCTTTCTCTCAACTGTCGCAAGTACTACTGCTATGGACTTGCCCTCCATACCATGGACGGAGGACAACATTGATTTAGACGACCTGGAAGATCAACTTTCGGGAGTACACCACGGTCTGGAGGTCACTTACGGCATTACACATTCTCTCGCTCGGTTGATGCGGCAGATAGTCAAGCGGTCTCAAAACATCTCTTACTACGTCTCGGAAGATCTCCCGCTCCCTGAAACTCTCGTCACTGCTTGTACAAAGCTATCAGAAGCAATATCGCAATGGTCCATAGAGTCAGAACCATTGTCACGCCTCTTTTTGTTGGACTCGAATCCACACTCAGACACTAGTCTGCTCCTTGCCAGAAATCATCTCCTGGCATTTGCTCACGGTTTAAGGGTGTATTATCACACAAGGATTTTCCCTTGCAGCGTACCAGAGATGTCCCACTACGTTGGTCTTGTTGCGCAACGTTTGATTGCCATTGAAGAAATCAAATCCGAAGCACAATACGATTCGAACGTCGCAGCCACGATCACTTGGCCTGGATTTATAGCTTCTTGTGAAGCCACGCAGGGTCAGGAACGAGAGGTCTGGTCCCGATGGTGGAACGGGATGTTGCGACATCGCATAGGAAACATTCCCCATTTGTGGAATGTTGTTCAGAAAGCATGGGCACTTCGGGACAATGAAGGCTCAACGGAAGTTCCAGGATGGATGCCAGCACTGAGAGTAACAGGAAAACGGGTCCTGGCAATTTAAGGGACACGATCTTTTGCGCTAGCAGCGCCTCTTTAGAGAACCAAGCTTGATTCCCTTGGATCGATCGCCCTACATCTCAGGCGCCAGAACCATCCTCCGTAAATAAGACCATCATGGCCTCGTGTTTGAGAGAGTGAATCACAAGATCAGGATGAAGAGATTATCAACGAATCCATGGCTCTCGGTTCACTCTGGGCATAGCTTGAAGTGGGCATTGCCCATTGGTAAGGACCAGGAAAATATCTCATCTCCAGTTGTTCGTTGCTGAGGGTATGGAGAAACTGTGTGGTCCGGGCCGGGTAGCACTCAAGCTTTGAGTACTATGTATTGTGTACGAGAAGACTTTCCGTCGTGGAGTGACGAAGACTCGACTGGGGAAGGGCAAATCTTGTATAATTTACCAGTGGAACAAGTTTGCTTCCCCGGAGAAATGGATGCGTATCACGTTGGATATGTACGGAGACTGGGGTTTCTAGAAGCATGTCCTAGAATCGACCAGATCCCGAAGGCCTCGCTGACAGCTACTCTCAAGGCCAACCTTATCAGCATTCAGGTACCGCCAAGGCTATTGACCTGTGAATTGCAATAGCCGACAACACAGAGGTTCGCTGACTGCTTCCCGGCCGGCATTCAGCCCACAGATAAGGCGGGATCGCATGCCGGTCTGGAGCCGAGCCTTGCTTAATCAAGACAAGCTGCCAAGGGCTTGGCACCATGGGAAGCAACCCTATTCCGCCGTCTCGATGATGGAACCCTTGTCTTCTGATATTTCCCCACCTGTTATCTTGCTCGCCACTATGCAAAGTATCATGATGATCCGACAATGTCGAGAAAAAGGCAGCTTAGACAAAAGCCAGCCAAATTGACAGGAGTTATCGTATACAGGGGCAAATTACATGGGGTGAGATCTGCTATCCTCCTCCTCACAGCTGCGATTGGGCGCGCCGGACAGCATACCTGGGGCGTGGCAATTGACAGCGAGACCTTGACGGTTGTTCCCTGCTCGTTGAGATTTCCGAACTCCTCATTGCGATTCAGAATGTTCTCTCGTAGCCTTCTAGTTGCCTTCGCTTGATAAAGTCATTGAATCTTACATATATCGCGGGTGAGTTCCCACTGATCTGCTCCATCGTCCTCTCCCATCACGGGTTCAGTCTATTGGTACTGCCCATCCCTATCTAAATCACAATGGACAGTGAATCGGACGTCAAGCAAATCAAGGATGTCACCCCGGCCTCTGCGGTGCTCGCCAACGAGGGCGACCTCTACGAACGACGTCTCTCGCAAGCGGAATGGGAGAAATTCGGACAGACCAAGCGAGGTCTCTCGCCACGTCACGTGCAGTTGATGCAAATCGGGGGTTCGATCGGTACTGGTCTTTTCGTTGGAATCGGCGGCAGCTTGAGCAGAGCAGGCCCCTTGTCTCTGTTCCTGGGCTACCTCTTCTGGGGTCTGTTGTTCATCTGGCCGACCAATCTGTGCGTGGCCGAAATCGCCGCCTGGTTACCTGTGCGAGGTACCATCTTTGAGCTTGCCGGTCGTTATGTCGACCCGGCGCTCGGTTTTGCTATGGGATGGACATATTTCTTCGCCGGTGTCATGTTAGTCTGCACTGAGTATTCGGCCGTTGCCACAGTCATGCAGTACTGGAACACCGATGTTAACCCGGCTGTTTGGATTACCATGACATTGGTGGTCTGCTTCCTGTTGAATGTGGTTGCCGTCAGGTAAGTAATCCACAAGAGCTCTGGATAGATCACTTGATGGCTAACGCAAATTCAGATGGTACGGTGAATCAGAATTCGTCATGGCCTCGACCAAGGTGCTTCTGCTTATCGGCTTGGTTCTGTTGACGTTCATTACCATGGTCGGGGGAAACCCCAAACACGATGCCTACGGTTTCCGTTATTGGAAGAACGGACTGGCTACGCATCCGTACTATGCAAGTGGCAGTACAGGCCGCTTCCTAGGGTGGTGGAGTGTCGTGAGATACGCAGCATTCACGATTGCTGGTCCGGATCTAATCGCACTTGCGTCTGGCGAGATTCAAAACCCTCGACGAACGATCCCACGAGTCGCAAAACTGGTCTTCTATCGTCTCGTCGGCTTCTACGTAATCGGTGTGTTCGCCGTGGGAATCATCTGCTCCTCTCGAGATACCAGACTTATTGGGGCCATTGAGAATGGAGACGTTGGCGCTGCTGCGTCACCATGGGTCATTGGCATTCAAAACCTCGGAATTACCGGACTGCCTGGCTTCATCAACTTCCTGATTCTTCTCTCTGGGTGGTCATGTGGCAACGCCTACCTTTACTCATCCAGCCGAACGCTCTATTCCCTGGCTCGCGATGGACAGGCGCCAAAAATCTTCATGAAATGTACCAAGTCTGGTATCCCGATCTACTGCGTTATTACAGTCACCTTGATCTCTTGTGTCACGTATCTAGTCGCATCCGACAATGCGATCAAGGTGTTTTTCTGGTTCGTTTCTTTAACCACCATCGCTCTAATCATGACTTATACCGGTATGCTCTGGGTCTTCATCGGCTGGTACAACGCCTGCAAAGCACAGGGTCTCGACCGCGCCACCTTGCCGTACAAGGCTCCATTCGCCCCCTACTCGGCATACTTCGCCATCTTCATTGCCTGCTTGGCCATGCTCTTCATCGGATTTGACGTGTTTGTGCCGTGGGATACTCAAGGCTTTGTGACTTCATATTTCGGCCTCGCGTTCGGAATCGTCATGTTCTTCTTCTGGAAGTTCTTCAAGGGCACCAAGTTTGTTGATGCCAAGACCGCGGATCTGTACAGTGGCAAGGCTGAGATCGACCGTGAATGCAGGCACTGGGAAGAAGGTGGCCTGGAGGAGAATGAGAAGCGGAGACTCGCTGAGATGAATGTTGTGAGGAGAGCTTGGGAGAAGATGTGGTAGAGAAACCTTGTTTGTTTGCTTGGAATGCCTTTCTATCTGCCATGAAGGCGGAAGATGCTCATCGTTCATCAAGGCCTAACTACTTAGGTATCCAACCTCTTGTAACTCTAATCCTGTGAGGTGTGCACTTTTACACGTTCATCGGGCCATGAGAGGTGAAGTTACCACCGTAAAAGGCATTCCCCATGGTATTGAACGTACCTCCTGCGTAGTTATTGTTGATCGAGGTAGGCATTGATGGGGAAGGCAACGATGCCTGTCCGCTTCTTGGGGTCCTCCCACGCTCCCATTCCATGAGAAAGGCCTTGGAGCATGCTGCGGCAGTCGCAGCAGCATATGGTTGGAACTTCTTGTTCTTGTGGCTGTCGGCGTAGTCGCCGACACCCTTGATGATGACGGTAGGGAAGTTATCCCATACCCCTGCGCCTTCCATCTTAAAGCCAATGACGCCATCTGCAGCATTCATCGCGTCCCGGTGCTTGCTGGACCTGATGACTTGGTCGGCAGATGAGAAAGCGCCAAAATGAATGCGTGGAAGCTGGTCTTCCCGTACCGTCTGTCGCTCAACTGCCTTGGCTATATCGCATTTCAAGTACTCACAAGACGCTCTCTGTGCGGCTTCACAGTCGTGGCCATCGTCACATGCCTCACATAGTCCAGGGATATGATGTTTGTGGTCGTACTTGGCGTCAAACAAGACATCCTTCTCTCGACCTGGATAGTGCCAGGTCTGTCTGGTCTGCGAGAGGACTCTCAATGCAGCGATGCTATTTGCCCTCGATTGCCCGCCTGTCTTTTGGGTTTGGAGCATGGACAGGAGAGTTCGGATGTCCTTGCTTGGTCGCCCAAAGTTGTCACCGATGGTGTCTTTTCGAGTGATTCCATCTTTTCCCTGTCGCCCAAAGTCTGATTGCACAAGGCTGGTACTGATGATAATGTCGCCAAGTAGAATGTCTTCCTTGTGGTGGTCCCTCGCCGCTCCAGCGCAGAGGCCAACTAGTAAACATAGTTTGATATCTGGGAAGCCTGTGCAGAAGTAGGCGGATCCACTTGCGGCTCGTTCCTTCCCCATTCCCGGCAGCAAACTTAACAGGACGTTCGATGTGCCACATCTTTCCTCCTTTATATCTGTTTGGGTCGCCTTCTCCTTTGCTGTAAGTGTCAACATCATATATGTCATCAAGGGTAGCCTCGACGGCATCGAGCTCCTCGACCAGGGCACAGATAATGGCGACTTCGAATGTCAGACGGGTTTGTGGCTGTGGATAATTTGGCATCTTTCAGGAGCTTGTTTGGTCTTCGTCGAGTAGTCGAAAGAGCTCGAGACATCGATTGGATGATATACTGTACCGGGTACTCGAAACAGTGCCAACGAGCGATGTACTGAATGGCAGCCTGGTCTGTTGGGCATGCCAGCGCCACCCAGGTCATTGGGGCCATCGGCCTTGTTAGCGTCCTCAGCCTCGACACCGCACCCCACGACCCAAAGCACTGAGCGTCATTTCTTGAGGCTAATACTATTTAAACTGAGGCTTTGCCCCAGCCTGATGGTAGGTAGCAGGACAACGCATGCTTATGCACCTTCCAACGGAGGTCCAGGCTCACCGAAGAGATGGTTCGATCTCAAACTTCTACAATCCTTCCTCGTGCTTGAATTAGTCTCGAATCCCAAGTCGTAATATAAGCGAGCCACCGTCGAACGTCTTGAAGACCTCCCGACTCGACCATGTCCATGCAGAACGACTTTGCGGGTACATTTGACAGCGCAGGTCCCCAGATATTGAGTTCCCAGATCAACGCGACCACAGTGAATTTTGGACAAAGCGCGTCTACCACGAAAGACAAGAAGGCGATCCTCTTAGAGTCTCTAAAGTATAAAAACATAAACACGCGCTGGTCAAGCATCAGAGAAGAGCATGTACATACTTGCAGATGGCTATTTGAAGAGACGGAGTTTCAAGACTGGCTCACGCACCGCAAGGCGCACGAAAATCATGGCTTCTTATGGATCAAAGGCAAACCTGGATCTGGAAAGTCCACGCTGATGAAGTATGCCTGCCTGGCAACTCGAAAGGAAATGAAAGGAAAAGGGTTCACAATCGTGTCCTTTTTCTTCAACGCTAGGGGCGCCTTGTTGGAGAAATCTACAGCTGGATTGTATCGATCACTTCTCTGGCAACTACTGAAATCGCAAAGTCTTGATTTCATCTCCCAGATCTTGGACGATGTTATGTTGGACGATTTCTTATCAGAAACGTTCTCATGGACCCTCGAGTCTCTTGAATCTTTGTTTCGAGTGGTTATAAAGGAGCTTCGGTTGCCTGTGATTTGCTTTATCGACGCGCTAGGCGAATGCGATGAGAGCCAAGTCCGACAAATGGTATATTTGTTTCAACAGCTTGGGCAGATAGCCCTACAACATCAAATCCGTTTCCAAGTGTGTTTCTCAAGTCGCCATTATCCTCGGATTTCGATTCGCAAAGCACAAGAACTTGTCCTAGAAGGCACAAGCAAGATATCATCAACTACATCGCGGATATGCTGACTATTGGAACTGGGCCATCAGCTGATGAAATCAGGAGCGAAGTACAAAGAAAATCAGGCAGAGTATTCATGTGGGTCGTACTTGTGGTAGACTTGTTGAATGAAGAGTATGATCGTGGCCAAATGTCCGCTCTTCGCCGAAGTCTTGACGAAATCCCGGAACAACTGTCTGATCTCTTTCAGAGGATCTTGACGAGACACTGCAATAACCCAGACCAAGTACTTCTCTGTCTGCAACGGTTACTCTTCGCAGAAGAGCCACTGTCACCTAGACAACTTTATTGCGCGATCCTAGTCGAGACTGATCCAGATATCGTGATGGCAGCCAATCAGCCTGAGGTGGTTGTCAAGAACTTCCTTCTATCTTCATCCAAAGGCCTTGCTGAGATTGTTAATTCACCTCCTACTGTCCAATTCATCCATGAATCTGTACGAGATTTGCTCCTGAAGGAAAATGGATTGCAAAATCTTTGGAACGAACTTCGAGAAGCGTGCAATGGTCAGAGTCACGGTGCTGCGTCTCCTACCTGGCCGCATGGAAGGCCGACTGTCTCCGCTCTAATACTATATTGTATCAGGGTAAGAAGCCCAAGGTGGTAAAACCCGCTTTATGCGATGAGAGACATTATCCTTTTGTACGTTATGCTGCTGATAACGTATTATTTCATGCCGAGACCGCTGCTGCTAGCCATATCCCTGAAGAGAGATTCCTTGCAGAATTTGATTTTCCTGTGTGGATTGCTCTTCACAATACATATCTCGACGTGAAGGCCCGACAGCATACCGCCAAAACCAGGCTTCTTTATGCCCTAGCAGAGGTGAACGTACCGAACTTGCTAAAGTCATGTTCCATGAAATACTCCTATCTCGACATCGACGAGGAACGTTTTGGGACACCGCTCCATGTCGCTCTCGCCGCTGGCAGTGTCGATGCAGTCAAGACCTTTCTCGACCTCCGAGTAGAAGGTCTTGCGGCAGAACATCCTGCTCGAAACTACTTGAGAAAATACAGCCTTGAATGTACAAAGCGCACCAAAACCCATTGGGGCGTTGCATTTCAGCGGCAGTCTAACTTCCTTTTTCATTTGATCGAGTGTGAAGAGGAAGCTGTTTTCGCCATATTTCTGTGCACCGCTAGTCCTCAAGAATTACTGGAATATGTAAGTGATATTGACAAGAGTGGCAGGACGCTACTGATAGCGGCTGCTACGCGCGGCCTATTCAAGGCTGTTGAGCTCCTCGTTCAGCAACCAGGCATAAAACTCAACGCACAAGATCATTCCTTCATGTCCGCGCTGCACTATGCAGCAGACGCAGGCCATGCTCAAATCGTTCAACTTCTTCTCGAGAAGGATGAAACCGATGTCAACGTTGGAGACCACTCTCTCGAGACCCCTACCAAGCTAGCTATAAAAGGACAGCAATTGGAGGTAGTCAGGATTCTACTTGCGCTGAGGCCGGGTGAACTGAAACTCCATGCAACTGGCTACAAGACAGGTGATGCTTATGATAAAGCTTTCTTATCCTATGCTGTTGAGGCGGGTTCCAAAGAAGTTATACAGATACTACTTGAGACCCACCAAGAAGAGGTGTACTTAAGGGATAGTTCTGGTAGAAACCCCTTATCCTACGCTGCCCAGTGGGGCTTAGCAACAGGTGTGGAGGTGTTGCTTAAGACCTATCAAGTCGACGTCAATTCAAAAGACAAGCATGGCAGAATTCCATTAGCTTATGCTGCTCAGAGTAACTCTAAGGAGGTTATACAGGCGTTTCTTAAGGACCCTCAAGTGGAGGTCAACTCAAGGGATGAAAATGGTAGAACTCCGTTGTCTTACGCCGCTGAATGGAATTCTGAGGGAGCTATGAAGGCTTTACTTGAGACTCATCAAGTGCAAGTTGATTCAAGAGATATGCAAGGAAGAACGCCGTTCTCATGGGCGGCGTCTAGTATTTTTGGACGAAGGGATGGAGTATGGGCGAACCTAATGAATATAGGCCACGCAGACCCTGCTATAAAGGACAACGACTCAAGGTCTCCATTATGGTATGCTGTGAGTCAGTATGATGATGGACAGGTCGACTTCCTTCTTCAGACCACTGGGGTTAACTCAAACTCGAGAGATATCCATGGTATCAGTCCACTTCAAGTGGCTGCTCACTGCGAAAGACAAAAAACAGTCGTGGATTTGCTCGACAATGACGAGATCGAGATACGAGACGGGGATTGGATCGACCCAGCGGCAGAGCTCTTTCCATGCATTTACCCCTTTATACTCTTTAAGATGGAAACATCTGAGTCCAGACTTTGTTTCCAGCTGATCAGAGACGAATGGCTCGCTAGGCAGGCAGTCCTGTCGAAAAAGAATGAAGCTCAGAAGGAACAAACGAAAGAGGACCAAGCGAAGACCGACACCTCTCGTACGCGTGTGTCGCGCGCTCGCAAACGGGCCTTGTCAGTGAAGAGCGACGCTCTCAGCGTCCGAAGTTCCAAGCGATGAATCTGCGCAGAACCAGGAATGGTTTCTCCCGTTCCCTTAATACTTGGTGGTCTACTCACGGAGGTCTCTATGTAGTATGGATAGGGGTTCTCGTGGTATTGAGCCTATAGAATATCGGACGGCCTGATGAGATTGGCAGAAGGATGGCTACCCGGGATTGTGAGTGCAAGGTCGGGGCACAACTTGACCTATCCAGCACGTCTACTGTGGACGGAATGTCTTAAGAGCCGCAGAACACGAGTGCGGCCTAGAAGGGGTCACAAATCAGCACCTTGGATCGAAAGGCACCGATCTAATCCGCCACAAGACTGACTCGTATCACTTACCGAAGGAAACTTCCCTCGGCCGATGGAAATGACAATCCGGCCCTGACGCCATCACAACATGTCCGTTACACCACAAGTCAAAACGCGTGGGAATTGCGCAACGAGGTGTGGTCCTTTCCGAAACCGCTCTTCCCTTCAAGACACATTGCGAAATCCTTCTGCAAAATGCGAAGAAGAAATGGTGTCATAGTCGACAATACTTGGCATGGTAAAATCTGGCATACTGAGAGGAGCGTTCGTGACTCGTGAATGGATGAGAGCGATAGTACAAGAATCTTTCGGTGGGCTCAAGATGATTGTATTCGTTTTACATTGAAAAAGAACCACGTGCACGTGATCGAGCTTCTAGTCCACCATGATGAGCATTGACAAGTGGACAAATGGCCACTTGGAGTATTTAGGACGGAGTAATTGTTTCATGTTATCTATCGTATGGCAACTATTATTTACCCTATTGTTTCAAACTTGATTGAGCGAGGCAACTCAACTCAGCCTAAGTGGGACCCGAATAAGTCGACGAGTTTCGCCCCAGCCTCGTCAACGTGATCATACAGATCGGCGTGGATCAGACCATCCACGACTCAAAGTTCTTTTGGCTCGTTCGCTTTGGCCACGCCATTCTCGCTGTACCACTTCGTCGCGGCTCTCGTACCAGTGATCATCAAGAGCGGCCTGGGTGCGATCATCTCGTTGAACCCAAAGGCATCAAAAGTGGCCATGATATCCCAACTCCCGGGTAGGCAAGTATTAGTTGCACGCGGATGGTTTGCCCGTGGAGTGCGATCGTAGTTTGCCAAGTCCTTGAATGAATCTGGCAGGTCGGCAGGGACATGTTCGATTTTCTCCGGCAGGAGATGGACGATGGGCACCTTTTCGCCGCCGACCTCGACCTCGCCGTTGCGGTCCTTTGCTGCATTTGCGAGCTGCCCTTGCAGGATCGACATGTTGGAGGTATCCTTGTCGAACCCTCGGAGGGCCATGGTGCCCACGCACACAGCAGCAACGGTGGCACATGCTTTGATGCGGAGGTCCGTCTGCGTGGCAAACGGTGCATAGCCGCCAGCCGCACAGATACCCAACACCCCAATCTTATCAGGACTGACGTCCTTTCGGCCGATGAGGTATGTTGACCGCACACTTGATGTCTTCAACCCGCTGATAAGGATCTTCCAGGCTTCTGGGCTCGCCCTCAAAGGTGAGACAGAAGAAGCCGGCCTGGGCGAGTACACGGGCGTAGTTTGCTGGAGATTGCTCTTTGACGGAGGTCCATGGGTGGCTGATGACGACGGAGGCCCCAGACCTATCCGGAGCGGCCTCCGCTGGGTGGTAGAAATGTCCAGCGAGCTTGAGGCTGCGCGAGTAGAACGACACGGTTTGAGGTGATTTGGGTGAGGCCATTTGATTCCGATTCTTGGGCTTTGCACTTTCTTGATCGCCGGATGAGAAGCTTTTTTTGTCGACTTAGATTGCTACCATTCCTGGCATCATATTGTTGATGTCTTTATGCAGCTCTCAGATCACTTCCACCGACATTGGAGACAAGACGATTAGTGCCGGAAGCGATGAGGGCATTCAAACTCCCCTCGGCCACACTGACATCATATCGTATCTGTGCTGTCGGCGTAGATCAAAGACCAGCCATGCAACACAAGGCACGACAGGGAGCTGGCGGTGACATTACGAGATATCTGTTGGTGACAGTGCTTGAGTCGTCCCTCCTCGACCAATCGTAATCGCTGTGCTCATCCCATTTTCGAGGCACTAGTCCGATGCCCGACACGCTAGTCCGATCTCGACATTGGACGCCTCAGAGCTTAATCCCCAGAGAGCCGATGCTGTCTCTTGGTCAACGGCCATAATGATATCTCCTGGTTGGCTACCACGTCAGCAGCCACGAGTTACTTCTTGATGGAGACAACGACCCGTCTGGCACATGTCATTTCGGTTCCGTTTCGTCAGGCCCTAAATATCTCGCTTCTCCCTCACCAGCAACAGCGAGACTGGACTCCACGAAGTAGCCCTCAGTGAATCGCTCGCGCCACAGTGTCTGCAATCTCGATCAGGAAAGGCCCAATCCAGTTGGCCGGTCTTCTGTTCCGACCCGCTGAGGACGGTTCGCCAAAACGGCCCGGTATCGTTGTCATCCATCCTGGTGACGACGTCAAGGAGCAGACGGCGCAACTGTATGCAAAGAAACTTGCCGGGGAAGGCCTCATTACTGTCAGCTACGACGATTCTTATCAGGGCGAGAGTGGAGGCGAGCCTCACTTTCTAGAAGATCCCGCGGCAAGAGTCAGCGATGTTTGGGCGGTTGTCGACTACCTGCAACAACTGAACGGAGTCGACCCTGAGAAAATCGCCGTCCTCGGCATCTGCGCCGGGGTGGGCTATGTTGTGGTTACTGGGAAGGCCGTTGCGACGGTCAGTATGGTGAAAATCGGCGACTCGGCTCGTTTGGGATGGTACGGCTATGAAGACCCTTCCAAACACGTCGATCGCTCAAGATGGCGGCTCAGCAAATCACCGCCGAGGTCACCCAGGGCGCCGAGCATGCTGCTGCCCCATACGTGCCACCGCACCCGGACGAGAAGACCCCGTACGATTTGAAAGAAGCGAGTGATTACTATCTCACTCCAAAATGTCGGCATCCAAGAGCGGCGAATAAGATGTTGTACGACAGTGTTCCGCGCGTGATGACCTTCGATGCATTCCATCTCGCCGACATCTTCTTGAAGCAACCGGTTCTGCTGATCGTGGGGGAGAATGCAGGTTCTAGATGGCATACCGAGAAGTTGGACAACTTGATTGGTGGAGCGACCAAGAAGATCGTGGTCCCGAAAGGCACCCACATGGACTTTTACGACAAACTTCCATTTGTTGATCCGGCGGGTCCAAAATGCTGCAACATTTTTCAAGGAGCATTTATCTTGAGAGACCGAAAAGCAATGGTTGTATCAATAGTCTTGCTAGTGAAAGAAGGAGCGTTCCCATCCTGTATTGGCCTCCTTTATCAGGACCATCTTCTCCCATGGCTTCTTCAATTTCGGCCAAGGACACGGGTGGAGGGAATTGAATGGGGTAAAGGACACGGCTACATGGGTCCTATGAGCGGTTGGTCATGGTAGGCCTAGGGGTGTGTATCCCCATAACAATCAAGTGTTGAGAGCGTAATTTTGGCGTCTATTGGTTAATCAAGTGTGGTGATCGATTGTTCTTCCGATTTTCTAATGCAGGCGTAATGCCTTCCTCGCTTCAAGCATGGAGCTACGTTTGATTCCGAACAGTATCGTGCGCTATGTCGGCTGCGTCAAATATTTCGCCCATCTCGTCAGCTGCTCCCAAATCGAAACATGGCACGTCGGGTGTCTGATTGATTAGATTCATCCAGTATGTCTCGTCAAAGTAGGTGGTCGATGGACCGAAACATAGAGATGGGTTGATGGCAGCCTTCGGCATGAATTCTGCATCCATGGTCCCCGCGTCAAAGGTCCAAACACTTTGCGAAGAGATCGTCTCACCTGATGTTGGACGAGAAGGTGGCAGCTGCCGCCGTTCGGACAAACTGTCTGTTGCCACATCGGCGCCCAGCCTTTGTCTGGCGTTTTCTAGTTCGATGGCCATGCCTGTTGATGCATTCAATATCGCAGGAATGCGCTGCCAACGCTTCTTGAGGACAGCGTAGCACTGTCGAACGATAGCGAGACCGGAGCGTGCAATTGGACTGTATGAATACATAACACTCAGCCTGTTCATCACTTGCTGTAATATGTAGTCAATCCTAGCCATGAATTCGTCATTTTCACGTGGTAGATGTTTAGCCGCCACGATTGAAAGTAATAGTGATGCGTCGATGGTGTAGAATGACAGCCCGAAAAGCTTGTATTGGTGCAGCCCAATCCCCATAAATGATCGATTCTGAGATTCCAGTGTCACGATCGCAGCTTGCAGCGCCGCGCGGTGGCTCTCGACGTGGTGCTCCATGTGCGGGCGGTGTAATGCCATCAGTATTAGGTTGGCCTTGGTGAGGATGTCTTCTCGCTGTTGATTTAGATATGGATATTCGTCGTCCCATGATTTGTCCGGGTTCTCATATCGAAGTGTCGGTGGTAGCAGGTCCATGATATTGTTCACCTCGTTATGAAGCCGCTGAGTGACAGTATAATCTTTTAGAAGAGGTCTGTCGGCTTTCAAAGCTTTTACAGTATGCCATACATTCGAGAGCCGATATAAGAAGAGATTTTGGGAAACAGTGTTGGGCCGATCTTGGTCGACTAAATCTACTTGAGTGCCTGGAACGCTGATCGGTGGATTAGGGGGGATATTGCACTCGATTGGCTCCCTCATTTCAGTCGTCAGGATGAATGGCCCTTGGTCGGCCAAGTATCATTGAAGTGAATCTATTTCGATCGGCTAAGGTCAATAACAGTATGGTGGTGTCGCGCGAGAACCTTACGTATCCCATATACACAAGTTCATCCACAATCGCCGTTTATGCTCTTCATCCCACACATGACTCAATGTTGTCTCGAGGCTACACGTATCTTGCTGGTGGACGTCCTTCTGCTGGTGGATCTCAAGCTCTTGGGCGGACCTGAAGTCTCATCAGTTGGAGAATGCAGAGGTCGATTTTGACCAACTCAACCGGATTGCGTTTCCCAGGCTATGCCAAGCTTCTATACCCTTTCCAATGTTCTTCAACCACTTTGGACGGCTGTGAGAGCCACATCTTCTCTTTTTGGCTGCGTCATCAGCTCTATTCCAATGTCACTCTATTTCTGACACGAGGCGAGATCAGCCGGCGATAAGAACGCCCAGACAGGGGAATCGAAAGGCAGAAACTGTATAGCAAGACCCAATACTTGAAATAGTAATGCTGAAAAGTAGTAAAGTTCTCTCGAGACCTCTTCATGGCTGAAGTGTGGTATGGTTTCCAAGTTGGCCTCGGACCAGCAAGTCAACCAGCAGTCAAAATAGTACTTATCGAGCATGGAGTACCGCCAACTGACATCACTGAAGAACGACGCCACTAGCTGATTTATAGCCATCCTGGAGGGGAGCCAGGAAAAGAGCGCACTTGATGTGGTACATGAGCTAGGCTTGACAGGACGGTCCAAGGCGGTAGAATTGGCATGCGACGCGTTGTCCGGCTGAACAAGCAGGGGTTCATGAGCTACTAAGTCAACTCGAAGTGTCCTAATAGTCACAGGACCAACTCTTACCTGCTTAAAATCCACCAGGGCGTTATTTCCCTTGGTCAGCGAGTAGCCCGGGTCGGCCGTCTGACAGTCTGACGCGGCACTCGACCCAGCTGTTCCGTCGAGTGCTCTTGCTGTTGCTGCCGCTGTCGCTGGCACGACCTCCGCGCTGGCAGCCTCTCCCGGGCGGCCTGGTTCATTAGATGGCCTGGATCAAAGGGCAATCAGAATATGACTCTGGTTCCAGGAGAGAGATGAGCCCTAAAGTGATCGTTCCAACTTACGATCTTCGGTGGCTGAAAAGGCATTTAGAAACAACGTTACGGGCGATGCAGTTGCTGCAAGGCTGGCTGCGGTCACACTATACCGCTTGTTAGAGGTTCGGGAAGTGGCTGGGTGAGTTTCTCGTGTGATCAACGTTTTGTTTTCGACGGTGGCACTCAAAACACGCGTTTGTAATCTTCATCTGTGTCCAGGACTGAGGCAGCTTGGAATCTGCAAATGACGGCACAGCCATCTCACTCAATTAGGTCATTGCAAGGTACATCGAGATCGTGGCGCTACCAGGACCCAGGGTCTAATTGCTATTAGAGCTATCAACAATACCTCGTACATCAGTTGGCCTTGGCGTTTTCGCTGGACCTTCCCTTTGAGGAAATGAGGATATTAGATTTCTCGTCGATGGCTATACGAGTATGTACTGTACAAAGGTGCTTAGGGTATAACATTATGTAGTATTAGTATCATTATGCCGGCGGATGGGCCGCTTCAGCCTCGGCCAAGCTGGGGCGGTCAAGATGGCGGTGAACTGTGCGGCGCCCAACTATGTACTGGACTGTACATATGTACAATCCTCCGTCCTTGAGCTAGCAAGTTATAGCGGCAGTAGGCGGTGAGGATGGCGCAAGCAAAAGTGTACTTGCGCGCACTGCCGATGCGCGAGGGTCACCAACTACATACAATACATATGTCACGGTGTGGCCTGCGCTGGTTCGGCAAGTATGTGGCTTTCGAAGGCCGGGGAATATGTGAGAAAGAGAGACGGGTTGGGGATAAGAATGACATGTTGAGAATAGTATAATGATAATTTCTATGATGCAGAAGAATGGGACATAAAGTGGGAAGCAATGGCACTTGCGTAGACTGCCCTTCTCGATGTTTAAGCCGATGCACAACAGGAGCGCGCTCACCACACCGAACAAAAGAATTCATGTCGTTTCGCTTCTCGCCTCTTTCCATTTTGGCTCGTTCTGCTGCTATCTAATCTACAGCAGGAAGCACATCTCCGTCGAGCTTTCGACCACTGATGATCCACAATGACCAGTGAACCCTAATACTACATAGACATGATGTTGTTGGGTCGTTATCATGCTGCTTCTTCTCCATCCATCCATCACCAGTATTGTGACAATATAACCCCCGGTAACATGTACCTATAGGTAGGATGGGGGAATTTTCTTGATGTTGCTCAAAAAACCAAACAATACACCGACAGGCCAACCTGAAAGAAGTAGAGATCACTGCAAGATAAAAGATCTAAAAGCACCATCTTTCTAGAAAGAAACATGAAGCAGAGCTAGGGTGAGGGAAAAGATGAAGTGGAGAAGTCGTTCGACTGATGCCTTCTGAACATTCAAAACTGGTCTCTTGGAGTTTTGCTCGAGATTGTTCGTGTCTGGTGGATGACTAAAAGCCTGTGAATAAGTCTTCGAGCTCGTCGATATCCATCTGCTCGGGGCTTTTCAGTGCCCATGATGATTCGAGTATGTCAATGTCGTCGAGTTGTAAGGTCAAATACATCTTTGGCATTGTTGAGTGATGGTCTTGTCTGGCAGGAATCATGGGACTGCTAGAGAGGAGCTTTTGTTCTGGAGCATGTAGCTCTGCGTGGGAGGTGCCAAAAAGCTCCATTCCTAGCTCACGGTCCCGCCTCTGACGAATTTCAGGGGTCTCGTCAGACACGTCGACGGCTGTCAGTTGTCGATCACCCTCAACGGATTCCTGAATGGTGAGATTGTGAAGACTCATACCACGAGCGCGAACCGCAGTGGCAGTCTCGGTGAATCCTCGCTCATCGGCTTCGAGCGGAGGACTAGGGGCACGGTTCGGTCGACGTGGAACCTCTGGGGTGCCATCTGGGTTGAGACTGCTCCTAGCACTAAAGTGCTCGCCAGGGGTAGTGGGTTCCATGGAAACATCCTGGTCTAGTTCTGGGGAATATAGTTCTACCTCCGGACTAGGTGAGAGTCGAGCGCGTTCTCTTTGGTCCAACTCCAAATCATCCATCTGGCTGTGGTCGGAAAGGCTTGGAGTCAAATTCTTGGCCTGGATAAGGGGAGGTGGTAGGATATCGTCAGACGATTCAGGCAAGGGCATCCGTGGTTGAGTGGTCAAGAAAAAGAACACCTTCCTTGGGTGAACCGGTATAAGCTCCTTGGCTAAAGGGCATGGTGACAAAGCAGTCCAGGGTCGTTTCAGGTATAGACTCAGACGGGAAGAAAGTAATGCAGCTGGGTTGGCAGAACTATTGAGAACGTCAGCAAGAATGGCGCATGAAGCATGGTGGAAAGACTTACTGAGCAATACTTTTATTGGTCGAGGCCAGGATGGTTGCTAAGTCTCGGATGAGGTGTGGGCGATTCCCAGTCTTCTCCAGCTGTTCAATGACTCCGATGACAATATCGTCGTTGATTCCGTCGATGTCGACTTTGCGAAACTGTGGCCTCAAGCCAGGTGAAGGTGGAGGAGTTTGTTCGGCTGCGTGTCTCTTATTGGCAAATGTTGCTGGAGGGATCTCGTCAAGTGCTGGAGAACCGACCTTTGATCGAGGGGATGAGATTGGGGAAAGCGGCTCATCGCCGGCATGAGAACGCTTCAGTTTCTTTGAGGGAGGCGATTGTACCGGTTCAGACTCCTGAATGAACTTGATGGATGGGCGGTGAGTGCGCGAGGAATTAGGCACGTGAATGCCGAGAGATGGCAAGGAGAGAGATTTCCGACGAGTATTGTAAGGCATGGTGGAAATAGGTCATGGGTTGGAGAGAAGGCGAGGTGAGGTGAATACAGTTGTCGAATGGTAGAGTTTGTATAACTGTAATGGAGCGAAGGTTGGTACAGAGGGCCTTGAGGAAGTATGTATGGCCCAAAGTATAGCGACAGGCAGTACAAAGGAGTACTCGGTAAATGGAAATGTTTGGGATGGTGATGATGATGGTGTTCCAGGCTGCGGTCAGGAGCCAAAGAGCCAAAAGCCAGGGAGCCAGGGAGGCCGACGGGGGGAGGAATGGACGGTTGGATAGCGCAGCAGTGTGACCAAAGGCGGCGAGGGCGTGATTGGATGGCGAGGGCGTGGTGGGCAGCTGGAATGCAGCAACGCAATGCAAGGTGCCGACGTGTGGAGCAATGAGCAACTGCAGCAGGGGTGCTGGAGTGCAGGGATCAGTGTCAAGTCCAAGAGACTGGCTGCGCCTTCGCCTCCTTGCGTCTGGGAGATCTCGCGGCTACCGGTGAATGGTGAGGTTGGCCAAACGGCGGTAAGCAGAGAATGAATAGCTGCAGGTTAAGCAAGCATGCAGGATCGAGAAGTCTGGTCGGGCTGGGGCTGGGCTTTCTGTTGACTTGTTTGACAAGTTGCGCGCGCTGGGGGTGTAGATGTTGATAGACGTGGTGATGGCGAAGGTGATGGTGATGGGGATGGTTGCGCAGGCAGAAATAGAAAATAGACCGGAGGGGCGGGCGCCTACTTGGGTTATGCAGGCGGAAATCCAATTGTTTGCTGTAGGAGAAGTACAGACAACTCAGTAGTAGGAGTGACGGGTGGTACGAGTAGTACACGTGCAAGGACGGGGTGGAGGAGAAGAAGTCCTATGGGGGATGATAACAATCGCAGATCGAAGGTGAGGGAGGGATGAGGTGATTGAGCAGAGGAGGGAGAGAAAAGCAGCAACCAGAAGCTCTCGAAAAGAAAAAAAAAAAAGAATAGAACAATTCGGATAGGGCCTGTAAGGCAGCAGCACGAGCTTGCAACCGGTAAGATGTAGTCGTACGAGTGGGAAGTAGTAAGTACTCCTAGTTAGTCGTCGTAGTAATTGGAAGCTGGAGCAGTTTCTGATCGAGTGCGGCACTCGCACTGGCGGCTGCAAAACAGAGAAAAACAGAGCAAAGAGAGGCGTGTGCGCCAGACCCTGCGAGTTGCAAGCATAGCGGATACTCCTCAGCATGTGGATCCCCAATACGTATCGAGCATGGCCGCCATGGGCATGAGGTGCCACCGTACCAGTGGCATTTCAGCCATTGCAGGCATTGTGCTCCGGACTGTAGGCATTATATCAGCCTGGAAGGGGCACCGGGGACCAGACTTTTCACCCCCGGTTCATACTTGTACGACGTCTCTAAGGATGTCCACCCGCCCAGCTAGCATGTCAACCGTCTTCTTAGGCGTGTCTGGCTCGAGATCCGAGGCCCTGGCCAGCCACCCGCGTGCTTCTCGAGGGTTGGAGTCATCGCTTTAGCACCGGCCACGCAGCACCCCTCAGGCACCAGCGCCTAGGCAACATTCGGCATGGCTCAACGCCTATTCCTTCAAAATCCAGCCTAAACCGCCTACTGTGACGGCGCGAGGATGCGCTACCAGAGTTTCGCCTGCTGGGTGACACTGGCAGGTGAGTTAAGAGTTCACCGACACCAGTCATTTGGTCTTCCTGGCAGTTGCTGCAAACAGAAGTATCCGTACTCCGTCGTCCGCCACTTCGCACTTGTCGCTCATATCCTATTTGGCTTCTGACAGCACCACTCTGGACGACTTGGTCGACGACTCTCACGACGAGTCGACGCTAATCGGGTCCAATCAACTCTCCCAGCCGCTCATCTTGTCATCGTCCGATCGATGGGCAGACAGGCGGAAGGGTGTTGAGATCGTTATCCTCGACCGTCGCCTTGGATGCCGTCAGACATGCCAAAGGCGGTGGTGTGATGCGGGAGGATAGCCTGACTAAGGGGTTCCTATTTTTTGCAGCGAAACTCCTAGTGAGATTCGGATGCTAGCTAGAGTCATGATACCGGTTTCTTCACCCGGGCATGCGTGCAGACTCCAGGTTATGCACGATGACAATGGCAGAGATCAAGGAGGGTAGCCAATGCACACCCTCACTAAGCATCAACAAGAGCGAAGGACTAGGGGACACGTCTTACCTTGTCAGCGCCATGCGGATTGCCAACGATTGGGTGGGTTGAATGTTGCGGCAAGCCAGGAAGCTGGTGTTCTGTTCCGCTGGCGAGTCGCGAGTTGCGCTAGAATTCTCACCGTTCAAGAATAGGAATTCAGAATAGGAATCTTGATTTTGGGATGCCGGTCCCTTCGCGAGGTCGGCTTGGGTTCCAACTTCCCCCTCAGGCTACGAGGAGACAGGAGAGAGTACTCCGTAGTGCGTAGTGCGTACTCGTAGAGGCTACTCGTAACTGCGTTTACTGGGCTGCTGCACCTTCCAGGGGGCCCCCCTCGGCCCCAGAATGACACCAGCCTGCATCCCTACCGAGCCAATCACCGGCCCGGCTCCCCACCTTCCTCGAATAGAAGACCAAGATTTTTATTTTATTTTTTTTCTCGCACTGAAATCCAGCCGAGCAGTGTGAACGCCCAGTACGGAGTCGAGCAAACAACGCAACGGGAACAACCCGCACCACCCAGCCTGTGCGAGTAATCCACATGGCCATGGACTTGGCCTGTAATCACACACCTGTCAGAGAAACTCGTCCCCGTCGGTCGGGGGAGCGTTTCCCATGCAGCAGGCTGTCGTTGCTCTAGGCGACGCTGGTTCAATTCGTGCCTGTCATCTGTCGCACTTGTGATCAGGTTCTCGCCTGCAAGCTGAGCGGCTCATGGAAAGCCACGGTAGGAGCCCAGAGGTTCAGAACTCGCCCAAGTCGCAGCGGAAGCTGACAGCTTTGCCCTCACACGTTCGCTGTGCTGAAAGCCGCGTGTAAACCATAGTAAGCTCGCCTCCTCTCGAAAACATAATACAATCATCATCGCAACAATCATACAATAGCCAGCCAATCATGGATTTTTTCGGGACGACATGGCCACCGAACTGTTGCGACAAATGTTGGTTGGAAATGCTGAGCCGTGGATTCCGTTACGAGCCTCGAAGCCCTAAGGCCGAAACGGGACGGGGGAGCCAGGCACGTGATGGCCAGTCGAAACTCAATCTGAAACAAACATTGGCTGCCCAAGGCATTCCTCTCGCGCTGTAGCCTTTGGTCTCCTTCACCGAATCCCACACATGTGCATGGCTACTTGGAGAGTTACGTGAGGGGCTCTCTACCAGCATGTGGCACCGTGGCAATGTCCCAGTCAAAATCCTCTCAACCTTGCGTCTTCCTCGAGTCGAGGACGTATCTAGAGTTTCGGCGGCAATTTGGAGGCCGTCTCTACACAAGAACTCTCATTCGGCGACTTAGCTGAAGGTGGCCGAAGCTGCTGATCGGCGTGATAAGGAGCACTTTCGGTACGGGAGCTCAGCCCATGTTCAAACCTTCGCAGTCCGACTTTCTTCACCTATCCTTTATGTGAGCCTCCCACGGCTATCCACAGTTCGCACTACACTTGCATATGCGCATACTCCCCCGCACTTTAAACCAAGTTAGATTTATCCCTTGGAGCTCAGCAGCTATGTTTACGAAACCTAAAGAGGGAACCAGGCACAGACCCGATCGCGACCCAACCCTCTTGCAGCTGTTTTGAATTACGAGCTTGGATACCTGCTCTTGGAACGGCCTATCATCATGGGATCATCTACCAAAGAATCAATGCGCTCCGACATTATCGAAAATCAATATATCAGGACCAACGCTAGCCCAGTCTGTCAGATACCCTCGAACCGATTACTCCTGTGGCATCCTATGGAATACTGCTGTGAAGCATACCGCTGATATTCGCCACGAGAGGTTCGACTAGCACCCCACTCAAGAAGGTTAGGGCAGTAAGCATATGGAGATTCCTCGCGATGTCAAACCATCCACCTCATGCCCTCCACTCTTGTCTCAGTCCATCATCACGAATAATAGCTGGCTCCGGGATGTCGGCAGATAAACACATTGCGATGGTTTCCTGATTTTATGCACGGCATCCCAATTCAAGACTTGCGTCGGCAATTGGCACACAGCGGCGGCTCTTCAAGCCGTCAATCTTTCACGAACATCATCATGATCAGCATAACTCAACATTCAAACCCGACGCACCCTACCACCGACGCGACGGCCCAGACATGCAGACATGGCGTATGCCATGCTCATGCAACTGTGATCCTACAACTGCATAATGGCCCGACGGAACACTCTCGGGAATGCGATTGAGCTGCTGATCGTCACTGCGGCGCGGAAAGAGATATCCAGGGAGTGGCTTCCGCCTTGAAATTTTACACAATGACGTCTAACTCTACGGCCTTAACAGACTGCAGCTCGCCCCGGCTATGCTCGTAAAACTCGCTAAACGCGCAGGGTCTGACGTATATACCTAGGAAATAACTTCCTTTACCATCCTTGTGTGTCGAAAGTACCTTTTGCCCGTGGAGGTTCGTTTTGGTTAGATTTGCCTTCTCTGGCTCACCGGGCCTCGTGTGCCTCTCAGGAGCGGTCCACGTCGCATCGTAATGCGCCAAGCGTTCAGGTTTCAACCCCGATCCTAGCCAGATTGAACACAGGTCCTCCATCATCCCGGAATTACGAGTATTATTCCATCATACAGTGGCTCCGCGTGCTACATTCTCAGAAATGGCGAAAGGCACCCCTCCTGGGACATCTGTGCTCTCACACAATAGCTAACCTGTTCGGCGCTCCTGAAATGCCAGCCTTACGAACTACTCCAAAAGCAGCTTCGGGCTTAGATGTCAAAGATGTGTGATTTCGGAGAATCATAACCCAAGAGATCGCATAAAACTAGCTAAGGTAAATTTCAAAGTTGCTCCAAGACCTCGGGCAGTGTAATGTTTTCATAGATATATACATATCTACTATTGTACAATTCCTCTTTGGTTGAATGCGCGATGGCCCCGAAGAGACGGTGACTTGAGGCCAGTCGCCAACAAGTCGTCCACAAGATTTATAGACTTTTACGCTTTCTTCTCACCGCGTTCCTTCAGCTCGACAGCAGGAGCCGGCCGGAGGACATACTCGTAGACGGTGCCAAAAGCCGATCGATTCATGCTCTCGACCACGAGTCCACTCGCGTTGACCACCTTCTCAATATCCTTGTTCCACCAGCATCCATACCGGTCGGCGTGTTCTTTGGCGACATCATCTAGAAAGTTGTTCACGAACCCAACCGTCGACCGCCCGTGCTCCAGTAGAAGGATCTTTCCGCCTCTGTCGATTGAAACCTTGCTGGCTTCCGCCTCTTCGTCGGGAGAGCCGTAGTCTGTGGCTTTCGGTCCTTCAGCTGCTTCCTCTGCTTGCTTACCAGTCGCTGTTGAGGCGGCTGTGGCGCTCTTCTCCCCAGGCTGCCTGGCCAAGGTGCCCAAACGTTTAAGGAATTCCACAGGATTCGCCATGCTACAGATGCCCATTGTCTGGATGATCACATCGAACCCTCCCTCAGGCCTGCGGATAACGCGCCTGTCACCACCGTCTCCCACGATGAACCTCACCGGTCCCTTAAATTTATTAATCGGCTCCACAGCCTCTTGCAACTTGTCATACTTCTTCTGCGCCTGATACACCATGATCTCGCTCTGATCATTGAACACCAGACTCTTGACTCGCGTATCGCTTGGCTGCCGCAGAGGCCGCAGATCGTAAAACCGCATGTTCCTGCCCGTACCGCAGCTGACCTCGAGCACATTCCCGTGCGCCTGCGTACACAGCGCCGCGCGTTTCTTGTGCAGCCGCGCCAGCCGCTCGGATAAGTCCACCTCGTCGTCAAAGTCGCGCGAGAGATCGAGCCATCGGCTGGACACGTCGGCGTTTTGTGGTAGGTCCAGGCTTTTTGCTCGCTCGACCGCCCGTCGGTATGATATGTAGGTCATCGTGCAGTATATTCCAAACGCCACGCCCATGATGGAAGCGCCCCAGAAGTAGGCGGCCTTGGATACGAATAGCCTTTGAAGGAATTGTGGCAGGGGTCGGGTGTAGGGCTGGTAAACTGGCTTCGGTAGGGGCGCGGTCGTGTCTACTGGGTCTCTTCTAACTGGCTTCTGTCGGGGCATCCTCTTCAGTGCCGTCGAGGCATGTCTGTCGAAATGGTGCATCGAGGATCTGGCATAGACATGGTTGCGGATCTCGCTGGCTTGGAACGTGTGGTTCAAGCATCTCCGCGTACTTGATCGTTTGGAAATGAGTGCCAGCGCAATATGTGGTATCCGAGAGCTCTGCAAGCTCTGCATCGTGGGCGGCAAAACCTGGTGCGGTGAAGGTCGCACCGAGGAAGTCGAGCTGTCTTGCAGTTGGAGTTGGAGATTAATATTTAACTATTTTCTGCCGAGCCGAAGTTCAAGCGAACAAGTCGAGGCTCAAGAGTCCAGACTCTCACACCAGCACGGCGCAGAAGACCGTCAACGGTAAAGCGGAGAAGCACACCACCATAACCTAGAGCTGGAGGGATCGTTCAGTATAAAATGCAACACGGCACCAAGGCTGTTCTCGTCTATGGGTTGGGCCAGAAGTAAGTCATAACTAATCAGATGTAAGTGGAGGGACGTACATATGTCTATATTTGATGTTCAACTACATATCCGAGAACATGTCAAAAGCTGGCACCTCCACAGCCCCTGGACACGTCCTCATTATCGGGGCAGGAGAATTCGGACTGGCGACGGCGCTATCCTTGCTGTCTAATCCCAAATACAAACAAACCAGAATAACCATCGTCGACACTTCACCGGAGCTACCGAACCCATCAGGTTCATCCGTCGATGCCAACCGCATCGTGCGGGCAGACTATGCATCCGCGCCATACTCGAAGCTGGCCCTGGAGGTACAGGCGCAATGGCGCGACACGAGCAAGGACGGATGGGGCGGTGAGGGGCGGTACCATGAGCCTGGCTTTGTGTTGACAGCGGACGAGGGCCAAGGCGACTACGTGAAAAAGTCACTGCAGAATGTACGAGCTTTCGCAGCGGCGAATGGCACGGGCTGGGGCGATGTCAACAAGATCCAGGAGTTGAACAGTCGAGAGGAGATCCAGAAGGCCACGGGCTACGAGGGCGTCAGTGGCGACCACGGCTACGCGAACTTCAATTCTGGGTGGGCTGATGCCGAGGCTTGTGTTGCTTATGCCTTGCGGAGGGTGAGGCAGGAGGGACACGATCGAGTCACCATCCGGAATGGTACGCAGGTCGATCGGCTGCTGTTCTCGGACGAGACTGTCATGGGAGCGCAACTGAAAGACGGCGAACAATTAAAAGCCGACCTTATCATCCTTGCAGCTGGGGCTTGGAGCCCATCGTTGATTGACCTGCAAGGACGATGCCTGGCCACTGGGCAAGCCGTTGCATTTATCGACATCACTCAGGAAGAGCAGGATGCCATGGCACACCGGCCGACAGTCATGAACATGAGCCGGGGTATGTTCATTATACCACCGCGAGACAAGAAGCTCAAGATTGCAAGACATGGCTACGGGTATAGGAATCTCGTCAAAATTCCCAGGAAGAAGCTGCAGGCCAGCTTCAGCAATGCGCCGGCTAGACTCGAAGACGATGAGGTTATCGAAGTCAGTGTTCCGGAGGTCGGCGTGCCCATACCTCTGGAAGCAGAAGACGCAATCCGTGAAGCAATGGCCGTTCTCATTCCGCACAAGAAAGCCCGACCCTTCACGCGTACGAGGATATGCTGGTACTGCGATACGTAAGTTTCATTTGCCTGTTTGTGGGCCAAGTATCTGTCTAACGTGTCCCAATACAGTCCATCCGGCGATTTCCTCATGGCATACCACCCGCAATACAAGAACCTCTTCCTTGCAACTGGAGGGTCTGGGCACGGCTTCAAGTTCTTCCCCGTGATAGGTGACAAGATCGTCGACGCGCTTGAGGGCAACCTGGACCCGGAGCTGGCAGAGATTTGGCGGTGGAAGACGGAGGAGGAGTTGAAAGCCGAGACGGCTGGGCAGGAGTTTTTGGGCTGTGACGACGGAAGTCGAGCTGGCAGGAAAGGGATGATCTTGGCCGAGGAGGCGAAGAGAACGAGGTGATATTGATCAGACACGGCTGCTCGGTGTTCCGAGGATTCACGGAGGCCATTGTTGCATTCCTTATCTCCTTGGAACATGGCCCAAGAGTCCATGACAGCCCGTCTCAGCCAGCCAGCCAGCCAGACTGGACGTGGATAAACATCACATACACATGGCAACTTACAGTGTTACATACATAGCTAGGCCGATTTACATGACCAGCAGGCTTAGATAGGTAGATGTACCAGCCAGTGTTCACCGGAAGGGCTTTGTCTGTCACCAAGACGTTCGGAACCCCTTCTGCAGACATGGCACTGCGTTGACGCCCAGGAAACCCCGTAACATATTCCGACAGTCCACACATTTCATCTCAAGATTCAGAAGCAAGAAGCAAACCAGCAATATCCCAGTCACGGAATCCCCACCAGTAACAACAGCCTGCTTACTTCCAGCACGTGCGTAGATGGATGCGAGATCCGAAGCCAACATCTAACCCGACATGAGACACTTTCACCACCACAATATGTCCAAAAACTGTCAGACAAACCCAAGCTTTGACTCTGCCAAAGTCGCGCGAAATTCCACCTGGATTCCGACCCCCTGAACGAGTACCGATCTCGCGCGTTTTGGCTTGATAGTGGAATGGCTATATAGTTCTTTTCTACTCAAGCGAAGCGTAAGAAAATCCCTTTCTTTGTTCTTGTTTTTCCTGATCTTCCTTGTTGTTGTCTTCTGCGTCGTCTGCAAACTTTGACCTAATAGACATAGTACCTAGTCCTGAAGCGAGATGGAGAGGCCACTGTACCTGAGTGCAGCCCGCAGTCTTATGTGCCCTAGCTGTGGACAATTATTCTCGGGTCACCAATGGTAGCCAGACAGCCAGACACAGGCGCGTATGTACAAAACTCGTCAATGGACGAGAGTCGAAACGCACAAAAGTCGACAATATCGACACCTACTAAGCTCGCCAGGTACAGATTTCGCCAGGTATAAAACCCGACACGGCAGCCCAGGCACTATATGCAACAGCACCCCCAAGGCTCCATTCCAGTGGCAGCAGCGACGATCAAGCCCTTCGCCTCGTCATCAGTAACCCACGCGAAATCGACGACATCAACGACACGACCTACCCGGTGACGGTCCAGAAGGATGCCGTGTAGACAAGGTATGGTATGCAGGTAAACACGATCGCTAACTAGACTACCTGCCAACCTAGGCACTCAACCCACTGCCAACTGCCAGACTATCCGCCCAGGAAACCTTCACGAATCACGACCCTCAAAAGACACACACAAATACACACACACATAAGCAAGCCAGATTGCCAGGTGAGGATCTAGACAGCCTTCTCCTCTGACACAAATGGCATCTGATGGTGGGGGCTCTCTTCAAAAGCCAGAAAGGTAGGGTAAAGAAAGTACGCGGCGTGCGGAAAATAAAAAGGTGAGCGAGAAGAAAAGTACCTTGCATCCATCCGATGAGGCGTCTGTTGCAGGGGGTGGATCCGGAGGTTGGAGCACGCTGCACATTCTACGAATACTTCCACAACACCGGTCAGGATCCAAGAAGCCAGAAAAGAGGCAACAATATGGTTGGAGGGTTGAAGAATCATATTATGACTATCAAAGCAATGCTTCATGATTAAAGCTATCGCCAGCCTTGATCATCTGGCGACCAAGGATGACCTGAAGCACAAGCAGCGACCGCCTACGATACCAGCAACCTCCACTCATCCACGATCGGCGGTTTCCACAACCACTGCTCTATGAATCTTCCTGATTGCAGCAATCTAATATGACGACAACTTTCGTCGGGTCCAATCTCTCCGTGACATTCCTCAATTGTCGCGGATCCACGGCTCTCAAGAAAGATTGCCTCCCATATCAGGCGCAACCCCCTTCGGTGTGTATCGCCGGAAAATATGTCGATGGCTCTGTACTTCGAACCATGACCCAAGTGGAAGTTGAAGAGGGAATAGAGAACCAAGACGGTACCGAAATCGACCAGCGCCGAATACCGCCAATGACCCGTGTGTCGATGAAGACCCATTTCTAATTGGTGTAAAAACCTCGTGGCACCTGTTGTCCGTTTTGGTGCCCACCAAGGAAACAATGTCATCGCTCAAAACGCCTTGCAATGCTCATAGACTAGTCGTAACACGGGCAAAAAAAAAGCAACATGGTAATTTGCCTCCATCAGCCTTTGACAAGATGACCATAGTCAAGAGCTTGATGAAAGTGAATAGTGATACAAAGACCGCCCACGCAAAGAAATCAGATCTTTCTGAAGTCTAGATCGTATGTTAGTTGTGGCACGAGGACAGGGCGAAGGCATTCAAGGACTAACCTGACAACGTTGGGTAGATCTGCTCGAAGGCTTGATAGATCTCCTCACGAACTTTGGCGCCAGTGAGCACAATCTTTCCGCTGACGAAGATCAACAAGACGATCTTAGGTTTGATCATACGGTAGATGAGACCAGGAAACAATTCAGGCTCGTAGGAACTGAAAGGATGATGCTTGGAAGCAAGACCTTCGAGTCGGATGGGGAACTTGATATCACAAGAGCCGACAATGTTTTGAATCTTGAAATCGGTGAACTTGGCATTGAAGCCGAGCTTTTGGATGATACGCGCATACTTGCGGCTTGCCAGTTTCGAATCATCTTCCGACTTTGCGCCAGTGACAACCATCTTGCCAGATGCAAAGATCAAGGCAGTGGTCTTGGGGTCACGGATACGCATGATCACAGCGGCGAAACGCTGGTGATAGTTAGCTAACTGTCATGAGGAAAAGTATGCAATCACATGAATCGTACCTTTGGATTGTACTCAGCATTGCGAGCATGCAGTGCAATGGTCTTGAGATCGAGGCGACAATCAAGGTTGACTGTTGCAACGATGTTTCTTTTCCAAGAAAGTTAACCTCTGCTGACCATAGGGCAACAAAGGATGGATACTCACTGCAAAGTGGGCACGATACCACTCACTCCAGCACCAGGAGTAGCACTGGGGGTTTGTGGAGCCTGTAAGGCATTTCCTCCCTGTTGCTGGCCATTCATCTTCGCATCTGCGTAAGAGCCACCGTTGAGGTTCTGTCCATCTTTCTCAGAGGAAGGCGGTGTCAAGTCCCCAGCACCACCAGGAAACGAGAGAGATGCGGGAGAGGTGAAGGCTTTGGCCTGTTGTGCGGTGGAGGGATGAGTGGTAAGGGAATCCATGATTGCAGGTGTGAGGTTTGCACTGCGGCGCAATAAAGCGGTCGCAGTCAAATGTCTCTTCGACGATGTGTGGATCGAGGAAAAAGACGCAAGAGGCAGTCTGTATGAGAGAGGATGTTAGGACGATGCTGTGGTGAGGACGGATGGGAGGTTCGAGAGAGCGACGCGCAGACTAGTGTCGGTCGGTTAAGTGAGAATCGACTGAGGTGAGGCAGTGATCTTTGAGTGAAGATTCACACCCACACCGAGGTAGATATCGTTCTCGGTAACTCGACGACGATGATGGATTGGGGACTCGAGGCGACAGGGAAGTGAGTTCGTACCGATAATGTGGGAGATAAACAAGTCAATGTCTCCCCTACAAACAACTGCCCTTTTGACTTGAACTTTTTGTTTGGAGTCTTTTAAGTTGAGGTGAGGTTCGGTCGACGAGCCTGGACCGACAATATGCGAAAACGAGGCAACAAGAGAAGTGAGATTGACTTTTGGGAGCGAATTACTATTGCGGAAAGTGCAAGACTGTCTAAAATTGATTGCGGCTTCTTCTTTGTCTTTCTGAACCTTGAGGCTCTTGTGATAAGAGAGTGGCCAGGCGCACGCAAGCAAGCTTTTTGCCTGTGGTTTGCGGTGAAGCGCCAAGAGGATAGAGATGTCACGACGAGAAGGATCTCAAAGCCGATGACAACTGGGAGGGTATGGTATCTGGAGAGGTCGCAGGCGAGGCGGGCGTGGGTAATGCGCTTGATCAGCCTTGGAGCCTGATGGAAGAGACCGTGGAGGATGAAATGCGGTTGCGGCGAAGTGCCAAGCCAAGAAATGTCAGAAAATCCGGGAGCATTCGCGATGGGAGGGCAGCCTCCTTTTATACTCGCAGCAGGGCCTCCAACCCCGCCACGCTAGTCTCACGCTAATGATTTAGCTAAGCCTCATCCGTCACCCGGTCTGCATCATCGCACCTTCCATTATCTGCCCCTTTTCTGTGCTTGCATGCATGCAGTGCTGCGCGTTAATGCACCTCCCACGGAACCAGACACGCCTAACCAGCTTGAATCCTGCCTTGTGCACCCATCAAGTGACAAAAGTTCAGGTCAAAAGTTGCGAGCCTCCTTTTGGTCTGCTGAACAAACCAGGGCAAAAGACAGGACCAAGTGTGTTTTTTTTGCCATGAGCTGAATCAACAACTCTAGCTCATACCATTTACCGAGGCGGGATGGCAGTGTAACATTGGCCCAAGCTCACGTGCTTCAGGTTGCGAATTTTTCTGCTTGGGGGTGGGTGGGCAGGGAAGACCGAGACCGAGAGAAAATCGGGTTTGCCGCCCAAAGTTACCCAACCGAACCACAGGCAAATGGCTCGCGTTGAGACCTAGTCATGATTTAAACAGTTGGATGATAGCCATTCTTGTCACAGAATGCATCATCCGGTCTGCTTTCAGGGCTGGTCACAAGCCCACAACAACACGATGATTGTATAGACAGATAAAAATGAATGGACGCTGGGTGTGTTGAGCGGTGGGAGAGGGAAAAGGGAGAGCACCCAGAGGGACTGCAAAAAACGAAATGACTCACGATTCTTGCCAGGGATGGAGGGACAAACAGTTTCACATGCCGCGCAAGTTTGACAGTCATTTCGCGCCTTGGCGGCGACCGGGCTTTTTCGCCCGACGCCACAATCTGCAGCCATCAGGCCTATCAGGCCAATCAGGCATCTGGCCACTCTGTCCAGACCGGTGACAAGCTGCCCCACCAGCACCACTAACATCCGACCATCCGACCTGAGATTATCGTCCACTAACATCCATCTTAAGTATAGCGCACATCGGTAAACATGCCCTCCACGGCTGGAGTGTCAGCCTTGTCATGCAAGGATCTGCAGTAAGGCTACAAGTGCATGAATCTGTTTGATCTTTGATCCAGCTGAAATACTCAAGGTGCGGCCGCATACGAGGATCTCGTGCCAGGCTGGAGGAGCGATGCGGGCGACAGAGCGGGCAAACACCCGAGGTCTCGGGGCTGGATGTCTATCAAGCTAAGCAGCGACCCAGGGGCATGAGACGGATAGGCTGCTCCATCTTGGAAACGGACGAGGTCCTTTGGCATTGGAATCAAGAATGAGGAGTGATTACTCATACATCGCAACATCCAGATCGAACATATGCGCGTGAAGGCGCACTGCACGGACAATATCACGCTTTGAATTTACTTCTCCATCATTTTACCACTAGACGTATATTTGGCTGCAACGCGCAGCGGACTTTTTCCCGAGTAATGTTATGAGCGGGAGGGGCCTCGGGCCCGAGCAGCGAGGCCAGATTGCCATCATCCGCCTTCGTGCTCCTCTCGACCGTACCCGTATCATATTCCAGTATGATCATAGAAGGTATAAGGCTGTACATCTGATTGCTGAATCCAACATGGAGAAGGACGCTCTGGGAGCACGAGTTTGTCATCAGCTCGAAGAGCCCTCAAGTAAGGCTGTAACTCGGTCCTTCACCGCCCTGCGGTGTCTGCCAATTGATATCCTGATTGGGGGCTTTGATATCGCATGTTTTACAGTGGATACAGCTTTTTGAGGCACAAGACGTCAGTCGCTGGCATTCAAGCAGAAGCAAACAGCGGGATGGGAAGGACACTCACTTTTGCGCGTTGATTTGGAATCGGACACCAATGTCTTTGCTCTCATCTTCGACATACTCATACACACCGGCCGGGCAAAATCGATTCTCGACACCTTTATAGACTGGCCACTCTTGTGCAGCGTGGGCCTCCCAGTCCTTCACCTGTAGATGCACTGGTTGATCCTCTTCATGGTTCGTCCCTGTCCGCGATACGGATGTAAGAATGTCAAATGTAATCTCACCATCCGGCTTTGGATACTCGATCTTCTTGCACTGGTCTGCGGGCTTCGTCGCCTCGTTGTCCTTGCACGGGTGCTTCAGAGTCCAGGGAACCTTGCCGCGCAGTAAATACGCTTCGAGTCCCGAGTACATCACACCGCCATAGACTCCGAGAGGGGTATGGAAGGAGGGTCGCATGTTGCGGACTGCTTTTAGCTCCGGCCAAATCCAACTCTCGCGCAACGCTGTTTCGTAGTCATACAGAAAAATGGTGTTCGCATCCGGATTCTTCGTCACAGCCGCGTAGGCGGATTCAGCGGCTAACATGCCGGACTTCATTGAAGTATGTGTGCCTTTGATCTTGGGAAGATTGAGGAACCCGGCAGTGTCGCCTATCAGCGCACCACCGGGGAATGCGCATTTGGGTATTGACTGAAATCCACCTTCATTGAGGGCACGGGCGCCATAGGCGAGGCACTTTCCGCCTTCTAGCACGGATTTGTAGAAAGGATGCAGTTTCATGCGTTGAAATTCGCCGTATGGAGAGAGCCATGGGTTGGGATAGTCGAGACCGACGACCAACCCAAGACTTACCAGATTTTCACCATAATGGTACATCCAGCCACCGCCGTAGGTGTCTTTGGAGAGTGGATAACCTAAAGTGTGTGCAATCTCTCCTTTCTTGAAGTTCTCGGGCTTGACCTCCCAGATCTCCTTAACTCCAAGTCCGTAAGTCTGTGGGCCACTGTCTCGTCTCAAGTCGAACTTCTTGGTCACTTTCTTAGTCAAGCTGCCATGGCATCCTTCCGCTAACAGAGTGATTCTTGCATTGAACTCCATTCCTCTTTCGAAAGTCGATTTTGGTTTGCCATCTCTTCCAATTCCCTGGTCGTTGGTGGCAATTCCCTTGACTGCGCCTTCACGGTTGTACAAGACTTCGGCGCCAGCAAATCCAGCATAAATCTCAACACCAACTTCCTCGGCCCGTTCACCAAGCCATTTCGTGAATTGGCTGAGACTTATGATATAGTTGCCCTTGTTGTGCATCTGTGGAGGTGCAGGTATGGGTATGGCATTAGATTTGGTTAACCATCGCATCTTGTCGCCACCAGCTGGTGTGGCCCCGGTGAATCTGTGCTCATTATCCTCCGATAGCCAATCTGGTATTAACTCATTGATTGCCCTAGGTTCAAGGACATTTCCAGATAGAATATGTGCTCCAACTTCTCCAGCCTTCTCCAGCACGACCACTCGGAATTCCTCATTGCCTTCTTCGTTGGCGATTTGCTTTAACTTAATGGCAGCACTCAGGCCAGCTGGACCAGCACCGACGATGCAAACATCAACCTCATCACTTTCTCGTTCAACGGAGGCCGGGTCGAAGCTCTCGTCAACGTCGGCATATCGCCGCTGAAGGCTTGACGATATAGATCGTCGTTGGCCAGCAACAAAAATAGGCCGGTGTGATCGTGTTCTCGTGACAGCTTGCCTATGTGCGGGGAAGGAATTGAGGAAGGAAACCGAGGATTTGGAAAACGATCGAGTCTGCTGGATTGGGTTCGCAAGCCTGGTTAAAGGCCGAGAAAGGTGTTTAGAGGCCATCTGGAGAAGATCGTGGAAGAGGGAAACAAAGCATGGAGTGAAAAGGGAAAGGGGATGGCTTTTAGGAGTAGACTAGATCAAGAATTCGATGCACGGTGAAATCACGGCGGGAGCATTTTTGTAGAGAGCAACGAGGGACTCCGACAAGACGTCAGCGTTTGTCGGTTAAGCCCGGGCGACTGGGTTGAAGGATAAAGGTGAATGGGCCATGGAGCTTTTGTTTGCGAGTCTCGCCCGACCAATTGACGAGGATCTGAACCAAAGCAATTCTGAGATCCGAGGCTCGGCTCTCCAGGGATTTCTTTCCGTCGTCACGGTACGGGGTTAATACTCCACTCAATAAATACGGTGGAGCAGACACACAACGGGAGGTCGACGATGATTCCGTGACGACATTTGAATTGAACCTTGAAAATGGTACCTACGGGTAGGAAAATAGACAACTAAGTAATAAGAGAATCCAGTGATATCATCAAATGTCAGCATACGTCTTCAATCGCCAAAGACCAACAATGTGATGCAGCCCGAGATGTAGGTATACCCATCGGACCCAGAAACCGCTGACGACGTCTCTACTCGTCACGGATTGAACTTAAATACGTAGAATTCAGCCGTATGCCATCAGTTTGATTGATAAACACCGTCAATTCCTGCCACAAACACGCAGCAATCTTCTCTTGCACATTCGCTTTCTACAGGTTCAAAATGACCTCCTACTCTCGCGTCGGTGCCGTCACCGGTGCCAATAAAGGTATTGGACTTGCAATCGTCCGCCAACTTGCTTTACAGTATCCGAAATCTTCTTTCAACGACGGGCCACTCCTTATCTATCTCACTGCACGCGATGAGCAAAGGGGGAAGACCGCTCTTGGATCAATCTTACAAGACGCCCAGCTGAAAGAGACAAAAGTATTGCGCAGCCATGGTGGACTCACGGATGTTCAATACCTCAACTTGGACATCAGCTCCAAACACAGTATCGAGGAATTTGCGGCTCACCTGAAGGCCGAGCATCCTGGCGGCATAGACTTTCTCGTCAACAATGCTGCAATTGCAATGCAAGGCTTTGATGCCAATGTGGTCAGAGAAACTCTCCATAGCAACTATTACGGCACCCTTCACGCGACTGAACTACTTCTGCCACACATCAAGAATGGAGGTCGCTTAGTGAATGTTGCGAGCGCATCTGGTCACCTGTCCTCCAAATACTCGGATTCCATCAGGTCTCGGTTCCTGGCCGCCAAGACGCCAGAAGACATTTCCAAGTTAATGCAGGAGTTCACGACTGCCGTTGAGAATGGCTCTCATCAAAAAGACTGGCCTAGTGCCGCATACGCCGTCTCCAAAGCAGGTACCATTGGCTTCACGCGAGCCATCGCGCGACAGAATCGAGAAAATGGAAGTGAGACATTGATCAACAGCTGTTGTCCTGGCTATGTCAAGACAGATATGACCCGAGGCGGCGGAGTCAAGACACCGGATCAAGGCGCTCAGACTCCGGTATTGCTTGTCCTGGGAGATCTTGGAGGCTCAAATGGCGAATTTTGGCAGAATGAGAAGATCATCAGTTGGTGAAACTCCAGCCTATTTGTGATCGGTAGCGGATGACCTCATCATGGTAGTCGCTAAAATGCCCAAGGAAACATATTTCATGTCAAGTGCCTTTTTTATCAAAACCTAAACTTCCCTTGGAGAAAGTGTCTCGGGGATCTTGAGGATTCCAACATGGATGCAGCATGGACACTTATCAAGGATATAACAAACTCCGGTTGGATCAACAACTAAACCCCATACGTCAAAAGGTTTACAGGCTATGATTCCCCTCCCACCGTTCTTGCATCTGAGAAAGAGATTTATTAGGTTGCCGAATAAGGACGTCTTTGTGAGCAGTGGTGCAATTCGTTGGATCATGATGGAGCAACGATCCTTCGGTCAGCAGCCAAGCGGACCGCAAGCAATCCGCCATGCCCATCCGACAAGCACCCTTCGGGCTTTGGCGGAGTTTGCCCCTTGACAGGTTCAAACTCAAGCAATTCAACGTCGAGCATTTGCATCTTGAGACATCCGTCATTGGCTTACTCTAATACGCTGAACTGTTCTAGCGGCCCGAACTTTTAGGACTGGCGTAGGTTGGTGGGTGACGACTTACGGAACTTGGACTGATCGGCTGCTCTGCCACACAAATGATGAATCTAGTAGGCTACATGTTTTCGGCCTTAAGCTTCGCAATATCTCCTTTGTCTGCATGGATTCATCTGTCGCTGGGAAGGGTTTCGCATATAAAGGGAGGATTGACATGATTCCGTTCAAGCCAGGAGTACTCGGTATACTCTTCCTCCAAATCAAGTACATTCTCATAAGCCTCTAAACAATTTATCCGCCAGAACAATATCAACAGAACCAAATCCAGAAGCCAAAGCAAGTGGTCTCGAAAATGACAACAAGGTACGCAGAAGCCCACGCAGTAAGCAATCTCGCAGGACCAGGGGATGCACGACCCACGGCTCTGCAGATCATCAAGGACAACGACCTTGAAGGAAAGCTTTCAGACAAGGTGATTTTCGTCACCGGCACCTCGTCGGGACTTGGTATCGAGATAGTGCGCGCCCTGAAAGCAACAGGCGCCAAAATATATGCTACAGCACGGAATCTCGACAAGGCGCGCGAAGCGCTGTCCGAACTTATCGAACCAGGCAAAGTCGAGCTCCTCCCTCTTGACACGAGCTCCCTAGCGAGCGTGCGCTCTGCTGCAAAGGAGTTCCTCTCAAAGGAATCCCAGCTCAACCTGCTGATCAATAACGCGGGCATCATGGCGGTTCCGGAACTGACCATCACGCCCGACGGGTTTGAGGCGCAGTTCGAGACCAACCACTTGGGCCACTTCCTGCTTTTCCAACTGCTCAAGCCGACGCTTCTCGCGTCCTCGACGCCGGCATTCCACTCGCGCGTCGTCAACGTTAGCTCACAAGGACACCGCCAGCTACCGGTCCAGTTCGACGACCTCAACTTGTCGGGACCAGGCGTCTACACCCCGTTCGGAGGGTACGGGCAGTCCAAGACCGCAAACATCTACATGGCGAACGAGATCGAGCGGCGCTATGGCGCACAAGGCCTGCACGCCTGGTCGTTGCACCCGGGCAGCATCGAGACTGGCCTTGGGGTCCACATGGATTTCTCCGCCCTGAAAGCCATGCCTGAGATGCTGCGTATCATGAAATCCCCGGGCCAGGGCGCTGCCACGACCGTGCTCGCTGCCGTCGACAAAGAGCTCGAGGGAACCGGTGGCAAATACCTCGATGATACACAGGTCTGCCCACCTGCCGATCCGAAGCTAGCCGCTGACCTGGGTTCTCCCGGCCATGCCGCTTGGGCTTATGATGTTGATGCCGCGACGAGGCTATGGGAGGTGAGCAACAAGCTTGTAGGCTTTGAGGAGTAGGTAGATCTGGGAGAAATACAATATCCTAGGATCACAAGTTTCTTTGCTCCTTCCTCTCGGCATGTTTCCGTCGTAGCTAGGATCCCTTCTTGCAAGCTTCGCAGTTCTCACTAAAGGAGGGAGGCAATATGTGATCCAGGGCGTTGCTAGACATACAATAGCCAAAGTAGCCACTGTCAAGCAAATTTAGCATTGACCGTTCTCAAAATCCGCGTATTTATGTAAATGTCTCCATTTCGAGGGTCTCGCGCATAGACAAGGCAATCTAGTCGAACGATCTGGAAGAGATTGGGAACCATGGTGTGGCTCAATATCTTAATACACTCCATACCATCTCATGTCAAACAGTCATCAAATCACATCACCTTGCCACGTTCATGGCTGGAGCAAGAAATCCTGCCTGCCGCCTAACATCCAACAAACTATCATCCGGGATCTTAGCGAAGCGAATCTGCCTGTCTGCGATGGCCTGTAGCCTTTGTCGATCGTCGAGATCCGACCCTCCAGCTGCCGCGGTGCCAGACGCTCCACCACCGCCCATCGACGGAGAAGACGCAAACCTTGAGCCGGGCGTCCCTACCTCCCCTCTCGCACCGCCCAAGCCAAAACCGAGCCCAAGGCCGGCCCCAGGTCCCCCCGAAGCCGCGGGCGAACCAAATAAAGCACTCTCAGCAATGCTCTCGCGGATGGCGCTCTCGACCCTGGATTCCCACACGCCGTCCCATTTCCATGCGCTGGGGTGTTTGGGTGATGACGGAGATGTTGAGGAGGAGGATCCCGTCGCTGGCCCGGTACCTAGCGGGGCTGATGCGTCTGCGCCAGTAGCAGCGATCGCACTTGTGGGAGAGTTAAGGCTCCGGTGTGCGCGCCAGGCATGCCAGGCGCTGGGGTTGCCGGCGGAGGAGATCGGGAGGGGGTCGAGGATGGACGGGTCGGTGAATGAGGCGTGGATGTGGTGGAGGAGGGCGAGGAGCGTGGCTTTGCGATCTACTTGCGCTGAGTTGATAGCCTGAGTGGTGGCCTGAGCATCGACTGTTGTGGACTCTGGGCTGGACGGTTTAGATCGCTGGTCACTCTCCCCCTGTGCTTGGTTCACATCTCCCTGTGTAACATCATCGGTCGACGCACCGCCCTCCCTCTCGTGTGTGGTCGTTGTGGTTCCTTGTGCTCCTGCGCGTGCAAACCAATTAGGAAAGCCATATCTCAGGCTGAACGCGCCAGGCGGTAGACGGTGCTCGTCAGATGCGCTGACGGTGCTCGAGGCCTCAAGATTGGCGCTGAAGGTATATGTGGTCGACGGCACAACTAGCGGGTGGAAGACATCTGTGGAGAAAGTGACCAGCGGCGGTGATGAAGGGTATGTGTCGGGGAAGGAGATCTGGAAACGCAGGATGGCTTCAGCGTAGGGGCCTTGGGATATCTCCCTTAGTCTCTTGCTAGAGAAGTGGCTGGGCTTGTAGAGGACTCACCATTGCGGACGAAGAAGACACCGCCCCATAGCGATGGTCTCCCTGGGACTAAGGAGAGATAAATTCCCTCAGGACATTCGTTGCGGAGCGAGGAACTTGATCGCGTCAGTGAACACTAGGATATGTCATACGTTCAAGGTATGACTGACAAGTCGAGAACTAATTGCTGTCGTCGAAATGTGGGAAGAAGAAGCGTGGTGGATGCGGACATGATTGTAGAGGAAAGGCAGTCCTTTGAGTTGGAGACGCAGAATGTTTTGGTGATGAAATACCACGAATCCCCGACAAGGCTGAAGCACAGCCTTGTCGCACCCGAGCAAATAGTTCCACATCATAATTCGTAAAGTCATATCATTCAATTCGGACCTCTATCAAATGGGTATCACATATCCAAACCAGTCTAATCTTGCTCGTAAATGCCTGCTGTGTCCATGCAATCTAAACCACAACGGTACGACCATACGCTACAGCATTCATTCCATCATTGACACCGCCGATCAACCCCTCCGCAACCCACACCCCTGCATGGACACATGACTCCCCCAATGGACTATCCTTGAATCGGAGAAACGATCGCTGAAGTTGTGACCCGGGTTCGCCCAGACAAGAACCAAGATCAAAGCTGCCGGACAAGATCTTCTCCGTCATTTGATGCTGGCGTTCAAATTGGAGAACGCTATTTAAGAGGCTCATGAAAAGTGGCATGATAAATAGGAAAATGGCAAAGACCCAGCAAACCATCTGGGCAACAGCTCTTCGCAAGACACTAGGTGATCGTCGAGGAGGAGGTTCCTGAGGCTGACCCTGCGAGGTACTTCGGAAGAGAGCTGGCGACATACTAGCCCGCAAACACTCGATCTCAAGAGGAGTCAAATCCCGTGGTAACGCCATATGCATGTATCGCATCGCATCAATATGCATGCTTCGCAGTGCAGCCGAGTCCCCAGATTGCTCGGCCTGGGCTTTGGCCGTTATCCATAATCGTATCCCCGTAGCCGCAACATCCCAATTGACACCAGACTGGCTCTCCGATTGTGAGAGCATTGCAAGACTCAAGTCCGGCGTACGGACTCCATCTTCAGGAGTTTGTGGTCTTATCGTCGGGGTGCTCACTTCACTATTGGGGGCAGTCGTAGCAAATCCGAAACTTCGCTCCTCTTTGGGTTCATCAAGGCTCGAAATTGTGTAGGCTTTCCGTCGAGAAGTCAAGGACCTCGTAAGCATAGCAGCTTTGGCAGAGGCTCGAATGGATTTCATCACTGGGATTCGTGAGCGGACAGAAGAGGGTATCATGGTGAATATGCTGGAGGTTGCGACGGTTGTGCAGAAGGGTTGGTCTGGTGCCAGTAGAGCCCCATTGTTGCTGGGTCCTGACATTTTTCAGGTGTAGGCTGCTTGTGTATGGGCTGTATGGAATGTGTTTCCTCACAACTTATGTGTCTGGCGTTCGAGATGGAGAAAATAATGTATGAAATGAAGGGCGCACGGAGATCAGATCATAACATAAGATGAGATGAGACGTTACCGGGGAATGTTGTTATCAGTGCTTTGGCATGTGCACAACATTATCACATGCAGATGGAGATATGGACATGATACGAAGCAGGAATGACAGGCAGACGGCGGGCTACTAGACTTAGTCAGTTTGGGATGGTCGTAGCTTTTGTTGAGCATTCAGCGAAGCGGCGTGGGACGCAGCAGACCAGGACCGATTTGAGAACGAGGCAGGATTAGGAGACTTTCTCGTTTTCGTGCCCTTCTTTTCACATGTGAAGATTCTCTTCGCTTATTGGTATGCGCCATCCGTCGCCATCGTCATCGCCATCGCCATCGGATATGGGGCTCGGCTGTTCGGATTTCGGGTGGCTTAGGAGAGCCATCCACAATCGAGATATTTCCTTCTTCTTGCTTTCAAAGGGACTTCATGCAAGTCATACCTACTATGTTCCGCAAAATTAAGTACTCGGTAACGTATTGTCCTTGTTTGGTGGGGATATGGCCGGATGCCTGCGGACCGGATTATCTTATTTCCCGCCTTCATTTTCGGTCGGCCTCTGACGCGTTCAAACGCATATCAAGATGCGTTTTGAGGATGAGTACTCCGTACCTACTTCATACTATACTCCTTTGTAGACACCGAATAGTTTATTCCTTATACCTTCTCCAAGTGGATTAATGTTTCTCTTACCTCACAGATCCCCAAGTCTTTCACTCAGTCCCACTCAATTTCTGAGGTGGTATTTCTCTTGCTTTCATGACACCTCCTTGCTCAAGCTGAAACTTATCATGTGGCGCTTTTGAACTCTGGTCAACTACAAATAACTATGGAGTACCCACCAGCGACACCGTTGTCTCCTCTGAAGCGGAGAAGACACCTCAAGTCCTGCCGTTGAGTGGATAAGCCACCGCAAACGCAAGGCAGTTGAATTAGATACCACCGAGGAGCACGAGACAAAAGGGTCAGAGCAACGGCGGGATGCAAAACAAGTGGCCATCATCCCTAACGGCGACGCCATCCCCAAGGCCGGGACAGGTACCGACGCGCTCGATATCAAAGTATCCGGCACTCTCATCAGCTTGGCCTCCCCTGTCTTTTCGGCGATGCTTTCCTCTCCGAAGTGGCCGGAGCATAGTTCGAAGGAAATCGAGCTGTACGACGAAGATCCTACCCTTGTCCTTGCATTCTGTGATCTTGTCCACCTTAGGTGGGACGGATTCAAACTCTACACTCCCAAAGAGTTCATCAAGCTCACGCTTTTCGCGGATATGCGGCTCTGCACAAGAGTTGTCAAACCCTGGATTGAAAGCCAGTTTGCAGGGTATGTTGCATGCCTTGAATATGTTCGACCAGCAATAGGTGACGCTCTACTATATTGGGACGGGACCCGCCGACCGAAATGATACCAGATTGCGATTATGAAGACATTTTTCAGATCGCCTCCGTACTCCGGCTCGATGACCTATTGTGGCACGAAACACAAACATTTCTGTATCAGGGCTCTGAAAACATCACCATACAAGCACACCCGCATCCTGACCTTGTATCAGATCACGAAACATCTAACGGCCGTCACCTGTTCAGTGAGCAATACTAGCACCACTAAATTTGATTGGAGACCTGACAATTTCATTTAGGTTTGGTTAACTCTGTTCGCGAAGATGTGGTCCGCGATTTGGTGAAGGACGTGTACACATGTATCGACAGAGATTATCACTCAAGATCAAGGTGGAGGTCAGCTTTCCTTCTTGCCGCCAGCGGAGATACGGAGCCTTTCACATGGCACTTGCACACTTGCAAATCAGATACGACAAGGTCGGTGATGGCGAAGCGGCGAAGATTCCTCTTTCAAATCCGTAGTTGAGAAACTTCGCAATCTTTGTGGACCAGCCAAAAAAATTCGAATTCCGTACGGTAATGGGGGAGCCAGTGCTAGCACTCTATGCACGCTTCGAGAGGCCTTGTGACTACTGCAAGACACCCATTTTGGAAGAGGTCAGTGGCATTGTTAACACACATTTCGGAAATCTTCGAGGTGTAGATCTTAACCGCTTCAAAACCAAAGGCCTGGGTTGCTTTAGCCTATACAGTCCCTCTGATGCGCGTGGCATTGCGAAAAGAGATCAGGAATGAACTGAGGAGGAAACCTGTGGCCACTCTGGCCACTTGAAGTGATACGCATGGATTTCACTTGAAAATATTCACACTTAAAGTATTAACGAAATGAGAGGGGCTGAAGGACGATTGATCAGACAGCGGCAGAGCACATATGGTCTTGCCACCAAGGCTCGGATTGATTTCAACGTCGATAAATGTCAACCGCTCAAGATTCTCTCACCTAGTCCCATCCTCATTCAATGGCTCGAGAATTATCAAAAGAGGACAACAACAGGAGCTACGCAGACTGGCATCTTAATCACTTTCTTCCTTCGATAGAGCCTGCAGAAAGGATATATCGCAAGGAATTACTTTATCATCAATCTTGTCCCTTGTTGGGCCTGAAGCAACATCGCCTTCCATTCAACCTCAGCATGATGAGTCAACTGGACGCCAGATCAATCTTGCCCACATTTCTCAACCAGCAATCCAGTCCTACTCGAATTCATAATCCAATAGTCCTAGACTTGTTTAGGAAACTCTTATCGACTTCCGACACATATTTTCAATCATGTTGAATGGGCCAATTGGCAACAAGAAATATAGTCTGGTATGATTGACCATCAATGGATTCCTCGCGGATCCTTGTCAACAACCCACATTTTGCATCACGCTTACCAGTGTGGGCGTGGCCAGGCATATGGCAGACGAGAAAAAGCCATACGCAAGGCTGAGACCCATCAAACAGCCGAAGCCGCAACGCACCATCCCAGCACAACAGCAAAACTGATGGAACACCCATCAAATCATCCACCGCCATGGGGGGCACTATATTGCAACTTCGTAACACGGTGGCACCCTTCCAACAACCTAGGAACATGGACGTAACCGATGAGATCCGACGGGTAAGAGGAAACTTACGGTCTGAAGAACACTTGTGACCACTAACCCTTGAACCGAATAAACTTAGCTGGGTATACCGCTTGATGAAATTCGGCGAGGGACGGCAGCAAGTGACAATTGCAGGGCGCGCGGCCACGAAAGGTCCAGCATCAGATTCATAGCGTTCTCTGTGACTCAACAACGACTCAAGATAGTTACGAAAAAATTGGACATTTTCTTGAGTCAATGAGTTTTCATTTGCTCGTTTATTGGCTAGCTGGTGTTTCTTTCAGCTACGAGACTCTTGCCCCTTGGCCGAGATCATGTTAACTAAGTAGAGGAACGAATGCTTGCACGGAACACGCCCTGCGCCGGACCTTGTAAGACGGTTGTTGAAGACGTCCGCCCTGCCTATAAGTTCTTCCTGCGGATGGGAATTTGTATATCGTATATTAATTCCATACTTGCCCGTTTTCCGGCCTGGGTTTTGGATTTCCTTTCCGCCTTTTAGATTCTGACAATGTCAATTTATGTCCCATTTCAATTGAATCCTGCCATGTACCCCGTCAAATGATTCAAGTCCTGCTCGGTCATGAAATCTGTATTCAGAGGCTGCTCCTTTTGCGGCAGCTGGGGCGACAGTCCTGCGTTCATATCTATTGTCAAGTTGTTGGGATCGTAGGATCCGAATATTGGATCGATGGGAATGCTTGATGAGAATTGTCCAGTGGTTGCTGGCATCATATTCAGATCTCCAGTAGCAACAAGTTGTTGGCCGTCTAGGCCGCTTTCGAAATTCATGTCGTCCATCATGCCCAGATCGAGGCCGCTGAAATCGATGCTGTCGAAGTCAAAGTCCATGTTTTGATCGAAGGTGGCGTTGATGCCGGCGGAATTAGGGAGACTGCCGCACTCGGGCGTCGGGTTGGAATTGGAATTGGAGGAAACGCTCTTGCGCGGGTGGTGAGCACCTCCCCCCCCGCTGACTGACTTGTTCTTCAGACCTCCTTTAATCACATACGGTGCCATAATGGGAACTTCGGCCAGTGCGTGAGTGGCCATCGTCTCCGTGAACGTTCCGATTCCATTCTGGTACTTGAAGGTATCGAGCCATTCTTGATTATCCGCTGCTGTCCAATTCCACGGATCATTGTCCTCATATATGATCATGCGTGCTTGGTCCTGGAGCTCCTTGTCACTTGGAACGGTTCCTGCGCCTCGACATCGCAAGACGAACTTGACCAATTCTTGCTCGAGTCTGCCCCAGCAATTGGAATCTTTCGTCAGCTGGTCGGGTTCCGTGCTTTCAGCAGATGTTCCGGTTGTGAGTCCGGTATCGGTTGTGCATGAAGGAGTTCTCTGAGCTCTGGCGACATATGGCTCCATGGAATTCTTCTCATGTCCAATAAGATATGGAGGAATGGCATTTTCAACCAGTCTTTCCACATAGAGTTCGAACCCCCAACCATTGGCCCACATGCTCATGTCTGCTCCATTTCTGAAGTGGGCAGCGAGATGGTCCGCTCGTTGCTGCCAAGTGGTGAACTTGGATGGACAGAATCCGCACGAGGATTTGATCTCGTTGGTGTTACTCTTCCACTTGTCCATATGTGATTGAACTTTCGCATTGTGCATTAACTTCAGGTGCTGACTGAGATGATCCTTCCGATAGAAGGTTCGTTCTTGTAGTGTCTTCTCTTGACAGGCGTTGAAATTATGAGATTCTAAATGGTCTGTATCAGGATTTGGGCGTCGACAGAACGCACATTGTTGAACACCAGTTTGTGGATCGGTCATGATTCCGCCATCAGGACAACAGGTCCATCGTTCGAGTGCAAGGTGCAACGATTTTTCATGCCGCTGCCAATCGTACTTAGCAGGGAAAGAGTCTGTGCAGAAGGTGCATTGGAAGATTCTCGCACTCCTCGATTTGGCTTGTTGTGCAGCAGCGCGTTGTGGCATTGGGGCTCTTCTGCGCCTTCGTCGATCTTGGGACGAAGCAAACGAACCCTTGGATCGATTCGACCTCGAAGAGGCAAATGTAAGGTCACTATTGCTGGATTCTCGGGTTTCAAAACTGCTCACGGAGGGGGCTCGGAACATGGAGAAAGAGGAACTATCTTCGCTAGAAGCTTTCTTGGAATTCGGTCGAGAACCTTGAAGGCTAGTTACTGATGGGTTGCGTACGGGGAGGGGTGTGGAAGTGACGGCTCTGGCAATGGCAGTCATTGATGCAGGTTCGTTTTCCGGTGGAGAAGCCTTCCATCTGTCTAGGGGATTGAGGTCCGCAACATCCGTGTTTTCACGCCTTTGAGGAATATCGATGGCACCGAGCATAGGAGATGAAGGATCTGAGTTGGCTGGTCGGACTTTTCCTCTCCTGCGAGCATTCGCAAGCCAGTTGGAAATTTGACTCCGCTTCAAACCAGTAAGTTGCTTAAGTTCGTCTTTTTCTCTCTCATTTGGATATGGGTGGTCAGCATGGTCTGCAAGCCACTGCTTCAAAATCTTGACAGCATCTCGAGGGAATCGAGCACCTGTCTTGCGGCCTCGGCCTTCCTCCATCGATCTCATTGCCTTCCTTCTCTCGGTCAAAGAGCCTTCACAGACTTGGAAGTCTTCGGAGATACCAGGAAAAGTGCTCACGAATCCTTTTGGAATCTTGGGGTGAACGAAACTGCATTCACGGTACAGAGAGATGCAGCAAGTGCAGCCTGTCACCATGGCTCCTCTTGTAGCCAAAAAGCAGTCTAGTCCCATCCTTGAACATAGGTCGCACGGATCTTTGGCACGAAACATCGGGTAGTCTGCCGAGACATCAGCGGTATGTGGGATGACTTCGATTTCGACGTTATTGACTAGTTTGAGTTTCATGGGACCCTGAGTTGTTGGTCGAGATGTTGGTAGGACATTTGTTTTATCGAAGAATAGAGACTCATAGCAGTCATTGGCCTCTTGTTCGTTGACTTCGCCTGTCAACGAGGAGACCTCATCCAAGTCAAAGGGAGGGAGATTCGAAGCATCCTCGAAGTTGAAGTACTCCATGTTTGCCACGATGACCCCAGACAATTGTGGGATCAGCCAATATGACACCGCTCGATTCAAAGGGAGAACAAAATGTGAACGTGAAGTTTCGAAGGATGAGATGAGATATTCAGCCTTTCCTGTCGGATACAATCATTATGAGAAACTCCGAGGTCGGTGGGTCAGGTTATGACTCCTCAGGCAGAGAACGGCCTGTTCTCAGCGCCATTGGGTCGTTTCAAGGAGGGAGAACTGCTTGGCCCACTGCACGCCCTTCACACGACAATTTTTACCGCTTCAGGCCCTTGTGGTAAACCTGGTGGACATTTCCGAGTACGCTAATCTATGTGCGTCGCTGCTTATGGCATCTTCCAGAAGGCCTCGCAGGGCACGGGCCAATTGCAACAGGTGTCATGTCACCCGTCCAACAACAGAACGAGGGCAGCATAGCTCAAGCCTTTGTTGCGGGGTTTTCTCGCCCTCATGAGCACTCGGCTCTATCGTCATAAGAGCGAGCCCTAGTGCTTAAATGCGATGTTGCATTGGACGGTGCGTTTGGGTCCAAAAAGCCAATCTCGTCGCGTTCATTTATCTCTTGTGTTCTCTTGTGCCTCAAGTTCACAGCTGACAAAGCTCCCTCGGATCTGCCTGTCACCCACCTGTGGGTGCCTGTTCCATCAATTGCGAGACGAATACGTTGGTTATTTGCGCATTTTCGCGGCTTCCCATGCCACCCCAGTGAAGCCCTGCTCCAGAAAAACCCCGATAATCCCCCTTTTGCTGCATTTGATTCGAATACGGCCAATTGCCTCCGCTGTCGGAACTGGTGAATTGTAGGCGCTGGTTGCCCTTCTCACACCCCAGGAAATTCTTCATGCCGGATGTACAGTATAGTACTTCTGGCGGATGGAAGCGGTCTCGGGTAAACAATCCGCCCACCAAGGCTCGTGTCTAGAGAGTAAGAGATGACCTCCAATCAGTGACTCCTTGAGCTGGAAGCATCGTTGGTTGTCACAGACGGTCTGAATGTCTTGATTTGTACGGTGATGTTATCTTCCTGCTCGGATATAACTTCGAGTGGTCGAACGCTGAGGAGATGAAGAAGGTGGGCTATGCAATACAATTGAACTGGGAGGACAATAGTGAAGGGTAGAGCTCTGGTGAACTACTGACTGATCAGTGTTAAGTCGGACTAACAAGCATTTCCTTAATGGCAGGAACTCTGAAGTTATTCTTTCTTCTACCTAATACCAACAGTGCATACGCGTGGCCAGGTGAGCACATTTCTGCTATGGCGACCTTTGAAATAAACCGTCATCATATGATACTGTAGTCTGCTTGGAGTCCACCTAAACATCTCCTATATCATTTTCTGTTCGACTACTGCTTTCATACACCTGACGCCTAGGACTCTGGACTTTTCCCCAATCGCCTCCAAAAAGACAAAAAGTCCATCCTGCCCCAAGAGTGTTATCGGCTATTGAGTTGTCGGTGGTGCTATCGCTGTTGTCACCGTGGGCGTCGACAGCTTCGCGTTTCCCGTCTCGTTGCGCCGGGCTAGCATAAGGTAATGACCAGCGGAAAAAGATTACCCGTCCGAAGAGGACGGTGAGTGAATTTACGTGTCTCGGGAATCTCTTGGGCGATTTCCTATCATCGATTAGAATATGTTCAGGAACGTAACATGCATACTGACCACCAGCCGCGCTGGATTTTAGCCATCTACTGAAACATGGTAGGCCGGGAGCGCAGGCCACATGAAATGGAATGGATGTCCAGACTTACGTCCATCATCTCCGCAAGGCAACGCGTCTCTTGAAGCTAGGACCATTAATATCAGTCGACATCCACATCTACAGTACGTCGAAATTCAATTGCTTTCGAACGGCCGATGGCTCCGCTGAGACGCCGCGGGCCCGCCGTCTGCTTCCAGGGCCAGCGGATGCCGCCACGACAACCGAACCGTCGTACATGAGCATGGTGAAAGTGATTAATGCTGACAGCCATTGGCATGCCTTTTGAACAACAAAAAGTGTCGATAGCTGAGGTAATTCTTGTGATATTTCCTTTGCGGAGACGCTTGAAGGGAGGAAGTGATCAAGATCTTATACTGCGTTGCTCTTGTGGTTCAGATACTCCTATCGCACCAGCTATGTGCATCCTCAAGATAGAGGGAGACCAAGGCCAAGTAGCCTCGACTAGATTGTCACTTGGGGTTTTGCCGCAATACTAAGTCCCGATAGAGCAGGTAGGCAAATACTATCCTGCGAGGCCGTGCGATACAGGGACAGGACGACCTCTTCCCCAATCCAGAGTCGCTTTGTGATCCACTATTATCGATCCGCGGTCCTGAAACAACTCACCTTCTTCCTTATCGGTGCTGAGTAACACTCTGATCCCGTTCATTGACCAAAATCGTGACCCTGGCATCTTTGCGAAGGCTCTCTCTAGCCAACCTCTTCCCCACCAAGTTCAGAAGGCGAAATACGCGAGTACGCTGGGTACCCACAGTATACGACATATAAAGAGTGAATCGACTTTCCCAACAAGCAAGTGATATGCGAGGTATCCTTTGAAGAGACTGGCATCACTAATTGGCAGAGAAGATGCCAATCCCTGGTTTCGGGTTAGAGTTAGCCGAAATGTGGAAGTATGTTCACGAAGCTGGCTACCTTGGGGGTGATAAAGGTGGTTTGAGAATCATTACTGAATTGAGGATTACACTTCATCCTCCTGACGCCCACATTGACATTGTGACAGTTGAAGCTGGAGGAGGCGCCCATAAAGATCGAAGATTGGCTTGTGAATCAAGACTGGTGGCCAATTCTAGACGGTCAGAAGAGATCCACCGTTCTTTGGGCCACTCCGAGCTGCAGCATGGATATGAAATGGTGGTCGCTCGAGGGTCATAACACCTGAAACATTATGCTTCCCCTTTCTTAGCCAGCCTTGCCGCAATGGCTCCCACCCGCGCATTCCCAGTATAGATTGCGGTTCAAGTAAGCATTGCCACCGAAGAATGGTATGCCATTAGCGTTGTATCGGTCATGGATCATGCGAACCTATGCATTGTGGCCGGTAGGCAAGAGTAGGATCTTATGGCATATCATCATTTCTTTTGGTGAGTTGTAATTGACCCCTCACCACGTTACCCCCCCCCCCCCCCCCTTGCAGGTGCGATTCTCAACCACTAGCAATGGATATTATGCCTCCATGCCTCCTGATGCCGATCGTTGGAGTAGTAGCCATGCTGAGAAGATATATCGAAGTCTCCTCTCATCCCCTCAACAAGCACTCCAACATTGCCGGGATCAGCCTCGATTGCCGCTCTATCCAGAATCTACCCTACTTAGGGATTACCTACAATCCAAGTCTCTTGGGTTGAGAGTTCTATACACAAACCGAATCTTAGTATCTTTGCGCTCACTACAGAGCCTAGGTGCATCTTCTGGAAGTGGGATACTTTCGATTTGATGACAGAACGAGTGCATCATGATGGCCACTTCACCATTCCTGAGGGTTGTAGCCCAGAAACTCAAGCCACCTCGACTCTCATCGGTCCAGACACACCAGAGAAGACTTATTGCTACGTCAAATAAGGCGCCCGCGGCAATCATCTCTGACAGTTTCAGAGAAAGCAAGCCACCACCAACAGAGTTTACCTACGGTGCGTATCAGAAAGTTGGCGGACCAGACGCGAAAGATGTGTTTAGAATACGGATCCCGACATTCGCAAGTCTGGATGCTGAAAGAGCACATCGGAAACTCCACCATGCTGCTGCTCTGAGATGGCTGGGCTGTCAGGGTTACAATAACGAAGGCGCCGGTGGTCATGTCACAGTCAGGGATCCAATAATGACCGATCATTTCTGGATCAATCCTCACGGGAAGTCCTTTAGTCACATGAAGCCTGAAGATCTTGTACTTGTGAGTAAGGATGGAGAGGTTAAAGAGGGCGGAAACATGCATTCCATCAATCCAGCTGGATATATCATCCACTCCGCAGTTCATGAAGCTAGGCCTGATGTTATCGCGGCTGTCCACTGCCATTCGGTGCCAAGCAAAGCATTTTCGTCCCTTGGTTGTCAACTTGAGCCAATCAGCCAAGATGCTTGCAGGTGACTATATCCCTCGCGGGCCCTTCTTGTGGAAGAATATTCTGATGGATATACAGATTCTACAACGATCACGGGATATACGCTGGTTTTGGTGGCATCGCCTTCAACCCTGATGAGGGCAAACACATAGCTGAAGCTCTTGGGAACACTAAAGGCGTGATTCTCCAGAACCATGGCCACCTGACAGTGGCTAAGACGGTCGACGGCGCAGTCTTCCTATTTGGTGCGATGGATCGATGTATTCAAGCCCAGCTAATGGCTGACGCGGCTTGCGCCGGTCGTGGAACGAAGACAATCAAGATTGGTCACGAGGAGGCTGAGTACACCCGGAAAGTCTACAATGACGAGATGGTTTACATCATGTTTCAATCTGCGTGGGTGCTACCCATCCTTTCCATTGGCTCGTCTTGCTAACTTGGTATGAACAGTTTCGAAGATGTAATCCGTGATTCGAACGGCGAGCTCCCAATGCACGTCCAGGGTGAAATTCCACGTCCTTGATGCCTTATGCTGAAAGCATGACATGAATGAAGATATCTGGCTGCATGTAATTTCATACATAAATTAAATAACTAGCCAATCAATAACTCTGAAACCTTTTTGGGAATTCTTTTCCTTCCTGCTTACTTGAAGATAATGCTGCTTGCACATTCCGGATCAAGTTTCCCATTCGATTCATCAAGATCATATCATGCTCTAGAGAGTTCCCAGCGGGAGCGGAAGGGACTGCAGGAATGACCCAGCATTAGCAGGGTCCGAATCACCACCAAGCCAGATTCGGCTCGGACTTGAATCTGAGATTCGAATCCTGAGATATTCAAGGACTCGAATCCGAGCCGAATCACGGCTAAGGCGAGCACTTAATCTCCGGAATAACGTTATTCTGGGAAAAGCAGCTCCGCCTGCAATACCATTGGGAAAACCACGCTCAACAGTGGATCCTGGTGACCGTCAACAGGTATGTCGGGTCCATATATGGGAGTAAGGGCCTGGAAATCTAGTAGAAGTCAGCCCTGAAGAGCTCAGCACTTCCTTCGAACCCAGCACCACCTGCTGTACAATACTCAAAGACTTCCAGTATGATCGCATCGTTTGGTATTGAGTACGAGTTCATTTCATTCAATTAGCCACTGCGGTTCTCCAATATTTGTGCTTGGACCAACGATGCTTGCCTTTTCATGTTCTTTTGGTGGATCCTGCGGGTATTGCATCTCTGACGGGTTTGACAAAGGAAGCCCCTCTGGCAGAACGCACTGCTCGGGCTCGGGACAGCTGTTGGTTGATATGCTCCCAACCCTCCACTGTTATTTCTGCCGCGAAGTTCAAAAGACCATGCTCAGCTGCTGTCAAAAATTGGTTGCGTTGGAGTGCTCTGCCAGTGTCCGGATTGTCGGAGTAGGGATACACACCAAAACTATATTGTCATCTCTCATGCCGCACTAAGAACTCCCAGATGAGAATGATAAACACCACCGCAACGATGCTGTTTGTAGTTCTCATAATTTTGTCCGGGAGGGTGGGGGCGAGTCTGGAGCACAGGGCGTGTTTGAAAACCTGCGGGTCTTGCACTTCCATTCATCGCAATAAAGATAGCTACCAAGCCGATAACGTGCAGTGCTACAAGGCTATCGGAAGCTCCATCCTTGCCATCGTCTACCGCCCATAAAAATGAGGTGTGGCATGATAATCTAATCTCAATTTGGTGTCAATTTTGGGAAGGTCGATCCTTAAGCGTACTTGTGCTGGGCAGATCATACACACTCCGTAATGCCTAATGAAATGCGTGCAAGGTATTATTTATGAAATGTATAACTTCGGCAACGAGGTGCAGGAATTATTTTCATGTCTCTGGTGCTTGGAAAACGGGTCTGCTAGAGTCTGTTTGCGCAGATTTTGGCAATAGGCTTGTTGAATTCCTCGACTCACGGGTCACTTGGTGGGGAGTATTTTCTTAGGGTGGCTATCCGCCCTTGGCGTCAACGCACTGAAGCTGATAATTGTGCAAAAAATGGCTGTTAAAAAGGGTCGATATGGTCAAAAATTCCGAACCGGGGAGTCGAACCCCGCGCCTAACGGATATCTAATACCATATGAACTAATTATGAGTCATAATTAATCGGTATTGAGAGCGTTATATGTTACCGATACACCAGTTCGAATGGGGTATTGATTGTTGAAGCAATTCTGATAATTATAATATATAACTATTAAAAGCTATTTGGGAGTGGTGGTGGATATTTAGCTACGGAGAAGGAAGCAAAAGTATAACCAATTATTCTGCATAATTAAGGCTTTGTAGAACGGCGGCATCTTGAAATGACAATGCCATTCTAACGGTCTATCAAAAGACTGAGATATTGTCAGACAGATATCAGGGTTTTTAATCTCTTCTAGGCAAGACTGTAGGAAATAGACCGAGAGTGCTCACCATGGGAAAGAGTTAAAGAAAAAGATCAGATGCCATGGAGGTTCTGTGCTGAAACTACAGATGTAAAGGAAGCTGCACTATCCTAGCCTTGAGAAGGCGCTGGCCATATCTATATAATAATAGGATCACCGCGTGATGAGTGCTTGATGGTATAGCTGGTCCTGAGTATGACGGAATCTGCTCACAAATACCCTTTCGATAAGGACACAGTGCTCAGCGAACTTATTAGAAAGGTCTTGTTGTGTGCGAACGTCTGTCATATTACCCATCTCACCGTGTCCCTTCCCTCCACGGCTCTAGGACTTCCATGGTAAGGAGCTTAGCCGCCCAGCAAGCTAACGGCATTGCCCTTGAAGATCCAGCCGATCTCGGTATCGTTGTACAACTGAGGGAGCGTCTCATTCATTGCACCTGTCAAGCCAATGGCGCCGGCTGCCGCGGTGAACGCGAAATCACTTCCGTACAAGAACTTGTTGGCGCCCCAAAATCGACTCATACTCCAGATCTGACTTGACATACTGAAACCCGCGAGGTCGAACCAGAACTGCTTCTCAAGCAATGCCGTGGCATTCGCGAGGGTGTATGGTACTGCAGGACGGTCAGAGCCGACTTTGGGGCCCAGCAGAGATGAAGTTCGCAAGAATCGCTCAAATACCGCGGGCAGAACGCCACCACAGTGTGGGATTATCCATTTGACGTTCGCATAGTCCTGAACCGTACCCGTTAGGATTAGATCGGACACTGTGCGAGCAGCGTCGAAGAAAAATTCTATCACTGGCGCTTGATATGCCCACATTAATGGTGCAACGTAGTCCAGTCGAGGGGTCCCTGTAATCTCTCCCGGGGCGTTCTTTGGGCACGGAATGGTCGGGTGGATGAAAATCACCGAGTTCCGCTCATTTAGTTTCTCGTATACCGGGGCAAGCTTTGGGTCTCCATGATAAAGACCCCAGTGATTCGATAATAGCACGAATCCGTCGGCGTTCAATTCGTCCAAAGCTCGATCGATCTCGAGGAGAGCTGCGTCGATATCTGGCAATGGTAGCGAGGCGAAGAAGCCAAATTTATCAGGATACTGTTGCTTCAGGTCAGATGTGTAGTTGTTGAACTCCCGCGTTATCTGGATGTTGGTTGCCGTGTCGTTTGGATAAAGGTTCGTCCCTGGGCTAGAACAGCTCACATAGCTCTTCTCAATGTTGTTGGCCGCCATGAAGTCAAGATGGTACGACACATTCCAGGCCTATCACTCAGTCAACGAGACATCGATCGAAATGTTAAAACCTCGAAACCTACCGGTGGACCAGCATTGCCATCTGGCTTTTGATAGGCTTTAGCTTGATACCACGAACGATCCTCGGGGGCCACTTACGCCTGGTACCCAACCTGCATCTATCACCGCTTGTCGATACCAATCCGGGTATATGTGCGAATGCGTATCAATCTTCGGTGTGCTGAGCCCAGTAGGCCCATTCCTTGCTTGCACCCCGCAACTGCAAGCGAGGATACCACAGAGGGGATACAGTGCTGACCTGAAAACCTTCATGATTGATGTGACCTTGATCGTCCACTTCTGGCTCCACCAATAAAGACAGATTGAGGCGAGCAAGCAGTTGGCATCAAGCATACTTATATACACCTAACATGAGCCCCAGACGAGCTCGGAGTTCGGATCGTAGCCATCTTGTCTGCGGGGAGCTTCACCTCGTTTGCAGACCGCTCTTGGTTAGGGACCATCAAAGTGTACGTCGTATCATGGCTCTAAGAGCGCCTCGGTAGTTCAAGCCAATGAGCCCGTCATAATATTGGAGATCCTCATGAGGGATAGAGATATCAAGGTGCATTATTCCTGCCAAGCGAGGCGAATGGAATATCGGGGCCACATCGGACGGGGCTGCCGCTCGTCCCACAGAGAAAGCCTGGTTAATAGAATCTGGGGAAGGCTTGGCAACTTGACCCCTCGATACGCCCCGCATTATGACCAAATGCTCTCAGCTTGGTTCGAAATGCTAAGGTGGGAACCGAGGCTACGCAGGCGGCAACGTTTGTAGATCTTGTCGACGCTTCCTGGTACAACAATTAGCAAAGAGCTGGTGACCATGTTCGCGAGCTAGATGTCGTTGGTCCAGATCTGCGACACCTTGCCTTATACAGTGTATCTCAATGCGGCTGAGAAGGATCCAGATGTGTGTGGTGTTAATATCGCCTCATGCTCGGTGGAAAATATGCGAACGCCATCTTCCGCGACATCAAAGCAGGCCGTCTATGAGATGATTCGTCCGGCTCGGCTTCTTGGGTCATTAGCCTCAACCCTACGCAGAATAAAGCGGAGATTCTGGCATATTGAATGTTTGGGAAGTTTGCAACAGATCCTTCCTGAGAGACAAAGCCATTGATAGTCAAATCATTGTCAGCGAGATTGTAGGAGCAGAGTCTTTTCTTCGGCAACGACACTGCCCATGACTACTGGACTCGGGGGAAAGTATTTTCAGAGGTATCTGAAGTAGTTGAATGCAGCATTAACCCGCAGGCGGAGGCTTTTCTTCTACTCCATATGATCTGTCGGGCCGGCTGGTTGCCGAATAGCTGTTAATTACCCTATGGAATAAACATCTTAGGTTCCTTCAATCCATGTTGTTCGTCTATACATTATATATGACTTTATTTTAGCCCTGAACTTCCGATTGGGATGGTGAGAGCTGTACATCGAGCGTTTAAGCAAAACCTGTGAGCGGCTGTGCCACCGGCCACGTGGCCGGCAACCCAAAGATGGGGTTGAACCTGCAAAACCTCGGTTCTACACTGCATTCTATGTATCAGCAAGAACACCAATTAACCTTTTGGCTCACCTCCTAGCACGTCTTATCTCAACCCTGTGACTCATCCTACTGGGATACTTTATCTCGCTACTTTCATCAGCTTGCCTAGGAAAAGATCAATATATATCAAGAACAAGGCGTTCGTGCACATTTGCTTAATTACTAGGCTGCCGAAGAGCATCTCCGTCCATGTCTCACTCTTCCCAACTTCTTGATCGACGTAAGGCAAAACTTAAACCTGAACCGCGTACAATTAACCGTGCTTGTTTCGAATGTACTAGAAGAAAGATTCGCTGCGATGGGTCCTTGCCGTGCAAAGGCTGCCAAAGTTATTCCGTGCAGGACAGATGTGGCTACCGGAAGCGATATAGGCGAACAAATCCGTCTTGGACGTAAGCATCCCGTTGTTGATACGAGCTTTGATTGCGGAAGAGTCTGACTGCCCTTTATTTAGAACCATCGGCCGACTAGTGGAGGCGGTGGATTCCCGAAATGCGTTGCTGAGGCAGCTTTTACCAGCGATCGATTTCAGCAAGGTGCCAGGATTATCTAGGAGACACATTGTCAGCCTTATCAGTGACGAGAGAGATGAAACGTCCACGTCACCACCTCTGGACAGTGATATAGCCAATGAGAACATATCAGCGGCCCCAAGTTTTGGAGAGCTTGAACAGGCGGATCATGAGTGGAACGTAATTCCAGACGGGAAGGATTCCGAACCGCTTGTTGGAGATGCCATAAATGGTCTCACCCTCGAGAAATCAACTATACGTCCGGGAAACTTTTCAAACGCTGCTGTACTATGCGCTCTGTTCACACTATGTCCGAAAGCAAAAAAGAGGTTCTTCACCTTAAGCAGGTCATTTTCACAGAAGCATAACCCGACCCCACCAAAGCCGGACCCGACGAATGGCTCTCAACAAGCTGCCTATGGCGAGAATTCGCTATTACCATCCTCACTATCTACTCAGCAGGCCATTGTTGATGGATATTTTGGGCATTTTCACGCAATAATGCCGATCCTTGATGAAGCTCTATTCCGAACCACTCTCTCAAGTCAAGAACGAACAGATGATGCCTGGAAAGCCTTGTCAAATGTGGTATATGCTCTGGGTTCTATTGCGACGGGAGACGATGAGTTCCATTTCTTCTACTACACTCGTGCGCGTGAGGCCATCAATTACCAGACTTTGACCTCAGGGAGCCTCGAAATGCTCCAAGCTCTAATTCTTCTTGGAGGAGTTTACCTACACTATATTAATTCACCAAATACCGCATACTTGATTTTGGGGACAGCATTCCGAATGGCTATATTAATGGGCATTCACAGGGAAACACCAAAAAAGACAATCCCTGGGTCAGAGTCTCGAGCCGAGGTCAGGAGTCGAATATGGTGGAGTCTGGTGTCCGCCGACTCCTGGCAAGGAATGCTGTTAGATCGACCAAAATTTATCAAATGCGACGCCTTCTTACTACCTTTGCCTCAGCTTCCGAAGCATGCTCATGCTTGCACTCAGACTGCAGCCGCAAGGGAGACCCACAATAATGACCTGACACTCGAAGACTGTTACCGGATGTCAATCCGAAGTAAGGCCGAATTTTGCATGATTTTGAACAAGCTGCAAGACCGAATGGCTCAACTATCTCCACTAACCGCTTCGGAGGTCTTATCTTTCGAGGATGGGCTCCAAATATGGAACAGGTCGCAACCTCTGCAATTTCAGCCAGGGCGGTTATGCCCAAAAGAACTTCATTACAGTCGAGAAATAAGGAGGTTCTTCTTTCTAGCTACGCTCCTCTGTATCTCCCGGCCACATTTGTTGCATTTAACGGACAACGAGGCACCCTATACTTTCAGAAATGAGGATTGGAAAGTTGTCTCACTTTGCCTCGAGACGGCTACTATTATTGTCCATGAGATTACCTCTCTCTCCCCTCATACCAGGGTCTCAGTATGGCATACATCGTTTCATCTATTTCAAGCGTGCTTGGTCTTATTACTCTCACTACTTATCGCGAAAAGGATGGATTGTTTCAGCCAAGCAGAGGTCGACGAGTGGGTACAGAGCCTCGAAAGAGCAATTCACACTTTCAAGGATATGACCCCTTACAAGAGACCAGTAGATCGTTATGGCGAAGTTGTCGAGGTACTGTACAAAGTTATCCTGGTTCCTAACCAAGAAGGAGAAGATGACGCGTACGGAGAAGAAGGCTCGGAATCAATTGAAAGTACCGGGTTGGAAATGGAAAATTTAATGTGCATGTTCCAATCAAACATGACTACACCGACTCTGCCAGCAGATTGGTTTGACCATGATTTTGGATTTGGTGACGAGAGTGCAGCCAATTATTATCCGCTGCCGGATTTCTGAATAAGGATATCGTAACCTGTAATTAATTGATACGACAGAGGCTACCAGTGTTATTTTTTGCTCGCCGCCCCTCATTTCTCTCTCATATTTCTCCAGCTTGCTAATGTGATGAATGACTATTGATCACCATTTCATCACTTTTGAAATAGCCCATATCCCTCTTTCCAGAACGGTACGTTGCTGTCCAATGTCCATAGATGCAGATTACGACTAAACGGCTGTCATGGATCCCAACCCTGTTTTGAGTGTACACGTACAGTTTTGGCCGCTTAGCTCAGCCTTGTCTTTGCAAAATGTTTCGGCTTGACACCACGTTCGAACGGCAAATCGATCTCTTCAAATGAACGGCCCTGGTCACATAGCGTCAGCCCTTATCACCTTATATATGACGCGAGGCAGAAACGACTAACCTTTGTCTCTGGATAATAAAAGAAGATAACGATACAGGGGAGGATGTCCATACCGAAAAACATGAAAGCAACGCGACCTCCTATGTTCACCACGTCGGGGTTGACCATGTACGGCAACGCAAAAGCCCACACACTACCAAAAACCGCTAGTGTCAAGATGGCCAGGGCTTGAGTAGGGCTACGGAGGGATGATGTGGCCGTTTCGGCGACTATAACATACCCTGCTGCGCAGATAGAAGTTTGGTGTGCAAAACCCCAGACACCCATAAACGCCGATTGCGTGAAAATGATCGTACTGCCTTTATCGGTGAAGAGAGTAAGGACTGCAATAAGTAAGAGGCAAAGTGTCATAGTCACCATTCATAAATCACGATATTAGCCCAGGCTCCATAGTGGGAGACTTATCGCGATATATACCGTAGAAGATGGTCCCTCTTCGACCAAGTTTCTCAATCAATATCCATCCAACCATATTGCCTAAAGTCATTAGTCCAGCAATGCCGACCGACACGTCAAATGCAGTCCCGTAATTCATGTCGCCCAAAACAAGAAATAAGACATATATCCCAAGTACTTATCCAAGTTAGTCCTGAATTGACCTGAAAGAAGAATACAGACACTGCGATGAATGTTCGAAGTCTGTTCTGCTTGTTGAAACAAGTTTTGAAACTGGCCGTTTTCGGTTGCTGTACACGGTTCTGCATGAGCGCAACCTCGATCTCATGTACCTTGTCATTGAAATCTATGCCTGCGCAGAGTCTAGAAATGCTCTTTTAGCCGCCGAAATATTGGATTGAGTAAGCATCATGTATGGAGACTCAGGCAGAAAGCGAAGAACAACCAGACCAACCACTGCGAAACCCCAATGCACTGCGAACATGATGCGATAGGACATATTGCTGTCGACAGCTCGTGTCTCTCGCATCACACCATAGCCAATAAGTTTGCCAATTACTTGACTCCAGTTCGCAGCAGCGATCATGGGTCCACGCAATCGTGCTGGTGCTACTTCGGAGCAGTAGACTGGTGCAACCATGACAAAGATACCCAGGGGAATTCCAGTCAATATCTTGCCTCCCAACAGCATGGGGAGATCTCCAGGGGAATAATATTGAAGGAAGACACCCGTAATGGTGAGTATGTATGCCGCGCCAATACACATTCTGTGCCTATAGCGTTTTGTAATAGTCGGCGTGGCTGTCGCTCCGAAAATTACACCCACAAGAGGTCCAGCTACAAAGATGAATTGCCACCTTGCAGAAATTATATCCTGTCCATTGTACAGCTAGCCATAGTCCTCGCGAAACTGGTTGATTGAAAGGACGATAGCACCTGCCATTGCATCATACACATACATGATATACGCGAATAGTGCGTAGCAACACCATCCGACAGCGTATGGATTCTATCTTAAAATCTCCCAGATGGTAATTCGATCGGATATATTAACATGGTTGCTATGGTCGACTTCTGCTTCATTATTGGAAGGAGCGTACTCCACATTCTAGGTATCTAGTCAATTGTACTTTTCGATGGCCGCCTAAAGAAGATGTAGGAATGGCTCGGTATTGTTAGGAGACCTAATTAGGAATCTGGGATTATTCAGAAACTAAGGATCCCTAACACTGAGAAAAAGAGAAAACTCCTTTGTTACAAGATTGAAAGGGGGTTGCGAGGCATTTCTTATTTCTAAATCTCATGTCATACGGAGCACCTGCACGATACCTGGTGTGCTGGTGGGACAGGAAGCCAGTGACTAAGACTCCGCATAGGGATGTGGGGCACGGAGTATATGCGCATTGACCTTTGGCCAATACCTGACAGGAATATAGTATCTAACCGGAGTTGTTTGGTGCAGCTTTAGTGGGTTAGTGGCGGAAACCGTGGAAATACAAATCTCCAGGCAGCACTCCACTAAAATAGATGGGTGTCAAAATTGTATTTCACTTCTCAAAGTTGTGGCATTCTTAAAAGGGCCTAGGTTATTCATGATCATGCGGTACGGTGGACCCTCGCCTGCAGCCAGATATGTACTCCATATCGCCGGCGAGGCTCTGAGTAGTTGTGAATGGCGGAAATATGTACTTCCGCCCTCCACCCACCACTTAACCACCTTGAATTTCTACGAAGCTCTACTGATATGTCGTTTCGACTCAAAGATAAAGTTAGCGGTACTTTTCGGCCACCTCGGTCCTCTCGGTTGCTAGAGTTGCCATAGATCGGCACCCGCAACATGCTTGCGAAAATGAAACAACGCACATTTCTCCACCAACTCAACGAATGAGACCACCAGACTAAAGTCTTCACCTCAAACGTTGAGAACTTTTATTACCGTCCTAGGCCTAGGTCGATGGAGAGAATGATTATAAGATTATGCAGTCAATGTGATTAAATCATCGTGGTATTTCCAGAATTGCGAATTACACAGTTGCTATTCATACATGTAGGTGGTCCATTCTCTTCTATGGATTTTGCTCACACAGTTTAGTTTGTGATCTCCTTTCAATATGCCCATCAAAAGACGAGAAAAGTTGGCCACTGGATGGAGATGGAGACTCTCAAATTCCAATGGCAATGCGAATGCAGACGCAGTACCGACTTTGAAGAATTGGAGTCCCACCACAACCTTTCCGTCAGTTATCCAAATGGAACTTCTTGCGCAAGGAGTGGTTCCCAACCCAAGTGTGGGAGAAAATGAGCGGCACATCCAATGGGTCAGCGAAGCGGATTGGGAGTACTCCTGCTCCTTCCAGACACCAGAGGGTGTTGAGAAAGCAACCTTCACGGACTTGGTATTTGAGGGTCTCGATACTTTCGCAACAGTTACTTTGAATGACGAGGAGATTCTCAAAAGCGATAATATGTTTGTTCCATATCGGAGAGACATTAAACTCTACCTTAAACCGGCGGGTCAGCATAATACGCTTGCTGTCGTGTTTGAAAGCCCTTTAAAAGTTGGAACTGCGCTTGAAAAACAATTTGGCGAGAGGATTAGTTTAGTGCGTGATAAGAGAAGAAATCATATTCGTAAGGCCCAGGTGAGTACCAGACTCTTTTTCTTTCGCGAAGTTTGGAATTATTAAAAATTGAATAACAGTGTCATTGGGGATGGGATTGGGGTCCGATTATGATGACTGCCGGTCCGTGGATGCCAATCTATCTTGATATTTACGACGCAAGAGTTGATAACGTCTATGTTGTATCCAACCTTACCTCTAACCATTCGAACGCCGATCTCTCCATTGACATACAGGCCGCTGGGTCTTCAGCTATGACAGCAAAAGTCACTGTCCTCGATCAGGATCAGCAGGAGGTGCATAGAAATGTCATCGTCCCTCTAGACGAAGTACAGAGAGGGCTTGCTGAACTCTCAATCCCGAATCCAAAGCTTTGGTGGACAAATGGTCTAGGAGCTCAACATTTATACAGTGTCGTGGTGTCTCTGGAAGATAACTCGGGAAGTACACTTGATAACCACACTACTCGTTTTGGCGTGCGAACGATTAGGGTAATCCAAAGAGCTCTTGAGGATGCTCCTGGCAAGACCTTCATGTTTAATATCAATGGGCACGATATCTTCGCCCAGGGAGCCAACTGGATTCCTGCTGATGTGTTTATCCCAAACATTTCCCGAGAGCGATACTACAGCTGGATGAAATTGGCCAAGTACAACCATGCTAATATGGTACGAGTTTGGGGAGGCGGTATTTATGAGACCGATGACTTCTTCGACGCATGCGATGAGCTAGGCATCCTTGTGTGGCACGACTTTGCTTTCGCATGCGGTGATTACCCAATCCATCAAGCCTTTCTGGACAATATCAAGCTCGAGGCAGAAGCTCAAACTATTCGTCTTCGCAACCGAGCGTCTCTAGCTATTTGGGCCGGTGATAACGAGGACTTCTTGATTGCAGACTGGCTCAAGGTGGAATACGACTATACAGATATCAAAGGACCTTTTGAAGACACAAAGTTTCCTCAGCGTAAAATCTACCTACAACTTCTTCCAGAAATCTGCGAGAAGTTTAGTCCAAACACTCAATACTGGCCTTCATCACCCTGGGGGGAGGGGGAAAATTCCTTTGATTCAACATTTGGTGATATTCACCAATGGGCTGTGTGGCATGCTGATAAACCTTATCAGAACTACAAGGACCTGTCCGGACGCTTCGTATCTGAGTTCGGTATGCATGGGTATCCTATCCAACGCACGGTGCTTGCATTCGCTCCTGAAGCGAAGGATCGCTTCCCTCAATCTAGAATTATGGACTGTCATAACAAGGACAATGGATCAAAGACGCGGATTGCTCGCTATCTATCGGAGAACTTCCGCTACGATATGAAGTTTGAGAACTTTGTCTACTGTTCCCACCTCCTACAAAGTGAAGCAAATAGTTACGCATTAAGGGACTGGAAGCGAAAATTTGGCGGGAAAGGTAGAGAATACTGCGCAGGTGCCTTAATCTGGCAGCTCAATGATATCTACCCCTCGACCAGTTGGGCATATATCGACTACTACCTTCGTCCTAAGCCGGCTTTCTATTCAATTCGAAGAAATTTCGCTCCTATCAGTGTTGGCAGCGAACGGACACCTGGTTCACGTTGGATTGATGAGAACAAACCTAGCCGCTCCTACATCCCTAGTTTTGCTGTGTTCGCCCACAACAACACGCGAGAGGAGATCAGGTGCAAAATGCAGCTAAAAGCATATGACTTCTACGTTGGCAAGGCTGCTAAGCTGGATAACGTTGAATCCGATGTGACATTGTCGGCTGGGTACAACACCGAACTACTGCAATTGAAGCCACATGCCTCGTGGACAGAAGGGAGCCTTATCATCCTTCAAGTGACCCTTGTCGATCCTGTGAGTGGAAAAACCCTAGCTAGATTCGTCGACTGGCCAGAGCCATTTCGATATCTGCTGTGGCCTGCAGATACCAAGGTCACTGTCTCTGTTGAGCCGCTGAGGATTTCCAACAGTATTGATGATCAGGGCATAGATTTTGACGACGAGGTTACGGTTGTCGCAAACCAACCTATCAAAGGATGCTGGATGGAGCCAATGTATGATGGAACAGAAAGCGAAGATGAGCCAGAGCCGTTGTGGACTGACAACATGTTTGATCTGCTCCCTGGAGAGGAAATGAAAGTGAAAGTAAGGGGCCTTCGAGGTAGAAATGTCAAGGTTCGGTTTTTGGCCGATTGGGAGGTTGGGAAAAAAGCGACGGTGCAAGCTGTTCTCTAAGGATCGAGCTCAACAAGTACCTCCTAGGAAGTCTAGACACGGGTATATCGAACGCATCAGAGGGTGAGACAATAATATCTCTAAAATCCGACAAGCTCGGGGTTCGACTCTCCGGTCGCGATTTTTTTTTTGACTAGGACTGTTTTTTACAGCTGTTTACTCGTTAATGAGCCAAGGTCAAATGCATTGAGTTGTTGTACAAATACTTAGCTGCTTGTCCGAACCCCTTTATTTGCTTTTAACAATAAAATCTACTTCGCTGTGTTAGGTCTCTAGCTCGCAAGATGTTAGATTTTACACTGATTGCTAAGATTGATGAGAGCTTCTTTGCGCAGACAACCACCTGCTACCCTTCATAGCACAACAAGGTGTGTGTGCATGCTCGAATTATTCAAGTTTTCTTGACTCACTATTGCGGGCTTCGTAGTCAATGGCAGCTTCACAACTATGTTTAAGCGGGCCTCATTCCGAGGCACAAGGGGCGAGTGGCTGTGCGAAGACCGGTATTCCTGGACGAACGAATAAGGCGTGTCCGTAGCTTGCAAGGGTCGTGCCGGAATGCACGTTTGTAGAATGTCCTCTCCAGAAGGAGCTAGAGCAGACACCATCCCTATAAAGCTCGGCGAGAAGATTCGCTGGAACAAATACTCATTCTCTGATCCATCTTCCGATTCTGCGAATGGGACAGACTCATTCAGAGCCGAAAACTTTCCCACTAAAGATCCCATCCTCGTTTCTTTCAGGGCAGTTTCAGGAAGCGACAAATGGGTCCCCGTCTACGTGGATGATCAAGAGCATTCACTAGGGGCTAACCTAAGCGTGACCTCAAACAACAGGGTGAGATCGTTGCACTCTGGGTTGAAGGTATAACACTTATACACACTAGTACTCTGTGTTCTAGAATAGCAGATACTTCGCCTCTTGCGTGATTGACTACAGGAAGTTTTGTCAGCCGCACCAGTTCGAATTTCCCGCTGGCAGCAGAGTGGTGACACTTCGATTTGGTTATCAGACTGGAAAAGGTGAAATGGGGGAGCCTGGATGGTATTCGGAGTGAGAGGGTCAGAATACGGTATGTCTGACGATGGAAGGGGGCAGAGTCGACAAGGAGATGAAGTCGCGCATGGATGCGCCTGCTGTACACAATATGGGTAGACAATTTCATTCACCAAATACCAGCATTCTTCTGCTTATGGTCGTGCAAAAGAGCAGGCGAAGTCGGTAAAATACTAACCTACTCATGACCCCTTGTGACGGTGTTATCGCTTCTCGTCATCCTCAAGAAAATCTTCGTATGTTGGCCGTGCAGCTTCCAATAGGTCTGAGCCTTCATCAGGAGATAGTGCCACTGGCTCTCTTTCAAGGCTCCGGGACACACACTTCGCATGTAGATGCACAGCCTCATCTGTCGTACGAGGTAAAATCATCATTGAGGCATGGGAAGGAAAGCTGTGAGTGCTGTTTTCGGATGCAACATTGATTTAGCTGAGTGCAGCACTAGGTAAGCTTGGTATCGGTGTACCACCGTGTCAATCCTGTCGTTGACCTGTCGTTGATTCTTCTCACAATTGCAGACCACTATAAAGCGGCAACTTTTTTAGCCATAATGGAGCTAGATTTTTGACGAGCCGTCCAGGCAGCGACGTTGCTTCCTGCAGGACATGAGGAAGGTACGCGGGGAGAAACCTCGGCTTGAATTTTAAGAGCCGGACTCATCCAGCGCCGCCACCTTATTCTATCAATCAATTATTGAGGGTGCCCAAGTTCTGCAGCAGTCATAGCCACGGCGGGGATGTCTTCGCGTCAATAATTCTTTGTCAGACCATTCAGAAACCGCTGCATGATGATTGACAGCACCCTGATCGTCCAGTCTTCTAATTCTCCGTCATGCTAGAATACCGCACCCAGGGCTTCCAAGGCTATGCTGTGAAATACTCTCCCTTCTTCGACAACCGAATAGCTGTCGCTGCCTCAGCAAATTATGGTCTGGTAGGAAATGGACGGCTCTATATACTGGAATTGACTCCCCATGGTATCCAGCCGTTGAAGAGGTATTGCTCTATATCATCATTCAGACACGGCACATGCTGACCAGTCAGCTATCCAACCCAGGATGCGCTTTACGATGTCACTCACTCTGAAGCGCATTCGTTCCACGTATTGACTTCCTCTGGGGACGGATCTCTCCGTCTCTACGACACCTCATTAGCCCCCGACTTTCCCATAGCAACATTTCAAGAGCATTCAAGAGAGGCATTCTCTTGTAGTTGGAACCTGACTTCGAAAGCAACTTTCGCATCTTCATCGTGGGATGGATCTGTCAAGATATGGAACCCTGAGCGACAGCAGAGTCTGTTGACATTACCAACGCACTCTTGTACATATTCAGTACAGTGGAATCCTCATACCGACGGCATGCTGAGCGCAGTATGTTCAGACAGTCACCTCCGGGTGTGGGATTTGCGAACACCAGCCAGCGCCAGTAACCATCTTACCCTTCAAATTCCGATTCACTCACCTCCAATTTCCGTCGGTCTGGGGAAACCTCAACCCACCTTTCCACCCGCCGAAGCACTTTGTCATGACTGGAACAAATACCGGGGCACCGTGGTGGCGACGGGAGGAGTTGATAGGATCATTCGAACATTTGATATTCGACAACCCAAGGGCCCACTTCAACTGTTACAAGGTCACGGATATGCCGTACGGAAAGTTGCATGGAGTCCACACCTTCCAGACCTACTGTTAAGTGCCAGTTATGACATGACATGTCGAGTGTGGACAGACGGAGGTGACGGCCAACAGCAAGCCCGAGAATTGGGTAGCATGGGTCGTCATACTGAGTTTGCGACAGGTGTTGACTGGTGTTTATTTGGAAGTGAAGGGTGGGCTGCCAGTTGTGGGTGGGATGAACGACTTTGTGTATGGGATGTTCGATCCTTCATGCATCCATAGTTGTTCGTCTTGGAAATGGATTTTGGGCCACACACAGCGTTGGATAGCATGGCGTCTGTACCAGAGAATACACCACCAGATGAATGAATGCCACATTGAGTACGAGGTACAGGGTGCTCCATATGAGATAGTTGGTTATGAAATTAATGCAACAAGGCTGATCCGACCCGTCCAAGCCGCCCCATATTCCATGTTTCATGCCCGGAGATGGCCCCTGGTTGATATTACATGCGGACCTCAGCCTCCAATCAGAACCCATACGAGCTTCCTGATGGGATGTGGATACGCGCACCACCGAAACAGTCGTTGAGTCTTTTGGCTTTCTAACTTCCATTCTTCTATTCGTGCTCTCCTTCTCATCGCTGATAGGTTCTCGCAACGCACAATCCAAACTTGATTTCTAGGCCGAGGCTCGGAGAATGTCGAGCTCTGGGATAGCTTGATCGACATCCTTCGCCCGCAACCGCCAGTCTGGGGACAGCGTGGACCAATATCATCCATTCACAGCGTTCCCAACATGCACGCCAACGGGTACCTGACTGTCACCAGGGTCCATCTCTTTGTGGTCGCCTTGATCTCTCCAAGGTAGGACACGATGGATGTGATGGATCTGAGAGGTCTGCAGATGGAGTCCTTGATTTTATCCTGCAAGTCAAGTTTACGAGGAAGTGGTCTCATAACTTTGATGGATTCAAATATCGACAATGGGTATTTAAAGGTTTCCCGCAAGCCTTCGCTTATTGCCTTTCGGCGGCTTCTACGATACACACTGCCGGGCAGCCTCGTCTCCATACAAACAATCGGTGCTGGCGTCGCGTCCGCTCAACTCGCAGCCGTTACACTCTCCGTGTTGCTTGAACCTCACTTGACTTCCGCTTCCTTGTATCTCAACTACAGGCAACCATGCATCTCCTCCAGGTATGCCCCCCAAAAATGATACCATAACGGACAGCTAGATTCTGATGAAGCCCCTCCAGGCTCTAGCCACGCTCTTCGCCCTGAGCACACCAGCACTGTGTCTCCCACCATTCATTCTCCGCGAAGGCTTTCCATCACCATCACTGTACCCATCCGTATATCAGCCAAGATCAGCCTCACCCGAAACGTCACTGCTCATCGAGCGCCAAACGCAGACCTGCGCGTCGACTTGCGGCAGCGTCTGCTACTTCCAACGCACCGTGGCCGCCGCTGTGGCCGAGGGCTTCGAGCTCTTCCAAGCGGGCGAGACCGAGGGGTCGGGCAAGTACCCGCACGCGTTCCGCAACGACGAAGACTTTGAGTTGTCTGTCCCTGGCCCCTACCAGGAGTTCCCTATCCTCAGTGACTTCCAGGAGTATGATGGCGGCAGTCCTGGCGCCGATCGAGTCATCTTCAATGAGCAGGGGGCCCTCGCGGGCGTTATTACCCATACAGGCGCGTCGGGGAATGGGTTTGTTGAGTGTGCTTGAACCAATTAGTTGACGTCAAGATCATTGTGAGCACTGGCTAGATGTGTGAGAACCTCCCCGAAGACACTAGATACAAGCCGGCTTTTATGAGCCCTGTAGATGAAACAGTATCTGAACAGCGCAGTCAAACTTGATATGTGCAGAATGGCTCATGTATTTCCGTCTATCATTATAGTCGTATCTATCCCTAGTAGGCGCTTTCAAAAGGCCCGCTTGTAAAATGCATTGCGTAATTTCCCTTGGGAGTGGAGTTGGGTTCCTTCTGAGTTGTCCTTTTGAGTGTTGTATATACCCATTTCGAGGCGCCGTCACGTTGTTATGTAATGGTTGGAACTTGTGCTGATCGCGACGATAGGGATGCCAGGTTTCGTGCTGGTTGACTCAAGACCACTCACAGGGCCCCATGAACAGATTCCCGAATATGTAGGCTTCCATGAAAGGGGCAGAGCTACATCATTGATGCTTCTCTGTTTAGAGAGAGACGTAGAGTTGAATCTCTCATTTCTTAGTAAGCCGCTGCTCGACACCATCCCTGACTCTTTTTCTTTCAGCATCCAGATCTTCCCTGGACGCATCATACCGCACATTTCCAGCTTGGTTGAAGGGGTTGTCCTCGCTTTTCTCGAATTCCTTCTTGACGATTTCGATCCTCTGGTTTTTCCTCAAGCCGGGGTATTCGAGTTCGATCTCAGGTAGTCTACGGTCCTCGAAAACTTTGTATGCGGCCTTGAACCTTCGCTCTGGGTGGCGATCGAGTTTTAGATCATTCGCCGATCCGGTCAGAGTCAACGCATCAAGTGCATTGTCAATCCCGGAGGCATTGATCGCCTTGGAAGGCTCACCGTCCAGCTGGCCGAGATCCAGTGTCCCACGGCTCTTCTTCTCCGCTGTCTTCTTCCCTGCTCCTTTAGGCGCACTCCGCTGATTCCTCTCCTCTTCTGCCAACAGGGCGTCTCGTTCAGCCTTTTTTGCCGCCTGCTCAGCTGCCTTGGCGGCAGCGTTTTCCTTCTTCTTATTGTTCTTTGCACCCTTGCCCCATTCCTCATCCTCCTCTAAAGCGTGCTTGGCGTCGCTCGCCGCCTGTTTCTGTGCTGCCGCCTCGGCTTTACGCGCGTTGCCCGCTACTTTCTTAGTGTTTTCTTTCTTCGGTGCCATCGTGTGGACAGTGGCAGGGTGGTGGCGAGGGTGGTAGACTTGGGGGTTGCGGTGTTGCAGATATGTACTGACCGTGAGGAAGGTGGTGAGATGGACAATGACGAAAATACGAATGTACTGGACTGGTGAAAAGAAGTGACTGTGGACAGGCATGCAACTTCTGGGAGGTCGATATTTGATCAGACAAGCGAGATCGCTGCGTTGGTGAGTCCGCGTCTGTTGCTCCGATTTGTTGCTGTGTATTTAATTCTCGAACTAACCTCTCCGGCTGTGACTCTTCACATGTTCTGCCTGTGGCAAGTGCGTCATTTAACGTGGGGCCCAAATAACTAATCATGAGTCATGCGTATCTTTTAAGTCTTAGTGTATGAATCATTCGCCGAAGGGGGGGAAGGAATGGAGCAACCTGCTATGCACCTACTTATCAAGCAAGATAGTAGAGGTTAAAGCGGACTCCTCTCTACAAAGAACTTGAATGTAGGTGACATGCTGATCATAGATAAGATGCAATCTTCGATAGCGGGCCTCCTGGGCCGAAATGGACAAACTATCCCCCCTTCTGGATTTGTGTCACGCAATATCATGGACCCAAGCACGCCAGACAGACGACCATACATGGCATCGCCTGCTCAGGAATTTTGGTATATCACTTTCACATGTTATAGGGTTGTCTCCGGAGCGATAAGACCTGTCTAGCTATGTATGCATACTCGTTCCAGTCCGATCCATCCCTTCGGGCATGAGATGCAACCCTACAAAGCAGTCAACGAATTGATGCCTTCAGCAAAAACATAAAGGAGAAATCCTGCACGGTGGTCAAATTCTCAAATTGAGCATAATCTTGTAGTTGGCAGGGGCTCGCAACATCCTGCATCTGATGTATGTGTGGAGGTGCAGCTGGACAAGGTCTTGTTCTTATTGGGAACTTAGGATAGTGGTGTCGATGTCCTCTTGCAAACTGAACAGACCCTTCATCGGCTCAATTGAAGTCGAACCATTGTCGGCACGGGATCTGGACACCATTGTCTCTTGGGTGCCCGCCCATCACAGTATCACTCGCCCTGATACTTTTTCCAGCTTTTGTCGAAGGCGTCCTGGTTGATCGCAAATGGTCTGATGTAGTCTCTCTCAAGCTCATGTGCCCTTTTCCCAATAAGCACCACACTGTGGAGGGGTGGGCCGACATCAACGTCACACAGTTCTTTCAGTGTTCCGCAAACAAATGTTTGATCATCTGCACCAACCCTTGCGCACCCAATGGCTAGGCTATCTTCGCTGCAGATGCCTTCCCCCTTTTCTGCCTCTATCTCGAGGAGCTGTTGTGCACAGCAGGCGACGGTCATGTATCGCGGCGGTTCGTAGATCTTCCTGCCACGGGCCATATTTTCTAGAGACTGCTCTTTCACTTTGATGTCGAGTAGGAGGAGTGTATGCAGGCCAATGGAGGCATTTTCACGAATTCGATCGTAGAAGCTCGCGGGTTTCCAGTTGTCAGTAAAGAAAACTATAGATACCGTTTGGCCGAAGTTGTACAATTGAAGGCCTGTAGCTCCAACTGCATTTAGGATTGAAGCATTCGGTATCGATTTGGTTGGGATGGACAGTTCTTGTGCGCGAAGCACCAAATCAGTATGTGTAGTGGCCCTGCAAGCTCTAATCAGCACATATAGTTGTATTGGTCCCACGGCCAGATAACATACCCGAAAGGATCTCCAACGACAAGAAATGCGATATCAGATTCGTGTGCTCCTGCAAGAATCTCGTCACTGGAAGATTCAACCATTTCCCGATCCGCGACTATGACAGGCCGACCATAGAACGCCTCCTATGATGGCTGGTTAGAGAAAGTCAGTGACGACTGGGCATGCATGGATGCGCAAGATAGGTGTTCTTACCAATTTGTCCTTTCCAACATGGAGGATGCTGGTGTAGGCCTCTAGATAGACTCTTTCGGCACGCTTCACCACCTCCAGGCCTTTGACTGTGATGTCTGTCTCATCGGCAAGGCCTAGACCGATCAGGTACAACATTGTGAAGGGTTCTCACACCAGTGACGAGTCTAAGTCTTGCCTGAACCAGAAGGCAGTTGCTGTTCCCTGTTCTTAAAGAAAGTGATTGGAATTGGAGCGCGGGGTTCAAATGACGAGAATGACGTAAATATCGCCAGGCATCTTGGCACGTGACATGCGGGAATGCACAATGTTCTTTTGCGCGGTCGCCTCCTTTCTGATGATCAATCTTATCACATGTCTGCAATCATTCCATCAAAGGAAGCCGACCGCGTGAAATGTAGAACAAGGCTTTCATTTCTTCTTGCATTTTGATCTGCGTACAAGGCGTGTTTGAGAGTGGAGGTGTATTGCGGACCTCGGGGACAAGATGGCGGAGCGACCTGCAAAGTATCGGCAGGAGATCCAGCAGGTAAGCGATCTACCCTTTACTTCCACCGCGGTGTCTGTCGTCATCTTCAACATGCAATGGAACTGTGATGGTTTATTGAAAGAAATGGCCATATCTGAGAACGACACCTGTGGAGGAGCAGCCGGACACTGGAGATCCACCAGCAGCAGCCCGCTATTATTGAAATGGTTATGTATTGGACTGTCAGTATCATGTGGTATCGAGTCTATTGCCATGAGTGGCAGGCGACTGCCCTGAAATGCGTCTTGGCGAGAGCTGGGATAGTGAAGACAGCCTCATCGTTGAAGAAGACCATCAATCCAGACAATCCTTCGACTCTACTGAACCTTTCAATTTTCGCCGCGCCTCGCGTTTGCGCAAGATCCACCCAAGACTCCACCCAGCGCAGCGCCGCAGCCAGCATGGATCCTTTGATTGGCATTTCCAACGATGGCAAGGCATGGCTTATCAATGCTATCTTGAACGAAGATACCTTTGAGACGCAGACAAAGAGAAATGCTACAGGCTTGACATATCAAGATCGCGTCTGTGACAATCACATCTCGCCTTCAATTGATCTGAAACATCAGCAAGCTATAGATTTATCTGACATTTCCACCACTCCTCACTCTCATGGTGCAGCCACTACGAACACGCCTAGTCAGATCTCAGCACCCGGAGATTCGCGTGATCACATCAACTTGGGTCAGGAGATTGAGAATGATGAGAGTGTAGAACATGACGACGACGTTGCCCGAGGATCGAATGCTACTTCTTTGGGAGACTGGATCAATGAATTGAGAGGGTTCGCAAGTTTCAATGGAGGCAAAAATGAAAGTGAATCCATGGCGTTAGACGGAGATAGTACCAACAATGACCCTGCGCTCTCTACCGCATCGGACAACGACAAATCTACAGGCGCATCAATGAGACGATTCACTCTCGGTGCTGAAGACCTTACCACGAGCCCAGAAGCGAAGTCGGAATGGTCCTTTTCGGAGGCCAGCTCCATGGAAGATGATGACAGTGAAACGATGGAGGACTTCAAGCAGAGACTAATTTACTGGATTGCACAGATGATGTTTGTCAGTGGCGAGACTGCAGAACCAAGCCCCGAGACGACATGGATGATTGAAGAGATTGTACGGGAGCAAGTTCTAGAAATGGTATGCTCATTCTCTCCTCTAAAACACTCCCCAAACTCTCTCGAAAGGCTTGATAGTTCTGTTCTAACTCTGCAAACTTCCAGCTTCAGCAGGCTACCATCCTCGCTAATCGTCGTGGCTCCAGATCGATTTCCATTGTCGACTTGATCTTCCAGATCCGCCATGACCGAGCAAAAGTATCCCGCCTCAAGACTTTCCTCTCGTGGAAGGACGTGCGTAAGAATGTTAAGGACTCTGATGACAAAGGAGGCGGCGATGCTGGTGACGTTGGTGACTTCGAAGAGGTAAATCATCCTCTCGCTGCCGGACCACGGTAGCCTCTCAAATTTTTCAGTCTGCAAATCTAACATGGTTTCCCCAAAACTCCAGGCGTCGGGCGGAGTGAATCCATCGGCGCCACAGAAAGCAACGGGCACGAAGAAAGCCAAACTTGTGCTCCCCTGGGAAGTGCAGTCATTCTACGCAGAGCAAGTGCCCGAGCGCGATGATGAAGAAGACGAGGAAGAAGAGGAACAAAACGAGGCAACACTGGCCCGTCTTGCGTCGGCAGACGAACGCACCAAGGATATGACACGGGAGGAATATGTGTACTGGTCGGACTGCCGTCAAGCGAGTTTCACATTCCGCAAAGGCAAGCGGTTCCGTGAGTGGGCAGGCTTTGGCACCATCATCGACAGCAAGCCGAATGACGACGTGGTCGATATCCTGGGGTTCCTGACCTTCGAGATCGTACAGACCCTCACCGAGGAGGCTCTCAAAGTCAAGGCCGCGGAGGACCTGGCGAATAAGAAAGCCTCAGGTGGTGGCGCCGGCGCTACTGGTAGGAGTGATCTGGAGGCATCCAAGAAGCGCAAGCGTGAGGGTTGCAGTCTTTTCGAAATGCCAGAGGAAGGGCGCACCCCCGTCGAGCCAAAGCATGTTCGTGAGGGCTTTCGTCGTCTGCAGGTCACTCCTCCTAAGTACAAGTTCATGCGCCCTGGCTATGCTGGAATGAGGACACCGTTGAGGTTGATTTGACATCTTGCATCTTGACGCTGGAGTTGTAGCAATGTCTATTTTACGGGATGTTTCTGGAGAGAAGGGAGCTTCGGCGGGGTATCCCCAGGCACCTTGAAACGAGTAGTTACCATCTGAGCGGTGTCATCTCAAATGGGTCGAAGAGGCACTACAAGGCGTGGAATGAGCGTTTATACTTAGCTAGCTTACAGCTAGAGGGTTCCCTGAGCGGAAGTCCTCCCTTGAATGCTAGGCGTAGAGACATTTGCGAATCCTTAGCCCAATGGAGTTGTGGCCGCTGAAGAAACACGCACTCTTTTTTTAATAACATTTGATGCGTTCTCTCTTTTCTTCTCGTCTTCATAACATTGTATTCAGTTTAAAGGGCAAGAAGGATGGCGACGGCGGCCGCCCTCCCCCTGCTTCTCCTGGTGGTGCTGGTGCCGACAAGGACGTCACGGGTTGAGGAGATGGCTTTTTTGTGCCTTTTTCAAAAGACACGGTTCTCCCTCTCTTTCTTTTCCTCGGCATTTGTAAAGATGCGGCTATTTTGCTCGCTTTCCCGGTCGTTTCTTTAAAAAGACATGTAAGCTCGGTTCTCTTTTTCTGTCTTCATAAAGACGAAATGAAAATCTTTTTCTAAGTGGCAAGAATATGTCTGCGTATCTACGGTTCCTGGTCACGCAATCAATGTCTACAGCAACACAACTAATAAGATCATTACTTGGTCAATTGGTAGCCCTCTGAACATACCATGGCTCCAAGCCGAAGACTACTCACTCCACTGTCTTTTTTGTCATATCTCGATGGACGCGCTTTTGTCTCGAAAACGACCCCGCCCAACCCACTCCCCACCACCTTTGATCGAGAGAGCATATTCTATAAATCAAGACAAGGAGGATGAGGACGAATCGACTGATGTTAAACTGGCCATTCTCTCCTCACTTCACCCTGGGAAAACACAAGCCGACCTGCTTGAGCTTCTATTGAGTTGTGACGGTTCTGTGGACAATGCAATTGCTGTTTTGTCGGCTGCAGGGGATAATACACCGCACATCGCGAAGCGACGGCAGACAATTCCGGGTATTCAGAGCGCACTCCCATTTACAACGGGAAATAAGAGTCCTTCAAAATCACATACACAACAGCTCACCAAAAAGGGGAAAACAGTCCACCTATATACCCCAAGAGACATTGCAGATCATACCCCGTGCTCCATCATCCATAACTTCCTCCCTACGAAGCTCGCAAATGCTTTAATTGAAGAGCTGATGGTCGAGGTCCCAAGCTACGAGAGCATCACGTTCAAACTATTTGACAATGTTGTCAAATCCCCACACACTGCCTGCTTCTATGTGGACAATCTCGAGGAGCTCCAGCGTCAAAAGAGTGAGTACTATTACAATGGCAACGACCTCATGGATGTTCGCCAAATCTTGCCAGTCATGCGACAGGTCAGTGATATTGTAAGGGATGCTGTTAACCAAGAAGTTGCCACTCGTATTCGTGATTACTATCCTGACGGTCAAAAATTGAAATATCAGACTCCCGCAACATGGCAGCCAAATGCTGCCTTCGTCAATTGCTATGATGGCGGAGCCCAACATGTAGGATACCATTCAGATCAGCTTTCTTATCTCGGCCCACGAGCAATAATTGGAAGTTTGAGTTTGGGTGTGGCTCGGGAATTCCGTGTGCGAAAGATCGTTCCAAAGGACGAGGAATCTGCTAAGGACAGCACCAAGTCCAAAACAAGTCTTAAAACAAATCCATCTGCGGCTGATGTATCTGGCCAAATTGCAATCCATCTTCCCCACAACTCCTTGCTCGTCATGCATGCTGAAATGCAAGAGGAGTGGAAACATAGCATTGCCCCAGCTCAAGCAATTACTCCACACCCACTTACAGACAACAAACGTATCAACATTACTTACCGATGGTACCGGGAGGAATTCCGTCCCAAATACACACCAAAGTGCAAATGTGGAGTTCCATGCGTATTGAAATGTGTACAAAAACAGAAGACTAATCGAGGTCGGTACATGTGGATGTGCCAAGTTGGGAATAAACCAGATGGAGGTGAAGGCTGTGGCTGGTTTGAGTGGGCACAATTTACAGATGACGGTGTGCCTGTAGGGTGGAAACATGTCGTTGATGGTTTGGACCAGAAAATCCAGAACAATGCCGACTCAGTCATTGAAGAGGGAGCTGCTCAGTCCACACATACCACAACAGTCAACCGGTGAGAGACATGTGGATCAAGCTGTAAACGAATATGATAAAGCTCGAAAGCACAACAATGTCGAAAACTACCCATCATCCTAATTAGATTGAAAGTCCCGTGGATTTAACAATGTTCATTGAGCCGACGAAGCCATATTCCTATTCCTCTCCTTTCGGCCTGCGCAATAACATCAACGGCGCACCAGCCTGCACAACATCATTCGGCTTTACCAGCAGCTTCTCAACCGTGGCACCTTCCATATCCTGCTCGGTCTTCACTGGGATTTCCAACTTCATTGCTTCCAGAATAGAAACAATCTGTTCGACTTTGACTGGATCGCCTTCCTTGACCTCGACCTTCCACACGTTGGCATTGAGGGGCGCTTCGATCGCAATGATACCCGGGTCATGCAGAAGTTCTTCCACTGTATCCATACTGATCTTCCCGGCCTCTTTCTCTTTGCTCCATTTGTCCAAAAGCTCCTTCTCAAGCCTGTCCATCTCAGCTTGCGCTTCTCGTTGCTTTGCGCGGATCTTCTCGACCTCATCCTTTGTGTCTCGGAGAAGCTGGTTATGCTCTTTCATATCGAATTCCGTGTCTTCATATTCATATTTGTACCTGCCGCTTCGGAAAGTGGCCATCATGGACTCGTACTCGTCCTCGCTGACCTCGTAGAAGGTGATTTGGTCGAAGTCTTCGAACAACCAGGGCTTTTCCGAGCTGTACCCGTTTTTAAATCCTAGAATGTCTGCCCCGGGAATCGAAAGCCCTGTGTTCATGTACCCACCGGGTGATTCGACGTTGTATAGCGCCATACACGATCCTCCCCATCCTACTTGGCCCTCGGGAGTATGTACCCGCGATGGATTCATCTTGGGGCACTGAATTCGCTGACGAGGATCAATTGGCAGGGCAATCGGCAGCGCTACAAAGAAGCCCACTGCAACCACCATCAGCGAGGATTTGGTAAAAATATCTCGAAGCTTTAACATTTGGTAGTCAGCACAAAATCAGAAGAGGTATATTCTGCCACACATACCTGTTGCGGAGTGAAAGCATTGTTCTTAGCAACAAACTCCAGAGGATCCGGAAGGTAGGTTGCATACGGCCTCTGAGTCTCGATATACCTCTGTAAGCTCTCCTTCTGCCTCTTGCTCTCGAAAGTGATGGGAAGCCTGTACTTCCTACTGGGAAATTTGGCCTCGCTAAGGTCACCCAGCTCGTTTTCAAGTTTTAAGAGATAATCTAGGATTCTTTGGCGGCTGACTTTCAGGGAATCGTAGTAAAGCATCAGGGAATTCCCACATGCCATGCCAGTGTGTAGTGCGCCATTTTCAAAGGAGATGTCACCGGTGCCTTCTTTGAGCTTCCGGTACAACGCCACAGCACGGCATCGGTAGTTGAGATTAAATGCACCATAGCCGTAATCGATCAAGATGAAATCGTCGCCGCCTTGTCGATAAGACACCAGAGGTTGGTTGCCTTCTTCTTTAATTTGGTGAATGACAGCGACTTCCCAACCTTGACTCTTGACTGAGGGAGGTAGTCCTTGGTATTTCAACGGGAATGCATCACTAAAGTTAGCCTTGCCGTTGCAACAGTCATGAATCAAGCCAAGGAACTCCTCGACTTCATTCCTTTTCGCAATTGCATCTTGATACGATACCCTATTGAACCGCAACTTGTTGCCGGCCTTCATCTGACCCAGCCTCCAATAGTCTGCCTTGACAATAGTGGTCGCCGAGACAAATCCACCAAAGTCAGGAGCATCGATGGGAAACAAGCACGGATCGTCGCCGGTCCAGTTCACTGTGCCGACTGGATACCCGTATTCGATGACATTACTAGGGTGAGCACCGCCTTCGTCGCCATCTGAACGTGCCCACTTAGGCTTCGGACCGATGAGACGAATACCACCTCGGGCCGCGTTATGAGATATCTTCCATGTCGTCTTGTAGAACTCCTCGATGGAATCCTTTTCGATATAGCCCTCGTCGTAGGGTCCGGGCATGGCGAAGAGGTCCCATTCCTCGGGGTAAGACGGAATCAAATGGTCTGGTATTTTCAGTTCCCCTGTGACCCTAGGGACATCTTTTCTAATCGCGAGAAGGTCTCCTGCAGCAAGTGCTCTGCCCTGATAGCCTCCCACGGCGGTCATGGGAGCAGTAGATTTGGATCCAAACCAAGTAGCAATACTCGGAAGCCCCCCGTATATTGCCAGATACGATCTGCATCCCCCTCCCGTTGTCTTCCCGATCGTGAGCCGCTGACCTGCCTCTATTTTGAGACGAGTCCACATTGACATAGGCTTTCCATCAATCTTTACTTCCATAGGTGCTCCACAGATGGCGATGATTGCAGGACCGAGAAATCTGAGGTCTGGACCGCTTAGTGTGATTTCAATCCCTTCCTTTCCAGGCGCATTGCCCACGAGTGCGTTAGCAATTCTGAATGCCAGCGGATCCATCGGACCAGAATGAGAGAATCCCCTTCCTATTGTTGGCCGACCTGGCCAGTCTTCGATCAAAGTGTATGCTCCCCCTTGCAAAACGTCTATGGCGTTGGGCTCATATTTGAACCCGTCAAGGAACTTGGTCAAAGTTTTGCCTGATTTGAACGTATCGTCCTCAAGGATGGCTTTAAGGAAGTCCATATTGGTTGGTGGTCCAAATATTCTTGACTCGGCGAGCAGCTCCCACATACGTTCGAGAGCCTTGTCTCGCGTGTCTGCGTGAACCATAACCTTAGCAAGAAGTGGATCATAGAATGAAGTCACCTTAGTTCCAGTATGAATCCAGCCGTCAATTCTCGAACCAGCGACCTCCTTCCACGAGACATGTTGCAAAGTGCCAGGTGAGGGAGCATAGTCCTTTGCAGGGTTTTCTGCATAGACTCGTGCTTCAATGGCAGCCCCTTTCGGACTCTTGGGTTGTAGAGACTTCAGATATTCGCCCTGCATTCCGCCTTTGCCTAGTAGCTGGGCATCCGCCTGCTTCAGCATGAGCTCCACGAGGTCAACACCATAGCATAATTCAGTTATTCCGTGCTCTACTTGAAGACGAGTGTTCATTTCCAGAAAGAAAAACTTGCCCGTCTCGTCATCAACGAGATACTCAATCGTACCGGCGGAGCCATAGTTTATCGACTCTGCTAATCTCACTGCGGCTGAGCCAAGCTTCTCTCGAAGTTCTGGATGCTTTATCACAAAAGGACTCGGACACTCCTCAATCACCTTTTGGTGACGACGTTGAATTGAGCATTCTCGCTCTCCAAAATGGATCGCCTGACCTTGCCCGTTTCCGAAGACTTGAACCTCAATGTGATGTGATGATGGATAGAACTTTTCAATGAAAAGACCCGAATTCTTGAAGAGCGTTTCTCCACGGGACTGTACTGTCTTGAATGACTGGCGGACTCCATCTTCATCTTTACAGGTGAGTAAGCCCATTCCACCACCACCTGCTGTTGCTTTGAGCATCACCTAGGCATTTTTAGTACCTCACTGGACAGAAAGACACGCTTACGAACAGGAAACCCTAGCTTCTGTGCTTCTTCAACGGCTTCATCCTCTGAACCCACCAAACCCTTCGTTCCAGGAACAATCGGTACATCTGCCTTGGCGGCTAGGTCGCGTGCTGTATGTTTGATCCCAAAATCATCAATACACTTGGGACTGGGTCCAACGAAGACCATGCCAGCGTCCGCCACTTGCCTGGCAAACTCGGTATTTTCGGAGAGAAATCCATAGCCGGGAATGACAGCATCTGCTCCTTTCGACTTGGCTATCTCAACAATGTGCTCGCCGTCGATGTACCCCTTGGCATCAGACCCGGACAAAAGGACAGCTGCATCGGCAGCACCAACGTGAGCTGAGGCAGCATCTGCTGGCGTGTAGATGGATATGGTCTTGATACCAAGGCTGCGAGCAGTCCTACATATACGCACCGCGATCTCTCCTCGGTTTGCAACCAAGAGAGTTTTCAATTTCTCCATAGTGCTGTGGAAGTGTACGGCTTTCCAACAGCATGGACGTGTGATCTGGGAAGGGAGCTTTCACCTTCTTGGTTTCAGGCGGATTTTACACCACCGCTACATTAGGATTGGCATTGGCTTATCACCTCGCAGTGACGTTCACATCATTGGCGCCTCTTACCTTCTCCTCCCTTGGATAGACTTGTGATTGGATTCAAGGATTAAGTTTCCCCAAGACCGTTGAGGGGAGATGGAGCACCTCGGATCCCTCTCCACATCGTTCTTCTCCGTCAAAGGTGCGTGACGTATTAGAGAGCTGTGTGGCCTGATATTGATTCCATTTGGCCGATATCTGATGGCTTGAACGGAGAGGAACATTGTTATCCCCATATGTTGATACTGTTGCAAAAGGCGTCGAGGTTGTGGTGAAACAGAAACATTAAGTTACTGCGAGATCAACTTCGACTCCTAACTGACGTCATGTCACCCCCACCAATCAAGCACAAAGCCTTGCTCAATGTCGATTTAGGAGAAGCTGTAAGGGGCCCACTCGATTGATGGCCATGGAAGAAACTAACATTTCCACGTAGTATGGAAACTATGTGTGTGGACCAGATCTTGAGCTGTTGCCATTGATCGATCACGCAAATATTGCATGTGGTTTCCATGCAGGCGATCCCTTGATCATGCAGGAGACCGTCAGAAACTGCAAAAAGCACAATATCAAAGTGGGTGCTCATCCTGGACTTCCCGATATTCAAGGTTAGAAGTATGGCTACAACTTCAACATTCAAAGCTAACGAGAGCTAGGATTTGGTCGGCGTGAGATCAAAATGTCCCCGGAAGAATTGACTGCAATGACTATTTATCAAGTCGGAGCCTTGAAAGGATTTCTTGACGCTGAGGGCGTCCCCTTACACCACGTAAAGCCCCACGGTGTACTGTATGGCATGATGTGTCGAGACTATGAGATCGCGAAGGCGGTAATGCAGGGGATTCCCAAGGGTATTCCGGTGTTTGGCCTGGCTGGCACGAACATGGAGAAAGCCGCGAATGATTTGGGCATGACTTTCTGGGCTGAGCTTTACGGCGATGTAAAGTACAGTAATGACGGTATGCTGGTGATCGACCGCAAGAAGAAACCTTGGAAGACGGAGGACGTGAGGAACCATGTCAGCCAACAGCTCAATACTCAGTCTGTAACAGCAACGGACGGCAGTGTTGTGCAACTTCCTGTCAAGGAGTACCCCATCTCTATCTGCTGCCACTCTGATTCACCGGGTTGCCTGGAGATCATCAAGACTACGAAGGAAGTGATTGATAGATTCAACAAAGAGCATGCAAGGTGATCGAAGATAGAGGCCACCAAGCCAGTGATCTGATTCCAATCTATGACCCTCAGTTGCTGAAGACCGCCAAATGAAAAAAGTGATCGAGATAACTCTAAGGTCTAGACCAACCAACCAACCCCCTTTATAGTTTAGCATTTGCACTCGAGAGTTCTTTCTTCGACATCTCACGCAGAACCCGCTTTAGAATCTTCCCACTTGGGTTCTTCGGAATCGCATCCATGAACACCACGCCTCCTTCTAACCTCTTATACTTCGCTAATCTCTCTGCAACATAGTTCTTCACGGAGTCCTCCGTCAGTGCGGCTCCCTCAGGCGAAGGCCGCCGCACAACGTAAGCTCGTGGATATTCCGAGTCGTCAACTGATTTCTGCACGCCAATCACGCCCGCATCGACAATGTGTGGGTGCGAGAGAAGCACTGCTTCGATCTCCGGAGGGGCGACTTGGAATGCTCGGACTTTGATTAATTCCTATCGAGTTTTAGTCAGTATCAGAATGAAGGCGGAACTGCGCACTTAAACAAAGTTGAGATCAAGGAAAAACTTACTTTCTTCCGATCTACAATGTACCATACCTTCGTCTTCTCGTCACAATACGCAATGTCTCCAGTTTTGAAGAATCCCTCGTTATCAAACGATGATGCATTGGCTGAAGGGTTCTCAAAGTAGCCCTTAATCACCGTGGGCCCGCGAATACATAATTCACCCTGTTTGTTATATGCGGTGATGTTATTGCCGTCATCGTCGATCAATTTGGCCTCAAGCCCTGGAATGAGCCGACCACAACCTCCCGTCGTATCGTTTTCGGGATAAACATACATGGTCGCAACACAACTTAGCTCAGTCATGCCCCAGACTTGAGTGAAAGGTACACCTTCGCTGAGGACGGCCGTAAGGCGTGCTTGGGTACCTTTATCCAAGGGGGCGGCGCCGCATAGGGCCACCTTGACACTCTTCATTGAGTATTTCTGTATCAGTGGACTCATGACTATCGCAACGACCATGGGTGGAACCACGATGCAGTCGGTGATTTGGAATTGTTCGATCGCCTTAAGGAATGATTCGAGTTCGAAACGTCGCATCACCAAACCAATGTGACCTGCACGGAGGTGCGTGAAGTGGACTGAGGGAACTGCTGCTGCATGAAACATCGGCAGAGGCAATATGCGTCGGACTTCGTATGGTTTGGGAAACGATTCGTAGACCAGGGTATGCTGAGCGATCAGGTTGTAGTGGCTGAGTTCGGCGGCTTTGGGAAGACCAGTTGTCCCAGAACTGAAGAGTCTGCAGGCTACCGTGTTCTTGCACTGTGATTCAGAATCGAAACGAACCCAGTCGGCCTCACCGTGCCCCAGAAGCTTCGTCCAGGACTCGAATCCATTCGGAACGGGCTGGTTCTGTACGTCAAAAATCAAAATATTCGAGTGGGGGATACTGCATGTCTTTGCAGCATCGAGAATTTGAGGGAGCATCTCCGGTTCAGTAATAAGGAAATTTGTTCTCGAGGTCTTGATATGGTGTATCAATTCATGTGGCGTATACGAAGGATTCGTCCCGGCAAAAATCCCACCGGCAGCAATAATTCCCAGGACGACCACGGGGTAATAGATCTACAAACGAACGTCAGGATATCTTGGGTTTATAGGGGACTACAGTTTCCCCGGATGAGGCAAAGTCACCCACATCATTAAACGAATGAAGACAGACAGTGTCCCCCTTCTTGACACCTGCCTTTTGAAATCCAGCAGCCAGCTGGCGCACTATCGTCCGCGCTTGGCGATGAGAGATTGAACGGGACGGCTTGGCAGTGTCAGTGTATATCTATGCCATTGTTAGTGGAAGTCTAGGTTGAATTCTTCAGAAATCTGCAACTGACAGCCTTGTCGATGTCATATTTGGGATCGTCGAAGATCCACGATATCAAGTCTTTCGTCGGTATTGGGAGACCTTTCTCCTCTGACGTAATGTACATTGTGGACGCGACCAGCTCTCAAACAAGGCTAATGGGATCGATGGATCAGATGGGAAAGTCCAGATTTCAGTGCCGATACTACTTTACGGAAAACTTCAGAGGTTGCCGAAGGGAACAGCCTCACAATCTCAGAAAAACATAACAGAAGTCATATATACAGTGTAAGTAGGTCATATCCGAGAAACCAAACGCTTGACAGGTGGAGTTGCTGTAATCTTTAAGTAGTCCAAGATCTGGGGCCTCAGTAAACCTTACGTAGGTACGAGGTTTCAGCCTCGGCACCGCCCCGGCCGCTTCCAGGCCCCGCTTTGTATTGTATTTCAACCGGATTCTTGCTGAATATCACTTACTTGGAGTAAACTAGTTCCCTGTGATGCCCCTCGGGCTGTGGGCTGCTACCTACACCGTACATAATATCAGATGCCCTGAGAATCATGTGACTCAACGGGGTGCTTCGTACCTTGTACCCTGTACCGATCAGCTTACTCTCACTATCGACCGCATTTTCCCCGGTCAGCAGAGTCATATCACGGTGAAACCAGGCGTCCATATGTGGCCTCGATCTTGACGCTCAATCGCAAGCGTTCAGCCGCCTGTCTTCAAGCCCATCTCACCAATTAGTCGAGCTAGTGACTGCATCCACATTGTCTCTATCATGTGAGCGGTTCCACCCAGAATCCTATGGGTCGAGACACATCTACAGCTAGATATGAGCTGAAACATTGACAAGGAAAGCAAGATGATTAGCGGCAAGTTCGTGGGAAGGGGTTGCTGTAAGAATAGCGATCGTGTCATGTTTCGGTTATGTAAGTTATTACGATATATAAAGCAATCAAAACACTAGTTTGAAGACCTTCGGCTATGTATCTTAGCTAACTCCGAGGAAGTACGGAGTATCTAAATTGGCATTTATGGGCAGACGGAAAATCCGCGGCGTCAACGGTGCCGAAGGAGAACCCATCACAGAACTCAAACCAATGCTATCTAGGTACGGAGGAACAAGCTGCGAGCACGGAGTACATTTCCTCCACATGCCCTGTCGCCCATGCACAAAGTTCGTTCAGAGGATGCAGCACTAGACAAGGCACCCTAAGACCCCAGACTCACATCTCCGCAATACTTGCCAGGAGCGGCACCGAAGATGCCTTGAGTCCTTGACCGTCGGCCGAAGGTGGCATCATCACACTCGAGTACTCCATCAGGGTCCCTAACGTTGCCTGTTGATGTGCGGAAAAGAATTTGCGACAGACGAACAGGAGTTTAAAAGAGCCCTGGCAAATTGAGCGAGTACTGGCGAGGTATCATGATTTGAATGATCTATAGAGCATGCAAGACAATTATCTGCGGATGCAGAAGGTTCCTAATCTGCTTAAACTAGGTGTACATACTAATTACCTCTTTCCATATTTTCTCACGTCCATTGGATCCACCAATGCCATGATCTTCCTCCTATTGCTTTGATCAGACTGGTTGGCTGTTTCCGTCCATCTCCCTAGGGTCCCACGCATTGATGAATATGTACCGAATCACACCCTGAAATAGCATCAATTCGATCAACCTTGGCTCCTGGTGTCGACAATGATTTGTCCCTCATCACCTAATTCTTTCTCAATCTTTGTACCGAGTTCATCGCATAGATCCCTGAACTTCTTCTGCAACCACTGATGATCTTCATCGCCCGGGCTCAGCAAGTTTGCAGAAAATCTTTCGATCCTGTTTGGGAATACTTCCAACTTCTGAACCATAAGCCTCTCACCTCGTTCAGCCACCTCGTTGTTGGGGGCGACCGTGACTCTCCACGCAGCGCTGAGATCGTTTCGCCAACTCTTATCGACCGCATAGTCATCCACAAAATCTCCACATCCATACAAGATTAATTTTCCTTTGTATATTTCTATCCCTTGGATGTGATGGCTGCTGTGGCCATGAATGATATCGATGTCGCACTCATCAACCAGCCAATGCGCCAGTTCCACAATTTCCTTGGATGGTCGCCATCGATAATTTGGGCCCCAATGAATTGAGATGATTTTCAGCTTCGACCTCTGCTTCGAATCGTTCTGACTTCTCTGGTTGGATTGTTCGGACAATATCTGGCTTTTCAATTTTTCCCTCCCGTGCCTCGTGTATTCGATGAAATTGAAGGTTGTAATCTCCTTCCATTCACTGGGGTGGTCTGAGAAGCTCCAGCAGTCAATGTTCCATGGCGTCGTGGCTAGCTGCGTTCCACCAAGTTGCAGGGATGCCGGCCTTTCTGCTTCCTCCTGTGTCCTCCCTGCTCCCGCAAACCCAACGCCAGCGTCACTCAACGTTTTCACAGTCTCGGCCAATCCTTCCACTTCCCAGTCAAGGGTATGGTTGTTTGCCAAGCTGACGTATCCTCTTCTTTCGCCGTCCCCCATTCCTATGTTCATCAGGCATTTGACATTTTCGGGATGACTTCGATAGTTGAAAACTTTGTGTTCCCATTTCCGCTCACTCGTTGTCAACGCTGTTTCAAGATTGGCTATCACCATGTCAGCACCTCTGAGTAAGTTGAGGCTATTGCCCCAAGGTGAATGATAGCCATAAGATTTCAATTCCGGGTACTTGGGAAGAATCGAATGATCGACAAGCTGTGTGACAGATTCTGGGTCTGATGCTGGCGCCTCCCGTGCAATACTGGTAGGCAAAAGAGCATCGATGAGACGACCTATCATGAAATCTCCCAGGAGGACAAGAGTATGAGCATTTGCAGTTCCCGTCCATTCAGACGACATAGTCATGGCTCGGCGACGAGAAGAGGGTGCTAGATGAGCAATGGCAGTTGAACAGTCGAAGGTCAGGATGATTCGCGGGCAGAGACCTAGAAGCATTTGGTATGTCCTACCTCGTTTTAGATCACGGCGACTTGGTATGCGAAAGGCCAATTGGTTGCGAAGAGAAATCTTGCTTAGCTGGTCCCTGGTGACGAGTGGACCGAGTTGAGCTAGCACTTGTGTGATGAATGTTGATTCAAGAGAGGAGACGGCGAGGAGGCAGGGCTGACCCAAGACATCCTTTGTCAATCCCTAGGTACCATGATCGTTGCTACAATGTCGTACCCACTTAAGAGTCAGGCTATGAGGGTGACAGTCTCAGGTTGGAGGCTTTAATCTGTTCTTTCATCGACAAAACAGACCAAACCCTTCAGGATGAAACAACCATGAACGGAATTCGATGATGTTAGCAATCTAGACATCTTGCTGGCTTCGGCACCTTGTACGGAGATGCGGGGCTAAGTTCGTCCAATTCGATGTCCCTCGGCCTTTTCGAGGCGGGGACAGTCTCGCTGATGGGGTTTGATTGTTTGTATCGGTCCTCTGACCGACCCCTGAGAGAAGAGGCCAAGCCACCAAGCCAGATATGGCAGTTCGGCGCCGATACTGTCTTATCTTCCTCGATAGTAATTGATTGTTGTTTGACACTTCTGTCCTTGTCTTTCGGTCTATCTCCCACTCCGTATGCTCTCGCAGAACTTATCCGCTGATGGAAAATAAATCACATTCACATGTTCAGACTATGAAAGTCAAAGAGCGGGCGCCCTCATGTATGACTGCGAACGCATTTCTACCGGTCTGAGGATATGACAAGTATTGCCAATGATGAAGAGAAAGTCAAGAAGCCAAGAGCCTGCGTTCTTGCCATCAGAAAAAAGTAAGGTGCGATGCAGGCCAAGTTGGCTTGCCCTGCACGCGCTGTATCAAACGCGGGAGAAACAACTCATGCGAGCTCGTCCCATGGACAATTTCAGCAGCTCGGTAAGTCCCAATCCCCAATTCCTACCTCATTGAACTCGGTCTAACCCAAATGTCGAAGAAGGAGGCACAAATTAAAAGAGGGCTACCATCTACAAGAACATGTTTGGTCTCTCGAGAACCCTGCCGCTGTTCCTAGGCCTCCAAAAATGCAGCGAGCAGTCCAGGGCGCTCCTGCCAATGAAGTGTTCAACCCTATCGCACATGAGCCAGTGTCAAAGTCTCCCTATGGCCTTCAGTCTCGTCAACGTCCCCCTCTTTCTTGTCCAATTTCAATAGATTCGTTAGACACCGAGGATCCTCCGAATCCCGTACTACCTGAGCCCACAGCAGATGCGATATTAGAAGAGGATATACCTCTGGAAACATGCCGCAAAATAGCCAATTGCAGCGATGATATTTTCTCACCTAATCAAGAAGCTCATTCAGCTAAGGGACGTGAAGTCCTGGAGTACCATGACGGCGTTAATTCTACCACCATCCTTGGAGAGCTTTTCGGGCAGCGGTCGAGTGGAAGATTTGTTCGACTATTGCTGGATGAGTCTGGCTATCGTGCCGGAGACTAAATACGGCCTACTACAGGAGAGACCATCCAATTTCTAGAAAGGAGTGGAGCGTTTGTGCTTCCGCCACCGGCAACTTGGTATGTCTCATTCGCGGTTCAGAGTATAGACTACTAATTAACTCAACTTGAAGCGAGAAGCTCCTACGGGCTCTACTTCGAGCGGGTCTATCCGTATACCCCAGTTCTGGACAGTGTCAGTTTCGTGCGTCGCTATACCGCGGGAACATACTCCACCTTCATTTGTCAGTGCACCCTGACGAGTGTTGCGCCTTACATGTCATCATCACTCCTTGCGGAAAGCGGGTATCCTGATAGATACACTGCTCAGAGGTCTTTCTTCGCAAAAGCTCAATTACTGTACGACTTGGGAGGTGAGCAGTCGCAACTGGTTCTTCTGCAAGGATCATTGATTTTGACTTCATCATATTTTTCGTTCGGGTTGGACAAGGATTGTAGGTACTGGCTCAACAACGCAGTACGTTTAGCCACTCAACTCGGACTGCATCGAAAACAAATGGCGAGACAATTAGATATGGAAACACAGAAGCTATTCACACGCATATTTTGGGTCATGTTCAACAAGGATGTGCTGATGGCTATCTCTGGGCGCAACAATGTTCGCGGACTGAATGATAGACATTGCGATGTTCTCGAATTGGAAGTGGAGGATTGCACGGAAGAGGACGAGGCTCACACCCAAGACTCTGGTGCTGAATACCCCTGTACTCTGTCCCCCGTACAAGTGCTATACCTTATTCACAACACAAAGCTCTCCCATATATGTAGGTGCCCTCGGGAGAATATGGTTGGTTTCGGTTTCTGACAACTTTCTCAAGGTGCAAGATTCATCCACACATTCAGGGTGCCAGATCAAGGTTCACCAATTTCTGTGATTGAAGAACTTAATATCGCAATGCTCGAATGGAAACGACTTTTGCCATTTGAGTTATACCCTGAGAGTGTCGAAACCTGGTCGCATAAGAATGTCTGGATCCTGGTGTTGAGAGCAATGAGCTGTCGGTTCGAGATTCTTCTTTGGAGAGAAGCAAGAAAATTATACGAGACTGCTCAACGCGACAGCAGCTTGTTGCTCCGAGCGTATCAGAAACAACAAAACTCCATCCTAGAATTAGGCACGATTTTCGACCGCATCATACTTCATGATCTAATGCATTTCTGTCCGTTTTCAATGTAAGTGCTGGATTTCCATGACTATCTCGAAACGCAGCTTGACGTATGGTGCCAGGGCCACTTGTGTGCCTCAACGACGGTGGCGATGCAAATTGAAATTGCACTGAACGCTTCCCGTACTGGTCAGATGCCTTGTGCTGATCAATCATTAATACGAAAAGGCCTTGCCTTTCTTCGAGCAGGCTCTAAGTATTGGCACAGCCTCAAATGGACACTGCGCATGTTCGATGTGATTCTTTCAAAATTGGATATGATACCGATTGAAACAAATGGCGTGAATCCAAAACAACTTTTCGCCAATCAATTTCATCTGGGATCCCACGACCGCCTGTATCAGCACTTCAGCAACACTGAAAAGACTGTGCACCGGGCCGCAACGAACCTGGGTGAGCAATCCGATCCTCTGGGTGCTCTCGAGCTGGGCTCAACTTTCAATGGGGGCTCTGATAATGACGAAGGCCCCCTATTTGACTCACTTATGGTGGGCGATGATCCTGAAAAATGGTTGGACGACCTGCTGTTAGAAGACGCCTTTGCCTTGAACAACATATGAGGCACCCATCTCAATTTGCTAGCCCGCCTAGGTAATAGTAGATGCTTGTACAAGCCGACGGCTTGCGCCGTTAGTAATCAGAAGCCAAGTCTTCATCTGCACCGTTAGTAATCCAGCTTCCAGAGATCGCCTACGATGGCTTTTTCCGGGCTCTCTACTTTTGGTATCTTCATGGGTTGTAGCCTGCAGGTTCGAATGAGTTGATCATGTCTTCATAATACAACCGTATTTGCGACAGAAAGACTCCTGAGCGATTCGACCGCAGAAACATTCCTGAGATAATCACGATATGGGCCGGATAGCTAAGACATTGGCAAGAATCAGCTACTGATTGTCCATTATTTCGACGCAGTCTAGATGTTCCCCGCTCTGCCCTGCGTAGGCATAGATAGGGCCGCTAAATATTGGCCCAGCTTTGCTCTTGGGAGAGTGTCAGGCATGATACCGCCATATAGCATGGAAGCAAGCCACCGGTTTTCTTTACCTAAGTTTGAATTACTTTAATCCTTCCCTACGACCGTGGTCTATTAACATGCTTAAAGGCCTATGCGGGCAGAAAGAAGCTTGAAGTAGGATTTCTCTGGTCTGAGCAGATCAATACTGCTGAACATGTCACAAAGTCGCGAAAACCCTCTGCAAATCCCCACTGTTGGGAAAACTGGGGCTCAGGTGCCGGTGTGCATGGAAACGAAGCGGACTGCCTCGAGCTTGAAGGATCCAGAGTTTCCAGCGCAACATGAAGCTAAGCGAACCTGGAGGTCATACATCTGGTCCAGTAGGTCTCTTCCAACATCAGAAATGAAGAATGCTTACATGATCGTTTGTAGCGCTCGATTGTCCAAAAGAAGAGGCTCGCTTCCTCAATAAGCTCGACCTGACACTCTTATCAGCCGCATTCCTAGGGGTTATCTGCCGCTACCTTGATCAAGTCAACATCAACAATGCTTTTAGTATGCGTCATGCCCGCAAGATAAACTCAATGTCTACTAATTTTGACTCTAGACAGTGGTATGAAGGAGGATCTCTCGCTTTATGGAAAGGAGCTCAACTACGCCAACGCGATCTGGAGTGCGGCATATGTGTTCGGGCAGATCCCCTCGAACCTGCTACTTACTCGGGTATGCTTTACCTTTCGAATCGCGTACTTCCTGTTATGTACTAACCCGGAATCAGGTGAACGTTCCACTTTATATAGCATTTCTCGAGCTATCATGGACAGTCTTCACCTTTGCCCATGCTGGTGTTCAAAATGTTCAGCAACTCTACGTTTTCCGCTTCTTGTACGTCTATTGTCCTTCGACAATTTGAAAACTCTAACTTTGTCCTAGCGTCGGAATCTTCGAGGCAGGCCACTATCCAGGTAATATCCTAACAAGCATACATTTTTGGTGCCAAAACCTTCTAACTACAGAATTTATCAGCGGTCATGTACGTGTGCGCAAGTTACTACAAGCCTCATGAGCTGGCGCGACGTGCCACGATAATTGCGATTGCTACAGAGATCGGGCCCCTGTTTTCTGGTTTCCTAATGGCTGCGATATATTCAGGACTTAATGGATCCGGCGGCCTCGCTGGTTGGCGGTGGATGTATATGTATATAAGTCCAAATCCATCAGAGAAACCAAAGCTGATCCTAATAGTATTTGTGGCTGCATCTCTGTCCCTAGTGCTATGTGGACCGCACTTGCCATTCCTCAACTCCCTGCTCGAGCGAAGCCTAATTGGTGGGTCTCTTCGTTCCCTACTATAGCTTGGCTGATATCATCCAGGATCTTCACCGGGAGAGAAATTGAGCTGGCACGCGCAAGAATGCCTACGGAAACACGACCATTCACTGGATTCTATAGGTGGGAAGATGTGAAACGCTGGCATATGACGTGGCATGCTTTTCTTTGTGAGTACATTGATCAAATTCCGGTACTTCCAGCTGCTGATAATTGGGTAGTTCCCTTATTTTATGCGCTCATGATACAGTTCGGGCAATCCGGGGGCTCGAGTAAGTCGCTTCTACTATGAGACGTCCACAAATTTTAACCCTAGCAGTGATCTTCTGGGTTAAGAGCTATAATACTGAAGGACAGCCGCCCGTCTTTTCAGTGGCTGAGATCAATATTATCCCACTCGGCGTAAGTCTTTGGTCTGGCTATGCGATTAAATGAGCTTAATGAATTTGACTAGATTAATATAATAAAAATCTTTGGCACCGCCGTCAACGCGTGGATTTCGGATAGTTTGCCTGGGTCGCTTCGGTGGCCTGGTATGCTGTTTGTTAGTGCGATGGCCATCATCTTTCCAACAGCGCTTGCCGCCACACCTGTTCACCCAACCGATAGGGGACAACGTTGGGTACTCTATTGTGAGTCCTTTTGGTTTGCCAAAAGGATAAGCGTCTAACCTGACCTCCTTATTTGTCTAGACCTTACTGCTCTTACCGGAGTAGCTGCGGGCATAACTTGGACCTGGGTAAACGAGGTGAACAGACTTAATCCCGAGAAGCGAGCATATGTCGGTGCACTGGTAGGAGCTGCCATTTCTCTAATATCACGAGCTAAAAACTGACGACCTCACTCAGATGAATGCCTTTGGCTACATCTTTATTGCCTGGGTTCCTATCTTTACCTTCCCCGCAAATAAACAGCCATACATCGTCGTTGGTAACTACATCACTGCCGGTTTCGGCGTGGCGGCAGCGGCAATTGTTCTCATTATGCGACATTTGCATAATAGGGACTTGGCGAGGCAGAAGCGGGAGGTCGTGCCACCGAACACAGCCGAATATGGTGATTCGGTTGCTTAGGAACTATCGAGGTATAGGGACTGGAGGTTGGTAACGCACCGAGGCGATCCGACAAAAGACGTAATTATAGTTTTCCGTGATTACTCAATTGGGTGTATGCGAAGGCGATTTCGGTGTTCTCGGCCACTGTATGGGTACAATCATGGTCACTGACATTCAAAGTTGTTTGTCCTATCCAGTGCATCCCAGCCAAAATTGCTCCTTTGCATCATTGGGTTGTTCAAAGGACCCGCATAGTGCCCCTGACAGCTGACAGCCTGGTAGATTATTAGGTGAATCCACGAAGTGGACTCTGGCGGATTAGTAGCAAAGGATATCAACAGGTGGAATTTCCAGAACTGGAAATCCGGCACCGAATATTTGAATGTGTGAGGAATGGCAGTCGAACAGGGCTTTTACCCTGTCGTCAATCATATTAAAGTGTGCTAGCAGCCTGGCAAGGGTCCGAAAGATTGACTACATCTCGTTCTCACCATATCGAAGCTTTTCAGTCTCACTTCGCGACCACTCCATTCTTTCCTGATTGCAAGCATGACTCCATACTCAGTTCCCCTTGAAGCTAAAAAGGTTCTCACGCAAGGCCTTCTGCACCATCCACATCAAGAACTACCAATTGAATGTCTCGAGCTTGTGGACAAGATCAGATTCACTGGTCGGGATCAGCCATCAATGGCGATCAACTGGCGTTTGGCAGAAAGTGTCTCGGCACTCAAAGGGCTAGAAGCAGTCCTCCTTAATATCCTGTTGGGACGAAAATACGGCCTTCCTCCTGTAGAGATAACGATTGACACTGACCATGCACAACTATTCGTGATGTCATTTTTCCTATTGGAGATCAATCCTGACCCGGCAGATGGACCTATCCGTACAACTGAGCTTCGTGAGTTGAATGCCGCCCACTCGAAGCACTTCCCAAGCTGGGACCTTCATCACTAAGTGTCATCACATTATCGCAAGTCTGTGACAAATATTTACAAAGCTCGAGACGGAAGATTCTACCATTTGCATGCCAGCTTGAATCCAGATCCATGTCTGCAAGCCTTGAGCTTGCCATGGGACATGCCTGAGTTCAAAGCCGTTGAGGACTCATGGACACCTTTTGTTTCCAAAATAGCCGAAAAAGATGCTGCTGAGTGGGATTATATCCTTGCAGAAGATTTCAAACAGGCCGGAACTATATGTCATTCACCAGAAGAGTACGCGGAAACTGCACAAGGAAAGTCACATGCAGAAACTGGGCTGTACACTATTTACCCCCATCCGGATCATGCATTAAAACCTGGTTGGTGGCCAGACGTTGATGCAACTCCTGTGAGGCGCCCATTAGCTGGCCTCAAGGTTGTGGATTTGACGAGAATTGTGGCTGGGCCATCCATTGCTCGAGGTCTTGCTGAGCTGGGTGCCAGTGTCATGCGCGTCACCGGGCCACATGTTGCTGACTTTTCCGGTCTCCATCCTGACCTGAATTGGGGGAAGTGGAACTGTCATCTGGACCTGAGAAAGGAGGAAGACAGGACAAAACTCAAGACCCTCCTTTCAGACGCCGACGTGGTGGTTAATGGCTACCGGCCTGGCGTGCTGGATAAGTATGAAGCAGATTTTGAGAGCGTGTTCAACTTAGGCAAGGAGCGTGGTCGCGGTTTCATCTATGTGCGTGAAAACTGCTTCGGTTGGAATGGTCCCTGGGCACATCGGAGTGGTTGGCAACCAATAAGTGACGCATGCACCGGTGTTTCGATGGGATTTGGCAGGGCTATGGGCAACAACGAAGCGGTGACTCCGGTCCTCCCAAACTCTGACTATTGCGTAGGTATTGCTGGGACCTGCGCCGTTCTCCAGACATTGGTGCTACGGTCTGAACAGGGGGGTTCTTATTTGGTCAACCTAGCTATGAATTATTATAACCGTTGGTTGACCGACAAGGTCGGGGAGTATCCAAGGGATGTATGGGAAGATCTCTGGACTCGCAACGGGCGTGAGGTGTTTCGGCACTACCACAGCATGAATTACACCGCACCTCGGTACATGGAAATGTTCAGAAAACAGGGTATGTTCAACCTCGACTTCTTCGAGCTCCGACAGTCCAAGGCACTGGGGTTGCAGTTCCGCGTTCCAAAGCCTGTGCTACAGTTCCCACCAGGTACGGTAGAGCCATCGTATAACGTAGGCACCAGAGGGAACGGGGGTTGATCAGCCATATTGGCCAGAAGACCTGAGCACAGAAGTGGTGAAATAGTTCGCCCCGGCGCGAGTTTGTGCCTTATAATATCCAGTTCTCAGAACCCTTAAAATACCTTTATCCCTACTGCAGTCTGAGTAATATGCAACAAATAGTAAGCACAATCACATGCGTAGTCCAGCGAGACCCTGTTTGAACCTTGATGGAGGAAAATCGCAGCCCGTTCGATTAGAAAATAAGCGTCTACATAGCTACATTTTTATCATGATAAAGCCCTGCCTCTGATGCTAACAAACACCTTGACAGATATAGCAATCCGGCGCTGAACATCAATCCTAGCGCGTCATGGGTCCCAGGGATGGGGTAACATTCACGCCCGAGGCTAGCCGGCCAGAGGCGCACCAGCCGGAGAACACTTGATGCCAAATTTTGGTTGATCTTTTGCTTGAGAGGAAGATACACTCATCATCAAATGATTGAACTTTCAGGAAGAGCTCAAAGAGTATACTACCTGGAAGAATTTCGAGCCAGTTTTTAGCCACCGCAAACGCAAGATGACTGCAGACGCTAATCTGCAGGCCATGTGCGGTCGAATTCAGCAAAACTACTCCGCATGCGACGTGCGTGATATCCACACCTTGTCCGTATCTGTTAACCAGGACTAAATATATTGTGATTCAGGTCTCAGACGCGCTGTTAAAACTCAAGGCGCCGAACTCTGGTGTCATCGATCCTGACATAGGTACTATACATAGCTTGCCTGGTGTCCCACGGTAGATTCGCGACATGGTATTACCTTGAAGGCTAATGTTTTCCTATGGGATGGTCTATCTAGCGTCAATTCGGCAGAACAGCCGTCCTGGCATGCGACTTGTCGCACCCCTCCATACCATCCGCTATGAGCGGAAAGCTCACATTCCGCCTTACGCAGACCGAGATGGTGCTATGACGACCAAGTTCGAATCGAATATCCCAAAGGGCACGAACTGGACTGATCTTCCAGACCCTGGTGCAGTCGTGCTGGTCCAGGCGCCGGAGGGGCCGCTCTCGGTGGCCCTGATTGGCGACATCATGGTGACGCGATTGAAGCTGCGAGGTGTTCGTGGAATCGTGGTGGATGGGCGGATTCGTGACGCAGAGTCTTGCGCTTCGTGCTGTGAAGATGGGAAATTCCAGGTTTGGTCGAATGGTTTCTCCGCGGCGGCACCGTCGCTGAATGTCGTGCCTTGGGCCGTTGATGTTCCTCTTCAGTTTGGGCCCCTCTCTGTCAGGCCTGGAGATATCTTGTGCGCAGACGAAGGAGATCGCGCTGTCGTTGTAATCCCACGGGATCTTTTGCAGAACGTGCTCGATCTCCTACCAAAGTTGAAGGATGCCAGTGATAATGTCCTGGAGGATGTGAGGAATGGTCTGACTTTGCCGGATGCTGTCAAACGGCATCCCAATTTTTATAGCAACTATTAGTAGAACTTGGAGCAACTGGGCCAATAGTGACCGGTTACCATCATGGCGGCTGTGGTCCGGCTTCGTTGTGAAGCAATGCTCCAAGAATGGCGGCAAATCTTCGAGCTATTTCCCAATGTCCGATCCTTCTCAGCAGATCAGTGAGACCACAAAGGGCTGCGTTGATTTCCATGGCACTGGGTCGTCCATGCTTGTATCCGTTTGCTTGAAACAACAGTGCGGCAGGGTTGACTCCGACAAGTTTGAATTCAGGGTAATCGAGATTGTCGGGAATAATAGTCCTCTCTCCGTCTGCTCGGATCCCGAACCTCGTGTAGCAGAACCAGGCGATACCAGCCCGAAACATGGCTCTCGGAACATGGATGGCAGGTTCAAAGCCGAGGGGCAGATTTTCGAGTTTTTTCTGAATGATAGTGCCATGAATGACACACCTTTGCGCTTGCTTTGAGTTCGCCCATGCTGTCACCGCGACTTGATCTGCGTTGGATAATGTTCCTCCGTCGCGGCCGATGGCTCTCTCCAGAAGGTCGAAATCTGCACAGATGGACATATATGCCGAATGCCAAAGGATGGTCATGTCCATGGAATCGGATTCCCAGGGAGCTGCACCTTGCAAGAATCTCGCGTGAAATGTGGTGAGAAGATTCGATATTGCATCCAGTTTCGTGGATGAGTGTGCACTGACTCGGTTCTCAATGATATTTACGCAGATCCCCTGAAGAACAGTGTAAGCTGTGAAATAGCTGTTGTTGGGCATGGCCAAGATGTCAAAATCCATATTCGCGTCAATAGAGGCAGGAGTGAGATCATTATTATTGAAATTAGTCGGGTCGTTGAGATATGATATTCGCCATTCTTCCGCCTTGCTGGTCATGAAAGTCTGCTGAGAGGCTGCGATTGGCAATTGCCGCGAGTTGTGTCTGAGGAATGGTTCATGATGAAAGATGCTTGCTAGCTCAGCATCATGGATATGCACGGCAAGAGCTATGCGGATTAGTTCTTCGTTCTTCGCCCAAGCACGCCATTGCAAATCGAGGTCATTCGGCGAAAGATTCAAGTCCAGATCTCGCAATTTCTTCGTCTTGAAGGACCCCAGCCGCCGCGCCCAAGATATGAGAGTGCCGTTGAAAGTATCGACAATAGCTAGATGTTTGGGCTCTCCAGACAGCAACCCAAAAGTCTGTCCTATGATGGCCGTTTGAATAAGCGAGATTTTCTCATCCGTGCCTCGACTGATGAGTCTGTCCCAGTTCGCAAGTACGGCCTTGTGCAGTCGTTCGAAGATCTGTACTCCTTGCCGTATTGCATGCACCGAGCCAGTGAAGAGGCTGCCGACAGAGCATATTGATAACAAAACCATAGACTTCGCCTTCGACGGACGAAACGTAGGCGCATGAACGACGGGAAAGACTGGATGAAACCTCGAAAAGTAAGATCTGACGCACAGGTTCAAAAAATCCGCTGAGGGTAACGTTTGGTCGTGTGGGGCGCGGATCAGCAGGCTTTGATGGAGGGTCTGACGATACGAGTCATCCACCTCAACTTGCGATGCTGGGGGCGTAGCAGGCCCTGAGGTAGGTATGTCTTCCTGTTGTTCAATCCCTGGCGTGAACCACAGGTGTTTCATGCTTGGTGCAGACTTTACATTGTAGTTTCCACTAGCGCTCATGGTGGCATACGGACTTTCATGCCAGCCCGGCTTCAGTTCGGCCATAGTGGTGACCAGCGGGGTATCAAGCATGCCAGCATGGAAATCACCATCGACTAGCCACGAAGGGTAGTTGGACTCGAAGTCGAAATTGAACGCATCGAGGGGAACCTCGAAATTCGTACTAATGTCGCTGGCTGAGAATTCGGCTGGAAATACAGATTTGGAAGCATCAGGATCACTTTGCATATGCTGAAAGTTCGACGTATCGGCCGTGAAAGCAAGGGAACCCAAATCTAGGCTCGCGTTGGCATGAGGAACAGACTGAATGTTGTCTTGACCAGGTGTTGGGACATTGATGGCACTCAGTGTCATGTTAGGCGTTGGGACAGGCGTCTGCTGGATCTCTGACTCCTCCGAGCCGTTGGAATAATCCTTCACATCTGATGCGCCGATCGATGCATTTTCTAAATGGTCCTTCTGGTGACGAAGCAGTGTATCGCTGCGCAAGACAGCATTAGACTTTGAATGGCGAAACTCCGCGTTCTCACTTACTGACGCCCATAGTGCTTCCCACATATACTGCACTTGAATGGCTTTTCTTTTGTATGGGACCTGATGTGTCTCTCTAGATGGTCGGTTTTGGCAAAGGTACGTCCGCATGTCATGCACTGGCGAACTTTACTCCCTCGGCGGCCTCGTGCTGGTGCTTTAGACCCGGCCTCGGTCTCATTAGCATGCATTACAGTTGCTGAATGATGGTAGGGAGTAAGTAGGCACGTTTTAAATCATCAAAACCTCTTTCTTTTCGTTCTGGAGGCAGAGACATGTAAGGTGAAGAATTGAGCTAAGCACGAGAGTATTCATAAGTGTGGGGAAGGGAAAAGGAAGTCCCAAAATCTGGGGTGGTGCGGCATAAACCCAAGCTTCGGCACTGGAGGACGCCTATCCTCAGACGTATTCTTTCAACTAGGGTCTCTTGTGGTTACTAAAACTCGCCAGCTAATGCGATCCGGGGAATTGGTAATTGGTTACTCGGCGTTGATAGGGATCAACGACTATTTAGCTTTGCCTCGGGCTCGTGCAAAGCCGGCTTACATATCCAGACCTGACCTCTAACCATTCAACTACTGGGATCTCAGATGAAGGATTCTCTCCTTAGAGGCCACTAAGTTGCGAGTGAATTGATCACATTCCATGTTGCAAAAAGGGTCAATCGAAAGATGATTCTGGTGGATTGGTAGATGTGTTTTCTTGACCCTGCCCAGGTCCATTCGCGCGCCGGCGACAAGGCACTCGCGGTGCCCATTTTGTTGATCACTTCCTCTCGTATTTTGGTCCTGGGGACTTCAGGTTCGGTTGACAGATCAAAATATGGACCAGAGGATACTAATTAGCTATTTAGTCGCTTTGCAACCTAGATGACAACTGCATAGGACAGGGACAAAAGCTATGCAATGAATCTTGATTGTGGCTGGCACAGCTGCCCAAAGATCTTGAGGTCCCACATTGACATGTTGACCTGCCCATGCTCCAGCTTGAGGTCCCACAGGATGGCCAAACGTCCCGTTTCAAACTGAGCCTTGGTCTCGAGCATGGCCGAGGGGCCCCTCACGCCTCGAGTCCTCACCTCCATGGCGTCTTCGGGTTTCCCCAGCCCTCCTTTGTCCCACACCTGTTTTTGCGCGTGCCCGGATTTTGGGAACTGAGGCGTCGGTCATAATTATTCCCCAGATTATGGCGGGATCCAATACCGGGAGGAGGTCGCATCTGAGTGGTATGTTTGCCACTCATATCCACCATCCAGGTGTCATGAAAAGAGAATTTGGGGTCTGCTCAAGCCCAGACTTATTAACCCACCGGCAGACGTTAAAGTGCAAGGAGTCTTTGACAATATTTTTTTCCCGGCAGAGACGAAGTAACCGAACATCATACCTGAAAAAGAGTTGAACCCATCTCAGACTCATCATGGCACAAGCAGTCGAAAACCAGATTGAAGAGACTGGAGTAATAATATGCGGCGGCGGCCCAACAGGAACGGTGCTATCTGCGTTACTTGGGTCGATGAACGTGCCGAATGTTGTGCTAGAGAAGGAGAAGGACATCACCACAGATCCTAGAGGCATTGCACTTGACGAAGATGGCATAAGAATCCTGCAATCAATCGGCATATATGATCGGATATATACCGAGATTGGAACCTGTACGTTGTCGATGATCATCACAGGTGAGATGTACTGATCAGTCCTCCAGGTATGGAGATATTCAATTTTGTTACAGGCAACACAGGTGATCTGTACAAGAAGCCGCTCGTTCAGATGGATTATTCGACCACCGAGGGCGGAACAGGTCATGTGGGATTTATTTGCCATAAACAACCTGCCATGGAGAAAGCAATTAGGGATAAACTTGACCGGACACCTCTTTCCCAACTTAGGCCAGAATCGACTCTGGTCAGTATCAATGAGACAGAAGCCTCAGTTGTTGCTGAGTACCAAGGGGCGGATGGCCACATACGCAAATTGAAAGCTCCTTTTTTGGTCGGCGCCGATGGCAAAACCGGGTTTGTGCGAAAGAGGTATCTTGAAGACCGGGGGATTGTCCTAGAGCGTTGCGAAGGGTTAGTATCATATCTCACCCCCTCCCATAAGTTATTATCAGCTAACAATGAATTTAGGTCAACATACGAGGAGACTTGGGTAGCTCTCAACTGGAAGATCACCATACCGACTGAAAAGACGCATCCCGATTTTCCCTTGTGGCGGTTGGGATATACGCCGGAGCAAGTATACGACCTGTTCTTTCCGAAGCAATTTAGGTTTTTGTGCAACCCCAAAAGACCCTCGGTCTGCGGCAGATTTGGTCTTATGAAAGATCAACTCTGGAGATTCGAATTTGTGGTTCAGAAGCGGGAAGATCCTAATCAGATGGCAACGTGGGAGGAGACAAGCAAGATAATATTCCCTTACATCACCCACCCTGGAAGTCGATACGGTCTCGATCATCCAATTCGATTTCCTGAAGACTGTATCGATACTCTAAGGTCAAGACCATTTTCGTTTGTTGCCAGATCTTGCAACAGGTGGTCTCGCGGTAGAGTAGTCTTGGCAGGAGATGCTGCACACGTTTTCCCTCCCTTTGGTGAGTCTCAATATGGTGTTGTAGATTCACGAAGGCTGCTAACTTCTCCCTAGGAGGACAAGGAATTGCCTCCGGCTTCCGAGATGCTCTGGCATTATCATGGAGGCTTGCTCTTCTCCATCGCAAGCCAGAAGCCGATCACGACCAACTTTTTACTGCATGGTACATGGAACGGAAACAACAGCTTGAAAAGTCACTCGCGGCCACAATTGTCAACGGTGAATACGTGACAGAATCCGATCCTGTCAAGGTCTTCATACGCGAATGGTACATGTGGGCGGTGCAACTTGTCCCTAGTTGGAGGCGGGAAATCCAAAAGGGTCCCCGAGCGGCAGGAATGACCAGATATCGATACGAGAATGGCTTTCCATTCATTCGGAACATGCATGGAGGGATCAACCTGCCTCAGGTATACGCGTGCGATCTGAAAACGAGACAATTGTCATTTACGGACGATCTGCTGTTCTCCCCCTGGAAGAAGGGGCTCTTCCAGCTGCTCATCCTGCCAGACAGCATCGAGGAACTCGAGGAACTCAAAGATGACCTTGGAGATATTGACGCTATCTCCAATGGCTTTGTCCGTGCGGATGAAGCAACTGTGATCATCCAGTCAACTGATTCACGATTATCACTAGATGGACGGCAATACGATCAGATTGTGACGCGACTTGCAACAGCTGACGAATTTGCTGCTGATCCCCTATTGTGTAAGAACCGGCCACCACCGATTGGTTATGATGAATGGCGGCTAGGAAGGGAAGTCAAGAACAAGAAGTTTGTGGTGCTTCGTTTTGACCGGTTTACCTTCGCTGTGTGTGATACGAGTGCCCAGCTGAAAGAGGCGGTCGGTCGAATCGAAAGGGTCTTGCATCTTAAGGCTTCGCTGTAGGCAGAGTGGAAACCAACGATACCTACCGCTCTCTTCGAATTGATGTATGTAAACCTTAGCGATGCCGGGTCCTTGCTGGGAGGTCGGCTTGACATATTGCCCCTTAACTCTCCCGCCTGAGTGTTCTTTCAAATAGGTTTGAGGAGTACCCATAATGATTAAATACTCGCGCGCTGGTTTAAGCCATCTTCTAAGTCTCAGAATACTCATCATGCAAGGAAGGAGTGATGATCAAAACCAACGTCTGCATGCGATGTGTAGAACAAGGGCCTTGACCCGGCTCCGGCTACCCCCGAATCACGGGGGAACGTAAGTAGCCCAGCAGCCTTCACACCGTCTCCATTTTAGCAACAAGGGCGACCATGAATCATCACGAGTATGTAGTAGGCTCAGTATTTCGTTGGTTGTAACTTGTGAGCAGTTCTCGCAGTTGACTCACGAACGCTGAGCTCATCGTCGGTTGATTGTGGGAGGCAATGCCAATCAGGCGGCCATAAGGAGTAGACCGATGAGTAGCCACTGCTGATCTCACCCATGGCACGTTCCGAAAAAGCACAGAAAGACCGAGGTGGGATTCCTCGTATTTCAGCGCTTCATGCATCGTCTCAACAACCTGTCGGCCTCTGATATCCGATTTCCCGCTCCAGCCCAACAGAATCTGCATACTTTGCCCTATCCTAACGAGGGGATTTGCACATTCCGATCTCAGTCAAATGCTGGAGCGCTGCATCGAGAATTGAGGCCGGATGAGGCTGCTCGAAGATTTTTCCAGAAAGCGGTCAACGTTCAATTCTCATGACGAGGGCAGCTTTAGTCGTTAGTCTTTGTCATTCCCTCGATCTCGTCTCAACCTTGGGGGTATCTCCCACTCATCAGGCCAGAAACTCACATGATGCTGACGGGGTATCAGTGAGTCGACCATGACTGCAGATTACCTTGGGGAGCTCGCAAAGTCTTGACAAATTTCTGGGATAGCTAGCGGATCAACCAGGGTGCTTACCATAGCCGCAGATGTGTGACCTTATCAAAGACAATCGCGCAACAATCATTTGCCAGTTTCTGAGCAATAACTTAAAATCATGCGGCAGTGGGAGCCACCACGCGTTCTATCCGACAATAGTGTTCCATTTCCATGGAATCACTTCTTGAGCTAATGCAAAGATGGTAAGTGTTATGCGCTTATCGTGTTACAACCTAGCCAGGCCCGGGCGATCAGCCTTGTCCTTCGGTACTATTGACTGTGTCATATTTGCCCTTCGTGTCGTGGGCTTGCTGGGCCTGCGCTTCGGAATTCCTTATTAGCCAGCCACCACAGCTCGACAATATAATTACAGCCCCTCCACCGCCATCTGCTGCCTCGTCAATCTGGATTCCCTTCTAACTAATTCTGTGAAACCGCTATCATACAATTATAGATGCATGGTCATGGTTGCTCTATCCATATTATGACCATAGACAAACCACAACAAATGTTGGAACTCCTAGATCTCCCATTAGAAGTTCGGCTGCAGATATGGTCATATATCGTCGGTCCGCAAACCATCTACCCATGTGGATGCGCCTCCAAAGCAATGCAGTGTACCATACACAGACTTGGTAACTGCTGCCAGAACATTTCCGTATATCGATTCTGCGACAATCGCATCCTTAGAGTGAGCCGTCAGATATTCAGCGAGGTGGCTCCTCTTGTCCGACAGGGCGAGAAAAGAAGAACCTTTGCCCTCTGCAACAACTTGTGTCTGGACAACTTCTTCATGAGTCTGCAGGAGCAAGATTGGACTTCGGTGAAACATCTGAGGGTTGACCTGTTTGTTGGCATTGGTACGTCGGGCCAGGATGATTGGTTTTTGTGTCAGAGCGAGAGGTGGGCCAAGCGCTATGTGATGGGCGTGCTCCAAAAGTATGATGGAGGACGGAATATGCTTGTTGTTCCGGCTGATAAAGTTCAGCAAGACAAGAGCGGGCGACGAAGTCTGACCGTCGATGTGCATCTGGAATAGCGATGTTCGCAAATCTGTGATTAGTTAGGGTCCGGAAGCAAGGGAGACTTCATCCTTCTTGCCCACGGGTTTGCAGTTATGGTTTTTGTGGCGTTCTCCATCGGACCGGGTGGATGGACGGCTTTTGTTTGGAGCGTAACGACTTCTGTGTTGGATTTGACAGTAGACTTTCTAGATGTAGACGTTGGCGACCAAGAAAATCCAGACAAGTTTGATCGAAACCTGTTGCCCGGAATCCACCACTTATATTACGGGCGACTTTGTGCCTGTAGCCGCAACCCGAAAGTAACTGGTAGAACATCACACAACTTTGCCTGGCATATATACCTATGATAGGTAGGTACTGAAAACTCTAGGGTTAGTACCAGCCTATAAATTAAGCACTGATGACTAGGCGAGCCCCGAGAGTGCCAAAAGCTCTGATGCTGCACAACAATTACAAGAATCAACAAACCTTTGTACTGCTTCAGGCAGGTCGATATCAAACCCTGGCTGGTGATTCGCCTTGTGCTTGAGTCAGAGTCGTCTTAGAAAATGTTTAGTCTATCGACTCGTGTTGGGTGTGATCCTTTAGATTCCAGAAAGACGAGAAACTGAAGGTATTGGAATGGGAAGTGAACAAGGCCGTGGTGAGGCGACCTGTCTAGATAAGGGGAAGTCATATCGGTCCTTATAACGATTTTGCTGAATAATGTACAAGACTCTTGAAGGACATCTATTGAATTTGTTCGATGGTCCAAAAGGGCAAGTACCTCATAGTCTCATATTTGGAGGTTCGCTTAGCATAAGATGTGATCACCCAGTATTAGCTAACTACGGTGATACAAGCCCTCGTGGGGAACAATTAGAATAGTTGAGGTGGAAATGTCTTGGATACAGATGCAGGCAGTGTTTGTTAGGCTGAATCGAGACAGGACACGTTTGAAATATCCTACCTAAATTGTCGGGACGGACAGGAAGTTATGTAAATGCGAATACTGAAAAGGAGAAGCGTCTTGTCTACTTACGCCACCGTATCTCACTACGGCAGAGTATATCAGCATGTATCCCCATGTCTTGGCAGCCAAGGCTTCAAACCCGAATACGAAAAGTGCGCCACACATTGATTGCTTCGACATAGTGCTTTTGACCACTGCGACTCCAACCTTCAACACTGGAATTGTTGTTGCCTGAGATCGTACCCGATAGGATTTACACTGATGTGGCTGTGTATCTACTCTATCAGCGATATCAAGGCTGATAGCATATGAAGCACCACTTTCTCGCGCCTAGTAGTGACGAGTTAGCAACTTGAGATGTATGCAGATCCAGCCCCATGCCTCCGAATACGGTTCTTACTGCTTCTCCTATCCTGGGAAATGTTCCACCTGCAGTGACTTGGGGCTGTTTTATCAACATGTTTCTATATAACATGATATTCACACACAGATCTGTCGACGAAAGGCATCATTGGATGTCAATACGGGATTCCCCCAATTAGGCAATACGAGGTAATCGTTTTCCCATTTTGGTATCCACGCATTCAAGCCTCTGCTGGCGGGGCGTTCCCGTGGCCCTCTTGTATTCTTGCTGCCTGGCCTGTATGCATGGGACAACCCGAATCTCCACAATACCAGTTACAGCTTCAAATTAATCTTGGAAAGGGTGAAAATCGCGATTAACAGGAGCAAAGTCTGCCCTACTCAAAGGCTGGACTTATGTCCTTGGCGACAGTGACTTCGCTGGAAGCACCCAGCTGGGTCTAACATTCGCGGGCTGATTGCTGGCGAACCCGAATACGTTCGCTTACCGGATTGAGACCAAAGACCTTCGATACTGGAGAACGAAACATCCTTCTGCCCAGTGCATCCTCTTGTGCATTGTACAATCGTTCAAACGTCTGCAAATCTTTATTATTCTTGGGTCACTCCATCAAAATGGCGAGATCCGCTTTGTTCAGACATATATATAGACCTTCAAAGCCTCCCGAATTGTTTGTTCTCAATGTGAAGAACATTCTTAGCACCATTCAGCGCTTTGAACATTCGCTGCCTTTGTCTGCGCGGGGCTTTTTGTGTGTGGCAGCTGTTTTATCTTGTTGAAACTCTTCACGTCCCTGCTAGATACTCGTCTAGCTTATACCATTGATCAATACTACCATACACATTGCTGCTTTACTAGGCCAACCAGGCATCATCATTTGGACCGTCAACGTCCTTATACGAAGCATCATATCGCCAACGCTGCTCATCCCCATTCTCTTCGACCGACTCGACCTTTATACTGCGCTATCTCGCATCCCATCAAAGCTCGAGTGCCACTTTCCCAAGCCTAAAATGGCCTCAGACACCGAAGAGCTCAACCTCTACTTCTACAATCCGTCCACTGCAGTTGCAATCGTTTTCTCTGCGCTATACTTTTTCCTAACACTCTACCACTTCCACATCTCTATACTATACGCACGCAGACAACCGATCAAGCACAGATACACGATACCACTGTTCGTCGCAGCCTTGATCTCCACAGCCGGCTGGAGCGTGCGCATCGCCAGCATCAAAAACAAGCAGTCAATCCCTCTGTATGCCACCTCCGCCTCTTACATCGTCATCAGCCCCATATTCGTTTGCGCTACATTGTATCTTCTCCTGACTCGCCTCATTCGCTCCAGCCTACCCGAGGGACCAGCGCAGCAAGTGCTCTTCCGTATCCCTCCTCGCTGGCTCGGTCGCATCTTCATCACTTCCGACATCTTCAGCTTCCTGACTCAGTGCTCCGGGTCTGGGATCGCGAGCTCGGGAAACTGGGAGGGTAACTTGAAGGAGGTCGGCACCAATGTCCTCCTGGTCGGTCTGGCACTGCAACTGGCGACGTTTAGCACGTTTCTCCTCGTTCTCGGGCGCGTTGTAGTAAGAGTCAAGCGCTCCTACGACTCTGGCTTCAATCCGTGTGTGAAAAAGGTGATACTCGGTGTTTGGATTGCCGGATTTTTCGTGCAGGTAAGTGAATTATTGGATGCATTGTGCGATACGCTTGTAATGCCCCTCATGTAACTAACAAAATTCATTCTACCAGGTACGATCGATATACCGAGTCGTCGAATTTGGGCTTGGAATCGACGGCTATCCTTTCCGCAATGAATGGTGCCTCTATGTCCTCGAAGCCGCACCGATGTTCATCGCAATCGCCGTTCTGGGATGGTATTCTCCTGTCAAATGGATGCAACAAAAGTCGCGAACGGACTTCTCTCTGAAAGAAGTGCAGAAAAATGGAAACGCAGGCACTGCCGCGAATGGAGGCGTCGTCTAATTCTACAGACTGGCGGATATGGAAAAGGCCGTGGAGATGTGGAGCAATGAGATGGCGTTTTGGCTACATACAGTACATTTCCAAACCACTGGATTTACCTTTGCTTTTCTTGAAGACGCCAACTGGGGTCAATTTGGGGAGTCGGGAGAATTGATTTTGACGACAAACACTTGAGGAGTATATGCAGCAGAGCACTGGCCCAAGTGTACAGGATGGGGGAAATACTGAGATCGGTCGTTTTATTCTAAGGCGTTGATACCAAGCATGTGCTCAACCTATCTCAATATTTGTCTACCTCGCGTGCTCTTTTGGGTGGAACTCAAGCTCTTATCCCGACTCGCTCGCGTACTCTTGTTTTCCGACGTTCTGGCTTAGATTTTCCCGAGGGTCATTCTTACACAAAAAGACGGGAGAAGGCGAAAGGCTATAGAAACAGGGGGTCGTTTTCAAATTTCATTATTCATATTCTATCAACTGAATGAGTTTGCCATATCGAGGGGAACTCCAATCCAAGCTGCAGAGGTGAGACACATACTCTCTCTCCCATGAGTGGGACTACCCTGGGTAAGTAGACTGGTAAAATACAATTGGTTTCATTTCAAGAAAGTTCATCAAGAGGAAAAGCAAAAGCAAGAACAGATCATTAAGAGATACAACATTCCCAACTTTTTTCTTCATCCTCAAAACCGCCGCCATCGACTTCCAAGGGGGTGCTGTGCGAGCAGATTTTGCCCGGGACAGCACAGCCCCCGACACACTATCGGCCCCCAATGGGTCAGTGTGAATCCTTTGGAATCGGGTGTTCATCGAATCGCATCACGGGATACCGCCTAACATGGTTGTCTGAGGAGATATTTCCGGACTGGCGAGGTGCAATTGCAAGACCGGAGGGAGGTGTAGCACATCGCCATTGATCTCGGCCACGACGGTTCGTGCGATGTTCTTCGGCCATTCGAGATGGCACTTGAGCTCGGAATTGCTGGCTTCCAAGCGCTCGAAAATACCCTCCGCCCACTCGATGGTCCCAAACAGGACGCGCACGCGCGAGACGTCGGCGCGGTTGGGATACTCGGCTGCGGCGAGTGGGACCATCAATAGCTGTACGCCGACGAAGTAGGCAAGCAGGAGCTGCGCCATGAGGTTATTAGGGTCGAGGAATGTCTTGAATGCGTCGTGGCATAGTTCGTACCATACACCATAGACGCCGACAAATTGAAGGTACCCCGATGCAGGAGACGCCTGGAGCGAGGCAACAACATCAACCAGTGCGGCATGGAAATCGATTTCTGTGTCTGTGGTGATGTATGGACGAATGTTTTCTAGCGCATTGTAACCTTCTTCCAGGAGGATTGGGTCTACACTCGGCAGGCTCATGAGTCTCGGTGCCATATATTTGAAATGCCACTCTGGTTGCAAGTTGAAGGCGGTAGGTGAGTGATCTTGCCGAATCTTCTCTGTGGTAAGAGCACATCCTCTCACCATCGTGATAAAATCTGTCAACCCATCGCCCATATATGAGGCTTGGAATGTGAGTGCATAGCAAGAGGCTAGCATTGCGTCGCTTTCCCCATATACCCTAGAAACCTGAGATAAGGCCGTGTTGAGTCCACTGATCGCCTGGCCTCGATGCACTAAGGACTCGCGACGGTAGTCGACTCCTGTCAGTCGCGAAAGATGGGACGCTCCAAGAGAAAGAATTGCGTGCATCAAGTATTCGTGCTGCTCAGCAAATTGAGGGATCTCATTGACCCAGACGTGATCATTGTCGACGGGTAGATGAGGATAGGCAATGGTGAGAAAATGATGGAAAAAGCGCATGTCGAGCAAGGAGAAACTCGCGCCGCAAAATGATGGCGAAACATTTGGATTTCGCTTTATCAACGGTAGATTAGATTTTCGCTGAGGTTGTTCGGTAGCTGGATAGACGCAAGTAATACCCTTCATGAGACAGCTCCCACAGGCAGGCTTCTGCTCTCCACATTTGATCTTTCTGCTTTTGCAGCTGTAACAACCACCACGGGACTTTTTGTGGGAGCGTCGCGTTAGATTTGGTGCGAGAGTGCGCGTCTTGTGACGACCTCCCCTTTTTGAGTCATAGCTGGTGGTGGTACTGCGTCGGCCACTATCCGGGGTTGATGTATGATCAGAGAGGGATGAAAGATCCCACACGGCCAGCGAAGCGAGATCTGGGGAGTCGACGCCTAGAATATCAAATGTACTGTCGTCCAAAGTCATATTTTGGGTAAGCAGTGGGGAGAATAACAGGGTGAGATGGTTGATTTTCGGGTATGGTTGATGTTTGGAATTATCTCAAGCTATCTCTATAGGGGAGCGGGCCCATGCACATGGAGGAGCCACGGCACCATCAAGTATCGGGTATGGTCGGCCAAGGGCAAGGCATACACGAGCACATCCCATGTTTAGCAAAGAAAACGGTTTGCTCATGTCAGCCCTGGCGCTCTAAGGTGTTGCGTTTGAGTGACCAACCGATTTTGTTGTTATGGATCCCCCCTCATCCAGGATCGGCATACAGCGAAACGTTTCAGCCTGGAGTGACGGTGATTCACAGAGGCAGAAGATGGGAATGTGACGCACCGGACTGGCAGTGCTCGCCAATCCGAGGAAGGACCCGATGGCCTTGTAAGGATTAGCCACGCCCTTTACATTGCGTTTTGGGGGAAGCCAATAGGGGTCAATAGTCGGTGACGTGGGTGAAGTACCCGACGCAAAATCTCCTGGGATAGTTGGAATTAGGATGACAACAGTGGTTGATAGAGTTGAGAGCGATGCCCTGTTCGAGGGAGAGATTGAATTTTGGTTAAAAATAGGCTCGCCATGCCCTCATGGGGGTTAACAACACTACTAGGGCGAAAGGTTCCAGCCCTAACGCGCGCAAGACCCTTGCGCCGCTTGCATAAGCCAGGCAGAAGCGGGTGAAAGGAGAAGGTCCACCCAGGCCACGAGTATTTCTAGGATAAGATCATCGATGATGGATGACTTGTTGAGATGAATAATAAGCGAGAGTCACGAGGAAATGGAGGATTGTGGGATCGACTTGAGCTTCTCGTGCTGCTCCTTGCTGGCTTCTTGGTGGTTTTCCTTGGTGTGTCCAGGTGACTACGGAAGCTTCAGGGAACCGGAAATGAAAGGGTAGAAGAGGAAGAAAAAACTTCGGGCAAGCCGAGGCATGACCTCCAAACTTTTGATTACTTTGGACAAGACAGGAGCATTGACTCACGACAAGCGAAGCTCAAACTCACGACCGTTTGGAGTGTTGCTGGTATTATCATTGTTCGTGTTTGTATTCTGACTACGTGGAGTATGCATCATACAAAGGTACATACTCCGTACGCGATTGCTTACAGGAAGGAGGCGGGACTTCGTATCGACAAAGGGCCAGGGAGAGGGAGCCCCGCCCGGAATGAGATTAATCCGATGTTGCTGTTCCATGCGTCGCGTCTATGACGCGTGCCGCCCACGGTCCATACATACCTATCGACAAACACGTGGACCGAGGCCTCGTCTGGGCGAGGCCTCTCCTGAATCATGTGGACAGTTCTCAGTGTAACTCCGTATATGCTGTGACATCGACGCACAGTACCTTGTCCCCTTCAAAATGGATCCTTCACCGAAAGCAATGATCAGGCTTCTTTTGCCTCGGTTGCCATTGATATTGAAAACCGCCTTATTCAACGCGTTGTCAATATCTGAGAATTCTGCCAAGCAGCATCTGACCACCGAGGTTGCTGTGGTCGTGCTGCGATCCATCATGAATATGAGGAGGCCCGTGAGGTTCTTGCAGAGGGTCTCGACAAGAGATCCAGGTATCAAAGGGCCCATATGGGTCTCAAAGGTCACTCTAGCCCCTCCGCTGGACAGGGAGGGTCCGCGCGAAGCTGTTTGTGCAGCAATTGCAGAGCTCGGGAGCGGCAACGAGACTTATACAACGCCCGACGTCGCTGCTGTTGAAGCCGAATGGAACGGCTACAGAGATGGGGTCTCCTCGACAGAACCGCGACCGGACCTACCAGAAGCTGAACAGTACAGAAAGATGATGAAAGAAGTAACCTCAGATGTGACCATTCTCTACTTCCATGGCGGTGCCTATTTCTTGATGGACCCAGCGACCGTTCGCGACTCAACCTTACGACAAGCTAGGTTGACTCGAGGTAGATGTTACTCGGTGCGCTATCGACTGGCTCCTCAGTACCCTTTCCCAGCACAGCTGCTTGATGCTTTGATGTCGTACCTGTCTTTGCTATCCCCTCCTCCTGGAGTGCCACATAGCCCAGTTCCTGCAAGACACATTGTGTTTGCCGGCGACTCTGCCGGGGCGAATCTAGCAGCAGCCTTGCTCCTGCTCCTCCTTACTCTTCGGAGAATGGGTTTGAATACAATTAGATACCATGGCGTCGATGTTCCCGTCGAACTACCCGCTGGGGTAGCCCTGAATTCTCCCTGGGTAGATATTACTCGATCCTTACCTTCCATCAACAAGAATGCACACCTCGATTACCTCGACCCTCCAACTGCTACCGGTGTGTCGAGACATGAGCCAACCCCCGATGTAGTATGGCCGACAGAACCCCCGCGCGCCGATATGTTCTGCAACGCCTCTATGTTGATACATCCATTGACTTCTCCCTTGGCTGCTGCTGCCGAGCTCTGGAAGGGAATGCCACCCGTTTTTATGTGTCTGGGAAATGAAGCGCTGGAAGATGAAATTCTGATTCTTGCCCGCAGGATGCATCAGGGTGGTGGAGTCGTCGAATTAGTCGGGTACGAGGGTATGCCTCACTGTTTCGCAATGATATTCCCTAGGTCTGTCTCTGGGTCGGACTGTTACCAGCGGTGGGGCACATTTTGCTCTGAAGTCGTTCAAGGCCGAGGAACGATTACCTCTCAAGCCAGCTGGGTGAAGGCGTTTTCTAAGCCCCTGGAGCCTATCAAAACCCCGATCGAGCAAATCAGCAATCTGAGTGATCATGATGTTGCAGACGCCATGGACAAGATGCAACAACATGCCCTTACGAGAGAAAAGGACGCCCTTCAGAAGTGGAATGAGCGACATACTAGAGCCCGACTCTGACGAAAATTCTCTTGTCCTAAGTTTTCCTAGCCCTCCTAGTGACTATCTTACAGCTTCGACTTGCCTAGATTGTCTCGTCGAGTTCGCGATCCTGTATCGACCTCGGCAAACCAAGGATAGAACGGCGGCCCATCTTCTTCAAGGGTGGCCGAGAAGTTTGCATCTCGTTTCTCCATGAAACTCTGCACGCCCTCTTTGCAGTCCTTGTTCGCGAACATGTGGTACAGGACCGCACTGTCCAAAAGATGAGTCTCCTCCGCTGATGGCTTGCCTCTCCACATCAATTCTCGATTCATGAAGCCTGCCAAAACGCTTGTCTTTTCTGCAATGTTTGTTGCAAGTTCCAATGCTCTCTTCAAAACGCCCGCTGGGTCCTCGATGACTTCCTGAAATAGACTTCCAAAATGCTTGCTATCCCCACGATAAACATCGCCGGTCGTCAGGAGGTACAAAGCATTAGAGTGGCCAATCAATCGTGGTAGAAAGAACGAGGAGTTAGATTCCATTGTGATCCCACGACGGGCGAAAACAAAGCCGTACTTTGAGGATGCATGGGCTATTCTTATGGCCGCCGAAAGACCCATCGTCAGCCCTAGGCCAACGGCTGAACCATTGAGCGCCACAATGGTTGGTTTCCGACACCGGTAGATTGCGAGGTTTAGACGTCCTCCACTGTTATAATTTGTTAGATTTCTGGGTCGAGGGCGGTAGCAGAATCTCCCACCTATCTCGATGGTCCACTAGTCTTTCTCTGCTCCCATCACTGGGAAATCCAATATCAAGATCTGCCCCAGCGCAAAAGAACTTGCCGGCTCCGGTAAGAACCACACATTTTACCCTTTCGTCCAGATCCAGCATTGGATAGACCAGCTCAAAGGCATGCATCATTTGGACGGTGAATGCATTGCCTTGTTTTGGCCGATTCAATGTGACAACAATGACTGGGGTGGCTTCAGGGGCATTTTCCGGGTAATGAGATACTTTGATATGTTGGACAGGTAGCGTCTCGTAAGATGTGGGAATCTGGACTTTCACAGGATCGGCGAGCATTTTGTGTTCTGTTCAGGTCAGCTTTGCGAGCATACGTCTATTGTCGAAGATTGATGACGGTTGGAACGCACTGCCATCTACTTGTACTCGGCATAGTACTCAACTCATGAGATTTACTCTAAGCTCTGGAGTTCCCACTGATGCGGAGATGGTAAACTCAATAATACCCAGCCTTGGGACCTCGGATGTTTTGATTTGTGAACAGTCGGAATATGTAATCACTCCCGTCTCTAGGCTTTCGGGTGACTTCTCCCTTGAAATATCCTTGAAATGAGAGTCATTCCTAAGACCACTGCAATGGTACTCATTGCAACAAAAGCATGAACTACTAGACCTGAATCACTACTGATCATGGGGAAGGATGTCGTTCGTGAAGGGTTTTGCCATCCATTGATATCCCCGCTTCATCATTAATCCGGCGCCGGAGTTGATTAGATGTGGTTCGCCAATTCCAAAACATTCTCATTGAGTCACGCCAAAACGCGTGATCTGAGTCACCTAATTAGCTACCAAACACTTCCAAAATGCAATGACTTGTGGCTTGTGACCATCGTCTCTTCACGATGTCATCGGATCTAAAGACCCGACCTCACCACTTCGTGAGAGAGCCTTGAGCAAAGTCGTTTCATCCCGTTTACGACTTGCTCCTTTGTACCTTGACCAGCAAGGCAACACATAGACCCGCGAGATGTATCCCTCTCTCATTCTTCCATGGTCTGACGCACCGTCAGAAGCAGAGACAGTTTACCGCCTTGCTGGGTACAGGAAGACGAAAGGAACATTATTCCTCATACCTCCACCCCAAGAGTCGTTACGGGAAGCGTTCAATGCGCCTCCGCGGCCCAAGACGCGAATGTCCTCTGGGGCTGTGGCGCTGTGCAAACATTTCGAGCGTGGAGGAGCCTCGTCCGAACACGGTCGACCACACACATTCTGGACCTTGCCAGTGGGTAGCAATGAGGGTAAGACAGAGATGGCTAGTCACACACTTGACAAGATGCTGGCAGAGGCTGTCTGGAAGAATGTTATGCTGCTCCACCCTGGCATAGCTGTCTACGAGATAAGAAATCCGCTTGGATATGGAATGAGGTGGACACTAGAACTTCGTGAAGTGGAAGGAGAAGGGAATTCGGAAGACGTGCAAGCGCGACAAGACAGAAAAGGCGAAGTCAAGGATAACCTTGTGAAAAGCTGGGAGATCACAAAAACCATCTTTCGAGGCTTCCTAGAGCCAATCGCTGGCATGGATCACGAACTCGCAGCTGAAGATGGCGGTGAAGCTGCAGCTTAAGCTGACATCCATGGTACCTCGACAAGGGTTCCTTGGGTCCGAGTGGTGCTCGAATACGACGGGTATTGGCCATGAAAAGATCAGGTGCCCGGTCATTCGGGTGCATACTTGGTCCATGTATATCAAGTACGGAGTACCCTGTGAGTGAGTAGCGGACAGAGCCGCGCAAACACCGACGCGCCTCGGGTATAAGGACTAGTCAATAGAGGCCTGTAAGCAGCTGCAGACCAGAAGAGAGGGTCCCTCGCGACGGGGACTCGCAGGCTACCTGTGTGCACAGGCTCCATTCCTTCTACAAGTGTTCGATGCAGGAACCTAGACGAGGACTTAACGTTCTCTATGGCATTCCACACACGTGGCGTGGCGTGTGCCTTATGTAATCCAGACACTGGTACGTGCGTGATGTGATACCTCATGGCAGGCTCGATGGAGACGCGTCCCGTGGTCGCTCTTGCCACAACTGCCTTCTCCACGTTTCAGAACCCCGCCATCTTCGACAACCTCGTCGCGATCAGCTCCACCCCCACTTAGCCATGGAGGGGTAGATTGGTGGAAATGAGGGATTAAACACGGGGACGGGGGACGGCATGGGGAGTTGATGCAACCTGGTGCGCGATGGAGCCTTGGTTGCTTGGGTCCGGCGTACGCAGTAGAGGACGGAGCGGAGGGACTTGGGCATCGACCGTCGCCCGACCATCGCAATTGTCCCTCGGCAGTCCCGAGCTCTTCCTCTGAGCTGTCCCGCACCAAATCGATCAAGCGGACCCTTCCCTGTACTCGTGTGTAGTTGTTGCAACCTGAGGCGCGAGCTTCTTGCATTTGTGAGCTCCCAGGTTTCTTCTCCGAACCTCGAACCCACTTTGCAAAGGGGCGCTACCACTGGCTGCCACGGTAGCTTTTTGCTCATTTCCTACCTCCGAGTCTCTCACCCTCAGTTCTTCTCCCACCGTTTCAACTGGGGACTCAATCCCAGCCTGGTCCCGACACACACACACGCACGCACACAACGTTCGAAGTTGGACCATGCTACAGCGCATCGTCTAGATAGAGTTCTGACTTTCCAGACGCGTTTTCGGCCGTGACATGCGGGTCATCGCGGTCATCTGCAGCTTCAGCCTCCGATCTTGCAAGGTTCTACCGCGTGTCGTTTGGGCGGTGAGATAACGCCTCTTACAGGCCACAATGGCTCACCACGCCTCACGAGTAACCTGGTCGAGGAACATGTCGGTTAAACTATCTACCAGCTGTTATTACGAGGCTCTGGGGCCAGGTAAGTTGGTGTCACTCGTCTAATAGAATCCTTCATACACATGGACCAGTGTTCTGACATTTGGTTCAGTTCCTCGCCTCAGCATCATCCATGGCTGTGTGCGGCAGGCTAGACAACATCTGCATTCGGGTCCACGCGGCGCCATTCCGCTGATCCCCAAACGGACGCCCCCTCGACAGCCTCTACCCAAGGCTTCACCAGTATGGTCCAGGTTCAAGTCTGAACTTGTGCCGGAGGCTACTCCTTACTCGGAGCTCACCATTGGTATCCCAGCTGAAACTTTTGATGGCGAGAAGCGTGTCGCTGTCGCTCCACAGAATATCCCACTTCTATTGAAGAAGGGATTCTCACGTGTCCTCGTAGAGCGTGGTGCTGGCGCCAATGCTGAATATGCTGACGAGGTTTACGAGCATGTTGGCGCTACCGTCGTTGATAGGAAGACAGTCTGGTCTGAGAGCAACATTCTTCTGAAGGTCCGCGCCCCCAACGTCGATACAGAGGTCCCCAATCTTCGCCCAGGCACCACTGTGATCTCGATGATCCAACCCATGCAGAACAGGCCCCTTGTTGAAGCTCTCGCCAAGCAGCGCGTAACTGCTTTCGCCATGGATATGATCCCCAGAATCTCTCGAGCGCAAGCATTTGATGTGCTTAGTTCCATGGCAAATATTGCTGGCTACAAAGCCGTTCTGGAAGCATCCAATCATTTCGGTCGTTTCTTGACGGGTCAAGTCACCGCCGCCGGCAAGATCCCGCCGTCAAAAGTGCTCGTCATTGGGGCTGGTGTTGCAGGTCTCAGCGCTATTACCACTGCTCGGCGCCTCGGGGCAATCGTACGTGGATTTGATACAAGATCGGCTGCTCGAGAACAGGTTCAGTCCCTTGGCGCAGATTTCTTGGAGGTTAACATCAAAGAAGAGGGTTCTGCTGCAGGCGGTTATAGCAAAGAGATGTCCAAGGAATTCATCGAAGCAGAAATGAAGCTTTTTATGGAGCAATGCAAAGAGGTCGATATCGTTGTTACCACGGCGGCGATCCCCGGTAAGCCTTCACCCAAGCTCATCACCGAGAAGATGGTCAGTGCCATGAAACCTGGCTCTGTGGTTGTCGATCTGGCCTCTGAAGGTGGTGGCAATTGCGAGGTTACCCAACCTGGAAAGCTCACCGTTCACAATCATGTTACGATCATTGGATACACGAATTTCCCATCTCGACTTCCAACGCAAGCCTCAAGTTTGTACTCGAACAATATTACCAAATTCCTGCTGTCAATGGCACCAAAGGAAAACTCCTATGGCATCGATCTAGAAGACGAGGTGGTGCGAGGCTCAATAGTCACTCGAAATGGCGAAATTATTCCTCCCGCTCCCAGAGCTGCTCCACCACCAACAACTCAAAATCAGGAGCATCATGAAGAAGTCAAGCCTGTGGAACTGACCCCTTGGCAGAAGCAGACTAGAGAAGTCGCAACCGTCGCAGGAGGAATGGGCGCTATGCTTACCCTCGGAAAGTTTACGTCACCTCTTCTCATGAGCAATATGTTCACCGCTAGCCTTGCTGGTCTCATCGGCTATCGATCTGTCTGGGGTGTGATCCCTGCCCTTCATTCGCCGCTTATGAGCGTCACCAACGCTATTTCTGGTATAGTTGGTGTGGGTGGCTTCTTCGTCATGGGAGGTGGATATCTACCAGAGACAATCCCTCAAGCTTTGGGTGCCTTGTCTGTGTTGTTGGCGTTTGTCAACGTCTCAGGCGGCTTCGTCATCACGAAAAGAATGTTGGACATGTTTAAACGAGCCACTGATCCTCCAGAATATCCATGGCTATATGCAATTCCTGGTGTTCTGTTTGGCGGAGGCTTTCTTGCGGCTGCATCTACTGGTATGGCTGGTTTAGTCCAAGCTGGATATCTCGTGAGCAGTTTGCTCTGCATTGGTAAGATGGACGTACCACGATATCTCCGCGGGTTGCTGACGAGATTCCTCAGGCTCGATATCTGGCTTGGCCTCTCAGGCCACTGCACGAACAGGCAACCTTCTGGGTATTCTCGGTGTTGGAGCAGGTATCCTTGCGTCATTAGCTGCCGCCGGCTTCTCGCCTGAAGTTCTAGCTCAGTTTGGAGGCATCGCAGCCATCGGAGCTCTGGCTGGTGAGTACTTCTATGACCCTGCCTGTTTCTTGATTGATACCTTCTGACGCATGATGTCAGGTGCTTTGATTGGACGCAGAATAACGCCGACCGAACTTCCACAGACCGTCGCTGCGCTCCACTCGGTTGTCGGCCTCGCTGCCGTCTTGACTAGTATCGGAAGTGCTCTGGCTCACGTTGAGGATATCTCTACCCTGCATATGGTCACAGCATACCTTGGCGTTGTGATTGGTAAGACTGGGGCACCCTGACCCTCTGAGTTCACCAAACATACCTAACATCCTTGTCTTTCTAGGTGGTATCACCTTCACTGGCAGTATCGTGGCTTTCATGAAACTCGCTGGAAAGATGTCTTCGCGACCATTGGCTCTACCAGGACGGCATCTAGTCAATTCTAGTCTACTTGCTGCAAACGTAGGCACGATGGGTGCTTTCGTCACAATGGCACCAGGCGCGCCGGCGGTAGCGGCGATGGCACTTTCCGCGAGTACTATTCTCAGCTTCGCCAAAGGGTACACTACCACTGCTGGAATAGGTGGTGCTGATATGCGTAAGTCAATGCCCTCTGCGGTGAAATCTTCGCTCTGCTTACGACTCGTCAGCCGTTGTGATTACTGTGTTGAACGCTTATTCCGGATTCGCGCTCGTCGCGGAGGGGTTTATGCTTGACAATTCTTTGTTGATCACAGTCGGGTCGCTGATTGGTGTCAGCGGCTCAATCCTCTCCTATATCATGTGTGTGGCGATGAATCGGTCGCTGACAAACGTCCTCTTTGGTGGCATTGCTCCTATCGCCCAAGCACCAGGCCACGAGATCCAAGGTACTGTCACAAAGACCAGTGTTGAGGAGACGGTCGACTCGCTAGTCGAGGCACAGTCCGTCATCATTGTTGTTGGCTACGGCATGGCAGTCGCAAAGGCCCAATATGCCATCGCAGAGATAACCGCGCTCCTGAGATCGAAGGGTGTTAATGTTCGATTCGCAATTCACCCTGTAGCAGGTCGCATGCCTGGCCAATGCAATGTACTTCTCGCCGAGGCCAGTGTGCCGTACGATATCGTGCTGGAGATGGATGAGATCAATGACGATTTCCCGGAAACTGACCTCACACTTGTCATCGGAGCAAATGATACTGTCAATCCTATTGCCTTGGAGTCTGGAAGTCCAATCGCTGGAATGCCAGTGTTGCATGCTTGGAAGAGCAAGCAGGTAATCGTCATGAAGAGAGGCATGAGCAGTGGTTATGGTGAGTTAAGCCAATCAAACCTCTTTGGGCCTCAATCCAAATCACCTTCCCTTCCTTGATTTGATATGTCCTCTAACGTACTGACTGAAAATCTTCCCAAAAGCTGATGTCCCTAACCCAATGTTCTACATGCCCGGAACAAAGATGCTCTTCGGCGACGCCAAGGCCACAACCGATGCGATCAAGGCTGCCCTTGAGAACAAGTACAGGGCTAAATTCCACGTCTAAGCAAATTTTCACTTATGTTGAACGCCGACACAAAGGTAAATCGCAACCTGCAACGATTTTGGGTTCGTTTTGGGGTCAACTGTCGTGCGATTTATGCTACATACAATTCTTGTTGGTGGGTGCATCTTTGGCGAAGAACATTTAGACTGAGTGTCCCATGTCCGCGTCATGAGCCTTGAAACCGGGGTAGGGTCTTTAAACTACTTTAGAGGAAATCTACATAAAGTCTTTCAGTCGCTTAAATCCAGCACACTTGGTCCTACACGGAAAATCGCCACCGTCTTAAGACTCTTGATCACTTCCGCGAAGCATCAATATTATTATACACATTGCACCTGAACTAGAGCGCGCCGCGCATGCGCATAGGTCTAAAGAGCAGAGGAAAGAGCTCAAGAAAGGATTATTACACGATATAGCAGTTGCAATAAGCATTCCGGTGGTAACAGCGGCCACGATTTCTTTTATTCTTTCTAGTGTAGTGTCACAACGTCCCTTGCTTCGCTTGAACTCGACTCGTCTATGCCTTTTTGGATATAACCTGATCTAAGACCTTGAGGGCATTCCGCAAGCTCTGGAATCTAGGCTCGCTAAGCTCCCCTGTTGTCTCCTGCTCCAGCAGTCTTCCCGTAGCACTATCATACCCATGTTCCCCAACATCTGGAAACTCCGTGTGCACGGTGACACCGGCTGCCTTCAGCTTTTCGGCGGCAACTTCACTCAAAACGGCAGGGACCGCTGAGTCACTTTTTCCGTGGACGAGGATGGTTGGAGGGAGGTTATCCAAGCGACCAAAGGTGAGAGGATACAGCGAGTGGTGAGTGGAAGGAATCGCTCGTACGCCTCCCTTGGCCACTTCATCCCCTAAACCCGGGACGCCCGTCATGTAATCTAGAAATAGGGCGTCGATGTGAAAGGTTGAAATAATTGCCATACGCAGGTCAGTACTCGGATCCGCAGGATAAGGATATGCGGCTAATACTGGCTTCTCCTTAATCGATGCCAGCGTCTGCTTTATCTCGGTGGTGTCGAAAACAGGGAGACCAAATATGTTGCCTCCCTTGGTGAGATAATGCGCATTCGCCATGTCGAGCATTCCGTAGACAGAAAGCAACGCAGCCGGCTTGTCTTTTGCGATGACAGAAGTCGTCAGGGCCAAAAATCCGCCAGCACTAGAACCGGAGAGTACCACTGGACCGAGCTCGATCCCGATATGGCTGGACAGGGACGTCAGCACCCATTGGTAGGCGTCTACCGCATCTTCTACAGAGGCGTGTGCAGTCTTCTCGGGAATGAGCCGATAGTCTGGTGTGACGAAGATCCACCCTCGACTTGCGCTTGCTTGCGCCAGCCATGTTGGGAAGAACGCATATCGATCTCCTATCACCTAAAGTAAGGTCGCCTGTCAGTCAAGTGTTCCGTTACAGAGTCCGAGGAGAAAGCCTTACCAAAAACCCGCCATGGTAGTGGATCAAGACTGGTGGAGGGGAAGGCGGCTTCGTGGAGGGGTACAAGACATCAACATTCAACTCAAGGCCATCCGCGGCCTTGAACGGGAACACCCTGTTCGTGTACCCTTCGAACCCAGACATTTGCGTAGCCATATTTTCGCAAGTCGTTTTCCCGCACTAGTTAGCTCGCAGTCTGATCGGCATCAAGGTATATATATGGCAGGTTGACATGATCGATGTTTCTTGACACTGACGGACGTGCGAGTAAGTAAGGACACTCATTCCGATGCGACCCCCCATTTAGCGATCACGTGTAACACTAATTCCGATGATGGGCGGAACCATGCCAACAGGCGTAGGTGTTGCTGTGTGGGTTAAGTCTTGACATGAAACGACAGCGAGATGTGTCACTTGCTCCTCGAAGCCAGCGCGACGGTAAGTGATAAGAATGGTATGTAACGGTTTTCTCGTAATCAGACCTCGGATCAAATGTGCTCGTGACGGTTCCTTCAAGTCCCCCTGGATCAACAAAAGCCAAAGTAGCTTGAGTCTTGGTTGGCAGAGGTGAGATTTGGGAATTCCAAAACATCCTCGTCTCAGGTTAAATTCGGCATGCCTATCCTATGAATCATTAAATATGTCTTGAAATACTCTCTTCTCATCGAGGCCGAAAGGGTATCAAGCCTAGCCACAGCCCGAAGGGAGCGGATTGACAACCTAATTATTGCTCAAACCCATGAAGCAAGTAGTGGGGCTAGCTCGCGTATCCGCGGGTTAGCTATTAACTGGCAATACACAGCCTCGGCCGTGATATTTTCCCCATTAGGCGACGCATCTCAATCACTACTCTTCTGCTTCGGAGAAAGTTTCACTTTCCTCCGTAGTCTTGGTGTTCGCAAATATCCAAGAACGCGATCATTTGATGCCGGACCCGTGTTGGCTTACCAATGTTCTAGGGATCGAACTGATCTCTCGGAGCTGTTACGGAGATATGGGCGGTTGATAGTGACTCCAAGAAGTATTAAACGTGGTGCAATCTCAAGCCACTCTACCACGAAGGCAGAGCGAAACATCAGAGCTGAAAATTGGGAGACACCATCACCACACCATGGAGAGAGTACTTGTCGTTGGCGCCACCGGCAACGTTGGCATTTCCGTCATCATCGCCGCCTTACGATCTCAGCGAGAAGTCCTGGCTCCAGTCCGCAACGCAGCCGCAGCGGAACGGTTGTACCAGCATGTTGGAACAAAATCGGGAATCACCACGGTCGAGGTCGACGTGACTAGCGACGATGGCGTACAGAGCCTCGTGGACCGTGTCAAGGCCAGAGAGTTGCCGTCTTTTCAGCATGTCTACGCCGCAGGTACGTGAATTACTGGGGGAGGAGAGTGCGCGCGAAGAACGATGTCAGCGGTGGTTCTCTTCAGTGCGTGCACAAGGCAGCTGACAACACGATAGTGGGAGTCTTCAGGGCTCAATCGCCGAGCTACACCGTCGATCTTAGTTACTACCGAGACGCAATGAACATCAACGCTGGAGCTGCATTTGGTAAGCCGACTGGACAATATTGGAGTGGATCCGCCAATCTAATGGCCCAATTCTAGCTGCGTACCGCGCAACGGTCCCGTACTTGCTCGAACAAGGAGACCCCAATGCTACATGGACGGTCGTGACCGGCGGCGCTGGCACGTACGGCAGCCACGGCGTCACCGCCATCTCACAAGGAGCACTCTTCTCACTAGCAGCGCTGGCCTCTCGCGAGCTCGACAAGACGAATGTCCGTTTCAACGAAGCGTATCTCGACTACCGTGTCGAGTACGATGCTCAGTGTGAAGGCGAGGCGAACGCATGGAAGATGAAAGCGTCCGACTACGCCAAGATTTATGAGGGCATTCTCGCCGACAAGAAGATCAAGGGCTGCAGAGTCATCTGCGAGTCTCCGGCCGATCTTGAGAAGTTGAGGTACGAGCCGAAGTTGCCCAACCCGAATGCGGCAAATTTGTTCGTCGAGTGAGGACAAAGGACATTGACGTTCTGGGGAGACCCTTGCAGGTCCAGGCGCTCTGTTCTGTGAGTGACAAGACGGCGGTTGTCACACGGGCTGTTACTATCATAGATTTCTGATTTTTTTGGACTTGCATACATCAAGAATCATAATAACTAAGAGTCACTCATGATTGTCTTCATCAATCCACCGTCGTGTCTGTCACTCGATACTGGAGATAGTACAGGGGGGAAATCTTGGATTTATGACACTTCTACAAGGGGGGACCTTCAGATTTGGTTGCCAAGCGGCTTTTACTGTTATTGTGGCGGAGAGATCCATGCAAGCGTTCATGTAGACACACGAGCTCCCGAAAAAGCAAGGGATTAAAACGAATGACATTCAGCAATGTGCTAATTTAGCTCTGGGTATCAAATTCTGGGCTGCCACCTGTTTCCTCCCCCAATCATGGGAGCGAGAAGCCTCCACGCAGCAGTACGCGCGGTTCATGATGAACACACCACAAACACTAGCTAGACTGTCGTTTTGTCGGATCATGTTAGGTCACATACATGCTTCATGGCAGCGAGGAGACTTTTCTCGTTTGAGCCCTCCAGGGCGTCCGCCTGGGGGATTCTGCCTTCCCTCTCGGCGCGATCCATGGCGTCCGGGTCGTCGACATCGATCCCAGCGACTTCGGCCTCGACCTGCCGAATTGGGCCCTTGAACCACTTGCGCGCCCAGAGGAACCAACTTCCCATACACCAGACGCCAATAATGCCGACGGCCACAACAGTGTAGTTCAGCGTCTGACTGTCGACGGGGTTGACAGCCGGGAGGCAGAAGATGATGGTGATGAAGCAGATCCACAGGACGGCAACGAGTGCCACGGGCCGAGAGAACTTGTGCAGGTTGAAGGGCCCGTGGATGAAGCCCTGTGGGTTCACCATGCCAATGAGGATGGGCAGGCCGTAGGAGATGTACAGGCCGATGGTGGCGATGGAGGTCGCTGCTGCAAACGCGACGCTTGAGCCGACGCTTGGGACTGCAAGGAGGAACGACAGCGTGGCCGCGAGCCAGATGGTACGGATCGGGCTGCGGAAGCGTTTGTCCACGTGGTGGAAGAAATGCGGAATGCCACCGTCTCGCGCGAACGAGAACATCATCCGTGAGTTCGACGTCAGGCTGAACAGCCCGCAGTGCCAGACGCATACAATGACGAGTACGAAGAGAACAATCGCGCTTTCTTTGCCGCACACGTCGACCAGGATTTGTAGGACAGGGTTTCCGTATTCGGAGGCGAGAGTTGTGTCGAAGTCTTGGATACTGAACAGGAGGCAGAGGATCAAGAACCAGCCAAAGACGGCGGAGCAACCAATCGACATGAGCACGCCGATTGGGGCAGACCAAGATGCGTTTTGAGTTTCCTCGGATAGATGTGCGCTGAGGACTTGTTAGGAAGGCTGCAGCGTTGCTACTGGTCAGAGCCGCTCACCTTGCATCGAATCCAGTGATGGTGTATTGAGACATGAGAATACCAACGCAGGCGACATACGCCGGGGAAGCACGGACAGACCATCCTGGATCGCCGGTTCCGTCGTAGAACGTTGCAAAGACGAATTTCGCGCTCATATGGGTGGGTGCTTTGGCGACAACAGCAACGGCAAAAGAGAAAACACCCACTGAATGAAGAACAATCGAGGTGTTGTTCAAATATCGGAGGATGTGCACGCCGAATGAGTTGACAATGCCATGGGAGAACAGGATTGCCGCGTAGATACCGAGGGTTTTCCCAGCGGATGGCTCATAGCCGTTGATGCTTGCCAGTGTCGACACAAGTCCGGCACAACCAAAGGTAATTCCTGTCGTCACGGCGACTTGTCCAAGCAGGTTGAACCAGCCAGTTACCCAAGCAACAAATGGTGCCCATGACTGAGGTGCCAAAATTGCTGCCCAGAAGTATGGTCCGCCAGCTGATGGAATGGCTGAAACCTGAGGTTAAGTTCTTGGTCAATCGTGGGATCGACCACATAAGGGGAGAATTCAGAGAATCAGAGCGAAACGCAGCATACAATTTCAGCCATTCCTGTTGCTTGTCGTTAGTTGAGGTACTGGGTCCTGACAATATCGACCGGGCAATGCTCACCTAACCCGACAAACATGGTGAAAAAGCTGACCTGCAAGCCAGTCAATTAACAGATCCGTTTTCCAGATATCTAGAGAATGCGTACAATAATCCATCCTACACTCATCACACCCGGGCCACCCGTATTTAGACCATAGCTGAACAACGTGGTAATACCAGTGATGACGGAAATGATGCTGAAAGAAACACCAAAGTTGTGGATCATGGACCAGTCTCGCTTCAATTCTTGCTTGTAGCCCAATTCACGTAGTCGACCTTCATCTTTGGACATGCTGCGCGCCGCGGTTCCTGCATACTCGGCGTCGGACATGTTAGGCGACGTTATCAATGGGCTGGCTGTGTGGGGCGGGGGTGGAGTCGTTGAATTGCTTGGGCAAGGCTTGTGGGCTGATAAGAAATGGTCAAGCCTGGGACAAGCTCTCACAATTCTCTCCCGGAAGCAAGATCAAGCTTGCCGCAAGCTTGGAGGGTGTACGAGCCATCTTTATATCCCACAGGCACCAGTTGATGGCTGTCAATTAGTCTCATGCCAACCTCGGAGTTTACTGGTGCGTCCATATCTAGTGATAACAACGTTGCTCTGGCCAGAGATAAAGAGCATCAGCTCTGGTCAAGTGACAACCGGGCGTTTCCTCTTATGGAATGAATAGGCGGATGGCATTAAGATCGAGGGGAACGACTTGGCCATTCAGGAAGGCTGCAACATGGCGCTAGGTAGCCTCAAGCTCCCTTCCATGCGTCCGGGGATACGTGTGAGCTTGACTGATTGCATTGGGGCGTCTTAAGCGTAGTTCTTTGAGCAATAAGCTACGCCAGCCCTGGACGCTCTCTATCGGTACGAGGTTCCTTGATTGGGTCGAATACTTTGAATCACCTTATACCTCGGTCGTAATCTGACCATCTCCCACACCTGTAGACCTCACTCGCTTATTCCGAAGAAGTACAAGTACTCGGCAGCTCACCACCAAAAACTTACGCTAATGCCAACGGAGCAGCTTCGGACATAATGCCACCAGCCAACGGGTATATACAATGCTTGGCCAGCCTCAAGGATACATTCTGTGTATGGAATGCCATTGATTCCCGGGTAAACCTCGTCCCAATCTTCAAGTGGGGACAGTTCCATTGCAGCAATATCAATCTGAGAAGTATTCGACATGTCAATGGTTTCTGAAGCCTGGCTATCCTCCTTTGTGAATTCTGGAGATCCTTCTGTACGGTGAGTTCTAGCGTGAGGGGCAGGTTCGTCCTTACGTCTCGGCAACAATGCGGCGCTATGGGTGGGCGAATACAAGCGAATATATTTCTTTCCGACAACCTGGCACAATATGTTATGGTAAGGGTCGTGATGCAACGGAGAGATTGTCCAGGCAGGGCCAAACCAGATGTTTTGTTGAACCTCGGAGTCAGTACTATCCTTGTCCTCAGGTCCGAAAGAGGCAAGTCCAGTTGAAGAACCGACCTTTGGGTTCCTGGCCTTGTTGGTTTCCGTTTCGACTCTACTTGAGCAAACAGGCGTACCTGGCTCCGGGCCAGGAACGTCCAAATAGCAATAATCGGGAACGGCGATGTCACCCCGCAAGGACGGAATTTGCTTAAGAAGGTCGTGTTGGGCAAGGTAGCAGGTCCTAGGAGGCTCTCCGGAGCGGAATCCAGCCTCTGGCATCTGTAAAATGAAATCGTGGAGGAATTCACCAAAAGATAGTATCCTTTGGCCCCAATCTTCATCTGTGTAACTGCGCCCAATCTCAACGGGGACTAAACGCCGGCCCTGGATGGTATTGTCCAACCAGTAAGAGCTATTTTTCCATTTTTCAAGCGCTGCCCAATGAGTTAAAATGTCGGTCAAAATGATAGGTTCCCGCTTATCCGTCATAAAGGCTTGGAACTTTGTGAGTGAAGGATTTGACATTTGCGGAATGGGAAAGTGGATTGTAGGAAGGGAAACAGTGTCATGGGGCAGGATGTTAGTTAATTCTTGGAGACGTCTTCTTTTGCTTGGGCGCTCTGAATCTTCTTGATGTTCTCCGAGGGCTTTTTTTAGATTGAATAGGAGGTCGTGGATCAACTGCTCCCGGCCAAGGCCGCCGGCCATGATGAGCGCCATGTCTAGAATGGAGACAATGTTATCCAGTTCTGAAAGTTCAAAGGGGTTCTCCATTACTGTCAATGCCTTGGCAATACTGGCGTCAGTGTAGAGACGAAACCAGCACGGCCTCACGTCTTTGAAAGGGAAAGTATGCAATTTCTGGTCGGCAAGTGCAAACAGGCTCTCAACTTGGTCTCTCAGGTGCTGGTAGCCATCAGGATGACATTCAAGAATGGGATCTTCAGGAATGCCCTTCTGCATCTGTTTTACGACACATTGCAGGAATTCGGGGTTCGATTTCAACACCATGATTTCAATGATCTGTCCAAGTTTGTTTGCTCATGTCGGAGCAAAGGCTGAGGAAAAGAAATATAGGGAGTTCCGCGGCTTTGAAATGTCAGTGGTAGATGTACGAGTAGCAGGCACCCAAGACGTAGGAGCGAGGCATGTTTTAGGCGCTTGAGAGCCTTGGCGTGGCTGAAATGCGCAAATCTGGCAGGTGTACCGAAGCGTGGAGTTGAAGACCAACATGCACGTGACACCACTGCTCGCCGCTCTCGCTTCCACCCACTTTGCCTTCTTGCCTTCTCGCCTTCTTGCCTGCGCAGTTGCTTCTTCTTCCACCCTCTGCATCGCCATTCTCCCTCAACCTCTACCTCTACCTCAGCTTCAAGGTGCGAGGTGCAAAGTGCTGTCCCTGCGCCCTCCACTTGCATTTGTGCATCCATCCGGGCTCTTAGCCTTGAGCTACTTCGCGCCAGCGTTGGGATTCTGGTTTCACTCATCCGATATCATCCCCGGCCGTGGCGCCAGCTCACAAACGTATCCTCATTTCCCAAGGATTAGCATCTAGAATCTGACCTCGAGACCGTGGTGAACTGCACAATGGCCGACGTGTCCTCTACTCGCCTCTATCTGGGCAATCTTCCCCGCAACAGTATGCACACCTCCGCTCCGATCTCTTTTTGTGCCAAAGGATAACTGTTTCCACCCACCCTCGTTCCTGTTCCTGTTCCTGTTCCTAAATCCGAGGATCTCCAGCTTGAAACTCCAGGTTTTCCCAAGTCGCTGACTCTTGACTCCCCAACTCAGTCACAAAGCAGGATATTGAAGACCACTTCAGCACACATGGAGCTGGTACCATCAAGGAAATCAAGCTAATGAACGGCTTCGGTTTCATCGAATACGAGGATGCCATGGATGCTCGCGATGTGGTTCCAGGTATTTCAGCCAACTTCCCACTCCCTTCTCCTTGTTTCGCTAACAGATTTTAGCATTCCGTATGCCCTCCCGCTCCCTGCTGCTCCCTTGTTTCTTTCTTGGTCTAATAGGCGAGTAGATGGAACTGAGTTCAAGGGTGAGCGATTGACCGTTCAGTTCGCTCGAGGCCCGCGCCGCAAGGATGACTTTTCTGGCCCTCCGGATCGTAATGTGCCTCGCCCCCGTCGTACCATCTATCGCATGCAGATTACTGGTTTGCAACCCGAGACCAGCTGGCAGGTCAGTTTCTACATGTGGAAATTTCACCCGACTTCTGGGTTGATGGTTTTACAGGATCTGAAAGATTTCGCTCGAAATTCTGGCCAACTCGATGTCGTCTACTCCGAGACGGGACGTGAACGCGACGGCAAAGGGTACGCTCCGTATTTTGAACTGAAGAGACAACTACTCACCTGGAGTATAGCTTCGTCGAATTCGAAACTAGCGCCGATCTCAAGACTGCCGTTGAAAAACTAGATGGACAAAGCTTCAAGAATGCTACTGTCCACTGTATTGCAGATGTACGTACATGTTGATTCGGAGGCGCATAGATAAACTGACACATCGCAATCTCAGATTCAAGAAGAACGAGCGGATGCCAGGAGTTATCGCCAACGCAGCCCACCACGCGGTCGCTACGGTCCTCCGGATGACTGGGACCGCCGTCCGCCTCCACCAAGAGGCTACAGTCCACGAGGCTACCGTGAGCGCTCTCCTGGCCGTCGCCCACCACCTGACGACTACTACGACCGAGGCTACGGACGACGAAGCCCACCTCGAGGATATGATGGGCCGCCACCTCCTAGGAGGTACGATATTGATCCATATGATAGCCGAGGTCCACCACCTGCTGCACGAGGATACGGTGACCCATATGCAAGAAATGGAGATCCGTACGCTCGTCCTCGAAGCCCGCCTCGTTACGGAGGCTATGGGTCTGGAGGAGGTGGTGGAGGCTACCCTGCCTATGACGATCGCCGTGGATACTAGGACGTGTGCAGACGATTTCGACTTCCGGATGGCAGTGTACTGTCTAACAACTTGATGACGTGAAATCCTGTTATGATTTTCTGGGTGGCATGATGGACCTGTACAACTACCCAATGATCCCTGGGACAATCGATGTATCCAGCTTTTTGTGGACACTGTAAGAGTTGACATACGAGCTAGCACCGTGGATATGACAACAGTCGCAGGATTGGTTCAGGCACATCTCAAAGCGGTGGACTGGACTCGTTAGGTTTTCCTTTTCTTCTGGCCTAGTTTTCGAAATTGGAGCGTACCGCATGGGCCCGAACCTAAGGATTATGACACGAAGGATCCATTATTTGTGGTCTACAGACTGAACGATGAAACAGAGTCACAAATGAGCCAGACTAAGGGCTGTGGACTCCGTCTTTATTGGACATCCTGGTTCACATGCAAGCAATAAATTCGTTACTGGAAGGAAACCATCAGGCAAATCGTTTTTTTTTTGGATCCTCACGGCTCTTGAATTCGACTACCTTCAGTTCTGTAACGCGGTACGGCCAAATAGCATTACCCCCGTCCGTTGTTTTACTCTTCCAGGATCCGTAACGCACAACCTGGAATTCTTGGTTTTGAGTTAAGTGACTGGCTAAACTCCCTGGGGTCCTTTTTGTCTCTCCAGGACTCGAAGTTTGTCGGAGAACTAAAAACTAATGGACAAGGGTAAGTTCCAACCAGCAGAATCAATTTTCCTTGCTGTCACGATTCAGTTATTGCCTTTCCCCTGCTAGCCTTCTCCCCTCCCCCCAGGTAAATGCGTAGCCTCACTTGGTCTGCGTACGAAGTAGGGGGTCCTGAGTGCCGAGTACTGAACCCTCATATAATGCAAAGAAACACCACCAAGAACCATCTCTCCTCTTTTCCGCGAGCGGCGTAGAGTAATGTGTCATAGTCCAGCGGAGCTCTGCACTTCCTAACCCTCGCCTCCTCTGAACTCTCCCCCTCTTCCTCTGCCAGGCCAAAAAAGAAATTATGACAGAAAGAGCAGTGAAGCGAACCAACGAACCAACGACCGAGCGCGCGAGCAATTTGTTTGAAGCTTGCTTGCTTTGAGAGTAACTGGTGGGTATTCGATGTATTTCTCGTGTAGGTAGACTTTGGGTACTCAATGCGCCTCTCCAGGTCCCTGCCTACACATGTATTAGTATATCCATCTAGGATCTACGCGTCTCGTATCCCGTACTGGCTAAATAAGCCCAAGCATTGTACTAACTAATTACCTACTCCGTACTCCGTCCTCCGGAATTAGTCAGGGCTAGATGAAGAGAGGGCTAGATGGAGAGAGGGCTTTCTGCATACATGCCAGATCTACATACCAACCTCAGGAATACATGGGAATAGACTAGTGCAGACGGGAACACATGACTATTGAATATCATTTACCGCTTTCCTTGCACTCGCATCAAACAATGGATATCATTGATAAGAGTAGGGGGCTATCTATAGATAGGCTTGTGTCCTATATCAGTATAGATGGATAGAAGATATGATTCATATATGATAACCCGGGTGAGAAAGAACTCATCGCTATGCCTGCCTGCCTGCCGGTCAGACCACAAAGACCATGTCCTATCCTAGGCATGACGATTCCGTCCCAATGCTTGCTTTCAACGGTCCTAGTCCTAGTCCATCACTTCCTACTCCAGTCCTGTTTTAGGCGTGGCAGCTATAGAACTGCCTCGTAGGCCTGATTTGGTTTGGTTTCCCTGCTCCCTCATCCATCATACATTCCGAGCATCATTTCATTCGTTTCTTTCGTCTGTCTAGACATTGACGCTTGTCCAGCATCATCACGATCAAACGTCCGTTTGTGGCGACCTCCGAAGATTCCAACGGGTTTTTGCTTTTTCTTGCTCCGAGGATGACTTTGCTTCCCTTTCATATCCGTTTCCCGAAGAGTTTCTTCCTCAGGCCCTGCGTCCGCACCACCTCCTTGACCTTAGGTGCAGTGTCTACCTCGCCCTGTTGTGTTTGTTTTCCTTTCCCTTTATATCTATCGCCACGTCCCGGCGAAGTAAGTTCTGGCGGTTGTGGTGGGGGGTATGGTGCCGATGTCCTCAACCCTGTTGTTCCTGCGGCAGGCCGCACCGGCAATGCTGTCAAATCGCCTTGGGGCTGGGGGAGTTGTTGTGAGGCGATGTGAGGTAGCGGAGATGTGGGTACTTGCGGAAGTCGTGGTGTCATGTATGATTGTGGGTGACTGTCAGTCTGAGCATCAGTCGATGGTGCAGTTCGTGGGCGGACCGTTGAGGTTGATGTCGGGCTAGCTAGTGTGGATCTCGATTGAGGTCCTTGCTGTTGTTGCTGTGAATGACGCAGTGATTTGAGCTGTTGCTGCTGTTTTCGGACTTCGTCCTCTTCAACTACATCTTCCATCTCCCCATCCTCGTACTCGCCATCGTATTCATCGTCATCATCATAATCGTCAAACGCGCGCTGCGGATCGCCATTGTAGACAACCCACCAGCCAATCTTCTCCCCACTGGCAATCTTGTCGCGGAGATCGGCTAGCGCTTCCCACGCGCGATTCGTGAGCCCCGGTCCTTCTGATATCACCTCCTCCACGTTCATACTGAGTGCGGTCGGTTCGAGAGCCGCGATACGGGAAGGATTGGCCGTCTTCGAGGCCCCAGCCGCTGTTTTAGGCGGGTCAGATGTCACAGCTCCGCCAGTCTGTCCCTGTGAGGCAACTGGAGAGGAGTTTAGGGCGGCAAGAGGCAGATTTGGAGCATCGCCCGGGTTTGCAGCAATGGTGACAACCTTGTCGCCGACATAGGCGTAAGGCTGGCTGACAGCGTGGTCGCTCTCGGTATCCTCAGGATTATACTGTTCAATGAACTCGAGGGTGCGACCGGGAGCATCGAGCTCTTTCATGATCTCCGGATAGGCCTTGTGGAAAGATGCCAGGATATCAGTCTTACTGTTCTCATTCTGGATGTATTCGACCGAGGTGTCCTCGAGGTTGTGGAGTATTGCATGGACCCTAATTCCACTAAAGCCTTCCCGTGGCCAGCGGAAGCCGTGAACCAGGTAGACGGGCATCTCCGGTTGCGAGAGAAGGACAGCTGCGGAGATATGTGGTTTGCGAATATACCCAAAATTGAGTTTGAGGTGTGGGCTTTATCAAATGTTCGTCGTGAGCCTCGCTGCGGACGTCGCGATTGATGGTCCAGAGTTTTGGGGTATGAGAGTATTAGAACTGGTGTAGAGCTTTCTTCACACGCTGGTACATGGGAGGGTGCATGACCATGCTAGCGGTAATGAGGTCCGAGGTACAGACATGCCAAAATCGGTACTGACAGCTTTGTAGGGAGGCTGGTGGGATAGGAGTGGTGTTCCTAATTGTCATAGGTTGGATGTCACTGAGAAGGGCAGCCCAAGTACTTCACTCTCTACCCCATGAGAAGACACAGTCGCGAGAGAAGGTGAATTGGAGGCTGGAAAATTGTGAAACGTATAGGAGACTCCCCAGGGCTGTGTAACACCTCAAGACGCGGTTGAGAGCAAATAAATGACCTGTCAGAGTTGGAGGATGCCGAAATCTAGCGAGGATGGTGGATGGCGCATGTGTCCCACTGAACGAGGGGATCTGCAGCACTCTAGTTACTGTATGCTCCGGAGTAGAAAGCTACGGCGGATTCCAAACATCCTTCTGACCGGCTCCAATTTCGCATGACGAGGCTGGGATCAAAAGGGAGGAACATTGTCTCATTTTATGATGCTCCCGTCATATGTTTCTATGCGTTTGTATAGTAGTTGGATCGATGATTGATCCTGTCTTGCCCGTTGGACAATTGTGGATTTTTCTTGGAGGGAGATAAGGAAAGTCTCTGGCCCCTCAGTGAAAGTTTCAATCCTTCTCGATCTCAAATTCGAAAAGGACTGTTTAGGTCGAACTGAAAGCCACAAGACAACTGCGGTATCTGGGAGTAATGTTCCTGCAGTAATCCGCGAGTATTTTGAAGTATCTAAGGCCTGTACGTGAGCTCCAACAAGTTCTTCCACTCATCTGCACGAGGGATGATTCTCGACTTACCTGTATCCAACTCACATTCCAGTTGAAATCACGCTTCATGGTTTCCAAAAAAGCCCAGGACATCGCACCTAACATTGGCACAACCTGCGTTAGCACGACATAACCCAGCTAGCACCCATTGCAAGTGAAGGTCGACACTTACCAACATGTCGTCCGTTGATAAAAGCATCCGCACTGGTCTGCTCGTCCTTGCAGCCCGAGAACATGAAAACGGATCTGCCTTCCTGAGACCAATCGTTCCCGAAATTGTCGACTTCTTGTAGACCTTCTCGGTCGTTGCCATCGAATTCGTGTTTTAGGCCGCGGAAGAACGAAGTAGCACCCGCAAGGAGGTGCCGGGCTTCACCAGCATTCGAGATGGAGAAATCGCCACGGATTAGATGGGATGCCTACGATGTCAAGGATATTAGTGAAGGAACTGGAAAGGGTGTGGATCGTCGAAGAGGAAGGAAACGTATCAGTGCGTACTTCGCCAATCAACTCTGCTCCCATTCGCAGATTGTCAAGCAGGTTGACATTTCCATCGTCATCTGTACGGTAGACAAATGGCAATTCAACCGCGGAGCCACTAGGCAAGACACACGTCAGCCTTTGAATCCCAAAGAAAAGGCATGCAGCCGAGAAAACAATACCTATGACAGCAATCGAAAAGAATCACCAGAGTCGAGTTCGGCGGCAAGGCACTAACCAGATGCCTGTGCAAGGTCCCACTGTCGATCATCCCGTTTCTCTCAAAATCCACGGGGACGATGGTATCGTCATAGGCGGTCTCCCGATTACCAGGTACTTGGCCCCCGTGGCCGGAGTAATGTAGAAAACACACACACCCGGGCTCAGAGACCAGCCATGCCATGGCAGCCAGGATGTTGTGCGCAGAAGGGTAGTATGGAGAATTGGGTGGATTGTAGTTGCTGTCTGTGAGCTGTACCATGCTGCCCGGCTGTTTGGGGTATCCTCGAGATACCAGAAACTCGCTCATGTTGGCGACATCATCAATACAGCCTTGCAGCTGATGTTGAGACCCGCTATAGTTGATCCCAATAAGGAGAGCTTTGCGCCGGCCCATGGCTGGTTTCTTCAGTGTGGATGATACGCCGACAGGTGAACGATGGAAGAATCGTCATATATCCACATGCGTGTTCACCCTTGCTGTCATCGGGATGACTGACAGGGGCAACCCACCAGAAGAGAAGACAGTGGACGCAAATCTCAAATAGCAACTGTGCGCCACAACTTGGAGTAGTAGACAGGGTTACGGTCTATGTCAGGAGGGAAACTCATTAAGCAGAAATCAAACATCTCGTGTGCTTTGGCAAATGGTTAGGCCGAGCTGATGTGGCATATGAGGGAGTTTCCGCTTCAGCTCGGATGGCGGCTGCAAAACCCAACCGCAAGAAACTTTCCTTGGATAGATTTTGGGTTTACCAGTTTATTCCCCTGAACCAGCTAGTGGTGCGAGCCACGTCAACCCGATGGATTGGAGCTGATTACGTGAGCTTGCTCCAAGATTTGGAACAGGGCTCGAATTGGGAAAAGGGGGGTACAGAATAACAAGACTGAAAGTAACCAGTCAGGATGACGATATCGAAAGAATGGCAGTAAATCGGCATTTGGGCCCCGATTCCAGCCTCGTTGACCGAAGTCGACAGGCTCCAAACTATGAAGAACGGTCCAACGCGTGTTCTGGTATTCTTTTTGTCCTAGTCCCAGTCCCAAACCAATGAACCGACTATACATGCATCCATCATATTTCCATATGTCCAAATAAATCTCTGGCCTCAACGCTGCTAAGTCCTTGTTTAGCAAATAGAGTTTCAGCCGCAAATATATATCCCTGTAATACGTTCCACAGTTGGCCACCCGTTCAATACCAAAGATTCTTGCGCCGTGATCAACCCGAAAGTGCAGTAGATACAGTCATGACCTCGTAGACGCATTACCAAGAAGACAAAGCAAAACCCCCAAGTTTAGTAATCGCTGAACCATTCGCAAATACAATTCGATGCTAGCTGAGAGACGGTGTCGGGCGAGCGCTTCCGCCTTGACATATGTTTGTTGCCGGCGTCAGTCGCAGCTGGAGGGCTGTACTCATCCTCGGTGACACAGATGGTTGGGACGGTAGGGATGGGCATGATTTGCCAGTTGTTGAGAACTTGCATTTGTTGGCAATAAGGCTGGATGTTGCTGTGTGGTTTCCTCTTCTCCACCATCTTCACCAGCTTGGGGAATATACCAGGGGCGCCAATTTGGGTTGTTTGACGCTTGTTTTTTGCACCATTCCAGTAAGGGTCGTTGTAGGGTGTGGGAGAACTCTGAGGTGGACTGCCTTTAGATTCAATGTTCGTGGTAGGCGCGCCTGGCGCATTCGTGGGATAGATAGACGACGTTTGGCCTGTGGATGTCGGATAGCCTGATGTAATGGTGGAAGTTGCGGCCCATGAATCCCACAGGTTCATATCTTGGTCGAGGAAAATCCAAAATTCACTAACTGTAGAATTCCAATAGCAGTACCAAGGCTGGTCGCCAATGCTCAACCAGTTGGGATCTTCCCAGTCCGTTCGTTGCGTTAGATGCGAGGCGGGGATGGATCGCTTCCTCTCACTGGGGGGAGAAAGAGCCTCTGCCGGGACTGTGAGATGAGTTAGTGGCCAAATCTCACCAAGGGGGGCAGTTGACTGACGAATGCTTAATTTATCAAAGAGAACACTAAAGAACAGCGCAACACCCAGATCATCGTCCTCCCTGTCCATGTAGGGTTCCATGGTGAATGCAGTACCGTTGAAGTCGGGTGGTTGTGGACCATATTTGAATTGCTGGGGTCGGATAGAATAGTCATCAAAGACTACCTGCAATGAGCCGCCGTTGGGGATCTCAAAGATGTTAATGCCGAGTTTGGCAAAATCCATACAGCCCCAGGCGTTCTTGAGGGCAGGGTCAACGACGCAGGTGTCAACCTCTTCAGTTTGGTTGAGTGCCAGTGTATAGTGGCCAGTTGGGCATGGCCCTGTCGACCCATCTGTTTGGGCAGGATCTGCATCAAGCCATATGGTAGTGGTTGCGCTCCTGTAGTCAAGAATTAGTCAATGGGGGAGGCTGAGGGAGGTGTCACAGCATACCCGTTTGCCCTGTCTGTGCCCTTCTTCGTGCCCACCACTCCACCAATCACTCCACCTAGGAGGGCAGCAATTATCACAACGGCTACAATGATGACGAATGTCCAAAATGGGATCCCGAAGCACATTCTTTTGTTCCTCTTTTGTTCTGCCAAGCCTTCCTTCCTTGCTACTTCGTCTGAAGAAGAGCTGTCACCGACATTTGTCAACTCAATGTTCGAGGACGAGGCAGGGACCGGTTGAGTGGTGGGAGAAGGTGAGGGGTCGTCTATAGCGACAGTAGGCGGTTCTATCCGAGCCATGTCGCCTTTAGCAATCACGTTGTCGGCATAGCGACTGTAGGGAGGTAATTGTTCCACGTGACCATCAGATCCTACAATATCACCGACCTCGTCTCCAGAAGAATGCGAGCTGGATTGTGAAGATTGGCCTAGGCCAGGAAACCCCAAGGGGATATGTAGCTGCGAGTCATCCCCTTCCTCGGGAACAGTGTTTTGTTGATACATTCCGTAAGGATGTTCAGGCCCTCCCTGAGGAACAAAAGGTCGGTCGATGGGGCGTATGGTTGCTTCGCTTGCAATACTCGAGGCACGCGTGGCCTGAGGATATAGACCATAGGGTTGGCTAGGAGCAGTCGGGCCATTGTAGGGACTGGGTGCTCGAGGTAGAGAAAAACGAGAGGATGTGCTGAGTGTTCTGTGCGTATCAGCTATCGAATGAGACGAGGTAGAAACGGTTCTCTGGGGGGTGGTGGAAAAGTTGGTTCCAGATGTGCCGGACATGGCAGATATTTGGCCCATGCCAACTAAATTTCCAGGAAGGCCAGCAGGAGTATACTCTCTTGGATCTGATTCGGGATCGACATGATGGTTGAGTGATAATCGGTCCGAACGACTGTCTATCGAATCTATTGGACTGGAAGTGGCACTGGCAAAGGGATTGGGGTTGTCGGCAGCATAATCATCACTGAAGACATTGGGGTTGGAGGAATTAGATGATGTTCTTCGGTAGGAAGGGCGTGGTTCAGCGGAAAGGGAGCTGGTGGAAGGAGGTCGTCGCGCCATGGGCGCTGCGCCACCCCTTACGGCGGTCACGTCAAAAGCGAGAAATTCGAATCGATGAGGGGAGAGTCGATGATGAACGCGAGATAAGTGTGTAGGACGAAGAAGGTGTGAGAGCTGTTTAACGGGTAATGTAAGGGTTGGCGGTGGTGGGTTGGTGGTGGTGGATGATTGTGAGAAAGTGAGAAGTGAGAAGTGAGGTTTGAGGTTGTTTAGTGGAAGACGGTGGTAGGTGGTGATGCTTGGGTGCAAAGCGGCAGTAGCAGTAGTAGCAGCAAGAATCCAAGACGGCAGGCGCAGGTGCGGGTGCAGGCTGATGATCGGGGGTGGTCGGTTGGGCAGGGCCAGAGGCCAGAGCGCGAGCGAGGGTTGCTGAGGGTCGCTGTTGCAGACTTGGGTGCTTGCCTTGGTTGCTGCGCCTGCAACTCCTGTATCCACTGCATCACTGGCACTGGAAACCACACTTCTTGGCACCCGGGTTGATCTTGTCCCCATTAGGCCGTAAGTCCTGGTCATTTTCACAGCGACCCTGTCATTTGAAATCTCGGCCACTGCGCACTGTTGCCCACCACCAATATGTCTCTGCACTTCCAAATGCCTGCTTCTAATATCCATGTTCATCCACGGAAATTCCGACCGATCCCCTCTTCGCATACCCCCTTCTTGGCACACGCCGATCGCGCTCGAGTATGAGTACGAGTAAGGGCCAGCCGCCCATCCTAGATTTGCAGCCTGATCCGCGATGACCCCACGACCTTCCTTGGCCCTTCGCAGTTATATGCGACGAGGCGGGTTCTAAAAGCTTCACCACCGTGAGGATCGATAGAGATCATGGCCGCAGAAGTACAGGCACTTTTGCGTTTCCTCACAAAAGATGCTCGGCTTCCGTTGCAGGACGCCATGTCCAAGATCAGTGCTCTCCGTAAGCAGAGCCTGAGCACGCCTGATCAGATCGCTAAGGCCGATCCTGCGGATCTTAAGTCCATTTTCACGGCTGAGAAAACGGATTATGTGAAACAAGTCATCAATGCTGCCAAACGTGTATCCAACCCAAAGAAACGCTCGGCGGCACAAGCATCATCCTCGATCTCCAAACGGCCCAAGTCAGAATCAGATGTGGTTGATGAAGAAAGCCTTCTGGCTTTTCCCCAAACCGACCTGACCCAGGATGAACTTGAGAATGTCACTATTGAGACCAATCGAGCCCCCCTCTTTCTCGCCTTCACAATCGCCGTCTTAGCCTATACCCAGCCTGAACAGCCACTATCAAGCCGATGGAGCATGGCCCAGGCAGTAGTGAGTACTGGTGCACAAAGCAAGGCCAAGTACCTGGGCTTGACATCGGGTCCAACTGCCGAGGAGGACGGCTGGGCTATGGGTCAGCCCAAAATCAAGATCATGGGCCGTGAAGTGGCTGTTATGCGAAGACATGTCGTTAAGTCTGACGAGGACTCCCTCAGCCCCACAAGTGCGTACTGGGGCTTGGACCTTGAGGCTTTGCGTAGGTCAAATGGCCCATTGATTGCACGTAAGGATAATAAACGACAAGATGCCCCCCCGATCCACACGCCAATCGCTCCCCGGAATTATCTCTTGAAATCTATGATCGATGTTCAAGCCAACTCCGAGGATAACGATCCTGCGCCGAAAACCAAAGCAGAGTCTAAAAAGGAGAAACCAGCAGAAATTGCTCGCAGAAAAGAGGAAGCCGCAGCGAAGATGCTCAAGGCCATCGATATCGTGTGTCAGAGCTGGGCAGAATACTCAAGCAGAGAAGAGTTGGACTCTAAAGCTCAGACGTGGTATATCCGCGTTCGACCAGATGTGGATCATGGCCAAGCAGGATGGGGTCAACGTGGCCAGGTCAAGTTGAGAGACATTTTACAACTCAAGAAAGGATAAATCTCTCTAATGGAAAAATCATCTTTTGATGCTGAATACAAGAATCGCATCTTGTCGACAAACTTTTCAACGTGTCGTGTCAACCACGAAAGCTATGGTACAAAGTGCTTTACATGAGGACATCCAAACCATCCAAAGTCATCCACCGGTGCTTGAGCTGCGACCTCGACTACTTCTTTAGGCCTACATCACCTAGGGAACCAATAGCGTGTCAGCAACTTCAGACTAGGAAATGCCACTGGACTCGTGTAAGCAACTCACCTTTCCAGAAGTTCTTATCGACCTTATTGTCATCCTCACTGAGCTGGTTGACGGATCGATCGCTCCGTTTCTCCATCTCTTCGTTATGCTTCCTCACTTCAGGATCTGTGTCTTCTGCAGCAGATTTGGGTCGATGAATCGCAGGGCTTCCACCATCGCCGCTCGTCTCTTGATTTTCCGATGACTGTGCTGAGGATGCGGAGGTCGACGAAGACGACTTCTTATCAGTTCCTTTACTCGCTGGAGCCTCTGGGCCGGGGTGTTCGAGATGGGATTTGGGATTCTTCAGGTTGGTGCCCTGCTCCATTCCGGACTGCTCGTTGCCGTAAGATTGATGGGCCAGTCTCACAGATTGAGCTGGGAGGAAGGGTCGAATGGCCAGACCTGTCGCTCGAGGAGAACCTCTGCTCACCAACGTCCGGAGTGACTGCATGATAGGGGGTAGTTCCGGAAAGACAAGTTCTAGTTCTGCTTGATAAGAGTAGGCTCAAATACTGACACGATTCCGTGCCGAAATATATATCTCTGTTCCTCTTGTATGGATGCTTTTGCACTCTGGATTCCAATCGCAGAAATGTTAACGTCTTCTGTGGACAGACGCAAAGAAAACCAAGTATTCGTACAGATCTTCAACACAGAACAGCTGCCAATTGAGTGAGGTCACGACCCGCAACTCACTGCCCCCCATGATCATGCTGCGCATCATGTTGGACGAGATCATCCATGACTTCATCATTGCCAAGCCCGGCGCGGACAAAGGGAGACGTCTTCTGGTCGATCGCCCGGACTTGATCTCCGATTTGCCCGAAATCGCTTTTCCGTCACTGATTGTGCCTCACTGGGCCCCCAGGTGCGTTGCTTGGGAGAATGCTGAGATCAGAGGCGCACAGTCATGCATATTCGTACCTGTATCACTGCGTCTTTGGGCGTGTGTAGCCAAAGCCAGTGATGGCAAAACAAGACTCGGTGACCAGTTTACTTATTGCTTTCTCTTCGTTTTTAATTTTACTTTTTAAGGGCAAACAACAAACACTGAAAATGTTCTCGGTTGAAGGGGGGGGAGCAAATGCAAAGGGTAAGTATGGAGCTGTAATTATTACGCATAGCTACGTTATGTAGGTAGTCACTCGTCTCAATAACATTCAAGTTCGTGACCGTCCCAAGACCCAGACCAAAAGAAGCTATGTGTATTCATGTACTGCAACCCTGTTCACAAAGTGGAAGGGCCTCGCAGCTAGTCGATGTCAAAATCCCGACATTGAAGATTAGAACTTTCGCTCGCTCAAAAAGCACCTAGACAAATAATTGTAAAATCCATAATGCGATTCAAGAGAGTCCCAAAATGCAGAAGACGCGGAGGGGCGGCAATAATCTAGAGCTCATGAAATTCCCCATGGTCTGAGCTCTTTATCCAAAGACTCTCAGAAACGCCCATAGTCCTGCACTGCTCAATAGAGGAATTGTGAGGTTGTCGTCCCATCCCCACATATCAATCAGTTCGGAAAGACTGGCGATTAGGCCAGTGCACAAGCTCATAATCGTGAGTGCTAAGTTTCCCACAATCATCCCTTGATTAGCCTCCCAACCGAGGAAGACTTTGGCCTGAGAAGGTAGGGACAGTCGATTCTGGAACATGAATCCGTTGACGGGATCGTCCGGAAATGGACCTGTTCTCGGTGCAAGCCAGCCCCAGAAGAAAGCTGCTACTAGCGCACCTGTGGCAAAAGCTGCAAGAGATCCAGCCAAAGACTTTCCTCTACGCAACCGAATCGTGTAGCGACCGTATAGTCGGCCGAATGTACTCGCAGCGGTATCACACCAGGACAAAAGAAGGATAGACATGACTCCAATATCTTTCGGATAAAATTGTAGAGCGATGACCGCGCCAACCAAATACCAAATAACGCCGTTGTAGCCTTCAACCTCGGTTTCACGCATCAATGCACCCAGCACGCGAATGTAGAACCGGTTAAATCGATCGGAGTGGTGGCGTAGGATATCAGTCGGCCCAATGATGGCCAATGCTCCCAATAGCCATGGTGTAATGGCAGTTGCTTGAATGCCATGCGTGTAAAATCGCAATGTAAAGAAACCGATGGAGACGTGCAGTACCTTGCGAGGAATTTCATGTTTGTGAATGAGCGTGCGGTAGTGCCGGTGGAGAGGGATCAGCCCAAGTGGGGAGGGTGATCGAGAAAATTCTCGCCATGATTTCTTGACTCGATCGTAGGGAGAGAGATGTCCATTGGACTGAGGGACAAGTGCAGCGCCATTTGTGAGAGGTTCTGATTTTGTGACAGGATTCTTGGAGGTGAGGCCGCTCATGCGTCTTCTTTTGCTGGTGGTGCCATTCATTTGAACAGCTTGAGATAGTATTGGGCTTCTTGACCTCGTTCTAGCCCTCTTCTCAAGGCTCGAGTCTGAGCCTGAACCATCTCTCTCTTCGTGTATAGGTTCTTGGTGAGGAGACTTTTGTCTCTGGGATTTCGCAGCTGATCTGGTGACTGGTGCAAAATAGGAGTCCTGTCGGTCGGAGGCCTCGGAAGGGGTGGGAGAAGGAGAAATGACTCGCGGAGTGGCTGGAATTGGGTAAGGATACGACATCAGGGAGTGCGTGTGTCGAGATGTGTGAGAGAAGACGTCGGGAAGTGTGTCGGTGGTGGAGGGTGGTGAGAAGTGGCACACGCGCACCAAGGTCAAGTTGTGGAGAGGTGGGCGAAGATTATTGTTGCATGATGAAAGACAACAATGACCAGATCCTGTCTCTCATTGCCATGAGCCAGCTCAAGAAAAGAGAACTGCAAAACTCGACGGGTGATACCAGTGATCAATGGTCGGTGTGTTAAATGTGGGATGAAAGTGGAAGGGGGAAGAGTAGTGGCTTTTTGAGAAAGTTGTCAAGATTCAAGTTGATATGATGGCACATGTTGCAGGGATGGATGGCCTCGGATGAACTCTGTCTCTTGCCTGTGCACTGCTGACTGTCAGTCGTAGAACTTAGTGGTATCTGTGGATTGTTGTGGATTGTTGTGGATTGTGCACGGAGTGGCACGGCAGCCTAAAGCGAGAGGGCCAGGGCCTGCGAGAGAAAGTGAAAAAGGACAGAAAATGGCTGACCGCCAGAAAGGTGCGGAAATCTTGCCTATCGCTTGATTTCGCCAAATGTATTCGTTGCCGGTTGGAACGACTCCTGGTCTAGCCTGATATGGAGCTGAGCACTACGGCCGAACATTTGACCTGTACAGTGAAGTAGTCAGCCGTTTGCCCTTCACATTTCTGGCAACAACTTTTTTTGGCCTTCATCTTCCCCCGCCATAGTCGCACTCTGCGCAAGAGAAAAGCGACACATATCACCATGGCTCCCGACAGAGGTAGGAGCAGATCTAAAAACACGGCCTCAAGAGCATGGGATTCTCTCAACCCCCCCCTCTCGAAATGGGTCCTTGACGCTGCGTCGTCCATGAATTTCTCCCGAATGACACCTGTACAAGCCTCAACCATTCCTCTTTTTATGGCGCATAAGGATGTTGTGGTGGAAGCGGTTACCGGGAGTGGAAAGACGCTGGCATTCCTCATTCCTGTCGTGGAACGGCTACTACATTTGGACGAGCCCATCAAGAAGCATCATGTTGGTGCCATCATAATATCTCCTACAAGAGAATTGGCTTCTCAGATCCACAATGTGCTTGTGTCATTAATCGACTTTCATGGCCCATCCGCTGCTGTTCGGAGATCTTCATTGGGCACTGAGAATGCTGTCACCAACGAAGAGACGGAGGCCGAGACATTCTCAGCATCTACACCGAAGATAGTGCCGCAATTACTCTTGGGCGGTGCAACAACGCCCGCACAAGACTTAAGTACATTCCTCAAGATATCACCAAATTTACTGGTGTCAACACCGGGGCGCTTACTTGAGATACTATCTTCTCCATATGTTCATTGTCCGCAGTCTTCGTTTGAGGTCCTCGTCCTTGATGAAGCTGACCGGCTACTCGATCTTGGTTTCAAGGATGACCTGACCAAGATACTCAAGCTGCTCCCAAAACAACGCCGAACCGGTTTATTCAGTGCAAGTGTAAGCGAAGCGGTCGACCAAATCATTCGGGTGGGTTTACGGAATCCAGTTAGAATTGCTGTCAAGGTCAAGGGCGTAAATGGAGTGGAGGATAAACGGACTCCCGCAAGCCTGAAGATGACATATGCCCTCGCCCCAGCTTCGCAGAAGCTGCCAGCGCTTGCAAATCTATTGTCAAGACTCGAGCCTTCCCCCTTACGCACGATTGTGTATTTATCAACTTGCGCTGCAGTTGACTATTTTCAAGCCTTGCTTCCTTCCATCCTTCCAGCAGATACAATTCTTGTCCCATTGCATGGAAAGCATCCGACCAATGTGCGACAAAAAAATTTCGTCCGTTTTACCAACTCTACTTCTCCGGCGGTGCTGTTGACCACTGATGTTGCAGCGAGAGGTCTAGACATCCCCTCTGTTGATCTAGTGGTACAAATCGACCCTCCTTCGGATCCTAAAGCATTTTTACATCGTTGTGGACGAGCTGGTCGAGCAGGACGGAAAGGATTAAGTGTTGTCTTTTTGATCCCGGGCAGAGAGGAAGAATACATATCTTTCCTAAGTGTTCGACAAACTCCGATCGAGCCGCTCACAGAACCTGACATATCAGCTTCGCCAGAAAGCAGCCTTTCAATTGAGGAGAGCTTTCGCAAACTCGTTCTTCAAGATAGAAATATCCACGATAAGGGTCAAAAGGCTTTTGTCAGTTGGGTGAGAAGCTATTCCAAGCATCAAGCGTCTTCTATCTTTCGGTTGACTGATATTGATTGGAATGATCATGCGGCGGCATGGGCTCTTTTGAGAATGCCTAAGATGCCAGAACTCCGAAATTGGGACAGAAGCAAGTACACGGCTCCTGAGGTCAACTGGGATTCTTATGCATACAAAGATAAACAACACGAGAAGCAAAGGCGGGCGGCTTTAGAAGAGAACAAACAACAAATGAAGGAGGATCCACAGAAATCTCACAAGAAACGAGGAACAACGTTGGCTTGGTCGGAGAAACTTGAACACAAAGCAAGCAGGGAGGTCAAACGCTCTAAGAGGAATGCTCGAAGGGACCATGAAAGAATTTCAAAAATGACCGACGCTGAGAAGGAGCACGAGGCCGAAACAGCAAAAATGGTGCAGCAGATCCAGCAGCAGCAACGCCAAAGCAAAAATGACGTCGTTTTTGAAGGATTTGCCTGAAGGAACCTGATCTCGAAGTACACCACAGGGTATTGTACGTGGGCGCGGGATTTGCACTGACTAAATCTCGATTTTTGGAGCAAAGACAAATTGATCTTGTCATTCCTAGGAAAAACTCGGAGATAAATGTCAGCCTCGTCAGCCCGGCCCCCAATACGGCTTTGGGCTTGGCGGTCTTTAGGCAAGTGGATGACCTCTTAACCCCTAACAAAAATATGGGTATGGGCACCCAAATATCGAATAGTATAAAGCCAGGAGATATTATTCAAGGCGGACATCCATCTGTCTCTCAACTTTTGAACTTGACCCTCACAACTACTTCTCTATAGAAAATGGATGATCCAGAGAACCCCTACGCTCCAGCTCATCGAGCACCCGGGGGCCCAAATGACGACCGACCTACCGCTTTCCAAATCATCCAGCATGAGTGTTTGGTTGGCAAACTGTCCGATGCAGTGATTTTCATCACCGGTTGCTCATCAGGGCTTGGTGTGGAAACTGCACGTGCGCTGAAGTCAACCGGAGCCACGCTCTACCTCACAGCCCGCGACCTCACCAAAGCCCGCGAAGCCCTCGGGCCAGACTTGGCCAACGATCCCAAAGTCCACCTATTGAAGCTGGACCTTGATTCGCTTGAGTCCGTCCGCCAGTGCGCAAAAGAATTCCTCTCGAAGTCAGACAAGCTCAACATCCTCATCACAAACGCCGGAATCCGCCATGTCCCGTTCAACAAGACGAAAGATGGATTCGAGCAGCATTTTGCAGTCAACCACCTCGCACACTTCCTCCTCACACACATGCTCCTCCCGACACTAGAGCGCAGTTCTAAACTCGGCTTCGAATCCCGGGTTGTCGCGCTCAGCAGCACCGCACACCGACACTCTGCAATCGTTTTCTCCGACCTGAATCTCGAACAGCCCGGCGTCTACGAGAAAGAAAAGGGGTATGCGCAGTCCAAGCTCGCGAACGTTTACATGGCATCGGAGATCACCCGGCGGTACGGGCTGGCCGCCCGCGCTCAAGACCCCCGCAAGCCCGGCGTCTGGGGCCTAGCGGTGCATCCGGGCGGTATCAGAAGCGGACTCCAGAAAAACTCGGGCGCATGGGAGATCGTGACGTGGTACTACGCGCGGAACATCATGAAGCTGCTGAACTACATGAAGTCCACCGAGCAGGGGGCCGCGACCACGGTCGTCGCTGCCGTGGCGAAGCGCTTCGAAGCCAGAGGCGGCCTCTACCTCGAAGATTGTGGCCTCGCTGTCCCTGTGCGCAAGGGCTGGGGCCTCATTGATCCTGGATATGTCCCTGGCAGGACCGACAACGAGGAGGATGCCAGGAGGCTTTGGGGCGTTAGTTGTCGATTGGTTGGAGTCAGCGATGATGGTTTGTGAATGAGTGGACTGCGAATTGCGAACTGTGAACCGTGAACGGCGAACGCTTTATGTGGCGATGCCGAAGAGGAAGCAATTAATAACAGATGTCTCGGTCATGCGGCTGATGTACGGATAGCAAAGAGGCGAGAAAGATCATAATATCACGTGCATAAGTTGTGTCTTCTCGAGGAAGAACCTCTCTTCGGTTTATTCTCTTGGTGGCTGTGGATGGGTCGAGCAGGCAGCTCATGAATGATATCACCTCTCCGCTTCCTCTCAACAACACTACACTCTATGCTTTGGGGCAGGTCTCAACAAACCACAAACCAACCTGCCGATGCCGATGCCAATACCTACAGCCCTCAAACATAAGTATTATTCTTCCTTCTCGAGTCCGACACGCATGCGCCGTCCGGTGGGGGGGGGGGGGCTTTGGAGGATGGATATCCAAGATATAGTTACAAATACCCAACTCCACTCTTCACTCTTCTCTTTCCTGGCTCCTCGCCCCCCTTTCCTTTCAAGCAATGACACCCTGGTCCTTCAGTCTCTGTACCTCCTCACCCGTCCACCCAAGGACTTCCGTAAGCACAGTGTCCGTATGCTGGCCGAGTGTAGGCGGCGGGGACCTGATCCCCGTCTGGCTCTCACTGTACTTGACCGGCGGGCTGACAAGACTCATCGGCCCACAAGACGGATGCTCAATCTGGGACACCATCCCGCGAGCGCGCACATGCTCATGATCCAGGGTATCCTTCACATCATTGATGGCCGCGTACGGCATTCCTGAGCCCTCGAGGATCTCGAGCCACTGGGATGTAGTTTTCGTCCTGGTAATCGCCTCAATCATGTCCTCGAGAACGGCGCGGTTCTGGACGCGGGCGTCGTTGGTAACAAAGCGCGGGTCTCCTTTCCACTCAGGCTTCCCCAGCTTGTCGCAGATCACACCGAAGAGCCGGTCGTTGCCGCCGCCCAGCATGATGTCGCCGTCGGCCGTCACGAAGCCCTTGTAAGGGACAATGGATGGGTGTGCCGTGCCCCATCGCCCGCCGTCGCGCTCCCCACTAATCAGCACGCTGCTTGCAATGTTGGCTAGTGTCGCTACCTGGCAGTCCGCCAGTGCCACGTCTACGTGTTGGCCCGTCCCTGTTCTCTGCCGTGCGAGCAGGCTCGCCATGATAGCGTTGCAGGTGTACAGTCCTGTCGTTAGGTCTGTCACTGCAACCCCGACTTTCACTGGTGATCTATCCCGCTCCCCTGTGATGTGCATCAGTCCCATTTCCGCTTCCACCATCACGTCGTACCCTGCTCGGTTCGAGTATGGTCCTGTTTGCCCGTACCCCGTTATTGATGCGTAGATTAATCTGGAATTAAGGGATCAGTTTCTGTAGCTCAATTATTGCCGACGCGGTATTATGGAGGTCTCATGGAGGATCTCGTACCTGGGGTTGATCTTCTTCAAGGATTCATAGTCTAACTGATACTTTTTCAACGCCCCTGGAGATAAGTAAACCGCGATGTTAGTTGACGATTCAGACACAAGGGGATTAACAATGGCATAGTAGTCTCACGAACACCATCATCATTAATCGAATGAAATGACATTTCGAAAAAGGGGACAAAGGCAGGAGGCTCATCAAGAGCAGGGCCAGCCTAGAAAGGGCCTCGTTTTGGTCCAACTTACCTGGAATATAATTCTCAACCAAGACATCTGACATCTTTGCAAGCTCATGTAGGACCTTGACGCCTTCAGGGTGCTGGAACGAAAGTGCGAGTGACTTTTTATTACGATTTACCTAACGCCGGATGATAGAGCAATTAGAAACCTGGAAGCAATGCCGGTTGCAATGGTAACCACAAAATGGAGGGAAAGCCGGGTACCTGGTAAACTTACGCCAATGAAATAAGCACTTTCACCGGGCCTCCCACCTTTCACCACGGCTATGACGGAAAGTTACAAAGTGAGCCATTTACCACCTGGGGAACAATATCTCATCTCGAAGCTCAGGTGAGAATTCACACAGGGCAGTCAAGTGTGATCGCACATACCATCATCCATGTACTTGGCGTAAGGGGGTCCCCAGGCTCGCGTATCGTCGCCTCGAGTGGGATGTTCGACCTTGATGACCTCTGCTCTGTGGTTCCGCAAATGGTTCAGGAGTTAGTATCGCTCGTTTCCTACGGAATTAATGCAAACATGTTGTTGCTTTTGAGCCTGTCTCGCTAGGATTCCGGCAACAAAGGGATCTGCGTAGTTTCCCGGTTCTCAAATATCCCAGGATGAATGGCAATACTGGGCGTATCCAACCATGAATTCCTGACCCCACGTCCCAGATCGCCAAAAGACTTATGGGCCAAAACCGGGGGACATAGCATACTTACCCTAGATCACCCAGAATTTGAGTACAATAAGGCTGAGTTACCACGACAGGAAGAAGAGGTTAGCGATATGTGACACAGGCCATATGCCTCCCTGACACCACGAAGGAGGCGGGAGGAACTCACGCCAGCCAACACCCTCGTCATGTCTAGGACCCTGATGCCATCTAAGGGCGCCACTTTGCCCGCGGTAGGACTGCTCCTAGGCGTTGTTGAGGACAAACATCTTCTACCGGTGACGAATCTGGGTCTGGGTTTAGATCTGGGAAGAAGGTCGAAAATGAAACAAGCGGGTTGCGTTCCCACACTGGTGATGGGGTCTCTTTGAAGCAGCAATAAGGGCGAAGCTCTGCTAGGCGCCATCTGTGAGTGTATATTGTACAGGACAGTCGAAGGGTCAAAACGAGACTATCAGGAATGTTTTGTATCGAGCTTCAAAGTTATATCCTTGACGTGTGGTGAAATCGAAAGTAGTGCCCGGAGTATTTACGGCGATTCATTTACCGACAGGGTCAACGCGGGCGTCGCTGCCGTCCGCCGTTGAATCGACTGGGGTTTCGGACGCCAAGGCCCGACGATAGCAATGGCTTGATTTGATAGCTTCATCCAAAATACTCGGAGTCATTGGGCCTGAGATCCAAATGCCGAGGTTGTTTAAGACATGTAGGTAGGGAACAGGAATTGATAAAACAAATAGAGAGTTGAGGAACACTGGACCTCGCCTTTCATTGACGTTACCGCTCACCACTACCATCTCTTTCGTAGGCAGCCATTATCTTTGGCATAACTTCTCGGGCTTCCAGCCTTGCCACCCTATTTGCTAGCGTGTGTTGGTGCACGTGATTACGAGTAATCTGATCATTGTGGAGAAATCTTTGATGACTCTTGTTATGCCAAGCGAGAAACTTGAGGATGTCAGAAACAATCACCAAGCTGTATGTGCTATTGCAACATGGCCAAGTGTCTGGTCGTCATCGTCATCATGAAATGTCCGGAAATATGGTATCTCGATTGGTCGCTTGACATATGCGACCTACCAGAATGGTAAATGCCACCAATGCATTCGGCTCCACATGGCCCTAGTTGATCAACATCGCTCTTGTTCTTTTCTCCTTTTCATGACTCTTTAGTGCATATTTGTAAGTACGTAAATAGCTATCAATACTTATCTCCCCGGCCGGAAAAATTGGCAATCATATGACCCCCTGGACAGCATCACTGAGAGTGACGGCATGCCAGCGGTCATTGTCCGCACTGCGACCAGGTGGCTCGCCGTGGTTGCCTCGCAGTGGAACACATGACGTGGCAGCAACTCTCTCAACACAGCCTCAAACAGTCTTCTTTTCAGCAGTATCCTCGTTACGGCTCAGGGGAGGAAAGGGGAGGGAAGGAAGAACTGTTCTGCTCCTCTGCATCGCCGATGGGCTTTTTGTTTAAGTGAATGATCAAATGAACCCATGCACAAACCCGCTGATCGGACTGCCAGGGGGCTGTCACACGGGCGCTTTGCAACCCAGCTTTCGCTAAAGACAGCCTGATTCGAATGCCGGCATTTGCGCTCTCTTGATTCAGAAAACGTCACGGTAATGGATGATACATCGTGGAGCCCAAGTTTACTCGACCACCCTTCCGAGCGGCTGTGGAGAAAATGGGATGAGGCAGTACGTCGTTGAGGTAGCAGGATTCGGGGCACGTTTCTTCCTTCCTGACCGCCTGGCTGCTGTGAGTGTGTGCCCAATATGTTGCTCGATTTCGCCTCCATCCCCTACCCTTGTCTGGTCTGCTCTGGCCCGTCCAGGCGAGATCTGCCCGAGCCGACGCGGCAATGGATGGTGGATTCCATTGTGGGAAAGCTGACCGGGTACTTTGCGAAGGAGGGGGTGATTTGGTGTCAAGGTAGGAAAAAACCGCACCTACTCTACATGATGTATGGCTAGGAAGGTTGAAGAAAGAGGAAAACCTAGCAAGGAACCTGCGTGCTTCCCAATCCGAGTGCCACGGGGAACATGGCAGTCGGGAAGCTACGACCCGCCTGCTGCTCCTGCCAGGCAACCACGCTACAAAATGGACAGTGAAACAATACGCAGATGAGAAGTGGGCGACGCGGACTGTGCGACCCGCCAGTCACGCCTTGTTGAGTAGAAGTCGAGGCGACAACGACGCAGAATTATGGATATCGCCGGCATGGTTGGACCCCATGGAACTGCCCTGTGGACTGTCCGTAGATACTGCAACCTCAGACGGGGGAACATGTATACACACAGTGGATCGAGAAGGGGGAAAGGACGAACAAAATAGAGGAAAAACAGGCAAATGAATCAAATCAGAGTGAAAAGCGTGTCATTTTTTCCTTTTGACCGCTGGTTTCCATCATGCCATGTCCTTTCTCTTTGGTTGTTCGTTTTATCCATATAGTAATCTCCCTCTCCCTCTTCCGTGACCCTCCCCTTTGTGTGGTCATTCCCTTAAAGATCACCTTCTCCCTTCTTGATCCAATGCCTGCAACATTTCCTTTCCTAAAGATACAGTTCTCGCGATGCGAGATATAAAGTACACACTCCCACCGTATCCGCCGTCTCAGTGACTCGGCAGAGCAAGTTGTGCTGAGAAGGGCGGAGACACCCGACCAGCTAGCTGGTAGCAGGAGTAACAGCATAAACTGGCAAAAAGACAAGACAGGCCGGGAACAAAGCCCGCAAGGTATCTTAGACCAAACAACCTCCCAAGCTCGATAGTCCAAACCAGGATAACCCCCAAATAGCAATAGCAAAATTCCACCATGTCCAACTAGATTTGTCAATAGAGAAAAAGAGAAAAGGAAACACCGAAATGCTGTAGGAAAAGAAATCCTGAGTCCGTGCCCTTGCCTTCCAATCAAGACCAAATTCGTTCCATGCGCCACTGTTTCCCCCGAAGGGTTCTTTTGTTCTTCCAAAATACTCTAAACCGCAAAGTACTCCCTCCAAATGCTTGTAGTTTTTCGCAGCTCGCGCTGCTTTCAGATATTCTTAGCGGTAAAAACCAAAACCAAAACCAAAACTAGTCTTCAAAATTCATATCGTGATGACATCCCAAGCTCAATGCAGATCGACGGTATCCAAAGCGGCCAGACACGTCGGAAACAATGTTGCAAAAAAAGCCGAGAAGGGAATAGGGACGTTGTAAACTCCGAGACAAATGCAAAGTGAAGAGGCAGCCGGGGTCCTCATTCTTTTGCTCCAAAATCCATTTCATGCTTTACAGGTTTCGTAAGGTCCAGTTCATCCATCAGGCTGAGGTTGTCAGGTCTCGTGGTGCAGTCGTCTACCGACTCAACGGCGGCCGCATGCAGCAACGGTTCGCAAGTGTTTTGCTCCTCTTCTTCCGAACTTCGATCCAGGCGTGCTTCGGTCTCTTCCATCCAGTAGCTTTCCAGAGCTCCAATAGCACAGACGATGCCCCCTGCCCACCAGGCAAGGCCATTATATCCGAGTTTCAGTCCAGCTGAGTGTATTGATCCAGTGACAACGGGCCCCAAGGCACGGGCTAAACAAGCGGTGGATGCGGCTACTCCATTAATGGTGCCAAGGACCGATTTGGAATGCGCAGCATTAGCAAGGAGAATTGCGTTTGAAGGAAAGGCAATCACTTGGAAGGTGATCTTGATGACCAGGCAAGAGTAGATGCCGGCGGTTTGGAACTTCTCTGGGAGCAAGACCAGATAAGGCACCACAAAGTAGAGCACAGGCCAAACAGACATGACGGCTCGGAAAGCACGGAGAGTGCCAATCCGGCGTACGATCAAGGGGAAAAGCCACAGCTGGGCGAACATGGAATAGGCAGCCTGAACAGCCATCATGAAGCCAATTGCCTGAGTTGACTTGGCGAATCCTCCGGAAAACTTGAAAGGGAGCACGGCTTGTGCTGTAGAGACCCGATCTTCACTGAGGAATATTGGCATCAAGGCATCGAAGGAAACACTGTGGCTGGGTGAATTGTCAGTTGGTTGTCACTACGTGGTGCATCTCTGACTTACTAGGCGAGGATGGCATAGGCCACAATGATCAAGATGATGTGTCTGTTGAAGGTCTTGGTCATTCCTCTGTTCTCCTTCTCTGCCAGTCTTTCGATGTCGGCGTTCAGCTGTACTGATGTAGTAGAACGGAGTCGAGGAGAACCCTCGGTGCTGCGGTATCCTGGAGGCGGGTCGTCCTCGGTGAGGCTTTCCGTCTCATCCCCAAACGCAAGATTGTACTTGTCGTGGTTGCCAGTGTCCCTGCCCGTCACTTTCTTGACCAGTTTTCGGCCCAGCTCCAAGCCCCAATCTCGGCGGTCTTTCATCTCCAGATGGGTTTCTTCCAGGAAAAGGACGCCATTCGAGATGCCGAAGAGCAGGATAATGACACAGACGAGATTTGGGAGCAAGAATGGATAGACGTCGAAGAGGCTCCCTCGAGGGAACAGAGCGGGATAATTTTCGGACGGCATGGCCAGGGCTCCTCCCATGGCGGGACCAATGATGGAGCCTAAGCCCCAGACAAAGGGCATAATGGAGTAGGCACGAGGCTGATGCTCCTTTTTGGTGACCAACTCGGCCACGGTTGTTTGTAAGACTCCCACATTGCCATTGAGAAGACCACCAAGGGCTCTAGCGACAATGGCACCGGTCAGGCTCTTTGCAAAACCAAAACAGATCATGCTGAGAGCGGTGCCGATGAGGCCCATGACAAGAACTGGTTTTCTCCCTACGCGATCGCTGATTCTCCCCCAGATCATCCCGGTGGAGAATTCAGCAAAGGCAAAGGCGGTGATGAGCATTCCAGCATAGATTGAGATTTGGGATTCGTCCTGGGTGAGATTGAAGGATTCGATCATGCGATAGGCATAAGGGAAGATGGACATAAAGGCGATTGGTTCGCATATGCGACATAATGCTGCGATGTGCGTTAGCCAGAATTATTCTCGCAAGAGCATTCCATTTCGGGACGGGCTGCGAGATGACGTACCCAGAACAAATAGTTGTTTGGTCGGAAAATTGTCCTGAGCTTGTCGAGGTCTAGGGCTACGAAAGAAGATTTTGCTGAAAGGAAGAGGCATGTTGCCGTAGGAGGGAAGGAGTGTGTCGATGGTGCAGGTCGAGGACAAAAGAGTAGGTGAGCAGAAGAAAGGGCATCTGTCACGCAGAGGCGCAGGAGAGGGCAGGCTATTAAGGGAGACGACGAGATTTCCAGGAGTCAGACCGACCAGAGAGCGGGGCGACGATTCTGGCTGGCGGAATGGTGCATCCGCCGCCCGCGTGGAAAGAAGCGGTGGGCGGTGGGCAGTGGGCAGTGGGCTTGCTTGGGCAAAGATGGGATATCACAGGACGACGAGGGTTAGGAAGACGAGCAAGACGAGGACCCGTACACGGCGCCCAGCAGCAACAGCGTGAGAGCAGATGGGGACGCGGAACTGGCTGGGTCTGCGACTGGGACCACCAGTGCCATCATTCAGCATCCAGTGCCCTCATTCAGTTGCTAAGTTGCTAGAGCCAGTGGCCAAATAAAGCGACGGTTACACGGCGCGAGGGAGCGCGGAAGCATTGATAGTCAGGCAAAGTCTTTGACATCCGCGCCCGGCTGTCCACACAAGCGAACGGTGGGATACTCCATCGACCGCGCTAGAGTCAGGAGCCGGGACTGGGAGGCGGGCTGGCAGGTGGACTGGGACTGGCACCGATCCCCGTCCGGTTTGGAATTGCCCGAATTGAAATGCCCGCATAACTTAAGACCAGGGTCGGACACGCTGGGCGAAGGGTTTCCGAGTAATTAAGTCATGGTTTTTTTGGGGTTGAGTGACGAGAAAAGTGGGTATAGAAGGGAAACGGGAAAAAAGGAAAAAGGGAAGACAGACAATTGGGGTTTGGGGGGGAAGAGGGCACAATGAGGGATGGGGTTGAACGGGTCTTGCAGGGGTGGTGATTCGCATGTCATTACTCATGAATGACGATAGGATAAGGAATGAAAGGACGGGCGACGAGAGCACGGTGTTGGTGTTGGTGTTGGTGTTGGTGTTGTTCTATTGTTTCTGTTTCTATTTCCACTACAGGGCACCGTACTCAGAGCAGGGAGAAGGAATGGGAATGGCCTTGACTGGCCAGGGCAACAGCAGAGGACAGAGGACCCCGTACAGTCTGACTGACGAATACATAACTCGTATGCAATGCTGAGAAATGCGAATGTCCCTCGTCCCCCATCCCTCATCCCAGTCAGGATTCGGAAAATGAGGCAGAGCTAATTGCTGCCCCCGGTGGGTTTCAGGGCTGCCATGCGACAAGTGGCGATGTGGGGCGCAAGAACGGGCGTGAGCTTGGGACTTTGGGCATGGGCCTTGGGCATGGACCAGGGCTGTACAGTGGTGTGAACAACCACAGACTCCTTCTGGCGGGCATTGATAGACACGGCGTGGAAACATTGGAAACGCTGGAGACGAGACCAAAGGGTTAAAAGGGCCTAAACCAAGGGCCGGGGGAGGGGGCGACTAGGGTACCTGGCCCCTGGGCGGTCAATATTACAAGTAACGGGGCCACTTCTGGGCATACTCGTAGGCCGTGGGCATGGGCACGAGATACCCGTCCCAATAGAACTCGGTCAATGGACACCCAGAACAAAAGAATGGGCAGTCGTGGACTCCCAACGGCCCAAGGCTGATGTGATGGCCCATGGCCCGCGGGGGATGAGGTGCGAGGGACTTCCAGGAGGGACCACCAGTGCGGTACCTTGGGCTCTCTCGTTGACTCGTCGGCTCTTGTTGAGGACAACCCTTTATGGCTGCAGTGGTCTGGTGGTGTGAAGCAGACGGCAATGGTCGCGATTCGGCCAAACCGTCGACGTGCCCCTGACCAGAGTGGTAGCGTCGAAGCTAGGAAGATGACCCTGGTCTCCCGAACACCGGGGAGACTGCTTACCGAGAAGCAGGGGCCATTTAGTCCTGGAGTTTATCCAGTCGTCCTCGCTCGTCCCCGTGCGACTTGGGGTGGAGTCCAAGGCACCAAGGCACCATAGTCACCAAAGTCAAAGGCCCCAAAGAGCTACACCGAGCCTGCTGAGAAGCTTTTACTTTTGCACCCTAGCGTGCCTGGCGTTGGCCTGGTCACTCGGAGTCGTGAGTCGTGAGTCGTGAGTCGTGACAGACTCCCTCTTCGGAATGGTCATGTCAGCTCAGTCCTGGATACCTGGATACCTGGATCCCTGGGTCCCTCGTACTCCGCAATCCGTATACAGTCGCTAGCGGTCGTAATTGACTGCCCAACATCCTCCGTCCGGCCACTCCGTCGCCCCTACGGCGTGCAGTCCAGTGCAGGTGCAGGCGCAGTGCATGCTGGCACCCCATGGCCTGTTGTCCTCGTGACTCAGGTGGAGAGCGAAATGATGGGCCTGATTGCTTGCCGTACTCGCACATAATACCTGACATCAGCCATCGTCATCGGCTCTGCTTGAGAACCAATTGACCGCCTGTCAAGGAGGGACTCCTGAGGCGGTGAAGAAGGCGGTCATGCCCGACCAGGCGCAGGTGACGAGCTTAAAACAGGAAGAAAAGCAGAGCACAATGGCTTTTGTCGGGAGGCGCTGCCATCACATTCGCCACCGCTAGGTTTTGCCTACTAGACCGGTATTATAGAATTGCCTGGCTGCAGGCCAGGCAAATGATGCTACATGCTCTAGCCGTTGCCAGCTTGCGTCGAACGGAGTATGGAGTGTGCAGGGGAATTGTTGTGTGTTTGCCAAGTGGGGCGTGGATCAGTACCTTTTCCGTACATCTGAACACGATGCGCCATATCACAGGGACTTGGTGGCTCGCCGAGTCATACATAGCCTTGCTCAGTCCTCCATACTTGGGAAGGACGTGTGTAGATTACGGAATGCTGCATCTGTTAGTCGATGGGGCGAGGCGAAGCATGTGAACTGGTTCGGCACTTTGAGAATTTGAGACACAGACAGGAAAACAGGCATGGACATCTGTCAGCCGACGTAGCGCGCGGGAACTTCGCTTGAATTTGGGAAATGAAATGGCAAGACGGGAATCCTGAGCATTACTTGACGATATCCCCCGGCGACAGAAAGTCAGAAAGTCAGAAAGACAGAAGCAGGGCGCGAGCAGCGGCCTTGATCTTGACGCCGACTTGTCTTGCCTCGAGTCCAGCGGCCAGCCAGAGGAGGTACCACGTCGCAGACACTCGGTACCGCAGATGTACTCGCTACCTCTGTGCCAAATAAGGCACGTACCTCGAGTTGAGCGTAGCCAACAACTTCCTACTAGCTACTGTAGGCGACCATCCCAGTCTCCTGAGTCCTGACTCCTCAGCGCTTGTTCAAACCGTCACAAAACACGCTCACCAAACGAGAATCAATGGCAAACCGGTTAGCGTGCCCCTGATTCATTTCCAGAAAATGTCCGCACCTTCGATGGACCTACCCTAGGACTTCGCCACCGATGTACTCCGTACTCCGAGAGAGACTAGCCACCGTCACCCTCAACTGTCCCGGGGATACGGTCCAAGAGTCCACCGGGGGAGGAGGGTTACCGCTGTTAGAGCCTCGCGGTGTGCTTTAGTGCCCCAGGCGTTTCTCTAGGCGTTTCTCTAGGCCTCTTTCCGGAACCCACATCGTCTGCTTCAGCCCTGACCCGCGAAAGTATAACCCTGGAACAATCCCTGCCCTGGTCTCTTTGCAACGAATTGGGGGGAGGGGAGGAAGATGGAGGGGCAGCTGAATCATCAATCATCTCATCTCGTCGAATATGGGTCTTCTCTCGCGCTGGCTTTAACCTAGACCCCCCTAAAATATCGCAACGAATGTCATGTATGTACCTCGATTGCCGAGTTCCTCTGTGCTGGTACTTAGGTACATACGAGGTACCTTAGAGGCTTCCCTAGGTACTTCATAAGACGCCTCCTTATGTCAGAAGCTCTCAATACAGATGTCTACAAGGTGCCCGGTACCCAAGTCGCATGGTCTCCATGATACTATTTCAATCTGGGCGGCCGACACAAGAACGTGCCAGCTTCACCGTGGTTTGGCCCTGCCTGTGCTTGTGCTTGTCGCATCATCGCCGCTCGGTTCGAGAATATATCCACTTCTGATGGGAATTGATCGCACATCATCTCCCCATGGAATCTCCTTATGGGGTACGGAGGACCAGGTGCTGGACGGACTATCGTCGTAGCCGCAGGCAAACCCTCGCTTCTGCGGTAAATTTCCCAACTCGGCTTGAATTGTTGCTTCTCTGGCTTGTCTTCCCTCCCTACCCGAGTACCACCGAGTACCTAGGTTTTGAGTGAGTTACGGAGTTTGACAGTTTGGTCCAAAATTGACGCCTGTGGTGCACTGGTGCTGTGACCTCTCTCCCTGTTATTTATCGCTTGGGTTCCATATCTGAATGCCCAACCACCCAACAGCTAGTGGAAACTGAGTTGAATCTTTGACCGTTGCAGTCTGCAGCGGCGTCCCCAGTCCCGTCCGCGTGACCTCCGTCCATAATTACATTTGACGGTGATCGGCGTTGATGACCAAGAGGGATAGTCTGGCGATCACTCGCGTCGCTGTCATCGCATCGACGCCGACAGGGCAGTGGTAACTACGAGCATGGGAGTACTGTTCGAAGTACCTACGTAGTCATGCTATGGACTCGTGTCTCTGTGCCGGAGTATCAATCAAACTACGGAGCACAGTAGCACATGCGTGATGCATCAGGGCTGCCTCATTGCCATGCTCCGTATCTAGTATCCGAGAATATGAATATGAATATAAATCAATTCATTGCCGTATTCCTGCCCAACCGTGCGCCACGCGGCACACTGCGGTCTGCATGCATGCCCACTCATGCACGTCTACCTAAAGTCTACGCATGCACTCCGTGCGCCGTATGTACTACTGCTGCTACCTCGTGCTCGACACCCGGTATCTGCCGGGTGACGCAGTGACTTCCTCAGCTCGCTGGCTGATTCGTTTCCGTCGCCTGCGTCTTGAAGCCTTGTCGTTGACCATCTCTCGAGAGAAGAAGAGCGGAGGAAACGCGAATCATCATCGACCATCGTTTCCGCAAGGCGCTCACCTGCTGACATGTTCGATGCAGATGCAGAATCTCAATCTGGCTGCATCAGTCACTTCACCACCCCTCCAAAGTCCGTGTCAATGTGTTCGACTCCTCTCGGCTGCACCATCAACCTGGCTGCGGGCACCTTTCCATCAAACTTTATCGATTTTGACCGAATGTTGCCCCCCCCCCCCCCGTATCCTGGTTGACTGGCTGAACGTCTCGTCGGTGTTGTCTATCCAGCCCGCCTGTCATTGACCCAGATCCGAAGAATCCCACGCCCTCCATGGACTTTGTCCGAAGTCAGCTCGCCAGCTGGGCGTACACTCCCCGCTGTGACCTGTCAATGTGAATCTACTGCACGTCATACGTGTCAGTTCCAGTCATTGTCCCGCACTTGATCCTCGACTCTGGCATTCCAGCCTCTACCTCGACGCAATCAGCGGTCAGCTTGAGTGACAGGTTGAACTTGCACCAGCCAGTGACGAGCTGACGGATTATGTCCCCAAGTTTTCTGCTTGTCCAAATCTCCCGTCAAATGGATCGGCAGCTTAGGCCTGGTGTGTCGGACTGCTTCGGATGCGATGCGTTGGTGCCAGTCAAACCAGGGAACTCATGGTACGTGTCACAGTCGTCCGTTCGCCGCACTCGTTTGTGCCCTCCAAGTTTCCTTGCTCTGCACTGCCCGTGCTGTTGCCACCCAGCCGCAGCGTATTGCCCCGGGCATCCTACTCCTGAGTTTGGACTGGCGATCCTGAATGTGTACACGTGCACAATAGCCGCCAGCAGATCCAATTCCTTGCTGAGGGACTCAGGACTATTGTTGCAATGACTCATACCAGAGGCTCAAACTACATCGTGCATGGTCTTCAGGCTGCGTCTTGATGCATTTGTTGCCTACTACAGTGCATGCCTTTTCTTGTGCCGAAAGATCAACTCGGCATCATATTGCATGATGCACTACTTAGGTGGCAATATTTCGACATGCAATTCCGCACCTACCAACTGGTCATCTAAATGGGAACTTTCAAACTTCGGGAACTATGGGTCAATGCTCATGGTCAAACTGGCTGGCAGTCAAGGACTCAAGGGTAGTGATTCGCTCTATCCCACCCTGCAAAGAACAAGAATTGACTCATGCAGACATCTCAAGGTGCGTTGACATTTTCGTACTCGTATGTTTAAGTAGGGTCAGGTAAGATTGGTGCGAGGGTGTTTTCCTCCTGCGAGGACGGAAATGATCTCCAGAGGCATCATGAGACCTCAGACGCATCCCGAGTTTGTATTGTACTGCAGGTACTCCGTACAGACATACATGCATGTCATGCAAGATAAGACTTCATATTCCCGCTGGTTGAATCGGGCAATTTTCCTCACCTGCGGCCAATTTTTCTCTCGCAAGATGAATACGTATAGTTTTCATTTGGTCAAAACTGTGAACCATTGTTGCGGCAGATACCCAACAGCCAATACCTACCGTGGGTAAGTCTGCATGATCTCTGTCAACATGTTGCAAGGCTCTGCTCTAAACCTCGTTGAGTATGAAAAGTACCCAATCTCATGACTTGTCCAGCGGCTGCATTCCTGCTCACAGTTTGTGTACCGATAAACCAAGGACAGAAATGCACGTTTTGTTGGCTTCTCGATGCAAGATGTGGCTTGTCGTCTAGAACAGTCCACATACGAAGGGCAGAGTTCCTTCTCCCTGGTGAGGGTTATGGATCCTGCTGCTTTAACGAGCCAGGCTAGAATGCGATCAAAAGGCCAATTCATAAATCGGTATGTCGTACTCCGTAGCGGAAAGAGGTGCATGATAAACTGCGAAATGATGAGATTGTACGAGGCATGTATGTACTATTTGTCGCAAGACCCGGGATTACCCTGATGCACCCCTTGCTTTGTGGGTGATGAATCTGACGATTGTGTTGGGTACAGCGATGGTTGTTGATGGCTGCTGATTTCGGGGGACACGGGATCCGGGAACCAAGGTGAGAAATCCGACTGGCTCCAACGCCCAACCTTAACTCTTCGGATGCTATTCCGAGGAGTTCCTGGAGGAAGGCGCCCTCCAAGGGCCACCAGGGGCGGCAGGCATGCAATTTCCCTCGTGCATACTGGCATGTTGTGGATGAGGCCCCCGTAACGGGAGTTTTTGTTCTTATTGTGATTGTTCTCAAGCTAATCTACTTGTAGCTTCTGGTCATTTGTTTGGAGTCATGTTCCTTGTTCCTTGTCCCTTGTCCCTCGTGCTCCCAGTTCTCAGTCACGTGATCCTCTCGACACAAACGCGGCAGGGTCCACTTGAAGCACTAGCGGTGGGGTCTCGTGTTTCAAGACGTCCGTCCATATCACGTGGGCTGGGCGTGCTCCATCACGTGCCTGCCTCGGCACAGCTCTCTCTTGCCAAGCTCTCTCCCATTGGTTGGTCGCCACCTGATAAGGGCCCCTTTGTGAATCGTTCACGTTTCTCCCACCAGGCTCACCGAATGCCCGCAATTCGGTAAGCTGCCTGGCCTGCGTAGGATTGCTTTTGCCCAAGCAGGCCCACGGTCCCTATCCGCATCCCTACAGAAGGCATCGAGTAATCGCTACTACCAGATCTCATCGTCCAACCACTTCTCTCTATTGGTCAGTTTGCTATCAGCCTGCGATAATCTGCACCAACCGGCCCTCGCAGCCTTCTCCTTGCCCTTCACTGGCTTCTCGAAGTTCTCAGGCCGAATCAAGAAACATGGTTAATTCATCTGTACCCCGTGCGCCCTTTGCCCGATGAGGCTCTCCTTGTACTGCAATGCTGGTATGATGCATGAGGCCGCACACTCTAGATTCACTCATGCCACCCCTGCGCATCAAGTCTTAATCTTGACTCTGCCAGAGATGTTAGCCGGGTCTTCATCGAATCCATGACCTCGACCACTCCCTCACCCCAGAGTGCGGGTATCAAGCGTGCATACCAACCCGACGACAAGTTGTCGCAATCCCACCAAGACCTTTATCCTCCCACAGCCTCCCCGCCCTCCAACGTAGCCGCGGCCACCTCCGCGTTTCGCAATGTCTCAGCCTGCAATCGATGTCGTGTTCGGAAAAACCGCTGCGACCAGAGATTACCCGCCTGCAGCACCTGTGAAAAAGCCAGTGTCCGATGTGTAGGATATGATGCTACCACGAAGAGAGAGATCCCTCGAAGCTATGTCTACTATCTCGAGACCCGATTGGCATACTTCGAGCAGCTGCTGAAAGCGAATGACATCTCGTACAATGCAGCTGATGTCTACAGCGCCGAGTCCAAGGAGCTCAGTGATATTGCGCAATCACCGGCTAGCACCAGAAATTCCTGGATAGGCCCGCATTCCCCTCAACATGCCTCACCACACGCTGTCAGAAATGAAGAATGGGAAAAGAAGCAGGATGATGCCGAGAACTTGAACAAGCTGGTCTCTAATATTGGAATGGTCTCGGTGCAAGGTGCATCTGATGCTCGATATCTGGGTTCGACCTCAGGCATATCATTTGCTCGGCTAGTTTTGGCTGCTGTCAAAAGTTCCGTATCGACCAACAATTCAGAGCGCGCAGGACCTAGGTCTAATCGTCCTATGGCCAACGTAGCTGCGTCTGGGGGCAGTTCCATGCGAGATTCCTATTTTGGCCTGCAAACCAAGCCCACCATTAAAGAAGCCCCGTTTCCCGACCGTCAATTGGGTGCCAAACTTGTCAATTTATATTTCGAACATGCCAACCCACAAATTCCTGTGCTTCATCGAGGAGAGTTTTTGGAACTGTTCGATCGGACCTACTCGACCGAGCCAGAAAAGAGGACCAGCCGAGAGCTGTACTTGCTCAATATAGTCTTTGCAATCGGTGCTGGTATTATTTGGGGTTCCTCTGATCCGCAGCCCAATTCGCAGGGTCAAGGTGAGTACGCGTCCAAGAGACCGAGGCTGGCAAGTCAACAAGCTCAGCCTGAGGAATACCATGCTTCTGCAATCGTAAACTTGGGTCAGTATCTAAGCTCAAATTCGTCCCTGGAGGGAGTGGAGCGGCCAAATGGTGACCTAGAAGAGCTCCAGGCCGTTCTTCTACTTTGTGGCTTTGCTCTTTTAAGACCTGTTGCTCCGGGTCTTTGGTATATCGTTGGTGTTGCTATGCGCCTGGCCGTTGACCTTGGCCTTCACTATGAGGATGGCTCTGGCATTGAAAATGTTCCTGATGGGCGTGAGGTAATCAATAACGGGGCGGATAGCAAACCACCTAAACCTATCAATGCCAAAGAGAGAGGCCGACGTGAATGGGTTCGCGATCTTCGCCGTCGGCTCTGGTGGTGCACCTACACGTTCGACCGTCTAGTCAGCACGTGTGTAGGTCGACCATTTGGAATCACCGACCAAGTGGTCACAACGGATTTTCCTTCTCTCCTAGATGACAAATATATCACAAGAGGTGGATTCCTTCAACAGCAGATGCCAGCCAACGAACCTACCTACAAGTGTGTTTCTCACCATTATTTCAGACTACGTCTCCTGCAATCAGAAATTCTTCAGGTGCTTCAGCATCAGCAAGCACAGCAAGCACATCACAACGGAATGAACCGCCGCAACCAGTTCATGCATACCAAACTCCCCTCACCGTTTCTGAGCAAGTTTGATTCCTTCCGCAGTTGGCGTCGAGATATAGATCAGCGCCTTTACGAGTGGAAGCAGTCTGCTCCAGGGCCTCGTGAGACTGGGGTCGGATTTTCTGTGCAGTTTCTAGAATTGAACTACTGGCAGGCAGTCATCATGCTTTATCGGCAAAGTTTGAGTGTGCCACCGCCTTTGGCCAACGAATTGAGTCCGACCGAGGATGTCTCCAGTCCATCGAGCGTGCGAACGGAAGAGAAAGAAGATGAAGACCTGGTGTTTCTCAAATGCGCCGAAGCAGGACAAAAGACATTGAAACTCTACAGACAACTTCATCGGCTGCGACTAGTGAACTACACATATCTGGCCACTCACCATTTGTTTATGGCAGGCATTTCGTTCCTCTATGCAGTGTGGCATTCCCCGGCGGTCAGGGCAGGTTTGGTAAGTGTCGCATACCTGGCTATCTTGTTTGATCATCTTTATGCTCATATCTCTAGACACTCGATGACTTTGACTGGACCGTCCTGTCTGCGACTTCAGTTCTCGGAGATCTGATGGAGAAATGTCCTCCTGCCGAGGCCTGTCGAGATGCATTCGAACGAATGAGCAAAGCCACAGTACAGATGTGCATGTCAACACCTGGATTCGGATTCTCGGCAGAACATGATGATGTACGAGCTCCACTTTCCAGACAACCGAGCTTACAGAGTCCGACCGTGGCGATGACTATCGACTCATATCCTCAATTGGCGCCTAGACCACCGGTAAAGCGTCCACCACCCAAGTTTGATATGGACCTTCGAGAACTTTTCCCAGAAGACTTGGAACCCAACGTTCGGCCGTCTCAGTCTTTCCCACATCAATTTCCAGGGATGCAACGTATGCAGACCCAGACACAACATCAATCCCTCCAAAGGCAGGCACCCTTCCAATCGATGCCGCCACCACAACACTCTTCACCTTCTCAACAGTCACGCCAACTTTCAAACACGTCCAATATCAATTCACAGCTCAATTCTGGCCTTGGTCTTGCCAGTGGACAACAGACAGCCACGGATTCTTCGGGAATGGCTTTCAATCAACAGCAACAGCCGTTCTATATGCATAATACTTACAACCCAGATTTTATGTCATCACTCCCAGGAATGGATTTCTTGAACAACGCGGTAGGAAGCGCAACAGGTGGACCAGGTGATGATTTCAACTTCGACACTAACGGGCTCGACCTTGGTTTCGGCATGGGGTTGGATCTGCAACATGACTGGTCCGACGGCCAGCAGTATGATTTGTTCGATGGTTTCTTCTTTGGCAATAATGCTGTTGCAAATGGAGCCGGGAATGGATTTGGTGGTGAGGGAGAGATTAAAGAAGAGGGCAGTGGCACCTGGGCTGGTGACTGAATTATGGAATCCGAAGCAGCGATATAATAGGGGCAAGAGTGATGGGCACCGTTGGGGGAGAAGAAGCATTGGCCTTGGATGGGGTTGACGGAAAATATACCACAGGATACGCTCAGGGGCTGGACTGGGCTGGACTGGAAATGTGGATGTTGGGGAATGATGCCTAACCATAAGATACCACAGTTTTTATTCGAATGAAAATGGGCGAGGGATGTTATATGATGATACTATGTACTCAAGAACGGCTTGTGGAAAGGGGTCGTTTTCTGACGCAGAAGTTCTCGGTTGAATGATTGATTTATCCAACCCCCGTTAGACCTGAGAGCGTTCAAGACTCCACGCCGTGTCATGGTCCATCATGAAGCGGCACAGTAGAAATCACTGTCGAAACTTGTCGCTGAGTGGGTTAGAAGGAAAGTTGAGAGACACATACATTGCTAGAGACCCAGTTGCCATCACGGTGCCGTCGTCCCAGCTGCTCCGAGTCAAAGAGCCCGCCATGATAGAGCGAGTAATGTTCGTACAAAGAAAGATGTTGCCAGTAGGATCTTGCAGGAGTCGAATCCATCGGCCGCTGCTCGAATGCATGCTGTATATAGTCGCCATTGAAAAGGACTGTGACACGGACACACTTCCTCCCACTGATTTCATTGATCAACCCATCTAGGTCATCGTTATATATATTCTTGGGGAGGGACGCGTGTCCTTGTACTTTCGTCCTCGGCCGCTCTCTCCCATGCCATGCCATGCCATGCCATGTAAATTCCCATTATGGAGGGGGAACGGCGAAGGGGTCCTTTTAGTTCTGAAGAGCGCGCAACTTCTCATCGACGATGCGGCCCACGATCTTCTCCAGGATGGCGGGGCCGCCGTCCGACCCAAGCGTGCCCTCCAGATACCCAACCACGCTCTTCTCGACGACCTTCCCGACGACATCGATCTCGACGTTGACCTCGTCGCCGGGCTCCTTGGCGCTCGTGACCACCTTCTCCTGCGTATACGCAATCAACATGATCTCGAACCAGCCCGCGGCATCGTCGACCTTGGTGACGGTCAGACTGGCGCCGTCGAGCGTCACGTACCCCTTCTCGACGACGTAGCGCAAGACGGCCTTCTCGCGCGGCGCGAGGCGGAACGTCAGCGCATTGCCGTCCGGCGTCTTAGCCATAATGACCGCGACCGTGTCAACGTGGCCCTGCACGAAATGCCCGCCCATGCGCGTCGACGCCTGCACGGCCCGCTCGAGGTTGACCTTGCTGCCTTCCTGCAGCGAGCCGAGGTTCGTGCGCCGCAGCGTCTCGGGCGCGACGCCCACTTTGAACCAGCAGCTGGACGCTCCGCCGCCCGCTTCGTACTCCGTCACCGTCAGACACGTCCCGTTCACGCTGATCGAGTCGCCCAGCGCCATCCCGCCCTCCATGATCGCCGCGCAGTTGCCGATCGTCAGCGACGTGCCGTTCCCGCCCGAGACCGACGCGTCCAGCGGCGAGAGCGACGACACCGTCCCGATCGTCTCGACGAGTCCTGTGAACATCGTTGCTGTGGATGCGCCGTTGAAGGCGACCGAGTGCGCGAGCCTCTCTATGTGATGTGGGTGTACAGTGTGGCTTTGCGGGGTGGTGGTGTGCTTGTTGGCGACTAGAGATGCTTCTCTCGCGTCGAAATGACAAGTGCAGACTTGGATTGCAGACGCGGGTTCCTAGAGTAATTGGATAACCAATCCCCAATGGTCGAGCTTTTGTTCTTGGGAAGCAAAGCAACAGTGTGGTTGATGAATTAAATCACTAGATAAATCCCGCCGGTGATGACAACACTCCCAGGGACCCTTCGTACTACCTCAGGTAATAGAGTGAGTTAACTGATAGCTTGCACTGAAATACTCTACCAGGTGAGTCATGGCCGCGGAAGTGTTGCCCCTCCCCCGCCTCGACTTGGTTGGTTGCGGTGGGTCGTGCACATACAGCTAATTAAGTATTTACAAGTGAGTGTCTTTTTCTCCAGCTTAGCTTCCTACATACATATACATAGGTACGTGTCTCGGACTTGCTGCAGGGAAACCAGTCCCACCGCTGATAATTGATTGGACATGTGGCCGGTCGCTACCATCATCGCCATTTCGTAAGTCATGGGCAGGCACGCAATCCCTGACACACCATATTATCCTGAACTAACGGAGCATATGTAGAAGAAAGTAGAGCGAGCATTCGTATAGATGAGCCCACACGCCCTTCGATGATCCGGACACCTTCTGAGTAGGAGATACTATCAAGATCAGGAAAGCGGAGCAGCCACTCCAGGATTGGGGCAATAATGTTACATTCTTGCACAGCTGGCTCGTTAGCCAGCCAGCCAGCCAGCCAGCCATTTAGCAAACAGACTACTAGGCGGCGAACTGCTTGACATGCATACTATCGAGCAAACCAGCAGTGAAGCGCATGACCTTATCGACGCCCTGGCCATTGATGGCGGAGACAGGGATGGTGGCGCAGGCTTGCCGCCAGGCGTTTGCCTTGCCGCTGGGGTGCTCGACCGTGCCCTTCTCCACACTGGCCACGTAGTCGCGCAGCGCGAGGAATTCGTTTTGCGTCACGGCGGAGTCCTTGTCGGCTTTGGTCGCGACCACGAACCATGGCTTCGATGAGATGGGCGGAAAGCGTAGAGGTTCGAGCACGCGGCCAATGCCACGCACGCCGCCGGCGCTGCTCCTGGACGCCGAGGGCGAGGGAGGTGGAAAGACGGATATCGCCTCACCGTCTTCCGTGAAGACTTTGCCGCGGGAGGAAGAAGCGCTCCCCGCAGCATCACCACTGATATCAAAGGGCGACCAGCTAACGGCTCGAGCCTCGGTCAGCTCGTTGAGCTCGGTGTTGCGAAGGTTCTCGTACTCGCCGACCTCCTTCCAGAGATTCTTCAGCGCGGTGACGGCATCTCCAGCGCTGAGGTCGATGACGAAGGCGAGGATGCGTGCACGCTCGATATGTCGCAAGAATCCAAGGCCTAGTCCCCGATCCAGATGGGCGTCCTCAATCAGACCAGGGATGTCTGCAATGGTGAAATTCGTGCGCGGTGAGTCGCCCTCGATCCCGGACTTGATCAGAGGCCGGCCTTCGTTGTTGTCCAGCACCACTGTGCCGATCGTGGGCTCCAGTGTCGTGAACGCCCAGTCGCCGATCCGCGTGCGGGAATTGCTGATCGCTCGTAGAAACGTACTTTTCCCGGCATTTGGGAGCCCTACCAAGCCCACATCCGCCAGGAGTTTAAGTTCTAGTTCGAATTTGACCCGCACGGCGAGCTCGCCTTTCGTGGCAAATTTCGGCTTGGGTTCTTCCTTGCTCACAAAATGTGGGTTGCCTAGCCCGCCCACTGCGCCGGCCACGAGGAGTTGTGGCTTCTCCATCGCTTTGTCCAGGTCGAGATTGATAGGGGCCTGAGGTTGCAAGACGGTCAGGTGACTCCTCCTCGCCTTCTTTGCAGATGGAAGTCTGTCCTTGACACCTCTAGCCTCGGGAGCCGTGCATCCAGCGTAGAGAATCCATTTGTCGCGCAGACCATGCTCAGTAGGGTTTGCGAGCGGATCCTCCACCCCCATGGCCTGGAGTTCCTTGAGGAGTTGCTCCTCCTCTGTCACGGGGTCGCTGCGCCAAACTTCTCGAATGACCGTTCCCACGGGCACTTGGATGCAGATGTCATCTCCTTTTCGCCCGCCCTGACTCTTGCCCATGCCACTGATTCCTCGTTCGGCCTTTACGATTCCTCGCCTCGCGATCTTGTGCAAACTTGTTTCGTCTGGTACGGCCTGGATCCAGACGTTACCTCCTGAGCCGCCGTCGCCTCCATTAGGCGGCCCATCGGGAATATAGACGTCACGGTGGAACGAAACGCACCCGTTCCCGCCTCCGCCGGCGTGGACCGTTAAGAAACATTTATCGATGAAAATATTGCGCGCGTAGTCGTCAGGGGCTGGGTTGAGGCGTGAGGCACTCTTAGGTGCAATTTGGGGTTCTGATGCCGCGCCACGCCGTGCAGCATTGGTCTCCGCAAGCGATGTGTGTGATCGTCGAGTGCTGCCGTGCAAAAAGTGGGGACGAATCCTCGTCGAGGTGAGGTAGGATCGGGATCGAGTCGTCAAAGATGCAGGCTGAAATATACATGGGTAGAGAAATGGCATCAAGGTGCCTGACGCTTGACTCATTTGGCAGGTGTATACGCTGTTTTAGAAGTTGTGCTTAAAAGCACTTAGTGCAAGACGTTGGAAGAAGAGCAGTACATACAGTATTTATTCTGCGGAGGAAAAACTTCTATGGAGTTGATTTGCGTTTAAACAAGGCTGAGTCCGAGCCCTAAAGGAGAAGGTATGCCGGACGCAGCCTTGCATACTGCAAACACGTGCATTTGACGTCCCATATATCCTCGTACACCTGGTCAGAATATATCCTGGTTGTCTGGCTAATCGCCTGCAATCAACTCATTCAGTGCTCAAAGTTACCCTTAGTGAAAGGCCACCTGGAGATTATATTTGTCGGTGCGAACGTCTTATAGCAAACTGATGCTGTCATGTACATCCTCCTCCTCAGCCACTGGTCTCGTACTTGGTCTTTCCACGCAACTGTTCCCCAAAGTACCAGAACAGCCAAGGTATCGGCGCCATGGCCAGTGTACAGAAGGCTAAGAGACTGGTTGACCAACTGACACCAAGTGCTTTGTACAATTGCAATGCAAACAATGGAAAAGCAGCTGACAATCCATATCGAGACAACATGGCTGCTCCTGATGCCGAAGCGCCATAGAGCGGACCATAGGAATCCATCATGAAGAGGTTGGCCGAAGAATAGATCATTACGGCCGCTAAAATGGTGAGTCCTTCCAAAATGATGGGCACAATCCAATGAATCGAAGGCCGTGCCGTCCAGGCGAATCCGAACAGGAAGGCCGGGAGAGTAAAGGACGCAAGCACACCAGGGTACAGTCGATGTTCTGGGGGAAAGTGCCTATCAAAACCAGCGAACTCCCTTCGAAACTGCTTAAGTCGTGGTTGGTAGATGTATGTGTCGATGAGAATCAAGGGAACTGGTGCGAGAGCTGTACCCCCCATCAGACCTAGAAAAGATAAGGCTTGGGCGACCATGTCGAAATGATAGTAGTGTTCAAACACCCATGGTGATGCAACCACAAACGTGTACATCATGGCGAAAAGGAATGCATTGTACATGCAGACCAGAGTCACTATTGGCTCGGTCAATATCATGTGGACTGGTCGGACGAGCAGCGTAGTCGCGAAGTATTTGGTGGAACTCAGTAGCGAGCCCAATTCCAATTCTGGCATCGAGTTCGGCGAGCCGAGTGTCCTAGCCTTTGTCTGCAGGATGGCCTTTTTATAGGTCTCTTTGGTAAAGATTATGGGCAGATAAAAAGCAAGAATGAAGAAGATTGTGGTCCACTGTGTCCACCGCCAGCCGTTTGCCCCTAGGACAAGACCGCCAATCATTGGTCTGCAGAACGTCAATGGGGCTCGTCAAGCACTGAGATAATACTCATCCAGAGACTGCTCCAAAGAAGGGTATCGAGTAGTAAAATGCAAGTGAGACTCCCCGATACCGCCCGGCAGTATAATCGATGATCGTTGCGGATGCATTGCTGATGGCTGGAGAAGCGAAAACGCCTGCGAAAAACCTGCAGACATTCAAGCCAGCCACACTCCGTGACAGACCTGCTCCCAGGGTGAATGCTGCAAAAATGGGGGTCGTACTCAGGAAAACTACCTTTCGACCACAACTTTCACTGAGCGGCGCTCCGACAAGAGGTCCAAATGCTAGACCCAGATTGTAGAGCGCCAGCGGCAGGATAGCCACCACTTCGGAAACATTGAATTCCTCGGAGACCTCTGCATGAGCCGGACTGTAAATCGAGGCTGCTAAAGTGCTCACAAGAGCTAGAAAAGTCACCGCAACCGTGGACGCCACGCGGCGTTGTAGCGAAAAGTTTCGGGGGTTTTCTGGGTGCGACTCCCAATCAACGTCTTCCGAAACAAGAGCATGCTGGGGAACAGTGGTACTTTGCTCGTACTCGTCATTGTCCATAATGCACCAAGCTCGAAAGTGTACACAAATAGAACATATCTACTATTTAGGCGAACCATGAACAGTTCTGTGTGGTACAAGAAACCGTTGGTGATCCTTTCCCCACATGAGGGCTAGCACGATCTTGAAAGCGATGGAAAATCGCCATGAAAGCTCCGAGGCTTCACGTGGGTGGTGTAGGGCATCTCGCACAACAACCAATGCAATTGCTCCCCCAAAGTGGGTTTCGATGCTTGTTCTTGTGTTCCCGCGTTGTGCATATTGCCTCTACCCGGCAAGCGCAACGTTGGCATTGGTAAAGCCTCAGGAGGTACGGAGGACTTCGGTCGGATATCCTGTTCATCAGTTGATGGTGAATGGTGGGTTGACACATGACCTCGCTAAGATCCATTGCTATTTTTAGCAGGGAGAAATAAACCCACTCTGAGGTAGTGAGTGGCGTCATTCCACGCTCACCCGCACTCTGGGCTTAATGGAGGAGACATGCTCAGTGCGGTCGATCATTCACGCTTCTGCCTGCCGATGATTGAGTTGGAGAATGCTATGGCAACCTGACGAGGGGTTGCGAGGCAGTTTGTATGGGTGAGCCTGGTGGTTTGTATTGATGAGCGAGGTGAATGTGGCTGTGTTGAGAATGATGCCAAGACTCCAAGGGGCGTCGCGCCTTCCCTGCATCCTTACGTCAGGCGATGTACTTCGCTACTTCCCTAACTGGTCGAGTTCCCATTGTCATCTCAACCCCGCACTGGAGGCTGCATGAAGATGGCATGGGATGCAGAAGGATACGGCTGGAATTGCCTGGGCACCTAGGTAGGTAGCTACAAGTCCCGTGCCCATGCATAAGACGCCCGGTCGCTTTTGGGTTTGAATCTATTGGAAAGGGGGCTATTTCAGGATACTAGCTACGAGTAATTCGACATCAAGAACCGAGGCGAGCTTGTTGGTTGTCACCATTCCCCTGACCATCCAACCTAAGAAAATAATCTAACCAAAGTCGACACAATGTCATTGACACCGAGCAAAACTAAAGATACGGCCTAACGTCGGTGCTCAACAGCATCTTGGGCCCCACAGACTCCACCGCATGACGTTTGGGAATGGGATGCTGGGCACGGCTGTGGAATCAGCCTTGCGTTTGCCCAGTGATGGCCAAGCCATCAATGTGCCGCCCTTCCCAATTGGATAGCAGCGAACAGTGAACACCCAGGGACTCTCCCTCCCACACGTTGGCAAACAGGGCCTTCGACAGATGGAGACTGGCCATAGATCAAGGAGATCCCATGGCTTCAACGGCTGCACGGCTGCACGTATTCGGAGCGGCCAGCATCCCCGTATGCGTCAGACCAGAGACTGAACATGTTCTCCCCAGTGGAGCGGTGCGCCATCCTAGCACGCCTAGGCATCGAGGATGCCAACCTTGTGTTGCCTCAGCCAAGGAAAGCATGCAAGATTCAGGCTATGTCTCGTGTGGACGCTTTAGCAATGGATCAAGTCTATAAAGCATGAGATCTGCTGGTATCCAGTGCAGGAACCGAGAACCTTGGCTCAACGAAATCCAGACCCTCTGGTCAACATGAATACCCTGTCTTCATTCTGGCAGCTCGCCATCCTCGCCCTTTTGGCACACCAGAGTCTTCTCGTATCTGCCCAGTCATGTCCCCCATTCACACCCAACTTGCCTATCTCAGGACCCTTGGCAGACAATAAAGCAATTGCAGATGCCATACAGAACGTAACCACCGTCATCACCGCCATAGAAGGGAGCGGCGTCTTGATTGACAACGATACATCCTACTCGGTCGATTTCTATTCTCTTCACGATAAAGGATCTCTATTCACTTATCACTTTTCTGCTCCCAACCTGCAACGTGCATCCCAGGGCGTCACCTCAGTGGATTCCAACACTATTTACCGCATCGGTAGCATCTCCAAGGTTTTCACCGTCTACACATATCTGGCCAATCAAGGCGATGATACGTGGAACCAACCTATCACTAAATACGTCCCAGAACTTGCCGAGGCTGCATCCTCCACTGTCCAGGAGAGTGACATCGACGTCCTCAGATGGGACCAGGTCACCATTGGATCTTTGGCGTCACACCTCTCTGGTGTTTCGAGGGATGTTCAACGGAATCTCAGGTACACCAACGAAGAGCTTGCGGCCTTGGGTTTGCCCCCAGCCTCTAGCCCCAATGTGTCATACTGTGGAGTTCCCGAAGTCCAATATCCATGTGATCGATCAGGTGAGTTGGTCGATTGGTCTTCAGCCCGTATTGCCTGCTGAGAAATCCAGCACTGTTTGAGAACATTCTCCGCAGACATCCAGTGATTGCGCCATTCTACGCACCGACATATTCTAACCTCGCTTTCCAGTTGCTGGCTTATGCTTTAGAGAACATGACTTCAACCCCGTTTGATGACCTAGTTAATGCGACACTATCAGACATTTCCCTCAACTCGACATATCTCAATGTTCCACCTACGTCAGACAATGCAGTCATACCAGTCAATGATACCACTTCATTGTACTCTGCAGACCTCGGCCCTCTTGGTCCTGGAGGCGCATTCTACAGCACTATCAATGACTTGCGCAACTTCGGCCTCTCCATTCTCAACTATACAGTCCTGCCGCCGTCCCAAACAAGAAGGTGGCTGAAGCCCCACTCATTCACCCCTGACACCTACATGACAGTGGGTGCTCCTTGGGAGATTGTCCCTTATCCACCGGATGATCGCTATCCAACCAGGATATATGCCAAGTCTGGCGGAATAGGTTTGTACAGCGCCGAGATGGGTTTGATCCCAGACTACAATGTTGGCTTCACAATTCTCGCAGCTGGACCCCTGTCGCCTTTGGTCAATGCCATTGGGGCTGATCTGATTTCATCGACCTTCCTCACGGCAGTCAAGGCAGCGGCCCGAGAGCAAACCGAGCAAAACTACGCAGGCCTATACGAAGATGAAGCTACCAACTCCAGCCTCGCCTTGAGTGTTGTCGATGGCGTAGCGGGCGGCTCAAACCTGCACATCGATAGCTGGACATGGGAAGGTGAAGATCTCACAGCGCTGTTGGGGTCGGCGATGGGTGTGAACACAACAATATTGTCACTCGACCTCAATCTATTTCCCACCGGCCTGGCTGGGAAAGGCCCTGATAGTAACGAGGTTGTTAGTTGGCGTACTTCGTACAGCTACGTGATCCCTGATGCCACCACCAATTCAGACGATAACACCTCGGAAGATACATCTTCCTCAACGTCGATTACTTCACTTATGGGTCCTTTCTCCCTTGCTTGTAGTAGCTGGGCTGCCATTGATGCAGTGTCATATGGAGGGATATCGTTCGATGAGATTGTGTTCAATGTGGATTCAGAAAGCGGAGAGGTCCAATCTGCGGAAGTTCGGGTGCTGCGCTCAGGGGCTTTTGAAAAAGTCAGTAGTGGCAGTGGGAATAGCACCCTGTTGAAGAGAGGTGAAAATTTCAGGATGAAAATGGCCAGGAGACACCCTGAAACGAGCCCTTATGTTCTCAGAACATAAGCGATACATTCAACACCCCAACAAGACGATTGGCAAATCTCATATGAGATAAGATGGTTGACAAGGGATGGGTAGCCCGTGGACAAGGCTGACGTCACGGAAATCCACAGTGGGCTAGTTGCCTGTGTAGTTAGTAATGACTCTCATGATCTCATCCATATTGAGCGAAACATAGTACTGAAGCCGATTTCGTCGCTTTGGTTCAAAGTACCAAACATGGTCATCTAAGAATATATAGCTGTATATATTATATTGCGTCGCTCTTGGCATTGCTCATCAGACCTTCCCTGCGAGGACCCTCTTCAGACCAAATATCTGAAGGCAGGATGGCGAGAGCTCAGCTCCAGCTCTTGCTCTCTCGTCAGTCCTTGCAAGCGATGGTCTCGTTTGCCCATGTCGCGCTGACGATTCTCCCACCTGCAATACCCCCAGAGAAGCACTGCACACGCCCAGCTTCCACAAAGAAATGCTACTAGAACTGCGTGACCCGTACGATAAGCCGGCGCATCCCTCGGAAGGAACATCCAGGGTGCCATGATGCCTCCTAAGCTGCCCATGGTGAAGACTATGCCCGAGCATGCGGCTCGCACCGTCGCAGTTGCACAGTTGTTGACAGCCTATACCCAGAATTAGTGTCATGATTTCTAGTCCCAAGGATTGAGTGATGGCTAGGTACTTACCCAGGTCAGCCAGATCGGTACAAAAGCATACAGCCCAGTCGCAGCCAGGTACAGCGCGCCATACTTGGCGGCAGGTCTGTCGTTGGGGAGAAACTCAAGCATGAAGAATCCAGCAATCGCAAAGGGTGCAGTGCATATAATGGGCAAGGCTCGCTGTTTATAGCGATCGGACAAATAGCCCACTGCAATCGAAAAACCGCATGCCACCGCCTGTTCCGAGGTCAGTCTACCGTTGCCATGGTTAGTAGTCAGATGAAAGGTATCTACTTACATAGGGACCCACAGAAAGCAGTTGGGCATCTGTGCTGGAGTAACCCATACCCCTGATAATTGAGGGTGCAAAAACCCCGAATGCCTGGGCGACCGTGCTATTGATGCGTCAGCATACCATGAGAAAATATGGGACCAGCAGGTTACAGACTTGGAAAGGAAAAATCCGAAGCCACAGCCAATAACGTGTGGACTGGTCAAGGCTTGCCAAACGTGTTTAAATTGTGTACGGCCTCGTTCGGAGGTACCGACAGCATCAGCCAGCAACCTAGTTACTGCCGTGGCTTTCTCTTCCTCAGTGAGAAATTTAGCCGTCTCGGGTCCTGAGGGGATTATAAACCACGCGGCTATCGCAATGAATAAAGAGATTATTCCCTAGGCCGTGTTAGTTAAAGTCTCTGCCTTCCAGGAACTGGTTAGTACCTCGAAGAAATAGATGTTCCTCCATGTATGGATCAGGCCCCATGGGGGGATCTTGCTGAGTCCAATTGCTAACAAGCCGCCAAATGCTCCACTTGCAGAGGCGGCCGAAATATAGATGCTGGTGCGAAAGCCGAGCTCTTGTCGTCGATAACTACAGTTGTCAATGCACATGCTTGGGTGCTGTAAGAATTCACTCACAATTGTGAAAGCATCCATACCAGCCCAGGCGAAATTCCTCCCTCCACGCAGCCGAGGAGAAACCGAACAGCATAGAGACTGCCGCGCGATTCGACCAGACTGGTCAAGGTCGTGATGATCGAAAAGGAGAACACCAGGAAAGGGATCCAGATATTGCCACCGAAGTATTTGCACGCAATATTGGAGGGCAATTCCACCACGCAGTATGAGACGAAGAGACACATCAGCGCGATGTTGTACCGAAGGCCAACTCCCAGTTCGAGATCTTTCTCCAGTCCCAACAGTCTGGCGTTGCCGATGTTCACCCGATCAATGAATGAAAACAAATTGATGATGAGGAAGAGGATCAAGATGCGGTAGTCGAATTTCCTCGCGATCATGCGAGAGAGGTCCTCATCGATAACCACGGTTTCATGAGAAGCGCCGAGGACTTCTGCGTGTTTATGGGGCCCATCCTCGAGAGGGCTTGGAACAGATGTTGCTGCCTCGACTTCCTTGGACGCCACCATAGTAAGGGAATTTCGATTTGTCGGAAGACTGTTGATGAGAATGTCGCACAACCTGAACAGTTGGGTGCGGCAACGCGTTCTTCAAATACTCTTGAGTCAGATACTAGATCTATACGCGGAAGCTTGATATACAAAGCCTAATGGACGGAACCGATTTTTAGCGTGCTTGGAAGCACGGAACCGACTATTCTGCTCCACGGGGTTTGGTATTAGCAGCGAGGAGAACCACGGAGAATGCGTGGTTCAGCTATCCAAGGTTTTCGTACAACAAGATTCGCGATAGCCGTTCTTGGCCATAGCCAAAGGGTGGCCTGAGTGTCGAGGAACCGAGCATCTGAGAAGCCAACCCGCCGGGAGTCTGGGACTACCTACATAGTAATACATGAGTCTCCTCTTGGCTTTAGAAGACTAGAATACCGAATAATGGCTCCAGGGTACTGCTATTGGTATCCCGTCGACCTCGTTCAGCTGTTTGACCATGATTCACCTGGACCGCATCCGAGTCCGATTCACCCGCAACTAAGATTGGATGTGGGTTTCGGACCTCATGGTGGCACCGGCCGGCGAACTTGTCACTCTCACGCCATATTGGAAATGCTATCAAGAGGTGGGCCGGGTAGAATAGTGCCAATCCGTACAGAAGGCTTTCAACAGGTTCCTGGATCAGCAGACCACAAGCCGACGTCTCCTTCGGAAACCTTTTGTCTGTCCAGTTATCCTTGGCTAACTACGTGCTCACGGCAGTCGTCTATAAGTCTTCTCGCGGGCAACAAACAAGAGCCTCGCTGTCTGTTGTCGGGGGAAAGGGATCGATATAATAGGTACAAGATTTAGTGGCGGTGATCTGGCTAGAGGGACTCAATTTTCGTGCGAACGAGTTTGAACATCATTCACTTAACAAGGACACTTCCTTCTATCTGGATCATAAGATCACTTAGATGTCGCTTCGATATCGTGCTTGTCTCTTGCCTACCAAATGATGCTGGGGCATCCTAGAATGACCATCGAGGACAAATGACGAGGACTAGCTAAGTACTTATGTAAGTCGACCAAGAGGCCAGGGAGGAAAGGTGGTTAATCCTGGAATGCCCAATGCCCAATGCCCCCATTTCCTTTCCATTTCCAAACGCTTATGTACTTCGTATCGCTAATGGTGCAGCTATAGCGAAGTACGAGGATAGCTATATTAAGCCTCCTTTCTCACAAATATCCTCGTGAAATATAGACTACATTTTTAAGCGTGACTCAAAGTCGGAATCGTGTGCTCAGGTCTAGTTAGAAGTCTTTGTGAGGATTAGCAAGGAGACATAAAGAAAGTCGTTCGTATCTCAGCAAATCCGCCGATTCGTTGCATTTTACTTGATGCATATGGCGCTTTCCCAAGAAGAGGAGATGAAAGCGATTCGGAACAAGAAAATATTAGATACCCCTAGAGAGACCGTAAGGGGGAGGCGATCTTGCTGATGCCCCTGTGCCGTCCAAGGATTGGGAAAGTCTAATGGCAACACCGCTACAGGCACATTTGGATGCTTTTTACTATAATCCGAGTACAACGGCACTGACCCTACTGTCATAGTTGCCTACCTGTTATATTAGCTATCGTCTAATGTTCGTAAACTCATCGTTACAGCCACATATACGTTCCTTCAGAACCCAATTGTGACGATCCTTTCTATAAGGGAATACAAAAACTTGAGTTCTAGAGGACGCTGATATGTTAGATCTACCTTGGGTCCCAGGTGGATGTGAATGCAAGCAAGCCAAGACTTGACAAGAGTTGCTTGATTCACTTAAAAAGAACCCATTCTCTGCCGCAGAACCGATATCGTCATACGCTTGTGGTTTAGATGCATTACACGATGCGCCCCCCCCCCCCCCCCCCCCCCCCCCCCCCTCATAAAAGTAGTGGTTGTAATTAGGAGCTAAGCCTGGTACGAAGGGAAAGCATGAAGTAGTGTTTGCAGATAGTAGGTTTTTCTAGCCCAGAGGGTTTTCCTACTATAGAGCTAGATAGTTTTCCCGACATAAGCCCACTAAGAGGCTTTTAGGTGTAGGAATAAATCAATCAATCAATCAAATTAAGATCTAAACTATGCACCCCGCGCTAGGTGGACCTACATTCGCTCCACGACCATTGACTAGATAAACTTATAAGCTGATGACAGTGACGTGGGATTTTTGAACTCGTTGCTGAAGATCCAGAAAAGTTTGAATGGTTGCACTCGAAGATCATTTGAGATGATTGTGCAGGGGTAAAAGCGCCTTGATTTATCATTTACCTCGTAGCAGAGAATGCTTAGTCTTCTCACCAAATCGCTGGCAGAAGAACATACATATCTTGTGGCACGTAGAAACCTGGCAATGTCTACAGAGGTTGGTCTGTTAGCTCTGGAATCTTGAGTCTACTAATCGCTCTAGAATCTCCACCAGCAGTACATCACGGGTATGCGGGCAATCAGCGACCCAGCGACCCATAAGAGGAAATGATCAGTGTGCAGGATCCAGGATTATAAAATACCGGCTGTGATCATCAACGCCGCTGCACTCCGACATCCACTACCGACACTCATTCCTGGGGTTTGTACTATGGGGAAGATCTAATACTCATTTCTGGCTCTACATGTGGTAGCGGTATTCCCTTGCTTATTTGAACCTTTAGTCCACAACCGTACTTCTATATCGATTCGCTTTAGATTTTCGAAGCACACCAGGTCAATCTCCATTCAGCCACGGTCCAGATACTACTCTGGGAATCCGCCATATTCTTTGATTATTCAAGAGTGTCATATGAACTAGTAGAATGGAAAAAGACAATAAAGTCGGCTTCGAGCACACCGAGCCATCGCGCACCATCGTCGAAGAGAAAACCATTCACGCGCATAATGCCGCTTTAGCTACAGCTCTAGAAGGAAAGAGGCCCAGTCTCTGGGGCAAAGGCTATCTTCGGCTGTATATGATATGTGGGCTGCTGTATTTGTGCTCAACTATGACCGGTAAGTATCCAGGCCCGTGGGTGTAGGCCTTTCTGATCACGGTGTGAAGGAGACGACGGATCATTAATGGGGCCTATCAATGCCATGCCAAGCTACACCGAATATTACCACCTACCTCGAGAAGGCAACAGTGGCATCGGGATAGTGTTCGCCTAATTTCAGGTTGGTCAGATGGCTGGAACCACCTTTGCCTGGACTGCCGACTGGCAAGGTCGCCGATAGCCCATTTTGATTGGATGCATCGGAGTCTGCATCGGCACCATCGTGACAGCCACTGCTCCGACCATAGGAGGCTTCATTGGTGGAAGATTCATCTCTCTTCCTTCGCAAAGATAGCAGCAGTAGCGGCTCCCCTATATATAATAGTACTCTCGCCACCACAACATCGTGGAACAATTTCTGGCATGTACAAACATATTATATTACTTCGTAAGCATATGCCACAATAATGTTTTATTTCCATCTTTCCTTAATACGCAAAGAGTTCAATAATTGCCACATGTGCTGTTTATGGCTCGAACTTGCATCTCACCGGTGCTATTTCATGGCGTCTCTCACTCTGGCTGCAAATGCTGTGCCCTGGGTTTGTGTGTTTGGGAGTTTGGTTCTGTTCAAAGTCGCCTCGATGGTACAGTTCAATGCCCCTGGTTAAAAGCCACATCAACGACTAACAGTGTTAGGCTGATTGGAAAATATCGAGTTGAAGAAGCACGAACTGTGATTGCTGGTTACACGCTGATGGCAATGTTAATCATCCCCTTTTAATCTGCAGATAGAAGAGATGAGCGCCCCGTTGCGCGATGAAGGTATAATGACATGGCGTAAATTTTTGATTTACGGGTCTTATTCTCGACCCGTGCTTGGAGATGCCGCCTCATGTTGAGTAAGTCTTGTCGGCCACTTGAGATGGCCTTGCTCGAAGTCAACAAGGGGTTTTTGGCGCTTGTTACCAATATCTAGACCATTGTACAGCTCCCCCCCCCACCCCCACCCCCAACTGACATGTTTTCTCTTCAGACGTGGCGTTCAGTTGGTTTGGTCAGTTCCCAGGGAACAAGTAAGTTATAAAAAGGAGCTCAGGTTTGTCTGTACTAACGGCGTTCTCAAAGTGTCGCATCTTACTGTTAGTATTTCACCGAACGGACGCAAACAAAACCTTTAACAGTTCTGTTAGATCTTCCTTACCTAGTTGCAAATGTCGGAATCACCAACACGAATACACAGCTGCTTCTGAATATAATTTACGCCATTGGTGGCTGGATACCTGCCTTCATAGGAGCCCGTCTATATGATGTCGTGGGCTGTCGCAAACTGATGATGTCTGTTGCCTTTGGTATGGCCGTCTGTCTTTCCATAGCAGCAGGAACAGCAGCAGGGTATGTGCAAACAGGAAGCAAGGCGGCATCTTCTGCTTCAATTGCTTTTATATATGTATTTGGAAGGTTGGTATTCTATTTCGAGTCTGAAGATCTGGTGTGATGCTCGGAGATATTCTCGTCCTATATTCAGGCCAAGAAACCTAACATTGAGATTGACAGTGTCTTCGCGTTAGGCTACACTTCGATGCAACCAATCTATCCAGGAGAAGTACTATCAAACGATATGAGAGCCAAAGGGATGGGTGTGTCTGCAGTCGTCAGCGGATGTGCTGGTTTTGTCAACACCTTCGCGGCTCCTGTTGCAGTAAAGAATGTGAGTTGTTGCGAACAGCTTCGATATGGCTCTCAAAATTAACCCCACAAGATCCAATACTGGATCTACGTGTTCTTTGTTTTCTTCGACCTCTTCGAAGTTGGCCTTCATCTACCTATTCTTCGTCGAGACAAAGGGTCGCACTTTAGAATTGTTGGACGAGATATTCGAGGCTCGCAATCCACGGAAGGCGAGTACGAAGAAGGCGACTATCGTCAGGCGGGTCATGAATAATGGAGAAAATGACAAGGAGATCATAGTAACACACCGCTTGAGGATTTCCGCCCGCACCCTGATCGAGCACGGGAGGCGTTGACCATGCTAGGTCGATAAGTGGAGATCCACGTGACTTGCTTTATCGTTCCCCTAGCCGGGATATATATACCTTTTTGAACTAGCCACTATGCATCTGTGATTAGAAAGGTATACAAAGCCAAGCGCTTACAAGGCTAGTATAAAACTCACCATAGGGGCTATTTGAGCTGCTGGGATGGAGGAAGCCCACACTCTAAGAATAGCTTGCCAAGTAGAATACCAACCTACCTAGGTAGGGGTGGCTACCCAAGTACATATACCACGATGCCCAGCGGCGAATCTTGACCTCTCCAAGGTCCATTTCCGTTTCCAACACTGAGTCCGGCTTAGTGATCCCTGAGGAGTGCCCTGGGCCGTTCATTCGTATCAACCTATCACTCAATGTGGCCGTCAAACAAGACGACGGCCTCAGTTAAAGCACCACACTTTCTTTATACACCGATGGGAGCGGTACCAACTGCCACGTCGGTGTCGCCGCCTTAGCATCTGCTCTACACCCGAACAACGCTCGCTCCAGAAGGATGATTAACATCGACATATATGCGGGAGAACTCTAAGGAATTGTACTGGCATGTCAGATTGCCCTTGATGTCCATACCACGACCAGCATCGCAGGCAAGTGCGCCATCTTTGCCAATGGCCAAGTCTCCATTCAAGCAACGGCAAACCCTAAATGCCCATAGGAACAATACATTCTGAACGAATCCATCCAAGGCCTAGACAAGCTCCGCGACCCGGGATGGGAGGATAAGCTCCGATGGATCCCCGCACAAGACGGTATGCCTCGCAATAGTTGAAATCCCAGATCACGTGCAGCTGCCTAATAGGCAGCTGTAGGCAACTATAGCTACTGCCGTATATAAAGATACCTAGGTGCCCACTTAGTTATAACAGTCAAGCCTGTTACACTTGAAGAATCACACTTTCAACTGCAATGAGACAACCGGTCAAGCTGCAAGGTTGGCCGCGGACCAAAATACAGAGTCGCACTACCTAGTCTCGGCTCGTAAATAGAATGAAATCCGGATCTAGGATCAGTTGAATTATTATCACCTGTATTGTTACGGGCCGTTGATGCGAGATGGCGGCCACCAGCAAAAGGGGAAGATCAGCCGAAGTATCGTGGGAAGCCAGCCTCGTGGGCAAGGCCGGATCACGTGACTTGGACTGTCAGCCAGCACTTCAGCAGCGGCGCAAACATGGGTAACTCATGAGCATTTTTGGAGAAGCCTGTTCTACTTATCACTATGCAACCTTGCGAAACCAGGCCACGTTACGTCATAGGTTGTCACCTTCCTCATACGGCAGCTTTCCACAGGCAAGACGTCCTCGCCAGACTGCTCTATTTCTACTCCGACTTAGCAGTCTAATATCTCTGCATTAATGACAAGAATGTGGTGAATACCGTGCCTGGGCCCTGAACAGCTCCGGGGCCTTTAAAGCTCGACAATTGTCAATACCATGAGGGTTGGTCGCTTTGAGGTTTTGAACTTGGCCAAGGTTCCCTATTTTTAGACACGACTCACATGACCCCGGCCAAGCATCCTTAGCAATGATGCCTATCAATACGAGGCTGAAATTCTGTTACGTTCCCCGAGCAGTTGTCGCAGGTGGTGATCAGCGAAAGCATGGGAAATTCAAACTCCTCTAATATCCACTACAGGTCCATGTGGACACTGTGTAAGGCATGCAGAGAAGTGACCTTCAGTCCCGAAGTCTGGACACAAGCGTGGCGATATCAAGGCACCTTTAGCGACCGACCATGTTCGGCAAGAAGTCTCAAAGAACTTCAAGAAGGACTGAAAGATTCATGCTGGTTTTGCCAACAAGTCGTCAATAAGTGCATTGAAGAGCTAGAATCGACTGTGGAAGAGTGGTTCCTCCGCCACGCTCAACCAAACTTCGAAATTGCCATCGATATTTCCAAAGTTGGCAAGGCAGATCATCTCAGATTTTCTGTGACAAATTATACCTTTTTCAGCTCTCAAGATCACTCCATTCCTTCCTTTGCCGACGGTGCTGTTGATATAACCTTCGAATTGCCGCTATTTGCTGATCTAGGTGAGCCGATTGCATCAGTCCCACTTTTTGTGTCGTACCACTAACTTACCTTTCTCGACAGGCAGCGAAGTCTCCCATTATATTAATGCACCCTCTCGAATGAGTCAACACGCAAACTTTGACAGAAACACTGTTCGATCCTGGATTTCTGCTTGCCACAAAGGTCATCAAAATTGTCGGACAAATTCGGACGTGGTATTACCCTCCCGTCTCATCGACGTCTCTAGAACGAACAGTCATGATTCTGTTTCCCTACATATCCCATCAGAAGGAGAAAGGGGGTCATATGCTGCGCTGAGCTATTGTTGGGGCGAAGGAGACCGGCCAACATTAAAAGTCGGCACGCTGAAGGCCTTTCTGCAACGGGTGTGGATACCTGATTTGCCAAAGACGTACACCGACGCCATCGAAGTAATACGAGCCCTGGGACTGAAATATCTTTGGATCGATGCCATTTGCATCATACAAGATGACCCAGCTGACAAAATTGTCGAGGTTCCTCGCATGCATCAATACTACAGAAACGCACTTTTCGTCATCTCTGCTACAAATGCGGAACATGTGAGAGAAGGGTTTCTCACTCGGAGTGCCGACATACCCAAGACGTATCGTCTACCTCATCTAGGGGTGATCCAATCTCGGATTCAAGAGATACCCGTCGTATCCCGAAGCGGGAAGCATGCGAGAGCCTATCTTACGGCCGAAAATAGTGTATACGCCGCAGGTTCTGGATCAATCGCATCTCGCGGGTGGACCTTGCAAGAGCACGCTCTTCCGGATGTTCTCCTAGAATTCCCTTCGCCAGAAGGATTTGTGTTCTCGTGCGCCACAGAGGAGAAGCATAATGAAGGGTTCCGCTATTCGAGGGCCTCGTACATCAGCGGTGTCCGTCAGGCGCTCCTAGAGAGAAGAAGACTCCAAGCTCAAGGAAACAGTCCCCCTATGTTGGACCAGGACTATGGGAGCTGGAACTCTTACCTTAACACCTCCGAGAAGCGCGGGCACACTCCAGCCGAAACATTAGCCGCGATTTTGACTCTTGCCCAGATGAACATGCCAGAGAGCCAGAAATGGAATTCGACACCCGCGGATAGGATATACGACAGCTGGAATAGCATGGTGACTAATTACGGATGTCGTAATCTGAAAGAACATGGAGACAGATTAATTGCCATATCTGCACTTGCGGATGAATTCAAGCGTTTGTACGGCGAAGTTACGGGCGAGTATCGCGCGGGCCTTTGGGAAAGGTTCCTGCCGCATTCTCTGACGTGGGTGGTTCATGAGACTGGCATTCGTCCAGCCCCAAACTCTCGAATTAGTCCATCATGGTCGTGGGCTGCTGTCTTTGGAGCGGGCTACTCTTTGCAGTTCTCTCAGCGTCTCAGCGCGATTTCACTGATCTCTATTCTCAAGTGCGAGACCAACCTCTCGGAACCCACATTGCCCTTCGGGTCGGTGCGACAAGGCACGCTGACCGTGAAGGGCAGAGCTAAGCTGACTGATACCTGGAAGTCAGAGCTCGACGGGAAGACGTACCTGTACGGCGAAGCGGACTCTGAGGGAAACAATCGATGGGTCATTAGTCTCGACTCCATGGACCATAAAATCTATATTGGTGGTCCCGTCTTCATCCTACCTATTTTTCTCCTACCTGTGAGGTTCCCGCACGAAGCATCAAAACCCCCCAAATATACTTGTCTATTGCTGAAACTGAGAGAGGGGAACACCTGCTGCCGGATAGGGATTGCAACATCATTTTACATCCACAAAGCCAGCTACGAGGCGTGGAATGAACGGGTCTTCCGAATCACCTAGTGATTGACAGGAGCTATAGAAAGAACCTTACAAATACATTTGTATGAAGGAATGAGAGCTTACCCCAGTCGGGCTCAGCCGTATTTTTGGGAAACTGGGCTCGAGTCCTCGAACCAACCTTCGGAAGTCCAGAGGTGAACGCACAGTCTTGCAATATAAGGTCTGTCGATATTATACCTTGTTTTTAACATCAGTTCGACCCTGTCGCCCTGGATGACTGTTGCCCATGTATCTAGTCGTCTCTTCAAGTTGTTGCTGTTTCTCAGACAATTGCGCGTGGCTTCTTCCCTGGCGAAGAAGGTGGTCTGAACTCTTTATCTGCTAGCAATCGAAAATAATTAAGTGTCACCTCTAGATAAATCGGGTTGTTCAAGTTGTCTCGCGGCTAGCGGACCTTTGACTTGATCTTACGCTACAGCAAGATTGCAAGGATTCGAAGACGATCTTAAGCTCACAATAGATCGATATCAAGTTGGTTTGGGTTATGTTTTCTGCGCCATTAAGTCTCGCGTATCCGATGAGCCATTTTAACGGTCTCTAAGTCGACTATTAAGGGTATAACCCATCCAGGGAATACAGAAGAATATCCCATGAGATTTGCCGACACAGGTGTAAGGGATACTAAGCGAGGAATAAAATCTCAGACGTACGCACTGAAGATTGGGAGACTTGTATCGACAGCAGGCAACTGTCCCCGCAAGATGAGGGATAGTTATGCGGTTTCACGCTCTATGCTAATTTGCTGAGGTGTAGAAGATGCTGTGTAATGTCAGAGTGATGCAGCCAGCGTGCAGGCCTGCGAAATTAGACAGCCCCACATCGACTATGCGCGGCTAGGTGCTCCACCTACGATCGGCTATACTCAACACTATTTAGAGCGGCATCACCCTAGGCCCTGAGTAGGTTGAGTCGCGAGAAGTTTTCCCAATCCTTGGCGAACAATGACGCTTCATAACCATTAATACGTAAATCACCACAAACAACACTATCTACGGTTAAAAGAATCATAGAAGTCTTGAGAGCAAATCCGTCTGGCCCGAAATCTGTGGAGAGCGCTCGATTCTCTCTCGCAAACCCAGTGAAAGGAAAGCTCAAGCTCTTCTTTGAGGGCTAAACTTTTCTCATGTCCTCCCAATCCGCTCCAGCGTCTGAAACCGAGGGTAATGATGAACCTCAACTCTCAACTTCCGCTCAACTTGCCTACTGGGAATCTATCAGCGTCGACGTGAACGGCATGCTGGGCGGCTACCCACAGATCTCACGCGTCGACATCCAATTCTCACGCATATTCCTCGCCAAGATCCGACGGTTGTACAACAAGAAGGACAACCCCTCCACTGCAACTACCAGGAGCACCAGATCAGGGATTTCGGACACCGCACACGCGTCAGAATACCAGGGCTACGCATTCAGCCACGCCTTGGAAGCAGGCGCGGGCATTGGACGAGTCACGCTCCAGTTGCTCGCGCCGCTGTGCGCCAAGATCGACATCATCGAGCCTATCCAGCGGTTTACGGACATTCTTACGGCGCCGACATCGCTACTTGTGAAAGACGGTCAATTGGAGCGGGTCTGGAACGTGCCGTTGCAGGAGTGGAGTGCTGATTCGATACCTGCCTACACGTCGTCTACGATCGCGAGAGACGCTACAGAGCAAACGGCCCCTAAGTACGATCTCATCTATAACCAGTGGTGTCTGAACCACTTGTCTCAGACATCGTTGGTTACCTATCTTAGAGCTCTGATCTTGTTACTAGATACGCCGAATGGATGGATCATTGTGAAGGAGAATTTATCTACGGATGCGTTCGGGGCGGATATTTTCGACCCCATTGATAGCAGTGTAACGCGGAGTGATGGTAATTGGAGAGCCGCATTTAGAGAGGCAGGACTGCAACTTGTGCACATGGAGCTGCAGAGAGGGTTTCCGAAGGAGCTTCGGCTGTATCCTGTGGGGATGTATGCTCTTCGACCAGCACAGGGAGGGGCATGATCTTAAAATTCATGGTACTCGCTGCTCCGGTCTCTTATGCCGCGCATACTCAATTCTAGATACTATAACTATCGACAACCTCACCCAGATTTAACATTGCTTCAGCAGCTCGAATTTACCCGACGAATATATCTCAGCGAGTCTCGAGCTTATACTATTGAGAGGTTCCAAGACCTACAGCCCTTCTCAGTGAAGGACAGTGCGACATCGTGCTTATAGATGGTGACCGGTGCCCGGTGCCGAGAAAGGCCCTCATTGAAGTACGCCCTGACGGCTCTTGCGGGTGCACAGCCTAGGCTGTGCTAGGGAGCAATGCTACGTCAGTACATAATTACCTGGCTGTAAAGGGGGCATAACATAGATGAACTTGCCCTATAGCCACTACATTACAGAGTAACACTTCCCTCAACGCCGCACTATTACTTCGGGCTTATTGAAATGGCGTAGCTAGATCATAGGTATTTCCAATGATCAAAGTTGATGGTTAGTTTTCATACCGGTCTAGGAACGAGAGTATATCTCAACGGCCTTTTGTTGCCATGGCGTGCATTATATGGCGTTCTTGAGCCCAATATCTAGACCACCCAATTTACTATTAGCACCTAGGCTTCACCAAGTAAATATTTCATTGCCAATAATTCAAGAAACCCGGTCGCATTACCTGGTAGTCACGGGATTAAACAGCCTAATCAAGTACTTAAATAGTAATAAACTCGCCAACTAGCTAACATAGTCACTTGATCACTTAATGTACCCCAGAGAGTGTTGGGTTATTGATACCCTCATGCCACCTCCTATCTAGATCCCTCTTGCTTGAAAGACATCAAGCAGACAAGCTACTTGTTTTCGAACTCAAATTGGCAGGGAAAGCAGCCACCGTCTACATCCATGGTCTTGACTGTTGCTCATTTGCGACAATATATCTCGCTGGACACAGGATATCTATGATACCTTCCCAATCAAGTACGGCTAAAGCCTTTGACCCAATGCCCGAAGGAAGGAAAGTCAATTCTGCCTGGGTTGAGAGCACACAGCGAACAATTCGTTGTGGCGGGAGCCTCCCGCGTAAAATTTGCCAGTGGTACTCGGGGAGAACCGATCCACATGTCCCCAATGACATCGAAGGACAGATCCTATATGGAAGGCAAATGGAGATCTTTTCGACAAAGTCTCAAAACCGACGAACGAGTAATAGACATTTGTTGAATTGTGAGCAAGTCTACTCGTCAACGCCCACGGCTCAGCAGACCGGGGAACAGAGCACACATCTTCCAGGGATTGACAAGTCATGAGAATCTATCGGATTCAAGCCACGAGTGGAAGGAGCTTGGACGACAAGATTATCTTTCACCAATTGATGATGATGTAGGCCGTCTTGCATCTCAGGACAACATGGCTCGTACCTAGGAAGTTCTGCGTCGGTGCAGCCCCAAGGCTGATCTTTCTCGCGTGTCCATCAACAAAACAATATTTCGTGGAGCTTAGTAGATCTTTTCCACAATGCAAGGATCAGACTGGCCTCCTTTCTTGTACCAGGGCCATACCACTCGAGGCCTGGACACTGTCCAGACGTTCTACTCCACTTGTTTCTGCAGACCGTAGTTGTTGCATAGCCGCCTTGATTGATGAAGAGGGTTCCGAAAATGTTTGAAAAAACAAGTTCGGACTGACGATTCCTGGGTAGCGCTGCTGAACACCGTACTAGCACTAGGTTCAATAGCAACCGGTGATGCCAGTTCGCATACTTTCTACTATCGTACTACACTCGGGCGCCGCGTGTCATTGCATTCGATCCCTTTGAACTGGGAACTTAGAGATGCTCTGAGGACTCATAATCTTCGGAGGTGGTGTCTTATACTACTTAAATTCACCGAATACCGCATATCTCATATTGTGCATGGTACTCCGCATGGCAATAGCGATGGGCCGATGGCCCTACATCGCGGGGCTGGCAAGGGAGCACAACTAAAACATCACCACTTGAAAGGCTCACCAACCTCGGCTCCGGGTATCAATCGGATGTCAAAGGTTGAGATGAGGAGGCGGACCTGGTGGGCTGTAGCATACTCTGATACGGCTTCTGGTTTGTCATCGGTCGACCTCCGACTGCAAAATGGGATCCTGCCACTATGTACACCGCCCTGCCCGACAACCGCATTTTAACAGACAGCTGGGTAGCGTACTCGCGAGCCAGCGGGATGCCCATGATGGATGTGAAGGTCTTGGAACAGTACTTGGCTCGCTCTTCTGCGGAACTTGCGGTGCTACCTAGCAGGGTAGAGTACAGATTGGAGCAATTCTCTCGCATGGCAGCAAAGGCAGTCACTTCCGAGATATAACTCCAAGCTTGGGAGAGAAACTGCCGTCTAGTCCTCAAATTCGGTCACGCGTAACCCAAGAGCTTCGAAATACCTTGTGGTCTTCTGCGATACCGGTTTCAAGCCGCTCGGATTACCGGGTGGTGGCGATATTTCAAGAAGTTGCTGCTGTCATCATTACAAGCACTGTAAGGCATCGAATTTCGGCGTGATATTGTTCGTGGTATCTTTTCCAAGGGTGCATGGTCCCTCTAATGTTGGGATCACGTTGGCTGGGGGAAACCAGGGCCCACAGCACTTCAATTCTAGGATAGAGAACCTCGAGAGTGCGCTGCAAACCTTCAACGAAGTCGAGCCATACAACAGAGCAACGAACAGATATAGAATTGTGATGGAAGGGTTATATCAGGGAGTCATGGCAGATCGGAGCCTGGACAAGGAAACCAAGTCAAAATCCTCAGTTGACACTGGGATCACACCTGGATACAGGAACAACGAGCTTTGGTTTCCCAAACATGCCGCCGATAAAGGTGTTTCGAGATTGCCATGACACTGATTTTGACTTTGGCGATGAAGAATTGAAACGGCAGATATTTCGGGTATATACCAGACTACCCGCAGAGGAGGTACAGAGTAGGCTCAGATAGCACCTGTTATCGCAGTGAGTAAGTTCGTGCTTTGAAGGCGTGATAGACACATTTGAAGCAAAATGAGAGACACGATTTATCTATTAGCTTGAGGCGTTCAGAATTTCAGGAATGTAATTACGGCGCGACACAACATCGTGAATTGGTAGTCTTGGCATTCTATGACGTTGTTCGCGCTATGGAGTGATGAAAGAACATTATTCCAACCACGAAGACTGATACAGGTTTCCCATGCTACTCGTCATAATCTCATTCAGCCTGCAGGTAGACTGACAGGCGATTGCCTCATGATGGCTAACAGCGAGCCTGAAAATAGGTGCGCTTCGTCCCATAGCAAACCCGGAGACGAGAAGGAGCCAGGATCGCCAACGCAAGACCAACGCAGGCAGCGCAGCAGATCACCTCGGCGCGACAGGGACAGGGACAGACAAGGTGATCGACCACGTCGGAAGGACGCAGGATTCAAATGGAAAGATAGACGCAGGGACCATGATAGGGACCGAGATGGTCGCCGAGATCGAGATCGAGACCGAGACCGAGACTCTGGCTTGCAACGAGGCTACAGAGACCACTACCGTCCTCGATCAAGGTCGCGATCGCCTCCTCCCCGCCGCCGGTCACCGAGACGGTATGATAATGACAATGAACGAGAGGACAAGGGACTTTCTAATGTCCTTGACGCAAAAGGCGGCGCAGATAGGAATTCTAAAAATGAAAAGGAGAGGAAGGAGAAGAAACCAGCAGCAGCACCACCGCAGGCTGTAACACAACCCATGATTATCGTCTACGTCAACGACAGACTAGGCACCAAAAAGGCAATCCCTTGCTATCCTACTGACCCAATAAAGGATTTCAAAGTCATTGTCGCATCAATGATCGGACGACAACCACATGAGATCTTGCTCAAGAGACAGGGAGAGCGGCCGTTCAAGGATCAACTCACGCTGCAAGACTACGGTGTCAGCAATAATGTACAGCTGGATCTCGAGGTTGACACGGGCGATTAGGGATATGGTCCGTTGTCGGTTGATTTGATCGACATGTAGAGGGCACTAATGCGTCACTCACGTTCTTGTCAATTGCATACCGGTCAGTGGGGACTGGAGGAAAATCTCACTACCAGGGCTTAGGGAGAATGATCGGCCGCAAATCGAGCGCAGAGACGACTACCTCAGCCTCACCGAGTGGCTGACTTCTCTTCGAAGTTCTGTCCCAATGCAATTAATGCAAGCCTCCAATCTATTTGCTCTGCCTGGCGATTCTGTCAATCACCAGCTGAGTGAAATATAGACAGCATTCTGGTTTTCAAAATCAAATTGCTCTTTACTGCATGCTTAGGCCCTCATGGCGAGCAGGGCCAGGCACATGTGGCGAAGCTCAAAATCATCTATACTATTCACCATATTATGATGTATACATCAAATTCTGACGGGATGACAATATTCGTGTGCTTGTCCACCACCACCAATACTATGGTCCAATGTGAGGGTTTTAATAGGGCCTAATTCAATTGCTATGTACCGTGTAACGAGGATCTTAAAGCTAAAGAGGGAGAGTAGAAGAGAGAGTCTAGCTACCGTACAGTAAAGAGATATACTCTCCTTTAGTGGATTGTGCGGTAGCTGGAGTAACCATCGATAGGGGGATGTCACGTGATGTTGCCTTGTAGGAGATAGCCGGTTTAACCGAGACTCTATACGGGTTTAATCCGTAACAAAGCACTTCATCTAATGTGCGTACATTCATGACCAACACTTATTATGAGAGTAATCTCGTTCTTAGAGTAAAGATTGTTTCTCCTAATGCGCTCTTTGAATGTGATAAGTCATCCATTCATTCTCAAATCTTTACGCAAGGATTAGCCGGCAGAGCTCTCCCCGTCGTCGGCAACCACGCGTTTCCATCCTCCCGATTGGTATCTTAGATGTCACGGGTTAAACCCGCACGAGGTCTTGGTGGACACCTACGACTCAATAAGGGTATACCACGTGACTCCCTCCTATCATAGTTACTCTAGCTACCGTACAATCCACTAAAGGAGAGAATATCTCTTTACTGTACGGTAGCTAGACTCTCTCTTCTACTCTCCCTCTTTAGCTTTAAGATCCTCGTTACACGATACATAGCAGTTGAATGCGCTCCTATTAAAACCCCTACAGTTGGTCCTACTTCACGAGTGTCGCAAGCGCCGATTTTGGCGACTCTATTCTGGCTCAGGCGTAGCGGCAGCGACTACCTATGTACTAAGGAATTTACTGGATGGTTTCAAGGTGATTGTTGAGAGGGTAAGGTACTCTGCAGATGCGCAGCATTCGCTTCTCGTTCTATGTTCACCAAGGCAACTCTGCACCATCAGGTCCAAGAAACTTTCCATGCGCGTTCTCCAATGTCGCATCGTCGATCTGTTTCACGACTTGTCAGCTTTCTTCTCAAATACATGGACGATAACTAAACGAACAACGGGCACACGTACCACTTTCTTGATCCCTTGTGTGCTTTGTTCCACGGAGACGATGTGCGTAGTTAAATCGAGGCCCTGCTGTTCCAGAGCTTCGAAGCCAACCTTCGCGCTGTCAGTCGCGACCATTCTATGTTAGGGTCAGTGTGTTATCAACAGAAGAGGCTATGCGTGCAGACCCAGGGTGTTGGGCCCAAATCAGCACATCATGGGTCTCAAGTGAAAGCCACTTGATGAGAAAGTTCCCTAGAGCCTTACTCGCTCCATAAGCGGCAAGCGGAACAATATTACTCATGCTCGTCAGGCTTCCGCCAGCGCTGGATATGTATGCAAACTTGGCCATGCTCTCACTCTTGCGAAGCAGTGGGGCCACCGCTTTGTACAGCTCGAGCTGGCCATACGCATTCACATGGATATAGGTTTCAATTTCGGAGATCGCAGTCTCAGTGAGTTTGGGCGTCATACCAACGATGCCGGCGTTTGCAATAACGACGTCAATGCTGTTGATGCTGTGCTCTGATGTTAAGGATTCAACGCCGGCTTTGATAGATTCAGTGGATGCGATATCGAGTTTGATGATAACGAGGCGGGATCCAGATGCCTTGTGCAGCGAATGCAGAGATTCCGCAGCCAAGGGATTGCGGACCGTCGCTATAACGGTAGTATTGGGATTCGCGAGGTATAACGTCACGAGACCTGTGCCGATACCTGTCGTAGAATGGCTCAGGATAAGATCAGGAATGACTTGAGGAGGAAGAAAAGTACGTACCGCGGTTTGCGCCTGTAATGAGGACTGTACTGAAGGAAGACATTACTAATGAAGCTCAACGTGAGCCTTGATGGAGCAGAATGAAAAGGAAATACCGGGACGCTATGAAGATGGAGAGTTTAAAGGCCCTATGAAGGTGTGCGGCGAGTGAGCGACATGACATATAAGGCAGCCTTATAGGAAGAAAGTTAACCATAGCAGAACGTGCGCACGAGAAAGCTTGTGGTGTTCCGGACGAGGCACGAATAGCGCGAGATGCGATAAATTACGGCCTAATCGACGACCGTACTAAAGTTATCTACTTAAGCTACTGCCTTAACTATAGTATATCCTTATATTAACTGAGTAATTCACGGATAGGCCTAGTCCATGACAGAATATACAGTGTACAGGGACCGCCTAGGCGAAAGGCGACTAATTGGCGCGGTTCGCGAATATACTACTCGGCCTCTTAACTTGAAGTCGAAGTCCAGAACAGTGGCACTTAGGCTGGCCCCATAAACTCCGCCATGGGTCGGAGTATGTGGGGCTTCGATGAGCTAAGCCAGCGGAAAACCTGGCGGGTGAATTATAAAGCTAGCGGAGTTTGCGCCCAACTGTAACCCCTCTTTATCAACCTTGATCTCTCAAAACTGTCGAGTATGCAGACAACATCGCGGACGATCGACGGTGAGCATTCGCTGACGGAATCTGGGGCTTCCGCTCCGAAATGTCGAGCACATCACGCCACAAGTCGTGCTTCGCATGTATCAAGACTAAGCGAAAGTGCGACAGAACATGGCCCAGATGCCAGCGGTGCGTCGCGAAAGGCTCTGAATGCCAATACATCGGCCGAAATCGTCATCAACCACGGCGGAACATTGATTACGATGTAGATCAATCTGTTCCTGCCTCGGAGCCCGTGGGTGGACAGCCATCTGGCAACTGGCAGCTGCAGCAATATCACGCGGAACCGACATCGTTGCTCACAACGTGCCTGGATGGTGCTCTGTTCGAATTTCCTAATCACCCTTTTAACCTTGGTAATATGCCAGACGATGACACCTTCATATTCGATAGCATCCAAGACAATGTCGCTCAACAGGCGCCGAGCAGTGCCGATCCAACAATCGTACGAGCCAACACTTCGGATGCAGGACTTCAGCCTCGTGTAGAGTTCGTGGCGAAGCGAATAGCAGCAATTCCGAGGACGTTCGCAGAGCAAGGGCAAACGATGTTCATCCACCGGATGCAATTTCAGCAGAGATGTTCTCCGGCTTTGCAGGACGCAATGAGCATGTGCGCCTCGTATTGCATGAAGGGTGTGGCAAACCAGACATTGGTATTTCGGAATCTGGGCCATAGATGTCGGCAGCTGATCGCAAGCACCAATGCGCTACTCGCTTCCAAAACGGATCTTCTTGCGGCTCTGCAAGCGCTCCTGCTTTACCAGATAATGCGACTCTTCGATGGCGACATCCGTCTCAGGGCCGATGCGGAGGCCGATGAACCGATTTTGATCCTATGGGCCAGCCAACTCAGGGCTCACACATGCAACGAAGCACAGGCGACATTTACTACACAAGGTTCGATGGACACGAGTATTGTGACCATTGATTGTAAGTCGGACTGGCAGTCCTGGCTCGTTGAGGAGAGCATCCGACGCACGGTGATAACCTCATTCATGCTGAAGGGTGTATACAGTTTCCTGAAACTGGGCTACGACAGGCCCACGGAACTGCACGTATGCTTCACTGCACAAGCAGCGCTTTGGGGTGCGCAGTCCGATATCAGCTGGCGTAGGGCGCAAGAAGGGAGGGAGCGACTCGAGATGCGCGTCACACTTTGGGACGAGGAAATGGCAAAGGCGAAACCAAAGGACCTGGAGGAGCTCGGTGTACTAATTATGACGATGCTATGGGCACCTGAGGCCACGCGGATATGGTTGGGACAATATTTTACTTTCAAGCATGGCTTGGAGACTGCTTAGAGCGACGTGGAACGCAACAGTCAAAGCGATTGTTCCTTTAATTGCGTGCGAGTCTTCCGTCCTTGTCCCTCGATATTTTCCGTGCATTTTCATCTTGATAAACGAGAGTTACGTACATCAGTTGCGGGGCCTTACGCACTCCGTCAGGTCGTGGTAAAATAAAGCTTACGAGTGCATGGAAATAGCATATTCTGAGTGATGACCTCAACCAATTTTAACAGGTGCCAGAGATTCATGACAATGATCACTTGTGTAATCCCTTTCGAACAACACAGCAACAACTCGAATGAAGCGGTTACCAGGCTCAGCCCTGTCTCAAATAGTTTTTAATAAATCGAAGAGTTACCACTGGCCGCTACGGGGTTCTACTAGACCAAGGATCGATCTTAGTGCGCCTCCTACCGAATGCGAGCCCACCACCGCTCACGAACCATCATCTACTGTTGCTGGGCAGGGTTGCTTCATCCAGTGAAGAAGTATCACCTAGTTCTCTAGTAAGCTAGCGTGAACATAATTTCTATTGGATATCTATGTTTAGTAACTTCGGCAAGTTAGTTAAGGGTGACTAGATCCCTGTTTCTTTCCATACTGTAATCATTATTCTAGTTTATATAAACATTAGCCAGGTACTTAAGCTCTACTTTCTAATATTTTTAAACGTTCTTAAAATGGCTATAGAAGCTTTCTTATCGATCGGTAAAGGAGGCATTCTAGCTAGCACTATAGAGTTTAGTACCTATAGTATTTTGTGCGTTACGTGTTGATAGAGTTGATGTAGGCTGATTAAGTTTCAGCGCTCACAGTCGAATTTCCGCCTAGGTGTAACTATTTGTACCTATATCGATGACTTATCGTACGAGGATTCGTTTAGTTACGTGTCTATATGTGCCTGTAATGTTGTACAGGGGCGTCTGGAGGTGTGCCGTGACCGCTGGGCAGCAAACTCAGCCTTATCTCGTTCAGACATGTGAAGTTGATGAAACTTCACCTAACACAATTTATGTTACTTCTACGCTCGGACGCGAATGTGGCCTCACGCCTCACCAAAGGCCGGGGTCTCGGTGCAGATGTCACATATGTAGGCTGGCCCACTGAGATACAGACATAGCCTGGAAGCATTAGGGTATGTCTTCAACATGCAGGTAATTGGGAATCGAGGGTTGGGCCCTTCAGAATAGTGATTTGCTCAGAGCTCGGAATGGATGGATATGGATGGATATTCATGTCCATCCAAGGGTTTGTCTATATGCGAGTGGATTGGGGCGACACAGCATTTATATCAATCCACGGTAAAGGGTCACGTGTCATCAAAAATTGCCATAGGGGGGTTCTCAAAGGGGAGTCGACAGGGTTGGCGCTGATTCAGGAGTGGAAATCGGTCAATCTCGCTCGTAGGCTATGGTAAAGTATTGTCTTGCCATCTAATCAAACTCCTGCATGGCTACAAAGCCGCTGTCCCACCCCTATCTCATACATTGACATGCTTCAATGACATCGCTGTCCAGGGTGCAGGGCATTCCATACAGGTGCTTAGTCAGCGTTCACGATATAGATAGGTATATGTAGACTAGTTATACAAATCCAAGCTTTCCTCATTCTTAGTCATACGTTCTACGTTCTTTATTCCATTCGCGCTCTCTCTGCATAGGTTTTATGAGTACGGCGACATGAACGTGGAGATCCTCTGCGAATTTTGTTGGACGTTGAGAGCTAAGCCCAAGGGAGCGTAGAACCCTCCGCAAATCCGCAGACGCTAGTGGACTTCTAGGGATGGGCATGGTTACAGGTCAAAAGTGACCTAAAGGGAACATTTAGTGTTTGCGAAGTCAACAGGCATAAAATGCGCTTCATGCCTTGAACGATGTAAGCTGAATCACACTCTTCAGCCCTCTATTCTTAACTCTACCATTTTCTTAGGTGCGTAGCTCAATTGTGGCCAGAATGATGTATTTACAATGTGTAGCAACATACGATGTCAGTCCAACAGCAACCCCTCAGTCAATGGGTGACAGAGCTCAACGATGCTCTGTTCATCCAACAAAATGAAGAAATTGCTCTCAGGGCCGTCGATGAGCATGTTGATCCAAGCTTAGTAGTCAAGTACGATACCCAAACTTCGTGCATCTTGTTAAGCATATCTAAACCAGCTGCGCTCTCAGGATCAACCACAACGTCTATACATACGATCAATTTAAGTCTGGCCTTCAATACGCGCGTAATGCTAGCATATCGATCCAGGACACATTTTCCGTAATACTACAATGGGAGAACCTTGAAAAGCCGGAAGGCGTGGTGGCGGTTCTTAGTAAATGGACGGCCAAGCGCAAAGCAACCGGCCAGGAGACTAAGAAGACTACTGTAATTCTCTGGGAGGTCAAGTGCATTGATGGGAAGAGGAAGCTTACAGGACAAACGGAGGTAGAGACTATAAGAACAAGTTGGGAGGTTGTTGTGTAGGCTTCTCCACCTCAGCTCTTTTACCTAAGACCCTGCCTTCTACCTCATACGGGTCTTCTTGGGTGTCTTCCACCCTTCCTTGTCAAGATGTGCTTAGTCATCCTACGACTCCCTTGGGTCCATTGGGTCCTCGCCAGACCTTAAGGACCCGGACCCAGGAGCAGGGGGCGCCGGATCCTGGATCCGCCAAAGGCCCAGACCTTGCCTACTGTTGGAGGATTTGGACTGTACAACTGTACGGGCCAATCGATACAGGCAAGTCAGCGTTGTTGAGATTTCTGTCTTCTTCTATTCTATGGTCACCGTTCTGGTTTATATAGACAATTACTAGGCAAGATGACCTACTGGAGCCTGTTTTCCATGATTCCAAAGCATTCCAGAGGCTGTGGCACTGACTCATTAATCGTCATGACGTGGTTGTCTGCCTGTTCTGTCGATAGTCACTTTTGGCGCCAACACCTACGCTGGCTGTGTAGAACGGATGTATATGTAGCTCTTCTTCCAGCGCGACCCCAGCGCGACCTCCTTAAGGCTTCCAACCATCATTGCTCTTAAATGCCGGATTCGCATGTGAAGAGTCTCTAAGTACTGTGCAAGAGCGTCGAGAGAAATTGCAAATGATGATCGAACTCTAAGTCTAGTCAATTAACAGTTCACGTCGTTCTGCAACATCGGAAATTCCTTCCCAGGTCGTTGTCAGCAGCGATTATTGGTGAATAGTTTCCTGGCATGACGGTATCCACAGGCTTCGTATTCCATGCATCTCGCCATACTGTACAAGGGTGGGAAAAGAATTTCCACTTGCTGGTCGAAGTCTGTTAGATAGTTAGTATTATCCTTGGTGGGTCTGGCACATTTCCGGGAGGGGGTAGCCACTCCTAGCGAGTTGAAACATTGGTTGCTAGAGCGGGGCTTCGAATTCTCCTAACCCAAGTGTTTGCTTCAGCAACTGCAAGGATCTCGTCGAAATTACTTTTGCTGTTTGATCATGTGCTATATTCATTCGTTTTGATCTCAAGTCCATCACTCGCTCAGTACTATACCCGCACATCCTACTTTTTGACTGGGTCATCGGATTGTGATCTAGAGGGGAAATCCATACCCCCCTTCCCCCAAACGGACAACTGCAGCTCTTTATCGTCATTCGTATCTTTGACTCTCTCTATCCTTGCCTCTACTATGGCTGCGGAATGTAAATCCGGCCGCAGTACTTTTCTGTGCTGGTGGCGCCTGGGGTTCGACATGCAGGGCATGTGCCCTCAATATGCTTGTAAAGGAGTCTATTCACGTAATGGATTGATTCCTTCGCATCACAACACTCTACCTTCTGTCTCACTTTCGTTCGTGCGATCCACACCAAATATCGAGATCGCTGCCGAATTGTGTAGATGTACGGCCGTACCTAGTTGTAAGTGGCGTGTTTGCTGGGATGAAAATAACGTGATAGCTCTAAGTATGTTCGGGAGCCAAATGAGGATGTGAAATGAAATATCTAGAAACTCCAAGATATTTCTGCATTGCTCGCGGGCGCCCTCCACTTCAACGACATAACGTATAGTGCCTATGGATACTCGACTGGTTTCAGACTTATAAATATTCCTTCCCAGTCCTTCCCAGCTTTGATTCTCAACGGACCAGAACACGGCCACAACCTACTTGATGTCCAACGCTCTGCGAAGACTTCCACATCGTCTGACTCCAACCCTTTTTGCAATCTCAAAACCAAAGCATACCCAAACCCGGAATATGGCTCTAATCCCACGCATCCCATCCGCCTTCGCGCCCTACCGCTCTGAGATGGCTCCTTTCTTCAACCTCTTCAATGACACCTTCTCCGAACTACAGAAGCTATCCGACACTGCATCCCGCACCTTTGCCCCTAAATTCGACGTCAAGGAAGGCAAGGACAACTACATCCTGGAAGGCGAGCTACCCGGTATTGACCAGAAGGATGTTGTCGTCGAATTCGCGGATGAGCAAACTCTTACCATCAAGGGTAGGACTGAACGCATCCGAGAAGAAGGCGAGAAACCCGCCGCCACCGAAGTTCAAGACGACAGCACGACAGCTGAAGATTCCTCTAAAAAGGAAATGACAACTGCTGACCCGAAGGAAGTCGCCAAAGCCGACCCACAGCACTATTACTGGGTCTCAGAGCGTAGCGTTGGGGAATTCGCCCGGAGCTTCAACTTCCCCAACCCTATCGACCATGAAAACGTCAAAGCTAGCATGAAGAACGGCATCTTGACGGTAGTAGTCCCCAAGACCGAGAAGGCTAAGTCTCAGAAGCGGATCCAGATCACGTCCGACTGAACAGCCGACCACAGCATTCAGTAGTCAACTACGTCCTGCACCAATACTGCCGCAACACCTTACACTGTTTTATCTATAAATCTCTGCCATTTTGCACGTGCCCTAAGAGGAGGTGAAGTTGTGATCATAACAATACCCACAAGCGACCACTACATAGTACTGAGTGGCTTTAGGTCAAAAGTCAAAGGGCGTTGCAAAATGTGTAATATGATAACAAAGCATCCCTTGAGTGTTCATCGGATCAACAATGTATCACATTCTTTAACGGTTATTGTTGCATAGGTTGCTTCTCAGTTAGTTTCTTTCCAATTCTAACAATAATATTCAAATGTTGATCATAAACCACTGCCTCGATCCCAATGGCTTCCCTTTCCTGTTGTTTTATTTTGATGCCAAGACCATGGAAACTAGTTCCCGTCCTCCAACTGCGTGCAGCGTATGCCGACTGCGTAGATACCTTTGGTGGAAACTGTCTTCCTATTTTCCCAACACTTCTTTGCTGCCCGCGCAGTTATATGTAGTTTCCCGTTTGCTTCTAGTGATGTAGTATCAGCCGCTGGGAGTCGACCATCTCGTTTACATCCTGAATTCATCAGGCACGACGGGAACGCCAAAATGCATCACGCACACGGCCGGACGTGCGTGGCGCATGCAGAAGAAGGAACTCATGCCGCGCAATGATATTGGGCCGAACTCGATATGTACCTGGTCGTTCTCTTCGTTGAGAGTCATCTGAGGCATCATAAAGGACAGTGACATTCTAAAAGGTGACAATTGCTGGTTTCGATGGCTCTGGCTAGCTTGGGAAGAGCCATGGGCCCATTCACGTCGGAATAACCATTGAGGCGGATTTTTCCCACAGAGGATTCATAATTTGAGACAAATCGGTCTCTAGCCCCGATTCCTGACCACATGAGGGACTACTATTGTGTAGCGGTCTCCGATCAAAGTATTGGCTTGGTGAAACCGGTATGCGCCCAAAGAATGGAGCGAAACGCCGTTGAAGGTGGCCATCAGCTCCCGGATTAGACAGGGGCTTACATCAAACGCGAAGAACAGCTGTAAGCAGGACTCAGTGATGTTATCAACGCACATAAAGCAGGGACAATACCTACTCAAAGCTTATCCAGCAAGCTTCCGCTTCCTGGCAAAGCGAGCGATAACAAGATCTACTGTGTCTCCACTGCGTCGAACGAAGCCTTGATTTTTGTCTCTGGCTCCCCCCCAGGTTTCGAATTTTGGAGGCATCGAGTTGCAAACAAAGCATGGACGTGCAGCAGGCATGTAGTCTAGCAGCCAGCGAGTGATAAGTTGGGCGAAGGGTTTCTCGCAGAGGCCTTTCTTCCCATCCGAGCTCTGACCCACAGCAGATATTGGACTGGACACTCCCCCGTCTTCTCTTGCTGCTGTGTCTAGCAGAGCACATGCAGTTGTCAGCATCATCTCCGCCTCTCCACCGTCCTCCTCCACTCAACGAAATTCAGGAGGTCGGCTATGGCAATGGGGAAGGAGAGCCACTTGCTGCCTTGATTTGGTTGAAAGCAATCTCTCATTCTGAAAGTCTCAATCGAAGCATTTGGCGGCGCATACGACGGCGAAGATACCGAATGGGTCGCTAGAGGGGCGAGAACTAGTCGAGCGGAAGCCTGTCCCCATTGTGCTCATCACTTTACGGCTTAGTCTTTTATGACAAGGCCATGATCTCTCCAGCTGTGCGTTGTACAACCCCTCCGCCCTCTCTTGCGCCTGTTAAGATGCCCGGATCTGCTGGTCTCTATCTATACAGACGCGTTTCGGACCCCACTCTGAGTTCAAGCTCATCGGCAATCAATATAGCTTTTCACTCTCCATCTTCTCTCTTGGAACAATCGTAGGAGCCCTACCGTCATTGTTCTGGCTCACTGATTCCCTGCAGAGCGTGTGTCCGCAGGTGTCATCGCTCTACAGGGAGTGAACTTGGCGCTGACCGTCATCTGTCGTTCAAATATCTCTACACAAATCACTTCTTTCTCGGCTTCCTGAAGGGGGGGTATCTCCCCTATGCTGATGGTTATTGTGGCAAGTCTCTACAAAACGAGTGAACAACATTTGAGACTCGGCGCTTGGTTCTCATCTGGGGAGTACTGATTCGCATCTTTGTCTCCCGGTCATCCTTGACAACCTATCGAAAGCCGACTTCTTCGCGATGTTTGCTCCCTTCAGTCGACTTTGGACTTGGCCACATGACAGCCGCTCTTGCACCGTTGAAATATGTGCATCTTTGCGTACTGGATCACAATCCGCTGGACAGTGATCATTCTCTTCCTGCTCCCACCAGAGCCCAATCGCGCTAGGGGCTCCACCGGGCGTCAACGTTGCGTTGCCGTGGCTAGGCTACGCTCCAACAACGCTGGCGTACACAATACCCACATCAAACACGTCCGGGTCCTTGAAGTGTTGGATGATCCACTCTTCTGGCAGCTTTTCCGGACTGCCTTCAGCATGTTGATCGCCAACGGCCGGATCTCCACTTATATGACCGTCATAATTTCTGGCGTCGGCTATTCTCCACTGAACAGTTTCCTACTCTCCGTCTCCGCCGGCATCATTACTGGATGCTCCAGCCTTCTCGCAGACCATCTCACCAGTAAATACAGTCGTCATGGCTGGTGGACCCGGATTTATCTTACACATACCTGCAGTCCTCTGTTCGCTTCTTCTGTGCCAGCTGCCGCCACAGAACAAAGCATGTTCTTCGAGAGACTCGTGGGCTCTTTTCCCTCGGCCTAGAGACGACTACCTATTGCAGGTCATTTGTCAAATCCTAGTATTTTAATTATAGCTGTGTAAAGTGTTGTGTCTTAAGAGTGTTGAAATGCTCTTAGTACACTGTCCAATTTCGTCATCATCTCTTCCCACTCTTGCTCCTCATCGCTGAGAACTGTAATGGCTCCACCCGCACCAATCCTCCACTTTTGCATTTCAACGCCCTTCATATCCATGATGTCGTCGTCATTTGCAAAAGCAGTCCTGATGCAAACACTCCATGCGCCTCTTCCAGAGATATCCATGTATCCAATGGCTCCAGAATAGACTCCTCGGTTCCGCCGTTCAAGACCATGCAAGATTTCGCAGGAGCGCTTTTTCGGAGCCCCAGTCATACTGCCGGGGGGTAGTGTACAAGCTAGTGCTTTTATACCATTCTCTGTCATTTCTTTGCTTGCGACGTTGGAGTCATTCTTTGAAGGAGCATGTGCGCGGATATGAGAAACCAGTGTGAAGACAGTTTCGGTTTCGATGACATGGCATAATTTGACAACTTCAACAAGTGCATCGCGTCCAACAGTCGAATACAGGTCATGTCGAATCAAGTCCGCGATCATGAGGTTTTCAGCCGACTCCTTGGCAGAAGCCAGAATAGCTGTAGCCCGCTCTAATGTCATCTCTGGTTTTTTCTTCACCGTCCCTTTCATAGGCACCATGTCAATGGTACGGTCGGTGCTCCAAGACAGGAATTGTTCTGGGGAGGAGCTCAGGATTGTTATCGTATTGAGACGAATGAAAGCAGCAAATGGAACAGGATTATGGCGTTGGATGTTCCGATATAGTAGCCATGAGTTGTTGGCACCGGTGGGAGTGAATACCTCAGCTTCAGTTGTGAGGCACAATTCGTAGGAGTTGCCAGCCCGCAGCTCCGATTGGCATTGTTGAATTTTTGAAATATATTTGTCATGGTCTGGAAGAGAGAATACTGCCGACTTCTGAATATCTCGAAGCCTTTCAGCTTCCTTGGCATCAATTGTCATGGGCTTCAGACGGTCTAGGTCGCCAATTTTGCTGATCATGTCTTGAACCCAGTGGGCGTCATGTTCTCGGATTGACTGGATATGAACGGTCAGCGTGTCATGGTCAAAAATGATACTTCGATCAATCCATATCAGACTGATTTCTGGAACTGCTGTTTCTGTAGCGTTGATTTGAGGCACATCTAAAGCCAGTGAGGATGTGCCAAATTCATAGGATAGATAACCCATCAAGCCACCTCGGAAAGGCAGATCAAGATCATCTAACTTGGTCGCCTTGCTAGACATGAAGTTCTCGAGGACTCGAATCATCTCAGCCCGTTCTAGAGCAATATTCTCAATCACGTTTGAGTCTTGGGTCAGCGTACAACAGCCGGCTGCATACTCGATCCGAAAGCTGAAGCTCCCTGGGAAGGCATATATGCTGTACCGGCCTTTGCGTGTCGACTCGAGCATAAGGACATCTTTTGGAGCAGCCTCATAGCACAGCTGAGCGATGTTTTTGCTCCCGCCAGAAGAAGATATCTTTTGGAGATGGGACACGGAACCACAGGACTGAGTCAGGTCAGCCAACCTATCCTGAAACATGGACAACGCTTCGGTATTGCTTTCAACCGTTGGGTTTGAGGCCGCTAGAAGTGTGCGTGGGATTTCATCTGTGCGGGGCGGTCTAAATAAGGAATTATGCGTTTGGGCAGTGTTCCACCACTGCTTTATCAGTTTTGTACAGGAGGAATTGGATTTGCAAGATTCGGGGTGGAATTGGAAGCCATAGAAAGGAAGAACTTTATGTTTGGCCGCCATCAACCAGTCGTCTTTATCCCATGCAAGAACCAGAAGATCTTCCTTATCCCCATACTGTTGGTATGTTGGCAATTGCCTGTAGGGAAGCGATGTATGAGATCGGACACTGAGAGAAGAGGACAGACTGGATACAGAGCCCGAAGAGTTTGTGCGACTGAAAGAGGGGTCTAGGACCACTTCTTTCAACCGGCAGCCTAGGCTGTTGTAATTGGTGGCGACGACTTCTCCAGAATTCTTGAAAATGTCCTGGCCGAGATGGAGGATCTGCTTGGCATGACCATGACAGGGAAGGTCCATGTGAATGACTGGGAGGCCGTACCGGACGCAGAGGCTTTGGAAGCCAAGACAGATGCCGAGAACAGGAATATTCTTCAGGGCAGCAACCTCCCAGACTTGGTTGAATAGACCAACATCAGATATGTTTTGAGGATTACCAGGGCCTGGTCCCAGGACTATTGCGTCAAAGCTCGACACAAATTCTTCGATATCCTTGCCAAATTGTGCTTGGACATCACAATCGATTCGAATCAATGCTAGCTCAACGCTGAGCTCATGACGGAGAAGGGCAGCAATGTTCTCCGCAAAAGAGTCGTAAGCATCGATGAAAAGGACAGACCCGTATTTGGTCATTGAGACAGGAAAAGGTCCGAAAAGGGAGCACTTATGAGTGTGTCCAAGACTTGCTTTGGACAACTTTGAGGGGGAAATAGCAAGGAATTATAGGAATAGCAAAGCACGTAGAGGATGTAGGAACGTTGATTGATATACGGAAAGTAAGAAAATAGAAGAGTCAGAACACCATGATCAGAAATAAACGAAAAGACCAAACCCCCTGGGGCGAGGAAGGCGCTTTTCGGAAGGATCGATTTTGATGAACACGAGGCCCGGAAACTTTCTTCTTAAGACGGCAAGAAATCCCCTTTCGCGACGAATTCCTGCCAAGATAACCACGTGATATCACGTGTTATAAATGTCCGGGTCCTCGTTGCCGTGATCCATCGATCGTCTTCAGCCTTTGATCCATTCCATGGTTTCGCCACATCATTCTCCCGTACTGGTCCTTTTGCGTTTCGAGGCTGAATGACACCAGGATTGATCAGGACTCGGAGGATTGTCTGTTGAGCATCTTCAAGATGAGATACAGCGTTAGCTCTCTAACAAGCTCCGACTGTAACCACAATGGCTGAATCTAGGGATGATCAAACCGACAAGGCTCACTATGATCCGCAGTGGATTTCTTGGAATGGAGGCTTTCTGCATTCGAATAATGGTGAGCTTCAAGCCTGGCTGATGTCGATTGGTCTAATCTGATGTAGTCCTCTTCTACTTTGCAACCTCTCCATTTTTTGACCAAGTGTCTGGGAACCAGTCATTGCTGACTCAGTGGGTGGGCACTCCTAATCAAAACGATATTCTCGGGACGCGACAGAAATTTGAATCCCATCTCCGTCACCAAAGGGGAACTCAGTATGTGGTTGAGCACGACCCACTGGAATCCAAGGTCTTCATCGATGGACCGAATGGCCGTGAGCCGTCAAATGTATGGGTCATCCGCAAACAGCATCGAGAGAACGACAGTGACAATGGAGTTACACCCCTGGGATACTACTATATTGTGAACGACGTGATATATCAAGCACCGTCAATTGCAAGTGTGCTGAACTATCGGATTCTCAACACTGTGTCAGCCTTGGACAAGGTCTTTACAGCACCATCTGGTCTTTCTTTTTTCTCAGTGTCCCATGGACATACATATTACAAACCTGTCCAGAAATCAACAAAACAGGCACTAGCAACCACCTCACAACAGAGCAAAGAAGACACGCCTCTGCCTGGGATGCAACCCTCTGCGAGCGATAAGGCTCCCACTACAACCACCGCGTCACAAACCCAAGCACAAGACGATTTTGACAACAGTGCACGGACTCTGCGAGAGGCACTGCGGATGACCCTACAGTACGGCAAAGAGTACATGGATGATGTCCCGCTGGTGGGAGAGCCTGGGAATTTCCGACTGAACAAGACGAAGGAAGGTGCGAATAGCCTATCCAAGAGCCAGGCATCTGCCGCAGCAACAGTGACGCCGTGGCAATCCCGAGCGCCTTCAGTCATCCCAGCATCTGCCGCTGGTGCCACAAGTACACCAAATGTACCCAAGGGCACACTGGTGAGTGACAAGAAGGGTAATTCTTCTACTCGAGGCAAACCGAAAAGAAGAAAGAGCAAAGCGGGCGACGTTAGTCCATGAGAGAGGGACCTAGACTCAAATTCCCACGCACAGTCATAGTCACAATAATAAACAGAACCGCTCAATCTTAGGCTGCCATAAGTCGTGAATCGTGAATCGTGCTAAATGAAGTACTGGTAGGGCTGAAAGCAGGTGACCTGCACGGTCTTGGCAGATGTGGCAGGAGGCAGGAGGCGAGCGCAAGGCAGAGGCGGCGACGGCGCGCAGGCAGTTGCAACCCTTCGTCATTCAATTGTATCCCATCCTCATTTCTATTCACTCGGCCGCATTTTGTCCACTCTCTCTCACTCAAACTTTCTGCATCCTTTGGAATCAATCAACTCATTTGTGCATTGTACTCTTCTAAACAACTGACAATCTGTCTGTTCCAATCTCTCTGACAACCCCACCAAAGTTCTTCTCCGTTCTATCGGTGTACGTAGCGGGGCAAGATGAAGCTCTCATTCCGAGTCAGTAATCCCCGTCGAGCCCAATGCCACCAGATACTAAACGCCATAACAGGATCTCAAGCAGCAGAAGTTCACCATTGAAGCCGAACCGACAGACACGGTATGACCCCTTTTAAAAGATCAAATACTAGCATTGTATTGACATGTGGACCCTCTCAGATTGCCCAGGTTAAAGAGAAGGTTGCCGCTGAAAAAGGATGGGAAGTGTCGCAGCAGAAGCTCATCTATTCTGGTCCGTAATTATATTCATAGCGGTCCTTGATTCTCAGTGGGACGAACTGTCACTGACTCAACCATCCAGGTAAGGTCCTCGCCGATGCCAACACCGTCGAGTCCTACAAGATCGAGGAGAAAGGCTTCATTGTATGCATGGTCAGCAAGGCAAGTCTCCATTCGACCACTCCCTTTTGATTTCTTCTAACACTTCCCAGCCCAAGGCAGCACCAGCAGCAAAGGCAGGCTCTCCGTCCACGCCTGCTCCCTCCGGAACGGCATCCACGCCAGCACCGCCCGCCGCCCCTCAGCCTAATCCACCGTCTGCTCCGGCCGCTCAACCCTCAACTCCAAGTCCTGCACAGACGACCGCAGCTGCCGCTGATCCAGCAAGTTCAGGCTTCAATGATCCGTCGGCTTTTCTCGTTGGAAATCGCAACGAGTCAACTGTGCGCGAGATGGAAGCCATGGGTTTTCAACGAGCTGATATTGACCGAGCCCTGCGCGCTGCCTATTTCAACCCCGATCGTGCAATTGAGTACCTCTTGAGTGGTATTCCAGAGAACATTCAAGCTGAGCAGAGAGAGCGACAACAACAACAACAGCAGCAGCAGCAGCAGACCGCTCAAACTGGCGCTCAAGCCACCCCTGCTTCTCCTCCACCCGCTCAGGCTCAGGCCGCCCAACCTGCTGGCGACGAGCCTATCAACCTGTTTGAGGCCGCAGCCCAAGCTGGACAACAAGGCCGAGGAGGAGGAGGAGGAGCCGCCAGGGGCGCTGGTCTCGGTGGTGCGGCAGGAGGCAATGCCCAACAGAATATGGATTTCCTGAGACAGAGTCCTCATTTCCAGCAATTGCGCCAACTTGTTCAGCAACAGCCTGCCATGCTCGAGCCTATCCTCCAGCAAGTCGCTGAAGGCAACCCACAACTTGCTCAGATCATTGGTCAAAATCAAGAACAATTCCTTCAACTGCTGGCCGAGGTAAATTGCTCCTCGCTTTTGTAAAATCCAACGGACTAACAGAATACCAGGATATCGGAGGCGATGCCATTGGTGGAATGGGCGATGCTGGTCCGCTCCCACCCGGTGCAACTCCTATTAGTGTTACGGAGGAGGAGCGTGATGCCATCGAACGACTCTGCCGACTTGGGTTCTCCCGCGACCAGGTAATTCAGGCTTATTTCGCATGTGACAAGAACGAAGAGCTAGCCGCCAACTTTCTGTTCGAGCAACCAGATGAGGATGAGCAATGAGCCTTTGTAGAATCATCCCACAGATTTGACACAATGATTTGGAGAATGTCGGGAGCCTGATGGTGGCGCGGGCCCCTCATTGATATCGGACAACCCTCAACATTTCTATGCTTACTGCTACCACAAACAATGAATACCCACAAGATTCCATTCCCATGCAGAACCCAATTTCAGTCAGAGGGAACGTTGAGAAAGGGTTGTGGGACATTGTTCCAATTATGCGCAGACACGGCACGAAGCGAGTTCACGACAACAGCCAATGTGGCTGAGAGGAACAGACCGAGAGCGATTTCATACGCCTGATCGGCGGCCAGAGCCAGACAATGAATTCTTCTGTTCTGAGAATCGGACCGAGACATTAGACAAAGCAGCGGAGGATCGTGATCTCCAAATTGCAATCTTGTTGTTTAGCACGTGAGGAACTGGATTACATTCTAGGCCATCTAGTTCCTCCATGAGCAAGTTGAGACTAAATCAACTCTCCCGACACAAGACGTGTAATCGTTCTCCTACTGTCTCTGAATCGTGACCACATATGCCCAACCTGCTTCCCTTTCTTCCGTTCATTGCGATTTCATCCGCTAATTACCTGTCTCCAGTGTGGAAAACGCACCAGCACTCTTAGGAGAGCCTGGTGGTGCCGTCGTCAGTGGTATCTCGGAAATGGTGTCACCCTTAGAATTGATGGCCATTCCATCCTGGACGTAGACAACCTCATGCGATCCACAGACCTGATTGACCGCCCAGACCCCCAGCCCTCTCCTCCCCACGATTCGCTGGAGCGTATTCATAATCCCGTCGTCACCGAAATCCATGTCATCCAAGTTGATATGTTGTCTGAACATGGCAATATTCTTCATATTCAGCTTTGCGGGCGGTAAGTTGAAGGTCACGGAGAAGCTGAAGTCCGCAATCGGTGGATACGGTTCAGGGAGGCGCCAGGCCGAGAGGGGTGCGACGACAAACACATCCGTCTTCTCGTGGTGCGTGGTCAGTCGCTCAATCAGGCCGGGGTCGCACGTGGGCATGTGCTGCATGAGCATGAAGACGAGTTCTTGCTGCGGGAAGCCCATGAGCGGGACGGTGGAAAGGTTTAGTGGATGGTTTGTAGCTGGGTGCAGTGGAGTGGGTCCAAGGAGGAAGTTGGGTGGTGGGTAGGTTTTCCACCAGAAGACTTCGATGTTGTGGGCTTCCGACGACGATGTGTTGAGGGATTGGACGACGAGAGATGGGACTGCGAGTTGCGCAGGGATCACGCCGCCTTGATGGTAGATGCCCATTATGACGGCGAGGAGGATGTTAAAGATGCCCCAGGTTATCCAGAAGATGCGGTTCCATATCTTGGTCGTTGGAACGTGGATGCAACTTAGAAGGAGGGGAACGGTCGGCAGGAGGAATCGTGGTTCCTGATGGGGAATGATGCTAAGCAGGAGAGTTCCCGACGCCGCAGATGCGAGCCGTGCATTGCTTAGCATTGTTTTGAAGACACGGAGGTTGAAGGGATATGCAGAGATCAGAAGGACAAACAGAGCTGGACCGAGGAGTTGTGGTACGTTGATGAAAAGGTGCTGGTAGTGCGGATGAAGCCCGTGTTGGGCCAGGTTACCAGTCTGTGTGTTGTACAGTACATTATTGAGTGGAGTGATTACAGGGGCACTGCGGACGCGTTCGTATAAGGCTCGGAATGACTTGGTGGCTGCCGGACCGGAATAGTAAGCAGTATCAATGGTAATGGCGAACAAGGTCCAGAAAATTCCAGATAGTAGGATCGCTAGAAGGCAAAAAGGTCTGCACATTTGTCAATCGGGAATCAGCATAGATGTACATATAGAGAGTTTTAGAAGGCATGGCTCACCTATTCAAAAAGTGTGGCAACAACTGGATGCCGGGTATCACAACGAAAGCTGGGAAAGTAATCCGATTAAAAGACCCAAAAACAAGAAGAAAGCCTAGCACAATGCTAGCAGCAATGGCGGATCGTTTCTATTGATCGTCAATACCCAAGGCCGACGGTGGAGGATGCAAAACTTACATTTTCGCCGAGAATACGCTCTATCACAACAAGACTCCATAAGACGAGAAGAGTTTCGACCGAATTTGAGAAGGTATGAGTCTGGAGAGTCCAAGTGACATATGACGAAGTCACAAGGAGAACCGCATGTCGTCTATTTCTCGGAGATCGGACAAGATCATGGACAGCCCAGTCCTCCAGGACAAAACTGAGAACAAACATGACCAGACGCAGGGTATAATAGATTATGGCAGGGTCGACCAACCCATCTTCTTCTTGCGCCCAAACCCACTTCAACAATGTCATGGGCAGACCGTAGATGGGCCACAGCGGGAAGACGCTGCGGATTGGATGAGAAGATGTCCATTCCCATGTCTGTTGATTCGGATAGGGGAAGATAGCGCCTGAGAATATTAACAGCTGGCTTGTGGACGCGCGAGATGGATCAAGGTATGGACGAACATACCGGCCATTGGTTCCGGGCCCTGGAAGATTTCATCGGGATGGAGATAACTTGGGCAAAAGGCCAGATAAACGCGAACAAATAAAAGGAACAGATAGATCAGCCGCCACATGCTTGTTGGCAGTCACCGTGCAGGATATTGTTTGTGGTCTTTCATTGTCCTAGAGGAAGGCAGGAGGATATTGGTCAAACTCATTATCACTTGTCGTGTGAATACTCCAAGTCACAGAATGGAGGATCGAATGGGGGAGGCTCAGCGCGTCGCAACACGATACGCAAACGCGTATCCGTAAAGATTCAGTCGGGGTAGGATCTGGGACGAGGTGGAGTAAGGAGTGCGGACGATACAGCAAATGGAAGAAGCAATGAGGACTAGAGGAGGACACTCAAAATGTGCTTCCGCTACCGAGTCAGTAGACGCAGCTTGGACAATGAATCAAGTGCTTGCAGGAGGGAAATGTGAGATTTATTCCGTTGATACGCGCACGTTCTTCCCGCAACTCAAACAATTTAGACTTTCACGCTTCAACCTCCCAGCCTCGCCACCACCTTCCCTTGACTTCTCTATGACATCATGCTAAATCCCTATCACGTGTTCGTCGTCCTGCCTTCACTGTTCGCGGCGAAGAAAGGCTGACAATCAAATTTGATACAAGGACCGTTAGTATCTGCTTAGGTAGGTAGATGGCCGGAACGAGGGGAACTCGAAGCTCTCTTAGATTAAAGACATTCTATTACAAGTTGAGGCTACCCATCGACACTTGCCTCATTCCTGTGGTCGCGATTTCAACAGACCCTTTCTTCTCTCACGGATTCATCTTATCACCAACAAAGTCTGAACAGAGCCCCGACTGTTACTGACAGCCTAAGCAGACTCTGTAAGTGGATCCTCTGCATCATTATCCCAGTTGTTCTTCACGGCTACAATAGTGAAGAGAAGGCAGCAGCCAACCAAAAGGTGGCAGAAGGCTGACGCCGGGAAACCTGCCAAATCAGGTGTAGTCGATGACAGTGCCTTCTTCAGATTCAACCTGCCCAGGGTTTCAAGCAGCACATGCTCCTTCACCTCGCGCTCATCAAGACTCAAGACGCTGCCTATACAACCGACGCACTCCTCCGCGCGTGCCAGCACCTCCTACCTCTATTTCGTCTCTACGTTCTTACTTTCGCACTCCTCTTCCTTCCCACCATCAATCCGTATCCTGCCATCGAACCTTCTCATCCTTGATCAACTGATCCACTGACCGATCCCTCCCTCAATACCTCGTACTATCTCGCACCTCTAGCACAAAGGGTCCATACTGTCAAGATGTCCAAATCCAACCTTACATTACAGAGCTCTGATGGCGAAGACATTGTCGTTGGTGAGTGTCATTCCCTCCCTCCCCTTCCCCGCTCCTGAGATTTGGTTTACTAATGGTCGGACTAGAACGCGAAGTTGCAGAGCGGTCAATTCTCATCAAGAACATGGTTAGCGACCTTGGAGAAGAAGCCATGGATGAGGCAATCCCCATCCCAAATGTCAATGCCGCTGTCCTGAAGAAGGTCATTGAATGGTGCACCCATCATAAGCACGATCCTCCCTCCACCAACGAGGATGACTCCGACTCCCGCAAGAAGACCACCGACATTGAAGAATGGGACCAAAAGTTCATGCAAGTCGACCAAGAAATGCTTTTCGAAATCATCCTGGCTGCCAATTATCTCGATATTAAAGCCCTCCTCGATGTCGGTTGCAAGACCGTCGCAAACATGATCAAGGGCAAGTCTCCAGAAGAGATCCGCAAGACCTTTAACATCCAAAATGACTTCACCCCTGAGGAGGAAGATCAAATCCGCCGTGAGAATGAGTGGGCTGAGGAGTAAGTCATACGATCAGCGTTTACCTAACAACATCATTATTAATTTTGCTACAGCCGATGAATGTTTCAGTCTCATATGATCAACTCTTTGCACAGCTCATCGGGAGGCGTTGTTGGGAGGTTGTGACGACTGTCTACTGGAATGGTATCTGGCATGATGACGACTTTGGCTTCCTTCCTAGGACTTTGCTAACCACGACTCGTCGCAAACTTCATGTTTTACTCATGATGACATACATGGTAACGCAGGGATATCACATGATTCATGCAGAAATTCAGCTCCGTCTGCAATAGATACTTTGTAGCCCAAACTGTTATGACCCATCGAGCTCCAACTGCTTCGGAAACCATATTCCATAGACAACAGCAACCGGATAATACAATCCAAAAGCACGTGCCATATCGAATCATGTATCGTACATTATTCGTCATCCAGGCCAGATTGCACCCTATGCATCAGCAACACAATAGCACTACTGTCAGAAAAATCATGGATGTAGAATATGTGATTTCATTTGTAAGAACTGGGTGATCATCAATGTTCCGTAGCACCGAGTTGATTCCATCCCCTATTTCATGCCCGGCTGGGAGCAGAACGAAACGTTCGGCAGTTCACAGAAGCTATTCAGCCTCGCCCCTTCGTTCGTTCGCCAGAGAGAAAACCCCGTGCAATGCTTTCATATTTCTTTGCGTTTCGGTCTGGTCATCAAGGTACCGTCCGAGATACAGACCATCCTGCATCTGACCGTCTACATCGTCATCCAACTCAACCACCTCCCTCCATCAAGGAAAATTGACCATGGTAGAGATTCTTTGCTGTTGGAAGAAAAGGACTATGGGCGAACAAGACAGTGGTGTTGTGCGAGTCATCTAGATGCCGATTCTGGTCTTGCGCCAATGTCTCCGCTTGGCATTGTATCTGTATAAGTGGAACATGTTAGTGTGTTGCCATTACCAAGAAGGAAATGGTGGTGGTGGTGGTGGTGGTGGTGGTAAAATGATTGAATAGAAGACCAAGCAGGCAGAGAAGCAGCATAGACATCCTAAACTTGTATCCCTAAATGCCAACAATCCCTCGTAGGTCCGTGAGATAGATCGCCGCCCTGGCGACCAGCCCTCACAGCTCGGCGCTTTCTACCCCATCTTTCAATCCACCTCTTTTGCAAAATCAACAGTCTACGGACAAGCCAAAACCAAAGGAAGATGTGACGATGATGGGGTCTTCAAAGAAGGGGGGGAAATGTGATAGTTGCTGACCTGATGGTATTTCCAGTCCTCAGTCGGATCCACTGAGGGATAGGTCGGTTCTGCTTCTGCGCCTTCGCGAGTTTCTGCTTCGTGCGGAATGTTTTGTGACTCTGTTTATGGGGGGAAAATGTCAGTCAAGCCAATGCCTCATACATTCGATTCATCCAGCAATCTCCATGTCCCACGAAATAAAGCGTCAATTCGTGGATCGATTATTTTTCAACTTGCATCAGGTCTGATCCTTGACCTGGACTGTGGAGACCACAGTCGAGAATCGCTTTGCTTTCCTGTAGACACCGAGAAGAGGGATTGAGAAGACCAAGGACGTACCGGCATCTTGAATGCGTGTCGAGCGACGGCGATGGTTTGAGGGAAACTTGGGTGTGGTTGACAAGTCCGTAGAAATTCAGTCCTTTCCTAAGCCTGCGGGTGCAAAGCCCTGCCAGTGCGACTTGTCTGTGGGCTTGGCGTGCCAAGATTAAGATAGCAAATCACATGACTATCGAGTCGTTGAGTCACGTGCAGAACACATGTTAGAGAAGCAAGGTTCGGTTATTCGAGGGGCTCAAGTGCAGGGCGAAAGCAACGCCGGGAAAGCGCCGCCTTTGCCTGCTGTTTGGTGGGCAATGGCCCGAGGCTACGAGGAGAACATGCCCGCGGCTTGCCCCGGAGCTGGCAGCTCGACCCTAGCAAAGCATCCCCGATCGCGGGCTTCGATTGTTTCTCGAAGATCTTTTTCATGGATTGATCCTGGTGTCTTTGACTGCTTCTTTGCTCCCAGCTATTTTCTGGAGTTGTGACTGTCTCTACAATCTCCAAGGGAGCTGATATTATCCTGATCGTTGCGGGAAACATCCAATAAACGCAACGAGGTGCAGCGGTGGGTCCCAACAAAGGCGAACCTCCCTCGAGTGCACGATGTCATCGAAGTTGAGGATTCTTGTCCCTGTGAAGAGGGTGATTGACTATGCTGTGCGTCCCACCATTTCCTCCCGTTTACGCTACATGATGGGGACTGTCCCGGTCAAATGCTTCCTCAAGAATGTCAAGACATCCACACTAACCCGAGTTCAACGCTACAGGTCAAGCCACGAGTCAAGTCTGACCGCAGTGGGATTGAGACAGCCAACGTGAAGCACTCACTCAACCCCTTCGACGAACTATCCATCGAAGAAGCTGTGCGGTTACGCGAACGCAAGCAGCCGGTAGAGGAGATCCTGGCCGTGAGCGCGGGCCCGGCAAAATGCGCCGACACACTACGCACGGCGATGGCCATGGGGGCGGACCGGTCAATCCACGTCGACGTACCGGAAGACAAGGCGCTGGAGCCGCTCGGGGTGGCGAAGCTGCTGAAGGCGATCGCCGTGAAGGAGAACTCCAACCTGATCATCCTTGGCAAGCAGGCCATCGACGACGACGCGGGCCAGACCGGTCAGATGCTCGCGGGCCTACTCAACTGGCCGCAGGCGACGCAGGCCAGTAAAGTCGAGATCAAGGACCAGCACGTCACGGTCGAGCGCGAAGTCGACGGCGGCGTCGAGACCCTCAAGGCCAAACTTCCGATGATCATCACCACAGATCTACGGTTGAACGAGCCTCGCTACGCCAGCCTACCAAACATTATGAAGGCTAAGAAGAAGAAGCTGGAGAAGAAGACACTGACTGACTACGGCGTGGAGGGTGCACACAGGCTGAAAACTGTAAAAGTCGAGGAACCACCCGTGAGACAGGGCGGTGGCAAAGTCGAGGATGTAGACGGTATGATTTCCAAACTGAAAGAGTTGGGTGCTATCTAGAGACCCGATGTGGATACCACACACAGGGAAGTGAAAGCGGACAGTTCTGTTGGCTTGGTTCGGTACATACACACATGCATACATGATAGCTTCTGGAAGCGGTGTTGGCGACTTTGCGTGCTGTGCGCTATTCATTGCTGGGACAAAATCGGCGGATGCTCTCCTTCAGGAGGTATGATCGGGTCACAAGGAAAGAACGAAATAAAATAAAAATAAAAAGTCAAAATGCAAAATGCAAAATTCTGTCCTCAAGCGCATGTGCAGACTTTTCCTGTCTCAATTGAATTCTGCACCGAGTCGAACCGAGTGGAACCCAAGCTAAACATCCCTCTGAGGACAGGACAAAAACCTCAAGACTTGGTTAAGTTTTATTCTACTCAGGTCGGGCAGCACTGGTCTCATATAGGTTGACACAACGGCTGGGAGAACTTGAAGCGAGAGAAAGCGCTCCGCCTGTCTGTCTTGCCCGTCCTCTCCCCATCTCTGCTCCACCTGGCAGTAAAAACGCCAACGCTATGCCCTTATGCCGTCCCATTATAAGAAACTGGAGAAGGGTCCGCTCCCGGATTTGCCACTCCGTCCCAACATCGCCTTCGTCTACCCATGTCAAGCCATTAGAAAGCCATGTTTTGTGCGACAGTCGCTATGAATTGTCTGTGTGCAATTGTCGTTTGCAATATGTTGTTGCGTTGTTGTCATTTGTTTGTGATTTACTTGGGGTTGAAGACAGTTCAAAGAGGTTCTTGATCCGTGTTGACATGGCTTTCACACTAAACCGTGCCGGCAATGGTTAGATCTCGAATCTCGGAGAGAACCTGCTCAACCCGATTGTCCAGATCGCCGCGAGCGTACTGCTCTCTGGTGTCTGCATCGAGATACTGTTGAACCTGTGCCATTCGGCTGTAAGCTTCAGCACAAAATCTCAGCTGGATCTTGACGAGAGCTTCAAAAGATGGGTCGAGGTAAGGGACACGGAGATCAATGAGCTGAGGCAGTTCGGTAAAGAGTTGCTCGTTGAGCTGTTCGTATGCTTGTTTTGCCATTTCAGCTTCGCGTTCTGCTCGGGGAAGTTTCGTCACATCTTTGTCCGGCTTTTCCACCAATTTCTTCACCTTGGATCGCATGGAGTCATAATCAAGGAGTTTGTTGTTGCGTTTCTTGATGCATTCGTTGATGTCGGGGAAGTATGCGCAGAAGCGGGAGATCGGTTCGAGAACGGTAGCTCTGTTGAAATGAGAATGTCAGCATTTCTGGCTCTCCATTATGTTCCAACGAGCTCGAGGCGTGCCTACCGGTACGGTCCGTCAAGAGCTTTGATTGTTTCGGCGTCTAAATCTTCGACGGCCTGCTTATACGATCTAGACACTCCATCTCTTGTACCAGCGTCCCCGTAGAATGCGTCGATTGTCTCCGCTATTCTCATTTGTGAAGCGGTCATGGCTGTAGGATGTGGTCAGCCTGATACCGATCTCACTTCAAAATGGAATCTTGCCCACCTCTCAGACTGTCGAGATATCCCTTCGCTTCCTTCTGCAGTCGATTCGCTGCCGATTCCATCGTCCTATATCGCCTGCGCAACAGTGAGACAGTAATTCATAAGCTGCTGAAGAAAGACCCACCTCTCCTCCACTTCGTAGTCGCGGTCGTTCGTCCTCTCCACATGCCCTATTGATTCCAAGTTAGCCAGGCTGCGGAACCAGACCGAGTGAGGACTGGTTACCCGTCTTCATCATCACCTGCGTCGTTGCGCGGTTGACGTTCTTCTTGAAGCCGGCCCACGACATTTTGTTGGTCGAAGTAGAGTGTATATGCAGTTTCAATGCGATCGTTGAATTCTTGAGGGGACTCGTTGATCTCTGGGCCTCTCTCAACGACGCTGTTGACGATGGAGAGGCAGGGAGGAGAGTCCTGCACTCTACGGCTCCAGACACTCGCCAAGAGAGTGCACCGCCACGCGGCTTGGACAAGCGCAATGCCCAGGATTCGTTGATAATGACGTAAGCAGTATCGGGAGATCGATCACGTGGATCCATATACACCTCCCCAGTGGGCGATAGTAACAGTACCTCATCGATTTCTACCTCACATATTTTCATCCGGTCGGCGACATCTATTCATCACTATTCAATAGTAAAATCATGGTTAATCCTATCAGTCCGTCTGTAGATAATAGACCTAGAATCGTCATCAATGTGGGCCGCTATTCACACAGCAAAAGGACAATCTGATTAAGCTGGAGGGTATCTATATCATGCTAGAGCTAGAGTCCACAGGGGTGCTCAGTCAATCCGATGTCGACGTCGACAATGCAATTGACACTGGCTGGGGACATAAGGATGAGGTCGACATTGTAGAAGATATTAATGTTGTGAGCTTGGAAAACCTACCCATGGTAGAAAGTATTTGTTAAGACTATATTCACCACGACGTCAACACACTACTCACTAAAGTCATCTACCTGCTATACCAACTGAACAGGGTATGAGGCCGACGTTGGTCAAACAGCAAGAGAGGGATATTGTTGTGGTCAAGAGTTCTACCGGACACCTAATGTTCGTCTTGTTGGAGAGCTCGCTATGGCATCTTCGCTTTGGTACACTCCCAGAACGCGTCCTTTCACCACATCCAAGGTGCACTGTTCAATCTGGCCTGTCGTTTGTCCAAGGATTGCTTACTGCTGATTTCCATATTATTCGAGTCTGGTTTTGGTGTCTGAATGGTGATCAACCCGGGACTTACATGTGGCAGGAACAACGCCTTTGCCCACAAACACGTCAAAATGTCGGTGTCGACGTGCTGCATGAGTGCCGTGCCCAAATTATCACGGATTTCATTCACAATCTGAGAAGCTCCATAACAGCGAAGCAAATGAAATTGATGAAGGTCTGCCAGATCCAGTCTTATCGTTGGCGACGCCTGTAGAAGTGAAGCAGGAGATTACCGACGGTACAGAAACAATGGATTCTGAACGAGCAGCAACAACTCATCACTGTGTATTGACACGGTTCCGATAGCTAACGGCCTGTACTGTTGTTGTTGGAATAGAGACATGCATCATGCAGGGCGGATGCAATTTAAATTGGACGCCGGCAGCATGCTCCTAGCCCACAGTATGAAGGACCCCTTTGTCGGCATGCAGGATTGCTGAATCGCTAGAGGACGAATACCAAAAATCCCGCATACAGAGAGAATGGAAACTAGAATTGAAAACGGAGAAGGCGCTTGCGTAGATGCTTCGACTCAAGTCACAGATCAGGATTATCATCATCATGGACAGGGCTGGGTGTCGTTCTTGGCTGTCCAACACATCCGATCCATCATTTCCCCTGGCCTACCAGGAACCAAGGAATAAGCGGAAAGTGGCATCATTAGAGAGGCGATGATATGTTAGATTTCACATGCTTTAATGTTGATGTCAAGCTGCAAAGTGCGAGACTACAAAGGCATGCATTGCATGTTTCGCGTATCCTAGGACTTCTTCGTTCTAATCTGATTGAGCCACAGATTGGATAGCCGGCATCCAGAGCTGCAGCATCTGATGATCCAGGCTGGTTACGATCTGAAGGTCAAGAGTCGGTCGACTCGTGGGTGAACGATTGGATATATTTCAGTAGCCAGGAGAATATATTGAGCGAGATGCAGGAGTCGGTGTCAGCGGTGGAAGAGTCCAAATCAATGGGACAAGGATGATAAGCCCTATCTTACACGGATACAGCCAGCACGATGCCCACCTTGTATGGAGGACAATTTTTGAGATGGTTTGGGCCGGACTCGGAACGAACACGCCCTAGTCGTATTGGAAATCCAAGAAAAGCTCCCGCAGATGAATACGCAATACTTCTGCCGAGCAAGCCTTGGTAAACGCATCTGGAGCCGGGCAGCCTCTACTCTGACTGCAGAGCCGGTTGACTAGAGTAACCCAATCAAAGTCGATGAGAGTTTACCCCATTGACCGAGATGCTATCCATTCCGTCTGAAATGCGGAGGCGGCTACTCCCTCAAAACAGAGACCAAGCGACCAGGGTTCATCTGTCTCGCGGGCTAGATTTGGCTTTTGGAAGCTGTGCGACTCTGAAGGAGCCGAAAGGCGAGACGACGGTGGATGAGCAGATGCTTGCTTGAGACCAAGCATCATGGAAAGCTTGATTCCGCCACTTCCTTGTTTGTGATGGATGGCGCGGAGCAGTGAATGTCTATCAACGAGTAGTCTGGTGAGACAGGAAAATAGTCATCGTCGAGAGACGGCGCCGAACACTCTGTAGCGAAGGTGAGTGCACATGTCTAGGACGGCGGGAAATTGGGAAAGCAGTGGCAAGGCATGGCATGGCATGGCAGGACACAAGAATGGGGAAGAAGGCCAGCGCATACAGCGGCCCAATCCACAGCGCAGCTTACAGGTCAGGTCTTGGCTTGGAAGAGGGTCGATACGCCGGCGTTCGAGCGGTGTAGCGACGAGACGATGAGTCGAGAATTATTCGGATGGAGTGCTCGGGCCATTCGCTCAGGAGAGCCTCCCAGGGAGCCACTAATGGATGGGATGACATGAGACCAACCGGCAAAGCACCAGAAGACAAGACTCAAGACAAGAATGGTTCACCGCGTACAGACACCCAATTGTTCCTTAGGCGAGCACGCGCATGAGCAGAAGCACGAGCACGAGCACGAGCAGGGGCAAGAGCGCCAGCGCCAGCTGCGTGCATTTGATACCATGAGCGTTGTACCTGGGCTGCTAGGACTCCAAGAGAAGCCATTCGAGCTGCTATTGGGGGGAGCAGGCAGAATAATATCCCAAAAGGAGGTGCTACCAATTTCGAGAAGCTATTTCGTACATGTCTCGCGTGGTATAGGTTGTGGCGAGTGAGGAGGCATGCGCTATGATGCATGCCTGCAGGTCAGAACCACAAAAGAGTCGTGCAAGTCGTGCATCGGGGGAACTGCAGAGATGGAATACATATGCATGCTGCAGACTAGCCACCGAGCCAGTCAGCATTCACCATGTTGCCTCGGAACGCAAGTGACTGGAACTTGATTCTCAAGACGGAGGCCGGCAATGGCAATGGAAATGGAAATGAGAATGAGAATGGGGATGGGGGATTTTGATGGCAGGGTTTGTGCGCTGTGTGGCGTGGTTATTGGTGTTGGTGTTGGTATTGGTGTTCGTGTCTGTATTGGTGTTGGTGGTGGTGTTGGTATTGGTGTTGGTGGTGGTGTTGGTATTGGTGTTGGTGGAGTTCCGGCCTGGATAGTGGAGGTGGACAGTGCTGGACTGGTCAGTACTGAGCAAAGGTATCCTTCAACCTTTCGAGTTACGGCATTCAGTTACTCGATCGAAATGTGCTCCACGCTGTTGATCCACCACCACGCTTGTCTGCTTCGTTAGTAGTGACTGACTATTTCTTAAGAGTGCTCTGGGACAGGTGAAGATGCAGCCGAAGGGGGCAATTAACCATAGTGGTATCACTGTTGATAGATAAATCTCGACTCCCTTGGTTGCTCTCTCAACTCCAACCACCATGCTCCGTACATGCTAGCATGCTGTATCTTGTCATGCCTGTGCTCTGTTCTTGTTGCTGCGGACTGTACGCAGTGCAATAGTACTCGCTATTACAGAATTACATACTGTACCAGTACAGTACGGCGTACACTCCCTGCCTTTTGCTCAGATCCGACGCGGCCCATTTATTCACCCCCGAAATGCCATCCGCAGCTTGACGGTCCTTAACCCGAACCAGGCACTTGTGGCGCCTCCTGCCCTCTCCGACTAGCCAAACTTACGAGACCAGACTTGCCAGATTTTGCAGGAGGTCCCTAGAAGCCTAGTTACTCCTTACAGGGCACAAGTTGATCGATCAGCCGCCTAAACTGCCCTTGGTTGGTGGGCACTGCAAGTAAACGTAGGCCCAAAGCCACAACCAAAATACAAATCCAACGCCTGCTTATTCCGCACTGCCAGAGCAAACACGTCTTCGACTGCGCCCACAACACACATCCAGGCCCTTTTTTCTCCCTGGAAAAAATTATATTTCTCAAATTTTGGGGTGCGGCGACCGTGGGTCCCGGAAGTCAATTCGTTCTTGATGATACAGCAGCTCGTAATTTACCTCACCATTCACTTGGTCTGACAACGCTGAGCCCCGGCCTTGTGGGATTGTTGGCCAACATCAAATTCTCCCGCTCCCCTTCCATTCCGTCAACCTCTTCCCGCAACCTTCAACAATATTTTGAATTCACACAAAATTCTGACCCTCCATTGCCCCAGCGTGCCGCCAGAAGAAAACAGAAAAAGTCCTGCAATCCTCATTACAAAGACCAGGAATTGGAGCGCACCTGCCTGCCAAGACTGAGGGAGAGTATTGGTCAGCGGACATTTGAACCCCGCCCTCGGTCCTAAATCGCCCCGCGAACAGTCAGTCCCATCTCTTGATTGCGCAGGCAGTCCGTTCACACAGCCACAGACTCCATACCCGAGTCTGGCGCACGAGAAGTGAGAAGTGAGAACTGATCTGATCCCTAACCGCCTACCAGCTAGCGACGATTACAGACTGCACGCTCCATCCTCCATACCAAGGCCCTCGTACCCTGACGGTGCGCGCCAACGCTTGTCCAACTCAAATCCCTGACCGATCTGAGCCCTAACGTCGAGAATTCAGAACCAGTCAGTGCCACCCACTCCTGGACTTGGGGCCTACCCGTTCACCATTTCATCATAAGATCATCAAGCCGAGAGGCATTGCACCTCCTGTCCCGACCAATTTTCATTTCCTCGATTTTGCCCTTGACTCTGGCTCTGGCTCTCCTTCACTCGCCACCATCCTCATTTCCTATCACCCAAATCACCCAAATCACCATTCTTTGCGCGCAACATTCAAATTCCAGAAATACATCTTCCAGAAACAACAAGAAGGACCGCTTCCTGAGTTAGATCTTTTTAGACGTCAGATCGCCCGCTTAAATCACATCATTTCATCACACTCCATCCTTATCTACCGCCACTAATCGCCGAGAGATAGGGCACCCTGCCCAACACCACCCCCCACCTCCTTCCGCCATTCACATGAATCTAACATCATCGTCTTTAAACCTCTCGCATCCAACTTCTCCTTCTCTCGTCCACTCTCCAGTCTCGCAGGATGATGCAAGTTCAATAACACGTTTGGCGGAGGACACGGCCCACCTCACTGTCAACGGTAGTGCCGTGGCCGCCGCGTCACACTCCGCAGGTCACTATACACCCCCTGCAGTCAAAAAGCCCAAGATGACGCACCGCCTCACCCGCATGTTCTCAAGAACCGAGCAAAAAGACATTGATACTGCAAAAGCAGAGTCACACAGCAAAGACATCTCGCCCGATCGCTGGGAGAACAGCCATGCCAATGGCTCAGCCAGACCTGCCCCCATCAGGGATTCATCCTATGACGAGAAGAAAGACGGCAAGAAGATGAGCGTTTCCAAAGAGAAGAAGGGTGACACCACCCCGGATTCTACCGCCGTCGCCCACAAGAGGTTCGAGATCCTCGACAACGGTTCTCATGCCCATTACCTCAAATCCGCCAAACGCCAGGAAAAGCTCACGGACATGCTCCGAGATATGCTCGGTGGAGGCAAGAAAAAAGACCTGGATGGTGGTGAGCAGCAGCTGTCACTTATGTCTTCATGGGTCGACCAGCTCCGCTCGGAGAAGGACTCTCTGCCTTTGGAAAAGAAGGCCGGCGGCCCAAATGCGAGCGCAAACCTGGTTGAAAAATACGGGAAATGTCAAGAGATTGTCGGTCGTGGTGCCTTTGGCATTGTTCGCATCTCTCACAAACCCGATCCCACCACTGCTGGTGGAGAATTGCTCTATGCTGTTAAAGAATTTCGCCGTCGCCCCCAGGAAACGTCCAAGAAGTACCAAAAACGCCTCACTTCTGAGTTTTGCATCTCATCCTCGCTTCGCCATCCTAATATTATCCACACTCTGGACCTCCTGCAAGATTCCAAGGGCGATTATTGTGAGGTTATGGAATATTGTGCCGGTGGTGATCTGTACACCCTAGTTCTTGCTGCCGGCACCCTGCAGGTCGCCGAAGCAGATTGTCTTTTTAAGCAATTAATGCGTGGTGTCGAATACATGCACGAAATGGGTGTGGCACATCGCGATTTAAAACCCGAAAATCTTCTTCTAACCACACATGGTGCTCTGAAAATTACCGACTTCGGAAACGGAGAATGCTTCCGAATGGCTTGGGAAAAGGAAGCACATATGACCGCCGGACTTTGTGGCAGCGCTCCTTATATCGCTCCAGAAGAGTATGCCGGTGGTGAATTTGACCCAAGAGCGGTCGATGTTTGGGCTTGCGGTGTAATTTACATGGCAATGCGCACCGGCCGTCACCTATGGAGAGTTGCCCGTAAGGATGAAGATGAGTTCTACGAACGCTATCTTGAGGGCCGTAGAGATGAAGACGGTTATGCACCCATTGAGACCTTGCACAGGGTAAGTTTTTCTGCATTCAATATGCCGTGGTCTCAAGCTAACTGGACATTAGGCCCGTTGCCGAAATGTTATCTATTCGATCCTCGATCCTAATCCTGGTCGCCGAATCACTGCTTCACAAGTTCTCAAATCAGAATGGGGCCGAGAGATCAAGGTGTGTAAAGCCGGCGAGGAGGGCTATTGATCCTCTCTGGCGGAGGACATCTTGTTCCTCTAGTTCCATTGCGTCGCCATTTTGGGCCCGCGCATCAAGCGAAAGCATCTGAATCAACTCGTGCCACCAACCACGAGTACGACTTTCACGAAGTGATGAACGAATTCCTTTTCTGACAGAGAGCAAGACACCAGTGATTATTCGATTTCCCTCGTCCGCAGACTTCCAGTTCACTTTGACAGCATTGACGCCATGAACATGTCTATCGATCGGAACACTAAACATGGGATCGGGAGTTTTCCTCTGACTTGGCTTGGTCACCATGCAGAGACTGACATTCGTTGGAATCCCTTCGGACCGCATCAGTCATTCGCAGATTTCTGAGTTCTTCATCGATCGCTTTTCACGTCTTCTTAAGCGTGTTCAAATTTCGTCTTTTATTGGAGATAAACACGCATCCTGTAACAACCCGAACCACGGGTGGTCTACCTAGCATACAAGCATTATTTTGCCAGCACGAGGCCATCGTCAAACACTTAATTTGGATCTCTTTACCTTGACTCTTGACGGTAATTCAAGGCCCAAGACAAACCTGCTCCAACGCACCTCCAGAAGACTTCAGATCAAACCTGTAACTACAATCAAAGGGGATGCTGTTTTGATATCAAATCATTTCAAAAAGACCTCATATTCTGGAAAACCTCCAGTTCTTCTTCAAGCATATATACTTTCTTGAGGGTTTACCTCCCTCGCCCTCTTTTCTTGTGGAGGATCTAGAAAGGTTATTTTCACTTCTATGCTCTCCCTATTTTCATTCGAGTACGGTTTTGGGGAGGGAAAGAAGTGGTCACCCAGGACAGGTTTTCGCTTTTTGCTCTATTGTTATCTTATTCCATCGAGTCCAACTTTTACCAAAAAGCAACAGCACAGCACTACTAAAATTGATGAGATTTCCATGACAGTGATGCCCTCGTTCCCTGACGCGACCGTGCGATGCCTCCCAGAATCACGGGATTTGCTAATTTTAGCCCGTTCACAAATGATATGTCGTTCCAGCTTCCCTTAGACCTGCTTCAATTCGTGACAGAATTCCACGTCATAACCCGTCTTGGAACAGCAATTGCCCTCCCCCATCTTGGCTGCTGCCTGTCCTGCCAGTCATCACAATGAAGATGACTCTTGCTTTGCCCTGCCTTGCATCCGCCTCAGACTTCGCTCCCTGAAGCTCCAACAGACACGCCAAGATGAGCAGGACTCCGTCTTGCCGAACTCCCTTCCCAGTGGGGTTTCATTTCAGGGATTTGAATTCATCCATGGAATCAACTGGTTCGATCGCTTACCCACTGCAGACCGCGCGTGTATAGTCAGACTCCACACTTCGTCTAGATGCCCCCTTTCCTGGAGGTACTGTAGATATTTGGAACGCTCGCATCGCGATGAGATGAATCCCCTTGCATCTACCAGTGAAGTGGAGGTTCATGCCGTTCTAGGATAAATAGTATGTATATTATATTAACCCTAACCCCAATTGTGGTATTTACTTGTATCCGCTCCCAACAAGCCGCCAGAAACACGAAATTACCGCTGCGCAATACCAGTCTTGGCCGAGTACCTTACGAGTTAATTAGGGCAGACACGGTAGATGGATCGAGTCGGATGGAGGCTGTGCGTCATCCAAAGGTTCGTGATTTCCACAATTCTACGGAAAGATCACACATCACATCCCTTCTCGTTTTCTCAGAGGATTCAATTGCCTCGTTCTCAGTGCTGAGGTCATTACATCAAGTCATGTGCTGCTTCTATCCGATAAGATGACGATAGAGGGACATGTCTCATGATGCCTCATGGTCGAACGAAGATGGATTGACGGAAAAGACCTTGGACGATTCGATTCTGCCATTTTCATCTGCATTGGTTGCATTTCAACTCTCCTTAATTTCGAGCTACGCCAGCTGACCAGCCATCATATCTCATCCTAATCGCTCCCCCTTAACACCCATCGCACTCAATCCGTCCATCCGTCCATACGTCCATACATGCATTCTCAATAGCAAGGTTTGTCTGTCCGCATCTGCCCGCTTTCCTCTTGATTCCGTGAAGAAGAGGTATGCAGATTCCCCCCCCCCCCACCCGGAGGTGAGCTTGCAGGATAGACGAAGGACAAGGAAGGACAAGGATAAGCATAGTTCCGTACGGCCCACGAACGAACATGTAGATACATACTTGAACAAGAAAACGCCGGTTTGGCCCCCTCCCCGTTACAGTCGAACCCGATCTCCTGAACAAGATGGAGAACACGCCCGGAAGATGCGTTGAAGAGGAGAGAAAGCGATGCGTCGTACGCTAACGATATGAGAGCGTTGAAAGATTTGCTTTTCCCACCGCCACTACTGTGCCTGGAGGCCGGAGCGAAACGACAGACCAAAAGATGAAATTCTTCCTAATCCTCTGGTACGTCAGTCGCTGTCGTCACTATCGTCGGCGGCCGCGGAGCCCCTGGACTTCCTCTTTTCTTTCTTTTCTTTCTTCTCCTTTTTCCTTCGTTTCCGCTCCGCGCGCTCCTCGGGAGTTTCGCCATCGTGCTTCTTGCGCTTCTTGTCCTTTTCCTTCTCGGCCCCGTTGGTCTTCCGCGGCAACATCTCTGTGTCACCGTCCAGTGACATCGAGTCTGCGGTTTCGCCGTTGGGAGCCACTGGTGGGGCGGTGAGAACGTCGGATTTGGAGGTCGTTTCTTTGACTGGGGCAGCGGCCGTGCCATCAGGGGCGTTATAGTCAGTATACTCGGCTGTCCACTTAGCTGGGGTGGCTTCGTTGGGACGGCCATATTTCTGTGGGCATGTTAGTGTTGATTGATGAGATGTACAATATGATATGTCGACCACTTACATCAAGCTTTCCATCCGACTTCATCTTCTTCTTCTCCAGAGCGACGGGCCCCATACCCCATCTGCGAGGATACAGGTCTCTCTCCATGATACATCTCTTGACCTTGGCAACAACTCCATGGTCACACGTTGACAACTCCACTGTGGACATCTGCGCAATACCAAGAGCAATGGCCTCGCCTTTGGTGGTCATGAGGACAACCTCTTCATGGACCTCAATACCAGCGTCAAATCGCAGTAAGCCGGGAATCATCAATTTGGCACCGTAGCATACTGCATTGACAGCACTGTCCTTGACGACAATCCTCTTGTAGGTGGTAAGGAGACTCTCAAGGGGAGAAATGACCTTTCGTAGGTAGGTTTCGTCTCTGTTGTTGTCATGTGTCCACTGTGCATCCAGCACATCATGTAGCGTGACCATGCCATCGCTCTCATCCATCGCTCCACTCCGTACTCTCCGAAGTTCTTGCATATGTGCTCCAACACCGAGTAGAAGTCCCAAATGAACGCAGAGAGTTCTGATGTACGTCCCTGCTTCACAGCTCACCCAGAAGACGCCCAGGTGGCGATCGTTGTCGAATTCGTAGAGCTTGATCTCATGAATGGTTCGGATACGCAGCTGTCGCTTAACCGCTGAGATCAATGGAGGTCGTTGAAAGAGAGCACCAGTCAACGTCTCCAGAGCCCTAGCAAATTGTGCCTCACCGCCGGGTAATTTATCGTGCAGACGGATGACACATACGTATTCCTTTCCAGCTCCTTGCTGAGATTTCACCAGTCGAGTTGCTCTGTCTATGCAGACAATGAGGCATCCAGTAACTTTCGGGTCGAGAGTTCCGCTGTGACCGGTCTTTTCCACGCGCAATATCCGCTTCACCCATGCTACAACTTCGTGGCTGGAAGGATTGGAGGGCTTGTCGAGGTTGATTACACCTGAAGAGATGTACGATTTCAAATCGCGCTTCAAAGGGGTGCATCCACATGGAATGGGAGTGAAATGACCGGTTCTCACGAGGACTATTCCACGCGCATTAGTACATTGATCAACAGGTCCCGCATGCACGTTGACTACTCACGCTTGTCATAGTTCTTCAGCAGCAGAGGCCACTCAGATGTCGGAATTTGAGGGGTGACATTCTCTGGTTTGATGCTATAGTCGAGTTCCTCGACCTTGCCCATGTTGGCGATGTCCTATCGCCAGAAGCTGAATGTGGCTGGTGGCGCTGGACAAAGGCCCAAACTCGGGCCAGGGATACCAGTAGTTGGGGTACAAGATACAGTAACCGATACCTAGCCCCTGATATGCAAAACAAGGGATTTCAAAGCTGACCTGTACATTAATATGAATATCTTGGAGCGAGGATGCGTGGTAGAAAAAAGTTGTTTGACTGGCGAAGCCTCCGTGCGGAGCTTCTCGAATTTCATCCCAATCTATACCCAAAGCAGTTAGTCCCATCAAAGGCTTGGCAGAGGTCAGTTCTTTGTTCTCTTTGATGAACCGCCACAGTGTTCTCTGTTCACTCTTCCTCTTCTTCATTGTTCATCCTCAGTCACCTACTACTGACTGCATCAACTGGACTTTTCGGCATCTGGAGGACCCTCAGGGTGTGCCAGTCATCATGGACAGATTCTGGAGTGCTCCTCCTGTGACCCGGTTAGTGCTACACAAAAGGTTTTATTTTGATCATTCTGACTAAACATTTCTTCATAGAACGATTGTGGCCGCAATGTTTGTAGAATCTGCTCTTGTTTATGGAGGTCTTCTGGGCTTCGGACGTATTTACTATCAAAACTCCCTCGCATTCACATTCCCTCCAGAGCTGTGGCGTCTGCTTTCCGCCTTCCTCTTGACAGGGCCAGATTTCTCCTTTGTCATTGATCTGTATTTGAGTAAGCTCAAGGACAGCCGCGCAATCTTGCTGCCAACTAATCATGTCCAGTGTATACATATGCCTCTGGATTGGAACTGAATTCACCCCGGTTCGGCCAACCTGGAGATTTCTTCACCTATGTCTGGTTTGTGGGAACCATCATTTGGGTAAGTAAGATACGACGTGCTACCGCCTTCCTCTTCCTTTATAGTCCTGCCTCTCTCCCCGTCTTCCATCTTATCATACACCGCACCTCGCATATCTGCCCGCCCAGCCTTTTTCTAGCTGAAGCGGTTCCTGGAAACGAGGGAGAGTACCCCTGTGGCACATACAGATCCATCATTCGCATAATATCAATCGGGACTGTGTGCGGTGCAGGCATGGTGGGAGCTCTATTGAGAAAAGCTTTCGTGACACATCAATTTGCGTTTCGCGGTTGTGGCTTCCTACATCTCTTCATGACTACTCACTTATCAATCTTTGGTCTATTTCCAATCAGTCGAAAGCTTCAACTAATTTGGACCTCAGTTGACCTCAGGAGTTCTCCTAAGTGGCTATATCTTCACTTCTGCACTCATGTTAGCATTTATGTACACTTATGCCCAAGACAACCGTGGCAAGAAGGCGCATTTTATCGTCCTTCAAATTCCCGTCGAGCTACTTCCATGGGCTATGCTTCTGCTGACCCTGGTCATGAACGGCTTTGCGGCAGCGATGTACCAGGGTATGGGTATCATTGCAGCTCATCTGTATGAATTCCTCACCCGCCTGTACCCAACATTCCAGGGAGGACGGAACTATATCCAAACCCCAGGTGCTATCAAGCGGTATTTTGGGGCGGATAGGAGTTCCTTTGCTCACAAAGCATATGGGTCGACCTTCAGAGCTGGACAGAATATACCTCAGCAACAGACAGGGGGTTGGACAAGCGGCTTCTCGAGTGGTTGGAGCGGCCGAGGCGCTGGCAGGAGGTTGGGAGGAGATTGACACCATGAGCAGCCGGACTAATGTGCCAACATATCATGTACCAACAACGCATTGACAGAATATTGAATGATACCCATAGAAGTGATGACCCCTCAAAACAGGATCGACTACATTTAATTACAATTCCTCGAACCCAAGGGCCCCAGAAGGCTGAAGAAGCTCTGATGCCAAGGCCACCATGAAAAGTCTTAAGCAACCGCCAAGACCACGTCATCATGGAGCCTTGGCCCAATTGGGATGTATCAAACACTGGGAGACTCGAAAGCCCTCAACCTGGAACATCAACAGCCTCGCCACCTTCCTTGCGAGTTTCATTAGCTACGGATGCTCTCTTTCCCGGTCAATATCTGATTTCCATATTGTGCTTTCGATGTGGACGGAGTAATGGATATCCACATTCCCCTCAGCCAAACGCTCATTCGACAGATCAACAAGCATTGACGTAGGCCGCCAACGAGCCTGGCCTCTCCCAAACTGGTCCAGAAGGCCTAGGCCTGAGCTTCCTTGACCGAAACTTTACTGGTCTTCAACACGGAGCTGCTTGCTAGAGCATTGAAACCACGTTGCAGTGTGAACTGCTGTGGGTAAGAGGATCTGAGCTTGGTAAAATTCTACTTTGATTCCATGTCGCTCCCAAACCCAGAACCTGGGCTGGGGGCGCAGCTCAACAGCTTCATGGTGCAAACGTGAGAGAAAAGTGGTACTTGTGTCACCCATCTCGTTCGTTAACTGTCTCGACACATCTGATGTAAGGAGGTCGCAATCATGCCATCGGTAGGTTCTGGCCAAGTCCCTTTCTTATATTAAGATTCCCCGTTCCCTCGCTAAAGGGAAATCATTCTCCTCCACGGCTTCACTAACTTCTTGGATAGCCTCCTTCCTATCTTTGTTTTTTGTTCCTAGCAACAGGCCGGTCCTGCCTCACTCCCTTCTCATCTCGCCTATTTTATCTTTCATTGTTTCCTCTTTTTTAGGATTCATCCCAAATAGACACGGGTTGTCATTCACTTCTAGTTGTCGAGAGACACTACACCAATCATGGGCCGGCTCCTCTTTTACAGCATCATTTCTTCCCTCCTTTTGTTGCCGAGCGTTTTCGCTCAATACCATGCTGTCTCAAGTATTCAATCGCTGGCATTGACGGCTGCCTTTATTTTACCTGCAGTGTCGGCATATGTCATTCCGATCCCATCGCCAGATGCAAAGAAACGCAATGCTGAGCTTGAAGCCCGAAACCCAGCCCCAGCTGTTGTGATTATCAACGGCCAGGTCATGACAGTTGGCCAGAATGTCGGAGCAGGCGTGGGTGTCGGTGGGGCAACTGCAGCCCTTGGAACTGCATCAGAAACTGTGTCCGTTGCCAATGAGGCTGCAGCAGCCGAGACCGCCACTGATGCTGCTATCGAAACCGCTACTGAGGCTGCAGCAGCCGAGGCCGCCACTGATGCTGCTACCGAAACCGCTACTGAGACTGCAGCAGCCGAGGCCGCCACTGACGCTGCTACCGAAACCGCAACAGAGACTGCAGCAGCAGCAGCAACTCAGACTTTGGATGCTACTGCTCTCGCCGCTGAGGCTGTCCAATTAGCAGCAGCTGAAGCCAACGCCACTGCCGCTGGTCAGGGGAACGCCAACGTTGCTCAAACGCAACAACAATGTATAGCTGCTGCTGTTAAAGCCGCAGACAACGCTCTCAAGGATGCTGCCGCTTTGGACGCTGCCAATCTTGCTGCCGCGACAGCGGCAAATGCTACTGCTACCGCTGCCGCCGACAACGAGGCTGCCAATACCGCAGATGCCACAGCCACCAACAATGCTGCAGATGCCACAGCCACCAACAATGCTGCAGATGCCACAGCCACCGACATTGTTGCAGATGCCACAGCCACCGACAATGCTGCCAATAATGCAGCAGTATCTGCCACAGCTACTGCAGCAGCTACTGAGGGGGTCGCTAGATTTGCAGCAGAAGATACCACAGCTGCGACTGAGGAAGCCACTGCCAACGAAGAGGCTGCTAACAATGCAGCAGCATCGGCCACAGCTACTGCCACGGCCACAGCTAGCGATGAGGCTGCCGCCTCTCAAACAGCCTCTGCTGAAATTGCGGCGAATGCTACCGACATTGAAGCTGCCGCTGTAGCTAACGCGACTGAGAATGTTGCTGCGGCCAATGCCGGGGCAGGAGCACTTGACGGTGCGATCATCGATACTATTGCCCAAGAGTGCGGTGTGCAAGCTGCCGATGTCGAAGCTGTGATTGCTGGTGCCGACAATGCCAATCAGAACAACCAGAATCAAGGTGGTAGCAATCGCAATGGACAAGGCAACGGGCAAGGCCGAGGAAATGGAAATGGAAACGCCAACGGAAATGGTAACGGGCAAGGCCGAGGAAATGGCAACGGAAACGCCAACGGGCAAGGCCGAGGAAACACCAATGCCGGAGGCAATGGCCAAGGAAATGGTCAGCGCGGCGGGAATCAGGAGGGAGGCGCCGGCGGCGACGACATAAATGATGTTTTGGACCAAGCTCTCGACATCCTTGGCAATGTGCTCGGAGGAGGAGCCGTGCAAGGAGCTGGAGCCAGAGGCAACAACCGCGTCGTACGGCGCAGCACGAAGGGCTACCAAGGCGAAGGCTATTGATCTAGTCTCGATCAGTTGGCCTGTAACGATTGAGGCACCGCAGCCATACGTGTCATGAGAGGCTGGATCTCTATCTGCGGTTGCAGGGCAGGGCAGAGGATTCGGTGAATTAAGGTATCCCGGCGATACGAGTGGAACAACCAAATCAAATTAGTGAAATATTGGGAGGGCGCATTTGTGGCATGACGAAATTAGGCGAGATTTTGGACACATCCCCCCTGGGAAAGAAAATGAGAACCACGACATGTCGCTCTCACGGACAAAGTGGCATGCTTTGGGATAACATGGCCTACTCTTGGGAGGACTAGTGTATGGACTTGACAAATGAGCAGGGTGGATGGCAGCATCCATCTATCCACCTACTTTGTGGAGCCACTCAGGGCAAGTGTAAGAGTACAACAAACATCAGGCAGGGTGCCAGGGTCTCAAAAGCAAAAATGAAACGACGAAATTATACGAGATATACAAAAATTGACGGACAGACAGATGCGCAGCGCCCGCACCATGTGAAGGAAAGTGGCGGCCCGCAACCGGGCACGCATGCATATACACATACCTGCCCTTGCTAGAGGCAATTTGTCGTAACATAGAACTTATATGAAGCGAATACAACAAGTGCAGACGACTTCGTTTCGCGAATGAGAGAAATACTATTAATCATAGCATGACAGGTACGTATAGGGAGCACGGCTTGAAAAATATGAGCAGGATAACGAGCACGTTGTATTTGGAAGGTATGGTCATAGCTAGCTCTGAATCAAACTGTCTAAGGATACTTCCTTAGCCACTGAGGGGTAGCACTAGAGGAAACATCCTACACTCGCTGTCTGATGATGTGAAATTCCCGAAACGCCTAAGCAAGTCATCATTCGTTGGGTACTCTAGCACGGCGTGGTGTGCTGACGATCCCCCTTTCCGAGTTTTCGAAGCCATCGAAGTATCTAGATTCTAGAATCAAGAAAATGCGTGAAGACAATATTGTGAAGGAGCATCATCAAATCGACTAAGTGTGTCTCTGTGCTGACAACCGAGAAATGCAGGTGGAGAGTCTGCAACTTGGGCGGTGGACAGCGATTGAGGAACTCGACTCCTCCGTGTCAGGGGCTGATATTAGCCAAAGGGTCCCGGGTGATCGCCGAAGCCATTTCACATCTTCACTCTCAAGAGGTATCTCAACTTGATCTGTGAGATGTCATAGACGATGTACTCATTGTAGAATAGATATGCGCCTGTCTCCTTCGTGGCACCTGGTGCTTTCTTAGACACATCGGGCATGGTCACTCCTTTCAGACTCTTGTGAATGGCTCCAGCATCCTTCCACGCTAGAGGAGCAGTTTGGCCCACGCCCCAGGTTGAGATACATCCCTCATCTTTGGCACGATTCCCCGCGTTATAATCGGCGTTCATCAACTTGAGCGGCGGTGTGCCCAATTCGGCTTCGCAGAGCAGCAAGAGACCCGTACCATTGGAGCTGTATGAACTACAATATCCTGCAGATTTACTGCTCATGTCGGCTAGATAGACGCCTTTTCCAAACATGTAGCCAGAGACAGGGGCCTCAGGTGGCGCAATACGCAGGCCCTGGCTGAGGATACCGCCGAAGTTCGTAACGCGCGATCCGTGCCATAGGAGTCGGCGGTCAGACTTGTCGCCCATGTCACTGAACTCTGAGCATTGGAAACGGGCATCTTCACCTATGCGTTCAACTCGGAAGATGTCCTGAACCTCGTAAGAGTAACCGTGCGTCGAACCGTGTGTCTTCATCAAGTATGTCTCAATCTCTTTGAATTCTCTGGTGCCGGCATCCAAAGCAGTCATCTCTTGCATCCCAAGTCCTTGGTATTGTCTGTCGAGGACATGAACCTTGTCGTTGGACTTTTTACCTTTGGCAGTTTTCATGATTTCATTGGCAAGTTGCATGTCTGTCAATGTCTCAAGAACTTCAATCTCTCTCTATAAATTTGGTCAATCAGCGTACGCGGGCCTTAAACACCTTTCCAATCATACCTTAATGAGACCCATGTTATCAAGGGTTGGCAGACGGCTGCGGCCTGAAACGTGGGGCACAAGCGAGAAGTAGAGATTACTTCGGTCTGCAACAGCCTGGCTATAAGTCGTGCCAGTTCCCACTGCGATATTCGGGTCTGCAATGAGAGCAGCAAGTTCTTTGAGGACTTCATAGCCTTTTAAAAGAGTCTTCTTGCTCAGTTTTCCCAGGGGCATCTTCTTTGCGTCGTAGTTGAGTGACGCCATTGTGGAATCGAATAATTTGAGGTCGAAGATTAGCTTCATCAATTCCTGCACAGGCTTGTCCAGGGTGCTTTGAACGGGAATGTCATCGATCTCATCCTCCGCTTCGTCTTCTTCGTCTTTGACAGCCACCTTCTTCTTCTGAGGTTCCTCTTCTTCCTCTTCGTCCTCCGAGTCCGCATAGTTGATCTCAATGAAGACATATTTACCGCTCTTGGCGGGACCATCTCTGTTTTCCCATTTGTTCCCGTTCTTGTCCTTGAATTTTTTCTCGAAAGCAGCCATGGCGGTCTTCATGTCGCCATCGCCAAGCATCATTGACTGGCCAATCTCACCAACACGACCCCATCGTGTCCAACACCGACAAGAGCCTTTATGATCAACGAGGAGTTGCATTTTGTAGAACTTGTTGTTGTTTGCATTGGAATTAGATTGATTCAAAGTTGCATCCCATGCGAGGCCGTCATCATCAACGAAGACTGTGTATGCATCACCGTTGGATAGATGCTCATCGACTGGAATCTTAGGCGCTGCTTTCGGTTTTGGTGGAGGTTTTTGAGTCGAGACTCGGGTGGGCAGATGAGTATCAGGAGCCTTATCATTACCTCGCTTTCGCTTCAAATTCGGTTTTGGAATATCGCTGGGAACTTTGCTGTCAGATTCGCTTTCCTCATCAACACCGTTGCTGTCATTCACACCGTTGGTGCCACTGACGCCAGTCGTAGTGGCAGACGATTTGTCCAGAAGATAGTCATCGACAGAAACTGGAGAGGTGGATTTCAAAGACTCCGCAAGCCAATCATAATCGACAATGATTAGACTCGGCTGTTGAAGGGCCTCCTTGACTGCTTTGAGTTTCTTCTCATATTGAGCTGGAGAAGCAACAAGGTGGGTGCACTGGGCTATTTTTGAGGTATAAGACCCACCACAAGTGGCGATTTGGGCTCTCAATTGGGCGATAGTCTTCGAAGTCAAGTCTATATGACAGCCCGCGGAATAGGAGGCGAAGGTGACAGTGTACCCTTCAAGGGATGTGCTCGGTACAGCAGGAGGAGCCTTGGTACGAGGCATATTTACTGTATAGTGCAAGTCGGAGAGGTTGACTCTGACTTGAAATCTTGAAGATTCGACAGTCCTTCTTAAAGAAATCTCAATGTGATGCTCTCACAAAAGAAGAGGCAGCAGCCGGTAGGCTGATTACAGACGCCCTCTATTCAGAATAGCGCCAGGCAGGAGTCGCGCTAACAGCAGGCACGCGTCGCGCTAGGGACAGGCAGTCACGCGTTATCACATGATCGCGCGAGCGATGACGCAGTTGCCCAGTCATTTCTATGGCACATGCAGATTCAGAAACCGAAACAACAGAGATGCCTCAGCAAAGAATTGGCTCTTCGTGGCAGTGCTTTGTTGGGTGAGACGACAGCATGGCTCAGACAGGCATAGATGCAAATCCTCTTCTCCGGCGCCCTCTTTATGGTGAGTTGTAGTCGGGGTCTATTCAAAACTCTACTGAACATTATCTCAGTCTACGACTTGCCTACAGAACTACTTTTCAGTCTTGCTGTTGTTGGCAGGGCAGAGCGTCCCTCACAAGAGCCTGTAGACTCAGTCGATGCGCAGTCTCGCGCAACAGTGAACGACGGCGTGTCGACATCGACATCATGCACTCTTTGCAAAGTCTCTCTCTCTTCGGTGCAAGACCAAAGGCAACATGTCAAGTCAGATTTTCACCGATACAATCTCAAGTTGAACATAAAACAGATGCCGCCGATAGATGAAGCCACTTTTTTTCAAATGATTGGTGATCTGGATGAGTCTCTGTCAGGCTCTGAGTCGGACACCTCAGATGACAATGACGAAGAGGGAAAGCCTGGAGAGAGCACCTTGACTGCACTTCTCAAGAAACAAGCGAAACTGCACAATAGTAATCAAGAAGAAGAGAATAGTTCCACGAGGAAAATAGGTGCCGGCAGTGCACCCATGTTCTGGTTGTCTAGCCCAAAGCTTGCAGACGATACAGGTCTCGGAGTCTACAAGGCTCTTCTCTCACACTCAGACCAAGAAGCAACCGCATCGTCATTAGTAGATATCATCAAGGGTAAACAACTCAAGGCTACCGTTGCAAAGCAAAGCGGTGGTGCAAAGGCATCGCAGCCTGGCCAGAATGACCCTCATTTCTTTTTGTGTATGATTGGTGGTGGCCATTTCGCAGCCATGATCGTTTCACTGGTACCAGAATTGCGAAAAGGCCCTGGTGGCGTGGAAGAACGTCACGCTATTGTACATGCGCATAAAACCTTTCACCGGTATACGACTAGGCGGAAACAGGGCGGATCCCAATCTGCAAATGACAATGCCAAGGGAAATGCTCATTCTGCTGGATCGTCGATACGAAGATATAATGAGATGGCGTTAGAAGCCGATGTCAGAAATGTTCTAGGTGAATGGAAGACGATGATTGACACTGCGGAGCTCCTTTTTATCCGCGCGACGGGCACAACAAATCGCAAGACCCTCTTCGGGCCTTATGACGGACAGGTCCTGCGCAATAATGATAAGCGACTACGAGGATTTCCTTTTAGCACTCGCCGCGCAACCCAGACTGAGCTGCTCCGGTCGTTCCATGAGCTCACCAGGTTGAAGGTTGGCAAGCTAGTTGATCCCGCAGTGGAAGACAAACCCGTGATAAAGACTGCTCCAAAAGACCCAAAACCCAAGCCCACTGCGCCTAAGTTGACAGAAGAGGAAGAAGCCGCGCAATTACATACAAATCAGCTTCAGGCCCTGATTCGAAGGTCCAAAGCTCCCGGTGTTTTGCAGTATCTGACCAAGAACCAGCTCTCGCCAGATTTCTCTTTCTGGCCTTTATCAGAACACTATCATGCGCCGACCCCACTTCATCTCTCTGCCTCGACGAACTCTCCAGCCCTGGTGTTGACGTTGCTCACCAAAGCCAAGGCCAACCCGACGGTTGAAAATGGCGATGGCAAGACACCCTATGACATTGCCGGGGATACCAGAACCAGGGATAGTTTCCGCGTTGCACGCCACCAGCTCGGCGAGGACGCATACGACTGGTCTAAGACTCACATCCCAACAGGTATAACGCAAGAAGAGTCCGATGCCAAATCTCAGCAGGATAAGGTGGCTTCTGACGCCGCGGAGGCACGGCGCCGCAAAGCAGACCTGGACCGAATTCAGCAAGAAGACCATAAAATGGCTGGAAGGATGGAGCGGAAAGCCGGAGCCGGCAAGACCCTGATGGAGAAAACTGGTTCAGACCGGCGAGAGGAGGAGACCAGAGGCCTGACTCCTGAATTAAGAATGAAGTTGGAGAGGGAACGGAGAGCTAGGGCGGCTGAAGAGAGGCTCAGACGGATGCAGGGTGCTCAGTGAACTCGGGCTATTTTCTATCTCTAGTCAAATAGGCGATCGATGACTGATCCCATCTAAAGAGGGACTAACGACACTACGACTTCCCCTGGGTACTGCTATTTTAATGCAATCCCGAGTCCACCATTCCCCTGGCTTAGTCTTCCTATTAATGGTCATTGGGTTTCTTTGCCCTTTTCTGGCCTGCCTCGAGCGAAAAAGACAAATTCCCCTAAACGACAATTTCATGCTCCCTGAACAAGGGGAAGTTGCTCTCGAGGTAGTCCTGTGCATCGGCAAATTCTGCCCTCAAGACCTCGCCGTGCTTCTCGCTCCGCAATGAGAACTCATACTTGTAAGGGTTCGGGCGAGTGTTGAAGCCGTCGGTGTAGTCGTACGTATCGTAGACGGCGCCCTTAGCGGGTAGAATGTCGAAGCACCACAGGACGCGCGCGAGGGCGATGAACAGGTTGTTGCTCGCCAATTCCGCCCCAGGACAGATGCGGCGGCCCCAGCCGAAGCTCGAGTGACCGAGTTTGCTGGGATGCGCGAGGCCCTTTTCCTGGGGAGTTGTGGAGGTATATGTTTTGGCCAGGTAGGCAAGCGAAGTCGGGTCGACGTCTAGGAAGCGCAGCGGATTGAAGTGATCGGGGTTCGGATAGAACGACTCGTGCCGATTGATCGCCCAGCTGTTGCCCAAGATGTTGGTGCCCTTAGGTATGTAGTAGCCTCGATACGTATCGGCTTCTGTCGAAGCGTGCGGCGTTCCACCTAGAACGGCCACAGGTCGCCATCGCAGCGCTTCCTTGCACAGCGCGCGAATGTACGGCAGGGAAGACTCATCAGTGTAATCAGGCAGGCGGCTGCGACCGATCACAGCGTCGAGTTCTGCATGAGCGGCATGAAGTGTTTCTTGGTTGGTAATGATGGCAAGGATCGCGGAGGATAGTGTGGAAGCTGTGGTGTCTGCACCGGCGCCAAAGACTGAGGCTGGAAGGCTGGCAAAATCTCGCTCTCGCAACAGGGCGAAAGAAGCAGGATCTGCGGCTCGGTTTTCCAGTAGTTGTCGAGCTAGGCTATTGGGGAGGGGGCGAGCGCCTGGCTTCTTCGCTTCTTCAATATCTTCTTCCACGTAACCGAGGAGCTGAGCATTTGCCATCTGTTCTTCGCGACCCCAACCCTTGACTTCTCGCTTCCAAGGTGCAAGGAAATCGGGTATGTTCTTAAGAATTGGGAACGACTCTGCCAAATATCGACCTGGTACGTTCACGGCGGCATTCCAATGCATGATCTTCATGCGTTGTTTGATGATAGGTGACTGCATGCTGTCGATCCGGTGGCCGTAAGCTATTGTGAAGACAATCGAAGATGTAAATCGATTGAGAAGATTGTCAAGATCATCCGCTTTGTTCAGGAGTTGCTGGCACAACCTTGTTGCTTCTGCTTCTGCGACGGGCTTGTAGTTTTCCAAGGCTCTTGATGTTAGGACCTGGTGCATCGCTTTCCTTCTCACCGACCAGTCCTTCCCGTATGGCTGTACGAGGATACTCGACATATCCCAGAAGATTTCTCCCATGACGACGAAGCGCGGGCGGGAGCTGTACTTTTGAGACCGCTTTTCGAGCAGGTCTACGGCCACATTTGGATCTGAAACGATAACAGTCGGTCGACGGCCGAACCATACCGTAAAAATCGGTCCATACTGCCGGGACCATTCTTGAAATTGGATCCATGGATGTTTGTTAGGAACATCAAGCTTGTTACCAATGAATGGGAGAGGCCGAGGGCCTGGAGGCATTCGCTTCCATAGTATAATATCATGTATCAAGACTCCAAGAGCGATGATCAGTGATAGACCTATCAAGGATGACCAGGCCAAGAAGACAGTTGCCCAGCCCATTTTGATGATTTCTCACAGGTGCAGGCTGACGAGTCTATGCTTGGACAGATCCTTGAAAATAAGGCGACCCTCAGTATGCTATAAACTTGGCTTTCGAACGAGTAGCTGGAACACAAGGTTGTTGGTGGGGGTGACAAAGGGTTGGTGTTGCAGCAGCGGTGAGTATCCCAGCATTGCGTCTGATCAATGCATTATCAGTTATCCCCCTTTCCCAGGAAAACTCCTAAAACAATGCAACAGCAGGCCGAGGGCTTCAGGTGATAGGTAGGATGTTTGACTAACGAACATCGTGGAGGCGTGTTTGCGGGGCGAGTTCTCCAAAGTACGGAGAAAACCCACAAGCTAGTCAGTTCAATCTCCATATTATGCCCTTCGGCAGTTGTCCTGGCTTCTCTTTGATCACCGGAAAAGCCCCAGAGCTGCGGTCTTCTAGGTGCAGTCTCAAAACGGGCCTCGAGATCTCATGGACGATTGCCGGATTGCAAATCCAATACTTCATTGTGCTCACTAATGTCCACGTGGAACGATTCAGGCCGAGTTCGCATGTGGAGCTGTTATTGAGCGCGTGGAGCATTTGTTTCAGAACGACACACATGACCTTCGCCACTGTATCAGTAGATATATCCCGCCATCCTGAGAAGTACCAAGTTCGTTCTCGCTCTCGGAAGGACAGGTGAATTGTGATCAAGAAAATGCCAGGATTCTCAAGGCTGCCCCCTTCAGGGATAAAGGTGTTAATAGTTGGTGCTGGATTCGCAGGTTTATGTGCTGCAATTGAATGCGATCGAAAAGGCCACTCGGTTATACTACTGGAAAAGGTTGCTGAGCTGAAACCCCTAGGCGATATCATCAGCTTCTCATCCAACTCAGGCCACATCTTTGAACGGTGGGAAGGTGTTGTCGAGGAACTCGAGCCAATAATCCACCACAGCAGCGGACTTGATTTTTATGAGTGGACGGGGAAATTTGCCACACGTCAGGAATGGGATGAACAGAAATCATGGGGGAGGCGAATCAACGGCCACCGAGGCGACATCCATGATGCTGTTTACCGCCATGCTAAAGCCAGGGGGATCGATATCAGACTTGGGCAGAGTGTCAGCGACTATTTCGAGACGGATTCTGAAGCCGGAGTTATTGTCAATGGGGACAGATTAGCTGCGGATTGTGTCCTGGCGGGCGAGGGTGTAAAATCTGCAGGCCGAAAGATCGTCTTGGGCTTCGAAGACAAGCCTAGGGCCTCTGGTTATGCAGTTTATCGTACTTGGTTCTCCTCGGACGAACTTGCCAAGAATGAACGGACCAAGCATCTAGTGATCAATGGCGACACGCACTCTGGCTGGGTCAGTAAGAATACCCCGTTGGGGGGACCAACTACTAACAAGATCATAGATTGGCGAAGATAAACACTTCTTGGCCGCTTCCATCAAAAATGGAAAGGAGTTCAGCTGGGTGCTCACGCACAAGGACTCCGCAGACATCGACGAGGATTGGCAATTCCCAGGAAAGAAGTCAGAAGTGCTTGAAAATCTAAAGGGGTGGGCTCCGATCGTACATGACCTTGTCAACGCCACTCCCGAGGACCGTCTTGTCGATTATAAACTGGTATTCCGGGACCCCTTGCCAACATTTATTTCGCCGAAATCGCGGATTGCCCTCATTGGGGACGCTGCTCACCCCTTTCTGCCGACGTCAATTCAGGGAGCTAGTCAATCGATGGAAGACGGTGTTACATTAGCAGTAACACTTGAGAAGAGCGGCAAGGGCGATGTACCTCGAGCCATCCGCGCTTACGAAGCCATTCGGTATGAACGGGTTCACAGGGCGCAGATGACGGGAGTGACGACTCGAGAGCAATGGCACAAAGCGGATTGGGACAAGATATGGAAGGATCCAACAATGTTGCACTTGAAACGAGATGCGTGGCTACTGGACTTTGATGCTGAGACTCATGCTTATGAGGTTATTGATGATGTACTGAAGAAATTGGACAAGGATGCGGCTGTCAAGGTGGACGGTATTCCAGAGCCCAACTTGAGTGGTGTTCAAAGTATGTTGAAACAGGAAATCGACCAGCTTGCGTGAAGCAGAATAGACAGTCTGATACACAATTCAACTGATAATAGAACTTTTTCAGACTAGCAGAGAAAAGACACAAGAAATGTCATGTTTCTCTTCGACGTTGACTAAGCTGGCTTCAAGGGGGGGCGCTTTCGCACAAGGCTGCCGTAGGCGAGAGTCGTTAAACAGATGCACCTTAGCAGGATACGGACCCACTACGAGGTACTTCGGTGGCGGTCCGCTCCAAGATTCCACACGAGATATCATTTCTCAGAAAGTCAAAGCCGTCGATCAGCATGTCGAGCTACCAAATGTGGCCTCCATAGAGCATCGCTACCAATATGCACGATAACCATAAATGGTAAATGCATTATACAAGTGGTGGCGAAAATAAATCCGTAGAACAGAAAAGATGGCTCCCTTCTGGATCGCCAACCATCTGCCGGCAAAGAGGAGGGTTCCAATTTACGGAATTGGCACTTTTGGGGTCATTCATGCATATGGATTCGGTTCTTCGGGCGTGGGGTTGGTTGACCTGCTCGCCTGTCAAGTAGGCATGACCACTTTGGTCAGTGAGAGGAGGCGGAAATTTCCCATCTATCTGAATGATGCCTCGCTAGCTGCACCGGCCGAGCTATCCGCACTCGAGTCATTATGGGTGTCCAGTAGGGTGTCCAACCTGTCTGATGCAAGTGCCGCTTCAATTTTCCCGTTGTGATCCTTGGGGTCCCTCGTACAGTGTACTGGGTACAGTGGCTGCGAATTGCCCGGAGGGGGTGGGGCGCTATTTAAGCATTGAGCCACACCTTAGCATATGAGGCTCAAGTTGATATAACTTTCCGAGCAACATATCTAGTGCCAAGTGTATTATTACTACCGAACGTTTACTGGCAACTCGTCACTCCAGACTAGGTACGAAGATACTCGCAAAACCTCAGCATAATCATCATGCCTTTCGGAATAATTGATTGCAAGAAACTGGAGGTTGTTCCAGGGACATCATTCATGAGCGACCAAGACGACCTACCACCAGAATATGCTGACCTACCTCGCGATCGATTGAAGCATGGAAAAGGACGATTCGCGCACATCATTCTGATCCCTCAGCCATCAGATTCACCTAATGACCCTCTCAATTGGCCACAGTGGAAGAAGGAATTGATATTGTTGATAGTCAGCCTTGCAGCAGCAGTCGTCGGCGCCTTTGGCCCAATGTACGCAAGCCCCCATCTCCTATGCCATACCTCATTGTCACTCTCTAACGTACTCCAGGCTGGGTCCTGGATTTGTCGAAATTTCTGCACAGCTCAACATCACAGTGGAGATAATCTCGCAGGCGACTGCGTGGTTGATTCTCACCATTGGCCTTGGACTCTTCATCACAAATCCCCTGGCTAAGCTATTTGGCAAGCGGCCGATTTATATTCTCTCCATTGTCATCATGTTTGCGTGCAGTGTCTGGGGAGCTGAAGCAGGTGATTATAACTCGTTCCTCGCAAGCAGAGTCATATCCGGGATAGGCATGGCTCCTTTTGAGGTAGGCTCATCCTTCCTTTTTGATACCGTTCCAAGCCAGATGGCCATCTCAGCCTGGTGTGTCAAACTTGCACAAACCTGATAGCTGATAATCCCGCCCCCCAGGTATTGGTACAATGTACGATCGGAGATCTCTACTTTGTCCATGAGAGAGCAACCAGAATTGCTGTATGGAACCTCTTCTTACTCACAGGTATTTCAGGTGGGGCTCTTGTCTCAGGATATATAATCGAATATGATGGTTACGAGTGGACTTTCTGGGTTTGCGCGATATTCTTCGGCGCCCTCATGTTCGGAATAGTCTTCTTTGTACCAGAGACTTCTTACCGCCGTGATGCAGTCGTGCTGGTCCCAGGTCATGCCACCGTGGACAGTGAGTCGGAAAAACCGGGGCTAGGACATGCGCACATGAAGCTTGGCCATGACCATGATCTATCTCACCTGGCCGAAGGAAAAGATCAAGATCTCTCGTACATCCCATCCAGGGGTGCCGTCGAGAAGAAGCATACATTCATGCAGTCGTTGAGAGTTTTCACCGGGAGATACAGCTATGCGCCATTGTACAAGGTTTTCACACGCCCGGTGGTCCTCTTCTTCTATCCAGCCATATTCTGGGCTTTTCTCGTGTATGGCACAACGCTGACCTGGATCGTCGTATTCTCAGTGGTTAATGGAGTCCTGTTCCTGCAAGAGCCGTACTCGTTCACTGTCTCACAGGTTGGATTGATTAGTTTGTCGCCCTTCATCCTGACGCTCTTGGGGGAGATCATTTCGGGTCCCCTGAATGACTGGATCTGTGTTTATTTGACCAAGAAGAATAAAGGCATCTACGAGCCTGAATTTCGTCTGGTCCTGATGGTAGTCGTTGCTATCTTGGGCACCGTCGGTTTCTTCGGCTTCGGAGCGACTGTGCACTACGGAACTCACTGGAGTGGGCCCGTCTTAACATTTGGACTTGCGAACATGAGTTTGGCATTTGCATCGACCTGTGTCTTTGGTTATGTGATTGATTCATATCCCAAGTTGAATGAGGAGGCATTTGTGGCCATTAATGCCAGAAACCTTTTAACCTTTGGTCTTACCTACTTCGTCAACAATTGGTTGGCCGAGGATGGTCCCTTGGAGGTCTTCTGCATTCTCGGTGGGCTCTTCTTATTCGTCTGCTTCTTGACAATTCCACTATGGTGAGTGTTGGTCCCCCATAGATCCCCAGTACAGATGCTAATGGATACACAGGGTATTCGGAAAGAGGGTTCGCTCACGTATTGGACGTAACAAGTGGCTGCAGAGATTTATGAATGATGACTAAGTTGGTCCATGTCCGATAGATGGGAAATGAACATGACAAGCTCCAGGGGATGACGCTCTCTGCTGTCAGAACCGATGGTGAAGGCAATAGCAATAGTTACCATAAAGGCATCTTAACTTTCGTGGAAGGATCCTGTGTCATTCATCCGCTGGCGCAATCTTCCTGAACCCCCAACGCTCCACGCACCACATATTCGAACAACAGCTCTAATTAGAGTGTCCTCCACAGCAACGTAAAACATTGCCGTGATCGCTCTTGAGAGCCCGCTTAAGCTTTTGGCTTTGTTGGAGCTTTTCGATCCAGGCCAGTGGCTCTGGTTTAGCTCAGCGATCTGCCTGTGGATAAGCACCCATAAGGTGGAGGAGGCCTGATTATTCGGTAGAACCATTCGAGACGTATGCCCAGCCTTATTCCAACCAGGCCGCACGGCCGCGCGAGACTCTGAGCAGGGGGGGGGTCCTTGGCTCCCCTCAATGGCACTGCCACCATGACGTCGAAAACCAAATCTGGGGACCGTTTTGGTTGTGTTGGTTAAGACGTCCAAAGTCAATGCCTCCAGCCCTATTCTCTGCAGGTTGTAAGGCGGAAAAGAGTCTAGATATATGGGCAAGGAATTGACGCGCGACCAGTAACCTCCGGTACACCCATGGCCAAGCTGTTCAATGCGGCCTCGCTGCCGTGTCTAATCGAGGATCCGGGGCCCGAAACAAAACTGTAAAACAGTAAAACAAGGCATTCCGCGGATAAATCCCTGGTGGGATGGTCCAGTACACGTGCAGTTGGGCAATAATTTGTAAACTTCCCGATGCGGTTGAGCGTCCAGCTGTTCAGTGCAGCTGACATACAACCTACCAAGGGGGGTGGGGGTCTAGTAGGTGAACAAACGTAATGTGCATTCGACGGATCTCGTATTTTCTTGCGAATTTGCTGTGTAAGCCGGCCTTTAGACCTCGCCCCTCGTTATCTGCTGCGCCTGCTCCTTCTCGAGTTTTCGGTCGGCTTCGCAGGAAGAGCGACGTGGCTTTCTGTGTAAGCAGTTGAATCAACAAAGATTTCTCCTGTACGGCAATTCTCTTCCTTCTTAACCGTTTGCTCCATGTATATCCATACACCCACAGAACCTGCTCGTGTTCGTGGTTTTGACTGAATCAGGGTGTTGATCTCGCTCACTCCCAAGATTCGAAACTCACCCCAGCAAGCCGCTATCCACCAGCGCTCGGACCTCCGCCCTGACCACCTTGATTTAGGGCTCGGCTCATTTCCACAGCTGCACCATCGGCCTCCAGTCTTACAGCTCAGGAGGGCCCTTCCAGCCTGCGCTACTCTTTGGCAATCACTTTTGCCAACAATCGTCGCCAAATCCTCAGTTGTGCGCATATATCAGTGAGTCTTGTATGACAAACTAGCCTTCGCGACCACCGAAAATCGCATTCTGTGCGCTCGCACCCGAGCATCATCGCAGTCAACCGAGTTGCCCCGCCAAAATGAAGAAGAAGACCGTCTTCTGCACGATCACTCCGATCCCCTCTCACATTCCGCGACAGCTGGCTATTGATATGCTTCATAGCCACCAGGAAATTATTGAGCTCAACCCCTTAGTCATAGGAGTCAAAGCCATAAAAGCCCCGCAGTCCGCACCTCCCGATGAGTTCTTCTCAACCTGGTACGAGATCACAGAACGAATTCAGTATGTGCCTGGCATGGGAAGATTGGGATCGGGCAAGATCAACTTCAACGGATGCTTCCACGATATGCCATGGGGTTTGCAGACACATGTATATGCCCCGATGGGCATAGACCTCCGCAATAAATGGCAGATTCGAGGCAATCAACCTGGAGAGCCTCCCGAGACCAAGGAGCTAGGTAGTGGTGCGCCGGCATCAGGTTTATATCTCAGAGAAGACATTGAGATCAGGTGCAACCCGGCGATGGTATCATTCGTGAAAAAAGAAATGAAAGCTTCGTCCAAAACCATGGTCGACCGCCTAGTCAAGAAGGCTGAACTAATCGACGCCGGCGTCTTGAACGCTATGTTTGACGATGGAAAGCTCAAGACTATGAATCCTGCCGATCGATCTCAGACATTTCAAGCGTCCGGACATTATTCACCCGGTTTGCTGTCTCCTGCGCCGTCGGCATTTGGTGCTCCTCCATCACCTAGCCTTTACCCTCCCTCTGCCCATCCACACTACGCCCAAAATCAAGGTGCATTCGCTCAAAATCAATCAGCCTATACTCGACAATCACAATATGGCAACAATGTCCCGCCCGCCCAGGGCCTAGCCATCGAAATGCCGGGTAGTACGCATTTCATCCAAGATAATAAACAGATGCAGCCTCCGCCACATTTGCATCCGTCCAACAATCGCTTCTCATCAGCTGTGTCTGAATTGTCCGCTAGTTCTCCCCAGAATTCACATTTTCAAATGAATAGCTCTGCCTCCGACCGCCAAAGCTATGCTGGATCAGCAAGTTCATATCCTAGTTCGTATCATCAGGGGGATGACGGAGCTATACAGACTTCGCCTGGTGGGCCTAACAAACGGGCCTTTGTAGCAGAGTTACCAGCGAGTAGTGGTCAGGCTCCCAATCCTTCACCAAGAAATCCAAATCCAAATGCAATGTCGAACCAACAGCAGACACCGCCTCAACCGCAGGTGCAGATGCAGAACGGACAGCAATATCATTACAATCCGGCAGATTATGCTCGAATGCCATAATTTGTTCATGATTCAAAACACCAAACCAGGGAGCCTTTGATTGAATTCAGCACGTTCTGCTCCAGATTCCTTTGCCTTATCCATTTGACATTTCTCGCCCGAGTCAATGCAAGGTCTGTTCTGATCTATGACATAAGTATGGCCTAATTGACAAGTTAGCATAGCTGGATGTGCTCAGAGGTGACTACTATTATACAAAAGAGGACACCCTCTCACGTGTCTTAAGCCCCGAAACCTACATTGAGCACTATGGCAACCTTGCCGAATGGAGTTAATTGATCAATCGCCATATCAGGCAATCACGGTCACTTTTCAGAAGGTGATTCATTCGTTCTTCATGGGACCCATCACCAGTCCAATCATGTTGACAAAAGCGCGCACACACACACACACACACACACACACACACACCCCGCGTCGCTTCATGTTGTATTCTACTACACGGAGAGTGATTTAGTCATGCTGCATCAAATTTCACTAGATCGACGACGGAATTGGTCCTTCGTCAATCAAAAGACCGCAACTGGAGCTACATCAAGCCGTCTCCCGGCAGAAAATCATAACTTTCACCAATGTTCTTGCGAAGGATTCAACGCCTGGTGAATTCTACGTATACACAATAGCTTTTTGCCGTTTCTGATACCCAGCAGATAGGAGAGCTTGCCTTAGGCATAGGAAGGGTATTCTGCTATGTCTTTATATTTTGGCATTTTGCGTGTTGAGGGTATTTTTGGAATTCCGTCTTGTCATCGAGGACACTTTCATGAGATCTCAAGTGCTTTATGTTTATGTTGGTGCAAAGACAATTCCTCTACAGATATCATGAAGCCAATGTGAGTGCTAATATACGAATCTCCTTTCCACATATGTACGGTTTCATTACAAAGTATCTAGGCGCAAACACTTATACTACATACGTTGACCACTTGGCCTCCCAGCCGCAGCATTGTCTCATGACTCGTCTCCTTGAACCTTGGAACTCTCAATTGGGTCTATTCTGATTGTGGATGCCTTCCTTCGTGTGCTGTACTCCAGGACAGCTTCGTTTCATTTCATCGGTTCTATCCGTCGTACTGCCTTGACTTTGCCTTCGCTCCACTACAATATTGGAATTTTTATGTGCCAGGTAGCTACCGTTGACAGACTTAAGTCTATCACCTAGCACATAGCTTACCGTGGGCAAGCGTAGAAGAAAACGAAGGTGATTCGAATATTCATTCGACGACTCATTGCAAGCATAATCAACCCTATGACCAAGGGCTTTCGATTCCATGTACTTCTTTCTGCAACACTGGAATTCACAAGAAGGCATACGCGCTCACATGGGAAGAATCACGTGAGACTGGCACATGGGATTGAGGATTATCATCAAATATACATGTTATCCCTCCCAGCCAATGGGACCGCACATGTATCCCCAACGCTCCTATTCCATGCCGCCATTTCTGCCTGAGAAGGAAGCACGAAACGCCAGGTTCAATCCCCTTCACAATACCAACCATATTTTCGTATACCAACTTGATGCTGCGGAAGTCCGAGAATAGTTGGAAAAGGGATGTCTTAGTCATTCATACACATCACCGAATTCGTACACGCCAGCCATGTTCAACCACTTTCGCTATCATGAAAATGATTAAGCTGGGGCGGAGCAGATGAGGCCTTGCTCGAGCTGTTGGTTGGTATTGTTAGCTTTCCTCTGGTCCACGATGCCGGCTTGCAGGGTACCACTTACAATGGGCAACAAGCAGCAGCGAGCCCTTTGTCCGATGGCTGCGCAGATTTCGCCGAAGTTATCCACATCAGTTGGGGTCTCCGGTGCTGGAGGGATCATCGTTACTTGGTGCTCATGCGGATAGCTATTTTAAACGGGTAAGGGCATGCAAAACTTACGAGGAGCACAGTCGAGGTCGGCCACACCGAGAACATCGGTCGCGCAACAGACTGGGCTGCTGCTCGCGCCGGAGCAGAGGGCAGCTTGACGGTCCAACAGGGTGCTCTTTCCTGGAACAGCAGCAGCCATGGCAGTGGTTGCGCCGGCAAGGGCAATGGCGATGGATTGGAAGCGCATGACTGCTTGTGTTTTGCTTTGGAGGGGGGTTTCTTTAGAGAGAAGTGTCTGATCAAGGAACTCTGTTGAATGTGACGATGAATTGAGATGGAATAAGAGTGAGGTTGGTAAAGGGAGTTTAAGGACGACTTTATAGCTGTGTGATCTTGTCCAGGACCATGAATCTCCCACCCTTCGACACTGACGGCAACAGTATCGGCATGCCAGCATTGAGGGACCTTTCAGCTGGGTTGAACCATGATCCTGTCGATGACGACGATCATATCAAAGAACCGAGCATTTCCCTGCCTACATAATCACCTTATGACGAGGTGTTGGGGCAAGGCTTCGCCAAAGACCAACAACAGACTACTTCCCTTCATCGACGATCGACGCCAGGCTCCTCTACACAGTTTGAACCTGCGTAGATCGCGCCAGGAACTGAAAGTTCGTCTACGACATGGCGAATCAGACAGTTCCAACTCAGAATGCCATCCTTGAAGTGATTAGTATCCCATTGTCAGGGGCAGTCCATAAACAAGAAATTAGTGTCATTGGAAGCACATAGGAATGGGCGAAGAGGCTCGATTGATTGGCGTATCGCGCCGAGCTACTTGTCGGTGGTGCGCAAGGTACACGCAGAGACACAAGCATGGCTAAGGCCTGATTATTGGTGTTAAATGTCGGTCAGGTACCTGGGAAAGGAAAAGTTGATGGCTGATCTCCGAGCCGTTTCGTCGATCAAGAATTGGACAGCCTCCTTTGTGGGACGTTGTGGATGCTCAGCAAAGTCGTCCGTATAAGGCTCAAGTTTCGCGTGCAGTGCCCTGGTTCGAGTTGGACTACTGTATAAGGCGCCTAATCTTGACCAGTCGAAATGAAGTTTCAATGGTAAGGGTTCACGTGTTCGGCATGAACAAATGATGTAGTGTGGCAAGGATCGTTCCTTGCAGTGATCCTCGCCCTTCTCCAACCGTTTGAAGCCAATCTGCCGATCATTGTGGAGATGTCGTTACTTGGCTGTTGCTGTGGCGCGGCCTGTTGTTGTCTTGAGACATAACGCTGATTCAACCAGGATGGACCTTGTTGTGGATGTGAAAAAGAGGAGATCGACCACGACAATTATATCTCGCAGTTTGAAATGGTCAAAAAGTCAGTGCGTGGAACCAAATGCCGAGCATTCTTTTGCTCGCTAACTTTGGTCATCAGATTCCCATGGCATACCATGGCAAAGTTCGTCTACACAGCTTTTCCTGCATTTGAAACTTCCTGGCCAAGCTGAGATTAGCAGAAGCACATTCTATGATGTCAATGTCTCTAAGCGAAGCACAAAGAGCATCTTGTCCATTATGCGAATACAAACTCCGTCCTGGAGCGCGAGGAGCGACTGATGATACAGGTGGGACTCGGAAGCCACCATTGTATTGAAATGCCTTGCTTCACCTGCGAACTTTGACCCTTCAAGCTGTCCTACGGTGTCACCTATTAAGAAATATGGTAGAAGTTAGCATTTTCCAGATATACTATCTTCAACCATGTTATCTCTGTACTCCACACCAATGCGGAAAGCACGGACGGAAAGAACGACGCTGCAATTAGCAGCAACCACATTGGCTCTCTGTTGTGGGCGACTTGATGTCGATTTCGTTGCGACAGTGGATATCCAGGGATTATTCCTTGTCGATCGTGCAAACCAGGAGCGGTTGCCTTGGGATCGCTGGAGAGATCCTTCTACTATCTCGCGTGATTTTGCTGTCTCTATGTTCTTCGCATTGGAGGGTCTCCGATCTGATATGATTTTGTATGGAAACACCTAGTCGGTCCAATCAAGGGGGCTATGGTCAGAAATCGTTACATTTGGGTAGTGTTGATCGGCTATGTGGCAAGTTTTCGTGGATTATGTTGCAAAAACTATTATTCACGAGGTGTTGAAGAAATTTCCATCATCGAATTGAATAGCTGACACCACTCGACGAGCCAGAACCTTAGGGATCTCAACATTGTGTCAACTTGGCATGGTGGAGGGGTGTCTCAAAGTTGAGGGAGTTGGCGTTTCGAGCCCGCAAAGCCCACCATCTAGGGGCTGCCAACATTGCACAGGATATTGGACCGAGAGCAACGAACAAGAAAAACAGATACGGCAATGACATACCAGTGTACTCGTAGGCGCGTCAGCACCGTCTCCATGGTTGGTGTAAGCGAGTTCGGTCAATCTGAACTGCTGGCTTAGTCGGCAATCTTACGTGTCTCACACCAATAACTATTCACCTTGACATCACGGAAAGCTATGCAGGCTCTTAAATGATACAGTTATTGAGTACTTTGGCACGCTTGACCAATGTTATGCGGCTTGTCGAGCGTATTACTGCGCGTTTTGTCAGGTGTTTCATCAGTTGAAGGAGGTCTGAAGTCGTCTTTACCGATGTCTCTCAGATACTCCTTCACAAGGATACACTTGGAGCTGAGCGAGATCAATTAACATTCCCAAACAACGGGTGGAGTCGTTCAAACTATTCAAGCGATTCACCTCGTACCGAAGTCATCGCTATAGACAGAGCCAGCGCCTGGATACGTCAGGCTTAACTACCACACACAGGTTATGCTCTGTCTGACCAACTATGGAATGTGAGAGGCCACGTCGTTTGCAGCATTTTGCTTAGTATGTACAGACTATGCAATTCACCAAAACTCTATTTGCGAGTCTGCAGTATTTTGCCTTCTGAGTGTCTCCTAGCTTCGAGTAAGAACCTGTTTGTGGTCTTTTTGTTTGGGACTACTGCGTACATGGTTCGCTTGAGACAAGAAAACTCGACATCCTGCTCGCTTGCTCACTGGGAATGGCGGTGCACAGGATCAGCGAGGAACCTCTGCGATTGATAGAAAATGTCTCATGCTAAGAGAAGTTAATTCGTCGCCGAAGAAAATACTCATGAGGCCTATCTGTTTTCTTGGGTATTCACACCGAAGATTGGGAATCAGTGCATCGACGTTCGCACAGCGTGGAGTAATGCTCATTTGCTTCTCAGCATTCCGACTCTGATCGCTTGTACCGAGTATCGACGCACCAGTGTGATCTCTTTCATGTGGATGTTTCCTAAAAGCTCATCCGCATCTGACTCTGATTCTTTTTCACCGGAGTAGGGACGGACTCTGGCATATCGGGACTGACCCTTGTGCTGGAGAGCAATCCCTGCTCCGTAACAAGTATGCATTTTCAGCCACAAATAGTACTGCGCCTCCAATCATTTCGCAAGCTGCGACAATTCATCTACTTTTATTCTGGTCTCTTCGTTTCCATTTCCCAGCTGCAAGCATGCCTGAGGTCATCTTCCTTGCTCAAAACCATGTCGAACGTCTCCCTCGTAGTGATATTCGCTCCCCTGCGTATGAGATCATCATTGTATATCTTCTTTGAAGAAGTCCCGCAACAATGCCCTCCAAAGATATTGCCAGGCCAGCTGACTGCCTTGCATTGGATGAAAAGAGAAGACTAGCCTCACAACCGATAGCTTCTCGAGGTTATGGACAACGTTGCTAACACTTCCATGAATAGAATGAATTCCTACTGGAAAATTCATCATATATATGCCACATTTGTCTACACAAGCGAAGATGGATCTCTATAGCGCTGATTATGTATGGCCACCGTTGCTCGAGGTAGGTGCAGCGACCATGTCAAAACATTTCAATCATAGAGAGGCACTTGGACATCAATAAGAGCCTCATCATGGTGGAGAGATTTGTGTTAGGTGCATTCCGGCTGAAAATATCGGCATATCGTTAAACAATCGGGCGAGACAGTGCGGTGCTTTCGCTGTCTCACCACAACTAGGCTGGCTGTCGACACATAAGTGTTCACCATGCACTTCCATGAAACTCAAAAGACGGGACACTTGACGCAAACTAGCTCTATCCCGACCGATCTAGTCGATAATACAAGTCTTTACCGTCCTCGGTTGAAACAAGCCAAATTCGACTCCTAAATTCGAAACCTGGTTGCGGAGGATAGATAGTCTGCCATCTTATGCCTCTAAATCCCGTCAGAGTACTCTCTTGCGCTTCTGAGGGGACTGCTATAAGCTGTGCTGCCAGAGGTACACGAGGCGGCAGAACATAAGGCTAAGGCGAATGAGAAGCTACTTGGGGGTGTCTGCGGCGACTCAAATGCTTAGTCAGCGAGGCTGCGTGTCCCAAAAAATGGCATCTGGAGACCCTTGCAGGAGACATCCCAACTGGTGCACTACCATACTGATTTTCCCGCCCCAATGAGACTAGACAGGGAAGATCAGCACTATACGGCATCGGTGGCGCGCAGTTACGATAAATCCAGACTCTGGAACAGTTGAATTGCGCTTCCTGAGGTCCTGTGCCTCCCTTCGCGCACCATCATCGTCCCACTTGCTGCCCACTACATGGCAGGTAAGTAGGTAAAGGTAAATATAATGCAGCCTACGTCTTCCTCTCCTCCTCTCTCCCCATAAAATCCTTGTCGGCCCAAACAAAACAATGCCCAGTCTCAGACCTCGCGAGATAAAGTTCTCGGCCATTCCTTGTCTCGAATGGCAAGCATTATCGTCGATTTCTCATCTTGGCATTTTCAGCCTGATGGGAGACGTTGGCTCTCTACCTCAGAATGTCTATTGAAACCTTTTGAGCCTATGCCTTGATGTTACATAACTCAAGAATTCGCCTTACTTTCATGATGTGAGGACATAAGAGAAACGTTTGGAAAAGAGTCCGCAACCACAAAGACAAGGCGTCATTCAAATTTGCTTTTGAAATCATCCACATCCGAGCTCGTCAGGATGCAGCTATTCAGACAGGGCCTTCTTTGACTTCATCAAGACTCGATCGAGATCTTCGGACCCTGAGGCTGAAATCCTACTGCCAACTTGAGCCCGAGGAACGGTACCTCTAGCCATCGCTGACCAATGTCAGCCGGGGTAAATGATGATGGTGTTGACACCCAAGAAATGTGGCGACGGCTAGCCAATGAAGCTGACCTCTAAGCGATAATTGCCTGCAGGTTTCTTTCTAGCTGTGACACCGACAACAACTCCAACATGTAAGGTAAAGCCATCACGAGCTCCTACATTTGTACAGAATACGAGAATCGTGGTGCAAATCCGCCGCAAACTACTGTGTTCGAACCAAGCATAAGTATCCTGCGTTGCGATACCAGGCTTAACCATGGAGCCCATTTTCCTTCGGCCTGCTACTCCTGCGCATCTTCCACAATGGGTGCCTGGACTTCCTTACCGAGGCAATGGAAGTTGGAAGATGTACAGGCCGGACTGAACGTCCTTATTACAGCTCTCAGCGCCTTGGTCATCTTTGTATTTGTACGGCTGTCGTGGCAGTCCGGAGCACGACGGATAGTACAAATGAAGGCAGTTCACTTGTCTTCTATCCTGACACTCAACACTCCTGGCGAGGTGCTTGATGCCTTTTCAGTTCTTAGGCATAAGATCCCAGGGCATGGGCCCATGCTTTCCCAATCGATTGTTATCATCATATTTTCTATCACGACACTCACATCTGGGCCCATAGCGAGGTATGCAACTCGTAGCACTAGTATGACCACTGACTTGGATGTCAATGGCTACCTTGCAACGCGCTCCCATAACAGCAACAGCGATGAGCAAGTGACGTGGAACTTGACACTTACAAGTCTCGACCGCGCTGGATATCCCACTGACGAACTGCTCGATTATCTCCCTGAAACTGCCACGCACTGGCTTTACCGGACGGAGGAATGGAATAACAGCTGGTCGTTGGTTTGTAGATCAATCGACCCTACTGTCGTCAACATTACAATGACGGACGACTGCAGTGGCTTCTCGGCGAAAATCCATGGGCGAGAAACAGTCATTCCCGGCGCGCGGTATAGTGATTACGTTTACAACAGCCACGGAGACTATTACGTGAACCAAACACTGTACCGGGATGTCCTCATGTTCTCATATGCCGCGAACTACACCGATTATGATAATACCACCGACATCTATCAGCGGGTCAGCATGTCGCTTGCAGCGCTGCATATGCACAACGCCCCTAAAAATACAACGGAGGGCTCTTCCCTTTCTGGCTCATGCACATTTGGTGTGGGTGCCGTCGAATCATCCTCGTTTACACGCATCGATTGCGATATAGTATACAACCCAGATGAAGGCGCAGACACTTATGTTGGAGCATTTCCCGACATGGGTGACGTCGATGCGGTCCCCAGCGCCTACATGCAATACTACTTCTCGCGCTTTAAGCAGGAATCTATCAGCAAGGAACCAATCTCTATCATCACGCCACGAGAACTGCGCCGTTTCTACCAGACATACATGATCGTCAAGGACGTGCAGGACAGAACACCCGTCCAACGGCACCTCCAAGTCGAGGTCCCCGTTGTGCAAATCTCGACGGTTTTCTTGGTCCTATATTGCCTAGTTGGCTCCCTGGTCCTCGTCGGTGGTGCAGTCTATTCCGTATTCCTCTTTCGCCATCGAGACATAGTTTCGCTGCTCCCGCAAAGCAAGCTGGACTGGATAGTGCAGTCCATCACGAATGGCACGCCTCTCCATCCCAGCCGCCCCGTGTGGTTCGTCAACTCAGCTCCGCGGGTCGATCTGGCCGCTGTGTCACCATCCAGGCGGAGGCGAGCACTATTTGAAGCTGCTTGGTATAGCCCGATGTGGCCGCAGGAGCCCCAGAGGCAAGTTGTTTATCCAGACCAGATCGTCCAATCGGGCGTGGCTAGCCCTGTTCGCCCTGGATTCGAATCTGAAGATCTCAAGACTGCGACACAAAATTGAGTCCGGAACAGGCCATTTATGTGTTCTCCACGGCTACTTGTTATCTCCGTCGACATACAGGCCAAGCCGGAGATTGAATCGCTGTCTCCAACGATTCGACTCTAGGTCATGGCGGGAAATAGGAACTATTTACGGGTGGTATCTCGCATGAGTATTGGCGCGCTCATACTGATGGATCACAATATTGCAACCAGCCTCGATCCAGATTGGAATCGACAGGGATAGGGGCCCTTGGTACGGCAGGGCGTATGTCACTGCGCAAGGATAGCTAAGCTGCAAAGTCGTGCTAGTTGATGTTTGACACCATTCCACCGTCAAAGCATAATCAAAACCTTTTGCGCATTCACCTACAACACTCCCCCCCCCCCCCCCAACCAAAACGACATGCAACATGCACTCGGAAGGGAAGAGGCCGAAAAGAGCAATCTTGGCGTAACTGGAAAGTATCAAAGTGACGCCCTGATATATACCTGTCTGCCAATTGGTGCCATCTTTTCGCAGAGCTGATGCTCCCGAGCTCAGATGGTATTTGAAACCAGCCTTAAGCTCGTCATGTTAAGGATTAGGACCAGGAGGAGCAAGAATGCAAGGTTTAACTTTGCTGGGATCATGTCTGTCTGCGGGTCATATATAGTTCCATTCCATGCAAATCCAATGCGACGCGTTTAATGAATAGGTATTAGCCTCTCGGAGCGCGCTTCCTAGTTGCTAAGATATATCGCTTGAACCGAAAAGCTTAATTTGCACGGGTATGATGCTGCTTCAAAATTTCAAAAGGCCCCTCCACGGAGCACTATTCCGCCGCAGGTGCATGCATTGATGCCTCCATATACATCTCAAGCGGAGCAAGCCATGAATCTGTTCTCCTCAAGTGCTACGACTCCATGAGGGTTCCTTTGATTTTCCAAGACTGAATGACGCTGTGCTCCAAATTGTAATAGATGTAGTGGCATGGGCGTAGTGCATTCATATACCAGCCAACTCCGTGCTTGAAAGTCGCAATCGAGTGACACCAATACCATCACCACATGCCAAAATCTCAGACCATGATGATCGGAGAGGCCGATGTTTGCGCCGGTGTATTCAAAATCAAAGGCTGCGGCAAGGAGGGTGAGCCAAGATGTTGCTTGTGCGCAACTTGGTATTTCCAAGAACTCAATATTCTTCTGAAAAGAATCCGGAAATCACCACATGACTCATTCGTCCCCTAGACTCTCTCGTACCAATTTCTGGCATTTTCGTCTGAAAGCCTTGGGATCCTCCCTCCACATCTTCGCGGCATCGACGTTGGCAGGACTCTCATCGTTGGGACTACTCAGCATGCTGATGACCGAGAGCAGAATTGTTTCTGGGGACTGGACGGGTGACCATCTCTCCGCGGCCGACTCATACCCATATTTGTCTTCCTCGGGAGGATGAAGGATGGATATGCAGACATCGCCGGACTCGTAGATATTGGGATGAAAGATTGGTGTTTCAAACTTCATCTTGGGTGGCATTAAAGGATATTCATGTGGGAATGATAGTCGAGCGCGAAAGAAGCCTCCTGCGTTGTTTTAGGTCCAGGTCAGCATAGGGTGTTGCAACAGGCGGAGAACCTGAGGCAGTAAAGATCAATATACCTCCATAATACTTGCAGTCGTCGTTGATCATGAGCATGACTTCCCACTCGAAGATATTGCTGTCGACCAGGCCGCAGCTTATGCCGGGAATATCCTTGTCTGATTGCATTTGTTTAAACTGTCTTCCAAGCAAGCCGGCAGCTGCGGAGGTGGTAGCCATCTTGTTTAGAGACAACCCAGTGAGCAATAAGCAGAAGGCTTAAAGCAGAGGCAAGGAGGGGCCCGATAGAGAAGTGATCCAATATCTGAAGAGATGTTGGGAGCGGGTGGGTGAGAAACAAATGAATCCCAAAGGAGGACAGGGTGAAGCGAAAGAGAGGGATACTCGATTGAAATGTGACAGGCAGCGAGGAATAACATGTAAGTATGGCCTTGTTGGGATGAAAGAGGTGAAGCAGCTATGTTAAGCAGCCAGTGTACATGTCGTTGGAGTTGGAGAAGGTGGGATGAGAGATGATGGATGATAGAGTGGCCACCGCAGTTTGCCGAATGACCTTTCGGCCAGGCCGTGATAGGCAGCGCAGCCACAAACAGGCGCCTAACAAAATCACCTGAGAACCCCCCTCGGGCCTTCTCTGGGTGCCATTGCCCCATTAAATGACAGACGGAGCGGCGCCTAAAATCAGACCGGTTTCCCGCCATCAACTGCCGCCACTGCCGCCACTCGCCTGAATGACTAACTTAATTAGCGCTAGGCAGTGGTTACGCGGTGAGCCGCTCACCATCCTCAGCCTCCTCACCGACCAGTCGCACCGTCCCTCCATGACAACGTGCATCAATATTCCAATATCCCGCTTACCAGTTCGATAACAGACCAGCATTCTTGGTACATGTGGGCAAATTCACGATCATGGTGTGGATTGATTCCATGCTAGAGCGTTGCAGTCCTTATTCCCGCATCGTCAAAACGACGGCAAAGATTCGACTTGGCCAGTCACCCAGCAGTCCTACCTAGGTAGTTATTGGCCGCTTTCCAGACGCCTCGCAATGCCTGTTCAATGTCTGTTCAAGAGTCCTCCGAAATTGCATCAAACCATTCATTCAGAATCCATATGTGCATGTGCCACGGTACAGTAGTCCCTATCACTCAAGTGACTCATTGATTGCCAAACCTCCACCCGCCTTGTACCCTCATCCGTTCCCGCTGCTCTCGGTCTATTCGTACTTCTTCAAGAGTCAACCCGTCGCCGCTCATGGCCCAGTTGGCACTACTTGTGCGCACTCGTAGGTTTTTGAGTCTATCCTTGTTTCCCTTGGCGAATATTTCCTCCATTCTCAGGGGAGCTATCGGTCCAAAGACTGCATCTCCGTCCATGCCTTCTTGTCGGATGAGTTGTTCAGTGAGATGGCCTGGAGTCGCCCAATCTGGAATGGGGAAGGCATTGCCATCATCGTCTGAATCCTCATCCTCAGAGTCGGTAGGAATCTCAGGAAGATGAATAGCCTCGCCATTAGGATATTGTGGCGACGACTTGACAGCTTGAATGGTCTTTTGTTTCACAATTGATGCTGGAGTCTTGGTATGCGCCGGCGGGTTGGGTGCGTCGGCAAATGGAATCTTGGCTCCAGCGCCATATTGTTGCATCTGCGGAGGAGCGGCACGGCTAGGCGGCTGAGGGAACTGACTCAGGTGACCTGCTTGCTGCGCCGGGGCATAAGTGCTATGATTGAAGATCGACGGCTTCTTTCCAAGTTGTGACTGTCGAATAGGAGCTCCAGAGACCACTGGTCGTGACGCGGGCTCCACAACACTTTCATCCTCGGTCTTTCTTCGTTTGGCATCACCATATTTCGCCGGTTGGGGGCGTGATGGTCCGGCATCTTCGTCCAGAGGCCTCTTTGCTGGTTTGGCAGGATTGGTAGGTAAAGGATGGTTGATCAACGGGCGGTTAGCCGTTGGACCTGCCATGCGAGAAGAAGGTCTCGTTGCCGCCTGAAAAGACAAATTAGCAGAAATTCTAGAGTATGGAGGAAGAACTTACAGCCTCATTCGCGACACGATCAAGTCGCTGCTGCTCGGCTTTTCGCGCTGCTTCTTGTCGCTTTCGCTCAATGGCTTGTTGCTGGGCTTGTCTCTTGGCTTGCTCAGCAGCCACCCGTTCTCGTTCCTTCCTTTCAACTTCCGCTCGTTGACGCTGCTCCTCTTTTCGTGCTTGTTCTTGCTGTGCTGCCCGCTTGCGCTCGAGCTCTCGCTTCTGCTCGAGTTTTCTTTGCGCTTCACGCTCATCCTGCTCCTTCTTCCGCTCTGCCGCTAGGAGAGCTCGCGGTTTCGGTGCTGGGCCATGGACCGATGATTTGAGGTTGGTCGAGGTCGATGATTGCAACGATGCAGTGCTCGCCTTTTTGGCCAGACCTGGGCGTTTGGGCTCGGCGGGAAGTGTCTCTTGGGTTGTAGATGCCGAAGAAGTAGCATTGATGGGCATTCGCTGTGATAACGTGCCCACTCGAATCGAGACCGGTGCTGGCTTTGCTTTATTGACAGGCGGCTCTCTTCCTGGACGCACCGGTCTTCCAGTCTTCATGCCGGGTGGAGGAGGGTCTGCAATATCCAATTGTTCCCCATTTTGCCGTCGAGGACTTGATTGTGGCGGCTCGGGTGCCTTTGCTTTCAATACCTTCTCATGAGCCAGCCTCTGTTCAACAGCTTTTCGTCGCTCTTGTTCGCGTGCTTTCTCAAGCTGCTCATCCATCCTTTGTTTCAGAGCTGCCTCCTTCTCCTTTCTTTGCTCCTCTTTTTCCCTGTCAGTGGAGCTGCGGGTCTTCCTCGCATCCTTGGGACTGCTAGGCAGAGGCTTATCTTGGAGCAAAGCGTTGAGGTTGGGATACATTCCTGGCATATTGTTCGCCGCTGTCTTCAATGCTTGTGGTGAAAGAGTTTCCATTTTTGCCGCCGCCGAAATACTTGCGCTGGTGGTAAATAAACCTTTAGCAGTTTTCATTATCGAATGAAGTCTCGATTTAGAAGCACTCAAGTCAAGGTATCTCCGCGGCGAACCTTGAGGCGTAGTCGTAGGAGGATAGGATGGGTTGGAGATCGAGATGGATTTTGCTGGGCTTGCTGGAGGTGCCATGGCCGCTTTAGCAGGAGAGGCCAAGGTCACGGTCGATGCAGATTTCGCGTGTCCATAGCCCGGCATCATTCTTACGGGAGCTGGAGACATTCGTACAGGTGTCCTCATTCGCTCTTCATGTGCAATTAGTTCTGGTGCACGAATATCGAATCCTTCTTCGTCCGAATATTCGTCATCTCTTGTGACAGTGCCCTTAGCAGGGGATGATACAACATTCGGGGAGGTAAGCGGCTTGATCCAATCATCCTCGTCATTATTCGTGTGTTGTGGATGCTTGGGTTGCCCTTCAGGTTGAGCATTCAGCTCAGAGTTCTTGATGTTAGCAAGGGTAGAAGATATAGATTTGGAAGGCCGTGGAGCAGGAGCCTTTCCTAGCATATCAATCTTCTCATGGAGTCTTTGGGTAGAGGACTTTGAATGGTTTTTGGACATCTGCGCTTCCCCGTCTGAATCATCGTGGCCCAAGATCTCCACGTTCTCGTCGTCGTCGCTGTCATCTTCGGCCTCGTGGTCGACATGGTCCCTCATCGGGGTATCTTCATTGTAGAGCCTAGTTGATTTCGGGTCTTGATCCGTTGCGGAAGGATGACGTGCAGCGTAGGGATTTTGTGATAGAGAACGGGCTCGGTCTACATGGCTTGTCCTTGATATTCTTGCACCAAGACTTGATTTCATTGGTTCTCGTGCAGGTAGTGCGGCGAAAGTTAGACTGCTCTTCCGAACCAACGGTCGATCTGGGGTAGACTCATCTGAAGGAGAGCCGATATCATCAAACTCATGTTGCATGTCTTGTCGGGGTTCAGCTGTGGAGATAGGATCACCGCTTGGCTGTTTGGCATCTGCAACAAGTGCTGATGCTGGTTCCTTTGAAGCGATCGCGGTGGTTTCAGGATGACCAAGCTTGGTTGTCTGGTCCTCTTTAGCGGAATGAAAAGAGCCTTCAGTCGTTCGGTGTTCTTCTTGAACATCGGGCAGGTCGGGCTCGGCAACAACATCAATCATGTCTGAATCTTGAGTCTCTGGTGGTTGAGTAATCGGCGACATGTTTGTTTCCACGTCATTATCCATCTCTTGACTTGATGTGTGGTATCCCGAGTCAGCCTGCGATTTATATGAATGTGAAACTTGCTCTTCTTTATCGGTAGCAATTTCAAAGTGCGGTTTGTTATGGTGCGCCGCCTTCTGTGGGCTTTGGCGCAGAACGGGCTTGGAGGAGAATACATCACTCAGTGGCTGTAGCTTATATGTTAGAGCGCCTTGTCGGATAATGAAGAACAATCTTACAATGCGCGTATCTGCACCAGGCACATTGCGCTTTCTAGCAGTTCGAGGAGTCTTGCCGCGCAGTTTCCCAGGCGTCTTGAAAACATTTCCCATGTCACTGTTGAAGTCAGTCGATGGGAAGGGGTTTTTGAAGAGGATGTAGTCTTACACATTGCTCTTGCTGAAGATATCAGCCATGTGCTCATTGAGCCATTCTAACTGATGCTGGGCCGGGAAAACGACTTCTTCTCTCTCATTCTGTAAAATTTGCAGAGCATTCTCCTTTTCGGCTGTGATCCATGCTGCTGAGCCGACAGTGGTATTCTTTGTCGCCATTGCGGGCGATACTAGTCGACGCGGGTTTTGAAAATCGACACCGGAATTGAAGGTTGTTAAGAGTCCTTCATTTGGTTCTCATGCAAAGGTGGGAAGGGTGGGAAAGGCAACAAGATGGCTATGGTCTTTGTTGACGGCAGGCTTTGGAATACACGACCAAGGTCTCTTGGATAAGTGACGATAGATTTCAATGTTTGGGTGTCGACCGAAAGAGCTTAGTTCCAAATCGCGCATACACGTGATACAGCTCAGTCTTGGCGTCTCCCCAACGCTTGACTCCAATTGTTGATAGAACGTTTCATGTGCACCTAGGGAGTAATCATACGAGGACTCGGTAATCTGTACTTCGTGACCCGTACATAACAGTTGACTACCTTTGAGGCCATCCAAGAGGGATGGGAAATGCCGCTCTGGAACATCATCGACAGGACTCAGCGCGAGCAGCGCCTTTGGAGAAGTGCCGGGCGATCCGAGAGCAATCACGGCCAAGGGCCACAATAATAATCACTGAACTGCATCTTTCTAAAACCGACATCTGTGCAAGAGAAGTACACATTACGGAGTCCACCTCGAAAGAATCCAATCCTCCCCGAAGAGAAGACGGGATATCTAGTTGGCATGTATGGCACAGCCTCGTCAGGCGGCCGAAGCTGCTCCTATTGGCCAGGCGCATCTCCGAATCGTCCCCTCATCTCGAAACATGCCTGGTGCAATTTCGAGAGACTAGGATATTTCCGAGATCGGAGGCTTTCTAAGTTCTCCAACCATTTGGGATCCTCTCCCTCCCGTAAGAACGGCTCATAGATAAAGCAGAGGATCACCCAGCTCAGTGTCTTTCTCGTCCTTGGTTCTCACATTCTCTCCGGACTACTGGTCCCCAATCTATTCTAAAGCTACTAGTAGTACCATGGCATCCAAGAGCCCTATCACTCGTATTCCGTCGCAGTTGCTTGCTGAGTCTTTGAGACCGAACTGGTCACAACCTCGGCAATGCTTGCGTGCTTCAAACTTCAACATGACAAGACAGTTCTCCGCCTCCAGACAGCAAAAGTTGATGGATATAAGCGGATTCACCGAAGAGCAATTGACTGTTCGCGACTCTATTCAAAAGATCTGTGCGCAATTTCCGAATGAATACTGGCAGCAACATGATCAAAGTGAGACTGATCCAAAGGAGCTGCATGCCGCCTTGGCTGCCGACGGCTGGCTAGGTATTGCGCTTCCCGAGGAGTTTGGTGGTGCAGGGCTGGGCATTTCTGAAGCCACAATGATGCTGCAAACGATATCTCAATCTGGAGCGGGAATGGCAGGCGCACAATCGATTCATGCCAACGTCTATGCCACTCAACCACTAGCCAAATTTGGCAACAAGGAGCAGTTAGAATCAACAATTCCCAACATCATCAGCGGAAAGACTAGAGTATGTTTTGGTGTGACAGAGCCCAATACCGGTCTCGATACACTGCGGTTAAAAACGAGTGCAGCTCGGAAAGGAGACAAGTATGTTATTAGCGGTCAGAAAATCTGGATCACTTGTGCACAAGTAGCTTCGAAGATGATACTCCTCGCTCGGACCACGCCTCTGGAAGAGGTCCAAAAGCCTAGTGAAGGGCTTTCAATGTTTTGTATAGACATTGATAAGTCCAATCCAGCACTGGAGCTTAAGAAGATCAAGAAAATGGGGGGTCGGGCCGTCGATGCTAACGAAGTGTTCTTTGACCACTACGAAGTGCCTGAAAATACCCTCATTGGAACGGAAGGCCAGGGGTTCAAGATCATTTTGCACGGAATGAACGCCGAAAGGTGTCTGCTAGCAGGAGAAGCGCTTGGACTGGGGTATGCCGCGATTGAAAAGGCGGCCAAGTACGCGAAGGAGAGGGTAGTCTTCGGGCGACCCATCGGCAAGAACCAAGCAATCGCTCATCCTCTTGCGGATGCATATATGAACTTGGAGGCGGCCAAGCTGTCTGCTTACAATGCAGCACGCCTATATGACAGGAGCACGAAGGATAAGAGCATCAGCCAGCATGCTGTGGGAGTGGCTTGCAATAGTGCCAAATATCTAGCGGCTGAGGCAGCGTTTCGAGCTTGCGAAAGAGCGGTGATGACCCATGGTGGGATGGGATATGCGGCAGAATACGATGTTGAAAGATACCTAAGAGAGTGTCTTGTTCCTCGGATCGCACCAGTGAGTCGGGAGATGATACTCAACTTTGTGAGCGAGAAGGTATTGGACTTGCCACGAAGTTATTGATCATTTTAGAGATAGTACCATGGCACACTTGTATTGGAATACAATAATAGTTTATAGAATCGGGTCCTTTGTGGCTGTTGTTGCGCATGCGGTGACGTACACGGTACGATGCGGAGAAGTAAATAAATATAAGTTTGCCAATTGTGCCCCTCCACACCCCAACATCCTGCACTGTCATCTTACCGTCTAGAAGTGTCATAGACCACAACAATGTCGCGGATAGAGGAACTCCCCGATAACTTCGATGAAAGCCTCAATCTCAATGAAGCGCCTAGTGCGCCGCCTCCCTCGATCGAGGAGCTCTACCAAGAACATATCAGGACACCCCGTAAAGACCCCATCAGCGACCAGAGCTTCGAGCAGATTGTACAGGACATGAGCAAAACGCCACTATTCATGAACAGTTTAGCAGAGGCAACTGACGAGGGTACGGCATAATTCCGTCCATGCTCGGGCTTGATGCTGAGCAAAGCGTGACAGATGGACAAAATGATCTTCTGGAAGCTATCAAGGCTTTGCAGTATGAAGGGACTAAGGCAGAGGTTGCCCAAGGGTTCAAAGAGCGGGGGAATGAGATGGTAGCAGAAAAGAAATGGTCAGATGCCAAAGAGTTCTACGCCAAGGGAATTGCAGTCCTGGGGGACAAGGGAGAAGACAAATGGGACAAGGCTGAAGACCACGAGAGTGAGGTGGCACTCCGACAGACTTTGGAGGAGCAACTCTACGTCAATCGGGCGCTGTGTAACCTTGAGCTCAGTGAGTTGGTATCGAAGTTTGGCTGAAGCGACCGTGCTAATCTGATAGAAAACTATCGGTCGACAACATTAGACAGTGCAGCGGCACTTCGGCTCAACCCTAACAATATCAAGGCACATTTCCGGTCGGCGTCAGCATTGTTCGCCTTGGACAAGGTGCTCGAAGCACTTGATGTGGCATCTCGAGCCATCAAGCTTGATGCAAACAATGCTGCGCTGGCAAAGCTACTCGGCAAGATTCGCGAGCGAGCCAAGGCGAAAGAAGCTCATGACCGACGACGAGAGGCCGAGCATCAAAGGAGACGACAGGAACAATCAGTACTTGCGGCGGTTCTCAAGGCGAAGAAGATCCAAGCACGAGGCAACAAGAACTCACCGAACTTGGAAGACGTGAGTATCCGACTGTCGCCGGATCCGTTGTCACCTACGAGTCTTCTGGAATTTCCGGTGATGCTCTTGTATCCCATGCACAATCAGAGCGACCTGATTAAGGCGTGGGCGGAGAAGACTGCCATCACGGATCATCTTAGCTACATTCTACCTCTCCCGTGGGATACCAAAAACCAGTACAAGCTGGCGACGGTGGAATGCTACATGGATACTATCAGTGGTGGTCTGATGAAAGTGGGTAAGAAGTTGACACTGTTGGAAGCACTGTCGAATGGAAAGACAGAAGTTGTTGATGGGCTGGTCAGGATATTTGTTGTGCCTGTTTCACTGGCACCTCGGTGGATTGATGAGGTGAAGAGGAAGAAGGGGAGGTCTTAGGAATTGTGGCAATGTGAGTGGAGCGAGAGCGGTTGACTTAACAAGGACGGAGTGATAATAGTTGAGATATGTGCTAGCGACTTAGTGTTGATACTAGGGACTGGATACTACACTATCTCACTCTATAAGCTCCCCTTAGTACAACGCTTGTCAATTAGTGGCTCAGACTAATTCGGGCTTAACTAGACACTAATTACGTGTACGATTAGGCACTCGTCATGCAACTCCTCCGCCTGCGACTCGCCCCTTCTCTCCCCTTGTTTCTTCTCTATTCGCTCTGGCCTCGTGCGTCCTTTCCCCGTCCGAGCCCGGGTTTCTCACCCTTCATTTTCCTCTTCGTATTCTCTCATTTTTGATGCTTTAAAGTCCCCACATCTTCTTCTTCATCTTCTGTCACACACAGACCCAAGCCGCTCACTCCTCATCCTCTCCACCGCCTGTTTCCCGGTTCCACCACCCATACTCATCGTTCCTTATCCATTACCCACTACGACTCTCTCAATCCAAGCCCCTACATGTCTATCCCCTGCGCTCGATTCCATTTTAACTTGCGCCATTCTCCGTCCGTCTGGTTTAGCTTCTCGTCTCCTGCGGGCCGAAAGCCTCCTGGCGTCTCTTGGTGCTGCCAGATCCTGCCACGCCCTGGCTAGCCGTAACCCACATTTGCAACGCCAGGCTACGTCCGCCACCCATCCTTGACTTTCTATCCTCTGCAGTCTGCCCTAACCGCACACCGCACCAACCCAAATCAGTCCGAACCAAAACCGCACAGCCGAACCTACGCCATCCCTCCACCATCCACCACCTCCCAAGGCTACGCCTACGCCTACCTTACACTTCCCAGATCTCACGAACCTCCTTAGCTCACGCCCAATCATCCACCTTGATCGCTAAAGCAATCATGAATAACCCCGCCCTGCCAGTTTACGCTTCCCAAGCTCAGTCTCAAAACCCATACGCTGCTCAGCCAGCTGCCTTCTCTCATTCCCAGCCCGCCGGCTTTTACGCACCGTCCCCGGGTCCGCCCTACGACCCTGCCCAGACCTCATTTCAACCTGCCATGATACCAAACCACATGCAACGGGCAACCCATCCTCAGCACTTACATCAGCCTGCTCCCCAGCAATTCTATCATCAACCGCAACAGCCCGCTCTCGCTGGCTCCCCATTTCAAGGTCAGTTCCGTCGCCCTCTTCAATCTCTCTAGCGTCGCCACCCTTTTCATCACCAACAGCCATTCGGACACTGACATCTCATCCAGGCCAGACATCTTCCAATCGACCATCACCCGTTCCCTTCAATCCAGGGTCAAGCCACAACTCGAACCCTAGTATCCACCAGGTTGTCACACCTTCCTCCTCCCAAGCAGCAGGAGCATCGTCACTGCCTTCCACAGCCGACCCAAACATGGCCGCAGCAGTCGGGATACAAGGGCAGCCCAATGCAACTCTCGCTCAACAAGCCCAAATACAGAATGCCGCGCAGGCAGCACGCACTGCCACCACACCCCACCATCAACAGCAGTCATCTCAACAACAGCAACCTCAACCGGGACAGCCACAAGGCCAGCCTATGTCGCCCCAATCCGCAGCGCGCGAACGTGCGCGCGTTTCCGTCTTACTAGAAATCAACACACATCTACTGCAAGAGGTGGTATCTTTACAGGCCCAAGGCAAAGCAGGTGCTACGGCCAGCCAGGGCCAACAATCCCCCACGTCCCCAACCTTGGCCACCGATTCAACAAACGCCCTCAATAACAGCCCTGGGGATCCTCCCAAATCTGCTGGTGGGAACTCAAAGCCGCCTTCTCAGGAATATGCCGATTGTATGCGCCGATTGCAGGCAAATCTGTCGTATCTAGCTGCAATTGCAGATGCCAAGAAGAAAGTCAATGGTGCTTTACCAGCGGGACCTGCAATTCTAGCACCGCCTGCCCATTTAACTCCTGTCCACGACCTCTACAGGAAACTGAATGCCTTGTTTCCAGAGGCGAGCCAGTCTGCGGCCACCAAGGCTGTGGGTCATGCCTCAAATCAGGGCCACGCTCAGAAGCAACGACAGGCTGCTGCTGTGTTGGCTCAAGGTTAATATTGGAAAATGGACTGTAAACCGATCAAAAGCACGAAACCTTTCCGGAAAAATACAAGATTTACAATTTGTCCAGGTATTCACTATCCATCACGCCGGTGTCCATCGATGGACGATTAAACTGTACTCCGATAAGCGAGTCAGGCATTTATCGGCAGACTTGTACGAGAGCACCATCGGGCTTTCTGCAGACGGCAGGCTTATCGCCCTTGTTGTGGCGCTGACGACCCTCGGAAAAGCCCAATCCGGCAACCCAGCTTGCCTCCCCAAAGGCATCGGTCAAGCGAAGTTTTGGCACTGTCGGACACTGAGCGTGGATGGAAGCTACAAAGTGAAAACATCCCCACCTGCTTTGCATGAACATGACTGCAGCTCCATCGCGGCTCCCAAATGGATTAATCGCGACTTTAAACTATTCAAAGCGAGATGATGCGCGTTCTCTGACGAGACGGTCAATCCACCGCGTGATTATGATTCTAGCTGGCACTTGTGGCCGTTGTCAACATTATTATTCTCTGGCGTGGTGAGCTGTGATCTCTCTAACCCTAGGGTAATGGTGGCTCTTGCGACGTTTTGTCTCATGGAGTAGTATGAGAATGAACAAGGTAGAATATGGATGAGGCGGCCACCGAGACTCCTCCCACAATATGCCGCGGCGGACAAATCACCCTTTATTGCGTGACTGAGGGACAACATCTCTATATATTTACTGCCAAGCCAAGGTGATTATTTCAACCACACAACAAATCGGAAGATATCCAAGACCCATCAGACCCGGCCGAGAGTAGATTAGTAATAAGATCCGGGCTGCAAGGCGCTTGTTGGCAACATACCATCTCCGTACATTATGCATCTGACGGTGCCTGATTTTCACCTACCTATCCGCGAATGACAAAATGAAAAAGATGGAATGGCACTGAGAGATAACATGAAAGTTGGAACCCAATTTGGCATCGTACTCAGGACCTTCTCTCAATGATTGTACCCCTTCGAAGTAGGTAGGGCTGCTGGACCGGTCGGTTACGCAAAAAGAAATGTGACGAGGAACGTCCGCTTTGTTCGATATGCACTTCTCTATCAATTAGATGCTACGCCTACGGACCTAAGCCAGTTTGGATGAATGACCTTGAGCAAGAGCGAGCAGTCGCCAACAGTCTTAAGGAAATTGTAAAACATACTTCGAGGAAGAGATCTGCGCGTCCACCGTCCAAGCCTTGGACTTCGACTGCCCCATCTTAGCACCCAAGCCCTTGAATGTATCCACCGGAAGTACATCTATATCTGGGTCCGAGATCAATCGCCACACGGACGATTCCCAAAACGCTAGTTCTGCATCCTCGAAGGATCTCGGGAGTCGTCGTATGCTAGATGGCGGCCTGTCTGTAAGAATGCTGATGGTATACCAACCTCTATAGTGACTGATATTACCTAGAGCTCCTCTTCGGTTGAACCTGAAAAGGCAGATGGCCATCGACCGGGTTTCTCCATTGCAGTGGACGAAATGATGACCGTCATCCAGCTCGTCTTTTTCGAGGTATTACCCCAGCCCTGTCTAGAAATATGACCGTGTTTTTTTCTTTGCTAACAAGTTATGTTAAAGTTGTTCGCAGGCAACGGCAACGGATGGGAGCCGCATCTCCGTGCATTAATGAGTATGTACCATCGTGGATTTACGCATGAGCTAAAACCATTCCGACTGACTGAAAAGTCGACAATCATTTGGAAAGAAAATCTCACTCTCGTAGAGTATGACTCTGCGGTTGCAGAAGAAGTCCTCTGCTTCAGATTTCTGAGTAGCACGATTATTTGGCTCGATATAATCTCCTCCATCACAAATAGGAAAGCACCATTTCTGCTGTCTTACAATTCTTCAGCTTTCTCCCCTGGATCCTAGATCAAGCTTGAGAGCATTATGGGCGGCAGAAATAGGGTCATGCTTCAGATAGGCCGTATTTCTGCGCTGTATGAGCATCAAATTCACCTCGCAGAAAAAGGAAACCTCGACTGTGCAACACTCGGTCCTGTCGTTCATGATATCGATCGGGAGATCTAGTGTGAACTTTCCCAGCTAGCATTGGAAGGCTCCAGCCTCATAGAAGGTGAGTCAAAAACGCCTGCCGATGTACCGACGCTTGTCACGCAGATATTTGCGTATATGTCTTCTATTTATTTGCACTTGGTCGTCTATGGCTTCCCTGGGCAGAACATGTTAGCCAACTCAGCTTATCCCAAATCAATGAATTTACTTCGGACGAAGATTCCTCATACTGCTCTGACTACTATAATCTGCCCATTATTTATCATTGGGTCCATAGCAAAGACGGAGGATGAACAGTACTCCCGAGATATTTTTCCCTCTGCACCGATTACCGGAACGATTTACTAACACCGAGTGAGGATTTTGCCTGTTCCTAGAGGACGTTTGGAGAACAAGACGGACAAACCCGACTTTTACATGGAAAGAATGTCAGGAAACTACCCACAATCTTATGATCCTTTGAATTATACAAGCTAGAGAGCCGAGACCATCAAAGGCGGTCTTGAATCTTTCGGTTGCTCGGGATCACTTTCTCGCCAGGGATGACCAATGCATCAACAGCTCTCTGGTAAGTCGGCCGAGTCAATTATGGAAATACAACGCAAAAATCTCTTATTTGGGCTGGCTTAATGGCATTACTGCTTCTAGGAGCTATCCGTGCACAGTTGAGGAGGAAGGAGCCAGAGGTTTTTCTTCCCGCCGAGCCAAAGAGCTGCTCTGCCTGGTTCGTTGTGGCGGACCATATCCCCATTCGACAAGGTATCATTAAGCTTGCTGCTATTACACCACTTTGAGCCTTCCAGAGGCCACTTTTTCCTTGACTGCATTATGGATCGGTGCCTGTGTTTCTAAGCACTGCGTTCCATAATCTGACTGCGGATCCCGGCGGTGCGCTTCAAGTGATGATTGGACACTCCTGCAGGTCGCGGCCCATTTCTTCAGCCTCATGGTCCCATAGCCCCTTTTTGACTCCGATACGGGTGAGATATATCGAAGCTTCAGTGCTAGTCAGGAACGACATGCCTTTTTCCATTGAGCTGTGGCCAGCTGATCTGAGCACCCTGTCGGCTCGCACAAAGGACCAATCGCGGACTAGGGCCGGGCAAGGGGTTGCGACCGAGCGCGATCTGGACGGGCTCGATGTCAAAATGGACTGAATTTCAGTTCTTTCATAGTCATTTAATAATTTTATGACTTGTGGCAAGTGCAACTACTTAAACGCGGGAATGCCGTCTTCCATCTTCCATGATTCAAGGGGAATTTGAGTCCGGCTCTATATGTATGGCCTTCCACGATAGCAATCATGCTATCTATCCTACGAATTGCCGCAAATACAATCCAGTAAAGCCTTAGTAGCCTCTTGCACCTGATCACTGCAGACTACTTCCGAGGAATAGATAAAGACCATACTGCCGCACCTCCGAAGATGAAGAACATCGTCATCCTCGGCGGCTCGAGGGTCACCATGGCTCACTGAATCCTCAAACAAACCTCAAAGACCGCTCTCACGGTGCCATTCAACATCACCCGCGTGTCCCCCAACAGCCATTTCTACTGGAGCATGCCCCCCCCGAGAGCAATCCTCCCAGGACAGCTCACTGACGAGTAGCTGTTCCAACCCATCGCCGCAGGCTTCAAGCACTACCCCCCCAGCCGATTCGAGTTCATCCTCGCGTACGCCACGGCTCTCCACGTCGACGGGAGAACAGTCACCATCTCTGAGGGGCCTACTCAACCCTCCCACACCCCTGAGTAATTTCTCAAATACAATTTCCTCATTCTTGCGACTGGCTCGCACGCGAGAGGCAATATACTCCGTTCAAAGGGCTAGACTCGACCGAGGAGACCAAGACCGCTCTCCACAATTTTCATCGCCGCGTCGAGAATACCAACACTATCGTTGTGGCCGGTGGCGGCGTCACGGGCGTTGAGGCTGCCGGTGAACTGGCGTTCAAGTATGGGCGGCAGAAGGTAATCATCCTGGTAAGTCAAGCCAAGTCCCCAAGTCGCCATGTCCACATTCCCACATCCCCCATTTGAACAAACATTCCAGCTCTGAATCAGTGGCAATGCTGAGCAAAAAGCAAACAGATAGTAAGCGGCAGCACCATCCTGGAAGAAAGCCCCGCGAGCGTCCAGAAAGTCGCGACGAAAGCGCTCCAGGATCTCAACGTCCACATCAAATTCAACACATGAGCCGCCACTTACAAACCCGTATCCGATTCCTCCCCCGTCGTTAATGCTCAACCGCCTCCGCAGCGGCAACAACTCAGCGCCACGCTCCCAGATAAGACCACCCTGCTGACAGACATGTACATCCCAGCCTTCGGACTCGTCCCGAACTCAAGCTACATGCCCTCGCGTTTCCTGAACCCCGACGGCTTTGTGCTCGTCGATGAGTTCCTGAACATCCGAGGGCGCATTGACACCGCGGTACCGGAGGAGCCTGCGCAGAAAGCCATCTGGGCGCTCGGCGACGTCGGGGATGTCGAATACGCGCAGTTCATATCGTGCGACAAGCAGTCAGCGCATCTCGCGAAGAATATTGCACTGGCGTTGCGCGCGGATGCTAGCGGATCCAAGGGCCGCCCCGAGCCGGCGTTGGTGCCGTACAAACCGTCTGCGAAACGTTATGTTTCTTTTAGTTTTTATTTTCCCCTCTTACAATTTAGTACATTCCCACTGCATCGTTTATAACCCCACTTCCCTGTCCCTCTCAACACCTCGCTCTCTTCCCCTGCTACCTCCTCCCCATCCATCCCAACCAAAGCCTCTGACTAACAACTCCTTTTACCTCCCTGTATAGGCTTCATGGGCCTGCAAATCGGCCTGAAAGCGGGAACGGGCCACTGCGGGACGTTCAAGGTGCCGAACTTCATCGTCGTGTGGGCGCGCAAGAACCTGTTGACGGAGAAATCTGCGGCCTACTGTTGATGGCTCTTTGTTCTAGCCCTTCTAGGTTCAAGTTAGACCTGCTTCGCTGGGAGTCCTGGTCTACCCTGCTTATGCGGAAATGGAACTCGGGCATAGTCCATGGACACGTAGTCGGTGTGGTGTGGGGCGCAAGAGTTCGGCTTTGAACTGTTGCGTGTTCTCGTAGATGGATAACTTGGAGCGGCCTGGTGTACAGAAACCCTGTTTCACAGAAGAGAACAACTGCGTTAAAACAGCTCATAAAGCCCATCATGCGTTTGTATGTCTCTGGGTATCTAACAAGGGGAAAAGACCACAAGTCGTAGCACAGGATGTGTGACCATTCGCAAGCTCCGAATTTCTCCCTCATTACCCTCGTTGGGTAGTTCCACCCGATCTATTCTAGCGAAAAAGACTTTTTATGACTGGTATGCTAGCTAGCACGATCTAGACGTTCCAAGCCCTCCTGTCCTGTGTTCCACCAGCACCCCCTGGGTATCAGAGTCAAATTGACGAGCCAAAGAGTATGCGCCGATTCTCCTGAGCCCTCATTCGCAGATGAATGTTTACTGCTTACTAGACGCCAGCCATTTCAAGAACCATGATATGACCAAACCCATTGCAGCTTTTTCGTAGCTGTGATTTTAGCCCAACGCCACTCCCTGAGGGTGATATAATGTGAGATAACTCCTGTAATGACAGTAATAACGCCTGAGACGACAGTGACAAAGAGGGCCCCATAGAAAGCCATCCACATATCGCTCAGATGCCTTTCTCGAGCAGGTATGAGTTCGGATGAAAGGATGAATGTTGGCCCAGAAACAAATGCTGAAACTATGCATAGATTATGCTGGCCCCCATGAGGTTCAAGTCGACCCCTCACGCCTAGAGCAGATACATTCAGGGAGGTTATCGAAGGTATCATCGACTGGGCCGAGTAAAACTTTCAAGATGTTGCCGTCGCTGGGCTCAGTGTCAACAATATCTTTATCCAAGTTCAATCCCGAGTCCAGGTGCGCTAAGCGAGCTGTCCCGCGTTTGTCATTCCCAAACTGAACGAATTGAACGCCGATATGTTTGCGCGGTAGATCCTTTTGGTTCATAAAACCGACAACATCCTTGACGAAGCTGCTAAGATCGCTGCGATTTTCCCAGACTCCATCAGTGAGAATGTAAAGGGTGACAGGAGGAAGCGTGGGGTTGTTAATCCAGCTTACAAGCTTACTCGGATTCGCCTTCTTCTTCCATTCGTAGAGAATTCTGTCACATACACTCTCAGGATTAGATGTCGCACTCAGATGTGAACCTCTTTCTGTAACCTTGGAAAGTAACAAGGATGATTTTTTGCTGCAGCATTTCTCATTCGAAACTGTAAAGCACAAGTCAATCGAACCATCAACATCCACTGTCTTGGTGAGGTAAGCGAAAGATGAAAAGAAATTAATGACTTCGGGCCAGCGGTCCTTCATGGAGATAGCGTCATCGACCAAAATCATCTAAAAGGCATTTAACTAGTTAGCCGTGTATCATAGGAGTTTGGGGTGAGGGGGAACGTACGTGGTTTCGCCCTTTCACGCGGTTCAAATACTCCTCGTTTGGCAATTTCTCAGATTCCCTTCTTAATCGCCGTAATTTTCTACCAGACATCCACCGCTCAACTTCGGCAACCGAAATTGTGGGCACCTTTGATCCAGGTGTGTCATGAACTGGGCATTGTCGCTGGGGGGACTTTTCGGCTTCAAATTTTCCTTCTGTGCTGGGCTGTGACATATTCCTCATGACATCGGGCTCCGATTCCGCAATACCTGGTATGCCACAGCCTGAATCGCGTGTTTGACGCGCACTAGGGCTGTTGTTGAAAGGCAATTCCCCACCTGGTACGTTTGTTGTCAAGCCTGGATAGGCCTTATCAGAGACCTGAGGAGGACTGGGCGAAAGGTCTGTTCCTCGAGGGCTACCATACGCGGTGGTTCCAACGTCGGCTTGGGTGTGAGATGGACCTGCGTTAGCATTCGGACCTATTAAGCTTGCTGGTGGTGTCGTAGGAGTCGCACATGTGTCAAAGGCTTCACCTGACTTGCGAAGGGGCTGCAAGAAGGACATGTCGTTGGAGCTCGCTCCGCTACTACTATCATGAGGGCGATGTGTGGTGATAGTGTCGGCGGATGGATCGTGAGTGTGGGCTCTTTTGGGCCGTGGTGGAGCCTGAGACCTTTGTTTGGGGCTGTAGGCACTGGTGTAGATTTCAGATGCCGTTATTTTTCTCTGCATCACCAGCAAATCGAATGTCCGTCCTAGAAACTGATCTGCCGAAAAACGGAGTTCGTGCGCTTTGAAGCAATCTTGTAGCAATATTCGCCAAATATTGGGCGTAACTCGATCGCTTGCTCTGCACAATCCTGTCAGCTTTGTATGCCACGCTTCAATTTCCGGGAGAACACTGCTCCCAGTATGAAAACAGTCGCTGTCCTGGAAATCTGAGATTCTAGCGATAGATTGTGTACGCAGATTGCGATATTCTTTGATAGCTGGAAGGCCATAGGTCACCCAGCCTGCAGCCTCGCTAAAAACGCAAGCCAGTGACCAGATGTCTCCTTTTTTCTCGGCGTTGATAAACTTGGAGTTAACCTGTCTTTCCACATAGTGACTAGGGGGCCCTAAAGGATGTTAGACCAGATTCTGGAGGGGGCCAACACTATCTCGAACCATATGTACGAGTTCCCACAGCAACTTTATGATTTACCTCGGACCCAGATTCGTCGTGTAACCCAAAGTGACTATGACCAAGATCGGCAAGTTTGAAGGTGTAGCGGTAGGGTGACTTTTCTCCATTGCTGAAAACGAGGATATTCGAAGGTTTTATGTCCTGGTGGACTCTTGGTGACATTAGCTCACCAAAATAATCGCCGAGAATTATTTTATTCCTTACCCATGGAAGCCATCGTCATGCTCGCCATGCCGGTGCCCGACGTCGTGGATTTGACGAAGGCCTCTCGCTAGATTGAACATACGTTCCCAGAAATCGGTTGTATCGGTTTGCTCCCTTGGGCCTTCAACATTTTTATAATAGTCGGCCAGTGTACCTTGGTCCGCATATTCGAGGATGACGTTGTGGGACCCATCTTGAGTAAAACTGCCATAAAACTTGACAATGTGTTTCCCAGCATCCTCATTCACTCTCAAAGTTTCAAAAGCGTTGAGCTCATTGCGATAGGACCTTTCCGATAAGGACGTCTTTGCATTATATGTTTTTACTATATACTCATGTTTGCAGTAGTCGTCAATTGTCTAGCGTAAGGTTAGTAAAGATAGCAGACAATCGAATAGTGTTACAGTGCACCTGGTACTCACCTCGTCGTCGTCGTCGTCGTCGTCATCGTCGTCATCATCTCCATTCTTAGCGCAAAAACAATACCATGGGTGAATATCCACCAGCCAGGTAGTCGACGTCCTCCCAGAGCCTTTTTCCTCTCGTGGAGAAATCGGAAAGATGATGTCGTTGAGAATCTGTACGTCACTAGGACCATCCTTGAACTCATATGCACAAAATGCCCACTGTTCTTCATCGAATCGCTGAAATAGATCTGCCGAAAAGCTGTCTGGTGCTCTCTCGAGAGGCAGTCTGGCATCAACAAGAGAGGGAACCTTGATACAGTAGTCAATTAGATACCCTCGATCGATCAACACCAGGATTGAGAGTATTAGGAGGCGTTCCTCAACTGCAGCTATATCAGCGCGCGTGAAGCGTTTATGACAGGCACTCTCCAAAAGCGCCTCTAGCTTTCCCGGGGTCTTCAAGAAATCCGACAGCTCATCTTTTGGCACAAATGTCTCCGCCTTTGATGAATTCCCAAAGCGGAATCCTTTTACTCGGTTTGTTGCAAGGAAACGGCGCAACTCGGCCTGAGGTGTCTGGTCAAAGTGCATGTGCGACAAGCGATGTGGGGAGCCCATGGTCTTATTAGTAGTTTGGCAAGGCTGTAGGTATGGGCGGGTATAGAAGCTCTATGATGGCCTCGATCTCTATACCGATCGGCATTTCTGTGGGAGCATGTCGAGGAGAGGCAGGAAAGAGAAGAAACAACAGAGGCAGACTGGAGAATGCGGTCAGGCTGCGGATGATGAGGTTGTTCTGAGTGCATGATGCGAATCTTTGAGAGAAGAGGGAGGGGGGGGGGAGCCGCCTGGTAAGGCTTGGGCGAGGCAAACAAGGGTGCCAGAATCTGTGCCCCACCTCTGTTAGCTGAACTTTGGACAGGGGTATCAAAAGCAATGTCAAATCTAGCTGCTGCCGCTTTCTCCATGCACTAGGATTGGATCCGAACTTCGAACTGGGAGTGGTTGCCTGTTCGTTGTTCGCAATTGTGTAGGGACACTCTTCCACCACTTGTTCTCTCCCTATTTTGCTTGAGCAGCATAACCTCTGGCTCTGCGCATGAGGCTGGTCGCTTTTCTGCAGATGTTCCGCTATGTGAGATTATCGCTCTAACTGGAAAGCAGGTTGCACACTGGCATACATGCGGCTGCTTTTTGGAGCTGTGTATGGGGTACCCAAATAATCTTTTGCTCAACTGACATCAATGGGCCAACTCATTCGTGGTAGAGGATGATACCAGACATCAGCCTTTCCGTAGCCTTGTAGCCGCTTCTCTTGCCTGCGCTCTTGGTAAAGAATCACTGCGTAAACAATTGCCCATGTAATGAAAGTTGTGAATGTAAGAGGCAAACTCAGAGCGAGGAAGAATCTGACTGCTCCCCACGAAACCGATTTCTGAAATGTCCCATCATTGTCCAGTTGCCATCGGATAATATCTGTGCTCATGAGAGTCGATATGAATGTAGCGGGAAGGAAAAACATTGTAACGAGCGTAATGACCTTCATAGACACTGTTTCACGCTTTGTCTGTTTTGTGAGCTTCTCCATGTTCTCCGCCGAAGTTTGCGCTTTTGTTGCGAATGTACGGGTCGCCACCATGTTCTCGTACTCCAGAATGCCAAAGAGCAACTGTTTCCGATCCGTGACCAGGCGAACTAAGGCTTGCAGAGCAGACTGATGCATATCCAGCTCGCTCGACATCTCATCAAGTTTTGCATAAAAGTCCGCGAGACAGGGGTTTACCATATATCCGTTTCCTTGGACACTACTAGCGGAGGTATAGTGCGATTTCAAAGCATCGATATTGCTAGCATTGCTCTTGAGAGCCAACAGTGCTTTACTTGCCTTCTCCTCCACATGTTGAGCCTCTTGCAGGTTACTGAATTGGAAGAACTTGTCGTAGTTCAATTTCTGGCAAGCGCCAGAGCCAGGTACCAGTGAACGTAGGGGATCTTTAGCACCAAAGATATCAAAAGTGACGCCGTGTTCCGTGAGTTGATCCAATTTGGACTCGAGATCGTTGATATACCATCTCCAGCCTTGCATTGACCAATCGCAGATCTCGAGGTGGATTTGAATGGTTGCGGCAAATGACTGACCCATAGTTGAATAGCTGTCCTGCCCTTGAGATTGCCTTTTCTGCACAGATTGCTCCAGATCGCCCCGCAGAGAGTCGTTGCCCTTGAGAATAATCCAAAATGCTTGGCCCTTGAGTGTGTCGTAGGAATGGTACACCACCGTCTGTCTAAGTGACCATGGCATATGCGGATTTGTGGATGTCCGCTCGACAGATTTCAGATTGTAGCACATATGGTAGTCTTGGCCTGAACGGCCGAGTTTTGGTATAGCCAACTTGCTGGAATTGTGATGTATGCGTCGGAAAGAGCTAAATCGGAAATCCTGGGGCACTTCTTGTTTTCCAAAGGCGAACAGAAAATCAAGGAACCATGGCTGGACTTGGTGGTACGTCAAGATATATGACACCAGGTCATGGGTGACGTAGAGCTTTGACCGTGAATTCTCGCCATATAAGAAGCTGATGAGGGTTTAGTAGACGCGGTATTTTGGAGTAAGCGCTCACACATAAATCGACATCTTAAGGAAGCTTCAGATTCAGCAGTGGCTCCATTGGATGGTAGTGGGCACAGCCGCTGAATCTCTGAGAATGTCTCCGCATCTCGGAGTATGAATTCTGTTTTCAAGAAAGGTTAGTCTCGTTGGGGATGCCCATTTAGATGCCACCGACCTCGCTCTCCCCCTTCCAGATCTAAGACCTCCAGTAAGGCATCTTCAGGTTCACAGAATAGACTGCTCACGCGAGCTTGCAACCGTGCAAAGTAGTCATTCAGGTTCTTGGAATCAAGATCTAGCTGTTTGGGATAGTGTTGATGAGCGCCGCATTGCTCTCGCAACAGCTCCATGTCGCAATTGGAAGGTTGCTCTTGCCAACATTAAAACAGGAGTGCAATGACGATGGGAAGAGGCAGCCAAACGAAAGTTATAAGGCTCGTCGTGGCTGCTCGTTCACTGCGCCTCAATACGGAGTCTGTGGTGGCACTTGGTCAGGCGGGGGTCACTCGCCTAAGGCTGAAGAAGAAGATGAAAGCTTCCACCGAGGCTTCTGCTCGCGCATCGCCCGATACAGGGTAGCATACTCCGTGCGCATGGGTGGCGGCACACTACGCAGGGTGGCCCAGATTATGAACGAGAGGGTAGTAGGATCCTCCAGGCTCTCAATCTCTGTGTTGCCGTGCGAATGGCACGGCTCATCAAATAATGAACGAGCTACTCGGTGTGCTGAAACTGCAACTGCGGAGGCTGCTCCTCGGCCAGCAACCGCGCCACCTTCCCCTTGTCCGCGGCCCCCCCACCCCTGCCTCGCTCCTTCCCTTCCGCATCCCTTATGATCGCCTGGACCGCGCCGCCTTTCTGGGATTTGGCTTGTGCTGGTCGAAGAGTTGGCTGATCTCCTCCTGATTGCACTGCAAGTCAGCCTGAACGGAGCAAGTCCTGGAAAAGCAAGGTTCACCTTTGTCGCATTATCTGGGACGAGGAAGGTGTATTGGTCGTTTTGAAACTGTGCAAGGCTCGAGTAAGTAGACCATCTAAATGAGAAGACAAGGAAACTGTTGCACACTGTCACATGATAATCAAAAGGCCCCCATTTCCTCGTCAATCTGGCCTCGAGCTTTTCTTGCTTGAGCTCATAGGCATCGTGCAGCACCCAGCGCCAGTCGGTGGGAGTAGTGTTGTTTGTTGCCATCAAGGCCTTCTGTCGTGCAAGATGGAGCGAAGTAGGGCGGCCTCACCACCCCCAGCCAAGTTCGGGCCTTTTTTAAGGAAAACTGGTCCTGCCTCCTGCCTACTGTGCGTAGCAGTATCGAGTCCTTCGCCTTGCTGGCGACCGTGCGGCTCAAAGGGCGCTTCATCACTGGCCAACGTCAACGACGGCTGGTCACGAAGCAGACCTGTTTAAACAAAATCCCAGCAACTCGTGGCTGGAGGAGAAGCGCCATGGCGGCCAGTAGATTGTCTTATCACACCTTCGTCCCATGGGCCCTGCTTAGCTCACCAATAATATGTGAGCATTGATGGACCATGTTCATCATCCTGTTGGGTTTGCCTGATTAGTTGCCACCGGTTTGAATACTACCAATAGATTCCAGTCTGGAGGAATGCGGGATGTGCACGGGGTACCGGGTACTCTGTACGGGTACTCGTCACAGTCAGACTCAATACCCGGCACGATCTCCAGACACTCATCTTTGATCCAAGAGATTACTTTTATTGTATATCCTAGCCCTATCCTATTGGCTGTCACTAAGGCAAACACCATGATCGCGTCGCTTCCGATATTGAGGGGTATATATCCTGCCAGCAGTATAATGTGTACGACAGCCGCACCGCCCGCAAGTGTCATCTCAATGCTTTGAGCAGACCGCCCGCCAGACCAACAAATAATAAAAACCAAATATGCACAATTACACGTGTTCTGCTCATCCCAACCCAGATACGGATCAATCAGTAAGGGAAAACATATGCAAGACTAAAGCAGAACACTCAGCATCTGCGCCTTTGCTGAATCGCTGAAGAACAAACAACACAATGGGCCATAGAAACCTATTGAACAGGGGCTGCTGCTCATCACCCGCCTACTTCCTCCCATCAGATTACTTACTATCACAAAGGCCGCTTTGACCTTGTGTTCGCTTCTTGGATTACCATTCCAGGGATTTGCTCGTACTTCGTATGCGATCGTCAGGCAGAGCCGCCAACCATAAACAACGCTCAATGACTCCTTCGATCGGCTCAAAGCTATACCGGGATCCGGCATCGATGAGTCTCAGTAGTCCTTTGACAATGATGGCACAAGTGCGATATCGCTCAAAATTGATCAGTGACTCACGTCCGGGCCCACTGGGGATACGTGATGGTTTTTGGGCATTGTAGGTCAAGTCATGAACGTACAAACCTGTAAGCTTAGTTAGTAAGAGGCTCCTGCCAAGGTATGATTGACTGACCAATAAAGGGAATGCAGCCATCACTGAGATCGGCGGATTCCATTTCAAGGCGAAGATCATGAAAGTTTCGAATAGGTTGAACGAGAGATTCCATGTGCTTGAGTAGTGACATATCAGGAGCAGAGACCAAGGCCCATGTTTTGGTGAGACGGGTACAATCCGTAGAGGTGAGAGCGATTGTCAATTGGAGCATTGTCGCATAGTTGTGCAGCCTGCGGGCGTGAGCAGCAACATGGATATACTTGGTGATCACTCGAGCACGCTCATGGATATCCTGGGTCAATATGATTTCCGACATGGCCCACTTGACCACGAGATTGAAGCGGGCAATCACCAGGTCGATGCCCCGTACTTTGGTCTGCGTCAAGCAATCCACCCAGTCTAGGACTTCAGCTGCTTTACTGTCCCAACGCATTTCCACCAGGTCTGACCATTCAACCTCCGACAAAGCGGACTTCTCGACGAGCGTCAGTTGCTGTGCAAGAACTTGAGAGTCGCATGCGAGTACAAAAGGAACATGTGCAGGTCCGGCAGGGACACGTGAGAGCGGCTGAGACATGGGCTTCTCCCGTGAACGAGGCGGCACAGAATTTGGGATTTTTGCCTGCAGTCTTGCTGGGTCTATCTCATGGGGGATCGAATCAGATGTTCGCGCCGATTGTTCGAGAGCGTTCAAATTGACAACCGAGGCATATGTCAAAGGATGAGCCGGGATTTCCAGCCCGGATATCGCAGTTCCAGGGGCCGCGAGCATGGGAGCCATGGAGTTGTCAACAACGTCAGAGTAATTGATAATGTCCACTGAGATTTCGGATGATAAGTCGGAGAGATTCTCATCTTCATCTAGGAGGAATGACCTAGCACTGTCATTTGCAGTGTCCGGGCGCGAGATACTCTGCATGTGAGCATGCTTGTTTCCACTCGGCGGAGGTGCTTTAGGCAAATGAAACAGTTGAGGGGGGTCCTGAGCAAAATATCCAGGGGCGACAACTGGACCTTGAATAGTGTTGGCCGGTCCTGTCGTGCTTTCGTGGGCAGCATCGCGCTTCAATAGTGGCAAGGACCCATCTGACTCTTCGGAACCTGCGATAGATTCGGTGGGTAGCCCAAAGATCGATGACTTGCGAGAAGAGGATTGCTTGAGACCAAGAGATGTCGGATTGCTTGCCTGCTGGAGCCCATCCAGAGACGTGCGTGAGGTCAGATCATTCGTGATTTCTCGAATCTGGATATCAAGTGATTGCCGCGCTTGTCGAACAGGATCTCTCAGATCGATATGTGAGCTTGTCTTGAGGTCTGGTAAGGATCTTCTCTTACCCGTCGTATCTAATGGGTGCTGTTCCATTGGGGGCGACTTCTTCTCATAACGGCCTTCGAGCTTCATCAACGTAGCTTCTAAGCCTCCATCATCGTCATCCGGGATAGCCGAAAATTCAGCGACAGCCGCCTCGAACGAGGGTCGGAGGTGCTGAGATGAGTGCGTATTGATCATTGAGATTGCTTTTCGCGGAGGGTCCGGATCTCTTTTGATCGTACGACCAGTATCAGTTCTCATTATGAGTAAAGATTCATGAGCAGAGTCAGATGCGGCACTGACAGTGTCCAACGAGTTATGGTGTGTGGAATGGTCTAGGTCTTGTACGTTCTCAACACGACGAAGGTCACCACCAGGCCGCCGTCTGAGCGTATGAGTGGGTGCTTCGTCTTTAGCATGGGAGTTGCTATCTTCATCTCCTTTTCCACCTGCATCATGACTTTCATCCACTAAGGACGCTTTCTCTGAGGATGCATCTTGCTCGTTTGGTCGTGCTAAGTCGAGGCTTGTATTACCTTCTCGCTCCGTCCTCGAACTGACTGTTGTTGGAGTTTTAAGCCTCTCTCCACTAAGTCCGCTGGTCAAGGCAAAGTGATCGCCACCGAACGAAGCACCAGTGGCGAGTTTGTCAAGCGTATCATTGCTTCCATCTGCAGACGGCACATCCATCACAGTTCCAAGAACATCAGAGCTCCTCTGGGTGGCAACCGCATCCATGCTATCACTCCGAGCCTTGGGAAGAATGACCACACCCTCATTGAAGAGTGCCTCTGTTTCGGATGCGGGAGTGACTCCAATCATGTCATCGGTGTTAGGGCGGAGGGCACCCGACATGGAAGGCAACTCGGGTCTTGTATCGTCCACAATGAGGATAGAGCCACTTTGAGCAGTGGCACGATTATTGAGTCGCGGGGTGTTCAATCCACCATCAGTATTGTCAGCCGGCGCCATGGGCGGATTGTGTGTGAAAAAGGCTCCATAGGTGATGCGATGTTTGGAGGGAAACTTGCTCTCATAGTTTTGACAGACCGCTGCACACAAAAGATCAATGCGAACCTCGCCTTTCCGCGCGAGGGCGAGCCCGGCTTGGTTTCGCAACTCATCATGTGACTTGGATAGGTTGAGTGGCATTGCTGGCTTCTGGGTTCGGATGGGTACATCTTGTGCCGAGTGTGACGCAGTAACGAGTGTCACGTCAACCTGACCTTGCTTGTTTCCTAATACTTTGCGCAAGGACCCAAAGATGTTTCTGCCAGTGGGCTGGGTGGCAGATTGTGTTCCGTGCGCTCTCCTTGGACCTTCCCGCATACCTCCCACCTCGGTTCGGTCAAGGGATTGTGTCGAATTTGTAGCAATGATTTGCACAAACGGCGCGCTGGGACTGTACAAGAGCCCGCGAATGATATTCCCCTCCTCGCCCATGATGGCTTCTGGCTCAGCTTCGGTTTTCCGAGGTGTTGATTCACGATTACTATCAATGGAGCTGGCACCTCTCTTGTGGCTTGGCTTGGTCCCGATGCCTGAATGAGTGTTCACCTGCAGATTGGCAGGGGCGTTCTTCCTACGATGCTGCACTGACACTGGATGAGGACCCTTCGCATTGACGTTAGCCTCGGGGCTAGGGCGCAGAAAAGCTTTCGGTGGGAAGCAGGAGTTCGCCTGTAAGCTGCCATCGCTTCCGAGAGACGGTGGGATCTGATCAGAATCAGTCGACAGCTGACGGTCGTGAAAACCGGTGGCGGTCTTGTCAACCTCAAACCAACTATGGGAAGGCCCACGCAGAATGTCCGGTCGAGGGATTTCGGCAGGAGGATGGAAGGGCCTGACCGCCGTGCGAGGTCTCGGGGTGGATTGCTGGATGTCCATCGGTCCACCGGGCAGTAGATCTTCCTCCTGATCACCATCGAGTTCGAAGCCCTCAGAATCCCAGCACAGTGAGCAACGCCCGTTCCAGCACCGTTTCAGATCGCGCAAAAGCTTGAGGTCGCTATACCCATTTTCTGGACTGGCTTTGACATCACGATGCAATTTGTTGACTTCGGCACAGAATCTTTCTCGCAGACGAAGATCTATAAAGAAGTCATCCATGAAATAGTTGAGGATCCAGTGCCGAAGAGCAGCAAATGTGCGCACACGAATAATTCTTCCATCGTCCTCCAACCGAGCGATAGCCCACCTTAACCGGGCCAGAAGCAGATCAAGAACGGTATAAGTCGACATATAGGATCGAAAGGTAAGGAAGAAATCCGAGACCAACTCATAATCCATAAAGGAGTCGGAGGAAATTTGGGCAATGATTCTTGCCGGAGTTGCTGCGGTGATTTCTCTGACGTTCTGGCAATAACGAACGACGGAGGGATCGTCATAGATCTGGGTGAGTTGATCGAATGCAGCTGGTTGAACTGAAGTTGTCGAGTCGGAAGATAAACCAGGAGGGTTCAATGTTGCTGGGTCGTCTTCAACTCCCAAATGTGCGGGGGGGGGTCGAGCAAAAACTTTGAGACTGGACGCCGGAGGACCCTGAAAGTATTGGTCAAGACGAGCAGTGGCTGCCGTGGGGGTCATGTCTGAGCCAGTGGCGGAGGCTCTCGTGAAAGAGGAATTGCGCAGAACTGGAGTGCCATGATTGCTGAAGCGAAAGGTCCCAATGCGATAATGCGGGATGGGCACTTCAAGAGTGGGCGACAGCTCCTCATTCAGCTCCTCGATAGATTCTTTTGCCGTTTCTGGACGAGCAGTGTCTGGGCGATTGATGACAATCCGTAATGTCCTTGACTGGACCGGGGCTGACAGGGAGTGCCGATGTTCTTCGACGGTCGAGAAGGACTGGGACCGGGCATGATTGGGACGTGCAACCCTCCTGTTGCTCGCTCGAATGGATCGCTTGGGAGAAGTGGAACGGGCTTGAGAGGAAGAATCCGAGACAGCCTGGAGGGAAGTCTGAAGATGCTCGTGGCTTAGCAGGGCTGGCGCAGTGACAGGAGTGGTGACGGTCGGAGGCGATATTGGATTGATGGAGTGCAGCCCTGGCGCTTGAAAGGCGGAGGGAGTGAGATACAGGATACCACCCGTGCCGACATTGCCGACGGTGAAGTTGCGACCTCCTCTTGTGTCTAATACAGGGTCTTGCTGCCTTTGTTTCCTCGCGGACTTTGTAGAGCGTTGTCTCAGGATCTCGGTGCTGTTCTTGACGCGGCGCAGGGAATTGGAGCGTTTCTTGTCGAGGGTATTTGGAGCAGAGTTATTCCTGACATGGCGATGAGTGATCTCGGTGTCGGGCGTCTTTGTACTCTTTCTCGGACTGGAGCCATATTGAGAGGTCGAAGGAACGGTGGTGGCAGTAATGTGGGAGGCAACAGCAGGATCGAGGGAAATCAAGGAAACGCGACTGCTCAGAGTTGAATCCGAGGCCATTTGGGCCAGAAATGGAGCAATGGATCCAAGGTGGAGGTGCCTTCATACATGGCTGTGCGCGTCGGCAGATGGTTCGAGGGAGTAGAGCATTTCTAGATTTTGTGCGATGTGTGCTGGTGATGGATGAGTCCTGGGGATCGAGTTGGCTGTTGGGACGTGGGGCCAAGAGTGGTTGGTCACTTCACTTTCTCTTCTTTTGCAGCTGACACGGCCAGGCCGAGGCTGGTAAACAGATAGGGTGGGTGATCCGATTTGTCGAATGGAAGACAGGTGTCAAATGAAAGTGAGGTGTGGCGAGGGCGAGGGCGACGTTATTGTGCTGCGTTCTGTTGTGCTCTGCTGTGGTGATGCTAGTGGAGTAAAAAGCGAAAAGAATATGGGCGACGAATCCTCAGAAGTGGTGGTGGTGATGGGCGACGGGTGGAAGGTGCAGTTTGATCTGGATCCCAAACTCGGGAATAGGAAGGCACAGGCACTCGACCAGGCACAAGTCGGAAAAACAGTGACGGCGGTGGGCCAGTCACTCAGTGACAGTTACGGAGTGCTATGCAGTGCTCGAGCCTATGGCGTGACTCACAGTGGGCTATAAGTGACGGCCATAGGTGCTGTTGTTGGGGGGGTTGTCGGTGGACGTGAGGCAGGTGGGCACTGCTAGGACGACGCTAAGCCTAAGGCACTACTGGAAGTGGCCGTCTGGCCGCCCGGGAAGGAGGCCTAGAGCCAAAGCACAACCCCCAGCGCTGCCGTGCCGTTGAGTTTGGGCGTGAGGGTGTGAGGGCGTTGAGGGCGTGAGGGCGTGCTGGACTCCGTGACTGTGCGAGTACGATACTCGTGGGTGTGGGCGGTTCCCCTCTCCCGTGGGAGGGTGGCTGGGAGAGGCTGATCAGGCCATCTCGTTTAATGGATTTATCCCTGTAAATGCCTGCAAATGTCTGGACGCTGGGCATGTCCAGGTGGATCCAGGGGCGGCTGCTGGGCTTCCACGCGAAAAGCTTAACTAAATGCAGCCAAAAAGCCATCACGAAGGCCCATTGATAGGCTCGGACCTACCATCACTTATCCCCTGTACTGGGACTTGCTGACCTGACTGCAACCCACCTTTTTGCCGAGCATCAGAAGAAATTAATGAGGATGTTGTCTCTCGCCTTCGACAGCGCCTCGTCTGTTTGATGTTGATTAAATGGTGGATGTTGGGGCCTGGTAGGGAGGAGGGAGGGTGATTTCATTTAAAAGTTATACGGAGAGTAGGAGACTATTTGTAATGGCCCTGGGAGGGTGAGGTCCCCGGACGAGGACGAGGGCGAGGGCGAGGGCGAGGGCGAGGGCCTGAATCTTATCTTTTCTTTTCTTTTGTGCCAGTGGGCTGTTCCTGCAGAGCTCGCGTGTTCGCGGTTCTACAGTACGGAGCACATTCAGTACGGAGCACAAACGGTACCTAGTACATTCAGGACCTAGCACATACAGTATCAGGACCTAGCACATTCAGTACCTATCCGTACCTAGTACATCCAGTATCCGTGCTTAGTACTACATGAGTGCCCCGCCAGCTCCCAAGGCACGCAGCCACTGGTAGAGTCCAGAGTCACCCACTTCAAGTCAACGACTGACTCAATCAATCGCCCACATCCTCTTCTTCGCGAATAATAACGGCCCCTCACAGACTCAAAGTCCTGTCTAGCGGATAGTCTGCATCACTGACTCTCGTATCGAGGTGATGAGAACAATTTTCCGTACCGGCATCACTCCCGGCCACTGTCCTCTTCGGATCTCTCTGAAGTGCGCTATCACCTGCCAGTTGGACTGCTAAACCTAAGGCTCTCGTCAATCGCATGCCTTCGGACGCAGCCAAGCTAGAACGTGCTCTGTACACACCCTCACACTTGGTCCTCGTCCATTATTCGTTCCGTCCATGAGGCCATCCGGCAGCTATTGCGCCGGTTCCGTCAACTCGGAACAATCGCTCTATCCCCCATTTCATTTCTATCTCATTTGACAGAGCAAAGAGTCCAATACTGCCTAGAGCTTCGGTCGGAATGACCGTGCATTCCCAAGCTCCACCAGTTTGTTTCAGCATTCTTACGAGACCAGGCTGCCTTGGTGTCGCCGTCCCAGTGACGTCTTCGAGTCTCCTTACAATCACGTGACCCTCACCAATGAGACAGTCGACGGCGGGCAAAGCCACCCTGTGAAACAAAGACTATTCAAATCGGGGAAATCGCTTTGGCAAATACAAAGAGAATCCAGCTTCCCGACGAAACATTCACACGTGACAAACAGACCCCATAAAGGTAGGATCTGACAATCAAGAATGTCGACAAGGCATCCTTTTCCTCTTCATGTACCATTTCTCTCGAGTTCGCAGCCGTAATTCTTTCAACAAAATCTAAAAATCATCGAGTCTAAGCTTATATTCCAGCAAACGCCGAACGCCGAACGCCGAACAATGCCACGGCATTAGAACCACACAAACCATTCCAACAGCAAACCCTCGCCCAGAACATTAAGCCACAACGTCGACCAACAACCACCATTGTGGAAGACTAAGCGTGTGGTAGGGTAACATCAGAAGGACCTCTTGGGCAGTGATGCCATGATTCGAATGATGAAACGGAGCACTCTGAGTCACTCCACGACAAGGCTGACAAGTAAGCCCGGCCTGACCCTGCACAGAAGATGCGATTCCTGCAGAAGGTCCAGGCCGCAAAGGATGCTGTGAAAAAGACTATATAAGTGGGCAAGGAAACAGTAGGCTTTATCTGCGAACTACACAAGCAGTACAAGGAACTGGAGCAAGAGTCCACCATGCGTCGTAGTCCTCGGCCTTGCTCCCACGCCTGGAATCCAGGAAAGCGCCGCTCGAGCTATGACTACGATGCAGATTGAGACCGAGACCAATGCACTGCTATTCTCCTATTTCATTACTGACTTCCTTTTCAGCCAACGTAGGAAGGAGGTGCTGACTCCGGAGTGTGCTGACGTTTCTCGGCCACGCAAGGCTGGCTGATGAGGAATGGAACTGTGGGTCGTTTTAAGGAGAACCATGAACTACCCAGCTGTCCCACTCCCACCACAAGCCGTCCATCAATAAACACAATATCTTCTGATGCATATGCTGAGCAAAGCAGCGGTCTAGGTATGTAGAAACTGTCCATTAAATACTCTGGCCGAACCACCCAACAATGAATGAAGCATGGTCTCGTTTGAGCAATTCCACAACCAGCGCTGTCCACAACTCCTGCAACCAGTATTCCAATCATTTCGGTTCCATTTATTTTGGATCAATCTGCATACCGCATCCTCACCAGCGCTGATGTGTGAGTGCCCACCGTGTCGTGACTTCTTCCTTATGATAGATGTACATATTACCATTATCCTATTGCCACCTGGTGGTGTGCATTTGTTGGACAGGCAAGCATGGCCATTGAACATTTCGATATTCGGGACCGGCAGATATCATCCAAGCAAGCACACTTAGTCAGCGATCAGATAGTATCTATATATTCTCATAGCAGGACTCTTGTTGTGTTACTAGTGAAAGTTTTCTGCTAGCTGGGTAGAGCCAGAACAGAACATGGTTATGTAATCAGCAATTATGCATTCTACACGAATCTGCTAGCTCTAAGCTCTAGACCGTTTTATAAGAGTCAATTCAACCACCAGGCTTATTCTTTTAAACATTACTGTCATTAGACGATGAAACACATAGCAATCTCCGGAACGACTTGCTTGCTCTTCTCCATATCCCTCCCCGCTAGCAAACCGTCCTGTAAACCTTCTTCCACCAAGGCCACTTGGCCTGAATAGCTCTCTCCTCCGCAAGAATCTCCTTCAAGTTCATCTCGCGCCTGCCACTGACAACATCGATATCCCTGATGCGCTTGATGCTCGTCCTACGGACGAACTTGTACCCAAAGTAGCAGAGAATCACTAGCGGTGCGGCAAGGTAGACTTGGAAGAAGTTCTCGACGCGCTCGGATGCCGTCATGTCGCCGTACCCGACGGGAGCGAAGCCGGTCCAGAATTGTGCGATCAGCACTAGGAGGTTCATGATGAGGCCCAGATAGCTGCCGATGACACCCGCCTGTGAGCGGAACGCGAGCTCGGCCAGGGTGTGGCCGTTTGCTTTCCATGCTTGTCGGAATCGGATGTGTGCCAGGCAGATCGAGGCCCTGGTAGCTCGTGTTAGTAAAAAGCCTCGCGAACAATGTCCCAGGAATTCCGAATGACAATAGTGGACTTACCAGGTAAACAGTGCAGCCAGGCCAGAAAGTGCAATCATCCAGTTGAAGGCTTGCGTGGAAGAATCTGGACCAGCCGCCACAATGTAGCAGAGGAAGCCGAGCGATGAGCAGAGGATAATCGACACCAACGGCCTACCAGACCGGTCGATATATCCCAATATCTTTGGTGCTTGACCCCGATCTGCCAGCGCTGCCAGAGTTCTGCTGGCTCCGTAGATGGAAGAGTTTCCGACAGAAAGGACGGCGATAAGAATAACGCAGTTCATGATCGAGGGCACTGCTGAGATACCGGCGTTCCGGACTGCAATGACGAACGGGGATGCGTTGGCGTCCTGCGAGCTGGCGCCGTTCAAGAGAGCGGGGTCGTTGTATGGAACCAGTACTCCAACAATGGTGAGTGAGACCATGTAGAACAGTGCGATTCGCCAGAAGACCTGTTTCACAGCCTTTGGAAGGGCGACACGTGGATTCTCCGTCTCTGCCGCTGCTAGACCGACCAGCTCGGTCCCTGAGAAAGAGAAGGCAGCTGTGACAAAGACGGAGCATAGACCTTTGAATCCATGGTTCTGTAAAACTGTCAACCATTCATGCCGTGTAAGAAGAGTAGTGAATCCTTACAAATGCCCCAGGGTCATACCAATAGCGAGCGCCAATGTATCCTCGATCATCCCCAGGAACACCACCAGTGTTGATAATGATACCAAGCAAGACAAAGCCAATCACAGCGAATACTTTGATGATCGAGAAAACAAATTCGGCTTCACCATATCCACGTACTCCGAAAAAGTTGATGGCGATAATGACAACCAGGAAAACGGTGACCCATGCGGCTCCGTTGGTAGACCTGCTTCCAGGCCAAAATTCGAGTGTGATCGATGCTGCGACAATTTCCAAAGGGAGAGTAATCATCCACTGAAGAGCGTAGCTAGCCGCTGTCAGCCACAATGAGACCAAGCTGCGTGAGTGAGAACTCACTTCCAGCCCATCGCAAATCCCCATGCTGGATCCAGGAAACGACTTGAATATGCCGAAAATGAACCAGCCACAGGAAAGGCGACGGCAAGCTCACCAAGAGCATGCACTGTGCAGAATAGCATGACTCCAATTAAGCCATATGCAATAATTAATGAAGCCGGTCCGCCATTAGCTAAGGCGGAGCCTGAACCAACAAATAGACCAGTGCCTGTCATATTGTGAGCGAGAACTTCAACCCCGTATCCAGGCTAATCATACCGATTGAACCACCAATAGCAATCATCTGCAGATGTCGAGGCTTCAATTTCATGGCCAGTGCAGGCTCAGCTGGCTGTTGATCCGGTAGTGGTTTCCCGTTTGCGTCCACCGCTTCTGTGGTCACGCGGGCATTGGGGTTTCTTTTGAAGCTGTCTACGAAACGTCCCATTGCCGTTGGTGCCCTTGGAAACTCGATGTTCCCCTCAGTCATGTCGGATCGAGGAGCTGGGCTCTCGGCCTTGGCTTCAATGTCCTTCTCCATGGTGTAGGTCTTGATGTAGGATGCTATGAGTTCCGAAAGAGCTCTTGTTGGGCATCAGCAGAATACTCTGAAAGGAACAAGATGCTAGAATGACAGCAAAGTGGACGTCTGAAGATTTAAAAGAAGACGGCGAAGCAAAACACTCATCAAAGATAAGGTAACCCCCAAAAAACAGGAGCATTCAACATCGAATCGGTCCTTCCCGAGTGGGACGTACTGAATTCTTCATGGGTTGGTTACATTTGGCGATCGGTACCTAGCACGTTGGCCACAAGAAAACTCCCGCCAAAAGCACCAAGGGAGTCGTGGGTCCAGGGCGAATAATTTGCACAATGTGCGTATCGATCTAAGATCTTTGCAAGCATTCATTGTTGCGGAGGCGGCTATTACGGCATGGTGCGTGAGATTCGAGGTCAAAAACCGAGTGGCGATCAGGCTGACCCTCAAATGGCCACAACTCGGTCTCCACCGAAGAGGGTTTTTTCACACTAAATGGATTGTCAATTGATCACCTCATAACATATTCCGTTATCAGGGTGGAAACTCGGGGCTGAGAGGTTGCGATGCTATGCATTTTAGCCGATGGTAGCCTTCCATTGTTGCAACCAGGACCTACTCGGGTGAGGTCGATCTTGCATCCTCATGAGTTCACCCGCGGGCGATATAGGCAAAGAGTCATAGAATAGTAGGCCATGGGCACTTGTCTGCAGCTCAAAGACGCGGAAATACCAGCTAGTATTGCTACATCCCCGAGGGCGCTGGCAGGAAATGCCCTGGGCAGAGATTGGGGGCAGAAGAATTCAATGGGCGAAAACAAGCTTCAGAATCAAGGCTGTCTATGCGCAGGATTAGGAGCTTAGTCTGAAAATCTTTTTATTGCTCAAACGGCCGCCCTCAGCCATTAAGATAACAGGATGATATTCGACTGGACGCAATCTCTGTTTCCATAGACTAGATATCGTTGTAGGCTGTAACACCGACTGCAGTAATCAAAAGGTCTCAGCCTCGTGCATGTGAGCTTAGCCCTGGCGACCTGGCGGCTGGTAGCCCCTCGCTTATCACTAATGCTTAAAGCCTCAGGAACGGAAAATCTCTGCACCCGAGAGGCTTTTTAAAATTTTCTGGATCGAATTCTTGGCACAGTGTCGGCTATCGGATATCGGGTCAGTTCACCACGAAAAGCCGTCATCTGCATCACCCCCGAGGCACAGCCTTCAGGGTTGTCCTTTTCTTTCTCATCGTTCCATGCTGTTGTCACTGAGTTTGTGTGCCTGAGCCCCTTTTTCTAGCCAGATTCACCCTGATTCATTGCGATAAGGCTGAGAATTGACGCTCTCGTTCTCCTGACTCAGGGGACCTCCACAATCTTAGTTGATCACGTGATCGGACTTTACGCCTTGGTTTGCAGCCACAGAAAGACTGCTTTTGCGGGAGATAACAATGGCTGACTGGGCTAATCCACCAATGCTGATTTGGTCAGATTGCTCTACCAGAATACCACCCTGAGGTTCAGACTGCTGCGGCCGCTCGGTCCTGGGAACACGTGACTGCGTGTAAATCTCGTGAACTCTCGCTTCTGCAGCTGCAGTGCAATTGGCTGCAGCATCACGACGCCAGGCAACAGTCCGTCCCAGCCAATGACATGGAGGACTAGAAAACGCCAACTTCTCTCCCTCGCGTTCAACGCCTGAATACGAAAGTTACTGCTTTGATCGTGATTGAAAGAACGCCCTAGAGTATGAGGGGCAGAAAGGACGCCCGTAAGTATATTAACGTGCTTCTCGCACGGCCTTCCTGTGCTGGTTCTGTCTTCATTTCACCATTCTCCTAGGCGAAGGCTCTTACAAAAGCTATATCATATCATTGAACATATTAAGTTGGTTTTGTCACAGAGCACCTGCACCATGGCCAAAACCTGGACCCCACCCAAAGACGGCACTCCATGTTGGATCAATGTACTTGCTACTGACGTCCCTCGAGGTGGGTATCGCCCTCTTTGCCCGAGCCAACCCAACCTTGCCTATGTTCCTTGAAACCATTCCAGGATCTTCTATTTCCCAGTTCCCATTTCAAGTCTCTCAGTCCACTCCGACATTCACTAGAAATCGCACTGAAAAAACAACCCATCAATGACTGCCAAAGCTTCTTACCATGGAACAGTGAGCTAACACTACTTGTCTCTCTCTGCACAGCCAAGAAGTTCTACTCGGAGGTCTTCAACTGGACATTTCCACGCCGTGAATCCCACCATGGCAAACCATTAGACGAAAACGAAATCGCATTGTTCGAAGCTCCCGGCCAGCCATGTCCAGGCGGTGGCATCACGCGAGTGTCCCAGGAAGAATGGGCTGCCAATCGGAGCGGGTTGAGCAGGAAAGGCGTTGTGCTATACCTATATGTGGACGATATTAATGCTTGGGAAGAGGTGAGACCTTTGACAGTTCACCAGCTGTGGAATCCATCAAACAGCGTCTGACTTGAGCCAGAAAATCGTTTCGAACGGCGGCAAGAAAATGTCTGGAATTGAACCCGAGGGTGAGATGGCGCTCATGCAACATTTTGAGGACACCGAAGGCAACTACCTCGGTATCTATAGCATGAAAAAATGAACGAGAGACAAAACTGTAATGCTGGAACGACGCTGTTGGGCCTCGCATATTGGCATGAATTTGATGAGTGCTATCACAGGTTTCGTAGAAGCCGCTCGCTTTTTGGCACCGAAATAATAATTTTGCAAGCATGGCTGTTTCGCTGGTCCTCTTCCAGTCCAGTTTCTGCTCAACCATCTCCTCGTCCCCTCGCCAATCCATTGCTTGGCTTAGTAGGTAAACTCTCTCACCATGCCGTCTCCTTTGCCCCCAGCAAACTTCATGTTTCTCCACCTGTAGTAGAACCTCAAGGTCAAGCAGCCAGTAGCAACAAAGAACAATAGCGCGGCATTTGTCCAGTGGCCACTGGGGTAGCCTTGTTTCTTCTCATTCGCCTTGTAAATCCACACACCCACAATCTGGCCAGGGGCGCCGAACGAGATGTTCATAGCAAGGGCGAGACCCACTGTGCGGTGGAGTGGAGGTTGTTGCTCAGCCAACCAAGAAGCGGGGGAATGCAAGCAAACGAGCCCGTGGCCGCAACGATCAAGCATCCATAGCGCTCTTTGTAGGCTGTCGGTGGTAGCAGAGCCGAACCCATGAAGCCGGCTGCTCCGATCGTGCTGAACACCGTCGAGTGCAGCGACCGTGCGTTGAAGTGGTCAGCAGACCATGCGGCCCCCAGTGTGAACACGTAGGCCACAGCGTAGGGAGGTGTTGTCATTAATTGAGCGCGCAACGAAGTGTACCCCAGTCCAGCGGTAATGGTCGGAGTGAACAGGGACAGCGAGGAAACGGGGCCGAGATTCCCACGTAAATCGCATAATGGGCATAAAGTCGCCAGTCTGTAAGTGTGGCTTTCGCTGTTTGCCAGTCCAAAGACTTGGCAGTGCCCTTGGAGCCCTCCGTTGCAAGTCGACGGGCCGCGAGTTGTTTTTCGTCGGCCGTCAACCATGCGGCCTCCTCTGGGTAGTCTGGGAGTAAGAACCAAACAGAGACAGCCGAGAGGATGCTTGGCAAGCCTTCCAGAATAAATAGCCACCTCCAGGCAGACATGCCAGCAGTTTGATTCATATGTCCGACTCCGAATGCAATGGCACCACCAAAGGCGCCAGCAAGTGTCGCACTGGCTAGAATTATGGCAACCTGCAAACTTCGTTTCTCACTACGGTACCTGTGCGTCCTTGTTAGTCAAGCCACAGCCGACTCTGCCTCAGGGCAACCTACCAAAAAGCCAAGTAGTACACTAAGCCAGGAAAGAGGCCGGCCTCGAACACGCCTAGCAAAAAGCGAACAACCGTGACACTGGCGTAGCTGTGCGTTCCGCCGAGGCCCATGGTACAAGCACCCCAAGACAGCATCAAAAAGGCGATCCAGCGACTGGGCTTGAATTCCTGAGGAAATAATTTGACGGGACCTCGAAGACGGCGTAGGCGATCAGAAAGACCATCAACGCGATGATATATTGGTAGTTGGTCACGCCCGTGTCGGAGAGGAGGTCATCCTTCGTTTGAGAATTGAGAGTTTTGGCGTTCCCGATGTTGGAGCGATCCAGATAGCAGAGCAGGTAGATGAAGGCGGAGAGAGGTATGATTCTCACGTCTTGCTTGAACACCAAGGCCGCATTCTCAGCTGCGGATATGCCTGAGGCAGCGTGTTCCACCGGCACATCCCGAGGTGCCGAATACTTCTCGATGTCGTCGCCATGGACGGATGTCTGGTCGTGCTGTTTCGAGTCAGTCATGGTTGCAAGAACCAAGCTATTTAGCGTTGAATCTTGCTAAGAGGAAAGCTCTTGGGCGTGAGCACTGGCGGCATTTGTAGTTTTATGTGCCTCTCTAATTGTCACTGTTGGGGGCCCACACCACGATGAACATAATGGATTTGTTCTCCGTATCTTTCCGACTGTTGGGGACACGCTCCGCGTTCACTCGTCTCTGTGGTATACACACATGCAGTCGGCAGTTGATTGGGTAGTAGGTATTGCCTTCCCTGGGTAGGCGATGGAACGAGCGGTTGCGTGGGTTGTTACGTTGAAAACTTGTGCAGGAAACCTGCCGATACCCGTTTCAACGAATCATCAGGCGTCGGACGGCGGAGCCGCACGCCGATGAAAACCCCCATTATAGCACCCGAAAGCCTAAATTGGCTGTCTGCTGACCCAGCCGCTGTTCAATGCCGACGAAATAGCTGCGATGGGGATATCACTTTAGGAATACTACTAAGACAAATCTTATTTCTCGTTTATCTTTTAAGTTAGTAATGAGTTCACCCTAACGAGCTGGCAATAACTATTAGTACTTTCTTCTCTCTTCTTACCTATTAGACTAATCCTATATATCCTTTGTTTTAAGAATTGTATTAGAAGAGTAAATGATATCATTAACCTTAATAAGGTTAACATTAAGCGCTAAGATAAGCTGTCTATTATGTTGTGATTAGTTAGTTTTTAGTAAGCTACCTGAAAAACGCGTTAAGCTTGTCTCCATCGACTCTGAAACAGGGCATCCATATGTGAGGTCGAAGAGAGGCCATGGATATACGTGTACGGACAGCGCAATCTAACAGCAGATTCTAATTGAGCCGGGAAGGGCTCGTCGGGCTGGTCAAGCCAAGTCTGAAAATTAGTTTCCCTAAATGTTGCTTATTCTTTCGAGGCAGGAAGGGATGGACGTTGCTCATTAATGTTAGCATTCTGTTCGTTTTGAGGGACAACTATACATGCATGGACTTGCCCTCACAGAATCTGACAGCATCCCAAGGTGATTGTCTCACAACTAACACTAAATCATCTTCGCCTAGGCAACTACTTCGCGTTCTAGGGCACTATCAAATCGATGAGGGTAATGAGACTGGCCCAAATCGCCTTCACCATTAACCAAACATCAGTGTGTTGGCAGCTTCAATCCTCTAGTGTCATCTCGTCTGCCAATGACCAGAACTTAGACCAGTCATGATCCGTTTCCCCTGCAATGATGCTGTGTCTAGATCTTCAAAAATCTCACGATAGCCCCTCGACGTGCTTCGTAGTGACGGCGGCCTCAACCTGTTCCTTGTACCCATTCAGGTCATCATCGTGCTTCTGAGGTTTCTCATTGTCACTCCCCATGTGATCCTGAGTCACTTCGGCTTCTCCGACCTCATTGCCACAAAGTGCACCAACGCTCTCAAGTGGGAGACCTCGTGTGTCCGGGAGGACAAAGTATATGAGCACAGCTGCCACTGTTGATGGACAGATGAAGCAAAGATAGAACTTCCATCCAATGTCCTGAAATGCAACAGATGACATTCATAAGGGCCAATCCGGATGTGCTAATAGCCATTTCTTTGGACCTAATGTGTGTTGGGAAAATTTCTCCTAGGTACACATACTGTACACCTCCGAGGCTGCATTCTAGGACAAAGATAAACACATAGCACATTGCCACTGCAGCTTGAAGTGCTGATTCATTCAGATTGGCAAGAACTTCTGGAGAGCTTGCGTAAGTTGCTACCAATCCAGCTTCAGCACATCCACAGAAGCCTCCAGCAAAGTACAATGAGTTCATCAGGCCCAAAAGCTAGTTGGAATCGGCACGCTGGTGAAGGCCGAATGAGAGAACTTTGGTAGCATGGCGGTCAGCATTGACCCAAGATGTTATTGCAAATAACACTGCACAGGCGGGCGACTTACAAAGGATGGCTGGGCGGCGACGATGGCGATGACTGCATTGGCATATCCAAAGACTAGTGATCCGATGGCCATGATAAGCAACATAAGGATGTTGTATAGACGACATTGGCGTGCATGATAATGCTCTGGTTGAGGAATTGGCTGAGAGGAGGGACCATGCATATTGGGCAGAACAAATGACTGGATATGAAGTTTGATGAAACTGCTTTTGCAAATGGTGTCCTCATCACCTCAGGCATCATGTGCATCTTAAGTAAACCAAGCCCAAAGTCTTAAGTTTCGTGGTCCCCGAAATCCAATCCCCACGAGGAAATGGATCAGCAACCCCGCCACACAGTGCCGAGTACATTTGATTTCTCCAGATCGTTGTACCGAAGACAACAGCCTTGTCTAGACCTCCTCTCTCGGCCATTCAGCTTAGATTCGCAGCCTGTTTACATTAAAGGGGCCCGAATTCACACCGAGTTTCCTCTGAATCACGAGTGCCACAAGGCCTCGGAAAGCAATTCTTGGTTGAGCCTGGACTGATCTTGATGAGTGGCATTCCGCTTTCCCCTTCAATGTGCCAGATCGTAAGGCCTGTACCATCTCTGTGACCCGATCAAGTCCATGGAATAGAGTCATTTTAACTTTGAGTCCGTACCTAGCATACTCTGAGCATCTCGTGGGAACAATCGGTACCCGCTAGCATGGAATCTTTGACTGTAACATCGCGGAAACGAGATCGAAGATAGAGATTGTCGTTTGCTGCGGACAAGCAACCTGCATCATGGTGCCGTGACATCTAGTCACGGCGCAGGAAGTTACGGTAGCTGTGGAGTGAGCACTCAAGTTCAATGTAGCGTCTGCTCCGGAAGCCCCGGCGATCTCTTGTACTTTAGCGACAGGTGTCTCTTGGCCTTCTCTCGCATCAATCACATAATTTGCCCCCACAGTTGTGCATAATCCAAGAGCTGCATCCTGAGCATCGATACCTATTGCCTGAATGCCCCTCACCCGTGCAAATTGCACTCCAAGGTGTCCTAGACCTCCACCAGCTCCAACGATCGCGAGAAATCCACCTGATACGAGCCTACTAGTCTTGACTGCACAATATATCGTACAACCTGCACACGCCAGTGCGGCACCTTCTGCGAGGTTTACATTGTCCGGAATCAAACAAGTGGTCCTGCTGTCTGCGACGTGATAGTCGGAGAAGGCGCCGTCCACACCTAGCCCGATAGCCCCTGTCGTATGTTTGCAGTATTGAACTTGATCTTCAGGCCCACGACAGTCCTCACAGTGTCCACATGGATTGAGCGGCACTCCACTCATCGCACGATCACCGGCTTTAAAGTTCTCCACGGCACTTCCCACTTCGATCACGAAACCGGAGCCTTCGTGCGACGCTGTGATTGGCAACGTCGCAGAAAGTGTTCCATCAATGACTATCATATCGGTGTGGCAAAGGGATGCCACCACTGTCTTGATTAACAGATCATACGGCCTCAACGTTCGAACTGTCTTGACCTAGCGTAGCTCATAAGGCTTTCTCGGTTCTATCAAAGAAAGCTCAATGCTCACAGATGCTTCCGCAAGGAATAATAACTCACCAACAACCTGCACAGAAGTCATCATGGGCGGAAGTCAAGGGGCACCATGTTTCTGCCAGTCGAATCGCTGCCAGGTAGATCTGTCTGATGCTGGGAATTGCCAGTCTGAACAGTGAATTCTCTCTGTCGCCAGCTGTAGAGACGGAGGTCCGGCAAGAACAGTACCTAGACGTGGCAAGTAGTTGTACAACAGCCAAGAGAGCCCCTTTGTATCGCAGTGAGTGATCTATATTTCAGCCTTGAATTGTGTAGGGGAGAGAGAGCTTTCGGTAGTTAAAACGTATTGACCGTCACACTCAATGCGAAGTCGCTGGGCTCAAGATTCTGCCGTGTTGGCTTCGCTCGAACGGTTCGGCGATTTTAGATCGCCCGCTGAAGTGTGCCCTTGGTGAAATTAACTTCCAACCAGATATAGGAGTGGGCCTAACGGATCATTCGGTACACTACCCCTCGTCATTTGCACAGTTGTCCGGAGTCGATCGAACTTCTCGGCTGGATGTTCAAGCTTAGCTTCTCAGGGCTGGCATATGGCTAGGAGGGAGGTCAACATGTTTATTCACCTTGATGGCATCCTCTCCCGCTTAGCAACGCTCAAAGCTGGGTAAAGTCAATCATTGCATTCTCGCAGTGCCTTTCAAGTCTAGATGCCGTCGAATAAGCCTTCCGAACTTTCAAGCCAGAACAAACTGGGCCAAGAAATGGCAGGGAAATTCTTAGGCCAGCAGTTCTATGACAACATAGTTTCTAGAATGGTGAGTTGGTGCTTCACACACATGCATTTACTATGCTCCAGCGAAGGTAGGGTCCGGGTCTTCACTATAGATTTACCTACCTAATTAGGACTAGTACAAACGGATTATATTAATCTGGAGCTAAGTACAGTTAGCACTAGGCGAGTAGTCATCTATTTTATATAAGCACTGTCTCTACTTGGTGCTGCTTGGCACCTAGCTTGGCACTCTTTGGATTGCTTAGTCATCCTACGATTCCTTGGGGTCCTTTGGGTCCTTGATAGACCTCGAGGACCTGGACCCATTAAAGACCCGGACCCCTCCTTCGCTGACTAGCATTATAGGACCGCCTTGAGAGAGGTTAAAGACAGTTAGTATAGGGGGATTTAGTTATATTCTCCTCTTTTATATAAAAGCTACTAAGGCTGCGTGGTGGCTAACAAGAAACTTGAACGGGTTAGGGTTAGTAATTCTTGGTAGGGATGAAGTTACAAGCCTCCAGGTCTTTGTCTACAAACGGCACGTCGCCGAGCAAACTTCAAGTTTGTCTTTCTTATTGCGGATATCGATTAGCTCCTTGGTAGCGCCGCATCTACTACCACGAACTAGGAATGTTCTTGGGCCAGAATGCCTCGCCTTTAACAATCAACCAACATCCTCCCCAATCAAACTCCGAGGCCAAGTCCCCTTTTCCAAAATCCAACAACCCTGTGACCATGCACCTGCTCCTCTTGGTACGCACGTTGATGAGAGACGGAGTACTCCGTACGAAGTAAGCTAGTCACTGATGATAACCTTCCAGTGTTATCTCTTAGATGGTGAGATTGCACATCTCCAAGGCCTTCTGAAGCACACCTACACAATCTTTCTTCTCCATGATTCAGACTTTTTCTGTGCACGAACTGTCCCTCGGGGGTTAGTTCGACAATTAGAAATAGCTATATCAACGCGCTTCACAACTCTTATCAACGTTTGAGAGCTCTTTTCCGTGTCATTCTTCACATTTAACCTCACCATCGTTGCGGCATCGATCGAGTAAACGTGCCGAAGTCATGACTGGGGATATGCACGACATCAAGGTGTCTCATCACAATCACCAGGCAACCATGTCCAACCAAATGAAGTCTGCTCACCTTGCCGATACCATGGAGGTTGAGAAGCCTCCACTGAAGCCGTTCACTGTCTGGTCGGCCATGTCACTGGGCTATTCGATCTCCAATTCCGGCTTGGGTATGGTGCTGGTCGTTGGAAGCGCAGCTTTCGGCGCGGGACCCCTGTTCATCTACGGCACTATTCTGATCACCGCCATTACCTTCTGTGTTGCCATCACATTGGGTGAGCTGGCCTCAGCTTATCCGCATTCGGGTGCTCAGTACTTCTATGTTGCAGAGCTTGCATCCGAGCAAAAACGTCGCTTTTTGTCGTACATGACAGGCATTATCTCCTGGGCAGCAGTTGTCTGTATCGGCGCTTCGGCGTGCTCGGCACTCTCAAATACTACATTCGCCCTCATTGCACTCACACGACCTGACTTCGAATATAAGCAGTGGATGGGCTTTCTCGTGTTTGTGGGGGCCAATTGGACCGCTACTATAATGGTCATTTTCGAGCGCTTCATCCCAGTTATGTCCAGTAGCTTTGTGTACATCTCCCTCTCACTGATGGTGGCAATATTCATCACCTTGTTAGCCTCAAACACTGAAAAGGCCTCTGTCGGACTGGTGTTCGGGACAGAAGGATACTTCAACGTGTCAGGTTGGTCCAATGGTGTTGCCTTCATGATTGGCATCAGCAGCGTCAACTGGGGCTTTTCATGTCTTGACGCTGCCACTCACTTGGCCGAAGAGATCCCAGAGCCACGGAGGAACATTCCGAAAGCGTTGCTTTGGACCGTCGGCATGGGCTTTATCGTTGCATTTCCAATAAACATTGCCGTCTTCTTCAAAGCGCCTGACCTGGAGAATACATTCTCCATTCTCGGGGTTCTATATGCGGCTTACAGTGACAACGCGACTCCCGCCCTCGCGTTAGGCGCTTTCATGGTTATCGCTACATGGGGTGCTGTAATTGGAATGCATACTTGGCAATCAAGGATTGTATGGTCGATGAGTCGTGACAGAGCATTTCCCTTCCACAGCAGGATGAGTCGGATTGCACCGGCGCCGTTCCGTACTCCTCTATGGGCTATCCTATGGGGTTCATGCTGGATCACAATCTGTGGCTTTCTTTATCTCGCATCGACCACCGCTTTCAATTCATTCATCTCGGCTGGGATTATTCTCCAGTACATGAGTTATGCAGCGCCCGCGGTGCTCTTGTTGAGAGCGCGTCATGGCAGCTTTCCGAAAGGGCCTTTTTGGTGGCCTAGATTTGGCCCAATCGCCAACCTTGTCGTCGTCATATGGACGGTGATTATTACAGTATTCTATTCCTTCCCTCTGTTTTTACCTGTCGAAGTGAGCGCCATGAACTATGTTGTTTGCGTGCTGGTATTTGCATATCTGTACGCAGGGGCTTACTGGGTTTTCTATGGCCGCAAACACTATCGCTTGGTGGATCTTTCAGCCATCCTTGATTGAGTCTTCATATCTCGTATGTAATTATCTATCTATCTCTGCATACAGTACGGCCATGCAATCCTGCCTGCCCTACTAGGGCGCCTTTGGCATTGGTATCATGTAGTTTCATACTTCTAGCAGAACGTTAGATGTCAACCACCGTATATGGGGTATTTATGTAGCCCCTACTGATGCCACTACATCATTTCCAATTATTTTCCAGCAGCCGTTCAGATCTAGAATTTCGTTTTCAACAGATCCTAGAATCTCTGCGAATTCGGTGACCTTTTCATCCTCGAAGGCTGCGTAGACTGCATTGATCCACCTCAACTCCTTATCTGTGCATAAGTTCAGGACCAATACTTCCAAACGATTCTTTATACCTGATAGGCTGACAGTGAGATAGCTCGAAACGAACAATACGAATAGCGGTTTCACGGCCAAAGAGTTTTGAGTATTTTTCGAATTCTTTGACCGCGGTGCAATTGACCCATCCATCGTTGCGACCAGTTGCTCCGGGGGATATGTAGTTCTCTGACATCAATTACGGTGACATTGCTTGATACCGCGTGATGCAGCAAACGCCAAGCAATACCTTAACCGGTGATTGCTAGAGCGATGACAACGACCTCTCGATGTGTTGGTAGATTTTTGTTGCGTGAGATGCGACAGGTTGGAAGGCTGCTGCTAGGCACAAGTTGTTGGGTTAGGGTCAGGTAAGCCTGGGTTACGGGTGAAACTACACATTGTCGTGCATCGCCAAGCGCCAGTGATATATCTCTCAAAGCGTGGTTGCGTATAGAGCCGAACGGTGGTGATGAGGACGTCACGAACTGGTCCCGCTTATTGTACGAAGGTTTATCTCAAGCAACAGTGCCGAGAAATATGGCGTAACTACAATCATATGTACTGGCATCCAACTGGATCTATGGTCAGAGAAGAGGAAGTTATGGGCGCCGCTTTCGGGTGACGTCCGCCCAGCCGTCGTGGAGGTTATGAATACCTCATGCGTGACTACTTGTTACTTTCCTCGTAATAGCAACTTGAGCTTTTGGCACACCAACAGCGCTGCCCTGTCGAGATTGGAATATATGAGCCTGAAGTACCTCTAAACAGTGGCTTAGGGCGGATTTCTGCGAGGTATGAGATAGAGAAGCACTGCTTCTGGCTCTGACAGCGGCGAATGAGGCTCGGGCCGAACACGCAGCACGCTTCCTGTCCAATAAGTACTAACATGCAAGACACGACGGCAGCAATGCGGTATACCTGGGAACAACACCTTTAATATATCAAATTTCCTAAATCTCCAAAGGATCGTCCAGTCTTCATGGTCGCAGCAGTTTTTGGAAAACAAACAGTGAGCGCAACACTGCCCAACATGCCTAAGGTGATATGCTCTGCACTAGATGCTGGGTCTTTGACCCTCCCAGAGAAGTAATCAATCCCGCCAGCCTCAGAAGGTCGTATCACAGTGCCGTCACTGAATCTTCCAATCCAGCATACAAACATCGAGACTGGCAGGCTGACACGCATTTTCTTCGATCTCGGCATGCGCCATGATCTGACGAGGTATCCACGTGATCTCCAGCAGTGCCTCCGACATCGCATGCGGTTGAATACAGGTCAGGACATTGTGTCCTCTCTTAAACAGGGTGGCCTCGAATCTGAAGTCATTCACCATGTCATCTTCAGTCACCAGCACTATGACTATATTGGGGGCCCGTCGGATTGCCAAAGGCCGAGGACAAAGTTCATTGTAGCGCCGGATTCTCTTGGACTGCTTGTCCCGAAGGATGGTGAGCTGGCCGTCAAATCGCGTCTTCTTGGCAATAACCTTAGTGTCTTACACGGCTCCAGGGCCCTGTTCTAGTCCGAGCCAGAATGGTATCTATTTGCGAACCGCGCGAAGTGACCCTCCTTCGCCCGGGCGGGTCCCTGTCCGCTGTATATTCTATCACCGACTAGCTCTATCCGTAAATTACCTTGGCAATACAAGGACATAATCTAGCCAAGGCCTTACCGCAGGCAAGCAAGTTTAGTGCAGGAATATAATGTAGAAAGGGTCCAAGGGGTTTAACGTGGAAGTAGAAAACGCGTTTAGGGAGTACCTATAACAATGCGAAAAGGATGTCAAAACAGACAATCCCCAGAAGAGATACAAAGCTTATCCCGAACTACACTCTATTCTATGTTTATAAAAGCCCATTCTGCCTGCTACGCCTCAATTCCATCACTTGCACCTCTAACCTTTCCGTAGGTGCATACGGACCGCAGATGAGCTTAGCGCAGCGACAATCCTACACGATCTCTCAGCATGTCTGAAGAGTGCCAAGAATTAGCTTTACAAGGCTTGTCATGTCTTGTCACTCAATCAAGCACGTAAGTCTCACTGCGTGCTAAATACTTGGGGCTTTATTGGACCGATGAACAGCGATATTGCCACATTATCTCTAAGCATGTACGAAGAATGCCAAGAATTAGCTTTACAATGCTTGCCATGTCTTGTTATTCAATCAAGCATCTCATTCTCACAGCGTGCTGAATACTTGGGGCTTTATTGGATCGGTGAACAGGGAAAGCTGATTGTGGCAGGAGGCTGTCATGCCTCTATCCTTGTGACACCAACGAGACCCCATTAGGTATATAGACCTGACCATTGCACCGCAAATTATAATGGCTCTGCATCTTTCGATCTGGTACTGCTGAATTACTCTTCAAACGTGGACGGTATCCTGCTCTTCCACTCTCAGTTTTGCAGCATCGGCAGCCATGGCTCCATCAATCACAGCCAAGTACGACTGGATCCTTGCCTTGACCACAATCGCCTTCGTCTTTAGTGCCCTGGGCAATGGCGCAAACGATGTCGCAAACTCGTACGCAACTTCAGTCGCTGCACGTACACTTACCATGCCCCAGGCTGGTGTTCTGGCCGCGTGTACAGAGTTTGTGGGTGCCACCGCCCTCGGCTCTCGTGTCACTGCTACAATCAAAAGCGGCATCATTTCCTTGGATCGATTCACGGACCGGCCTGGAACTCTCATGCTAGCCATGGGCTGTGCGGAGGTTGGGAGTGCTTCCTGGCTTGCCATCAGCAACACAATTGGCTTCCCAGTGTCAACAACCCAAACTATCGTTGGGTCTCTCGTTGGAGTAGGCTTTGCCTCACAATCCAAAATTACGTGGGAATGGAAGAAGGGAAGTGTTTCTCAGACCGCGGCATCGTGGGGTGTGGCACCACTTATCGCAGCAGGGTTTGCTGCATTCATTTTCGGGACCTTGAAGTACAGCATTCTTGATCGACAGGACTCGTTCAAGAAGGCGATGCGAGCCATCCCTTTCTATATAGCTTTTACATGCGCTATCCTGGCTTTATTCATTGTTGTCGAAACTCCTTCAGCACCCTCTTTGGAAGAGTTCGGAGCCGGCAAGGCTGTGGGGGTTATTCTGGGTGTCTTTTTTGGAGTTCTCGCTATTGCATACACCTTCTTCATCCCATACTTTGAACGTCGACTTGTCAAGATGGATGCTCGCGTCAAATTCTATCACCTACCTCTCGGGCCGTTGCTGAAGAAGGAAAATCCTCCACTCTACTTTCCCGGTCGCGCAGATGGGAGTTATGTGACCGACTACTATGCGAGCCCCTATGCCAGTTCCGCAGAGACCACCTCTTCAGACAGCGTTGTCAGGGGCGAAAAGGCGGAATCTACGAGTGCGAATACTAATAAAATTGACGATTCCTCGAAACTCGAGAACGGTTCCCAGGGCGTCCAGCAGCGCAAGCGTGCCTTGGAACCCGAAGAGCGCTTTCTTCAACCAGTCCGACACCTACCCATACACCACCCACGACGGCTTTGGGGCTATGTTAAGTTTATTCTTCTTCAAGGTGTGACTCGTGACTGCGTCACGCACTCCGATGAAGCGCTCCACGGTGTCCATAGCCGCGCCCCTAAATATGATATCCGTGTCGAACACCTATGGACCTACTGCCAGGTGTTGTCGGCAATGTTGATGTCAATTGCGCACGGTTCCAACGACGTTGCCAACGCTGTGGGCCCCTGGGTCGCCTCTTATCAGACCTTCAGATCAGGCGAAGTCAACTCGAAAGCGCCGACCCCCGTCTGGTTCCTTGTTATCGCCGGCCTGTTGCTAGGCACTGGCTTTTGGTTTTATGGTTACAACATCATCCGCGCACTCGGCAACAGGATTACTCGTATGTCGCCAACACGAGGCTTTAGCGCCGAGCTTGGCGCTGCAATTACTGTGCTAATGGCGTCGAGACTTGCCTTGCCAGTCAGCACTACCCAATGCCTTACTGGTGCTGTTGTTGGGGTTGCGCTCATGAATTATGATGTTGGTGCGGTAAATTGGAAGCAAGTCGTCTGGATTTTCAGTGGGTGGGTATTAACTCTGCCTTGCGCGGGGCTGATCGCTGGGTTGGTTTGCCTCATGGCTCTCAACACTCCACACTTTTGAGGTTGGTGCAGACTTCTGAAGATAGAGTTTTATGCCACAATCGCAAGCGGGACTTGGCGCCAAGGCTGCTAGCTACGTAGATAGACTAGTCCTGCCACACCCTCACACTGGGACAATACCATACCACTCACCCCTACCAATCTTTTATTACACCCACATCTCTATTCCTCCCCACAGGTCAACGTCTCATTCCGTGGTCGCTTTCTAATTTGAAATTATCTAGGACATCTGGTTGCATGGAAGACTACCAGTGCTTGCGTTGCTCCTGGCTAGCAGCGCTGGACTTCCTTACAGGAGGTGAGATTCACTTCTCCTCGACACATGGGCCAGATGGGAGAATCGATCGATTCGATATCCAATCCTGCCGATGGAAGGAAGAAGACGAACGAACCGCAATAAGACATACGGCCAGGGGCAAATGTTATGACACTGAGTGCACCCCTAGACTTTTCATCGGCCCCAGGCCACTGGAAGCTATCATGCACGTGACAAGCCGGATGCACTAGTCTAATGTACACAAACCTAGCAAGCGAAGACGAATCTCCTCGTCTATGATGGCCGCTCCACAACTTCTCCGTGTCATCCGGCCCAAAGCGAGGGTTTCAGGGCATCCTGGACCCCTGGCGGGGGCCGTGGGCTCTACAATTCTCGGCCGGGCGCTTTAAGCTTTAGCGGGCTTCCGTCTCTCTTTACGCAACACGTGGCATGATTAAAATCCACATACATCAGTGGCTGGCTTGGCTGCATTGAATTTTCGATAAGTGACGATCTTTCAGCCGACTAATCTATATTAAACTATTTTGATTTCCGCCAGGTGAAGTGAGCACTTGACAGCGGCCACGCCTACTGTTGCAGGCTCATGCTTCTGAAATAGTTTCTAGCATCCCACCAATGAAGTCCACTATATCGGAACTGTTTCTGGCGGTCTCACTTTGAGGATGGGCAAGGAGTTACTAGTGAAAGCCGCTTGCAGCCTTTGGCAACAACCCAAAAATGCATGTTTAGCTGCAGCGAACCAGTTCGGCGGCAAGACTGACTCATGCTGGGATGGTACAACTGAGCATTCAGCGCTGACGGACAACGGAATTAATTGTGGGCCACACGATTCAATCCGAAGTGGATTCACCTTCCATTTTTATGGTGGGTGTAATGGCGGAGTGGTAGTTCAAAAAGAGGCACCAAATAAATTGTTAGCCTGGCGGTGCCCCGTATGTCATCCCGGATATGTACACATAGCCCTCCAACCTCATTATACGAGTACTCCGTACTTTGCGAGCCCTTTAATTAGCGGCACTTCCTGAGGGGCAGGGACGGATACGCTGCCACCCCGCGCCGACTACTACCTAGCGAAGCACTGTGCAAAACGTACTAGTTACTCTCAAGACCACATCAGTTATTTAGTACATCTGGAAGTCTTTGCAGGTATTGTCGACGAGATAGTAAATGATAATGACTAAAGTTAGAGGATTCTCAATTTCTAGTTGTCACGTAGAAAGTTCGGTCCCGCCTTTCTTGAATATGAAGTGTCACTCTTTTAACCCAAGCACGTTCTCTACGAAGGTGGACACGAGCCAAGACCTTCCCAGACCTTCCGAGAGCGTGCTTTTCAGCGTTGTCTCCTATCAAGGCGTCGAATGCACGGCACCGGGAAAGCAGACCGTCGTTCGTAACATCTAGCTCGAAGATGGGCAGTTGGTTGTAAATAAATATCTAGCGTTTCCCGGACATCTCAGTGGGAATGACGATTCTGCCAGCACATCCTTCGGCCGGTAGCACTGCCTAAGTAGGTAGGAATTTAACTGTGCGGGCGTCAATTAGCTAATAAGCAAGCGGGCACCCGCCTCGATACGCAGTTTGGAACAAGGATTATCAGGGGACTGAAGTGTCATGTCCTCTTCATTTCGGATTGCTTCAGAATGCACTACGTAAATGAGCGATCTACCCCATGGTGGCTAACGGCGCACTGTCGCTCCAGCCTAATCTGGTATGCTACATCTTCCGGTAATGGTTAGAACATATGTACCATCCTTGTTAAGTGTTCTGTCCCTTCCACCCATTCTTAAGCTTGTATTCCTCTTTGAATATAGTTCCGTGTCGTCTTCGGATTTCTTTCCTACCCTCTCGTGCTGCTCCTTGATTAAGGAGGCCTTCTTGAGCTTCGTCCAGTCCAATCAGCCATTAAACCTTTATGTCGGCTCGTTCCCGATCTTAGTCAGAGGTTGGCCATCAGCCCTATTAGTCGCTTAACGCCTTTCAGTTCTCAGATAACAACCGAGGTTATTAAAGGGACATAGTCTTCACATCCGCGAGCTACTAGTCAGTAGAACAAGTTCCTCGCAGGTTCACCCGAGATATACCTTGCCGGGCTAAATTCAGCATCAAGATTCCCAGTTTACCATAAGATGGTCAGAGACCTCCCTGAAACGGACGCTATTGCTGAATAACATACCTCATTGCCCAGCTACAAGTCAAGACACATAATATGGAAGAAGTGGCGGAGGCTCCGTCCGGCGTATTAGGCATGCAGCGTAGCCTTCAATTCATGCAAGTCAATGATGCAGCACCAGCTGGGGGATGTGCCCAGAAAAAACGCCTACTGGCACAGCTCAATGAGTCAACCTGGGATAAAATTGGTGAGTCACCCGTTGCACTGCGGCAAGATTGGTATCCCACATGCTCCCTTTTCTAGGTTTTCTGAACGAAGTGGCTGGTGATTTGGACGATGCACTGTTCGCTTATGAACAAGCGCTGCGACATAATCAACGCTCGACACGAATCATGAACACGATCTCCCGAATATTGCGTAGTATGGAGAAGTATCCCGAAGCTATTGAATTACTTCAAAACATTCTTAGACTAGAGCCTTCCAATGGAGAGGTCTGGTGTAATCTAGGTACGTATAAGCGTCTAACACAAGAACTGTCAGCTACTGAACACTCAAGGCCATTGCTATCTAATGACGGACAATCTCCAAGAAGCGTACGGGGCCTACAAGCAAGCGCTGTACCACTTGCCAGATCCTGCGGTAATGTCCTCCCTGCTGCACAAACGAACCAATTAACACCTGTCCAGGATCCGAAACTATGGTATGGTTTTGGTATTCTATACGAGCGCTATGGCTTGCTAAAGCTGGCCGAAGAAGCTTTCATTCAAGTTGTGCGAGTACAACCAAACTCCGAAAGGGCGAAGGAGGTGTATTTCAGACTTGGTGTAATTTATAAGCAACAGCAAAAATTTCAGCCTAGTCTCGAGGTCAGAAAGCCCTTCAATAGTTACTTATATACGTTGCTAACCCTTTCGAAGTGTTTTAGATATATTGTGCAAGACCCACCACTGCCTTTACGGGAAGAAGATATCTGGTTTCAGATTGGCAATGTTCATGAACAGGAAAATGAAGTATGGCACGCCCGTCCTAACAACTAGTAGTGGTTGCTGATATGGCTTCAAAAGTTCGAGAGTGCGGAAGCTGCCTACAAGCGCGTCTCTGATATGAGTCTAAAGCGGGCGAACATCTTTTTGTAGCTTTTCGGCTGGCTTTGTCTCCAGTATTGCGACAACAATGCCTGCCAAAAGAAGGTGTCTTGAGCAGTCTATTTGTTCAGGTCAGCGTGTCTGACATAATATCCTCTATCAAGAGTAACGCTGAAGAGCGAGATGCTCAGAGTTGGTATCCGCTCGGTAGATATTGCATGGATGCACGACAGTTATCGGAATTAAGTCAATGGGATAGCAAAGCACTAGATAAAGGCGTACCTGGTCAGCTGGTAAAAGCAACGGGCTGGGATGGTTGGATATATGAAGACGACGAAGATATTCGGATCTTCGACTTGGAGCATTTCCTGAAAAGGGGCAGAGCCGGAAAAGCTTGGAGATGGCGTTATCATTGGCGGTGTTGCCAGTAGAGATGGACCTGACGACTTGCTAGAGATGTTGGTGTTGCCAGCGGCTATCAGTACACTCCCTGATGAATATCATTTCGTCCCACCTGAAACTGAGTCAAAGATCGCATTATCCCCCACACCGAATGCTTTCCGGTCCTGGTATGAGGATGCTTGCCTGCCTGAAGATGCTCTCCCAGATAAGCATGCCTAAACAAACAAACTCCAGAAAATGCTTTGTCGAACGGTAATGCAATGCTGTGCGATCTTGCGCATCAAGTCTGGCTTCGAGCGCGGTTTTCGTGATTATGATTGCCCCAAATAGTTCGACAAGAAGTCTGACAAGCCACTAGATCGCTACGGACTCTGTGTCGAAATGTAAAATAAGCCCGGATAACAAATTCCAAAATGAGTGACGTTTATTTGACCGAGACCAGGGACATCGAAAGGAAACCGAAGCGTGAAGAATTCGTTCAAAGGAGTGTATAGAGGTCATTGTAATGTCAAGTTGGGGCGTCTTTTGTCGCGAAGACGTGTTGTCTTGGAGAGGAAAATGGATTCAACTGATTTAATTGTATCCACCATGGTCTTAGGCAACGACAGTTTGTTTTTGGTTATAGCCTAGATGCTGTAGACTTTTAGACTTCACATACTAGGCTCTCAGGATTGACAAAGTAATCGGTAACATCGGCCATATCTAACAGCTGGCCAGCGGCGCAAATGGCTATCGGCATCTCAACATCCAACTAACTAGGGCGGCTCCTAGCTGAAATCCCATAATCGGCTGACATAGGGAGAGATGGCCATCAGAACCCAGATCTAAGAGCAGATCGGCTTCCAAGGACCGTAACGATCTCTTGGCTCAGCGTCAAGCCGTTAGATCGATGCGACCGTCACGCCCAACTGTAAGATGTTTAGCTTTGCGGCTTCCAGCAATGTTCGCAGCGGGCTGCTAGCAGTCTCTTCCAAAAAAGAGGCATGGCTGGGGTATAGGTTGAAAATAATATGATATGCTGGCACGGGGCGTGGGATGGGATCCCAGTATTAGGGGCGGTTGCCAGGAGAGACCTTAGCGCGATGGACGAGACGGTGGTTGACAGGTTGAGAAACAAAGGAGACACCAAAACTAGTTGGGGGGTAGGAAGGGGGTGGGGCGGGGTGCGGGAGTCACTCTTGCGTGCACACTTTTCCTGTAGTTAGGGATGAAGCTCGTTCAGCACTGTCCGCGAGTGATATGGTTGTGGGAATAGTTGGAAAGAGAGCCTCACTGCCCTGGGCCGGATCTGAGGCCTGCATACAGCGGAACAAGCCACAAAGACATGTCGAGATGTCGATGGAATAGGTTCGCAAATTGATATGCCACCGTCCTTGACCCCTTGCTGGTCGCTGAGTTTAGCCCAGATCTAACTTCCGATTTGCGCACCAATGAAATATGAGCGTTAAGACGGAGCGAAGAGAAGCTTGGCGCGGACAGGGCCCTTGCAAGCTCATTACCCTTTCCCATCACCCAAGAACTTTGTAAAGTATGTAGCGCACCTCGCTTAGCGAAGGCAGCTCTCTCCCTCTCTCTTGGCAAGCGCTGCATCCGAAAACTTCGCTGGGGAATTCCTGGCAATATCTTTGCCCAAGGAAGGGCCAAGTTTTGGTTCTCGATATTTGATAGACAAGTGCAGGTTCCTGGTGCCACAAAATTTAGTTCTGGCGATCTTTAACTCCTTGGCACTGCCAGCTTTTCGCTTGATAACAGTCGATCATCAGATGTGGTCAAATTTCAACTGGCCTAGATCCCGATTCATGTAGGCCTAGGAAACTGAAACTCGATAGATCCCACCGCCAGTCGCCTTTCCAAGTCGGACGTCTGGATGTCGCCTCTGGCTGCCGTTTTGCGGACGATCATCGCAAGGAGCAGAGTATGCTCGTGGTTGCCGAGAGCGGCAGAGCCTCAGGGGTCGACGAAGCATCATCTCAGCAAAATAATTCAAGGACAAAACTCAAGAACAGCTCGTCTGCAGACTATTCCAAACGATTCAGCTCGACCCTCGCCAGAAACCACTTGTCCTTCGTCCTAGGGAGTTGTAGTGTTGTGGCAATAAGGGGCTGGCTCCGGGCTGGCTCCCAGTGGCGTTACGGCAGAGACGGGCACACCGTCACACGAAAGTCAGTACACCCTTGATTTGATACCGGTTGAGAGTCATCAAGCCATTCGCAAGCCTTTGCGTGTCGCCTTGCGCTAAAACCTGATCTACAGTGTTCCGCTTCCATTGAAGACGTGGAAACTACATCAGTAGTTAAAGGTTGCGATGTGCCCTCTTCTACGCTATTGGAATTGACGTGTTATTGCATTGTCCCTATCAATCAACGGTTTTCACCGATAGTGAGACCGACGAACTTACCATGATGTTCTTGGTACCCCTTTTGTTACTTACAACCACCAGCACTCTCGTTTATGGTGACCCGAGCCCTACACTTGCTCCTACGCCTCTCACGGCGACCACTCAAAGGGCCCTGGAAGCACGGGCAACGACGGTCACGACTTCTTTCTACACAGTGGTCCAGACTGCAATTCCCCAGGACCAATACTCAATTGGAGTGGGTCAGAACGGAACGGATGGGCCGTATTGTACGTACAGAATCCCTGTCGAAAAATGAGAGATCCTGTATCGCTTACACTGCAGACAGATTGGCTGGCCTGTATAGATAATCCATTCACAATCACATTAGGGTATGCAGGCTGTGGTCGCGACGACGTGTATACTGCATGTGCTGGACAGACAGCCAGAGGAATCGATGGAGGTAATATCGTTTGGTGAGCTCTTTTCAGTCCATCTAAGCCAACTAGCCTTTGTGATTAACTCTGGATTTCAGTGATGTGGAATGCGTCACACATAAGGTTTTTGAGAATCTTGATATCACGGGCTTCACTCCGCTCGTTGGTTGTGGCAGGGGAACAAGCACCATGATGTTATTGAGAGCTACAACTGGGGCAGAGACGACTCTTGATGTGCCTGGTAAGTCACGCCCACACGAGACTGAGAACATCTTTGGGTCAGGTGAACGAATCCGATCTATGTTTGCGAAGGTGCTAAAATGACATCCGCACCGACAGTTGTAACAAGCTCAAGTGATCCAGGCTCGACATCGGTCAATGGTCACTCGATTTCGAGCCAGCAGCAAACCCCAACTTCCTCCGCTAGTCCGACCTCTAGAGCCTCCAGTCCATCTCAAGGCCTCCCAGTCTTCTTCTTGCTAGCAGTCTCATGCATCGCTGCTTTTACCCTAAAGCTATAGCCCGGGGGGAACTTCGAAAGTTGACTCAAGTCAGCTCATATGGAAACGCTGGTCTGTGGGTTTATGAGCTTTGGTCAATCCATGAAGTATCGAAGAGGAATCTGGGGAATGACTCGTCAAACTTGCAACTCGGAGAGGCTGGGAACAAGGTCGCGTATATACCATATCAGAAGCAGGAGGCTCTAGGTGCCTCTAATCCTCTCCGGTATAGGCCTTTATCGCTTGTGCAAGTATCGACCAGGTTCCCCACATAAAACTGAAGGACTGCGCGTACGATTCAAAGTGGCTGCTGATACGATTCATCCTGAGTGGCGTCAGGTACCATTTGTCGTTGGAGAATAGGCAACTCTCGTATGCACCGGACAGCATTACGAATAAGTTATCGATAGAAATCGGGCCCCTATACTGTTAGCTAAAAGCCTAAAACTTATTCTTGGTCGACTTTAGACTTTAATTTAAGTCGGCCCACCATGTAATGCAACAACCCTGTAATGCAACACTCTCCCCACCAACCTTCAACGCGTCGTGTCTCTCTTCTCTCTCTCTCGTACGCAGTCAGTTCTCAGCCAATTGCTCTATAAGTGTATCAGGATGTCCTCCGAATCCTAGTAAGCCATTGAAGCCGCGATGATCGCGTACGAACGCCGTAAATACCCTTTAATCCGAGCCGCCGCCGCTACGTACTTAGTTAATTATACTATACTTAGTCGACGATTAAAAGGAGGGCTTATACGATAATAAGTAAGAGAGCCGCAACGAAATCTATCTCCGATGCAAGAAGAGCTCCTCGTACGATGGATTATTAACCTCGATCTCGCTGACGCTCCTCCTACCTTTATATAAGTACGCGACTTCGTAGGGCTAGTTTCGAAGGCCTCTAGCGGCGTATCTTCAATCGGTGTTAATTAGATCTAACGCTTTCTAAAGCGTTATCTAGACGTACGATTAAAGGTAGGAAGAAAGATTAAATACCTCCGAGCTAAGAATACATTAATATAAGCCCTATAAGCCTTCTTTAATTACTTTCTTTTAGTAGTAATCTACTACGGGATTCGTACGAGCAATATCTAGAATTTTAATGAGTATAGCCTTAGAATAGGAGTCTATACGAATTAGTAAGTACTTAGCTAGAGTATTATAAAGCGCTTATATAAGAAAACCCTAGAAAATCGTAACTAGGTAACTATTATTAAGACCTATTTAGCTAAAGGGCGTACGATTAATCTCCTAATTATCTTTAAGGGGAAAGAACTATAGTTAACCTAGTTTCTAGCGAATACTCTATCGAATTAGCATTTCCGTACGACTAATAATACCTTTACGATAAATAAAGTCGGTCTAAACTAGTTACGTTAAATTTTTCTTCCGTAAACTCTTCTCGACGAAGGCGTACGACTTCTTCTTTACGATAATACTAGGAGTTATATATCGATTAATTTTATATATAAATACTTTATATATAATATTTAGTTAGTTTATATACCCCTATACTTATCGCATATCCTTTAGCTACTTAATATTAGTATATTCTCGGTCTTAAAGCGTATATACCGAAAGGAAGTCGCTAATTTATTAAGATACGTCGAAATACGACCCGTATAACGTAGATAATTTATTAAATACTATATAAAAGCGAGAGTAAAGGCCCTTTAACCTTAATATATTCGAGCTAGTTAGAAAGGGACGGGTTTAAACCCGTACGACCCCTCTAAAGTCCTTAATTCCTTATAGGTTATTTAACGAGCTAATTCTCCTTAAGCCACTCTATAAACTCCGCGTACGAAGAAGCGAAAACACTCTCTTAGTATTATTACGATAATACCTAAGAGTAGGCGTTAATTTTAGACTTAAGCGTACGAAGTCTTTCGAGATATTCCGCTTTAAAAGGAAGCTCGTCTAGTTCTTTAGAAGGTAGCTAAAGTAATCGACTAGTTTTCGTAGTAATTAACCGAGCGATCGTATAAATTAACTAAGGTCTCGACTCTTCTAAAGGAAAAGACTACTACTCGGCGTACGAGGGTCGAAATTAACTCGAATAAAGCTTTTATAACGATTAAGGAGGTTAAGAGGGCTTAATAGGAGGCGCAACAACGTTAGGAGTATTAGGATCGAATAGATAGAGCTAGATAGGCACAACTCTCGTCCGTAGCATTATAGAAGACTTAATTCGCGAATCTATGTATAGAATGGTACGTTAACGACGTTACTAACGCCGTACGAGACGCTTAAATGGATGTCATTGTAGTTAGGGAGAGTGTTGCATTACAGGGTTGTTGCATTATATGGTGGGCCGACTTAAGGATTTAGAGTTCTTTTTAGCAACAATTAACCTAGTGTAACGCTATATTTCGTATTAAAGACTCCTAAACTCTATATCTTTATAATATACTAGAGCTAATTATCTTACTATATAGAAACGCTATCTCGACTAGTATTATCTAGTAAACTATGGTGGCAGGTCTACTAACACCAAGCAGAAGAATTAGCCTATGTAGTAGAGGACGTCTAGAACGCTATTACGCTGCAACTAAATTATCAATGAAAGATCACCAGGGCTATTGCCTTAAGATGTAATGATGTTTTACGTGGTGGTGATAGTAGGAGTTCTAGGTATGCAAATGAAGGGGATCAGTGATGTAGGGGAATGTATCGACTTCATCAGCGAGGGAGTAATCTGACCATTAACTATTGTGCCGATGCGTAAATTTCTGGGACACCCCGTGTGGATGTAATCAATTTACACACGGGTATACCGGTCATTGTGCAGATGCATAGACTGAGAGCTTCTGCGAAGTGCTTCAACTACGAGCTTTCGAGCTTAAAGGCTCTTATCAAGAAATTCTCTCTTGTACTCTCGTAGGATAGCTTAAGGCGAGAGTATGTCTCCGCTTAGATTCAAGATCGAGCCTAGCTGGACATTGATTTGAACCGAGTTTACAACCCTTAGTCCATTCTATAATTACATTCTATATGCAGTGTTTCGACAAGGACCTGTCAGCAGACTTAATTTGACCATGCCTCAGTATTCTCTATTCAGCCTTCTTGCTTTTCTTTGTCCGGAGCTTCATCAACAAGTAAACAAGTGCATAGCTCGAGCAGATGAAGATTGCCACAATCCCAATATCTCTCCATCCATAGTAGTGTTCTTTAATATTGAGAGACTTAAGCCAGTCGCTTCCATACTAGCACTGACAGACTCGACAGCCAGTCTGAGCATCAGGATTCAGAAGATTGCTTGCTGTTCCGGATGGACTTGTCATATAATCCTTTAGATACTGGGCACAAGTTTAGTTGGCAGGCGGATCGAAGAGAGCGAACTCGTTCTCACTATATTCAACCACAATATCCTAATTTGGAAAGACAAGTAGACCGCCCATAAGGTATTTGAACGGATTAATCCAGTAAAGCTAGTAGCGGAGCCCATCAACGATCTATTCGTACGGTACGAAGACGCCGTAGTAGCCAACGGTAGTGAAGATGAAGATAGGGTTGGCGAGTACTGCTACCGTTGCATTCGGTGCGTATGCCGCGATGAATTGACCAATCCCGGTGTACATTCTCGACTTCTTTTCTCGAGCGTCGTAGATATCGCGCCTCTCGATGAAAAGAGGCTGTAGTTGATCTGTTTCTCGGTTAGCTAAATCTTTATACCCTTTAAGTCGCGGTGTAGACCTTACTGATAACTCCCGGTGCAATAAAGACAAACTGAAAGGTTGCAAACATGCGTAGGTTGAGGTCGCTAACGCTATTACCGATCTGCCAAAAGGTGAAGCCGGAGAAGAGACCTGTAATGATGTGTAATGCGAACTTGTTGTTGACATATTCGGGGTTCCGATAGATTAATTTAGTCATCCGTATTGTAATAAGCTTAATCTGGGCCCATAGACCTACGGCGAACTCCTCGCCATTATCGCTAACCTGTGAAATATTCTTTTCATTAATGTTCTCAAGTTCGGAGAGCATCGCATTATGTTCGGGCGACTAGAGCTAGACTTAGTTCTAGTCCTTCTTACTAGTAGATAAAATATCAATTATATGCTCTACTAGATTTTTGCCGGCTGGACAGGCGGCATTATTACGGCTAAAGTATACCTTTAATATACTACCTTGGTCTCTAATTCCCTAAAGTAGGCTGCTTTGCCACGTCTGGTAAGAAGAAGTAAGGTGTCGAACATATAGAAGAGTTGAGCGCTGGGTTGATGAATAACGACGAGGATAGCTTGACCTGCTAGTGCTAGTTTTTTGAGAAACCGTAAAATGTTATATACTGCCTATCCATTAAGTCTAGATGTCGGTTTATCTAGGAACGTTAGGATGCTCGGCTTAGCGACAAGCTTAACCGCTATAGTTAGGCGTTTCCGTTGTTCGACCGATAGGCCTTCTCCACCAACGTGTCCGACTAGACAATTTTCAATATCGTGTATCTCGAGTAGATCAATAATAACTTTGACATAAGCTAGCTTCTCCTCTCTGGAAGTAGATCGCGGCTGTCGTAGGAGGGTAGAGAATTCTAATGCTTCTCTCACGGTACTAAGGAATTAAGAGTTAGCTACTACTAAACGACTATATAGGATAACTAGGGAAAGGAAATATACGCTAGTAGTTCATGTACGTCGAGTTGTTCGTAGTATCCAGCGGACCGTTGGAAGTCCAGTGGAAGGGGTGCTCCATCAACTAGTATCGAACTAGTAATTGTGCCATCGGTTTTTCTCTATAATAGCATGTCCATAAGAGTCGTTTTGCTAGTGCCTAATGAGCCTATAAGTGCATCTAATTGACCGGGTTTAATCCATCCATAAACGTTATCGAGTAACTAGTAAGGGCCGTGAGGCGTTGAAATTGTATAATAGAGATTTCTCCATGTGAACACAGATTTATTCTAATTCAATCGTTCATTGCCTGGCTGTTTATCTAGGGCGCCGAGGGACGCACTACTTCCCGAAGCCGCTGTCCTGGCTAGGTTTTGTGATTCTTCGTCATCAGTAGAGAAGGGTAATTTCTTCGCTAGTTCTCTCGGAACTGTGAGGACTCCATTCTACGACGAGACGCTTTGCTATGCTGGAGTACCGAGTATCGTTAGGTAGACGAAGAATACCCACTATAACCTATACAATAAGTTTTATAATATTAGTCAGGGAGATAAGGGACTTACTAAATAATTCCGATGTTTCTCTAAGGGTGCGAGTGACTATAGCTGAGAGATGCTAGATATTGCTCTCTAGAAATAGCAATTTGTCCTGGCATTGCGCCGCGAACACCTATATATTCCTGGCACTCGGCTGAATTATACCCCGGCCCGGTTGGGACTAGATTTAGTCTAGCACAGCTAATAACTTTGCTGTACATCTCGTTGGAAACAAGAGCATTTAACGTATATACAATTGGATCGACCTAGTATATCCTATTCGAGTAAGCTCTATATGTGGGTACGTAGGTAGATGCTTACTAGATAAACTAGGGCTTCATCTCTATTTTTGGGACTATAAATCCGCTATACAAGAGTAGCGCCAAGATAGCTACTCCGGAAATCTTGCTGGTATTATTAAATATTTTGAAACCGGCTCCAATAGCTCGGAAAAAAGCTATAAGATAGAATGTTACTAAGATTAAGTATGAACTAGAATGTGAAGAATATATTAGCGGCTATAGTTAGTCCCACTATAAAGTAGACCGGAAGAGAAAAAGCTGTGATTTGGACGAGTACGATAGGGATATCGGTGATAATCTATGTAAAACACTAGGCTGTAGGGTGATGGAGCGTAAGGCTTCGGTGTTTAGTTAGAATAGAACGACCAATAAATGAATTAGTAACCTCGGGATTGTACTAGAAAGACATTAAATACGATAGCTGTGAAAAGAGCCCCATTTCGAAGAAAAGTTCCTATGGAGGTATCCGGTGAGTTATAGAATAGTGCGCTAACTGATAATGCTTGGATGGCATTTAAGCCCTATTTAACGAATAGACAGTTTTGTCGCCACGCAAAATCTAGACCTGACGTCTAATAGTTACCTTGAGCTATAGCTAGGAACTTACTTTATATGAGGAGTGCTTTGCTATGAAGCCTAGGAATCTCTCGCGAGTGACTATATCGACGAAATCCGCGGTATAGATCTGGCTGTCGCTGAGTCCGGATAGTCTAGTTTAGCGTCTATGTTTCTCTTAATTACGGTATCGTCATATCGCGCGCGAATTTCAGCACCGGTTTTCGGGAACCGAGACTCATAACCCGTACGAATCTATCGTTCGGTGGGCATAGTGACTCCTGCTTATTGTTAGAGTCGAGTAATTCCATCGAGGTCGGGGATAGTGTGCCATACCTATCACAAAGTCCGCAATATTAGCACCATCTACATAGACGAAACTAAGGTCTTCGAAGAACTGTCTTGCCGTTTCCTTCGGGCCATAGTATATCTATTCACCCTTCTCGACTACTAGGATCTTGTCGAATAGTTCGTAGATACCATTACTAGCTTAATAGAGCGTGACGATTAACGTAAGGCTAAATAGGTCGGTAAGTTTCCTGACGGATTATAAATATAGTAGTACTGTGCTTGCATCTAAGCCCCTCGTAGAGTTGTCCTAGAGATATATACTGCCCTAAGTAGCCATGACCTCCGCAATACCGATACGTTTTCTCTCACCACCGGAGACTCCACGGATATATTCGTTCCCGACTTTCGTGTTCTTGGCATAAAAGATATTGAGCATGCGGAAGAGAAAGTCTATAGTTATACGTCTTGCCTCTTCGGAGGAGCTAGGGCTAGTTAGGGCGTTATGGGCAACGTTTAAGCGTGTAGTAAACTCGATCGTTTCTCTAGCGGTGAGAGTGGGGAAGAATGTGTTCTCGTCCTCGTCCATAACAATATAACCACGATGTGGTCTAGCTTCTTCGTGGCTAAGCGACCCATACATGACCTAACCCTAGATATTTTTGTAGCCTTTACGCCGGTTGGCTAGGACTTTCAAAAGTGAAGTACATCCTACGCCTGGACGTCTAAGTACTAGTAGCATCTCGCTAGGCTTTACGTAACTAGAGCTGTTGCTGATAATCGTTTTAACCGAGGTAGCTGTAGATTTATCTTTCCTCAGGAATGGCGCGAAAAACTGGGAGGGTACGTTTCCGTTGATTATTCCACCCACGGCTGCTCCTATGACTTTCAAGTTCTTCTATGTTAGACCAAGGCTTCGGTGGATTGGAGATGTCGTAGCCAGCGCTGGAAGGGTGTGCCAGTCAACCTCATCCTCTATGTCCTCTGACTCCGTAGCTTCACTTTATCTTCTGCTGAGATGACTCCGAATCTTTGATAGTGCCGATCCATTGAATGCACTTGGACGGTCTGCGTCGGGACCATGGTTGTAGTGTCTGCTGGAACGACTGCGGACCACGGATAATGAGGACTCGTCGGGACCGCCGCTCTTATTCTGACTGTCTTCACTATCCTCTTGCTCAATCGCTGGAGAGAACGCCATAACCGGAGACATTTGGTAGTATCTAGGATCAAAACGGGAAAGACCGCAACCTACACAACCGTATGCTACGGGTAAAGTCACTTATATAGACAAATAGTCGCGATATACTGCAACGCCAAGTGTTAGTATTAGTAACAATCTACTGTTATTAGGATTTTAGATCCGTGTCTTATTTATCCATAACCTTAAATTCAAAGTCGCTCTCGGCCATGATAGAACACGGCCGGGTAATTGAGCGTACATCGGGACACAGTTGGCACAGGGTGCTGGCCATAGTTGTTCCAACCTATTCACGTTCAAACGGGTGTCCGGGCGGAGAGGATGCTCGGCGGCTGGCTACACGGCCTAATTGTTGTCCCGTGCCCACATTCTATGGAGTGGCGCCAGCTCTAATTTCTTCCCAGTAAAAGCTTACCCATGGACTAGATCTTGCAATCATACACTGTTTAGTAAACATCATTTACCAGCTCTTTTGCATTTTCCTTGCCATCTTGCGTCGGATTTCGATTGACCTCATATGCAAAGCAATTGGTTTTCTCCCACCTCTGTGTACATTCCACCTGTTTTCCAATCCCCTAAGGGAGGCCACGTAAGCAGTATTAGTTTCTGCTAGAACGCTATCGCCTTCCTGTGGGCTAGATACACGACTCCAAGGCGAGAAACGTGACCGAGAGTTCTCGGTCAACGGGAATGATCTGTCCATCCTACTGAGGCTGAATGCTCTCACATATGTTTTATGTACCTGGAATATAGCTACTAATATAGGGTGCTTCTTGAATAAAACCAGGGTAACTAGCATCTCAATTACTAATGTTGTAATAACAACATCTTTTCCTATCAGACGATACATACATTCAATGTTGAAGAGATCCCAATCCTGCTCCGTGCCAAGAGCGGGTTGATCTTACTCGAGGCAAAACCTAGGAGAGGATTCCACGGGAACCTAAGATCTTCCACTTGTCTAAGGGAACAGGACTCGCTGTAGCCTTTCACCACCTAATTTGCAAACCGCAATCCTAGACCGACGTTTACTCTACTTTATACTTTAGGTAAAGTCGGTGCTCTTTACTAGCCGTAGCTTAGCTAATAGGGATTAAGCGGGATTAGATCCTACTAAATCTATATTGATAATTCCGTGGATTTGCTTAGCCACCTCAACGCGATATGAAAAATTAGGTGCACCGGAGCAGGAGAGCTCGTACACAGGCAAATCGCCGGTACATTGATACCTAATTGCTTGTGACTTGTAGAGAAGCATCAGTTTGGTACGGATCAACGTTCACGGCGTACTAAAACACCTTCCTAACGTCCCACAGAGGCGATAAATGAATCCGACTCTACTAACCCTTTTGTCAGAGCGAATGCCTCGACGGTGCGCGCAGTTGGTTTCTTTAAGCTTTATCTCTAGTAGGCGCTCTACTAAGTTGATATGCCCTAACACCAAGCCTAATAATAACACCACCTTTTTATTTTATAACCAAAAAGCCCATCAACGTTTACTTGACACGCCTTTTATTACACCTACTGGTATATACAGTCTTCTTGACCTTGACAGCCCCAAAGCCTTACCTATTGCTTTATGCCACTGCTGACACCTCCCATAAAGCCTCCAACCAAATTCTCTACTCATAATTATATTCAGCGGCGCTGCCTTCTCCCCCCCTATTCCTAGACTTGTCTTCCTCTTATAGTCGGAATTCAATTCACACTAGATTTCGTTATTGCCCTTGGTCGAGTTCAGGCGCTCAGTGATATTAATAATCTAAATATATAAAGCCAGGTAAAGGAAAGGTGATACAGGGGAAGAGGAAGTCGAAAAGCTACACTAGTAGAGATCTAGACTGGCTGCTTCGCGTAGTCTTTGGTGTACACTTTAGAAGAATAGAGTCTCTTAAATATAACTATAGAGTTACGACAGGCATATAATATAGTACTAGTGCACCGTAGAACTCACATTAAGTTATTCCTTCACTACAGCTTCTACATCTAGTAGCCGAGATTCATTCTAAACCACCTACCCCTTTAAGGCCGTTGAGCTAGCTTACAGGATCTTTCGTGTAGTTCTCCATGATTAGTTTTAGTTTTACTTCATGTAAAATGAAATCATCCACCGTTCCCGCTCGCATAATTATATAAACAGGCCCGCCCGAGTTTATACGATAAAGTAGAGATCTATATACGGAGCGGAAAGCGTTCGTCATATCTTTATAGTTCTAGATTATTCGGTTATAGGTGTATAGTAATAGTTTATCTTCGCCTCGTAAGAACTTTATTGCTGTAAGGGTTTAGCTAGGAATTTAGAGTAATTCATCTAACTACCGTATAACGAGGATTCTAAAGCTAAGGAGAGAAAAGAAAAGAGAAAATCTATCTACTATACGAATAAAGGAAATACTCCCTACCCTCTCCTATAGTAGATTAGTATAGTTTCCTAGGAGACAATCGATAGGGAGGAGTCACGTGGCTTCGGCTGTATAGTTATACGGGCTAAAGGTATACTACTAGTAATCGCTCTAGGGCGTACTCTAGAGCTTTATGCGGGTTTAATCCGTAATAGTTGCCGATTTAAGCGCCACGAAGAGAGTTGAAAATATAGAGGCGGTAATTTTTCGGTAGTTAGTATAGTTATAGATTATAGCACCGAAGAATCCTCTCTCTTTAGTAGTCGGTCGTTAGTATGTTTCTTATTAGTTATATCTTAGATTTTATATATAAAGATAATAGTATATAAATTTATCTAAAGGATAAGATTTAGATCTATAGTAGAAGTAGCTAGTATTAAAAGAGTAGAATATATTATTACTTTCTATCTTAATTATTAGAAGAAGTATAAACGTAATATATTACTTAGCCTAAATTAAGCCTAAGAATTCTCTTTTCGTCTAATATTAATAAATAACTTAAAGTTTATCTAAGTAGAGGAGTATAGGCCTATATTATATAAGTATAGGCTCCGTCGAGATACCTCGTAAATACGAGAGTAATAACTATTGAGCCTAAGCGATACCCTATAAACGCCTAGTCACGTAATTACGCTTATATAAGCTAGGATTACGCGGTATCCTTTAGGCAAGGCTATACTTAAGCCTTACGGAAGATTCTATAAAACGCTATTCTATTCTATAGGATTAGAAATCACTTAACTTAATTTCTAAGCATCCTAGGAGTTAACTCGTATTTACGAATACTCGGCTATTACTCTCGTACTTACGAGATATCACGACGGAGCCTACGCCTATATAATATAGGCCTATACTCCTTTACTTAGATAAACCCTAAGTTATTCACTAAGATAGAAAACTACGATACATTTTACTCTTTTAACTTTAGCGACTTCTACTATAGATCTAAACCTTGTCCCTCGGATATATACTATATAAAGTATTAATATTTTAACTATTTTAATAATAACGCGGGTTTTTAGATACCGCGTTTTAAACCCTAGAATTTAAATCGCGTAATATCTTAGAATTAAATTACTTATATCCTTAATATATATCTCTATTAGAAAATATTAAGTTAGTTTTATAATAAACTTTAAACTAGACTTTAATAACTATAAAACTCACGGAGTTTATAGGGGTACTATTTACGCGTTTTGTATAGTAAAAGCCGGGTTATTAGGAGGGTAGGTCATTAGATGGGTGTCCGACTTAGTTATTACTCTATCGACTAGATAGGGGAGGTAGTAGTGCCGTGGAAGTGGTTCGATCGATGGGCAACCATTAGGTAAGAGGTTGTTTCAGCTAGGTTGGTCACTTAGAACGGGGGCCGACAAGGTATTCGAACGAATTAAGTTTGAGTTTATGTCGCAAGTTCGCAGCCCCCTTATTTTGAAACAGCCTCTTCCATAGTCTTGCTACCCACTAATAGGGGCCAAAACAAAAGGCAAGGGGCGTTAGCATAGTGAAGGGCCAAGGATTCCTACGTATTAAACATTCCCACCTACATTGAATGGAATTGAACGTTCCCGACAAGTTTATGAGCATTGATATTAACTGATGCCATCCCCCCGTCTTGGCGAATCCGCAAACCAGTGCCAGTCTCTTCACAGTATTGGAAAGCAACAAAACCAGGAACTGAGGAAAGAATATGAGTCGTTTCTCGCATAACAATGCCATACATAAGAGCATTGACTTAAACACAGTTCCTTTTCGTTCGAGAGATGGCCCTAGATATCCGAGTCCGGAACATAAAACCAGGCAAGCTTCTAACTTTCTAGTTAAGAGTATAGATTATTGTTATTTCGCACGTCTGACCTAGGTGTCCAGTTATTTACATGAGTCTTCGAAGTCTTACATCTCCGAATCATTCAGTTATGCAACCGACGATCTAGACATTCCATTAAATGAGGCTAAGACAAAAATCAAGACTTCGAAACTTGAAGAAAAAAAAATTGTACTGCGCAGAAATCGAGCATGTGCTTTCTACCACTTCGTCCTGTTCCATGTCATTCCTGTCGGGGGTGCTCTGGCACTACTCACGCTGAATTTGAAGACTCAGTTTTACGGAATCAACAGCTCTTGGTTTTCAAGCCTTCAGTTGGTAGCAAAGGTCCACGAGATGCTTATGCAGGCTTCCATTGTAACCGTCACTCTCGGTTATTTCCAACATCTGATTACCCAGGCGTCGCCGGTGCCGTTTGGATCTATTTTCTTTCCATATCAGATCACACAGATGAACTACCTGTGGAGTCAAGAATTCCTCGCGACATTGAACTCACCTCATTTTGCCGGGTTGAAGAAAATTGTTTTTGTGTTGTTCGTTCCATCAAGCATTCTGCTCGCTGCTGGCGTCGGACCTTGTTCTGCGATTGCTCTGCAACCAAGACAAACCAACTTCACAGTCCCGAGCTATCGCGTTGCGATGAACGCCACAGATATTCAACTCTACCCAACTATATTGGATCAGCCCGGACCACCGCTAGCATTCAGCTTGCCCTCGCGTATGCACTCTACGCTTCTACTAGGGAGACACCGTCCTATTCAATTTCCAGTGTGCTAATATCCGTATTAGGTAATGAATTATCACCTGCTGCTGGATGGAAATATCTCCATAACTTCCCTGCGGTCGGGTCAGATCAAAATACCGAAGTCGGGGCGCAGCAGAAGGCCGTCAGCCTGGGAAAACAAGGGGAAACCACTATATATGTCATGCCGCAGCTGTATTCCGCAGAATTAGTGACCTACCACCCCTGGTTCGCTACTAACTCTTTCCCTTCCGTCTCGAGGACGATGTACATTCAGTATGCGCCAAACAGCACTTTTGCTACAGTCCCTCACGTTACAATAGCGCAGTCCATGTTGCTTGCAGGAACCAGATTCGCCCAGCACTTAGGTGACAAGCCTGGCACTGCTATTGCGAGTATCGAAGAGCCACAGCCATTTTCCAGTGTCCGATGCATGTTCAATCCCATCCATGGAGAGAATGATACCGATCCAATTCAATTCCCAAACACTTATGTTGCTGGCTGCCTTGGTGATCTTGAGTGTTTGAAGGCAAACAGCGCTCTCAACGAAGCAGGTAAAAGCAATTTTAGTGGAATTTCGAAACAAAGTATTTGGGAACAGGCCCAGCAAATCCCTGGAGGGCGCATCATCTGGGTCGATGGTATCGAAATCTCCAGTCCAGATAATGGAACGGCTCTTGGAGCTATAGTTATACCGTCCGAAGTGTGCCCTCAATCCAATATTTCCTCTCTCATGGTCTCGGCGTGTGTTATAGGTGGTAGATGGGCGAGCACGAAATCCTTCATCCGATCGACATCCAACGGGCTGGACTTGCTTAATGGATTAGTAGAGAATTTGGTGTCAGTGGATTCGCTCGCAGAGCTCCCTCAGTGGTCCAATCCATCGGTGAAACTTTCGAAAGCATGGGCAGAAAGCCTGGAAGCGATAACGGACGTTCTCAATCGCACTGTGGTTGATAACCTCATCCGCCAGATGCCCATCACGGATAATATATGCCCGAATGGGACCTCCGAAGGGCGTTATCAAATCAGTCTGCGTCGGCCGTTCATGTATGAGAGGCTCCTCGCAACTTTGGTTGCCAATGGAATGTCTCACGCAGCGGGAGCGATCGAAGAGTGGTTCTGGTATCCATCTCCAAAGCAGACAGGGGGCTGGGTATTCACCGATCCTAACACATTCGAGCAGAAAAGCCAGAAAAGCCCGCCAGGAGTCGTTCTTACATTCGAAGGTCATCTCCCCGGCTTCGCCTGGAACCTAGATGGTATTCCAATCAAGATTGTTCTTCCAGTGCTGATGGTTTACTGCCTCTACACCCTTTCGTACGTCCTTTTCACATTTATCACCGGTCGCAGTTCAATGGCGTGGCGATCGATCTCCCAGATGACCGCTCTCGCTATCAATTCCACACCTACCGATGTACTGGATAATACGAGCGCTGGAATCGAACACAAAAAGACCTTTGCAAAGCCGATTAGTGTCAGGGAGGTCGAAAATCATCGCCGGTTAGAGTTGATATTTACACAGGACGAGGATAAGAGGGGACCTTTAAGGAGGGTTAATGTCGGCCGCGGTTATTAGAGCAGCTTGATGAAGTGATAGTTAGGTCCAATTTCAAGACTTGTCCATGTTTTGACCCTCTGGCCAATCATTCAAAAATCTAAGTCCTTCTGGCGAACCTACTCCCAGCGATTTCATAGCAAGAATCTCTCTCAGTACAGGAGGTGAGACATCCGAGTTTGAATGAGTGAAAGGCTTCCTCAGGCAGTGCCAGCTTGCTGGGTGACCCCGGGACATACTAAATCCGTGCTCATTTCTCCAGCAACCATTCTAGATGGTAAATTGTTGCAGATCAAGAATCCCGAGTTAAGCGCGAGTGTATAAACATTAGAGCTCTATACTCCCTATTAATATGTACTATTGCGCTAAGTCAGGCGACCTATGAATGACCGGCCCTATGAATGACCCACGCGTCTCAACGCGTATTATATTATAACACCCCTTCTTCTATACATATAATTACTTATATAGACTACCTTTTATATAGCTAAAATGGCATTAAATCACGAGTCTCGAATCCAACAAGCTATACGTAACTATAAAAACCGACGATTTCTAAGTATTCGCTCCGCTATAGCAGTAAATAACGTAGACCGAAAGGCTCTCGGCCGTAGACTAAAGTGTTACGAACTAGGTCACTTGAAAGGTTACCAAGGGAATCAAGGCACCTACCCAGGAGGGAAGTTAGCCGATGGAGAACGAGGCTAAGTTACGTGACTAGGGAGGGCTAGATCTCCTAGACCCCTTAGATCCTATAGGATCTTAAGAGATCTAGAGGGAGCTACGAGATCTAAGAGAGCTACTAGTACTATATATATACGCTCGCTATCTATATTAAGATAGATTATAGTTAACTTCGTTAGTAATCCTATACCTATATTTTAGGATATAGTCCGACGAATAAGTATTCCCTTTATTATCTTAGTTGATACTCTAGTACCTACTCTATTAAGGAACCCTACCTTAGTTAGAACTACTTACGGCTCGGATTATAATACTTTAACTACTACTTAATTAGTATTAAATATCTAACGTAGGATTATCTCGACTTAGATCCCTACTACCTAGCGTATATCTACTTATAGCCTTAAATAATTCTTTAAAGACTAATATCGTTTAAGATAGTAGTTCTAACGAAGACTCCGACGTAGATATAGTTAACGTACTAGGACTTACTAATATATCTCGGGATAGTATTAAGGTAGAACTATTCTATAGGAATAGGGAGAAGCTAGAATACTTCCTTATATAACTTAAGACTACCTTTAAGCTTAATCTAACTAAGTATACTAGGGTAGAAGATAAGATTATATTCGTAGTAATATACCTTAAGGGGGCGGCGTTCTATTAGTTTAAACTAGTATAGGACGACTACCTCGAGTCTTCTAGCTCCGACGACGAAACTAAGGTATACTTTAGGAACTTTACGTAGTTCGAAATAATAATTAAATAGATTTATAGTACGATTAATAAGGCCGTAGTAGCCTCTCGTACTATCTATACCCTTAAATAAATAGGATCTATAGCTAATTATTA